GTATTTCTTTAGGTTTGCCTTAAGTCTCTATTCTTATAGTTTCGTTAAGACTTATTATACATCTTTTACGTGTTATTCCAGGTTTCTATCTATATAGATTAGGATATCGTCGAGGTATACGATAACGGTCCTATCTAAGTATTCTCGTAGCGTGTCATTAATTATTATCTGATAAGTAGCCGGGGCGTTAGTAAGTCTANATAGTATAACTAGGTACTTATAGTGCCTGTAGCGTATTCGAAACGCAGTCTTCTATTCTTCTCCCTCCTTTATTTAGATAAGGTTATAGGCTCCTTTAAGATTAATCTTTAAAAACCACTTAGCCTTTAAGAGGCGGTCTTATAGTTCTTTAATATTTAGTAATAGGTAACGATTCTTAATAGTAATATCGTTAATCTTTCGGTAATCGACGTATAGTCGTAAGCTACCGTCTTTCTTTAGTATAAACAGAATTAGGTAACCTATAAGGGATTCTAATTTTTAGATAAATCCTTATACTAAGTTCTCGTCTAGGTATTCTCGAAGCGTCTTAAGTTCTTTTTTAGATAACGTATAGATAGGTCTAAATGTAGGTTACTTTCCTAGTTCGAGTCTAATTTCGTAATCCTACGGCTGATGCCTAGGTAACGCGTTTACGTTCTCCTCTTCCTAAAATAAGCGTTTCTATTTACTATATTATTTAGGGATATTAGAAGGTACGTAACTTCCTTTAATAACTCTCGCTTCGTAGCCTATCTAACCTNTAAGATCGGTGCCTACGGAGCTAGTATTATGCTTCTTTACTAATACCTTAGTCGAGGTAATAGTAATATATGCTATTATAGCCTAATTTCGCCCTTTCCTCTTATCTACTACCGAACGCTACTAGTGCGTAGGTCGCGAGTCGACTACGTAGTTACACTCCTCGAACCTTAATAATTGTAATATCTAATCGATTACTAGGTTATATTACCTTAACTAGGGTATACCTAGGACGATATAGTAATTAGCTATTTCTATAACATCTAAGATAATGTCCTTATAGTGCCGTTAGGTAATAATCCTTAGANGTACCGTTTCCTCTAATACGCTAGGTAACGCTAAGCCGTCTACCGCTATTAGGTCGTATCTATATTCTTTCGATTAGGTAGCTATTCCGAATCGAGCGACTACTAATATAGATATAAAGTTTCCGCTTACTCTAGAGTCTATTATTACGTATAGTCGTTTTCCTTATACGGTAATTAGTGTACGAAATACCGTTATTAATAATGTTAATACTAGGGCTTAGATCGTATTACATTCTCATTAGCTGCCCTTACTATAAGAATCTACTCTTTTCCTAAATCGATGTTAATAGGTAGGTTCGTAAAAGTAACTTTACTATTACTTTTAGTTCCTATTTTAAGTTCGTAGAGGTGTCGTTTATATAGCACTCGTTACTATTATTAAGCTTATCCGTATCGAGATCGTAGCAAATTAATGCTATCTCGTATACTTCTATTAATACGTTCTTTAGTAGGAATAATATATCCTATAAGTATAAAGGTACTTCTAAGTAGCGGCCTTTCCTAAATNAAAGCCTTAAAGTCGTAGTCGACTACTACTAATCGATGTTCCTAAAATGCCTTACGGATCTAATCTAGNATNTTATCGAAGTTATAAGGGTATAAGAATCTTTATCTATTAATCTCCGGGAAGGCTTCCTCTCTATATTTTATTATAACGTTAAACATCTTAGTAAAACACGATAAAATATAAGTATAAAGTACTTTAATGCCTTCCTTACCGTTATAAAGGTAATTATAGTCGTCGTCGATAGATTCTTCTTTAGATTCCTCTTCGCTATTAGTAGTGTCCTCTTTAGGATTACTTTCGACACTATCTACTTCGATTTCTTCTTCCTTAAGGTTATCCTTCCTAGTAATAATATTATAGTAGCCTTTTCCTCTACCCTTTAGCTAAGAGGGAAACTATCTAGATCCTATCTTAGAACTATAGTAGATTAAGCAGCTGTCGTCGTAGCATACGGTCTAGCTAAGCCTTCTATAGTAATTATATTAAAGATTCTTAATCTTCGGTTTCGGCTTCTCGAGTTCCTAGCGCTCTAGCCCGACGTTAGGGCGGCGCTACATTATATTAAATTATCTTCGAGGCACTTTATTTTTTAAATAATAATCCCTTACTATATAGCCTTTCTTACTACATCTATAGTAAGTTATCGAACTCTTCCCTTTAAACTACTTCTTCCTATTCGATCGTCGATCTTCGGTAACGTCTAGTTCTATTAGCTAGGGTCCGTAAGGATCCTAGTACTAGTTACGTCTACCGAAGTTATTCTTTCCTTTATAATTACAGTATAGGATGTAACTAGACTTACCTCGAGGGGCTACGTCGTAGCGTTATTCTATAGCATATTCGTAAAGATTATCGTCGATTTCGATCGTTATACGGATAAGATCATCTAGATCTTCGATTTTTATGCCGGCTTATATAAGTTCGTCTTTAACGTTTTCCTTTAGACTACGTCGATATATAGTTATAAGGGCGGAGTTATCCTAATCGGTAACTTAGGCGTACTCCTAGAACTTAGCGGTATATTTAGATACTAAAGTGTACTAACGGATGTGCTAAATAAGGCGTATAGTAACCTTATCTTTATTAGAGATGCTAAAGATACGGCGTATCTCGGTCTTAAACTTAATAAAGCTTATTATAATCCCGTTAGTGTCCTTACGTTTATTAAGGAACTTCTAAAGTATTAGTTTCATCTAGTGCTAGGCTCTTCTACAGAGATAGGTACTAGTAAAGATAGTCTTCTTAGCTTCCTCTATAGGAGTAAAGATATAGTAAAGATCTATCTAGTTAAGCTAATCGTTAAGCCTCTAGCGGTCTCTATAGTAGAGGTCGGGCTTAGCGACTTTACTATCGTCTTAAGTAGTACTAGTAGAGCGGTTTCTACCAGCCTCGCTAGGTATACCTCTTAGGGTAGTATTACTTAAGTAACTTATTCTAAGGGCGTTTAAAGTTGTTATAGCTAACTATCTAGGATAAGATAATAGGTTATAGGGTTAGACTCGTAAAGCGGAGTGTTAAGCGAAGTAAAGTAGGTAGTATATAAAGTAGTATATACTAAAGGGACTATTAGAATAACTAATTAAGTTAAACGTAGGACTACCTAAGGTCGTCCTACCTACCTATATACTTAATAGATAATGAGTGTATATACGTTACTCTATATACTCTATTATTCTATATAATCTAGAGGGAGTAGAGAGAACGAGAGATCGTATAGAGTAGGGTGTAGGAGGTAGCAGCCTTATATAGTGTGCTCTATAGAGATCCAGGTTCTTAGCGGAATCCTTAGAGTAGGATCCCGTATCCGGTAATAATCGTCGTAAATCCCGTTACGCTTAACTTAGCTCGTAACAGTTTTACTAAAGGGGAAAAGGAAGAGGACGAAAGGTCCGTCCTCTTCGTACGACGCTTATATACGCTAAGTCGGGGAATTCCCGGCGTCAGCCGAGGTTAGGGTCGCTACTTTAGTAAGACCCTATAACACTTATACCGGAGGAATAGAATTAATGTCGAGTTTATAGGAATAAGAGATATAGTTACAGATAGCTTTATAAAGCTATTACCTAAGCTAGACGTTATAAGATTTATTAACTAACTAGGTCTTACTAACATCTACTATCTAGACTAAGGAGGAGTGTTATAATATAGTAGTTAGGGTAACAGATATAGTAAGAGGAAGTTAGGTAATACGGAGAAGCTATAATATAAAGACTCCTATACTATAATAGTAGTCACCTAACTTAATTATAATATACGTAATAGTTCTACCCCTTAATAACTATTCCTTTTATAGCTCTAGCTTCCGATTACTAGGCGATACTTTTTAACTCTATTAAATATACTACTTTCTACCTTAACTTAAGAAGTAAACTTATAATCGACGACTGGACCTTCTTATTAGATAAGGAGAAAGTCTACTATACGTTTAATAGACTAACTAGTCTCGCCGCTAAACGAATAACTCTATAGATTCGTATAAACTAAGATTATAGCGTTCTAACGCTCGCCGACTTTCTTACCGAAATAGATAGAGCCTTTAACGATCTATAAAGGAAAGAGAAGGCCTTTATATAAGTTAACTATATAAAATAAGATAATAAGGACTTTATAGCCTTTCTTAGTAGGTTTAATAAAGCCCTTCTTAATACTAGTAGTTCATTCTAAGACGATAGTAAGAAGAAAACGCTGTTATAAGTCGCAATTAATATAAGACTTATAAAAGCTATAATTAGTAAAGATAAGAAGCCTACGTATAAAGACTACTATTAATAACTACGTCTAGTAGATAAGGATTTAAAATAGATACAGAGGATCTAAGGCCGACGTAGTACTTATACGAACCGTTCCTTACTACTAGCACCTTAGGACCTAAACCAGATAGACTAGTAGCTTACGTAAGTAAATACTATTTATACCATATCAATCAGGTGCTGAGTTCTTTGCCTCTGGACCAAGAATGCACGACTACATCCGGGAGACGCGAGCTGTCTTTGACGAGTACGATGCAATGACTGTCGGTGAGCTTGGCTTTATCAAAGACGAACGATCGGTCAGCGAGTACGTCGCCAAGGAGACGCGAGCTCAACATGGTCTTCGCCGGGGACAACGTCGACATGGACTTCGGAGCTGTCGAGCAATATGGTCGTGGTGACTTTCATCCTCGTAAAATCCGACAGCTCACCAACATGTGGCAGCGTGTCATGCCTAATGTCAATGGCTGAAACAGCGTTTACCTGGACAATCATAACAGTGGTCGCTCGCTCAGTCGATACGCATCGGAAGCACCTCAACATCGCTTTACCGCAGCAAAGATGCTCACCACTTATCTACTCACATTGAGCGGAACACCTTTCATGCTTGCAGGACAGGAGATAGGTATGACCAACCTTGGAAAAGAGTACGGACCTGATGCATACATTGATGTTGAGGATCGCAACTACTACGACGCCATGCTCAGCGCCAGAGGTGATGATCAATCCAATATGGGAGACGTGATGCGGGAGCTTCAGCTTAAGGCACGCGACCACGGAAGGCTACCTATGCAGTGGAATAAAAGTCACAACGCAGGCTTCTCTGCAGAAGGCACCCAGCTGTGGATGACCATCAATCGTGACTACGTCGATTGGAATGTCGCAAGTCAAGCTGATGACTCAAACAGCGTACTGGCAAACTGGCGCAAGATGCTTTCTTTGCGAAAAGAGTACATCTACTTGCTTACATACAGCTCCTACACTCCATTATGTGAAGGAGACACGGGGAAAAGGTCCTAGGATACGAGCGACGCTGCCAGGAAACCGACCAAGGGGCAGTCGTACTACTGAACTTCTCGGATCGAGAGCAAAAGTTACACATCAAGTCTTTTGCACAACAAGAGTTTGAAGTCATGATTTCCAACCAAGAGGAGGGTGTGATGGCTGACAGTGTGAAATTGATGCCATACGGTGCTGTCATCAAAGCTAGCAATGTGACGTTGATGCCTTTCGGCGCAGTCGTACTTGTGACCAGATAAGGTAGTGGCACAAATGAATACAATGAAATTTGATGTAACACTCTCCAGCGACGCATCGTCGTGACTCTTTTGATCGAAAACTTTACACCGTGGCGTCCTTGCCGATGATTGGCTCTCTTTCCCCTGGATTTGTAAAGCCCGATTAAGGATATTGTTGTCGTTGGATTCAATTGATGTATGATGCTGCAGTGCCGATATCTGGCGAAAAAGGACCTGGCAAGCTGTTGAATACATCACCAATGTAATTGCCAGGTGTCAGGCCTCTGTCATATATTCCGTTCCAATACTTCATTACGTCCTTGACAATCTCGATTCCCGCAACGTATATGTTGTGGATGCTTGGTGTGAAGCCTTCTTGGGCAGCGTAAAGCAGATGGTAGACCTCAGTCTCGCCGGGGGGTGCACGATCAAAATCGCTAATAGTTCTCATAATGATGACACGGCTGTAGTCAAGCATCCCTAGGACAGCGCCACGGAGCAAGGACTCGAGAGTTGCATTGTCCTCTTGCTGAGTACCGCAGTAGATTCCAGAGCCGTTGGTAAGTAGCTCGGTGTAGTTGCCGAACGCGTCACCGAGGACAGATCCGGACCAGTATTGGTCAGATGTAGCGCTATCGCACTTGACGACACGGGGGGGCTGGTTGGCAGGGGCAAATTGGTAGTTAGCCCGGTATTTAGCTGCAGCGTCGGTATCATTGAGCTTGGCCAAGGATGCAAGGTAGTAAGCCCGATCGCGGAGGTTCTCGTTGACTTCGTAAACCTCGGTACCGTAGAGTGAGCCGGGATAATCTTCCGAACTGGCCTCATCAGGGTAGTCGGCGTTCTGTGGATAGTACCCGGATGTAGCGTTGTCGGGAGTTTGAGAATGGTCGAACTCCTCTTGCAGACCCACTTGCACGGCGTATTTGGCGAAAGTAACGGAACCGGTAGTGACGTGATGGGGATTACCGCCAGAAATGCCAGCAATCATGAAGTAAGTGGAGGTCAAGTCAAAGCACTTTGACAGCCAGAGCGCGAGAATTGAAGCGGCGGCGTTGATCTCGCCCTCACCAGTGGTCATTTGACATACTTCACCAGACGCCGTGCAATGTGCGTCAGGAAAGAGAGAAGAAAACCCAGGCACGGTCACGTTGTTTGCGTAAAGGTTGAGAGAGGTGTCCTCGTACCAGATCTCTGCTTCGGAGGAGAACCAATGAGGTATCAGCGTTGAGTCTTGTCCTTGCTCGGTACAAAGTACTTACCATGCTGATGATCACAATCTTAGGCTTGATAGGCGCTGCAGTAGAGCAGAGCAGTGACGCGTCTCTCTTCGCCAATGTGCTACGGCGCTCGGGGCTAGTCAGCGCCGAGCGATGCTTCGGCTTGGAGGGTGTGTGAGCGAAAGATGAAGCTAAAGCATTGGCAGCGAGAAGACTCGAGAGGCATAGAGAATTGAGCCTCATGTTGACGGAGGTCCGGATTTTCAGGGATTGAACGGATGGCGCATAATATGCAGGTGCGCAGACGCTTATATATTTACAAGCCATGTCCCGCCATTGGTAAAGTGTTGGCAATATTCAATGTCGGGTCTGGCCGTTATCTGGGGTGCATTTGTCGCCTGCAGTAGCTCTGATCTCTTTGGAGCGATGCGACATGTCAAATGCAAAGCAACAACCATCATTCGGGAAAGGTTCCTGATGTCAATTGAGGCCACTGCGTGACATGACTGGACGTGTCTGGTTCTTATCTGAGGCATATCTTCGCGACTGCCGTCCTTCCCGAGATACGATCTAGCTTTTCCGGTATCAAACGTATCAGAACGCGCGTCGCCGAAATACAATGCTCGTTCGTATTTCCCTATACCTGTACCTGCAGGAAACTCAAGTCCTGAAGTTCTTTTTTGATGATTATCCGTGGCTTACGATGCAAAATCCGGTCTTTAAGCTTTAGACAATGCGCTTAGGTTGTGAATTGCTTGGATGCGCTCGCGAAGGCTCAGAGCTTAATGTATGGGTAGATCGAGTGTCGCGCACGATTGATGATCTCGAAGCGACCTGATGTGATGCTGGCCAAGCGGTTTCCCAGCGACGAACGAGTTCTTCGAGATTTTCATGCCTACACTCGCAAGCCGTAGATTGCCAGGTATCGGTCCGAGATACACACCGTCGGCTCTGCCGAGACGGGCGGACATCGACGCGGCAGATTTCCCCACCTGGTCGAGATGATGATCTCGGGCGACAGCGCGGGGCGACAACGCGGGGCGACCCACACATTTCTATGATTCCGTCTTTGCTAATGCTGCAAGTGTTTTCATCTTCTCATCTTCGCGACGGTCGTCAGATCAAACTCGCCGCTAGATTAGGCTCGCACCTTGCTTCGCAGATACTCGCGACATGTTCACGACGATAGATGCAGCCGCGGGAGTACCGCAAAACCGGACAAAGACCATCGCAGACAGGGCAGGTCACTTGAGGTTTGAAGCGCAAAAGCCTGTGGTGACCCTGATAGGCCTGTGACTTATGCAAACAGAGGAAGGTTCGATGTAATATGGGAAATCCGTGCAAGACTTGCAACAGTCGCAAGAGAATGTACATTCAACGAAGTGCGAAAGAAGAGAGGACCTGCCTCCGGCTGGGCCGCAGACATTTACAGACGAAAATCCAAAACGAGCTCTGGGGACAGCTTGCTCAGGTTTTCCGAAGAGACTCCGTCGGCCTCGCTCATAGCTAGACACACCGTCACAAGTCCTTCGAGCACGCATGAAGCATCTGTGTCGCATCGGATGAGTGTAGCGTCGTCGGATGGCCTAACCATGAAAACCCGCTGCAAAATCCTTCTCTCGATCACTGGAACCCTGCAGCCACGTCATACTCTCTACCTCTGACCAGCAGTGTACAACAAAACTGGACGGCAGATGTGGAAATCTCGGAAGACCAAGGTCCGGCATAAATCAGGCACGCCCTCCCTCAGGACATGGAGTTCTCTGGATTCTTGCTACCAAGTCTACCGATTGGATCGCCGATAGACGACTCTCTCGATGCCTTCACCGCAATACACGAGCAGGATCTGTCGCCAGTCGTGGAGTGTGTAGAGATCTGGCCTAAAACCATCAGTCAGGAAGCACTTCTCCCCTGGATCGATGTCTACTTCAAGCGCTTGCACTCCACAGTCCCGGTTCTGAGTCGCACAATGATCTATCAAGAGATGCTTCTGCGGACGCATCATCACGGACCACAGTTCGGGGCAATGCTCCTTGCGCTTTGTGCATTCACCATGACTCAACCAGTCCAGATTCATGAGGTCGCTTCGACACCTTCCCGGTCTGTTCAAGCTCGTATGCTGCTGGAAGAATCAATAGAGATGCGAATGACTGTGGACTTTGGAGAGCATCCTTCGGTCTACATGATTCTGACAAGCTTTTTAATATTTGCTTGCTTGTTTGGTCATGGAGAACACAAAGGAGCACATCATCGATTGAAAGAGGCCGTCGATCTCGCCAATTCCTTGTCGATGCACTTGTCGCAGGCTTACAACAGCCTTGATGCAAAGACTAGAGAACAGTGGTTGCGGACGCATCTAGTCCTAACTGTCACGGAGAGGTATGTACATGTGAAATTCTAGGTGTTTTGACTCAAGAGCTGATCACATATTCAAAGCGTATGCTCTCCCAAAACGCCATTCTATTGGTTTCCGAGGGAGTCCCGCTATCAATGCATACTTCATGCGCGCCTTCAGCTCCTCGTCGTCCTCGATGAATCAAGATCAAGCTGATGCCGTTGGAATGACGGGACTACTCTACCTCATGGAAACATTGAGGCCATTGACGAAAGCGTTGTTGAGTGCTGGGCTGGCTACTGCAAGTACAGCGATGGTCGATGCGAGACCTTTGACCGAAGGTAAGCTGTTCGAATGTTTCGAGCACAACGGCGCGCTCGCGAAGGCTGCATGGTTGGGAAACTCTCGTTCGAACCATCTGCGTATCTCCAACCGCTTCCGCAGTTGCGTGAGAGTCAACTAGCCGACATCTCGGTCACACAATTCTGGCTGCTCAACCGACTGTGGGAGCTATGTATGTCGCATGGGCTGCTATTGGACTCGTCCGATCATGCTGAGTTGCAGTATGATTTTGCATATCAGGTTGTAAACGAGCTGCTGAATGCTTGCGACAGCTTGAGTCTATGTTCGATGGAGGTTCATGGCGTTGGCTTGGTTGAAAAGGTGTACGATATCGCCGTGAGCCTCAGCAAGGCCCTAAATTCATCAACACAGATGACGCTTGACTCCGGCTATCCGAGACTCGATACGCTGGCTGATCAATCTGCAGATCTTGAATCCAGCGTAGAATTGCTTTTGCAGAAACTATGCGAGCTCATCCAAAAAATTCGTGGGGGAGACCACGCGTACGCATCCAAGATAGCAACAGTCTTGAGATGCATGCCGGACTATGGCAATCTAATGGGTACTTGACGGCTCACACAACAGTCACCTAGTCCTTGCTCATTCTTCTCGCTGCCGTCATAGCCTTGGACTGCGTAGCATCCACCAACGTAATCCTCTCCAGATTCGGCGAGACAGATTCTGTATCCCACCATTCTCTAGTAGACGCACTGAACAATTCCGTACCAGTACCAGTCGACGAAGGGGAGCCTATCTTCTCCACATCTTCGGGGTGTTCCGGCTCGCTGTTTGCGTCTATTTGATTTCCGCCGCTACCGTCCCAACTCCAGCGCTCGCTTAGGTTCATCTTCTTAAGTATTGGTCTAAGTGTTGCAGCGGAAGAGGCAATGATGCCGGCACCAATCTCTACAGTACACCACATCATACCTCTTCGGAAGCCGGACAACGAACCTTTCGTCAGAGCCGGCCAGTACACCGCCCTCAGTATGGCGGCAATAGAGCCGGCGACTGCAAGACCGAATATGCATGTAACGATGGCTTTTTCTCGCTTATTCATTGTGGTTCTCACAACGACGAAGATGGGAAGCGTCGCAAAGAGCCAATCTGTCGCTGCGTTAAGCACACCCTGCAGGATGTTGGCCGCGTTCAAAGCTCTGCTGGTGCCACTGCATTGTCCCGTCAAAGTCTTGGTAGCGTATTCTGTCGGATCGGAGCACCAGAAGAGTACCAAGAAAATGGAGGAGATGCTGTCGGCGATGAAGATTGCCAAGAAAGTCCAGATAAGAATCCTTTGCCAGCGCTTAAGAATGAATCGCAAAAAGAAAAAGGCAAGCGACAGCTTGAGCGCAATTGATGCGCAAAGGTACAAAACAACGTCTGATATGACAAACTAAGTATGGTGAATTAGCGATTTGCCATACTCTATTTGACAAACAAGCAAGCATGGCACAAACATTGATGATTTTTCTGAGGATCCCCAAGTCAAGCTTCGGCGACGCCAGCAATGCGTCGAATCCTAGTAGCAGACCAGTTTGAGCGACAAAGAAAATCAGAGCTACCAAGCAGAGCCAGTCTTCAGTCAAGAATGAGCCTAGTAATTTCGTTCGTACCAAAATACGCAGTCCGACGAAGACGATAGAGAGACCCAGAAAAACTGACGGCACTACAGCAGTCGTGTTGCTGACATGCAGTTCCCCACTTGAAGTCGACATGAGGTTATTTCAGCACTGTTGCAAGGACAAATACAGCGCTAGGAACTTGAGACGATGGGTGACAGACGCTGTTATAGTAATCTGAGATGGCAACGGGTATTTGATGTAACTTCAAGACCTCACCTGTACTATATGAACGCTGTATCAGGCGAATTTCCCGAGATGTATGCAAAGTGATGCCATCAGATCATGATTATCCCTAAGCGGAGAACCGCTAACAGTCTCTCGCCGGATCCATAACACCGTTTCACCTGGCCCGGAGGCTTCCACTCGGCTGCCGTGCCCTTCTGGAGCGTTACACTTTGTTACAACTCCTTGTCAGTTGATTCGCTGTCGCACTCCAGCCTTAGGGCCGCGAAGATACACTGCCTCCTCGATAGATATCGTTGCTGTATGCTCAACTACATAGTTTCTCCAACTCAAGACTCGCAAGGATGAAAGCGCTGGTACCAATCAGGCTATTATTCAACGTAGGTCTGGCAGAATAGTACTGGGATTGCTTAGTCAACATCATGAGTCTCTGTGGATCGAACTCGAGAGTGCATACCTCGGCATTGACGTTTTGCGGACTCAGACTTGCGATCGAACTTGTTCCGCCAAGATTCAACGTCCCGTTGGTATCGCGGGTGACTTGTGTCTCAAGGACATTGTCCCAGAGTCCAATGCCCGCGGCAATAGCTTTGACACGTAGCTTGCTTTCTTTAATGAACCCGACGCGAGCAGATTTGAGGAGGGAGTATGCGGTCATCAGACTTGCACTCATCTCGACGAAGTTCTGGGTGCTATTAATTGTGGCACCAGGTAAATCAACGACCTGCCAGACACTGTATCGTCCGTTGACAGCGAGACCTCGCTCAATGGCAATTAACTGAGCTCTGAGAAGGTCATTGAGAAGCGCCATCATATTCTCACGCGCGATCCTGGTCTCCAGGATTGTGTTTGATGAAGTTGATGCTTGGAGGGCAGCGAGCGCTTCGACAACGCCGAGTGTATACCATGCCAATGAGCGACCCCAGACAGAGGGACTTGCGCCAGTTTCTGAGTTGGCCCAAGAGTGATATTTGAGAGCGTCGTAACCATGAACCAGCAGTCCTGTTCCATCATCGCAGATGGCTTTGAGGATCTCGAGCTGCTCAAGTACGGCCGCACTACCAAACAAGCCTTTGTCATTGGGCGAGTTATCAGAACTCAAGATCGCAAATGTTGGATACGAATACATGCCGTCGGTGTAAGAAAGGTTTTGATAAGCACTCAGGTTGTTCGCGTTATTGTAATACCACAATCCCCCATTCGCATTGCAAGGTTGTTGCTTGAGCGACTCCTGAAGTACTTGTATCGCAAGGTTCAACCCATCATCATGTCTCTCCTTGGATTGTTGAATCATCTCAGTACCGATGGAGAATCGATCAAGGGGATATTGGGCAGACAATGTCGCATCTGTGAACAGTGGTATAGCACTTGCGGTGCTGTTGCGTAGATATGCCGTCCATTCCTGCTTTTGAATAGTGTCGTCTGTCGCTGCAATCCCCTGTCGCAGAGCTTGATAGAAGATGCCGAGTTCGATGAGTCCTGTGCCTGATGTGCTTGCTGCTGCGCCTTGCCCTCTTTCGATATTGCTAGCGATCATCTGAAATGCATAGTGCTGGGCAAGAGGCGGACATTGCAGTGCTTGAGCAGCAGAGGTGCCGAAGGCATACAGCGCAAACGTCCAAGATCTATCCACTCGCATGTTGAGGTCTTCACTCAAGGTGGAACAATGAAGGGAGTCAGGTTTCGCTGTAAACAATCGTGAGTGTTACACTTCGTGTAGATCCCGATGACGTGTTGGTCCCACACCAAACTCAAAATCGTTCCTGCACCTAATCATGGTACACCTAATCATGGTACACAACGACATATAGTCAGTCGCGTCACTCGCCTTTCATCAGCCAGCGACGACAAACACCTTCCCACAGAGTATCGGCACCATCTGATCCCTCCTCTTCGGCTAGGTCCAATAGTCTCTTCAACCTTCCCTCCAAAACAGCTCCAAGCTCGACCTCCATTGACGGCCCAGCACTTGGAACTAGATACATCGCTGACCTTTCACTTTCCTCGAAATTTTTCCATGGAGCTTCGTCATCAACAACATACTTGATGTATCTCTCCCTCCATTCTCTGATCTTCTCCGCGTAGTTATCTGGTAGCCTGTCCTCATACGCTCCCAGTAGAGCCACGATGTCCCATGTGTGCGATGCAAATCTTTTCTCTTCTAGAAGGTCAGAGAAAGGGTTCCCAAGATCGAACAGTTGGAAGTAAGTAGCCGTTTTACCAGCAGTCCCCATTACCATAGCCAACGCAGGGGCAAAGAAACCAATATCTGATTCAAACTGACAGATCTTCTCCAGGGCTTCTTCATCTGGCGTAGTCTCTTGTATTCCGTAGATCTGTAGTAGCTTCTTGGGGTTGTGGAGAACTTCCTCAGCGACCTTGATGAAGCTTCTTGCGTGGTCTTTGCGCTTGTCGTCGCCTCGCATCATGATATTCGATATACTGCCGTCGTAGCCACATGAACTGATAATTTGCGACTGCAGCCAGTCGATTTGTCTAGCTCTGCCTGCAAATATGTCGCGCTGCGTTGCATGATCTTTGTGTGGTATCATCTCAGTATCGACACAAGGTTGACCGACATAGCTCAGATCCCGGAGCTTGGAGACATCGCAATCGATCATCCTCTGAGCTATCTGTTTACTGCTCAGATTTCCCGTATCGATGTCTAGTTTCTTTGCCTGCGCGACGAAGTTTGTCTGGTGCTCAGCAGGTGTCTTGTCGGGCATAGTCAGTGGGGTGCCAGAAAACATGATTGATCGCTTGTAAAGAGGATTTGTTCTCCCACTCAGATTATGCAGACTCAAGCTCTCCCCACCGGCCGACTGCCCAATTGCCGTGATGTTGTCTACGTCGCCGCCAAATCCGCCAATGTTGGTTCGAAGCCAGTCGAAAGCGGTGAGCTGATCATGTAAGCCGTTGTTCGGAGGCATCAGCCCTTCAGCATCTGGCGAGTGAAAGAAGCCAAGGGCACCTAGACGGTAGTTGACAGACACGAATACAAGAGGCTTTTGCATATTCAGAGCTTGCGTGCAAAGTGTGAGTGGCTCGTAATACTTCCGCTCTCCAGATCCGATAAAGAATGCGCCACCATGGATGAAGACCAAGACCGGGAGCTTCGATTCGAACGTCGCATCACTTGGTACTGTGATGGTCAGTCGCAAGCAGTCCTCGGCTTGTTCTTGTTCTTCGACGTCCTCGGGCAGCTGGTTCGACTTGGCGTCCATCTGAGCAGACTTGAGGGGTTGTATGCTTTGCGGCCCTTGCTTGGTCGCATCAAAGATCTCCTTTGGTGTCGGATGTGCAAACTTTTTTCGTCGTGGCACGTCTGTCAACACTTCCGATCTGGCGAACCTCTGCTTGATGAAGCCATAAGGAATGGATCGATATTGGGTCAGTCGCTCAGTGACCGCAAGACCTTGCAGAGGGCCTAGAAGGGCGTGCTCGAGTAGATTGTTTGCCATTCTCAATGCTTTCATCTGGCGTTCAAGAACAAGAATGGAAAGTGGGAAGCCAGAATGTGGTGCGTCTGGAATTACCAGGCTAGTCGAGATGTGGGGGTCATCGCGGAATCGAGACGTCACAGACTGCAAAAGCACGTGTCAGGCTTCAACGTCGTAAGTTGAAATCACGCATACTTGGGATTAGAGATTTGAGTGAGCCATCGATTCACCCGCTGAATAGTTATTGGTTCCCACAAAAGCCGAACGTCTAGCCAGTGACAGCCAAAGTGCTAAGAATATCTTGACCGCAACTGTTGAACCGATGAGTCCAGAAATAGTTGCAGACCACGCGACAGGCCAGCGCTCTGCATTCTGAGCAGCGTACAGTAGGAGCAATAGAGTAAGCTTCAAGGAGCTGACTCCATACCGTATCGAGTATTCAACGAAGATGACAACGCTATCCTCTAACCTTGTTATGCGAAGGAAGGTCGCGAGATAGCGCGTCTAGAAACGGATTGATCGGAGCCGCAACGACGCGAGCACTGTAACTTTCCGAGGAAGGATACACTCTTTGTTCATCCTCCATGCCCAACTGATCAGTTAAGCGATGATGGTGATCTCCAGCACGACCGACCTTCACATTGCAGTCGTTACAGCGACGTTTGCGACAGCAGCAGCAGAGATAACGCGACAGCCACGAAGGTGGCATCTTGGCGTCTGTACCTCGGATGTAGTGACCAAGATGAACGATGTTCCACATAAGAATGGCCAGCCACATTGGTGTCGACTCCAAAACGTCCAAGACAGGCTCATTGCTTGGAAGAGGGTTTTTTGTGCCAAGCCCAGGGGAGAATTCTGCCAGGCGATAGATGATGCAGATGGTGATTGCCAGTAAGCATCTGTATAGCGTCCAGGTGAGCCATCTCCACCCACTGAGCTTTTCCGCGGTCGAACGTCCTTGTATTTCTGCCTGGAGCTGCTCGCGGTGAAACTTGTTGACCAAGCCAAAAAAAGATCCACAGGATAATGAAGTCTTCCTGCGTGCCAATTCCGCCCATGTAGATGCTCAAGCCCTTCGTTTGTGCACAACACACTTGCGCCAGGACCAGCCATGCCACCACCCACAAGCTGAATGACAAAAGATACGATGTCAAGCGTCACGAAGATAAGAGCCAGAATTGAGGGCGAGAAAACCAATACTTTGCGAGTAGACGAGTAAAAGTGGACGATGCGAGCGAAAACCATATTTGCAAAAGCGTTGACCCCTAAATCCAAAACTCAGAACATAATAATACAGTCGTTTGCCAACTCAAGATCTGCAGATAGGAGCCACCAAGACCAAGATCCGGGCGATAGTCGTGATACCCGAGGACTGCTGATCTTTGGGTCCGAGAGCACGGAAAGCATTAGCACCAGTCTCCCAAAGAGAAGCCATGATGGTAATCAAGCAGAAGGCTGTGCGATATATAATGGCTTGACTGATGTGGACGATGGTGAGCATGCCGAACAAGGTAGCGAAAGCCACTGCTGCCGCAAAGTTCGGGAAGTATACCCACAGTGCATTACATGCGTCCGCGGGAACTTGTCCCTCAGGACCAGGGTTCTAGGGTTAGGAAACCCTAACCCTACGAGTTGAAGCCAGCCAGGCGTGCAGGTTTTGGGTGGAATAGTGTGTTCGCGGTTGATATTGGGGGAAGATTTAAGGATATAGGTAGGATGCTCGGGCGAAGTCATCATTGCGTCGAGGGGGAGGGGTGACCTGGGTCAGCGAGATTGTTGCAGTCTGAGCAGTAAGTGTTTGGTGTGGAGCCGGAGTTGATGAAGCAGCACAGAATAAGGCTGGCAGCAATAAGCTAAGGAGCGGAAGTGGTAGCTTCATCGAATCGACGGGAAAGAAGCAGAGGTGGATGTATGTGGTTGTCGCTTGGTGGAGTTGACGGGGAACTCGATTTCTTTTTGTAGTGGTAGACAGGAGACTGGTTTTTGCAGCGGGATTTTGATTGTCGTACACATTGTGGCTCAGAGATTCAGGTAAGAACAGTGTAAACAAAATGGGCAGTGCAATCGAGTGGTCCAGCGAGTGGTCGTAGATACGCGAGTCTGGCTTACATGGCGCGTGATCCTTCGATTGTGGATATCTTATCTGCCAAGATCGTTATAGCATAGAGTAGTCAGATCTGTCCGTGAGCCAAGCATAAGAGCGGCCCGGAGCGCTGTCAGCATGAAGTGAACAAGCATCCAGGAACGACTAAGTTCTGACGCTAAATTGTTGCAGCAGCCAGTTGAGGCGAGATGAGCCATGGTTTTTGAGCCAGAGAGCCCAAGCTAAATGCATGGAAGCGCTAGAAGCACTCGTATAGCTGATGTGTGGTTAGCTCGAATCCTACCATGGCTGAGCACCCCTGGTAAACGTCACAAATGCTCATGTCGTTTCCAAACGGCTGCAATATCCCACCCGCAAACAGTGTATGGTCATATTTCTGATCCCAATCATTGCATGGAGGATCTAGAGATCAAGCTACCAAGGTCGTATTTCCTTTCTGGCCATGGCAATCCTTCGACTTGCACATTGTTGTTCGCCTCCTTGTTTTTGATTGATGTTCCGCAACGATGCGATCTTACTTGACAAAACATGAAGGATGCGAAGTCAAGTCTAAAACAAGTCGCGTCGTGGACAAGTTTTAAAAGACCGAATGGCCCCAGTCACGCCAATTCATACAACCCGACTGCTACTCAAACTTCGCGAGCCTTGGAGACATCACGGAAACGGTGAGTGTTAGCAGACTTACCAACAGTCTGGACCAAATCATGCCTCAGTAAGGCAGGAAGCGCTTCCAAAGTCGAGGGACGATAAAGCCGGGAGTCAAGATCTCAGAGAATCAAGGCAGACCACGGGGTCTGCTAGCAACGACAGTGGTCGAGTATGTCCCACGGGCTGCTGTACACACGATCTGCGGTTTTGTCCTAGTCTATGCTTACGGCTGCCGCTCATGCAGTCTAATAATGAGTCCAGGACAATGGGTCATCCGGCGACAATGGCGAATTTGCAGCACAAGACTCTTGTGCCGAAGATTGGCCGTCCTGACTGGCCGATGCAGGAACGACTCTAGCCCTCCATCGCGTCGTCTCATGTGGCATTATCGCAATGTAGTCTGTCGGGAGACACCCCGTCGAGCGCGCTCAAGTACAACGTGTTCTTCCCCAGTTCAGCATGATCTTAGGCCAGTCGCGCTTGCAAAGCGTCGCCAAAGTCTGTTTGCGCGCATCATTTCGGCTTGATCACTCCAGACGGCTTTTCCGATGGATTGACGCGGGGCTCGCCCCTTGGCGCACATTGGCGTTGTTCTTGAAACAAGACGGATCTAGCATGATGGCGCACCTTCGAGCTGAGCGAACCGAGATTGGATACTCTGCTGGTGCAGTGAAGATCTTGAGCCCCAACTCATACGCGCCTTGACTTCGCAGCTACCACTTCCAGCTTTCAGCCAGCCACGACGCGTATAGCCAACGGTCTTCCGAAAAGGGACTGGCCAGATCTGGCATTTAAGTCTTGGCGGATTCCCTTCATGACCACGGCCAGGAGCCTGGAAGAATCAATGCGCTTTTCGCGCGGTGAAGGACTGCCTCGGTACGGTCATGTCCGTCGACAACCAATCATGCAGGTATCACAATCGACCATAGACTTCCTACTTCTCAGCTATGCATCGAGACTTCGACCAGTGCGGGTGGTACGTGATCCAGAGGCTCGCGGAATCAGACTATTCACTGTCGACTTACTGCCTCATGCCGCAAACTTAGACAAACACGAGGGTCTGTTGGCACGTTCAGTGGAAGTCGTGGCAGGTCTGAGTTGTTATATCTTCACAGACCCTTCCCTCGAAATGAACATGCAGCTTTCATTATTCTACTTTCTCTACTCAGCGACACTCGACACATTCCTGCCTTGACTCACATCGACATCGTCCAATTACTGTGGTAGGACCGACCATGAGCGGCATTTTACATTGGGGCCTGGCGGCTCTCGTTCTCGCTACTCTTGCTATGTCTACACCTGTCCCCCAGGACATCGCCTTTGAGATGGTGCAAGCCATCCCGGATCCCTCTTATTCTATCGCCGTCGGTGTTGCATCTCAAACAGTATCTTACGACGCAGTGAGCATCCATGCAGAGGCCACAGAGGCGACATCGGTGACTGTCGATGTCACAGACCTCGTGCAGCAAACGGCTGTGCTTCAACGTATGGCAAAGAGAGGAAACTGTGCCACTCAGCCACTGGGCGCGTCAGCAGCACCCACTTACTCGCCTGATGCCGCTTCTGCCTTCGCCAGTGCCACGACGTTTGGCATAGTAGCGTCCAGTGCACCCACTCCCAGTGGATATGACCAAACCTTTGTCAACCTAGCTGCCTCCAACAATGCTTATGGTTATCTTGGGTTTACAACACTCCAGTCCTACGATACACAAGCGTGTGCCGCAAAGTGCAACAAGATCAACGGATGCATGGCGATCAATATCTACTTCGAACGCGACCCTAGCCTGGACCCAGGTGCAAATTGCCCGAATCCCAGCTCGGTGACGACGATCAAGTGCGTATTTTGGGGCGGAAATCTGGATGCCACTAACGCAAATGGCAAAGGTCAGTCTATAGCTGTAAGGTACGGGTACCACTCCTAACAAATAGCAGGTCAATACCGCCAAGACTTTCAAATCTTGATCGCGGGCTCAAACGGCTATGTCAACAAAACTCTCGCCACTCCTCAGGGCTACTCTTCTCCGACTTATCTTGGCAATGCCGCAATCAACGCAACATTCGACGCACAGGGGTACAACACCTACATGGGCGCAAAGCTCTTCACGGATGGTCCATTCAATGCTACACTCTGCAGTGTTCACTGTACATCACAGGTACGTTGTCGGAAAGTCAATGGTCACGCAAGAGGATCTGGCAATTAACGACCACTCCAGACTCAATACAATCTGGACAATGCTCCCCAGGACGGAACACCTGTTCAGACATGCCAATTCTTCAACACCTATCTTCTTTACGCCAATGGCAAACCCCAAGGGCAATATTGTGCGCTTTACTCGGAGTCATGGTCGTCAAAATACGCAACAAACGTTGGACAGACCTCGGATGGCTCAAAGTACACTATCGGATACTCATACGTCTTCAGTAACGCTACAAATTCCGGCTCACCTAACAGACCTGGTGCCATTTATCAGGCTCGTGATGAGTTGAATGCCAACACGCTACAGCCGTACTGCTCGGATCTTCTCGGTTATTCCTTGCCAGTGACTACGATTACCTCTACTGCCACCATCAGCCCATCTACACTTCTCGTTAGCATTGCTACAGTCACCGTCACAAGTTCACCAACAACCATCATTTCAGAAATTCAAACCTCATACATTACCGCAGCTCCAACTACGACCGAAATCAACGTCGTCACAGCCACGAGCTCTACCATTACTTTCGTTGCGGAAAAGCCGCCTCAGAAGAGACAGGCTCTCGACCTTGAGCGACGCGCGGCTTCAGTTCCGACCGTCTTGTCCAAATATCCATCGACCGTCGTCTCGTCAGCGTGTTCCTTGGTCGCGACGCCAGTCACCGGCGTATCTACGATCATAATAAGTGTGACGACATCCGCTCCGGTGAATACAATCACTCTGCTGTCCACAGCGACAGCTGAGACCACTGCTGATGTGATCACGATCACTTCTTTGTCCACACAAACTATTGGGCTCACTCTCCCTGTTGTCACCGTCAGTTCTTTCTCAACCACGACTGTTATCGTCACGGTCGAGTCTACAAATTTCCCGTCCATAAGCTCCCCATCTACGAGCTCCTCATCTGCGAGTTCCACGACGGGAGATGCCACATCAAGTAGCGCCATGTCATCAGCAGCAGCTCAGAGTCCGAACGCCGTCGCAAGTTGCGACTACAACGGGCAAAAGTTCACCGCTGGTAAGTTGACCACCTTGAGACCTGTCGAGGCAAATTCCCACCTCGATATATGCTTGACACATACCAACGCTGACCTGTGGTGCCCCTAGCTGACGGCAGTCAATTTCTCATCATTTGCAACAAGGATTACACCACAACGGATAGTAACATTGTCGGAATCAACCCTGTAACCGCAAGTTCGTTCGATGACTGCTTGTCACTTTGCACAGCCCAAGGCAGTGTATGCGTCGGCATAACTTTTGGTAAATTTGGTGGTTCTGACCCGCAATGTTATTTGAAAAAAAAGATGGCAGCTGCTTACCTCACTCCGACTTACGTCGTGGACTCTGCTCTCCGTATCTCGGGCCCCAATGGAGTCAGTCAGTCGCTCGTCGCCAACGGTGGCTTCGAGACTGGAGATCTCACCGGCTGGACAGGAGGCCAGACTTCCGTACAATATTCCGTACAATATTCCGTCGCACAAGGTGCAGCGTCAGTTTCCCTCAGTTCTACGTTCAAAATGCGGCACAACCACTAACACGTGATACAGCTCTATGGCCTTCCCTCTCAGTGTCGTCAACTCACGCCCCTTATCAACCCTATCCATCAGCGGTGCTCTCAAGCAGGTCTTTTCCCCAGTACCCTCATCCTCGATGAGTGGCTTCTATGGCCACGCCGAGATAGTAGTCAACCCGGCTGGCACCACACCCCCTACCCGTTTCAAGACGAATGATCAGTGCTCGGTTTACCTCAACACTGACGGTGGTGTTGTCTATGCGGGTAGCTTCAAATACGACGCCAACACGCCGTCTATACGCACAAAGGTTGATGTCAGCGGCACATTTACTCAGGCGCCCTCTTTCCTGAGCCTGCAGGCGTCGTGCCAAGGAAGCTACGACATGACAATCGCCTTTGACAATGTGGTCCTCAATGTCTTCGAGATCAGATCCAACGCGAATGCTATTGTGCCTCAGCGCAAGCAAGTCATTGTCAACGGCGATTTCTCCAACGGTTTCGACGGCTGGAGATTTGGATCCGGCACCCAGCGTTCGACCTATGACGTTTCCAATGGCCAGGCCATCATCCGCTTCACAAACATTCACCAAACTCTAGAATCGCCTACATATGTCATTCAAAACACCCCGCTTCTGGAACTGGGGCAGACGTTCAGCCTGTCCGCAGATGTGTGGGCTCAGGTGCCAGGCGGCTCGTCTTGCTTCCTCGGCTTGACCGCCGGAAACGTGCAAGTGTGGAAAGTGGACAAGGTGGGTGGTTATCAATCATGGACCATCAGAGATGCAAGGGGTGTGACTACATATGATAGTCCAGAATTAGTCTTCTACGTGACATGCACGGGTACAGCTAACCCTACAATGGGGATAGACAACGTTGTTCTCTACCACAATATTTAGAGTCTAGTACATAGCACATATTCGAAGAGAATCGAGATGTCTCCAAGGACCATTTATATTTAAGAAGAGCGATCAGAGAAGAGTGAAAGCTACTATAGTTAAGAAAGGATAGGTTCTCGCAATGCGACGGCTTTGACATCACTTGTCTTTACAAGAACGCGCATCGCTTTCGCCCCTTTTTCCACGCGGCAACGGGCTCTAGGAACTTTGCCGCAATCGTTAGAGATGCGACCAAGGTCCACTCAAAAAAAAAATGCAAGAGCTATTAAGACTATGTCTTATCGCTACTGCTACGCCTAATCGTTTCCACATTTCACACAAAACTACACAGGCATCATCACACAGCATCTGTAGGGTTGCAACGTCTGTTCTGCTTATGAGTCTTACAAATCTTATCATTAAGCCTGTCCAAGGTGTAGGATTAAGATTGTAGGCACCAAAATCTACATGTTTAGCCTATGCCGAAGATATGCCGCCCAAGCTACATGCTAGGACGACCCTGACTCAGTCAAGGTAAATGACAAGATGCACGTTGAGATCTTCATCTTTACCCAGGGCGAATAATGACAGAATCTCGTGACGAGAATATATTTGAAGGCAGTAAAAGGTGGTTTTAAGGATAGAGATAGCATTACATTCATTCATGAGACTAGCATTTTACTTTAAGTGCATCATTTAATCTAAAGACGAGCCTGAGCCTGGAGCTTCTGCTCCTTGTTAAGATCGTAACGGTCCAACTCCATAACCTTGACCCAAGCAGCGACAAAGTCCTTGACGAGTCTGTCCTGACCAGTTGAGGAAGCGTAGACCTCGGAGATGGCGCGTAGCTCAGGGTGAGAACCGAAGACGAGGTCGTGGCGAGTTGCTGACCACTTCTGCTCGCCAGACTTGCGGTCCTTACCAGTGTAGATCTCGTCCGAGCCCTTCTGCCACTCGGTCTGAGTATCGAGGAGGTTGACGAAGAAGTCGTTTGTGAGTTGTCCGGGGCGCTTGGTCAGGATACCGTTTGATGAGCCGTCGTAGTTGGCGTTCAAGGCACGGAGACCACCGACGAGGACAGTCATCTGAGGAGCGGAAAGAGTCAACAAGTGAGCCTTGTCGACCAGGAACTGCTCAGTGCGAACACGAGAAGTGCCCTTGCCGTAGTTGCGGAAGCCGTCAACGACGGGCTCGAGGTGGTCAAAGGTCTTTGCATCGGTTTGCTCCTCAGTGGCGTCGGTACGACCCGGGGTGAAGGGAACAGAGACACCCGCAGCCTTCTCAACAGCAGCAGATCCACCAAGAACGATGAGATCGGCAAGAGAGACCTTCTTGCCACCCTTGGCAGACTTGTTGAAGCTCTCCTGGACCTTCTCGAGAGAGGCGAGGACCGTCTTGAGCTGGGCAGGGTTGTTGGCCTTCCAGTCCTTCTGGGGCGCGAGACGAATGCGGGCACCGTTGGCACCGCCACGCTTGTCACCTCCACGGAAAGTCGAGGCCGAAGCCCAGGCAGTGGTGATGAGCTGGGTAGGGTCGACAGCGGAGAGGAGCTCCTTCTTGAGAGCGGAGATGTCCTGCTCGTCAATGACAGGGTGGTCGAGGTCGGGAAGAGGGTCCTCCCAGATGTAGACCTCCTTGGGGATCTCAGGGCCGATCCAGCGAGAACGAGGACCCATGTCACGGTGCAACAGCTTGAACCAGGCCTTGGTGAAGGCGTCGGCGAGCTGGTCGGGGTTCTCTGCGAAGCGGCGGGAAATCTTCTCGTAGGCAGGGTCGAAGCGGAGGGCAAGATCCGAGGTCAACATGCGAGGCTTGTGCTTGACGTTGGGGTCGTAGGCGTCGGGGATGATGGCCTCGGAGTCCTTGGCCACCCACTGGTGAGCGCCGGCGGGCGACTTCTCCTGCTCCCACTCGTACTTGAACATGTACTCGAGGTAGTGGTTGCTCCACTTGACGGGCGTCTTTGTCCAGATGACCTCGAGACCCGAAGTGATGGTGTCGGGGCCCTTGCCGGACTTGTACTTGTTGCCCCAGCCGAAGCCTTGCTCTTCAATCGTGGCGGCCATTGGCTCGTCGCTGACGTTCTCGGTGGGACCGGCGCCGTGTGTCTTTCCGAAGGCGTGACCACCGGCAATGAGGGCGACAGTCTCCTCGTCATCCATGGCCATGCGACCAAAGGTAACGCGGATGTCGCGGGCGGAAGCAACGGGGTCGGGGATGCCGTCGGGACCCTCGGGGTTGACGTAGATCAGACCCATGTGGGCAGCAGCGAGGGGCTCTTCCAATTCCCTAGAGTGGATGTCTGTGTGCTCCTTCTTGGACTCGTCGCCGTCAATGACACCGGGCTTGTCGGGGCCCTCCTGGCCGTTGGCGTAGCGGACGTCGTTGCCGAGCCAGGTAGACTCGCCACCCCAGTAGACCGACTCGTCAGCCTCGAATGTGTCGGCGCGACCACCGGCGAAACCAGCAGTGGGGAGACCCATCGACTCAATGGCAACGTTGCCGGTGAGGAGGAACAGATCAGCCCAGGAGATCTTGTCGCCGTACTTTTGCTTGATGGGCCACAAGAGGCGGCGCGCCTTGTCGAGGGAGGCGTTGTCGGGCCATGAGTTGAGAGGTGCGAATCTTTGCTGACCGTCACCACCACCACCGCGACCGTCAAAGACGCGGTAGGTACCGGCGCTGTGCCATGCCATACGGACAAACAGACCACCGTAGTGTCCAAAGTCTGCAGGCCACCAGTCCTGAGAGTCGGTCATCAGTGCCGTGAGATCCTTCTTGAGACCTTCATAGTCGAGGCTCTTGAAAGCCTCGGCGTAGTTGAACTGGCTGTTGTAGGGGTTGGAGACACCAGTGTGTTGACGAAGAATGTTGAGCTTCAAGTCATTGGGCCACCAGTCCTTGATTCTGGTGCCGCCACCACCGGTGTTGACCGTCTTGTGGCTGGCGTGAACTGGACATCCGCTGGGAGGGGGAGACATGATGTCAAGTGTGTGCGGATATGTGAGAATGAGAGGGAGATGAGGAAGGAAGGGAACAAGGCAGATAAGAGGAAGGAGCGGCCGATTTGTATATGTGTCGAGGATCAGCGCCTGCCCGTCTCGGAGCTGCTACGCCTGACCCCGCACCTGCCTGAGATGGAACTCCCCGCCCTCGGTTTAAACTTTCTGGTCAGCGAGACCAACGGCAACTGCCCTCGACGGATCTTGCCATCTTGCTGACCATCGCGTCAATTCCGTGCTTGACGATGCCATTGATGTGATTCTTTGTCTTGGTCGAACATGTTGTTTTGCAGACCATCATTCGGTCTCTCTAGCACGAACGCTGTCTCTCACAGACGCCTGTCTCAAAGACTTGCCCAACACGGTAGTCGAAAGTGCTGGGCAGAAAACCGCAGCCGAGACGGACATCTGATGCCCGAACCGCGCCGGCCTCGGCCAACCACCGTTGATGGATTTGTCTGGCCTGCCCTTCGCTTGTCAAATAGGTAGCCAGCCTGGCGTCATGCCAACCAAGACGCTCACGGCATTCTCCGCAGCGCTCTGATACCAAAGCCCGATAGAGCTCGCGCAACGACATGCGACGGATCTTTTGGCGCGATGGGGAGATGCAAAGTCACAAAGTCACGGCATCTGCCGCGACGTGTTCGTCACCACGTGTATCTACACATCGGGACAAGGGACGCGAACGTAAGCATCACCTTTTTGCTGTCGGGAAGGTGGAGGACTTGAAGCAAGCATGTTTCGCCTCGGTCATTTCGTTACTTTGCTGTGACACGACACCCTGTTGCTGTGATGTCTTGTCGTATGAACATGTTTTCTTCCACACCTTTGCACTGTTCATACATGTATACTGATCACCTCCACAACACTTCTAACCATCTTGATTAGCTATGAATCACATAGCGTCTGCATCAAGCTTTGATCAGAAATGTCGCGTCCAATTTCCAAACCTCAACCAAGCCGATAGATCTGTCCATCCAGCGTCGGAACCTTTCTCCGACGTGTCACAAGCGACCACCGGCGGCTTCTGCCACTGCGCTACGACACCGATGGTATGAGACATTAATCCGCCGACGTAACTACGACCTTTTTCCACCATCAAAATCATGTTCGGCCCTTTTTTCATAGCTACAATGTCTTTGTGCCCCATCGATTTCGTCTGTTGACAAAGGAGATTGCCGCCACATTGTTAAGTGTTGATATGCAAAGCCAGAAACGATGGTCGTAGGGATGACCTTGTCCGGAGACATATTTGATAATCCCGCCAGAACCACATCAGCTCATGTGCCTGACTTTCCATCCCCTCATATACCTCGACTTGTTTCAAGGGCTGTAGATAAGAGGTGCTTGCAACGGGGAAGAACTTGTCACAACGAAAGCTTACGGTGGATGCAGCGCTCAAATTTCTCTACACCATTTTGTCATGACAGCGCCCAGTTCCACTTCTGCATCACCAATCTCCTCTAACCTCACGTCGACCCTACAGCTATCTCCCTTGCCTTCCTCCATGATAAGTTTCTTCCTACCCAAACCTTCCCAAGCACCTCTCGCCACATCCTTGCCCCACACTCTTCCAATGCCTGCTCCATGGGCGAATTGTCCCGATGCCGATGCTGCAATCTTTGCCTTGGACGCCAGAGATACGTATTCGGCGTAGCAAAGTGGAAAGGTGACGTTTTCAGTGTCGTGAACGATGGTGAGACGAGCAGCAGAGATGAGTAGCGCAAGTTGTAGTTGTGAAAGTGATGCCAATGCTGACAGTTTTGAATCTGGTGGTTGTAGAGTGTTCAATGACGTCGAATCGGCAAGATGAGTGAGCAAGTCTTGCGCTGATATGTTGGCGGAAGAAGAGGTAGGTAAGGTACTGACTGCCAGCAGCATACTTGTCTGAAAGCCCCTGATGCTTTTGGAGAGATAGTAAGATTGTCTGAGATGGGTGTTGAAGGTGTCGAGAGTAAACAGGTCGTTGAGCACGGCGTACCAAGTCTTTCTACCCTCGTCACTGATCTCTCCCATATTATCTGCAGGCGTCATTGCATTCTGGCAAATGTGTCGAAAAGAAGAAAGATCTTTGCTTAAGGAAAGATGGACATAGCGATGACTGAAGCGACTCTTGACTCTCTTCTCCAATTGCTCGACGACATCAAACCTCGTCGTCAGGCCCAAGACTGCGATAGGAGCTTTCCTGCTTTGTGCAATGTCAAAGAGGTTGTAGAGAAGTGTTTGTCGCGGATGCGTGGTGAAGAGATCGAACTCATCCAGGACGAAGACGACACTCTTGGTCATCTGCTCGGCTGATCTTCCCAATTCTTCAGGATGTGAGAGAAGAGCAAGGAGGGTGGTGAGGGTGTCCGCATAGTTCTTTGATTGCTCAGAGTCCTCAAGGTCCATATCTTTGCCCAACTGGCGCCAGATGTCTTTTAATGCAATCTTGTCGTCTGTGTGGATGAAGGCATTCAATCGCACGATGTGGAAGAGGTCTGGGTTCTCGCGTGCCTGTTCCCGAAGGATGGATTCGACGACAGCCGTCTTTCCGCTTCCTCTTGCACCAATGACAAGCATACTATTACTCTCTCCCGCTACAATTGTTTGATGCACCAAGGCGGCTATCTTTGCATGCTCTTCCTCCAGACCTACAAAGGCTGTATGTGTGCGTCCTTGTAGTTGATGCAACACAGCAGACTGGATCGCTTGCAGATCTGCGGTGGACATGTCGAGGTTGGCCGAAGCGTTTGTTTGCAGAGGTTTGACGTCCAAGTCGATCATGGTGCGAGGTTTGAGAGGGCTGGCAATGGCCTTTCTGGGAGTGAATTGTGGTCTTTCTAGCTTCATGGGGCTTACGTGTCGTTGCTGCGGTTTTCTGGACGAAGCGAGCTTGGAGGGACTGACGGGGCCCTCGTCATCTTCAGCGGTCGTGTCCAGTATCAGCTCTTGAACAATCTTCCTCGGCCGTCCAGGCCTCCTCTTCTCGCTCGTCGGCGGTGGTTGCAGCTTGACCGGACTGGCAGAAAGACTTCTCTGCCCTTGGGACTCAATTCCATTGCCATCACCGGGGTTCCTCAGCTTCGGCCTCCTCTTGGCCGCCCTCTCCAGCTGCTCTTGCTCGAACGTATCCCGTAGCTTCTGCGACAAAGTCTTGACCTTTGCACTCTTTTCCAGCTCTTGTAGTTCTGGTTTCTTCGTAGCGACAGGGGTGCCCTCCGTTCCGTTCTTGACGGGCGACTTTCGCGGTGACTGTTGTTCGGCGATCTTTGCATTGAGGCGGGCCATCAAGCCGCCGATGCCCCGTCCCGCAGACATTGGCGCCGGTCGAGGAGTTGGTTTGGACGGGGTGAGGTTGAGAGAGGAGGGCGTAGCCACACTGGCAACTCTGATGGTGTCGCGCGCATCGTCTTTGTCTGTGGTGCTTGTCGTCGTGCTTGTCTTTCCTGTAGAGGCCGTCGGCGGTGCCGCTGTCGTCTTGTGATTCGCGGGTCCAGGACTTTCTGGTATTGTCTCGAGCTTTCTGCGCTTCGCCGAGCGTGGGGATTCCATTGCTACACCAGGAACATGTGCTGCTTACGACATTTGATCGAGTCGACGTTTGTGTTTATCGTTTGGTCGAGGAAAGTCGGAAGCGCATCATCCCTGGCAGGCGCGGGGATCGCTGAAGCTCGCCGCTTCCCAGAAAGCGGAAAGTGCTGGTGACCAAGAAGGGAAAGAGCGACTTTCACCTGCCAAAACAAAACTCGAGACAAGGGAATCTGACAGACTGAATTCAGAACTTCGCTTTGTTTCTCAACGTCATGATAGTAAAAGGTCAAACACCATGTTCAATGCAAAAAAACCATGCAGCTATGCCACCATGTAACCATATCAGACGAATTAATACCTTGATGAATCCCGGCGACTTGCATCGCTCAATCTCGCAAATCTCTCCGTCAGTCCACCTTGCTCATTCACCGTCCTCTTCAACGGACTGCCCTGAGGTCTGCCATCTGGCCTCAACAACTGCCTGTTCGCGCTCTTGCGAAGAGGACTTGCGGCATGGCTGTATACCCCCAAGCTTCCTCCATCTCCCGCTCTCTTCAGCGGACTTGCAAGTCGCTCGCGTGTCAACGGCTGTGTCTTGCCCGGCGTGTTGAAGACGTCTGTCGGCTCATGCGTGGCTCCAAACGATGACCCTGCATTCGTGTTGAACGAGGAAACTGTGCTATAGCTCCCAAATGTCGGCTGTAGCAGGGGAGTCGTGGCGCTTCTCGGCAGATTCTTAGTCGGCGAAGTGGCGTACAGGGCTCGCGGGTCGTCGGTGAGGTGATTGACGTATGCTGGGTTGGGATTGACCTTGAACCCCTTGTTGATGACTGTATGTGGTGTGTAGACGTCGACCTCTCTTGTCCTGATTCTGGCTCCTCCAGGGCTTGTGGCCGTGTCTATCGTCTGCGTACCGACATCTCTTACTGGGCCATTCATGTTGGGATGAACAAACTTGGTGTCGTACTCGTTCATGACCTCCTTGTGGATAAGAGTAGAGTCTTTTGCCTGCTGAACGAAGAACTTCTTGAAGAACAGCAGCTGGACGCTGAGAAGAGTGGCGAGGAGGATGGTCGTGACAAAGGTGACGGAAGGGCGAGGATCTGCAGGACTGGTGGGCAGGAAGAGCCAGTAGACGAGGACGTGGCCGGGCGAGAAGAGGGCAAAGAGCTCGAGGTTGAAGGGCTTGGGGTCCCAGACGCTGACCTCCCACACGTCATTGTGCTGGTCGGGGTGTCGACGCGAAAAGACACTGTTGGAAGTGATCATGGACGAGAAGTAGGCGAGCGGCGAGGCAGAGGGTGACGAGTCGACGCGCACTCTGCGCGCAGAAGGTGTGGATGGGGCTTGGTCGATGGAGCTCTCGAAGAGGCGGTATTTGCGCGAGCGCGTGAATGTGTAGAAGGCGTTGAACAGCGAGGCAAAGGCGAGAAAGTGCGCGACGAACGAGAGCTGGTGGAAGTATCTGTCAGAAGATGGCCAAGGCAGGATTGGAACATGTACAAGGCTGTGGCACTCACAAACCAGTGGAACCAGCCACTCTTGCCCTCGAGCTCTCCAAAGATGTCGTCGTTGACGCTGTTCTTCAGACTCCATCTGGCGCATGCAAAGATCAAGTTTGCACCGGCTCCAATGGGCAGTCCCCAGTCGCGTAAGGCTTCATCCAGAGCGCTTTCGTGCAGTTCCTCGGCCATCCAGAGTAGCAGGTCGTATGGGTTGAGCTTGGCCTTGATGCGCTCAGACAGCGGCGGGCGACGGATGATGGGCGGCATTGGGGGCCGTCGCTTGTCGCATGCCCCGTTGTGTCGAGAGTAGGATTTCCTTGCGGGAATACCGGGGTCGGAATAGATGCAGGCAGCAGGCTGCTTGGACACTGTTTATTTTGCGACCGCCCGCTTCGACGACTTGCTGCAGCCCGCCCGCAAACAGTACGTCATAGCAGCTCCGACAATCAACCGGCGTCGTCCAGCCCGCGCATACAGCGTACAGCAGGAGCGACGGCAGCATTCCTCGTGCCAGGAGGGAAACTACTCATCATGGCTCTTCCACAATCCGCTTACAAGGATCGCCAGTTCCTTGCTGTTATCGGCGACGAGGTCAGCAATCTTTGATCAATCACCATGCCACCTCTGCAAGCATGCTGACGCTCGTCTCTCAGGACTCGGTGACGGGAGTCTTGCTCGCCGGTGTTGGTGTACGTTAAACTGGATGCGCCTTCCTCGGATGGAACATTGATTTTCCTCGACAGCACGTTACAGACCCTCCAGATGCGCAAAAGAACTACCTTGTTGTCGACCACAAGACCGAAGTGTCGGCCATCGAGGAGGCCTTTGACAGCTTCACAAACGACCGCAAGGACATTGCCATCATCCTCATCAACCAGCATGTGTGTCTTTCTTTCCCGTGTCCTCTCTCCCTCCTCCCTCTTCCCTCTCCCTCCTCTCCTCTCCTCTCCTTCCTCTTTCCACACTCACCCTCTTCCCTCCTCTCCTTCCTCTTTCCATACTTACCCTCTTCACTCCTCTCCTTCCTCTTTCCANACTCACCCTCTTCCCTCCTCTCCTTCCTCTTTCCATACTCACCCCCCGTCACAGATCGCCGACAAGATTCGCAGCCGCGTCGACTCGTACACCCAAGCCTTCCCCTCGCTCCTCGAGATCCCCTCCAAGGACCACCCTTACGACCCGGAAAAGGACAGCGTCATGAAGCGTGTCAAGAAGTTGTTTGGAGAGTAGTTTCCAGTTTGTTTGCCAAGTTCACACGATACCCCCCGAATTACAGAGAGAAAGACTTTCTTCAACACTTCATGATGATGACATTATTACTACTACTGCTCCGTGTACTGCAATGCTGAGTGTGCCATGTGCGCTTCCAACATCGTCGTCCAATAATACATGATGCCCATGCAATCTTGTCCTCGTCCTTCGTTCCTCTCCATGCTTGCAGGCGATGGTCGTCTAGGCAACAACCTCAAAGGCACCACCTCTTCTGAAGACGACGGTAGCGGTCAAGCAGGTGATCTTCTCGTTGTCCTTGGTGTAGACGTCGGCGAGAACAGTGTACTTGCCCTGAGAAGTCACAGTCAGCACCTCATCTCTCACAGGTCCGACTCGGTCAAGACTTACCGGAGGAATCTCCTTGGGGAGATCGACATCCTTGGTCAACTCCATGGGCCCCTTCTTCAAGGGACATTCAAGATCGACATTTTTGAGGTTATCGCAAAGGTCGGCTTCCTGGTTGATGATGCGGATCAATCCGTACTTGACTTGCAGGTGCACCTTTGCTCCCTCCTCGACATCCTGCGACAAGACTCCCGAAGCCTTGATGGACAGAGTGACGCCACTGCATACACAAACACGATAAGCTTCTGTTGCCTCCAGACTAAAACAGGCAGAGGTAAGATACTCACGCAGAGGGAGGGTTGGGCGACAGGTCGACCTTTTCAATCTCGAGAATGTTGTCCTTGGGTGCGGCGCAGAAGAGCAGAGGGTTGTCGCCTGGAACGGGGAACTCTTCCTCGAGCGCGTGCTGCGAGTCGCTTCCCATGAAGCCAAGGCTACGCGCCGATGCGCTGGCCGAGATCAAGGCAACGCCGAGAATGCTGAGGAACTTCATCTTTGTGTTGAGTGTATAGAAGTGGTTGTGAATGTCTGGAGGAGAAGATGGGAATCACAGCGGTAGATCAAGGTCCTGGGGCTGCTTTCCCGCCGTTGACGATGATGCTGTTGGTCACTGCTGCACGTGTGAGTCTTTGTGGCGTCTGGCGTCTGGCCTTGGCACCGTTTCTCCGCATTCGTCTCATTCACTCCCACGCGGCAGCAGCTTTCTCGACGATCGTTTGACAGCTTGACAGCTTGACAGCTTACTCTGCGAACGCCTGCTGCTCTTCAGTGCCCCAATGGTCATGATGTCTACATGATTTGTGACGAATCCATCGTCTTCAGAATCCTCATATCCCGGACTCCATCGTCTACCGGTGCACAAAGACCTTGTCCTGTCCTTATTATCACGGCCACCCGTGATGACTTACCTCGTGTCCTGTTCGTAGCTGCTCCAAGAATGTGGCTCTGTCGTATTTGATACCGCTTGTCGTAGGTCAAGTGAGCCGTACATCAGGTATGGTGATTCGAATTTGTGCTGTAGTTGCAACAACAGTAGGTACATTCACTCACATTATTTCGTCCGCCGTTTTATCTCTTCTCTTCCTGGTTCTTGAGAGCCCCGCCAGCCATCAAATTTGTCTGTCGAGACCCACAGCCACATCGCATGAGCGGTGACCATCCGGCGGTCTTTCTCAGTCGCTGCGCAGTCCCCCGTCTCCAACAACAAAGCGCGCCTCCTACGCTTTCGACTGGCGCATCATCTCATAACTACAGAACGCATCACAATGGCGGGCACCAAACTCGCACCCGACTCCGTCGTGCGAGAGACGCTGTTCAACCTCATGACTCTTGCTCGAGATATGTCCTTTGCGAACACTCAGATTCGCTCAATTTGCGAGACTGTCACGCCTGCGAATGTTCAACACACCATCGACCTCCTTCGTCGTCTCAACACAGACTTGCACAAGGGAAAACCCATCATCCCCGCGCCTCCCACTCCTGCAGCTGTCACCAAGCCCACAACTCCAGGATCACCTGAATCCGGCGCTGTCATCCGTGCAGACACCTTTAAAAACCCCTAAGGTCACTGATACATCTGCTGTCATCAATGACATTCACTCGTTGCTCTTAGGATAACTAGCAAGGCAGGATGATATGTTATTGTGGCTGCTCTCACTCTGGGACGATACTTGAATATGGCTAATCAACTTTCATTCCGCATTTCCACGTCGTTTTCTTCTTATCGCTTCCGTGCTTCTTCCTCTACCACAACAATCACCAATCGCACTCACGCGAACTTCCCTACACCACGCTCGTCATGTTGCCTGTCCTAGCACCACCTTCTTTAGATCTCCTTGACGCCCTCGACCGCCGTCGTCTCCCAGAGCTCCAGTACCTGAGCGCCTACTGCCCCTTCAGTCTCAATGCCAGACCCTGCCCTCACGGCTCAAAGTGCTCGCTCAAGCGCGTCTGCTATGTAAGCTGCTCCTTGTCACCAACTTTACTTGACAAAAGCTTACGATCTTACAGGTCCTCTGTTCCTTCCGCACCAACACCAGCGGTCAGCCCTGCGATGGTCATCACCACGTCTCCGCCATCTGCGAGCAGTTCCTGACAGACAAGGGTTGTCGTTACCGCAAGGATGATGATCATCCTTTCCTCCCTAGGAGTCACGACTTTGAGCTTCATCGTTGCATGGATGTTATGCTTAAACCTCACAGACTTGGTCTTTATGGCGTTCAAAACTTCTGAGTTATGGGCTTAAAGTGAGAGGCGAGGCTTTGGTCATGCTGGCAATACTTTTTCTTGTGTCGACATCACTTTCTTTCATCAACCCTTTCCAGCACAACTCACAGGACATTGGGGCAGGGGCAAATTAGTTTGGGGGCCGGAGACATAGACCTCCGAAAGACAGTCTTCTCTGCAAATGCACGCATTCTACAGCATATCAAGTCGGATGTCTTCAATGATTAATCAATTCATAATGATCGGGGTCGTCGTTTTCTCTTTGCAGCTCTCCGCACGGCTCCACTACCGAAGCAACTTCGCCGCGATGTCTCCTGCACTCTCGTCTTTGATGCCCAGTAACTCCGCATCTGACTCTTGCCTCGAAGCAGCAACCATACCTCTTCCCTCACTAACATCATACAAAGTCGCCACCGCCAACTTCAACCTCCACATCCCATTCCCAGTATGAAGATCTTCCTTTCCACTCTGTATCAATTCCTTGCTTGTGGTCTTCGTGACCTTCCACTTCTCTCCTGTCACCTTCTCGAAAGCTTCCAAAAGCTCGTTCTGACACGTCTGGATACTTTGCACTTTGCAAAAACGATTTGCTGTCTCTTCTGGATGCTCCAGAACGCCGAGGACGGCTTGTCCTATCCCTTCCAACGTCGTGCCTGTGAATCTCTCTGTTCCGTCGTCGTAAATGATGGCTTCATGTTTTGCGACATCAAAGCCCATCATTGGGAACTTCTTCATTGCCTGTAGTCACTCTTCATCAGTGTTCCCTCATTGTATTCTCAACTTCAAAGCAAACTCACCCAATCAATAGGATTTCCAGTCGTCAACCCTGTCCATGTAAAGTCTTTATGCTCTTGTGCCTTTTCAGCAGCATAATCCCAAGCTTCCCTTCTTTGCTTGTGGATAGCGGCAAACTCGTCAAAGCCATGTGCCTCGGGTCCCCATCCAAAGTCATCAATGATGAATCTCTTCACCCCTGCGGCAATTGCGGCATCGATGAAGATTTTCTGTAAAGGAATGCCACCGGGGCCAACGACGCAAATAATTGCATCTTGATTGGCAAAGGCTTTTGTGAGGGAAGTGAGGTCGTAGGCGATGCGTTTGACAGGTATGCCTGAAGGATGAGATGTTGTGGAAGACAAGCGAGTTATGATTGTGATGCTGAAGTTTGACGTCGAAAGGGCGTTGGTTATAGGAGTGCCGAAGTTGCCGGAAGCCTTGGATATCATTGTTAGCGCTTTTTCTGGGTGAAGAGGGACATGTTCAATTACCCCAATTATGGCGACATTTCTTATTATCGACATGATGACATTTGGTGGAGAATGTTGATCAAGAACGATTGTTGTCACAAGGTTCGCTTTGTTTTGTGTGTCGTGAGCGGGGCTGAGAATCCTTCGCGCGTGATCTCAGCCTGTAGGCAGCAGCAGCAGCAGCAGCAGTTATGATGAGCTGTGAGTCATACTGGCTTTGAGCGTTGTGTATTGTTGATCAACGCAATTGGTATGCATCATTTTCAGGGTCCTGGTGAGAAGGTTTGGTGTTCGTCACGAAATCTGTGTCGATTCGGATGAGCTGATTCACCAGTCAACGAGCTTTCACCAATTTCTTTGTCGGCGATGGCTAGGATCACCTGAATCTCACGGCTTTATAGCCAGAACTGCTTTTTGGTCATAGATACGTATCAAACTACTACTTGCAGTCAATATGGTTGGAAATATGTTCAACTTATTCTGTATTCCATAGTGCCGAGAATGAGGACGGCTTCTGGTAACGACCTCACAAAATCAGCAGATACAGTCGCTGCTGTGCTGAGAGAGAAAGTGGATGACATAGCGAGCGTCACACATGTATTCTTTACGGGTATGTGATCCCATCATCACTGTCTGTCAACTACCACGATCTCTGGCAATGGTCCACAGAGAATATCAACGACTTTTGGATGCATGTATGGACGTTCACCAAAGTCGTCGCACAGGTACAGCCATCATATGCTATTTCCATACGAGACTCTTCCAAGCTCTTCCCACGACCGACATGGTTTCCGGAGGCTAGACTCAACTTCACCCAGAATATGCTTGAGAGCCCCTACATCACCAAGAAACCTGGAGAAGCAGTGCTGACCTGTGTTCGAGAAGGTGGGGAGGAAGTTGAAGACGTCACCCTCGAACAACTGCGCACAAAAGTTGCGCGTATGGCAAATGCAATGAGGATAAAACACGTGGTTGCTGGTGATCGCATTGCTTGTATTGCCGCAAATACTACCAACACGCTCGTGGTCTTCTTGGCTACGGCAAGCTTGTGTGCAATTTTCACTTCGTGTTCGCCGGAAGGCCATCATGATCCGATTCCTGCAAGTGCAGCCGAAGATGCTGTTTGCAGATGACTTCCAGCTGTACAACGAGAAGCGCACCGACTGCAGGGTCCAGGGCCTTGTCAGTCTCGAGGAAACCTGGGGAAACGGGTGGTCCGAGAATGACTGTCATCTTGCCTCGATATGGGTAAGAGCCTATGTCGCAGAACATAGACTCACAGGTCCTGTCTCTGAACAGTTTCTTATATGGTGCTTCGCAAGTTGCGAGATTTGAGCCCATGCGCTTCGACGACCCGCTGTTGATTGTGTATTCCTCTGGATCCACCGGTCAGCCAAAGTGTCTTGTGCACACGGTCGGAGGTGTACCCTTGAAGCAGAAGCTAGAACAGATTCTCTGCACAGATTTGGGTCCCGACAGCATACACTTACAGTACACTACGGTCAGTATTGCAGTTCTCGACAATTTGTAGGCTAGAACTCTTGGCATGAAACTGCAACTTTACTCGGGAGATGGCAGATCCATCGAGACCTCCGGAGAGTCTGGGGAATTTGTCTGCACAGCTCCCTTTCCTTCTCAGCCCGCAATATTCTAGAACGACGAGAAGTACGAGATATTTCGAGCAGCATACCTTGAGAAGTTCCCCGGTATGTGAACGTCTCGAATACAAGATCGGCGTACTGATTATGTCAAGGTATCTAAACTCAAGGACATCTTGTGTATAGAGAGTGAATGCCGCTCTGAAGAAGCTTGGTCAAGTGTTGGTGCTCACATCAGGAAAGCCAAAGATGACATTCGGTGAACTAAGTTATTATATCACACGACGAAAGAGCTTGAGAGGCGTCTCGGATATCGAGAATCGTCCGTTTTACAGAGTAAGGTAAGTGTCATTGAAGTGGATAATTCCAAGCCCTTGTGGTTCTCCCCCAATGTCGCTGCCGTGCTCGAAATTGGTGGTCGTCGGTAGCACCCTGTCGCCCGACGATAAGCGACGCCAAGCGTCAGTCGCGTCACTTCTCTGCCATCAGAATCAACGCGTCATCATTTGCGTTCGTCAAGTCGCGCCGGTTGTGCACAGGCTATGACGCATGCAGACGCGTTCTAAGAAATCATCTTGACTTGGTGCCTTGCGTCCTTGTGTCGACAAAGAGCAGACCGCTTTGTGTGCGAATCTCTGCGTCATCAGCATTGAGACACGTGACAGCTTAGAACGGGACATTCGAGGTGGACACACAATCCGACGACTGACGCATCAGGTCCATCCTGAGAGAAAGCTTACGACTCAACAACACAGCTATGTAAGCACACTACCAGAGACTTTGGGTGTAATCGCGACACGATCCTCGAGTGGCTGCTCGCCTTTCCGATCCTCAGCTTTGAAACCGACCAAATCGCGCCGACGTCGGTTCTACCACGTCTATCATGCTCGACCTTTGTCTGCTTCCAGGTCGAGCGCAATGATCTGATGGGACGCCACTTAGAAAGCAAAGCCACTTCTGCCAGCACCAGGATACTTCCGAAGGAGTCCGGACAACAGATCGGTGCCGTCCATCTCCATGTCCTTGAATGCAGGACAGCTCAGGTCCAGCAACGGGTCGAGAATAGCTTTGTTGACAAGCTGTAACGGAGCTTCGAGCGTCTTGAAGAGCGAGGACAGAGAATTAGGCGAGAATGTCTTGACAATCTCAAGCACAAAACAAACAAGATTGTTACCCTCCAGCAGCGATGTTGCATTGAGGATACCTCCAGTAACATCGTGAAGATCGACGCCAGCAAAAGTGTCGACCTTTCCGAGATTACCTCCGATGCTGGCCAGCACCGGATACTTCATGAACCATTCTACAAGATCCATGTTGAGTTCTACCAGACCGTAATCCATGGGCAATCTGTACCAGTTTGCTGGAATCTGTTCGTGTCCCTTTCTGTATACCAGCTGACCATTCTCTTCGTAGACTGCGTAGAAGCTGGCAAAGATATGTTTGTCTGAAAATTCATCAGCCATGGTCTTGTCACAGTCGCAGTTGAGCTCAATGCTAACCTAGATGACCTCCGAGAGGGTTCTGCTGGGTATGGTTACTCAAGATACGTCCAGTGAAGGCGTAGCCGGAATTTCGCGCGATCATGCCAGTGTAGGGGCCGTAGTAGAAGTATGGATTGATCGATATGCTTTCTTCAAACCGCTTTGCGGCACGGGCGCCGATGTTGTCCATGGAGAGAATCACGTCGTCCGAGGAGTTGTACGCCTCCAGAAATAGAGTCATATTCATGGTTGACGCATCGCCAGTCACATACAGATCATCGCGAGTGTTCGAGGAGTCCGACTCGATCCAGTTATGCGCCCCATCAAGACCTCTGGGAGTTCCTGGATGACTCGAATTAGCATGCTGAGAATATCCAGAAGAGGCAGTCACCCACCGAGCAGTCCAAAGAGATTTCCAATTAGGTTACTGGCTTTCCAACTCTTGCCACCAATCGAGAAGCTCGGATGTAACGACAGCGGATTGCCAACACCGACGGTACCCATCACAGCGAGGACCGCAACAAGATCGACACTCATGCCGTAGACTAAGGCGTATCAGCGATATTCCAGACATGCCGACCTTGGCTCGCGACGTACCCTGATTTACTGCAGTAATCACCTCGAAGAACTGTTTCGCCCACAAAGTCAGGCCTTAAGCCAAAGGAGCACAGCTATTTCACAGCGGCATCACTTACCCCGGCAATACCATCTCGTGAGATGTATCCATGGTTGGCAAGGGCATTCAGTCCAGGACATGGGCCCCTTTGGTCGCCTTGACCAAAGTTTGGCGCCCGAAAAGCGTGATTTCCAGTGACTGCTCTGACTCAGCAAGAGTATTCGACCTGCAGCACGCTACATACCGTCAACAGGCTCAGTCATAGGGTCGAAAAGAAGGCGCTTCTGCTTGATGCGTAGAAGGTTTTCATGCAGATCCCCTGAAGAGAGGATAGCGTGGTCCAACCCATTGCGACGAGTGAGATTGGCGATGCTCTGAGAAGTTGGAAAACAGTTCACTAGACTCGAAGAGAGTAGAGTCACGAAGCAGGATCCCAATGAAAGAAAGGACACTTTCATGATGAAGACACGCAAGGTGAGACTTGCAAAGTTGGGGTAAGGAACGACTTTAGGAAAACTGTGTCAGGGATCAATTTGGCTGACGCTGATGCTCTGGACGAGGAAGACTTTTGAAATGTAATGACCTGCTAATAACCCAGTGCACCGAACGAAGCAATCTTGGTGGCTAGAGGCTCGGCAACACACAGTCTGGGGACAGCACTTTCGGGACTATCAAGCAGTCTTGACGACGTTTCATGTCTACGATGGGCCAAGGTCTATCCGGACCATGCGCCAACTGTCAGGATTGGGATCGTCAAGGTTTCTTTCATCAGGGCAGTGCAGGAGAAGCTGAACAGGGTTTCTGGAAACCTACTGTCAAGTGGAAGACAACCAAGGGCCCGGACGAAATCGAGCCGCTGACAAGCGCTTCTTGCCGCGAGCCGTCAAGCGGCAACAGCTCTACGAGCACAGTCTGTGTTGCCATGTGGTCATTTACCTATCCTCTCCGTATGTGGTCCGTGATCGAGCCGGACAAGCACAAGGATAGGCGGACAAAGCTTCTGAGGCCAACGCACGTGGCACACTGTGCCAAGATCAGTCAGGAGCCATGCAAAACCTTCAACAAAATCCTTAGCTGCGGCCCGTCCGTCAGCCAACTTCCGCCGTCGACCACCAAACTCAGTTGATGATTATCCGGAGCTTAAATCTTGATTGACTCGTAGGAGGTTATGTCAAACCGAGTTGGGCAATTTCATGCTTTTTTACCTGTCAGAAGACATGACACTTGTCGGCTGGACTCAACTTGGGGCGGTTCGATGACCCAACTTCAAACCAAGTATAGCAACGTTTCGCGGCTTGCGAGACTAAACGCTACTGAGCGGACCTACGACTCCTGGCGCTCTTATTCTACTCTGCTCGCAACGTACGGTACTGTTTGCTCTATATGAGACGGCCGCAGCTAAGGTGGAAAGCCCCCAGGTTGCTTATCACCACACCATTGTGCGAAGTACACCGCCAAATGCCGTTGTTAGTATGACCGAGGTCGATAGTTTTGATTATACAAGGATAGAAGAATACCACCCACAGAAGAGGTAAAGCGGGGTAAGCTTAGCGCAGGAAGGATTCCTTCCAACATCCGACACTTTGCCTTGTACATGCCGCGACAGACCCTTCGTCTCGTCACGGCTTGCTGCGACGAGTGCATATCAGAACTCACTCCAAGCTTAACGACCCGTCCAGAAATTCCCTGCAATATGCAATCACGCACCTAGCGTTTTCTGACTCCCAAGTCGACGATCAATCCACAATCAAGACTTTGAGCTGAGCCCTTACCATTTAGTTTTCTCAGACACTCATATCAACGAGAGGACATCAAGGAAGCTATTTCATTTTCTTCTTCTTTTCTAGAACAGAATCATCCTTCTTGCTCGACCTTACGTCTTTGTCACCAGTCCACTCGTTCTTTTGTGGTCTCATCCCACACCGTTCTCTTTTGGCGTCAGGACGAAGTTCAGCCGATATGAAGCTCTCTTTCGGGTTATTTACGGCTCTCGCGATCGTGACGATGACTGGCGCGACTTCCGATGCTCCATCCGCTTTGGAGATGGCGCAGGCGTCTTACCCAAAGTGCGCGGTAAGTCATACATCCGAACTTGGGAAGAGGTCTGCAACTGATGGATTGGTGTTTAGCTTGGGTGTCTAGCCAGGTTGATACCTCAATCCCCTTGCACCTTGACAGATGTCGAGTGTTTGTGCACGAATGTTTCCCTGAATGCCAACCTGACGGTATGTGTTCTTGAATCATGCACTACATATCAAGGATTGGGTACGTTAAGCTCAGTGGCATGATGCCCTTTGTTCTGGATCCTGACCTTCGAGTTTAGTGACAAAAAATGTCTCTTCAACCATGTGTGGAGCACCCGTCCGAGATCAGAGGATGAAGCCACTTCTTGTGGGCGTCATTGGTGGTGCTATCGCTTTGATGATATTCATCCTACGCATGTGTTCTGGACTTCCTGCTGGCGGTCGCCCTCTGGGCTGGGATGACTACACTATTTGTATCGCCGTAGCGCTTGGAACTCCACCAACAGTCTTCAGTGTACTCTGTGAGTTTCGTCTAATCAGTCTGAAGTTGTGAATTGGTCTAATCAAATCTTTGGAGTATCCAAAAACGGCCTTGGAAAGGACATGTGGACTCTACCTCTAGCTAACATTGAGAATGTGCTTTTCGTATGTATCGACAGTTCCGTTATTCATCTGCTGTCACTCACAGCTACAGTATTACTATCTCGGCGAGATCTTCTATTTCGCGTCACTCACTGCGACCAAGATCTCGATTCTAGCGTTCTTCCTACGCGTTTTCCCACAGCAAAACTTCCGCAAGATCATTTACGTCGTGATCGGAATCTGTGCAGCCTACGGGATATCTTTTGTCCTGGCGACAACATTCCAATGTCATCCGGTCCCGTACTCCTGGAAGCAGCTTGATGATAGCTACCCTGGCTCATGCAACAACATTCACGTCCAAGGATGGTTGAGTGCGGTTTTTAATATTGTCATCGATCTGGTCATCTTGGTTCTGCCGCTGAAAGAACTTTATTCACTTCAAACCAGCTTGAAGAAGAAGCTCATGGTCATGGTCATGTTCTCACTTGGTATCTTGTAAGATGTTATGGAAACCAACTTCCCGCCATCGTACTAACACAACATGCCAGTGTTACTTTCGTTAGTGTTGTTCGTCTGCACTCTTTGATTGTCTTTGCAAACTCCCAAAACATTACGTGTAAGTCAGCTGTCCTCTTCCACAATCTCGCTTCCCCCAGGCGAGCAGCACAGAGCCTGACCTACGGAACAGGGGACTATAATGATGCAGCCTGGTGGAGCACTGTCGAAATCCACGTCGGCATTATCTGTGCGTGCTTGCCGTCTGTTCGAGCCCTCTTTGTGTCGCTCGGTGCTTCGTCGCTTGGTACGACCAAAGCCGCTTCCCGACCAACTGGACGTCAAGCTTCCAGCATTTCAGCAGTATCCAGTAGCTCGCCGGGTGGAAGCAAAATTGGCGCGTTGGTCAAGGAGAAGCCACTCGGTGTTCCAAGATATGGAGATGAAGAAGATTTCATCCCGCTGGTCGATCTTGGCCATAGCAAAGATTGACTCGGACTTTCTCTCTGGACTATCCTTGAGGAGGACGACAATCAGGTTGGGAACAAGCCTTCTAACACATAGACTCTTGAGATACGCCAAGAAACATGGCTATTGGGCCATTTTCACAGAGTATCGGTATGGCCGCAATGCAAAACCGAGAATGTGGTTCATTCCTACAACGCAGAGACTTGCTCTACGAGCTCATTGATCGAGTCTCCGTTGGTCAACTTTCGGCACAAGCAACATCGCCGCTCGCGATGTCGCTGACGGCAGCGGAGCACAACGCGACAGAAACTATGCGCAGTGACGCAACAATCTACTATTCTAATTCCTATGTAACGACAATTGATTCATCATATGATCTTTTAGTACTCCCGACTGCTTCAAGGCACAGACTGTGCATCTCCTGGTCATCAGTCTCATTAATGTGACATGTGGTACCTTCCGGGTCTTGGTTCTTGCTATCACAAGCATATAGTATGCCACTGTATATCGTAGCCGAGAACCCAGCTTTGGGTACGATTAACGACCAACAAATCTTCCCCCAAGGACACGACTGACTTGATTAGAGAAGAGTCGGCGCCTTGTCTTGTAAAGCTCGGACCAGTGATTACAACGTAGGTACACTGTCAAATTATGAGCAACGTCGAGTCAGGACTTTTGACACAGCCACGCGGGGGTGTTTTCTAATGCGACACAGACATGGTTCGACCGTTGCAGGCTGGAGCAATGACCAAAGCGGCTTCCTCCAACTCCAACCGACGTTGAATTCGGTAGATGATCGGCACAATTTATTATTCCTCACTCTATCCATCACCGCCATCATCAATTTTATTTTCCTTATACCACATTTGTCCTTTTTTCCCATGCTTTTCATCAAGTCAAGTTTGCGAGTGTGTACATTCTCTCCTATCAAGGATTGAGATCGTCCCAATTTCTAATCGGCATTTGACGCTGATTCAAGATGCATCTATTGGGCGTGCCGACTTCCACGGTCGCGCGTCGTGAGCTCATCTTGAGCCGCCACCCTTTTGTAAGTACGAAAGGCACCTCCATAGAGTATATCTTCTTTGTCTTGGATATCGCTCGACTTCTTCCCTTCTTCCAACGTCGGGAATTGCTCACAGTCATTCATTCTTTTTCAACCCACTGAGACCCCGTGCAATTATTCCTTCTTTGCCTGACCGGCCACTTAAGACACATCGTGTCAGTTGAGCTTCGTTGAGTTTCTTTGTATCATCAGTCACGATATCTTAATACCAGACTATGAAGGTCTTCAGCACCATCGCCGTATGCGCGGCGTCCGCCAATGCGTAAGTCAAGGAATCATGCCTCCGATAACCTGAGTAGTCTGGGGCTCTAAGCATTCATATCCCAAGTTATACATCGTGTGCTCAAAAATTTCAGATTCGAATGGACATGGCCCAAGATCGCCGATGAACCGATTTACCCACCCAATGGCTACAATCTTCCTGCCAAGGGCCCTATTAACAACTCAACTTACGAGTACATCGTTGTCGGATCGGGTCCTGGTGGTTCTCCTCTTGCCGCCCGCCTTGCTCTTGCGGGCTACAGCGTCTTATTGATTGATGCTGGCGAAGATCACGGGACAGATAGACAGGTTCAGGTCCCGGCTCTTCATCCTTATGCCAGCGACTACACGCCCATCAAGTGGGACTATTTCGTTGATCACTATGCTGATGAGGAGCAAGCCAAGCGCGACTCGAAGATGACTTATCTTACTCCCACAGGTGAGTACTACTCTGGTTTGAACCCTCCTGAAGGCTCTGTCAGGAAAGGCATTCTGTACCCTAGGACTGGTGCTCTCGGTGGTTGCGCTCAGCATAATGCCCTGGTCACCATCACTGCCACCGACAAGGACTGGAACGATATCGCTGCTCTGACTGGCGATAACACATGGACCTCGAATAATATGCGCAAGTATTACCAGAAGCTCGAGCGAAACCGTTATCTGCCCAGCAGCATCGCTGGCCATGGATTCACTGGATGGTTGACTACTAAGGTGACTCCTGTTCTCCTCATCGCCGAGGACTTGAAGGTCTTGTCGCTCGTCACCGCTGCTACCACCGCTATGGGTAGAGGTCTCATTGGCGGTCTTCTCCATACTGTAACCGGTCTTGCCGAAGTACAACTCATCTGAAAACCCATAAGAAGTCAAATTCGAGCTGACTCATGTCCGCAGATTCTTACTCTGGATATCAACAACCCCTCTCCTTCTCGTGATAACGACGAGCTCATCTACCAGATACCTTTGTCTATGGATGACAATTACGTCCGTAGCTCGCCTCGTGATTTCGTCCTACAAGTCGCTACCGCTACCAATCGTGATGGCTCCAAGAAGTACAAGCTTGACATTGCTCTCAACACTCTCGTTACTATGGTCAACTTCGACACTTCCAACACCAAGCCTAAGGCTACTGGTGTCGACTTCTTGTTCGGTCAAAGCCTATACCGCGCTGATCCTCGCTCTACCACCGAAGATGGCGGCGAGTCTGGTTCGGTTCACGCAAGCCGCGAGGTCATTGTCTCTGGTGGTGCTTTCAACACTCCTCAGATTCTGAAGCTCAGTGGTGTCGGTCCCGCTCAGGAGCTCCACTCTCACGGTATTCAAGTCGTCAAGGACCTGCCCGGTGTTGGTGGGAACATGCAGGACAGATACGAAGTTGGCGTCGTTGGAAAAGCATCTACGGAATTCTCTCTGCTCAAGAAGTGCAAGTTCCTCAATGGCAGTGATCCTTGCTACAACAACTGGAAGAACAACGTTGGTGCACTCAAGGGTGGTTACACAACCAACGGTATCGCCTTCGGCTTCCTCCATCACTCTTCAGTTGCCGAAGAGGATCCCGATCTTTTCTTGGGCGGTGTCCCGGTATGTCACATCATCGATTCTCGTTTCATAAAGCTCACTAACACTCTCATAGGCTTACTTCAACGGCTACTTTCCTGGCTACTCAGTCCACGCTACTCAAGATCTCAGCATCTGGACCTGGCTTACCCTCAAGGCTCACTCTCGCAACAACGCCGGTACCGTCAACTTGACTTCCGCCAACCCCCGTGATACCCCCAAGATCCTCTTCCGCTCCCTCGGCGAAGGCGTCGGCGGCGACAAAGACCTCCAGGCCGTCTATGAAGGCGTCCAACACGGCATCAAGGCTTTCAAGGACTTGATCCCTCTCGACGGCAAGTTCGAGCGCGTTTGGCCCCCGACCGACATCTCCTCCGAGGAGGACCTGAAACAATTCATCAAGGACGAGGCTTGGGGTCATCACGCCTCTTGCACTGCTCCTATTGGTGCTGATGACGACCCGATGGCTGTGCTTGACAGTGAGCTCAGGGTTCGTGGTGTCGATGGCCTTCGTGTTGTTGATGCTTCTGTCTTCCCCAAGATTCCTGGTATGTACATCGCCTTACCTATCTACATGATCTCGGAGAAGGCAGCCGAGATGATCATCGCCGCTGCTGAGGCACCCGCTGCCTCAATGTGAAGTCTTTCTGGGACAGCCAGTCGAGGTTGTAATAAACTGCCAGTCGACCCATAATCTGGTCGTTGAACTAATCGGTAATATCGAGAACAATAGTCGTTCTTATGCGAATACATCATCAGTCAAATCCTGTGCACTCAATATCTTCTCTCGCTTCATTGTGATGTCCGTCTGCTCTTTTTACTCACATCGTCGTCACGTTGGCCCTAGGTAGATTCTGCTAAGTTATCAGAGGCGTTGTCATTGTATATCTAGCCGAGGCAGTCCATTCCTGGTCATCGTTATGATGCCTCGTCACACACGCATACTGGGTAGCACTATGGAACAATTGAGAAGCAAACATATACACATGCACAACAGACCGCTGTGCAGATACACAAGTCTCGGTGTAGGGAACCAAGCCCGACATTTATTGATGCGATGCTTGACTCGTGAAGCTCCAAAGCTTGAGACAGCCTGTTTCGCAGTCACACCGGAGACCACCGCACACTCGCCAACGCGGGCTTTAAAAACGTGTGTGAATATGGTGACCAAATAATGGTACAGGGGTTGTCAAGTTGGAGACAATAACCCGGTTGAGTTCGGCCGAGTTTAGAGTGCTACCCGCTCGAGCAGACACCTTCCGGTAGCAGCTGGAAAGATGCAGATCGAAACCATGACGTGTGCTACATAATAAGCCTGATATGCTTATATTGGGCGCAGAAACGTGATTCGGTAAACTGGCGTACGCCGCGTGCTCCATGCTTTGGCTCAACATAGCAAACAAGTCCGAGCGACATGAAGAGCCTGGAAAAGAGGTTGCCGCTCCCGAGGAGAATGTAAAAAATTGAGGTCGAACGTGGGATAGACGAACGAGTAAGACAGACCAATGCGCGGCAAAAGCTACGGCATTGGGTGTTGGCCCAGACGTGGACTTTGACCATCCCTATGAATGGAAATCAGCGAGATCTGTGCAGCGGAGTACTCGCTCATATTCTTGTCGAATCTCCTTGACCTTGTTTCGTTACCGAAAGTCTACCCAAGGAAGAAAGACTCGTCATGATTTACAACAAGGAGAACGTGACCGATATCCCGAGGCTGGACCTTCTGTCATTCTTGTTCGGTGCGATTGCAGCCTCGAAGTCTGACTATGGAAGTACCATCAACTGATTTGTAAATCCAAGATTCGGAACATTGTACAGCCCAAGAGGACACGCCCATCCACGCAGAAGCAAACGATTCCTCGAAAGTAATTACGAAATCTCAAGCCCGGACTCTGACGCGCCAAATCGCTCATTTCCTTCGTCATGAGTACGGTGTTGGTCAAGATGGTCACGACGAAGATGTAGTGGCCACAGTGTCTACCGGACAGCACGCGCTCGCATGCGTCTTCTACGGTGTCGTCGCAGCTGGAGGTGTCTACTCGGCTGCCAGTCCAGGAGCTACCGTTGGAGAACTGATTAGACAGATTCAGGATGGACCAGCCAAGATCATCATTTGTAGCGCTGACGTCAAACCACTTGCAGAAGCTACTGCAACTGCCGTCGGTCTACCTAAACAAAACATTCTCGTGTTTGAGTCCACACCAGAGATCAGACTTGAGAGCATTGATGGAAGTGTGCGCTGTGACTTCGACAAGGAGCTAGCGTGGAAGAGAATCACTGATTCTGCAGAGTTGGAGAAGAGTCGCATCTGCATGCTTTACTCATCTGGAACCACAGGACTTCCCAAAGGCGTCTTGATCTCTCACACCAACATGGTAGCAGAGGCTTTCCTTCCTGCATACATCAATCGACCCATCTGGCAGGACTGGGCGGCAGTAGGCAAGCCCTTCGAGCTACGTACACTGGCCCATCTCCCTACAGCTCATGTCTCAGGCGTACAAGGATACTTCGTGAACGCTTTCTACGATGGTGGTATCGTGTACTGGATGCCATCTTTTGATTTTGGTGCTTTCTTGAAGTACAATGTTCAGTATAGCATCACGACTTTCTTCAGCTTGCCCAAGATCTATCTTGGTCTTGCTAGACATCCAGCAGTTACTGGTCAGCTGAAGTCACTGCGCATAGCGTACTCTGGTGCCACACCTTTGAACAAGGAAGTCTATCATTGTGCGAAATTCGGTGTTGACGGTGAGGAGAGGACACTACTCAGCCAGACTTGGGGTGCAAGCGAGACCACCGGTGCAGTCACCCATATGTCACCGAACAGAAGAGACATATCTGGCAGCGTTGGAGCATTACTTCCTAACATGTTGATGAGGTAGGTTACTTTCAAGACGCTCGACCTGACATTGACTGATGGATCCCGTGAACAGATTGGTCGACGAGAACGACAATGATGTCCCGTTTGGAGAGCCTGGTGAGGCACTAATCAGGGGTCCGCTAGTTACCCAAGGCTACCATAAGAACGCCGAAGCCAATGCCAATGGCTTCACAAAGGATGGCTGGTATCGCACAGGCGATGTGATGCAGTTCGAAAAAGGTGGCGATCTTCTATACGTAGTTGGCCGCACAAAGGTTAGCGAGACATTCGGTTTACTTGTAGTCCGAACGTCGACTGACAAGCTATTCACTTCAGGAAATCATCAATTACAACGGACTCAAGATTGCACCCGCAGAGCTGGAAGACATCCTCTGCGAGCACCCATCAGTCGCCGATGCAGCTGTCGCAGGAATCAAGGTTGGACAGACCGAGGTTCCTCGCGCCTTTGTAGCGCTTCAACCGCAGACTGAGCAGTGCCAAAAGCTCGAGGACGACATAAAAAACTTTGTGAAGTTGCGTGTGTCTGAGCATAAGCAGTTACATGGAGGTATAGTATTTGTGGAGACAGTACCTCGTCTCTTGTCAGGTAAGGTGTGGCGTAAGAGATTGGATGAGATGGTCGCAAGCTGCTGATGGTTTGTCGCCACAAAGTCGGTGGTCAGAGATTTTTAGCTTTATCTCAGCCAAAGTCATGACGACACATCGATACTGAATTCATATAGCTTCAGTTCCATCCAAATGCTATGCACACTCCGTGCTGGCTGTGCTTCCAGTGGTCTTCTGCAGCAAGCAGAACCTTGAATTTTGTTGAGCGTGAAGAGGTGATTATGCCGGGCCACCGTACTGATGGAGGTCATTTGGTCAGTATAACAGCACCATAGTGGCCTACCCACATCTCCGCTGGCAGGAAATCGACCAGTAGGATAGGTGCTGCACGAAGATTGAGCATTGAGCTATCAGCCTTGCGCTAGTAGGTTGTGGAAACATCGGTATAAGCTGGACTGTAAGTACGGATCCATGCTTCCTCTACCTTGATTTCATGGCGCACATGTCGCCAATTCGCGGAAGTGATAATACCGAGCAGTCCGACTGGTGGCAATATCTGACGGTAAATGATCTGTCGCGGATTTGAGCGAGAAGCAATACAGTGATTGCCACTGGGAAGTCACTGGGCGTTGAGTAAAGTGTGTCTTGGTGTTGTAGATCTAGGGCAAGAACCTAATGGTCTCTAGGGCCGAGCTATGCCGAGTCTCGAATGGAAGTCATTCAGTGTCTTTCGGGTGGAAGACGTGGTGGACACCAGCTCGGTATCTAGAGCTGCGGATATGGCCTAATCTGGACGAGCCGCCCAGCATATCAACGAACCCTGGAGAAGCCCAGTCAAAAGCGGAGTGAGATGGGGAAGGTACGGAGCACTTCCTCTAAGCCAGTTATGTCAACTCTTGATCGAGACATCTAAAAGTCGGCGCTGTGCGAATCAGGAAGTCGTGCCCGACCTGGTGCATTGTCCCGGGATGGCAGGGACGATATCGCCATCCGGTACAGGACCGAAGATGAAACTATCGTACGGAGCAAGTGCAAGAGCCAGATAGTTTGCCAGCAAAGCAGCCTCAGAGGAGACTTCGCAAGCCTCTGCCAACGATGTTACATTGAGATAAGACATAGACTTGACATGAATCTTCTGTTACTCGATTGATGATGGCACGGGCTGGAATCCAGGTGACTCAACGATACCTTGTGCAAACAGGAAGCAACAAAAACATGCTCAAAATTTCTAACGTTGGCACTTCTGAGAATAGCCTGGCTTCAACATTGTTGACATAGTGCTCGCTTCATGACTCATTTATTCATCGTCTGTCTGTAAAATATCTAGGCTCCAAACACTGTCTATCCTGTCGCAGAGACCCGATACAACCCGTCAAGTGAAACAATTGAGAGATACGTCTCTTGCGCTGCTCATGATTTAGATCAAAACCCCAAGTATCACGATACCTCCAACGGCTCCCATGACTCTGGCTCCGGCGACATCACGAACTGCAGCACCCGTAGCCACAGTCTGAGAAGCTGATTGCGAACTAGTTCTTGTTGCAATGACAGATTGGAGACTGACAACAGAAGCCTGCACATTCGTGGCCCTGGTCTCTATGGAGGATATGTCGGAGGACAAGGAGCTCAATACACTACCGGTGGCAGTCGCTGACACGGAAATCAGGGATGAGTATTGAGATCTAAGACTGCTGATGTCAGCACTCAGGGAATTCAAAGTGTCGCTGGTCTGGGGGATTCGAGATGTGATTTCGCCGTAGACGGATGCGACGTTGGAGGTTGCGACTGAGAAAAGAGATTCGAAGATGTTGTCTGCTATAGCGATGGTGCTGAGAGTGGAAAACATGCCGAGAGTGAAACGCATGATGCTTGAAGAGCCGAGGTCTCGTCGAGGGTATAACAACGGTGTTGATAATGGTTTTATGTTAGGGAAGAGAGCTGGATCATCAAGAATAAAATGGATGGGCATTCTAGCAGTTAAGAATTTCCGAGACGTCAATATTTGAAGTTTTTCCTTCACTGGCAAATTTGGCCAATTGCTCCCCGAGCTTATTGAAACCGACACTCGATTCTATCACGACTTTCGCTTAGAATACGCTGCTCATAAGTTACGCGGGCAAAGTGAGATCATACTCCATTTCTGTGAGTCAGATCTAGCTTTGATTGGCCCATGGGATTCGTACAAGCCTCGACACCTGTACAAACAAGCAGCACAGCTCTTTGAGTATGAGTGATTAGGTTTTGAAGGTCGTATAAAACGTGCTAACTTTCATCTGTCGTATACCCCACAAAGTGTCAGGCCTAGGGGGTTGAGACGTATACCCCACAGAGTCACTGCGCACAAGTTAGCAACAGCCAGCGGTTTAACTTTCGGTCCAACTATGGCATCGTCGGAGCCCGCGGTCTGCAATCGTGCGTGGCAGGATTGAAGGAGTCCTGCCCTAGAAGGAAGAATTCCCGAGCGATTCTAAATATAAGTTGGCCGTTCCATTTTCCTCCTGGCACCCATCTCACTTTGATACTTAATTCCTTTCCACGGGCGCATTTGACACTCTGTATGCAGCACTGCTTGCCATACCCTCCCTCTCATCGCCAAGTCTATCTCTCCCGATATATCACTCAGCCATTCGTTCCACTCCGTATTTCTTCGATTCCGACGCAGTCGACTTCTGTCTCAATCGCATAATATGGCCGAACAAACTTGGGCGCACAATCTTTGCTCAATGGATAGCTGTGGATCTTGTTGCGGCGCGTTCTGGTGCTCTTCATGCCTCTACGGCCGCACATCCTGGCGACTTAAGCAGTTTCCTCAGAGCCCGGACACATCGAACGGGTTTGAGTGGTGCAACGTGCCCTGCATTGGCATGCTCGCCGGCTGGTGCCTCTTTGTTCCTTGCATCCCTATCTGGATACAACGCAACAGCGTCCGTGGACGTTTCAACATTGCGGGCAACGATTGTACCGATTGTCTTACCAGTACCTTCTGTGGTTGCTGTGCTCAAGCCCAACTCGAGAACGAGTTGAAGGATCGTGCTGAGAAAGAGCTGCTTATGGTCAACTATCCTCCGCCTGCTCAGGAGCGCATGGTGTATGCTGAGCCCAGCAGTCTCCAGCCTCGAGCAGTGCAAGATGCTCCGCCACCAGATTACAAGAGCTCGTAGATGATACATTCGAAGCAGAGAAGAGAGACGATATCATTTCTGGAGCGACAGAAGCAAAATCATAGATCAGCTCTGCAGCACCAGATACGGACTATTGGCTAGACGATGCCGATCGGAATGAAGTTGACAACAGTAATCTTGGTGTTGACAAAGATGAGAATAGTAGTATGGATACTGACTCCTCAGATCTCAATGGTGGAGTTAGCGATAGCGATCTTTTGGACATGGACGGGAGTGGAACTGAAGGAAAACACGACATGAGCGTTGACTCTCCAGGCGCGGATGGTATTGGCGATGCCTCGTCCGATATGAACGGGGACTTGGACGACGCTGATCTGATGGATGTAGTCTCGACGGCAAGACGACAGACATAGAATTGCTACCAGGGGTTTGAGTCGAAGTTTGTCTCCAGTGATACATCTCAGGCCGTGGACTCTCCTGTATTCTGTCGAGTTCGAAGTACGGTGGATCTTGACCAGCGAGTGTGTGATCACTCTCACAACAACACGGGCGTTCATGTACTTTTGTTACGGAGACATCTACACCACTCTCTTGACCAGCTGAGTCGAGGGCCATCCTGATAGCACTGATGTCGCGCGGGCCCCAGGCTGGAACAGAAACAGGATAGAGAAGTAATTTGATGGTCTGCAAGTACGGCACATGCGACCGCCAGTGCGTTAGAAAGTCTGTGATGACATCCATCATCTCCTGATCAGTGTGTATTAGATGCCATGACGGATCAAACACAACACTGACAGTTCCTTCGACGTAATATTCCTGAGGGCTTTGGAAGAAATTATGGTTCAGCCAGAGGAAAGTGGAATCGTCGTTGAGCCAAAGATGCTTCAACGACGGTGGAACAGACTGAGCCAGCGTTCGTCCCGATAATTTGTCGGCTAATAGCTGGAAAGGTACGTGTAGGGTAGTCAACATATAAAAGCCGGAGAAGTCGATGCTTAGTATGTTCTGATTGAACCAATCTTGCGGCCGAACAATGTGAAGATGGAAAGTTTCCAAGGCTCTCTGTACAATGTTCAGACATCGCTGGAGTGACTTAGTATTTACCAATCTTTCGCTCGACCGTTCGGGAATATAAAGAGCAGCACCTCTGGCGTGAGGATCGCGTGTCGGGGGCGTTGTCCAATAGTCATACTTAAAGGTTCGCAGGCTGGGACACGCCCGAAGTAAGCGTGCCAGATCGGTCTCCTCAAGAAACGTGAAACTCAACTCGAGGGACTCCAGGCCCGTGGTGAGCGAAGTAGGGGTAGCGTCCGGCCAAGAAAATGGAGTAAGAGGTCGAGGTAAGTTAAGAGAAAGAGAGCGGACACTCGGAAGGTGTAGCAGGAACAGTTGCGGAATGAATCAGCCTGTACATGCGGCGGTCTTCCACTGCCCATTATGACAGTCTCGTCAAACGTACCAACGCGGGCCCGGGTGACATGCGGTAGAATCTGCCGGAGTAGCGGTATACCAAGGATGGCGAGAGCGTCCTCAAAACTCGGAGCGAGGTGGAGAGTTTGGATGCCGGTCAGACACGTCAACGCGAGTGCTGCGAATGCGTCAGGACAACCGTGATCGAGCCGGTGAAGCCACCCCTCCTGAGACATATGCGCATCGTGTCGTAACTTTGGCCTCATACGCGCAATGTCCTCGTGCGACAACACGGTCTGGCATACATCTGTCCAGACAGATGAAGGAACATGACCTGATAGCTTGAAGTGCCGTACTAGTCGGGCGAGGTCAGGCGAGGACACAAGTGTTCTCGCCAGCAAATATAGCGAAGGCCATTTCTCATCGACACACGGGAGCTGTTTGAGACAATAGGATCGACTCACGTGCCTCCGTGCCCACCATTCTTCTGGCGCGTTCGAGCCATCATGTTGGTCGGGTTTGCAGTGACCGAGCTGTTCACACAGGCAGCGATCTAGATGCATGTTGGCTCCAGCTTCGTCGCAGATGAGTATGGGTCGTCGCCAGGTAAGGTCGAATGTGTTGTACAGCACCGGCACGACATACGCGCACCATGGCTTAGATACCAAGGCGAACGATGACAAGTCGTTACGTGCTGTGAAAGATACGATGAGCTGGAAGATCTCGACAGGCAGATTGAGAAGGGCCGACCATGACGTCACAAATTGGCTGGCGAGACGGGGACGTTCCGTGGTGTGAGATGAGAGACAGAGAGAATGTAGGAGGAATCTAGTTGTGTCTGATTATTCTTCTCGGTTTGTTCGTTTATGAGAGCATGTTCATCAGGTAGTCGGTGTGCGTATGACTCAGGAAAGCTGACAGTGCTGGAATGGTGAAACAGTTCTGTCGTGTGGGCGGAGATCTGGAACTCTGGTCAGACAATTGCCTGGCGTAACCGCTTGAAGTATTTGAACTTTTCACCACAGCCCGATAGACTGAATAGTCACTGCGGTGAGATGGAAACGCCATGAGGTCGCAGTGATGACAAGTGCATAGCACGAGGTTATTTCGAGAAAGCTCGGCAGGAAGAGTCGTTGCCGTCATGCCGTCTGGCAAGGTAGACGGAGCGCAAGTTTAGGAATGGAGAGAACCAAGCGTTGATTCAATGGGGACTGCTCAATGATAGGTCGACCAGAAGATCAGAGCAGACATCAAGTCATTCCGCGTCTCGCACATGGCCCACATGGCGCGCCTGTCTCTAACGTGCGGAAGGGCACGACTCACGAGCCAGATCAATCGAGTGCGGCGAGCGGTTCGCATAATGCGGCAGACGTGCAAAACACCGCTCATGAAACCGAGGCTATTGTAGTATTCAAGCAGCTTCGGAAGTGAGTCAAAAGCCAGGCAGGAGATAGGGCTTGCAGAGTCTGCTTCCAAGTTGTTGCGGTCGCGCAGCTGAGATGGCAAGGCCTGCGAGGAGGCTGCGCACGAACCGTCACGCGAGCTCGAAGGGACAGATTATGCACAAGGCTCGGCGCCGATGGCAGGTCGAGACATGGACAGGGGGAGCTACACGCTGGTATTAAGAACTACAGCTACAGCTTACTGGCCTTCCAGACGGGCTTCCTCTTCTCGACAAAAGCCTTGACGCCCTCGTGGATATTCTCCCCCTGCAGGAGTTTTTGATATGACTCGGCAATCAGCTTCTCCGTCGCCGCATCTGCGCCCAGGCCCTCCCATGCCAGATTGACTCCTTCGCGACTGACAATGACAGCATCGGGACTGTTTCCTGCAATCTCCTTGGCTACGGCGATGCACTCGGCCACAACGTCTCCCTCAACGACACGATTGACCAGTCCCCATTCCCGAGCTTCTTCGGCTTTCAACACTCGACCGGTCAAAGCCATCTCCATGGCACGCTGCTTGCCCACTACGCGGGCGATGCGTGGGAGAGCTCCGGCGATGGCGACGACGCCACGCTTGACTTCGGGAAGAGAAAAGGTGGCGGAAGAGGACGCGAAGACCATGTCGCTGTTGATTGCCATCTCGCATCCGCCGCCAAAACAGATTCCATTGACTGCCGCTATCACTGGCTTACGACCGCGGCGTCGTGACAGTCCACCGAAGCCCGAAGATGGCATCTTGCGCTGTTTGCCTGATGCATTGGCCTGATTCCATTCTGAGCACTCTGTTAGTCTCCCAGCTTTCATGCGGACGCCACGTCAAGGAGAGCTTATACCTTTCAGATCAGCGCCAGCACAAAACGCCCTCCCAGTACCCGTGAGGATACCGACACATAGCTTTGGCTCGGCGTCCAGCCATTGCCACACATTGTCCAACTCTTCGTTGCCTTCTGCGCTAATACAGTTGAGCTGCTTGGGTCGGTTCAATGTCACCAACAGGATCTCTGGTGTCGGGAACGACAACACGCAATATTTGACTGGTGGAGGCGCCATGATATAGTATGGAAACGCGGTATGTAAGATTGCTTCTGGAGATCTTAACCACCGAATGTCAAGGACAAAATTGTAAGTGAGAAGAAGGGATCTGTAATTGTCATGTCGCGAGATGTTCAAGCCAGACTCGCCGAGGTGGGCCTGCTTGAAGCTGTGCGGGGTGAGCGACGATCACAGCCGAGGGTCGACGCTAGCTCTCCGTCGTCCCACGGACCATCATGACCATCAAGGTGGAACGACGTATTATCAGCATCTGCTTGTTTGAGATATCTCGACATCAATCGCTTTGCTAATCTTATATCTACTCTACACTAGCACACATACCCTTCAACAGTACAAGCAGACCATAGGCTCCAGGATCTGGCACACCCCGGGTCGCACTCTCGTCGAGATACGTGCTTCTTCCAAGCTTGGCTTCAAGGTTCTTTGTACTCTCGACTCCCTTCTCTGCTTCTGCAAGCGCTTTCTCAACATCGCCGCTCGCGTTCAGAGTCCCGACAAACGGAATGAGACAATCCAACATTGTCCTGTCTCCCAATCTTGCGCGCGTATAGTTCAGCAATTGGTTCATAGCGACTGACAGCGCTGCCGCGACCGAGTCCGTCGAAGCTAGAGCCGAAGACAACGAGGTCAAGAAGATGCAATACAATGCGCCTGACGTTCCTCCCATGTTGACTTCGAGATCGTGTACGAGCTCAGAAAGCGTCTGGGGTAGCTCGCATAGATCCCTGTTCGCAATGAACTTGAGAACCTGCTTTGCACCGTCTCTGAGCGTGTAGCCACAGTCGCCATCACCAACGATCTCGTCGTATCGAGTGATGGTTGCTTCCTCCTTGATGACCGCACCGCACCCATTCTCGATGCGGCTGCGGACTGCATGGTCCGTGAACTTCATGTATCGCGAGTCGATTCTGGTTAGATTGCTGCCCTCGGTGGCTTCGTCGGCGAGTGGATTCGATGGCTCTTGTTGAGCTTCCAAATTCTGATTGGAAATGGGACAGACTGATATTGAGAATCCTCTCGCAAGGTTCGAATGCTGCAAGAGTGTTGATGTGGATAAACGGTAGGCCAGGCCGGCGTTTTCTACCAATAGTCAGTGGTTGGTCTTTCCAGAGTCTTGCTTGCACTCACTAAGGTACGTGGCTATCTCTAAGCCGAGAATGTAATTTTCTAACCTAGACAAGCCGTTGATGTCGGAGCAATGTATGGAGTAGGTGTTGTCGCTTTTCTGACCAAGATGTGGGCGGAGTACGTGCTCCAAGGCTTTCTCGATGGCGTGTCTTGCTTCCCCATAGCCGCCGAAATCTCCTTCGGCAAACGATACTGCAGGTTGCCCATTCTCTTTCCCTGTCTGAAATGTTGATGTCGCAGTCGTCGAGGTTTCGAGGTAAGTCTGCAGAGTCTCCTTCGTCTTCTGGATGGATGATCTTTCGAGTGTGTCAGTAGATGTCCGATAAGCATAGGTCGGCCCCTCCTTACCTTGTTGACTCAGTCGCAGCACCCAGCAGGTGGATCAAGTGGTCCACTTCCAAGTCGCTAGCCACTTCTACCTCCACCACGTCCTCCTTGGTGCTCGCCAATTTTCTCTCCTTGCCAGATCGGAGAACGACAACGCCGGCATTCTGCTGGTGTCCAACCTCATTGATAGCTTTTGCCAGATCCAGGCTTGATGGAACACCATGGCTCTCAGTGTGTGTGACAACAGCTGTGACATTCTTTTCTGAGAGCAGCTTGCTCGAGAAGTTTCCAGCTCTTCCAACAACCACCACTCTCACGAACTTGTCATTCGCTAGTGTCTGGTCTACCAGTACAGTTTGGCCCGAAGGCGTACTGATCACTTGGATGGACGGTCTGATGAGCGGGTAGAGAGATTCCCATCTTGTGGTGTTCTCGACGTCCAGCTGCTCTTTCGCAAAGGGAATGGTTTGCTCGACAACGACCGCCATTGTGAATTGCGGGGTAGATTGCGGGGCTGGTATGGCGTGCCTTGAGGATTAATCACTTGCAAGAATCTGAATGTCGCGGTGCGAGGTGAGAGATCAGGCGCGAGTGCTGTTACAAACGAGTGTACGGGACTACGACCGCCTTTTCTTCCTTGCCCGTGGCTTTCTAACCGCATCAGCACCCCCGAGAGCCGTTGGCAAGTCTTCGAGGTACAGATGCAAGCCTCCGCTACGAAGGCCGCTCGGATTGCCCGATTAGGCATCACCGGCTCCACCCCGCAGTGGATTGTCCGTCTCCCCCGCACCGCGCACTCGGCGATCACGCCGATTGTTGTCGTTCCTTTCGGCGATGCTGCATTTTGTCCTCCGAGAAGAGCTCTCAATCAGGATGGGATAGGTCATTTGGGTAAGTCCGAGGCTGAGGTCTTGGTCAGCTCCGATTTGTGTATATGACGAGCTGGTCTCGCAATTTTCGGGCGTCAACCTTTTTTGTCTCTGCAGGCTTCATATCGCGAAACATCTGATCGTCCATACCTGTGTTCTCTCAATCATATTCGGTATGGCAGCATCAACGACACAATCAGCCACGCCGGCTGTAAAAGAGACGTTCCACTTCATCAACAAGCCAGAAGGTATATCCGGAAAACGGCAGCATCTGTGGCCACGACACTAACATCGCATAGATGCCATCAACGAAGCATTGGCAGGCCTAACCCACATCCACCCAAATCTCTCCTACAACCCCCCCTACAAAATTCTCTACCGCACCGACCTCTCCACCTTCCGTAATACACACGTAACAACAATCGGCTTCAGCGGCGGCGGCCACGAACCAATGTTCGGCGGCTTCGTAGGCCACAATTACCTCTCCGCCTACGTGAGCGGAAACATCTTTGCTTCCCCCACCGCCGCTCAAATCTACGAGGCCATTCGTATGTGTCAGCCCACCGACGGGAGTGAGAGTAAAGGCACATTGGTGGTTTGCGGTAATTATACGGGTGACATACTTAATGCTGGATTGGCAATTACAAGGGCACAGGCTAGTGGCTATAAGGTGAGGTTTGTGCCTGTGGGTGATGATGTTGCTGTTGGCAGGAGGAAGGGGGGTAAAGTGGGGAGGAGGGGTTTGAGTGGCCATCTTGTGGCATTGAAGAGTGCTTGTGCACTTGCTGCCAAGGGAGAAAGCCTGGAGCGTGTGACGGAGGTCATGGAGTATGTGGCTGCAAATGTTGGAACTGTTGGAGTTGCTTTCGACCGGTAAAACACGAAGTTATCTTCATCTCATGAACACCGCTGACAGGTCAACAGTGTCGCATTGCCCAATGCCACTCTCACAGACTTGCAATCTCTCCCACCAGCCACCATCGAACTCGGCATGGGCGCACACGGCGAACCAGGTCTCCGCCAACTCAACCCCATTCCCTCCACCGAAGCACTAACATCCCAAATGCTTGACCTCCTCCTCGACATCTCCGACACCGACCGAGCATTCATCCCCTTCTCCGCCTCATCTCACCCCAAAACCGACAATGAAGTCGTGATCCTCCTAAACTCACTCGGTAGCACAAGCGACGAAGTTCTTGCACGGTTTGCAGAACTCGCTATTGATGAGTTGAAGCAAAGAGGTTTTGTGGTCAAGAGGGTTACGCTTGGGCCTTTGGTCACTAGTCTGAAGATGAGTGGGTTTGGCATTACGATTTGGAGATTGCCACCTGTTGATGGCGAGGCGATGACACGAGAGGAGGCTTTAGAGCTGTGGGATACCAAGGTTGATGTCGCTGCCTGGAGGCAGTAAGGGGTCTGTGAAGATAAGCCACGTGTCGTTTGAAGCCTTGTAACATGCATGATGGCATATACTCGAAATTCACTCCGTCTTATCGATGATACGAGCTGGTGAACGCAGAAAGGCAAGACGACTGTTGCACGTGCACAGCCGTGGACGTGATTGGGTGTTTATACGAGGCTTGCTCACCCGAGTATATCCCGACTGTCAGCCAAAACGACTTGTCCCATTAGACCTTATTCCAATATGTCATACTCCAGATGTGCAGATGATAGACAGAGTCAAATGGTGTTTAAGAAATTACATATCTCTGCCTAGTTGTGGAAGTAGAGGTAAAAATATTGATTGGTTCAAGGTTGAGCCATATGCAGACATACGACCACGACCGACGATCCGCCGACCGGTTCATGCAGCCCAGACGTTGTAACCTGACACCGGCTGAATACAACTATCCGCTCACCGGATCCTTCGTACTGAGAATCACTATACTGTATCCACTTTGTATCTTCGCTTGGTAATGTCATCTTGCTCTCGGTATGCTCGGTCGATCTGCTCGGCATGCTCGGCGTAAGCAATCCTTCTGCTTGGAAATCACTCGTATCATGTCTAAATGATATGGCTAGATAAAAGGAAGAGCTTGTCACACCTTCTGATTCTTGATCAACCAAGAAATCAAGCAGACCCGACGACCGAAAAACACCGACAATGACCTACAACATCCTCATCTCAGGCTCAACCAAGGGTCTCGGCCGCGCTTTCGTGGCCAAATACCTCTCTCGCCCCAACACCACTGTGGTAGCCACAGTCCGCGATCCTTCTACCCAGGAAGCTCAAGCCCTGCACTCTATCTCCAAAGCCGAGGGTAGCAACCTCATCGTCGTCAAGATAGAATCTCGCTCCGACACCGACTGCATCTCCGCAGTCAACTTTCTCCACGACCAAGGAATCTCTCACCTGGACGTCGTAATCGCAAACGCAGGTTTCTACACCGTGCCCAAAGAACCTGCCGTTGCAAAAATCACTGCAGAGGAACTGCTCGATCATGTAAATGTCAATGCTGCAGGACCTGTGCGCTTGTTTCAAGCTACTCTTCCTCTGCTCAATGCAGCCGAGAAGCCCATCTTCGTTTACATTTCGTCCATGGCTGGATCTATCGCTGCGACTGGAGATTTGCCTTTTGGAGTCGGTGTCTATGGTGCTAGTAAGGCTGCTGGAAACTTTTTGGTCAGGAGAATCCATCAGGAGAATCCTGAATTGATTGCTTTCGCAATGCACCCTGGGTAAGCCTTGCGTAATTTCTTTTGACACCGAGTGGGAAAAAAGAACTGATGAATAGGTAGAGCTGTAAAGACGGAGGGCGGTTTGGTGGTCTCTGGAGATCTGGGTATGCTTCAGTATGAGGAGTTCTTTACAACCTTGGAGAAGAGCATTAATGGTATGGTTGGCAAGGTATGTTTGGCCATCTACGTGACCGTAAGGTGCAGGAAGCTGACTAAAGTCAGATCGATAATGCTACCAGAGAGAACAGCTCTGGCAAGTTCTTGTGCTTCGATGACACACCCTTGGAGTGGTAAGGTTGGGGCAAGAGACCTTGACGTCAACTGTAGCCTAGGGCTTTCGGCGAAGGCAGCCTGATCCATACCAGATCGTTCAGCCGTAGGGAAGACGACGAGCATGCTAGCCTGTCAAATAGTTATATCATTGCCTCCATATCAGCAATTTCTAACAGCTTGTTAATCAGGCCTCATTGATTTCGACTATACATACATCAAAAGTTATCTATCTGCCACTCAAATTAGAGCGATTCGAAGCTCTGCTGCTCAAGCTTACGCGCAGCTGCTGTCGCATCGTATCTGACTTGTTTTGCTGCCTCCTAGGCCTCCAATATAGCCTGTGCTTGTTTGGCCATAATAATGTTGTTAATGTTCGCAAATTGAATTAAGTATTTAGATTGACAGGCACCTTCCTACGCCTCTTAGTAGTTAAGTATTGCGATGTTTAAGGGCTACGTAGCTCGCGTTAAGTAAATCTATCGTATAGCCAGCCTTATATAGGGCTTAATATAGTACTTGTTTCTCGCCACTCTTTTTACGAATTGATTTAGTAGCTTAATCTATAAATTCAGAGCTCTTAGGGGTAATAAGAATAGGGTTAGTTTCTTGTTATAGTAGTGGTATAGATGGACGTAGTTTTAAAGCCTAAACCTGTGTTACGATCCACCATTGGCTAAAGGTCCTCACTTGCTAAGACAGCGAGCAGGATGGCTGTGTGCCGATCCTCACGCGCTTGGCGGGTGAGCCGACCCGCCGATGATGTGGTCAGGGTCACCCTAACAGCTCACCCGCTTAGCGAGTGAGCTGCGAGGTGGATCACCACTCCCTCACGCCGTAAGCTGGTGAGCTGCGAAGCAGATCCTCACCTCTTCACCTGGCGAGCAAGTGAGATACTTGTATACACTCATTATAGATAAGGTATATAGGAAGGCAGAACAACCTCCGGTAGTTCTGCGTTCAACTTAATTAGTTATTCTAACAGTCCCTTTGGTATACACTACTACACATACAACCTGCTTCACTTCGCTTGACACTCCGCTTCACGAGTCCAACCCCGTGACTAGTTATTCTTCCTAAGAATAGTTGGCCATAACAGTAGAATTCGAGTCGCCATTTCGCGAGTACGAGCGTACGTAGGGGGGATGCCTTAAGCGTCTTATTCGAGGATCCACTCGATAAGGGACTCCTCTTGTCGAATAGAGAGCCTCTTACGGTATCAGTATACGGTACGTCGATTCATTGTTCTATTAAGACGCGCGCGGAGCGTAGATTCGGGGATGTTGTATACGCGTTTAGCCGCTCGGATCGAATTGACCTCTCCTGTACGAATAGCCGTAACAGCTAGCTCAATCTGAGCCTCGCATTAAGCTATAGAGATGTTGTGGTTGTTGAACAAGTTGAATTAGAAGTGGTTATGTTAACGAAGCGCGTGAGACGCGAGATGCACAGCTGAGGGGGGTGCGCAGCTGATGGGGTCACTAGCTTACTCCAGCACCGTCGTCTTTTCAGCTTGGTCCGATATACGCAGCATACATCCTTCACAAAGATGCCAATGGTATGTCACAATGATGTCTTTGAGCATCAAGATCTTGGTTTTAGTTGCGACGATCGCGCTCGCTGCAACAAGCTCGTACATATGTCATCATGTTTTCTAGAAGATGTATTACCCCGATATTTGGAGAATCTGCTTACAAAATCCCCATGACAAAGCAAGAAGGATAACTTGAATCGAAAAATTTCTTTCAAAAAGTCTCTTGATTGTGCTTTACCTATATAGACGTGTGTGCATCAGTTTCTCAATCTCAAATTGTTCAATCTTGTAAAGATATTTAGCGCCATGTCAACAGCTGCCAAAACCGCCATCTTCCCCGCTTCGGGTGGACTTGGAGGAAGTACTTCCAAGCATCTTCTTGACAACCTGGCGGCGACTGAAATCGTCCTTATCGCTCGCAATCCACAGAAGATCTCGCAAAACTGGATAGATGCTGGTATTGAAACTCGCTACGCAGATTACGACAAGGAAGACTCACTCAAGAATGTCTTTGTTGGAGTCAAACATCTAAACCTTATTTCTTATGCGAGTATTGAACACGAGCATAGATTCGAGGTATGTCTTCTAGATACTTGTACTTGATGGTATTGTTGACAACTGATCAGGTTCACAAACTTGCCATCGACGAGGCAATCCGCAATGGTGTTAGTCACATCACCTATAGCTCTCTCGCTTTTGGTGGTGATGGCAACACAGCTTCTCTGGCATATGTCATGCAAGCTCATCTCGACACTGAGACTTATCTTGCAAAACTTGCGAGCACCAATCTAGACTTCAGCTACACCATTGTGCGCCAAGGTCTTTATGCAGAGAGTTTCCCTCTATATACCGCTTTCTTTGACCTCAAGGACCCTTCTGGACAGATCTGCATTCCTCACGATGGCAAGGGCCCTGGTATCGCATGGGCCAAGCAAGACGAGCTTGGTGAAGCAACTGCAAAGATCATCGCAGAGACCACGAACAAAGGTCGCAAGTCATTATACATCAACCGCACTATCCTTCTTTCTGGTCCCAGAGACTGGTCGTTGGAAGCTTCTGTAGAGGTCTTGGCCACTGCGGCTGGAGTCTCGACCAAAATCAAAGAGGTTACAAAGGAAGAGTACGCTGCTCAACCTTCCATAAATGGTGCTTCGGGCTATGGATCTGGAGAAGCTGGCATTCAATGGGCTACCGCATTTGATGCTATCAGAGCGGGTGAAGCGTGTGTGGCAAGATCTACTCTTGGGGATCTGCTCGGTCGAGAACCAGAGGCATTTGACGTGACGATCTTGAAGATGGCAGTGACCTCGAACTGATAGCTGAGAAACAATGCACCAGAGACTGTTGCAGGTATCTTATGTTTGTATTGATACAGAGACCGATTCACGGCCCACAAAGAAAAAACATTCGCACCTTCGCGAGAGTAATAAAATTGTGTCATGGTTGTGTTTCGATAGTCACCCCAAAGAATCGACACTGGTTCAGGTTCTCCCACTCCGGATCATGCGCTGCAATCACTTCGACACCATCTAATTCGAGTTTACGAATCCGATCAATGGTCTCGGCAGCTGTCTGGCGATCGGCGTGGATGCAACAAACATGACCCTCAACATCGCGCCAAGTTCCAATGTCCTTCTCACCGGTCAAAAGTCTTCGGTCATGGAAGGCATCGCCTGCAAGATATACGTGACGATCATCTGTAACTTTGACCGATATGTTTATATGACCGGCAAGATGACCTGGTGCATCTACAATCAGAACACTGCCATCCCCGAAGAGATCGAGTGTGTTGGGCAGATGTTTGAATGCTGTCAAAGCCCGTGTTGTGTCGAAATTTTGCACGCTGGATTGGTGAGCTGAAGATACCCCTCTCTCCTCCTTCGGATCTGACAGCTCGATAGTTCGGCTTTCGGGCAGTAAGTCATGCTCGAAGAACGGATGGCCTCCTCGCAGTTTGGCTCCCGCCCCACTCCGCAAATCGAGCGCGCCGTAGCCTACGATAAAGATTGAGTCTGGAAAGTCTCTTGGCTCCCCAATGTGATCCCAATGCACCTCGGCGGGTCTCAGCAAATTCAATTCTCTGTTGTCGAGTAAGGACACTCACATGAGAGTAGATCACATAGTCGATATCCCTCGGCGTCAAACCTCCTCTTGCCAAACCTTCGACAACATCTGGACGAGTAGTCATCGGTCGTCTAGTTGTGATGTATTTTCGGATTGGTTCGGCATATCTGTTCGTGTCTCTTCGCAGACCAAGATCGAAGACGATCCTTGTGATGCGGCCAGACTTATTGGCATGTTGTATCAGAAACGCTAGTGACGGTACTGTCCTGCGCGCCGTCTCTACGACAGGAGATATGAATTGATACTCAGGCAAAGTGAAGTGTCCTGCGGATAGTGCGTGAAGAGTAACAGTTCCTGATTCAGAGTCTCTACCGGATGTCTCCATTGCGGAATTTTACAATACGCCGTTCCGGGAAGCGATAGTGTTGCGACAGTCCCAATGCTTTCTTGGGTCTGGCAAGATCGTTGCACACGTAATTCGCCGGCGGAAGAGAGAAGATGCGGGGTTGGTGCCGAAGAGGGGTGGAAGAGGGGCACCGGCAAAGCACTCGAACGTCGGGACACTCGCGACGAACACGACACTCGTACACATCAGAGCGTCGGCCGCCAATTTCGAAGGAGCGCGTATCGAGGGAAACTAATCGAGACAACATGGCCTCCAGCAGTATCAGAAGTTTTGGCTTCGTTGGTCTCGGGCTGATGGGAAAGCCGATGTCGATGAACCTCGCGTCAAAGATGGAGGATCACCAGCATCTATACATCTATGACTTGGCCAAGTCAGTAGTGTCGGAAGTATGCGAGTCAAATCCGCAGCGGATCACTCGATGCCAGTCGGCGAAAGAAGTCGCCGAGAAAGCTGTAAGTGTAGACTCGATCTCGGGGCGAAATAATGACTGACACAGTCAGGACTTTATCATCACTATGCTCCCAGAGGGCAAGCACGTCAAGACAGTCTATATCGACGGGGCGATCAATCTGTGCTCAACGGATCTGAGTGGCAAGACTTTGGTCGACTGCTCAACGATCGATGCTGCCACAACTTTGCTGGTCAAAAATCACATCAAGCAGCACTTCCCTGACACGCCATTTTACGATGCTCCGGTCAGCGGAGGAACGGTAGGCGCCATCAAAGCCACCATTGCATTCTTTCTCGATTGTTCCGAAGCAGATCAGAACCTTCCCCTATTACAAGCGATACTGGGGACGATGGGCAAAGAGATCATCCCATGCGGAGGACCATCTTTAGGTATTGTCTCGAAGCTCTGCAACAACTACCTCTCTGGAAGTATCACAATCGCATCTTCTGAAGCGTTTGATATGGGTATTCGAGCTGGTGTGGACCCCAAAGTACTTTATAAAGTCTTTGGCGCGGGTACAGGGCAAAACACAATTGTCGATAAGTGGTGTCCAGTACCAGGTATCGTTCCAGAAGCGCCATCTTCCAAGGGGGTATCATGGAGGCTTCAAGATACAGTTGATGCTCAAGGATTACACTCTCGCCACCCAGATGGCTGATAGTCTAGAGTCGAGACCAGTGTTAGGACAGGCCGGACTTGAGGCATGGAGAGAAGCTAGTGATGATTCTCGATTCTATGATCTAGACTCGAGAATGATGTACCAGTATATCAAATCTAGAGCAGAGGATAAGCCGTCATGATTTAGTGCAGAAAAGGCCTTGCTACAACAGCACGAAAGTCTTGCTGCGCCATGTGTAACTGTATCAGTCTGTTTCAATGGCCACTTGTAACTTCGGTGTGCGCGTGTTCAAGTATACTGTTGTTAGATCATACACACATTTTCTTTCGGTAGTCGTTGTCGAATAGACAAGGATCAACACAAATGGTCGATGCCGAGGTCTTACCCCACTTTGCATATACGACACCCCGCCTGAGTTGATTGACATCTTCCGCTTGAGACATTTTGATAAAGCAGACTGACCAACTACAACCTCACCACAATTGACCAGCACCAGTACCAAGACTCTTACCTTCTACAACAGCATTCTCCATTGGCTAGGATCTTCATCATGTCCACCGACCCTAAATTCGACACATTGCACAAACAGCTCTTCGAAGAAGGCCTCAAAGTCCGCCGCGCTGTGGTAGGCGATGCTTACATCGACCGCGCACTCGAGAACGGATCAACGGAGTTCTCTAGGCCAGGTCAAGAACTGGTAACTGAATGGTGTTGGGGCTATGCCTGGACTCGTCCTGGTCTGGAGAGACGAGACCGTAGCTTGATCAATATCCCTATGTTGATGGCATTGAATCGTCAGCCGGAATTGGCTGTCCATGTCAGAGGCGCTCGTAACAATGGGGTGAGTGAGCTGGAGATCAGGGAGGCAATCATCCATGCCACGACATATTGTGGTGTTCCTGCGGGAGTCGATGCATTCAAGACTGCAGAGAAGGTGTTTGATGATATGGAAAAGAACGGGGAGGCCAAGCGGGAGCTTTCGGCAAGATCGGACAAGGCATGATGGTGCTGCGATGGTCAAGACGGAGTCGCACCGCTTGAATTCTTTCTCAGCAGACCGGTGCGTAGGTCACGAGGACGATGTCCGAGCGTGGAGAAGATAAGACTGTATCGAAGATGTTGTCAATCTGGTCGATGTTGTCTGAATGGTATGCATAATACTCAGAGTTATCGAGGTGGGGAAAAATGAAGCGTGTGTGGCCAGCAGCGCACGTACGCACAGACCACCCCGACGCGCCCCTTTTTTCGCTCGATGACGGTCCCGCTTCTTACTGCGACCTGCCATTCTTGGAGAAGTGGCGATGTGTATCATTGTTTTACTCCGGAAAGGACCAGGAGGATTCTGTGGCGCTCCGTCGATTGGGTGCTGACAACGCAATCGCAATTCCAGGCAGCAGTCAGTCACGCCCTTAATTCTCACATGCCCTCTTAGGAATTGTCCTCCTTTGCGCATCGCAAGCCTCGTTATCTCTGACACTGCCGCCAACACCGCCGCAATCGTCTCGTGTATCGTCAATTGAGCGAGCCATATACTGTGACCTCGTGCTGCAACTGTCCGACCGGGAGAAACTCAACACGATGTCGTCACCGAAGGCAGAATTGCAGGAGCTTCGCTCTATTCTTAACCCACATGTCGGATCGACTGGTGCAACTAGATTCAAGTCGCGGTATCTGCTATTTCTGTTCGCGGCACTTCTCTCAGCTATGTACCACTGCGCTGGACGAGCGCAATACCTCTTTCCGTTGACAACACGGCATGAAGATGGAACAGTTTGGTACAACCCCGATTTCGACTGGGAAGCCTTGAAACCCTCGACGTCCTTGCAATATGCTCCGTGTTACGATGGCTACCAATGTGCTCGTTTGACTTTGCCCATGGACTACTGGAACGGTACGACAGATGCTACGGTGAATCTTGCACTGATCAAGAAGCCAGCCATCGTGCCTGTCGATGATCCTCAATATGGTGGCGCTGTTATCATGAATCCCGGCGGTCCTGGAGGTCACGGAGTGAAGTTCTTACTCAGAGTTGGAGAGCAGGTCAGCAATTTGCTTGGACCCTCGAGCGACGATGTTGAAGGAAAGTACTTCGATCTGATTTCCTTTGATCCAAGAGGAGTCGGTCTCTCCACGCCCAACCTGGCTTGTTTTGGTAAAAACTCAATCTTGGAGCAAGTTTGGAGCATCCGCAATTGGGAGGAAGGTTCTTTTGGTACCTCCGATGTCGCATTTGGACGCCTGTGGGCCATGTCAAAGGCAAAATCGGGAAGCTGTGCGAGTAATGTCAAAGAGCATGACATCAAAAGATATGTGACAACTGCTTATGTTGCGCGCGATATCTTGGAGATTGTTGAGAAACATGCCGAATGGCGAGAGAAGGAAGTAAGACGACTGTCGACAAATCATGACTGTGCGACTCGTAACGACCGCAACATCCAGACGAGTGACGAAAAACTGCTATACTGGGGCTTCAGCTACGGAACGTACATTGGTGAGACGTTCGCCGCAATGTATCCTCATAGAGTTGGACGTCTTGTGCTGGATGGTGTGGTCGATCCCATTGACAATCTTCAGATTGCAGCATTCACGGACTTGTCAGACACGGAAAAGACGATGGCCTCCTTCTACCACTCTTGTGCCGAAGCGGGCTACCCTACATGCGCTCTGGCAGATCCGAACAACATAACAGACCCCACACTTGTGAGAGAACGTACTCTTGCCGTCATTGAGACGCTCCGGTATGATCCTGTTGCCGTTATAGTTCCTGAGCCAGAAGTCATCACTTCAAACGATCTCCGCATGCTAATATTCTTGAGTCTGTACCACCCGGTGCAGATGTTCCCAATTCTTGCGAAAACTCTTGCCGATCTAGAAAAGGGTGATGGAAGTGGCTCCAGTCAGATGTTGCGACCATACCATGATCTGACTTGTCGGGCGACTGCTTCCATCGATCGAGTCTTTGACGCCGATGCACAACTAGCAATCACATGCAGTGACGGTGACGATCTGACTGGGTACAATCGCACACAATTCGCGAGCTTTGCCGAAACGCTTACGGAGATCTCCCCGACCATTGGCGATATCTGGGCGGCACTGCGCATGTACTGCATCCACTATCCTCTGCGCCCTCAATATCGCTATACTGGACCATGGGAAGCGTCACCAGCGTATCCAGTTCTGCTTATCGGCAACACTATGGATCCTGTCACACCCGCCATCAATGCTTACAAGATGGCCAAGCGTATGACAGACAGTATTTTCTTGCTTCAGGATTCGCCTGGACATACTTCACTGGCTGCCTATAGCAAATGTACGACGCGGTACGTGAAAGAGTACTTCCAGAGAGGTAGCCTCCCATTAGCCAACACCACGTGTGAGGTAGAGGAGAAACCGTTCGGACTCAAAGGCGATGCGAGACAGATTGCCGCTCACACACAGCATATGGACATTGCAGATGCCTTCCTGGAGTACGGACTAGGTATGCGTTTGCTAGGTAGTGCTTAAGCTTACATATTCTGGAGTAATTGCGAGTAATTTTCTCCAATTCCTTGCCTTGTTTCTGGTTACATCCCAGGTCTACCGTCTTCGTTCTCACGCTTCGATCCGGTTCCTGTTATAACGAACATAAAAATGATTCTCAAGGGTTGCATCTTGTACGCTTACTGCAAGACAGTCGTCAGCTCAGTCACTATAATCTGGCTGACCCTTGTCCTCTACTCCGATTCATATTAGAAGATTCGCACAGTGGTTGAGACTGATCGGATGCTTGTTTCATGGATCAGTGGTGTTGTGGATGAAGTTTACGGTTGTCACACGTCGTCGCTGTGGCTCAACTTGCCCGAAATTGCTTACACGAGAACAACAAAACAACATTTGATTCTCTAATGATGATATTCATAGCATCAACAGGGTGAACAGACTTTCGGAGGGGCTCAACCGATGTGGCCCTTGTGATTTTCACGGGCCACTCATACTAAGAGCTGCTCAATCTTGTATCTACTTCTTACTTGCCTACGTCATCGAGAAGTACCAACCCTTCACCGAGCGCTACATACTATCCAGTGCTGGAGTATCAACTTGATACGGTGAGCTGGAGGAACACATAGGATGTTGTCAATGATATGACTATAACTCTGGAGTGGAATTCACCAGTCAAGCGTAAATGCATTGGTCATTTACCCGAATAAGTTACTCTAGACAAAACAGCATGTATTGAAACTTCTTATTTATCAACCATAATCTCATGGTCCTTGTACGATTGATTGTCTGCCTGAGCATAAGTATACGGCGACGGCTCATGGCAGAAAAACGTACTCCACTTGTCAAACTTCTTTAGCTCGTCCCAGTTCGAGTCGATGAAGAACTTGAGAGCTTCATCGTATCTCTCAAGTGGTATATGGATGCTGTACTCTCGTCCCTTTGCATCATTGAACGTCATACAGTTGGGACGCACAGTCTTTTGACAGGTCTTGCGCTCCTCTTCTGTGAGTTCGGCCAAGGTCAAGGTGGTGCTAGTTTCTGTTGTGGGAGGCATCATGATATTGAGCGCGCTTGATGATAAGAACACCGTATCAGTCTGTGGTGTATAAGATGCACTGTCTGGTCTGACGATAGGTTGGGTCAGGCTTCAGGCTGCAGCATAATAACAGCCAGTCACCAGCGTCACTGCTTCACCGCCCGGCAGCTTCGGCCGGGGACACCAACCCTCGGACTCTCGAGGCTTGGATAATGCTTCGGGACTTTGTAACGCCCGAACTGCAAACATTGTATAATCATTGGAATGACGTATCGCAATCGTTCATCAAATTGACCATGGTTGAAGGCCATGGTGATCTCTAGTTGTTTCCCTCCACCGATGCGTGCAGAGCAAAACATTTTCTACCTGCCAGAATCCACGATCTTTCTCTCATCTATTACCCAGTCCGATTGCATGCGCAGGCCTTCGAAACACCCATCTCAACTATGACACCCACAACAAACAACGTCGTTGTAATAGGAGCATCATACGCAGGCTCCAGCGTCGCGCACATCTTTTTGAAGCACATTCATCCTGAACTCCCAAAGAAAGGCGCCAAATACCACGTCTATCTTGTCAATCCTTCGAGGACTTTTTATCATCGATCAGCATCACCACGTGCCGCAGCCTCGTTTGACCTGACCAAAAACATCAAGATGTTTTCTGACCTTCCGTCCGGGTTCAAGCAGTATGATCCTAACATTTTCACCTTCGTGCGTGGCACTGCAACAGCTTTAGATACGGCGCGCCGTTTGGTCAGAGTTGATTGTGCTGAAGGTGATGAGCTTGTCATTCCCTACCATGCTCTCGTGCTCGCCACTGGCACAAGCACATACGCACCAATTCTCAGCACCTACCAGACAAGCCTTGAGGAGCTACAAAGAACTATCCTCGACATGAACTCCAGGGTCAAAGCTGCCAAGTCCATAATTATCGCTGGTGGAGGCCCTTCTGCCGTCGAGCTTGCTGGTGAGATCGGAGAGTACCTCAACGGCGCAGCAGGCTGGTTCTCACAGCGACCAAGCAAGCCTCGAGCGAAAGTCACTCTCATCGCAGGTGCCGGAAAGCTGCTACCGATTTTGGGCCAGGGATTCTCGGAGTGGGCTGATTCTCTGCTCCAGCGAGTCGGTGTTGATGTCATCTACAGCCTTCGCACAAAAAGCACAGAGCAAGCAGCGAATGGTACTACCCTTGTGCACCTAGACGATGGTACGACTATGGAGTGCGATTTGTTCGTCCCGGCGACGGGTGTCAGACCGAACACAGCATTTGTCCCCAAGACCCTGCTGAATGAGAAAGGCTACATCAAGAGCAACGAAAGCACACTTCGAGTTGATGAAGCCGGGCCTCGCGTATACTGTGTAGGCGATGTAGGAAGCTACACCCGCGGCGGTCTGATCGATCTCATCGAAGCCGTCCCAGCTGCAATGACTAACCTGAAGCGCGACCTACTTGCCGCCCATGATGATCCTGATGCGAAGCCGACCGGACCTGACGAACTGTATAAGACCATCGCAGAAGAGACACAACTTATTCCCGTTGGTCAAACCAGAGGTCTTGGAGCTTTCTGTGGGTTCAGGCTGCCCTACTTCATGACCTACCACTTCAAGGTCAAGGATTACTTTGATTGTGGACATGAGTTCGCAAGTGGCTCGAGATGGGTAAAGACGAGAATATAGAACGTAGCTGGAGAATCGATTGCTTTCGTAAAGTTAGAAATAGACATGGCTATTCCTGTGTACATTCGAGAGCCAGTACATCAGTCATCCTGCTTCATGATATCCTCCCAAGGACTCCAACGTCGCAACCCGTAGTCGAATTTCTCATCCCAGCTACCATGGCAGCGGATAGTCGGACACTCATCATCGTCGTGAAACGCACAGTCTATGCAATAATAGTCTCGGTTAAGAAGTCTGTTGTGATACCAAGCCACACGTGCGATATAAGGTTTACACTTTCCATCTGAGCGGAGAAGATCAGTTGCCCATGGCCATCTCCATCTCGCCATAGAGTAAGCTAGTTTGTGGAAGAGTGCGTAGAGCTTTGGCTCCTATGTCAATTTATCGGGTAGTGTGTTTTCCTGGCAGAAAAGCCAGACTTGCTCGAATACCATCTGTGACTCTAGCAGTGCTTTCTCGCGTCTTGATCTATACTTCCAAAAGTCTTGCGATAGCATGTCCATGATCTTATAAGTGGCCAGTATGCTTCGAGAAGGCACTCTGTACTCCACAGCGATGAGGTAAACATTGATGTACCAATCCAGCCGTGAGTCCATGAAAGATCTTTAGACAAAGGGATCCGCATAGGTCATACCATAGATGTAGCGCAACATTACTTGCACAATTTCGTCGTCATGGCCTTCCATTGTATAATCATCTACCGTTGTAAAGGGAGAGCCTTCCTTGAACTCGTTGCGAAAAACGCGTGATCCCCTTACTCTAGCTGCTAGGAGCTTCCATGGGCGTATATTTTCGTTTCGCCAAAGTGGCCAAAGCGGATAAGGACGTTGGGTTAGAAATTGTTGTTGTAGTAGTGTGGTGGTTCGACTTTGGTCACATATTCGATGATCTTCTTTAGCATGACGATTGGCGGAAGAGGTCGCTACCGTCTCCGATGGTTTCTCATTTTCAAAGAGAGTATTAGCGGGAGGGAAGTCTATGATCGGAAATGAGATGGAATCCCGAGATTTATGTTGGTCGCGGTTTCCCTGTTGAGTCACCGGAGTTCTGTCACCGCAGCCCGGCTTCATCGATAAGTCCGATTTGATAGTGCTTGTGACTCATGGTGAATGATACATCAATGTGCTTGTGACTGACGGTGGACAATACATCAATGGCAGACTGCTTTGAAACTCGCTCGACTTACCAACTTGCTGCGCGAATTTGCTAGGAAGTTACTGAACCCAGATAAGTTCCAACTATCCATTTATCAACCTCCAGTCCCAGAGACAATCCGCGACCATGATAGCATGAAACACGACGTGAACCATCACCATGCCAATTCTCATGAACACATCCCAAGCCGAATAACGAGTCTCGGACATCATTTGAGCAAGAAGTTCATGTCTCTCACTGTTGCTCACGAACTTCTGACTCGGCGTGATCTGTCCATCATAGTGTTCATGTCGCGTGTCTTGAGTTCAGCCATCAACCTGGTAGGCAGCAGATTCAGGTTCACTGTTGATGCACTGTTTCGCGACAGCTCTGAAGAGAGAATCGTCTAGAATCATTTTGTTTTGGTAGAGGTCGACAATCAGTTCGAGAACCTCTTCAGCAACTTCTTCGCATGGTTGAGAGTTTGTCAAAACTGCATAGATACATTGCTCTGATGTTAACGATACGATCGGAAGCGATTGAGCCCAGGTCTGGCGTACTGTATTCATTCGGAATGAAAGAGACAGTAAGGTAGTGATCAAAAGCATTACCTTGTCGCAATTTGGTGCGTTACGATCTATTGCTTCCCAAACTTGCGAGCTTCCGAATTCGATATTGTTGTTTGATCATCTCATGGACTGCTTCCTTTGACATAGTCCTCAATGTCGTTGTATATCATTACTTGTGCCTTATGGTATCTTCCTCGCGTTAGCTCTAATAATCCGTGTAATAACACTCTTCTAGCTTAATACAATAATCTTAATCATCTCTATCATCCCGCGCAATATCCTCGTACATGCTCTTGGCCTCGTTGACCTTTGCCACGAGAACCATGTACTTTGGATTTTCAGTCTTACATTCCCACTCATCCATGCCATAGCCCCTGTCGCACTTGAAGGTTGTCTGCACCAGATCAAAGAGGTCGGAATGGTCCTTGTTTTGTTGACCGCTGTATTCTGCCAATTCATCGAGCAAGTAGATGTTTTCCAGTGCGTTTTCTTCGCAGGAATTCACCACCATGTCGAGAATAGTATCAGCAACCGCGTCATCATTTCGCTCGAGGGCTTGTTCTTTATACTTGTTAATGTTGTGCACGGCATCTCTTCTTAGCTCATTAATATCATGCTCATCAGCCAAGAGAAACACTTCTAGGCAGAAGTCGACGTCATCTGCCATGATATCTAGAGTGGTGGTGCTCAGGGTATTCCAGCTATGCTTGAGAAAGGGTCTATCGACGTGTTTGTATGCTATACAGTGGAGCATTATATCCACTGCTTCTTTACTATACCCTTGGATGTCGTAGGAATGTATAGCTGCACTGGTCCAATCACTAGAGAAGGCCGCTTCGAATGCTTTGGATGAAGAAATTAGATATTTCTTGTGGGATAGTCGTGCCTTGCCATCAAATTTTAGCAAAGCACCAGTCGAGATCTCGTCTAGGTATGTGGCGGGCTGTGGTGGAGGCGCAAGTTCTTCATTCAGGCGGCAGCTAATGGGAGGGCATTTAGGCGCGCAGTCGGTGACAGTCTCATCATGGTAGGAGATAAGTGCGGGTGCAGTCGTGTAATCGGTGGCAGTCTCGTTAAGGTAGGAGATGGGAGGCTTGAATTTCGATGTGTTTATGGTAAATGTGGAGCACAACTCAGGCTCAAGGTCGACTAGATCGGAAGCAGAAGTGAAAGTCGGAGGCTATATTGTCGAATTGTTGGTGATGGAAGCAGAGCACGACTTAGACTTAAGGGCGATCAGATCCAAAGTAGAAGTAGAAGACATTTACGAAAAATATGTCCTTAATCAAACAGGCCGCAGCGGAAATCATCATTCTCCATATCATAAGCCTCACCCTCGACTAGCGACATCTTGGCAACAAGTATGTCTCGCTTTGGCTCCTTGGTCGTGCAGTTATAGTGTGCTGTATAATATCTTTCTTCCCAATCACAAATACGGACTTCCTTGATTTTGCAACTGTCCACAAGAAACTCAATCTCTCCATACCTTGTGACGCAGTATTCTGCGATTGCATCGATGAGCGCTTGGTCTGCAGTCTCATTATCGTTGTAGAGATCGACTGTTTCGGTCATTATGCTGCGAACGATCTGTTGTGCACCAAAATCGGTGGTGCGATTCCTTCGAGCTCGTTCATACCAGGCGAAATCTTCAGCCAAAACCCGTATAGATGCTGAATTAAAGGCATATACTGCTTCCTTTGGGTGATCTTCAAAGTTGAAGGACTCCATTTGCGCAAAAGTACCGAGAAAAGCAGCTTTAAAGACGTCCGAGGCTTGGATCAATGCAAACTTATGCGCGTAGACTTTCTCGTCCCCGGATACTAGTGTAATGTCAGATAGCTGTTAGTTACTGTACAAGTGTTGCTGGCGTTGAGAGAGACGCTACTATCGTTCGCTTTCAGGATTGACTTTTAAGTAGTTGGTTGTGTGCAGATGAACAGTCGGTGATACTTTAAGGTTGAGGTGCATCAGATCAGCTTGATTGTTTGCTTTGCCTTATCATCAGATCAGGAGAGTACTGTGAGTCATTGGAATAAACATGGTCATTAACTCTCCGCAGATGTTGTCACTGCATGCAACTCTTTCTTTGCTCGAGCAGATACTCTTCTCAAATATGCTTAGCTGAAGTAAACATCCGAAGGCATCTTTAGCCTCCAGGCTACTGTAGAGATGACGAGCTTTCGTTATTGTCAATAATATTCTGTTTTAGATGGTTCAACTAGTGACTGACATTGTACCCAAAACGACTTGAAGAAAGTCCGTGAAGTAAACGTCGTGCAACAGTCCTCCACCCATCCAAGACTTTCGGAAGCTGCACTGTGGCGCAGCATCAGCGCACTGTGCAATCTGCATAAGCTCGGCATAAGCTCTCTTTTGCACCTTCCGACTCAGATCAAGGGACAAAAACACACCAGCTTTATCCGGACTGCCCTGCCCATATGCAGGAAACATCATCACCCTTCTTACGGCTATCTCAAGAAAAAGAAACGTCATCACACTTTTGTCTCCAAGAGTTTAACCGCCCCCCATTGACTTTTAGCATCCACCCCCCGCATCACGACTATAAAACATGTTGGTATTCCTCGGTTGGCAATTATTTATATACTAAAAGATCCAACTTCCCCACTCCTCGACCTCCTTTTTACGCAGAAAAACATCTCACCTTATTTACAAGAAAAATGCCTGTCTACGTACTCACCGGCGCCAATAGAGGCCTCGGTCTCGAATTCGTGCGTCAACTCTCCGCAAACAGCAACAACAAGATAATAGCAGCCGTACGCTCCCTTTCTAACGACTTGACCGATTTGAAAGCTCTCAACGACAGCAACAAAAACATTCATATCTTAGAATGCGATACTGGCGACGTAAACAGTATAACATCTTTTGTACAAGCTTGTGCAAATTTACTCTTCGACGACGGCCAGAAAATCGACTTTTTACTCAACAACAGTGGCATCAATGATGTGCCTGAGCAAACTTCTCTGTCTATTGGTGAAGAGGATTTGGCAAGACACATCAGCATCAACGTCCTCGGTCCCGCAAAAACAGTCCAAGCCTTCCACGCCTCCTCCCTCCTATCCCCCAATGTCAGAATCCTAAACATGACATCAGGACTCGGTAGCATGGAAAAATCGGCAACCATGACACCTAGAAAATGCACAACTTATAGTATCAGCAAAGCTGCTCTGAATATGCTTACTGTGCATCAAGGCGAGGAGTTGCGGGAGAAAGGTTTGCCGGGTGCGGTGGTGATTTGTATGGATCCTGGGTGGGTGAAGACGAGGATGGGTGGGGAGGATGCTTTGATAGAGGCGGAGGAGAGTATCGGTGGTATGTTGCGGGTGTTGCATGGATTGAGCAAGGAGGATACGGCGAGTTTTTGGACATATAGTGGGGAAAAGGTGCCGTGGTAGGTGGATAATTGATGTATGGTGTGTACTCGACACAAGGCATGCACCTTTTGCAGCTTTATAGCAATGTGCTGGGAAGGAAAAGAGGTCTACAATCTCAAAGATCTGACTTAATCTACCATCCCTGACAGATCTCACTCTCTCTCACAACCCATTATCCTTCTTGAATTTATCCCAAGCCTCATTCAAGGTACTAAACACACTCCCACTAATCATCTTCTGCTCCGTAGTAGCAGTCTGAGGAATCTGTTACTTTACGTCAGCATCTCCTACACTCCAATCTCGAAAAAACGAAGCCATCGCAAAGGTGTGGGGGGGTTTTTCAAAAATCATACCTTATCAGGATGCACCTTGGCAATCGCCTTCATATACACAATCTTGACTTTATTCGCCATGATCAAATCAGCCATACTGACCTTCTTCCAACCAGCCTCTGGCCACAACACGGTATCAAGACTCTGCAGCAAAGCTCGCAGATTATCAGCTTTCCCGCCTTTCCACGCTGTCACTTTTGCAGAGACTTGATCGGAGAGGGCGAATTTTTCATCGTCGGCTTTATCGGCGGCGGCATTCGCTTCTCGTAGCTTGCGAACTGCTTCTTGAGATTGTGCGGCTGGTACTGCTGGGCGAGCAGGTTGTGTGAGATGGCCTGCTGGTGTTCTGGCAGCAGGTGTGGACGTAGGTTTTGGCTTTGTCTTCGCAGCAGCAGGGGCGGGTTTTGCAGAACCACCCGTCGCAGCTTTTTCGCAGCGGTCGCGAGCGCGTAAACTCACAGCACCGCCTACGCCAGCGGCGATAGCATCTTTCCACACAGCAGCCGCCTCGGACCATTTCTCCATATTCTCCAGGGCTTCGGCTTTGCGCATCAGAGCTTTGCCGTAGAATTCCTTCATGTCCTTTTCGCCTTCGCCGTTGCCGAGGGAGATTGTTTCATTTTCGCCTTTGGAGACGCCGATGAGGGAGAGGGCACGATCTGCGTCGATGATAGCTGCTTTGGGATCGCCGGTTTTGATGGCTGTGAGGGCTCTGTTGGAGAGCACTATGATTATAAGAGGATGGGTAGGTGGTAGTGGTGTGAGTGCTGCAGAGTATGAGGTATGCGCTGCATCAAAGTCGCCTCGCTTAAAGGCATCTGTACCTGCACGGCGATGGTTGCTGGAAGTTGAGAGTGCGGATGGGGAGATAGAAGGGATGTTTCGTGGAGGGGCTTTGGGTCGTGGAGCTTGTGGTATTGGTGCAAAAGGTTTGGCTGCAGCAGGACGAGGAGCTGGAGTGGACCTTGTTGTCGTAGGCTGTGGTGGAGGCTGAGTGGGTGCTGGGCTGAACAGGTCAACCTCGGGCTGTGGCTCTGGTTGGGGTTCAGGTTTGGCGGGTCTTCTTCTTCTTGCAGAGCTGACATAGGCCTGTGATGACTCTTCCTCAACATCAAAGCGACTAACTTTGGTGTTGGGACGCTGAGCCTGTGGAGGAGGTGCTTGGTGAGCAAGTCGTGATTGCGGTTGAGTACGCACAGGCAGATCTTGAGCAGGCGATCGGACCCTGGAATCTGGTCTAGACATGGGTTCTCGTATCTCTGGAGTGCGCGACTTTGTTGGTCGCTGTCTGTCGTCTCTAGCCTCCAGTAGCATGGCCTCATTCGTCAACTCCTCAGCTGTTTGTGCAGGCGCCGATGTGCGAGGTGTCGAGGAGCGACCAGGTCGAGGAGCAGCCGTGTCTGCGCTTGCATCCCTCATCCACTTGGGTGTGCTCGAGTCACCTTCAGGTTGTTGGAATTCGGCGACTGCTTTTTTCAAGTTCTTTTGACCAGTCTTCCACAGAGAACCTGCAGACTTCAATAACGATGTACCAAACTCTTGTGCATATGCAGCGACGTCCTTATCTGAGTTTGGCGTTCCGTTGTCCTGTCTCCGCTGGTTCGAAGTCGGGCGTGATTCCTGTCGCATCCAAGCAGGCATCGAAGCATCCTCAGCTCCTCTACCGCGTTGCGCTTCTTCGCGAACTTGAGGCGCTGGACTCGCGCGAGCACTGCCACGGTTTTGTGTCCTTTCCTTCGACTCTTGGTGTGCTTGGTTGAGTAACCATCCTACAGCTGACTGCACCTCTCCTCCCGTCGCTTGCAAAGCAGCGCGCGATCTGTCGGCGGGGAAGCCCATGTCGACCAGTTCGGCAATCGGACGATCAAGCGGGTCAGAGGAAGGAGGCGAGCGGCGGGTGTCTACAGCGAAGGCTTCATCCACAGGCTCGCGTCGAGGAGGATCGCGATGGGGCGGCTTCGCAGTCACAGGCTTCCCGAGGTCACCAAGAATATCGTCATCGTTGTTGTTGGAGCTTGCCGGAGGAGGTTGATAAGGGCTGGGCTTTCGCTGTGGGGCGGCACCCAAGCCAAACGGATCGTCGTCGTCGTCTGCGAGCAGAGCAGCAGAGTTGTTCGAGTTTGCGAAGGCTGGAGTGTTGCGACCACTGGTGACAGTAGAGGCAGCAGGTACGGGGAAGTGGGATGACTTGTCTACTGGGGCAGCCGAGTTGAAGGCGGCGAGGATGTCGTCTTCGTGCTCTTGGGCAGGAGGGACGGTGCGCTGCGCGGCTGGCTGAGGCGTGCCCTTTGCACTGCCTAGATTGTCCCAGAAGCTGGCCTCGTTTCCGTACTGCTGAGCATATCTCGCACGCTGTTCCTGCTCTTGCTTGGCCTTCTCTTGCTGCAGCTGCTTCTGTCGTTCCAGGAGACTCAGGTTGCCTTGATTCTTGTTCGCGTTTGTAGACACGAGGTTTGCGAATATGTCGTTGCCTGGTGATGGAGCTTTTGCGGGAGCCTTGGGAGCTGGGAGGTTGCTGGCGAATGGCAAAGGAGCCGGACTGGCACGCGAGCTTGATGCTGCACTGGGAATAGACATGGGCATGCCAAATGCCGGTCGAGGGACATTCTGCTTGGCTGCAGGCGCCAGAGCCTTCCAATCCGTGTTCAAGAGATCGTCCATGTTGAGCCTCACTGTCGAAAGTCTGCAGACATAGGAAATGCTTTTTTGATGGGGATTGGTTTGCTATTCCAGGTTGCTACGAAACACATGGCTCCGCCGTTAAATCGGCGTCATTGGCTAATTGATGCACAAAGGGGTCCGTGTCAACAAATCTGGGGTCGTTCGGCAATCCTTCCCATTTCAGCTCATACCATTGTCCGGCTAAATGTTGCAACTGTCTTTGATTTGATGCCGCTTCCTCCTGCTCAACCAACCTTCACGAATCACCATCAAGCAGGTCTTCTACCTTCTCAGCCTCGATGTTGAACATGGATATGAAACGCTCACTCTCTGTCCACAACACTAAACATCACAATCAGCCAACGCCCCATCTTCTGCCCATTAGTACTCACCTGTATCCCTTGGCCATTCCCCAGATCGACGTGTCCTTGCTACATTCCAAGTCTTTCTCCTCATCAAACCCATGAGTATTGATATAGCAGTTCCAGAAGTTGTTTGCTGGATATATTGATTGCACGTAAAGGAACACGCAATTTGCTTGTTCTGACCTTTGGATTAGCTGGGTTCGACAAAAGGTAAGAAGCAGCAACATACTCATGCAAGTAGCTTTGCAAATATTCGTGACTTGTTCTTCGGTCATTGTTGCGACCATGAAGGTTTGTGCAGAGGCCATGCCTATGTCATCGCAACCCGCTTTGGGACCCCAGACTTGGGTAAAGGAGGGAGCTGCCTTTTCGACTGTTATGATAGACTGTATGGACACGGTTTGCGTGCTTGATTCGGTTACTCGAGGAGCCACGGTAGACCATACTTCTGCCGTCATTGTTGTGGTGGAAGGTGATACTGCTAGCATGGCTGCTTCGACAGAGGGCAAGGCCCCGATGCAAGAGCATGCTTCTGATAGCTCTGCATTGTCGAGTCCAGACAGTATGTTTTCAGCTGGACCGCATGCTGCTACTCTGCTTACTCTTCTGCTCTCTGTTCTGACGGCGGAGGTCGTGAAAGTGGTTGCAGTGCTTGAGGACACGATCGACTTGGTCGAGATGACCGTTACAGTACTGGTGGGCACATCGGAGAGCGTCGTTGTCCTAGATATAATTTCCATCGAGGTGACAACATCATGAGATGCAACGCTGAGTGCCGATGAGCAGTATGCAGAGGCCGCCGCGTTCGAGGCAAGGCAAGAGTAAGCTGAGAGCTGACAGCTTGCTGCATTGGCTGACACAGACAAAAGCGTCGCTATTGTGAGAAGTGCTTGTCGCATCTTGGATGAATTCTTGAACATTTGCAGCTGAAGACAGGCGAAGCGGCAGAGGAATCTCAAGCTGTGATATGGAGGAAGGAGGAGAATATAGGTTTTATTGATGGTATATGCGACAAGCAGCTTTCATGTTACTCAGTACTCACTTCTCAAGCCCATTCACACATGTGAGACACCAAAGGGAGATACAGCCAGGCAATACGAACATCCCGTCGTGATGGGCTGTCGTACCACTCCGGGACCACGAGCTCTAGTGGTGGTCCTGCACTCCTGCATTTGCTGCACCACTCGCTGCTCTATGGTAGGGACGCATCCTGCCCCTCACCATTATCTGGACCTGCAATTGGTGCGGCACTTGAGAGAAATGCGACAAAACACATTGCCGTTCCCTTCACATGTGTTTATCTTCGGATGGCCGCGTGGCCTCGAAGGAATTGCGTCCTGGCCTGTTTCGTGGTAATTGTGGCTTTGCATTGATCAAGTGTCACCAACCCAATGGACATGGATCTGCGAGGATTGGCCATGCATAAACGTCAGGAACGCCCAGCCGCAAGACGATGTGAAACAGAATCACATGTGCTTATAGGCATTTGTAATTGCAGTGTAGCGGAGCCACCCCGCATTTGTGGTATGATGATCGATAGAAGACCACTCGATTGGTGATTACATAAAGCATAGTCAGCAATATTCGGAATATCAGTATCATGTCAACGCCGTGCGATCAGCAGGACAGCGAAACAGCCAAACCACGAGGCGTTCTAAGCTATCATTTCTAGCCATCAGGTAGAACATGCGGCATGTCATGTAACGGAGACGGCATTCCTGATCATATTTTCCAGACCAAATGGATCAGAATCGATTATTTGAAGCTCTGCTTTCACATTGAGCATCAACATGACCTGCAACTCGCGACGCCATTGTGCTGCTTCATCGTGGTCTGACGATGGCTGCCAGTCAAGCATCTTTCTTGCTTTGTGGCGATCTCTTCTGGTCAATGGCATTAATCCTTGATTCCGATGGGTGTGGTCTTCGTCCGAGATATCCCGACTACGCAGACCCATCCATCGGATCGTTGGTACGACAATTGTCGCATTCTCTTCCGACATGTTTTTCGAGCCGTGCTTGTACGTGTGTAGGATTGCCATGCCGTCGGGATCGTAGTCCACGAGACCAAATACTGGAGGTTCCGCGAAGCCGTTTCGAGGTGTAGCGGCGCTCATGAAGTAAGTCATTGCTCTGGTCGCTATATCCGGATACCCCTTGCCCTTGTTGAAAGTGTTAGATTTATCTTCCCATACCTAGCTTCAATGCAATATCTTACGGTGACGAGAACAGCATGCCACATCATTTCTTCCCAAACTTCGGAAGAGATGACCGACTGGAACGTCGCCTGGGAGAGTCAACGTGGATTCAACGAATCATCGGCCAGCATACTTACTTCTTTCTCAATGACGAGCACCCACCGGACACGGCTCAGATCTACGGAAAGGACATCTTCCATGCTTGGCACAAGGATGCCACTCTGTACGTTGACAAGCTCAATTTTGGAGCCATCTCTTCGTTGTATTATGGCAGCACCGGCCATGAGGCCTTTCACACCGGCAATCTACACTGTTTAGTGGGTTGTCATAGGCTGCGATAGGGGTGTGCTCACCACATTGAGAGAAGCTCTTGATACTGCGAAAGCGGCAGCAATCTGGTCGACGTAGCGGTCCACAGTCGATTGCCGGCCGAAAAGAGCTGGGTCGCGATAATACAGATCACTGTGCGGGACTGTCAGCTTGAAGCTGCTTGTCTCCTATTTTACCTTACATGCCGCTTGGTCAACGTAACACCATCAGAGATTGACTCATGAATCAACTCGAGGATTCGGACTACCACGGCTGAAGCAATGTGTCAGTACGAACTCAGAGAAGGCTCCTCATGGCACCGACAGAATCGCCAAGCCTCGGTAGCAGTCTTGCCTGGGAAGGTGAAGATGGCTTTTGGCCCTTGAACAGATGTGGCTTCTAATGCGTTTGAGAGATTAGCAGTGAGAGAGATCATAACATCAGCTCGTTCGTTGAGAAGAGCATCTGCTATGGTCTCGAAGACTGCCTCAATGCGAACCATGACGCTGTCAATCTCGCTCGGACGGCGGAGTTGAGGGCCGTCCGAAAGAGAAGGATCTTGGTCGTCAGGAGGAGATAGATCGGACTCGAATAGCATATCATGATCAGAGTCACCTGTCATCTCGTCCATATTTGTGCGATTGCGTGCAAGAACAAGTGATTACATGGGGTCTGGAGAAGATGCACGAAGGGCGGAAAGTGGAAAGCGCGAGGCGGGGAAGGCGGAGAGAGAGGCTCTTTCCAACAGATTGGCTTGGCGCGGGTCGGTCGCGTCCCTAGGCAGTTACGCGTTTCCAACACTTTCTGTATACCAACACCTGGACACCACCGAGCCACGACTCGCGACTTTTCAGTCACGCATCTCCGAATCTTGCCATCCCTGCAATCACCATATCGACAAAGCCATCGGCTGTCACAAAACCAATCATGGCGGAAGCAATGGAAATCTCATCGCCAGACTACACGCGCAAGCGATCATTACCAGACGACGACCAGACTTCTGTATCCAAGTCAGAAAGCCAAGTTCCGACTCCGCCTCTCACCGCAAGCCCCGCCAACAAGGACTCGATTCGTCAAGGCAGTCCAGCTCCAAGCAGTTCGGCCTTGAGCAGCGCTGCATCGGCTGCCGACGACAAGCATGTAGATCCAAATGCTCCACCAAAGAAGCGCAGAAAGCTCACACCTGCCGAGAAAGAAGAGAAGCGTCTGGAAAAGGAGCAGAAAGACAAGGAAAAGGCCGAGCTGAAGATCAAGAGAGACGAGGAGAAGCAAAAGAAGGACGAGGAGAAGCGTCGCAAGAATGAAGAGAAGGAAGCAAAGCAGCGGCTAAAGGACCTGCAGAAGGCCAAAGAGGATGAAGAGAAGCTGAAGAAACTACGCGTTCGTTCCACTTCTCCTTGCTCGTGTGCCGCCTACATGCTAACTCCACCTAGGCACAACCCAAGATCGCGTCCTTTTTCAAAATGCCACCGTCCCAAAAGTCACCAGCTACTCCGACGCCAGTCCAGCCGTCTCCTGCCAGACAAGACAGCACAAGCTCACAACCCATCGACGCTGACGTGTCTGTGATATCCCCAACGCCGAAAGCATCACCCAAAGAGAGCGACTATCGCAAGATGTTCTTGCCGTTCCAGCTCAAGGCACACACCAAGTGTGCCCCAGTCGTCCCTCGGCTCGCCCTTGACGAACACGCTTCTTCGCAACAAGAGATGGACAAGATCTTACAACACAACTCAACCACTACCACAACTCCCACATCGGCTCTCAACTCTCTCTTTCTTGAAGAAAGCACCCAATCACGCGGTCTCTGGCAGCCTACTGCTCGAGAAGTCATCGAGTCTCTACAAGGCTCGTCACAGATTCCCATCGACCTCACGGACGAATCGGGTGAACACTACCGCCCGAGAGATCTACTCGACTCGCTGATTGTCCGTCACCTCCACTTCGGCGAGGACGTGAGACCGGCCTACTATGGCACCTACTCCCGCAACAAGCTCTCTCCAACTAATGCCGCCAAACTTCGGAGGAACCCATTCAGCAAACTCAGAGAGGATACTGACTACGACTACGACTCTGAGGCCGAGTGGGAGGAACCGGAAGAAGGAGAAGACATCGGCTCTGACGGCGAGGATGACGAGGAGAGTGTGGGCGACGCGGAGGAGATGGATGAGTTCTTGGACGACGACGCTGCCGATCACAAGAGACACATGATTACTGGTGACCTCAAGCCCGTCAGTACAGGTCTGTGTTGGGAAGATGGCAAGGGTGAGCTTGACTCTGACTCGACTGAGGAGTGTCCTGTCGATCTCGACAGCATGAAGATTGATTTCTTCATTCGTAAGTCCACAGTCGACATGTTTGGTGAATTGTTTCTGACTCTTTCACAGCCCTCAGCCAGCCTTCTATCAACCCCTTTTCCACATCATACTGGCAAACACCTGTGACGCCGGCTGCTGTCGCCTCCAAGGTCATCAGTGGTCAGTTACAGCTCAACGGCAAGATGAAGCCACCCAAGACCCCTCTGATGCCACGGTCAAACACCAATGACGCCATGACCATTGTCGGTGCTTCTACCGGGATGAAGGGTCCTATCATGAGTGTGGCCTCCACCAAGGCAGCAAAGCCCGCTCCTAAACCTCTCCAGGGTCCGGACTTGGCCGAGTTCAAGGACGCCGTTGACGGCAGCAACCTCACAAAGATCGAGCTGCTGAAAGCTCTGAAAAAGAGGTATGTCATCCAGTCATGATCTTCTTTCTCAGACGCTAACCAGACAACAGATTCCCCAAGCACACCAACGACGTTATCAAAGCAACCTTGTCACTTTCTTTCGCTCGAGTCGGTCAATTCGAGGCCGACAAAATCTGGAAGGCAGTTGCTGCATAGACTCAAAAACACACCACTGACGACCTTTTGCTGATTCTCGCTTTTCTCTTCTTCTTCTTCGACGACACATTACAATGTCGCAATTGCTGTTTTACTGGAGCGTTATCATTGGAGCAACATTCATATCTCAAGATGAGAGGTTTTGTAAACCAGCCGGCGAGCTGGTCTGTACTGGGACATTGTAGTCCCCATCTTGGCGTTTTCGACAGTATGCTCAACAAAAGCATTGTCATAGATGAGCACATATTAAAGGTGTTCATACCTCTTTTCTCACTCTGTGGTGTGCGAACAGGACCATATATAAGTGCTGCTTTGACATGTCTCGATTGCTCAGGATTACCGTGTATTGACGCGTGTAAGCGCGTCATTGATGTCAATTTAGCAGGATCTCGATTGGTTTTGCTTGTTCCAATGCTATGACGTGGTGGTCTGCCGGTCTTGAATCTGATATTGGAGGTGGCTGGGAGAACAGGGTGATACCATGTACAAGGCTTTTCGATGTCGACGATGGCATTGCAACAGCACCGCAAGACTTGATACATTCTCTACTGTCTCAGTCCATCCAGGGTAAATCCCCACGAACAAGAGCGAAGTCTCGTCATCATTTGAGCTTCTGTTGTTGAGCTATTCTCGAAATGAAGTTTTCAGAATGGCAAGTTTGGAAAATGGACACGGAAGTGTTTCCGGAGAAGTCATTGAGCAGAAAATGGATGGGATAGAGCTATCTTGACTGATATGAAGATAGAGATCATCGGATCTATATGAATTCGTATAGATGCCTTTCAGGAGAAATCTGTAGCACGTCCTAGGCAGGACCCAACTTAATGTGGGTTGCCGAGGTGGCTATAGATAGTGACAGGGTGATGGCGCATACAACTATGAGGTCATCGCTCATCGCTCATGTGTTTTAGTTGTCGGGCCGAGTCTCATCTCTCCAAATCAACAAGTCGGGAGTCTTCGTTGTCAATCCTCAAGTCACAACACTCGCAGCGCATGAACAGATTGAGTGCTCTTACAGAGACGATAGTGTCTCGAGATGATGGCAGCCATGCCGCTCACATCTCAACCATCACTCTGGGAGCCGCCATAGCCTGCACAGTCTGGTATGCCGCAGTCTCCTTAGTTTGCGCCGTAGGCTATACACAGGTGTGAGTATGTTCAATGAGGATATCCATACGCCAAATTGACTCCGAATAGACGGCGACATTACTCGCATCCGCCAGCGAAAGCACAAGTCACCAATTCCGACGCTCCTCACGTCACCATCATCCGCCCTGTAAAAGGACTAGAGCCTGCTCTTTACCAATGCTTAGAGTCAACCTTCCTCCAGGAGTACCCGAAGGAAAAGTTGACTGTCTTTTTATGTGTGGCCGATCGCGAAGACCCCGCCTTCCCTGTGCTACAGCAACTCATCAAGGACAATCCGAGTTTCGACGCCCATGTGCTTGTTGAAGAAGAGGACCCAGAGCTTCAGGGAGATGCTGCAGACACAAGGCTTGGACCCAATCCGAAAGTCAGGAACATGAGTCGAGCTTACAGGGAAGCCAAAGGCGATGTCATCTGGATTATCGATTGCAATGTTTGGGTCAATAGGGGCGCTTGTGGCAGAATGGTCGATACCTTGATCGGCAACAGAGGCATCAAAAACAAGTTTGTTCATCTGCTGCCTCTTGTCGTGGATATCGCAGGTACACCCGTTCCGGAGAGTGCCCAAGGTCTCCTGGAAGGCCGCGACCCTGACAGCAACACACGCGTAGTCTCTACCAGTACCGCTGGACACCAATTGCGGTCTTCCGACAATGCCTCGCTAAACGTCTTGAGCGAAGGAGGCGGGAGAATCGAAGAATTGTTCATGTCATCGGCGCATGCGAAGTTCTACACCGCCATCAATACTGTGCTGATCGCTCCCTGCATTGTCGGCAAATCGACCATGTTCCGCAAATCACATCTTAACAGTCTTACTGGTGGACAAGGTATCGATTACTTCTCCGAGAACATTTGCGAGGATCATCTCATTGGAGATCTACTCTGGAAGGGCAAGGTTCCGGAAGAAGAGCGTGGTGAGAAATGGGGCAAGCATGCTCAAGTATTTGGTGATTTGGCGATTCAGCCAATGGCTGGTATGAGTGTGGCTGAATATATCGCTCGTCGAAGCAGATGGCTCAGAGTGAGAAAGTTCACGGTCACATTGGCCACGTTTGTTGAGCCTGGCACAGAGAGTTTCTTGTGCTCCCTTTATGGTGCTTTTGCATTCACAACACTGCCATTCTTCCACCACAAGCTCGGCGTGCCCCAAACATGGACAGCTTTCGTGTTTTTCTGGGCGATCAGTGTGTGCACCTGGTGCTATATCGATTGGACGCTCTACTGCAAACTCCACTCTTGCGCATCCGTCCAAGTCGACGAAAACACACCATCATTCGCACGTCCTCCGAAAGAAGGAAAGCAACGACCATTTGTTGTCTGGCTATTCGCATGGCTCGCGCGAGAAACTCTGGCACTTCCAATCTGGACATGGGCTGTCTACGGAGGCGTTACTGTCGTCTGGAGAGGCAAGAAATTGTGGGTTGGTATGGACATGAAGGTGCATGAGATCAAGTCTGACAGCACCACATCTGTTACAACAAGTTTACTCGATGCATCAAAAGCGAGGACGGACTAGCTGTCTTGCATAAGTCATGTTTTCGATTCACGATATCGGCCTTGCTCATCCATATGGGTGGAAAATTTTCTTCATGGTATTGCTCATCTCTGACGGCGATTTATATAATTCCCCATGTCAGACGCCGGGAGGCCGGGAGGCTGGGGTTGTTCGAGTCAGTGCGCGCGACATGCTACATCATCGGTGAACGATGTGTATGCAGACAGTAGATTGTAGTAGGGCGATATGCTATTGCTACTATGTGATGGGCCAAATGTGTGAATTAGAGAAGAGGTATATGCCTACTTCCTGGTAAGAACGACAGCAGGTTCGAGCAGAAGCAAAGACTGCAAAGATAGTGGAAGGGTCTAAAAACGCGCTAGCTGTTTTGGGAGCATGCCCCTCCACGTTCCTGCCAAAAAATCTCCAACATCGCGCCGACCAGTAACTTCTTTGTCCATCTCACTTCCTTCGAGTGTGAGCCTCGGTCGCTCAACACATACAACCATGGTATCACAAACACCTTACCTTGCTCTGCCGGGCTCATCGGCCTTCTCTGGCTTCCGCACTGCTCGCCTTGCCGCCGCAATCGGCGCAACTGAAGTGCGCGGAGTATGGATGCACTACGTGAATCCCAACCAGGAGCTCACTGAAGAAGAATCAAAGATTCTGGATCAGCTTCTCAAGTACGGAAGTCAATTGTCTACCCAAGACAGACTCTCACAAGTTCTCCTTGACGCTGTTCACCGTGGCGGTGATGCCAGAGACGACACCACCCGCCTTTACTATGTTTCTCCTAGAGCCGGAACCATCTCACCATGGAGCTCAAAGGCAACCTCAATTGCCCATGTCTGCGGTCTCGAGAAGCAGATCAAGCGCATTGAGCGCGGTATGGTCATTGCTGCAAGCTTCAAGGACGCTCCTGCAAAGGACAACATCCCCAATCCTGACATGCTTCACGACCGTATGACTCAAACCATCGAATCTGGACCTCCGGATCTCAATCTGATGTTCGCCGAGGGTGCGCCTGCCCAAGCTCAGGAAATTGAGCTATTTGCCGAAGGCAGCTCTCCTAAGGAGGCACTTCAGAAGGCCAACCGCACACTTGGCCTGGCTCTCGATGCATCCGAGATCGACTACCTGGTTGACGCCTATGCTAACCAACTCAAGCGTAACCCTATCGACGTTGAGCTTTTCATGTTTGCCCAGGTCAACTCGGAGCACTGCAGACACAAGCAGTTCAACGCAGACTGGACGATCGACGGTATGCGCAAGCCTCACAGTCTGTTCGGCATGATCAGAAACACTCACAAGAAGCACCCTGAGTACGTTGTTAGCGCTTACAGCGACAACGCAGCCGTTCTTCAGGGTGAGAACGCCAGTCTCTGGGCCCCCGAGCACTCTACTGGTGAATGGAAGCAGACCAAGGAAGTTGTCCACTTCTTGGCCAAGGTCGAGACTCACAACCACCCCACTGCAGTTTCTCCCTACCCTGGAGCAGCCACCGGATCTGGAGGTGAAATCCGTGATGAAGGCGCTGTTGGACAGGGCTCAAAGCCCAAAGCTGGTCTCTCTGGTTTCACCGTTTCTGACCTTCTCATTCCCGGTCACGAGCAGCCATGGGAGATGGATGTCGGAAGACCCGGCCACATCGCCAGCGCTTTGGACATCATGCTCGAAGCTCCTATCGGTAGCGCAGCATTCAACAACGAGTTCGGAAGACCTTGCACAACTGGTTACTTCCGTACCCTGACTACCGAAGTTCCCATAGACGATAACACCACTGAAATCAGAGGTTACCACAAGCCTATTATGCTTGCAGGTGGTGTTGGTACTGTTCGTCCTCAGCACGCCCTCAAGTCTGAGGACTTTGTCAGCGCTGGCGCTTCTCTCATTGTTCTTGGTGGACCTGCCATGCTAATCGGTCTGGGAGGTGGCGCAGCCTCAAGCGTTCAATCCGGCGAGAGCAACGTCGATCTTGACTTCGCCAGTGTCCAGAGAGGCAACGCCGAGGTTCAGAGACGTGCTCAGGAAGTTATCAACACTTGCACATCCCTTGGTTCAAACAACCCCATCCAGCTCATCCACGATGTTGGTGCTGGTGGTTTGTCAAACGCTCTTCCTGAGATCGTCCACGATGCCGGACTCGGTGCCAAGTTCGAGCTGAGAGAAATCGATAATGCTGACCGCAGCCTCAGCCCTCTACAAATCTGGTGCTGTGAGGCCCAGGAGCGTTACGTCATGGCCGTCTCTCCCGAGGGCCTTGAGCTCTTCAAGAAAATCTGTAAGCGCGAGAGATGCGGTTTCTCCGTTGTTGGACAAGCCAGCGACCGCGCTTCAAAGGAGGAGAAGCGTTTGATTTTGATGGACCGCGACTCTGAGAAGTATCCCACACCTATCGACCTTCCCATGTCGATCCTCTTCGGAAAGCCTCCCAAGATGTCCAGAATCGTGGAGTCTAGAAAGCTCAAGCTTCCTCGTTTCGACAGCACCCTTGCCACTTACCTCCCCAAGATGTCCACCAAGGATGTCTTTGGCGAGGCTGTCAAGCGTGTTCTTTCGCTGCCTTCCGTTGGTTCCAAGTCGTTCCTAATCACCATTGCTGACAGATCGGTCGGCGGTCTTGTTGTTCGCGATCAGATGGTCGGTCCTTGGCAGACTCCCGTCGCAGATGTGTCGGTCACCGCTACCTCGCTTCTGCCTGGTGTCAAGACTGGTGAGGCTATGGCTATGGGTGAGCGTCCTTCGCTCGCTCTCATCTCTGCCGCTGCTTCAGCCCGTATGTCGGTTGCAGAGTCTCTGATGAACTTGGCCGCTGCCAGCATCCCTGACAGGCTCAAGCGCATTCGCCTTTCAGCCAACTGGATGGCCGCCGGTGGCCACCCTGGTGAGGGTGCCGCTCTCTACGAGGCCGTGGAGGCTATCGGTATGGAGCTCTGCCCCGAGCTTGGTATTTCCATCCCCGTCGGCAAGGACTCTATGTCCATGAAGATGAAGTGGCAGGACGAGAAGACCAAGGAGGCCAAGGAGGTCACCGCCCCAATGTCTGTGGTCATCTCCGCCTTCGCTCCAGTCGACCACATCAACCGCACATGGACTCCCACTCTGTCAAGACTCGAGGACGTTGGTGAGACTGTTCTCCTCTTTGTTGACCTTGCTGCTGGTAAGAAGGCAATGGGAGGTTCTGCTCTTGCTCAAGTCTTTGGCAAGCTCGGTAACGAGGCTCCTGACGTCCGCGACGCTGAGGTTCTCAAGGACTTCTATGATGCTGTCGAGTCGCTCCATGAGTCCGGCATCGTTCTTGCCTACCACGACCGCTCTGACGGTGGTCTCTTCACTACTCTCGTTGAGATGATGTTCGCTGGCCGCACTGGTCTCGAGATCATGCTCGACGGTATCTCCCAGTCTGACAAGACTGAGGACGTGCTTGAGGCTCTGTTCAATGAAGAAATTGGCGCCGTCTTCCAAGTCAAGAAGAAGGATGAGATCGAGTTCAACAGATGCTTCTCCAGCTGTGGACCTCCTCCCGGTATGATCAAGAAGATCGGAAGAGTTCCTGCTGCCACCAAGCAAGATATCTCCTTCCATTACAAGACAGAAGTTATCTACAGAGAGACCCGCCAAAACCTCCAGAAGACCTGGCAAACCACTTCCGTGGCTATGCAGCGTCTTAGAGACAACCCTGAATGTGCCGACGTTGAGATGGCCAACATTGCGGACGACAAGGATCCCGGTCTTTCGTACAAGCTTACTTTCAACCCCAAGGACAACATCTTGCCCTTGACTACTACCATCTCGTCAGCTATCAGCGCTAAGCCTCGTGTTGCCATTCTGCGTGAGCAGGGTGTTAACGGTCAAGCTGAGATGGCTTTCGCTTTCAACTGCGCCGGCTTCTCGCCCATTGACGTTCACATGAGTGACATTCTCTCTGGTCGCGTCTCGCTTGCATCGTTCGTTGGTCTCGCAGCCTGCGGTGGTTTCTCATATGGTGACGTTCTTGGCGCTGGTCAAGGTTGGGCCAAGAGCATCCTGCTCCACTCGGGTGCTCGCAAAGAGTTCAAGGACTTCTTTGAGAGAAAGGACACCTTCACCCTCGGTGTCTGCAACGGCTGTCAGTTCTTGTCCCGCCTGACAGACATCATTCCTGGTGCCGAGACCTGGCCCACGTTTGAGACCAACGTCAGCGAGCAATACGAGGCTCGTGTCTGTATGGTTGAGGTGATGGATCAACCCAAGCAGCCCAGTGTCTTTTTGAACGGCATGGCTGGATCCTACATCCCTATCATCACAGCTCACGGTGAGGGTCAAGCCACTTTCGACACCAGCGCAGCATCATCTGCCAGCCCTCAGGCTCTGATGAACGAGGGTCTTGTCTCTATGCGCTACGTCGACAACTACCTGAAGCCTACTGAGCAGTACCCCTACAACCCCAACGGATCTCCTATGGGTATCACTGGAGTCAGAACTCCTGACGGTCGTGTCCTGGCCATGATGCCTCACCCTGAGCGTACCATTCTCAAGGAAGTCGGCAGCTGGATGCCCAAGGACCAGTCCGACACTTGGGGCGAGTTTGGCCCCTGGGTCAGAATGTTCAAGAGTGCCAGAAAATGGGTTGGTTAGGGAGACGTAAGACGAGCAGAAACAACGGAGATTATGAAAAATTATTTGGGGAAATACAGGAATGGTAACGGCGTTGATTTTGGATGTCACTGAGGATGGAGGTTATAACTGAAGATTAGCTAAACAAGATAGGCAGCGGAAGCCATTTGCTCAAAGAGTATAACACATGAATTACGGTTCTTGCTTTAGATAGATACATTTGACAAGGTCTTGTGCATTATCATTACTTGCAACAGTAGATGGCATATTGTTCGGAAGTGAAAACGGGAGGAGCCGAGGGACGAATCAGAAGCCGATCGAGGGGCGGGAAGGCTAGTACAAATGGAACCTAGCGCAAGTCGATTCGCGGTCGCGGCTTCCCTCCTCTTTGGTTTGCCAGTTCCTCGTCGCGCGCGAAGCTCTACGGACTTGCAGTGCAACTTGACGTTCTTACGACCATCTTCTTCACGGCAGCTTGTTCTTTCCCTTTGGTCACAGTCGACCGACGCATCCGACTTCTGTCCTTTACGACCTTTAATTATACCCTTTCAGCGCATCCAGAACGCACTAGTTGTAGTGCAAACAGCGAAAAGTCGCGAACCAGGCTCGCTTTCCACCCCGCGTGTCTTCTCTGCAGGTCTTCTTTGCGCCCTCGACACCCACCACCCCAAAATTGACCGCGCACGAGCGTCGACTTCTCACGGCGATTTATTGATGGAAGGCAAATACTGATCGACTGCTGAACGACCTCATCGCTTGCTGTTGCGCAGCACAGCGCAGTCATGACGGAGCGCAACCTGGACATCTTCGAGAGCAAACTCTCAGATGCCAGTACAGGTAGGCTTAAGTCCTGCTACGGCACACGTGTCGCCGAGACATGTACTGACCATCCACCTAGACCTCCGGACAAAATGCAACTTCCTCATCGAGATCCGTGATGGCATGGACCATTGGTGCCAGGGCACCACCTACCCGGTCTTCTTGCAAAAGTTTGTTCCGATACTCCTCGACATCCTCAGTGGCTCCCCGGTCTTCATTAGTACATCGCCGGAACAGCGACTACGCAATTGCGCCCTCGAGATCTTGCATCGCCTACCCATGTCCACGCCGGATGTCACCGATCAGTATGCTCCCCAAATTGTCGACAAATTGCTGGAATTGGCGCGGATTGAGAACGAGGACAATGCCGTGCTTTGCATGAAGATCATCATGGAGTTTGAGAGAAACCACCTGAACTCATGCGCGAGCAAGGTCCAGCCCTTCCTGGATCTCATTCTTGAGTTGTTCCAGACTATGGACCAGACCGTCAAGGACACCTTCGATACACCAGCAGCTATTGGCTCCTCCTCCGCTGTTGCTCCAGGCACACCACAGTACAACTCGCCCAGACCCGCATCACCAGTGGCCTCGACCACATCCCTGACAGCCGATGTTGGTAGCGACCAGCCGCAGACCCGTCAATTGCAGAAAGGAACACAGTCCTTCAAGCTTGTCGCAGAATGTCCCATCATCGTCGTTAGCATCTTTCAGGCACACCGTAGCATGGTAGCGAAGAATGTCGAGGCTTTCGTCCACCGTATCAAGGCAATCCTGTCACTCCAGGCCGGACCACAAAAGAGAGCCCATGAGGAGGCCAGGGAACGAGGAACGACTTTTGTTGGCGTGGCAAAAGACATCAAGAACCGTGCGGCTTTCGGTGAGCTTGTGACTGCTCAAGTGAAGACTATGAGCTTCCTCGCTTACCTGCTGCGTGTCTATCAAAAGCTGTTGGCAGACTTCCTGCATGAGCTACCAGAGATTGTTGTTCGCCTCCTTCAGGACTGTCCGAGAGAGAAGTCTAGTGCACGAAAGGAGCTCTTGGTCGCTATCAGGCATATCGTCAACTTCAACATCAGAACAATCTTCTTGCCCAAGCTGGATGAGTTGCTGGACGAGCGCACTCTGATTGGCGACGGCTTGACAGTTTACGAGACATTACGACCTTTGGCTTTTACTATGCTGGCCGACCTGATCCACCACGTGAGAGAGAACTTGAAGCCAGCACAGATCGAAAAGAGCATCTTCGTCTACACGAAGAATCTGCACGACGACTACCCGGGAACGAGTTTCCAGACCATGAGCGCCAAGCTGCTTCTGAACATGGCTGAATGCATGGCCAAGGTCGAAGACAAGCAAGACGCACGTTACTTCCTTACCTTGGTCTTGAATGCGATCGGCGAGAAGTTTGCATCCATGAATCGTCAATATCACAATGCTGTCAAGGCCTCCGCACAGTATGCAGAGACGACGATGGAAGCTGGAGCTGAGAACTACCTTGCAGACATCAACCAAAAGCCGGAGTGGGACGAGATTGACATCTTCAACGCAACACCCATCAAGACCAACAACCTCAGGGATCGTGGATCTGATCCTGTGGCAGACAACAAGTTCTTGTTCAAGAATCTACTGCATGGATTGAAGACGCTGTTCTATTCGTTACGCGCTTCCAACCCGACTCGCATTCGCGACGAAATGGACGCAGCCAATGTTCCTCCCAACTGGCAAGATGTGTCGTATGGATTCAATGCCGAGGAAGTCAACGTTTTGATCAAGCTCTTCCGCGAGGGTGCACAAGTCTTCCGGTATTACAACGCGGAGAAGACACCAACAGAAACACCTATGATGAACCCGGTTGAGTTCTTGGCCAACAATCACATGATGAGCAGCGGAAAGGAGGAGAAAGACCTTCTTGAGACTTTTGCAACAATCTTCCATCACATCGACCCCGCCACATTCCATGAAGTCTTCCAGGCCGAGATTCCTCATCTATACGAAATGATCTTTGACCATCCCGCTCTTCTGCACATCGCGCAATTCTTGCTCGCCAGCGAAGCCACGTCTCCTGCGTTCTGCGGCATGATGTTGCAGTTCTTGATGGGCAGACTTGAGGAAGTCGGTACTGCAGATGTGCAGAAGTCGAGCGTGCTTCTCAGACTTTTCAAGCTTTCATTCATGGCCGTTACCCTTTTCTCTGCACAAAACGAGCAGGTACTACTGCCTCACGTCACCAAACTTATCACAAGATCCATCGAGCTCTCAGTGACTGCGGAAGATCCCACCAACTACTTCCTTCTGCTCCGATCATTGTTCAGAAGTATCGGAGGTGGTCGATTCGAGAATCTCTACAAGGAGATCCTGCCGCTGCTCGAGATGTTGCTGGAAGTGTTGAACAACCTACTCACCTCCGCGCGCAAGCCTCAGGATAGAGATCTCTTCGTCGAGTTGTCCCTGACAGTGCCCGCGCGACTTAGTCATTTGCTTCCTCACCTCAGCTATCTTATGAGGCCATTGGTTGTAGCTCTCAGGGCTGGCTCTGAGCTTATCGCGCAAGGTCTTCGCACCTTGGAACTCTGTGTAGATAACCTTACAGCCGACTACCTTGATCCCATCATGGCCCCTGTTATTGACGAGCTGATGGCTGCTCTGTGGGATCACCTCAAGCCCCAGCCGTACAGTCATTTCCATGCCCACACTACTATGCGTATATTGGGCAAACTTGGAGGGCGCAACCGCAAGTTCCTCACCTCGCCGCCTGCTCTCGAGTACAAGCCATACGCAGATGACGAGGCTAGCTACGACATCAAGCTCATTGGGTCCATGAAGGACAGAGCGTTCCCTGCAAGACTGGGTATCGATGTTGCAATTGATAAGCTCAGAGAACAGCCAAAGGCAACAGCAGCAAAGAAGTCTGATGCTTTCCACAAGCAACAAGCACTCAACCTTGTCAAGACGCAGATAAAGCTTTTGGTGGGCTTCGACAATCTGCCAGAGGACTTCGCTAGACTCGTCCGTTTGCAGGCCAATGACTTGTTTGATAAGAACTACGATGTCGGGCACGACTACTTCTCCAAGTCGGAGCGTGAGAAGTCTGTTGCAAAGAAGGACGCTCAGCAAACAACTCTACTCAAGCTGATCAAGGCAGCCATGCTAGCTGCTGCAGTTCCTGAATTGAAGCAGGATGTCGTGCCTTTCTTGAATGGTCTGTACAGACATCTGGCCGTCCTCGAACTCGGCCGATCGCTTGGTCAGGAGAAGCATGCTAAGCGACCATTCGAGCCGTTGTCTGGTGAAGGTCCCGTATTTATCGATAGTAGAGTCATTGCGGACGCGATTGCCGATACGCTTTCTTCAGATTCTGCAGATGTTCGAGATGTCGCCTTCAATGCCTTGGACACAATGTGGAAGTCAGCAGCCACGATCTTTGGCTCCGAAGACAGAGTTGAACGTTTACCTTTTTTCCGCGACCTCACCAAATCTCTCGTTCATCACTGCTTCGAGGAGGAGTGGTTCTCCAAATCTGGAGGTACTGCTGGCATTGATTACGTTGTCAATAAGCTCAACTTTAGCGCTGCCTGGTTGAAGGATCGTGAGATTGAGCTCATTCGTGCACTTTTCTTTGTGATGAAGGACATGCCTCAGGACCTTCCTGCCAATGTCCGAGTCCAAGCCAAGGATGTGCTGCAAGCTATCATTAGAAAGTGCAACACAGGCGCTCCGGAGTCCGACATCGGCACCGCTAGCACTCTCATAAACCAAGTGTCTAACAAACTGGTTACCGAAGTGTCGCACATGAACCGTCATGTCCGCGAGGCAGCTCAGGATGGTCTCCGCTTGCTTGCAGAGGTTGTTGGCGTGAAGCTTTGGCAAATCGTCAAGCCAGTCAAGGAACTGGTGCTTCAACCTATCTTCAACAAGCCACTTCGAGCACTTCCCTTCGCGGTGCAAATAGGTTACATCGACGCCTTGAACTTCTGCTTGGACATGGAGAATGAAGTCCTTCAATTCGAGGACCGCCTCAACCGGTCTCTTATGGAGACATTGGCTTTGGCTGATGCCGAAGACGAGACTCTTGCACCCAAGCCGATGGAGCACAGAAGCGCCGAATCAATAGTCAACCTCAGAGTTTCCTGCCTTCGTCTACTAACCACTGCAATAAGACTGCCCGCATTCGGTAATTCCCCACATGCTCAGCACCGCAGTCGCATCATCACAGTGTTCTTCAAGTCCTTGTACTCCAGGAACAACGAGGTCAAGACTACAGCCAACTCAGGTTTGCAGATAGTGCTGCAAGCTACTCAGAAGCTACCAAAGGACCTCCTCCAGAGTGGTTTGAGACCTATCCTGATGAACGTCCAGGACCCTCGTAAGCTGAGTGTTGAGGGACTCGAAGGTCTCCGCACTCTACTTCAGCTTCTCACCAACTACTTCAAGGTCGAGATTGGTTCGCGCTTGTTGGACCACATGAAGCACATTGCAGATGCACAAAGCCTGCAGAAGGTTTCCTTCTCGCTCATTGAGCAGAACCCCAAGATGCGTGTCGTCACTGCTATCTTTGGCGTGTTCCATCTTCTGCCTGCTGCTGCTGTACAGTTCCTCCCTACGCTGGTCGAAAGGGTACTTGAGCTTGAGAGCAGCTTACGCAGAACTCACTTCAGTCCTTTCCGTGAGCCTCTGATCAAGTACCTGAACCACTACTCGAAAGAAGCACTGGAGTTTTTCAGCACAAACTTGAAGGACGAGGCTAAGGGCAGATTCTTTGCTCAAGTTCTGTCCGACCAGGCAGCTAAGCCTTTGCGAACTGCCGTCATGGAGTCCGAGACTTTCTGGGCACCCCTGACGGGAGAAGGCCTGAACGATGTCGAGAAGGACCAAGCAGCAGTCAATGCTGTCCACGTTTCTTTGTCTCTTTCCGAGTTTCCCGAGTCTCTTGCTTGGCTCACATCGAACGACAAGACGAGATTGGCGTTGTTCGAAGCCGCCAAGTCGTTACAACAGAAGCTGCAGAACAAGACGTTAGCTCTATCGCTTCGTCTACCAGTTGAGCAGGTCGGAGACCACTTAATGATCATTCTCACAAGATATCTTGCTCAGAAGCCCGACGATTTGGACTTCTTCTTCGACCTTGTGCAAGCCTGCGCGAATGATGAGCTCGCAGAGTCGCATCGTCTGTTCCATTTCATCTACGAGTACATCATTACCAGCACGTCTGTCGAGTATCAACGCTCGGTGGCTGTTCGCTGCATTGATATTTACACAAACCGCCAGAAGACACCGCGTATGAAATCTTTCGTGTTCCACAACATCCTCAACCCAATCTTCGCTATGGACATCCAGCGCAACTGGGAAAGCCTGTTTGGTACCAACAAGGGCACTGAGCTCTTCGACAAGTCCATGACGGATATTGTCCACTCGAAGTTGTGGAAACCGCAAGCCAACAGTGACATCTCTGAAGATCCTACTCAACCCGGCGTCGATCAGTCAAGGATGGAGTTGATTCAACTGACATCGATGCTTCTCAAATACCACCACAACATGCTCTCTGATGCACGCAAGGACGTAATTATGTTTGGTTGGACGTACATCAGACTTGAAGACACCATCAACAAGTATGCTTCGTACGCGTTGATTTCATACTTCATCGCCCACTACGATACTCCTGCCAAGATCGTTGTGCAAATCTACGGCAAGTTGCTGGGAGCACACCAGGCTGAAGGCCGACCACTCGTCATGCAAGCACTTGAAATCCTCGAGCCTGTCCTCATCAAGCGTACTGGTGGCGAACAAGCGAGAGCACCTGCCTGGACTCGCATTCCTCGTCGCATATTGAGCGAAGAGACGTCGAATACACCACAGCTCACTAGCATTTTCCAATTCCTTGTTCGACACCCTGACCTCTTCTATGAGGCTAGGGAGTCTTTCGCATCCATCATCATTCCCTCACTCAACAAGGTTGCGCAGCTGCCCAATCCTTCCACCGAGAACAAGAGACTGGCCATTAACCTCTTCAGCATGATATGGCACTGGGAAGAACGTACTGTGAAGGAGAATGGATCACTCTCTGGTCCTCAGTCGCCTAACAGCGAGGCACCTGCTACCAACAAGAAGGCAGCTTCAGCCTCGTACTCTCTTCGCACTATGATGATAAAATACATGGTCAATTTCATTGCCATTCTGCCTGAGAGGTTCCCTGTCCCGAGCTCTACTGAGGAGGGCAAGGATGCTAAGGAAGGCAAGGAACGTCCCAATCCTGCATCCAACGAGACTATAAGAAAGTCACTGGAGTTGCTCTGGCGCTTCCTGTCTCCAGGCTATTGGGATGATGTCGACGTTGATGCCATGTTCCCCAAGGTCACTGAACAGATCCTCCTTTCTGAGCCAAAGCAGGACGAGAAGATGGAGGCCTGGACCAGTCGTGTCATCAACACTTTGCAAATGCTTCGTTCTCTTGTCAATGCAAAGTCTGATGAGTGGATCGTTGCTCGTCTGCCTCAATTACAAAAGCTGCTCGCGAAGTCGTTGAAGAGCGAGAGCGCTGAGATTCAAGATTGCTTGCATTGCGACAAGCCAGTCGAGGGCTTCCCTGAACTCAAGCCATTGATGAAGGCCATTCTGGACGCTGTACCTCTACAGCAGTCCGAAGAGGACTTGCCTGATGCTGAAAGCCCGACAGATGAGTTTGTCAACTTCCTTTCCACTCTTGCGGGTGATTGTATGTCTGCTACTGGCAAGGACACCCAAGCTCAGACCGCTGGTATCAACATCCTCTGGACCTTGTCTCAGCGCAAAGCTGACAGCGTGGACACTCATATCCCTGCTCTTCTCAAGGCCCTCCAAGGTAACCTAGCAAAGAACCATCTCGCAGCTCAGATGCCTCAGCAAGTCGCTACTGCCAATGGTGTCGCAGCTCAGCCACCCGCCAACCCTCAAGAGGTCGACCTCAACACAGTCCTCATAACAAGAGTGATTGAGATGCTTTCAGGTCGTATCGCAGCACTTGGGGAGCAGCGCAGACCTTATCTTAGTGTCCTCGCTTCGCTCGTCGAAAGATCACAAAACAACACATTGTGCGAGAAGATTCTGAGTATGGTCGAAGAATGGGTCTTCAACTCGACAGAACCTGTCCCTACTCTCAAAGAAAAGACGGCTGTGTTGCAGAAGATGCTCATGTTCGAAAACAGATCTGACCTCACGCTCTATCACAAGTTTCTCGATCTGGTCATCCGTATTTACGAGGATCCCAAGATCTTCCGATCAGAATTGGCTGTACGCATGGAGCATGCTTTCCTCATTGGTCTTAGAAGCCCTGACATCCCTATGCGCACGCGCTTCATGACCATCTACGATCGTAACCTGAGTCGCACTGCTGCCAATCGCTTCTTCAAACTGCTCGCAGAACAACAGTGGGATGTACTTGCTGACAGCTTCTGGCTTAGTCAAGTCATCCACCTCATGTTCGGATCCATTGACATGAACACGCCGCTAAAGCTTCACAACGATGATTTCAAGTGCTTATCGGCCTCGAAGCTTTACAACACCCATGCTGCTGACCCGCGACTCCCCGACCTTATGCTTGACACCGAGTTCGAAAACTTCATTGCAGGCCACAAGCGCTTCGTGCAAGAGCTTGGCGAAGTCAAGACGAAGGATGTGCTTGAGCCTTTGGCCAACCTTCAGCACACTGACTCGAACCTTGCTCATGATATCTGGACTGCATACTTCCCGCTCATCTGGTCGAGCTTGTCAAGAGACGACCGCGAGGATATGGAGACTGGTCTCATTAACTTGTTGACCAAGGACTTCCAGCAACGTCAGACTGACAAGCGCCCGAACTGTGTTGCTACTCTTATTGACGGCATCGTCCGTGCTAGACCTCGTGTCAAGTTCCCACCCCATGTCTTGAAGTTCCAAGCGAAGAACTACAACGCTTGGTACAGCGCTGCAACTTACATCGAAGAGCTGGCCATGAAGCCAATCGTCGATACTCCTGCCATTCGCGAAAGTAACTTGGACGCCCTGGTTGAATTGTATGCTACACTTCAGGAAGATGACCTTTTCTACGGGACCTGGCGCAGGAGATGTCAGTTCGTTGAGACCAATGCTGCTCTCTCATACGAGCAGAATGGCGTTTGGGACAAGGCTCAAGCAATGTACGAGCAAGCACAGATCAAAGCTCGCACTGGTTCTATCGCTTTCTCACCCGGAGAGTACATGCTCTGGGAAGATCACTGGGTGTACTGCGCAGAGAAGCTCCAACAGTGGGAGATCTTGGGCGACTTTGCTAAGCACGAAAACCTCAACGATCTTTTCCTTGAGGCAACTTGGCGCAACTTTGACGCTTGGGAAGAACCTGACAATCGTGCTCAACTTGATACCATCATCAAGGCCGTTTCCGATGCTCCTACTCCTCGTCGCATGTTCTTCCAAGCCTTCATGTCACTGCTGAAGCTGCACAACAAGACCGAAATTCAGCAAGACTTTAACCGCATCTGCGATGAAAACATCCAACTTTCAATCAAGAACTGGCACAAGCTACCCAAGCAAATAACGCAGGCTCACATTGGTCTGCTCCAAAACTTCCAGAACCTTGTCGAGTTGCATGATGCAAGCGTGATTTGTAGCAGCCTGGCCCAAACCACATCAGCAAACCTTGATGTCAAGAGTCAAGAGCTGAAGTTGCTTCTCGGCACATGGAGAGACAGACTACCCAACTTCTGGGATGACATCAACTCATGGCAAGACTTGGTAACCTGGCGCCAACACATCTTCCAGCTCATCAATAAAACTTACTTGACGTTGCTGCCATCCACAAACCAGGGCAACGCAACTGGTCAGTCGTATGCTTACCGCGGCTACCACGAGACTGCTTGGATTATCAATCGCTTCGCCCATGTTGCTCGTAAGCATCAGATGCCGGATGTTTGCATCACTCAACTCAGCAGAATCTACACTTTGCCCAACATCGAGATTCAAGAAGCTTTCCTTAAGCTCAGAGAGCAGGCCAAGTGCTGTTACCAGAACCGCAATGAGCTCACCAGTGGCTTGGATGTTATCAACAATACCAACCTCAATTACTTTGGTGCACAGCAAAAGGCCGAGTTCTACACCCTCAAGGGAATGTTCCTTGCGAAGCTCAACCATAAAGAGGAAGCCAATGACGCATTTGGTACTGCCTTGTACTTTGACATCAAGCTTCCTAAAGCATGGAGCGAATGGGGCAGATACAACGACATGCTGTTCAAGGAGAAGCCCGAAGAGAGCATTGACAAAGCCAGCGCAGCTATTAGTTGTTACCTTGAAGCCGCTGGTCAATACAAGAGCGCCAAATCAAGAAAGCTTCTCAGCAGAATCCTCTGGCTTCTCAGTTTGGACGATGCGGAGAACACGCTCGCGAAGGCGTTCGAGAACTTTAAGGGAGAGACGCCTGTGTGGTACTGGATCACCTTCATTCCTCAGCTGCTCAACAACTTGTCTCGTACGCCGAGCGAGGCCAACATTGCTCACGGTATCCTGAGTAAGCTCGCAAAGACGTACCCCCAGGCACTGTACTTCCAACTGCGTACTAGCCGCGAAGATATGTCGGTCATCAAGAGGAGTCAAGAACAGAAGGAGGCTAGGGAGAAACAGCTACGAGCTAAGCAAGCTGGAGGAGCCACTCTAGCCGAAGCTGCTAAGCCAGACGCTAATGCCAACGGAGATGCTGCCAGTGGCACTCCTCAGCCCAAGCCTGAAGGTCAAGATGCACCGAAGGTTGAGGTTGCCGAACCACCAAAGCCGAAGAAGCCATGGGATCATACTGAAGAGCTTACTCAAACGCTCAAGACAGCCTTCCCTCTATTAGCGTTGTCTATGGAGACTATGGTTGATCAAGTCCAGAAGTACTTCAAGTGCACCCTGGATGAGGATGCTTACCGTCTCATTGTTGCTCTGCTCAACGACGGTTTGGCATATGTTGGCAGATACCCAACCTCGTACGCCCAAGGCGTGAACCTACCACCATCTACAGAGGCAAACATCACTCGCTTCGCAGAATCCATCTTGCCGGCCCACATTCGTAAGTCGTTTGAAGCCGACTTTGTGACCAAGAAGCCGTCGATGTTCGAATACATTGCCAAGCTTCGCAGATGGAGAGACAGATTTGAAGAAAAGCTTGATCGCAGGACGTCTAAGTGGCACCTCGAACAGACGACTCATCTGGCAGAGTTCCGTTTCTTGAAGTTCGACGAGGTCGAAGTTCCTGGACAATACCTGCAGCATCGTGACAAGAACCAAGATTTCGTCAGGATCGAAAGATTCTTGCCTGACGTTGAGCTCATCAGAGGTGTCACTGGCTGTCACAGGAGATTGACCATTCGTGGCCATGATGGAAGCGTGCATCCATTCGCCATCCAGCATCCTACTGCCAGACACAGCAGACGTGAGGAGAGAGTTACGCAGTTGTTCAGAATCTTCAACAGCATCTTGGCTAAGAAGAAGGAGAGTAGACGCCGCAACCTGCAGTTCCACCTGCCTCTGATGATTCCGTTGTCTCCTGGTATCCGCATGATCCAGGACGATTCTTCGTACATCAGTCTGCAAGGTATTTACGAAGACTACTGCCGCCGCAATGGCATCAACAAGGATGACCCGGTCTTGTTCCAAATCGACAAGCTCCGCGCCTTGACACCGGTAAGCAATCCCAGCGGCGTAATTTCAGAACGCGACACTGACACATGGTTCCAGCAAAAACCCGAACAGGCTGCCAGCATCCGTTTGGAGACATTCAATGCGATTCAAGAAAAGTATGTGCCGAATGATGTCGTTCAAGACTACTTCCAGCAGACGTATCCTTCGTACGACTCGCTATGGCTGTTCCGCCGACAGTTCTCTGCACAGTTGGCGGCCCTGACATTCATCACATTCACCATGCACATGACGATGCGTTATCCTCACAAGATGTCCATCTCACGCGGCACTGGTAACATTTGGGGATCCGAGTTGGTACCTGCGATGGCAGCGGCCAAGCCATACTTCCACAACCCTGAAGCAATACCCTTCCGCCTGACACCCAACCTGCAAACACTGATGGGACCTATTCACACGGAAGGCATCTTCGTTGCAGCCTTGATGGCCATTGCTCGTTGTCTGACCGACTCGTCGTCTTCGCCTACAACGTCAAGCACACCTGCCGTTCCTACACCTACCAACTCGGGCAATGGTGGCCACAACCAGGACGAGGCTGAGAGCAACACATCAGATCTCGAAGGTCAACTCAGTATCTTTATCCGTGATGAGATGAACTTCTGGTCGCTGCAACAGCACAAGCAGAGTATCAAGGACGGCGAGTTGCGCGAGCACGTATACCGCAATGCTACCGGCATTGTCAAGAAGGCGGTCGCCATGGCAAAGGAGCCGGATGCTAAGAACTTGCCCGCTAGTCAGAGCGTGCTGGACCTTGTGGCCAAGGCTACTGAGCCCAAGAACCTGTGCACGACTGATGCACTTTGGCAGGCCTGGCTTTGAGGAGGGGAGGAAGTCGAGAGCATTGTCTTTCTTGGAGGATTGAAGAATATATTTTATGCATAGCGCTAGGCGAAAGGGATGGGGAAGGTGCCTAGCGATTTGCTCTTTTTGCTGCTTTGTTTCGAAATTCGATTCTTCTTTGTGTAACTATACCTCATGGTTCTTTTCCTCACTTCAATGGTTGCTTCATACATGGTGGTGTCTGCTCTCGTGGCAGTGGAAGTGATTAGTGACGGCGAGTCAGTGAATACCAGTGCTTATCGCTGATGATAACAAGGCTTGGCACACGAGTCATTCGCGGCGGCGGGGTTGAGCTGCGAGGGAAATTCACAAATCACAAACGACCTTGTTTCGTCATTCAACAACATCATCATCATGGCAGCAGCACACATTGCCGAATGGCAGAAGCGCGCAGAGGCCTTCAAGCCTCTCAACCTCAAGCAGATCGAGGGCCCCATCGCCGAACTCGACGCACACCTCACCCTTCGCTCATACATTGTTGGCTACGCTGTCACCGACGCCGACCTTGATGTGTGGAAGGCCATCCGCGGCAACCGCATCGCCCACTCGTCCGTCATCAAGCAGGGCACCTACATCAATGTCAGCCGCTGGTTCAACTTCATCGAGGAGAGCGAGCGCCCTGTCGTCGAGCTCGCCAGCCGCGGCAAGGAAATGGCCAAGAAGGCCGAGGGCAAGTCCGACCAGGGCAACTACGACATTGGCCTGCAGGGCACCGAGAAGGGCGTCGTCACTCGCTTCCCTCCCGAGCCTTCAGGCTACCTCCACATCGGTCACGCAAAGGCCGCCCTGCTCAACGACTACTTTGCCCACAAGAAGTACCAGGGCAAGCTGATCCTTCGTTTCGACGACACCAACCCCACCAACGAGAAGCAGGAGTTTGAGGATTCGATAGTCAAGGACCTCGAACTGATGGGCATCAAGCCTGACCAGGTCACCCACACCTCCGACTACTTCCAGGAGCTGTACGACGCCGCCGTCAAGATGATCAAGAGCGGCAAGGCCTACGCCGACAACACCCCTCAGGACATTCTCCGTGACGAGCGCATGAAGCTGATCGACTCCAAGCACCGCAACGACTCGATCGAGGACAACCTTGCCCACTTCGAGGAGATGAAGGCGGGTACCGAAGAGGGCACCACCTGGTTCATCCGTGCAAAGATCAACATGCAGGACCCCAACGGTGCCATGCGTGATCCCGTCATCTACCGCTGCAGTCCTCAAGCTCACCACCGTACTGGCGACGCCTGGAAGATCTACCCCACCTACGACTTTGCTTGCCCCGTCGTCGACGCTCTCGAGGGTGTCACCCATGCACTCCGTACTACCGAGTACAATGACCGTGACGCCCAGTTCCAGTGGATGCTCAAGGCCATGGACTTGCGTCACGTCTACAACTGGAACTTTGCCCGTATGGCCTTTGTCCGCACTTTCCTGTCAAAGCGCAAGTTGACAAAGGTTGTCGAGAACGGCGGTGTCTGGGGCTGGGACGACCCTCGTATGCCTACCGTCAGAGGTATCCGTCGCCGCGGTATGACTGTCCCTGCCCTTCAGGAATTCATTCTTTCTCAGGGCCCCTCAAAGTCCATTACCTTGATGGATTGGACTAAAATTTGGGCCACCAACAAGAAGTACATTGATCCCATTGCCGGTCGCTACACCGCCATCGACACAAAGGACAAGGTCACCGTTACTGTCACTGGTGCTCCCGCCACTCACACCGACCTCAAGGACTTGCACGCCAAAAACCCCGCCGTCGGCCAGAAGAAGGTTGTCTTCAGCAAGAACATCATTCTTGATCAGACTGACGTCGCTTCCTTTGAGGAGGGAGAGGAAATCACTCTCATGAACTGGGGCAATGCCATCGTCAAGTCAAAGTCCACCTCTGTCGTCGACGCCCTCAAGTCTCCCCTCGCCACTCTCAGCGGCAATGCCCCCATCTCTTCCCTCGAGTTGGAACTCCACCTCCAAGGCGACGTCAAAAAGACGTCCAAAAAGGTCACTTGGCTCTCCACCGACCAAGAGCTCATCCCCGTCAAACTCTACGAATTCGACTACCTGCTCACAAAGGACAAGCTCGAGGAAGAAGACGAGTTTGAAAAGTTCCTCAACCCCACCACTTCGACACTTACAGAGTGTTTGGCCGACTGTAATGTTGCTGATTTGAAGGAGGATGACATTATGCAATTTGACCGCAAGGGATTCTTTAGAGTCGACAAGGCTTTCAAGAATGGAGAGGCTGCTGTCTTTTTCCAGATTCCTACTGGTAAGGCAGGAAAATAGGATGCATTACTCAGACGACTGGAGTGCATCTGAAGCAAGAATGATGGCAAAATTGATGAGGAATGAAGAGCAAAAGAAGCAAGAATGTGGCAAGCAAGGAAGAAGATCATGTAGGATGTAAAGAAGGAAAAATGAATCAAAAAAGCGATCGCCTACAAAGCGGCGAATTGATTAAGGCTGTGGGGCAAAATCTATTCTTTGTCTTTTCCTCCCTCTCTTCTTGCAAATCTGCTCTGTGGCCATCAAACCATCTCAGAGTCCTTGTTTTCTGCCAGATTGTTGCCTGATTCTCCCAAAGTCAATTGGGGCTCCGTTTCTTGACCAGACAGATGTGCGTCCACTTTGCCAAGAATATTAGGATACCAGCTTAGACTGACGATCATGACAACAATCATCAAAGCAGCATCGAACACAAAGGTAGCCCACTCATGGCTCAATAGATAGCCCGAACCACCCATCCCGTATTCGATGGCGCGAAAGATGTTTCGCACAGCGATGAGGATGCTAACGACGTAAAGACCAAACAGTTTCCTCTGCCAACCTGATGCTAAAGTCCTCGAACGACCTCTCATCTTGACGTGGAAATTGACCGCCACGATGATGAAGAGGAAGAAAATGACAATCTGAAGAACGAGGCCAGCGAGAATGATGTTTTGGCCGAGACTGATTTTCGAGGCTTTTTTGGCAGAGGAGAGGAGACCGCCGCCTGCTCCTTGGGCGAGGAAGCATGCGATATCGCCCGCTACGAAGGTCTTTGTGAGGAAGCGGAGAGGGATAGGGCAATGCTTCTCGCCACCGACAGAGCGAATGATTTTTCCGAGATACATGTATACCGATGCAGCAAAGAGGATGGGTGCCAGTAGGACCAAGAGTGATTGCATGGCATAAGGTAATGTATCTGTAGTGTGGCTGCGAGCATAGGCTCTGGCGCCATAGCCAACTACTTCAACTATTTTTTTCGAACAAAAAAAATCAGTTATCTAAACTCAAAAGATTCATCTTGTTGGCAAAAGACTTACAGATTCCTCCAATGACCAAGGGGATGCAAAACCATTGCTTTCGAAAGACCACAAGGCCAAAATGCGTCAAAGCAACGAGACCGAAGATACTGGCGACCACGATGTTTCCAATCATGGAAGGGTAGTATTTCCATAGCTGATAGCCATCATCGTTTGCAGGAGGAGCCATTTTTTGATTGTTCAATGGAGGGTAGTCTGGAAGGGATGATCGAAGCTGTAAAGTAGTGTTTGATATCGAGTGATGGCGTGAAACATCTTGTCAAGGCGAGCATTCAGACTTTATATCATTCATTTCAGTCAGTGGAAGGAAATGTTGTCTGCCATTCTGGTACTCCGTGATGGTCCATGAGCGCTATACGACGTATTTCCACGAAGCTTGGTGTACGGAGAGCTATTTAAGCTTGCTATACGCGTATCTAGAAGGAGCTACCCGGGGAAGCCTCCGTGCTAATCTGCACACCAACCGGATTTTCTTCCTTGACCTAGGACTTCAGCTAGAGCTTATCTGCAGATGCCTTGAGTTTTGAGGCTTGTCTCAGGAATTACATCGTATAGTTCCGTTGAGAGCGGCGCAGCGAATAATGATGACATTGAGGCAGCCACCTACGGACGCTGAGAAATGAAGCAGAACCATCACATGTGGCCCATTGATGATCAAATGTATCAATCCATGGCACTTTGCTGCACTGGAACCTTGTGAGAATTGGAAAGCGATCAATTCAGTGGTATATTGACCTCATGATCTGACACTACCCTCTACCCCACCCACAACCACATCTAGTTCGATCCTTTCCTGTCCGGTCGTTCGACTGTTATCTGTCGCGAGCCTATCATACCCACTGCCATCAAACCCTGCTCAATCACTCCAGAATATCTCTGATCCGTCATCTGAGCCACACTATCACGGATGAATCTGCCCGGAAGACTGGACGCAGTCGAAGCACGATGTGAGGACTCCTTGTCAACTGCAAGCTCGTCGACAAAAAGCCTCGAACGAGTGTCTGAGTGCTTGTTGCCGGGCCCCAGCCGGCGTAGACTGGACGTGTCTTGCTTTGGAGCCAAGAAAGATCCACTCTCGTCATGCGATGCTCCCAGAGTTCCAGAAGACGCAGAGAGTCCAATATCGTAACGCCCTTCTCTCGGTTTTCCATTTTTCGTCTCGAACTCGTGATAAAAGCCCCTGGTAGTGCAGCCCACAAAGGAAACGGCTGCTATAGTAGGCTTAACCACCACGCCCAAGGAGCCCCGTATTAACCCCTTCGCGAACCCAACAACTCCGTCCTTTCTTCCGTCACGAAGAGCTTGGGTAACTATACCTGTAAAGCCACTGCCAAAGCCATACGCAAGAGCTTTGGTTCCTTGTTTGAGTCCGGATGTAATGCCAGTGATTTGGGGAGGTGGTGTCACGTGAGTGTCTCCGTAGAGGCAAGGTATGTTGTTGATGGCATTGGTAACAGCGATCGCGGTATTGAGGAAGGGGTTGGAACGACTAGAGGGGGATTCGAGAAATGCTTCGATAGGTGTACTGCAGAACTCGGAGTCGAAAGGCTGGTGAATTGTATCGGAGTTATCTGCTGTGGACCCTGATGTCTGAAGATGGTTGTTGCAACATGCTAGTGGACATATGGATGTCGATGCCGTTGCTGCATGAGTTACATCGAAGTGCGTCTCGGTTTCGGAATCAGCTCTCTCAGACTCTTCGTACGAAGGTGGGTGTTCTTGAGAGACCTCCGAGCGCTCCTCATGGTTTGATTTCTCGCTGAGATCTGCAGGTCTCTCTGCCCCATTGGCTTCTTCAAATTGAGTGACCATTGTCGATTGAGAGATTTGTGTGCAGAATTCGAGGGGCGATCGATCGTATGTTGCTATAAGAGAAGATGGGAGAAAGAGTCAACCAGGTTTTATTCCCACCATCTGCGTGACCCTGATACTTGTACTGAACTTTACAGCGACTCGAAAGTGGCAATGGAGGCAAAAGGAGTGCGAGATTTAAGCATTGTCAGTCCGAGCTTTGTAAAGGATATCATAGCAATGTCTCTTGCTATACGCGTCCGTGTATTCAAACGACCTTTCCGCGTATTCTCGTATCCCCGTATCGTTTAACTCAATCGTCAGAGACAGATGTAGAAAACACACCGCCTACCGACTGCAACAGAGTTGAAAAAAGCTTGAGTCGCCAATGAAAGTGCAAGTCACAATGATGCACAAAGCACGTCAAGGTTTGGAGAAGGATGAGTTTTCGAAACTTTCGGACGTCTGCTATATTGTTTTACGCGTATACCATAATGACGTTGCTCAATGCCTTTGACTGTTACATCAATCCTCGAACAGAACCACATTTTTCTTGGAAAGGGGGTCACGGAGAAGGTGATGTAGATCTTCTTAGGGGGGGCTCCTTTTGGATTTCCCGAGAACTCTTATAAATTAATGACAGCCTCTATGTTTGAAGCTCATGCGAGAACCGATTGATGCCGTGTCCTAAGCAGTGAGCTTGGTGTAACGATCTTTGCGATTTTAAGAATGAATCATCATGAGATCGATAAAGGCTATCCACGACGCTCCTCGTCCATGGCCACAGGGCTTCAAACTCCCGACTCATCAGCCCCTGTCCAATCCTCTTCTCCAACTACACTAGTCTCCGTGACTTCTTGCAAGCTTTCCTCCATCTCACTATCCCCTACTCCTCCTCCCCTATTCTCCCTCCCCCGCCGTCTATTCCTCGTCTCCGCCAATCGAAGTTTCTCCTCCAAAATCCTCTCCATCTCCATATCCTCAGCATCCACACCTCTACTCTCCCCTTCCAAGCCCTCAAGCGCTCTAGCCAAAAGTTCTGTAGCCACAGGATCCTGTGGTGTTAATGCAAGAGCTTCATGCAATACAACAGTAGCTTCAAACCATTCCTCCAACTCCAAACACACCAATCCTTTTGCCGAAAAGATGGAAGCATCTTTACCGCCTAGTCTCAAGACTTCGGAGAATGTGTCAAGGGCTTCGTGGTGGCGGTGGCTGCGGCGGTAGGCATGTGCGAGATTAGTCTTGATATCCAGACTCGTTTGCGTAGACTCCGAGGCAGAGACGTCATTACTGATGTTGATGGCGAGTTCGAAAGTGCGAATTGCAGAGTCGAATTGTGAGTCTTGGTAGTATGCTACTCCCATTTCATTGAGCACCAAAGGGTCATTTTCACACATTGTGTATGCGGTTTCTAGGTATTCCCTTGCAAGCGATAGGTTTCCGAGACACAGATTTTGCATGCCGAGGAAGAGTTGAGGCAGATGTGTGCCTTGGAAGAGGCGGGCGGCGGTGGAGTAGGCGGAGATGGCTTGATCGTGTTCACCCTCTGCGGCGAATGTGTGGGCAAAGCCTATCCAGGCGGGACCGAAGTGAGGGTCCATGAGAGATGCTTTCGAAAAGTAGCCGCGTGCTTCAGGGATGCGGGAGATGCTGAGATAATATGTTCCGACTGCGAGCCAGGTGCATGCTTCCTCCGAATGCGTGTCTGCTAGATCGTGGGACAATAGGAAGAGGGCGTTTGTTTCCTTGAGTTCGAAGAGGGCGGCTAGATGGACGGGTAGGGCGGAGAAATTGTAGGGGTCTGTTTCGAGGATTCGAGTTGTCAAGGAAAGAGCATCTCGGAAGCGGCAGTTTGTAAAAAGAAGCTCGGCTTTTGAGAGTAAGATGGAAGAATTGCTTGACAGATTGTAGTGTGTTGACAGAGTTTCGACAGCAGCATTGAAGTCGTCTGGTCTGCTGTATTTTGACAATCTCGTCGTGTAGAGCATTTTTGTAAACTCCCCAGCTTCTTGCATGTTGGACGAAGGATTGTCTGACGCGCTGACACTGTCAAAATCCAGTGAGTCTAGAAACTCCCACTCCTCGGCTGGCGACATGAGCGAGTTCTTCATGAGCTGGTCGAAAGCCTCGAAGCAAAGCACGTCGATCCGGACCGCGTCCTTGTAGCAGTCTTTGGCGCGATCAAAGGCGTTCTGTTTCGCATAGCAGAGACCACGCAGATAGCACATTGCAGCCTCGAAGCGAATATTGCTCATGTCTTCCTTGTCTCTTTCCTCGCTGCGGTCAACCCGATCTGACCTCAATTGTGGCAGCTTCGCCAATTTTCCAAGACCATTGCGCGGATCCAGATGTTGCAGTTTCCGGCGCGATCGATCCGACGAGGTTATGAGGTGGACGGGGTTCTTGTCGCCGAGGATTTGAAGTGCTTCATCGTATCGGCTCTGCTTGACGTAGCAATGTGCGGCGAGGTACTTGCATGACGGGTTGCGGGCTATCAGGTCTTGACGTGATAGGAAGCCGAGGGCGCGTGTGTAGTTCGCAGTCGAGAAGTGCACTTGGGCTAGCCAGAAGGCGTCCTTGTCATTGTCTGCCCGTCACAAGTCAGAGAATATCCTCACTGGAAGCTGGAGAAGATGTAGCACACACTGGTCAGGGCGAGCAGCTTGTCGCCGACGAAGATGGCAGACTCGTACTGGTGTTTGTTCAAAGCATCCTGTCGCCAATCGCGCAGGAACTTTTCCATCGCTTCTTTAGGTTATGTTAGGTGGAGATGATGCAATCGGATCAGATGCAAGGTATAAGAGCTGAATTGTTAAAATGCACTATGATTATCTGAGTATGGCGAAGATGATGTTGGTTGTTGATGTGGAAGACGATGCTTTGTCGCAAAACAATTCGGTAAACATCGTCACACCATTCGGCGTTTAGCGCTCTAAGCTCCGATGACTTTGCTCCGCGACTCTCCCCCGAGCACCTCGAGTTGTCACTTGATCTCGTTCGGTTTGTGCGACCGACGACCACTCTTCAGCGAAGTCGTGAGGGCATTTGGAAGTATCGTAGTGAAAATATCTCATCATTGTGAAGCTCAGCGGAAGGCGTATCATCATGACCGGACCATCAAACTTCCTAGCTCGGCTCACCCGCACATTCGTTCCTCCGCCTTGCACATATAACCCCGCCATACCCCTCCATAGCCGGCAACACTATCTTCACTTCCTCTCTTCTCCCTTGTTATATCCTGATTCCCCTCACACACTGTGACCCGAAAATGTCAAGCCCTCAAACCTTCAAGATCGCTTCTATCCCAGGTGATGGCATCGGTACAGAAATCACAGAAGCAGCAATCCAAGTCCTGGATAAACTCGCTTCTGTAGATGGAAGCTTTGGACTTGAATACACACACTTTGATTGGAGTAGCAAGGCTTATCTGGAGAGAGGATGGTATATGCCTCCCGATGGCATGGAACAATTGCAGAAGCATGATGCCATTTACTTTGGCGCCGTGGGTTGGCCAGGTATACATTACAGATACATACTCGTCAAGATGGAAAGCAATGCTGATACGACAAAAAACAGATGTACCCGACCACATCTCCCTCTGGAGTCTAATCCTCCCCATCAGAAAAACAATGAACCAATACGTAAACGTCCGACCCACCCGTATCCTGCCTGGCACGCAATCTCCCCTCTCATCCTGCCAATCCAATCCTGGAACCTTGGACTGGATAATCATCCGCGAGAACAGCGAAGGCGAATACGCAGGTCAAGGAGGCACGACTCACGAGAACAGCCCCCACACAATCGCCACCGAACTCGCCATCTTCAGCCGTGTAGGCATAGAAAGAATCATGCGCTTTGCTTTCGAGACTGCAAGATCCAGAGAGAGAAAGAAGCTTACCATGGTTACCAAGAGTAACGCCCAGAGACATGGTATGGTTCTCTGGGACAAAATCTTCTATGAAGTCGCTGCAGAGTATCCAGATGTGGAGTGGGATAAAATGCTTGTGGATGCAATGACAGTGCGTATGGTGAACAATCCTGCAAGTATGGATACCATAGTCGCCACAAACTTGCATGCCGACATCTTGAGTGATTTGGCTGCTGCATTGAGTGGAAGTATCGGTATCGCTCCTAGCAGTAATTTGGACCCGACTAGAAAACATCCGAGTATGTTTGAGCCTATTCATGGTAGTGCGCCGGATATCGCGGGGAAGGGTGTTGCCAATCCTGTGGGTGCTTTTTGGAGTGCGGCCGAGATGATTAGGTGGCTAGGTGAGGGGAGGTTGAATGCTACGGCTGATAAGCTGATGCAAGCGATCGAGAATGTGACCAAAGCTGGTGTCAGGACGAGGGATTTGGCAGGAAGCAGTGACACCAAGGAGGTGACGGAGGCGGTGTGCAAGGAGATTGATACAGTGTTTGGCAAGTAGGGAATGGAGCCGAAGCAGATGGCAACTTACCTGGAACATTTCGTTTCAAATCGTCATCGGTATAAGTTCTCCCATTCTCCAACATCCATCTCCGGGCCCTTTTCCACTTTTGTCTTGATATTGTAGCCGGCCCAAGGCTTTTCTCCAAATTGATCCAGTGGCCACAGACAATACAGTGCTTTCCCGGCAATCAACGATTTAGACACCTAGTCCCACACAAAAATGTCAGTAAACGCCTCTCTTCTCCCTTCAAACCAGCCATTTCAGCACAAAAAAAGCTTACCGGACCATAAGTATTACTATCCTTGCTCGCACTCGCATTATCACCCTCCACCCACACATGTCCCAACGGAACCCTCCACCTCCTCTTGCCCATCCCAAATTCTTTCTCCTCTCCTATAGCATCCCACACCATACCTGCCCCCTTCCCCTCTACCCCCAGCTCTCTACTCCTCCTCTTCCAATCCATCTCCACCCAATCCCCCTCCAACGCCACAACCCTCTTGATCCCCAACTTCTCAGGCTTATGCGGTAAATTCAACATGACCACATCACCTCTCTGCAAGTCTTTTGTGGGTTTCCATTTCTTAATGAGTAAAGTGTCTTTTGCTCCTGTTTCGTTGTAGGCAGGAGACAAGGTGGGGTGCATGGATGTTCCTTCAATGGTTACGAGTTCGAGGATGTGGTCGTTTAGGGTTACCCAGGATGTTATGCCTAGAAGGCCGCCTTTTATGCAGGAGGTTGCCCAGTGGGGGAGGGGCATTGTTGTGGAGATGGGAGGTTGGTGGTTGTAGTGTTTGTGTCAGAGTCGGGGCCCTGTTGCGCTCGGTCGTCTTTGATCGGCGTCTCGTGAGTTGGTGTTGAGGAAACTCCAGTGGCTGGGTTGCTGCAGAAGTGTTTGTAGGGCCGCGGCCAGGGTGTAAGTTGTGAAGGTATCGAAGTGTTCCGAGAAAGTGATTGTCGCGTTAATGCAAATCGGCGTGTCAACTTTCTGGACGTGCTTCGGAGTTTACGGAGTTCAAGTCCGTGGTCTGGAGCGACACCCTGGTCGACATTTTACTGATCTGGTTTATCGCGCACGAAGGATCAATTGTACTGCTATCGGGATGGGATGGTTCATTAGAACACAAATCTAAATAGGCGATACTCTTGATTCACGGCGGAAGATTCTGGTGGGCTATGAAAGATACAATTAACGTCACCGATCTTTCGTTTTGCGAGATCCTTAGCAGTGTCACATGTTGAAAACAGATTATCGCAGGAACAAAACGGAGTGAATGTTTCAGTGTTAAGCAGAAATCAGTAAATTGCTTTTCCAGAGTAGGCATCTTCAAATCTCGTCTACTCGCAGGTATTCAGCCCGGAAATTGTACCAGCACCTCCCAAGTCCTTTCTGTAAGACAAAGAAACGCCATGACCCATGCAATATCCTTTTAGTCGTCAAGCAAGATCATATCCCGCCCTTCAATATACAACCATGTCGTCGCGCTTACTCGTCGGTCTTGGCCTTCTTGTTCTCGCCCTGCTGGCCGTCATCATCGCGATCACGCTTGCGCTCCGAGTTGCGGGTGTTGTAGCGCTCCTCGCGGTCGCCACGGTCACCACCACGGCCTCCACGACCGCCACGTCCACCTCTTCCACCGCGACCGCCACGACCGCCACGGCCTCCACGTCCACCGCGGCCACCACGACCACCACGCTGGTCGTTGTCTCTTCTCTCCTTCCAGTTGTCGTTGGGTGTGATGGTGCCGTTCTTGATGCCCTCGAGCTTCTCGTCAACATAGGCCTTCTTGCTCTTGATGCTCAACTCCTGACCCTGGAATGCGGGCTTGGGCTCAAGCTTGAGGAAGTCCTCGGCCGTCTTCTCATCCGAGAACTCAACAAAGACGCTGCCCTTGAAGTCGCCGTGGGTGGTTCTGCGTAGACGCACGGCGTTGAAGGTACCGTAGACGGCGAAGAACTCCTCAATGTCGGTCTGGGTAGTGTTCTTCTCCTCGCCGAAGCCCTTTGCGTAAATGCTGCGGGCCATGGTCTCGTTCTCGAGCATCTTGCGGTTCTCGTCGACATTGTCGCTGAACTTTTCGCTGATGGGCTCCTTGCGGGTGATTTGACCGTCATCGGTGACGTCGATCAGGTTGCTGGCCTTGCAAGCTTCGAGGACGGCAGAGTAAGGCTGGAAGTGACGCATGCGCTTGAAGTTGTGAATGACCTTGAGGTCGACGGGGTTGTTCTGGTGACCGCCGGTCTGCTTGAGGAGGTAGTTGTCGGTAGGGAGGTTGGAGTCGGAAAAGTAGAATTCAACCTGGCGACGGATCTCTTCGGGGTCGCTGCTCTCTGGCAGTTCGTCGTAGTTGGACTTGACGCGCTTGGCGCGAGACTCGTGCTGGGGACGGCCGCCTCTCTTCTCGCCTTGAGTCTCGGTGGGCTTGGGAGCTGTGGTCTTGTCAGCAATTGCGCAAGGGCCTGACGCAAGACGAGTGTGCTTACCCTCCTCAGTCTTGGCCTCGGTCTTCTCCTCAGTCTTCTCCTCAGTCTTCTCTTCGGCCTTCTCTTCCTTCTTCTCGTTCTGCTCCTCAGTCTTGGCTTCGGCCATCACAGCATCTTCTGAAGTGGTAGGTGCGGCAGAGAGCTCGGTAGTCTGATCGGGGTTGGAAGTCTGCTCGACGGTCTTGTCGTTCTGAATAGAGGTGGCGGCCGAGTCGGGCTCAGTGGTGGGAGTGACCTTGATGTCGGACATTGTGAATTGCGAATTCGCGATTGGTAGTGAGTGCGTGGGTGAAGAAGCTTCGTGAAGTTTGACTCGACGCGACTATGGATTGACGGTCGATTTAGATGCGTGATATGGGTGTTGATGAAAGGTTGGAATCGAAAGGCTACACAAGGTTGCTGCTGCTCAAAAGCTCCAACGCCTTTTTTGGATTTTTGCGCGGTGACCAGAAATTCTTCTGGTCCGTGCTCAATCTCGAAGCTCGCATGACTCATTATCGGAAGGCGCGACGACTTCATCTCCTCAATCACTGCAGCTTCCCGTCTTTGTGATTCCTTCGAATTGTGCATCATGTCGGTCGAGGACGCTGCCACTCCTGGCAAGCGACGTGTCAAGTCGACTGCTCACTCGCGAGTGGGGCGGTTTGCACCTTTCCCAGTTGAAGAAGGCAGCATTTCCGCATGTCGTCCTATGTCCTCCTCGTCTGTTTTGTTCGTGCCTTGACTGTTGTTCTTTGCTCAATGTTTTTCACGTCTTTTGTTGAACTCTTAGGTGCACCTCTCTCTGGTCGCATGTTGAAATTCCCTATACTGCCTGTCAAGCCTCATCACGATCTTTTCAACAACCAGATACTCTCCGACGTTCGTGTCGAGTTCGGAAACGGCCAGCACATCTATGCTCATAAAGCTGTGCTAGCACGTCAGTTTTAATCGCCATCCTGCTGAACAAATCCAGCAGCCGTGTTAAGATCGCTCCGTGCTGGCCAGCTGTCGGTGTGTTTGTCGAACTTGGCAGGAACTTCGTCGCTCGTGGCTAGGTTGTGATCTGATCGATTATTGGTACATGAAGCTTTGAGCTTCGCTTCGAATGTCAGTCAGTCAGTCTGAAGGTACATCCGCTTAAAGGCAAGCTGGTCAAGATTTTTGTGTAGTAGGTCTATCGTTGCATCACATGGTAATCCAATCTGTCCTTAACCTATGTCCACTATCATCATCACCACATCATCTAGCACAAACTGCAAAATCAACGGGTTCGGCCACTCGAGATAGAGTGTTATACAACTTGAACGATTCGAGTGTCTCTTGGTGAGTGTAATCAGACTAGGAATTCATGTCGGCTACGCAAGGTAGGAGGGCTTAAATATAGGCAATAATCGCGGGACTGAGAGAATACGAAGGCGAGGGATACAGCTTCTCGATCGACAAGCCAGAATCTTCCGCGCTTTTCGCTTCGCGTTACATGGAAGGCTGCAAATTCAAACAGAAGCTCCTCGATTCTGCAGACCACGCGCAAAACCGAACTTGCGGTTCGAATTCGTGTTGCTTACGCGCTTTCTTCGGCCAGCTTCACTGTTTGCACGATGGCGCCGCGCTCAACTGACACGACAACTCACCTTCCCTCAAGTTCTCTTCTACCGGCCGACCATCAAGATCTGGTGCACCTGGGACAGTCCCCCAGCCCGACATAATGAGTGGTACCGGTCCTCACAGCGGCGATGAACCATTTGTTTAATATGCCTTTGCCTTGAGCAGACCTTTACTAATTGAACCCACACAGTCTCTTTGACAACCAGCTCCTCTCCGATGTCAAGATCAAGTTTGGCGGTCATCAGCTCTTTGGTCACAAGGTGGTACTTGTGCGCAGATCAAGGTACTTCCTCCGAGCCTTCACTGGCGCCTTTCCAGTAAGCCATGGATCTTTGCTGCACACTTCAATGACTGACCCAGAACAGGTCGCTTCCAGTAGCGAGATCGACCTCGGCGATGACGAAGACCCTGGAGCCATCCGCGCCATGATTCGTCACATCTACGAGCTCCCCTACGACAAGATGCTCGAAGGAGACACTGCCGACGACACTGCCGCTTACAGCATCAACGAGGACCTTCTCTTCCACATCGTCGTCTTTACCGCTGCCGACAAGTACGACGTCGCGTCCTTCCGTCCTCTCGTCGTCAGTCAGTTTGAGGGTCTTGTGGAAACCAATTGGGAGGGTGAAGAGTTCGCTACCAGTATCCAAAAGCTTACTGGACCTTCTGCTGGTCACCTTGCCGACAATACCCTGCAAGCTGCAGCCGCTGCCTTTTGTGCAAAGAATCTCACCGAGCTCATCAAGAAGGACGCCTTTGTCAAGATGATCCAGGAAGAGGAGCCTTTTACGGGCCGTTTGCTGGGAGGTTTCTTCAACGAACATGCTTTAACGCCATCTGAACTCGGCGTTCGCGTCATGGCCTGTCCCCGCTGCACAAATACAGTCCGTGCGAATCTGCAGGATCACTTCAATACCTGTGTCGGCTGCCATGACCGTTGTAGCCAAGACTACGGTATGACTTCGATCGGACTCATCAAGCGTCTGTAGACTCAGGGCTTGCGAAAACGTCTGCACTGGAGAAATCACGTCTCAGCTCGCTTGAATGCACCGTCTTGGATGTGTTCTCGTGGATACTCGGTATAGCAGGTCCAAGCACAAAAGATCAGTCTCATGTAGGAAATGAAAGAACTGATTCACATACCAAGTCGTGACTACCTAGTACAGACGTATTCTTGACCATTTGATCAGTGTTGTCACTGTCGTACGGATAGGATAGCTCATGGCTTAGCGTGATGTTGGCCTGGGCAAGACAAGAAGAGGATATCAAGGCATCCACACTTGTCAGAGGTTCGAAAGACCCTCTGGGAGGCAGCGAGTGAAGCTACAACAAGACATCTCTGTTCAAAAATGTCTCAACTGTTGCAGCAGAGCAAAAACACTGCAAACAAGCCATGAGTCGAACCTAAGCACTTGCCATAAAATACGATACGACACGACTCCCACAACCCACCACTCCTCCCCCCTTAAGAAAAGCATCACCCGCTATCTTCCTTCCACCTTTCTGCAAAAAGGACAAAAAGAATGGTAAGGTACTATCTAGCACGAGTGGCACCTATCCGGGTTGTTCGTAATCTAGAAGTCGCCTACCACGCTCTTAGGGGGAATCCTGTCACGAGTGGCACCTGTCCGGGTTGTTCGTAATACAGAGCTAGCGCCTAAAGGTGGCTTGCCGCTTGCGCTAAACAACCATTTCTTCCTTCTGATAAGCTGCCAATCAAGGTGGTATATACCCCTTGGGCTCGACTCCAAGTGCTACACGCGGGGATTCTCACTTCCCATAGCGGCAGGAAGTCATGATCTTTGACACGACCAACCCGCTCGTTTGTGTCTCCACGTGCGTTTGCCCTTACTGTTTGCTCACTCCGTTGGCCAAACATCAAACGTGAGTGCAACTCCATCCAAGATTCCCAGACCTGACCGCTGCCAACCAACTTTTGTAAATATCACTGGCTACCAGTTCAAGTTCGCTATGGAAGCAGTAGAAAAGATGAGAAGCAGCAACAGCAGGTACGTTTCGCATGCTGACAGCGGCAGAGCTGCGACTGACACTGAGCAGTCTCTATAACAACAGTACCCTATCGGATGTGGTGATCAAATTCAGCGGCCAACAGGTTCACGCGCACAAGGCTATCCTTGCGCACAAATTTGTGTACTTTCTCCAGGCTTTCACCAGCATGTTCAAGGTGAATGTATAACGAGTCTTCCGCGAGTGAGACGCTGACTCTATCGATAGGTAGCGTCCAGCGATGAAGTCGATCTCGGCGACGACGATGATGTCCAAGCCGTATATGCAATGATGTGCCACATCTACGACATGCCTTACGCCGATACATTCACAAACAAATCCGACATTTACATTGAAGGCAGTCTGACTTTCCTCTTGAATGTCTTCATCGTCGCCGACAAGTATTTTGTCCCTTGCCTTCGCGAGAAAGTGGCGCCTGAGTTTACCACCCACCTTGAAATCGTTTGGGGATCCGACGAGATCACAGTGTGTGTCGAGAAGCTGTGTGGTCCTGAGGCAGTCCAGCTCGCCAACTCGTCCCTTCAAGTCGCCGTCGCAAAGCTCTTTAATGACGAGCCCTCGAAGATCATGTACCACTCCAGCGTTCGCAACATGATTGAACAAGACAAATCTTTCGCTGGACGCGTCCTTACCGGTCTCTTGGCTAGGACCGTGGGAGTAAGCACGTATCCTGGTGTCTGCCACAAGCCAGAGGGTAGTCTGAGAGGAGGTCGAGACTGCACTAATATCCGCAAAGGAGACCCCCGTCACCTCGCAGCCTTTACCTCGCATTGCGTCCACTGCTACTTGCCTGCCGGCCAGACATACCACAAGAGCGGTGGTCAACCTGCCGAGACCACGCTTCTTCCCGACGTCAAGGTTATTCTCCTTTGAGCACCGTTTTGTACTGGCAAAAAGATGATTTGAGGCTCAGTGATGGGTTGTCAGGATGTTCAACCCAACTCATTGAAACTCTTAGTGCTTGTATCAAAGATCGTGTACAGCACATGATTCCAGGAGCAGAAGAAGGACTTATACTACTATTCAACAGTACCCTCGCACGAACCCGAGCTGCTCAGTAGTAATATTACCTCTCAGTCAGATTCATTCTTCAGCAACACAGTCTTTATTGTCATTTTCGCAGCGATGTCATATTCTCTGCTTGGTGCATCTAGAATGAACTCTTGCACAGTATTGAAGAAGCCTGTACTCATTTTCTGATGTTCTTTCTCCCACTATGTGACTTGACAAAAAGGTGTAACTGCGACATTTGATTAACACAACCCAATCACGCTGTTAACTGCAAGAAAGTACCATGAAATTTGTGTCAAGAACCTTAGCCCACTGGCTGGAAGGTTCTAGTAAGCGACCGTAGCAACCATTGTCTTTGATATAGCTCGTGCCACTGATGCAGAGTAGATACGTCTAGTTGATATCTTTGTTAGCCAATTGTAATTGGACGAAATCTCACATCCTCGATTACCTCTCCACCGCCATCATCTCGTTCTTCCACAAGATCTTGCATCAGGCTTGGATTAGCCACGCATTCAACCACCTCTGCCTTCACCTTGTATATGTTAAGATAGACAGGCCTGACCAAGATCGCAGATCATGGAGGCTAAGAGCAAATCGCCCGCAGATGCAGGCACTTTTTCAGCCATCTCTCATTCTCAACCCAGAAAGCCTTCCAAGGGTCGCAAATCCATCACCTTCACCCTCGACGACGGCAGAAGACTCCCCATCCACGACGTCTTCGACCCACCTAAACTAGCAGATGAAATGCCACCAATCAAACTCCAATGGTTCCACGAAGACCGCTTCGAAATGCTCTGCCGCACAATCGGCTGGACTCCCACAACAGAAGTCAGAACTCGCATTCTTGAAGTGATTGATCTTGAAACCCTGTGATTTCCCACGTCAGGCAATCGCCAAGCTGCTCGGGTTATCAAATCGTTATGTGAGCGACGTCGAGATTACTTTGTTCGCTTTCGTCCAGCACTTCGACTTTGTCTGGGAGGATGATACGATGTTTGTCGGTACCCGTAAGGCAGAGAACTCCGATGAGGTCGAGGGAATATGGTACAAGACCTCATACCGACACGGCAGCTACCTGAGTCAATTTTCTGTGGACGCCGGCCTGCGCGTATGCTCGCCGTCGGTACGACATACCAAAATCGAAAAATTCTGGTCTTTTCAAAGCGATCTTTTCGACATCGCCGCCGCGAGCAGTAAAGAACAAAACGTGTACATTGCTGGCACTTACCTCATCTTACTTCGGTATCGTGCTCTGCGTCGCTACAAAACTTCGGACTCGGCTGTCTCCCACATGAGCCTGGTTTCTTGCTCCGGAGATGTCCAGATGCCATTCTCACCTGGTCCTTCCTCCTTGGACAACAATTTACCTACTGAACAAGACCCTGCACTACGCCAGCCGGGGATAGAATCAGAGACCACCTTGGTGCAGGCAGGCTCCGATCTCCAATGCAGAAGCGATGTCTTGGATCCAGGCATATCCATGCAAGCACTGAACGGAGAAGCCACGCGAGGTAATCCCAACACGACTCTTAGTGATCGTAGAAAGGCCCAAATTGCCGCGTCTCGCTCGATACAATGCTAGATGTTGCGTTGATCGGGGAATAAAAAGGGAAGCTGGTCGTGACATCGTAACAAATGCGGCCTCGGCGTCGCAAGGGAAGGAAGCCGCTCACATTCCCGTTCTTCCTCAATTTGTTTCCATCTCACCCACGCTCTCACTTTGATCGCCGATATACATGGACCAAAAAGTGCCGTGCAGAAGGCAAAAGAGATGATTCCGCTGAGGCTCGAACTCAGGACCGCCTGTGTGTTAGACAGAAGTGATAACCAACTACACCACAGAACCAATCGTTGAGAGAGGTGTCGGTAACATAAAATATATTTTTATAGAGTGTGAGGCAAACATCGATCTCCAAAGGAGATACCCTCCTAGGGTCATAGCAAAATGAAGGTCGGTCAATGCTGACCTCTCTATTACAAAGTCTCCCATTCAACGCAGGGTATATTAAGAACATATTCCTCCTACACTTCACCCACCTCCTCCACCTCCTCCACCTCCTCCACCTCCTCAACCCTATCAACATCCAACATTCAACCGTTCTTCCCAAAATCAACACTTCCCAAAGCATCTTGCAACAGTGTCAATCTCTTGACATGCTTACAAGCCTTCCCAGACAACAAATGCTCAACCTTTGGCAGCATATCTCGAATTGTTAGTCTCCCTGCTGTCTCGCAGTGTTTGCTCAGCTTCAAAGGCTTATCAACGTCAAACATGACTGCTTTGAAAGATTCCTCCACATCCTCTGCACACCAGGTGCAAGAGCAGGGATATTTAAAACGCGCTTGATATCCCAGAACCAGCAAGAATTTCTCGCATTGGATATCCTCTGTTGTCTCGACCGTGGTCAACGGTGTAAATGTCGGCGCTGCTATATCGTATTGTGTAAAGAGTTCTCCAGCATAAGTCACCAGATTGTTGTATACGTCTGTGATTTTCGAGACTTCATAGACAGTGATAGTGTCGCTATTGATGTCAGCTAAAACATGTCTCATTAGTGGGAAAACAATAAATTAATGAATAACAACGAAAAGACAAAAATTCAGAACCAGCTGGGTAATCGAAGAAGACATGGTGAGTATGGTAGAAGCGGCACAGCCGGTAAGAAAGTAAGAAGACGATGGAAACCTTGCGTATAACCACAGGCGCGAGGGGGCTGTTGTATTTCTTTTGTATGCCGCTGAGTTATAAGCACAAAGAGAGTCAGACGAACAATGAGTTTATGAAGTTTTCGACAGGCTTGTGATGGTCCATTGATCGGTCTTTGTTGCATGAATCTGCACAAGCACTAGAAGACCCCTTCATCTCCACTTTCTTTGTGGTCTTCATGGTAGAGCAATTTCGTTGCGGGGTCGTAGGGGATGAGGTGGGAGAACCCTATACCCCTGCAATAATGGAGGCAAGAGAAACCGGTCTTTTCAGTGATATACGAGCGTCTCATATATCCTCTATCGTGTTCCTGCGAACAAAATGTTGTCTGCGATCATAAGTGTATTCCATCTCAGCTAAATCCATTGTATGGCGAATACCCCAATTGTGTTTTCCTCTTCCCATACCTCCCATGCCCCTTGAACGCCGCGCTCAAAGTGACCATGTCTACAACATCAAGTCTCCGAGAATCAGACTTTGCACCACAAACTCATCACCCACGATTTTAACCTTGCCTTCACGGCCAATAGCAACCATCTTCTCTCTACCGTCATCTTCTCTCTTTCTCTTCTTGCTCTTTTTGCCCGTGCCTACGTCCTCGACACTGCCGTTTTTGAAGAGCACGTTCTCAGCTTCTTCGATAGTGCCTTCCACATATACCCAGCCCCATCCCTCTTCAGCGTCTAGGATGCGTTTAGCAGAGTCAAGGCCAGAAACCCTGCGGACAACACTAGCTCCGAGTGCGATGGTAAGGAAGGCATAAGCGCGTCTGGCTTCCCATTTCCTGCCTCCTGCTCCTGCACTGACGAGAAGTACTCTACCACCCTGGAGTAATCTTTCTCGATCTTGTACTGTTTGTGCTAGCTTGACTGTATTAGGGAGATATGGATCGAGGGTACGACTTCGCACAGCGCCGGAGAGGAATACTGATTCACCTGCTGGGAGAAGGTATTTGCTCCATGGTAGTGGTGCGGCTGAGGTAACCGAATCGAGGATCCAGCGACCTGAAAGACACGGCAAGGAAAGAGCGAGCGCTTGAACGTACTTGGCTCTGCGGGAATGCTTGTCTGCGATGAGCGCCACAAACCCAAGAGTCTGAGCACGAGAGGACAAGATCAAAGCGTCGGCTTCATCAGTCGCGGACGATGTAGGAGTCTCTGTATCTTCAGGATCATCGCTGAGATCGCGAACAGAGAAGAGCTCATCAAAGCCTTTATCAAGCGTCAGACCACCTTGTGACTGTATGAGCTGTAGGACGCGTTTCTTCTCTGGCGAGTCTGCGCTGTATGACACTGCAAAGGCCATGCCGGAGAAAATGCCACGACCAGATGGCAGTGGTGGAGCGAAGTCTGGTCGTGCCAAGGACCCTATAGAGGTGTTGGTCGAAGTATGGACCGAAATCACGGTACCTCTTCTGGTTCTTGAGGCCGGAGTTGCAAGAGCAGTGTTTTGAGGTACAGGCGTCTGCGGACGAGATGAGTTTCCAGTCGCAATGGTGGTCATGCTCGCCGTAGATGGCAGATAGTCTCGACCTTCGAAACGGACCCACATAGTCTGTGTGAGATAGGCGCTTGTCACGGGTACTCTGAGTATTGCTGCAGTTTCCGCCCGAGGCACTTCTGCAACACTGTCGCGATCCTTTGGCACCAACTGCAATGTCTCAAAGCTGTGCACATCGGTCTTGGGGTACGACTCAGGATCAATATCCTTAATTCTATCCTGGAAGCCAACAACAACGTAGACCTTGTTACGCATACCTTGGAGATCGACCTTGACTTGATCACCACGTCTCAAATCAAGTCGTCGCACGAGGAAGGAGTCCAGCTGAGTGATAGTGCCGTCGTCGAAGCGTATGCGAAGTTTGAGCCCATCAAGAGTAGCGGCTCCGAGGCATGTAGCTGGATAGTAAGCTTGTCCAGTGCCCTTGAAGAGAGCTAGTACTCGGTCGGGCTGCGTGACTTCCGTCTTCGAATCTGTACTCTCATCCTGTGCTTCGTTATGCTCCGAGGTGGCGTCCGTGATGATCAAGTCAGCAGCGATATCTGTTTGCATGGGCGTGGTGATCGCTTCCTCCCGAGTCGGAATTACTTGGGCATCAGACTCAGCTTGCGCAGTTGCGGAACGAGGAGCCTCACTTTGCGAAATACGCCGGACATGCGATAACTTTGATCTAGGTCCACTCGCAGCCTCCTGTCTTCTGGATATAGGTGTACGGAGCGGACTCTGATCGGAAGTTCTACGTTTTGGTCGCACCAGTCTCCCCGGACTATTCTTGCCGGTGGGGGTCCTTGGGTCGACCAACTTTCGAGCGAGCACATTTTCGCGGGCTCTGGATAGCGCAGAAGCTCCAGCTTGTTCCCTTTCGTGGGAGGGCGACAGGGGCTTTTGATGCTCGTTACTGGTCGGAGTAGGCTGATGCGAATGCGATTCGTCGTCTCGCGAGTCAGTTTCTCTCACCTGCTGTGCGTCTGCGGATCTGTCTACCAGCTCTGTTGCAACAGGCTCGGTAATGCCGGGCGATGGGTCGTGGACTGCCTCGGATGGATTCTCTTGTGATGCATCGGTCGGCTTGTGTTGTTGTGATGTTGGGTCAATGGTGCTCGCTGTCTCCGAATGTTGTAAAACTGCCGGGGCGGGTTGTGGAGGAGCATCCACATTATTGTTCGATGTCTCAGGTATCTTCTCCTCCTCTTCACCTTGGTTGACCTCTTCATGGAAGGTGACCATCCTAGCCGCCGCCTTCACTGGGCTCGTTAGTGCTGAGACGATCGGCTTCACCGGACTCTTGACATCTGCCTTGGATTTAGTTCTCTCCAACTGTCGGCCCTTCTTGCCATACAGGCGCATCTTCTTCGCAGGCGGGGAGGACATGGCATCCATGAAATCGTGATCGTCGCCTGATAGTATATCAATGTCCAAATCCAAGTCCTTGCCCGCAGCATTGGGAGGTGTGGGGTCCTGTGCGATGTCCGCAAAGTTGAGAATACCGGCAGCCTTGCGCGGACTTTCAGCACTCAAAATCGAGCTTTGGACTTGGCTTTGAGTCTGCAATTGGCTTGCGCGATGCTTGTCAAATTGCGAGATAGAAGAAACGCCAGTGCTCGAGGCGGGCTTCGGCACCTGCTGTTGTGCGGGTGTAACATCGGGCAAAGGGTCATAAGCATTGGCATTTGTGCGATTGTTTGACGAGCGGTTGTTGTCCACTGGATCAGTGTCTGGGACATTAGAGCTCTGCTGATGACTGTCTCCCTTCACCTCTTTCGCTCTCTGAGATGGTGCAAGCTGTGTCTCTGGCAGAGGCGAAGATGCACCTGCGCGATCCTCATTTGTTCCTGCCTGACCGTTGAGCTTCAGCGGCTCTGGCTCATCCAAGCCTCTGGAGACAGCAGGAAGCTGAGGAGGACTACTCGGGAGACGGTTCTGCGTCTGGGGTGCGATTTGGCTTGTAGTCGGTGGTGGTTTTGGGATGGATGACGAGTCTGCAGCATCACGCTTCAACACGTTCAAGCGCTGGGTTGTTTGGCTCAGAGGATACGAGCCAGGGACGATCGATGACATGGAAGACGGCTCGACCAAGGGTGGTGGACGTTGGGTCTCCTCTTGTCTGGTGGGCTGAGAATCTGCGACAGCGTAATCATTGGTCTCGGCGACTTGGCCTAGCATCTGTGTGGTGGGCAACTGGTGTGAACTTTCTTGCCGACCAGAGGGAGCCGAAGGACCCGAAGCATGTATCATGTCAACATCTTCGTCCTCCTGAGCTGAATGCGTCGAAGTACGGCTCGAAGACTCGGCATGATCGTCCTCTTCATCGGACACATCAGGTTGTGGCGAGGACGAGACCTGTCGCTGACTGAATCTTATCGACTGAGCAAACTCGTCATACTCATCCATCGAATCGCCTGTCGGGCTGTGTGACGCGTCTTGATCCTCGAGGCTGACTCCTTCACGGTCGTGATATTCCCATTCATTCTCACCTCGCTCTTCTACACCATTAACAGTACCAACAATATTCTGTAGAAGACCGTCTCTTGTTCCTGGCCTGCTCAGTCTGCCTAGCATATTGGCTGACCGACTTGGACTAGGGGCCAGACCCTTCAGTGGTGACGAGAAGGCCAGATTCTGTCCAGGCGAGCTCTGTCTGATGTTGGGGCTTGGTCGGCTCAGCACGGGATCACTTCTTGGAACGTCGGGGACAGGACTCGAAGGTGCTTGTGTGGCCTGAAACAATTGAGTGCCAGTCAAAGGTGCGGCATTGCCGAAAGCGAAAGCCGACATGCCACCAGAGCCCGGCGTCTTTGTGCTCGTGGTGGAAGGAATAACATCTCCGCGATGGTTGCGTTTGCGACCAGCTGTAGCAGGCGTTTTCGGGAACGTGGGCCTCGCGACAGAGCTGAGGAAGTATTGACCTTCGTCTTTCTCTTCCTCATCGTCGCTAGAGAGCTCGTGGTAGGTGGTTTGTTGCCAGTGTTGCATCAAGTCGATCTGCGGTGTCTCTTGCTCCGTGTCCGGCGCTGTCTGGTCGTCGAACTGGGTATCTTCTTCCGCTCCGAGGCCGCTGTTGAAGTTTTTGTAGAACTGCGAAGGCATTGGCTGCGTATCGCCATCGAGATCGCTCGTCACAGGGAAGCCGTGAAAGGTGGTATGCATGACTAGCGGCGGCGCGACATGTTGTGGGTCTGGCGAGTCCATGGTCGATAGTGTCGACACAGCAGGAGCAGTCGATGAAGGCTTCATTCGCTGAATCTTTGTGTTTGACGTGTGTCGAGAGCGAAGCTGGTCATTCTGAGCATCGTTTACTTTTTGGGAAAGCTGGGTTAGAGAGAAGCGGTTGTTTTCCTGCACGTCGCATATTAGCTGCCGCGCTGCATATCATCCCGGTCGCTGATCGTATAGAGGATTTGTGGATGTGATAGTCACCGACCTGCAAGATTTTTTCATGCAATAACAATATGTCTTGCTCGCTCTCGAGACTGTTTTGATCCTGGGTCGCCATTTCCTTCTCCGCATTCAACTCGGTAGAGTGCTTGTCGAAAGTGGCGTAGGTCTTCAGACGCGGAAGGAACGCGTTCAATCAAGGTGACGCGTTGCGACGTGCACGGCCTGAATCTGAACGGGAAATTCTTCCGCCTGCGTCAGTGACAGAACAAGGAAGTCTTTCATTAATGCAACCCATGATTTTGAAAAGGCCTAGCTGCACATCAAAAATACTGTTGTTGCTCTATATTCTCCATGGTGTATTCCGGCGGACTTTTATATATCCTCTATATGTACAGACCATTTTCCCGTACGCTTTCCGATCGCCTCCAAAAACGCAATTATTACAAGAAATGAACATGGCAAGCATCATTCAGGCGCTTAGACCACATGTTCACCAGACCCAACCCTTGGGACCGCCCCAAGTACCCTTGACCATGTTGTTGTAGTACACCCAGGGGAAGAAGTCCTTTTTGAGATGGTAGAAAGCACGATGAGGGACGGCCTGATCCACTCCAAACTTGGCAAATGTCTCCTTGGGTTGACCTCCATACTTGAACTCGGCGAGCAACACCTTGCCGTACTCGGTCAACAACGGACAGGATGTGTAACCATCGTAAGCAGCGTTAAGCTCCTTGCCTTCGATTGACTGAAGCATGTTCTGTACCAATACAGGAGCCTGAGAAGTAACAGCAGCGGCTGTCTTGGCGGTGGGCAATGATGAGGCATCACCTGCTGACCATACATTGGCGTACTTCTTGTGACAAAGAGTGGCATCCTCAACGTCGACAAAACCTGCGGCATTGGCGAGAGGGCTATCCTTGATGAATGCGTGGGGTCCCATCTTGGGAACTACATGAAGTAAATCGAAGCGCTTGGTAACCTTCTCCTCGCTGCCACCTAGACGTGCAAAAATGGCCTTGTCACCGTCGACTTCGATCAGATCGTGCTGGAACATGGCCTCGACACCACGTTCCTTGCGTAGTTCCTCCAAAGTGGCGCTGTACTTAGGCACACCGAACATGACCGGCAAGGCGGTAGCGAAACTGATCTTAATGGGCGAGTTGGCAACATTGCTAGGATCGTACAGTCCAGCCTTCTTCCAGTGGTCCAGAGCGAGCCACATTGCCTTCTGAGGTGCACCAGCGCACTTTACAATACCAGTGGGAAGGGTGAACAGGGCTTCTCCACCACGGAACTCCTTGATGTTACGGAAGACTTTGTCGCAAGTCTCGTAACCATAGATCGTGGAGACAGGTGCTGACTGATCTGCTAGCGCCTCGGGCAATCCCTTGATGTTGTCGTACTTGATGCCAATACCAGGTGCCACAACCAAGTGCTCGTATCCCAATTTGTCGCCATTGACAAGAGTGACCAGATTCTCCTCGGGTGTAAATGTGGCGACTCCTTGGTTGTAGTGCTTCAATTTTGGGTCTACGAGACTGCTCATGGGCTTTCTCAATTCCTCCTTGGTCTTAAGGCCGCCACCAACTAGCGTCCATCCAGGCTGATAATCATGGTAGGCTGAAGGATCCACAACGGCGATATCATCTTGTGTGAACTTTCCAGTACGGAGCAACTGGTGACTAATTGCCAAACCGGCTGATCCACCTCCAACAACGACAACTCTGTGGTTTCTGGATGCAGGGCTTACTGATGCAAAAGCCCTTGAACTCAGGGACTGGCTGGCAGTGTTGACCGAGCGGCCGGCTGAAAATGCTACTCTATGCATGGCTCCTGAAACTCCTGAATGAAAACGAAAGAAGGACAATTAACAAAGCGCAAGAAGAGTGAAGTACAGAAGAAAGGGAGATACAGAAATGGCCGAAGTCGCGCTTGCTTACCACTTTCCCCAGCTCGGGCAGGGTGCTGTTGCGGGAAGGCGTCCGAGCTTTTTTTCACGACCCCAGATTCTCGCGATCACGCCTTCGCTCAACGAGTCGTGCAACCTCACCTGATTCTTTCACGACAACACGAGACAAGGAGAGCATATGCCGAGCTGTCCAAATAGTATAGTGGCTGACTGTCTGCTATTACTGACCTTGAAACATTGAGATGTTCAAACACGAATTCTCCCAATTGCATGGTTTCCTCATCGACGATGCAGATGGTTGTGCAGCATGAGCTTGCGAATGAGCGATATCAGGTAGGTGGTCAGACTGAGTCCTCAGCCAGCGACCCATGGCCATATGCATTCAATCCTGTCGTTTGCAAATTTGCTTGTCGCTGCCTCAGGCTCTGTGTGATGGTAGTGTCGAAGAACGTCGACAGCGACAGAGTATTCAGGTAGTAGACATGAGTCAATCACATGGCTTAACTTGCTCAATCAGAGCACACACTCCCAGACATTGAAGCCTTGGAAATCACACAACGAGAAACTTCACCACCGAAACTGACACCTTTGGGCTTGCCAGTCTTGAGTACCCAGCACAAGACTCAGCTGCGAACCCAGACATGGCTCCGTCCACACCTTCTGCGTGCACCTTCTCATCATTACCGAATGAGCTTCTCATAGAGGTCTTCAAAGTTGCTCCAACGATACAGTCGGCGGTAAGTCTGTCCGCGACTAGCAGGCTACTGCATGCAGTCTGGCTTCGAAACAACAACTGCATCACCCGAAGCATCGCCAACTCCACGATCCCTGCAACTGCGGAAGCCATCGACTACGCCATCCTAGAGACCGACTGTCGTGAGCAACTTGACATTAACGGCACACCACCACCACATCTCTGGCTGCCCAATCTAGTACACATCGCGGACCTCTGCGCCAGCGCACACGCTCTCTACCAATCACCGGAGGACGACGTCACTCTCCACCCAGGGAAGTCTTCCTATTACATGGTCCGCCTATGCTTGCTCGCCTTCGAGTTCCCTGAGTTGAGAGACAAACTACACGATCGTCTGTTGGCAGCCTCACCGCGCAAACTTCGGGAGTATGTGGGAATCACTTATTCGATCATGCTCTATCAAGACAAGGAGGAGGCGGATCGGCAAGGAAGTCTGCAGTACAGATGTCGCTTGCCAAATGTCGTGTATCCCTTGCCGGAGTTCAGCCCGGATCGGTGGTTGTATACCGAGCAAGTGCTGATGTCAGCACAGCACGATCTCAGATCTGGGTACACGGAGCTACCAGCAGCCATTGACGGCTACATGATTAGCTAATGAGAGCAAGGGCATGCGAAGCAAGGTAAACATATTGCTTATGTAATCAGCTCCCTATGCTTGTTATACGCTTTCCTGTTGTCATATACAACGACGTCGGGATATACAGATCTCGCGATATTCTCCTATGTTCCAATGTTTGCGACAGCAGAGCTTGAGAGTGGTAGAGCGTTGAGACATGATGCCAACTGTATCAGATCTGCCTCAACCTACCAGTCGAATCATAGAAAATAAGCGTATGGGTACCTTTTCACGTCTGCCTCATTATTGCTACACTGGATGACTAGTGTTCCTGACTTACTCGTGATTACTTTGCGCAACTCTGTAGATGTGGCAAGATTTTTTGCAACCTTCTCGATCATGTAACAAACTCCAGAGAGCCATCCAGGGACCCATTTTCCTTTGAGATCCCCGGCTGTATCTCAAACATATCGGCTCTGAGACAATACCATTACCGATGTCTACAGTATAATGGAAGGTGAAGGTGTTGGACGGACGATGGCAACACTAAAATCAGACGCGATCACGGCCCTTTTCGACAAAGTCAGTCTCCACCATCCTTCTTTGCTATCCACCCTACCTCAAGGACCACATCGAACGTATGGATCTAGAGACCTTCTGTTCGATATGGATCTTGAGCGAGCCTGGTCAACACCGCTCACCTCCATACTCTGAAGATGCACATCTGAGACCATCCACGGAGGATACTGAGCGTGAAGCGACAATTCAAGCTCAAGACTTCCATCAGGGAGGAGACCTATTCAATGGATTTGACCATATCCTTGACTACAATCTCAGCGGCCATTATCTCTTTGCCGTCCAAGAGGACAATATGATGCAAGTTACTGAAAGGAATCATCTTCTAACTGAGATCGAGGCACTCGAACGAAAAGTCAGGGCCCAGGCCATCGCAAACACATCCTTGCAAACAACAAAGAACGCCTTGATCTCCACCAACACTGTCCTGTATCGTGCAAACGAGACTCTTGCGAATGACTAACAGACGTTGAGAGATACATCCAGTCACGCCCAACTCATCCTAAAATTAAAAATATCGCAAACACGTTTGTCCGAAGACAATGAGCGTCTCGCAATTGAGAATACAGACTTACTCTCCAGAGAAGCTACACAAAAGAACCTGCTCAAGACTCAAGATTACAGAATCATTGATCAAAACATCACCATGAATGAAAAAGCCACCAAGCTCGGAACTTTGAAGAAGAAAATACAAGAACGCATCCACTCCAATAAGCGTAAAATATATCCACTTCAAACCTCAACACCACGCTCTCCCAAGCGACTCTGACTTCACCTCCAAGCCACCAAAATCCGCTTCCTCCATCGCAGAAACATCATCTTCCAATCCTCCAACCGCAATCTCGAGCGTCGTCTCAAAAACACCGAGACTAGACTCAAAGATCACCAAGACTGGCAAGAAGATAACAAGAAATGGAAATGGCAACAATTCAAGACAGAGAAGAGAAGACTGAACGATCAAGCCGATGCCTTTTACAACAAGTGGTTAGGAACGAGAAAGTAAGAGACAGAGATGGGGGATTGTGTGCTTGAAGAAATGGAGATAGAGGGAGGGAGTTCGATGATGAATTGTATTGGTGAAAGAGAATAAGCATGTGAAAATCACACGGCAGACAAAGGAGTCGATCACAAACGCCTGACGGTGCAGAAGGAGCACGACGGACCACCACTTAGAAAGGCCGGAAAGGTCCAAGAGTATTATGAAGCTCATCCCTGAAACGGAGCTCACGAGAAGTCGAGTCATTGCTCCCGGGAGTGGTCGTTACAGTAAATCTGGACTCCGGGCTGGTAAATGAATATCTCTCAACGGAGAATGGTCTTCGGGTGGATAAATGAAACGGAGATCTCTGGCATTTTAATCACAACAACAACAACGTATTTCTCGATCGATCGAGATCATTCGAGCGTATGGACGTTTCCTACGTCGTGATTGATCGCACCGGGTTTATAGACAGTGTACAAAATTTAGACACAGCCAGCCCCCCGAATTCAACGTTACAATTGAGTTCAGCATCTGGTGTGCGTGTGCAAAGCGTGATGGAATGCTTGAAAAGTGTTGTAGCACCAATGAAGCGAGATTGCCATGTTGGAGATCTTGCCATGTTGAAGGCAGTAGTGATATGGTAAAGATGTCACTGTAGTCCTAATGCAGTGTTCTGTAGTCGCTGGCGAGCCAGTAGAGGAGTAGTGAATTTGATCTTGAGCGGGATTTTCCAATGACGTCCTCGCGTCACGGTCGGTGGTCGGTGCATACGTGTGTCTAGAGACAAACAATCAGTTCGTCAGAACGTCAATGGCCGCTGACTAACACGTCTTCTTCTGATGGAATGCTTCGAGTGAAGGATGTGATTGCCAAAAGCTACATAATCTAGCGCGGGAGCAGATCACTCGTAGATGCCTTCTTCGAACTTGTCGGCATTGAAGAAAGTGCTCTGGACGACTCGTCCGTTGCCCAGGAAGTCTGTGCCGTCGCTTGCTTTGATGGCCTGCAAAGTCTGTTAACGTGTTTCCTTGTGTCATGTCAGTGAGACTTACGTTGAAAGCACTAAGAGCGCTTGTAAACTTGACAAAGACTCTTCCAGTGGCCCTGTCGATATAGACACGCTCTGAGCGGCCATAGTTCTCAAGCTTTTCTCCAATTCTTTGCATAAGATTGTCTTCCTCGATGGCTCGATCGACATCCATGTCTCTGAGCATGCCCTCGAACCTGGCTACCAGACTGAAAGCCTTGGTCTCGTCAATTGGTACATCTGTCTTTGTCTTTTTGCCTCCTACGATACGACCCATGGCGGCGGGTTGTGCCCAGCCACCACCTTCAGCATCTCCCTTGCGTTTTCTCTTGGTTGCTTCATGACGAAGAATCGTAGTGATACCAGTAGCTTCTTTGCCGAGACCTTCGCCCTTCTTCCATCCCATCTTCTCCATGTATCGCTGGGCAAAGCCTTTTTGACCAGGTGCAGATCTTCGTACTTCTGACTCGGGTTCTTGTGATGTTTCTATGTCCACTGATTCGAGCTCTTTGTTCGCTCCCTCGGCCGTCTGGACAGGCGGTTCATAACGCACAGGTTCGCGTGAGATAGTGCCCGATGGCGGTGGAGGAGTAGGTTGAACTGGTACAGCCGATGATGCGGATGAATATGCCTGAGTAGGTGGAGGAGGAGGAGGAGGAGGAGGAAGAGGAGGGGGAGGCACGAAATGAGGCGGGGAAGGTAGAACGTATTGTAGACCAGGCAGAGTAGATGTTCCTTGAAAGTTCGGTGGTGGGGGAGGGTACTGGTCGAAAGAGGGTGGGTAGGCCATAGGGACGGAAGAAGGCACAGGTGGAGGCGGAGGAGGAGGTGGAGCGGAGGTCTGCTGAGAGGCGGCGGGAGGGCCGCCAGGCTCGATGAGTTCTTGTGGAGGAGGCATATTCTTGTACGAGACATCAGTCGCAAGTCTGGCTTCATCTCGCGTGGGTGGTGGAGTGCCAGGACGCTTGAATGAATGCAGTGTCTGCTTCCACTGGTAGCGGGCATTGAACTTGGAGTCCGAGTGCTTCCAAGCATCTAGACGGAGCTTTGTGCGAGTCTTTGTAAAGGCGTCTTGGACATTGTAGGGTGCGGACCAGTCGATGTCGTCCATGTGGAGGGCAGGCTTTTTGGATTTCTTGCTCTTGCGTTCCTCTTTCAGGCGAGCTTTCTGCTCCTCCTGGAACTTGTGGTATTCGTTGACGACATCGAAGTCTTGTTCCTGGGACTCGTTCCACTTCTGCACGATGTGACCGGTTGCGACAGGGGCAGCAGGCAGCGGAGGAGGCTTCGTCGCGATTGTGGGATTCGAGTTTGGCCTGGGTTTTTGCTTCTGCGCAGGTTGAGGGCGTTTGATTGCAGGCTGGAAACGGAGAGAAGCTGTGTCGAATTGAGCATCAGCTCGCCTATGTTACATCGAGCTGCTTCAGGTACCATCGGGTGTTTTCTTTTCTACTGTCGCCGGAGCTTCGTCCTCTTTTTTGAACGAGTACTTGACAGGCGCACCAGAGATGGTGGCTGTCGGCGGAGCGGCTGCTGGATCGAGCAAGTTTGCATATAGTGACGGCGGCATTCTGATGTTTTGTACTTGTTGTCAAAATCCCAGACTAGAGACTCGGCGATGCGTCGATGTTGGTGTCTGGCGTCGTCTTGCCAAGCCAGGGGATTGCTTCACTGGACAGGCTGCGGGAGCGGGGAAAGCTCGGATCTGTTGATGTCACCATCGTCACTCGAGCACCCGCTTACCCGTCCGCAGACCATCTCCGTACATTGATCGAGCCGCATATTACGCCTACTTCCTTATCGCTCCTTCCTTTTTCTTGTAGCCTGTCTATATGCTCGTCCGTCTTGTCCCATCTTCCCCCCCCTAAAGACGCCAATTGATACAGTTTCACTAAAATGACGACCCTTACAAACGCCTTTTCGCATTCGTCTCATGACACAGCCATTATCGTGCCCGGCAAGTCGCCCTTGACCGTGTCGTACGAGCAACTCACGGCCGACATTCTCTCCTTCCAACTGAAGCTCGCCAAGCTGGGTATTACTGCTGGCGACGCCGTCTCGATCGCTGTCCCCAACTCATACCCATTCATCGTCGCTTTCCTCGCAGTTGCATGGCAGCGTGCCATTGCCGCTCCTCTCAACCCCGCATACAAACAGTCCGAGTTCGAGTTCTACATCGACGACCTCAAGTCCTCTCTCGTCCTGGTGCCCCAGGGCTTAGCAGATGGTCCTGCTGTCAAAGCCGCTACCAAGTACAAGGCTGCCGTCGCCGAGTGCTACTGGAATGGAAAAGAGGTGGTCCTGGACATCAAGCATGAGGGCAAACTGAAGGGCAAGGGCAACAAGTCGCTTGAATACGCTCAGCCCGACGATGTTGCTCTCGTCTTGCACACCAGTGGTACCACTGGCCGCCCCAAGGCTGTTCCCCTCTCCCACAAGAATCTGACACGCACAATGTCAAACATAAAGGCAACTTATGACTTGACCAAGGCTGACCGCACTATGCTGGTCATGCCTCTTTTCCATGTTCACGGCCTCCTTGCTGGCTTCCTCGCCCCTTTGCTCTCCGGAGGATCTGTAGTTGTACCAGCTAAGTTCTCCGCCTCGGACTTCTGGAGCGACTTCCAGACTCACAAGGCAAACTGGTACACGGCAGTGCCCACCATCCACCAGATCTTGCTCAAGAGCCCTGCCCCTTCTCCTCTGCCGGATATCCGCTTCATCCGTTCTTGTTCTTCGCCTCTGTCTCCCAAGGTCTTCCACGAGCTTGAGAAGACTTTCAAGGCTCCTGTGCTTGAAGCCTATGCCATGACCGAGGCTGCTCACCAAATGACTTCCAATCCTCTTCCCCACAAGGGCAAGCGTCAGCCTGGCTCCGTTGGTGTCGGTCAAGGTGTCGAGGTCAAGATCCTTGACCAAGCAGGCAAGGAGGTACCTCAGGGTTCTGAAGCTGAGATTTGCATTCGTGGTGAGAATGTCACTACTGGCTACCTCAACAATCCAGAAGCCAACAAGACTTCCTTCACCGCAGAAGGCTTCTTCCGTACTGGTGACCAAGGCAAGCAAGACCCAGAAGGCTATGTCATCATCACCGGCAGAATCAAGGAACTCATCAACAAGGGTGGTGAGAAGATCAGCCCCATCGAGCTGGACAATGTCATGGCACAACACCCCGCTGTGTCTGAAGCTGTCAGCTTTGCCATCGAGGATGACATGTACGGTCAAGATGTTGCTGTAGCAATCGTGCTCAAAGACAACCAGAAACTCGAGCCTGCAGATCTGAAGACCTGGATGGCAGAACGTGTCGCCAAGTTCAAGTTGCCCAAGAAGGTTTACTTTACCGACGTCATGCCCAAGACAGCTACCGGTAAGATCCAGAGACGAATGGTAGCTGAGGCTATGCTCAAGCAAGAGAAGCCCAAGGCCAAGCTGTAAAATCTCCGATCGATGCCATGTGGGAGACAAATTGTGCGGCTTCAATCTAATGTACATATCATACATATCATGACTTTGTTTCATCATTTACACCTTTCGATTATTGTCCGTCCCTGGGATAGAGTGCTTGCAATGTGATCTCCATACAGATCGCCACACGGGTCGCCAGCTTGGCCCGGCAGAAAGGTCACCGCCTTTCACTCCTTGACACCCCCTTCCTGACAACGCCAAGCAACGACAACATGATGTGGAACAACTCAATGCGATATGTCCCGAATCTTATTGTACACAGCGATGGACGACGATACACTCGAGTATTCATGGGAGTTCATCCATTCCCAGCAGCTATCATGCCTTTCTACCGCTTCATCATCACTCCATTGTTGCAGGATACGCCTAAGCTCGGCCGATCGCTCTCATGCTAGAGGGTCACAATCCTAATATCGTTGCTTCCCCAATTCACGATACGAAAGCTTATGCTCTAGGTGGGAAATCGCCAATGTTGTAGGCTCTGGCCGGAGAAAGAAAGAAAAACGTTTGTGCTTTCGCGTGTTCTGCCCGTTGGTGACAGGTACCCGATTCGGTAATTGGGCCCTATACACGCCAGTAGAGGTGTCATGGTGTATTTTCGACTTCTCTTTTAGTCAAGACATTCTACCTGAACGCTCGACTCGTACGGAGTGAAATACACATGTATGTTTTTCCATATCTGTTTTGGAAAAAAAATTGTACATGAATATGCAAAGGTCTAAGTGATGGCATTGTCCACAGTAGCCGAGAAAATCATCTCTTGGAATCACGTCCAACGGCCAAAAACCCGGAGCTTGAGCGAACGGTTGTATAGACCAACAAATGAAACGGCCACGCTCGAGAACAATCGAAAGGCTACGAACAACAATTGTACTTATTGTCTTGTTTGACCCCTTTGCTCTCTCTCCGAGCATTTTCCTCTTTTTTGCTCGATCTTGTTTTGGCAGTCTTGTAATATATATATATTATGAGTGAATCTCGCTATAGCGAACTTGATGTCGAGGAGTCGAAGCGGTCGTTTGAGACGACGAGCTCTGATGCATATGTGCATCTTCCTAGAAAGCCGCTCTTATCAATGGCAGTAAGGCGAACCCCTATATATTTCAATTTTGGACCGCAAGCTGATGTTTTGGAAAAAAAAGTGGTTCAACAACAGAATCATCATTCTAATATCCTCTATCGTCATCGGCCTTGGATTTTTCGGAGCTCTGTGGCATCGACCAACTCTCATCTACGGCGCTCGACCATATCGTATCGCCAAAGTGTCCATGTTGTATGGTGACAATAGCTTGTACGAAAGAGCTCTGGACTCGCACATTCGACATGGAGAAAAATGGGGCTATCCCACCTACATCAAGCGACAGAACGAGTACTGCGGCTACTGGAACAAGCCAACCTTTATGATCCAACAAGTTGCTCAAGAGCTCGCCAAGCCAGAACATGAGAGAGCTGAATGGTTGATGTGAGTCGCAGTACATGTCCTAGATTGATGAATTCGAGCTGATAGGAGGATACCAGGTGGGTTGACGCAGACTCCATCATCCTCAACCCCAACATCCCAGCCCACATATTCCTTCCACCCAGAGAATTCTCCCACATCAACGTCGTCGCAGCACGCGACATCCAAGGTCTCAACACCGGTGTCTTTTTCGTTCGCGTACACCCCTGGACAATCTCAATGTTTGTAGATGGCATGGCCTTTCCCCTCTGCTCACCCAAAATCGACCTTGGAAACGACGCCGATCAAGCCGCCATGGCACGAACGGTACTCAAGTCTGGAGGTGGGCCTGATGGCCATGGTTTTAAGCGTGGCGTCGTCTATCTGCCACGCAGCCTCTTCAACATTTACGAACTCCCTGGATATGCTAGAGATGACCGAACAGATGTGCTCAGAAACTTTACAGGCTTTGTGGAACCTCATGCTTTCGAGGGCAAAAAGGGAGATTTTCTCGTCCACCTGCCTGGCTTGTTTGGAGATCGCGATCCATTGATGAGTGATTGGTTGGACATGGTTGAGAACCGAGAAGAAGACTGGGCTATTCCTTTGGAGGAAACGACATACCTCAAGGACACGCAAAACTTCTGGACACTTTATGGCGAGGCTGTTGATGTCATTCGCGAAGCCATGGACCGGGAAGATGCGGACAAGGAAATGAGAGATGCCGTCAAGCAGTTGAGAAATGCTTTGAGTGAAGAAGCTGATGATTCGAATATCGTCACCGAGTACACCCAGTACCTGAAAGGGTTACTGCATCCGGTTGAACACTTCGACAGATGACCTAGTCATCGACTCGGCGAAAAATCAAAGCACCGAGAGGACCTCAAAATCGGCATAAGAGAAGAACAGCTGAACAGCTACAAGCCGCAAGCAGACCAAGAACGCCAAGAACGCTCACTTTGGAAGCACCATCGCGCGTCGGCAGCCAGATACTGTACTGTGGACCCCCTTCACACGATGCTTGCCCTGCTCTTTTCCAGGCATAAGCCTTGGCAACATACCACGCCCAACCCCAGGACGATCTCAAGGACCAGAGGTTTTCCAATACAGTCATCTGGTGTCCGAGTATCGAAGAAACGAGTCAATGGCAAACACCAGCAGATTGCTCACAGCAAATCATCGAATGATTGGAAGTCTGGGGAAGAGACCTTGTTTGCTCGTGGTATTGTTGTCTCTTGCTTGGCCCATCAAGCTGTAGTTCTCTTTGTTCTGCTGTTGCATGGAAAACGCACCTAATAAGAGGCCGCCTGCACAGTCTCACCGGCAACGTGTAGTCGCTCATGCTATCACAACAAGACTAGTCAGCAAAATCAGAGCGCGGGTCGAAGCTGTCAGCGGAGCATCTTGTTTGCACTACCTTTTCGGTATCAGGGTGGAACAGACGAAGCTGGGTGTGTTGTGATGTGAGATGCTTTCAATTCAAGCTAGCTGATGGGTATATTCAAAAAATGGTGTTTTGTGAAAAAGAAAAGACATCGACCCATGAGAGATGCAAAACGCCTGACCCCAGACATTATCATATCAAAAGAATGCCGGTCAAATGAGATGAGACGCAACCAGGATGTTGGAAGTATTCTCCACTCACGCTATTATCAGAGTACAATTTTTCAAAGGTTCGTTCAGATCGAAGTCGTGACAAGCATGTGCAATTTGGTCAGATAGCTCAGCAAACATGATCCCTCATCTCCAGAGGTCCTGTCGACTGCCATTGCGCTTGTGACCGTGGCTTTCGGCGCCAGGGAGCTTTGGCGGCGGCTTGAGCCAACTACCACGGCTTCCGACACCGCCAGCACTGCTGCCAACGCTCGTACCCATAGCGGCGAGAGCAGCAAGGGCGCCACCTCCGTTGCCAGGGCTGCTGCCACTGCCCCAGCTGCGAGACTCTTGTCCGGCTGACGATCTTGGTCTTGAAACCTCTTCTTGTGGGACCGCGAGGAAACCACCGTAGCCGTTTCCGACAATGACACTCATACGTGCGTCACCACCGAAACCGCCCTGTGCCCATTGAGGACCCAGACCACGAGCTGCACCGTAAGAACTCTGTGGTCGACCACTGCTGCCTGAGCCGTGGCGACCTTGTGACGGAGCAGGTGGTTGGTAAGCTGTAAAGGCCCACTCCAGCTCATCTAGACCCTTGGAGAAGACTTCCAGAGGCTGATGCAGACCGCGTGGAGGGTTCATAGCTCCAACGACACTTTGACGCTGGTTACCGCCTCCGTCCATGAACGGTGTCGGAGGTGCGGGCAGTAGCATGATTTCGGCAAAGTCTGGGTCGCGAACGTATAGCTGTGACAGAGCAGGCAGACCATTTGCGTGCAACGACTGTGCCAAGTATGCATAGTATGAAGCAGCAGGTTTCTGTAGGCCATGGGCATCTTCTGAGTCGGTGAGTTCAAAATGTAGGACTCTGAGGGAGATGGACTCGAGTGGTGGTAGGTCGTTGAGCGAAAGAGCGAGGGATTTAGAGACGGTCTCGACAATGGAAAGGGAATGGAGGGCGGAGGCGTCAAAGAGGAATTGGTGCAGATCGATGGGGTCGATGCCAGTGCCGTTTAGCGAGAGGTCATTGAGAGTGTTACGGTTCACGGGCTTCTCAAAGTAGACGCCCATACCCTCAGCTGTGATTCTCGGCGTGTTCTCGAGGGCGAAAGTGTGTAGCGCAGGGAAGTCTGGAAGCATTGGAGATTGGTAAAAGATGGTATCGTCCAACCATGACAGATCAATCATTGTGAGTTCACGCAGATTTGGCAATGAACCGAGGACGATACGCAGTGTGCTGGGCTCGACGTGGATGCCCGAGATCTCGATAATTTCCAGCGATTGCCAATTACGACGAGCGAGTTGCTCAAAGGAGCCTTCTGAACCTTGACGGTAGCTCATCTTACGGATGTCGGAGCAGCGTGCTTGTAGCTCGTGCACAAGAGGCATACAGGCCGGGTCGCCGTTGAAACAGCCGTCGGGCAGATCGACGTATCTGAGGTTCGGTAGGACGGATATGGTGCGAGCAAGGTCGGCTTTTGCGGTCTCTCGCGTCATGTATGGTAGCTTGAGCATGGTCACGCCGTGTGCCAGATTCGGGTTTTCTCGTACGGTTCGGGAGAAGAGGGCTAGTCTGATTGTAGGAACATCGCCAGACTCGATGGGAGCCTTGAGGAATGTCTTCTTCTGTCTCCTCTCAGCCAGCATCTCTTCGAGTTCGCAGTAGTGGACGGCATCGATGCGGACGCTGCTGTATCTTGGAGCTTGTTAGTCCGAAACTCGTGCTGATCATATCTTGTTCGAGTCACTTACAAGACAGTGGCAGCAGCGTTGAACCAGCGACGACATACTTGTCCTGCCTGAGCCAAGTCTCTCAGATCGCACAGCATACACCCTTCACCAGCTGTCGACCTTTCACTGGGCTCGAACGTTTGGTCCTGAGTATGCGGCGCGACATGCACCATGATCTTTGTGAGTATGTCATTTGGAAGTTTGGCAGCAAAGTCTCGTCCAGGTCTGATGACAATTGGCGATCGTCTAGGACTGTTGTTACTGCTGTCATTGCCCTTGTTATGTGATTTGGCGCGGAGGTGCTTGAAGAAGCCCATGTTTGCGGCTCTCTATCTCGCGTCGCCTGAGGTTGATTGGAGTTTAGGAAGGAGCGCGTCTTGCGAAGACCATCCTCCAGATACAAGAAGGCAGTCACGGGCCACAAGAAGGTGCGACCACCTGGAAATGCCGATACGCGCCCCTGAATCCGTCTGCTTTCCATTCCTTATGAAACTCCCCGCACTCTCAATCAGCTGTCGGCCTGAGACGCCGTGCAGGGTCCACGCCGAGCCCGCTCGAGGCTTTCTCAAACACTGACAAGTCGTTCCTGTAACGCGCCTGAAACATCGTACAACAGTAAACCATGTATTATCATAACGATTGTTTGTTTGATGGTCATGTGTATGACCAAACATACTCTGCCAAATGACTATTCATGCTGCTACCCTGATTGCTTGCCTTCATTGCGGAGCTCTCTTGCTCGAGCGACTTCTTGATCGTCAGACGCGCTGCTTGCCCCTTCTCCGCTTGACCCTGATTCGTCCTCGTCGTCCTCTTCCTCTTCTCGCTTAGGCGCCTTTCCATTACCATTACCATCACTCTCGCTGTTGCTGTCTTTCTTGTCTTGTGTTCGATGAAGGCTTCCGTTCCTCTCATCTTCGTCAATGGTAGCCTCATTGTCCTCTTCACTGTCATCATCGTCGTCGTCATCATCGCCGTCGATAGGCAGCTCGGACTTTCTGCGACGCTCGAAATCTTGAGCGTGTGACGCGCGCAAAAGTGTACCGACTTTGTGGATTGCTCTAACCATTGGTGACGCTCCGTGCGATATAGGCTTTCTACGCTGTCTGATAGATCCAGAAGGTGGGTCGGCATTGGACTGTCTGCGTTCCGGATCAGCTCCGGTCGCTGTCAACGGTGTCACATTGGACGGAAGCTGAGGTCGTTGTGCTTCAAGATCTGAGGAACTTCCGTCTTCGACCTCTTCGGTCGGTTCTGCTTCTGCCTCAGTCTTGATATGATATGGCAGCGGTACATCTCGCGAGGCGCGGTAACGAGTGACACTACAAAGTGGTTAGTGGACGCCTTCGCAAACATAATAGCGTGTAACTTACTTGGTGCAGTGCTCATTCTCGACTCTGAACAATTGCCACATGCCACGTCGAAGGACTTCGGTGAACGCGACCATGAAAGCGACAATCGTGGCATGTTGGACATCGTGTCCAAATATGGCATAGAAGATCCAGTTGAAACGAAGGATAGGATCAATCACAATGGCGGCGTAGTACCACCAGGCATACTTGAAGCCAAGAGTGTTTCGCAAAAACGGATGCTTTGCATATGGATCCATCAAACTCCAGTCCATGACAATGTCCCAGACACTGCAGTAAATGCCGTTGATAGTTGCCCAGAAGATGAACAGCGCTCTCAGCTTTTCGCTTTTGTTGTGACGCCACAAACTTAAACTCATGTAGTAAAGAATTGTGCACAAGTACTTTCCAAAATTGGCCATATGAGGGAAAAGACTTCTCGTATCGGCATATCTGCGAAGACATTGTGCAGCACGCCAGATACCAGGTAAGGTGGTGAAGAATCCAAGGAGTCGAGAATGGGAGGAGTTGCATTGAGTAGGATTGTTCCAGTCATTGGCATAGAGGCAGAAGAAAAGCTCGATGTTCTTTTCGTGGTCAGCGGCCTGTTTCTCTTATTTGAACTCGGGTACTTACACCAAGCGCGTAAGTTTGCGAACAGAACATGTCGCCCAAAAAGAAATCCCTGAACTCGACAGGGAAGAATCCAGCAAGTAATAAGCGCCACTATGAATGTCAGTCTGGGCTTTCTCTCAATTATCCAGTGGACTTACGTTGGAATAGGCAAACCACCAACGACTGCGATGGTAAAAGATCGGGAATGGGTTGAACAGAATGAGTGCCGAGACAGCTATGAGAACGACTGGCCACCAGATGTAAAACTCGTCGTGCGTGAAGCGCTTGAAGTTGAGCCACATAGTCAAGCCAAGGACAAAGCCAAGAAGAGCAGGTATCTAACGAACGTCAGCAAGGCCAGAGCAGAGCAAGAAAGAGGATAAGACTGACCTCTGTAAGTTGGTGCCAATCGACGTTATGCCGGGTATCAAATTCGAAGATGAAGGAGTAATTGACTTTGGCTCTGGTCCAGACTCGGCAAGCACCGCAAAAGAGAAGTGCTAAGAACCACATCAAGAAGTAGCCACCATATATCTGTGGAGTATTAGTAAGAGTTGAGGCAAGTTCATGTAAATTTCAAACTGACCTGAAGCAAGAAAGCTGTATGCCCAGCAACTGCCGGATCCGAACTCCAGAGAAGTTCAGTACCATAGACAAGACCTTCGATACCAAAGACGGTACCGGTAGCCAACAACACTCCATTACGGAACACACTTCCAGTGTAATCTCCGACCCTTGCGACTTTGGCTCGCAACTTGCCGACGGCGATCTTGTGATTGCCACGCTCAAAGTATCGAGCATACATGTCTTCGACTGCCTGAATGTGACCATCCACAATTGTGCTCTTGACAAAGTATGCATCGTTGACTTTCTCCGACATATATCTACCAGACGGTCTGGCGTTGACGGTCTTGTCGAACTTCTTGTTGATCTTTCGGAAAGCTGTTCTGTTCAGGAGAGCGTATGACTTGAGCAGTTCCAGCCCTCTATAGTACTCGGCCAAGGCAATCTTCAGTTTGCGCTTAGCAGTCCTATAAGGTACCTCTGGGTGGCCTCCCCTTCGGACATAGTCTCGGTTATCCTCCATCGGGCGGGGGCCACTGGGTGTACTGAGCTGTTGCATGGCCTCGAAGGTTTTGCCTGCTTGTGGAACTCTCTTCCTTGCAGATATACCATTGACAGCCTTGGCCCAGCCGTTTGTCTTTTGCACATTCTTCATGAGGAGCCCAGAGTCTTGATCACCAGTGTTGTTCCCCGAGGTCAAGCCATTCGAGGATGGACGTGTATTTTGCGACGGACGATTGGCGCGGGCGGTCGCATAGAGAATCTCCTCCATACGCTGGTCACGCATGACATGGAGCTGCTCTCGTAGCACCTTGAGTCTTTCGGTAGACTCGTCTTCCTTTTGCTTGTAAAACTCTTCGATCTTTGACATTTCCTTGTCCAAGAAGAGGAAGAATTGAGTTTGACGGACATCAATTTCTCGGTATGCTTCAAGGGCGATGTCGTCTTGTGTAGGGCTACTGCTGCGGAAGCCGCTCAGGCCTCGCTTTGTCGGAGGTCGGGTAGGTTGAGCGTTCTGGACGCCAGGCATGGAGTTGACTCGTTTTGGTTGAAAGACGCTTCTGTATCTCGAGGGGAGGGCAAAGCTGGCGTGCTTTGGCGTGTTTTCTCCTCCTACTTGATATGCGCTTCCGGAAGACTCTTGACGCCGGGCACTGCGACGAGCGGGAGTGCCCAGAGCAGGACCAGGTAACGTCAGCGACCTGCTTGAATCCTCGCTCGGACGAGTGGCCCTGGGAGGACTCGAAAGGTCTGGAGGAGAGCCAAGGATACTACCGTAGCGTGTCATGTGTCTTCCATCGCCATGCACCTGCAGAGGTGTTCTTTCTGCATCTTCTGCTCCGGGTATGGGTATCGCTGAGCTTTCGAAGCCGTTTTGTTCGTCGTCGTCGACATGATGGGCAGGAGGAAGAGCACCGAGGTCTCCACTACTGGCCCGTCTTCCATTCGTCTTGGTCGCGGTTCGGTTCAAGAAGGCGTAGAAGGGGGCTTTTCCAAAAGTCGCGAGCGGCGAGGAGTCGCGGCGGCCGTCTGCTTGAGTCGTACGCTCGACTTTCTGCAAGGCGCGCGCGACAGCCTTGAGCTTCTTCTTTCCTTGCTACGAGTAATGTCAACACCTCAGCTCGTATACATGTCCCTCCGCGGCAGCGGTTGTGGAAGCGCGAACCTTGTAGTCCAGATATTTGGCCCGCCATTCGGGTACCAAATCAGCCTCCAATTCTCTACCGATTCGTCAATTCATGTTGGTCCTTTGACGCGCTCGTCGAGATGTCTTACTTGGCAAACTTCATGATTGCTCCCCTTCTCTCGGCAGCCTCATAGTAGTGTCATGTCGTGGTCGCACAGGGTCGCGTAGGGCTGTACTTATCTACCGCCCTTGATGTGTTTTCCTTGTTTCGATTGAACCTCTCAACCTCTTGGCAAATTCTCGGTATCTGGGCGCAGCAAATTTCCCCGCTGACGAAATCGTGACGAGCTTTGCTGTTTGGCCGTTGGCCAACCAGCTTGAAGCCTCTACCTTACCATCTAGGTATTTATGTTTCAAAGGTTCACTTATTGTTGTTATAGCATGAAGATACAGGTGTTTCAGGTGGGGATAGTTGTTTTATTCGAATTGCCTAGTCGCAATTGCTGATTCTCGTCATATGATGCATTGATCTTTGTTCGTCATTCATTCAATTGCGAGATCGAGTCGACTTGTTTAGTTGTCGTAGCCGCCGAACTGGCGCTGGAGGCGCTCAGGAGGGCCCTGCTCGCGAGGGTTGTACTGGTCGTACTGGCCGTACTAGAACAAAGTCAGCTTGTATTATGCTATGGGCAAGAGATACATGTCCATACCTGCTCGTCGTAGAGACGCTCAGCATTCTGCTTGGCTTGGTGCTTGGCCTTCTCCTTGTCGACGTAATCGAGGCCCTTTGTCTCGACGAGCTTGTCGACCTCAGCGCCAGCGAAAGAAGCAAGGAGCTCCTTGGCGAACTCGTGGCTGACGGGCTGGCCCTCCTTACGCTGTCTCTCCTCAAAGGCGTGCATGGCAGCGAACGAGGCACCGCCAGCGAGGAGCTCGTGAGAGAGCTTACCCTCGTGGTTGTCGTTGTAGACCTGGTCGTAGGCGTCGTGAGATTCACCTTGGAGTTGTCAGCGTTGCGCCTCTACTATCGGAACACTAGAATCATCCTTACCCCAGCCGAACATGATGATTGATGTGATGTGGATAGGTTTGGATTGTGTGGTTTGGAAGTGGTGCAATGAAGCGTGAGTGGTTGGAAGAAAGAAGTCAAGGGTGTGAGGGGTCGTTGTCGAGCTTTATACGCTGTCTGTTCACTTCGATGTAGCCTCGCACGCACCTGCCCCACCTATTGGCTCACAGCTCTGAGCTTCCATGTTGTGGCTTCACCTTTCTTCCCTGAGCTAACCACAAGATGACGCGGCAGCCCCTTGAGCTTGTACGTGAAACGAGTAGTCTAGACTGTCATGACCAAAAGCCAATGATGAAGCGGGGCTGAACATGGTTCTAAGAATAATCCGACCAATCTCGAGAGCGAGCCCCAAGCTATACGCAAGTGGTAAACAAGACATTGTTTTCCGCCAGCGCTGAGAAGCGTCATCGATGTACGTGTTTACACGTCCCTGAACCGATACCAAGGTGATCCTCCTGTGCGTTCGGAAGGAGAAGACATGCCTCGGGGTTGGATCCCCATAGCCAAGCCGGATTGGCGTAAACAAGCTGGACCAAGCATCAGCCGAGCCCTGTCCAAAGGCAAACATGACTTCAGTGATCGGCCTTAATGTGGCGCTCAGCACCGCCACGAACGGATCGAACGGAACAGCCACTTGATCAGACGGCAAGTGAGCTGGAAGAGAAGAGAGCCCAAATCAGGGTTCGCGTCAACACACACTCGCAGACTGTCAACGATTCACAGTCCGAGCCGATACAGCCATCATGGCGATTAGTAAGAGACTGCCTACGACTTCCGACTTCCCTTCTACCTGGACTCTGACTGTGTCTCCTTGTAAGTCTCGTACTCTGCCCTCCTCGCGTGATAATCATATCCACATCTTACAAACGTCCATTCACCGCTCCGCCTTGCATGCGCCACGGACCATGTCGACATCATGTTATTACAATACCGTCTGGGCCTGACACACTACCCAGCTCCAAGCTCGCAGCAGCCAACGAATATCCTCATTCTGCTACATGGCCTAGGTGATGCTCACCTTCCTTTCGCCCAACTTGGCACGCAGATGAACTTGCCAGAGACGGCATGCATCTCAATCAAAGCTCCTGAACCGCTGCCATTTGAGGCTTCATCCTTTCACTGGGGTGATGATCTCATCTTTGACAACAGTGTCGGCACAATCGACCCCGATGGCGGCTTCAAGAAGGTAGTCCCAAGACTTGTCAAAGAAGTCATTGAAGACACTTTGATCAAGACATGTGGCTATCAACCTCGTGAGCTAGTGCTTTTCGGATTCGGTCAAGGCGGTATGGTAGCTCTCAGTATTGCAGGTAAATTCCTCCACAACTCAGTACATCTGGATGATCTTGACACTTCTCAGTAAGTATGGAGAAAGAGCTAGGTGGAGTCGTCAGCGTCGGCGGTCCGTTACCCAGCGAGTCCCCTGCTTCTCTATCACCAAAACGCAAAACGCCCATCATTGTCTGCTCTGGAACCGACAGTCCTTGGGTCACGTCATCTGCTCAAGACAAGCTCAAGGCAGTGTTCGAATCCGTCCAGTTCAATCGCTACCGAAGATCTGGAGACACTATGCCTAAAAGTCGGGACGAGATGTTTCCAATCATGCAATTCCTTGCTAGGCGTCTTAAGAGCTCTGCAGGCGTACCAGAAGGCAGTGTCGAGCTGTCGGCCTGATACTGTCCGATGTAAAAAAAAGCTTCGGAGGAATGATAGTCCGAAAAGCAGGGTGAGATATACAACCACGGTCGACAAAATCCAAACAAACAATGTAGCTGCTTGAGGGTAAATCGTAACATCGTACATGCTTTCGATGTATCTTACGGCCTCAAACAATATGACTACCTCTTCTCGTCAGCCATATATCACGTCCGGCTGCTCTGAGGTGCGCAGTTATCATGGCTTGGTTCTGAACACCACCCAAGCCGCGTCTGACATCGCAAATTACCATGCTTCCACGGCGGGTGCATTACCGCATTTTGATGGCAACAGTTTTCACAGTCTTATCACAACAGATTCCCCCCTGAGGAATATCAACAAAATCAATTTGAGCTCTGAAGCGGAGTAAGTCGATTTTTATGTGTTCTCATAGCGTTGCCAACGTCGCGTCATTCATCCCTCGATGTCGTGATCACACATCTGTACCTCACTCATCGCCTCGGAAGCACAACGCAACCAATAACATTGTTTTTCGACTCAAGCACCCTGTGTCAAGCTCATGAATTGCTTGTTACCGACCTGTTTTCAATTTTGGCTGAAATACGTAAATGGATCCGCAGTATATCTCAACAGCTAGTCAAGATGTAAGTACCGAAGTTGTGGATCTACAGGTGAATAAGATATAGGTCCTCTCTTTCCTGCTCCTATGTATTGAGCGCATTCTTCTTCATATTTCTCTGCTCTTGAATAGCCAGCTTCATTTACGATCAGTATCCAACGATGGCCGACCATGACAAAAAGCTACAGTCCGATCCCTACGCAGGAGAAAGGTTATCTCCAGCCAACACGTCTGACCTCGACGATAGCTACGAAGCGTACAAACGTCATGAAGGCGAATCAATTGATCTGGCCGAGGCAAAGCGAGTGCTACGAAAGATTGACATGCGCATCGTGCCAATTCTCTTCGTTGTCTACCTACTGCAATACCTCGACAAAAACTCGTTGAACTTTGCTGCGGCATATGGATTCAGAGAAGGAACACACCTCCATAGGCAGCAGTACTCATGGCTGGGCTCAATCTTCTACTTCGGATACCTCTGGGCACAATTTCCTGGAGGCTGGTTGTTGCAGAAACTGCCCATTGCGAAGTTCCTCGGTACCACGACTATCAGTGAGTTTCCACAACTTGATCGAGTCTTTATAGGGTACCCCTTACTGACATTCGAGTCTTGCAGTCTGGGGCATTATCCTCATCACCACCCCCGCATGCACAAACTTCGGCGGTGTAGCAACCAATCGCTTCCTCCTCGGAACCTTTGAAGCAGTAGTAAACCCAGGCTTCGTCCTCATTATGGGAATGTGGTGGACCGCCGCCGAGCAACCTCTCCGTCTCGAAGCATACTACTGCACAAACGGCATAGCAACGATGGTCGGTGGACTTCTTGGCTACGCCATCGGCCACATCACTTCTGGCTCCCTCGAACGCTGGATGTATGTTTTTATCATCTTCGGAAGCGTTAGCATTGTGTGGGGAGTTGTGGTGCTTCTGTTCCTCCCAGACTTGCCATCGACGGCTAAGTTCTTGACGGAGAGGGAGAGGTATGTGGCTGTAGAGAGGGTCGCAAGTAACAAGCAGGGTGTTAAGAACAGTCACTTCAAAAAGTATCAATTGATCCAGACATTACAAGATCCAAAGACGTGGATTTTGTTTGTCATGGCTGTGGGAGCACAAGTTCCCAACTCGGCTATCACGAGTGTAAGCTATTATCTTGAATTGACCCAAAGACATCTCGAAGCTAATGCTCATGACAGTTCACATCTATCATCGTCGGTTCCTTCGGCTTCGACACTCTCGGAACCCAATATCTCCAGATCCCCGGTGGCTTCATTCAATTCGCCGCGCTCCTCGGTGGTGGATTTATCTGCTCCCACTACCCAAACTCCCGCTGCATCGCCATGATTGTCGCAAATCTCGTTTGCATCCTCGGCGCCGCCATGTTGGTCGGTCTCCCTGATAGCAATAGATGGGGTCGTCTTGTAGCACTATGGCTTTGTTATTTCCAAGGCTTAGGCTTCAGCATGTCCTTGACGATGATCAGCAGCAATGTGGCTGGATACACAAAGAAACAATGTACTGGCACGATTTTGTTTGTGGGGTACTGTGTTGGTAATATCATTGGTGAGTTTCCTCCTCTACTTCCCGCAGAGACTTGACACTGACTAGAGGAAAACAGGACCCCAGACTTTCAGAGACAGCGAAAAGCCGGGTTATCACAGCGCGTATATCGCCATGCTGGTTGGTTACTCGGTGAAGCTTGCTATGGTCGTTGTGCTTTATGTATACATGTTTGCGGCGAACAAGAAGCGCGACAAGGAGGCTGGTGACATGACGGCCGAGGAAGAGAGGCTAGCTATTGAGCAGGGCATGCATGATCAGACCGAGTACGACAACAAAGGCTTTAGGTATACACTGTAGTCAGCTATTTGCGAGATCTGTATTTCTGCTATCCTCAAATTAAAGCTCAGATCGGGAAAATCTCTCATGGGCTTTTCGAATTTGAAGACGAATTCTGCCGCCTGGAGAATACGCCGAAAATCCTGATAGGCTCCTAATCTCAGATACGGCATGACGTGACCGGGAGTAAAAACACAACCTTGATGTACGTGATGCAGTCATGGTCAAGATTCCTGACATCAATCATCATAGCATTCGGGGGATATCCTTAATGGCGTTGGATTGATTGCAAAAGGCCGCGTTCACCGTAGGCGCAGTTGCGAGGATAAATGCTCCGGGTGAAACGGACTTCTCAATGTTGACATGTGAGAGGCTCGCTGCTTTCGGCTTTATCGAGTGTCTCTGGACCATTGTCCTGATCCTTCGAAAGACAAGGGTCAAGCTGCTCTTAGGTCGGCAACATGTCTAGAGTACCCAAGCGAGCTGCTCGGGCGCCTCACAGATCAAGTTTAGACTAAGGACTGAGACGGCAAATTACCGGACGTTACCCATCCATACACGAAGATAACCTGGATTAGGCTGTTGGACTGATCCGAATGTGCTTCTGGATGGACGTAGCCGCTGAGTTATTTTCGTGATGCTTACCTAGGCGCTCGAACAAGGACAAGATGAAAAGCACAGACATCGTCGCCGCCAAGACTCAGAAGGATCGGGCCGTGCCCCAGGCCAGGCACCTGTGTGCTCGACTCCCACAAGCTGATGCGCTTAGGAACCGGTCAAGGGCTGATACATGCCTAAATACTCTCCATTCTGCAGATTCTACGAGGCTGCCCTAGTGCTCATACAGTTTGCCGCTTTAGGAATGAGCCCATCTTGTCTCAGCGCGTGAGACGCTGCCCCTCTATCGGGTGAGTATGTGCTATCTGTTGAACAATCTCGAGTCATGCACGCTTGCTCCGCAGGTACTTTGGCCATCCCGTCGTCAGGCCTTTACAGGCCCGGACAACACGGGAAGTAAGCCACATAAGACCTTACTCGTGGGGAGACTCGCATGCGCTCCTTCTGCGGCCCGCAAGCGTAAGTCACACATCTTTCATGGCTGTGGGCATGCATCTAGACATCCACTTCTCTCATCCTTTCACATGTTTGCGAGTGTCGTCAAACACGAGTGTCGCTGTGGAAGTTAATTCACGGATCGTTACATCCTCGTCGTACCGATATGCAATCGGGCCATACTTCTACGTATGTTGGACAATGCATCTACACGACTGGCTGCTAGCCTTGTGCTCCACGCTGGGCAATTCGCTGTTCTGGCTAATGGTACATACCAGGGAGCTCGAAGATCGATATCTGGCCCCCATGTCTTATCGAAAGGCAGCAAGTGGAGCTCCGCCTCAGCTCTGATCCTGTTCGAAGGATGGGTGCATAATTGCCGAGCTCTCAAGCCAACACTGCAACGCTTCCTTCGCTCTGAAAGACTTTTATCCCACATGCAGTTGTTGTTGCAGATGGCATCACTGCCGATAGCGTCTGACCAAGCTCAGACCTTTAGAAAGGTGTTTCCGCCGCACTTCTCTGACGTTTGCATCTACACCAACTCTGCCGTTATCTATCATGTTCTCAACCTTCAAATTCCGAAACTCCAGTCGCATGACTCAGATTGACGTCCAAGCAGCGAAGGAGACACTCAGTAGAGGTAAAGGCATACGCAAAGCCTGTAACTCATGTCGAGTAGGTCGGGTATGCCGTCTTTGTTGCCAGTGGAAGGCTCATGTGCTGACACGATAGACACAGTGCAGGTGCTCAGGCCAGAGATCTGGCTGTGATAGGTGCAGAGATAAGGACCTTGAGTGTGTCTACGAAGAGTCTTCAACTAGGACAAAGAGAAGATTCGCTACACAGGCGCGTAGCCTTGCCAGCCCAAACGGCGATATCATGACCTCGGGCATAGGAGACCTAGACGGACCACTTACTCTCGGGACTGCTGGCTGGAATGAGTCCTCTGAAGGACAATCGCCGAACCGTGGCATGAGTGAAGTAGAGCTTGGCATTGGATCTTTGACGGACTTCCCGGTCCCACCATCCATCATTCCCGGTGCGGATATCAATCACGATCGTGTTGATTTTGACCCCAACAATACGGGTACAAGCTCACCCGGATCATTTGACTTCGAATCATACTTCAACACGTCTGACCGAGGCAGCGGGGATGACTTCCTCAATACATACGATTTGGATGGTATGGACATACACTCCTCAATACACCAAGATGAACCATTTCCTTTTGCTGCCGAAATTTGCGCACAGCCTACATCGATAGGGGTAGCTTGCATGCAACCACCCAAAGAGCTGGAAACATACGACCCCAATAGACTGCAAGTACTTGAATACGAGCCCGAATCTTGTGTCAAAGACCGCGATGCGCGGGACGTATCGTCGAACACCATCGTTGGCGAAGCGGCTTCAGCTCCTACCCGAGAACAGCCATGTTCTCCAAGCTCTACCGAGGCCTCCTCCAGCTATGCCTCTCATACTAGATCACTTAGGTCGTTGACGTCGAGGTCATCCGCGTCGTCGACATCCCTTTGCGACTGTATGGCACAAGCAACTTCCTTGCTTGAGGAGTTAGAAGTCATCATGACACAAGGTCTTACGCAGCCGGATCATTCGCTCAAAGTCCATCGCCAAGCGATGTCCTATACTACGGACATTCTCGATTGTACTATCTGCCGAAAGTCACATTCCTTGATCACCTTGTTAGTGCTAGTGGCGGCGCGCTTGGTTGAAATTATCAGCCCCATGTGCGAAACCGTGAGCACGAACACACAATTGAAACTTGGAGAATACGACGTGGATCCTCACGAGGAATGGCCTGAACTTGCTCGATGTCTGATATCAATGCAACTTGGAAAGTTGCGAGATGTGCTCAGGAGGTTGTGGTCTGTTTCCGATGGTCCGTCGTACGATATGCATCGTAAGATGCTTTCTCGTGCTTGTGATGGCTTTCGCGAATGTTGGGTTGATCTCAAGGGCTGACGAACAAGTCGAAGACATAAATTGTGTGTTCATGTACGCTCGCTTGAACTGAATGAGGTATGGCTGGCCGAGTCCGGCGCTGTCTGGCAAGATTACATCATGCACGAAGTCTTTCTATTGTTCACATGCCACTGAGTGAGATGTAGCTACGACGGACCTTTCAAATGATGTGAAAAAAAACTGGCTATATACTCCTAAGACATTGTCTCTTTGGAACAAACGCGTGCCAAGAACGTGTTAAGAGTTTCCACGACATGAGAAATCGCTCGAACTACGCATGTCCAGGGTCTCAGATCTCTGGGGGAGAAGCACGTTACTGGGAAATTCCTGCGGCCGAAAGCGGTAATGTCCGGTGCTGCGCGATAGCAGACCAGGCCTTTGGCAGGATCCAGCTCCATTAACTGACGCTCGACTATATGGAACCTTTTCGTCCGTGAACCAAGCAGTCAGCTCACCCATCTACAGCCAATCATGTCTGATGGACCAAACTGGACAGGAGCCCATATCCAATGGCCAGCGAATGTTGGAATCAAGGGCATCGAGATATATTTTCCGTCTAAGGTATGTGTAACCATGCAAGTTGTGACGATGCGAAAGCTGAATGGAGTCAAGTATGTTGACCAGACAGATCTGGAAGCACATGACGGCATCAGCGCCGGAAAATATACTATCGGTCTTGGCCAGAAGCAAATGAGTTTTTGCGACGACAGAGAAGGTTAGTGCACCTTGATCATCAAAAGAATGATTCTGTGCGACTGTACTGATTGCAAGTCAGACATATACTCATTCAGTCTCACCGTGGTATCTTCGTTGATCAGAAAATACGATATTCAGCCAGCATCCATTGGAAGGCTTGAAGTCGGCACCGAAACGCTACTTGACAAGTCGAAGTCTGTAAAATCTGTCTTGATGCAACTTTTTGAAGAGTCTGGCAATACCGATGTTGAAGGTGTCGACACGATAAACGCTTGTTATGGCGGCACAAACGCCTTCTTCAATGCTGTGCAATGGATCGAATCAAGCCACTGGGACGGCAGAGATGCCATTGTCGTAGCCGGAGACATTGCAATTTACGACAAGGGACCTGCTCGCCCTACAGGAGGTGCTGGTGCTGTTGCTCTCTGGATCGGTCCCAATGCACCTATCGTGTGCGAATCTGGTCGTCGAGGATCGTACATGCAGCATGCATACGACTTTTACAAGCCAAACTTCAAAGCTGAGTATCCGGTCGTCGATGGCCATCTCTCGATTGACTGCTACTTCAAAGCCCTCGATGCTTGCTACTCTGCATACACAGCACGAGCAGCAGCAATGGACAAACGAGTGGCGCATGTTCAGAGCGCCTACGTCAATGCCGAGTCAAACCGAGGCAAGCAACATAAGGGGATAACTTCACCTCCTAGTCCTCCGGACGAAGCCGATGCACTTGCTCTGGTCGAGAACCATAAGCCACAAGTCTCAACACTCCAGAAGTTTGATCTCATGTGTTTCCATTCGCCAAACTGCAAGCTCGTGGCAAAATCATTTGCACGCCTCAACTTCCTGGACTTCAAACATGGCCAAGAGCACGATACCCTGGAAGATTTGCGCAACAACTTTGACCCTCTCACTATCGCAGATCCCACCAAAGATAAAGTGGTTGAGAGCGCCTTCATGAAGTCAAGTGCAGATCTGTTCTCCGCAAAGGTCGATTCGAGCTTGCTTCTCGCGCGATCGTGTGGTAACATGTATACCGCAAGCTTGTTCGGAGGTTTAGCCAGCTTGATCGCGTCAAGAGACAGTGAGAGTCTCCTGACCAAACGTATTGGTATGTTTTCATATGGCTCTGGGCTCGCAAGTTCGATGTTCTCGCTTCGCATTGTCGGGGATACGCAGAACATGCGGGAAGCAATGAATCTTGACTCTCGGCTCGCGGCGAGAATTAGATGCACTCCTACCGAGTTTGAGAATGTAAGTGACGATGTTTCTCTCTCGAGTGGATAGAAGTTCTTGTATGATGGCTAACATTTATTCTAGGCTTTGGCTCTGAGAGAAGATGCGTATGGAAAGTCGGACCGGGCTCCAATTGGGGATCGCAAAGCTCTGGTGCCTGGGACTTGGTATCTCAATAATGTTGATCAACTCTATCGTAGAAGCTATGAGGTAGCCGCTTGAGGAAGTAGAATGGGGCATTTCATAGCTAGTGTATGTTGTCAACCAAGGTTCCCTTAATCTTCTCAGAGCGTCCGATGTATCCAAACTCGAATACACTGCATCTATTCTAACAAGATGAACACTTCCATATGATGCATCTAACATCCTAAGTCAAACGACATACCAATCTATCACTCTTCCCTCGGCTTCCAAAGTTCAAGCAGTCGTCTTCCTCCTGATCCTGAACGGCAACTTTGGCTTCGGTGGCAGCATCCCGATAGGGAAATAGTCCATGTTGGGCTCAATATGCATGTCAGGGTCAAGGAGTTCAATGTCAAAAGCGGTGCTGATCAGTGCAAAGGTCGCTAACATCTCGTTTTTGGCGAAGAAACGACCCGGACAGATGTGAGCACCTCCTCCGTAGGGGACCCAGCCTCCTGCAGAGACTCGCTCCATACTGAACTTGATTTCTGGGTCAGTCTTGGTTGATGTGTTATCATGATCGGAAGGTGACTTGGTGACCGTGGGGCCTTCCTTGTCTGTTTGGAGAACTCTTGCTGGTCCGACTCGAACTTCATCGTCTGGAACCCCGAGGAAACGATCAGACCAGAATTTGTCGATTGGGTGAAAGTCATCCGGTGTTCCCTGATTCCAAAGATCGGTATTGTGATGCGCGGTACGGCTGGAGAGTACGATAAGTTTGCCTCGGGGAAAGCGCCAGCGTCCTAGTATATAGTCATTACGCTCTGGAGAACGCATCAGAGCTGCGGTCATGTACAAACGAAGTATCTCGGCATAGCAAGACTGTAGAAGAGCAGATGAGCCCAAGACATGTACGTCAAGGTTGAAAGGATCCGGACTTGGTTCGCCAGATGGGAGCTTGATACGTGCAGCGGAGACTTCCTTCCTGACTCTGAGTAAGAGTTCGGGTGAACGCGTCAGCTCCAGCACGAACCAGACTGTTGCAGGTACTGCGTTGGCATTCATTCTAGGGAGTTTTAGTACCTAATCCGAGGTTGTCAACAGGTTAGGACAGGTACTTACGCGAATATCATGGCGAGATCTTCAGAGGCCTTGGCCTCAGCTGATAGATGCTCAGTTTTAGTAGCATAAGCATATCGTTCCTTCATAATCTTCGCTCCCCAGTACTCATCCCATATCGAGTCATCTGCTCTCGGTTCGCAGCCAGCATGCTCCACGGCATGCGAATGCCAGCGCATGATCGCACCCAAAACTCTATCTCGTGCTCTGTAAGCTGCACGATTGGTCCAGCGAGGGAGTCCTTTGCCGTAGACAGGTATGAAACGCATGTACTCCCAGAAATCATCAGCGCTGGTTGGGCTGAGTCGCTCAAAGTGGGGTCCGCACATTGCTCGCATGGCCGACCTGAATAACTCCTTCTGTAGCCAGTCCTGGAAGTCTGGCAATTCAGTCCATTGGTCATCAGAGATGTGCTCAGAAGACATGATGCGCATCTTGAAAGTCTCCACGAACCTCTCAGTCATGCCTTGTAAATGTGCACCATTGAGATACTTGCTCGCCGCATGATGACGCATAAAGCCAACTCTATGGTGAGCAGGTACATTGGTGCCTGGTAGAGGATTAGGCGCAACTCCCGAGTTGTCACTCTGATAGAAGTTTTTGGCGGCCGAGGGGAGATCAAAGAGAAGTTGCATGACCATCAGCACGCCCACGCCAGAACGAAGATCTCGCGAGCCTCTCAGGACAAGATCAAAGTGCTCAGCACTGGAGAGCACATATGCTTTCAATGGACCCAAGCGTACGCGCACAGGGATGGTAGATCCAAATCGATCACTATGTCTGTCAGATACGACGTGGAGACTGTCTTGAGAAGCTCGCTTACTGTATTCTTCTCGTAAATGCTGGGGTGTCGATCAAGAAAGAAGGCAGATTACCAATAAAAGGTATCCAGTAAGGGACGATTGGAGGCTCGGATATACCAGTGGACTTGACAGTTCGTAAACTTTTGGTACTTGTCACAAAGTACGTCAAACATGGTATGAACACGACCAAGACGCCAAAGACCGAGAGCCTATGGTCATCTAGAGCGGAGAAATCAGTCAAAAAGTCCAAGAACATGGTACAAAAATTGTGTGTGTACAAGCGTGAATTACTAGCAACAATAGCGAAGACTATCTTTCTACCATAGTCATACAATGATATAAAAGCTCCCAAGTACCCAAGTATTCCTTCTTGTTCCGGCATTTTCCTAGATTGGCAACGCCCACGTCAAGCGTCACACGTTTGGGCGCGTCTGCTGGCCGAAGTAGCAGTAGCTCTAATTTACAACACTGGACATTTCGGGTGCACATTTTGACACTGAACTGACACGCCCCAACGTTGAGTCGTTCGAGAAAAGACATGTAGGTTCAAATTATGGCTGAGCTATGCTGGACTATTGGTTTGAAGCAAACGAAAAGAGAAAGAGATACCAAAAACACTGTCTTATACCGAAGTTTCGAGCTGATATCTCAGATGGTGTGCTCCTTCAATGTGTCCTGAGTCCAATCCCAGAGCTTGCCAGCAAGAACTTTGTCGTTGGTCCACTTTGTGTGTGTACCAGGCTCACCAACAGGCTCGTAGAAGGCTCCACTGGTGATCCCGTCGCGAGGTACAGTGCAAGCCCAGATGCCGTTCAGAACACCTTGCTCAGGAGTGACCATCTTGTTGAAGTTGGTCATGTACACAATGCTTCGGTCCATGAAGCTTAACCCGGTGACCATATCAGTCTTGATGACACCGGGATGAACGACTGCAGTGGATAGAGCAGGATACTTGCGTGCAAGCTCAGCCATGTAAAGGACAATGGCGAGCTTACTCTGTCCGTAACGTGTCCACTTTGAGCCGAATCCATAGTCCTGTGTCGTCTTGAGATCCTTGAAGATGATGCCTTCATTCTTTGGGGCGACGGTGAAGCCAGTAGACGTGAGCGACACCACGCGGGCATCTCCGTATCTCTCGGCGGTACGAAGTAAAGTCGGCAGCAGATGTTTGATGAGAAGTGCATGGCCCAGATGATTGGTAGCAAATTGGATCTCGAATCCGTCTTTGCTCAAGGCAGGAGGACAGGCCATGATGCCGGCGTTGCACAAAAGGATATCGAGACGGTCGGTTTGGGCGACAAGCGTCTTCGCAGCCTCATCAATAGTGCTCAAGGAGCCAAGGTCCATCTTCACAAAGGAGACTCCAACGCCTGGCGCCAATCTCTTGAGCTCATTGATCACGTCGTTAGCCTTAGGTTGGCTACGTCCGCTGATGTAAATGTGAGCGGGCCTCTGACCGGCAAACACAGTTGCAGCTCGGCGACCGAGACCAGCAGTACCTGTAATATCATATTAGCAGGCGCAAAGAGTTGCAATCGTTTTGCATCACATACCACCAGTGACAAAGATTACTTTGCCGGTCAAGTCTGGGATCTTGGTAAATTCGGAGTGCTTCATTTTGCGACCGCGGGGAGTTGTGATGAATAGAGCTCGGGGGCGTGAAAGCGAGGGAGAAGAAGAATATCTTGAAGGATGGACATAGACATGTTGGTTGTCATGGAAGGGGAGCTTGTTTCACCCCTCTGCATGGCTCCTGCCCTGATTCGTAGAAGCCCCCACGCTTCCATAAATGATCATACTCACGACTCGCTTGGGTATGTGTTTGTGTGCAGGCTCCCAAGCTGCAGTTGAGGAACGCGCACTAGCCAACCAAGGCAGCCACAAACGCCATATGCAGCTTCGTTATCACCTACTTCTCCAATGGGAATTTCCCGCACCAATCAGAAAATACAACCTCATGGATGGTGGTTTTTACAGGGTCTCCGGATTTAATGCGGTCGCAGAGGTCCGTTCGGTGCAACATGGACTCACTCGGCCGGTGTAGGTGGGTGCGACATGCAAAATGATCGTCCCGTCACCGCTCCTAAAATTGCTTCAGCCTCTTCATCGTCGGATATTGCTCAACGCCCGACTGGGAATATTGCGTGTGTCCAAATATCATGCTGAGTCTTCAACAGAGATCATGTGGAAAATTCGCAAGGTAAGGGGAGACTCACAGTCCGAACGTCATCATTGCCAAGCAAGCCGAACCGATGCTTGAATTAGCGCTGCCGTTCTCGTTTGGGGTACTGCCCTTGTCGCTCTGCATCATATTCAGTGCTGTATGTTATGCATGTCTGAAATTGACAAGACGCGATCAGCGCTATATCGCTGGTATACCAATCGTTGGTGGGCAGAGTCAGAATGAGATTAGACAGAGCCGCCTCAGGTTCGTCTCTGAGGCTAAGAACATGCTTCAAGAGGGATACTCAAAGGCACGTTTTGTTTCTTTCAATTGAACTCCGGACAAATGAGACAAACAGGGCAGACAGCTGACCAATCTCGCGACAAAGTGTGATGATCACTTGTTCTATGTTCCCACGAAGCTGGGTGAACGGTTGATGTTGCCCGTAAGGTATTTGGAGGACCTCAAAACTGCGCCTATCCAGGATGTGGACTTTGTTGGTACTTTTATTGAGGTAAGATCCCAATCGTGGTCATTCGAGATCTATGTTATGCTCACAGAATAAGATGTTTGAGGGTAAGTACACCACGTTCGGCAGCAGGTCTACGTTACATCCTCGTGTGGTCAGAACCTCGCTCAATGCGAATGTTGGTAGGCCTATTTGACAACCCTTTCAATTTAAACTTCAGTTTCACTGACTCAGCCGACAGAAAAGATAATGCCCGACATACATGCAGAGGTCAGAGACGCTTTTGAAGCAATCTGGCCTGACTCGGAAGGTGAGTTTGGTACCTCAACATCCTGTGGAAAGCATGCTCATCGCACTGACGTGTTGTTAGACTGGACGGCTGTACCAGTTGTTGATTGTATCACTAGAATCGTGGCTCGAGTTTCAGGGCGCATGTTTGGCGGTCCAGAGCTCAGTCGTAACGATGAGTGGGTGATGACTAGTATCAGATTCGCTCTTAATGGGTTCGCGGCAGCACAGAAGCTGAAGTTGTGGCCGGAAGTCTTGAAGCCCTTCGCCGCTCCCTTCATCTCAGAATTGAAGGCGATCAGAGAAGATTACCGAAGTGCGGAGAAGGCGGCTCTGCCTATACTGGAACAAAGGAAGACATCGAACAAGAAGGCAAATGATTTGCTGACATGGATGGCAGAGAATGCAAGAGGAGAAGAAGCTGAGCTGAAATTCGTCTCGCATATTCTGCTCAAGGTCAGCTTTGCAGCAATACACACGAGTGCCGCCGCTCCGTGTCAGCTCATATTTGATCTTTGCCAGTATTCGCAGTATGTCGATGTACTCAGAGACGAAATACGGAAGAACACAACCATCGAAGATCACCAAACTCTGCCAAAAGTTGGCAACCTGATCAAGCTTGACAGTATCATGAAGGAAAGCCAAAGGATCAACCCTCTGCTACTCAGTAAGCGACCCTGAACACAAGATTCGCCCGCATACTGACCTCTGAGTCACTTTTGAGCGTATCATAACACGCGATTATGCTCTGAAAGATGGTCTGGTGATCCCAGCACATACAACTATCGGTATGCCCACCCAAGCCATCAACATGGATCCAGAGCACTATTACGAGCCCGACAAATTTGATGGCCTGCGATTCTACAACCTGAAAGTTGCTGGAACTAGTGCAAGTAAGACCGACTATGTGGCTAGCAATGGCGCCAGTCTCAATTTTGGCTATGGTCGTCATGCTTGCCCTGGGCGTTGGTTTGCAGCCAACGAAATCAAGTCTATCATGGCATATCTACTTCTAAATTACGACATCAAATTCGCAGATGGACAAAGTAGACCGGAGAACCTGCAGGTCGAAACGCAGAATCTCCCGAACCCTACCGCCACGGTACTTAGTCGGAGGATTCGCCGATCCTAGTGCTAGTCATTACTCCGGTCTTTTGAATGCTGTATAGAAGTCCACGTCTTGATTCAATCCTGAATGAATGGATCATTTACCACCATTTAGCTCCGGTTTCGTTCGGGAGCTGTATCTCCTCTAGGCATTGCGTGATGGACAACTATCAGAAATGATAGCTCAAAATCATAATCAACGAGACTTCTTCGAGTTTAAAGTCCAAACTTGTACATCTTACGGCGTCATTTGGCCAGGCAATATGGACGGGAAACGAAGATGAATACTGCGTCATAACTTCGGTCGAGGTATGAGCGCGAGTACACACCTATGTCTACCCATGTTTGATTTGCAAGGAGAATTCACTGTCTGAAGGATGTCAATCACGACGAATATGTGGGCAAAAGATGATTTGGAATGGCATTACTCGAGGGTATTCAGCATCCTTCAACAGGAGCTCTGCTATTTCATCTTGTATCTCAAAGTCGTACGACTCCAGAGTTCATTACCGCTCATCTGATACTCCAAGCCTTTAATGTAAGCATTGACACTTGCGCTGCAACCCTCAGCGATTGCTTTATTGTACATAGCGTCATGCTCACGCTCCCACTCTCGAGTCATGGCCCAAAGAACTCGTTTTGCGGCTTCAATGTTGATACCAGCTGAGCCAGCCAGAACCTGAACAGCAGAACAAAGAGCAGAGCCCTCCTTATGTCCATGCTGAGACGCGAGTAATTCTTTCTCCCAGCTGTAAATATCGTTGACGACTGAGATCTGCTTCGAGCAATTTTGCTCTACTGATGACATGGTGGAGAGCTCTTCCCCTGTCAGATGCAAGTCCATGGAGAAACGCATCAATGCTGATAACAGCCTACGAAGTGTAAGCAAAGAGACGTTGACTCTATGGCGCTTGACTTACGCTTTTCCGACGTCTCTCTCGCGATATTCCAAATATCTACCGAGTTCGGTTATCTGAAGTCGCGTACGATCTGTTTGTGCCCTCATGAATGTGAAAACAGGCTCGAGGACTTCATTGGCAAGCTCCTCATCATGATCGCGCATACTCTTCCAGAGATCGTAGAAGATATACTCGACGGGCTCAGATCCTACACATTGTTCAGTCTTTGTTAAGAATTAGATCAACTGCCAGGACGACCTACGGTCTGGTGAAACATGACCCCTGGCAATTGGCATAAGTCTGGCATTGTATGCTTCTCCTTCTTCGAATGACATGTCCTCGAGCACATCTGTTACAATCAGCTCTAAGCGAGACAAGCATAGGATAGGTAGTTCACATACCATCAATCAAGAACAGGACGGTCAACAAGCGGCATGCAAAATGAATGCGGTCATCTTTGGCAAGTGGAAAGTACAAGCAAGTGACTCTCGAGAAGCCAGCACCGATAAAAGTCTTCTCTGCTTTTGCATTGGGGAAGGGCCAGTGCTTTAGAAAGTAACCATCGACTTCCTCGGAGACTTCATCAACTCGTGGATGGCACAGAGCTTCCCAAGTTGAAGAGGGAATCGTCCACTCCGGTGTTGACTTGCTCCTCACGTTTGGTGCGTCCGCAGGCAAGACTATGGGAAGCGTCGTTGCGGATTGTACGAGAGACATGGTTGCAGATTGAGACGCGAGATCTTGGTGGTCAAGCTTTGGCACAAAAGTTCTCGATTTGGATTGTTCTGATCAGAAGCTGTTCTGCAAACGCTCTTTAGACTGTGCTCTATAGCCGGCCGCTGCCTACTTGTTATGGCATAATTCAGCATCTCGACTAAATGCTCAATGTGCATATCAGCCTTGTTGACATTACCCAGGACTTGGCTGATGAAAAGGGATATGCCTGAATCGGGAAGTATCCGGAAGTGCTTGCGATGTAGAATAACAAATGCATCTCTGTGATGCTATTTTTGGCCGTCGATACAGCGACTACTTAATTCAACCCAAGCATGATCGTCGCACTTGCATCGTAGCACAGTCTGCAGTCAATCTTTCATCATCTCAGATAGACCAGTCACTGAAGCAATGGGTGCCTTATATTGTGTCACCATCGTCATATGTGCAACATTGGCTCTTGCCAGGGCGGATCTCGATCCCGCGAGCAGACATCACTGGGACAGAAGAGACTCAGATCTTTCCGGAGCTACCATCTTCACCAATTTCACCGTGAAGGGATGTCGTCAACTTTCTGCGGCACTTCCTCAGCAGGCTTTTCCTGTGGGATCTGCAAGCTATATTGCCGAACAAAATGGTATGTAATAATCAGATTGTTCTTTCGCGAGCACTAATTCACCCAACAAACTAGAAAACCAAAATTGGTCGCAAAGCTGCGTCCAAACTCCGCAATGCCTGTTGGAGCCTTCGACTGCCAAGGAGCTTTCCACCGCGATCAAATCGCTTGTGAGCTCGAATACGAAGTTTGCAGTCAGATCTGGAGGCCACATGCCCGTTCCAGGTACCAACAGTATTACGAATGGCGTGCTCATAACAATGAGTGCGTTTGATACTTTGAGTCTTTCTGATGATCACACGATCGTCAGTCTGGGCGCTGGCCTTCGCTGGCAAGAAGTATACTCCTTCCTTGCTCCCTACAACCTCATTACCCCAGGTGGTCGTTATGGACACGTCGGCGTTCCTGGTCTTCTTCTCGGTGGTGGTATAAACTACTTCGGTAATACCATTGGGTGGTCTATGAACAGCGTCGTCAACTACGAAGTCGTTCTTGCAAACGGCACCATCGTCAATGCTAATGAAAAGACCAACAAGGCCCTCTGGTGGGCTCTGAAGGGTGGTTCAAGCAATTTCGGCATCGTGACACGATTTGACATGAAGACTTATCCCAGCGCAGAGGTCTACGGGGGTCTTGCGGTCTTCCCGGATTCGGCATTGGATGCCTTTGCAGATGCATGTGTCAATTTCATGAACCCTAACGGGGGTGGCATTTCAGATACACCAACGACCATTGACCCCTCGATTGGTATCAATCCGAGCACTGGTTCACTGAGTCTCTTCGGTATCTTTTTCCGTAATGGTAGCGATCCTGCGCCAAGGTCTCTGGCAAACTTCTCAGGTCTGCCAGCAAGTATCTCTACACTTGGAGTCAGGCCTAATTTTAACACTTTTGCTACGGATGGATCCAGCGATCTCTTCAACGACAGATCTTTGAGGTATGTGTTGCTCTCTGAGTGACTTCGGCTTGGCGGACCAAATCTGACAATATGTGATTACAGACGTACTTTCTACACCATTGGCATGAAAGCGACCCCAGAGACGGCAAGGATTGCATACAACACATTCATGTCTGGCGCAAAAGCCCTGACTGTTGACGCATCGTTGTTCCTTACATACCAGCCCATCTCGAAGTCATGGATCACTGCTGCGAAACAGAAAGGAGGTGACGCCTTTGACCTAGACCCTTCGAACGGGAACCTCATGGGTGAGTTTGTTCGGACCTGACACCTCGTCTGCATGGACTGACACCAGACAGCACTCGAATTCTCTGCGTCTTGGGCAAGCGCTGCGGACGACAGTAAAGTCCTTGGCTTTTTTGGCAAGACAGCAGCAGATATAACCTCACAAGCAAAAAAGCTGGGCATGGGTTACGATTTTGAGTACCTGAACGATGCTGCCACCGGTCAGAATCCATTCCCTACATATGGCGGTGGAAAGTCGTTGCCAAAGTTGCAGAAGATTGCGAGGGATCTTGACAGTAAGGGAGTGTTCCAGAAGCTGATGCCAGGAGGCTTCAAGATTTTCAAGTAGAGTGAAGAGTGGCTAGTCGAAATGGGTTGTTATGTATTGACCACGTATGAAGAAATTCCTTGTGCTTGCCAAACAACCCCTCGAAGCATTAGTGGCTCGGGCTTGCGACTGATTGAGTTTTGATTTGTGGCAGATGGCGCAATCATAACGAATTGAATATGAAATCTGATCAAGGTGCAAGATATCTGTGGACACAGCGGATTCAAGTTAATGGATGTTTTATGATGAAACAAAAGACAGGTATTCAAGCACTTCCGGATCGTTCTTGAAAGCTTCCATCTGCTCAGGTTCCAGGCCAACGATGACTTCAACGGATCCTCCAGGTCTACGAGGTTGGACGCTACAGATACCTTCAAACTGGCCCTTTGGCATACGGAAAAATTCAGCTTTCTGCGTCTCGCCGAATTCAGGACCCCACACATGCTCGTAGAATGGGAGCTCGATCCAGGAAGTCAAGATCAAGTCTTCGTGACTCCAATCAGGAATGGCAAATTTTAATGAGCTGTGATCGCGAATGCTTGCTACCAATCTCAAGGCATCACTCAGGTTCTGAGACCGCTTGTTGGCTGTGAGAGATTTTCGGAGCTCGAAAGCTACATCTCCAACAGTCGTCGAGGGACTCGTCAGCCAGTCGACGTTTTTCTCGGTCATGCTGGCAAAGATGACATTTCCAGGATAGTTTGAGGGTAGCCCCAGTCCGCGTCGGCCATCCATAGCCACGTTGATGATTGACTCGCGAACAGGAGGCTGCTTCTCGGGAGGGTATCTGGCACGCATGATAGTTCGCCAGAGAAGTCCGCCTAGTGAGTCTGCAGTAGACAAGAATTGAGGAGCTGATATCTCGCTCGACTTGGGAAGTTTTAGAGATGCGGTGTTCTTCAGGTCGATCAGATCAGCACTCGAGATGCGGAACAATGCAGTCACCATCTTATCGTGATTGGAAAAGGGTGCGGCAACACTATGGTTTCTCCAATCAAGCGACAGGGTCTTCCAAAGTTCAGGTCGGGTTTTAAGCTCCTGGTAGGCAATTTCAGACGCTTCAATGTTCTCCCAACGGAGTGCGGGAGGCATCTCAAGCTCCTTTGGCGCTTCGAGGCTTGCAAGTGGGGAAGACGAGGCGACAGAACGTTCAGCTTCCTGTAGTTTACGACAATTTTCTGCCCACACTCCCGTGACTAGAGCTGAGCCAAACGCGTCCATGAATGCATGTTGGAAATAGACCGTGAGCAAGCAGCCGCCAGGAATGAAGTTTGCGCGGGCAGCCATCACTCTCATGGAGGTCATGTAGCCGGCCTCTGGAGCAAGTAGCCTGGGATCCATCAGACTAAGTGGCATGCCCATTTTCTGAAGCTCTTCATAGCTGTATTGCCATGCATGGCCGGGAGCGGTCATATCATTCAATAGCAGTTCCATTTCCGGCTCGCCTGACGGCACTCGAAGGGCAAGACCCCTTGCCGCAGGAGCCACTTCGCCGGTCAAATAAGGTCTGTCTCGGACTGTGGAAGAGAGAGACTCCTGCAGTAATGCTGCCATGCGATCTCTTTGATCAGACCGACATGGAAATCCGAGTATCATTGCATTGAACAGAGCGGGAATCACGCTGTCCAACGGACTGCATTCGTATATTGATGACATGTTCAGGAGCGCAGATGAGGTAGTACAGAAGTTTGCGGCGAGAAGCAGAGGAAATTGATCTTGGAGCCTCAATATCAGGGAGACACTCGTGTGTTTAGATGGATGGCGCTAGTGCGCAAGACTTCGTTGTATGATAGGCTGGCGGCTGTCGGATTTAGCCCAATGCGGAAACTCCGAACCCGATTCGTCCAATTATGCCCACTGAAACAGACATCAGCCGAGAAGGTGCATAGCCAATGGTGCTTACACATGATCAGCCCGGAGACTACGCCATCCAAATGTCCAGCTGTCGGGCTATTGATGGCCAAGATGCTTTCCGATATCTTGATCACTTGCTGATGTAATTGATCTTGAACTCTTCAACATAGACTACAATACATCCAGTCATTTTATCGTAGCCGAAATTACGCACCAAAGATACATGCACACAATGGCGTCCCAGGAGAAGAACATGGATCAGAAAACGATGCCAATTGCGGTCGTTGGCATGGCTTGTCGATTTGCTGGGGAGGTCACCAGTCCAGAAAGGCTCTGGGAGCTGTGCGCAGAGGCGAAAAGTACTTGGTCGGAGATACCAACGACACGCTTCAATAACGAGGCATTCTACCACCCCCACGGCGAGAAACTGGGAACGGTATGACACACAGATGAGTGAAGTCTTCAACGAGCTGACACGTATAGTCAAACGTCAAAGGTGCACATTTCTTGAGTGAAGATGTGTCTCTGTTTGATGCATCTTTCTTCAACTTTACTGCGGAAGTTGCGCAAACGATGGATCCCCAGTTTCGACTACAACTGGAGACAGTCTTTGAGGCTCTAGAAAGCGGTGAGTCGAGTTTGTCTGCCGGAGGTCTGATCTAACAAGTCTGTAGCTGGTTTGCCATTGGAGTCTGCAGCCGGATCAAAAACATCCGTCTAGTAGGTTGTCCCCAGAGATTTTAGAAAGCGAGCCTTGCCGGTCTAATGTCATTCAGCGCTGGAGCTTTTTTCAGAGACTATCACGACGCCTTAATGCGTGATGTGGAGACCATGCCGCGATTCTTTATGACTGGCAATGGAGCTGCTATGGCAGCCAATAGGATCTCGCATTTCTTTGATTTTCGAGGTCCAAGCATCACTGTCGATACTGGTTGCTCCACCGCGTTAGCTGCCTTGCACCTTGGTTGTCAGAGCCTCCGTACTGGCGATGCTGAGGTTTCGATTATCGCTGGCGCTAATTTGATGCTGAATCCCGATATGTTCATCTCAATGTCGAGCTTAGGGTCAGTCGCAAATCGTGGGCTTCAATAACGGTGCTAATTGAGTGCAGCTTCCTGTCACCAGATGGCAAGTCTTATGCATTCGACAGTCGGGCAAATGGTTATGGACGAGGAGAGGGCGTAGCAACCGTCATTCTCAAACCTCTAGCTGATGCCATCAGAGACGGTGACCCTATTCGTGCCGTCATCAGAGAGACCGCTCTCAATCAGGATGGTAGGACTCCGACAATCACCTCTCCTAGCCAGGAAGCACAACAAGCTCTCATACGAGAATGCTACCAAGCGGCTGGCCTAGACCCTGCAGAGACAGCTTACGTAGAAGCACACGGTACTGGAACTCAGACGGGCGATCCGATAGAGGCAGCCGCGATCGGTATCGAATTTGGAAAGGGAAGGCCATCGGAGAAGCCACTCGTCATTGGTTCAGTCAAGACCAATCTTGGCCATTGTGAAGCTTCAAGTGGTCTTGCTGCCCTAATCAAGGTAGTGATGGCGCTTGAGAATGAGCAGATACCTCCAAGCATCAACTTTGAGAAGCCGAACCCTAAACTGAAGCTGGATGAATGGAAACTCAAGGTAAGCTCAGCACTACCGAAAGCTCGGGTCAGCATCAGTCATTAACAGCTTGTAGATCGCCCGTGAGCTCCAAGCATGGCCAGAAAGCGAGGTCAAGAGAGCTTCGATTTCCAATTTCGGATATGGCGGCTGTAATGCACATGTAAGAAGCATCGCGAAATGCGAATATGATGTGAACTAACTTTCCTAGGTTATCGTTGAGCATCCCGACGTACTATGTGGAGCTTCGGAGGCTGATGAAGATCAAACGACTGTTGAGAAGACTTCCCGATTGTTTGTCCTTGCAGCAAAGGATCCGATTGCCCTACAAGCACAGCGTGAACGACTGGCCGAACACTTGACGGACAGTAGCGACCAATCCTATTCGCTTCTCAACAATCTTGCTTACACACTCGGTAGCCGGAGATCAAACTTGCCCTGGAAGGTCTGCTTGTCTGCCAGAACGACTGATGAATTGGTTGACGGCTTAATCAGTGCGAAGCAAGCAGCTGTAAAGACCGGGCCTCTAGCCCCAAGGATAGGATTTGTGTTCACGGGACAAGGAGCGCAGTGGCATGCGATGGGCAGAGAACTGATATCTGCTTATCCGGTATTTCAAAAGACTTTGATGGACTGCAACGCTTACTCGCGCGAGTTCGGAGTCGAGTGGTCGCTGATAGGTGAGAGCCAATTCCAGATCATGATGGGCCGGCACTAATTCATACAGACGAGCTCAGAAGATCTGAGACCGAAACTCGAGTCAACGACCCTGGCATGAGTCTGGTACTATGTACAGCTATCCAGCTCTCATTGGTTTGTCTTCTTCGTTCTTGGAACGTCCTTCCAACTGCGGTCACAAGTCATTCAAGTGGTGAGGTGGCAGCCGCATTCGCAGCAGGCGCTCTGGACCTAAGAAACGCTATGGCAATTCCTTGCTTGAGAACCAAACTTAACACCAAAATCGCTGGTGGACCGGATGGTCAAGCAGGTGCCATGCTAGCAGCTGGTATAGGTCGCGAAGATGCCGAACTCCATCTCCAGAAAGTGACAGTTGGAAAGGCAGTCATTGCATGCGTGAACAGCCCAACCTCGGTCACGCTCTCGGGTGACACTACCGCTATTGACGAAATCCAGGTACAACTTGAGCTTGAAAAAGTGTTTGCGCGAAAGCTCAAGGTTGGCGTTGCATACCATTCACATCATATGGCACCATTCTCAGAGCAATTCACTGCAGCCCTGGAGCAACTTCCGAGTTCCGAAGGAGAGTTCAACGGCGTTCGCTACACTACACCTGTGACTGGAAAGCCTCTCAAGTCAGCAAAAGAGATCGGCATCGGTCACTGGGCTCTCAACATGGTATCTCCGGTACTTTTCCTGGATGCATATCGTAACATGTGCCTGGAAATTGGAGAGACCCCAACAAAATTGGTCGACGTTGTGGTAGAGGTAGGTCCTCACGGAGCTCTGTCAGGACCCATCAGACAGATAATGCAGCTTCCGGAGTTTGAAAATACTGCAATTTCTTATGCATCATGTCTAGGTCGGGGCCAAGATGCTGTGTCAACAATGCAAGCACTAGCCAGCGAGCTCCTCGCAATGGGCGTGCCAGTGGACCTGAATGCTGTCAACTTCCCAAATGGTTCTGAGCAAGCTCGTGTGCTGACAGGTCTTCCGACTTACCCTTGGACGCATAGCATTCAACACTGGTCTGAGCCTTCTGCCAACAAGAATCATCGCTCGAAGAAGCGAAGAATGCACGATCTGCTCGGCACTCTGGAATCAAATTCTAATCCAATGATGCCAACCTGGCGCCTGGTTCTCAAAGTCACTGATTTACCATGGGTTCGTGATCACCAAGTGCAGGGCAGCATGATCTATCCCGGAGCAGGATTTATTTGCATGGCGATCGAAGGCCTCAACCAGCTCGTCCAGAACGATGGTAAAAATGCAACGGGCTTCAATTTGATGGACATCGACATCAAACTCGGATTGGTCGTACCAGAGGAGGGCGGAGTCGAGCTGAAGCTTCACCTACGCGAACTGCCCGAGAAGAATATGTGTGAAAAGGGGTGGTATCAGTTCCACATCTTTTCATTGAACAATGGAGGCTTTTGGGCAGAACATTGCAGCGGCATGATTGCAGCCGAGCTCGAGCAAAAGCTCATCAACGTTTCGCCAACATTGCAAAACGTTATCTCACAGGATAAGGAGGTGTACACCAGGCGCATGGAAGCCACAGATCTGTACAAAGGCCTTCGACGTGCCGACATCTACCACGGACCTATCTTCCAGAACTTGTTGGAGATCAGGCAAACGCAAGGGTCCTCGCTGTGTAATTTCAGAATTGCAGACACAGCCAGTCTGCTACCAGCAAAGCACGAGGAGCCACATGTGCTGCACCCCACCACTCTAGACTCAATATTACAAGCCGCTTACAGCTCTTTGCCCAGAAGCTCCACCACTCAAGCCCCTAAGGTGCCCAAGACCATCAGGCATATGTTTGTCAATGCATCTGCTCGCGGTACAGTAAATACTGTGCAAGAAGCACATTCTGCCTTGTTGTACGACAGACCACAAGGGTTCAGCGCATCCGTCATAGTGCCAGGCGAAGCAGAGAAACGACCATTCGTCGTCGTCGATCGCCTTGTGTGCCAGTCTCTTGGGTCACTTGCGCCGCAGGTCGAAAGCTTAAAAGATGACGCTCTCTGTATGACAACTTCATGGCAGGCGGACCTGTCCTTGCTTTCGCAAGAAGAAGCTCACAATCGTCTAAAGCTGCCTGACGATCTTGCTGAGAATGGCACGATTGCAGATATGAAGAGAGCAGTCTATCACTACATTCGACTAGCGCTGCAAGAGCTCGAAGACGAAGACTACGAACAATTCCAAGCTCACCAAAAGTCCATGTTTGAGTGGATGAAACTCCAAGTCAAACTTGCTGAGTTTAACATACTCGGGTCTGATAGTGCGCGCTGGAAGCTTGATAGCGCAGATCGGCGACGTGAATTATTCGAAAACGTCAAGCAGTCTAGCGTCAACGGAGAGATGACATGCAGAGTCGGAGAACAGTTGGTTCCCATACTTCGGAACGAGCTCGCTCCGCTCGCGTTGATGTTGGAAGGCCAGCTGCTCTATAAGTACTACGAAAAAGATCTCCGCATGCAGAGATCGTATGTCCAAGTAAACAATGTTCTGAAGCTTTTCGCCCACAAGTCGCCGGCGGCTAATGTCCTAGAGATTGGTGCCGGGACAGGAGGATGTACACGGACAGTCCTGAACGCGCTTGGAGGTGGGACTAGTGATCAGGTTCAAAGTTTCGCTCACTATGATTTCACAGACATATCCTCTGGCTTCTTCGGCGAAGCCAGAAAGTCATTTGCAGCTTGGGGCGATCAGGTTTCGTACAAGAAGCTTGATGTTGAGTTGGACCCGACAGTGCAAGGGTTCCAAGAGCATTCGTATGACCTCATTGTGGCATGTCGAGTCCTTCACGCAACTAGATCGATGCAAAAGACATTGGAAAATGTTCACAGGTTGCTGAAACCGGGCGGCAAATTGCTCATGGTCGAAGACACGCAAGACGCTCTTGACACACAACTTGTCTTTGGAGTGCTTCCTGGATGGTGGCTTGGTAAGATTGCAATTATCCGAGAAAAATTTGTACTGATGAATGTCATAGGAGAAGAAGATGAGAGAATCTTTAGTCCAACGCTACGGGTAGACGGATGGAAGCGCCTGCTCAAGAAGTCTGGTTTCACCGGACTGGACATTGTTTGTCACGATCGGGAGGATGATCAACTCTATTCCAGTAGTGTCCTGTTGAGCACTTCGACAAGGAGTGACGTTGCCACATACTCGACAAACTTCAACATCGTGTTGGACAAGGCAAGCCCACCGGCCTCTTGGGTCGATTCCCTCAGGCGACACATCTCAGACCACACTGGGCGAACGGTCAAAGTATCCTCATTGGCAGAGTCTGATGCCACCGAAGATGTTTGCGTGGTCTTAGAGGAAATCGTGAGACCGATTTTGGCGCATCCGGCATCGGAGCAATTTTCTGCACTCGTACGACTCTTGACGATGTCCAAGGGCGTGATGTGGGTGAGCCGAGGTGGTACCATCAGCTGTCCTATTCCCGAAGCCGCCATGCATGTCGGCATCCTCAGGACCTTGAGATGTGAAAACAGCCACCGAAGACATATCTCGCTCGATCTGGATCCCAGACAAGAGCCATGGTCGGCACACTCTGTCCAGACGATAGCCAAGATCCTAAAGCTGTCGTTCGACGAGTCCATTGACTCTGCCGATATTGAGACAGAAATGATGGAGGCATCCAACGTCATCTGTATACCAAGGATCGTTGAAGATACTGACGAAGATGCTGCTACTCTTGGGCCACGCACAAGCTCTTTCGAGAAGCAGCCGTTTCTGAATTCATCTCGCAAGCTTCAGATGATTGTTGAGAAACCTGGTCTCTTGGATTCTATTGCCTTCAAGGATATTAGTGCAGAAAGCATGACTCTTCCAGAGGACTTTGTAGAGATCGAGCCCAAAGCATTCGGACTGAACTTCCGTGATGTTATGGTAGCCATGGGACAGCTAGACACCGACATCATGGGTTTTGAGTGTAGCGGCATCGTACAAGCCGCTGGCAAAAACACCAAATTCAAGGCCGGCGATAGGGTTTGCGCTCTCATGCGTGGTCACTGGTCGAATGTCGTACGGCTCCATGGCACAAGCGTTGCAAAAATTCCGGATGAGATGTCTTTCGAGACTGCCACGACGATACCTATGGTCTTCATCACAGCGTATTTCTCCCTTGTCAATACGGCGAGACTCGAGAGGGGCGAATCAATTCTGATACATGCAGCTGCAGGCGGTGTCGGACAAGCTGCTATTATGCTCGCGCAACACATAGGAGCAGAGGTTTTCGTAACAGCCGGGTCAGAGGAAAAGCGCGCATTCTTGGCTCAGCAGTATGGACTCCCGATGGACCATATCCTGTCGAGCAGAGACAGCTCTTTCGCCTCCGACATCATGGCTATGACGGATCAGCGCGGTGTAGATGTGATCCTGAACTCCTTGTCCGGAGCCTTGCTCAAGTCTAGTTGGCACTGCGTCGCACAGTTCGGACGATTCGTTGAAATAGGAAAGCGCGACATCGAGGCCAACAACAGCCTCGATCTTGAGCCTTTTCTTCGCAACGTCACCTTTTCCTCTGTGGATCTGATACAGCTAGGTCAATTTCGCGGAGAGATTGTAGAACGCGTCCTGTCAGAAGTTCTGGTGCTGCTCAATCAGAACGCAATTCGACCAGTAACACCTACACTTAAATTTTCTGTCTCGGAGATGGAGTGGGCTATGCGGACCTTGCAGGCTGGTAAGCACTGGGGCAAGATTGTAGTCGTTCCCAACGAAGAGGATCTGGTCGACGTATGTAACTCGAGACTGCCCCAAGTTGATCATGAAGCTGACAATAAAACAGGTACAACAATCTTTGAGGCCTGTTCGACTCTCTCCTGATGCTACATACCTTCTTGTAGGTGGTGCCGGGGGTATCGGCATGTCCATTATGGAGCGACTGGCATCGGCAGGAGCTAAACACCTGCTGTTGCTGTCTCGTTCAGCCGGACGTCAGGCTGAGACTAACCCATCCATAAGAAAACTCCAAGAAAGTGGCTGCAACGTGGAGGCACGCGACTGCGACGTCGCCGATGCGCAGGCACTTGGCGACTCACTGGAGTGGTGCCGAAAATCGATGCCTCCAATACGTGGCATCATCCAGGCTGCGATGGTCCTGAGGGTAAGGCTTGACTTCCCATCATTCTTTGACCACACAAGACTGACGTTGTTCCAGGATTCCATCTTCGAGACCATGAGTCTAGAGGACTACATGACCGCTATTCGCCCGAAGGTGGCCGCCACGTTCAATCTGCATTATCGGTTCGCAGCACCAGGCTCGCTCGACTTCTTCGTGACCCTCTCTTCCTTTGCTGCAGTCGGCGGAAACGCTTCACAAGCCAACTACGCTGCTGGAGGAGTCTACCAAGATGCCCTCACCAGGCACCGTGCTTCGATAGGACTCCCGGCAGTCGATATCGATCTTGGAATGGTCAAGTCGATCGGCTATGTTGCGGAGACAAAGGGCGTTGCGGAAAGACTGAGTCGTGCGGGCTATCGGCCACTGGAGGAGGCGGAAGTAATGTCGCTCATCGACTCTGCTTTGCGCAATCCGCTCCGAAGCGTCGAAGACTGTCAGATCATCACTGGCGTTACTGCTTCGTATACTGGAGACACTTCAGCTACACCCTGGCGTCTGGAGCCACGCTTCCGTGGCCTGAGGCAAGCAAAGAGCACTGTCGCTATCATGGTCGCAGGGACTTCCGAAGGAGCTCTTGTAGACCTTAGAACTCAGCTCGCAGCAGCCGAATCGCAAGACGACGCCACAGAAACTGTTTGCAAAGCGCTCATCCGGAAGCTGTCCAACATGTTCATGGTACCAGAGGCGGACATCAAGCGCAATCTTCCAATGTCGGACTTCGGTGTAGACTCTCTCGTCGCAGTCGAATTGCGCAATTGGTTGGTTGGTCAGACTCGGGCAGAGATCAGCATCTTTGATCTGATGCAGAGCCCGAATCTTCTCGAGCTTGCAGAGAAGACAGCCAAAGGCAGCAAGTTGTGTACGTTCTAGAGGTCGTTCATAGACGGGTAGTTGGGGCAGCGGAGATGGTGACGGGTGACGGGTGACGATTGGTTCGGTGTTCTAGCGTTCTTAGAATTGACTAGCATTACTGCCATCATTGTTCCGCGTTTTCGACATTGTGTGCCTGATTGTTCAACGTGAGTGTGAAGGCGATGGTGACGGTTATGACGAAGTTTCTCAACTTCAAAATGATCCGAGCGTGGAGACAAAATGACGATCATCAACGTTTGCTCATGTGGTGATGGCTTGCATCTCCAAGATTAAATAGAGGTGTGTACATCGACTGTCCTTCATCGAATTCCGAGCCTGCTGTAGGGTACGCATCTCTCCAAAATTTTCAGACAACGGGTGCCTTCTTTAAGTGATTCAGCATCGAATAATTCTCTGTCCCTCTGGTTGCCTATTGATCAAGCGTCTGAACGTGCTTCCATTGCTCCTATTATTGATTCACTTGTATCAGTACCTCCAGCACGTAAGAGCTGAAGGGGATCTGGAACACAGCGCTTTTGTAGTCTGTGATGTGTCAGTGTAGCAGCAAAGATGTGACACCCGTGGAGCGTGGTCATCACAATGGACGAAGCCAAGAAATTTCCAAGTTAGCCACCGGACATGGCCGCGAAGTTGATCAAGATGATCTGAAATATAGAGTATATACCTGCCCATATCTTGACATGTTCCGCAAGTCATGAAAAGCAGTATCGCTGTTGATATCATTGTCTATTTGCCCGACCAGGGTTGTGCCCACAGCAAGAATTACTTGGCGGGACTGATCCTATTGCTCTGATTGGCCAAGGCCAGACGCGTCACTCACGCGTTTGCCAGCCATCAAGTGCTAACCGCCTCGCGTAGCTTTCAGCGATCCTGAGCATCTCTGATCTTGTTTGTGATCTGGAACTTGGGATTCATACTGACGTCTTCACCTACACTGACGTCTACTCTGACGTTTGCCCTGACGTCAACCAGATTGCACTCACTCGCGGTGGAAATCTTGGTCTGGTCGTTTCTCTGACTAGGTATGATTGTAGACAGCCATAGGTGCTCAGATGACGTGGGATATCTCTACACATCGTTCGAGTGCTTTCACGCCGAGTTGAACCTGCCCCACGCGCACCCAAGAAGCTAAGCACCTCGAGGCATGACCTTGACACGAAGTTCTGGCTTCTTCCACAACGTATACATTCTGCTATCGCGCTGCCAGTCGACATCCGTATTGAGCAACTCTAAATCGAATTTCCAGTGCAGCTTGGATAGGATCGTGTTCATCTCCATCCAAGCCAAGCTGTCCCATGTCAGCATAGATTTCATTTGAGCTGTAGACCAACTCGACACTTACTTCCTTCCAAGACAACCTCTAGCTCCGAGGGAGAACGGCTGGGAAGCGTCCAGGATATCTTTGTTGTCCGGGACCAACCATCTCTCAGGCTTGAACTCGAGAGGCTCCTTGAAATTGGCCGACGACTGGCCTGCTGCAATCGGATTGGTCGATACGATGACCTGCTTCATGTCAGACAGTCTGCTGTCTCGTGGCAACTCAACGTACCCCGGCAGGGAGGAAGTATCCATCGACCGTATCGCCTCCTTCGGGTACCACCCGGGGTAACCCGAGTGGGAGTGGAGCATATAATCTCATGCCCTCCAGGCAAACAGCGTTGAGATACGGCAGCTGAGCCGTACGCTTAGCGTCAATCTCGTCATATGAGTTAAACGCTGATCTGATCTCTCGCTGCAGTTTCTCGAGCACCGGAGGGTTACGCATCAGATAGTACGATACGCACGCAAGCGTAGTGGCTGTCGTCTCGCTCCCTGCAGTCCTGTAGAGGCCATCAGCTCCTGCTATGACAGCATGTTCGAGCAGTGCACTCACACAAAATCCGAAGAGTGCGCTGCGATCTGAATATCGGACAGCTCTCCTTCTTCGCCACGCTCAAGCATGCGGGTCAGGAAATCTGGTCTTTCGGTTTGCCGGCTCAGACGTCTAACGATTCTTCAGTCAGTGTCATTCTAAGCCACTTCGAAGCCTCGAGACGCCCTACTTCTGGACAAGGTTCATCGTGTACGCCTCGTGAGTGCGAGTATCCTGCACTAGCTTCTTGATGGTCCCAGGCAAAAGCTTCTTCATGACTAGAGCCATGAATGGAAACCGCAGCATGAAATCTGCTAATGCTCCTTGTTGCAAGGCATTCGTCACGAGATCAATCCACGGGTGGAACTTTGCTGTTCGATGCAGACTTTGTTAGCGAGTGGCTTCAGTGGAGTATTTTTTCCCCATTCACTGACCGCTTTCCAGACCACCAAAAGGCTGACCGAATGCGAGGCTTCCAATGATGTCGAAAGTTAACAAGTTAAACCATTTGACTATGTTGAGACCTTCGGGATCACCACCCAATTTCTCCATTTGAGATATGAAAAGGTCAATCATCTCAGAAATCAGGTCTTCCTGCGCCGTCAGACTTCGGTCTGAAAATGCGTGCGACAAGTGCTTCCGCATCTTGCCGTGTACTACGGGATCGCGCTCGCTGACGATTGAGTGCGCTTGGTCAGCAAAGGATCCGCCATCGTAAAATATGCTTTTGATGAAAGTCCTGTGTCCCGGGCGGAAGCCGTAGATGTCTTTCCAGGATTGCGCACTGTTGAAAGAGAGCTCATTTGGTGAAGTCCGAACCACCGGGCCATACTTCTCATGAAGCGCAAGTATGTCACGCGGCTGATGTCCACCGAGAAACGTCCACGAATGCAGGAGATTGCTCCAAGCTGCTGTCCTCGGTCCTGGAAAATGGTATAGTGGATTATTGACGTGTCTCCAGATTGTGGCGACAAGAACAACAGCCGCAACCTAATAATGTCAGTGGGCCCAAGCTTACTACGTCTCGTGGATGCTCACAGCAATCCCGCAGGAAGTGTGGAGTCCCGCAGATAGTGTAGGTGACATGACTGGAAAACTTGACCATGGGTGCTCAAGCAGGGGCTGTTGAGACGACATTCTGACAGTGTAGTTGAAGGTCGACGACGACTGTCTACTTGCAGGAATTAGTATATCAGAGCATTTGCTGTCATACTATCTTCGCACTTTGCCAATGCTGCAACGATGTCGCGACTTGAACCGAAGCTTCGGAGTTACCCGAAACAGGTAATGCCGGTCGATCGTGGTGCAGTAGTGGAGACATCGAGCCTCTGTATACAATTAGCCCAGACGCTCTGCTCAGTATAGTGCTTCAAGACAAGTGGGAAACATGACTTCCATCCAACTGACGGACTCTGACATCCCTGACCTTTCTGGAAAAGTAGCAATAATAACGGGTGAGCTCTCAAGCTATGTGAGAACACCTTACAGTGTGCTAACGTCTTTGACAGGTGGTGCTTCAGGTATTGGACTCGCGACCGCACGTATTCTCGCCAGACACCATGCCACATGTCACATCCTCGACATATCTGGTCCTCACACAGATGACGGTCCAAACCCTGAGAATATCACATTTCGGACTTGCAATGTCGTGTCGTGGCTCGAACTGCGTACTGCTTTTATGAGCGTTGGCCACGTGGATATTGTCGTTGCAAATGCGGGAGTCAGCCAGTACGTGGATCATTTCGCCGACACGTTCGATTCCGATGGCTCACTGGAGGAGCCTGTGTATCCCGTTATTGATGTCAATCTGAGGGCTGTGCTCAACACAGTCAAGCTTGGTCTATCTGCCTTCCAACGACAAGGTCCTGGTGGCAGTATCGTGATTACCTCGAGCGCGACAGGCCTGTCGCCAGAGCAAAGCTTGCCTCTCTACTCGGCTGTCAAATGTGGTGTGATTGGGCTTGTGCGTGCTTTACGTTCAACTCTTCCTTACACCCATGGAGCTACAATCAACACCGTGGCCCCTGCAGCGACCATTACAAGGCTTCTTCCTCCAAATCTTGCTGCACCAATTATTCAGGCTGGTGCTCCAGTATCGAGCGCTGAGCATGTAGGACTCGCAGTCGCGTTTTCCGCTGTCGGTTACCAAGATAAGCAAGTCGAGGGATATGGGAGAGATACGTCTGAGATGATCTCAAGTAGAGGCAGATGGAATGGTCGGACTATTCTAACTCTAGGTGACACATGGACAGAAGTGGAGCAACCTCTGGCGGAGCTGCGTCCACAATGGTTTGGAGATTATACTACCGAGATGACAGCGTTCCAACAGTCGCTGACAGATATGAGACCTCTATCGAGCGATGCATCGTCGTAGGAGGAAAATACAGAGTTGCAGCCACAGCTTTAAGAGAAGAATAAGCACAGATACACTATATGAACTTGTCTTAAAAGGCGCGAGAAGATGCATCGATCGAACTTTCGTGTGTTTTGACGACTGATCATAGCCTTGTAAATCAAGAGACCGCTGGGAAAGAGAACTATCGTCTTCAATTAGAATCGCCAATGAGCGTTAGGCAACAAAAGGGTAGCTGCACGCAGTGAGGCTCGTGACTTCCACTTTGGGAAATATCCGGCTCAAGATCTTGTTTATACCGGCATACTGACGAATTTGATGGACGCGCACGACTAGCGGCTCATTCCTTCTACATCAACTCAAAGGCCGGTTTCGACTGTCGCAAAATCAGCTAGGTGGATGCCTCTGTTGACAACGCAAAGCTACGCTTGTCAAACATGACTCCGCAATTTGGGCTACCCACCGAACGGGGTCACATCACTGCTGCATGTGCTATTGCTACGGTCCTGGTAAGGCTTTCACGACTATCTGCACTTGAGTAAAGATGACTGATGCTGTATAATCAGGCTCTGATCTACGTTCTCGCACACATAGTGTACAACCTATACTTTCACCCGCTTGCATCTTTTCCAGGACCTTTCCTGGCTAGATCTTCTCTCGTAAGAGCAAAGTCGCCATAATTAGAATACCTTGCATGACTCACATACTTGTGTGTAGTTATGGAGAATATACCACTCCGCAGGAGGCCGTTTCCACCGTCGGATCTACGAACAACACAAAATACACGGTAAAGACACTTTGAGAATGCCAGCATGATTGATGGGTTGATGAGATTGTGTAGGCTCCGTATTTCGAGTATCGCCAAACGAGTTGTCTTTTGCTGGCGTTGATTCTTGGAAAGCCATCTATGGACATCCTACAGCTGGCCAACCTACGATGATCAAGGCCGAGTTCTATGACATATATGGCTCTGGCTTTAAGTCACTGTGCATCGGAAGTGAGAGGAGACCTGAGAAGCATAGCCGAATGAGAAAAAGTCTCTCTGCGGCCTTCAGCACAAAAGCCCTAATCGAGCAGGAGCAAATCATCAATAGCTGTGTGGATCAATTTGTCAGCAGCCTTGATCAGGGTGATGGGGCATCAGAACGAGGCTTGAATATGACAAAGTGGCTCGAGATGATCGCTTTTGATATTTTGGGCGAAATGGCTTTTGGCGAGAGCTTCGGATGTATTGAGTCTGGTGAGTATAACTGGATGAGTTCTAGTATTTGACCGTATGTTCTGACACCTACAGGCAAACCGCACTTTTGGTCGGAACTCATCGAAGAACACCTATTCTTCATCACCATAGTTGACAACTTACGTCGCTATCCATTATTCGTGACTTTGGGTCGTTGGATCATGCCACTGACAGCGTCGCTACGCGACAAACATACGGGTTTGAGCAGAGAGAAAGTTGCTAAGTAAGACAGTATCATGCGCTGATTGATATCGTACTGATGAAGTACATAGACGTCTCTCAAAAAAGGAGCCTCGCAAGGACTTCATGTCCCACCTCATCCGCAAAGTGGAAAGTGGAGAGATGGATCAAGAAGAATTGACAGCGCATGCGTCGACGTTGGTGTATGTTTGGATGAAGTTGTGATGATGGAAAAAGATGAGCTAATTCCCCATAGTATCGCGGGTGGAGAGACAGTTTCCACCTTCCTGGCTGCTTGCACTTACTACTTACTCAAAAACCCGAAGCATTTGGGACGTTTGCAAACTGAGATCCGTCAAAAGTTCAGCTCATACGCTGACATCAATGCAACCAAGGCGCAGCAGCTTCCCTTCTTGCAGGCTGTCATATCTGAAGGCCTGCGTATCTATCCACCAGGCTCTCGTGGCTTTCCTCGAATTTCCACTGGAGGAAAAATTGATGGCCACTACATTCCACCAGGCGTGAGTACGATATTGATGCAGACTAGGTTGATTCCAATACTAATCGACGTCAGGTCGATGTGTATACAAGTGCATGGACAGTCACGCATGATGAGCAATACTTCAAGGATCCCTTTACGTTCAATCCTGAGAGATGGCTTGATGCTGTGAGTGAGGACGTCAAAGAAGCAAGTCAGCCTTTCTCGCTTGGTACTCGTGGATGCTTGGGAAGAAAGTAAGTTGCTTCTTGGTATAATCTTTGTCCTACAGATACTGATTCGGACGCTAGCTTTGCATATGTTGAGATGAATCTGATAATGGCTAAGATGTATTGGAAGTACGATATGATCCTCGTTGACAATTCCTTGGAATGGGAAGAACAGAGCAGAGAGCATGTCATGTGGACGAAGCCAGAGCTTTTTGTACGCTTTGAAGAGCGTAAGCATGATTGATTTTCGAATAAACAATTTTAGCAATCGAAGCCACCACAGTGATCATGACGCACGTAACGACTTCGTGAAGGTCGCTTTCAAGCCTCTTGCAGAGCCTCGATACCACATCGTATCTCATCAAATCCGAAAGAGAACAAGGAAGGCGTTGTCGTAGGTTCAGCTGTAGTGACCACGCAAGTTTCCTCTTCCGGTTCGGACAAATTTACCCTAGCCTGACAGTCCGAGTGTCCGTTCACTTGGCCTTCAGTGAACTATGGGCTTGCTCAAAACCCAGCTACCAGCCATGTCTGATTCCAACGACGATCACTGTAGTCCACGATGATTGGTCTTTTGCATGCGGCATCAATTGTGTTTGTTGGAGCACTACTATATAGGTTCGTAATCTGGTTGCGGAACATTCGACTTGCACAAGCTACCGGTCTACCTTGGACGTGGACACCCATCCTCGAGACTGAATTTCTGGGCCTCTGCTTGACGCCAATTCTACGAACAGTATATCACCGAAATCTGGACAAAGGACAAGGGTGGCCTCGCTGGTGCCGCTTCATCATCAAGGACTGGCAATGGGAAGATAAGAGAAGAGCGCATGAAGAGTATGGTGACGTTTTTCTCTGTGTTGCTCCGCACGGCATAATTTGCTATTGTGCAGATGCCGCGATGGCATGGGATGTAATGAACAGGCGCTATGATTTTCCGAAGCCAATGGACAAGTATAGTATGTATCTTTCATCACGCCTGAATATTAACGATGTACTGATGTGACAGAATTGCTGGAACCTTATGGACCAAACGTTGCTACGACTGAAGGAAAAAACTATCAGTTTCATGTGCGAATTACCGCTCCACCTTTTGGAGACCTCAGCGGTGTCAACTCACTTGTCTGGAGGGAGACGCTCAAGCAAACACAAGTGCTATGCGAAGCGTGGTCGAAAGAAAGCTCGCGCAGTCTCTCCGGTGATCTGAATGCTCTCACCCTATCAGTCATCTCGCTTGCCGGATTCGGAAAGCAAATCAACTGGACGACGAGTGATGAGGAGCATCAAGACATACCGGAAGGATACATCATGAGCTTTCTCAAGGCCATCAGCGACACAACGGGGTTCATGGTCGCCATCCTTCTCTTCCCAGGCTGGTTGCTTCGTATGACTCCGTTGAAGAAGGCAAACGAAGCACACATGGAGCTGGACAAGTATCTTCGCCAGATGATCAGGAATGAAAGAGGAAGGATCGCAGCTGGAGCCACATCTGATACGAGGGCAGTCGCGACCCGCGGCAATTTGCTGACCTCGCTCCTCGAAGCTTCCCATTCTGAGTCCAAGTCAAGCAAGAATTCCTCAGACGGGGTCCAGAAGCGGGCGTTCACCGAAGATGAAGTTATGGGTAATCTGTTCATATACCTTTTGGCGGGTAAGTAATGAGAGATCGAAGTGACATGGTCTTCCTGCTGATCTTGACCATATCAGGCTATGAGACCACTGCAAATTCCATATACTACGGTCTTGCACTTTTGGCCGTTCGCCCAGACATACAGAATGAGACAATAGCAGAGATTGACCGCATATATGGAGAGGCGAAAGCTGATGGGCGAGATGAACTCACGTACGAACAAGATTTCGAGAAGCTTCATTACTTATACGGGTTCATGGTAGATACGACTTGCCCATGTGTACAGACCGCAGGCGCTGACATCGACAGTATGAGACGTTCAGACTGTACCCGGGTGTGCTTCTGATCACAAAGATGGTCTCGAAACCGCAACAGATAAAAGTTTCTCTTGGTAGCGGCAAGGTCAGCTCTCACATCTTGCCACCAGAGACCAGAGTGTATCTGAACACTCCAGCTGTACATTATTCAGAAAAGTACTGGCCAAATCCGACCGAGCTGGATCCTTCCAGATGGATGCCCGAGCCCAAAGCTGAGAACACTGACAAGAAGGTCGTCGCTGCAGACAGGACAAGACATATGAGAGGCACATTGCTGACCTTCTCTGACGGCGCACGGTCTTGCTTGGGTAGGAAGTTTGCTCAGGCAGAATACATCGCCTTCTTGACATCGCTGCTCAGAGATTATCGTGTAGAGCTTGAGCCTGGGCAGGATGTCGCGACTGTTCGGCGAGACTTGGACCTCAAGTGTGCAGGCAAGGTCACACTGGCGCCATTAGATACACTTCGCTTGACCTTGAAGAAGAGGAACGCATCATCGGAAAACGCAAAATAGAGTATACACAGCACTTAGTGGTCCAAGAATGACAGGTGGTGGTGGCGCGAGTTTCCCTTGGCCCTTGATGTTTTCCCCGCCTTCGCAATTCCATCACCGTCTCTCGCTCGTCTTTGTAACGATCAACCACCAATAATCTCATGTTGCATCAACCTTCGTGCAGCCGTGATGAAAATCATGAACTTCGCTATTTATCTATCGTCATTGCATGATATTGACACAAGCGCTATCCGGCATGTGACTTCACGTGCTTGAAGGCTACGACTGCCTAGCCCTTACGACATGCATCCTCATCAACTGCATGAAAGGCGCGTGCACCTGCCCGATGTCAATACAACACTGCAGGCCACTTTGAACGAGGGAATTCTCGAGACTCGGCGCTTGATTCATGCGGATATAACTCCCCTAGGCAACCCCCTGCCTTTCGCGATTTCCTGATAGCGTATTTTCCGGCTGGCGATCTGTTTTGGGGTAATGGGGTTTATGCAGGTAAGAGAATAATCAACGAGATGATCGTCGCCAGAGCTCAAGTCTTGCAAGAACAGACGAGGCCGTGATAGCCAAGGCATGCTTGTCTGTTGGGCTGTGTATGTTTGGCGCATGAGCTGCGAGATGCTGTGCAACAACAATTCTCTTGCAGATGGAGTATCTCTGCACATTCTTGTGACTTGCAAGGAAGAGAAGAAACCAAGTTAAACGCTCCTAGAACATATCAAGCCGGCCGGACATTCAGTTCAACACATATTACCATCAACAAGAGCAGAGATGAACAAGCCAAGCCAGGAATTTACAGCTTTTACGCAGCAGCAACGCCAAATCACATCAGACGAAAATCAAGGAAGGAACAAACCTTTGCATGGTCAAGATATAGAAGCCATATTACGAGGCTTTGCAACACCTTTACCCAGTCCTACACGATCAGTCTTGGATCAAGGGTTTCCCCTGGACGACTTGGAGCAGATGGGCTCAGCACGTGGAAGCAAACGAGATCATGAGGACAATATCACGGAGCCACAAATGCGATCTAGACATGATAGAGTGTCTTCGAGGCTTTCCCAAACGCCTGCTTTCCGTCATGGCAGCGCTATTGATAACACGCGGGGCCATGTCGAGGAAACAGGTACTAAAGCTATCGTGAGTAAGCCGCCTACTCCGCTCCCGACCACAAGAGCAAAGACTATTGTAATGCCACCAGCTGCTGCCCCTACTCAACGTGGAAGTAGCCAGCGTGTACCAAGCAACACGAGCTCGTTGTCGTGTAAGACTGGATGTCTTCACCACCTCATGACGTCTTTTGAGCAAGTCGGCGTTATGGTGGGCCGTCTGCAGCACTTCAATGTTCGTGAGTCAACTACACAACAACAGAGACAAGCGTACAAGACTCTCCCACGACACATTGGTAGAGACAAGATGGTGTCGCTGGATGCTGTCATGCAGTGTAACAAGCAGGCCTGGGAGGCATGTAGCAGGACTCTTGACTGTGACAGTTGTGTCACACAGCAGATGAATGTATCTCTGGTAGTGCGTATGGTGGGAAAGATGGCCTTGCTCATTGACGAAGCGTGTAAGGACTTTCGATCTTCAGGCGAACATCGGGGGTCCGGTTCTGATGATGCTAGTTATGTCAATTCTTTCAACTCGTCGTGTAATAGACTTGATCAGGCGATACCGCTGGGTCAGTACTCGATCGACACATTGGAGGAATGGCTTGCAGTTATGAGTCCGATGGTGCTTCTCCAGACGAAAGCTTTGGAAGAGGTGATGAGAAAAGTGGAGGAAGTTGACTGTCTGAGCCAGCAGAAGATGACAAGAAGCGAGCTGCAAAGCGCACATAGGAGTGTAGCGATGGCTCATCAGCTTCTTGATGGTAGCAGATACTTTTGAATGCGACTCTGGACAAGATTCTTGAGCGTCGACGTTATGGAGTGGGGAGGAAGGTGCTGCTGTCGTGGACGGCTCCCTGACCGGACGATAATAGCCCGATACGGTAGTAAGCAGTAACTGACCAATCTCTTCTTGGTATGTCTTCCTCTTGTACTGAACGGGAAACTGCCGGTCCTGTTCAGTGTATTCACAACTGCGTTTCTTAGTAGGACAGACTCGATTATAGAGATTGCAAAATGTCGTACGATTTTCAACGACACCACAGCTTCTAGAATCTTCCCGAGAACTACTGCACTCGTGCTACATAACTCCAATCTATACGATGAGAGCCTGGAACAACATCATGACTTTGGATGAACCAATGTGGGAGTGGAGAGCTAGAGCCTTGTTTCAGGGTACCGATTCCAGAACGCTATTCTTTGCTCTTGCTCTACAGCTGCTTTTATATGGAGTGCTATCAATCACACACAGTACATCAATGTTCATTGCTTGCTCGCTTATCGGGACGGTCATGATGATACATCTCAAAGGTCTGTTCGCGTCGTATCTGCCAATCTTGCTCGAGGTTTGACAGATGATACAGGAGATAATGACGAAGTTATCATTCGTGAACACTTCGATAGTCGTCCCAGCGACGACAACGGAGTCGAAACCTCTTTCTCAGCTCCCAGCAGCCTCACGAAGCCGAGATATGATTCACCACAGCAGAGTCCAATCATCACCGTATCACAACCAAATGATGACTACACAGATTCAGCATGTAAGCAAGCAACATCATCGCTACGTTAATTTCACTGCTGAAACTCATCCAGATGCCAGCCGCATAGCCACTCCTTCCATAGATCTATACCAACAGAAAGCCGACTTTGCGGACTCTGCGCTTCCGCACCAACGACAAACGCGACCTTGCAAATCAGAAGATCTCCCACTTCTCGGCCGTATTCTAGACCAAAGGATTCCACTGCACGCCCTCGAACGGCACACGAACGATTTTTACCGAGCCATTCGGATCCGGCGGACCCTCCTCTCGTCCACGAAGAACACATTCAAAGATTGTAGCACCTCCCTGATCAACTCGGCCTTACCGTTCGAAAACTACAACTATGCACAAGTACATGGCCGCTGTGCAGAAAACGTGATTGGATACATGCCCATCCCAGTAGGCATAGCAGGACCCCTTGTCATCGACGGGGTATCCTATCTCATTCCCCTCGCAACAACAGAAGGTGCTCTGATAGCGAGTACAAACCGAGGAGCCAAAGCATTAAACACCGGCTCTGGCATCCACACCGAGATCCTCGATGATGGAATGACTCGAGCGCCAGTACTGACATTCCCCTCCCTATCTCACGCAGCAAGTGTAAAACGATTCCTCGACTCCCGCAAAGGCCAGGAAATACTAAAAGAATCCTTTGACGCTACATCCTCTTACGCTCGGCTCGTATCCACAACTTCTCGCGTCGTGGGGAGCTCGTTGTACTTGCGCTTCAAAGCTTCCACCGGCAACGCAATGGGCATGAATATGCTCGGAAAAGGTGTTTCGGCCGCTCTGGCGAGTTTACCCAATCACTCCCACCTCTGCCCTGCCCTAGACGACATGACTTCAAAAACGCTAAGCAGCAACCTCTGCACAGACAAGAAACCCTCGGCCATAAACTGGCTCCTCGGACGAGGGAAATCCGTCTGTGCAGAAGCCATCCTCCCTGCTTCTTCAATCTCTAGCATTCTCAAGGTCACAGTAAAGGATTTGGTAGCATGCAACGTGCGTAAAAATCTCGTCGGGTCGGCGTTGGCGGGCATGAGTTCAGGAGGCTATAATGCACAAGCTGCAAACCTTGTTGCTGCGCTCTTCACAGCATTGGGTCAGGATATAGCACAAGTGGTTGAAAGCAGTAATTGCATGACTTTGATGGAAGAGTTGGACAATGGGGATTTGAAAGTCAGTGTCACCATGCCGTCGGTTTTGGTGGGGACTGTGGGGGGAGGCACGGGTTTAGAGGCTCAGAGAAGTATGCTTGGGCTTTTGGGCTTGAGTGGAGAGGCGGAAGATGGCAAGGAGATAACGGAGGACGGAGGGGATGCGAGGAGGCTGGCGACGATTGTTGCGGGGACTGTGTTGGCTGGAGAAGTGAGTTTGATGAGTGCATTGGTGTCGCAGGATTTGATGACGAGTCATTTGGCATTGAATAGAAAGTAGAGGATAGAGTGGCAGGATGGAGCCAAGCAAAGTTGTCATCATGGTCGTTAAAGAGATCTCGAATCATTCTCACGCCTTCGCAAACCTATACCTGAACTTCTGACCTTCCCTATCCAGGGCGTCTTGCTCCTCATCTTGCTCGTTGACCAGTTCGGAATCATCATCTCCTCCAAACTCCTCTCTACCCCAGTAACCCATCAATGCCTTGACCATTCCCTTTCTTTCATCTTCTAGAGTAGATACTTTTTCTTTGCTGTCGGCCAACTCCTGCTTCAAGGTCTTTAGCTTCGCGCGCCAAGAATCTTCCCTCTTCTTAAGAGTGGTGGATAGTTTGGTGTCGAAATCGAGATTCAATGCATGCAAGTCTGACAACTCTGTTCTCGTTTGCTCGAGCTCTGTAATCGTCGAATGCAATTGAGATTCCAGAGTACCGGATGTGGTAGTCACAGCTTCTAGCTGGGAAGTCCTGGCGGCCAGATCTGCTTCGGCAAGAATGAGAGAGTTTGAAGTGGTTTCGAGAGAGGACTGAGAAGATGCAAGAGCTGTCTCTAATTCGTTGACACGGAACGAGAGAGTATCGCGAGAGGTACGGAGACTAGCCATGCCCTCCTCGATCAAGTCGATGGTGCGGCGGTGTTCTGATCGCAGATTATCTAGATTCGTAGACTGGGTTTGTGGAGGTGGTGAAGTCCAGGACTTGCGGAGCCGCTCTACCTCTTCGTGATGTTGATGCTGTTGAGATTCGAGTTGAGACCTCAATGCTTGGAGTTCCTTACGCAAAGTCTTAGCGAGCTGTTGCATTGACTTGTCTCGATCAACAACAGGGTTTTTGTCTTCCAATCGATCGAAGTGCTGGAGAATATCTAGCTCTTCTCGCAAGGCACGAACTTCCTCATTCAACTTCTTGCGGTCCTCACGCTCCTTGTTCAGTTGATCGTAGACATCTGCTTGAGACTGCTGAGCTTCACTGTCCGCTTTTGCCCAAGCTTCCTTCTCGGATGCATGCGCATGTAGTACTGAGTCGAGTTCATCTCGTGCTTTCTGTAACTGCGCTCCGAGTTGAGCCAAGGCGGAGCTTGCCTCGGAGTCATCCTTGTGAGTCTCCAGTGTACTGAGTTGTTGTTTGGCTCGTTGCAATTGCTGTGCGAGTGCTCGAGTCATGTCTGCAGCTTTCGTATCTGCATCTTCATGAGCAGCTTGTACAGCCTTCTCCTTTGCTGCCAGAGCATCTTGAGCTGTTTGCAATTGCTTCTTCAAGTCCTGGCTCGTCAAGTCGTCTTTGATTTGAGACTTGAGGTCTGCGATGAGTTTGTCCTTACTTTCGATGGTCTTCCGCATGTCTTCGAGCTGAGTCTGCAGGCTTGCAATCTGTCGCTCGAGCTCTTGTTGCTTCTCAGATGTCGAATATTCGTCGTCCATATCGACCTTGGTACGATTGACAGCCACGTCTTCTTCCTTATCGTCCTTCGCTTGCTGGATGTCTCTTTTTGCATCAGACAACTCCTGTTGTACACGCTGGAGTTCATTGCTCTTAGCTTTGCGCTGTCCCTCATTCCAAGTCTTCAAATCTTGCATGTCATTTTCAGTCTCGCGGAGATTATCCTGCGACTGCTTCAGCTGACCACGAAGATCGGCAAGTAAGCTGTCTCTCGTCTTCAGCTCATCCTTGACCTTGTCGAGCGAATTGTGGGTCTGTCGTTCGGCTTCACGAGCTTGTCCAAGCTGAGTCTGTAGATTGTGTATCTCTGCATCCTCGCTATCGTGCATTTGATCCAACTCTTTTGCGCGATCTTCGGCAAGCTTCAGCGCATCCTTCTCGGCAGATTTCGCATCATCCAGTTCTGATTTGAGGTCCAGCATCTGATCTTGGTATTGCTGAGACTCTTTGCGCAAGCGATTCAGCTCGTCTCGTAGGGATTGTAGCTCATTGTCATCTTCAGAACGACCTCTGCTTTGTGAGCGATCCGAACGTTGGTACTGGCGGGATGCGCGTTCAGTATCGAGTTGAGTAAGTAAGGATTCATTGACTTCGCGCAACTTCTGCAGCTCTTGATATAGACTATGCGGCTTTTGATTGGGAGTGCTGTCAAAGTGCGGCATGGGTGATCGCATAGACGACATGGTAGGAGGACTTGACGGTCTCTGGTTTTGGGATTGGCGTAATCGCGAAGTCGAGTATGAGCGTCTTTGCGGGTCGGGAGTAGGATGATTGGAGGCAGGACGGCCAGGAGTCAGCTCGGAGTAGTAGTCCTCAACGGTAGGTTGTAGCATGTTCTTCCTCGGCACCTCGTCGTCAGCGTGGTCGGGACGAGGCGTAGAGTCGTTGGCACCAGGTTCGCTTTGAGTGTTGCGTTCGAGTCTGGGAGAGGTGTTGAGCGAGGAATTGGTCAGAAAATCCGCCGTCTCATCGAACATGTCCTGCTGTTCCTCCCATGCTGGTAGTGGTTGTTTGCGCGGAGTTCCTCGAAAGTACTTTGCCAGGTTTACGGTAAAATCAGTCGGACCATCGATATCATCACTATGGACCTTGTCGATAACACGGTGCATGCTGGGCGAGTCGAAAGCACTGGCTTCATCGTCGAGGTTCAAAGCATCGAGATCTAGAGAATATTGTGTTTGATCCGGTTCGTCACCATGAGGTGTGCGATGCGGCGGAGGCGCTGGCGGTGGTGGTGATGACAGCATGATCAGATATGCGACAGCCTAACAATCAACGAGCTGTCTAGAAATATCTTGTTCGAGCCGCGTTGTATAGAAAAGTGACAGGCACGACAAGTTCGACTGTTTGTTGTTGTCTGTGCACCCACCATGCGCACCCAGAATGCGGGGTCGGCCTTTACACATTATTAAACTCCGTCCATGCATGTGATTGTTCAAATGCCACCTGCTATAGGAAGAGGAATGGTCACAGTCGTGATGATATAGGTCATACGGTTGTAGATATACAGACGTCTCAACATGTCGCGGTGAAGATCCAGTATGTCAGACCGCTTGTCCAATCTCAACTAGTGGGCTGCCTGACACATGAAACTGCCATTATTGTACTCAAGAAGTATATTACGGACGTGAGGCCACGCCTCCTTTCATCATCACTATGGCCGTCTTCTCACAGCCGTAGTTGCTTGCCCACAGAGGCGGGACTCAGTCCTAGACAAAATCCTAGACAAAGTCCTTCATGAGGTCGTCAACAGCTCGTGCAGCATACCTCTTCCGTTCATTCTCTGGCATTCCAGCCGTAGTTTCTGTTGAACCGTCAATTCCGCCCACCATAGAGAACAATCGAACCTACCTTTGATGGCCATCAACTGACTCATCATTTGCTCCATCCCCTCAAGCTGGAAAGCACTTCCCTCGTCCTCGTCGCCTCCGTTGTCTGGATCGAGTAATGAGGCCTTCAAACCCCATAGCTCAGCATTCATCTGCGCCTGTTCGTCATCCATGCCTCCAATAACATCTTCATCTTCATCTTCGGCTGCGGAAGAAGACCACTCATTTGCTTCAAGTGCCTCTTTCGCTCTTTCCAATCCTAGCTTTTCTCCATACTCATTCTTGCCCTCTGCATCAATGTGGATGTACTCAAATCCAAGATCCAGACACTGTTCTTCTACTACAACGGTAGCCTTGTCTTTGTTTGTCGGTGTGAGGTCGATGGCAAGTCTTGTACCATCCCACATCATACCACAAGCTCTTTCCACCACGTCGCTAACAGCCTTCATCGTCTTCTCCACCTCCTCGGATATTGTGACTTCATCGCCATCCTCTTTCTTGCCATTCTCGAAACAGTATATCCAGCCTCCCAGTGCTTGCACAACTTCTTTTGCTTCGGGCTTTAGGAACTCGGCGGTCCAGGCTTCGACGTCACCGATCTCGTCAATCCAAAGGGGTATCGCGGCTGTATAATATGCGGTTTTGAGAGTCCATTCATGTGTTATGCCGGCGAGAGAGCCGGTCGAGGTGTCGGGAGTAGGTGCGGAACCGGTCAGCTCTGTCGCAATAGATGAGCCTATGATGCGGCGGAAAGTGTGCGCGGAAGAGAGAGTCCACCTTTGACCACGCGAGAAATATCGCAATCTGGTTTGCCTAGTACAAGAATACGACGTGGGTGCTTGATTTCCATGGTTGTTTCTGGTAGATGCATGTTCATAAAATTGTTACATCAAGAGGATGAAGATGGAGAAAACAAATGTGGAGGGAGCTTGGAATTGATTGTTTCATTCGTCTTCCACGTGACTAATATCTTGCAGAGTCATCATGCCCTCTGCGCCTCTTCATAGATGGCGGCAGAGGTGACGCGATGGTCGGACGTAGTATGAGTCCTTTTGCGCTGTGCCGGGCTGCCTCTACTGCCTTCAGCTTCTGGCTTGGACCCATCACCCGAAGCGGCATGTGTATGACCCATATGCTCTGCCGACACGGAACTTTTGTTCTTTTCCCCTTTCCTAACTTCGTAAACAAGACCAGTGACTTGACATGGGTGTTTATCCACGGGGTCCACCTCTTTGGCCTCTAGCTCTGTTGACAGTGGCGCGACCTCTGGCCAGACCGACACCTCTTCCACGGACGTTTCTTGCTCTGAACATGGGCGCATTCCTGCACATTTCTCGTCAGCATTGTTCTCGTCGCTTCTCGCATTGTCACTTACCTCAACATGTCGGGAACAATAAAGTATCGGACGTGCGATCCTCTGATGTAGACCTGATCCAAGTGTGATACGCGACCATCTCTTGCGGTGACAGTGATGTCTCTGAGTTGGCAGTTCATGTTGTCCTCGGCTATCATCTCGTCAGTGTCTTGTCCCTTTCTCTTTCGCTGTTTGTTCAGCCAGCATTGCATATGTAATGCGCACCTTCGAGGAGCTTGCCGCGGTAGACATTGCCAGATGTGATTTCGACGGTGACGATGTGGCCCTATAGAGTTGCGCATCAACACAAGTTCTTTCCAATGCGACAGAGTGTAGAGATGCGCGTACGGTTGCCTCGTTGAGCAATTTGATCGGAATTCCAATGGTTGAAGTCATGGCTGATCCGTATGTGTCGGATGTCGTATGGTGCGCGTGTTGGTCGAGAGAGCGTGAGATATATAAGACGGATGCGCGAGGAGGAGAGGTACAGAGAAATGGATCAAGAGCAAGTCGTCACTCGTCAGGACTGCGATGCGCGCGAATCTCCAGAGCTTCAAGAGGAACAGCCTTGGCGTCGGATAATGTTCTTGGCGGGAATCTTGAGTCGATCTCGACCATCTTATCTTCTTTGATCATCTTTATACTTCATTACCTATCATCGATATGAACGTGTCAGGAACTTTGAGCTTCTTCAGGCTCTTCAGGGATCCATCTTTGTGCTTGCCTCATCATACTGTCTCGACTTTCAATCACTTACCAATCCCTCTTTGCCGAGCATTCAACAAAGCAGATGGCGAGAAGAAGGTAGACATCAGAGCTGTGGTGCTCGATAAAGACAACTGTTTTGCTGTACCAAAGGAAAATGAGGTTTACAAGCCGTATACTGTAAGCCCTGCCTCCAGATGTCTATTCAAAGGTCACAGGTCAATGGATCTCGATTAATCATGTTCTAGGAACGATTTGAAGAGCTTCGCAAAGCATATCCTGGTTCGCGTCTAGTAATTGTATCAAATTCTGCCGGAACTTTGTCAGACCCCACTGGCGCAGAAGCGGACCTTCTGGAAAAGAACACTGGCGTTAAAGTTCTTAGACACAACACAAAGGTATGCTTCCTAAGGCCGATGTATCCAATTCGTTTTGACCACGACCTCAGAAACCTGGCTGTCATCCAGATGTGCTATCATATCTTCGTAATGCTGCAGACACAGGAGTCACGCATCCGTCCCAGGTCGCCATTGTCGGAGACAGGTTGTTCACAGATGTCATGATGGCAAATATGATGGGCTCATACGGATTCTGGATTAAGGACGGTGTTGTGGAAGAGAAAGGACTCGTAAGTCTGATTCGAGGACGTTCCGTGATAACTATGCTAAAAATCATGATAGTTCGTGAAACTGGAAAGAAGTCTTGCAGGCTTCCTCACTCGTCGAGGTTACGCCCCACCATTCCCTCAAAACCAGTTTGAGTAATTGTCCTCAGATCCACATTCGATCCTGCAGCGATCTACCTCCAATGCTGCTGAAATGACAAGCTCCTGAGGAAACCTTGACATGATCAGGTACCGTACCGTTGATGAACGGGATAGTCACGACGGTTGTAGACTGCTCAGACGGGTAATCTGTGATATGACCGTCTCCAGTCGTGTCAGCAGCGACCAGCAGACCTTGGTTTCCGCCAATGAACCAGGCTTCATCAGTCGAAGATGGCAGCGAGATGTGTGCTAGTCCAGACGTGTAGATGACGAGCTAGCGAACACGTCAGCGCATTGTAACAGCGAGTCAAAAAGGCTAATATACCTGTGGTGCTGGGCTGTTATGAACACTGCCATTAAACCTGGGCGGAATGATGGTGTACGAAGCACTGCTAGTGTTGAATGTGATGCTTAGGCTGCCACGGATACCAGGTTGTGAGGAGTCAATCAGCGGTGTCGCGAATCGCCAACACTCAAGTGCTGATTCATTTGCAGCATTGGTGACCAGAGCAGTAGCGGTGAGGTAGTCATACGCTTGAGTAGTTGCACAGAGCAGTGCTCCAATAGCAGCGGTCAGATAGAGATGCATATTGATAGGCTGTTCGAGGAAATAATATGTTCATGTGAAGCAGGAGTGTGGATGTTCTCTAAGTGTTCATGAAGAAGTCGAAAGATATGAAGTCATCCCGCATGGGCTTTCACGCTCTTCGTGTCACGATTCATGTGTTGGAAAGCTTGCGAGGACTGCAGATGCTACTGCAGCACTGCCGTTGTCCTCTCCTTAGTGGATGTCCTTGAGCCTCCTCTTGCTTTCCTTGATTTAGCAGTGAAGTGCAACACTACGGTTCTGATGTCACCACAGACTCCGCTTCCTGCCGCGGACTTCATCCACCTGGAGAAAGTAAAACTCAACAGTGAGATCGTGATCGTGAGAGCCAACGCGACAGACTCGTGAGCATCGACAACGTTCTGATCGTACAAGCAATTCCTCCATTGGCTCTAGCTTTCTGCACGTCTCGGGTCGGCCCGTCGCAGCCGACCACTTTCGCGCTCGCATCACCTTCCTTCCGAAACAATTAACATCAAAAAGTTGTCAACTTACAACATCATCATGGCGGAACAGAAGACTTCGACGAAGGACATGCCTTTCCGTGCCGCTGAAGGCGTATCTCGCTTCTTTCTCATCGAAGCTCTGCGCACCGGTTGCGAGGATTTGACAGAACAATCGAAACACCTTGGATCTGCGCGTGACAAGGCCAAGACGATACTTGACGACAAGTCTCCTGCTGTGCTCGAGGCTCTACTCCAAGATGTATGTGTATGATCACTTTGACCATGAGGGTGATTTACTGATAAATTCACCGCAGGTTTTGAATGCTTGTGCAAAGAGTCTGCAAGCCCATGCTGAAATTGTTGAAGCTGTCGCCGAGACCATCGCCGTCAACTCTGACAAAGACTCTGTTGATGAAACGAAAGTCTCGAACAAGTATGCTCTACTTGTTGGCCAAATCAAGGATGCTGCTATCGGTGTTGAGAAGTTGGGTGCCGCCAACGTAAGTCTGATTGTCGCGTCTCCTGTCTCTCTTGCCATTGTCGCATTGCATCAATACACCGACGAGACATTGTCCGGCTCCACTTCTTTCGTGGAGAGAACTCGCTCATGCTATGAATTTCTCCAATTCAATTCATGGCACACTTTATTGACATTGTGGTTCTTACTTTCGTCACATTTCGACTAATGCTTCGTCAGGTCAAGAGAGAATCACCTCCACTACCAACTGAAAGCGACTTTGACTCGGAACCCGAAGTGAAATCCTCGAAAAAGCCGCATGTCCATGAGCCCAAGCAATCTACTCCACTGAAGAGAAAGGCCAAGCATATCTCAAATACTTCGGCCACAGTCAAGGATGCTCCATCTTCTGATAGCGTTGATGAGAAGCCCATGAAGGGTAAGGGCAAGAAGCTTAGCAAGCTTTCGAAGCTGTCCAAGTCTTCCAAAGCTTTGGAAGAGAACATCACGCCGCCACCAGAGAATGAAACTCCAGCCACGCCCTCCGCATCCAAGCACTCCGCACAGTCATCTTCTGCTCAGGACTCTGAAGTCAACACCCAAGACGACAATGACGGCATCCCACCATCAACCCCAAAGCCAGATCTGTTACGCAGAGAGTCTGTCGAAGACATAAGCTCAGAAGTCAATGCTCGCCTCGCAGCCAAGGAACGCAAACGCGCCAGTAAGAAGGCAGCCAAGAAGCGCAAGCGTGACTCTGTCGCTTCAGAAATCTTCTCCCCAGACCCAAAGGCAGAGCCCGAATACAAAGCGCCCCTGCCGCCGAAGAAGAAGTCTCGTGTCGATAAAATCGACGGAGACAGCAAGGGTAAGCGTCAAAACGTTGACGACGCTCCTGGCAGCAAAGCAAAGAAGCAGAAGCACAAGTCCACGACTGATGATGACTCAACTGTGAGATCCGCAGAAGCGAAGCAGGAGTCAGAGTCAGAGGTGGTAGAACCAAGCATGGGCAAGGCAAGAGCTTATCATGCTGAGAAGCTCTCAGCAGCACAGGAAAAGGCCAACAAGTCGAAGCGCAGACGTTCTTCGAATGGCGCTGACGTCCAGACGCCGGCGGCTGTGCCAGATGCTTTCCACGAGACCAACACTCGCAAGAAGCGCAGAGTCGGTTTTTAATAGTGCTATATGGGATATCGAGCGAGCGGGAAAAGACGCGGTGGTCAGAATTATCGCTCAGACGAAGCGAATAGACGATGCTTGAGGGACGCAATAAACGTCTCATGGCCCCGGACATCACGCTAGATGGCGTTTGCTATTGCTTCACGTCCTCTACACACAACTTCAAGAGCGTCACGCATCGCTCAAACCAACATAGATATACCATGAATGCATATAATACTCGAAGCAACCAAAACTATCTCGCTACATCATCCTCTACATCTTGCTCCCACCCTTCTCCTTTCCCCAAGCCTCCTTGACAAAATTCTCAACATCACCCCAAAGCTCTTCTGGCTTCTCCATAGCAGCAAAATGCCCACCCTTCTCATGAGAATTGGTAAAGGCAAAGTTTCCAGTCTCCTTGACCCAAGAAATTGGTGTGGGAGAGATTTCCTTGGGGAAATAGGAGTAGCCTTGAGGTTTCTTGCTCGGTTGTCGGAAGCGAGGGTTTTGGCCGCTGGGAGCTTGGGAGCCGAAAAGCTTTGGACAAGGGTCAGTAAAGAAGGAGGAGGAGGAGAGGGGAATGGAGTCGGGAGGGAGAACTCACACTGCGATAAGGATAGATGCATCTAGCATAAGTATCTGTCAACCAATACAAAGATACCGAGTCGAGTATCTCGTCAACACTGGGGTCTTCATCTGTCCACTCTAGGAACTTTTCGCCGATCCAAGAGAGTAGAGCCAGAGGTGAGGAAGACAGCGTGAGGCCGATTGTTGCTGTGCGGGTGCCGTGTTCCATTGCATATGCAGAGCCAGAGTCACGGAATGCTTTTCCACGCTCGAGTCCCTTTTTCTCAAGATCGGAGATGTGGAGGGAGTCAGCGTTAGAAGGTGGAGGAAGTGTGTAGAGGTTGACTAGAGCAATAAAATCAGTAACTCCCAAGTATCGGGCGGTATAAGAGCCTTTTAGATGCAGGAAAACTTACTGTGGAAAGCTATCACAAACCAACATCGTTAGTACCATGAACTCCTCACACTTTTGTAGAATAGGGGAAAAACATACCTTTACAAGCCCCACTCTCCACACCCAACTGTCTAGCAATAAAACTCCCAAGGTCCCCTCCTTGAGCAATATACCCATCCCCAAAACCCAACGCCTGCATCAAAGCATCCATAACAGGCGCCATATGCTCAGCCTTGAAATCTCTATCCACCGGTGGAGAAGAAGAAAACGCATACCCTGGCAATGAAGGAACGATGATATGATAAGGCAAGTCAGCAGGATCAGGATACTGTTTCTTGATGACTGAAAGCATGTCCAGGAATTCTAGGATGCTGCCGGGCCAGCCGTGGAAAAAGGCTAGGGGGATCGCATTGGGGTTTTTGGAGAAGAGGGCGATGAAGTGGATGGTGAAGTCTGAGCCTTGATCGTCTGTTATGGGGATTGTGAAGTTTGGGAATGAGTTTATTTTTTGCTCGCATCTTCTCCTGTTTTTGTTGCGGTTTCGATTAGTCTTTGCTCTATCGTCCAGCGCAGTTGTTGATCGGGGGGGATGTTACCAGTCATAGGCGCCTTCCCAATGCTTCTTGGCTTCGATGAGCCAGTCTCTGTTCATACCGAATCTACGATCTTTTTGTTGATTTTCGTAGGTCGCAGGACCAATCCTGGAGTGAGCGAGCAAGTGTTTCATAGATTGAATGTCATTGGCATCGATTTCCACCTTGTAAGGCTTGGGTTGAACCTTTGCGGTTGATGGAACTTGGGCGTAGTCGGCCATGTTGGATATTGAAATCGTGCGATTACAGGTAAGATAGTGAGAAGCAAGAAGCAAGAAGCAAGAAGCAGGAGGAAAAACCTAGCCGAGGACCTTACAAGGAGTATATGTATGCTTTGGATGATCCCTTTGCATTTGTAATTGCATGGCATACCGATGATGTAGCCAGTCCCCGCTTGGGAAGCTTATCCTCGGATGTCTTTCGTCCGTTTCGTGAGGTTTCCATACATGACCTGACAATGAGCGCCTTGCAGCTTGTTGAATGGCTCGTTGAATAGATGAATCTCTACACCTCGATATCATGGCAATATAGGCCGGGAAGACAAAGTTCCGAGCAAATGTGTTGTGACCATTCTCGACAGGGTGACGGCGTGCAACCACGAGGAAAGAGCATGAAGCTTGGCATGTCTCTTTTCCCCGCAAAGTCCGTCGCTGCTTTGTTGGATAAATTTATCAGGAACCTCGAATATTCCTCTTCCCTCGGCGCATTCGACTTGACAAATCACCGACATATACTCGTCACTGGCTTCCACAATCAGTCGCTGTTCAATCACTGGAAGCTTCTCGATACTTGATAACAAGGCCGATTTATCTACAGATCAGGGCACAAAGACGTCAAAATGCCGCCCAAGACGGCTTCGGGCAGAGCTCGCCCAACGGGCACAAGAGGGGGAAGAGGGGGTAGAGGAGGACGAGGAGGTGCAGTCGCTGCTACAACAACATCCGACTCTACGCCAACAGATCAACCCATGCCCGACGCAGCTCCTACATCAGACACTGCAACGCCAGCACCTGTAGCGCAAATGACAGCAGCACCCGTCGCAACCATGGCTCCCGAAGCAACAGCATCTTCTTCAACCGCAGAAGCTCCTCCAGCACCAGCTCCTATCAAACGTGTAGCTTCGGTACGTCGTGGAGGCGCATCAGCGTCGCCAGCACCTTCAGCACGTGGAAAGAAACCGATCATCCCTGCACCAAAGGCCGTGAGAAGAAGTAAAGAAGACAGAGAAGCTATGCAGAAAGAGGTGAATGCGAAAAAGGCAGAGGAAGCAAGAGCTGCATTGAGAGATGCCAAGAGAGCTGGACGAGGAAGAGGTGATAGAGGACGAGGAAGAGGAGGTGGTAAAGCAAGAGGTGGATTTATGGGTGACAGTGAGAGGACTATTAGGGATGTCGTTGCCAGTGGTCCCTTCTCAGCCGGCCAAGTCGCTGCTGATGCTGGATTCCGTGGAGGCAGAAGACCACCGGGTGGAGGCTTTGGTGGTGGAGGCGGAGGTGGTTATGGAGGAGGAGGAGGTGGTGGTGGTGGTGGTGGCGGCGGCGGTAGTGGTGGTAGCGGAGGTCCTCGCATTAAGAGTGAAGGAGGCTCCTCATACGCAAACCCAAACATCGAGGACGGCGGCTACATCTCCTCCGACCTCGACGAAGCAGACGAAGGTCCCCGCAAAGACATCGACTTCATCAACCTCCTCAGCGATGACGAACAAGATACGGCAGCCACAAACTCCGGCATGGCTCCCGTCCGCGTCAACCGCGTCGAGCACCGCGAACGAGAAAAGCCCGTAGCAACAGACGCCACAAAAGCAAAAGCAGCCGCCGAAGCCTCGAAACCTACAACCACAGAATCCTCAGGAGAAAAGGCTACAACGAAAGAACGTACCGCCTCCCCCGAACTAACACGCGGAAAACAACGCACCAAAGAAGTCCAAGTAGTCCGCAGCGAAAGAAGATGGAAAGGAGCCTGGGAAGACAGTTCCGACGACGAAGCAACCATAAAACCCGAGCCTGAAGATGCTTCCACAATCACAGCTGCTCCTTTACCAGCAGCCTCCGATATTGCGATCAAAGAATCCGCAAGTCCAGAAACAAGACGAAAGAACAAGGGTAAAGCTCCGATTAGAAGACACGGTCTACCCACTGAAGCACCAGCACTGCAAACACAAGAAGAGCGCCGAGAATGGGAACGCCATCATCTCGATCTCGAAATCATCCGTCAAGAACTCGGAGAAATCACTTTACCTTCCACACCTCCCACAACAGCACAAAAAGACACCGAAGGCGATGTAAAAATGTCGGAAGGAGCAGTAACAGAAGAGCAAGATCTCACAGACGGCGTCGACGCCACTTCATCTCTTCCCACACAAAACGGTGCATCTGCAAACCCACCACCAGATCGTCGCACAGATCGTGTCTATCTCTTCCAATTCCCTCCCATCTTGCCCTCATTGGCTACAGCGACTGTAAAGCCAGAACCTCAATCTCCAACTCTATCCAAGAAGACACCGCATACGGCAGAAACACCTATTGATGTGGATTCTGCTACTTCGAAACCTGCCGCGAAACAAGCGGCGAATGTTCCGCAATCTGCAGGACAGATGCATAATCCCTTCCCTCACGGTCTAGTCGGAAAACTCCGCGTTCATGCATCCGGCCGCACGACTTTAGACTGGGGCGGCACATCTCTGCAAGTAGGCATGGGAACTGATGTACAGTTCTTGCAAGATGCCGTTGTTGCAAAGTTCAATGATAAAAGCGATGTGGAAGGTGGCAAAGGCAAGGAGAAGGAACAAGAAGAGGAAGAAGGTGCTTTCGGTGGTGAAGTCATGGGCTTAGGACAGGTGAGGGGAAAGTTTGTCGTCACGCCTGATTGGGAGGAGATTGTTGGTGTGAGGATCTGATGAACAAGTAGAATTGCTGAGAAAGAACAGGGTTTATTGTGACAACAATATATCTCTTCTTTGTTTTGGGAATGAACGAATATGACATCTACTCGTCAATTGATGGCTCCAGCGAATTCTCCATCTTTGACCCCTGCACGGTGTGTACGTGCATGAACCAAAGCCAGTCATGATTTTCCTAACTCGGGCAGTCCACCAGTGGTCAACGAATGTGATGGCTCCAGTCCAGTACAAGAGGAACATGACACCGTCCATCGAATATTGCCATCGTCCAGCGCTAACACTCTCCGTGCCACAGCAATAGGTCACCGCTTGACTGGGTGTCACGTCCGCGAACAAAACTCCAGAGACTGACCACATTCATCATTCCAGCGGCTGTAGGCAGTCTCAAGAGCTCCGTTCCTTTCTTGTCCTCACTCCAACGCATACAGATGCGGAAAGTGTCGTAGCAATTCCTGCAAGCAAATTCTCCACTTCTTCGTACATAGCACAGTTTTCGTTGTCATTGGGGCCCTGCTAAGCTATCCCCAAAGTTCTAGCTACACTCGCTTGGTTGTGAAGCATTGACTAAATCACTTTCTCTCGTGTTTCTTCCACAACAATATCGTGACACACTCGATTGTTTTCGATCCATACGGTCCATGGGGCCTCAAAGTCTCGTAAGCTGTTGTCTGGGACGTGAATCGTTGGTCCTTGTTCCCAGACCATGGGTTCCAGGGGCTTGTCGAGTAGCGGTATTGGAGATGACCCGTCTTTCTGCATGTGCGTTGGGTAATCGCCTGATGTACGCCTGCGTTTTTAGGGAAGATATTAGCCAGCAGAAGGAGGACTACGCTTAGGGGCAGAGACGGTGTTGAGAGGAGTGAAAGGCAAAGGGGCCTGTATTTGACTGTCTTGCGAGACGATCATTCTCTGCAATTGTCCAGGTTGGGGCGGATGGCGATTACCTCCAGCCTTGACAACTTTCGCTCCCACCTCGTGATTGACAAAATCTGTCTCTTGACTGGGGCCCCCTCCTGATATTTGAGCAGCAGACGACTGAAGGTCAAGTATCGTCGAGTCTCGAATGCTAGGATCCGCGGACTTGACATGTCTTGCAGCGAAGATGTACTTGGTCTGCTCCATTTGCTCTTTGAGTAGTCCCAGTAGCGTGTCTTTGTGCTCTTGCTGGATACGGTTGATCTCTCCATGATGACGTTGGATCTCGTCTCTACTTGCAGAAATCGATATCAAGCGCTCCGTCAATGCACCTATTGCGAGCTGCGGACTGACGTTCTCGGGAAAAAGCTGGAAGTCTTGTTGATGTGCAGGCTGACTGAGAACATCTGTTGGATCGTCGAGTTGCATTCCGGTATTGGAGCCAGTTGGAATTTCAGGAGAGCGTTCTTTTGAGGGTTGGACTTCTGTCTCGGGAAGTGTCTGGTGCACTGCTGGTGGAGGTGAAGACTTCAGGTGAGGGGATCCCTGAGATATGGTAGAATGTTCCATGATGAATACTTGTTGAGAGTGGCCTTGGTGGATTTGTGGGTGGTATGAAAATGGCGAGTCCGGGTGGATTGGAGGTGAGCAGGAAGGCTGGCATCTGATTGAGTCTACAGCTCTCGGAGGTGCAAGCGTGAGCGTCACTTCTGGAGAAGGAAGGAACACTCCCTCGTAGCATGACGCAAGACATCAATCTTGACCTGTTCGCGGCTTCCCAGTAAAGCGCCTTCCGGGACTCCGGCCAAAGACATGACTGATGCCTCTAGACCTCGTAAGCTCGCACAATTGCCTGTGAGGATTCAAAATTGAAAAGAGAAGCCGACATGGATAAAAGAACGACCTGGAAGGAAAACAGAATCGAAACAGAGACAAGACAGAGAGGGACTGGAATAGCGCCATACTCTAGTATTACAACGATGACATGCTACAAAGTCCTTCCCAGACCGAAACCAGATCATCTGAAACTCCTACAATGCTCCAAAGATATCGTACAACAGAACGCCAGGTTCGAACAGAAAAGCCGTAGAAACAAAACAACGCAGTCAGATCAAACACATTCCCACTCTGCAAAAACACACCATCTCGCACTACGATCAGCCAACACCAAACCGCGATAAACACCTCTTTCACCAACTTTGATGACAGTCTCCCAAGTACTTCCCATGCCTTCGTCTTCTTCTGCTCTGCCAGGATTACTGCCACCATATTCCTGCTTTCTCGTGAATCTGATGATTTTACCAGAAGGAGATTGGATGGCCAGTTTGGCGGGTTTGGTCTGTTTGTCTGACATGGTGGATGCTTCTGACATCATGGAGCCGGTGTGGGATATGCCTGCTGAGGAGGAGGCCATCGACATCGCGGAAGATGGACGAGCGTAGGGGGCAGGTGAGGTGGAGCGGAGACCCAATGCTGAGTTGCTTCTTCCGCGGCTGGAGGCAGTGTTGTTGGAGCCTCCCCATGTGTCGGGCGAGAAACGGGAGAGTGATGATGGATGTTGGCGTACGCAAAAGACAAAAGTGTTGTTGATCACCAAGCGGGCACATTGAGGTTGTGCAACATAGAGATCATGGCGTTGCGCGTGGGGTGTAGGATGACGAGTCAGGAAAGTGTACGGAGGATTTTGTCCAGTGTGTAGAAGTGGGACTGCGAGAGCGAGAGCGTGTGGGTTGTCCTTGATGCTGTGCATAAGACCTCTTTTGCCAGCGTAGACTTTCAGTACACCTTCGCCTTCGTCACCAGGAAGCAGAGCTTTGACGACATAGCTCTTTCTACCACCAATCCATGTGGGTTGTGCAAGAGCAATTTTCCTAGTCACATCACCAGATTCGAACAAGTCACCGTCCATATCACGAGCGAAAGCGCGGGCTTCGACCTCGGCAACGATCTCGACATCTTCAGGTACCGTAAGTTGGAGGTGGGCCATCTCCAGATTCTCCAGATAAGCGATAGAGGTGTCGTAGTTAGCGAGCTCAATGTTATGGCGAAAGTAGGGAGGACAAGCGCATGGAAGTGATATGAGTACTTCGTGAGGAACAGGTGGTACGATGTGCTGCTGTTCGGGAAGAAGAGGAATGTGAGTGAAGCATATCTCCATGGGTCGGGTGAGGAAGAACCAGTGATCTGCAACTGTGTTGTTCGCTGAGCTGTAAGAATTACGCTTCGGGTTGGTAGGATTTGCCAGAGAGCAATCCATGATACGCCATTCGCCGTCGATGATCACAGCGTTCCAGAAGTGGTTGGCTCTAGCAATAGTCTCCAGGTCGAGTCGTTCTCCTGGGCCCTTGAGGTACCCGCGGACAACTTCAGCATGGAGACCAACTGCGGAGCAAAGATCGCGTACAAGAACGGCAATTTCCTCGCTACAGCCGCGCTTGGTCTGCAATACACGTCTGGTGTCAATCTGGCCTTCGAAATCTTCCTCCCATGTTATACGTTCGGCGGTCCAGGTGAAGACGGCTCGAAGACGTTGTACATCGCTGCGGTAAGGTCGGCAAAGATAGCTCTGTGCCAATGATGTTGGTGTGATCATCTGAGGGAGAGCTGAGATGAACCTTGTACCCTTGTCAACCAGACCCAGACTTGGAGCAACGAAGTCGGTCGGTTCGGTAATGGCCAGTCCGTCAAGTCCCTCATCGCCTTCGGTACGTTCAAGCAATTCTTCAACGGGGTTCAGGACAAGCACGTCCATCATCTCACAACGCTCAACGCGTTCAATCCTCTCATTCCTGCTGAGCGAGTTGGAACGGTTGACATCGCGTCTCACTTGCATCCAACCATCACCACCTCCCAGACCCATGTCGCGATGTGCGGTGGATGTGAGCGCAGGTGGTGAACCAGGCATACCACCAGCTATAGCAGTGACACCATCGGATATAATGCTCTTTCTCGGGGATTCTGCTCTGCTTGGTGGTCTTCCGGATGCGATTGTACTTCTTGCATTGGCAGCTCCAGTCTTTGCGGTCGTCTTGGCTGTGTCGATCATCTTTCTGAAGAAGCCACTCTTCTTGGCCTTGGGCGCAGAAAGACCTCCTAGAACTCCTGCAGTTTCGAATGGATTAGTCGTCCAGTCAGCGACAGGAGTTGGAGCAGGTTGCGTAGCGTGACTCGAGTGGAAGCTGATACCAGTCTCTGGAGATTGGGGTCGTGATTGCATTGCCGTCTTAGGTCTCTCATCCCTGCCAAATTCTCCGCGAAGATCGCCGTATGATCTCGAGCTCAAAGCGCTCAGTGGTCGTCTGCCTTTCACACTGCCAGTCAAGCCCCACTTGCGCCTAGCAAAGCTACCAGCACTAGTGGCGCTGAAGGCACCAGCAGAATGACCACTCATGATACTCACACTTGTGAGTTGAGTACTAGTCGTACTGGCTGTAGAAGTGCTGTTAGTACCTGAGGAGGAGCTAGTGGCATTTGTTTTGCTGGTCTGTGTTCTGCGAAGTTGTTGTCTGGTCGCAACCTCGTATGCAGACTTCCGTGGACTAGGGACCTGAGAGCTGAAACGGAGACTACCCGAACTACTCTGACTGCTGGCCGTTGTGGGTCTGTTGTCATACTGAACAGCACCTCCAATAGTTTCTAGATCGCCACCAGTTGACTTTGTTCTTCTCAGTCGACTCTCCATGCGTGAGACATACTCATCCAGAGCAGGAGGCCCATCTCTTGAAGGTGGCAGGGAAGGAATCGAATCTGAGTCTTCCTGTACATTTGCCAGTCTGCCTGGACTTGCTTCTCTACGATATGTGTCCATGGCCGACTTTGCTCTGGCCTGGTGAGCGGATCTGGAACGTATCAGATCGAAAGCATCAGGCGACCAGATTCCACCATTCGGACTCTCAGGTCCAGGGGCGGGTGACGATCTTCCAGCCACACTGCTCATATCGTGAAGAGAAGACATGACATCAGCCATGGCGTCGCGTAATGGCGAAGGGGTCATGCCGGAAGACTGACCGTCTCTAGAATGGCCGCCAGGTGTGACATAGCCATTGTTGAGATCAGACTCGTGTGAAGCGCGAGGAGAAACAGGCTTGCTCTGTTGATGCAGGATACGGTGAGGCGGCGGTGCGGGAGGCGGAGGTGAAGAAGCATCGTCTTGTGGCACAGGCGAGGGTTGCCGTGAGATGTGACGCATAGGTGCAGAAGGTATTGGAGAAGCAGCTCTGAAGTAATCATAGTCTTGTGGGGGTCTGTAGGCTTGGTACTGTCCGTCACCTGCCATGGGCGTAGGCGTGGGAGATGGAGACGGGGAGTGGTGGAACTGAGAGGGAGCAGGAGATGGTCCTCGATAGGGCGAGTTTCCTTGATGGAAAGGCGCTGGCGACACTGCTCGGTATGGATTGGGAGAAGCGGCTCTACTGTAAAGATCGGCGTTTGTATTGGGAGAGGCGGCACGATACATGGCGGCATTAGGCGAGACGTGGCCGTTGTACATTGGTGTCGGGTTGGGCGATACTGGGCGGTATATTCCTTGAGGACTTGGTGAGACCGGACGATACATGGCGGAAGGAGCAGGTGAACTGGCTCTGTACATGGCTGACGGTGCTGGTGATGAGGTTCTGTACATGGCGGAAGGAGCCGGCGATGTCGGGCGGTAGAATGCTGAAGGAGCGGGAGAAACTGAGCGGTATAAGGTGGTAGGTGCTGGGGAAGAGGCTCTGTACATGTCTCCAGGAGAAGGCGGCCTGCTGGGTGAAGCGCGTGGTAGTGGTGAAGGTACACGGAACGTCGACTCCTCCTTGAGCGGTGATGATTGTGCTTTCTTGTCTGATCCAGGAGCCTTTGCCGTCTTCATGCTCGAGTATGGGCTGAACTTCTTCTTGACCGGCCTGTCCTCCGGTGTGCTGCCTCTCGAATTGCAACCATCATCGCGGTATCCAAACTCTTTGTATCCTTGGAAAGGCTTACGGAAGACGCTCTTGGACTTCTGTGGCGATGCGACGGTCGTAGGCGGTGAAACATTGCGGCGAATAGGAGCTGGTTGGAACTTCTCGTCGAGCACTTGTACAAAGTTGGATGGGAACAGGCCAACCATGCGCCGGTCGCGCCTTAGACGACCCATCCACCAGGATCCATCTCCTGCGTTGAGACACTCGATCAGGTCGCCTTCAATGAAGCCCAGGTCTTTCTTGGTCTGTAGACAAGGTCAGTCCGTGTTGCGCTCCTGAAGCGCATCCATGTTGTTGCCCACCTCTCCACCCCATGAGTAGACGGCCTTGCACCAGCATGGGAATTTTGTGGGTATCGATTGACCACCCATGTTGCGCAATTACGTCGTTGCGCTGATATGTGTGAAGTATCCAGTCAAGAGATTGCTTTGTTTACGTTGGACATCCAGAAACCAGAAACGCGCTGCTCTAAGATGACGAATGAACGGTCTTTGCGCGCAGACTGTCAGGAACCAGGAAACGCTTGGAAGTCAAATGATTATCAGAAAATCTTCATGCGACCGCTTGTCAGGCCTCGTGTTGTGTGGCCTGTCGCAGACCAATTAGCTATATGTTCCAGGTTTGATGGTTGTTCAGGGCGTGTTGATTTGTTTACTCCGAAGCGCCAGCCGTGTGCGACATCACAACCAACCCTTGAACCAACCTCCCAAGCATCCCCCCCCCAGCCTGTTGCAACCCGTGCCGCCCTCCCAGCTGCCCCATCAAATGTCAATACTCCATAATTCAGCTCAATCTACTCCGTCAACAACATGGTCTCTATTCTCGTGAACATGTCCCTTGCGGCCTGTCATACTTTTTGTTTATACTTTTCGTGTCCCTTACAGGGCTTTCTGCCATAATAAACCATGCCCTTGCCGCAGGAACTCTGAGATCATCAGATAAACTCTCATCACAACCACGCTCCTCACATGAACCGCTTCCTCGTGCACAAGGTTTGCTCCACTTCTGAACATTGGCAGAACCCACTCCACTACTGCATGCGCAAGCCTATTCTGCCCTGCTTCATCCTCGACCTTATGCACCTCGTCGCCAGCCACTTTGTCTGCTTCCACCAACAGATCCATCACTTTTCTTGAGTCTCACAGCAGATCGCAAATCATTTGAACCTTGTTTCATCAATGCTTCCTCCTCAATCCGGAGTGCCTGCTTCTTTTGTACACGCCGAGTCCATCGTCCTGGTATCATATCTAAGCAAGATCCGCAAATCCCCCAACTCCGATTTTTTCGTTGTGCCTGATCAGCCCCACGCCGCTATGCATTTACTAAAAAAAAAGAGGCGCTAAACGTCTGGCGCAATTCTACACCGCCATGTCCTTGTCGAGTACAACTGATATCAGCCCTGACCTTCCACTGTCGTAAACCCGTGCACCAAGTACTTCGCCGATGGACTCTGTCAAGCGTTCTTTCAATTCTGCACCTTCTGGATGTCCGTTGGTCATGTTTGCCGAGTGTTGTTCTAGAAGGTCCAAGGATTGCAGAAGTACCAATGCGACTCGTTCCGCTTGATCCTTCTTTTGCTCGTCCGCCAGGCCCTGCTTAAGCACTTGGTCGTAAGCTTGGAGATTAGGCAGAATTAGTGTTCGAACACCTGCAGCTCCAGAGATGCCTCGCAGACCGAGGATGGCTCCATAGTGTGTACCGAATGGCTTGTGCGAGTCGAGGAAGTCCTTCAAACACGAGCGTGCAATACGAGGTTTGAGAGTGCCTGATGTTTGACCGTACTGCTTAGCAATAGCTGATAGCAGTGAGGCGGAGAAATCGCGAAGTGCGAAGTGTGCCTCTGGACCGTCTGCCGATGTCGATCCAAGATGCTTTCCGATCAGACATGTTAGGACTGGAGGAATTAAGGAAGCCACGTATGGAGCAATGTATAGACTTGGGTTCTCAAGCAGAGCGGCCAGTAGCTGCATCATCTGTCTGAGAACAAACAAGCTCTTGAGATTGTGTGTGACCTTGTCGGCGACAAACTGGACAAAGTACGGTACCAGTTGATGAAGACCAGGATCTGTGCGCAAGCTGGCGAATGCAGAGATGCGAAACTCTTCGTTGGTCTCGTCCAGGATAGCACTGCAGATGCGTTCAAAGTATAGTTGCAACTCTTTTGAAATGACATGCTTGACCAGAGGCTTGACAGCAATGTTATCGTTACCGCCAATAGCAGCCAAATTCGGATTTGCGCCAGGGCCTTTGGGCAGAAGCTCCTGGTGTCTTTGATCGGCCGAGGTAGGGTTCTGCGGGATAGATGGTTGGACGCCTTCTACGGCGAGCCAATGTGCTACAAGTTGTGTCAGCCAGAAAGAGTATCCTGTGTATCGATTCACGTACCTGTAAGAGAGATTTCGCGAGGCACCTTTGGTAGCGGCGCATTGATGAACTTCTCAAAGTCGATTTCCTCATCTTCGACGTAGTACAGTGGTTGTCCAGGGCCTATGGATGCCTCGCCAAAGCGCAGAGGTCTTGTAGCTTCGTAGCCATAGAGAGGCTCAACATCAAGCAGGCGCAATGCTTGTGAGATGTCCTGTGTGCTCAAAGTAGTCCTCTTGGCATTGCGCATGAATTTGAGAGCTTCCTCCAAGATCTGACTGACGCGATATTCAACATCCTGAGCTAGTTGAGTGACGACCTCGTGGTTGAGAGCGCCAACGCCAACTGATTCGGCGACGTCGGTGATGTTGTCTGGGTTCCAGACCGGGTTCGACATGGCGGTAGACGCGGCAATATCGCGCAAGGAGAAAGGTTGGGGCCACGTGTAGTGAAAATTACTCAGGAGTGCTCGGAATACGATCGACTAGATGGTGTAGTGGACTCGAGGTGCTGTGTTCGTTTCGCGCGTGGTGACCTGGTCGAGGCGTGATGATGTGCAGCAAACACGGCAGTGGCTTCGTACGCCCGTAAATTTGAGTGAGAATCAATCTCGCTTGTACTGCAATACAGACCACAAGAAACGCCGTATCTGATAGTGATAAAAGCAGTAAAGGGGTCTAGCAGTGAGTGGAGTTGATAGTGTCAAAGTGCTCAGTTCCAGCCCGCATTAGAGACGCAGCTCGGGAAGACGCAACTTCCCAAGACAGCGGCCTTTCCCGCGCTTTGCGACACGCCAAGCCTTCTTCCTTCCTGCCCTTCTTGTTAGCTTCAATCGGTTGCGCCTTCCTGCCCCTCATTTCGCTCTCGAGCTCTTTAGCTTGTGTCTTTGCTTCTCTTCCGTCTTGTTGTTAATCCTCTTGACCCGCCGAGCCAACCGATCCTCTGATCAAGTCTTGATTGAATTGACGCGAGCCACATCTACATGCCGCTCGCAATTGCGCTATCGACACGCCATCAGGTGTCAACGTCGTTCTGATGCTTATGTCATATTGTCACTCAAAATGTCCATTAATTGTCATCATCCGGATGTAAAAGGTAATGATCTGACTGCTGCTCGGTAATCTTTTGACTGCGCGCGCTCCTCTTCCACCAGTCATAGCGTGGAGATCCGGCGTGCACACCTGCTTAGGCGAGCGAGACCTGTGTAGACTATCTGACTATCCGTCGTTGCAGCTGCATGTCCCCTCTACCCACGTTGTTCCCTGGAAAGAGTTAGCAGTAGTGGGCCTTGTCATTCCCGTTGGGAATCGCGCTTAAGACCATGTGGTCAGGACTCGACTTCCTCAAGTTTGAGCAGCCGTGCCGCGCTCACTCAAATCATGAACATGACGCTCCGAGGGACCCTTTTACTATGCTTAAGTTCAGCCGCTTGAGCACCGGCGGAAGGGTTTCTTATGACTTTCGGCACGCTAATGGTCTTGACTGCGGCCATGGCATCCACAATGCGCTCCTTCCTCACCTGCATGTCCGATCTTCTGCTTGTGCCGAGCATGTTCTTGTCTGTCAACCTTTGATGGACATCTCACTGTGAGACTAGAACATGGTGACTATCTATTTGACGTCACGCTTTCTTCCGTGACTTCCATTCAAGAGTCTTCCGGTCAACAATAAATATCTCGCCAGTCCCCCTACACAATAAGTCTGCTCACCATTCACGTCCTCTGTCTTTCGTTTCCACAATGTCTTCCGTCGCTCTTCTTGCCCTTGTGGGAACTGTGGCCTCTGCAGCCAAAGTCTGTACCAATGTCACAGTTCCAGTATACATCAACGCAAGACAAGCCGTCTTTGACGTTCCTACCTTCACATCGAATCTTGATGCCACCAAGTTCGCCCTCGATTTCACCAACATTGGCATGAACTATACCGATGTTGTCACTACCGGGTTCCAGACAGTGACCGGACACTACAATATCAGTGCCAAGTACTGCAAGCCTCAAGGCGACAAGAAAACCAACCCTGTCGTTCAGGTTTTGACTCACGGTATTGGTTTCGACAAGAGCTACTGGGATTTGTCTTACGACAACTACGCCTACTCTTATATTGATGTTGCAGTTGCCGCTGGTTACCACACTGTCTCCATTGACAGATTCGGCATTGGCAACTCATCCCACGCCGACCCTCTCAACATTGTTCAGGCTCCTGCTGAGGTTTCTGCTCTGCATGAGATCACCTTAATGCTTCGCAATGGTACCTTCCCTTCGGTTCAGCAGAAGTTTGGCAAGGTCGTTCATGGTGAGTAACGCGGAGCATGTCTCATCCCTTATGGTGAAACTGACCAATTCCAGTCGGCCACAGCTTCGGATCGCTCCAAAGTTATCTCTTGACAGCCCTTTACCCTGGCTCCTCCGATGGTGTTGCGCTTACTGGCTTTTCCATGAACGGTACCTGGCTCGCCCAGACTCTTGCTGACTGGAACCTGCACCTTGCCCGTCTCAATCAGCCTCTTCGTTTCGGTAACCAGACTGTTTCTCGCAGCAAGACCAATACTTCTTGGCTCAGTCAGAACATCCTCTCAATCCTGCAGTCTGCTCTTGGTGCTGTTGGTATAAACCTCTCGACTGATGAGCTTTGGCAAGACATCGCCACTACCGAAGTTGGAGACATCATCAACGGCTGGAATGCTACTGTGGCACCTGTCGCGCAAAATCTGCCCACTGGATACCTGACATGGAGCGATTTCACGGCCAACATATTCGCATTCCTATACCCTGGACACTTCGATGTTGGCGCTGGCCTCTACGGTGAGAGCACAAAACAGCCTGTCACTCTTGGAGAAATCTTCACTCTCGGTAACGGAGCCCCTGCAACCTCTCCTTTGACAGGTCCTGCTCTCGTCCTCACCGGTCGTCAAGACACCATCTACTGCGGCGGTGACTGTCTCGCAACTGGTGGTGCTGCAGCTAGCATTCCTGCAGGAGTTGGTAAAGCATTCCCTCATGCCAGCAAGTTCGAGGCCTACATCCACCCTAACACTGGTCATGGAATCAACTTTCACTACAACGGTAAGTCGTCTCATATGCACGAACGTTGAATATCGTGGGGGCGACAAAATGCTAACGTCTTTGTGAAACAGCTACCGGCGCATACCAAGTAGTTCAGAACTTCTTCGCCTCCAACGGCCTCCAGAGCTCATAGAAGCAGAGATATCACTCCTCGCTGTCGCTCAATAGCTCTTCAGATCCTGACTGAATTAATTTGTCATAAAGCATGACCCGGCAAGTCCAGTCAAGCATATTTAATGTATCATGCATAGACACTTTTTCTTCCGAACAACCACTTTCCAACCCACCTCCCTATATTATCGTGCATCTAAACTATCGAAAAAATACCGTACGTGCGTATCGTGTCGTATGGGGAAAAGGGTTGCGGTTATGTCAATATATTCCAGCCTCGTGGCACAAAGAGCAATGCAAACATCATGCATGGCGGCTGTCGGTCAGGCACCCGACTCGAGCTGTCTTGTTTCTTCTTCCCTTGCTTCCTATGATCTGAACATCACCTCATCTGACTGCAAGAAGTTCTGCAAGGAGAGACTTGCATGCAAAACATTCATGTCGTGTCTCGCAAGCTTTTCGCAAATTCTCCCGCAAGGACGACTTTGGTGAAGTTTGAAGAGACATCTTCTCGTGAATGTTCCCGCATGGTGGTCATGGCTAAGCTCAGAGACGGGAGTTGATGTTCGCTCGCCAAATTAATATATCTAGGGCTGTTGGGTGAAGGAAGCACGTACGCCTTTTGGCTGGACTGGCTGGCACGGGGCATGTGCGCCATTTGCCGTCTCCCGGGCAGGGCCGTTCGTGCCGCCCGAGGGCCGCTCACTTTGCCTTTGTTGCCGAGCCGTTCGAGACTGAGACATCGCGAGGACAGTGACTCCGGTTGTGAGTGCTGTTTTGTCTGATTTATTGTATGATTTTGCCAGTCCTCGATGCAGAATCTGTGACTCGTCTCATACAGCTAAACTCATACATTGCAAACTAAGCCCTTGATGAATTGTTAACAGAAATCACCGAATCTTATGTTGTTCGTTCTCATCCACTCTATACGACTTCGGTTAGCAAAATACAACTACTGCAGTAAGGTGGAGTATGAACTTTCCCTTCCAAGATCTGCAGGAAGAGGACAGAATTCGGCCCTTGCATATTCGTGACTCTTCGCGTGTGTTATATTGCTTTTATGCAGCTACGCCTCTCCTGCCTCATACTTGTTCGCAACAAGTCGGCTGGATTGAGAAGAACAGGGCAGGTCAAAAGTCTTGGTCCGCTGGACATTGGGGGAGAGCTTTATTTCCGTGGTGGACATGGCTGTTCTGAAGTCATTTTGTAAGTCTGACTTGCGACGTGTTATGCTCTGTTTCTAGTGTGCATGCAGTTTGGCACCTATGTTATGCCGATCGAGAAATTAGGAGGGATTTCAGGTGGTTGATCTGAACAAGTCCATGTATCACCCTGACCATTTTGTATATCACGCGATCTGGGACTTTTGAGTTTGAATACCGGATTCCTGGCTGCCACCAGCTTGTACATTCCCGATTAAGGTCTTGACTGTATATTTCCGAGTGGTACGGGTTTTACATCGCACATTGACTCGTCCAAGTCCAAGTGCGCGAGGAACAAAGTCCATAACATAGAATTGTCTTCAACATGGTAGTAGTATCCATCAGATCACCACAAGACTCAACGTCGTTCTGGATGAATATCTGAATCATAATCTAATAGTATTTCTGAGCATATATCATGATACTTGGCCGCGTAAGAGTGATTACACTGCTCCAGACAATGGTTGAGGGTATCACCCTGATCACTTCCTTCGAGATACGTCATAATTCAAAAAATGGCCATACGTCAAGGAACCTGCACATGTCCTGATGATGGACGACTAGACGCATCAGAGAGCACTCTGTGCCTTTAGAAACGCGGGAGATCAAGGAGATATGCACACATGCGACAGAACCAACCACTGGAGCTAGGAGTGGAAGATATCCTCAATCGAGCGTGCCTGCCCAAACAGGCGGGACCAAAATTGCTCTTTACTTCTGTGAGACATGCATTTAGAAGAAGGTACCTGAACAGCCGAGTGACCATGTTGACGACAGCGCTTAAATTCTGACGGGCGTCCGAGTCGTGCATGCATGTGTGGACTCGGTAGTTGTACTGCTATAACAGCTTCGAGTGCGCAAGGCTCACTCATCGTCATCAAGTCTGACATCACCACATCCATCTCCATTCGCAGCCCTCTTATCGTTGCAGTAGATATGCGCCCACCAAGAGTAGGCGCCTGTGAAGAACCCTCCACCAACAGTGTTCCCCAACGTGACGGGAAGCAGACATTTCCAGATAAACATACCGATAGTCATGGGAGAGCCAAGAAACATGGCCTTGAGTCCAAGATACATATACTCGACCGTATGCGGACATTTTGCGGCCGTGGATATGAAGAAAGGTAGATGCAGGGCCAGAGACTTACTAATGCCATCTTGGTTCTGATTGAATAGGCTTGCCTCTTTTCTCCAGAGCTGTCGTTACGAACCTTGAACAGAGCCAGATCGCGCTCACTACGGCGACAGTGCATGACTTACCACATAGGGTAGCCCGTGTACAACTCGGCCCCTACAAGGTAGACCATAGCGAGACCAATGGGAAATGTGGGTCCTTGCAACATACGAGGTAGACCTGGACTCATGTTCTGACAGTCCCGGAGTACCGGTAGTTATAGTCAGTGACAAGGGTCCACCAGCCGACACCAATAAAGCGCCGTAGACTTTCTTGAGGAAGGTCAATGGAAAGTCTTCCTCCAGATGGTGTACGCCAGTCTCAAGTGTCTCCTCAGCGGCCTGTTGTGGTGACAAAGCTCCAGTAGACATGATGCTCCGACACGGTGATTCAAATAGTGTTCAATAGTGCGTGTTCTGAGTAAGCTGTATCGACCAAAAGTCGAGTGAAGGTGTCATGGTGAGGTTTGAACCTGATATAATGACCCTGATGATCTTATCTGATCCAACCTCCTCTTCGCAACGGGGTCGGACTATCCTCAGGCCATTTACACACCGCTAGACGCGTTCAGGGCCCGTATGAAGGGATGCGTCGCGTCTCAGGCTGATCAAGGTGGAGATTGACGTGTTGGTTTCAACAGCGAGTCAATACAAACTTACTGAAGCCCGCTTTCGAGCTCTTTGCTGTGTGCAGCAATATGGCCGACGAAGGCGAGATCTGTAAGCATGGATTTCTAAGAATGCCTCAACTTGGGAGAAAGATGTCGGATCTCGTAAGCAACTCATGAGATTGGTGAACATCAAGGTGACAAAGCAAGCATCAATCTGGATCGAAACAGGAAATTGTCACCCCGCAAAAGCGACACACCAGGGTCACTTCGGGCGGGCTCGGGCACTCTAATCGGCTCCTCCAAACATGCCGACCACAACTTCCGCTCTACAACCAATAGAAAACACATCCAATGCCAAGTTGAAATAGCTCCTTATGAAACCTGCCGAAGCAGCACTCCGGAACTTTGAAAAGCACCGGAAGCAACTTGCGGGAGGTATATACATGTATCACGGAGAACAATTTCCTTTTGCTCGGCAGGTGGGAGGGGAGAGAGACACCTGAGATGGCGTGACCTTTTGTCACTTTGGCGGAATTGCTCCACATTGTCATGCCAAAACGTGAGTGGGGCACGCGGTTGCGCATAATGGTATGATTTAGGCGGTCTTTGCGCCATAAGGCAGCACTGCATGTGAGTCGTTTTTAGGTTCATCAAGGTGGGCTGTGGTAGGTATAAAGGGAGGAGCTCCTCCTGGGTCTGAGGTTCGAGGGTATTTTCAGCATTTAAGAAGGATTCATCACCAACATTGTCTTGTCGCGTAAATCTGTTTATAACGCCGATTGATCGTACACAATCATCATACACTATCTGACTTGTGAGTGTTGGCTTTGCAAGTTGCTTCGAATGATTTCTCTAACAACACATGCAGACTACATTCATCATACGCACATTCACCACCATGACGTCCCCATCAGCAGCACTCATGCAGAGCATCCGCTCGGGCACCACTCACTTCAACGCCATGAGTCCCAAGGATCGCGTCAAGCTTGTCGGAATCATGGGATACTGCACACTCGCCTTTAGCGCACCCTTTGCCGGAGCTGCAGAGGCAAGTAGACGTACACGCGATGATACCACATACGCAAAGATGTGAGTACTTGATCACGGCATGCGTTAGTGTGTCACCATACTTACAGTATCATAGGCGACCTCTCAGCTACAGAGATTGCCTCGCCAATGGCTCTCGCCTCGAAGATTACGCCGGTCTTGCTCGTAGATCTTGAAGTTGCACATCTGATGACGATCGGTTCCGAAGGACAAGGCGTTTGGAAAACAGTCAGGCGTGGCTCTGCATGGTACGGGGCGTTTAAGCATATGGATCCTGACACAAGGACATTGATTTTGAGAGCGGAGAATGATCGGGTTGTTGTGTTTTTATGATATCCAGGAACAGGAAATGCAAGCTGCAACGGAGCGGCGGTATTTGCTCAGGCGCAGCAGATAGACGGAAAATACCCAAATGAACTCCATGACAATGCTTTATAATACAACTCTTGCTTTAGGATATGCTCTTCAGCTGAAGCGATCGCCCTTCTTACTCCTGTACGGTGCCGAGCTCTCGAACGGACTGTGACCACCACTCTCAGGAGCGTGACCTGAGGCAGGTGACATGTCTTCGGTGGCCTCCTTGCTCGGGTTTGCGTGTGCGTCTTGCTTCTGGGGAGGGATGGGGTAGCGGTTCTGGAGTTCGCGCATCTGCATGCGTCTCTTGTTGTCTGCTTCGGCGCGCTCGGCACGGTCCTTGTTGATGCTCTTCTTGGCGAAGTAGTAAGCGCCGCCGCCTGCGACAATGAGGACGCCCCAACCGTAGCTGTGATGGCGAGTGAAGTTAGAAGGTGTGTGATGCGACACGAAGATTTGGATTGCAAGCGTACCCGACAGATCTGACCTGTGGGGCAAGTTAGTCGTCTGGATGGCGCAATGTGGTCTTCCTTTGAGCTTACAGTGTTCATGTTTGATGTGTGGTGAGTGAATTGGTAATTGCAAGAAAAGTGGATGGTTTACAACAACAGGATGCCTAGGAGTAGAAGAATCGGGCAAAGTCGTGGCAGTCAAATGGTTGCATCACCTGAGATTCGAAGTAGAAGGCAGCCCCAACCGCTCCTTCCTTGTCAAACAGCAACCCTAGCCGATTATCTTCTCGATACATTTGATTACGACACAGGAACGTCTCCTAAAGTGAACAGATGTAACAGACTGCCGAGTACTCTTGTCACATGCCGGCGCATGCTGTTACTGCCTTGATCGAAGGCCGGTGTTAGCGGAAACAAGCTCCTTCCATTTCCATGACCGAAGCTTCTCCGCCTCTTGAACAATTCCGTCATCCGTCATCCGTCATTCTACCAAACACAAATCAACTCTATCAAGGCAGACACTCGTTCAACAAACCATCGATCCGCCTTCCACATCCTCGCCATGCCGCCCAAACGCAAGGCCGCCGCTGCCACTGGCTCAAGGCCGCCAAAGAGGGTGGCGTCCGGCGTGAACACCCCAGTGAGCATGGGCAGTAGTGACGATGAATACATGTCCGACGACGCAGACAACGACGTCCACGAGCACGACTACGACGACGTCGTCAAGAAGTTTCAGGCTTCCTCCTACCGCAGCAAGGATACAAAACCACAAGAATCAGATCAAGCCAGTCGTCTCTTCCGCAACGACCGCGACCTATCCGGCCTAGAGTTGAAACCTGATCACGCAGTACGCCCGCTATGGCTCGATCCCGAGAAGGGCAGAATTGTCGTCGAAACCTTCTCTCCTTCATTCAAACAGGCTCAGAACTTCCTGATCAACATCGCCGAGCCCCAGTCGCGAACGACGAACGTCCACGAATATACCATCACCGCCCACAGTCTTTTCGCCGCCGTCTCGGTCGGACTCACAACAGATGACATCATTCGTCAACTCGAGGTCTTCTCAAAAACAAAACTGCCCGATGGCTTGAAGGACTTCATCTACAGCGCAACTCAATCGTTCGGAAAAGTACGCTTGGTCTTGAAGCACAACAGATACTACATCGAAAGTCAGGATGCCTCGGTACTACAAATGCTTTTGCGCGACCCTGTTATTGGTCCGGCCAGAATTCACGAGACAGACGAGTTGATTCAAGAGAAGGCTCCTCAGATGGGCGGTTTGGTCATTCCGGGAACAAAAGACGCTGCCGGCGTCAAGCAAGCTGAGGCTGCAGCAGCTCGCAAGAAGGCAGCAAGAGACGATGATGATGACGACGAGGACGAAGATGACAAGAAGGACGGCGCAGAGCAAGACATGACGGCGTATCTACGTGACGAGGATGACGATGATGATGAGACTGATCAGGTTCATTCGTTCCAGATTGATGGCGAAAAGATCCAGGCCGTGCAAGAACAGTGTAACGTCAAGCTCCAACTGCCTCTGACAGAAGAGTACGACTTCCGAAATGACGAGATTAACGCAAATCTGGACATCGATCTACGGCCCATGGCTCAGATTCGATACTACCAAGAACACGCTCTTAGTAAGATGTTTGGTAATGGTCGTGCCAGAAGTGGAATCATCGTCCTGCCCTGTGGTGCTGGTAAAACTCTAGTCGGCATCACTGCTGCCTGTACTGTCAAGAAGTCTGCCATCGTCCTGTGCACTTCTGCCATGAGTGCTTACCAATGGAAGAACGAGTTTCTGAAATGGTCAAACATCAACCCCGATGATATTGCGATTTTCACATCTGGAGAGAAGGAGAAGTTGAATCAGAGAGCGGGTATCATCGTTTGCACATACAGTATGGTCACTCAAAACACAAGAAGAGCCCACGACAGTCAGCAAGTCATGGACTTCATCACAAACAGAGAATGGGGATTGATGGTCTTGGACGAAGTCCACGTCGTGCCGGCAGAAATGTTCCGACGTGTCACTTCCAAGATCAAGACTCATTCCAAGCTAGGACTGACAGCCACCCTTCTACGTGAGGACGACAAAATCAAGGATTTGAACTTCCTCATCGGACCGAAGTTGTACGAAGCAAACTGGCTGCAATTGTCAGAAGAAGGCCACATCGCTCGCGTGCAATGCGCCGAAGTCTGGTGTCCCATGACAACAGAGTTCTACGGTGAATATCTGAAAGCGCGGACGACCAACAAGCGCTCTCTCCTATCGACCATGAACCCCAGGAAGTTCCAGGCTTGTCAATTTTTGATCAACTACCACGAAAACAGAGGCGACAAGATCATCGTCTTCTCTGATAACGTATACGCTCTTGAGAAATACGCGAAACGACTGAAGAAGCCTTACATTTACGGCGACACACCACAACGAGAACGTGAGATGGTGTTGCAAAACTTCCAACAGAACGAGTCTGTGAAGACCATCTTCCTGTCAAAGATTGGCGATACCAGTCTGGATCTGCCTGAAGCCACTTGCTTGATTCAAGTCTCCAGTCATTATGGATCCCGCAGACAGGAAGCACAGCGACTAGGTATGTTCTCACGATTTTCATCCTCTTACACTCGCAATCATGCTAACAACTCCCAGGTCGTATTCTTCGAGCAAAGCGCAGAAACGACGAGGGTTTCAATGCCTTCTTCTACTCCCTCGTGTCGAAAGATACAAACGAGATGTACTACTCGTCAAAGCGCCAAGCTTTCTTGGTAGACCAAGGCTACTCCTTCAAAGTCATCACCCACTTGACAGGTATCGACGAAGTCGAAGGCCTCCACTTCCGCGACACTTCCTCGCGTATGGAGCTACTCGAGGACGTCCTCATGGCTGGTGAAGAGAGTGGCAGCGTCGAGAACATTCAAGACGATCTGTTCAGCGGGAGACAAATGCACAAGGGTCCGAAGGGCAAGCCAGGTGTTCGTCGCACGGCTGGTGCTCTCTCAGAATACGCTGGTGGCAAGGATATGGCGTATATCGAGTACAACAAGAGCAGAAACAAGGAGCTCAAGAAGAACAAGCCGACGAGTAAGTTCTTCAAGGATATCCAGAGGACGAACGAGAAGAGAAAGGCGGCTGCAAAGGCGGATCAGTGAGCAGTACTTTCTTTTGAGACTTCTTACCAGTCACTCAACTTTCTGTTCTTTCATGATTACGATGGAGTCCTGGGTTTTCAGCATACGCGATTAATTCTATCGTTCTTCTATCAAGAACATTGTCGGTTTGCCATTGTTCTCCATGAACAAGATGTGCTCCCAGCTGAATACATGTGCTTCGTACCAATGATCATTGCGGCTGTTCTTACATCCTGATGCTCTGCTTCGCACGAATTGGTTACAATGGTGAGCGTACACCGGCTGCCGGCTGTCGTATATAGAAAAGATGAGCGATCTGAATAGGCATTGACTCCGAATCGCGCCGTTTCTTCCTAGTGCGTTGAACGATAGGTTCTTGCCTCGATGACTGAATCGGACACATTAACAAAAATCATGTTCAGGCGGTGCGTAGTGACACAAGCACATGCAAAGCCGTCGAGGCGTCACGCTTCGAAATGCCACTTTTCGGTCAGTATGCATCGCCCTTTACAGACGAGCGCGGGGGATCTGACGACCTCAAGATACGGCCGAATGAGAATAGCAGCGAGATCACTGCCACTGAGCCTCGATTTGCTAACGTTGAAGCAACAATCTTTTTTTTTGATGCAGCTCGCAGTGTGCAGAGCCCCGAAACTGATGCTGCAGGAGCGCTGGGCAACCGTTCCATCAACGTCCCCAGACTCTGACAATCAAACTTTTCGTATGACCCCTTGCCTCGAGTCGTGCAATTTCAACCCACATTAACAAGAAACGGTCAAACAACAGTATGATGACGAGAAAGCAATCACTGGTCAACGTGCTACAAGCTGGTCGGCTCTTAGGCCTCATGTGTCCTCATGTGCTTTCATCTTTTGTTTGGCACTTTTCACCGAGCACACTTTTCGCCTATCCATCTCCGAGATCCGGAACCATGATCATTAATGGTCTGGATGCTATATAATGACGACATCATCCATACTGACACGACTTGGGGAAGTGGAAGCAGAGGAGCAATATGCACAAACAGCATTATCTTCCGCTCGTAAAGACCGAATCTCAGGACAGCCAAGAAGACAGACAGTTTTCATACACAATCCACCAGACGTTAGTCGTCCTATAACAGTGTACGACAAGGTCAACAAATGGCTCGATCGACCGGCACAAACTGCACCAGGCTCTCCATTGCTGGACTTCTTCTTGAAACACCAGCGTCACCATGTCATACTTGACAACATTTACCAGCGATTGGACATTGAAGATGTTCTTGCTGTGAGCCGAACTTGTAAAGCCCTGTCTTCATTTTACAACAACATGCTGCCTTTTCACTGGAACATCAACAGGAGACTCGCACGATTTGTGAACGATCCAAAAGAGTTCAGATCAAAGCTTGGGCAGGCAGATGCCCTAATTTCTGGTACCTTCGCACTGTTGTTTTTTGCACAACTTTATTGGCTCGATTCTGGATTGGATATCTATGTTCGTCAAGGACCCAAAGCCGACGCCCTGATCGAGTATATCGCCAGCAACAAGAGCTACGAACTTGACTTTAGCTATGGTTGGGCAGATGATGACCAGTACCGCACTCTCACTAAAGTAATGTTGACGCTTGTATCGCAAACACTCCCGTGACTAATATTGTGAAGGTTCTGATCTTCCAGCGAGTTGCGCCGCCAAAGTCGCCGCAGATCAGATTTCATCTCACCATCTCGTCACCGCTACACAGTATTCTGACCGATTGCGCCTGGTCCACGGCGCACGTCAACGTCATTGCTTGGAACAAGGCATACTGTGTTTTTCCTCATCTGACCTTCATCAACCGCAAAATGTACTTTCTCCAAGATCAAAATGAGTCTCTGACTCAGATACTGGAAGATTACTCAGCCAACGGATGGCAGACGTCGGACAGGATTGATCATGATCAACTCGAGGGATCCAAGAAGCCTGGTGTACGAGAGGGATCTAGAAGACTTAGTGACTCGTCGACATGGATCATACCCCTCAACCTGCACGAAATACGCGCACCCGAGACTCCGAACTCGGTGCTAGAGAGCTGCGTCTTCCAGATTTGTCCAGACCCGAGACCTCGAGAAACATCACATACTGGTTCAGAGTCGGAAAGACTGAAGAACTTCAGCATCAGCGCGCCAGTCTCCTCAATACCACAGCCACTAAGCATTTCTCAGAGCCAAGAACGAATACGGAGCTTGCAAGTCAAAGTTGGGTCGATACCACCGCCACCGATACCGCCACGAAGAGCTAGAGGCATGACGACAAGCAGGCTATCATCACGACCTACGTCACCGCTGGACTCTGTGTGTGAGGTATTGCCCCTTTCGATTAGATCTTCTACCACAGCGCCTAAAATACCCCCGCCCGCAATATCAAGCGATCGCAGGAACACATCGGAGGCTGTCTCGACCAAGTCCAGTAGCTTTTTAAGGCCAGGTAGACGTGTGGTATCAGATCAAGCTCATTCTTCTGTCCGGCACAAGCGCTCTGGAATGACAGTCATGTCCGGCGACATGGCCACTGTTGTCTCGGCGCTTCGATCGGGAGAGATTACCAGAACAGTAGCGACATCAACATCTACTCAGGCTGAAAATACAGCGGGCTCGTGGTCTCAGGAGGTTGAGCATCTCTCCCTGAAGATCAGACGACCAAAAGCTCGTATGCCTCCTCCTCTGATACTCTCTACTGCAATACCTGGACCACTGGTTCCCGATCTTCTAACGCCACCTCCTGATACTCCCTTACCGGCTATACCCAACAAAGACCGGCCGAAGGAAAAGCTTTGCGACGTGCACGAAGAAACGAACTGGATATGATTCTCGACATAACATCTTCTATTGTTCAAGTCCAGAATGCGACTGCTAGCCCATTGTGACGACACGGAGCTGCTCGTTTAGACAATTCACTTCCACCTTCAGGCGTTTCCTGCGACTGAAGAATTAGCAGGATGAATCAAAGGCCAACCTACACGACATGTCGACGCAAATTGCGACACGTCAAAGAGCAAGATAAGCCCATCGTCAGCCTACGCGATACTTCGATGCAGATAAGGATTGCGAGATATCGAAAGCAAGATCATTTCCCTCTACAAGTCCCAGCATCCAAAGCTGCCAGAAACTCATTGAGAAAAACTCAGGTGGGAAACACGTTCCCTGCTCAAACATAAAAGCTTTGGCAATATCAAGTCTCTGTACCGATTAGCAAGATCAGGTCATGTAAAGTGTAAGGCAAAGCCCAGCCCAAGCCGCTATTTGGTACACCCGTCTTGCACCTCCCTAGCCCTGCCGTCCCGTTCTATAGTTTTTGATCTCCGAGGAGAAAAGACAGCTGTGGGTATCAACAGGAACTTGGAACATCCATTCTTTGTGCTACGCGATCCTCTCTCAGACCTCCGGGGGTGAGCTGCTTATGTTGAATGAGATCCCCGATTCCCCGGTGCTACTTTGTCATGCAAAAAACCTCTCTGCCAAAAACTTCACAAGGGAAAAAAGCAGAGAGGTAATTGCAGAGGAAAGCAAGAGTGTGTGTCTTATTAGGCGTACCGTCGGTAGACCCCGGACTTGATGCCCACGAGGCTTGGGTGGGGCGCGCAGAAAGCAATGGAGGAATGGGAAAGGAAGGGCAGAGGATGAGGGACGTACAGTGGGGAAGTTTTTGACATGAATTGGCGACAGCTTGTCAGGCTGGGGATGGAAGCAGGAAGGAGAGAGGAAGAGGAGAAGGAGAGGGACTTTATAGGTAGCTCAGCTGACATGAGAAACGAATGCCTCCGATGCCACGCGAGGGCCAAGGTTCTTGTGAGGGAGTTAGCTCTCCCGTGACGATAAAACATATCATGGAGAAGATTGTGCATAAACGCATGAGCTATTATACACATCTTATAGCGAAGAGATGAATTCTTTTTGATCACTATTATGTTTCCGCGAGTCTCAGGGGTAACGGTATAGCCGTTGGAAACACAGCAACATAGGAAAGCGTCACACTCGTTTCTTCGGCGCTTCGTCCGAGCCACGTGGTGGTTCTTCTACGGCTTTCTCTCTCGCGTCATAGTACGTAAAGTCGAGCAAGATGCCACGACTGCTGGGAGAGATCGGATCAGAAGGCGTTGACTGTGATACAGCTGGAGTACTGTTAGAAGCAGACTTGCAGTTCATTCGATTTTGGGGAAAGTGACTGACTCATAAAATCTAGAGATCTGTTACTTGACACAGGTCGTCTCATCTTGATCTACCACCACGTGCCTTCATCTTCCTCAAAATCAAAGCTTCCTTGCTCTATACTTTCAACCTTTCTTCTTCGACGTGCGACAATCTTCTCAGCATCAAAGTTCTCGAAGCATTCAATCTCATCATCAGTGTCATCGTCAGTCAAAGAAGTGTCGTGGTTCATAACAAAATTTCGGCGGATGTGCCAATAGCTCTTGCCTTGGAACACGAGAGCTCTTGGTCCAAACACATCAAGCAGTCCCTTGTCCACAAGCTTCATCTGTTCCTCATACTTTGCTGCATGATGGATCTCTTGACTGACATGAGCAGATTTGCCAGGCGAAGCGTTCCACAACTTCAGAATGAGGTCGGTCATGTAGTTCAGACCTAGCTCGTGGGGGTTGGTTTCCAAAGATTGAAGATCTACAAAGGTTTGCCTCGCTTGCGGCGTCTTCTCAAGCATCCTCTGGAAATACAGCTCACAGTGTTCGAATGGTAGCGCAATACCATGCCAGGACGGGCGATCGAGCTGATTATAAATGTCGATGAACAATGTCAAGCTCCTCAGCCCCGGAAACAAGTCTCGCATATCTTGCCAATTAGGATGCTTTCCATTTGTGGGCGGCAAAGGTAGCCATAGCTCAAGCGTCCTGATCAGATTGCGACCTCTCAAAGGCATGTTGTGGATCCATCTGTCGTTCTGAGGATATTCGAGATGAGATTTTACATCTCCAGATTCTGTAAGGGCATCATCTGGACTTGTGCTGAGTGGAGCAACACAGAATCTGTTGACACGGTAGAGCACAGGCATCGCTTCTTGATAGATTTGCCGACAAGTGAACAGAATGTTGATCTTGACTTTTGCGGGCGTTGCTCTACTGTGGAGTGGGAGGACTTTGCCAAAAGTTCGGACAAACCTACGCGGTGCCTCAAGCTGGAGTTCGTAGAATCGTTGACGCACTGTCTCCGGCAGGTCGAGAAAGGGGAATGGCTTGTCGGTGTTTGTGCAAATCGCGTCCGAGTGTGTCTCAGGGACCTGTGTCTTCCGCTGTAAGCGTCTAGTGCTGGGTGGCATAATGTCGGAGTGGCTCTTGTGTTCTCTGGTGGGTGAGCTGTCGATTAGTGTGTAGGTGCAAGAGGTGCAGCTGAAGTAGATGCTGATGGAGGATCTCAAATCTAAGTTAGGCAGCAACAAACAGGCGCGATACCTGCGGCCATCCGCTAAACGATATGCCCCTGGCCTCAGGCTGCCACATTCTAATGGCATCTGCCCGTTTCCCTAGATCTGGAGCGATCGCACCCATACATATTTTGGACAACACCTTGCGTTAGGCGTGTCGATATGAGATGCGAATATGCATTGCCACAGCTCGTAGCAAGCGGCATTGACCACATGTGGAGGTCTCTTACAGAACAGTATGGCAACAAACATTCCACGGCTTGATGAGCAACGCAATGCCTGTGGGCAATGCCAAATTCGCGACTGACCGTGTTCCTCGAGGCTACTACTGAAGTCAAGTAAAGCGACTGAATTCAGGATAGCCTACTCGGAGTTGTGAGGTGATCTTGAGCGATCAGCGCCCCGAGCCGGATTGTCGTGGCAACAGCCGAGTTGTTGACTTTCGGGGGACTTTCTTGCGGAGGAAGGCACAAGCTTGGACTGCTCGACAGATGTTCACCCACAATCGACTCCGTTTCCAGTCAACGGTCGTTGAACTTTTGATATTACTTCAACAGCGGTTAGACGAAGGAGACATCAATATGGATATTCCTCACACAGTATCGGAATCCGATATTTCGTACATATCAACAGCGTCGGCTCCATCTCTACGCGCCAGAGATTCGACAGCGAGCATGCCTACTCCGCGACCTTCTTATCTGGCAGGCGAAGAAGGACAAGGCAATGTCAAGGTTGTTGTCAGAGTGCGCAAGTTCTTGCCTCGAGGTATGCGCAAAATATGTCTTCCGGGGTGAGAAAGCGACTAAGAAGTCCAAATAGAACTCGAAAAGCAAGCGCCATGTCTAATCGAGATGGACCCCAACACGCAAAAGACGACAATCCATCCTCCTCCGGCAGCAAGTCTGAACGCAAACACTCGCAAGGTCTATGAAGAGAAGAGCTTTGTATTTGACAAGTCCTTCTATTCCCACGACGAGTCGATGCCGCACTTCGCACACCAGCAAGATGTCTACGCCTCGTTCGGTGAGGACTTTCTGGACCACAACTTCGATGGTTACCACACTTGTATCTTTGCATACGGTCAAACTGGCTCTGGCAAATCATACACCATGATGGGCACCAAGGAGCAACCCGGCCTAATCCCCCGAACGTGCGAGAATCTCTTCCAGCGCATTGAGCAAGAGCAGAACGGCAACATAACATACAACGTCCATGTATCCTACTTTGAGATCTACAACGAACACGTCCGCGACCTTCTCGCTCCTAGGACCACTCCGCCTACACATTTGAAGATCAGAGAGAGCAAATCAGACGGTGTCTACGTCCAGAATCTGATTGACAGCCCCGTCAAGTCATTCGGCGATATCCAGAGGCTCATGCATATGGGTGACTTGAACCGAACAGTCGCCGCGACCAAGATGAACGACACTTCTTCGCGCTCACACGCTGTCTTTACCCTCACACTAAAGCAGATCCAACACGACATTGCCACTGACAGCACTATCGAACGCACAGCCCGCATGCGTCTTGTCGATCTGGCAGGTTCTGAACGAGCAAACAGAACAGAGGCTACCGGTGCACGTCTCCGCGAGGGAGCAAACATCAACCAATCTCTCACCACCCTTGGCCGTGTCATTGCCGCTCTCGCAGACCCCAAGCGTCAGCGTCCGAATGCCCGCCCAAACCAGACCAAGCGTCGCGCAGATGTGGTCCCATACCGTGACTCGGTCCTTACCTGGCTACTGAAGGACAGTCTGGGCGGAAACTCGAAGACTGCCATGGTGGCCTGTATCTCGCCAGCTGACTACGAAGAAACTCTTTCCACACTTCGCTATGCCGATCAAGCCAAGCGTATCCGCACACGCGCCACTGTCAACCAAGATGCCGTGTCTGCTGCCGAGCGTGATGCTCAGATCAAGGAAATGGCAGAGACCATTCGTCTTCTCCAGCTCTCCGTCAATGCGTCAACTACCCGCAAGAGAGACGAGGTCGACCGTGCAGGCCAAGAGATGGAAGACTACCAACGCCAAGTCACAAAGATGCAGAGAGCAATGGAAGAATCTCGCGATGTTGCAGATGTCAAGATCCGTGCTTTGACCGCCGAGTTGGAAGAACTTCGACCCATCACTGACCGCTTGAGAAACGAAGTCTCTTCTCTACGCAGACATCTTGCTCTTGCTGTGGGCGAGCTCAAGAATCCTATCGTGCTACCTCCGGCTGAGACAGACATAGGTGCTGATGTTCACGAGATTGAAGTTTACAGTGATGAGGAAGAAGAGGAAGACGAGAGTAGTGATGACGAGGGATACTCGTCTCAGCATGCAGAGTGGCAGGCTGATATTGATGACTTGATGAAAGACTTGGGCATGTTTAAGAGGAAGGTCGCTGATGATCGTAGCCGTTTCACCGTGCCTGTGGCTTGAACGTGAGATCTCGTCTCACATGTGGTGGTGGCTAACGAGGAATGATTTGGGTTTTATGTTTCTTGTCGTTTGTACCTTTCAGCGAAGGAGCGAGGAGTTTTTCTTTTGTCGACCTTGCTTTGGTTTGTAATGATGGAGGAGTTGGCCATAGGAGACAGAGCAGCTCTTTGGCAGCAGTATATTTCACGTCCGTAATGATTAGCAATTCTTTCTGTCCTTGTTCCACAACAACTGCGCGATCGATAGTCGTTCAAATGATGCACGTATTCAATACTTCTTTATGCCGAAAGCGCATCAACGGACTTGAAGATCAGAATCAGAATCCTAGTCTTCGTCATCATCTTCAATCCTAGCTCTCTTGCTTCCCCTCTCTTCCTCCTCTCCACCCTCATTCAACCCATATCTCTTGACTCCCTGCCCACTCACACTGGCACTTCCCTGTACTTCCTTGTTGCCACCCTTTTGCGCATCCTTGATCATCTGATCAACACCAAAAGGATCCCCATTATCACGTTCAAAGACCACAGGACCTTCCCTCTGCTCAGCAGCCCTAGCACTCTTCATACCCTCCTTTGGCGCCCTCCCCAAAGTTTCAAAACGTGATGTTTTCTGAATACTCTCCAACGTCTCACCCCCATCCTCTCCATCGTCTTGATCCAATTGCGGACGATAGATACTATTCAAAGCCTCTCGATCGGCAAAAAGTGGTTTATCATATGCTTGATCTTCATTGAAGCCCGCTGATGCAAAACCCGAGCTTTGGTTAAACAGACGAGAATCATACATTGTTTCTTTACTCTGTGTAGGTTTTGCGAGGCCCAGGGCTACCTTTTCGGATATGTCGCGGTTTTGGTTGCGGGCGAGGGTTTGCATGCGGCGTTCGTGGCCCATGTTCTTTTGACGCATTTCTCGTTGTGCGTCGGCGCGGCGGGCGGCGCGGAGTTTTTCGCGTTCGGCGCGTGAGTGGTCTTCGGAGGCGGCGGAGCCTGAGCGAGAGCGGGAGGAGTAGCTGGATATGCTGCGGCTGCGGCTGCGGCTTCGGCTGCGGGATGCTTCTCTTGCTCTTGCTGCACCTCCTCTGGCGGTGGAAGCTTTTTCCTCGCGGGCCTTTTGGGCGAGAAGGCGGAGGTTTTCTTCTTTTTGTTCCTTTTCCTTTTCGGCGAGGCGCTGTTGCATTAGTGCTCTTGACTTTACTTCTTCGCGGGCATGGCGGTCGGCTGTCTGTAGGGCTTCTGCGAACGAAGCGAATTTGTCATTGATGGTTACATCTTGCAAGCCACGGCCATCTGCTGCCAATCTCTTGTCCAGAGGCACAGTGTAACCTTTGGGGTTCTTCCAGTTGGACACGGTAGGGGGGATTCTCCAGGCTTCTTGGTCTTCGGCGGTGAGCTTGCGGGGAGGGGAGTGCATGACTGGTGGAGGAGGCGATGGGGGACGGCCGGGAATCTTCTTTGCCTTGAACTTTGGAGGTTCCATGGGGTCGATTTGGCGGGACATGATTTTCATGATGCGATCGCCCTTTTTGGAGTGGTCGTTGCCCATCTGGTTGGCGGGTGTGTAGCGGACGTATGAGGCTTCTCTCTTCTCGACTCCCTTGACATTCTTGGGACGTTGGGCAGCGCTTGCGCCGGCGACCAGAGTAGCGAGTGCCAGTTCTGTCTTTCGCTTTGTTTCTGCGACCGTCTCCTCATCAGGACGGGCAAGTGAGATCTCGCCAGCATTCGCCTGGTGTCTGAGAGGAATAAGATCCTTGAACGAGGCGTGCACAATTCTATTCTCGGCGTGGCCGCGTTTCGCGATGGCAGTATAATCGACCTGACCCTCGGCATTGACACTCAAAGTCAGAGCATTTGACGAAGACGCGTGCTTTCTACCCATGTCTAGAGGGTATTGCGCTACCGAGACTTCAGGGTAGGCACCTCCATCTCCAAAGTCTTCATTGCCTCGAGGTCTCCAGTTGTTGCGCGAGCCGTAGGCAGGGATGCCGCTGCGCTTGGCGACTTGCAATTGCTGTGATGCTGCCTGATCTGCTCCGATGATTCGAGGGCCCACCGACTGCCTTTGCTCCTCCTCTTCTCCGGTGTATTTTGGCTTTGGCAGAGCTGCGAACATGATGGATGTTGTGATGATGTATATCAACGATGCGATCGAGTTTCGTGACGATGGTGAAAAGTGGCTGCGCGTAGATATGAGAGCCTCTGCGACACGCGACGAGAGTGTGACGGCGTGATTCCTGGACAATTCACTGGCCGGTATGGGAGAGTGAAGTCTATTGGCGTATGGTCTCGGGTCAAGACTGTTCAAGAGTCGGACAGGCGTAAGTGTTGTTGGTGAATGTCGAAAAGCAGAATGTCAAAGGATGCTTCTGGCAGACGTCAGATTCAACATGGCCTGTGCGTTTCCTATATCCTCGAGGCGCTGCTGAACATTACGACCATTGCGAGCAACTGAATCTTGCATAATACCTTTGATTCGTTCTTGTCATATGTTGGCTATATACACGTTTATATTTTGTACGTGTGACAATCGAAAACTTCGATCTTGATCATTGCTCACGTGTTAGTGTGCAGTTGAGATACCATCTTCAGGTTGATACAACAGTGAAAGGACAAGTCAAAGCAAACATATACAATCCGATGGAATCGGCCCTAGAAGACGAGTGTCAAGCAATCAACGCAATTTACTCGGAATCCACGCTGGCCGTGCTGTCTCAAGATCCCACAATCTGCTCCCTCGAACTTCCTGGCGAAGTAGGAATATCACTACGATTAGAATTCCCACAAGATTATCCAGATGCACCTCCTTCAATCCTCGGCACGCAGTCAGTGGGCGAGAACATTGCAAAAGGTCAAGGTACCCACGCCGTCGACCTTGCACGTTCTGTCCTCGCAGAAGTCTATCAACCAGGCTCCCCATGCATCTTCGACCTTGTGGAAGAAGTCAGTCAGAGACTTCAGCAGTACAACGAGGACGCCAGCCAAAATCAAGGGAATCAAGAGCAACAAGATGCTCAAAGGAGAGGTCAGCAACTCGAAGACGACGACAATGATCCAGATCCTGATGAGATGCAGTCGCTAGATCTGCTGGACAAGGAACCCCCCTGGATACTCTCAGATGTCTTTACAGAAAAGAAATCGGTGTTTGTTGCTAGAGCTGCTGCCGTGACTTCGCCAGGAGAGGCAAAGTCGTATTTGGCGTATCTACTTGCTACGGACAAAAAAGTTGCGAAGGCTTCGCATAACATTACTGCTTGGCGCATACATGGGCCAAATGATACGGCATTCCAGGATTGTGATGATGATGGGGAGACTGCTGCTGGTGGGAGGTTGTTACATCTCATGCAACTTATGGATATCTGGGATGTTATGGTTGTTGTTACGAGATGGTATGGCGGCGTGCATCTGGGGCCGGATCGTTTCAGGCTCATCAATACTACTGCTCGAGATGCGTTTGTGAAAGGAGGATATGTCCAAGAAACCGGCAAGGCAGAGAGCAGCAACAAGAAAAAAGGGAAGAAATGAAGACATAAGCTCACGAGAATAGTCGACTATCTTGCAGGCCATGTCAACCGACTTTGGAACCTTTGTGTTTTCGTATGCGTCTTGACACATGATTCGCAGCAAGGCACTAATTTGCGCTTTCTTACCTCGACCCCGTTCTCGAGGATGTTGGTGGGCAACTCAACACAGATGTGTTTCGCCAACGGGATCGCAATGAGTTCGCTATGTCGAGGATCATCTTTGAGGATTGAGAAGCAATAAAGAGGAGATATTCTCTCCTTGCTGTATAGGCCAGTAGTCCTGATTAAACTCTCGGAAGATGCCCATATGTCTCAACTCGGAGTGTCCTTGTGCCTTGTGTATACCATCAATTATCCCTGAAACTCCATTCCCATTCGCCACGCTTATGCAATGCTCTTGTAATGTCCAAAGTCAAGCCCGTTCAAAGACCCAATGACCTTCTGACATCCTGTCTGACCTTCTTCTCAAACTCGGCTCTTCTTTCTCTCCACATTCTCGCAGCGTCGACATTGGCAGGGGACTCGTCGTTGGGCTCTGCTAGCATGCTCATGACACTGATCAAGATCTTCTCCACACTCTGGATGGGGGACCAGCGTTCAGAGGCGTGTTCGTAGTGGTTTGGATCGTCGCCGGGAGGATGAAGGATGGATATGCAGACAACACCGTTGGGATAAACTGGATTGCGACAAGTCAGTAAGGAGTGTCGCATGCTACAGTATAGAGAAGCGGTGACTGGCCATTGGGGTGCCAGATGTCGCATAGAAACTTCATGGTCGGCGGCATGAGTGGGTAGTCCTTGGGAAATTTGAGCTCGGCGGGAAAGATGCCACCTTCGTACGGAGTGCCTTCAGGTCCTTCGATCAAGGCTTCCCAAACGAAGAGATCGTCTTCTTCGACTGGGCCAGCGGTGATGCCATCTGGTGGATCCTGGGTAAGGTGCTTGTATTCTTGAAACAGTCGCTTTGAAGCTACTGAGGTTGTCATGGCGTGCGATTATGTGGAGTGTCAGACGTCTTGGTAGGATTTATATGAGCGCAAAGTGTTGGATGCTTGTGATTGCCGAACACAAGGGTGCTTGGTTGGCGTGGACCGTCGAAGCCGATGGACGCCGCTACACTGACGACACGAATCCGATAGGGAACAGTCAGGCTTTTTCGCGAAGCACCATCTATCTTCCACAAGATATATGTCTTGGAGTTTTGTAGAATTATACAACGTGTTTCGTGTCTCGAATCCATTGACCAAATATGACATGCTTCTGCCCTCAACCGTAGCTCTGCATTGGATGACTTAAGCCTTACTGCCCCGAACTAATGAGAGCGAAGACGCTTCCGCTGCATAGCAATCCCGCGGCGTTCGTTGACCAAGCTCCTGCCATTCCCTTCTGCTGGCCACAACGATACCCTCGCTCTCCGATACAACGGCACAACGATTACCGTCAACATGGGTCCTACTATTCAATCAGGGACGACGCCAGATCGAGATACTCGAAAGCGCTTTCCCATGACAAATGGCCAGCGCAAGGACTTACGTGATCGCGCCAGGCTGACACCACATGTAAAACAGAAAGAACTATGTATCTGGTTTCGCCAAAAGTATGGACATACACCATCTCAAGGCACTGTATCTGATAGCTTATCCGCCAAATACGACTGGCTTGATGATCCCGAGGCAACCATCAACTATGAAGCTGTCAAATTGAGACCCTCGAACTGGCCTGATCTCGAGGAAGCCTTGATAACATGGTATCGTCAGAATGAGGGACAGATGAATATCAACTATACCGTACTCGGTCAACAGGCTGCTCGGCTGTGGCATGAGATGGAGCAGTACAAAGATCAGACTCCACCGCAATTCAGCAATGGCTGGCTTGATGGCTTCAAGAGACGACACAACCTTACTCGGCGTACCAATAGAAAGTCGCAGGGTGTTGCTCCACGTGTGCCGGCTGGTGTACGATTACAACGCTTAACCGCAAATCAGCCTATGAACGAGCCTGCTCAACCTGATCAAGACATTGGTGATCAATCAGAAGTCGACTGTAGCGTGTCAGAGCTTGAACGATCTATTGCGCAGTACAACAGTCCGTATGCTTCTCCACCACATCCTGCAGTCACTGAAGCACGCCGACTGTTTGGTCAAACAACGCCTGCAACACCATCTCAATCTCAGCCCCGACAACCCGAGTCACGTTGTGCTTTGCCTCGCATCTACAGTGAAGCCGATATTGTAGATCTAGTCTCGAGTGCATGCCAGATTGCCAGCCAGTTCAGCCCATCAGACATCTACATCTGCGACGAAACGAAACTCTTCTGGAACCAGAGACCGGATCGTCGTCATCTTGCATCCGAGACCGCTCAGATTTTGAATATGCTTTGCTGTAATGCTGACGGTAGTGATAAGCTTCCACTCTGGCTGATAGGGACGCATCAATCGCCTCGAGCATTCGACCTCGCTGGTATCAACGTCAATGCTTTGAATTGTGTTTGGAAGGCTGACACCTCTGCCGAATTACAATTTGTCGTCATGCGAGATTGGCTAAGATGGTTTGACAAGCGCATGGCTGGGCGAAGAGTGTTACTTTTCCTTGATGATCTTACTGTCCATCAAGACGTTATTGAGAGCTTTCGCTCGACACAACAGCCGCTTCAAAACACTATAGTGTACAGGCTTCCCCCAAACTCGCCCGAGAGGTTTCACCAGCCGGTCAAAGGAATCGTCAGGACCTTCAAAGCTCACTATCGAAAGAAGTGGCTGCGACACATGACTGACCAGATTGGTCTGGGCAGAGATCCACTGAAGACAACGAATGTGCTACATGCAGTCCGATGGGCAATCCAAGCATGGCAGTCTACGTCCAGCAGTGCTATCAACAGCTGTTGGATGCACTCTACACTTATCTCGTCTACGCAAGATACGCCACCAAACCCTTCCTCTGAACTCGTCATACCAGAAACTCTCGAGTTGACCCTTGAGATCCAAACACTACTCGACCGTCTTCGACAACAAAACGACATCCGTCTCCACAGCACGATAAATGATTTTATCGATCCTCGTGAAGAAGAGTACAAGGACACGATTTCGAGTGCAGTGACGCCTGCTTTCATGACTCGGCCGAATTATGAGCCTAACGAGGAGCCAGATCAATCGTCTAGAGTCACTGTGAAAGAAGCTTTGAAGGCACTGGAGACGCTTCGAAAGTTTGAGGAACAGGCTGCTGATGAGCAAGTCACTCTGATCCAGCGATTGGACGAACATGAGGAGAGGTTGCGAAGAAAGCAGCGAGAGATTGAGAGACAAGAGTCCATGTCTACCTTGTTCAGTATACACTCTTGATCCATGCATGTATACCTTTTTGTATGTATATACTACATCCTCAATCACGACTCCTATTGGCCAACCATCTCTTGATCACAAACTCCCTAACCTCATACCCCCTCAACAAAGCCCCAATATCAGTGTCTCCATCCACGCCCACTTCCGGCACCTTTTCAGGAACCTTGACATATACAATAACCAAACTCTTCTTGACCTGACTCTGCACCCTATTGACACAATGCAACCACCACCAACCCAGTCTCCCTTTTCCTTGCCGATGCTCCACACTCCCCTCTGCATACTCTGGAATAATAAGCAGTGCAAACTCGGCGTGAGAAAACACAGGACCACGATTATAAAGCAAGAAATCGCAGGAAAACTTCACTCCTGGACGTACTACCCAGCCCAAAGAGCGGTAATGGTGATACACGATGTAGTTTAGCAGGAATGGGTCATCGGGGCGCAGAGATGTAGGTGCAGCGGTGGGGAAATAGGAGTGTTGGCGGAAAAGCTGGAGGAGGGAGGATGTAGGGATGGGAGAAGATGTGGCAGGGTCGAGAATGCGTAGGGCTCCGAGGGCGTAGGTGAGGAAGAAGGATTCTTCGAGGTTTAGTTGCAGGTGTTCTTGGTTTGTGATGGGGGCTTCTTCTTCTTCTTCTTTTTTCGGGAGGGTTGTGGTGGCTATATCGGTTTCGGTGGCCGGAGTGCCGGAAGTGTGGATTGTGGTACCGGTGGGGAGGATGGGGACCTCTACGATATTGGTCGTTGGTTCCTCGGATTTGGGGTCCCCTGTGGGTACGGTCTTGGTTTCTTCCTTGAACTCCACATCTTCTTCTTTTTGCTGCTGCTCTTGCATCCAGGGAAACACATGAGAGACGGCAATTTCATCCACTCTTTTCTCATCGATCTCCTCGGTCGCAGATTCCAGAGCTGCACGTTCTTTCCTCAGTGTTTCTTCAATCTGCTCGGCTTCCGCTCTAGCTCTCTCAAGTTTGAACAGCTTTCTCTCTTCTCTGCGTTTTCTGGTGTTTTCTTCTGCTGTGCCACCACCGTGTTTACTAGCTTTCAGTCTTGCTTTCTCTCGGTCTAGCCAAGATGGTTCACTACGGGATAGGGTGCCTTTTCCGAAGAACCCCATTTCCCAGAGGGCGCGGATGGAGGCATGATCGGTGATGTGGACGGAGTTTGTTTCTGGGCTGAAGATCCCAGTGATGAGATGTTTTGGGTGAGACGAAGGTGCTGAGATGAGTTGAGAGAGATAGATGTAGGCGATGCGGAGAAGTGATAGAGGGTTTTGAGGTACAAAAGCTGGGAGGGGGTAGGTTTGGAGAGGTAAAGGCTTTGAGTGGATAAGGAAGTAGTTGGGCTTTTGTGGCCGTGTCCTGATTGGTTTGGGTTTGTCTTGAGCTGCCGGATCTTGAGAAGGCGAGTCCATGTTTGGTTGAGATTGCGCTACTGGGATGTCCAGCTTTGAAACGGCATTTCCACTGGGGGTAGCCATTGTGTCGTGTATCGAGGTATGTTCTCCAGAGAAGTTCGATATACTGTCAAATATGTTAGATATATTCTCACTTCCCAATTCAGAGAGAACGCCATGAGAGGTATTTACGCCAATGAAAGGCATGAGGATACGCTTAAAATAGCGATGCCAGAAGTTCACACAGTCATGTTCGTGTCCAGCTTGAGGCTTGGAAGCATGGTCCGTTATTCCATGAAGCAATCTCAATCTCGCCTTCGAGAGGACCGCAGCATAATATCGAAACCCCGAGGTTTCATCCCATGCGCTACCTTATAATAGACACGAAGCGATGGACTTGACGTATTTCTTCTTTCTTTCGATGACTGAAGTTTGAAAACTCGCGAGAGGTGATTGTGGAGATTTGAAAGAAATCAATATAAACTCACGGAGATGACTGTGGGCTGTCTCTTGATATATCGTATAGTCGTCCAGCTATCTACAAGTTGTGATTGACAATGACTGTCGCGGGCATGAGCAAGGTGGATGCCGAATTATTCTTGATACTCGTCAAGGTCAAAGCTCCGGGAGGGCGGACCGAGACGGAGTTAAGCGCCGGCTCAAGAAACATCCATCGTCATTCTTACTCAGGGCAGCCATCTTCCTTTGGCATCTGTTTTCCCGTCAATCACATCAACACGACTGGACTGAGACCGTGCACAATGCTCTCAAGAGTAGCGAGACGCTCCATATCCACCTCTAGAGGTCCTCGCGGCCCTCGAGGTATTCTCAACAAGGGCCGAACGCCATCTCGAATCACACCTCGGCCATCAAGAGCCTCGCCATTGTCTGCGAACAGCCGCCACCAGTCCTCACAGCAGCCAAATCAGCAGAACAATACCAATCAAGACGCTCAACAGACACCTGACGAGCCCTCCAAAAACGCCCTCGTTGCTTCAGCACTAGCCGAGAAGCAGTCGTCAGATCTGGTTGCGCCAGTGACCATTCCAGACGATCCGAATGGGGTACTCACTCCAGATCACCCAGCATGGGATCTTCTTAACAACAGCTCCTTGGTCATACAACGACAGATAGAAATGATGAACGTCTTTCTCGGATTCGAACAGGCCAACAGATACGTCATCATGAACGGCAAGGGAGAAACAATCGGATACATGGCTGAGCAAGATCACGGTATGGGAAGCATGCTAGGCCGTCAAATGTTCAAGACTCACCGAAGTTTTACCTGCCACATCTTTGACAGGAATGAGAGGGAGATTTTGCGTATCCATCGTCCTTTCTCTTGGATTTCGTCACGCATACGTATCTATGACCCCACGGCACCTGGAGACTATACACAAACAGACACACTTCAAGGTACCTCCGTACAATCAGCCATCAACCAGGCTTCGGCAGCTCAAGTCTCGCCTCTGCCTCTACAAGAAATGCGTATCATCGGAGAAGCACAACAACAATGGGCACCCCTCCGCCGCAAATACAACCTCTTCAACTACCGTTCTCTCGCCCCTGCCTCCAACTCCACACCCGCTCTAACCTCCGGCGATACCCCTAATACCTCCACAACAGCCCTCGCCGTCTCCGAGCAGACCTCCGAACAAGCAATAGAAGCAGGAATGCAACAATTCGCTTTCGTAAACGAACCCTTCCTGTCCTGGGACTTCTCCCTAAAAGACGCAGACGACCGTAAAATCGGCAGTGTAAACCGCAATTTCGTGGGCTTTGCGAGGGAGATTTTCACAGACACTGGTGTCTATGCTTTGCGTATGGATTCTGCGGATGAAGAGGAGCCTATGGCTATGACATTGGATCAAAGAGCTGTCATGCTGGCCACGGCAGTTTGTATTGATTTTGATTATTTCTCGAGGCATAGTGGAGGCGTTGGTGGCATGGGAGGTGGATTTATGCCACTATGGTTCCCGGGCATGGGAGGAGGTGCTGCGGAGGGTGGTGCTGTGGCTGGCGCGGCCGGGGAGGCTGGCGCTGCAGAGGGTGCTATGGGTGGCGCTATGGGTGGAGCTGCTAGAGGTGCTGCGGGGACTGAAGGCGCGATTGCAGCTGGCGGCACTATGGCTGGAGTGGAAGCTATGAATCGTGGCTATGGTGGTCAGCAGGTCGACGATGCTAGTCCTCAGGGTCCAGTGGAGCCATTCCAGAATGATGGTGGTGTTGGTCCGTCACAAGGAGATGCTTGGGGCGAGCAGAATCCCTGGGGTCAAGCGCCTCAGCAACAGGATGATCCTTGGGGTCAGGCACCTCAGCAAAACGATCCTTGGGGTAATCAGGGCAGCGGTGATGGAGGTTCTGGAGGCGATGGTGGTGGTTTCGACTTTGACGATTTCTTCTAGATGGATGACTCTCCCCTCTTTTAACCTTTAGCATTGCGATAGCACATATAGATACCCAATTCCTCTCGTTTGTAGCAACGACACATTGATCATGTTCTGCCCTTCAATAGATTGTTGTGGAGGGAATGTTACCCGTCTGTCCAAGCTAGTCAGGTTGCATGTAGGGGGATCATCTTGGAAGACGAAGTAATAGAAATAGCTTTTGATCATTAAAGTCTTGCCTAGCGATGCAGATTGAGCAGATTGTCTAACTCCATTGCACCCTGCTAATATGCTTGTAAATGAATCCTGATACGGGAGTGGAAACAAGGCCAGATGTTGTGTGCCAGAAATGAAGCAATGGTTCCATTCTCACCACTTCTTGGCCTCGAGACCATCAGGAGGGCTAGTTTCAACCTTGCCCTTGCTGACTTCATCCCAGTTTGTGCTCAAAGCGGTGCCGTTGCTTTCACTGAATGACTTCATCATAGCGCGACGGGTGTCTGGGTCTGCACCGGCGTACAACTTCTTGAAGAAGCCGTTGACTGGATCACCACCCTCATCATCATCCTCCTCTTCCTCAACTTTGCCGTCTGTCTTTGAGTCGCCGGTCTTTGGCTTGGTCAGAGCTTCCGAGGCGAGTTTGTCCCAGTTCTTAGGGCCGCTGCGTGATGAGGTGGGGTACGATGGGCCCTTTTGTGCGGTGCTGGTGGAGTTTTGAAGGACTGCTGCAGGAACAGAGCTCGTGGTACTCGACTCTACAGTAACAGGTTCGTTACTTTCGAGAGAAGACCACTTCTGGCCGGGCTGTGTTTTCTTGAGGACGACTTCGACCTTGGTGGACATGATGCTGAAGGTCGAGGCCGAAGGGTCGATTTCGGCGAAGAGAGGTTCGAGGGAGAAGTCGTAGTCAGAGGAGGTCTGGAGAGGAAAAGAGATGGCGAGAGAGCGTGGCTGGATGTCGATTGTGGCCTTGTCCTTTGGAACGCCTTTTGCGAGGAGAGTGAAGTAGACCTTGTCGTTGTTTTGATACCAGTCATGACGGATCTTGTCGGCGGGAGTTTGTGTCAAGGCAGGAGGAGTGGAAGAGGCAGGAGCTGTGGTCTTGGAAGACGAGTCCGGCTTGGGTTGACTGGCGACTGGTGTCTCTTCCTCGGGCGTCTCCTTGACGGTTACGTCCTTCGAACCCTCGTCCATAGCGGCCATCTTGGTCGCAACCTTGCTTTCCCAGATAGGCAGTGTCTTCTCTTTCGGATCCATGCGCTTGACGACATCCAGAACGAAGCGACAGTCGGGGTAGCGTTCTAGGCCGAACAGTGCTATGGCTCGTCGAAGCTGGCCTTGAAGGATGAGTTCGCGCTTGCCTCTCTTCTGTGCGTTGATGACAGCTTTGTCGGCGTCGGCGAGAGCGGACTTGTAGTCGGCAGGCGTGCTTCTCTGGTATGCGGTGGAGCGTTTAATGAGGTAGTCTGGTGATGTTGGTGAAACGGCAAGGGCGGCTGTGTATTGTTTGATAGCTTCGGCGTAGTTTTTGGCTTCGAGGGCCTCTGCTCCAAGCTTTGCTTGATCCATGGTAACTCGTTGCTGTGTGGATGATTGGATTGAATTGGAATGGAATGTGGAGATGTTGTTGTTGCGCAAGGATGGAAGAGAGAGGGAGAAAGTGGTTACGAGTAAAGCATGTGATTGTGACGAACTTCTAGAAAGCACCAAGCGCTTTCACCTTCATGCGGGAAAGTCTAGCCGAGTCAGTTTCATCTCGTCGTTTCACCTTTTGTCTGCCATATCGGTGATTCTTCTTGTCACACGTCAGCCTCATTCATGTTCAATGCTCTGATCAGAACACATCACATCACTTCTAGGAAGAAGGTGACCAAGTTGAAACAGGCTGCAGATGCGACACAGGTCTTTGCTCTGTTGAGGAGCGGCAGCTCACCTGGCATCATGTATGTCGAAGGAGAAGAGAAGGGTGTCAGACAATGGGTCGATGCTGTTCATGTATGTATTCAGTAGATGTCAATGATCGCGACATGTGGACTGATGTCGCCAAACAGAATCTACGCTACAAGGACTATCAACTTGTCGCCCGTCCAGCCGCTGTGCAGCATGAGAACGAGCCTACCAAAGAGTCAGAAGTCAGACCTGGTCTCCATGAAACAGAGACGGTGAGTGACTTTGGCAAACAACTGCAAGATCGTGGTGTTTATGCTTGGTGGCGCAAAGCTATGGGTTATGCAAAGGAGTAGATTAGCGAAGCGGTGCAATGGACGGAGTCAATAGGACACGACGGCATGGCGAATCGAAGAGCCTAGCATCCATTCTATGCTTATTCGACCTCACCCATCCACTCACGGCAACAATACCCTACAGCTGCTCTCGTGCATATTCTGCCCCTCATGTCAACATAGAAGCTTCCCCCACAGTGATGATGTGCCAAGGCCGCCTCACACCGCCCGATGGAGATGGAGGGGTGACGAAGCAGGGGCGGGCTCCGCTTTTGAAACGGGACTCCCGATATATCTCAAGTCTGGCCGTAACTCTCAATCTCAAAGTCTCCTGAACAACATAGCCCCTTCTTGATCGTATATACCTCGTCCTCTACACGACCCTGACCAATCCGCCCTTTTCCCACTTCACAAACCTCAAACACCGACACAATGGCAGCAGCATACCCTCCTGGCGGCACCTTCTTCGACACTCTGAAGCGTAGCTTCTCAGATGTCCCCGTCGAGTCTGGAAAGATTGCCACTTCCGAGTTCCTCGAGGCTGCTGAGAGTCTGACTACTCTCTTCGGTACGTTCGTCCGAAGCCTGGACGTGTATTTGTCTAACAAGGCCAGATGTCCTCGGCTCGGCTGCGTTCAAGCCCATCAAGAGCGACATGGTTGGCAACATCAAGGTACCAACCTCGTTCTCGACTGTCGCAACGGACACTGATAGAACTAGAAAATCCGTGAACGTCAGCTCGCCGCGCCCATTGAATCAGAGAACCTTCAGGACCTCGTCCGCAACGAGCTCAAGACCAAGAAGCACACCGCAACAGAGGGCCTTGTCTGGTTGAACCGGTATGTCAAGTTTGCCTGCTTGAGGGCTTCTAGACAGTAGTACTGACCAATGCTACAGTGCTCTCGACTTCACCGCCCAAGCCCTTCGCCAGAACTTGACCAACAACAACGAGGAAGTCAGCGTTTCGTTCCGTGCCGCCTACGGTAACACACTCAGCAAGCACCACAGCTTCCTCATCAAGCCCGTCTTCAGTGCCGCCATGAGCGCTACTCCCTACCGAAAGGACTTTTACGCCAAGCTTGGTGATGACCAGGCTCGTGTTGAGAAAGAGCTCGGTACTTGGTTGACTGGTCTTGAGCAAATCGTCAAGAACTTGAACGACTTCCTTGCCACCAAAGAGGCAAAGTGGTAATTTATGAATGAGCCCTGGAGGCCTGCAGAAAATATCACACGATATGATAAAACTACAGATTTGTTCTTCTTTCTTCTCGAAGTCCCGACTTCTTCCTTCCGACCTTCCTTCCCTGTAGAGAGCTTGCGTTTCAGTATGCACCAGACTGGGTGGAGAAACTGATCGCTTCCTTTCATCGTGTCTATTTGCCAGGGGACATACGAGACATAGAAGGGTATGAACGTCGTTGGCCAAGCATAGGGACTCGATTCTGATGAGGCTGTCTGAGTGTATAAGACCCTGGAAGCACACTATTAAGCAATCAGACTGAACATGACACAATACCCCATTGGCCGAGCTTTCTTGCCCTCCTCTCATATTCAAATTGTTATACGTATACGCCTCCTCGCAAGGTGATCTTGATGACTCAGATTCAAGCACTCGAACTTCACTTACTTCACGTTTCAGGGGTAGCTTAAGGCATCAGGAGATGTGAGCTGATTGAGTGCAAAGTCAATTTCCAAGATAAATGTCTGACGAGGGAGATCAGATAAACTACCCACTCTCCTCCAAGGGCGCTTAGTCAATGGAAGTGACTGTGCAGCGATGCAACCTTGCCTAACAACCACTTTCTTCCACTCGGGATTTGTGCATAGCTACCAGCTTCGTACGATAGGGTTGTCTCAAAGCACGCGTCGTATCTCCACCACTTCAGTCTCTTGAAAGCAGCTAGATCATGATGTGATTGATAGCAAATTATACACTGTGTTTTTCTACAAGTATCCAATGATATATCGTCTAGTGTGTCTCGATCCCCTTCGAGGATCCAGGGCTGTTCTCCTCATCATCGCCGGCATAAGCATACTTGGAGAATTTTCTGATGCGATCACCATAGAAGTAAAACCCGTAGGGAATGGCACAGCAAGCCAGCGCAATGAAAGCCATCAAAGTCCCCGCCCACTGATACCCCAATCGGTGAAACATCTGCTCTGTAAACAACACCACACCAGCGCCCCAGAAGCTTCTGATGAATGTTTTGGCAGCGAGGGCGGATGCAGCAGAGTGTTGATAGGTATCGACGAGGTAGTTGTTGGCGCTGTTGTAGCAGGGGATGAAGCCGAAACCGATGCAGAAACCTCCCATCGCTGGACCCCACCATGAGAGATGGGGATAGGATGTCCAGGCGAAGATAAACATGCCTGCTGCGATGAACCAGCAGCTGTACATCATTGGAACTAATCGCTGTTCGGCGGGTGGTTTGCCTCCGAATTTAACAGCTCGTCTTGCGTAGTCCTTGTCGATCAAGGGTGCAAGGAATGCGCTTCCAAGTACGCCAATAGCGAGAGGGATAAACATGAGACCGGTTTTGCTGGCTGAGTATCCTTTGCCTTCCTGAAAACACTGTCAGTCGAATTCTCCTGTTGGAAATGGTACAACACAACGCCTCAACAGCAGCCACCAAGGCCTATCTATCACGATACACGGTACGGTTCTAGACCAGATCAGCCTCACAGGAGACTTCGATACGCTCTTGGTAAGATCTCTGGTCTATTTCCATCGTATACCGCAAAGTGATGGGGGGAAATTCGAAGACTTCGAAAAGTCTCGAAACGACACCTGGTGATCTCTGGTCTTCGCTATATGTACAAACGGAGTACTTGCCTGGAATACCACGGGGTACGCAACAAACACCATGTATAGAAGGCCGTAGAGAACACTCATGAATAGTGAGATGAGGAAGACGATGAGTTCGCAGAAGAGCAATTGGAACGGACGAAGGATAAACACCCTTAGACGCTCCCTGATAGGTCGGGTGTCCAGATCGGACTCGCTGACATACTTTCTGTCACCAGTATCCTTCCTCATCTTCCTGGCTCGCTTTGCAAGAATGATGGGTGCATAAGTCTCTGGAACGGTAAAAACAATGAGGATGTAGACGAAGCCTGACAAGATGAGCTGCAGCCAGTACAACCAGCGCCAGCCGAGATGATCAGAGGTAAAACCTCCTACCAGTGGTCCGATAGCTGGCCCAATGAAGGGTGCACAAGAAAAGGCAGCCATTGGAATACCTCTTTCTTCGGCTTTCCAGAGATCAGCAAGTGTTCCGCCAACGAGGACCATAGGTGCTGAAAATGCTATGCCATCGATCAATCGACAGGCGATCAATGTTCCGATATTCTTTGCCACAGCGCAAGGGATGATGAAGATGAGAGCAACCAGAAGAGTGCTAGCATATACTGGACGACGACCCCAAGTCTCGCTGAAAGGAGCAAATGCCATGGGGCCTACACCAAACCTACAAACAATTAGTACGATGCAAGTCAGAATAGAAAGAAACACTCACCCTACGACGAAGACAGTGATTGTCAGGAGAGCCACCTCTTCGCTGATTCCGAACGTCTCCTGAGGGCCGATCATATCCGCAGTGATGACAGCACTATTGAACGCGACAGCAAAGCAGGTGATTGCTACGACCATGGTACACCACCATTTGTATGCCTTGCTCCAGTTCTTCGGGTTCTCCTTATCGCCTGGTGTAAAGGTGACAAGCTCATAGTCCTCGGTCTTTCCGGTCTTGTTGGAGGTGACCTTTCGGGTTATCGTTCCTGTGGCAGTCTCGGTTGTATATTCTGCCATGTCGGCATTTTCGGTAAGTGTACGATAGGGTAGTTCCAATGGATCTGCATCGATGGAACTTGCGGCATGTCCTCTGCTGTTGATCCCTGATGTCTCTTCCAGTTCCGGCTTAGGTTCGTGACTTGCATCGAGGTGATGGAGTGTCGAGGTACTACTTGGAGTCCTTGATGTATATGTCGACATGTTTGCAGCGTGGATCTGAGCCGTTCAATACAAGTAAATTGACCAGAACAGAGATGGTCTTCAATGACTGAGTGTCTTTGATATCGCAGCATTTACTGGATGGGATGAATAGGCATTTATATACCCGAGCCCTCCATTTATGAGAAACAGCATGTTTGCGAGATAACTCCTTGTCGGGTGTTCTATCATCGATTCATGCAACTGCAACCGCACATTGGATGTTTTTGATATACTCGAAGCGGTTTAGACCGAAGGAGTTGTCTAGTCGTCTCTGGAGGCGTCCTAAGATCTCGGAGATCGCTCGGACGTGCCTGGCGGAAACATTTTGAGTTCTCCAAGGGTTTAGGCCAAGCATCAACTCTGTACCTGTTTTGATTCAGCAACTTCTCTCCATACTTGTCATACGATCACATGCAATTTCTGAGCACTCCGAATGCATTTTTGACTGTAGCTGAACTGTCAGGGGGTCGGTCTTACGACATTCAGCCACTGTCGCGATCGTCACATCCGTGAGGCATTTGAATGCCTGCATCCGTAAGAACCAGCTCTCCAAGTTGCAATGCTCGTCTTTCTGGACCGCCTACAGGTGGGGCATTGATACTCTCCAGTATTGGATATCACGTCATGCCATCGGGTTCGTCTGATCAGCCCGTGCTCGATGCGCCTTTGACCCAACCATGTTTTGAGCCTCGTATCCAACTCCGAATGTATGCGGCACATCTTCAAGTTCGGAATTGTTTCGCTGAGGGCCGCTCACTGATGCAACATAGCCCGCCCTGCAGCATGTGAATTTGATCAGGGAAAAGGTTTTCATGTCGCTCAACTCTCCAGGGAAGCACCGAGGTGACCGAGATGATAGGACGCTTTCGGAGACTCCTACCGAGGACGCGTTATTCGGATCGCGCCGAACGTGCTTTCAGCAATCTTGGCGTCCGTCACTGTTATCGTGTACTCGCGTCGACGACACTCTTTCCTCGTCAAGTACATACTTTCGAAACATCACATTGTCTACTCTCAGAATGAAACCGTGCGAGAAGAATAAACCGCGCATCATCATTCATGGTGGTGCTGGAAACATCACTCGCTCGAATCTGACAAAAGATGCTTATCAAGCCTATCGGTCTGCTCTTCTCTCGATCCTACACGCTTCAAATGCTTTGTTGTCAAAGCCTGGCGCCACAGCCTTGGATGTCGCGACTCATGCCGTTTCCATGCTAGAAGACAATCCTCTCTTTAATTCAGGTCATGGTGCCGTCTACACCACAGCAGGAACACATGAATTGGAGGCTTCCGTCATGGTCAGCAAAGGCTGCCACAAGCGTGGTGTTGGTGTGATGGAAGTATCAGGAGCAAAGAATCCCATCAAGCTCGCGCGAGAGCTTCTGATCAGAGGTGAAGATATCGATGGAGGTGGTGCTGCAGGTCACGTTCAACTAGCAGGTGAAACTGCTAATAAACTTGCTGAAGAATGGGGCTTGGAGACTGTGAGTCCTGGATATTACTGGACTAAGCGACGATGGGACGAACATCGTAAGGCGTTGGGCAAGTCTACAGATCGTGAGACTTATCTGAAGCATAAGAGGCGGGCTGATAAGTGCATGTCTTTTGTTGAGGAGAGTGCGGCAGATGCTAGAGACATCGACACTCACGACCCATCTTGGGATGGCTCAGAATATCTGCCACAAGGGACTGTAGGTGCAGTCGTTCTCGATAGCGATGGCATGCTCTGCGTGGCTACCTCGACAGGTGGACTCACAAACAAGCTTCCTGGCAGGATAGGGGTGTGTCGAAATAATCATCTCTTAATAGTGCTCTTCTCTGACTTTTGACAGGATACTCCTACGCTAGGAGCAGGTTTTTGGGCTGAACAATGGACTGACCAGCAGTCAAACTACCACCCTCAGGCTATGGTGTGTCAACAACAGACTTTATCACCTGCAACGAGACTTGCCAACGGCGACTTCGGCGGTTTCCTCCAAGACTGCTTGCCTACTTTCTCGTCATACCTACCTATTGCCTCCCAAGAGGACTCTTCTTCCAATCAATCATCGAAATTCATCCCATCGCCCCATGGAGTAGCTCTGTCAGGCACGGGTAAGATGTCTCTCTCCCACATTTCCCATAGACAACTCTGACCTCTCTTACAGGCAACGGCGATTCCTTCCTCAAGACCGCTGCAGCTCGTACGGCTTGCGCAATGACACGTTTCTCCTCTCCGCCACTTCCATTCGCAGTATCAGTATCTCGTGTAGCTGGTCCGAATGGTATACTTCAGCAAAGTGCGGAAGACCGCTGGAAGAAGACAGGAGAAGGCGAGGGCGGTGTCATCGGTATCGAGCACGTGCAAGGCGAGGGTATCGTCGTAGCAGACTTCAACTGCGGAGGCATGTTTCGAGCTTGGGTCGATGACGATGGTGAGGAACAGATGATGGTGTTTAAGGAGGGATTTTGAGGACTTTGAAAAAGCTTCACACTAGCTTGTGGCGTACAGTGAGTCAATATTGATGGCTTGACTAGTCTCATGATCGAAGGATTGACAGTACACTTAAGCACGAGTCTCGTTCGCGACTCGGAGATATGCAGAAGAAGACGCTACTTCACGGTCCGATTGGAACCGGAGAAGTTTGAGTTTGCGAGCTTTGACCTGCGCCAAATTAGCGCTACATAGATCTCGGAGATTTGATAAGATGGGTTGCAACAGGACGTCAGGAAGTCGACATCGAGGTCAAGCATGCCGATTAACATACTTTCCCTGCCTCTCAAGATACTCTTCAAACGTACTGTTATGCGTACCATCACTTTGCACCACTTTTGACAACACCTTAAGGAAGACAGTCTCAGAACTGAGAGTCAGCCTCCTCTCTCTGCCCATCGAGGTCAGAGTCTCGGGAAAAAGCCAATAGGTGCACTTCGCACCATCCATGCAACGATGTATATAGTTGTTGACAGAAGATGATAGCTGTGCCGACTGAGGCTATGAATAGTATATAAACGGTATGATATTCCAAGTATGGATGGCCTGCAAGTGTTTCCAATACTATGGCCAGGGTGGTAAGTGCGACGTGGATTTATCGGAAAAGGAAAAAATCGAAGAGAAAAGAATTTGACGAGATCTCGCTTAGCAGTGTGCTCGTATGGCACCCAGGATTTGAGCAGGAGCGGAACCTATCCCTTCACCCATCAGCCACCACAACTATCGTCTTGCCATTTCCTCAAATGCCGGTCGCCAGGATGACTTCACTCATCACATCGGCTTCCTCGACATCTGACGGCTCAAAACGAGAGTATATATTCTGGATTGGCTTTTCCGCTTCCATCAAGTCAGCAGCCAGTTCACACAGTGAACTAGATCATCAGACCTGCCGGGGTAGCTCAATCGGTAGAGCGTGTGGCTCTTATCTTCTCAGATATTCCAAACCTCAAGGTCGCGAGTTCGAGCCTCGCCTTCGGCTATTCCTATACTAAGCGCCTGCGACTTTTTTTTGTCTTTAGGAGTAGTAGGTATAATAGGAAGAAGAGACTTTGTTTTCCTATTTACTAAGGCCGCGGCTGAAAGTCCGTGTAGGGCTGGGAATTTAGGAGTAACGGCACCAGACCAGCTCGAAGCAGCACGCATCATTCTTAGGACGTTGGAAATCCAACCTCTAAGGCCGCTTAGAGAGCTGCAAGTTATCATATGCTGCCTTGTCCGCAACACTTAGCGATGACGAGTTGTTATAGATAGCCACATTCGATACTTGTGCTCTAAGGATTATAAAGTGTTATTAGTGTCTCTAAGTAGCAGCTAGCAAGCCGACCGCAGCAGACCGTTATATACCGTATACATAAGGATAATGTGCAGTATTATCTGGCTCGTTAAGGGCCCCGAACGGATCCGGACTACATCATAATGTATTTCGGACGTCTGGAATATTCCAAGCAAGAGTAAGGACGCCGTAGTGTCCTTAAGGAGCGGATGCTGCCTATACTTCGTAACCCTATTAAAGGCTTCCGAGAAGGTAGGCACCCTACGCTTGTATGTAGCAGCAAGCACTCCCTTATTATAGTAGACGGTAGGGACCGCTAGTTTCTTGACAGCCCGGCTCTTAACATAACTGTCTAGCTTCACTTATCCAACCGCGTAAAGACATAGCAGCGAGATGTTAAAGGCGAGGTTATAACAAAATGGCAGAAGGCAGGAATAGTAGCCGAGTAAGCGTAAGGGAGTGGCAGCGGGTTAACAGCAGCATAGTTATAGGGCTATAGCAGGACGCGATGCGACTATAGCTACGTCGCAATAGCGCGGAAGGATGCGATAGGTTTGCAGATCAGGTGAGCGTAGGAAGGTCGTCGGCAGCTAGTAAGATTATAGTCCAGGAAATACTCCATCTGCCTAACTTAAGAAGGGAGCATTCACCTCCTAGGAACGTAGTGTGCCGCGAGATGCTCATCCTCTTCTTTCTTTACTAGTATGTGTAACTTCGCTCTTTCTAGATCCTAATGCTTCGACCTTCCAGATGATACGGCGAGGGGTCACCCGGTAGAGGGATAGAGGAGCCGAATTCGAGAAGTCTTGTACGAGAGGAGCAAGTGATAGAGAGTATAATGTAGAGTTCGGCCATTAGATCGAGCGTATAACTTGTCGAGAGTCCGTCTTAATAGTATAGCGTGGCAGGAGACAACCTGAGAGGTAAAGTGTATCTTGATAGGGGGCGGGCAGTCAAAGTCAGATTAGGATATGTTGCTAACAAGATAACTCTCTAAAGACGATGTAAAATACGTGTAAGCGTACGAGGTAATCTATCTGGTCGTGCACTATTACGATTATTTTATGCAAGAGCGAGTAAGTTAGACATATTTCGCGCAAGCAGACAAGCAAAGAGCGTCAGAGAAGGGAATGTCGTTATAGATAAGGCTGCCTCCTACATTAGGAGCGAGTGGTTTTCGTATAGGGGTAAATAGTCTAGGGGGTGTGCTTCATATAATAGGGGTGTTGCTTAGTAAGGACGGCCAAAGTCTAACCGTTATGCGGAGGGGGCCTCTATGAAGGGGAGTCTACATAAGTACAGGGGCGCCGCGTAACTAGGCTCCGGAGTAGGATTCGATACGTAGGGCTTGCGATCTAGGGGTGGGCTTATGACGGGGGTGGCGTGTTGTAGTGACCTCCGAGCTGGACTTTCTTGCTCGGCGTTGCACGACATAATATACATCTGCAATCTTTATAGCCTATTACAATTTCTGATTCTAAGTCGAGATGCTGTAATGGTCCCGGCTTGCTCTACCTATTATTGCCTATATAGCATACTAGAGAAGCGCCTTAGTATGCATGCTATAAAGACTACGCTTACACTTTCTATGTACCGCAAAAGCTGCAGACTGTGCTAGAGCAATGGCCGGGTTAATGATTTCGGAGTGTCTAAAGTCTACTTAGTCTCCATAGACCAAATTACATGACATATGCTACGACAAATTATTCGCAGTCGTATTGACTAAGGTCTGCTACAGGTTAAGAAGTATCTCGGCGTAGCCGACCGAGCGACTTTTTACTAGGAACAAAGAAAACAGTTTAATAGGTAAGCCTCATTACAGTTATAGTGGCGATGAGGATCTGAGCCAGCAGTCGGTCTTTGCGTCTGAAGTTGGTGTGAACCATTGTTTTCTTTCTTGATCGACTTGTTGTTCTCGCGGCGAAATTTGACTAAGTCCAATAAAAAAAGTGCCTGTAGCGAAGTAAATTTGCCCCTAAGTCTAACCTTAATGTAAAATCCGAATGTCGGTCAGCCTCGCCAGCGGCATTAACGTCGAATTCGACATACATAGGAGACTACGGGGCTCGAACCATCGCCACTATAACTGTAATAAGGTTCACCCTATCGAACTGTCCTTTCTTTCCGACCCGTAGGGAGGAAAGAGAGGACATTATAAGATAGTAAACCGAATCCAGTTATATAAGACAATTCCGACTAACTCTGTTAACACTATCCCCCGCCGCCTTAACCCCAAAGTCCATCGACTAACGACCCTGTCCGTCGATCCCTTTCATGTCGCAGCGACCGCTAAGGTCGCGAGTAATCATTCTCTACACTCTGTATACCACTCCACTTTAGTCGCAGCGACCCCTAAGGTCGCGAGTAAACCTTTATACTACTCTCGCCCTCTATTCTACTTCTTCGCAGCAAACTCTAAGGTCGCACGAAAATAGCTTACACTGCTCCCCCGTGTATAGAATACTATTATAACTCTCTCTCTTCTCAGCGATTAAAGGGCATCGACGAGCCGTAGAAAGACACAGTTATATCTCGTATTGTTAAACTCGGTCTAAGGAGCCATTTGTATAAGGCATCTCGATAACTTCGCTTTAACTTAAGAAAACATCGTGCCTTTTAGGACAGCTGCGAGAATGATAGTGCTTACCCACAAAGCGGGACATAATTATGCATTATCACTGTACTACGATTATGCTGTACAGTAATCTAGGGATGCTAACTAAGGTAACAGGTTCCCGATAGCTTCTTAGGACTGTTATAACGCCGACACGACTCGACCCGTAGCCGCGTCGCTGCTGCCCTCTAAAACACACCTACGACGCGTCTCGACAAGCCCACCGACTTAGTACACATCTCTGCCACTCAACTATAAAGCAATGTCACAAGCGCCGAGCGTAAGAAAAGAGAAGTAAAGATTATTATTATTGTGGGTTAAGGGACCTATACTGTGTATCATACCAAACGCCAAACGTTGTCTCTGGAAGTCTCGCTAAATGAAATGCAACCGAAGCTATGCTTGTCTACCGATAGAGCACTCCTCCTGCCGTTAAATACTCCTAGCATCAATGCCCCCTACTCTGTCGTCGATTATCCCTGTCGTCAATAGCCCTATCGTCAATCCCGATCAGAAGCTTAATATCTTGTAAAATCCTTCTGATTCTGGTTAGCAATGTTACACCCTACATTAGAACAATAGCACGAACCTTAGTACAGGAGCTGAACCCGAAGCCGATACTTAGCGGTAGTAGTCCTTGTTAGGGGGAGGGGTCGATTTAAGGCGAGAGACGATCTCATTCTTTAGCTGCTTCGAGTGATCGACGACGAACCCAACTGCCCTAGTAGCAGGGTTGATACTAAATAAGGAACTGCCGCGAGTAGGGTAAATGGTGCCTGCGCTGGTTCTACGGCCGCCGATACGTGAGATGTAGCTTACACCGCTAAGCCTGCGGTTTCTGCTAGTGCTAGCGTACAGCTTAGTCGCGTTAAACATCTCATCTCCTGTTGCAGCTCCTGGCGGAGAGGTGATGTAGTGGTTGTCGAAGCCTATAAGCAGGGCGTTAATGTCGTCGTCATCGTCACCTACCTCCGACGCACCGTTAAGGGACCCGCGTATAGAGGCTTCTTGTGCCCTGTTAAAGCCTTGCTGCATGTCCTCGTCGTCACTGTCGCTACCGACACGCTCCTTCGATAGAGCCGTAGTGCTGGCACTAGTTCTCGGAATCTTCGATCTGGGCTTAGGGGGATTGTTGGTAGAGGTTCTAACCTTACGTATCGCTAAGGGGCTCACAGACTCGCGAGTCTTAGTGGGGCTGATGGGTAGAGGGGCCTCGGCAGCAATCTCGGTAATCTTGCTAGCCTTAATCTCCTCGGCGAAGAACTTTGTAATACCCCTGTAGGCACTAACAAGCATGTCGCGCGTAAAGTTGGCCTAATCGACCCTGTAGTCTTCGGCCATCTTCTTGTCGAGATGGTCGCGCTAAGCGTTGATGATAGCTGTGCGCTCGGACTCCTTAGTAGGTAGCTGCTAGTAGAGCTTCTTACCCTTTATGGCCCCTGTCTTAAGGTAATCCTTACTTAGAGCAATCATCTCTTACTTAAGTTCGACGTTAACCCTAGCAAACGCATCGCTGCTAGCTAAAGGCTTGGCCTGCTTGCGCTTAGGCTTAACAGGGAGGGTCAGATCACTCAAGTCGATCTCGCTGTTGTCAGCAATGCGTTAGAGCCTGTATATGCAGCGAATCAGTATTAGGTCCCAAGGAGTCCGACAAAGAGACGGACAGAAGCAGACAGGGGCAGACAGGAGCGTATAAGAGCAGGGTAGAGAGAAACGTAAGGCAAGGGCAAAGAGGAGCATAAACGACGGGCTCTTGTAAGGTTGGAAACCTCAGATTCATAACTGGAGTCCGGCACAGACTTGCTGTCGAAAGGCAAGGTGTTTTTTAAAAAGAAGCGTATGGTGTAGAGAGATGTAAAAGTAAGGGCAAAGAGAAAGCGGAAAAATGGTAAGTGACTTACATCGCACTGAGAGCGGCCATCCCGTCCACCACTTCGGCGTAGTCCTTCTCTCTGGCCTGAGTCTCTCTGATCGCATGAGCGGCCATCACTTCGTTCTGGATAGTGATGCAATCGGACTTGTTAGGAAGTCCTAGCACGATTCTGGGCCAGAAGGTTCCTTCGAGGAAGTCTCCTTCGGGCAAAAGTTCGCGGACAGGTCTGCCAGACATGCTGAAGAAGAGAAAAGAGTTATTGATTTTTTTTTTTTGGATGAATTTGACCGGACTGATCGAAAAGCGAAGACAGGTGTTGGAAGTGCAAGGATGGATCTCTTTGGACAAGATTGAGCATGAATACCTTTTACATTTGCAGATTACTCCCATGATACGTCACCTTATGTGGGCTCCAAAGGCGTGGTACAGAAATTCTGGGAGGCGGAGCAAACAAACCTGTGCCAACCTCCCGTCCTTCGCCTCTCGGTTTCTACAGTCCTGCTGCCTGCATCGTACCTAGCAATAATTGCCCCAGGAGTCCTGAGCAAACGCCAAACGCCAAACAGCAAGTCCAGGTCAACAAGACCAAGGATTAACTCGGAGATTCAGGGGCAGAGTATTGATGGAAGTGGAGTTAGTGTCCTTGAAGTTTGACACGGACAGCTGTGGGTATAACTATGGCCTTTGGAAAGCTTTAACAATTGTGCCTCTTTTGCTTTGACGAAAGAGGTCAGGTTTGATGTCATCGTTCGGAAGCTCTTTGTCGGACTTGTTTGGACTGATCCCCTGGATCGAATGGTTCGCCGCATGCGTCCGTCTGCGGCTGCTGTCACTGCACCGAAACGGTGAGCTGTTTGACTTTCGACACGCGGAACTTGTGCAGTAACCTCGGAGCGGCGACCTTGATATTGGTTATTACTAGTGAAACGATACCGACTTCTGAGATTCCGATGATGCTCATATTCCTGACCAATCGTGCAGGTCGATCATAATCAGATACTGCAGCTTGCCGTGTGTGACCTTGGCACCCACAATCTCATACTGGACAGGAGATACAAAGCATCTCAAGTCTGTGGGCACAAGTAACCGAGCACCTTTGTACTACATATCTTCACGGCAAATAGCTTCTCCTGCAGAGAGCTTGCCCCTTTCAGCTTATCGCTACTGCTGTCCAAGAGCACGACCAACTGCGTTTGTAGATGCATGCCGACGATTGTCGCATACCACATGATGTCATCAAGCGCGAGCAGGCAGTCTGCTGCATCAATAACCACTTAGAGTCTACCACTCACACGGAACAGGAAAATCTGCATGTACAACTAGCTAAGGCTCGGTTGCAAGACAAGTGCAGGATGTCACGAAAGCTGACGAAGGCAGCACACAAGTCATGCACGGACCCTAGGACCCAGATGTTCAACATTTGGTGACTCATCTGGACCTGACTGTAGGCTGTACAGGTTAGAGGCCGCTGAATAGTGTAGGACTTGCAGACTGCATTTTCCAGACACTGGTAACACCAGCGATTCGCTAGAATCCTCGCTTTTACAGACGCGTGGATGTGCAAACTAGGCGCTGCAGTAGGCGCCGAGCTCGAGCTTGTCGTAAGTACATCTGCGGTATATGGAGTGCAGACGCTTGCCATGGCACTGTGGACCACGCTGAACCTGCTCGAATTGACCCTCAGTGTTTGCTATTTGTCGCACCCTCTCGCACCAACCTATCTATTTCACCTGCTCAGCAATAAATGCTCGGAAGGTTCTCTCTTTTGATTGGATCATTGTCTCTGGTGAGTTGTGACACATTTTCCAAAGATTTCTCTCCGCTTCAACGATACCAACACTTCCTTGTCTGACTCTCATTCAGTAGCCTGGAACGGCCCCTTCCAGGCCTTTCTCTGCTTCTACACAGCAACCTTGACAACTCATCATCACCAAGCGTCCATACTTTCTCTAAGCCTCGCCATACCCTCTGCCTATACAAATAGTCCCATTCCCGTGTTACTCTGCGACAGATTACTCCACTCCGAGCCATCGCAACGTCATACTATTACCTTACGTTCCACACCTTGTCTTTGATTGCTGCAGCCATTATGGCCACTTTACCACCACCCAGAGCCCCTCGGCAGAGTGCTATGGATTTCTTCGATAGTTTCTACGAATTCGACGATCAAGGTCAGCTGGTGCTCCAAGATCTTACGGAAGAGCAACAGACGTCACTCGAGAACTTTGAGATCACCCTAGAAGAGTCCAAGACATTCCGTCCCGGCGCGGCCAGTACACACAACAAGTTCGACCGACACCTGATCGAATACCGAAAGGCTTGCGTTAACCGTCTGCGAAGTCAGCACCGCATTGACAACAACGTCTTGCAAGAGCTCGTCGACACCAAGTTCATGTCTACGCAGTATGACCAGGAGCTTTTCTTCCCCTCGGATCGCAAGGAACTTTACAGTCTCTTCAACTACTACCTCACCGTCATGGCAGCTGTACTCAAACCACGATCCAACGCAGATGACCGTCCTCGCTTGACTACCTTGACATCCCGAAGGTGGTCGCTACTTCACTGGGCGAAGGTCTATCTTGAGGACCCTCCCAATAGCCGCGTTCTACAGGTTAGGACCAACGCTGCACTGTTCTATGCAGTACAGCGCTACGGCATCAACACCACCCGCAGAAACAAAGCATACTTCGGCAGACATGAGGTGCGCTTTCTCATCGACTATGACCTGGCCCATACCGACTCGTTCGATGCTGCGGAATCGCATCATCTGGCATGGACCATCGCAATGATCACTGGCGTGCGTCCTGGAGCCATCGGCCGAACCCAGTTCCGCAAAGACGCATACCTCAGATGGACCGATATTCAGATCACAAGAAACCCAGCCCATGTCCAACGCTTCAACGTCACGATCACGTTCCCGTACATGAAGGGCTTCCAAGACCCGAGCGCTGTGGATACCGCATGGAACGATGAGGGTTATCTACGCCTCTCAATCGAACCACCGGAGAGTGCCGAGAACATTCCCTTGTCCCCTGCGTACCGTCTGCTCGCGATTGCGCTCAAGAGAGGCCTTTTGGCTGGGTACAAGACCTACCAAGACCTCTTACAGGGTGATGAACTCAACATTCTCATCAAAGACGACCATCTCAGCGACCCGATCTTCCCTGCACTAGGCGCCCGTGGTCTCAGCCTCGACACTACGAAAGCTGCATCATCCAGCTCATTCACCCAGTACCTCAACCTGCGCGCTAATGCCGCTGGATTTCAAGGCATCACAATGTACGCTTTTCGAAGAGGGGCCGCTTCAGCCGTCGACAAAGCCGCAGGCAGATCGGCCGTTCGAATGTTCATGAATCACAACCCTCAATCTATGACATTCGAGAAGTCATATGAGAACGCAAACTTCAATCTGGATGTGGCAGCCATTGCGTACGATGCCATTCCTCAGAACACTGGGGCCACGAACGTTCCTGTACTGTACCGCGCCGAGCTTGTAATGACACCCGAGCAACTCGCTTCGCAAGTCGAGAAGTACATCGGCCTTCATGCTCAGACTGACTCTCCTGAGTATCACCTCCAACGTCGTCGCCTGAAAAGACAGGCCATGGCCGCACTGAGACAGCAAGCCGTCGAAATTCATCGCAAGACCTTCACATTGACTGAGCTGAAGCACAGAGTGGCCGAGCTGAAGTCACCATCTAGATTTATGGAGATGATCACTCTCCGTGCACAAGCGATGGAGTCTACGAAGAAGGCAGCACTTCATAGGGGTATGAATGATGACGACGCTGCGGCCGAAGATGACGAGTTGGATGAAGAGTTTGAACATGATGATGACCACGTTGTCGACCTTGAGCAGAATCTCGAACTCCGTCTGTAACCTAACTCTATCGGAGAGGAAGCCGAGCACAACGACGGTGATGAACATGACGATAGTGATGAGAGCTCCTCCGCTCTCGTGCCATCGAGTACTTCGAAGGACGTGCCTTATCCTAGAAGACCTGCCCCTTCTCCTGCTAAGCCGGATACGCTCAAGGTTAACTACACGGCCAACGTGAAGACAGCTGCTAGTTTCGTCAGAGGCAACTCACAGATTTTCAGAACTTTTACCGATGAGTCACAGCAAGAGTGGCTGCAGTTGCTCCGAGGTTATCAAGATCGCAGATTCGAGAACACCGGCGAGCCTTATCTACGGGTGGAGGGAGTCTATGAGAAACTGCTCCGCCAGTCCGAGCTCGGTCCTCCAAAGATGCGAGGTGAGATCGCGGACATACATCTCACACTCTCTACCGACGTCCCGAGTGATCTAGACCAGATTCTCACGACCCCATACGAGTCTTCGTTGTCGGCCTTCTTTGAACTGATGCTTGAGGGTCAATCGCTCTCTTCGGGTGCTGCTCGCCAGTGTGCCGAGTGTCTCGCAGATGATACTCTTAAGCACGTTGAGAGGTACAAATGGTGGGAGAGTCTTTCGAAATTAACCCGCCATCAGGAGACCAAGATCCATGCTCCACATCAGAAGTGGATCCGCAAGACTAAACTGTCTATAGAGATTCACCCTGAGCACAAAGCTTCTTGTCTTGATTGTCAGAATGAGTATGCGAGATACGAGGATCTCAGCAATCATCTCACAACCCTTGTAAAGAATGGGGTGACAGAGACTGACCCGCATTATGCCCAACTGGTTGCTGATGGGTTTTTCAACCCCAACTTCAACTACAGTCGTCGGGCGCAGTCGACTCATGATAGAGCACTCCGTACTCGTGACGATGTTGTCGGAGGGCGCAAGGGCAAGAAGGATGTCCCTCTATCCACAACTCGCCCGGCATTGCTTCCTAGTGCTCCATCCGAGTACCCGACATCGATCGTTGTTGGTCCACAGGCCTACGATCCTAGCCTCCTTGCTTACCCTGAAGCCTTCAGGAACATGCCCAGATTGACACCGCAGTCTTTCCGTGAAGACATCACAGCAAGAGGTCTTGACGGCCTTTTCGTGACGTACGTCAACCCCGTTGATCCTGCAAACCCTGCCGGCAGAGAGTACAAGGAACATCTCGAGTCGAGATCGACTGATCACCTTCTTGATTGGGGGGTTCCACGCCAAGGCGACACGAAAGGGAAGCGCAAAGCACCTGGAGCTGGCGAACCGACTGTTCACAGACTCTGAGTATGTCTCCGCTCCTCTCGCTTGCGCCTTTCGATATGGTCTTCAGAACGCGACTGCAGCAGAAGCAATCCACACGTCCACGAACTTTCAATGTTTTCTTCATCCAGTCATTCCTATCGTCTTCCTCTCCTTTAGTCGCTCCTTAATTTTCTCCTTTAGTCGCTCCTTATTTTTTCCTCCAGTCACTCACTTAAATTACAGCCTTTAGCTTAGATCTAAAGTATGATATTATTAAGATAGCAGCAGTTAGCATAGTATCGTCAATAATCATCAGAAGTTCTCTATGTTCAATCCTTTAGTCTACTTCTCTATCCGAAATCATCAAGCTACACTCTTCTAAGGCAGTGACGGTTTTTCAGATACGTGATTTATACTTTAATAGCTCCGTCAGCAATGTCTAAGCTCGCGAGTGACGTTTGTGCTAAGGGGGAATAGGCTGGTAGGCCGTGCATTAGCCGTATATAGACAGGGTGAGAGTACAAGACCCGCCTTCGGCAGTAATTTATATATTAACGAGCAGAGGAACACTGACCGTCTTTTCATAAGTGGTAAGATGCGACTGACCAGGCTACTGAGGCCTATTGTATGTAGTATGCTATGTAACGCCAGCTCTTGCCCAGCAAAACGCCTTGTACACCTTCCCGTATGCTCCTCGATTATCCATGGCAGATTGATCACCAGACAGCACTGGCCTTCTTGCTCAGCTTGCTATTGCTAGCATTGCTCTCATCACTATTGCTCCTCAAGCCCCAAAAGCTCTTCTTCTTCATCTTCGACGGACCAGCCGCCGGAGGTGCATGAGGATTTCCTCCACTCATGACTGGTGCAGGTCGTGAAGGTCCAGCCTGTTGCTGAGAATGTATCGGCAATGATGGCGCAGAATGTCTTTGCTGGTTGTTTACTGGTGAAGGTGGCTTCAGACTATATTGCCTCCGTAGTCTTTCAGTCTCGCGATCGACCTCTTCCTGACGACGACGGACCTCGCGCTCTTCTTCCTCGACCATTTTGCGAAGACGTCGAGTTTCTGCTTCGTCTGCCTTTTCTCTTTCTCTACGACGTATAGCTTCCTGTCTCTTCAATTCGCGCTCCTCGGCGTCGACTTGGGCGCGCAGACGAGCGGTCTCGGCATCAAGCTCCCATTGTGTTCGTGGGTCGGGTGCGGAAGCGGTGCCGATACCTGCTAGGGGAGGTCGTTGTGTTGTTGTCGCTACAGGAGGAGTGGTCCGTAAACGAGGCAGTGATTTGCGTCGATCGGCACTGGCGGCAGGAGGCGGAGAAGGTACGGTGGTGGTAGTAGGAAGAGAGGCGACACGACAAGGATCGAAGACGTTGAAGACTTGATTGAGGTCGCTGGAGAAGTAGAGGTCCTTGATGACAGCGGCAGATAGCAGCAATATTAGCTCAAGGCCTTTTGGATCTTCCAGCTCGACCCTATACAGATTCGGTTCGTAGATGGTTAATTCGCGGAGAGAGCGGAACAGACCGACAATGATGTCTGGGTCTCTGTGCTTCTTCTTGACAATCTCATCCGTCGACTTGCCCGTCATGTACGCCGTCATGTCTTTGGCAAGCTTGCTCTCCTTGCGCCAGACAAAGTTGAGCTTTGGAGTGACCAAGGACGCGCCGGGATCATCCTGAGTTCGATCCAGAGTCGAGGCAGACGGTGTGCGGAAGACAAGCTGCGGGAGACTGAATTCATACGATGCGCTACCTCCCCAACTACCTGGCTTCTGCGTCACTGTCACTTGCAAGTCGGGGTTGTACAGTTGTATCGTAAACTGGCTAGGCAGTATGGGCTGTGGCGGAGGCGGCACACCCCCATTGCGACGGATGTCTTCTTGCGACAGCGAGGGATGGCTCCATTCAGGCTTGATCAGACACTCTCCATAGAGAACCTCAGGATTGTAGCAGTCAAAGAGGCCCGCAGCGTAACAATTGCGCGAGTTGGCAGCGGCAGGATCACCGTGTCTAAGGCTGTATGCGGGGCTCGGGTCCGATCCGCGAACGGAAAAGAAGACTCCTTTATGATGATCAATGCCGTCAGGCGACTTTCGATAGAAGAAGGCGGGTAGGTTTTCGTCCAACATGGTTTGCAATACGGGCTTGTTAATGTCACCAAAAAGGCGAGTGCCTTAGTCCAAATATTCTTCTTCGCTCCATCATGGTCAGAGGGCGCAGTTGCCGCGATGCGTAAGCTTCTTCCCCGTGCTCCTATTTCCGGATGCCAAGTCTCGGTATACGCATCATACGCCCATCTTCTAAGCCTCCTTTTGCATTTACGTCGTGTCTCATTGTTTTCTCGTGTAACAAGAATCAGATCAAACTGCTGCCTTGTACTTATGTCTTCCACCCATGATGACGAACAGCTTCGTCTTGGCCAAGCACTGTAGTATGCGAGCTCAAGTGAGTGTAGCTCTTCCCCAGACCTCCTCATTTTGAGCCATCTCCTTTGGACCGACAACGCTGCCACAAAACGTCCATGCCTATCTTCCCGTCTTTTCACCTGCTCTACATGTACCCGGAACGAACATGCTGTACGAAGGATACTCACTTGATCGACATGGGACTCGTCAGCGTGACTGGTCAGACCTCTACTTACTCACTTGAGGTCAAACGTTTCACCAGTCCAACCGAAAGCTCTGTCATCCTTGTCAGCGAGGCAACCGTGAGTTATAAAGGGACGACGTACCTGTTCAGTCTGCGTCCATACTCCTTCGAAAGCCAGAACCACATCTTGGCGCGAGGGTGTGGCTCGTGGAACTGGATGCTCCTATGAACATCGATCGTCTTGGGTGTGAACTGCCAACTAGAGCCATACAGCTTCTCGGCAGAGAAACCAATGTTCTCCATCGCGTGCAGAAAATCGGTCCATGCCACCTCGCCAGTATTGTGTTGTTCCTTGACAGAAGGTACATGAAACATCGTGGCAAACACCTTGAAAGCTCGTCCGTCGACCTTGATCTTCTTGATATCGACCGTGTCCCTTTCTTCGACACTTGTGGCCGAATCTCTACGTGTCTCCTGCGCTGCAGAAGCTACGGGCTCATCAGGTCTGGTCTTGGCTTTGGCTCTGCCAGGATTGACATTTCCCAGCAGCTCACTCTTCTTGGTATGAGAGCAGATCGCATTGGAATGATAGACGTGCATGGGTAGCCCACTGCTCCAGTCAGCATTGAACGATGATCTTACAGTCACGCGGGAAGTCACTAACATTTCCTCATCCTTGTCGTTCTCTAGGTGTTGATCTGATTTGCAACCACTAGCCTCTGGCTCAATCCAGGGCTTGGTTCGGTGAATCTTCCGATTCCAATCCTTGAAGAAGTCCTTTGAATGATTAGTACAAAACCTGATTTAAAGCTCGTTCATTCTTACCATCAGCAAAAAGAGGACCGAGTAAGACGTGTGTGCTTCGCAATGGTTGTCAACGGTAGCCCAGAACTTATCAATCCGCTTTTCAGCAAGTCGCATCTGCTTGACAGTCTCTCGGGTTCGACGTTTGTCGGAGGGATACGTAAATCTGGCAGGATCGGCTGCGTCAAGGACAGCGCACGAAGTGAAATCGTGTACGCATTCGACCATGTTGAAAAAAAAGGGCGCATCATCCTCGATGAGACACTGACTTCTCCACGCAGTACAGTATGGCTGGTACAGGCCGAGCTGTCTTCTGACTTCCGACATTAGCGCAAGGTCAGAAAACCTGCTAGCCACCCAATTGGAAATTAGATCGCTGTCCCTGCTGTGTTCGTCCAACATTCTCTGGATCTCCTCGACCGTGTTGTTCAGGCCATGCTGTAATGTGATTGTCAGCGTGTTGTCTCGAATCCAAAAATGTTTGTGATATCAGTCAAGGTACCTTCTTTTGCTGCTCGGAACTAAGCAAAGTTCGGAAAAGGACCTGAACTCTCCATGCTTCACTGTTTCTACCCATCTTAACGTTGAGAGAATGGAACGAGGGGCTAGAGTCTGCTGCCACTCGCTCATAGCCGAACCGCATTGGTGGCGAAGCAGGAAATCCAAGCATCAAATCGCCCATAGGTTCATCAGACAGAACTTGAACGATATAGTCAAGCCTCTGGAAGACTCTCTCGACGTCTGGCGGTAAACTACACGATGATTCCAGATTGTGACGACAGCTATCGAGCCTTTCTTGTGCCAAGGTAACAGCCTCGTCAGCAGTAACAAGGAAGATCAGGGTGCTATAAGCATGGAAAACCATGCTTGTTGCCACCTTGTCCCAGAACGCAGACCCACCTACCATCTCATGACGTCTCTTGAACTTGTCGGGAATCATCAAAGGTGAATGTTCAGACCATTCTCTCATGGTTTGTGCAAAGTAGCCGGGGTCTTCGCGTAGAGCCCAGACGTGCTCTTCCGCTTCGTCACGCCTTGCCGAGATGAGCTGTCTCAACCTCTCCATGTCGAGCTTTTGCGGTAGACGATATGGCGCAATCTCAGCCATGGTCGTGACGGTGTGTTCGTGCAAGGCGGATTTGATCTGGATCGGAGGTGGAGCGGGCTTTGTCTCGATGAGGTCCAGTTGATCGAGATTCTTGTCATGCAGAACGAGTCGGCAACACTTGACGAGAAAGTCAAGAACACGATCCTGTACCTCGAGCACCTGAAGACCGACAGCAGGCTCCATTCTCAGTTCTTCCTCAATTCTGTTTCCCGTGTGGCGAAGGACGAGCGAACCATAAGATCTCGGCGATCGCTGACCGTGAAGTGACATCTTGTACTTGTCGACTTCGCCCATACCGGGTTGCTTGCCAGTATTTGCTTGTTGCTGGTCGCCAAAGATGAATTTGTCGGGGTGATGACGTCCGCGAGAGTTGAGGAAAATCAGAAGATTGTGGGGTTGCGTTAGATCTTCTTGGTTGACGTATGGCCAAAGATAGGCCTCCTTCTCTCTAGCTTGGTCAGGAAGTCGCTTGTTATTGCTGACGCCAATCTTGCGTAAAGTCGCAAATTCTGGGCGATGGGTTGCTGCCATGCGTGGCCAGGCTTGTAGGAGGATTGACAGTCTCTGGTTGTTGTTCTTCTTTGTCCATCTCTTCTGGATCTGTGCCTCGAAGCGCTTGAGGATCTTGTTGAGGAGAATCCAGTTTCTGAAGATCTGAACCACGAAAGCCTTCGATCGGAAGCGCAGGTCGTCAAGATCCACGAACGTTGGGGTGGGAAGACCGAGACCTCCTCGAAAGCGGCACACCTTGCAAGAGAGACAATTATCATCGTCTTCTGATGCACTCGAATCCATAGCGAAGCAATTGAAAGATTGAGTTGAGCGTGTACGCAGCAAAGTTTGGAAGAGGGCAAGCGGAGCAGGGGGAGTCACAAACCTTTCGCGCGCGCTGAGGTTGGGGAGGTGTTGTTGTTGTCAGAGTTAGGCAGGAACGACCTACGTGTGATGCGATAGGCAGCCGGAGAGTACCTTCCCTAGGTTGTTTGCCATATGCTCGTTCCCCCAGAGGGGTAGAAATGCGGCGCCAAGCATCTTTTCGTCCGTACATGCCTTTTGCTCCGATTCGCACGATCGCTCTGCTAGAGCTGTAAAAATGCACAGCAATGACTGACCTTCGCATGTAGCCACTTATGCTGCACACAGACCTATGCAGGATCTATCTCGATCGCTACTGTCTTTAATCGGAAAACGTCATCTCCGATCCCAGTACATGTCTGGTAGAAGATGCATCAATGCGAGTGCCCATAGGAGAGCCCTGTCTTGAGCCGCCTCGCATGCAGGGGCATGATGGGACTCATTCGACAGCACTGGATGTGATCGCACCCCAACCCTGCAGACCAGAATGACTTACCTAAACTCAGTCTATCGCTCGATTGAACTGAGAGTGTAGGGCTAAGCGCAAGCCGAGAGCTTGTAGATTAGTCGAGCAGATCTAATGCTCATTAAATGAGATTTTCGACTCAATACAGACCAAGGAATATGTGTCATATTAGCCCGTGGAGGCTCGGAACTGATACTCAGCAGGTGCTGCTGGCGGTCAGGCCGATATGCATGAAGATGTCAGTACCCGGTGTGATATTGTGTGCTTCACGGGTCGCTGCATGTGGGCGTGATTTGCTTCTGCGAGAATGACAGGTCGAATTATTGAGAGCGATCCACCAAGTGTTGCTACGAATCGTTCTCATGTTGTCTAAAATCAATCTGTTACGAAGTGAGGTTCGAGAACGCGTCGCGTTGGTGTAGTGAGGCAGGCTTCGGCGACACATCGGCCATGCTCTGCTCCGCTATCGGAATATCCCTTTCTCATCATCCAGTTGGTCAACCAATCCACAACCCATTCATCGTCTAAATCGCATGATAATGACATGATCCTTATCACAGCAGTGTCACTACGGCCGATAGATAAGTATCAGTGTGTATGTTTCCACGAGTCGGCAAGTACAGCAACGAGCCTGTACCCTCGTCGGCAGGTCCGACAAATGATGTTAGATATGCGATAATCATCAAATGAAGTTCAAAGTATAATCTGAGGGACAAGAGCGACAGTCGTGTAGGTATGTACATGGTCAACAAGAAGCGATTCATACTCTTTTCTCCTACTCGCTCTTCCATCATTCTGAGCACGTAAAATGTCACCCATTGCCACTGAAGCCACTAATGCAGTCTCCCAACCTGTCCCAAAGAGCGCAAAGCCGTTAACACCACTGGAATTGATGGGACATGGTGGCATAGCTGTGCAGGCGATTCCGAAGTTCGACTCGTATGCCGCAAAACGCCAATGGACCCTTGAACATCTAGCCGGTGCCTTTCGTGTCTTTGGTCGTGAAGGCTATGCCGAGGGGATAGCTGGCCACATCAGCGTTCGCGATCCTGAGCATAGCGATCGATTCTGGATCAATCCTCTGGCTGTCCATTTCTCGATGATGAAAGTCAGCGACCTTATCTGTCTCGATATGCAAGGAAATGTCGTTGGTGGCAACAAAGTAAGTTCTTAGACACAACTATCATCCGATGCTTGGAGCCGTTGCTAAGCACCATGCTCGAATAGTCTGTCCCAGCAAACGCTGCAGGTGTCTCGATACATACCGCGTGCCACCTCGCCCGGCCAGATGCACATGCTATATGTCATGCTCACTCTCTATACGGCAAGGCTTGGGCTACGTTCGGTCGCGAGCTCGATATGATCAGCCAAGATGTGTGCTACTTCTACAAAGCCCACTCGGTATATCGAAACTACGGAGGTATAGCATTTGAATCTGACGAGGGTACCGCCATTGCGCATGCGCTTGGTAGTAACAAAGCTGCGATTTTAGTCAACCATGGTCTTATCACAGTTGGTGTAACGGTGGATGAGGCCGCGTATCTCTATACCCTGTTGGAAAAGAGCTGTCGCATCCAGCTCATGGTGGAGTCGACGGGGTTGCCGAAGATGATGGTACCTGATGAAGAAGCAGCCGATACATTTCGTCTGGCCAGTCAACCGGTATGCTCAAAAGTATTGCGAGGGAGCATTCAAAGCTAATTAGCCGTGGCAGGATACACTGTTCGTCGAGTTTCAACCAAGCTACAAACTCGAGGAACACCTTAATCCCGACTTCAAGGATTGAAAGATTGGATAGTCAAATAGATAAACACAATGTCAAAGCTCAAAATCCAGCTGTCATTTCGCAAAAGAAACAAATACGTGCACTTTTGAGCATGTCATGCATAAGAGAGATTGTATCTATCACGTCTACATCATCTACGAGCCACCTGGTACAGCAATTAAATGTCAGTGCGAACAATGTGCATAAAGATAAAGAAGCAACTTACAATCGACTACCACATTTTGACCTGTCATCGACTCGTTCACGAGCAGCATTCGAACGACATCTGCGACATCCTGCATCGAAGTCAGTAAAGCTCGGATGACCATCGGTCAAGGCAGCCGAATGTTTGCGTACCTGGACTGCGACTAAGCGCCTGAGCTGGTTGGCCTCTGCTTGCGCCCGTTGCTCTTTTTTTTTTTTTTTTGGAAAATTGCAGACCCCAGTCTGTCAGCATGAGGGCGGGGCTCACGCTGTTTACTCGAATATTTGGCGCGCAAACCTTTGCAAGTGTCTTGACGAGATGTATCTGAGCCGCTTTGCTGATGGCATATGGTAGTGAACTACCGCCTGGTCTGATACCAGCCAAGCTAGCTGTGGTGACAAAGGAGCCTTTGGTCGCTTCCAGATATGGTTTGACCGCATGCATCAACCAGTAATGCGCCTTGACATTACATTGATAAGTCCTATCCCAAAGATCGTCGTCTAAATTGTCGTCCATGTCATTGAAATTGGTGATGCGCGTCCATCCAGAATTTGACGCTACCACATCAAGCCTGCCGAAGATGGCGATAACACGATCTACCAAGTCCGTGATGAAATTTTTGTTGCTGGCGTCTCCCTGCAGTGCGACGAATCGAGGTTGTACGAATGCATCTTGATATGTAGCAGTCGCGTTGCCAGACTCCAGTTCTTCAACTAGAGCATTCGCGCGGGTGGCATTGTGGCAGTAGTTGATACACTGCATTATAATTAGTCACTCTTGACATCACATAACTTTGTCAGGCCAACATACCACATCAAAGTCTGGCGCAAGGACTCTGGCAATCTGGGTTTCCAAGCCTGCGGAGCCCGCAATGACTAACGCGACCTTTCTCGACATATAGAGACTGATGGCAGTAGTGAGAGCTCAGGAAATATAGTGTCCGGGTATTATTTGTGCGAGTCAAATGCAGTATCAAAGATTGGTGGTGATGACCTAGGTCTCTTTGATTTCGGACTGTCCGACCGTGCCATACAGCCCAGATTTCCACATCGAGCTGAATCTTGGCAGAAACTCAACATATCGGACCGCTGCTCATAAGTCTGTATCGGTCGATGATCTGCGAAATCATTGCGCCGATAGTCCTTGAAGCAGGAAACTTCTCGCCCAAGACCGTGAACAATTCAGTGGCAAGTTCCAGATCATCCACGGCGTGCAGTCGTTCCAGCGAAGCAGCAAGATTCTCTGGTTGTACCGTGACCGAGTACACCAAGGCAATGACTAGATTGTAGATGGTAAGTAGGTTTAGCCAATTGAACGCCAGACGTTTCTGCAGGCGCATGCTATTTGCATGCCGTATAGCCATAGCGGCTGCTTCGGTCAAAATGTTGACTCGGTCAATGTCAAGCGTCGGGAACAAAGGCGACGGACGATAGAGAGTCGTGAGATGAGTGTAGAAGTTCAAGTCGTACCAGCTCAGACATCCTTGTGGCACTCGGGGGTCCAGATTCGGTAACGGAAAAGGTACACTTTGTCGCCAGTTCACCAGGTCTTGGCGAAGTTTTGCTAAGACCTCTTGCCGTTCCGTAGCCGAGTAACGTGAGACCACACGCTTACAGTATACCTTCGTAGCAATATCATTCGCGATTCTTCTGAGTTGCAAGATGTGACTGGTAATGGCCATGGGTGGTTTACACAAAGTGCTCCGAGCGCTATTAGGGCTGTAGTCTAAGTCTTCGCACGCTTCAATGGTGAACGACTAGAAATGTTAATTAAATGCACAACTGGCGGTTTGGGGATGAGCCTCCACTTACAGATATGTCAATATGGTCCTCGTGGATCGCGAAAGGTCTGCCGAGGGTGATAGACACAAGCCTAGCCGAGTGTTGTCAGTCATAGATAGAGTTTGAACTGTATCCAGGCAGTCCGCACTCACCTATCCATCATGTATATTGAGAAGAACAGACGCTTACGCCTGACAGTTTGTGCCTCCGATAGTCCTTGGAAGGTCGAATCACAATGCAGGCCCATTCCTAGTGCCAGACGAGCAGCAGTACCAACCAAGAACCATGTATCTAGAAGAGAGCAAGTCAGTCGCAACTCTGTGCACAGATATCCTTTTGCATCATACTTGGGCCCAATTGGTTGAAAAATGAAAATGAGACTTGAAGCATTAGAGCCTCGAGCGCGACCTAGGCCATATTAGTGGTCGATGAGAGTGGTTCTGTTCAGACACTCACGATGTCGCCATGGTCCATAGAGGCATCAAAAAATGTCATCGCCTTTTCATAGTACATCCGGGACACATATTCTTCTGCTAACGTTATCGAAGAATAAGTCGTCGAGCCAATAGCTAGCACCATCCAAATTCGAAACATGCTTGCCGGAGATAGCATTATATAGTACTCAGGATCCTCCAATATTGAATAGATGTCCGACATGACCTCTTGTTGGTGAACGATAGGATACAGAGTGTGAGAATGATCAAAGTAAAACTTGGCAAGCCGTAGCACCTCGGGCCGGCCTGGGAGTTGCGTTGTCTCAATCTGGCTCGGAGCAACACAAGCGGGCGATGTCCCTTCTCCGGCCAGGAGAGAGAAATCGATCGCTTGGTCGTAGTCAAAGTACATACTGTTTATGAGGTCCAGATGTAAGTGAGTGGCGCCCTCGATAGGCACCGTATTGTTGTCCCTACGAGGACTGAAGACAAAATCTCTACCATCCGGTGATAGTCTTCGAAGCACTGCTTGGGTCAATTTGGCGAAGGTCAGTCCGGAAATCGTGCCCAAGTAAGGTTCTGCTACCGCTGCGAGAGAGACATCTCTCAGGTTCTGTGCAAGAGTCTCTTGGTGAGGCAAGCTTGAACTCACATCACCCTGCTGAGGTGCTACGATTGGTGATCGCTCAAAGTAGACTTCACTAACATCATCACCATGTTGGCTCAACACACGCTGATCCGCAAGCGTCACATCAGTATTACCCAGAAAGTCTTGATTCGTACTCTCATCAGGACTGCGCGTCGTGTTGACCTCAAGCTGGGCAGTTGCTCCTTCCACTTGATATTGACGCGTCCCAGGCGACGCCAGGCTGGCTTGCTGTCCTTCCAATTCGCGGACGCGCTCTTCGAGGCTTCGAACGAAACTGTTCACCGTCAATTACGACTTTGCAACTGAGCACAAATTGGTGAGATAGCCTACGCGACTGGGTATGTGGCACTGTCGTGATCTTCCTCGGCAAGACTGCATGTGTGGTGCACAGACGCACAGTTCCCGCACTGCGGAAGGACACGATCACACTTCTTCTTGCGACGATGACAGCGTACGCAGGAGATTTTGGCTCGCGCAGACACCGATACACGAGGCGCACAGGGCATTTCGACAAACCTGAATAAACACTTTCGATGGACTGCGGACAATTATATCGTTGTTGATTGTTTTAGGTACTTGGTGACTACATATCGCCCGCTTATCTGCCTCCGCCTCACCCCGCGCCCGATAGGCGGGCATAGACTGGCCAAATGACTACACAGATTTGACATCCTCCTTATAATGCTCCTTCGTGCGTTCATACGCGGCTTGCATACACTCCTCCATCGTCTGCTTATCGCGTGGAATGAGTCTTACTTTGAAGTCGCGCGGAATTGCTACCAGTGCGGTCTTGAACTGGTTGTAGTCCACATAATCAGTGTTGGGAGGCTCAGATTCAGATGCAACGATCTTGTAGGAAGACAAGATGCGAATTAGGGCCGAATATAATAGACGCGTAGCAATCAGTTGACCACTGCAAGCGCGGGTGCCAGCGCCGAACGACAAGTGAGCTTGCGATGTCAGAACTCGTTCTTGGAAAGGACCCATATGGTTCTTCTCGGTTATAGGCTCGAGCCAACGCTCTGGGTTGAAGGTCTTCGCGTCCGGACCGAAGTGGTCAGAATCATGGTTACCGGCTTGTGCGTTCACCAAAATCATCGTTTTTGGTGGAATGATTGCGCCGTTCCAGTTTACTTCCGTTACAGTCCGACGTGGTAGACTCATAGAGCTCACAGTGTAGTAGCGTCCGGCTTCCTGGATGATTGCCTTCAAGTATGGCACCTTCTCCTCTTGGAAGCTGTTCTGCCATGCGTTACGGATATCTGGATAGTGACGCTTGATATCAGCGTAAGCGCGCTCCTGGAAGATCTGACCTTCCGGCGTGCAGAGTGATCCCAGACATGAGGTCAAGGTTCCTGGAATAGTCTCAAAGCCGCCACTGACCAAAGACAAGCAGATGGACGATACCTCAACTCCTGTCAACTTGGTCTCCTCATCCTTGAGAATGGCGGCACTGATGCACGGCTTATCGGTTCCCTTCTTGATCATCTCACGAACCTTATCCAGTAGAAGATTGAGATATGCGTCGCGTCGAGATCTGAGATCCTTGGAGCGAGTGGTTTTGTCGTTGTTAGGAAGATAACGTAGTGCTGGGACGTAGTCTTGCATGTTCTCCGATGCACTGCGCAGAAGCGATATGGCAGATCCGACGTGCAATATCTCACGGAGAAGATCATCGTACGTGTCGTCCATGCGTATACCGTAGCATAAAGTGAGGGTAGTATTGAGAGCAAAGCGTTGAATGTATGGTCTGATGCTGATCTCAATGTTGGGATCAGAGTTGTTGGAATCCTTATGCATGTCTCGTAGAATGCAGAAACTCTCCAGGTCGAACATCGGATGGTAGTTACGCATAGCCGGTCTGGAGAGAGCAGTTCCAGCTGCTTTGCGCTTGTTCTTACAGCTGGAGTCCCAAGGGCTGCTTCCAATGGTAAAACCTTGTGTACTGCTGATGACTCCGTGGAACGTGTAAAGCTTAGGTCGGTCTATCACTGCGTTGTGGTGCTTGACAAGAATATCGCGACAGGCTTCGAATGAGTTGAATACCACGGCTCGGGTGTTTCCCAGCTTGATTTGGAAGACAGGTTCATTATACTGCCGCCACCACTTCTCGCAAGAAGAAGCATGATCTTCGCCGAGCTTCAGCAGATGACCGAAGATAGGAATTGCTCCAGGCACTTCAGGTATGCCCTTGATATATTTGATGTCTGTGCCATATGCCCACTTTGACACTGTTAAAAGCTGTTTTGACTCTATGCTGGTGCTGCTGACTTACTGAGATGGAAATTAATACCAAGCCAATGATAACCAGTCCAGTGACGTATACGCCATTGGTATGGATAACCTCTGGATAAAAGGGCTCGAGTGAGGGCATTCTGTTCAGGCTGGAGATGGTATGCTGTTAGCCGGAGTCACTATACTGCTTGGATTCTTCTCCTATATATGGCCGCGTGAGTGGAATTTGGCATAGTCGTATCTGCTGATAAAAGCCCCCTGGAAGTGGCCGAACTGAGCGGCGGAGCGTCCGATCAGAGATGCTGACGATGAGACCTCGCGCAGACCTCACAAAATGTCACATGGGTTGGACCGATTGGCCTATCTTTCTTGCATCGGACATGCCGACAACGCGCCTTCGGACCCTGCGATGGCCGCTTCAAGCTGCATACCGTATCTTCCATATGAGTATTCGTGAATCTTCACGCCCTAATAGTTGATCAGTATATTCCGCTACCCTTTCCTTCTCAGATCCTCAAAGTCGAGTGTCTCTTCAACATGCCGGCCGCGACCAATGGCCAAGCTTTTCTCTTGAACCCAAATGCTCCTGAAGGACCTACCCGATTCCCACAAGCACGATCGATATCGGCGAATAGCCGCACAATCTATATTTCTGGCATTGCCAGCATACTTCCTGACGGCACTGTCGCTGGCAATGAGGAAGGCCAAGTGCCTGATGTTCGGAAGCAGACCATGACAATCCTCAACACAATCGACGACATCATCAAGGGCGCATCTGACGGAGAAGGAGGTATACACAATCTGATCGATGCCGTGGTCTATCTGACTGAGATGGAGCGAGATTACTCGGGCATGAACGAGGAGTGGAACAAAGTGTTTGCGAGTCGGATGGTAGCGCCTGCGAGAGCAACTATTGGAGTCAAGGATCTACCAGACCCGCGGTTTGTGGTGGAGATCAAGGGGGTAGCAGTGATTTCCGAGTGACTAATTGTACAAGTGCTGGAATGATAAGGTTATTCACTGATAGATGGAGGGATTCTGCACACGACGAGATGCGCGCGCCAAGCGTGGCTGACAAGAAGGAGCGCGTCACCAGTTCGCGTTTGCCTTCTCTGTAGCAAAAGGCATGAGAAGATTACAATTAATCGAGAAATGTCACTTTCTGAATGGCGCGGTATATCTGGTGGTCCCGCAACAAGATGATTGTGGAGTCTCTCGAGGTAAAAGCTCTCAGCAGATAACGTCCGTTGCCAACCACCTGAATTTCTACATCTATACGTTCTGTGATACGTGTGCGCTCCAACTTCTGATACCACTCCAGAGGAAAATCCAAACGTGAATTAAGGACACTACTCAAAGACCTTGTTGAGAAGTCTTCCGGCCCTTCCAAGCTTGCGCGGGATGAAGGTGGCTTCATAGGCGTCGATCTCCTCCCGCAATCCACCCAAGCTCAAGTCGGCAGTACCAGGGCGAACATAAGTACTCTTGAAGACCAACTTCCAGGATACGAATGCAATAATGAAAAATCCAATCATTGCGTAGTCCAGGAAGAACCACATAACACTCCAACGACCTTTGAGGAAGACATCGTATCCTCCTGCGAGAAGCATGAAGAGAGTGCCTCCCATGGCTAGGTAAGAGGTGTACGGCTGAAATTTTCCCTTATACGGGAGTGAATCTCTGGAGATTCCTTGCTTCTTGAGTGCTGAGAAGAAGTGTCGATATGTCAATGCCGTGAAGCCGTAGTTGAGCATCTGACAACATGTGATCAGGTCTACGAGGTAGGTCATGACCACTGCAGAAGAACTCTTGACCTGCATGAAAGCGAGCAGACAGAAGCACAGAGAGAAGCAGAGTGCATACAGCGGAACACCTTGCTTGGTGCAACGCGAAAAGAAACGTGGGGCGTGACCTTCGAGTGCCATGCCATGGAGCGTGCGAGCGGCCGAATACAATAGCCCGTTACCGGCACTCAAGATGGACGTCATGATGAGGGCATTGACTAGATGAGGCAGTCCAGAGATCTTGAGTCTTTGCATTGCGATAACGTAGGGCCTAGTGAGATAGTCAGAGTCTGTCCGAGACGTTGGGTGTGGAATCAAGACTTACGACGCAGCACCTGTGCCGCTTCCTCCCACGTCACCACCGAGTATTGCCAGAAGCGTGGGGTCGTTGTATGGGATAACAATACCAATACATAGCGCAGAGCCGGCAAAGAACACAAGCAGACGCCAGACGAAGGATCTGAAGGCAGGGGGTAATATCTTGCGAGGATTCTCGGTTTCCGCAGCGACAATCGAGATGTACTCTGGACCAGTGATACTGTGAGTTGTTAGCGGCTATATCCGTTCATCCAATGAGAAGTCTGAGTGCTTACGAGAAGCTCGCTTGATACAAGCAAGAAAGAACGCCCAAAAACTTGCCAGTATCGCCAGGCTCCAAGTGTTCGACGAAAGGAGTCTTCCAGTATCGAAAGCCGTAAGCATCGTGAAGAGGGTTTCCTCCAACCATAGTTATGAAGGTAAAACAGAACAAGCCGATCATCAGGAGGACCTTGAAGATGGACATGTAGAACTCGGAGATACCGAAGTACCGTACTGTGATTGTGTTCAGAATGGCATAGAGGACGATCATTGCTACAATGATGGCCTCAACAGGAACCTTGTCGGTCCAGAATGTTATCATGATGTTCATCGCGACGATCTCGAAGGGGACCAAGATTGCCATATTGAGGAAGAAGTTCCATGCCATGGCGAAACCGAGGGCGTCATCCACCCACGCACTGCCGAACTTGATGAAGGGTGATGGCACCGGGAGGTAAGAAACCATCTCAGCAAAGCATTCATTCACCGCCCACATCACTCCTGACCAGATGAGAAATGCGATGAACAATCCAGCTGGTCCACCCTTAGGCAGAGCGGAGCCCATCTGTACGTATAAGGCTTTGGTGACGGTCAGCTAACTTCGTATCTCAACGGGTCGATCTCCCTCTGAAATTGCTTACAGGTACCAATTGCACCGCCAATGGCGAAGAGCTGAACCTCCTTACCGCGCAGACTGCGATGCAGAGATTGAGCACCGGAAGCTATCTCCGTGACTGAGCCTCGAGCAACGTCTTCATCACTTTTCGACACCGGATTAGTCTCGGTAGACGGACCATCCTTGAGCTTCTCCATAAGTCGTATGGAGTTTTTGATGTTCGATCAGCACAAACTGTCTGGAGTGAGTATGTATGTAGAGCACCTAGGGACTGGGCTGTCGATTTGGGAGGGAAGATATAGCATAGATGAAGTGCAGCGTATGCTATCATAAAGGCAAGCTGGGGGAGCTGAGACTTGAAGGGCTGTCCGATAGCGACTGGGCCAATGGTGTTGAACCATTACAAGCCTACTCGAGATAAGATCTTTTGGAGAGGTCCATCTGTAGCAAGATAAAAGCGTATACCTTCAACAGATGTACTCAAGTAAGAAAAAGGCTATTCAGCCATCTGTCGGGGCTCCCGACGTTTCACCCTATCAGAACGAGAGAGACAGATAATTGTCGAAAAGAGTAAAGCTGACTAAAATCTTTCGTTCGGTTTTGGTGGATCTCGGTTGGCGAAGACGATAAGCCCCGCTTTGACGGGCGTAATGCGTCGAGTTTGGCGGCCTGTCCGACGAGATCACCTGCTTAGGGACCTGTAGGTCAACATACCACTTGTGTACTCAAATTAGTACTCATATCGAACAAAGATTGCACACCAAAAATCGTCCATTTTATTGAATCATGTCAGCCCTCAGTATCGAAAGACTTTTTGGAGTGAAGGGATATGTAGCTGTCGTCACTGGAGGCACCAGTGGGCTAGGTTTCATGATAAGTAAGGTACGGCAGCTCTGACAATCATGAACGAGATACTCTCTTCAAGCGCTCAACAAGAATCAACAGGGATTAGTTACAAACGGCGCAAAGGTATATGTCGTCGCATTATCTACCGAGCCGATAGAAGAGAAGGTAGCGGAGCTCAACGATCTTGGACGTACAACAGGTGGCTCGGCATACGGGTAAGTCACTGGAACAGTGACCTTTTGATGCTGTGGAGCTTGTCTGATATCCATTCACCAGGTTTTCCTGTGACGTCAGGAGTAAGGACCAGATTGCGGAGCTAGCAGCAGCTATCAGCAGTCGAGAAAGTCACCTTGATGTGCTGATTTCAAACGCTGGTATAAGACGAGATCCTCCAGTCCCCTGCGATGTACTCACAGCCCCTTTGTCCGAACTGCAGACATCCATGTGGTCGTCAAAGCATTCGGACTGGGCCGACACGTTTTGTGTGAACACTACCGCTCATTATTTCTTGTCCGTGGCGCTACTGCCACTGTTGTCCGCAGCCTCGAAGCTGGATCTGGGAGACGGACGACTGGGGCGGGAGACTGGTCGTGGAGCTGTTGTGGTGACGAGCTCTTGCGCTAGTATGCACAATGCGACGAACGTGGACTTGACCAGCTATGCGACAAGTAAAGCGGCAACGGACCATCTGGTCAGGTTGCTGGCGGCGAAATTCAGTCGATTCTACGTTCGAGTCGTCGGGATCAATCCTGGATGTGGGTATCTACGCAGTGACTGGAAAGGCGACCATAGACTGACAACAACCACAGTCGTTCCGAGCAACATGAACCCGGTCGGTGAAGCCGGAAACATGTTCAGCTCCCTATTTGATCGTGTGCCGGCGAAGCGGGCAGGGAACGAAGATGACGTTGCAGGAGCCGTCATCTATCTCATTAGTCGAGCTGGTGTAAGTGCCATTCGATGGCTCCTGGCGACGCTTCCTTTCGAATGACAGTTATGCTGACAACGATACAGGCATACATCGACGGCGTCTCTATCTGTATCGACGGAGGGCGTGTTCTTGTGGCCAATGGACAAGAATGATCACCGGACTCCGACGGACCATAGATAGAGCATGTCGACATCAATGATGCTGGTAGCTCAGGTCTCCAAGAAGCAGGTGTCGGGTGGATGCGACTCGAGAAGCATAAGCACGCGTCTCTGCACAATTGAACAAAGCTTTTATGCACGCACAAATCCCAGATAAGCACAGCACCTTCCTTCTCCGTAGCTAGTACTACATATGTCCTCAATTGACTGAGTACGTGATATTCTTCGTATCTCAAACGTGAAGTATGACACTTCCGTCTCTCCAGCATTGCGCTCCAAGATCACATATCTGGGCAGCCGTGTTCCTCGTCGGACCCTCCGACGTCCCTATCACGAGAACTCAGAACTCTATATTTGCGGGGTCAGCCCATCGCTCAGACAAGCATACACGTTGCAAGAATGAGAGCAATCGCTTAGAAATATAAGAGGCCTAGACACTCAATTCGACAGTATCGTGGTTCCCCTAATACCAACACGAACTCGTCTCTGCCGTCACTGCTAAATGTTGAGTGTCATCATCTTCATTGCTGCCATAGCGGCAGCGGCCTATCATACCATCATTGAGCCTCTCTATTTGAACCCCAAAAGCAGGATCCCCGGACCAAAAACGTTCGCCTTGACGAAGTGGCGCTTGGCCTGGGAAGACTTCAAAGGAACTCGGACAAGGACAATTCACGCCCTCCACGAGAAATACGGGCCGATCGTACGCATTGGTCCTGACGAGATTCATTGCAACAGTCTTGAGGCCCTCCGCACAATATATGGAGCTGGAAGTGGGTTCGAGAGAACATGGTTCTATCGCATGTTTGACGCATACGGCAAGCAGAACTTGTTCACGTTTCACACGGCCAAGGAGCACAGCGAGCGCAAGAAACTGGTCGCCAATGCTTACTCCAAGTCGTTGATGCTCAAGGGTCCAGCGGCGTTGATGGTTCAGGAAAAGGTTTCTCAGTACCTGGCGCTTATCAGAGCACAAGGCGATCAACCGCACGAGATTTTCGGTAGCCTACACTACTTCTCGCTCGATGCTATCACCCACTTTCTATATGGACCTTCATATGGTGGTACATCTGCCCTCAAAGGTGATGCTAAGGACCGTGCTCTACTCAACGATATAGTTGACCCGACTCGTCGCTACTTAAGCTGGTTCGCGGTTCATCTCCCTTCTCTGACCAAATGGTTGTACACGCGTCAGGGCCTAATCGAGCGTATGCTCAGACCAGTGCTTCCTATGCAAAAGCCCACCACATATACTGGAATCCGCAAGCATGCGTTAGATGCTTATTACCGCTTTCAAAGTGCTGCAGAGACGGAGTCGGATTCACTCATTGCAGAGCCAACTATTATCTCACGATTATGGAAATCGCATACGAGTGTCAAGGGCTCGGATCATAATACTCTAGACTCCCTAGATATTGCGTCGGAATGTGCAGATCACTTGCTTGCAGGTATCGACACAACAGCAGACACACTAATGTTCCTGATCTGGGCATTGTCACGGCCACAAAACTTGGACATACAGAAGCGCCTGATCGAAGAAGTTCGTGCATTGCCGCAGGATGCGTTTGAGGACGACTTGCCCAAGCTCGATGTTATCGACAAGCTTCCGTATCTGGATGCAGTCATCAAAGAGACGCTCAGGCTCTATGCTCCACTACCAGCTTCGGAACCTCGTTCGCTGGCAACTGATTGTGTTATCGATGGCTACACTATTCCAGCACGTACTGTGGTCAACATGTCGCCATATTCACTACACAGAAATGCTGACGCATTCGACGCGCCACTGACATTCAACCCTGATCGCTGGTTCGGTCAAGCAGATAAATTGGCACTGATGAATCGCTGGTTCTGGGCCTTCTCTAGTGGTGGCAGGATGTGCATAGGACTACAGTAAGCTAGCCTTACATAATAATGAGTAGCGGAGAACACAGAGCTAACAATTTAACACAGTCTGGCAATGGCAGAGATGACAGCATTGGTAGTGGGTATTTATCGAGAGTATAGCACATCCATCGCGCCAGGCTTTGAAGAAAAGTCTCCGGCGATCACATCTAGATTCGAGATGTTTTACGATGAGACTGTTCCAGAGATAGCAGTAAGTGCATGCACGTGAAACACCATTTAATCTATCATCTGACGGGTTTCTCCAGGAACACACATGCATGATCCATTTTACAAAGGCGTCATTGTAATGACATCTGTCTACAGTTTATCAACCAGTTGTCCAGATTTTGAGAGTATCAAGTCTACTATAACACGCTGTCTTATTCTAGATAAATCTTCAGCTGCAAGTCCTATCCAAAAGCCAAATTTGGTCAAAGCAGGCTTCACCAAGCCAGTCTTCACATCCAGCTCCTGCATGTGACAAACAACACACGTCTAAGTCTCCTTCTGTGTGGTGATATCACCGGGATAGATCAACCTGGCAGTACCCAGATCGATGTCCTGATCTGCATGAATTCTTGACTCGTGATTGACGATTTGAAATAGGCGAAGAACCTTGCGAAATGCGAGAGCAGAGGTTTGTGCAGAATATGCGGCAAGCGCGTATAAATTACAGGAAAAACTCCTTTGTGTGGAAGAGGAGGATAGATAGCTCAGAAGTCAAGGATTGGTGGAACAGTCTCTTGGACGGCAGAGTGATGTTGTGACAAGTGTTATAGTGGCTATGGGGGAGAGAGTAGAGTTGAAGGGGTATCGGAGACAAGTCGCTACTGAGCGGGTTGATGCGAGACTTGGTCTGCTGGTTACCAAGGTGGACTGTCTGTAGCTTGCGATTGAGAAAATGGGGATTGATTTGGGGGAAGAAGTTGGGGGAGTTTGATGATATGTTGGCAGAGAGGTTTGGAGAGTTGGAAGGTGCGATATATGCATCTATGGCGAAGCAGAGTGATGCTTTTGCTTCACCTGTACGCTCTCAGATTGCTGATTACGCTGTAGAACGCCAGTCTCTGTCCGAAGCTCCACAGTCATCTGCAAGGGAAGATTCAACTGACGAGGGCACTGAGCACCTGTCCAAGATTGAAATCCGGAGAAAAAAGCGACTTTGCTGAGGAGGTTATAATTAGGCTTTTCTTACGTGTATACCATCATTCCTCGTCCGAACGTCATAGACTTAGCTAGCTAAGCGGTCGGTTTACTGTAAGAAACTTTGGCCTTACGGTTAATTACCTAAACTTACTGACTTGTCAGTTACCTCTAGCACCCCTACTAAGAATTATCCTAATGGACTGATCACCCTACCAGTCTAGTTGTAGACGTAGCTAATCCATTTAACTAAGATTTCTGCGTTAGTAAGCTAATTTGAATCCTTCCCCGTGTTTATTTTGTAATTAAGAGGGAACGAACGATCGTGTTACAGTCTTTACTCTGGTCGTTATAAATGCTAAGAAGGCTGTAATCATTCTGCCAACAGATAAGGTGCTCTTTCCTCTGTAGTGTTGTCTCCCTAATACGTAAGGCGTCCATCGATGTTAGAGCTTGCATAGTATTAACACGGCATCTGCGTTAGTCTCGTACAGCGAACAAAAAATCATAATGGGCCCGGTTACGCTCGTCGTTGATTTTGGTAGTAAACAGTACCCGCGTTATGACGTCGGCGTGCCTGTCGTAAGCTCGTATTTTTGACCAAAGCAAAACACAACTGTTTGTTTATGTTCACTTAATCATGCGTCTACAAATTTACGAGTAAAGGTTCCCTTATAAGCAGTCTCGATTGATGTGTTCGCATGACGTTTGTCTTGTGTGCTTCATTATCGAGCTTCTGATATGGCCGAGAGTGGACAGGGGCTATATGACTGTGCGATGCTTCTCGACTCGCAAATGTATCCGGAGACGGACTGATACCGCGAAGGAGTCCAGGCCATGGCATCTGGTGTATACACTCGGTCATACCTTTTGACTGCGTCTAGAGTGACATTCTCCAGTACCAGGATTAGTACATGATCTATAGTGGACAGGAAAGATGGTAGGAAGCACAGAGACAGGGTCATCCTAGCTGCCAGGAGACTTGGTCAATCCGCACTCCTGATTTCCACGGGATGTCTCTAGGGACAAGACCGCGCATAGATTGTGGTCCAGAGGGAAGATGGCCGCTACAAGATTGGTTGGGGGGATATTATGATGTCGGGTGTCTAATATAGCTGTGATTGGTCTCAAGAAGCGGGGTTACCACGCCTCATGAGCGAGATCCTGCAACGGCATGAGCGGAACAGGACCGAGAGAGTTAAGGTTATTGGTGGCATGCAGCGTGGCATGGCAGAAGGTAATCTAGACGTCAAGTCTTGGGTATTGGAAGTTGGGTTCTTTTGTATGTGTGTTTGATTTGCTTCTGGAATAGAAGATGTAGTGAAGAAACGCTAAATAAACAAGACAGAATCCTCAATGAACGAGAAATTCAAAGAGTGCATCCACTCTATCTGAGTATGCAGAATATGAGGCATCCTCAAGAACGAAGATGCTGCCCAGCGCGTTCTAATGTTGTATAGTCATGATGCGCTCTGGCCGAAAAGCAGCGTCTATAATGTGTATCCGGGCCATGTATGTGTCTATTCCCTCCTTTTGTTTCTTTATGTGTTGGGATTGTATTTGGGGTATCATTGTTGGTTTACTCGGAAGCCTTGAAGGTCATGCGCTCCTCGATCTGGAAGGGAACGCCGAGCTCGAACAGCTTCATGACGACATTGGAGAAGTCGTGGAAGAAGGCCTCGTTGTCCTTGGCGTACTTCTCGACGTAGGACTTGAAGCTCTTGTCCTTGATCAAGGCCATGTCGGTGGGAAGCATCATGAGGGTCTTGGTGGAGACGTCCTCGAACTGCTTAGGACCGTCCCACTTCTTGTAGGCCCACTTCTCCTCCATAAGGAGCTTGTAGTAGTCGTTGGTGAGGGTAGTGGGAGAGAAGGTCCAGGGGCCAGAGAAACCGGAACGGTCGGTGTGGCAGCGGCCGAGAGCGTGGGCACCAGAGAGAGCGACAATCTCCTGGTCGTTGAAGCCCATGCGGTTGAAGATGGCGCGGAGGTGCTTCTGCTCCTTGGAGGCATCGGGGAGACGGCCGTCGGGAGTGCAGTATGAGACATCGCGGTCGTTACGGCCAGGTCTCCAGGGAATCTTGGGGCCCTGCATCTCCTGGATGGCAGCGACACCTGCAAGGGTCCAGAGATCGGAGTAGGTGATCCAGGGGAACTCCTTCTTGACGGGGTCGAGGAAGTCGCGGGCAGCGTGAAGACCGGCGTTGGCACCGTGGTCACCCTCAGGGGGGAATCTCATGGTAGCACCGTTGCTGCCACCAGTCTTGGTCTCAGCGTCGTAGGTGCCACTGGCGTGCCAGGCGAGACGAACGAGGACAGGACCGTATGAGCCATCATCGTAGTCGTCGTGCTCAACAAGGAGTTTAGCAATCTTGTCGTAAACCTTCTGGTAGTCCTCCTGCTTAGGGGTGAAGACGCCAGCGGCCTTGACCTGCTCGGCACCGTTCATGTAGTAGAAGCCAGCACCACCAGCAAGGGCAGCAACGAGGCCACCGACCAGGAGGCCATTGCCACCCTTCTTAGCACCAGCAGCGTCAGCGTAACCACGGCGGCTCGACTGAGCGAAGGGGGTGCGAGGGACGAAAGTAGCGCTTCTCTTCAACGAAGAAGTGGCGGGGGAGCGCAGAGCGCGGGCGAAAGATTTGGCAGCGGAAGCCATTGTGTATGTGAGAGGGATTAGGGTAGGTGAGAGAGAGAAATCAACACACTCCGGGTATCAAAAGAAAGGGAAAGAGGATCAGACACGACAAGAGCAGTAAGTTTCCCAGCGACCTGTTGATAATATATGGAGCCTTCGCGATCGGATAGCGCATGGGCCATGGAGCTCGTTGTCGCTGACAGAAAGTTGTCAAAACCTTCGCCCTGATTCGATAAGGGACTCCCGGACGGCATTATCCAGACCCACCCTCGGGGCCTTATCTCTGCTCTCGGCCCTCGGTATGGTCAATACTGCATGGGCATGTGTTAGAGGACCAACGGACATGAAGCCTAACACAACTTCTGATTTATTGAACGTCCATCGACGTGGGAGCAGAGAAAAGTCTACGATGAGTAGTGTTTGCCATCCGAAAAAAATTCATTGTTGACCGAGATTTTGATGGAGCAACCGGCAAAGCTGCAACGCGTGTTCCATGGATGGCAGGTCAAACCCTGCACTTGCTGGCAACTTCCGTCAAGCAGGGACGAAACCAAGACTCGCGCGTACCTGCATTCGTAACGGCCATCGTCGCTCTCGCGATGAATTGCTTCCTCCGAATTGGACACGCGCTTACATGTGTAACTTTGAGGGAAAACTTGCCTCAGCTCGGAAGTGTCACGGATGGTGTCTTCAAACAACGCGATCGCATTCCTGCAATGCGCGCAGCATCTCCGCATCCCATAAGCATCGGAGCCGAGGCCGGTCGTGTCTGCTGTACCAAGGAACATTATCATCCCGCTTACCGATCTCGTATGCGTTGCCACTGTCAAGTCTCGATACCAAGGTACCACTCTGCTTGTCGCAATCTGTAGCCACGTCTGCGGTGATGACGAAGGCTGTTCAAGAGATCCGGAAGACGAGTGTGGGGAGATCGACCCGCTTGCTGGTCAGCAAAAACCGAGCCAACGAGATGGCTTCAGATGACCTTGATATAGAGCAGATCTCAATGGGTTATGACAAAGCCGATTGTACATCCGCCATCATTATGCTAGCAGCCAACCTCGTGTCCGTTAAATGGACGTTGGATTCCTGCCTAAACAGCACGATGCATTATTGACCTTGACAGAGGCAAGCAGTTCTCTTCGTCTAGGACGCATACTATTTTTGTTTCTCAACTACTTGCAAATATTGCAAGGTCGTCGTAAGCACGCTCACTCGATCGCAGTATGAGCAGCAAGTTGTATTTCAGCATCGCCATTATCAGCACTTCCATGCGTCACAGCTTCAATGCAGCCCAGCTCATCTCAATGCTTGTAGCATTCGACTCACACGCAGGCTATGACGAGCTGAGAACTGCCGACGTGTGCAACAGTCACACCCTGAATGACTCATCTAGTAATCTTGATCTGAGCAATCTCACCATCAGGGTACTGCATATCCAAACTCCGGTCTCGGACGTCTCCTTATCGCATTTGATAAGTTCGAGGATAATATGCAGACATTGAAGATGCTCCTGGCATTGTTGTATGATATGACTTCTGCGGAACGTGGCCGCTATACCAATTGCGTTCTCGTATTGGCTCGACAGCTGACGTTGACGCCGAAGTATAACGTTTATAGGTACCTATTGTACCACCAAATAAGGGCACAAACCCGAGGTTCAAAGAGGAAGGTGTTGTTACACGAACCGACTTCCGAGATCGGCACAAGTTGATTTTTGGTCGGCGAACATCGCTCCTTCCCGAGCCATCTTTACGATCCTTCGTAACAATTTCAATATGCAAATATGAAAACCTGCTCTCGTGGCCAGCAGTAGCTGGCCGAGTAAAAGGACTTCTGAACAGCAAAAAACTCCATCAGCATCGTCATTGCGATCTACCAGAGCGCGTTCGCGATTTGGTGCACGGTGAAGATTTCGCTGATGCAGCAACTCTTTCGGGAGGATTCCGCCGTCATATTGCCAAGAAGCGCCCCATACATCCTGCAGATCTCTTTGCGGGGAACAGGGAGGATGGAACGAATAGAGATGCGAATTAATGGCTTGCATGTGTCGTTTTGCGAGGTCAAACGACAGTATCGCATGTCAGGATGGACGATCTCGCACGGCGGCGTCCGGGTCGCAAAACAGTCAAGTACAGTCATCTCTCCTCTTTCTTTGACGGTCTTCTTCTTCTATCATATTTTTTGCTTTACACGCTATAAGCTCAAGCTTGACTCGTCATAATTGCCTTGGTGTGGTGCAGTCACTTGTTTCGTTCACGGCCGAGTCAATCTTTCGGACCTACTGTACCTCGAAGAAGAAGAACATATAAGCAGAGTTGCCCAGCATGCCACATCGCGAGAGTAAGCCCATACTTTCGACTTTGCGACGAACGCATCAAGATGACTGACTCAATGAAATCAGAGGACATTGATGGTGGATCGCCATCATCATTCGATCGCGTAGAGACAGGCACAGCATACGACGACCAACTTGTCTGCCCACCCCATACGACGGAACGCAAGCTGGTGACAAAGATCGACTTCCATGTCGTGCCTTTCTTGTGTATCCTTTACTTGCTCGCCTTCTTGGACAGGTATGTCGCGACAAAGCCCCAGAAAGAGTAGAGAACACAGTCTGAGCATATGTCCTAGAGTCAACATCGCAAACGCCAATGTCGCCGGCATGTCGGAAGACCTTGGCCTCGAAGGCCACGAGTACAATACAGCCCTTGTCATCTTCTTCGTCCCCTACATCATATTCGAGATTCCTAGCAACATATTGCTCAAGAAGTTCAAGCCGCATGTCTGGCTATCTGGTTGCATGTTCTTGTTTGGCCTCACTACGACATTGCAGGGAGTGGTCACAAATTATTCCGGCTTGCTCGCGACTCGCTTTTTCCTGGGAGTGTTCGAGAGTGGCATGTTTCCTGGTTGCTTCTACCTGCTAGGCACATGGTACTTGAGAACGGAGGCACAAAGAAGATATAGTTTCTTCTTCTCGAGTACAACACTCGCCGGTGCTTTTGCTGGTCTCCTTGCCGCGGCCATTGGAAAGATGGATGGTATTTTTTTCTTGCTCGTGCGTCGCTATGAACGTGTACTGACCTATCCACAGGAATCGCAGGCTATGAAGGTTGGAGGTGGATCTTCATCCTCGAAGGACTCCTTACATGTGTCGTCAGCGCCGCCTTCTTCTTCGTTCTCCCGGATTTTCCTGAAGACAGCAAGTGGCTTACCGAGGAAGAAAGAGCATTCGTCACAAATCGTCTCCGCATCGAGCAAGGTGCATCGGCTGTGGATCGCAAGACCAGTGCCAAAGACGTTGTCAATGTCTTCAAGGACTACAAGGTCTGGCTCGGTGGCTTCATGTATTTCGGCCTCATCGTACCCGCATACAGCTACGCCTACTTCTCGCCAGCAATCATCAAGGCCTATGGCTACGGACAAATCCAAACGCAACTGCACAGTGTACCTCCATGGGCGGCTGCCTTTGCGTTCGCGATGATCCTCGCCTGGTTGTCTGATAAGACGCGTCACCGCTTCGGATACGCCGTCTTTGCAGTTTGCGTCGCCATCGTCGGCTTCGCAATCCTCATCTCTGTACACGACAACCAGCCTCTACAATACGCTGCACTCTTCCTTGTAGCTATGGGCTGTTACTCTGCTATGCCCATCATAGTTTGCTGGTTCAACATGAACCTGGGAGGACACCATCGCAGAAGTGTTGGTTCCGCGTACCAAGTCGCGTTTGGAAATATTGGTGGTATCATCGCCGTCTTCTCTTTCCTCAAGGGTGACGCACCATTGTACACCAAAGGCTATAGCATTTGCATTGCCTTCACGTGTTTAAGTGTTGTAAGCTGCATTGCTTACTACCTCGCCTGCGTTACACAAAACAGACAAAGAGAAAAGACAGTCACGGATGTCGGCTTGACAGAGTACGAAAAGACTGAGATGGGGGACTTGAATCCCGAGTACAGGTATCTTGTCTAGAGAGCCCACGATACACGAGGCAGGAAAAGTTGGTGGCACGTCTTTTATGTTTAACGACTTATTCCAATCTAATGAGTGTCAAAGTTCAAAATAAATATTTCTACACATTGGACTTATTTCATACTGACGGCCTCGAATATGCCTACGAAGGCATCGTCTTGAGACCCATGAATGTTGCCAACATTGAGGTCGAGAGTATTTTTACGAGCGTTGCGAAGAGCCAAGATGAGCCCTTCACAGGCAGCTCCTGGACATAAATATATCTCTCAAGAGTTACCGCCATAAATTCAAGATCCGGCCTAAATGCCGCCTGGAAAATGGAGAATCGGCGGATGGACAATGTTACGTTTAGGCTAAATCCCCGACCCATGTCTCGACCAGACATCATGACGCAACTCGAAGGTGGAGAAATCGCGGGGATCTTGCCATCCTCTTCCCGTCTTCTTGAACGAACAAAGCTTGTGCGGACAACATGCTTCTCTGCCGTGTGAGAAACGCGAGGGCTGGATGGACTAGCGGAGATGTGCAGTCGCGAATGCCGTAGCCGAGACAGCCTGTATGAAGCTTCCTATAGCTTTGAAAATGAGACAGGAAAGTATAAGAAGGTAGAGTTGTCCATCTTGTTTCAGTTGCACTTCTTCACCATAATCTTCGAAGTCTGTTCATCATGCCTACATTCACACTCCAAGCGTTACTTGCTCTGTCCTCTGCGGCATCAGCCTGGCCACACTTTGGCCCACCCGGACCTCCCCTCCACTCCGGACCACCTTCTCCCCCGCCTCCCCCTAGCTCAAAGCCTTCTTCTTGGAACCTGAAGAAATTCACCAGTCTTGTCGCTTTCGGGGACAGCTATACTGATGACTCTCGTCTCAGCTACTTTGGCTCCCACAACGGCAGCGCTCCACCAGTCGGCTGGATCAGTCCAGCAAATTATCATTCGGCAGACGGCGGTCGTCCCTGGCCTCAATATGTCGCTCAGTATGCAGGTGCGAATATCTACAACTATGCTGTCTCGGGAGCAGTTTGCAGCAACAATATCACTCCTCGCACATTCTCTGCCATTAATGCCGACTTCCCTGATGTCGATGGCTATGAGGTCCCTGCGTACCTTGCGGATAGCAAGTACTCGTATCCCAATGGTACAAACGCATTGAATGTTCCCGTCGACTCAACCGTCTACTCCATTTTCATCGGTACCAATGATCTTGGCAACTATGCCTTCATCGACGACAGCCAGGTAGCTGGCAAAGTCATCCCCGACTACATTGATTGTGTCTACGAGCAATTCTCCCGCTTGTATGCTTCAGGAGCCAGATACTTTGTTCTCCAGAACGTCTCGCCTCTGCAGTTGAGTCCTCAGTACGGTCTGCCCAGCAAGGGCGGTTTGAACGCCACGCAATACTGGCCTGAGAAGCCAGCCAACACGACAGAGGTCTGGGGCAGAATGCTCGAGACCGTTACCACGGTCAATGATGTTTACAAGTACCGCACACCCTTCGAGATCTTGATCAACCGAAAGTATCCCGGTGCCCACTTCGCTCTAATGGATATGTTCGGTTTGGTGAGTTTGCCTCCTTCCACAAACTAGAACATTGAAGACTGATTGTAACGCACAGATCACCGACATGTACAACAACCCCTCAGAGTATCTGAATGGCACAAACCCTACAGTGACTGGTTATGTCAATCACTGCACTACTGCTGGCACAAACTGTGTTGCTGCTTCTAACCCTGACTCGTACCTTTGGTATGATCCGCTGCACCCTAGCGAGCAAGCTGAGCGTGGCTTCGCAAGAGCGTTCATTGATGTGGTCGGTGGAAACAGCAAGTGGGCTACTTACTACTCTGCTTAAAATCAGACAGTGCATACACGATGTTGATAGTTTCTTTGAGTCGAAATTTTATGAAACGATGAGACATCATGCTACAATGAAAGGGGGCTACCTCCGCACTCCTGGCCGCCCGGTTACCAAAGGCTCTTTCGTGCATTGGAGCAGATTCCGCCAGCTAGTTCACTGCGACGAGATGCTTGGGGGTATGGACTCCATATACATCAAGCTGACCTGAATACGTGAATTGGCTTTCACAGTCCTCTTCCGCCGCAATCAGCCACCCACAATTACCACTCATGCTTGGCCCCGACGCGTCCTCCCACCACTCCGGCCTAATATGGGTCACTGGGTGGATTAAGATATTCCTAGCTGATATGCGTGGCCAGTGCTACACCTATATCACACAGCACCATGCAGTCGATCCGTATCGTCATTATCTATTCGTCGATCATGCATGAGATGGAGGGTCGCCGATGCAATGGCTACCCTATGAGCCTCAGAAGGGAACGTCGTAGGGTATCTATGATACTGGGTCTGGCTGAGGGAATGTCTTTGGCATATACCTCCAAGGAAGAGAGACGAAGACGTAGGAAATAGTTGAGGATCAACATGGAGGCAAAGGCAAAGGCAAAGGCATTCAGCAAGTCGGCGAAAATGCAGACGGAACAATAAAAGCTGAGGTTGAGCGGGGGAGAAAACGTCACTCCATCTGGGCGGACAGGCACACCGAGATACCCGTCCGTATATGACGGTGGGTCAACAATCGAGATCCTGCAGCTATCGCTCTCCGTTGTCGCAATAACTTTATCGTGCAGTTGAATACTGGTACGGTATTTTCGAGAAATGAAGTGGGTTCCGTACAAAGAGAGAAACCCTTTCGAAAAGCTCGTAGACCAGGTCTCGACAGTTGCTTCAAATTTGATACTCTATCTCTCGACCAAGTGTTGCAATCTGAAATATAATTGTGCATTTTGATAGCATGAAACCCTTTAGGGTAAGTGTCGGAATTGCTTCTGATCGAGTCGGTGTCTCCTATGATAGGCAACTGCTCTAACAACAGGTCACAGGCATAGTCTGCCTCAATTTCTCGTAGAGAACGCTCGCTTTCTGTTTGGGACTTCCTTCAACTGTGACCTCCGTTGGACTGACCCAGCCATCTTTGGTACGGAGGTATATGTATTTCTCCGTGTCGTGTCTGAAAATTGAGATAGCGCCGGGATCGAGAGGGTGATTGCCAATCCTGAGGATTGGTCCTTTGGCTTGAACTTGTTCCCAACACGCATCGGTTGTGTCCTCGAATCCGTGGAATGTGATTCTTTTAGTAGGTGCAAGACCTGTGTCTAATGCGAACAGACGGCCGAGCACACGATCTCTGAGGAGAATTTCAGAAGAAGGCCAACGGAAGTTTACATGTCGGTCCTCCGGTACAATTTTCCTAGCATGGCGAGGATAATCTGCTGATCCGTCAAGCTGACCGAACAAATCACTTTTCGTGTTTTTGAGACTCCGACTAGTCGCGGGTCTGATGTCGATGTCTGAGGCGAAAGCGCCATTCATGATATTGGTGTAGAGCATCTCAGCACCGAGCGGACCAATCCAGGAAAGCAATGAGTCTAAAGTGGCGGATGCTTCATCAGGAATCGACAATCCTGGTGTACGGGTCTGATCAATGATTCTACCCTGATCGAAATGCTTCGGATGCAGTGTTTGGAGCGTCACACCGGTCTTGTTTAGGCGTCGTAGTAAGGTATGATGTAGAGGAGCTGGACCAGGTAGACTGAACAGAAAGACATGTTAGTCGCAATGTGGATAGCTAGGCGTTAATCAAGACATTACTCGGGAAGCATTGAGGGGTGTACGTTGAGGCCACCGTATTTGGTAGCGTTGAGAATTCGCGGCGGTACTAGCAAGCCAAAGGAAACTGCGACCACCATGTTGAAAGGTTGATCATGGATTTGGGGAGGCGTCCAACCAGTGAACGTATCAATTTGATGTACATTGAGGCCAAGTTCAGAAACTGCCACGCTCTTGATTGGTACTGTAGACGCTCAGCAATCAGAATGCCAGCAGGTGCAGCGATAATTTTACCTTCGCGGATCTGCTTCAGTCCTCGACCAACGCGCTTGTCCTTCCTACATACTACATCGATAGAAGCTACCTTGTCCGGATGTTCTTCTTTAATCTTGTTTAGCGCTTTCAGTGAGAATATACTAAACTCATCTGCGCCGCAGAAGAGAACACGCAGAGGATCATGTTGGGATGAGCTTGATAGATGCCGCCTCGATGACACACAACTCCGGCATGCAAAGACTCTGCTTCTCGCGGTGTAAGAAGCAAGACTGCCAATTCGTAAAACCATTCCCGCAAATTAATTGTTTGTCGAATGAACTACTCGGTCGCGTAGGCGGAAAGTGGATGGTCGAGCTCCGAGGGGCGCACGTGATCAAGATGCAGTGCCAAGGCTCGCTTGTGGTTTCGCCCGCTTCGTGCGAAAAGTTTGCGAAACTCCATCTTTTGTGACGACCCGAAGAGCATCTCGACAAGCAAACCGCCCTCTCGCCCAACGACGACGTAAAAATGTCCACCACCCAGAAGACCCAGAAGCCCAAGGCTGGCCGTTCCGCCATCGCCGATGTTGTCGCTCGCGAGTACACCATCCACATGCACAAGCGTGTACGTTGTTCAGTTTGATGAAGTCCATCAATGGCCGCTCTCCAACATGAGCTGGTATCGGGCGGAAGACTGATTCCGGATTTTTCTAATATAGGTTCACGGTGTTTCCTTCAAGAAGCGCGCTCCCCGCGCCATCAAGGAGATCAAGGCCTTCGCCGAGAACGCCATGGTGAGTTACAACTCTTCTACCCATGTCTGCTTATGTGTTTTGGTTGTGCGCAGAGTCTTCCTCATTGCGACGCGCCTATCCAAACACTTGCGACACCATCTTCTCGACCACAGACGCTGACTGGTTCTTTCTACTTTTAGGGCACTCGCGACGTTCGCCTCGACCCCCAGTTGAACAAGAAGGTCTGGGAGTGTGGTATCAAGGGTGTTCCTTTCCGCCTCCGTGTCCGCATCTCGCGCAAGCGTAACGATGAGGAGGGCGCCAAGGAGAAGCTTTACTCCTACGTCCAGGCCGTCAACGTCAAGGACCCCAAGGGTCTTCAGACCACCGTTGTCGAGGACGCATAAGCGTATCGCTTCAGGATGCCGGACTTGACTTGATTGGTTTTTTCAAAAAGAGGGCGCTGGTCATGGAATGGGAATGAACAACTGTTTTACATTTTTACTGAGCTGGGATGCATCGGTTTACGGCCATAAACCATGGAGTCACGATATGGCGGGAAAAGCAAAGTACTTTTCTTGTTGCTTCACAATACCACAACAAATCAGGAAAAAACAGTTCGACCCTTCCTGTCTCAACTCTCATGACTGTGACCTGGTCTCTTCCGATAACGTCGAACTCCAATATGCTTTTCAAACCTTATGTTGCTCGACTTTGCGTTGACCTGTCTCGTATGGTTCACGATTCTAACTGTCAAATCAGCTATCCTAAAACAGGCAATGTACTTCATCTCTAGAGCATTCAGATCTGTCAGATCTACACTGCACCGAGAATGATTAGTCGAGAGCTTATGTACAAGAATCGAGGTCGTGAGTGCTGTATCAGCTCTTAAACAATCTTTCACTCCATCTTTGTATACTATCAACTCTCCTGGCCTGAGGACTGACTTGACGGGGAGACGGCTGTGAGAGTTCGGACATGTCTCCGTGGAGACCCAGATCTAAAGCGACAGTTTTTGATACCGAAGTTGGGCCGCATCGAGTTTACAATTTTGATCACTGATGCAAGAAGAAGGAGTTGATATATGCAGACAGTTCTTGGTGTCTTGCGTCGCTACTATCTACGTTCACCGACTTGCGCAGGGCGTCAGTTGTGTTCTTCCCGGACCATGGTCGATTCTTCTGTATCTGTTTATACGACGCTGGCGGACATTTTTCTTAGCAGAATTCCGGAACGCGAGCGCTACTCTTCTGTTCGTGAACTTGCCTCCAACGTCGACAATACCTCACTTGGACTTGTCGCCGCGCTCGCCGATTCATGTCCGGATGAAGAAGCCAACGTGCATCTAAATGAGTTTTTGATCAGATCAATTGAACAGGATGAAGCTTCTCCGGCTGCAGCTCTGTGCGTCCAATATCCTCGGATCCGAAATGCTTTATTGCACTGGACAGATCGCGAACTTCACATATGCTTCTCACAACTTCTACGTCAACCAGAAAACACTGAATTTGTCGTCCCGGTTGAGAAAATTTTGATCGTTGATCCATTCGTGTCGCACTACGATCCTGAACTCGGAGTTGATCGCCAACTCGATGAACTTGTCAAGACGACAATCTTGTACCTGAGCTTTGCCAAACAGCTCTTTCGAAGTCCTATCTCTGACAAGACATTCACTGTCTCGAGTCCGATAGTCAGTGCTATATTTGGTCTTCTTGCATCTTCGAACGCGGACATCGCAACTGCGGCCAAGGATACCATTCTCGCTTTCCTGGCCGCTTTCAAAGCTGGTACTTTCACGTTCTCGCACTACAAGACAGATCCGGATGAGTTAGACAGACATCTCTGGCAATGTATTCGTAACCTATTGGACTTTAGCGAGCGGAGTTCATACAAGACTACCGCATATACTATCTGGTTACGATGGCTTGATCTAGACAGTCACGGCTACTCGCGTCAAGTCGCTCTACAGAAGGACTCTTACTGGAAGTACCTGCTTGGCACACTCGGTCAATCATCTCAAGGAGACACTGAGCAACGAAAGATATGTCTACATGTCCTCAAGAAATCCATCTCGATCTCTCGCAATAACATTCGCGCCAACGATATGGAGTTGAAATTGGACCAAGAAGACAAGCCAGGATCTCTAGTCACTGAATCTCAGTATGCAAGATTCTGTACAGTGTATGAGACAATTGTCATCGGAAGATACCTCAATCAGGCATTGGAGTGTGTACAGGACCTGGATCATCTTGCTTCCGCAGAAACCATGGTCCAGAAGTCATGGCTCTTTGCTTTGCTTGAGTCTTCACTCTCACCAGTTACTCAAGACAGCATGCGTAAGATGTTGGGAAACTGGCTGATGAGCACTGACGTCAGACTGTTCAGTCATGCTGAAGAGTTCGCGACGTTATTGCAGAAGTCGTTCCTTCCATGGGCCACTCAAGGTCCTTTGTTCACTGGTAGTGTTCAGGGAAAGACGAGAAACATGAAGTGTGCTCATGGAACAAGACTGTCAAACTTCTTGGAGCGGCTGCTACAGGTCCATCTCAGCCGGGATGATGCGTACTCAAGAAAATGCATTGTCAATGCTGTTCTGACATATCTGGATACCAACAAGAACAAGATCGTTCCTGTCGCCGTCATCTACCTGCTTCAGGGCCTGGCCAAGGGTCTCAAGGGAGAGTCTACAGCTTGCATGGAAGGCGAGGCACTAGAGCTGATTCTCAGTCTATCGAGAATTACGGGCTACCCTGAAGTTGCACGCGATGCAATGCTCGTACAGTGCTACAAGCTCTCAAAACTCATCAGTCAGGACGCAGAGACATACGGAGAGCTTGGTACAGAAAAGCTTACTGCGTCCGACGCCAAGCTCGAGGTTCTTACCAAGCAAATCGAAGCTTTCAAGATCAACACTCCTTCGCGATTTGAGACTGACGAGAAGAGATCTGCCAGATGGCAATCCCTCGATCAATTATTGGATGAACTCGACAGCTCCCGTCATACGAGTGTACAAGGCAGTGGATTGTTGATGGCTTGCGAATCATTGATAGCAATCCTGGACAAGGCTTCTGGCGAAAGTCTAGATGCTCGAAAACTAGACAGAGCTTTTGATGCTGTTTGGAACGAGATTGAGAGACAAGACTATCCTAGAGATGTCCTCATGTTTTTACCTCGTCTGGCTTTACACCCCGGGTGTGTCAGTCACTGTCTTGAGGATGAATCGCTATGTGCCACGATCTTGGAAATCTTCACTCAACTTCAGCGTCTCCAAAAGGGCAGGATCTATCTATGGACGCCCATCATGAAGGCATACAGAACAGCTATGATCGTTTGCCCTGCTGCTGCGGAATCATTTGGCTTGAATGAATTCATCACGCAGACGGCGAACAATCTCCCTGCTGCAAGGCTCGAGTTCAAGCTTGAAGCCGCTGCCATTCAGCTGTTGACAGAGGACAAAGACATCCCTCGCAGCTACAGCGATTACTACGGCGAGTACGAAGAAGTCGGACACGCTGCTTTCTTCGATCTTGTCAACCGGTTGAACACCATCGACTCGGAGTTGGTCATTGACCTCTACGATAGTCTGCTCAAGCCATGGACAAAGCAAAAGCCTCCCGTACCTATTGTCACTCGATGGAAGACCAACACACAGCTTCAGGTCTTGCTTATGCTATCCGAACAGCGTCTCCAGACTGTGTCGGCTCAAGAGGCGGAGCAGCAGCTTCGCGTACTGCTGAGAGTGGTCGCCATCGAGCCGCTGCCAAGATATCGCTTTTTGCTGGAGTGGATCATCGCTCGAGTCATTCTCAATTTCCCTTCGACTGGTGAGCTCGTACTCGATGCGTTATCATCAAAAGACCACCATTCGAACCCGAAGTATTTGGGAACTCTCGTCAAGATTGCCTTGATGATTGCTTGCCAAGATACCTGCTCTCGCGACTTCGCAGCTAGGGTAGCATATCGTCTCGTTGCCCTTGCTTCCAGCGCGAAGATTATCATCCGTCATGAGGCACAATGGTCATTCCCTATTTTGTGGGATTACGCTGACAGCCGAGGCTGGACAGAGATCAAGGATAACCTTGCTTGTGCTGCCTTGAACGAGTATATCCGTAGTCTCGAAAGATTCGCAGAGCCACCTGCAGCAAGAGAGCTTGAGCGCCTCGATCCTGCAGCTGATAATACCCTCACAAATTTGCTTCAGGGCAAGTACTTGCGTGTCGAACCACCAGGCGAAGAAGCCGTTGTGTCTGGTGACTTCCAGCGTTTGTGGGAGCAAGACACTATCACCAGATCAACCTTTGAAGCCCTCCCCTTGGGTTCTCAACCCTCCACTCCCACCGAAAACCACGCTCTCCCCTCCGAACCAACACAACAACAATCCAAAGAATCGGCCCGCACAGAAGCCTTCGCTGCCCTCCAAACAAAGGGAACAGCCTACCTCTCCGCCTCTTCCTCCTCAGACTCCCCTTCCGACGCCGCCACGACTCGTCCCACTTCCCTCATCGTTGTAGGCTCTCTAGTAGACAACGCATACAATCTCGGCGGTCTCTCCCGTATCTCCGAAATCTTCGGCGCGCAAGCAATGTATATCCAATCACCACAATCTGTGCTCGGTAATAAGGACTTTGTCTCCGTAGCCGTGGCATCGCAAAACCATCTGCCTATCCACGATTTACACAGTGACAACTTGTCTGAGTTCCTCACGGAGAAGAAGACGCAAGGATACACTGTTGTAGGTGTAGAACAAACAGATCGTAGCGTCCTGCTTGGCTCAGAGGAGTGCAAGTTACCCGAGAAGACCCTGCTGGTCATGGGCAGAGAGAAGGAAGGTGTACCTGCTCATGTCCTGGGCGAGTGTGATATGTTGGTGGAGATCCCGCAGAAGGGAGTCACGAGAAGTATGAATGTGCAGACTGCAGCAGGAGTTGTGCTCTTTGAATACGCTAGACAGCATCAAGGGTGAAAGAATAGAAGTGTAAATGCGTGGAGTATAGATAGACATGCAAGAATGTGACAGTAATCGGCACACAGAGAGGCCTTGGCCGTGGGTTTTCGAGCCTCTTTTGTGATTTTCTGTATTTTGTATAAAATCTGGAAGTAGATGAGCGCTGATTTCCTCACTTCGGAAAGGCACGGGTCTCTTTTGTACCCGATCGCTCTTGCCACTCAGAGACTACTTCCTTCGCTCCTTCTAAGTTTCGTTTTCTTCATAGTGTAAGTCAAGCGTCTTCGGGCCAATGGTCTCTCTGACCATGCGACTGTGGTGATGCACAAAGAATTGTGATCGAGCGACCGCACCGCTGGGAGTCTACTTAGAGAGCCGCTGAGAAGATTGACTCGTCGCCCCAATCAGCTTCCATATCTGCCATCTCAGTCATTTGTTCCTCTTCGGTATCTTCGCTATCTTCCTCCTTGAATACTTCCTCCAGGGGCTGAGCGGGCACGGTATCGACTGTCCTCAGCGACGGATGACCCAAGTTCGATGGCGATGCCGCAGGAGTTGGTCCTTCAGGAACAGTCTGCACAGGAGTCGCAAACGCAAAGTTGAAATCAGTGGTTGACCATCTTGGCTCCTCGACAGGCACGCGAGCGATGTACTCTTTGACTTGTGGTGCACTGGATGAGGTCGTCAGGACGCTTTCTGGTGCCACAATCTCTTGTATGTTAGGTGTTGTCTCGACTCGCGTTGTGGCGGATATTTCAGAAGTGCGTGGAGAGGGACGAGGCGGAGGTCGCTCTGACGTCTGGTGAGCGAGACTTCCGTTCATCCATCTTCGCTCTCTTGCTCTTGCCCAGCCTTCAACCGGGAGGGGCCTTTGCGAGTCGGTTTCTTGCTCAAACGATGGCTGGTCCGTGTGGATGGCGGAAGGTGTCTGAGAATGAAGGGCATCGATGCCACGTTTCTGTGCCTCTTCGCGTGCGTCTCCGGCCGCGTGGTTTGAGGAGGTGGCATTCGAGGCAAGAAAGCCGATGCGCGAACGAGGTTGCTTCGATGGGAGAATGTAGGGGACTTTCTCATCATCATGCTTTGCGTTCTTGCCTGTTTGCTTTGCCGCTACAGACTCATACGGCAGAGACACGAGATTCGAGACGAGACTGCGCCTGTGGGCGCGGGTGATAGAGCGTACCGAGGGTTGCTCAAGCAGAGATGTTCTTCCATTCTTTCGTGCGCGCAAGCGGCTCTCGTCGGGTGCGGCTTGCTCGTCTGGCTCCACTTGGGGGTCGGATACCATCTGATGCGGATGCTGCGACTGTGACTGGTGGGTGGGAGGGTTTGGTTGTTCTTGATGGTTTTGTGTGCTTGTTGATGCGTTTGTGGCGTGCCTGCTTAAAGGAAGTGAGGAAGCAGTGATCATTTCGTACGGAACAGCACGTGACTCTTGCGGTGACGATAGTATTGAAGAGAGAGGAGTGGAACGCTCAGAATCGTCGTGCGAGACTATTTTCTCTTGCTTGCTGAAGTTGTTGTCCTCTTGTTCCTTAGTAGCGCGATCTCCTTGGTCATCATCTCCTGGCGCGTAGTCGTTGGGGTCGGTTATCCCGTCAGACTCTTCTTGCATGAAAAGGTGGTCATCATTGAAGGGATATTCTGCAATTCCAGTCGTGCGTATGATATTCTGGGGATCTCTTGCAAACTGTTTTCCTTTTTGGGCAGTCTTGTAACGTAAGTTCGGGAAGTCCTTGAGGATGAGGTAGACACCAGTGAAGAACTCATGCATTCCATCTTGCCCTCTTTGCTCAATGTCAAAAACACCAATCCACGATTGCCAGTACTGTGTAATGATATTCTTGCCAGCGATGCTCACCTTCAGCGAATTGTAGTAGTGACCTCTTGCGATTCCTCTGCCCGTGGGATAAGCTCTGAACCAGACACTGACATCAGACTCATCGTAGCCAAGAAGGAGAAGATCATTCATCCAGATGAAAGGGTAATGTTGGACGAATGCGAGCGGTAGCAGCTCACTTGCTTGTAATCTTTTGCCCGAGAGGTGCAAGAGTCTGGCAAATTTGTCGCGAGCAGCTTCAGATGGAGTCCAGTTGTGTAAGGCGCAGAGGCGATCAAAATTTGCTTGATGAGTTCTCTTCAAGATTGTAGGTGTGGTTTTGCGCTCCCGCTTCCTGGTGCAAGAGGGCCCAGGGGGCGTATCCAGGCTGTGCTTGGGTGCCATGTTGAAAACAAATGGCGAGTATGCTTCGCAAGACTTGAGAGGATGGAGAATTGCTACGCCTTGAGATGCGGTAAAGAGAGGAAGAGGATTGAATCGTCCGCGGAGATTTGGGGGTCGATCACGCTCCGTCGTGGAGGTGTGAAAGGTGCGGGTGAATATTCCGTGGATGTGAAGGGGCGGAATGTGCGTTCACCTCCCGGCGGACATTCGACGACGGAGATTCTGCTCGTGTACCCTTCTAGTCTGGCTGACAACCGCTACTTCAAGTCCTGTGAAGAGCGAAAGCTTTCACTCGTGACAATTGGATCTTCGATCTCGACATAGTCGATTGTCATAGTCTTCACTACGTCCTCCCAAGATACCGTCATCCGTGCTTGACTATTCACAACCCAGTCTTCATCGTCGTAATCCGTCTGCATTGTCGCCATGCTCATCTGCAGGACTGCACGGAGGTCTGTTTGTAACCATACCAAGTCCTTACTCGACCAATGTTGTACTTTCTCGAGCGCTTCGGCGTTGACCATCCCAAGAATCATGCTGTGATTCCCAGAACAGATGATAGACCTCACGAATGTCGCATTACAAGATAAATCGTCGGAAAGATCACGGTCATGGCCAGAGGGCTTCGCGGCTCTTCCAAGAATGTCAATCTGCTTGAGTCGGTGGAAACCAAGCGTTCAAGATCATTGCGATCAACAGTTCAGTCTTGTGCGGGAACAATGTCGACCGAACCATCACATCTTGATCTCTGCCGTGGAAGACGATGCCTCACCATTTCTCAGCTGAGCCTTGGAGATGGTCGTTTCACCGGTTAAACTTGCAATTCTCAGGGCCTCGGCTACTCTTTCTTGCTTATGACATCTGTACAAAAGGTTGCTCTCCTCCATGAGCTGTACGTCAGATATTGGTGAACCTCAATTCGATCGGTAGATCTTTGGGGCCCTTTGGTAGGGTGATGAAAGAGGAAGTAGTCAGGTCCACGTTGCTATAAACATACATACACTATATAAAGACAATAATCGTGTACAATCACGGAACACACACAAGTTGCCTCACTGTTTCCTAAACACAATGCCACCAATATACCTCTCAATCTAATGTCTTTTGCAAGAAGCTGGATGCACAGTTCGCTAATGTCAAGCCTTGTCATCACTCGACATAATATTGGTGGAAATTGAAATCCGGAGATCCCGAAATATGAGGCGACTCCTCAAGGTACCCTGCGATCTCGTCGGCTACTGTGGCAGCTAGATCGGCAGAAGACATACTTTGCTCGGCTTCATCATTGGGTTCTGCTGTGGTGGGAGCAGCTAGCTTTGGAGCGTGGTCGGCGCTTGGCCCAAGATCCATAACGGCATTCTGCGCTACAGATTTGGTCTCTCCCCCCAGGGCGTCGTGTGCTGCAGGTCCGGTCTCCTCCTCGACATTCGTAGCTTGGACGGCCTCTTTGTCTGCTTTTACAAAGCTCCCGAGGTTCGCAACTACAGCCGCGAGGTCCGGATGAGCAGGGTCCGGAGGATGCTTAGGCTTGACTACGATCTCGTCGGCTTCGTAGACCTCAGCTTCCAACTGTGATGGTATCGTTTTCTCCAATCTCCCGACGGCGTCCATAGCTTCGACCGTCTCGCTGACCTCCACAGCGTGTAGCAAATTGTTGACATCTACAGCTTGAGCGAGTCCATCGACATGTATAGCTTCAAGGAGTGCATCAAAGCCGACTGCTTTGGCGGGCTCGTCAGCGCCGATAGTTTCAGCGGGCTTGTTGACATTGACATCTCCAGCGGGCTGTACGACGGCAGTGGCTCTGACCAGCTCGTCAGCGCTTTTAGCCTGAGATGGCTTTCCGATATCTGTACATCCGGGTGACAAATCGGCGTCGATGCCTTCAGCTGATCTATCGGCGTTCACAGCTTCGATCGCCTCATCGGAATGTGCGGCTTGAGCTTTGTCGTCGCTGTTTACGCCTGCGATTGGTCCATCAGTGGTCATATCTTCGACGGGCTTGTCGACGTCCGTTGCCTCGACTATCTCACCAGCTTTTGACGGCTGTTCGGCCACCTCTTGACTGGAAGTTATCGCGGCCTCTTTTGGCGAATCATTTGATGAGCATTGATCATCGTGTGAGGATGTTGCACAACCGTTCGGTACCGATACAGAAAGGCCTTGGTCCCGGCCCAGTTCTTGGTCTTTCGCAGGCAAGTCGTTCTCAGCTACTGCCCGAGAAGCGGCTGGCTGGTCTCGCTTCTGTCGCTTTCGAGCTGGACCGGACTCATGATTATCGATCTGTCCACGACGACGTGGAGCTTGATATGTGTCATCGGCGTCGAAATCATCGGCCAAAGTGTCGTCTTCAAGCACCGACAATGCAGTGGAACTCTTGCTCGTACGCACTGTCGAGCAAGGCGCGTCTTCGGAATCCTGACGCTCAGTCTTGAGGTTTTCTCTACGTACCTGCGCCCATCGACGTTGGTAAGAATGTGCGGTGCGAGTGGGGTGTTTCTTCGATCTTTTCAGCATCTCTCTGATCTTCTCAAAGCGCTCTCCCGTAATTCTATTACCAAAATGTCCCATGGTTGCTTCAAATGCCCCCTTCAGCGCCATGGTTTCCTGTTCCGTCCAAGGCAAGCCGCGTTTACAACCACCACGATCCGCAAGGCCTAACGAGTACCATCGCTGCTTACAAGCCATTGGGGACCGATCGTAACCTTTCTCGCCGAGTTTTCGCGAGACAACCGTTACGCGTTTTCGCACCGGCCAGTCAGCGAGCTCTTGCATCGTAGTCAGCAGTATTCTGCGCTCTTCCGTGGACCAGATATGTCTGCTTGAACAGAGAGGTTCCTCGTTTTCCAATTCGAGCGCTTCGTCTTCCGATTCATTGTCGGACAGAGTCTCATCCGAGTCTAGCTCGAACTCGGTGCCATCCTCTCGTTGTGAAGAACTGAATGGCTTTTTCGACAAGCGACTGGATACAGGCTCATAGCTCGGCTCGCCTGCGATGCTGGCTGGTACGGAGCTAAGCGGAGATTCTGTCGTGCAAATCACGGTGTCTTCGTTGGAACTGGGATCGATGGAGACACCTCTTAAATGAGGGTCGTAAATCGTGGATTCGGAGTCCGACCAGGATTTTGCACGTTGGAGTTCCTGATTCGTCATGCCCTGGATAGGGCGTGTAACGTGGGGTTCTTCGTTGATAATTGGATCCGTCAACGCTTCGAAAGAAGGAGCCCGTTCCGCTCCTACAGACGCATGTATCGTCACATCCGTCGTAGCCTGGATTCCAGAACGTTGACCTTGCCACTGATCAAGACGCAGCTCTGACCCGTTAGCCTCATCGTATCTGTTGCTTTGCTGAGTAGATTGCTGATTATGCATCTGAACTTGCGATTCCAAGCGACTGATCCGAGGATCATCTTCCAGGTTGGTCATCCGTGTGATCAGATTCGAAAGTTGTTCTTGTCGTGATTCGAGCTGTTCAATCCGGGTGTTGAAATTCTTCGCTTGTCCCTCCAATCCTGTGATCTTCTGGGCGTGCTCATCGAAGCCTACCCTGAACGCATCAGATGCGTCCCTGATCTGATGTGTAACGAGATGCCGAAGGTTATGTGTAGCGGTCGCAAATTGTGCCGTTTGCTCGATTTGAGGTTGAGGCTGCTCACGTTGAGATCTGAAGGCCTGCTGGTCCAGCTCTGTAATCGTGGTCACTTGCGTCTCCAGCGTTGTGATTCTCTTCCTGAGCTCGTCTCCAACCTTGCCAGCGTCTGCCTCCAGCTTCTCCCGCAAGGTCACGAAGTTTTCCCGGAGCTCGGTATGTTTCTCAAAACTTTTCAAGTGTTTTTCGTATAAGCTGTTGAGTTTCGTATCGACGTCGCGTTCAAGCTTCTCAATGGCGAGCTTTGTATCCTGATCCTCGGTACGCTCTTTTTGCGATTGCAGGGCTGTTTCTCGAGCCTGGTTTGCTTCATTGAGAGATTCTTCCAGCCTTTTCACTTGCTCTTCCGCTAACGCACGATCGTTTTGCTCATCTTTTAACTGTGCTTCGTAGTCGACACGTTGCTTTTCCAATGCATCTTCTAGTCTTTCCTTATCTGCCAACGCCGCCTCACGGCATTCACGTTCATAATTCAAGCTTTGCAATAGAATATCGAATTCCTCGCGAAGTTTCTCGGCTTTGGTTGTAAGATTGACAATCAATTGATCGTGAGTTGCAATATCTGTTCCGAAATCCTTCTGCTGGTCAAATCGAGCATTCAACCTTCCTATCTCTCTGAGCTGAGAGTCGTCCTTGCAGACAAGTAGGCTATGGCGTTCTGCCTGATCCGTTTCGAAATCTGTAAACTTCTTGTGGTGTTCTGCGATTGCGTTTTTGTTTTGCTGGGACTGCTCCTCGATTTTTGTTATCGAAATCTTTGCAATGTCGACAAAAGAGGTTTCAGGGTCCTTGTCTTGATGCTCCTTCCACATCTCGCTGAAGATAGATCTCACGTCTTCTTGCCATGATGTCGGAAGTTTAATACGCTGTTCCTTAACGATGTTGGCATCAGTCTTTCGTTCGGAGCTATGTGTTTCACGCGCGAGCTGATTGCTAGCATCGGGATACAGGTTAGGTATTTCTGACTGGCTGTTTTGCAGCGTCTCGGATTGGTGATTTAGTCTTGACTTCGGCTTCGGCTTCCTCTCCTTCTTCCGCTTCGTGGTTAGGTGTGCTTTCGAGTCGGCCGACGGAGTACCCATTAAGTATCTCATGGCCGCATAGACTCCGGTCTAGAATCCCAGGCCAGTCGAGTTCGGTAGAACTTCGTTTCGCGTCTCCGACGCCTATACAACGCGTCAAAGGTCGGAGGTGAGGTTGGAGCGGTGATCATTTTTACGCGGCGAATCCCGATCGCGCCAAATTGAAGGCTCCATCTTGTGCCCATAGCTTTGATTTATATTAATTGTCGACGACATGCCTTGATGGCGAAAAATGATCTTGATGTTTGCGATCACAATTGAGAATTGTGGAAGTATAACGGAGGGAAGTGTCGTTCGTCTTGTGTAACATGACATTGGTTGGCGGAAGGCGCGTCCACCTTCTCGGGCACAGTACAACAAAGAAACTACGAACGTCACCGCTTCTCTCCTTGCGCGAAGCTCTGACATGCCACATGATACATGTTCTACCGAAGCACAGTGCCCGGTCTCGAGAAGGTCGAAACATCGTCACTGTCCACTGAAGCCCGTTTGCCCAACGACTCTCGTGAAGACACATCTGATCTGAATAATGTCTACCTATGTTTTTTGTAAGGCTTCCCGTTCTGATCTACGAAGCAGGGAGACTCAGATCGATGCGACATATTTGGTCTCATATCAGGGATGGGCTCTTGACTGTACAATTGGTTCGTGGAAGCTTCCTCGGGCAACATATAGCTGTTTGATAGGTTCTCTTGATCAACTTGCTTACAATCACCACGTGAGTCACAATTGCTCTTGCTTAAACCATCAATCCAATCCCTCAAGCGTCGTCCACAAAACACTCTGCCTTGTTTCGTCAACAATCACAGCGACAATTTGATCATGGAATACACATATACCAACGACCAAGGCTATCCTCACCACGTCTGCGATGTCGAGGGCAATCACATATCGCAATCTTCACATACCACAAGCACTACCCAAAACCCAGCATCTCCTCAACTCGAATCGAACGAGTTCACAAATTGGCGCTCCCTCGGCAAAGGAAACTGCGGCAGCGTGTGGACAACAGACAACTCCAGCTGGGCCATAAAACGCGAAGACTGCAGCAAAACACGTTTCCTCTGGAAAGAATACTACATCCAGAACCGTATCCATACCGCCTTATCCCACACCTCTGACAAGATCTTGGTACCATTTTCGTATTGGAATACTTCAAAGCAAGAGCTATGGTATTTGCCCTCGTCTGAACTGGAGAATTGCAATGTAATGCGCTCCGAACGCATTCCTCCACTCTCAGCCGGCTTTCGAAACAGATCACTTGATGCAGCTGTACCCAGACATGCAGAAGAAGCAAAGAGGATACACCTTGTGTAGCGCGTGTATATCTTAAAAAACGGCGTCCCAGACATAACGCAGCGCATTACTACATAAAGAATCTGCCATTATGTTTGAATGTTCCGGATGAGTTGGAGTTGCCTATTCTAAGCTACGCGGCAGGTATGGGAGAAGCTATGCGAATGATGTGGAATTTGTACTTGGATCACCGAGACAATTGGCACCTCCATCAACACCACGAGTATCGAACATTGCGAGCCTACGATATAACATTACAACACGAACAACAGATACTGGTATCCTTGAACCATCACAAGAATTACTCGTCGATGAACAGAGTACCGATCACGTCCTATGGCTCTTAGATTTCGACTGCTGTGATGCCATAACCATGAACATCACCGGAGCTGAAAAGGCAGCAGTGGCAGTGGTCAGAAATGATGCTTATACGCCTAAACCTGCCGGTGCTGGAGATGCTGACTATGCGCTATGGGAAGCTTTTCGTGACGCTTGTTTGCAGAAAGGCAAGGAAGTTGTCGAGGAAAGAGGACTGATGTCGGAGGAGCTGCTGAGGGTGTTTATAGAGCGGTTGCAAACGTACTATCAGATGAAGGAAAGAAGAGAAGAATTGCCAAAGTTCCGTAGAAGGCCCTTTTGCGCACCACTTTCTCAATAGACTCGAAACATAATCTTACACTCTTACAGTCTCCTACATACATGTACACCTCTACTCTTCCACCTCCTTCTCTTTCGTCTCAGCAACTACCTTCTCCTCCCTCCTCTCAGCAGCCGAAACCAACCACTCAACATCCCTCTTGACCTTCTCCCCCACCCCCTGCCCTCTATCAAGCATCCTCTGCAAAACATCCCAACACCTCTGATCCCCCTTCCCCGCCAACTGCCTAACCAACAACTCCACCGTCCTCATCCTCGGCAAAAGCCCCAACTCCTCCATCTCGTCAAAATACCTATACGCAACATCCATTTTCCGATCTTGCACAGAAACAACAATCAAACGATCGTAAACCAAGTAATCAGGACGGATACCCAAGGCCAGCATTTCAGAAACTAAAAACATGGCGAGAGCGTATGCGTTTTGGGATACTGGTTTTGCGGCCCCTCGTAAGAGGATGTTGAAGGTTTCGAGGGTGGAAAAGGGGCGGGAGCGGCGACGGATGGGTTTGGTGTCTTTTTCGGTGGTGGTGGTGGGGGAGGTTTCGAAGAGGTGCATGTGTTTGTAGGTTACGAGGGCTTGGTCTAGTTGATCGGTTTCCACGTAGCCTTCGATTAGCACGTTGAGTGCTGCGACGGGGATTTCTCTGCCGGCTTCGTGGAGGGAGGTGAGGATGTCAAAGGCTGGTGTGCAGTCGGCTGGGTGACGACGGAGGTGTGCGAGGATAGGGCGTGTAGATGCAGCGGTAGGTGGGATCTTCACACTCGCCATAATGGTGAGCAGTGTAAAGGCGGCGCGGAGATCGGGTGGCGAGGCAGACATGTAAGTCATAAGGAGCTGATCGTAGTGGATTTGTTTAAAGTGCGTGCTGCGTTTGCCCAGTATGTGGAAGACCGAGGTAGCGAGGGCGACGTCGCCTTTACGTGCTGCAGTGGTGAGGACATTGAGACATGTTCCCGATGAAGGAATCAAGTAGCCTGGGATGACTTGGCTGTTCCAGACGTAGACAGCGCTGGGGTAGTGGAAGGCTGCTGCTGAGCGGTCTAGCATGTGTGCCCAGATGTTGCGACTGATAGTCCAGTCATTGGCGGCGATGCGATCTTTTACAATGATCAGGGCTTCGTCAAATTCGTTGGTCTCGAGCATTGTGTAGAGAGCGAGATCGTAGAGCCAAGATTGAATGGGCACACTATCGTTGCGCATGTCTTCAAGGTGATTGAGCCCTTGCTCGAGCTGACCTTCGCGGAACAAGGCAGCGCCGACCCAGTGATAGCCCTCTGTGTTCAACTGCAGCCATTGACGGCGCATGTAGTGTAGAATGTCTATGCGCAGCAGATAGTCCATATGCACACTCAGCACGCGCAGTACATCATGGCAGATCTGAACATTTATTTGTAGTCCCTCTTGCTCCATCTCAGCCAACAAGCGGGCCACCTTCCTTGCAGATCCGTGCTTAGGGTGGACATTGGCGAGGATGGATATCGAGTATAGGCGTAGGTTTGGTGCTTCACGGCGGTCGCGCAACAGGTATTCGACCATCCACCGGGCCTCCTCGGCTTTGCCCCTAGCAGCTGCAGCATGAGCCAAGTCATACAGCTCCGGAGTGCTAAAATTGGGATAGTCGGCCCTCTTTGTTGGCTGCTCCCGAATAGTCGTCCTTATGGTAGCTGTGCGGTCTCGTGATTGTGAAACGTCGTTCAGCGGTGCCCATGCTTTCATGACAGGAAGGTCGCTTTTCAAGAGTTCGGGCGCGACATCGACAGTGCTATCGAAGAGGGTTACAGGGCGGGTCGAGTTATGGCGGACTGTCGCTGCAGATGGTGTTCGAGTAGCGGCGCATTGCAGCGCTGGGCCACGGCGGCGGGTCAGGGCATTTCGTGACGTCGAGAGTGGTAGTGAGTTATATGAGGGACAGAGACAGCGCCAGAGCCCGTCGGCGATGAGTTTGGGTGTGGTCGAGGACATGAGCTGTTGCCGCGCATTCGGGAGTCCGCTGCAACTATATTTTGAAGCCGCACGCATCCCCAGCTTTTGCTTCGGACATGCTGCAGTATAGCCAGACTAACCAAGGTACCTTACAACATCATCAACAAAATAAACACACGTCTTGTGTACCTCGTTGTATAGCACTGGATCGTGGGTAGAAGTTGAAACGTCAGGTCATAAACTCTTGTTGATGTCGTGATGTTATTCTGATCGCATGGCTGCTGTTCTACAAGCCATGTCTGGGTATGCTGTGCAGTGTGCCCCTTATTCCACTTTTCCATGTGTCGACTCTGCGCTCAATGGCGCTATCGTACACATCATCTGGTGTGTTTCAAGCTGCTAAGCCATCGTTGTTGTGGCGATTGGGTCGGCCTCGAGCTGTTTGCTTCTCTTTCCTTGCTCTTGAGTATGCCTCTTCAACCACCACCACGACCGCGTCCACCTCTACCACGGCCACCACGGCCTCCTCTACCTCCGCGGTCGCCGCGTCCACTGTGATCACCTCTTCCTCCCTGACCACCTCCGCGACCTCCTCTGGCGGCTTGCTGGCTGGCTTGTTGGTCCTTGACGAGGTCCACGATCTCATCTTCCATTCTCAGGTATTTGATCTGTCGCAATCGCGTCAGCATTTTAATCCCTAGATCGCTGCAATTGGTCATGTATAGCGACGTACGTTGTTTCCGCGGACGTAGCATTCGGGCAGTCTGAAAAAGCGATCGCCTTCCGGACTCGTTTGGATGACTTCCTTGAGTGTGAGGTTCATGTATGTGTCGCAAGAGACCAGATGTCCGTTCAGCGTTTCGCCATTCTTGAGTTCGACGAGCATAGGGTGGCCTTGAGCGGCAGTAAGAAGACCGAGAGGAAGCTACATGGCAACAATTGCATGTTAGTCGCCTGACTTGTGAGCAGGAGCGCTCTGTAGCTGCAGGGTAGCTGGTATACTCACCATGGTGAATGCGACAACACTTTATGTGTCAATGTTGTCTAAATGGTCGACGGAATGGTGTTTGCGCCTATGTCTATTGTCGCAACCATGCAGCGACAACGACGTCAAGCATGCCGGAACTTGCCGAATCTGCATGAGCGATCTGATATGACAAGCAGCTCGCACTTGATCGACTCGAGTTGCTCCGAACGCCGCGTCCGAAGCTCCGTCCGAAGCTCCGACTGAGTGCACCCCACGGTTGCGCCTTCCTTCCAGATCCTTCGCTCAGCCTCTCCTGGCCCATCCCATAAGTTAAACTGCTGCCTACACGCTCTTCTCACACATCTCGTCCTTCCACCTCGCTGTCACGCCGGCGATTCTTTTTGACGAAACAACTTTCGGGCTGGATAGGCCCATGTAGATATTTTATTTTATTTGCAATCTATCCTTTTCTCGACGATGTGTTCCATCAGTCTACTCTTGTTTGCTCTCGCTTTTACATGCACCCTCGTCTCGGCCGTTCCTTATCCCGTCTTACCCTCATTCACTACTTTCACCAAAGTCGCAAATCAACCCATCGCTGGTACGAACTGACCATAACTGTCTCCACTTAGAGGGGCACCTACTTATAGACACGTCTAGACAGAATCGAAACTGTAGCCGTCAAGGTTCCATGTCTTGACTGCCCGGTATACGAAGATGACGTGGCCCTGGTATGTCTATACACTCGCCAAGCAACGCCATGTTCCTCCCTCGAGGGAGTACGCGTACAATATATAGTCCCATGTCTAACATCTGCCTCAGGACTTCGAGCTTCGATACCCTCGCCTCAACTCATCGACAAATCTTTGCGATGTCAACTTTACACTAAACGGAGCACCCATCGTCCTCGACAGCAAAGACATCAGGAAATCTTTGAGTGTGTCTGTACTTACCAAACGCTACCTAGTTGAGCTTTCTGTTGATGGACTTTGCAACCCCGTCACTGACTCTGGATCCAACAATCGGGCTCTTTACTTCAACGTCACCAGTGTCGCTCGGCAACACCTCATCACCCCTGCCACGTTCACTGTCTTCCTCGATCAGTCCGAGTCACCCCAAATTTTCATTGATTCAGAGATCGACGAAGAAGCCGAGTGCACTTCAGCATTGAAGAGCGTAATCAACGAGAATTCTTCTATCCTCTTCAACGTTGAAGCCATCCCAACCGACGATGAACTCAAGTCATCGACTTATATTGATAACCTCGAGCGAGTCTATCGCCATCGCCTGTACGAACAGGCGACCAGACTTGAGAGACTGAACAAACGCTGTCGCAAAGACTTGAGTCAGAGTCTAGCTGACTGTCACAAGGACCTTGGTTGCATGAGCAAAGTGATGTGCCAGAGGATTCACGACACTACCTACGCAAAGATCAAGGAAATTCAAGCAGCCCTTCAGGACTCTATCATGATCAGTAAAGACCGACACGATCAGTATGTCGCCGCCGATGAGAAGGATAATTGGAGCTTCAACGTTAGCTCTGTAGACAATCTGCTTGCCGACATCAACAATGGAAACTCAAACAAGTACGAGAACGACTCACAACATCCTCTAGTACTTGCTCTGGAGATTCTGGCAGCAGCGATTGGTCTCACCGCTCTCTGTGCATTCATTCGCAAACGTTTCTGTTCCCTGCGTCGCCGTGTTGAACGTCTTTCAGACAGGGAAGAGCGACGACGTGCTCGTCAATTCCGTTGTCTTGCACGAAAGGAAGCCCTCAACAAGAAATGGATGTCTTTCAAGCAAGTCTTCAAGCGCTCACCCCGTAATGGAGATTACGAGGAGAAGCGTGCACTAGTCATCGAAGCCGCCGGTAACGTGGTAGACGACTACGCCGAAGGATGTTCGCACCAAACCAACGATCTGGAAATGGGCCACGCGTTCGGAGATCTCAGAAATGCTCGCGAGTTTGTAGCTAGTCTCGTCCACATCGGCAGAGCGCGGAAAGCCTCAAATGCCGGATCTGGACACACCACATTACCTGAATATACCTCGGAGAAACTGCCTGATTACACATCTACACCCGACAGTGGTGAATACGCACCTTCGATCGCTAGCTCGAATTCGGCGAATACTGGCATCACACCGGATAGCAGCATCGTCATGAGTCCTAGATGCAGTCGCGAGACTTTACGCACCGGCACTGACTTCAGCTCCGATTAAACGCACATCATATCTCTTATTTTCATTTCTTGCTGTAATTTTAGGGAGGTTGGATAAGAACCGACAGAACAGGTTTTTTGAGGTTGGACCAAGGAGTTTTGTTTCTTGCTGGACAAGGAGTCTTAAGCTTCAGGGCGGGGGGGTATTTACTGGCATGCATGTAATGGTCGGGAGGAGGAGGGAGGAGGTACTGAGAGCCGCTTATTATGCAGGCCCAGGAAGGATATATCATATGACACACATTCAACGCGCATCAAGCGCTTCCTTTAAACATTATAATCCTGTTTCTCGTGTGAATGCGATCGTCTTGCATTGTGATCGTCCACCCTCGGTGACCATTCACCCGTCCATCGAACTTTCTCTCTTCTCCTATGTTTGTCGCCTTGCCCATATAAGCCTCAGAAACTCTCAATGCGATATCCAATCGTCCCAGTATCAACACCACTCCTTCATCCCACCCTTTCATCAAGAACCCAAACTCCCAAATTCACTTTCCGTCAACTCACTACTCTCCCCCTCACCACCACCCCAGATATCTCTACTCTGCATCTCGACCTCCCTCATCGCATCAGCCACACCATCAAGCTTTCTAACAACTTCCTGTACACCTCCCTTGACAGCAGCAAAGTATCTATCACTGGCTTCTCTTCTCTTGGCCGCGTCGTTTAGATCCAGCGTTGTTGTAGTCGAGAGTTTTCTACCTCCATCGTTGTATTCTTCGTTCTCATTGTTGTTTTTATGTTGTTGATCTTTTGCCGTAGAGTGTTTCTTGGTCGGCGATGAAGCAGAAGCAGAAGTAGACGAAGGTAAAGTCGTAGAATCATCAGTTTGACCCCACGCCCTCGCGAGTTCTACCTGAGCTGCACGTAACTCCTCCAATGCTTTTGCATGAGCAGAGTTGAATACGTGTGCGGAACTTGAAGCACTTAATTCGACATCAGAGAGTGTGGATTGGAGGGCTGCCCAATGGGCATCTAATACCGCTGTTCCTCGTCGAGGGCGTTGACGTTTGACTTCATCATTCACAGTGGTGTTTGCCAATCCTACTCCTTCTTTGGCTTCTCTTTCGTCTTGGGTCGTAGAGGTTGGGGGGTGTAGGCCGTCGGGGCGGATGGAGAGATTTGTATTTGTTCTACTCAGTGCATCTCTTGTTTGCGTGCGACTTGGAGGGTCTCGTGTGTCTCTTGTGTTTGTCCTGCTCACACCATCTCTGGTGTTTGAGCGTGAGAGTTGGGAATGCGATAGTGAGGGTGAGTCGGGCCCAGGGATCTGTGATGACGGTACGGTGGGTCGAGAGGATTGTGAGGCGTTTGTGTTTGCGCGGCTTAGAGATGCATTGCTGGCGTTGTGAGAGGGCGGGCCCACGAAGAGGGAAGGTGCTGGAAGGCGTTGAGATTGTTTGGACATGTTCGTGTGGTTGTTTTGCGGGAGTGGTATGGACGTGGAAGTGGGAGGTTACTATGTGGTGTTCTCATTTGCGGATTCTGTGGGGATGACCCTGGTATCTAGCATGTGAAAATGACGTCGTTGTTTTCGGGGTCAATGGTCGACGACAAGGGCATTTTCAGTTGATTCAAAGAGACCATTGTATAGCTTAGGACACTGCATCTATCATTTAGTATTTTTGTCATATTAGAGTGGCAGTTGCGCTACTAAGAGGATATATCAATTCTAGATCTGCAAAGCTATGGAAGGGGCCACACAACACCACACTATCACATCCATGTTCGACACAACTATCTATATATATAGGCGATCCAAAACATCTGTGACGTAGCATAATGTAACATGACGACACGTATTTAACAAAACCAATAGACATGCGAGAACTCCAGGATGCATAATTGAGTTATGCTACATTCATGTATAGAGCAAGTGAGAAGAAGCTATACGATATATACAAGCAAAGTGCTCGAAGTCGTTCGATGTCGTGAGTTGATGATCCCCACCTGAGTGACACCATCCCTCTGTTTTGCTCAAGTCTGAGCTAAATAAAGCAAGCGATCAGCCGACTTGAAAGTTTGTACACCATGATGACGCCACGCCAGATAAGCAATTAGAAAAGAACATTTACAGGTAAATGGCAAACACAAGAGGTGAAATAAGAAGTGCGGCTGTCATGAGACCGGCCGCGGCGTTGGAGCGGATGATCGATGCTGCTCCTGCTGTTGCTGTTTGCGAGCTTTGGTTCTGTTCAGCGGACCTCGTTGGGGTAACACCGTCACTACCGGTGACAGATCCAGATCGAGAGCCAGAACCGGAGGCCCCTGATGAGGGTGATGATCCATCAGAATCTCCAGACAAGGTTGTGAATGCAGACACTGGTACGGTTGTTGAACCTTGTTGAACAACAAGCCCTTCAGAGCCCATGCTCACGGTTTCTCCGCTAGACAAAGTCACGGCAGGTCCATCTCGTGAGATGACGGTGCCGTCGATTGTTGCAACGCTCGAGACACCAGAAGCTTGGTATGCCGTCACTGCACGACCATTGACACTGAACACTACTGCCGATGCTGGGGTAGCAATTGCAGCAACAGAGGTACCATCAACGACAATGGTACCACCTGATGCAAGGCTAACACGAGAGCCGTCCGAAAGAGTCTCAATCGCTCCACCAGCTGTGATTGTCACGGTCCCAATGACAGCTTCATTAGTGTTGCCAGGAGGGCAAGATGCAGTGACCGTCTTGGTACCGACGACAAAGACTATGACGTCGGGACCAGCTGCAGGAGCTGGCGTGACGGTCGAATATCTAATAATCGTAGAACCAATCTTGACGCCTTCGCTGCCGACACTGACAACGGAGCCGTCTTCGAGTGTGGCTTCCGACCCACCAGCAGTGAGTCTTGTCGAGCCAATCTGTACTACGCCTGAAGCTCCTTCAGAGACAGTCTGGATCTTGGTGCCGACTGTGACGATGACCGCCTTTGTGATGACCGGCAATGCAGTGACAGCAGATACACGATTCGTAACAGCAGCAGCCTGAGTGTTGATAATCAACCCATCTGTGGCGGCACTGATGACACAGTTGACAGGAAGAGTCACGGCGGGCCCACCGACAGACACAGTCTCTGTGCCGCATACGTATACGGTGTTAGTCTTGGTGGCAGTGTATGTATACGTGCCAGCCGTGAAGATGTAAACATGGGGTTTCGTGGATGCTTGCGAGACGCCACCAGTAGAACCGCTTTGAGCCTGAGAGCCGTGACTCTGCTGTGCTCCATTCGCAGTACTGGAACCTTGGTTGTTCTGGGCTCCTTGAGTGCTCTGACCTTGAGCCGGATTCCAGTGATCCTGGCTTCCTGCGTTTTGAGATTGACCAGCTTGGCCGTTGTTCTGGCTTGCCTGGGTATTCTGAGCTCCGTTTTGGGTCTGTCCACCTGCAGTGTTTTGGGCTCCACTCTGAGTGTTCTGGCCACCTTGGCTGTTCTGTGCCTGAGTGTTTTGGCTTCCTTGGGTATTCTGAACAGGTCCATTATTGTTCTTGCTACCTTGGGTATTTCCGTTGCCCTGAGAGCTCTGTCCGTTGCCGCCGTTGTTGTTTCCGCCCTGGCTATTCCCACCATTGTTATTCTGGCTTCCACCTCCTTGTGTGTTTTGCGCTGCTTGAGTGTTCTGGGCACTGTTCTGTGTTTGTGCATTATTTCCAGCAGTGTTGACGGGTTGGGTCTGTCCAGTCTCCTGAGTGCGTTGGGTATCGCCCTTGTTCTGTCCGTCGGATGTGCGGTCGGCAAGAGCAGTAGCTGAGGCTGTGGTGGGTCTTGCCGTGGAAGCCTGTTCTGCTGAAGTGGTCGTTACAGGCTGTTTCGCCCATGGGAGAGTAGGCGAGGCAATAGTGGTTCCAGGCTTCAAGGCGTACGGCGGATCGTAAAGTCCTCCATACCACATTTGGCAACCCTCCCAATCCGGATTCAATTTTCTGATACCTGGAGGCATGGCCAATTGGGGGTTGTAGTCGTGCTCGTAAATGACGTTACACTTGTAGTCAGCAGCTCCAGGGAATTCGCATCTAGCCTGTCCGTTCCAAGCACTGTAAGGGATAGGAGTGTTGAGATCCGCATAGTTGAAGGGGTATCCAGTAATCTTGTTGGTAGTGGCGAAATATTGGAAGTGATCCTGGGAGTAACGCAGACTCAATAAACGATCCGAAGGCAAGGCAAGAATGGCACCAGTAACAGTCGTGCCAATCTTGCTGCTGCATCGGTCAACAGCCCAGACTTTTTTGATCGAGATGTACGCGGTTCCAGATGTGAAGGTGTGATCGCCGACAACAGCAGTCTCCTGAGGTGTACCGGATCCATCCCAAGTGTCTGACGGAGCGGCACCGGTATAAGGTACGCCATCATCCTTACCATAGGACGTCAATTTAGCGGCCGGAGTAGTTGCACACATGTCGCGTGAGACAGATGTAGCTTCGGGGAAGTACATCAATTCAACCTCGTCACCGAAGATTGTGCAAAGACCACATCCGTAGAAACTCTTCGAGAAGGCCTCGTTCGAAGCCGAGGCACTTGAGTTAATACAAGCAGGAATAGAAGGTGATGGTGTGATGAGCGGGAACACGGCATCAGCAGGTCGAGTGGCGTTGGCAGCAACGACCCATTGAGAGGAGGATGTGGAATATGCTTGCCAGAGCCCGTCACAGTCCGAAGGATTAACACTGCAAATAGGTGATGAGATTGGGAACATCCATCCCATTGATGCTGTGCCTAAGGAAGTCGACGGCGCTGTTCCAACAGACACGACAGTAGTTGACGAAAGCACTATCGCGGGGGAGTAAGTGACACGCGCGTGCCCATCGCAAAGGGTCGTCGCGTTGGCGTAGTAGGTAATCGGAATCCACGAAGTGCCTCCCAGAATGTTGGTATAGTTGGTCTGATAGCTGTGTTTATCCACCCAGGAATTGGATGCTGAATTATAAACCGAGCTTATACTCGAGCACGACGTTGCGTATGCTGCGCCGTTGCCAGTTCTGTCGATGTATGGTTTCGTGTAGTAGACATCATCGAAGCATCTGTTGCTACCAGGATAGCAGATTGTACTAGGTGTCAATGAAGTGTCTGACGAGCCATTCGTCGAGGTCGTCGTAGTGTTCGGCGCACCAGATGGCGTCGTGGTGTTGGTGTATGTCGGTGTTTGTCCTAGCGCAGCGAGGATATATGCACCCAAGCCTGGGGCGACAGTGCTAGATGTTATCCTAGGAGTGAGGTTGACTGCTGAGAGGTTTCCATTCGTCACTGGAAGGTCATGTCAGACAGAGGTCGAGACGAAACAGAGTCCAGCCACCACTTACAAGCTTCGCATTTTACGAGGAAAGATGCTAAGACGGCGAGGGAAACGGCACCGGAATACATCGCGGCTTGAGGTCTTGACAGGCCGGACGAGGAAATTTCACAGGACTGAGTCTCTCATGACAGCACAGAGAGATCCGGATTCCAGCAGATATCAGTGACAGGATTCAAAGGGTGCGACACGTAACAATGGGGTGTGGTCAGTGTAAAGAGGAAAAGAGAGGGAAGTGGCTGTCGCGGATTGACGAATTGATGGCTCGGTCTCCCGTGGCGGCCGTGTGAACTAAGAAGATGGTCGACGATTCACCGTGCATCATCCCAAGACAACTTTAAAGCGCCATCCATCCTTGACGGCTTTCGATTCTGATCATCCTTGCCCACCCTGGCGCTGAAACGCAAAACCACGACTTTCAAATTAGGGGCAGGCGGCCGAGGCCATGATTGAGGGCCGTGAGTCCCAGCCTCTGCCTTACCCACGTCATGCACTAAACGCTTGGAGGAACTCAACGGTTGGAGAAAAAGTCTAGGTTCGATGGACGCGACGTGGAAAAACACAAATCGACGACGCCATCGATATGACGTTGGAGATAAAGATGGTTAAGAACGTGTCTCAGTACCATTCCCATGGGGTCCATGAAGCATAGCATGACATGAACGTGTGGACCACAAGAAACATGAGCTGAACATTCTGATGTCGATTCCAAGGTTGCAGTCGTGGTGATGGCAACCCTAGATGCTGCTATTTAAAGAATGATCGACGACTTTGTTCCGAGGAGCAAGTCTTGGCTATCGCCTCGATGTGGTTGGCAGTTTTCCTGTTCGGGGCAGGTTGCGACGACGTTCCTGTTCGCTGGTTGAGTCGCCGACCCTCGAATCGATCCCAGCAGAGAAGGTTCATGGCTCGACATACTTGTGCGCTGAAGAAGAGCGACTGCCGACAATCGAAAGTCAGTGCGATCGCAATAGACTTACAAGAAATTTGTGTCTCAGACAATCACAATCACGACCGGGCATAAGAGTCACGAGAGCACACGCGGCCGCAGTGCAGCGGCGGCTTGCAGATGGATACGTTACGTAGGACAAGCGTTTTTGGATACGAGGGGACATGTAGTTAAGTTGGCAGTGCTGCAGTGGTAGAATAATTGCACAGCAGTACATGGCCGAGTCGGCGACTCGTGTTTTCACTCATCATCACTTAGTGCCAGGGCTTATCGCTTGGTAAGTTTATCGTGATAGTGGCACTCCTCCCAGGCGTGCATATTAGTAGGAGAGGCGCGTCGGGACAAACGCGAAGACTGATTGCCGTAACAGTAGTATTGCAGCAGAAGTCGGGTAGGGTATTGGACTGGCAGTTGCGATGGCTGAATAGAAGACGTTAGCCCTAGCCTTGGCCGGGATGTCGGATGTCGGAGGGTAGATGTGGCTGTGGCTGTGGCACATGTGAATGGTGGAGTCGGGAAACAAGCTTACTCAGCTCTCAGCTTTATGGAGAACAGGTGGCGGCATGCTCGAGCCTGACAGTTGACAGTCAAGTTGCCAATTTCAACTGTTGAACAGTAACACAGCAATATCAACTCGCAAACATGAGATTCGGACTGATTGCATCTCTTGCCCTGGCTGGCACTTCTGCTGCCTCGGCCGTCATCGACCTCATCCCCAAGAACTTCGACGACATCGTCCTCAAGTCTGGAAAGCCCACTCTGGTCGAGTTCTTTGCTCCATGGTGTGGCCACTGCAAGACTCTTGCCCCGGTCTACGAGGAGCTGGCCTCTTCGTTTGAATTCGCAAAGGACAAGGTCACCATCGCAAAGGTTGATGCCGATGCCAACAAGGAGCTCGGCCGCAGATTCGGTGTCCAAGGCTTCCCTACCCTCAAGTGGTTCGATGGGAAGAGCGACACTCCCTCAGACTACAACAGCGGCAGAGACCTTGAGAGTCTGTCTGCCTTTATCTCCGAGAAAACTGGCCTCAAGCAGAAGAAGAAGGCCGCTGCTCCCAGCAACGTCGAGATGTTGAACGACCAGACCTTCAAGACCGAGATTGGCGGTGACAAGGATGTCATCGTTGCCTTCACCGCCCCTTGGTGTGGACGTAAGCAGCGCATGCCGCTCTCGGAGCAAGGCAAATATGCTGACTTCTTTGCAGACTGCAAGACCCTCGCCCCTATCTGGGAGAAGCTTGCCAACACTTTCTCAAACGAACCCAATGTTCTCATCGCCAAGGTTGACGCTGAGGCCGAAAACGCAAAGGCCACTGCTCAGAAGCAGGGCATCAAGGGCTACCCTACCATCAAGTTCTTCCCCAAGGGTTCCACCGAGCCCGTCACCTACGAGGGTGGTCGCTCCGAGGACGCTCTCGTCAAGTACATCAACGAGAAGGCCAGCACTCACCGCACCGTTGGGGGTGGTCTCGACATCACTGCCGGAACCATTGCCGCTCTCGACAGCTTCGTCTCCAAGTACACCAGCGGTGGTGCTCTTGAGACCGTGCAGAAGGAGATCTTGGCTGCCTCTGAGAGCATCAAGGACACCTACGCTCAGTACTACGTCAAGGTCTTCGACAAGCTTGCTCAGAACCCCGGCTACGTTGAGAAGGAGTCCAAGAGACTCAACAGCCTGCTCAAGAAGGGCGGTCTTGCCCCCGAGAAGGTGGACGACTTGACCAAGCGCAGCAACATCCTCAGCAAGTTTGTTGCCAAGGTCCAGAGCGTCAAGGAGGAGCTTTAAGCGATCGAGCTCTACCGAAGTCACGACAAAAGAACATACTAGCCATTAGAAGCTAAATGGTATCAAAATGAGTTTTATTGTAGTCATCCACATCTTTAATCTGCTCCTATGCTGGTGGTGAAGACGAGTTTCTGCGACGTTGTTGCTCTGCAGGTGGAGGTGTTCCTTGTCTCTTTGCTGTGATGCGTGAGTGGCCATCCTTGTCCTCGGGATGGTCCTTTTCCCATTGCATCAAAAGGTTTGTGAGTTTTGGTGCCCACACATCCTCGCCCTTTTCGAGATCCTCAAACTCAAGCACGTTCTTGCCTAGCTCGAATTCGCCTTGTCGTGATCTTTCCAACGCAGCCATGAGACCAAGCGAGCCAACAGCTGCGCCTAGATCGTGACACAGACTGCGAACATAGAAGCCAGATGAGACAGTCATCCTCAAACGAGCTGCTGGTGCCAGACATGGCTTTCTCCCTTCTGCGGGAGTATCTGTGTCCACGGGAGGTGCTTGATCTGCGGCCTCCGCGCCCTCGCTCTTGATCTTCTTGGCCTCGGGACCGTCAGAACCCTCTCTCTTCCTCTTCAACTCTTCAGTGTCGACTTTCGTCTCTTCACCAGCAACAGCCTGGGTATCCTCAGCGACCTGCGGCAAGAGTTTGTCCGCTACCTTCTTTTCCTCATCTTCTGCTTCCTTCTCGGGCCAATTGTACTTGTGTGTGCCGGGCTCCAGCCATTCTACCATTTCCATTTGTGACACCGTAACTGGTCGTTCCTGGATCTCGACGGGCACCTCCTTGCCCTCTCTTGCATACTCGTACAGACGCTTGCCCTGAACCCTCAAAGCCGAGAAGATGGGCGGTCTCTGCATGATATCACCGCGGAACTTCTGGAGAGCCTCCTCGACCATGCTTTTGGTGATGTGTTGATAGGGTGCGCGTTTGACGACCTGGCCCTCTGTATCGTAGGTGTCGCTCGCTGCGCCGAAGACAACAACGGTTTCGTACACCTTTGTGCAGTCGAGGAAACCTTGCAGCTTCTTGGTCCCGCTACCAACTCCTACAACCAGCACACCAGTAGCCAAAGGATCGAGAGTTCCACCGTGGCCAAGCTTGACTTGAACTGCCTGTCTCTGTTTGCGGGAACGTTTACGGTATTGGCCGCCTGCATTCGCATCGCGGTCGCGTTTGTTCTTTTCGGCTTCCATCCAGGGAGCGAACGTGTTGGAGGGGTTCAGGTGTTTTTGAAGATCACGCAGAGCTTGAGCAGACGATACAGCAATTGGCTTGTGAATGGCTAGAGCGTCTTTTGTCAGTGTTTGGTCATGACCTGAATATTCGGAATCTTCACATACCGAAAACGCCCTCAAGAACAGGAGAAGATTCAGTCATGATTTTGATTGACCTCCAGATAAAACTCTTTGCCATTTGCTGAGTATACAAGTGAATGGCAAGAGGACGAATAAATTGTTTCTCGAGGTCTCCGCAAGCTCTCTCCACCACGGTTCGGCCTTGGCGGCGATAAGATAAGCTTCTCTGCTTTCGATCATGACGCCAGTCGCGTCTCTTCGTGAGTCGAAGAGCTCGAGCGATACTTCCTTGACTTTCACTCATTGTTCGTCTAGTGCTTTCCCTATTATTCAGTCATCCGAAGATGCCTCCGAACTTATCATCGACGACATTGATACAAACATGAGCAAAGAGAGTCTGGTACTACGGCCCCGCGATTCGGCCCAAGTGAACTCGGATGATTGGCCTGAATTCGAACTCAAGCAAGCCTTTGTCTATGATCCTGAAGACCCGGACAGGACACCCATTAGTCTGCTACATGCTGGACACTATCGCCCACTCACGATCACTGGAAAACTCGAGCCGCCAAATAACCAAAATATTGGATCCTTCATAGACAACACCTCACATCGCGCCATCGCAATCGAGCTAGCGAACATCAAAGAGTTCTCATATGGCGAATACGGAGATGGCTCGCTGGACATCTGGGCTGCTGGTCAGGCTGGATGGTTCAGCGTTAGACCCAGCAGAGCATACAGGGATATGTATAACGACATGACTCAGGCTCTCAAGCTGCTCTATTTCATGGCCGATAGCTACAAAGCTTTGAAGAGATATTCCGATTTGTCGGCTCCATTCTTCTTCCAGAAGGTGAGTAGCCCGATTGTACTTGGAAGATGACGCGCTGACCTTTGTTCGTAGTGTAGCGAGGAAGGCCTTGAGGGGTGCAACAATGTCATGGATGTTGCGGCAATGTTTACTAAGCATAGATATTTCCTGATCGCATCCATGTTGACCAACAAGGAGGGCTTGCAGTGGTACCGGGTACCCCTCTACACGTGGTTTCAAACCACGTTCCAAGTAGGTCGCATCACCCCTCACTGGTTAGACTACCGCTGACTCACATTCTAGGACGACTTCGCTCTTGTTCAGTCTAGGATAAAGCCCCCACGATCTTCGAAGGCATCATCTCAAAAGACCAATTCGCAATCTCCGGCGCCGTCGACGGCCAGCTCGAGGAGGAAAAAGGCGACGGCCAAACAACAAAGCGCAACACCGAAATCTGTCGCAACCACGCGCTCAGGCCGCTCGACCAGGTCCACGAGATCTCAGTCTAACGCGACAATTGATTCTCTACCCATAATCCTTGACAACACACCTGAGTTAGACCAGCTACCCGAAGTCGTGTCGACACCAGAACATACCAAGAACCATATCGACCAGAGCATGTCCTCCAGCGACAACGAAATGACCTCGACTGGAGGTAAGGGCAAAGGCAAATCAGCACTACGACCAAGGCCTAGCAAATACGTACCCTCACGAGCAGACAAGACGAACAAGGATTCCCCGGCTGCTATACAGAGCAGAAAGGTGATAACTAGACCACAATCTGGCGATCCGGACGTGATGTTGGTCGACAGTCCACCACCTGAACATGAAGAAGCTAGCGACAAACTTGCCGAGGACACTACCGAAGACTCGGACGATGAGAGTATGACAGGGACACCAGAGGCCACTCTACCTTTCCGCCTTCAAGACTCGATCAACAACGGCGATGTCTGGAATTGCCCTGTCGACGGGTGCATGCACAGGACATATGCCGCGTCAGAGCCTAGTTCGCAACTCCTCATCAAAGCCCACAATCGAACTCATGACCATGACGACGACGAGAGAGTACAGCTAGTACGACGTATGGAGGCACCCTACCTGCCAGTGAATAGGCTGATGGACAGAGTCAGGGGCATGGCTGCAAGCAAGTTCCCACCACCCATCGCCCAACGCTATTGACGCTTCGGGATATGCAAAAAGATATTGGGATTAAAACCAGGCGTTCCTTGGGAGAGAACTTTTTGATGCTTTTTCTATGATACCACGAGAGGCAGTTACAGAGCAGACTTGGGCAGGAAAGATATAATTTCTTGGAGAACAAATGCAAGCTATGTGAAATAAACAAGAATGCATCTTTTGATCTGAACAGCGATCCCAAGCTGAGTGTATGCTATGCGATGATGACTGGGGGTATAATGTTCGCAGAAGTAGATAGCAGCTTATTTGGCCTCTTCGTTTTGAGACCGCGCAGATGCTTGAATGGAGGTTTCAAGGTTATCGAGTCGTCTGGACATTTCATCCACTGTGAACGGTATCAGTCTTTGCTCAGCAGGGGGCTATTCTCCAAGTATCCTTACTCTTAGTGAGCAGATCCGAGGATATGTTGGCAAACTTTGTCGACAACTGAGCCAGAAGGTCGTCAACGACGGTGGCCAGATCTTCTGATGAGGACTCAAGTGCCTGCTTGGTCGAAATCAGCTCATATGGCCCCTGTGTCGTAGTGATGTTCAACATAACATACACCTGAATCTGTAGTATCGTGCTCTTTGTTTATGTTGAGGTCTGCCATGCTGAGATTCACCTCTTTTGCTTCTTGTGATTGAGCCATCTGGGATGCGAACATTGTCACGTTGAATGGCAAGACACGAAACAATCAGGGTGATGGCGACGGCTTGTGCGACGTCAAAGTTATGCACGAACCCTTGTATACCTGTGCACAACCTGCATAATTACTTCTCCGCAATGCGGACAGCGGCGTTTTCACGAAGCTCCGAGACTTTCTCTCTCCAAAGAAAAAAAGTTACCTGTCGCTCTTACAGAAAACATTCAACACACACACAAAACCAACACATACACAATGGCCAAAGGAAGCAAATTATTAGCTGCGCTGGACCGCGAAAAGGGCGTCAACCACAAGCTCGAACATCAAAAGAAGCAGCAAAAAGCCGCCGAGAAGAGAAAGAGATCGAGAGTCGAGGATCAGGAAGAAGAGGCTGTTCTTGAGGAGGCGATAAAAGAGGCCGAGGAGACTGTTTTGGGTGCTGGAAAGAAGGAGAAGAAGGATAAGAAGGGTGCTAAGCGCGCAAAGGTTGTGCAGCAAGAGGAGGTCGAGGTCGAGGCAGAGGCAGAGGCAGAGGATGATGAGGAGTGGGAGAGTGATGATGAGGACAAGACACATGCTGTATGTTGCACTGTTCTGCGCCTTTGATCTGCGCATCATGATACTGACCTTTGCACCAGAAAAACATTGCAAGACTGGTCGAGGACGATTCCGAAGACGAGTCCGACTCTGAAGACGACATCAACGGAGGCGCCGAGCTAGACGACTCCGAAGACGACGATGAGGAAGACGAAGACATTGCACTCTCAGACCTCGAATCCGTAGCGTCAGAGGACAAGGGCGACATCATCCCCCACCAACGCCTCACCATCAACAACACAGCCGCCCTCCTCCGCGCCGTCAAATCCTTCGCCCTCTCCTCCAAACTCCCCTTCTCAGAGAACCAAGTCATCATCAGCGACGCTCCCACAGAAATCCCTGATATCGAAGATGACCTCAACCGCGAGTTGGCCTTTTACAAGCAATCACTCGATGCCGTCACAAAGGCACGCGGTCTGCTCAAGAAGGAAGGCATCCCCTTCTCCCGCCCTGCAGACTACTTTGCCGAAATGGTAAAGAGCGACGAGCATATGGGCAAGATCAAGGGTAAATTGATCGATGAGGCCGCTAGCAAAAAGGCGTCCGCAGAAGCACGAAGACAGAGAGATCTCAAGAAATTCGGAAAACAAGTCCAAGTCGCAAAGCTGCAGGAGAGAAGTCGCGAGAAGAAGGATACCATGGACAAGATCCAACTGCTCAAGAGAAGTAAGCTTGCCCTCTCTCCACTCTCCCCCCCCAGTCCCCATGTAAGAAACCCCAGCTAACAAATTCCCTCACAGAGCGCAAGGGCGAAGACATTGGCAACGCAAACGAAGACGACATGTTCGACGTCGCCCTCGAAGACGCCGCCGAAACGGAAAAGAAAGACAAGGCCGCCCGTAAATCCGGCGGTGCTTCCGCCTCCCGCGACGGCAAGGGCGGTTTCAAGCGTGTCAAGCGCGATGAAAAGTATGGCTTTGGAGGCAAGAAGCGCTTTTCAAAGAGCAATGATGCCAAATCTTCGGGTGATATGACGGGTTACTCGGCAAAGAGGATGAAGGGGGGTAAGAAGGGTGCTAGCAGACCTGGTAAGAGTAGACGTGCTAACAAGGCTTGAGGGAGTGGTATTGTTGCATAGTTGCTCGGAATCGAGAGCTGGGGAAAAGTTGGGGGTTTTTCTTTTCGTGATATCACACACGGCATTGGGGATGGGTCTTATTTTCTGTATCAATAAGCCCATGAAAGGCGTTTTTCTCTCTCCCTTTCAAGCAAGATCCCAGATGATGGTTTCCATCCTAAAGATGGACGGAAGAGTGTCATCATACAGATTGTCCCGACTACAGATCTATTTACAGATATATCCCTACGCCCTACGTATCCAGAAGATCCCCCCCAACATATCTCCAAACAGCGCTTTCCCTCTTCTAAGAAGGTCCACTCTTCATAGGCACCCAAGTACCATTAACAAGCCAACTCCCAGCTTTCGTATAATCACCCACCCCATTGCCCGCTAGATATGCAAATCTAAAGTACTCTGCCAAATGCACATCATGTCTATTCCACGTCCACTGCCTCGTCCCATCCTCACTCCAACCACCTTCAGCATCATAATCAACATACCCCCTAAACCTCTCTACATCGTTTACCAAGACTGAAATACCGTCATAGTCTGGAGTGGTTTTCTTGGTCTTCTCAGGCGGGATAGGACCGAGTGTAAATGTGATATTAGAGGCTCCAATGACTGGGGGAAGAATAGGAGGTAAGAGGGTATTTTGTGGTGCGTCGGAGAGCAGTTCACCGGGTGTTTGAAGAATACTGTCAAACCCCCACCTAGCAATTCCATTTATGAATAAACCGCAGAGCAAACCTTGATAGAGCAAACTAGGTCGATTTTGAAATGCCGTACCGGGAAGCAACAAAATAGCAAGGATGTAATGATGGATCCGCAAATTCATGCCAGGGATACAGAGAAGAAATAGGATGGACCCCACGAAAATGCCGTATACGGCGAGGTACTTTGGCATTCTGCCCTCGACACGGAAAGCGTAGGCTTGACCGAGAGCGATGAAGAAGATTATCAGGACAATGGAGATGAGGGCGGGTATTGCGCCGGGTTGGGCTTTTATGTCGTGAGGGGTGAGGCGTTGGATGGGTATGCGGTCGAAAGTGTAGTTGTTCAATGCGCCTACCCATGCTGCTCCTACCCACAAGATTGTCTTTTCGAATTGAGCAGTTAGGCCTGTTAGGCTGTAGCGAACGGCGTAGCGATAAATTACTGCCATTACGAAAGCGGCGGGGAGAAATCTTCCAAGTGCGGTGGAGATGAGGGAGTAGTAGTTTGTGAGGTTTGGAGGGTCGGAGGAGAGTCCGGTTTGGAAGAATAGACCGACGAAAATGGACCAGAAGAATACAGCCGGGGAAGTCGTAAAGATGGATAGCATAGCGGTGAAGAAGACAGAGACGGCGAGGGCAGGCCATCTCAGATCTTTACATTGCGCTTGCGTTCCTGGGACGAACTGGAAAGACTGTGGAAAGTAGGATTCGAAACCGATACTGTCGATCCCGTTCTGCTTTACACTGGGGAAGAAGTGTTGATCGCCAGTGAGTCTGAGGACACCACATCCGCCTTGTTCACTCTTGATGAAGCCTGCATGGATGGCGGAACCACAGATGAAACTATCACCTCGATAGACTGTGCTTGATATAGGCTCGCTCTTGTTTGTAGGTCCTCCAACGACTAGAGGCTTGTATACGACTTCCTGATCTCCAACAGCATGAGGAAATAGTACTTGTGTCTTGATACAACCAGCAGGACAACGAAAGGGCAGAGAAGAATTGGAGAATGGTCGGCATTGATCACCATTGATTCCACACCCATTGCCATCATTCCAATATCTTGCTGTACACCCCAATCTTACTGGCGACCCATAGCCTTCTATATCCGCGGCGAACGATGACTTGTGTAGGATCAAAGCGAAAGACAGAATCCAGCAAATGTAGAAGACAAACAAGAGCCAAAATCGTTGCATCCGTTTCGGGGCGTAACGATCCAGTAACCGTAGAGGAGCATGCTGTACAGTCGGAAAGAAAGGCTCAATCTTGTATATCCTAGGAGGTTGAGGGCCCTTGACCCATGTCACCACAGTGCTTGATACCCTCTTTACTGGCGACGGTATCTTATCACTAACTCTTTGCATCCATGGATATTGCTGTGGCGGTTCCTCACCTATAGGATCATCGATTGAGGTGCGATGTAATAATGGGTCCTCGGTAGATGTAGCGAGTGGTGTTTCATCGTGGTAGCTCTCAAGCTGGTCGTCGTCGCGCATGACTGCAGGGTGTATATGGTCTAATTCCACTTTTGGATCCTCCTCTTAGCTATGTCCTTTGTATAGAGGGCCCCTCCAGGATAGATATGAATATACAGGACGAGAAGAATGACAGGAGACTCACTATGCCAAGTCGGCGGATTCCCTGACCAATGCTAGACTAAGAATACGCGACCTGACTTGTCAAGATGGGCAAACGTTCGGGAGTGCGGGAAGTTCGGATCCGCTTTGTCCATCTCGGTCATGACGCATGAGCGACAATTAGTAGATATATCACCTACTTGTCTGTTTCTTCTGTTCTATATGAATGTGTTTAGCAGGAAACGGCATTCTAGTATTCGCAATATCACAACAGCGACTGCCAGTCATGCAGACGGCAGCGCTTGTGTAGAGCAAACGATTTAGGCAGGTGCCATGTACCGATAATGATGATGACAAAATGGAGAGGGACTAACACCGATAAACGCCGTTTATCAGCAAAGAGGCATCCATCCGCCGGCCTATCTCTCTGTCCCTAGTCCGAGCTCTTTCAGTACTGTATTCTAGCATTTCTCATTTCCCCATACCTAGCTTGAGCAAACAACAATCATCATGTCGAGTACCAATCCCAAAGACACGCGCCCGCCACCCAAGGACTTGTCGCATCACCTATCCCGCAATGCCAAGAGCAGACAGCCTAGCTCGATCAAGCAGTTCTACAAGTACTTTCAGATTCCAGGCATCGGTCAATTAGCTGGAGGTCTACCGAACCAATACTACTTTCCCTTCGACACACTAGAGGCAAAGGTTGCACTGCCGGAGAGATGGACGCCTACCGACAACAAGCCCGTTGACCCTCCCTCGGCCGCCACTTCGTCCCTCAAGAATGGAAGCCCTCTCCACCAGGCCCAATCAGTCTTGAAGGTGCCTCACACTTCTCACGAGCAAAACCCACTCAAGAAGATTGACCTTGCCTCTGCTCTGCAATACGGTCAAGCTCAAGGATACCCGCCGCTTTACTACTTCCTCCGCCAATTCACCCAAGAGAACCTACACCCCAACTGTCCTTACAAGGGTGGTCCTGAGATTGTCCTGACCTGCGGAAGTACAGATGGCTTCTCCAAGGCTCTTGCCGCCTTGTCAAACGAATGGAGCGAAGAGAAGGATTGGGTCCGCGACCGTCAAGGTCTGCTTGTCGAGGAGTTCTGCTACATGAACGCTATTCAAGCCGCCAGACCAAGAGGCTTGAACATTGCCCCCGTCAAGATTGATGACGAGGGCATGCTTGCCGAGGGTCCCGGTGGTCTTCGTGATGTCCTCGAGAATTGGGACTACAAGAAGGGAAAGAGACCTCACTTGATGTACACTGTCACCATGGGCCAGAACCCTACCTCTGGTGTCCTTTCTCTTCAGCGTCGTCGTGACCTCTATGCTCTCTGCTCAAAGTACGATGTCATCATTGTGGAGGACGACCCTTACTGGTACTTGCAGTTCCCCTCGTCGACCAACTCTGACAGAGTCTTTACTCCTCAGTCATCAAAGTGGAAGTCTTCTGGCTACGACTTCCTCGACTCGCTGGTCCCCTCTTACATCAACATCGATACTGATGGTCGTGTTCTCCGTCTTGACACTTTCTCCAAGACTGTAGCCCCTGGCTGCCGTCTCGGCTGGATCACCGGACAGCCCGACCTGATCGAGCGCATCCTACGTTTGACAGAGACCAGTACCCAACAGCCCTCCGGCTTCGTTCAATCCATGATTGCCGAACTTATCATTGGTCCTCAAGCTGACGACATCGATCCTGGCAAAGGCCCCTCCAACGGCAAAGGCTGGAGCACCGCAGGCTGGGTCCGCTGGCTCGAAGGCCTTCGCGGAAACTACGAACGCCGCATGAACTCCATGTGCAGCATCCTCGACACGGGCCGCGAACTCGTCAAAGTCGGCCGTCGCAGCTCCCTGAGTAACTTATCTCTCGACTCTGACGATGAATGGGCCGTCGTGCAGACGACCACCGCATACTCCTTCGACTGGCCCGTAGGCGGCATGTTCGTCTGGGTAAAAATGCACTTTGACACCCACCCCCTCGCCTTGAAAATCCCAGGTGCACGTCTCTCCCGCGCCCTCTGGATCTTCTGGACCATGAAACCCTACCTCGTCCTCGTATCCCCCGGTCTCATCTTCTCCCCCACCGAAGAAATTCGCAATCGCGACGGCTACAAATTCTTCCGTCTCTGCTTTGCTGCTTGCGATGACAAGGAAATTGAACCTATTAGCAGAAGATTTGTGGATGCGGTGAATGATTTCTGGAAAATCAAGAGTGTCAAGAAGATTGATGAGTTGCTTGAGGAGGAGGAGTCGGGAGTTGAGCAGAGGGCTGGGGAGGCTGATATGGCTAAATTGGCTAGTTTCATGGGACCGTGCTAGACTTCTTTGGAATAGAGTTGAGTAAAGGTATAGGCGTTTTGTTAGGATGGGGGAGGAATGGGATGGGATTGGACTACGATAATCAAATTTGACTCACATTATGACAACTTAGGATATGCGCACTATGGAAAAGACTCACAGATTCACTCACATTTGTCCTGTTCTGTGATGCCATGGAAGTGACTTTCTCTTTGGAACCTCGAAGACACCTAGCCGCATTGACCACAATCGAGTGTACATTTCAAATAATGCTAATAAATGTCGCCAAAGCAAGACTTATACACACTCGACACTTTCGACACCTCAAAGATGTCCATGTCCATGTCCACCCCCCATCATCCCACCCCCTTGCCCACCCCCACCCCCCAACAAAACCTCCAACATGTCAAAATCCCCAATCCCCGGTCCAAAAGAATTAGCAGTAACATCCCCGCCACCCGCCTGTAAGATCGGATCCAAAGGCAAAGCCAACCAATCATAGCCATCTTCCTGACCAAACGCAGAGCCAAAAGCCGCATAGTCGAAATTGCCATCTGCCATGGGATAACTCTGTTGCAGTACAGAGGATGATGGAGAGGGTGGTTGTGCGGGTGGCGGCATGATGGAAAATGTATTGTCCTTGTCACTTAGATTGTAGGTTTGTGTGCTGATGCCGTAGAGTGCATTGGCACCATTTCCTTCTGCGTTGGCGGTGCAAGTGTCGTAGGGGTTTACGGGGTAGGCGGGCATGTGCTCTGTACTCCTGTTCTGATGCTGGGAACCAGGACTAGCAGGATGAGAGGAAACGCGACTTGTAGTTGCATTTCCACTTCCTGATGTTCTGGACATGCGTACAATCATGGGACGTAAGCGATTCGTTATCACTTCTAGGAAATTTGAGAAGCGATTGCTGAGGTGAACGTCATCGACGACGTGGTTTCTCATTACTTCGACGGTGCGGTCCATGAGGTTGAGGGAAAGTGCCATTTCGTTTTCAAAGGCTCCGAATGCAAAAGTCTGTCCTAAGCGTTGGAATGACGAAAATAGAGGGACGGAAAGAGGAGGCTTACCTTGACAAGAACGAGGGTCACAGAGACGATGCGGAAGAATGTGCGGACAGGTGCGTGCTTGAGATAGCCGCCGGGAGCAAGTCCATCGACGACAACGCGAAGGACGTTACGGCATGCTTGCATTACCTCGTCGACGTGTTGTCTGTCACTGCCAAACCATTGGTCGAGCACGTTTGGAGGGATGATCTTGCCTGCAGCACCGGTATTGTTGTTTGCGCATCTCTCGACTACAGCTTGGAGGGCGAGTTGATGCAGAATGACTCGCGTGTGCTCATACTCGATGATCAGGACATGCCGAAGTAAGATTGGAACTGTAATGATTGTCAGCTCGATCCAAGCTTTGCGCATGAAGACAACTTACTATTTCTGTAAGCCTCAAACTCTCTACGCCATTGCACCAACGAAGGCTTGATCCTTTGTAAGAGTTCTCTGTACTTTCCAGTCTTGATGATATCGCGAGTCTGTTGTCGGTTGGCGTAAAGCTCTTCATTGTTGATCTTGACCAATGTAGCCAGACGCAGCCAGAAATGAAGAACAATGTCCTTGGTGTCCTTAAAGCTCGATCGTTTCGGGTTATACAGTTCGCTCAAAGACGGCTCGGCATATCCTTGAGGCAGCATAGCCGTGACACCCATACGTCCACTGGTTTGCGTAATATATCCGAGAATTACACTTTTGACATGGAGCCGTCTTCGCTGATAGATTTCCTGTTGGTCTGGAGGAATGGTTTGAAGATGTCTGGAACAGTCTGGGTCAAAGACTCCAATCTGTGAGGCTACCGTCATGGCCATGTTGAGAAGAATCCAACACATGCGATCACTTCTGAAACAAGGCTCTAGCCACGAGGTCAGTGCATGGCCGCCTTGTCCTTTGTCCGGACTAGATGTACTCTCGTTGATCGAGGCCATAGGATCCACAGGAGCCATGAGTTGAGTATCATCCTCATCCGCGGGGAAGTGCATCATCCTCGGATGCCACTCAGTCAACAGCAGCAGACTCTCCACTGTACCCAAAGTCAAGAGACCCTTTCTCGACAAGGGATTCACGTCGCAACCAGGCTGTGTTTCATCAGGGTGAAGCGTAGTTCCAGACAGCTCGCGACCCCAGACTATACGATCAATCATTCGCTGTACAAAGGGCCATAGCCTAGAGTGTATACTATGCGAGCGACTCTGTGCGCCAGGTCCGGATAAGGTCATATATCGCGAGGCAATCATGAGCATGGTGACGGCAAGCATGGGTTCGTTCTCGAGCAACGCTGCATGTTTGTCGGGACCGCGATAATCCGGCAAGGCGATGGGTGTCAGAGGAGACATGTATGTATAAAAGTACTCAATATAGTCCATGCCTTCTTTGATTGTGAACCAGCCGTTGCGTATAAAGCGGAAGCGTGACCATGCCGCATAGGCCGAGGCATAGTCTGCCGACGATGATGGGCGAGCAGTGGAAGGTGGCTGCTGCATGATGGCAGGATCAATGGCAGAGTCTGGAGGCAGCGGTTTCGAAGTCGAAGGCATTGGCAGTTCAGCCGGACTAGGTAAAGACGAGGCATACTTATGAGCATCACTAGCACTTCCGGTGGTACGATGGTTGGCTGTAGCAGCTTCGATCAGTACATTCAAGGCGTCGTGACCGTTGTGTAGTTCTGCAGTCTGCAGGAGAGCTGCTGTATGGCTATTGACATGATCGTCGGCTTCATCATGTGGGTACGGCGTTTGTGATGTGGAGTGTGGTCGACGTAGAGGTTGTTGACGGCCCATAGAACCTCCAGGCGTCAGAGGTCGCGGTATGTAGGGTGCATTGACGGTCACAGGCGCAGGTGAATGCACACTGTGAGCATCCGAGTCGACCGATTCAGCGACACCTTCCTTCAATCTCTTACGCCCTCCTCGAATCTCGTAATCATTGGGCTCGATGTCATCTCCAGTAGTACCAGAGTCGGCAGCTCTCTTCTTCCTCCTGGTGGCCGAGAAGAAACATTCTTTGGCTTCGCGACGACAGCGAACACACGGCGGGTCATGAGGATTGTCGACTGGACCGAGATCGCATCTGACCTGATAGTGGTCAACGATGGCATAGTGAAGGGTACGATATTTTATCTGGATCTACCTTGCGACGCCGACATGGTATGCATGCCTGGTACGTCCTACTGTGTTTGTTGTCAACACCATCCGCATCCATGGAATTCATGGTCGAAACAAGCAGCAGGCGGCAAAGCGCGCTTTGTGTCGGCTATGTCTATCAGCGAATACCCCGCCACAAGCACAGCGTCCGCAACCACGAAGGCCGAATGCTATAAGACGCGATGGACGACTTTTTCGCGTCGCGAGTAACAATGATGATATCCGAATAAGTGCAAGGGGATACCGGACGCGATTCCGAGGGTGATAGGCAGATGGAAAAAGAAGAAAAGAGTTGCAGGTTGGACCGAATCAAGATGCCAAGCGGCTCTGAGCTCCTTTCGTGCTATAAACTCTAATCATTGCGAAAGATGCCAGTCACAAAAGAGGCCGAGAAGAAGACCTGAGATAAGAAATAGATAACCCTTATCAGTGTGTGTCCGAGGGCTAAACATGCATCGAAATGGCACATCGATCTCGATAATGTATCACGTGCGGCTCTGGACAGAGGCCATATCGCAAGGTCGAGCGGCGCAGGAGTATCTATCGCGACTATTTTTGGAAGCTGTGGTATAGCTTCAACACCCTCGAAATGATGTTTTGTGATTTTGTGACGTTGTGAGCATGTTGGTGATACTCGTAGATAGAATGCAATGTAAACGAACATACCGAATCGGGGAATCACGTGCGTCCAAAGCGGAGGATGACGCTCGACGTCCAGAATTCTTGCAAAGGCCGGCGAAAGCGCGACGCAAGCAATTCGAGTACAGTGAACGAGTCCAATCAACTGTCCAACCGCCACACACCTTTCTAGACCACCTACCACCTTTTCACCCACACAACTCCCGCCAAAATGGTCAAGCTCGAAGAAGTTCTCGACGAGGAGTTCACCACCCAGCAGAACGGCCCCCAGGTCGAGGACGAATGGGACACCAGCGATGGTACATGATCACCTCCGCTCTCCAAAAAAACAACAATACGAGGAGAAAGCAAGAATGAACACAGAAGCTAACACAACATCTTTCACACAGAGTCCGAGGCCTCAGAAGACGAGGAGGAATACATGCCCGACGAAACCTTTGGCGACAGACTCGCCGCCCTCAAGGACATCGTCCCCCCCACATACCGCAAGGCCCTCTCCAACACCGTCTCCACAACTTCATCCTGGGTCCAGACTACACTCAACTACGGTGGAAAGACCCTGTGGGTTGTCAGCACCAGTGTTCTGCTCTTGGGCGTACCGTGGGCACTGGCCTTCGCAGAGGAGCAGCAGATGGCCGAGATGGAGAGAGAGATGAAGATGCAGCAAAGTGCCAACGAGGTAAGTCTTTGCTGCCGAAATGTATGCGACTGCACAATCTACAGCTTTACTGACAAGCATTATAGCTTCTCACTCAGCAACAGTCGCAGGCAAAGCCCGCTTTGTAAAATACCGCTTCTTGTCTTTTTTCATTGGCATCGCTCTCGTGCTCATGTATTAAAAATCGCCTTTCTTCTCCTCCTTGTACAACTATTCTTGGTGGTGGCGCTGGGTCTTATGAATGCCATCATTTTCTCTACCTGACATCTTGCTCCTCCATGTACGTCATTTGCACATAACCGCACGTATCAAGACCGCGTTCGTATCAGTCAACATTGCATGCGTAGTCTCACAGGGTATTCAATTCAAAGAGTGCAGTCTAGCTCTTTAACCTGCGCTTGATGAGTCAGTCAATGGCTGTAGATGAATCAAGCCGTGGTTATAACGTGGACACTGACAAAAACAAGGAGATAAAGGGACTGTGGACCTGAACTTCCACAGCTCGTTTGCCGAACGGAGCACCTAAAGCTCAACACCACCAAGTCTGAATCCCAGAACATCAGCCGCAAAAACATCATCTCTGTCCTGCGGACTCATATCCTTCTTTTTGCCAACCTTCCTGGTGAGCTCTTGCAAGTCACTCTTCAGACCCTTCACCATCTCCCGAAGTCTGTCCCGCTGTTTCCAGAGCACTTCTTGGTCTTGATCATCTTGTCGGACGCTAAGGATAAAGCCAAAGACGTTCTCAATAGTGGCCCGTAACTTGTTATGTCTCGAGCGGAGGAAGAGCCTAGAACGAATCGTATCAAGCATATCGTTATGTTTGTTGCGGAGATGTGTCAAACCAAATGTGACCATCTGACCAAACGTCTCAGTCTCGTCCTCAAGAGCAAGGTTCGTTTCGATTTCATCAAGTACCTGCTGGAACTCTTTCCAAGGACTAGCAATTCCAACATCGAAAAAGTAGGATGCAAGGCTCGACACACAGCTCCAAGCTTCATGCGCAAAAGCCTGTGACGCAGTTGAGCTGTCTCTTCGCTGTGCACTGCCGCGGAGCAAAATGACAAAGTGAAGCATCCGGAGCACACCCAATAAGACACGGAAGCAGTCGTCATATTTGACCATCGCCTTGTCATCCAGTATAGCATCAAGCGGTGCAGGAGCTTCATATCTCAAGCGTAGAAAGTCGAGCGCGTGAATGCTGTTAGCGTCAAGACATCTCTCAATCTCTGCATCTTCGAGCTCGCGGATGGCGAAGGAGAGATTGCCAGGTATATCGTTAGAGCCATACGCTTCAGATAATACACCCATAAGTCCAAGTCTCAACTCTGAAGAAGCAGGAGGCCATTGCTTGGAGCGATTGTCCAGACGTAATCCATATGCGCTGGCTTCTGAGGTGAACAATGCAGCAGTGAGATGTTGAACGAACAGGCCATTTCCTAGAAGATGGAACGAATGGTTCAGGTTGAAGTGTTCGCGAAGTGAGAACCGGCGGAATAAGAGGCGAAGAAGGGTGCCGTTCAATAGTCGAGTTTGCACGTGCAGATATGGCTGCAAATGTTGCATCATTGTCTTCGTGGGACGCCGGAGGTCAAGGGATGATGCATCTTGCGTGCCGGCTGTCTCAAGGAGTATTGCCGCAGTCAAACGTTGTAAATCAGAAACGTCGACCTTCTTGATAGGGTCTTCGAAGAACTGTGTGCTCACGTCTTCGAAGTATGTTTGTTGACCTTGATCGAGGCTCCATGGAAGTTGCTCTGACGTGAGATGATCTGTCGTTTCGTCAGACTGTCTATCGTGTGGCTTTGAGCGTCCATTCGTATATTTTGCTATCGCAAGAAGCAGATCTTGTTGATACTTGTTCGCCTTTCTGGAAATGCGATCAATGTCTACGTCTATCGTTGATAATTCCAAGTCAGGCTGATCAACACCCCATGAAGCAGGTGATAGAAGAGGATGGTCGGATGCAGAATTTCGCAATACAGCGATGCCAGTCATGAGGTCAGTGATTTGCGCACTGTTTTCAGCTGAGACGTGAGCGCTACGCTCCAATGTCTCATCTCCTCCAAGAATCTCTACGTCCAAGCTGTCGTTCACAAGACCAGTCTTTTGACACATCGCTTGAAACCATGGCCGTGAGACTTGGTTCAGTATCTCTGCGTAGAGTGATTGAAATGGGGAGCATGCACTCGTGAAAAGCTCAAATATCTGGTGGCAAGCAGATAAGAATGTCGCGTCGGTGCTTGCGTGAGCGGTTGTTTTGGTGATTTGTATCATTTCAGTCAGCAGCATGGCTGGAGCATCGAAGAAGGCCAGTAGCCGTAGGGTGGACGGAGCATTTAATACTCTGTCGGACATATTCTGGTCAACAACTTCCAGTACGCCCTGGATACTTTTCGCAAGAGCGACACGAGATGCCAGAGGATTCTTGTTGGCATATGAGGATTGGACAAACAGTCTCAGCTCGATGAAAGCGGTACCGACGGTGGACAGCTGAGCGACTACGCTCTTGAAGGCAGTACTGCTTAGACCAGAAAGTCGCACGTTGTCTATGGTTGGCGCAAATATCTTTTTATCATTCTTCCATTGAAACAGAGCAGATGACCGCCCGAGACCCAGCAGAGCTAGACATCTGAGGGCGAAGGCGGACTGTAGAACTTGTGTGTCTTCGGACTGGAGAGCATCAAAGGCGCGCGGGCCGGCTTCAGAGATGTTTGAGATCGGCGCGTCCGTATGAGAGTCATCGGCAAAGGCTTCCCATGTGCGCAAAGATGTGTTCTTCGCCGTCCTGAGATCGAGCTCCCACAAGGTATCGAGTCCATCAGGTAGACTTGGTACGGATGTGTCTTGGGTGCTGACAGATGGCTCCTCTTTGGGGTTCGCCGGAGCGCTTAGGTCGTCGAGTTTCCCGGATTCAAAGTCCTCGATAGTCGGAAGCCGTAGTTCAAGGGCGAAGTGGTCGTTGATCAAGGGCAGTTCTAGATTGTGTTAGCTGCGGTGCCCGACGTAACGAAGCGAGACAGACGAACCAAACTGCGTGTTAGTGAACAAAGTCTGTTCAGGTGCATCAGACAGACCGAATGCCGACTTGCGCCAGAAGTCGGGCACTTCGAACGGGCCATATGCGCCGTCCATGCCATTGATTGTTGGTTATCTTGACCTTGTCGTGGATTTGAGGACGCGCCTTCGGATGCAGCTGACGCGAGCGCCGACGCGTGCTAAATAGCACACACCTGAAAGATTGACAGCCCTTCCCAAACCGTGCATCGCCAACACACCCAACATCTGCCATGTTCTCCCTGCTCGTGAACAAAACACGTCCTGCTCAGACATGTTTCTTCTCGCTCAGGATTTGGTCAAGGAACTCGCCGAGCGCTTCCCCTCTCTCAATCACTCACGCATGCCCAATATTTCTGTCCCACTACTACGACGATGCCGAATCTCGCAAAGAGAAACGTAGAGAAGCCCAGAGGAGATACAAGGCATCACCTGCCGGGAAGGCCGTCTATGCATTCTGGCGAACCCACATGAGAGAGCAATACAACAACAACCCTACCTTTCGCACGGCAAGAAGGCTTGACACCTTTGTCCGTTATATCTGGAAGACTGGCAAGCTTGGCAAGTTTTACTCTTGGGAGAGCCATGTGCCATTAGTCCTCCCAGCCCGCGAGCATCATCATTGCACGGCCTGTGAACGAACCCGTCGTCTGAGCGTATGGTGGGTGGAAAAGTCATCCCATGTCGCAGAAGTAAATCAGGACCCCACTGAGAACGTTGCGACTCCAGCTCGATACATGTGTACTGCATGTTTTAGTAGCGATCCAGTGCGTGCGACGCCAGAAAAACATCCATCTAAACTTCCCCCTTTGTACGCCGAGATGCAATCGAAAGTCAAACCCTCAGCACAGGATGATGAACCCTGATGCGCTAAGTTTGGGACAGACTCTATCGACAGGTTGACTGGCATGGTCATCTACTACGTGCATCTTTTTGCTAGCTGGAATCGGACAGACGTCGCGAGTTGCGTGATGGGAAGAGGATATGCACATCGAGTGCACGATATGTCCTCTGCAGTACATGGAGTATTTCTGTCACTTCGTGTGTGCTGTTTGAGAGCAAGTAGATCGTCGAATTCTTCATGCCGAAGACTGGAAAGCACGAAGAATTTGCCGCTCGAACAGAATCCGATATACAGGCCACTCTATGTGACCTAGTAGCTCTTGCGGTGCTGAGTGTCAACATCGCCACTGACATCCGGAGTCAACTCACGAGTCTACATAGCATACAATCCACTCCAGCTAAGTGTGCTTCATTCGACAACCTTCTCCGATCTAGGATATCATCATTTCCATAGTCCATAGCGCGCTTTGCCATTGCCCTCTTACTACTCAATAATCTAGGCCCATTTTCCCAGCACACTCATCAATACTAACCCAGCAACCAGACTGACTGCAGCGGGAACCACTTGCTTCAGAGGCGCTCTACTCAGTTCCCCATGCATCCAATCATGCGCCAACATCTCTACCAATCCCACATAAAGCAAAATACCAGCGCTCAACGCGTCCAGCGTACCGATTGCAATGATGGTCGAAGGATCGTTGCCGTTGAACTGGTTCAACACGCCAATGCCAATCGCCATGCCGATTGGTGTTACGAGCGCAAAGGCAGTGGCCATGATGATTTTCTCTGCCATTCGGATCTCAAGATCGCTAATGCGGGAGCCAAGAGCGAGACCTTCGAACATCTGGTGGAAGATGATGACGATGAAGAGGGTGATGAAGCCCGAGTCGCCGGCGACGACAAGAGTGAGGCCAATCACTACGAGCTTGTCAGCAGGCGCTTATGGATGCTAGTACAATCGACTTACGCAGAGAGTGGAAGATGATTCCAGCTTCCATGATGTTGACTTTGAGCTTCTGCAGAGCGGGCGATTGAGCATGGGCATCACCTGAGTGAATGAGATGATGTCCGACTGGAGCATCATTGTTCACAGCCCCCTTTGAGTCGTGACTTTGGTCTGGAGTTGGTGAAGCAGGAATTTCACCCGTCTGCTTTGACACACGCCACAAGAAGACTCTAGCCCCGATATACTCTGGTACGAAGGATATGACGATACCCGCCATCACAATTGCGGCAGTGGTGGCTTCATACTTCAGACCACCCAAGCAGTGGTTTGCGAACATGAGTTCTGCATGTGTGAAGAGCTGGAATGCCGTTAGAGTCTTGCTGTCAGTCTAGACCAAGTCGACTTACATGGACAAGAGCTGTCGAAATGATGACACCAGTACCAAACTGCTTGACTATCGACATGGCCATACCACCTCCCTTGAATCTGCCAAGTGAGAGGAAAATTGGACCGAATACACCGATGGATGCAGTGGCGAGAATGGCAAACACAAGCCCAATGCGGAGAGGAATGTTGTAATCACGATCAACAGCTTCACACGTTCCCTCCACAGTATTGCCGTTCGCATCAACACAATGCCTGATGGAAGTCAGAAATGTCTACCTACGCTCGGAAACGTCGTGCAAGAACTTACTCCACGCCAGCGTGGAAGTGGCAGCTGACTCCATCAGCAGAAATTTCACCAGCTGCCTCTTCTCCGTCTGCCGTTTGCGCTTGAGCAAGAACCTCTCCGCCAGAAGGGCTCATGCAGAATCTATGATTATTAGATGTGCTACAAGAATGATGGCCAGTAAGACTTACAGCTGGGCTCCATGAGCATGGCAACCTGTATATTGAGTTGGTAGGTCCTGTGTTGCTGTCGCGGGTACTTTCATGAGATATTCTGTAGCGCTAGGACCCATACAAAACTGTTCAGTCTCATGCATATGGCACTGGGTAAGTGCTGTGACCTGTGAAGCTTGGGCGGCCCCTGTGGCTACCGCTGAGGTCACAGTTGGAGATGAGGTTCCGCTCGCATGCTCCTCATGAGATCCATCGCTATGAGATGCGCCTTCTGCAATGACCTCAACTTCCTCGCCCTGAGGGCCAAGGCAAAACCTGAGCTCTTGTTAGCTGTGACTGAGAGTTTGTTTCGATGGCTTACAAGTCTGTGTCATGAGCATGGCAGCCAGTGTATTCCGAGGGAAGCTCCGCAGTAGCAGTGGCTGTGGTCAACACCTCATACTCTGCAGCTCCAGCAAAACAGAATCTGGACAACCAGTAAGCTGAAGCCCGAGAAGACCATGATTGAGAAGAGTACTCACTGGGTATCGCCGTGCATGTGGCAACCAGTGATAGCAGTCGGCACAGCGGATACTTCTGCTTGAGTGGTGCTAGGGTCGACGGTAGTTGAAGGTGCTGCTGTTGCTGTACTGCTCAATGTCGTCCACGGCACTGTTGTCCCATCACGCAAACAGTTTCTAATGTCTGGTCAGTGGGTGTAGAAAATTTGCACGCGAGGTGCTCACACTACGCCACTCTGTGTGGTACATGCAGTCAACGAGAACGTCCTCAGTGACTGGGCTTGCACGAGAGCATCGCCCAAGAGCGCAAGAAGGACCAGAGAGGTATGCATGTTGTCAGCAAATACTTTCGACGGATTTCTGGACGGCAAAGTCTTCCGCGTTGCACCATGCTTCCTTATATTCAATCCAACCTCGAAGACATCTATCCACCATCCGGCTAAATTTTCTTATGCACGAGACATGATATTGCTCCACTCTGGCCACACAAACTTGGCGGAAGGCAAGATGATCACATCTTTCTTCCTGCTTTGGCGAGTAAGATTCTATACCAAGAACTACACAGGTGTACCAAGAGACTTGGAAACGCCATCAAGAACGTGTTGAGCGCCATTTCTTTGCAGATTTTGCGGAAACACTGCCTCACTTTGAAGTGGGCGAGGAAAGCAAAGTGTTGCTTGGCCACCTTGATGGTCAATGCCAAGGTTGATGCATAGGATTCTAACGACCTCGATTCAGTGAGGACTCCACTTACACCGCTCTGGGAGGTTTTCGTACTTGGCGTGCAGGCATATCATTCGTTCTCGTGAAGCCACAATGTAATGGCTTGGTCTTGGTAGAGACATATTTTTGCGCAACACTCAGTGATTCGAAGTTTTGCTAGAGGCGAGCACGGAATATCGACCACTCGGGTGTTTCTGGGCATTCAAAGAGTTCGGGTAGATGATCCTAGAGCGGACGTATTGGTATGCAGAGTGTTTCGTCGATGATTCTGCGTGGCCAATGCTAGAAGAAGAGATGTGGGTATATATAGAGCAAGAGCGATGCACGTTAGCAAGAGAAGTATCAAGCACTCATAACAGTTCGCAACCTCTTCCCAACGCTCCAGGCTCTTCTTTCCATCTCGCTCCTCACCATGCGTTTCCAAATCCTTGTCAATGTACTTTTAGCTGCAACTGCCACAGCTTCTCCAGTCCTCAAAAACAGAGAAGTCACCACCGTCACTGTTTCTGGCACAACAGCAACCTCTTACCCCCAGCCTGCCTCTGAGATCCAAGGCTTTCCCATTCACTCCTCCTGTAATGGTAGCGAGAGAGTGCAGCTCGAAAAGGCCCTTTGGGATACCATCAGAATTTCCCAACAAGCCGCTCAGCACATCTACACTCATGGCAACAGCTCTGCTCTGTACACCAAATACTTTGGCCAAGCTCCTACTGCAGAGGTAATTGGCTGGTACGAGAAGCTGATCCATGGAGATCACGACGGTGTTCTTTTCCGCTGCGACGACATTGACGGAAACTGTCACCAAGAAGGTAAGATCACCTTGTCTCCCTGCCCTCAATTTTCTGAGCATAGACTGACCTAACAACAGGATGGGGAGGTCACTGGCGTGGTGAGAATGGCACAGATGAAACAGTAATCTGCCCTCTCTCCTACTCCACCCGTCAACCCCTCGAAGCCATGTGCTCGAATGGCTACAGCGTCGCAAATGGAGCTTTGAATCATTACTTTGCAGCAGATCTTATGCATCGTCTGTTTCACACTACCAAGATTGGTGAGGGAGCAGCAGAGCACTATGCAGATAGTTATTCTGAATGCCTGGAGTTGGCAGAGACAAAACCGGAGGAAGCTGTGAGAAACACACACTCATTGCAGTATTTCGCTCTGGATGTTTATGCCATGGATGTGGTTCTGGTGGGAGAAGGATGTACGGGAAAGCCGAGTGAGGAAGAGGAAGACTCACATGCTCCTGCTGCTTCTTCTTCTTCTTCTGCTTCGTCATCGGTTGCATCTTCGTCTGCTTCTTCGTCGGCTGCTTCTGCTGCCACTACTGCTGCTGCTAGCACCACCACCGCTCAAGTCGCTTCTCAGACCGCCACCAAGACTTCAAGTGCTGCTGCTGTAAGTACCCTCAACATAAGCCCTGATCCGATATACCATACTGACTATTCGCAGGAATGCCATACCCACGGTGATGGAGTGGTTCATTGTGTCTAAAGCACTGCGGGAGGAGCACAAAACGGGAACTCTTACATCAGGTAATGATAGTCATAAAAGCAGAAGACAGTGTCGAATGTTTACGATCAGATGTTTGACATGCTAAAAGGGAAATAATGAATGTAAAGGGAGAGCAGGATGGGAAGATATGCTAAAGTCAATAAAACCTCTCACCACGAACGCCCATCGCTGGCAAAGTGACTTGTAAGCAACGAGTGATTCTATCGTGCAAACCTCCAGGCATCAGAATGGAAAACGAAGCAAGCAACCACAAAACATCACAGTAGTGTAGTATCGACACTGCTCAAATGCACTTAGCACTTCGTGCTTCCTTGTCTTATACCTCAACATCAACCATCTGTTCATGAACCCAGTCTTTTGACGTCTATTATCTCTGGTTATCTATACTGCCCTTGCAACAACCATCCTCTTTCTCCTGACTTCCCTAATCTCCGCAAGTTTAGCCTCCATGTCCCCACCATCCCTTCCCAACGTATGTAAAATAATGCATCGATTATTTTCCTTTCCAAACCCGTTCCGCTGGCTAGATATTTTTCGCACCTCTCCAAGCCCTGGCTCACCAAACGTTGGATCTTGCTTCCTCTTCCCACGATACGCAGATTCCAATCCCAGATGCTGAATTGCTCAAGGTCGAATTGTGGCTGGACTTGCAAGATCTCTGGGGCTTCATAAGCAGGTTTGTTGGTGGTATTTTTGGTGGTGAAGATGTCCAGATATGGATCTCGTACTCGAATTCTCGCTTCAAATCGCAGGATAATGCGAGGATACGCATGTAACCATCATCTGACATCGGGACATGCATATCCAGGTGCGAGCTCCATATCTCCACAGCAGCTTCATAATGTGCAGTTTGTTGCTCCTTGATCATTCTCGCAGCTTTGAGTCTATCGTCCGAGGCCTCTCCTGGTCTTAGAACAGCAGCGAAAAGACCATGTTGCAAAAACGACATAGGTTTGTTATACGGTCTTCCAACTCTACACCGCGAGAACAAGTCCAGTTTATACACACTTGTCGAAATCCCTACATGTCGAGCCGAGGATCGCGCTTCTATACTAGAAACTTCACTCTCGTTGTAATTCATGAACTCGCAAATAGGTTTGATTTGCATTACTTTGAGGTATTTTTGCGACAAGTCGGTAAGTGTGTTACGATATAGCAATTCGAGAGAAGATTTTCAGAGTTCTGCCAGAGTCATTCCTTCTGGAGAGAGGACTGTGCGGGATTAGTCATGGAGATCGATGTTGTTTGCTGTGCTGTCGAGACCGGGGTTGCTTGAGAAATATTCAAGGGCTTCTCTTTCTACAGCATCGCGTGGTGAGAATCTGGAGGCGTCACTCTCGTTCTCGGTATCGATATTCGATGTCATAGTATATGATTAGTTTTGGTTATTGCCGTCTTGGGTGGACGATGTCGCACATTCCTCATGTACGAGGAAAGAACAGAGCCCAGAAGTTCACCTGCGTCCTGACGATGGCTCATGATCGATCCGCCAGCTTTGGTCTCCAAGGCCAGCAGAACGAAAAGTCTCAAAGGGACTTTGCGCGAAGTAAAACTTCAAGGAGCTGGGATGGAAAGACTGAATTGTTGTATCGTGGAGCCTCGAACAAAACAAAAAGAAAAGCGAGAAAGAGGAAAGCACGCATGTCAATGTCATGAAAGGTGAGAAGAAGTTGATCAAGCAAAATTATGATACCGTGAGCAGGATCCGAACCCGCGACCTCCTCGGATCTAGACTGACACGACGTTGAGTAACAACGAATGACCACGTACGTGTTAAGACCACGGGTGTGTTAAACCACTACACTACCACGGATAACTTACAGAGAAGATAGAATCTTTGTAATATAATGGCTAGCAAGGATAGTGCTGCGACGAGCTGGTTCAGGCGATCATGAGGTAGCTTTGCGGGTGGATGAGGGAGTTTCCTTGGAAGCGGGCAGAGCCAGGTCGGCAGACTTAATCAAGTACTCCGGATCAGTCTAGTGGCTGGACGTGATGTAATGGGGTTAGCATTGTCGGACAGCGTCGCTCATGAGAAGACAGCAAATTCGGAAGGTTGACGTTGTTTTATTCTGCTGCGTCCTAAGGGAAAAAGTAAAAGTCAAGCAAAGGAAGCACCAGACTGCAACAATGAACGCCAAAACGCCTTGCTGTGAACACCCTAGCCGGGGTTTAAATGCAAGCAATGCCGTGATATAGGTAGATGAAAAGGATCCGAAGAAGTTGTTTTTGAGTAAAGCGAGAAACTGGGAGATGTCACTCCGGGGCAACACGTAGAAAAGGCTTCTATACATTTGGGCGTAGCTCGTGAGATGTAGGTGGATGAGACAGGCTTTGTCGAATGTAATGTCGTTCTAGATGGAATGAGCTTGCTCCACTTCGTTGTCGGTCTGCATACGGACAATGACACTCTTGAGCGTCTCGAAGGTGAGCATTGTAGTCATGGCGGCGGGGACGGCTCTGATGAGGTTTGTTCCCATGCCGCTGTAAAAGGCAGTCCAGCCTTCTTCGTATAAAATGAGTCTGCATGTCTTGAGCACGCCTTGATAGCGAGGCTTGTTGATCATGCCGTCGGAACTAGGGATACCTCGTTGTTGTGTCTGTAGACGAGTCCGTAAAACTTCGTGAGGATATGTTGCAGTTGTGGCACAAATCTTGCTGATGCAGGTGGCAGCAAGGACACCGACCGAGTTTGTACCCTGACTTGGAGGTGCTGCACCCATCTCGACGCCGGTAAATCTGAGCTTTAGATATTCGTATAGAGGAAATTGAATAGCGACGTGAGTCAGACCCAACAGAGCAGGAGCCAATCCTGAGTAAAAGGCCTTGATGCCCTCGCCCCTATACATCTGGCGAGCAGCATCCCAAGTGTTGTTGTAGTGCCAAGGGGTACGGTGTCCTTCGACGGCTTTCGTAGAGATTTGCGACATGAGACGAGTCTTGATTACCCAGATAGGATTCGTTGCAAGCGTCGAGCAGGCGCCGGCGGTTACAGAGGAGCATACGTGGGCGAGCCATTGTGGTTCTGGAGAGAGTTAGTACAGAATCGTAGCAGCCAGTTCCGACACACTTGCCAACACGTTCTGAGTAATTTGTCTTTGCAATGTCGTAGATGCTCATGTAGACAGCCCAGGTGGGCAGATAACCAAGTATCATGGGTCCGAGGCCTCTATACATGCCCTTGAGACCATCCTGACGGACGATAGTTTTGGCAGTTCCAACAAGACCCCGATAGACCTGCTTCGTCACAGGAGCACCTTGTGAATGCTGTTGGTGACGGAATGATCCCTGAGCCTGCAACTTGGTCTTGATAACATCAAGCGGGCATGTGACGATTCCTGAAGCAACACCAGCGGCAGCACCACAGAGGCTGTTGATATATGGCTTTGGCAGTTTTTGGGCCAGTAGGACGGCCGTGCTTGGTGGGGGTTTGGAGATGGTTAGATCGTGCGAGTCGGATGTCGGGCTTGACATTTTATCGGGGGAGAAGCCTCAATAGCTGCGCATGTTCGAGCCAGAGGCGATTGTGAGGATCAATACTGAGTGGAGATTGCTGACAGGTGGGAAAAAGTGAGTCGAAGGCTATTGATTGTGGTGGAGTCTCGTAGATACGGATATCCGTGGTTGTATGCGCACGCGGCCCGGCACCGCCAGAGAAGAAAGATTAGCGATTGTACGTCTCCATGAATCTGCACACAGTTGTCGAGAGTGGAGATAGGTGCGACTGGCGTGTGGGCTTGGTCAAGGGACGGGTGTGTAGTGTCACGGTGTGTCAACAGAGACGTCTGCTAATCGCAATTCACCTTGGCCCGTCGCTTCGGCCGTGGAGCAGGAGCAGGAGCCCTCAAAGGAACGAGGGAAGGCCCGGGCGCCGGCTCAAAGCGGGGGTTCTCTCTGCCCAATCAGCGTCGCCGTCGTAAGCAGCCAATCAGCGGGCGTCGGGACAGGCTGGGCTGGCTGGGCTGGCTTGCAAGATGCAACGACAAGTTCACCAACATCGAAGTTGAAGCCCGTCCGACAAGAAGATCTCCCCTTCCGCACCCAATCCACATCGCTACCATGTCGCAGCCCTCGCTCACCAACTTCATTGTCAAGCGCCCCTGGCTGAAGCGCTGGATGACCCCTCTCGCCAACTGGTACACCGACGCCGCTGGCTACAGAAAGTTGGGCTTGAGGTCCGTCGCTCGTTCCATTGCCAACCACGGCTCCCTCGACAATTACTGACGTCGCATGTGCCTTGCAGAGCCGACGACCTTATCCCTGAGGAGTCCGAGACGGTCCTTCTCGCCCTCAAGCGTCTCCCGCCCAAGGAGGCCTACGACCGTGTCTTCCGCATGCGCCGCGCTTTCCAGGTCCGTCCGATCCATTCAACCCTCGAATCTACAAAACAAAACTCGCCTCTAACCCACTCGCACAGTGCTCCATCTCACACCAGCTTCTCCCCAAGAACGAGCAGACCAAGCCCGAGGATGTGCGTCTCCCACAACAGCCCTGTCTATGCACCACCCAATTGCTTACACATACACCAGGATGTCCCATACTTGAGCCCTATCATCAAGGAGATCGAGTCTGAGAAGAGAGAGAGAATGGACCTCGACGCCATGGTCATCAAGAAATAATCGCCCTAGACTTTGCCTCTACTCGTACCCTCCCCCGAGTCGCCGCCGCCACCGCTTTCATGTACTCTATACCTTTAGAATGTCCAAAACCGCTTTTCCTTTGACTCGACAACGTTACACAGCAAGATACTATTCATACTCTGTTACACGATTGCCAGAGTTCCATAACCCTCGCACGTTGCAGTTCCTCGCATTCACGCAGCCTGCTCTGACACAACCATGTAAGCTGGATATCGATACGAGGCTGTCCTGTTAGACATGCTGGGCACAATTCGATATATCCAATGCGTGGTGAACCTATTGCCCGTCTGGATTGGTTATTCCATTTTGCCTCACGCGTTTCATGCATGGTCTGTGCTTCTTGCGACTACTCAATGTGACTTTCATCCTTTGTGTGAGATAACCATCTGTTGCAATGATCAACTCTCCCATGCTCGGTTGATGACTCTAGCATCTGTAGGCTTGTTGAGCATTGCATTCGAGCTATTGACGTCTGCAAATTTGAAGATCTGTCACGCGCTTGATCTCACCAATGTACAATACTTTCACAACTATTCGAGGTTTACTGAGTATTTCCAACTCGCTCATTCAAGTGTCACTTGAGATCTACTCTAGCAATTAATTGTGCCATTTTACAGATCCTCGCTCGTATAGCGGTGTCTCGTTGCAGCAAGGGCGGCATTGGTAAACTGACGAGACCCTTGTGCGTCATCGCTTCAGCCTCGTTGCTTTCACTCTTAGCGAGTCTTGCTTCGAATCATTTGGCATCAACCACACAGATTGATCCATTCTCCTCCTTCCATAAAAAATTGCACACTGGCTTCCGCTATCTTCCTTGTAACAACTACAACCAGAATGACTCTTAGACGCTCTACTCGCGTGCAAGCCCTCTCAACTTCGGCAGCTACACTCACTTCTCAGCTCAAGGTGACCAAGCGGAAGGGCTCCATCACAGACTCAAAGTTATCGGAGTCTACAATCAAGCTAGGTCCGCTCCCGAACGGCGAAAAGACAGCTCCTGTAGTTACACTCCCCAAAGAAGATACGCTACGAAAACGCCAGAAAGTCGAGAATGCATCTCACCCAGTACTGCCAACACCTTCGCCTGATGGGCTGCCAACATCTACTTCTTCTGGAAACTTTTCGAACGGTGTTACTTCAGATCAGACTAGACCAGCAGAGCCTCACATGACAAACGCGCCAGTCAAATCTCCTGGTACAGACAAGGTAGTAACAGCATACTCAACTTGGAATGGCGATATTGCCGGCCCAGCGCCTACAAACACGACAAATTCGATCCTGGACGATGCAGTAGCACACTTGAAGCGCATGGACGACAATGGTCGTCTAGCTCCATATATCGCAAAGTTCCATTGCAAGGTATTCGATGCTGAAGGGTTGGCTCAACCGATTGATCCATTCCGTTCCCTGGCTTCTGGTATTATTGCGCAACAAGTGTCCGGAGCTGCGGCGAGCAGTATCAAGAAGAAATTCGTTGGATTGTTTGAGGCTTCTCCTGAGCACAATTATGCTGGACCTCCAGACTTTCCGCCGCCTGTGATGGTCGCTGCAATGTCGATACCAACCCTTAGATCGGCTGGACTGAGTCAGAGGAAGGCAGAGTATATTCAAGGACTTGCTGAACACTTTGCGACCGGCAAGCTGAGTGCCGAGATGCTGGCAACGGCCTCAGACGAAGAAGTCATGGAGAAATTGATAGCAGTCAGAGGATTGGGAAAGTGGAGTGTGGAGATGTTTGCCTGCTTCGATCTGAAGAGAATGGATGTGTTCTCTACAGGCGATCTTGGTGTTCAGTAAGTTTCAAGCGGGCAAACGTCACTAGATGATCACTAATCTATGGCTCAGGCGTGGTCTTGCTGTCTACACGGGCAAAGATGTGAGTAAGCTTAAGGCCAGAGGTGGAGGTAAGTGGAAGTACATGGGTTCTGAGAAGGCCATGTTGGAGGCTGCAGAAAAGTTCTCGCCTTACAGGTAAGTCTTACCATCCACTTCACCACACTACTCAATTCTGACGACCTGTGTAGAAGTTTGTTCATGTGGTACATGTGGCGACTCAGCGACGTGGATGTATCCACTCTCCAAGACCAGGAAGCAGTCTCGATGACCTGATTGAATTTGCGAATCATCCTGACCAAGATGTTGCCGACAGGGTGCTACCCTTGTCAACTTTTGCTGGGGACGCTTTGGTCAATGGAGCATCGACGAGGTGTCAATTGCATGCCGGAATGCATCATCCAATGCTTTTTGAGCATCGGACATTATTCTTACCAGTCTTGTTAATATCGTCACTCAGGCTTGGGGTAACGAGTGTTTCTTGGGTTGTGGTGACGGCTCCAGAAGACATCTTCCAATGTGATTCCTCCAAGGACTGTCTTGGTTCACACCGTGACTATGCCTTTTTACAGCCTGGTGTTCTTCTATTGGCATTGCAAAGGAGAAGGTGAGATCAATGGATATTTTGGAGAAAGTATAATTTGCCTCTCATGAATCCTTACAACACAGACTTGCTAATATCAAGCCTCTTACCATGAACCATCTCAGGAGTCGGATATTAGGACTCCGACGATTTTCACATGGCAATTATAGACCTGAAGCTGATATCGTAGCGTTGTCACGATTCATGGAACCACTGCTATGATTGTCATGTGGGCGCAACAGACCAACATACGGCAAAGCGTTTTCACAAGCCAAAAAAGATGGAGCGAAGACGGAGGTTGGCGGAGTGCCCCGGACGAAACGGTAGACTCGGTAGACTCCACAAATGTGACAATATGGGGCCGCTGAGACTAGTTAGCGAACAAAGGGCCTCGAGGACGTCTTCGACTCGAAAAGGAAAGACATGCGAGCCAAGGGCTCCTTGTAGGACGAAATTTGAGCCTGAGACGAACTTGTTTACTGGCGATCCTAAAGCAAGATGAAGCACTTGGGGATCAGATTAGGGGACGGCGACAGAAGGCGAAGTCCGGCTTGGAGCTGGGTTCAGAATGGTTAACGTCAGCGTTCTTTACGGAGGTCAGGTGTTGCCCCAGAAAGATGACGGTAACCTCGGCACCGAGGCAGGCAGGGTCAAGTCGAGGCCAGACAACCGAAGGCGCATGATAAAGACAATCGAGTGATCATCCCCAAGACTGTTTCCTCCCACTCACAAATCTCTCGAACATCACACATCATGGCACCTACACCTCAATGGGTCAAGGACCTCAAGCCTGCGGGCCCTCAAGGCACCGAGCTTCTGTCGCAAGAGAGAGCAAAGTCCAACGTCAATGTCAAGGCATTGTCGACCTTCCTGTTCACGCAAGAAGGACTCGACCAGAAACACCGAATCCTCAAGATCCTTCAGCAGGAGAAGGTGTTTGACAAGTCGCAAAACTACTTTGCCGGTCGCATTGACCGCTTCGAGACGGCGCTTGCAAGAGCAAAGAAGCTCCGACAGCTGCAGGTCAAGCACAACTGGACTGACCAGGACAAGTCGATTGCCAATGAGCTCATCAGTGAGCCCGGCCCATACGGTCTGCACGAGAGCATGTTCTTGGTACGTTGCATTCTCGAGGAAAGAGAGTCTTGACAGCTGCTGACACGCCACACAGATCACCCTCCGCGACCAAGGCACACCCGAGCAGCACGAGAAGTTCCTGAAGCCAGCAAGAAACTACGAATACATTGGTTGTTACGCCCAGACCGAGTTGGGCCACGGCTCAAACGTCAGAGGTCTCGAGACGACAGCAACATGGAATGCCGAGGACAAGACTTTCATCATCAACTCGCCCACCCTGACTGCCAGTAAGTGGTGGATCGGCTCCCTCGGCCGCACCGCCAACCACGCCGTCGTCATGGCCCAACTCTACATCAACAAGAAGCCTTACGGCCCCCACCCCTTCGTCGTCCAGATCCGTGATCTTAAGACACATCTGCCGCTACCCAACATTCACATTGGTGACATTGGTCCCAAGTTCGGTTACAACACCATGGACAACGGTTTCCTGCTGTTCAACAAGGTCAAGATTCCTCACATCAGCATGCTTGGTCGCTTCTCCAGCGTCGACCCCAACACCAGCAAGTACCTGCAGCCCGCCTCTCCCTCGCTCATCTACGGTACCCTCACCTGGGTCCGTAGCACCATCGTCCTCCAATCTGGTAGCGTCTTGGCCCGTGGTGTCACCATCGCCACTCGCTATGCCGCTGTCCGTCGCCAGTTCCAGGATCGCGATTCGCAAGATCCCAAGTCGGACGAGAACCAAGTCCTCAACTACACAACTGTCCAGATCAGACTTCTGACTCTGTTGGCAACCTGCTACGCTCTGCATTTCACCGGTCGCGGTATGATGCAGCTTTATGAGGCCAACCAGAAGAAGATGGCTCAGAACCCTGACAAGGCAAAGACTTCCAAGCGTGGCGCAGGTCCTGAGGAGGTCACTCCTGGCAGTGATTTGCTTGCCGACCTTCATGCCACCTCTTGCGGTCTCAAGTCATTGGCCTCTTCCACTGCTGTCGACGGTCTCGAAGTGTGTCGTCGCGCTTGCGGTGGCCACGGTTACAGCAACTTCTCAGGTATCGGTCCTTGGTACGCCGATTACCTGCCTACCGCCACATGGGAGGGTGACAACTACATGTTGACACAGCAAGTCGCCCGCTACCTCCTCAAGTCTGCCCGTTCAGTACTCAAGGGTAACGAGCCCACCAACGACACAACTCACATTCTGGCAAACTTCCTCGCCAAGTCTGACACCGGCGCTGCCTTCAACATCATGGACAAGGATGAGGATCTGGTTGCCGCCTTTGGTTGGAGATCAGCCTTCCTCACCTTCGAGGCTCTCAAGCACAGAGATGAGAACAAGAAGGCCTGGAACGATCTCCTCGTCGACTTCTACCGCCTGTCCCGCGCTCACTCGCAATACATGGTCGTCAAGAACTTCTACGAGGCTCTGAATTCGTCATCCGTAAATTCCGACCTCGACCCCGAGACCAGAGAACTCATGCACAAGCTCTTCCGCCTCTACGCTCTTCACACCCTCGAGTCCGAGGCTTCGGAATTCTACACTTCCGCTGCCGTCACCGTTCGTCAAATCCAGCTTGCTCGCACCAATGCAGTCATGAAGCTTTTGGCCGAGATCCGTCCTCACGCCATCAGATTGGTTGATGCATGGGACTTCCCTGACTGGCAATTGGATTCGTCACTCGGCCGTCACGACGGTAAAGTGTATGAGGATATGTTCTACCGTGCTAGCGAGTTGAACCCTTTGAACGCCATCACTGTGGATCCTTATCCGAATAGCGACGTCTTGTTCAAGTCGAATGATAGCGACAAGTTCAAGAGTAAGCTTTAGATTTGTCCTCTGAAATGAGATGTTGGGACAAAGGATGGGGGACAAAAGGAATTTGGTTTAGACTATGATGTCCTTTTTTTATGAATTCCGACATGTAACAACAATATTTTCCTTGCTTTTATGATGTAGCTCACGCAAAACCTACACAATTTTTTTTTTCAAGACAGATGAACACTTTTATCCTCTTATGTGATCTTCTCGTACGTGCTGCAGCAAATCTGGGTCCAAGATACAGAAGTGTTATAGCAAAGAGGGTCAAAAGATGAAAGATGAAAATGGCAAATGACTAGTTGGAAAGAAATCTACATTGCCCTTCCTGTATCTTTAAATTATCTCGTGGACCTCTCTTCTTCCCTGATCCGCACTTTCTTTTTTTTTTTAAACTGACAAAAGACACGTACGAGAAAAGCGAAAAGGAGGGAAAAGCGATATCTTTGGAAGTTTACTGTACTAGTAGCAATTTTGCTCCCATTCGCCTATAAAATCTGTTTTCATCTGCCCCTCCAATGTCAAATGACTTTTGGAAGGAAAGCGAAAAAAAAAAAGAAGAAGAGAAATATAAAACTACATGGCCCCCAATAACTCCCTAAGCGACACGGGTTTCCTAACAGCATTAGAATACCCTTCGTGGAAAGTGATCCATACCCTCTCCTCCTTGCCATCTCCCGTCGCATCTTTCCTCTGTTTCTTCTTCTTTTTTGTTGTTGTTGCTGCTGCTGCTTCTTCTCCTTCTGCCTCTTTTTCTTCTTCTTCTTCTTCTTCTTCTTCTTCTTCTTCCTCTTTCTCTTCTAATACGAGTACTCTACCAAAGAAATCTCTCTTTAATGTACTCTTCTTCCCCGCCATCTCTGCTGCAGGAACAGAAACCCCTGCTACTGTGTCAGCCAACGATATTATACCCCCTGCCCCCCTACCACCACCTCCTCCTCCTCCTCCTCGAACAACTCTAGCAAGTTCGGCAGTTTTCTTACTCTGCACGCAAAACTCCTGCTCCAACACTTGACGAACGGAAAATCTGCTTTTATCCCCTGATACCACCACACCCCCAGCTCTTAAAGTATCCAGAGTTTCATAAGAACAAAGTTCATCAATCGCAGGTTCCATGCGATAAACCCATGTTTGCTGCGCTCCCGATGCTTTGTTCGCTCCCTCTGTTTCCAATCTCGTACGATGGAAGCGAACCCCCGATGCTGTCATGGCATTAACAGCCCTTGCCACCAGAACCTTTTCACTAGCTTTGCGCACAGAAGCCGTGGAGGAAGCGGAATTATGCACAATGACCGGTGCAACATTCGGTGCCAGCATTTTCGAAATCCAGGGTATGAATTCCGTAGTCAGGGAATTTGGAGAGGGAAACATTCGCAACAGAGGTAAAGAGAGGGAAGATTGCAAAGTCTGCAGGATTTCTAGATTTGCTTTTCGCGCTTCGTGAGCGTGGTAGGAAGCTTGAGGGCCTGAGAATGGTGCTGGACTTTCGTCTTCTTCTTCTTTGTCGTTCCAGGCTTTGTTGGTGGAATGTCCACGGTTAGGCGTTGCGAAGAGATTGTGAAAGGCGAGGATTGGTTGGGCGAGATAGGTGGCTAATTCCCATTCGCTGTGGCTGAAGACGGCTGAAGATAGCTGGTCGTGGAAATTTAGCCATTCGTATGCGGCAGAGGGTTTGGAGAGGTAATTGTCGTCTTGGAAGGGGAGGTCTGGGTAGCTGGTGAAGCAGTCGAGCATGATGCGATCGATATCCCCAGATGTGTCTACCATTTCTCTGAGCCTATCCATGGCTTGTCGTTTATTTGCTTCGGCTACACCTTTCGGTCCTCTGGACGAAGAGGCAGAGGGAGCAGTAAGCATGGCTGGTTTAGAGAAGCCAGCGCCTTCTTTAAAGACACGCTCGACTACTTCTTTTGGCCCACCACGACCCACCCCTCTGGCTGCTCCTCCGCCATGAGACAGATCAGCTAGGATATTGGCTTCAATCCAATGCCTTGTGAGTCGTTGCATGGAGTTTGCGGATGGGTCGTGGGTAGCTCGTAGTCTGGCTGCGATCCATTCGCCTACGACAAGGATACCGCGGATATCGCCTTCTCCTGTGCTGCTGCCTGAACCGCCCTCTTTGCGACTGCTCATACCCCAGGAAGCCTCGCATAGCTTTCTCACACCATCACTGTCGTGCGGGATATTCTCTTTGTCAAAGATTGACTGCATTCTAGCAACGACGGAATTAATAGCTGGCTTCCGGACGTGGATGATCTCGGCAGCTGTACTTTGTCGTAGCGGGCGTAGAGAGGGATGATAGACATCATTGCAGATAAGGATAAGTGGTCGAAGTAAGCGGAAATTGTCCCCTTTTCTCTTTCCAGAAGCTTGTTGTGAGTGAGTCTTGTTTGTGTTTCTCGCGTCCAGAGCAACGAGGTCGAGGAGAGCTTTGACGAAACCGCCTTCGCCTGCACCTCCACTGCCTCCCACTACACCATCGACCTCATCAACAATGACACAAACAGGACGGCCGGCTTTGCGAACTTTGCCAGAAGCAGTCTTTGAATCAACACCTCTGACGTTCTCCGTACCGACCATATCTCTGATACGGCCTCTGACGACATTACTACTCCTCTCATCACTAGCATTGATCTCTTGGACTTCATACCCAGCCTGTTTAGCGCAAACATGAGCGAGTGTCGTCTTTCCCAGACCCGGAGGACCAGTAAGCAGTAAGACTTTGCGATGGGATCGTTCCTCGACAGGATTTTCTGCATTCTTGCGATGTTTCGGTTTTCTGTTTGAGCCGGGGAAGACAATGTCGTCCCAGCGCTTGAGCCAGTGCATGACGGAGCGATGTGTACGGTCATCTCCCACCAGCTCTGTGAACTTTTTCGCTCTGTACTTCTCCGTCCACATCAGTGTTCGCTGATTTCTTTGTGCGCCGTCGAGTGGAAGAGGTGACTCTATAGATGGCAGGGCGGCTTTCCTCTCAGCTTCTGCTTGGTCAATAACTTGTTGGGCTTTGGCTTCGTTGACCAAATTGTGGATGTCGATGCCATAGTATTCTCTTTGAGCTCTTCCCTCGGCAATGTCTGAGCGTGAAGCTGCAAGTCGTTCGGCTGACAGAGCTTCGGTGTTTTGCTTCTTTCCGACAGAAAAAGACTTGCCAGATGATGTGCGGATGGCGACTCTTGTGGTGGTTGGGGTCTTGGTTGATGAGATTAATGGGTTGTGAATTGTGCGTTTGGCAAAGAGCGACAAACCCAAGTCGTGAGATTGACTTTGGCTTTGCGGTGGTTGCGTGCTTTGCGATTGTGAAGCGGTTGGGAGATTCGGAGGTAGTTGGCTGCTTCTTGGAAGCTGTTGAAGCAGAGTCGATGGTTGCTGCGGTACGTTCATGTCATCATCACTGTCCGAGTCTTCCATAAAGACATTGTTCGCCATCTCTTTCCCACCGGATTGCGACATTGTCAGTGGTGGTGGTGCGACGGCCGAGGACATGAAGGGCATAGCGGGTGGAGACGAGGGCGGTTCGTGATTGCGCTTGTGGATAGGTTGACTCGACGGGACGTCTAGTACGAGTAAGAAGAGGGCGTCCAAACTGGATGGTGCAGCATACAATTGGATCGGTCGTCTTCACTGCGGAAAGCGTCTGCCAAAGGCCAGCTTCGGTGTTGAATGACGATTCCTCTGCGCTTGTTGTCTGCTCGTCTCTCTTCTTGGACGTCGTAGAGTGCTGCAATGTCGTCTGAAAAGGTTGGCTCCTCGATATCAACACTCATCGATCTGCGTGCATGTCTTGATGTCTTCTTGACAAACACGTTGGTGAAGCGCTTCGACAAGTTGACGCGACGCGACCGACCCGCGTTTGATTGGCTACATTCATAAATTTGCATAAATTCCTGTACATATCGGACCACAACATAACAATTCTGACAACCTCGAATACTATCTATCTATTCACCCCATGACGGCTGCACAGTGACTGTATATGTTGCATCTTCCACCGCCATCCTAACGTCCTGCTTGACAGATTCCTCCACATCAGCAAGTCGTTGATCAATGTGTTCCTCCAGCTTGATCTGTAGTAACGTAGCTTCTTCGTCAAGATTCTCGTGGCATTCTTGTCGATTGCAGTCAACTCGAGTCCCGACTTCATCGAGGGAGTCTTGTAGAGCAACGACATCCAGATCAAGTTGTTGTTTAAGCTGCTCGTTGTTCTTGTCGACTTTGTTCTCGAGTAAAGTCCGTTGCTCATCGTTGTTGTTGACTTTGTGTTCGAGCATAGTCCGCCTCTTTTGCTCGTCAACGATGGCATCTTCTACCATGACAAGGCGTTCTTCGATACTATTCTCTACTGTGCTGGCCTGACTAGGCGACACGTTGCAGGGATCAAAGGTTGGTGAGGATTGGGGTTCAGCTTCGACAAGAGGCTCAGTCTGTGTCCCGGCATCGATCATGGGCCCGCGGCGAAGCTGCTGCACCTCTTCGCGTAACGTCGCCAGTTCCATTCCCAGAGCCGCGATCGCCAATTCCCAGGGCTCGGGAGCTGCTTTTTCTGACAGCCGACGTTTTGCAGGGGCTTGGTACAGCTCAGGAGATGCCAATACCCGTTTTCGTGCTTGGGTGTTATTTGAGTTCTGAAGGTCGGGTTGACTTGATGCATTGTCGTTGCTAGCCCCGAGCACTGTCGAAGGGTCATATGGAGGTGGACTCTCATATGGCTCCCGAGGCCACACTTCGACAAGTTGTGTCACAATTCTACAGCCAGTACCAGCGTACAGAGTCTGGAGAACCCCCTCGGGGGCAGGCCTTAAGGTATCTGCCGCTAGTGCCTCACAGAGCCTGGAGAAGCGTTCAACGTTGATATATCTGCGAGGCACGTAGACTCTGAACGTCTCGCATTGGCCGAATTGTAGCAATGTATCTATAGCATTGCACGTGGACTTTCTCTTCTGCAATGCGGCATTCGGACAGACAACAGGTGCGTGTCGGCTCAGAGTGAGGTTTAAGCTCACGACATCGGCTGATGATGCACATCGCGCTTGTTTGACAAAGACGTCGGTAACATCGGTCGGGATCTTAGTGTCGTCGAGGCACATCGCTTTGACGTGGCTGGCGTCGAGCACGAGGTAGACGTATACCTTTTTATCAGGATTAATCAATCGTGCAGGTGTGCCAAGCTTGCAGTGGAATGCATCTTGCTCGAAAACGATGTCCATAAGATATTCGCACGGTAACCCATTGTTGAAAGATGCGCAGACTTGTACATGGGCTTTCGAGGTGATAGATGTACTCGATGCCATTGACTTATTTGATTATAACTACTTGAGATTACTTGTCAGCCAACACTCGTCACCCAGGTTCATACGAAATCAGGAATCTCCCATAGCTCCCGTAATCAAGATGAAGAATGGATGCTGAAATGGTTTCTTGCAGCTATGGTTAGGTTAGTAATATTGAGGTCCCCACGCAAAAGCGCAGAACCCTCCCACCCGGGCTTCATAGAGCAGCCCTGACTCGTCAGAGAGTTCATGCGAGCGGACCATCAAAGACAGCAGAATCGATAGCCGGTGTCCTTGCGGTCCCTACAGGTCAGACTAGCTGACCTGTTCGCGAAATCTGGAGACCAGAATCGACGACCGGCGACCAACGGACCCTACAGACCCCAGGCGCATTTTGAGGATGCGAATGGAAGAATGGCCTGCCTTCGAAATCTGCCATCTTGGCTGGTTCACGCTCAAGCGACTCTGAAGTTGACCGCGACCAGCCCCAACCTCCCACCCGGGCTTTGTAGAGCAACCCTGACTCAAGAGGGGCATAGAAGATGGTAGAAAAGGAGGGCATCACCTAAGCGAATAAGACAAAGCAGTCGAGTGTGGAGGCTGAAAGGATGAACATGCCGCCAACTTGTCGTGGGTGGAGGAGTTCAGATATACCTTGTGCGCGAGGCAGCAGGCTTGAGAGCGGGCGCGTCGCTGCCAAGATCACGCGTCGTTGTTGGAAATCCATTGGATGACATTCGGACTCACCAACAAAGAGCGCATAGCCGCCGTACCCGCATATCCAGCGGATTGATGCAACGGACGAGGACAAATAGGAAGACGTAGAAGGAGGGCGCTGAATGTTTCTTCGTGCGGATTCCACTGGCTTGGTGGTGAATAGAGCGAATGGTCGAACTGTCAGAACTTGGAAGGAGGCTGGCACAGGCGAGCACAGACCGCGTCAAAGCACGCCGAGATGGAAAGTATGACAATGTTGGAGGCTTACGCATTTGATAAGACTGCCAGTCCAGCATCAGTGCTAGAAAGATGATTTGCCTCGATCGCGAGTGTCGAGTGGTCACGCGTTAAGTGTTTTCGTGTGGCAGCAGTAGTAAGAAGATCGTCGCCGGGAGAAGCATCGTAATGGCGCAAAGCTGACAGGCGGGAGGTCGAGCAGAATGTACCGAACCCTTGTCACCCCTCGATGATGACGGAGCCCACCCTTGTTCTTCTTCTTCTCCTCTCTCTGTGCTGCCCTGCTCAATCCCCCTTTTCAATCCGATCTTTTGTCGTCTCTGGAATGCCATGGTCCGCTCCCTTGCCTATCTCCAAGTCTACTTAATACTCGCTTCATCGCATGGGTTCATGGTCTGAAAGACTGTATCAGCAAGCTTATCGATACCTGCCACCAATCTACTCGCGCGACTTTGCTTATGCCAACAACGCGCCCGTAGCACTTCGTATGGCCAGAGCTAACGTCAGCGACATCACTGCAAAGACCTTTGCTGAGTACGTTCCATTGCACTGCATAGCTTGCGCTTGAACCCTCTCTTCTTGTCTCATGTTGGCGCAAATGTCTGACGAAGCTAAGACTTTGTGGAAAAGGCTCCTCTCTGGTCCGACAATCGACTTTTATGTCGGTTCAGAGCGTCGGCATTGGTCGCTGCATCGCAATCTACTATGTCACCATTCGCCGTACTTCGAGTCCGAATTTCTCGCCAATGAGTCGCCAAAGTCGTCCAAGAAATCCGAACTCGAGTTGCCTGACCAAGACCCTGTTGGCTTTGAGCTGCTTGTAAAATGGCTGTATCAGGGTACTTTGGATGATACGTCAGACATGACGGATGAGAAAAAGTACGACTACTCAGTCGCATGCCACAAACTATACTTGCTATGCAACAAGTTCGATCTTCCCATCCTGAGGAATGAGTCTATCGATCGCTACAGGCAGGGTTTACTCGAAGCTCAACTCGTACCGGACGCCGAAGAGATCAACGAGATCTACCGCAGCTCTCCTCCAGGCTCGCCTTTCCGAAAGCTCATGGCTCAGATCGCTGCTCGCCAGATCATGGATCCAGACAGTGAGAAGAATGCTGAGAGCTATCGAAACTGCTTCAACGACAACCCCGACTTCGCAGTCGATATGGTCAACGCCATCAAGGCCGGTACTGGGGGCTTACTGTTTGACGACCCTACAGATGGAGACGATGCTGCATACCATGAGGACCCAACCCCACGTCAGAATGTTAAAGGCAAAGGTACTTAGCTCCAAGTCTATCCCGATCCGCTACACAATCCATGCTTCTGCTCTCGCACGCGCGCATGAGAACTCGAATAACAATGAGTTCAAGGTCCTGCATCCAAGTTGACGCCAACCTCTCCCAGACGACGAAGATCAGAATCTGCAGACGCAGGCGCGGAGCGACTCTCCGATGGAGAACGAAGACGTGATTCTGGGCACTCAAAACGAGACTCAGGACTTCCCACACCACCAGACTCGGCTCGACGAGACAACGGATACGGAGTCCGACGATTCAATGGAACCAGCAGAACCATTGCCAAGAGTCCTATTACAGGAGAAAGAGTCGAACCAAACAACGTCAACGGAGACGCAGAAAGTCCCTCTCGAAAGAAGCCAAAGAAGCTTGTCATACGTGGAGGCCCTCCGTCGCCGCAAAGATAGAGGGCAGCTTGATTCACGCGGCCTATGGGACTACTGGAACAACATGGCCATGGGAGCCAATTGATGATTTACGATGTACGGTCTATACGGTCCTCTTGTCCGTCCCTCTATTCTAATTTGACTGCAAGACACCCGTTTCTAGGAACATCTGGTTGTTCTATTTAATGATGCTTAATTTACTGCCTTTTCTCTGATGTTGACTAAACATTTCCCCGCACAATCTTTCGGGACATTGCATGAGCCCTGCTTGATTTGTGTACCTCGAAGGATCAGGTACTACCATCAATGTAATCTTGGTGCTTTGAAGCTCTCAAGTGCATCCATATCTCACACCGCCTCTTCATCTTACCATAGAACGACCACAGAGCAGCTTGTTAACGCCTCGAAGAATGTACGTGTTTCTAAGCAGCATGCCAAATACAAGCTTAACCCCGATCGCGAAACTTTAATTCCGCTCTACATCATGGAAGCATCGACGAACGGGAAGGTGGGGCAAGAGGCCAACGCATCATTGGCTAGAGACACAAGGCAAAATATATAAAGAGCTTCACCGTAGCTAGATCTTGACTCTGACTACTTCAATTGACTTTGTATCCAACTTTCCCCCTTCAACCCACATCATAAACATGTCTCTCAAGCCTATCCTTCTTCACGGCCACGCCGGTGGTCCTAACCCTTGGAAGGTGAGTCTAGAGCTGGGTCAACAGCAAGAGCAACGTCTGACTTCAGATAGGTCGTCCTTCTCCTCAAGGAGTTGAACATCCCTTACGAGCACAAGCTCTGGGATTTCCCTGACCTCAAGAAGCCTGAGTACGAGAAGCTCAATGTCAACGGAAGAACACCTACTATTGAAGACCCCAACACTGGCATTACCCTCTGGGAGTCTGGTGCCATTCTCGAGTACTTAATCGAGGAGTACGACAAGGAGAACAAGTTCACATACACTTCCACTCCCGAGAAGTACCTGTTGAAGCAATGGTAAGATAAACATGAGGAATCCAACAGTGAGCGCCCGACTAACATCATCTCAAGGCTTCACTTCCAAGTCTCCGGTCAAGGCCCCTACTTCGGCCAGCGCGTCTGGTTCAACACCTACCACCAGGACAAGATCGAGTCCGCGATCGAGAGATACAGCAAAGAGATCAAGCGTGTGCTTACAGTCTTGGACAAGCACCTCAAAGAGCAGGGTACCGAATACCTCGTCGGCGACAAGTACACCTACGCAGATCTGTCATTTATCCCCTGGAACCTGCTCCTCCCCTTCATCTTCGGCGAGCAGAGCGACGCTTTCCACGCCGAGATTGAGAAGGAGCTACCATCCTTCTGGGCATGGCACCAGAGAATCCTTGCTCGTCCTGCTTCGCAAGAAATGAAGAAGGAGAGAGAGGCCAACTTCGCCAAATAGGCGCTCATTACGAAGCTCATATGACTTAGCTGAAAAGTAATGGTCTGAAATATATTTCACCAAATACATCATGTCGTGAGAAATATGTTGATGTTCCGCGGAAGCACATTCTAAACTTCTCGAGACGCCGGTCTCGGATCCCGTTCAGCTGCAGTTCCCCAGTTCCTATAGGATCGCGACCACTCCCAAGAATTGCACTGCCACTCAACACTATTACCATTCTGGTGGTACATCTACAAATGCATCTGGTCATAAAGGCTAGCCGCCATTAAGTTTATTAGTGTTTTGCTTGATTCAACGACAAGAGAAAACGGCTGCCGGTGTTGGGAAAAAGGACTTGGCTTTTTTCTCTCATGACTTCCCCGGTCGCCCCGGATGCCTTTACAAGTCGTTCTTTCCCAATTATTCCCGGCGGTTACTCAGTAGCTCACAACAGATTATATCCACCAAGAAGCAGCTTCCGAATCACGCAGATCAGCCCACCTCATCTCCAAAAGAACGCGCAATAACGTGGGGTCGAAGTAGAAACGCGACCACTCAGCTGTTGAACACTGACTGCGGGAACCCGAGTCGACAATCATGTCGGGACTACCTGGTTCTGAATCATCAATCTTCCCACCACATCAATCAGGCCACCTTCCACCAGTGCAACAATATGCTCAACAGTCGCCATATCATGCCGCGACTTACGGGTCTGTCCCTGTGACGCCTGTCAGTGCATATGCGCCACAGCTTCCACCACTCAACACTAGTGCCAGTCAGTCACCAGGTCAGGATTTGAAGTCATATACACCTGATGGGGACCGCACGAAACCGAAACAGAAGCGTAACAAGCCTACTTTGAGCTGCGAAGAATGTGTTGAGCGCAAGACCAAGGTAAGCAACACTTCCCCCAGATTCTTGTTTTTTTATTTGTTGTTTCCGGTTTGTGACGCGGCCGAAAAAGAACACATGCCTAGCACCGAAAAGTTGGCTGTGACTTGTGACTTGAGGGTACTGACAAGCCACTCACAGTGCGACCGAGGACGTCCGGGATGCTTGGCTTGCGCCAAACGGCAATCGACTTGTAGATACACGCACGTCGCTAATCTGATTGCTGATGCCGGGTACGCGGATGTGCCATGATCTGGAAATAGACACAGATGCTAACATTGACTCAAGTCAGAAGGATGTCGGAGCTGGTAGGCAGAGACACATTGTGAAGCCACCGCCAGCCAAGGTCCGAAAACTCAATGGCTCTTTCGATGGTTCCTCATCTTCACCATCGAGTACTTCTGGTATCAAGCAAGTAAGGACAGATTTGTTCTCGAAATACCATCATCGCTCGCCACGCGAAACTTCTGTCGGGTTCGGAACGCCTTTCTTGCAATCGCAGGTCCCTTTCTCGAAGCAGACGCCTTCCAACATCTTTGGTATCGGATCTTCTCACCCTTTCACGAATTACTGGACATGTCAGGGTGGTCTCGTCGAAGTCCTTGCAGTGCTTCCAAGCAAACAGCAGGCTGATATCTTGATCGCAAAATACTTCGAGTGCGTCGCACCTGTGTATCCTTTCTTGCACAGACGCACCTTTTACGTGGCATATGAAAGGTTCTGGGCTTTACCGGAAAGAGAACGCGAGACGGCTGATGCTGATTTGATTGCTTTGCATTTCGCACTTTACGCTCTGGGCACTCAGTTCATGGTATTCCCAGCGTACGACGCGAAGAGTTCGAGTGCCGAGTTTCTGGGTGAGTAACCACAAATTGTCATTAATGCGACTGCTAACAAGATCATAGCCTCCGCGGCCAACCAGGCACTTCGCATCTACTCTTATCTCAACAGATCATCACTTAGAGCTCTCGGTGCTCAGATTCTGCTATGCTATTTCTTGATGAACGACAATCATGCTTCAGATGCTTATGCTTGGTCAGGTATCATAGTACGGCAGGCATATGCACTACGGCTTCATCGCGACCCTGACATTATACTACCGAATATCTCACCTGTGGAGAAACACACGCGCCGAAGATTTTGGCAAGCTATTCTTCACCAGGACACGTTCCTTACTGTACTGCTCAAGCTACCGCCAACAGCGACTCACAGCGATGTGTCAATCGACTCTTTGGCTAACGAGACTGAGGTCGAAGCACAAGACTCAACTAGATATACGGGCAGCAGTGCCCGCATTGAGAATCTCATGAGCATTAATGTAATCGCTCCTCCACAAGATGCGCCAAAGCAGCCTGAGCCGCCCATCCTGCCGCACCAAAGGATCACTGAGGACGTCGATAAATCCGATGTTCTGTATATCAAGGCGATCTGGCGAATGGCACTTAAAGTTCAAGAGCACTTATGTTCTCCAGTCTCGCTATCCATTCCGATTGCTAAGAACCCGCGGGCAAAGACTACCTTGGTGAACTCCTTCCGCGAAATTTGGAAATCTGCTCCTTCCTTCGTCACAATTTCCGACTACGAGACACTTCGCCAGATGGCTCAGAATAGTGGAAGAGCAGTTCGCCAAAATTTGTTCTTCACAAGCAATTACTACCACTCCCTAATGATCATTCAAGCATTCGAGGATGCAGAAGTCGGCGTAGAGCTCAACTTCCGTGGTGCGCTTGAGGCGGCTCACGAAGCTATCTGGGCATACTTCAAGCTCAATGACTTTTTCGAAGGTGATGGCGGTGTGTGGTGGGTGTTTCAACACCGAGCCTTTGAAGAAGCCGTATGTACAACGATCTCCCTACTACCTAGAACTTCTGCTAACCTTACCCTTTTAGCTCACTATGACTGATCTTCTGGCAACTCTGCCGGCAAACGAAGCAAACTCGAAAGACCCGCTTTACTCGAAATGCAAGGACGCCGTACGCCAGATGATCGACCTCTTGCAGCGTCAAGGGGGATCTCAAGAGATGAACAAGCACAGACACGGAGCACTACTCGCTGCTTACGAGCATGTGGCCATCTGATTAACACTACAGTTGCTCCTTCTAGCTGTCAGTCTGTTTCTCGGCGTCTCTGCCACCCCTGCACATACCGCGATGCCTGTTATGTCTATCCTCGATTAGCGCATCCTCCGTATTTTCTCGCATCTGCTTCCCATCATCTTCTGTCTACTCTTCCTTGTTTCGCTACACCACAATCTGTTGATATTGCAACTATCCCGAAATCACTCCTTGTATCTATGTAAATATGTTCCATCTTTCTACGCACCCTTCTCCCTCACTCTTGTCTCTTCAAGCGCACTTTCCAATCTCGTCCCAGTCAACATTCCTCCCCAACGAGCACCTCGGGAACCAAAAGAAGAGGGACTCGATTGAAGGTTCGGCGCGGCCCGTCACCGTCCGTCTATTGACCAAGATCTGTAAAATGCCACCAAACCCAAGAAAAGAAAAAGCCTCGAACCCAGACTCATCGAACCACCTGGATAAGAATGCAGGGCTGCAAGAGAAGAAAAAAAAGGTTCGGCCCTCCTTTGCAGGACGGCTGTGCCGTGTGTGTGTGGTCCACTTGGTCTTAAATGTGACTACATGTCAAAAGTTGCCTTGCTGATAGAGTTGAGAAATGGTCACCTTTCACGAGATCAAAGCACGAGGAAAAGATTGTTCAAAAACCAATAAGGAACGACCCAGAAAAGGTGCGCTTCTGTAAATTGTGGACTATCTAAACGACGACAGAAATGTTTCTTTGCAAAGCGAGAGTGGTATAGCGATATAAGAAAAAAGGGGAATGGGGTATCTCAACCGGGGTGGGCCAAAGTGCTCCTTTTCTTCTTCCCTGGAAGAATGAAAAATGCAGTAGGACAGAGCCCGAAACAAAGCAAGAAATACCCTTGTAAGAAGAGTAAGAGAGACAAGGAACATGGAAAGAAACGCCCAGATGCACCTATCCCAGTCAAAAGCCTGTTTATCTTGTTGTTTTTTCCCGAGTATTAGAGTTAGGTGATGTGATAGTGGTGGTGATAATAATGATTGTGTGTAGATGATGTGGATGTATTGGTGGTGTAAGAACGCCCGAGAGAAAGCAAGAGTGGAAAAAATCGAAAGTGGTATCAAACGCCCTCCAGTCTCGTGAGAGACATGTTCTTCGAAATCTATTCGCAAGGTGTAAAATCTCCATTAGATTGGCCCAGGGAGATAGGAAAACTCCGGAAGGTGTGATTGTGACAAATGGGAAAATGATGACCAGCGCCGTCGATGATGCTTTGTTATCTTGGAAGAGCAAGGCAACGAAAGAGTAGATATTGGTAAGTGATGCAGTCAAGGCGTATGGCTCGCGTAAAAAAGGGTAGTCACAAGCCCCGACGATCACCTGCGAGTGTGACCAAGCAAGCAGGGCGCCAACGCCAAGGAAAATGGTAAGGGTAGCAAATAGGTGTAGAGAAATCCGGGAATTGATTAGCGCCTCCAAACCACATGACTGCTCGTCATGCATGCAAAACTTGAAACATCACGGCATGCACAACAAGGTGGTCTGAGTAGAGTCTGCCTAGGCTTGTGTTGTGCGGTAATCTTTCCAGTCTTGCTGTGGCCACAGATGAGGCAACGACTGGCTGATGGACGGAATACGCTGCTGTTGGTGGCCCTGAGGTGCTTGCGGATTTGTGGTTTCCCACAGAGTGGCGAAGTCGATACTGTTGGTACGATTTGGCACGATTGGCTCAGTCGTGTAGTTGCTTGACGGCTGATGCCAACTCACACCAGGTCCCTGTTGAGCATGGGTTTGCTGTAGAGATGGCTGTTGACCAGGGTGCTGGTATTGATGTTGAGGATGATATTGATGCTGCGAGTGCTGTTGTTGTTGTTGTTGTTGCTGCTGGTGATGGTGCTGTTGTTGCTGCGCATGTGGCTGCTGTTGCTGCATCATAAGGCGTGAATCGCCGAGTCCAGCTGACATGCCGGCCATACCTGCTGATACATTTGACTGATGCATGGGCATGCTTGTCGCAGTCATGCTGGTAGGGAAGGTCATGGAAGTGTTGCTTGTGACTGAAGGAGGTGATGAGCTGTGCAGCTGGTGTCTAGGCGGTGCAACAGAGCTTGGCGAAGGTAGAGCGCCAGCCGTCGAAGAGTAGCTTGCAGACTGGGATTTGGTCAGTACAATAGGAAACGGTGTAGATAACAAGAATGTAGAACTCACATATTTACCAATGATCTTCTTCAGGGCGCCTGCAAGAATTCTCCATGGGAAGACCTTGACGTCCTTCTCGATGTTGCGAGGCTTGGGACTTGGGAAACCCATGATGATCTTGAAGAACTCCTCGCACTTGGTCTTTGTCTTGGAGACAGTTTGAGGTCTGAATCCTTCAAGGTTGCGACGAATGCGGTTCTTTTCCTCAACGGTGAAGCGAACTGCGACCAGTGACTCTAAGAGCTGAATTGTATCAACACTCGTGATGTAGCAGCCGTTCTCCTCTTCCCACCAGATGCAGTTGACATAAATGCAGCCTGGAGCTTGAGCATGCTCTTCAGGTGTGACGGGCTGGAAGGAAGCAGAGATGATACTACCGTTCTGACTGCGACGGAAGCGCACAATACGACGCCTGGCAGAAACCTCATCCGCATTCCAGTCGTTGGCCATGCCATTCAGATCACCCTCCAGCTTGAGAATAGCTTTGATGTTTGAAGGATACATAGCATAGGGGTTGAAAGGTTGACTTGGAGACATGCTAGTAGGCGACGGCTGCAAAGCAGTGGTGCGAATCAAAGGAGGGTTTGCGCCAGTGGAAGAGACGTTGGTGACTTGTGCATTAGGTGCTGCTCGGTCGCTGTTCATATAGGTCGAAGGGTACGAGTTGAAAGGCTGCGGTTGGGGCATGCCGATAGGAGTGGGAGCCAATCTGTACGTTGGCGCTTGTTGCAGGGTCTGCGAGTATTGAGCAGGCGCAGGAGCGTTGAAGGTACGAGCATATGAGATTGCACTGGACGCCGTCTGAGGACGCGAGGAATATGGGTCGATCAGGTTTGACGAAGGCGGCGAGTACTTGACTTCGGCAGGGTTGTGGAGAGGGGAATCGCGAAGATTTTGCGACGAAGGACGCTTGTTAGGTGACTGGGCGTCTTCTGACATCTTTCTCTTGCGCGTGTTGCCCTGGGAAGGACTCGAGACGGCGTAGGGCGTCGCGTCCGTGTATGTGTACTGACCGACCTCGACAGGAACGTGCAAGGCTTGCTTGTTACCATCGACCATCTCGAGATAGATGGTGACTGCAGTACTCGATGCTCCGGTCGCCTCAAATGCGGGCACGTCAACGAGAACGGCAAAGTTAGGTTGTTGACCTGAACCGGGTAAGGTGGTAAGACGACTCTCGCAGCGCTTGGTACCGAAACTAACGACGAAAGAGACTCCGTTGTTTTCTAGATCCTCGGAGGCGTTCATGTAGATGATGAATCGACCTCCTGCAGGACCTCTCTGTGGCGTAATGGATACGATGTCAGGCAAGGTACGGGCTCCAGCAGCCATGTAAGGAGGATAGGCAGGTGCATTGTGTTGGACATAAGGCGAGTCATGGGATTGGTAGGAGTCTTCTGTGAGAAGGGGGATCTGAGCAGCATCAGGGAGGCCAGATGGGACTTGCGCGTGTGAATTTGAGTAGGAGAGGCCATATGATGATTGGTTGTATGCAGAATAGCCAGGTGCCTGATCAGGTCGTGTGGCAATGCCGTAGCCTAGTTCGGTACTGGTCAGTCATCTGAGCCATTATAACGCCTCGCGCCCTCGGGTAGATCCGCTAAGCGGCCGGGAGACTTCTTTGTAAGCACAAATAACATACCATAGGGATAGGCGGGTGATTTTTCGTAGCCCGACATCGAGGCGAGTAGACTTCCGTAATTTGAAGAGGCCAGGAGGCCGCCCTTTTGGGCCTCCTGACAGGCAATGATAATTGACCCTGGGATGGCTGATTCGTCGTCGACAATGACAGGTGCGCTTCTCAGTTGTGGAGGAGTCTGTGAAGGAAGGGATGAAAGTCAGGCTAAAATGTAAAGGGAAGAATAATTGAGTTTGAAGGGATCTTGACGAACCTGAAGGCGCATAAGAGTGCTGACCGCCAGATTTGCAAAGTAGCGGAGAAGAGAGTCACAATGAGGCACGGAGCGAGCTCAAGAATGCACACCGCGATGAAGGTCGACTTGCGTCAGGTGGGCTGGGAATCAGAAACCTGACGAACGCTTTTGCTGGAGTAATAAAGCAAGAACCCGTCGATGGCTTGCACGCGCGGAATTTGATGCTTGATGATTAATGGATATACGGGCCAAAACAAGATGCAGTCCGTAGATCCAGCCAGGTCTTGCAATGGAATTATTTAAAGAGACAGTCCAGCTGAAGTTGGAAGAATTGTCGATAATAGTACTCGGCGAGGGCGTTCGCAGGAGATTGCAGGTGTCTTCCGAAGATGGACCCAAGGTTCTGGATACACGGCTAATGTAAGTTCCCGTTCCGACTTTGACGATATTGGGCAATATTTTCAAGACAACATGTATGATGAAGCAAGATCCCAAGCCCACTGGAGAGAGAAAATACTGACTATCGTTTCGCGTCGACAAAGAAATCGTCGAGCTGGAGTGAACCGGATAGCGCAATGAATATTAAAGTCTAGGCTTGCCTGCAATTAGCTTTTTGTACGATTGACCAAGTCTGTCGGAGCCGTTGCAAGCATGCAAGGAGGTTGAACAGCCATGTCCCGACATCCAGGATAGCACTCACATTATTTCAAGTAGAGGCTGAGTGGATCCAGTCCTTTGGTATTATGTGCGACAGTAGATGCGCGAGATGAAGACAGTGGTGTGTTGGGGTGTGTATTAGTTTGATGTCTTGGGTTGATAGATTATGGGAAAAAGCCTGGCCATCCAAGTATATGCGAAGCCGAATAGGAAGTAGCTGAGAGAATGGATGATTGGGTTGCTATGCGGGCAGCCGTGATCCGGATCTGAGTCAGGGTGTTTCAACAGGTCTCGCAAGAGGCAGGTGCGAATCGGGAAAAATGTTGGTTCACAGCGTGGGGGCGTGACCTTCTGAGATATGTGGAGAAAGAGAGAGAGAGAGACAGAGGGTGGCTGCTGTTGTGTTAGTCTGGGAGTGCTTCCCTTTGCCAGGTTGATGCTGCACACAAGAGGGGTGGATGGCAGCGAGTCGGGTAGAGAGAGAAGGGTTTAGGCGGAGAGGAGGGATAGTGATATGTTAAAAAGAAGAGCACCGAACGGTATCAATGCATTTAGTGGAAGCCATTGGAGCGCATCATCGACCGCTGAGTGGATGACGGGGAGCTTGGAGCAGCTCCCGCAAATCGTTCTAACCGGTGACAGATGGAACGCTAGAGCCAGGAGAGGAGAAGCAGCACGGGTTCCTGTGGGCGCCGCCTATTCTGGGTCTTGGGTGGGCGCGCGCCGGTGCGCCGGTTTGCCCTTGCATTCGAACAGAAACCTTAAGCAACTTTATCACGACGGTTGTAGCCTGTCAACGTTGTGCTCAACGCTGTGAGTATTCGCAATAGAAAAAAGGACCACCGCGTTGGCATTTGGCACAGTCCTCGGCCATCCTCGGACGCGAGCGTCAACGGCCGCGCGCTCTGGTCATCAGCTATATCATATGGGGTTTCGTCAGCGGACAAACGGCATTGGTCAGGCCCAAGAGTAAAGGTCTACCTTTGGCCAAAGAAGCATCTTACCCATGACAAGAAGTAAAGTGCAATTGACGATTCGAGTGGACCTTGCTTGACGCGGGCGAAGGCATTTGCTGCGCACCTCGATCAGCAGCGACAGCAGCGACGGCGGCAACTCGAAAACTGGGAATCAGATGCTGTAGATGTGCTGGTTCCTGCATACAGCGATCTGCACGGTTCGTCCGCCGCAGAGAACCCTGAGTGCTTTTTTCTTTGACCCTTGCCTCTGACACTGGCCAAGCACCAGCAAGGAGAATTGTTGATGGAAGAGGTTTGGTGCCAGAGGCTGTGTAGCGGTAGCTTTGCCATTTCGGCGCAGATCTACTCTATAGCGTCCCAAACGGGATGAGATCGACCGCTTCGTTCTACCGGGCCTTTCTAGCTGGTATCTCCACAAATCCAAATTTCAACCGCCGACTGTGCCCAAATGTGCCTGCGGCGTAAGCAGATGGGCGCACTGGGCTCCTCTGTCATCTTGGCCGATCGCAACTTTACACGACTTTCTCCTTTTTTAATTCCTTTCTCATTTCCCACGCACAAGAAGTCGCAAACAGACGCTGACTCTTGCGAGTTATGAGGCTTCCTTGCAAACGCCGACATGGAGCCATTATTCCATGAATCGCGCGCACTTGTTTCGCAAATACAACGTTCATTGTATGCGCCAAACGGCCTTCGATAGCACCAAGAGTGGCCGTTGCAATCCTTCTATCGATATTGGTGATAGGTTCGTTCATTCTTCTGCCAGCTTCTTCCATTCCAGGGCCAATATCGATACCACCGTTGCTGCATTATCGCAACGTCTGACATAACAACGGTGCCGAATGCCCTACCGTCGGGAATCATTGACGTCCTGCATAACTTCCACTGCACACGTTTGCTCCAATACCTATATCGCAACTATTCGACAGCTATTGCGGTTTCTCGAATAATTTGTTCACGCAGATTTCCTTTTGGTACAATACGTGCATGGCAGGTTTGGTCATACTTTGCTGGGAAACGTGAAGGGATTTCTTCTCAGTCACGCGTATACTCATCTGGACTACTGACTTCTGGCCACCAGAGTTAGTTACTGCTCCACTATACACACAACGATTTTCCAACTGGACGGACCTTTCCAAATCAGGTTGGCAATTCCATTCAGCACGAGGACCTTCTCTATGTACCTACTCTTCTAGACACTCACAATCACGTCACCCGATCAACTGGTCCTGATCCTGCCCTTGGAGTTCATGTCTCAGCAGCCTGGTTACTAGCCAGCTTTCGCAACGGCATGCTGGCAGAAGTAATGCTATCATCAGCCGCCTCGGTCTATCCGACTCAGCAAGGCGGGCCTCAGATCTCGGAAGAGGCGGACGGGTATCTCGTTGCCGAAGAGCACGTCAGTAAGTCACGTAAACTTGACGCCCATCTTGAATTACTCAAAGTTGGTGCCATCACGAGTTCTCAGTTCTCATACTTCTTCTTCTGCGCTTCCAGAACTCTATCTCTCTTATTCAACCTCCTCGCACCCCGTTTACGCGGCGGTCGGCCCAGACGGCACTTCCGAGTTTCTACCATACTTTTCTGTGAGCGACCGTTTTCGCCAATACTCACTCGTGACCATCGCGAGGAATTCTCAAGAAGATCGCCAACGGTTGCACTTCGCTACGACGAGCCAAGGGCGGCGTATGAGGCAACGCTTTGTCTCAGTGAAGCGGGGACACTTCAAGGACAATCCGCTCGTACGCGCGAAGCAGGTTGCCCGAGCGAGGCTGGCACTGTTGGCAGTCGCTCCCGTTGTCCGTTTCCGGCTTGAGTCACCAAGAGCTACAATCTAAGCAGTTACAACCAGTAGACATCTGTCTTAGATGCGAAGGTATGTCTTGGTCTCACGGTCAGCTCGTCCGCACGCGGTTCCTGAGACTCGGGAGCAACCCTTTGGGTGTCTTGTCTCCTCTTGCACATTCGTTTGAACTCTGTCTGGCATGTTCATCTCACCTTAAGTTTTGTCTATCCTTACCCGCTCAGAAACACGTCCATCTCCCACGACGATACCCATCAAAAGATCCCACGTTTTCGCATCTGAGTAACATGTTCTAGACATGCTGGAGAAGGTTAACCTGCCTCCTGTCTCGGTAAGCCCGGTACGTTTGCTGTGTACAACCACCTCTCTCGAGTATCAAGGCAGTGTGCCGTTGGACTAGTCGTCGCTTTGCAGCCTGGCCAGGCGACCACCGGCCTTCGAATAAAAACAAACCAACCTCTCGCCGATGCACATTGATCCTTCGCTCAGCTTTCGGATTTGCAATCTGTCAACATCGATTTGTCTCACTTGATCATGATAAGATATCCACTTCGTAACATCATAGTCGTCGCGCGTCTAATCAGGGATGGTTGCTCTTCCGATGTTCTTCCTGCGTGATTTCCGGACCACCTCTCTCGACCACGTGAGTGATTCTGGGATTTCCGTGCTTGAATTTTGTTGCTTCCTATCAGTTTTTTCACCAGATGGCTTTCGATTTACCCTCAGCTCCGTTGAGAGCAATTTTCATACCTGCAGAGAGTGGTTTGAGTATCGAGATGTGGCTCGATGTTGAAAAACTTCGATTCGTTGACCTCTACTCAACTAGATTCGTACAGTCCCCGAGCTGAACATGGCTGCATGTTCTCCTCCCTGGGCTTTGACTTCCTTCCAGGACACGCCCTCTGACTACTTAACGTCTTCATAAACGCGATCAGACGGCACTGGTCTGCCGAATACTAGCATCCTATGCTGCAACATTCACGTACTACCGCGGCCTTCCTACACGAGAGACTCAGCAACAAGATACGATGACATGGCTTCCATACCCATGTCACACGTCAAATGGCCATATGCCATTCTTCACCACGGATTTTGTCCCACTCGTCCTCAGGATACTCCGAGGAGTCCGCTCCCAGACATGAAACACTTCGAGCTCAAACAAAAACAATCCCTAGCCATGGGTTCGGCGCATCCCTTAGATCTCTCAGCCGTGCCAACTCCACACCCACAAAACATGGGCCACACCTAGCCAGCACGAACCGCCAATCTTGCCTCTAGAAAAAAAACTTAGTCGGAATCCCATGCGCCCGGCACTTTGCGGTCCTCCTGAAGTCGTTCGTGATCTATCGAGTACGAGTCACAGTGGCTACGGCAGATGCACTGCGCTGTGTGTCCGACTCATGGTACGCTCAGCCATACTCGCCCGGATTATATCTCCGTCATTCGCCCGTGCCTTGCGGGAAATCATCACACGTGAGATGAGGAGACCAAGGTAACATGCACAAAGGACTTCTTCTACGAACAGTAAGATTCGCTACCGGTAAACTGGACATCAGGAAAATGCTGCAAGCAAGAATGCAATTGTCGATGCCATTTGTTGGCAAAGAAGACATGTCGTCGGACTTCTCGGCGATACCTTACTCGTGCTCCTTTTTTTTGGTTTCGGTGTGCCCTGCATATCTACTTTTCTTGGCTCGCGCCTTCTCTCTTCCCGCCGCATCTACGTTCTCTGACAGGCACGCTGTTAATTCTCTAGTTTCCTTCTCATCTTGTTTTTTCCCACACTCCAGCCGTGGCGCCGGCGTCTAAGAAGCCAAAGCGCGGCGGCCCAAGGCGGCGGCGGCGGCGATTCTAAATGTCGCGACGATTTATACCTGCAGCTTTCGATTTGCAAATAAGCGTCAACGTTGTAGATTGCATGCGAATATAGTTGCGACGTGATGGACCGTAGATACCGACCCTATGCGTTCAAATCATCAATCCATCACAACCCACACGCACCTTGAAGCAAGATCTGCACAAAGAATCGATCAAAAGCCAGCGACCCGGCTCACTGCTTTAATCAAATTTTCGCCCAAATCGGTTCGTGATGAAAAGGAATATTCTGCATGCGGAACGCATTTCCATATTGAAAGTGTTGGTGACCAGCCGTGGCAGGTGTCATTCGTCGAGTATAATAGATTAAGAAAATATACTAAACGGCAAGTGTTTGCGGGATCTTCTTCTTCGGTGGTCAGCTCGACAAAGGGCTGTAAAAAGGCACAATCATTTTCTTGGTTTGAGAGGCCTTTGTCGAGAGTGTGCAAGCCACAGGCTCTTTGCTCGTGTTTTGTAGTACCTCAAGAGCAGTGTACAAGGAGAAAGGTAGCTGTGAAAAGGCACAATTATTTTCAAAAACTCAAAGCTTCTCATTGAGAGCTTGTCTTTTCATCCTTCTCATCATCAACCACTCATTTCCTAGAAATCATCCTGCCTTTTTGCAGCCCGGTTTTACACTAACCACTGTCCCCGAGATATGTGTTTTTTTTTTTTGCGCCAGGGGCAAGAATAATGACTCTCTCCAGCACCAACTGCACCCCCAAAAACACAGCTGTAAAAAGGCATAAACAAATTCGAAATTCGAGATCCCTCCACTGAGAGACGACAAAATACATCATCTCATGAACCACCTCACAGATTCGAAAAACACCCTGCCTTTCCACAGCTACTGTTTTTGTGTCACATTGTCATCGAGATACCCAATTTTCAGCAAACGAGCAAGGGCACGTATACAAAATTATCAAAGTGAGGATTTCGACATGTCAAGCAAACCACTCGAATTACGTCGGGACGAATGAAAATGTTGGCAACTTGTCATCGAAATACTGGGATTCAAAGAGATCGCTTCATGGACCTCTGCGTGTTATACCACATAGAAAGGAAGCAGGGCACGTCGCCCAAAACCTAATAGGCCAGAGCTTCCTCGTCATTATCTTCGTCGTCAATGTCCATGCGCGTATAGTCGCGCGACTCTTGACCTTGGAATGCATTGAAAGAAGCCTCATCCTCTGCGCCAGCCCCGGCGTCATCTTCCTCAAAGTCATCCCAGGTGATGTTCGGAGCAGCGCCGCGCTCGCGCTCAAACTCACGCGCATCTTCGGGCTCCTCTGTGCCTTCGAAATCGCCTGGTTTGTGGAAATCTAGATCATTCCTGGCGTGTCCCACGTCGACTGGAACACCCGAGCGCTCCATCAGCGCTCTGAAACGGCGGCGGAGGTCGTTGGGATCGTAGAAAATTCCTCCCTGGTCGTGGACCTCTGCGGCGATCAAGTCCCATTTCTTGCTTTCGTAGTCGGCATCGAGCTTTGCCTTTGCGTCGAACAACAGCAGGTTGTCTTCGTCACGCATGTTGATGAAGGCTGTCTTGAGGCGTTCGTAGCGGTTGGGGACAGTGCTTTTGCCGTAGTCACCACCGGTGAGCTCGTCGTAGCGGGCTTTGCATTCGGCCCAGTCATGGCCGGCCTAAAGATCGTTAGAGAACGACGTGGCTTGGTGATCAAACAAACTTACTTCGCGCATGGTGATTAGTTCTTGATCAGCCTGATCGCACTCTTCAAAGTTACGAGGAATCGGCTTGACAGCCATGATGTTCTTTGCAGGCTTAACTAAAGTCAGTATCTATCCATCGTACACATAATAACAACTTACGGCGCGGGTGCGACCAGTCTTCGGGGCGGCCTTCTTTGAAGCAGCAGTTGCTCTGGGCTTCCTGGCAGTCGTGGCTGTGTTCTTGACGGCTGCCCCTTTACGGCCCTTGGCCTTTGCAGGGACGGGTGTGTCTTCCTCGTACTCCTCTTCTTCCTCAACAACTTCCTTAGACTTTTTGCCTTTGCCACGAGTAGAGGAGATGGGTTTGCGAACTTCATCGTCGTCATTGTCACCGCCGATGGCTACCTTAGCTTTGGTCTTTGCCTTACGAACGGGTGTCTTCTTGGGAGCCTTCTTGCCATAATCGGGCTTTGTAACAGGACTGGCGGGTCTGGAAGCGCCAAAACTGGCTTCCATAGGACTAGGGCCAGGAAAGAATGGTTCGGAAGGCTTTGTACCGATGCCGTTGAGGCCGAGCTCGGGAATACCTCCAGAGAAGTCGTTTGAGTGGTAGGGAGTCGTGAAAGGAGTAGGCGCGACGTAAGGAGTCTTGGCCTCGTACGTGTTGACTACGGTGTTGAAGGGAGTCTTAGGTGCGTATGACTGATAGCCATCGTTGAGGTTGGAGGACTGGCAAGGTGCGTCAGGCGAGATGTAGTTCGGATCCTCGACGTCATGTTCGTATCCAGGTGTCTTAGCGCTCGTTGTCTCTTCGAAGCCGCCACTAAAGTGGTTGCTGTCGGTGATGGTGTTGTCGGCGATGCTGTTGTCGGCGATGCTGTTGTCGGCGATGCTGTTGTCGGCGATGCTGTTGTCGGCGATGCTGTTGTCGTTGTTGATGTATGTGTTGCTGATGTATCCATAGATAGCTGCTGAATCATCGCCCATAGAGAAGTCGGGCAGAGTGCCGAACTCTTGGGCTGCTGCGTCAAAGTCGAACCCGGCGGGGATCTCAAAACTCTGACCAGCAATAGAAACCATTTCTTGTGCAGGCTGGGCAGGCATTCCTGCATTGTAGTCGGCGGACATTTTGCTGTCCAGTATAGGGGGAGAGGCAGGGTTTGTAGATCCCATCTTGCGTGTCGTTGTCGAGCTTGCTTGTTTGTCTTTGGAGAGTATCGAGCTGTCTGGCGAGATAGAAAAGCAATAGGGAAAATTTGATGGTCTGAAGATGAAGTCGAGTGTGCGAAGCGAAGGTGTCCAGCGCAGAATCACTATGGTGTGAATCCCGACACAGTCGATCGACGGAATAATGATGTCGTGTGGGGATATCTTGTGAGGGTACGGCACGACTGCTTGAGAAGCGACTCAACAGGTGTGAAAGCGGTCAGAGACCAAGGTCGCGGGCTCTCTGACAACTTCTCCTTTGTGTTTGTTGCTTGATCAAGCTGATCAGATGAGGAAGTTGCAGCTTTTTCTTCAAGTTGGAAGGACTCAAAGAAGGAAGTGTCGAGTCTGGAAGAATGAGAGTCTGTGCCCAAGGGCTGTCGAGGAGTTGTCAAGTCAACGAAGGAAAGTTGCAGAGATCTACGGGTGTTGTGGCGAGTGAGAATGATTATGCCGTCGACATCTGATCGGGAGGTCTGTGCGTACGTTGTCGTCGTCGTCGTCGTCGTCGACAGCCGGAATGAGCGCTCCGGGTCAACACACGTTTACGATCGGGTATGTTGGACCCCTCCTAACCGGAGCTCACTGACAGCTGAACAAGTAGTGAATGACTCCAGAAATCTTCCTGAAACTGCTATTTCAGTGCTCCGGCTTGTGATACTTATTCAGACCCAGGCTTTACACACAGCTCCCTGTTATGACGCAAAATCTAGGGTCATTGCTTTAGTTTTGTGACTTCCACACAGATCACCTCAAGTACAAACTCTCGAATCAATCGCAGTCCTCACTTCACACAAAGCAATCCAGTCCTCGTCTGTGCAGTCTGGATATGTTGGTGGGCTGGACCATTTGCCGTCATAGGAGCCGTCTTCAAAAGGTGGTCTCCTCCACTCGCCATCATCCAGTATACGGTACCTTTGCGCCCAGAGACCAACACCAAGCTCTCTTGACTTTGGGAAAGCGACATTGTCGTACCAGTCGCCAAAGCCGCAGCGGATTGACCGTAGCTTTTTGAGCTCGACAGCAAAGTGAGAGAAGTAATCGTGCCAGCGTGCCGGATACAAGAAGCTTGAGGGTGCGAGAATTGATCCAGTGGTGCTCGAATTGAACAACGGTTCTATTGGGAAGTTGTCCGAGTCCAGTGTCGACGGTATCCGTACGCCAATAACAATGGGACAGTTGTCGAGGACGAGCTCTTCGAGAGTATTGCCGTGTGTCGAGATCCACCGTAGCTGTTCGTCGTGACTGAAGCTCATACCTCCAATGATCAAAGATCTCAAAGCCGGAAAGTGGGGTAGCTGACACCTGGGCAGGTATCCAAAGTATAGATCTCTTGCATAGAGCTTGAGGTGTGTCAAGTTGTGACGCACCGGTTCAAGCCAGCTTGATACGAGCTGTTTTCCAAAGAACGAGTGTAGTTCTTTCTTACCAAGATTTGCTGGCAGAGAGCCATCACCATCGACATCTTCCGTGGTGATTTGCAGCTCCAGTTTCTGCACGTGAGACATGACTTCTCTAAAGTCTCGTGAGCGAACCACGATGTCGTTGCCACAGCCTTGGAGATTCTCGATGCAAAGATGGCTCGGCGTTGCATGTCCAGCATTCAATCCGGCAAAGAGGCTCTGCAGCACATCTGTTCGAAACTTGATACTCTCCGGAACATTTCGAGCCCACCAGTGGCGCCGTTGTTGAGGACCGACGCACTCGCTGCTACATTTCAGTGTCACAGACCGTAAGTTACGAAATCGTCCGAGTTTCCTCAAGACAGCCAAAAAGGATTGCAATAGCTCTTCGTCACGGTACTCCCAGTCGTAAGTGTCCATACACGTATCCGTATACTCCGCAGTGTCAATTGTCAATTGCGTCACGACGGAACAAAGACCCGGGTTATCAAGTAGGCTTCTGAGGTTGCTGATGCTCTTGAGCCTCAACAGCAGCGTCGCGCTTCGAAACACCAGGCCAGTGCAAACGTCGGCAGATCTCCTGGAAACACACCGCAACGATTTCGTCGCAACGTGGTCATAGATGTCGACATCATGAGCAATGATCGTTAGCAGTTCCAGCGGAAGTTGGTCAAAGCGGGAACATGCTGATATCATAGGTGGTTGGGTGTACGAGTAGCTGCTTGGAACCGCTGGCTGGGAGATTGCAGGGTGATGTTGCAACGCCTTCTCAGTTGGGCTGCTCTTCTCGGGCGGAGGCGTCAACTGCTGTTGAATAGTATCCATGATCTCGGTCTTGAATTGTGTTGTGGTATAGGAGATCTGGCACACGTTGTAGAGGGACAGGAGGGTGTCACATGGTGTGATGAATCATGTGCTCCCGACGGCCACCGGCTCGGTCTTCGACTGCCTCATGGAGTTATGTTTGCAATCTCCGGAATCACTCCTGCCTTTCCAGACTTCTGTACGCTCTACAGTCTTCTTGTATACTGTTATCAAAAACGGAGAGAAGGACTGCAGGATCTGGTCATCCTATGTCCACGCAAGTCTAAAGCTCTTGCAAATATGTACGATCCTGCATACACCAAGACACTGGTATTATGTGAACGCCAAGAGATAAGCCAGGGTCTCCCTGTAAGCAAGCCATGGCAACATATATTGCACTTTCATGATAGCAGCACATATAACGTTAACATGAAATATGTCGTAGTATGCTCATTGATATATAAAAATGATGTTATGGCATCTTTACGATATCAGTTCGCCGATTGGCCGAGATATCGACGATTTTGCGATTGGAACCCTCGTGTTTTGAACATCTTCTCTTAACACCTTCAAACCAGCGGAACATCTTGACAAGATAAGATAACAACGTCTGACTTGCTCTTTTAGTCGTATAATGTTATTATACCAAGCATCGAGTGGTGATAACAGTTCAAGATGACTATAAAAGGCCATGCCATCGATCTGTTTGATTATACGAATGACCATATGAAACGAGCAGGGTGACCATCCGCGAGCTCGGACTGCAAAGCAGAAAAAGTAAAGAATAGAAAGAGCAGAGAAGATAGATTCACCGACACGACGAACATGGCACGTGGAATGAGAACATGATTTCGAAATGTGGTATGGGAAAGAAGAATGTTCATTTGATTTTGACACGTGGATTTGAGCAGAAGAAAAATGTTGCACAGCAACTGTATTCGGACATTAAAAAGCAGTTTTCCATCTATCCTTCGCACTGCCGTCTTGATCGTTCTTGGTGTGTTTTTGGTGAAAGCGCTAGTCGAAGCATCTAGCGTGACAAGCAATCTGTAAGTTTTCTTCTCGCGTCGGCTCGCGTTCGAGGGATCGGTCGGGTTTGGTAGTGTGTAAATTCGTCTTCGATTCGGGTATATTGTATCGGGAAGGTAATGGCGTACGGGCTCTTATTTGAGACGCAGTCTCAAGGGCCTAGGAAGAAAATAAGGTTAGCGAGAGTAACGTGTGCCTACTCACCTGTACGTCTAGCGGCCAGGCTCATGCATTCGATCAACGAATCGGCGTCTTTGAGATGGCCATCGGTGGCTAGTAATCACAATCAGTGCTTTTGGGAGCATCGCTGGTCACAGTGGTGGTCGACTGCTGGGTCGTTGTCGAAGTCACGGTTCTAGTGGTAGTGGTAGTTGTCTGCCAGGTCTGCATTGTTGAAGATGCAGCCTTGGTGGTGGTCTTGAATGTTGAAGATGCCTTCTTTGTGCTAGTAGTCATGGAACTGGGCGCATTGCACTGTCCACCTACCACGCCAACGGCGCAAGCCTTGCACTGTGGGGCAGGGTTGACCGTGGTGATGGCGTTGCAACCAGGCAGAGCAGACAGGGGACCGTCAAGATCTTCGGAGAAGTTGTTAGTAGTCGTACACTGAGCCCAGTTCATGCTCGAGTCGAAAGTGACACCAGAGCAGTCGCCAACGTCGTGCGAATCGCAAGCGTTGGAGCCGCTGAGGAGGTCAGGCAGAACGCCTTCTTGCCAGCCATTGAACTGATACAATGTCAGAGGATGCCCGATGGGTCAAGTAGTGCGTGTGTCACTTACGAAGTCGGCGTGGAAGCCGTAGCCGGTAGGATCTCCGTTAGAGAGCACGAACGAATCGACCTCGAACTGTCCCTCAAGGCTTGACAGATCGTAGTTGTTCTCCATGAAGAGATGAGGAAGCCTAATCGGGTGAGTATCGGGACAGGCTCCGTTTCTGATGTCGCCAACAGGATAAGCGACGTGAGAGTAGGGAGAGTTGAGGTTGAAGTCCTTGCCGTTCCAGCAGTGAGGGAACTCGATGGCACCATTGAAGTATGGGTACTGCGAGCAAGAAGTGACACCCTTGGGGAAGCCGCCTTGAGTGCCTTGGTTCCATGAAGGAGATTGGTGGCAGATCCACTGAGTGATGTCATCCTTGTTAGTAGGAGTGTGCTCTTGCGCGGCACGGATGTATGCGTTTCCAGCGGTCATACGGAAGCCCTTGGGGAACTCGAAGGGCTCGCGCATCTGGCCAGTGCCAGCATTGATGTAGTAGATCTGGTGTCCATTGGTCTAGAATATGTGTAAGCGGTGTTGTTACCAAAAGCGTTGCGAAACATCGTACGGGAACTCTGAGGTAGGTGCCGTTGTTGGCCTTGACATAGAGGGTAGGGTGCCAGTAGGCGCTCTTGTCCTCGATAATCGGGTTACCATTGGCACGTCCCACGCTCGAGCAGGTCGACTTCTGTAGTGAGTCGTAATCTGAATTCTGATCAATGTTACCGGCACCCATGAACTCATGTGCATGCATGCCGATGCCTCCAGGCGAAATGATGGGATCAATACGTGAAACGACAGTGTCTCTACCGTAGAGTACGAAGAACTGCGCCGAAGCGCTTCCGGCGGTCAGCGCGAGGAGTGCAGCAGAAGTGGTCTTCATCGTGTGCTAGCGAGTGTGATTTTGATGAAGATTGAGAGAGAAGGTTATTCGGAAAGAAGGATGCGCAGAGCACAGTGTTATATGAAGGAAGATTGAAAACGAGCGTGATAGTGGTGAATATAAAATCAAGCAGGGTCTGCGAGCGTTGCGTTGCGTTGTGCTGCGTTGGCTTGACTGTTGGTCGACGTTGAGGGTTGCGCGGAGGCACGAACGCCGTTGAAAGCACTCCCGGCAACCACGACCAAATTGAAGCCAAAGTGACGCTCTTTCGTCCTTTTCATTCTTTGGTCGTCATGTGAATGTCATCATCATGTGGGCGGTGCTAGATAAAGGCGTTTCCGGACTTCATAACCCTGGTGATGGCTTTTAGTATCTAATCCAGACAGCGATGCCACGCACTTACTCTAGATTCTGCCTGGATTGGCGGATGCCCTGCATTCTCATAATCCCCTCGATTGGCGGCGAGTCGCTCCTTGTTCAGCCATGATTGGACTGAGACGAAAAACAAAGCAGTAGGAAACAATTACCTCAGAGGCATCTCGTATTTCTGACTTGGTAAAAATAAACAATCAAACATTTTGTATGAAAAAGCGCCAACATACCCAAGCTAACTACAAGATGGCCCATTGCAAACAATCGACTCAATTATGCAATGAGATAGAACAACGCCGCCGAATGCAAATGCTACCGCCGCTTCCTCTCTTCTTACAACTGTCCACTGAGAATGGCTTCTGTGGCCGATCCAATGTATACCCTCTTAGCGTCCAGCGGTACACCGAAACGTCTCTCAAGCTCAGACTTGACACTCTTCTTCGTAATGGTCATAAGATCAGCCTTGCTCAGGATGTCACGGATTTCTGCCAGAATAGCATCGTCACTTGGGAGTGGCATGTCCGTCATCTCAACAGAGCCTGGGCTGTAACCGCCAGACATGAGACCCATCTCACTTGGTGCAAGACTGATGCGCGACTGGTTGCCGAACGGACCTTGCGGCACGCCCAATGTCGACATGGGTCGCGAAGGTGGGTAATCGTAGACGGAACCGCCCATGCCGGGATAAGCTGACTTGGTTGCATACGACACGCCGGTGACGCCGGAAATTGCAGAACGGGCGTCGTCATCACGCGAAGTCTGCGCTTCCCAAAGCTCGGCCTGGTATTCTTCCCATCTCTTCTTCGGAATGCTGGCTGGGTCGAACTTGCCCTCGTCAGATACAACGAGTTGCTTGCCCTTTTCTCCAGTGACGACACGAGTGTTACCCCACGAGAAATCGTCCATGTGCCAGAAAGAGTAGAGAGGAAGTGCCATGGAGAAGACTGGTGTAGCAATGAGGTAGATGATCATCCAACCGACCATCTCCCACTTACGACGAATGATGAAGACCAGTGCCTGCATACCGTATACAGCGACCAACATGATGATGGCAATCGTCGAGACACCGGTAGGATCCTGTCCAATGCGAACGAAGATGTAGACCAGATATCCAACCAAGACTGGTTGAATAATGGTTGAGAGCAAGTCGAGGAAGACGACGAAACGCATACTGAAACAGCAGAAACCACAAAGCTGGGACAGCGAAGTGAGCTCAACAAGATTGTGTACAGTAGAGTTGATCCAACGACGACGTTGCGACATGAAGACCGTCCAGCTATCAGGAGCAATGGTCCAAGCCTTGGCGCGCATGATGAATTTGGTCTTGTAAGAAGGATGCCACTTCATCAGAAGGGTAGTCAAGTATCTGTCCTCTCCCAAATGAAGCAAGTTCTTGGTGTGGAGAGTGTCAACACGAATCTCTGCGTACATCTCGACAACCTCCTTGGAGACGAAGAGAGGCTTTCCAGAGGCCGCGTCACGGATTCGATACATCGAGAAACAACCAGGCAGACAAGTGACTGAGCCGAAGAGCGATTCGAAAGCCTTGATCAAGTTATGCGAAATGTAGTACTCATACACTTGCATCATCGTGACAATGGAAGATTTAGCGTTGGTAAGAGCCGTCTCACCGCAAACACCAATAAGACGTGTGTCGTGGAGGAAGGAAGCGACGAAACGTGTAGCCGAATCAGGTGCAACGACAGTATCTGCATCGATTTGCAGCAGGAACTCGTAGAAAGTCGGATTGACACCGATGATGTTTCGAATGTGGTGATACATCTCGAGTTCCATCGGAGCCATTGGTAGGTTGTAGTGAATTCTGTTTAGGAATCTCATCAAGACCATTTGAGAATCACGCTTACCACGGTTACCAGGTCTTCCGACCTCGGCAGGTCTGCCAATCTTGACAACAACCATGAAGGGGACAATGTGACCTTGGACTTCGTAAAGACCAGAGTAGATCTTGCCCATGTTGTGCTGCTTTTGACCTTCACCCAAACTCTCGAAACTCAGAGGCTCCGGATCAACGGTCTCAGGAACACCAAGAATGTCAAGGACGATGCGAGGTGTAGGACGGTCGTTGCCTTGTCCGATAATCATACCGTCGCAGATGATGAGCAGAAGTTTGCGCTTGTCATCATACTTCATTCTTGCAGCGGAATCTATGGCACGACGCAGAGAATCTTCGTCTTCGGTATAAGCTGGCACAGTGCAGATGATGAACTTGTCGAGATTCTCTGGGACGTTTTTACCACCGAATTGGAGGGCGGCAAGGAACTTTACACCGATAACCGCAATCAGGAACATCGAGATGGCAAGCAAGAGATAGGTGGCGAATTGACACTTTGTCGAGTTTCTGGTGTCGACGTCGGCCACGTAAAAGAGGTTATCCAGGCAAATCTGCATCCGGTTCTTGAGATCAAGCGTCATGCCAAGGGTGTCCCAGTCGTGAGTCACGTCGTGGCCAGCCTTTTGCTGCCAGAGGTTGACCACGCGCGAGTCGATGAAGTTGGAGTTGGGGGGAGTATCGGGGGTTTCGTATCCATCGGGGTACTTGGGTGCACGCCCACCAGCAATGTAGTCGGTGAAATCATAGATCTTACCGTTGAGGATAGCAATTGATTGTTGCTTCTTGCCTTGTGACTTGACATACTTGGATGTATAACCAAGCGTACCCTTTCTGAAGTTTTCATTCATGTACTTCATTTGTTGTGCAAACCAGTCTGGACGCGAGTCGTTGGTAGCCCAGCGGAAGTCGTGGTATGCGGCATTCTTATCGGTCCCGCTAACCGCCGAAGCTTGGCCAGTGTAGTTGGTACTCTTGTAGCTGAGCTGGACAGCTGGATCAATGCCGTTCTCGTCTGTGCCAGGGCAAAGAGCAGAAACTTGGACAGGGAAAAGAGCGGTTGCGTCCTTTCCAGCGTACTTTTCAATAGCAGATGTAGGAATGATGTTTGGGTAGTGGACCGACTCAAAGTTTTCAAGGTTGAAAACCACACCGCGAATTGCGACATAGCCAGTTTTGTCCTTGCCGTTATGCGACTGCAATTCAGCAGCCGAGTAAACGTGTTGTGTTGGGCAAATGAGCGCGGGGAAACCAATCATGAGGAAGATGAAACTAGCACAAGCAAGCCAAATCATGAAGTTGATGGCCACCTTCTCTCTCCAGGCCATACGAATGTCAGGACGAGGCATGCGACCGATGATGCGGATGAAGACATCAGGGATCCACCAGGTGAAGAGATAGACAAGGAACAACCATCGCCTTCTGGCACCGGTAACAGGCACCTCATCAATAGCTGCCACTTTGGCCTCGTTGCCCTTCTCAGCGAGTTGTGAGCGGGTCTCGAGATTTTGGAACATGTCGCCTCCATGGAAGGCCGATGCACCAGCTTCTGATTTAGCATCAAGATCACGACTTCCAAAGTAGCCGGCGACCTTGTCATCGTGGTAAAATGCGCCAGGAGAAGGAGTGACGGCGCCGAGGAGATTGAGGTTGGAATCATTGCGACCATTGCGTGCATGATCGGGAGACAACATACCCTCCTGCTCTCCATAAGGCGTCTGGTCGTGCATACCGATAGGAGCCACGTCAAGATCACTGACTCTCGCGATCTGACGCCAGCAACGTTCGCTCAAGAAGACTCCAGTGCTGCCGACTCTTGCTTCATTGCCTGGCCAGATCTTCTCGTCCAAGATCATCTCCGCCTTCTCTCTGTCAGTGCCAACAACAGAAACGTCGCCCTCGGCCACCCCGAGGAACTCGCTGAATGGCATAAACACACTGAAGTCAGCGTTACGCAGACGTTGACTGATCTCAGCGATACCAAGTGTCTGCATTTGAGTGCGGACACATTTGCTGTCAAACTGATTGGCAATTCTGCGATCGTTGGGCTTCAAACAGAATACAAAGTATGGGTTGGTGCGAGGATCAGAGAGAGATTTGGTGATGTTGTCCAGAGAAGACAAGAACTGGGCAGCGGCACCTTGTTGCTGTTCAGGCTCACCCTTGCGAGTGTGAGAAACGCTTCTCTTGCCGTTATCACTGTCTTGTCGCATGGCACCGAGTCTAGCAGGACGCTCGCCAGTACGCTTAGCCATACTGGGCATTCTTGAGGGCTTCGAAGCAACCGAAGCTTGCACGACAGCTGAGCGGTCCTTGGGATGAACGACCTTACTCAGTGCCTCCTGGCCAAAGAGGTCGCTGACGAATTGGTTCGAGGTCGAGTTGATGAGGTTCATAAGATCACCAGAGATAATCTCGCCATTGGCTTCAAGGAGATTTTCGACAGGATAGTCGACCTCACCAGCATAATGTCTGACGGTGAAGGCAGCATTGGCATTGCGAGTAGCGAAGTTGTTTCCAGGGAGAGTCTGAGTAGAGGCGCCAGCCTCAATGGCGGGATTCTTTCCCTCGAAACGCTTCCTGACGCTCTCTAGGAACTGTTGGTCGGTCTTGCCACGACGCATTTGATCGTCCAAGATGCTGAGGAGGCCATTGCCAGATTTGAGCAGACCCTTGACTGCGTCGGTGTTGTCGAAGTAGCTGGTTGCAGGCACGCTGACTTCTTCAGTCTCGAGGAGATCAGCCTTGCGTTCGAAGAAGCTCTGCAGACAGAAGTTGTAGAGAGATTCAGATGCTGCGTTGTTTAGCAACTGGTCCAAAACAGAGCCAGTGGAGGAAGACTGTGCGAAACCTGGGAAATCAACGATGGAGATAGTATTAGCGATAGCTTCCTCTGCCGAGCAAATCTTCTGGTTGATGCGTTCGATGATGTAGGCAACGAAAAGTGAGTACAAGGTGCGTGCAAGTTCATCAGCATTGTCTCTAGCACCCTTGGGATCCAGCATGACAGTGACGCGCTCACGATGGAGCTTCTTTGTGCGATAGCCTAGACTCTCTTCGAGCTGTCTCTCGGAAACACCGAGGAAAGCAGCGACGATGTGCAGAGTATCTCTGTTCTTGACTGAAGTAACATCCTCGCCTCCCTCGTGTGAGTAACCACCACTGTCATCGGCGGACGGAGTGGTCGACTGAGTTGTGACAAATTCAAGTTGACCGATGTGTAGAATACAGGCAAGCATCTCGCACATGTGCGCGATTTCATCACGAGGGAACTCGAGTTTGCGCAGAGCCGTCTTGAAGTGCTGGAAACCTTCAGCATCGTTGATGCCAACCTTGAGCTGACTGGGGTGTCCCAAGTATCTCCATCTCTTTGCACCACCGTTACCGAGCGAATGTCTGTTGGTGGCAGGACCTGCCTGGTCGAGACCAAGATGTTCCTTCTCTTGTGGGCTGGTGCCGGCTAGAAGGTAGTAGAGGACATGGAAGTTACGCTCGCCGGGTGGGATGGTGGCAACCCTGCTGCGCTCCAGACGGTGATCGAGCAGCTTTCCACCAACCAGAGTTGGATGGAGGCTAGAGGATGTGTCGTATTGAAGTTCGAAAAAGAGGCCGGCTTTGGAGGCGGTCGGGGTGGTGACGGACTTTGTGGTGGTCAAAGTGTCGAATACAAAGGCGGCGTACGACAGCTTGTTGGACAGTGGCGTCGATGTGTAGTTGAGCAGGGCGGACAGAACATGGGAGCGAAGGGTCGTCTTGCCTGAGCCGGTTTCACCGCTGTGCACTGGTTAGCAAGAACGTGGGCATTGGTGTCACCAACGACGGATGGACACATACAGAAAGACGACGGCCTGGTTCTCCTGCCTGGATCCTAGACGAGTCCACGCTCTGGAGGCCAGGTCCTCAGCAGCGCCCATAGCGCTGCCTTCCTTTGAGCCATCCGGGCCCTTTGCCGAGGAGGTGTATGTGTTGAGGGCGATGATGGCGTGTGATGACAGCTGAGCCGTGGGCAGCGAGACGTGGAACCTGCTGGCAAGGTGCGCCGTCAAGTGCGTGTCATCTTGGAGATGAGCAGGAAGCGCAGGCAGCGAAGCCTGAGCGTGAGCAGGAACAGCCATATTGGCCTCGTGCTGCTTTACTCTCCAGTTCCTAGCAGACTGCTAGCCGAAATATCAATCAACCCCTTTGAACGAGAGACTTGGTACACAGAAGCGACCGTGAGGAATGGATATAGCGATTGATGGTGGGCTGTGATTAAACAACAGAAGCCCAGATGTACGGTATGGTCGCGACAGGGAAAAATCACACGAGGCTGTGGCGGCTCGAGGAGAATGGATTATGGAATGGCTTTCTCGTCGAGGGACGGGTTTGAGAGAAGGCTACTACCAAAGCTAACGCCATCGGGCAGCGCAGGTATTTTGGGAACCCAGCATCCGCCATCCGTCGCCGCTCTTTCACGGTGCGTTTCAGCCCTGCCTCCGTTTCCCATCAGACAAAATCTCAATTACCAGCAGATCTAGGTGTCTGGTCACTGTTTGGTCTTCAGTTTCTCCTCTGTTCGTGACCGCTCCAACGTGATACTGCTGATGCCCATTATTCCCACCTAGCGAAACACTCACAGAGTCCAAGTCGCTCGTGTCTATTACCTGTGTGTTTGGTCACAATACAAAATACGAAACCCGCGCGGGGCAGACACGCTAAGCCAACCACTTGAACAAGCCTCAAGGGGCGTGACGGGCGGCGCTTTTGCTTTCCCTCTTCCGCTCATCGGTTGTCCCGTCGGGAACGCGTGTCGAAGGAACATCACTACCTACTTCGAACACCTCAAGCATAGGTAGCATCATAGACGAGAGTTTGCCTTAGCTATGCGGTTGACGACTGATGGGCCAGATGCCATCTATCCGATGCAAAGCATTCAGCACACCCATGGGGGGATCTTGGCAAATCCACTCCTGAATCTCGAAATCTCGCCGGGAGTGAAACATCGAAACAAACGGTGTGAAATGTTCTTACATGTGCCTGACGGACCAGCGTCACAGCAAAGCAAGCGTTCTGCTCAAGAAGTGCGCAATACTGGCAAAGCAGGTGACAGATGCTTAAGTGATGCTCAACAAAAGGCGTGTCGCGAGGATGAGGCTCATAGACTCCTGTTGTGCCTGCAAGAAAGGTACTTTTTTCCGTTCCCTCCCAACCCCCCAAAAATAGAGCCAGTACGGGTGCTTCTCCCGATTTAGTATCGTAAACATCAACAATAGCAACATCAACCCCAACCTAATGGAATTGGAGCAGCAAAATTGGCAATTGAAAGGGCAGAAGAGCGTGCGCGAGTCGGTACGAGTGAAATTATGTAGAAGCAGTCGTCTTGTAATGTTATGAAGTGGCGATGGTCTTTTCTGCGGGTCGTTTCAATGGTTGTCTAGCTCGCCCGTGCGCAACCCTTTCCCGCTTGCCGCTGCTCCTAACTATCCGAAAGGCTCTCTCGTGAGTTGCAGGTCACTTTTGTTGCCTCACGTCTTTTCTGCCCGTCCACTGTGCTGTCGTCGTAGTCTTCTGTGCTTCTAGTTCTCCCCTCGACATTCGCTTGTTTGCACGACACAACCAGAAATTCCATCGTTCCCAAGGCTCATCTCCTCACCCCTCATAGGCCGAGGATTGCTATTTTCCTGCTTACCGACAAGTCAAACTTCACATTGCCACACCATTTACACTCGTTACAACCACATTTCTGATATAGAGGCCACGCCTCGAATCCCATCTTCATCATGGCGGGACCTGGTAGTCGCATGTCGATGTATTCGAACCATTCGAATGTCCCTCGACCAGCCCAACCCTCGGCACAACTCTCGACCACAACGCTGCTCAATGCGCTGCACTCTGTCTGGACCAGCAGCCAGCCCTATGCACTCGAGTCTAGCACCAGTCTTGTTGTCAACACATGGGTCACCACCATGATCACTGGCCCTGACGGCAGGCAAGGAGGCACAGTAGATGCTGAACTGGGCCAGCGTGCATGGGAACACGCTCGGAGAAGAGCAGAGGACGGCTGCATCGTCTTGGGGTGAGTCGATATGTATCAGCTTCCAGTCGTGCATCGCTAACACATCTGGCAGCTCTCTCCACGAATCCACACCCTCGCTACTTGTCCCTTTCCTCTCTTCGCTACCCGTTGCCGTACCCTCGACTCTATACACTGCCCTGAATGCAGTCCGCCCCTTCCTCCACTCAGTCACACCACGAAACCCCTCGGCAGCACAGCACAACGGTCTGGCAGCTGTCCTCAACCTCAATCTCGAGGGAGAGTTGACAGGTGCTTCGCTAAGCCTCTCTTCATCTGGAACCAATGTTGCAAGAGGCCTCACCGACGTCCCAGCTGAGATTGGCTACCGTGCATTCGATGTCTTCTACTATCTATTGGCGAGTGCCTCGCCCGCCGAGAAGGAGTTTTTGAATCTGCAAGAGCCCAAGGCTTATGCCCTCTTGAAGAAGACCGACACATACACCCCTCCGTTGTACCTCCCCACCGCCGATGATGCAGCCGCTGCAGATGACTTCCGTGCCTCGCTTAAAGAGATTGGTATCAAAGGTGCTGCTCTCAGAAACTTGCTTTCGGTCGTGGCTGCCATCTTAAAGCTTGGAGAGACCATGGGGTTCCTAGTCGATGAGGATATTCTGGAGAACGTCTGCGAAGAAGTTGCCGACTTGCTCGACTTGGACTCTGAAGTCTTGACCAAGAAGTGCGATACTATGGAACGCCAGACCTTGATGGCTGCCATTTACGAGGCCCTGGTCGACTGGGTTGTCGCTCGCGCCAACGAAGCCATTCGTATGGAGCTTCGCAACGGCGGCCTCGTCAACTCTTCGAGCGGAAGTGACACCGAGAACTCTGGAGGCATTTTGACCCCACCTCCAGGTGAGGAGGGTGCTGATACCGTCAACCTGACCATTCTCGACTTGCCTAGCGTCGCCATGGGCAAAGCAATGGCTTTACGCACTGTTTTCGACGACTCGACTGGTATCAATCTCGAGATGAAGGAGGATGGAGTACCTTCCTACCATGTCGGTACATCGATCATGAAAGAGATGAAGGATGCCGTCGATGTCAACGCGGCAGAGCTTGAGATTCCTGGCCATGTGGCCACAAGAGAGCGCGAAGAGGTACTTGACCGCCGAGAGGGACTCCTCGAGAAGATTGGTGTCGAGACAGAAGCCGACAGTTTCTTGAGACGTCTCTTGTACCCAACCGAAGGTGAGGGCATTCAGCTTGGTAGAGCTGGTCGCTTCAACCTTATGAACGTCTTGGGAAGTAGCCGTGTCTGGTTCCAGCTCGCGCTTCATCCCACCGACGAGTCCCCAGCATCTCTTGCAAACCACGCACCCAACACTTTCCCATGGTCCGCTGGATCGGTTTCTAGTCAAATCCGCTCATGGAGACTTCCTGAGTGGGCCAACCATCGCAACAAGAAGCTCGACTACACTGCCGATTTCGATATCAACGAGTTCCAGGAGCGCTATGCACGCCTTGGCTGCCAGCTTGGCCGTGACGGTGTCGAAAGTTGGGTCATGGAACGTGGCTGGAGCAATGGAGAAGTTGTCATTGGCCATGAGAGAATCTGGATTCGCGAAGCCCCTTGGTGGGAGGCCGAAAGTATGCTTGATCTGAAGCCCATGGATCCTTCAATGGACGCTGCTGGACCCTTTGGTGGCCAATACCAGGTGTCCACTCCAATGGTTGAGGACGGGTTCTACCAACAGCCTTACCACGACAACCCTAGCAACCCTTTCCTCAGTCGCAACCAGAGCTTTGCCAGCAGAAGTCAACTCGGAGCTAAGTCCATCGCACCCTCAAAAGCCCCGACTATGCAAGGCCGCCCCGGAGATTACGGTCTTGGTGTCAAGGGCGATGACAAGTATGGCGACGTGACGTATTACGGCGAGATCGAAGACGGTGACGCCAAAGTCATTACAGAGGTACCTATCACTTTCAGTCGCAAAGCTTGGGTCTGGACTGTGTGGGCTTTGACCTTCTACGTTCCCTCGCCTGCTCTCCGATACATCGGTCGCATGAAGCGTCCCGACGTTCGTCAAGCATGGAGAGAGAAACTTGCTCTCATGATCATCATCTTCATCATTAACGCCACTGTCGTTTTCTACATTGTCGCATTTGGCAAATTGCTGTGTCCCAACTACGACAAAGCCTGGAACGCCAAGGAAGTCGGCTACCATGCGGCATCCAATGATTACTATGTCAGTCATCACGGCCGTGTCTACGACCTCACCAAATTCCACAAGACTCAGCACAGTGATGGAGTCACAAAAACGACTATTGAAGCCATGGAACCGTTCGGTGGCACTGATGTCAGCGGATACATTGTCCCTCCTCTTACCGTTGCTTGCCCGAATCTAGTCACTAGCACATCCATCTCACTGACTTCCAACACCACCCTGGAATATCCGCAAGCCATGCACAGTTCAGGTCCCATAGCCACTCCAGACAACACTACGGCTCTGCATAGTATTGATTGGTACGGCGACAAGTTCTTGCCCAAGATGAAAGAGTTCTACAAGGGTGATTTGGTCGTCAAGAAGAGCAAGGTCAAGAGCGAAGGTTCAGACCTCAACCACTACTGGTTTACTCTTGACAACAAGATCTACGACTTGACCGACTACTTCCACACTCTTGACCTGATGAACAATCTCGCCACTTATGCATTCTTCCCATCTGAGTTCACGGCCATGGTTCAGAGTAACCCTGGTCTTAACATCAAGTCAGAGTTTGAGGAAAAGTTCCCCGATGCTCAAAACCGGTCTAAAATCACTCAATGTCTGGACAACATGTTCTACAGCGGCAAGCTCGACTTCAGACAATCCGCTCGTTGTCAAGTCAACAACTACATTCTGCTTTCGTTCACCATCATTCTTTGTACTGTCATCGTGGTCAAGTTTTTGGCTGCTCTCCAGTTCGGCTCCAAGCCTCGTCCAAGCCCTCAGGACAAATTTGTCATCTGTCAAGTCCCTGCCTACACTGAGGGTGAGGACCATCTTAGAAAGGGTCTTGACTCGCTCACGTCTTTGGCATACGACAACAAGAGAAAGCTCATTTGTGTTATTTGCGATGGAATGATTGTTGGTGGAGGTAACGACCGCCCGACGCCCAAGATTGTCCTCGATATCCTCGGTGTCGATCCCAAGATTGATCCTCCTGCTCTTCCATTCAAATCTATCGGTGCTGGTGCAGAACAACTGAACTACGGAAAGGTTTACTCTGGTCTCTACGAGTTTGAAGGCAACGTCGTTCCTTACATTGTTGTCGTCAAGTGCGGTAAAGAGTCCGAGCAGGCCAAGGCTAAGCCCGGTAACCGTGGTAAGCGTGACTCGCAGATTCTGCTCATGAGCTTCCTCAACAGAGTACACCACCGCTCTCCTATGTCGCCTCTTGAGCTGGAAATGTTCCATCAGATCAACAATGTCATCGGTGTGGACCCCGAACTATACGAGTATCTCTTCATGGTCGATGCGGATACTCTAGTCAAGGAAGACTCTCTCACTCGCCTGGTTGCTGCTTGTACAAACGACTCCAAGATTGCCGGTATCTGTGGCGAAACCAGTCTGGAAAACGAAGAACAGTCTTGGACTACCATGATCCAGGTCTACGAATACTACATCTCGCATCATTTGTCAAAAGCTTTCGAGAGTTTATTCGGCAGTGTCACTTGTCTTCCTGGATGGTAAGTCATACGTATTCTGGTGTTTCTATTTCACAAAGCTAACACTTCCACAGTTTCACCATGTACCGTCTTCGAACAGCAGACAAGGGCAAACCTCTTATTATCGCTGATGCTGTCATTGAAGAATACAGTGACTGCAACGTCGACACTTTGCACAAGAAGAACTTGTTGTCTCTTGGTGAGGATCGTTGGTTGACAACTCTGATGACCAAGAACTTCCCTACCATGTCCTTCAAGTTTATTCCTGACGCATACGCCCAAACTGCTGCGCCCGAGACATGGAGCATTCTTCTTTCTCAGAGACGTCGCTGGATTAACTCGACCATTCACAACTTGGCTGAACTCATGCTGATCAAGGATATGTGCGGCTTCTGTTGTTTCTCTATGCGTTTCGTCGTTTTCATCGATCTGTTCGGTACTGTCATTCTTCCGGCCACCGTCGTCTACCTCGTCTACCTCATTGTCACGGCATCGACTGGCGGTCAATTCCCCTTGATTTCGATCATCATGTTGGCTGGTGTGTACGGTCTGCAAGCTGTCATCTTCATTGCAAAGAGACAATGGCAACACATTGGATGGATGATCTGCTACTTGGCCGCCTACCCTCTCTACTCCTTCGTCTTGCCCGTCTACTCTTTCTGGAAGCAGGATGACTTCTCATGGGGTAACACCCGTATTGTCATTGGAGAGACTGGTGCTAAGCAAGTCATTGCCGTGGACGCCGAAGAATTTGATCCTCGCAGTATTCCTCTGCAGCGCTGGGACGACTATGCCTACCAGAACCAACTCCCTGGCCGCCGCGGCATGGTCGCTCAAGAGAAGGAGATGGGCTTCTCACCTTTCCAAGATAATGGAGGCTACGAGATGGATGACATTCGCTCAGTCTACTCATCTGTCCATCCGGCATCCACCATTCTCACCGGTCTTCCGAACAACAATATGTCCTACCGCCCACCTACCCAATCTCCTGGCCCCTACAACGCATACAACCGCATGTCTAGCTACTCGCGCTTCACAGATACTATGCCTGGCGCCAACGAGAACTCACGTCTCATGTCTATGGGCAACATGAGCGACGCCTCGCCCGGCCTCCCTCGCAATCCTAGCAACCAATACCTGTCCTCCCAGCCCGACTTGCTCTCGCCCAAGCTCTCACCTCCTCCTTCCGCTGGCTTCCCTCCTAGATCTCGCAGTCCGCTCTCGCAGGCTCCATCTCGTGCTGCCAGCACATTCGGTCTTCCCGGTTTCCAAACACAGGGAATCACCGACGGCCAGATTGTTGATGCGGTCAGAGATTGCTTGAGAGACGTTGACTTGGACCAAGTGACGAAGAAGCAACTCAAGGTGCTTACAGAGCAACGTCTCCAGGTCCAACTGGACCCCCAAAAGAGAGCATTCCTGGACCAACAGATTGACTTTGAATTAGCAAACATGTAAGAAGATCGAGAAGGAAAAGGGGAAGACAATTTTTGCATATTTGGGGAGTCTTTTTGTCTTTCCAAACCGGGGATTAAGCATTGGGAGTTTTTCTGTTCCTGTTTTTTACTTGTCAATCTTTTTTGAGAACGCTTTGCTCTAATGGATCAATGTGGTAAAATCTTGTCTATAGCATATGTTGATGACTACTTTTGGCCTACATGCGCTTTGCTCAGGTGCTCTATCCTTTGTGTTTCAATACTCGCGTTGAGTTGCTGTTACGATACGTCTGGTGGGATGAGCTGTTGCGTTCGCTGGTGTTCAGGAAGTCCTGTTGGAGCCTTCTTGCCCTCTTTCCACTATCCTTCCTCCTTCCTCTTGCACATCCTCACCTCGACCTCTATAACCATAATGCTTGACTATTCTTCCCTAAGCATCGATAGCCCAGTGGGATGGTCCCCCCAGAGACTTGCGATGGCGAGTATGTCTGTGCCTGGAGGTTACGGACTGGGTCGTAGACTGTGAACAGGTTTCGGAACATCTGGGAGATTGCGAGTTCGTATTCCCGCTCGGTGCAACGTTTTTGTGCTTTTTGGCTGAACGCCTTTTACGTGAATCCTTGCTTGTTTGTGCTTGTCGGTGTGTCCTCTTTAAAGGCTTACTTGAGCGACCCGAAGCAGTTTGATGAGAAATGGCAGTGGGAAGATGAAGGTGCTCTTCTGGAGTTGCTGGAGGAGCAGCTGGATTGGACTGGGCTGTTGAAAGAGGCAGGGCAGGAGATGCGGGACCAGGCACAAAGTGAGGAGGAGTCGAATGGGATGCAGAGGATGTATAACTGTAGCCAGCAAAATGGATAGTTCACATGTGGCTTCGTGTGATCTTTAAGCCCTGCTTTGTACCTTCTTCATTTGTCAATTACATATCTGCGACCACCCTCAAGACTTCGGTGTATTTATATACACATGTACCGCTGAGATTCTGCGGTCTTACAGAAACCTTGTGAGATACATAGAGTAAGCACCACACAGCCTTGACTCACTTGCAACTTCCAAGCACCCTTTCGCACAAACTTCTGTTTGTCTAGAATCCTCCATCCTTGCTCTCCTTCCTCTAGTCCATTGTTCTTGCCTGTTGGCACATCTCTCCAGGCAAACATCTTTGTACACTCAGTTTCTTTGCCCTCAACGACATCAACAACATACTTTCCAAGCACAGACAGAAACTTGAACCCATGCCCGCTGCCTTCACTCGCAACCATCAACCCCGGCTGATCAGGTACATAAGAGATCAAAAAAGAGTTATCCATACTATCAGTATACGGACACAGCCTTCCACGTTGAAGCTCCAGGTCCAGAAGATCAGGCATGTTCTCTTCACAAAAGGCTTTTACAACTTTGAACGCCCGTTCAGGAATGTCCTCAAGATCGGTCCTTGGATAAGAGATTTTACTCCTAGCAGAAGAGGCGTGGTGAACGATTGTACTTGGCCGATCAGATAGGCCTCGGACATGAGGTTGGCCGATTAGCACCAATGACGTGCCGCATCCTTCGAAGGTCACCGATATGCTGTGCTGAATGCTCAAGTACGTCCTGAGTGATGTTTCTTCGAGTTCTTCAGGGTTCTATCAAGCAATGGTTGTGCAGACAGCGCATTGGGTCAGATTGCTTAGGCACATTTGTGCTGGTCATCAAAGGCCACTTGCATCGATACCTCGTGTCAATAATCATTAGCAATCAGCACTCTATCCGGGATCGCTCGCGATGAAGGCAATATATAACATTGTGTCGGTATAGCTTGCTTACGCGTCCATCACCATGTCGCTTGCAGAGTGACCGAGGTCTCAAGTCAGCTTAAGCTTGACTTTGAGGCTCTTTGAGAAAAAATGGTCGTCGCACCGGTCGTTTCTTGAGAGTTTACTCAGAGTACCTAAGATGGGCAGTTTGACGCGCGGTCGATGGATGCCAAGCCGGAGAGCAGGCCACGCTTTTGCAAGCTTCCAGGTTTTTTGACTTCTTCCAACTCGATTCCAAGGGCGCCGAGACAAAAGGCGTGAGCGGTGCCGTTGGCGATCCGTTCGGAGCCGCTCACAAGACGTCAGTTTACCTGAGGGCGAGGTGAGGGGATCCAGGCGCGTAACTGAAATCGCAAAAGCAGGAAAAGAGCCATGTACCAAAGCCTTCCTTCCACGTCGTCAATGGGGTAGACAGCAATCAATCGCTTCTGTTTCTCTACTCTTCTTTCTTCCCTTGAGCAAGACTCGGGAATCGTTCCGTGCTATTCTTTGCATATATATATACACGCATACTTGACTTTGGGTCTCCTGGGCTGGACCCCTCGCACCTTGACGGTCGCGCTCTGACATTCAATGACGGTTACAGATGACGAACTCGACCGGCGCCGATACAAGGCGCCGTATAGCACCCATCGTCCTATCCCGACCATACAAAAGTACCAAGAGGAGAAGGAGAAACGACGCGCAAACGCCGACGATGAATCTCCACCGCCCAAAGGCAAGGAGGACAAGCAAGAGGACCAAGATACTGCGAACAGATACCTCTATTCCAGAGAGCAAAGCGATGTCGACTCTGACAACTCGGACCTCGACAATCCGGCACACGAGAAGAAGGACCGCTCACAGCAATTGAAAAAGAAGCTTGTTGGCGGTGGTGTGCACGACCCTTCAGATCTGACCCAGGACACGTCTGAAGCTCCCGTACAAGACCAGGACCCAAAGACACGACGCAAAGCTCTAGGCAAGAGTAAACGTAAGGGAGAGCGTGCCTACCGTGAGGTGACCGATCCAGTCACTCATCTACCTGTCCGCATCCACGACCTGCAACCTGGCGATCTTAAGAGAGTGCCCGAGAATCTGGGGCCACCAGGCTCCGAGTCCAGGTCAGCTACCGGCGTGGCCAACAAGAGGAAGAGCGAGGACACGCTGCAAAATGAGACACAAGAGATCGGAGGACATCATGCCGCGCTCGAGAACCTCTTCCCTCCGCCCGACTTTGACGAGATCCGAAACCGAATGAACAAGATACAAAAGCTAGGAATCACGATTGGTGTCGTCGCCGTCTTCCTTGGCATTGGCCTCTACAAAACCATCGCTGTTTTCTTCCATGATCGCAACGATGCGCTCGCTGGTGTTTCGTGGTCTTTCCTCTGGCCATATGTGTCGAGTGGCTTCGCTACCATCATGGTCGCCGCTCTCGTGGTCGCTGTCATACTCTGGATCCAGAAGTGGACCGATAGGCAAGTCCACAGACTGTGGGAAGAGGAGATATGGCACGCCGACAAGCACGCCGCGAAAGGTCATGACGGCAAGGAGGAGTCCACTCAATGGCTCAACAATATCTTGACATCCCTTTGGCCTCTCGTCAATCCCGACCTCTTCATCTCTTTGGCAGATACACTTGAGGATGTCATGCAAGCCTCGCTTCCATCTATTGTTCGTATGGTCAGCATCGAGGATCTTGGTCAGGGAAGCGAGTCTATCCGTATTTTAGGAGTGCGCTGGTTGCCTACTGGTGCTGCTGCTCGTTCAGTAGGCGCAGATGGCAAACTCAGTCCAGCGCCTCAAGATGGGCACAATGACCGCAGTGTACCTGGTCAATGGCAAAGGGAGGAGAACGCATCACCCGACCAAGCCCAGGATCTAAACCACAAAGAAGGCCCTCAGAAGTCAAAGGTACAGGAAGAAGCGGATGACAAGCAGATTGCCGAAGGTATGGAAGCTGAAGAGGGTGATTTCATTAACTTGGAGGTCGCCTTCGCCTACCGCACACGGAGCACATCCAAGAAATTCCACGACAGGGCAAAGCATGCACATCTGTACATCTCCTTCTATCTGCCTGGTAACATCAAGATACCAGTCTACGTTGACCTAAGAGGTTTTGTTGGTATCATGCGCTGCAGACTACAGCTTACTCCGGATCCGCCATTCTTTGCCCTGTGCACTTTCACTCTGCTCGGGCAACCCAACGTAGACGTCGCTTGCACACCTCTTACTAGAAAAGGTCTCAACATCATGAATCTGCCAGTCATCTCGCACTTCGTCCAAACTGCAGTCGATGCTGCTATGGCTGAGTATGTTGCACCCAAGAGTATGACTATCAACCTCCAAGACATGATCGCCGGCGAGGACTTCAAGAAGGATACTAGAGCCAAAGGTGTGATTGTTGCAAGGATCAAACGTGCCTTCGAATTCAAGGAAGGGGACCCTGGTATCCCGCTGGTCAGAGATGGCTCCGCTGATCCATACGTCTCTGTAGGCTGGGCCAAATTTGTCAAGCCATTGTGGTCAACTCGCGTTATCCTCTCAGAGATGAATCCGCACTGGGAAGAAACTGCGTTCATTCTGGTCACAGCTGATGAGTTGAATGTGGACGAGAGACTTCGCATCCAGCTCTGGGACTCTGATCGCTTTACTGCAGATGACGATCTCGGTCGTATAGAGATGGACCTCAAGGAGTTGATGCGTAATGAGGAGACAAGAGGCAAGATGTCCGATCGCATTGACGGCTTCAAGGCTTTACATGCCGGTGAAGGATTACCTGGCAAGCTCGAATGGAGTGTTGGCTATTTCCCCAAGGCACACATTGTTGAAGAGCAACTCAAGCGACAAACAGAAGAGCCGGAAATCCGATCCCGAGATGCACTTGAGAAGATGGTGGAGGAGTCTGCTAATCGCAAGCTTCGTGAAGCCAAGAAAGATGAGAGCAGAGAGACCGAACAGCTAAAACTGCAGCAGTACAAAGAAGTCGAAGATGCGATGATCATCTCTGCACCACCTCTTCCCGATTGCCCCAGCGGTATTCTGGCCATCCAGATTCATGAGGCTACCGGACTGGAAGTGCGTGCTCACCACAATGCGGCACGCTACAATGACGAACCAGAGCCAAGCGGCTTCGAAGAACAGGGCGACGAGCTTCCGTCTTGCTACTGCAATATCATTCTTAATCACCAAAAGATCTACCGTACACGTGTCAAGCCCAAGAACGCCAAACCTTTCTTCAACGCAGGCACTGAGCGCTTCGTGCGTGACTGGAGGACCGCTGAGGTTTACATTGTCGTCAGAGATGCTCGAGTGCATGAAGACGATCCTGTCATGGGTATCGTGAGGCTGCCCTTGGTCGACATTATGAGCAAACGCTCTCAAGTCAACAACACATATCCTCTGTATGGCGGTGTAGGCTATGGTCGCATCCGCGTCAGCATGGTCTTCCGTGCAGTAGAAAGTCACCTGCCCAAAGAAATGCTCGGTTGGGATTGGGGTACTTTGGTCGTCGACCCTCGCATAACAGCGAGCACCAACTTCCCCTCGGAACTCCAAGGTTGTCGCATGAAGATCCAGACTTCCGTCACCGTGGCACATATGAAAGCACACAAGGATAAACATGCCTGGGTGAGCCGCCATAACAATGGTGTTCACCTGGGTGTCCGTCGCCGTTATGCTAGCTGCCTAGTGATCCAATTCCGCAAAGATGCTGCTCTCCGCGATAAGACCGCTGGCTTCGCCGTCCTCTGGCTATGCGACATTGCAGACAACGAAGATGTCTCCTTGACCCTACCAGTCTGGAAGGGAGATCTGAAACGAGCTACGACCTGCAAACTCGAGTCCTACGGCGACAAAGTAGGTGAAATTAACTTCAAACTCAAGTTCTGCAGAGGATTGAGCAGATACCACAAGCGACTTGCCAAACACGACAAGCATCTCAGCGATGTCACTGAGGTTGTGGAAACAGCAAGATTCCAAATGACGAATAACGAACAAGATGACCCTGACGCTGTCAAAAACAAAAATGAATCGAAAAACAAGGTCTCGGACACAACGGGGGCGAACGGTGGCAGTTGTCCACACGCTGAAGGCGACAGCTCCGGCGAATCAGCAGACTCGTCATCCTCAGACTCCGATACCGAGACAGAGTCCGGCCACCTCTCCCATCGCGATCGCATAAAGCGCAAACTCTCGCATCAGCGCAAGCACAGCATCTCAAAGCTCACCACTGGCACAGACCAAGATAAAGAAGAAAGAGGTCATGATGGCAGTAGAAATGTTATAGACAGCTACCACGAATATCGCGAAAATAGCAAGCAAATCAATCGCAGGCATAGGGGTGTTATGCAGTTCAAGTCTGCGAGGACAATGTGGTGGATGAAGCACAAGGCTGAGCATTTGCAAGATCGCATCTCCGGAATTTTCGAGCATCATGAAAGGGCTACTGGCATCGAGAGCGAGGCTTGAAGCAAAACGAAAAAGCAGGCACTTTGTACAATTACAATTACTTAATCTAGCATTCATGACATGGAAGGCCTTTGGTATGGTCCTTTTCGTTGACATCAGTCCCTTTCTGTCTTCAAAGATGTCGAGAGCGACCATTTTACTTCCACCTTTCCACTGCTGCGAGCTCAAGATATCAACGCTTGGCCAGTGCTTGATTGAGGAAGCTGCCACGTGCAAACCTGGCAGGTGCTGACGCAGTAGCAGCTCATCCCTGCTCGAGGTGATTACTGATCTCGACGTGCTATTCAACTCACTGCCACCCAAATATCCACTCTCATATCTCAACTACACAATCTCAATCATGTCGGACTCGCTCGACGCCGCCATGCACGGGCAGCTCCGCGAAGATGCTATACACTACCTCAACAGCATCCCAGGCCCCGACAACGTAGCCTCCAATACCTTTACGAATGGCGCAGCACGCAGATATATCGACGAAAGGGCCATTGTCCACTCTTCAACTCTCAAAACTTCTTCCTCGAGTCAAGTACCGTAATGGTGCAAATGCTGCAGCCGAGAGTGTCCTGGTAGCCATGCAAGTTTTCGCCAGTCTGCGCCTACGAGGAGCTTACCACAAAGTATTATACCGCTCTAGCGACCAGAGAGCAAAGACAAAATGTCAAAACTCTATTGTATCAGGCGGACTTAATCAAAACATCGTCAGATGAGGAGGGGCGTATTTATCCTAACCCACTGGAGTTTATTGCTGCTGGTCTGTTGAGTGCTACTATCAGGACGGAAGTGGAGGTCGCCCAGCGTATGGCTTTGGTACGCGCGAGAGACTCGGGCAAGGTCCGGTGAATACGGAGGGATGAGCTCTTGTCTACCACTCTGTGTATCTCACGATACTATCTCCACCCAGGACGGACTGCCACTGGTCCTGCAATCTCTCGCCCATCCGCCAACCTTGGGGTGCGTCCCATATCAACCTCCCACCGACCCTTTCACTCTCCACGTCTTTCAGTCCGCCCTTCACACCAGCAGCCATATATGTAAATCCAATCTTCTGTCGCCGACCGTTCGTTCGACCGCAACGTGGGATCGCCAAAGCCACTTCCATCCGCCGAAGTGATGTCATACAACTGGCCGCATAGGCAGCTGCTGTAAAGAAGTCCTCAAGCTCAGGAGTTGGTTTCATTCGGAAGGTAGAGGAGGGCGCGTCGCCGTTGAGACGTGCGTGGCGCTTTTCGTCCTCATAACCATAGTTGTCTGGCGGTAAGGGATTTGAGGCGAAGAAAGAGTCGTTGGAGTCGTAGCTTGGTGTGGGGGATTGACTTCGTGTATCGTCATCCACGTCCAAGTCTGGATCCTCATCTTCATCAGTGTCGGAGTCGGGGTTCCGGACAGGGTCCAATTCTGTGTACCAGCCGCCGTCAGGTCGTACTGCACTGAGCTCCACGGTGAATGTCTTGAGATTTCGCCATTGCTGCTGAAACACTGGCATAACCTCCCCGCCAATGCCTCGAAAGAGCTCCGGACCTACACAGATTGGTCCTTTCAGTATGAGATGAGTCAGACTAAGCGTCGCCTGGGAAAACCTCCTTAGCACTACGGACAAGTCATCGGTGTGGCCCGGATAGACACCACCACGAATATCCGCATTGACAAAGTTCTGGTTGGCAGGTGCAGTGTGCCTCAACGATAGCACAAACTTCCTCAGATGCCTGGATATGGTTATGCATTTGAACTGCCTGATAAAATCAGAGCGCAGTTGGATTCGATACTGCGGCCGCTTCCTCTCCATATCCGAGAATGAGAGAGTTGTGTCGACGAGATTCGGCAACTTTGCTATGATACTGATTGCGACTGCTGGTGCCAATTTCCGTGCTTTGTCGCCGGCGATCGTCAATGAAGTGACATTGTACAACAATGGTAAATTTTTCGGCTGGAGTAACTCGAGATATGAATCTCGATAGCGAAGCTCGAATAGATTGTTTCTCTGTCCAATAGCTGCAGCTTCTCTGTCTTTTGCCAAATTTGCTTTGTTGCGACGAATGGTGTCCATGGATGAGTAAGAGTCTGCTAGATGTAACTCAATTGGTCTTGAGCCATCATTTGTGTCAAGTGCTGTCAATGATGTGAAAAGTCCAGTGATTGCTTTACTGAAAGCCTCGTCGTTGGCTTGTAGATCTCTCCATCTCTCAAAGCGAGCGCAAGCATTGTCGTCGTAATCCGGAAGACGTACGCTGAAATCAATACGTTTTAGTGCCGCACGGCGATGTCGATGTGGCGATTTGACGACAGCGAAATGGAAAAGATCTAGTTCATCCGAGGAGATGGAGAGGCGAGAGAAGGTATATTGCTCTATTGCGTATTGCCAAGTTCGAGAAATAGTCGCACAAGGGGCGAGTTGATGTTGTCTTTGTTCTTGTTTTTGTTGATCTTCGAGTGATGTGTCGAATAATGGTTGTGGCTTTCGACTTTGGTCGATTTTGAGGAGTGGAATGATTTTGGTCAAGATCTCCTGTGGTAGAGAGTCCATTATTCATCAACTCTGTTCCAGTACGTGAAGGAACTTTAAGAGTCTGAGTTGTGTTTTGAAGATATGCGTGTAGGAAATGTGTTTTTGACGGATGTGTCAGGCAGATCGTAATGTCCAAGTTCACAGGCTAAACTTCGCCAAGCATGACTCGACTCGCTGCAGGACTGATATTTTTGTCAATCTGACACCTGAGTACTGGTCTCTATACAGAATAGTGGGTTGGCTTAAGGTAAAGTCCGCAGCTAAAGATTTTGAGAGGGGAGATTCTGTGCATTCTCAAGAAAGTCTAGTACTTCTAACGCGGCTGCTCACCGCTGTTTGCTACATAACCGTTGTCTTTCAAATTGCTCCACAGACGATCCTTCTCTGCTTCTCAGATACCCCCTTTCCTGTTGCGAGACTTCCAGCTCAACACAAATGCTAGCTTTGACTGTGATTCTGCTGGGACCTTCTCCGTCTGATTAACGACTGTGTGTAGCTTCTTCGACATCTCTTCTTGTGCTTGAGATATATGCTGTATCTGATCTCTCAGACTAGCCATAGATAATTGCGTCAAGGCCAATCTATTCTCGAGACCTATCGCATGGAGGCGCAGTAGCCGGAGATCCTGTTGGGATCCGAGTAACTCGACCTCAAGTAAGACGTTCTTTTGGCGGAGCTTGACGACTTCTTGTCGAAGAGATGCATCATCTTCAGGCTGTGTCTCGGCATCGGAATCAGACAGAAGTGACGCATTGTCGTTGTCCAGGTCTGCGGCAGATGTGGGCTGTTCGTCTGTCTGCGGGCGAGAATCAAATGATATGCGCTGTCGATAGGGTTGCGTGTCGTGGAGAGACGAGCGCTGGCGTAAGGCTTGCGAGATTGTTCTGTCGAAGATCAATGCATGTTCAGGCTCAAACATGTGACCTCGGTGGTCTTGATCAACATCACGGAACGAGACACCAGATGCTACCTTGGAACCAGTTTTCGCACTGAGCGCATCCTTCAGCACGTCCAGAGCATTGTGAAGAGCTTGTTGAGTCCCCTCGTTGTGTCCGAAGTTGAAAGTTGGAGGTCCATCTGAATTGTGCGCTCCGAATTTTGGTAGGCGTAGTTGCTCGGACTGCTCTGCCAGCTTGTTGCTGTCAGCCCTGGTGGTGAATTTCGTGATCAGAGACTGTAGGCTTACCTTGCTTTCTGCATACTCTCGAAGAGTGGTGGCCAGTCGAGTTGTGAGATACTGCTTGCCGGAGACAAGCATACCATTCACCTTGACTCGCAGACGCTGTAACATCCTAACGTCTATGATTAGTCGCGACAATGAGCGCACGGCGGGAAAGCCTGCTAGGAGCTTGGAGCGTAGTCGCGGGATCGGTTTGCGTGTTGTTTGTCGGTCGCGTCAATTGGGCTCCTGTGTTTTCTGCGACGGAAAATTCGGCATATTGGCATCCATGTTGGTCGAGTGTAGGAAAACTTGCGGATTGCGTTCTGTCAATAATCCGAACGTGTGCAGACGACTGCTTCGAAGAAGATGTCAGGATGGTTCTTTGTGGACGTTGCTTCGACTGTCTCAGATGTTGTGCGTCCCGACAGGTACACGCACGACACGACTTAGCTCTTAAGAGTATCCTCTGCACCTCGACTCCAAATATTTAACTTGACGGACCGCGCGAACACCTAGGGCGTGTTATGTTCTCTCAAAATCGGCGTCGCCCCACTTACCTACCTCTATCTCTTGTCAACTCTTTACGCCGTTGTTTTCAACCACCAGATCTACCATGTCCAAATGCGAGCTGAGCTCATTCAGATCGGACTCGAGATGTTGCTGATAGTGATACCCGGCTGGAACTTTCTTGATGCCTTTACTCTGTCGCTTACTTGACGGCGTTTGCCCTGCTCAGACATGGCCTGACACACAAGCCACTGGATGTCCCCTACGTGTCGAGTTTTACTTCAGAAGCTGGAGCTAGACTTCGGATGTTCACTTCCAACAAGTCATGTATACGTCCGTGTCTTGCCTGGTGGACGCAATGCCATGACCCCCTCTCCAAGGCCCGGGTTTCAATTTCGCTTCTCCTTTGCGGTCAAGCAAGAACTCATCCAGCGAATGAAACAACTGTGCTGATGTTCAAAGATGCCGTCAAGACAAGATGGTGAGCATGACCAGAGTAGGTAAGTGCAAAAGATCTGTCCGCGTGACGTCAAAACGACGTTGGCCGGACTTCACCTCAAGCTCGCATAACCACTCTTCTATCGAAACATAAACGGCAATACATGACATACTTCATCAGACGCATTCTTGAGATTACTGCTTGAGATCCTCGAGGTCAATACAGCTGGTAAAAGGCCACCGCCACTTCACGAGATCAGGTCGTGAGTCGGCAGTTGCAAAGCATTTGCATGACACCAATAATTGGTTGACACTTATAAGAAACTAGCTACATTTCGAAGTGTTTCTGCAACTATCCTAGAACGACCAGCTTTTCTACGAGCACCTAACAAGAGCAGTCGATCGGAGGAGATATGGACCTACCATCGACAGGTATCTTCAAAGTTACTGTACCGTCCATAAGCCTGATCACAAACCCAAGTCCAGCATAAAGTTATGCTCCCAACGCCAAGCCAAATTCTATCACCAGGCTTCAGGCATAAACAAGGGTCCACAAACCGGAACAGAATTTTTCGACAAAACCAATCTCCACCACACCTCAACACTCTTTCTTCTCCACCTGTGATTTGCACACTTTGGGCAAAAGGATATTGATGAGAGTGGGATTTGAACCCACGCCCTTTCGGACCAGCGTATTGGAAGAACCTTAAGCTGGCGCCTTAGACCGCTCGGCCATCTCACCATTTGATGGAGAGTGGTCTGGCCAATATAAATATTATCCTACACAAAACATCATTTGCTTACGATAAGACTGCTCGAGTAAAGACCAAAGACATCAAGTTTGTCGGTGTCGAAACCTCGAAGTGGTCGATGAGGGTCTTCCTGTCGCGTCCAGACTTGCTGGCAGGCTGCTCAACGAGTAACCAAACGAGAAACTCAGCATCAGTACTCGTCATGCTTTCGGTGCTGGAGACGAGAAGTCCTGATGACTTGCCATCGCCATGGGTATGTCTGGAGTCACCGGAGGTCCAGTATGTGCGGAACGATGTAGAGTGACGAAATAAGACGAGTGGAAGGATGGCTCCATGCCAGCTTCGACGCTGTCTCATTGCTAGTCACTCTCTAGTGTCTACAACTGTATACATACAGCCTCTCTATCGGTTTTTGCGGTCGCGGTAGTACTGACCAGTGCCCACGCAACCATCCAGTCCTGATGTCAGCGTAGCTGACTTGATGCAATGGTTGGAAAGAACTGTCTTCCGACCCATGATATACTCGTCTTGGTGGGCATCCACGAACGTAAGGTGCGACACTGAACACAACCGTGGATGGAAAGCTCGAGAACCCAAAGTCCTGACTGGGACCCAACAAGTGGGAAGCAGAATGATGGCCACTCGATGGACAACTGAGACTCTATGCCAACCGCGTTTTCTTGAGTCTGCTTTATATATAGTTACATCGAGTCCTGTTGTAGCGATCGTCGTCAACGTATAGTATGATGGCGTCTTACGGTGGAGGAGAGTGTGGCTCTGACCACTGCTGTAAGCGGCGCCAGTCGCAGACGTATATATATATGTGTGTCGACCAAAACACATCATTGGTGTGAGGCACGAGCCGAGTGTGGCATAGAGCTCATGGTACTCCAGACCGATAGTTTGAGCCTTGAGTTGTGATGGCCGTTGCTGGTCTTGGGAGCCCAGACGTTCTGACTGCAAACAGCTCTGCCTCCTGAACTCATATACCCTCTATCATCATCATCCAGAGGCACAGACTCTGATCCTTCCAATTCTCGGAGATCAGCGATCTCGCGGGATTCTTTTACCTGTGATCCACAGCTGTCGGAGGACTTACCGTCGCCAGATAGACTGGAGGAAAGGAGACCGATCCAGCTGTCTGGTGGATCTGCTGCCGATGTGGAACTTCAATCCTCGTTTGTGACCGGGTAGATGGCTAGCTCTTCGACTCCTATATAGTAGCTTCTCGCCGTCTTTAACGTAGAGCAGAGCCATTGAGTCCTGAAGGAACTCCAGCAGGAAGATATTTTGAACATTTGCTCCGTCAGCTTTGTATCTCAACTCCCTAGCAACACAGGAGAGCAAGGAGACAGAGCGAAGACAAACAGCTTTCATCCTCAAACTGATTATAGGATCATTGTGGGGCGGTGGTAGTATCGACCTCGCTATAAATACAACGTACGGCACCGAAAAGAATCCATGAGAGGAGACAAGTCTCATGGTCGAAACAATGTAGGTGCGAGAACACCTAGTCTGCCTTGCACCATCAGAGGCTGGTTAGTACTGTAGCAAAGTGCCAAAGTCCAACATTGCTGGAATCATTCAGGACTCCGCGTAACTCTCGTATAAGCAGTCTTGTCGAAATTCCTTCTGCCTTTTCTTCTACTTCTTCTTCTTCTTCTTCTTCTTCTTCTTTCCCTGAAGTCGACACAAGACCCAGAAGCAAGAAGATAACGTTGCAGAAGTCGGACGAGATACCAAGCTGTAGCTGAGTCTGTCCGTATATAAGCCTTGTAGAGGCGACACACGTCCTCTCGGCCGTCGACGTAGACCCATACGAGATACAGTGGTATTGTCGTCGCTGATGTATTGTTGATTCAGCGGTAATTACGGCAGACGGAGATGCATGGGTGTCCTTGTCTCGAGGCACTAAACATGTTGTGGAAGACGGTACCACAAAGAAGATATGGTTCTTGCCTTGCAACACCTGCAACAAACGTTCTGGGAACCGATGTGCTTCCTTCTGGAGTACAAGCGCCCTCAGCAACTCAGCCATCTCAAACCATGCGCTCCCAACAACATAGGCGCGAGAGCTCGACCATGCCAGAGTGAAACGGCAGAGACCGATATAGACATCCGGGCCAAGTTTCTTACTCTTCGATTCCACATATATACCGCAGTCGTTCACCAGAATGAGGTTGATATTCGCCGTATCCTGAGTTTTGGCGAACTTTCCTATCACCCAGAAGCCATAAGTCCAGTATCTCTTGTGTATGAAGAGGTCTGGCCAGACTCGGGGGTGAACGGTGTATATCCTGGCGACAAAAGTGACGAAGATGCGTCTCGTGATTTTCATGCTTTCTGTGTTGAAGACGAACACGCCAGAAATTTTGCCATTGCCGTGAGCGCGATTGACCATACCAGCGTTCCAGTACGTGCGAGAAGACGCAGCCGTCATGGCGTAGTGTTCGTAGTCGCTCATCTGAACAGACTTGCAGCAATTTTTGAGAAACCAATTAGACAAACATACTGCGAATGTATATACAAGCTGAGATTAGGAAGCCTTAACCCTGTGTGGTGTTGAACGGCTAGCTCATATAATAGCCATCAGCTTCGTGCCAGAGAGAACAAGCCATGGTGTCTTGCTGTCCGAAGCCCTCGACGCAGGATCTGTAGAGATGATGTCGATGAGGCTCCATGAACAAATCGGAGTGTCCGATTTGGTTTCATGCTTCTTATATAGTATGCTCCAAGCTCTTTCTCACAATCAAGAGGACCAAAAAAGCGCTTGACGTCTCTCTCCGCAAAACCTCCGGGCGAGGTGATGTGGTTTGCGAGAGGAGGGCCGGAGAAGTCGGATTGTAGCGAGAGACCGAGATGAGGACACACCATCGACGGCGATATAGCTCGATAGTGAAGAGTCCCAAGGCCAAGGTCATCGCAGTATGCTTCCTGAACGTCGTGGTGGGTCCAGCCAAAGATGAGGAAGCCGTGGGCACAGATCAAGACCTTCTGGAGATCCAGTGGATGTGCGGCAAAAAGTTCATACCTGTCGAGAGTATTTGCTGAACGAGTTCACCCAGTCCACAACGAGGTTGCCGCTCAGAGCATCAACTTGAAACTGGAATATATATACAGGAACAAAAAGTGGTCCTTCGAATGAATAATGATCGTCAAAGCGAGAATGACAGAGAAGGAGAGCAAACGAAAGAGTCAGCACTTTTGTAGACTGCAAAGTGACTACACTCACTCTTCCAAGAGATGGCCACACATTACCGATCTTTTCGACAAACAGATTCACAGATTCATGTTGGCACTACAGACCCGAGTGACCAAGTCAATTCCTCTTTGGTGTTGTTGAAACCGGTTCCTGTGATTCGGAAGAACAAGGCTCTGTCATTCGAGGCTCGGTGTATGCAGTGCCCCAAGCACTTGCTTGCCTGTGGCTTTGAGAGTTACACGTCAGTAAGGCCGGACCAATAGATATGGTCACAGGTATTGCTCGTTGGTTTGTACCTTGATTTGTTAGCCTTCCTGCTCTCTCTTGTGCAGACCATGAACAAAGGACAACATTCGTGACTGGCCGCCAATGGCTCGCAATGCAAGCGTCGTCACAATGTTGCGATTCTATGTCATCAGCAGCAACCACCTCACTATTTCGCGACAATGCCTGTTCTTGATGGTTCCCACGTCACAAGGTAACGGAGTCACTAGCAGGGGTTGGGTGGCGGGATTGTATCAGCGATTGGTTGAGTAACCATCCTGCCATGAATTAGAGCAGCTTTTCTACCTAGACCCGAGAGCAATGCCAGCCTATGGGCTCTCCTTCTCATATTCGAGGGGTCGTCCAGCAGGCTTTCACTCCCCCCTCTTTTTCAACTGTTAACAAAGGTCTGACAGCACTTCTGCACTCGGTGTCTTCCTCGAGATAAATCAAGCTGCTGGGCGTGGACTCCGGAGAGCAGAACGAATCAAGTCGCTCAAGGCAGACCTTCGGCCCTGCAGCGTTCAATGATCTGACAGGGGACTTGTGAGCACGATTTTGTAAGACAAGGCTAGGTGCCGACCAACTTTCTTACCGTTCGTACGAGCGGTGACTTCCGAGACGTGATAATCGCAACGTTTAGTATATTTCCAGTCCTTACGGGTCATACGTTGGCTTTGGTAGCTGGATTCGTGGGTGGTAGCTCTGTAAAGGCGCTTGACGAGATCTTGGACGAACTCGAAGTGAAAGGCGTCATCGAAGCGAGCTTGGCCATCGATGAGAGCCCCGACGTTGTCGTGAGAGAGGACAATCATGTCGGTAACGAGTCTGCGAGGAGTGGCACCGAATGGAGTGCGATCTTAGATCTTGTCGATGGTACTAGCGCAAGGAAATGCGAACTGGTTATGGAACAGATTTATGATCTCGTTGACGGCAACATTCTGGAAGCGGAATGCCATACCTGTTGCCGAAGATGTATGCCTCAGCCATGATATCTAAGTAGCCCCAGGGGTCAAGAGAGGGATTGTCAGAGCCGGCACCATAGCCGCCGACTCTGTGGTCAGTGATCCAGCGAAGGAATCTATGGTTGCACTTGTGGTCAGTCGCTGCATCGTTTGTGGCTATGTCTCCACTTACTCGCGAACCACATTAGGTGAGTCCTAAGGCATGCGCACAGTGTTGTCCGTAGATTCACTGTAGCAACTTCACTTGATGGCGTCAGCAAAGAAGGCGGAGTGGAAGGCCAGAACCTCGTGGAACAAAGTGAAGTGTGCCTCATCGCTGCCGACAATGAGTGTCATCAACTTGTCTTTCATGTCAGAGCAAGTGGCAGCTTGGAGAAGGATGTTGCTGGAGCCATGGTAGTCGTGGTAAGTGATTGCTGCCTTCGACTAGATGAAGTGGTTGAGGCAGATGCAATGCAGCTGGTGTGAGCGAGAGACGGTTTGCGACAGCGTGTTGATCAAGGAGTTGCGATGCTTGCGAGTTCAGATCGCTGGAGTGGAAGGGAAGGCACGTCCTGGCGACTTTGTTGACGTCCTGAACTTTCACTTGCTGCAAATCAAAATGCGACGCTTCGGACATGTGCATCTGACAGGAGAGAACCAGGTGTACGCCTGCAAGCAATGGCGTTCATACCGAATCTACCCTTCCTCATATCCTGAGATGCTTCACTTCCTGTTCAGAATCTCTTGACAACCCTCTTGATGAAGACGACAACGAAAACTATGCAATACATTCATACTACGCTTACAAACAGCAAACGCCTCGGATATGCTGAAACGATGGATAGAGAGACATTGACTCCTGAACTCCACAAAAGAAGGGTATCTTGTTTCCCCTTGCTAAACCACACAGATTGTAAGAGAAGACGAACCTTGACCAAATGAGGGAACTCCTTCATGCCGCCTCTTCGGCGTCATCCAGAACCCGTTCTCTCGCCTCTCGAATCTCGCTGTTGGCGATACTAACTTCGGAAGTGCTACTGTTGTTGCGACTTAGGGCCGCTGGCCGCTTAGGTGGCCTTCCTATGACGGTTGGAGAGTCTGAGCGAGGACGGCTGTGTGCTTTTGCCGAGCCTTGACTGTTCCAGGTCTGGTGTGATTGAGCATGTAACATCTGCTGTGATGACGAGGGCTGCGAGGGAGGGAACTTCCCACCATTACCGGGACTGCCACCCATAAGCATCAAGGCGTCCATAGCGTCTTGCTCGGCCTGCTGGGTCGGCATCGTCGAGCGTACTTGCGCTGGTCGAGACTTTGGTGTTGAGGGGACTTGAGCAGGCGGAGATGAGGCTGACGGACGCCTGTAGATGGCGCTGTTCTGCGAAGAGCCATTGACGGCTGTGCTCGAATCTGGCAGGGACCAGGACACCATGCCGGCTCCGGAGCGTCGTTTTGAGGGTGGTGAGCGGATGTCTATCGGCGCACTGGACGATGGCGGTGAAGCAGCCATACGTGGGTGCAAGGCTGCAGCCAACTTCTCGACCTCGTTGATGTTGCGATGCTCCCAGCCATGTTGTACTTTGACCATGGCATACGCGAGTCGCGTTTTGAGCGCAGCAGCAGCCTGATACGTCGCGTCAGTGGGGCTCTCCCTCAAGGTACTGCGCGAACTCACCTCGCCGGCCTTGCTACCAGACGAGCTCACGCTCTCGGCGCGTGGCCTTTGATCGGCGGGAGTGTCGACAACTTTGAGCAGGCCACTTGCTGTTCTCTTGTGTCTCGTTGGACTGTTCAAAGAGTCCGTCTGGGATTGCGAGCTGTCTTCTGGAGTGCGCACTTGGCTACTCGACTGCGACGCGTCGTTCTGGTCATTGTCCTTCGGCACAACCGGCGATACCGGTTGAGATGGCTCAGTACCGACAAGATCGATACTCGAGGTATGGGCTTCGCTCTGAGCAGACCGAGACTCCTTCCACTGTGTATGCGATTGGTGATTGATGTCCTGGTTGACTGATGGTGGCGGTAGCATTCGCGTCGCGGGGTTTACGGCGGCCGAGGCGGATGGGCCTGACGGATGCATCTCGAAGTCTTTACCCACTCCAGGCACTGGTATACTCAAATCTGGCCTCGAAGATGCGGCCAGTGTCTCCATGGCTCTGTGTAGAAATGATTCGGTTGTCGCGACTTGGAGAGCACAGATATCAATTCAACATTGTCGCGGTGATGCAACTATTCAGACGACGCGACTGCTCCACTTCCCACTCACCACGCGTTGCGCACCGACCATGCAACCGTTGAGACCGCCCGGATCCCGAAGGGACCCTGCCTATCTTGCCAACCTTCTTGAACACCAGGAGACGGAGTAGACTCCAGCATCGTAACGTGTGGATACCTCACAGTCACTGTTGCCTCTACGCTACAACTCACTGATCAAGCAGGAGATGCGGACTTAGCTTATACAAAATCTCAATGTACTTGCATCAAGGTGCCACCTTGGTAATCTGGCTTTCTTGCACTTGGCAGCACTCAAACCAGCGACGTATTCGCCTAGTGACCACATATCTTGGCACTGGATGCAACCACAAGAGTCGACGAGAATCGAACTTGATTTATAGACTTGCAAGCTATTGCAACAGGCTGCCATTATCCGGGGGCACTCTTTCGTCTGTGTGTGTGCTAACCTCTGTCACATCTATCTCCAGATCAAGACATGATGAATCTGGGAAAGCTAGCCTCTCCGCTGATGTCTCTCCGTAACGCGATTCCTACTTTGTGTGACGACTGTAACAGCTGAGCAACCATGAGCATTTTGGTCACAAGGGAATGTCTGCCCATTCCCGAGATCAACCCCGATAGCCCGGACGACAAATCTCACAACCACTGCATTTACCCATCACACATCTGTCCCACTCTGGCAAGTCAAGACAGTAATGGCCAGCCTTGTCTCTCTCAATACTCTGATCATGTCCCGCCGGAAGCCAGAGCTGACGCTGTCTTCTCTCGAGAGGATATCCGGCACATGGTATGGGTTCATAGCCCTCCGGACATTCTGCATGCCATGCCGGCGCTGGAGAGAGTTTCTCGCCGAGAGTGACAGGCCAGGGTGTATTTTCATTGTACTCTTTGAGTTGTTGAGCAAGATCCCGTTCGTAGGCGGTGGAGAATATTATCGGATCCAGATTTGGTGGTGGAGGCTTTTGTTGTTCTGGTGTTTCTGGAGGTGATATTGGTTCGTGTGGTGCAGGTTCGAAGATTGGAAACTCAGGCAAGTCGACGGGAATCACAGGCGAAGCTTGATTGGAGTCTTGACCTTTGTTCTCTGGGTTGTTTTGTGATTCCTTGTTCGGTTCATCAACAACCTCTTTGTCGATACCACCATCTAATCTCAGAGTTTCTGAACCTCCTCCCGGATACTCGACGATCCATGTGAAATCCAAGTCCTCTCCTGGAGATTCGGGAGGGCCAGATTCCATGATGCGGCCTCCTATATCAGGGCCAGGATATTCTCCTGCTCCTCCACCCGCGTCACCACCTCTCACCTCTGCTGGCGCTGATTGTTCGGGATCAACAGTGGGATCATCAGGCGGTCCAGTAACGCCATTTCTCAAATCTCTGAGGAAATCGCTTAGAGATTGAGATTGTTCGTAGACTGTAAGTGGATGAGCCGCCCATGCTGGATTGGGACAAGAAGGTGTGAAGCCGGGAGGAGGATCGAAGATGCGAGTTTTTGGGTACGGAGTACGGCCGCGGCATTTATTAGTCTGTTTGTTTGACTTTGGCATTTGGATCTCCTCCTTGACAGTGTTGATAGGTTTAGATGCTTGGTATAGCGGTAGATGGTGTGAAAGAGAGATAGAGAGAGTATAGGAAGGAGATGTAGCAAGTAGCTAGGCAGAGTAGAGCAGGTGCGCGAAGACATTGCTGGTGTTGGATGTCTTGGTGGGATGTGAGATGTTGCAACACTTCTATTGTAGTTTAGGCGTGGTACTGTCTCGCGCAGAAAGAAAGCTAATGGGTGTCGTATTGCGGCTGCGATATCTCATCGACTCTGATATGAGCGTTGGCATCGTTTAAACTTCCCATATGCCTGACGGTGTAATTTTCAGAGCGGTCGAATATGCCATACATACATGCAAATTCTTGAACGCTTCCGAAGTGCACTGGTCGGTTGTTCTCTGGGATGATGGGAGCTGTCAGGAGAGCGTTGCGCAGAATCACAACCCTCTGCATTTTGATATGTCTTCTTACTCGTCGCCAAACACAAAACTCCTCCAGTTGTGCGCCAACTGCTTGACACCCTCTTCCAGCCCCCACCCCTTGATCTCACATATCTTCCTCACAATCTCCTCAAGATACCCATCCATCCTCTCACCAGCAGCATCCAAATCACTCTCAATCAAGATCTTGTCATCCGGAACAGTCTTGACAGCTTCCTCTGATTTCGACACGCCTGCGTGAGAGAAATTGACAACAGAGGAGAAGGAGAAGAAGATTTGCGCAGGGATGCGAGGGTCGAGGTATTGTTTTATTGTTTCTGGGGGACCGGAGTAGGAATGAAGGCATATGCGTGGGGCGTAAGGTGTTGACTTTGGTTGACCTTGGCCTTCTGTCATATATTCGTCTCGAGCAGAGGTAGGGGTCTGGCTGGCGGCTTCTTGCTTTTTTCTTTCACGCTTGCTGAGCACTATTCGTTCGTGGCCTTTCCATGTTTCTTGCAAGGTATTGAAGACGACGCCGTGAGCTTGTACGCCATGCACAGAGGTCGCGCGACCTAGTTCTCCTGCCAGATGTAATTGGGCGAGCAAGACTTTCTTTTGATGATCCATGGAGACGCGGTAAGGAGATAATTGTCTACCCTCACGACCTCCTGGCGTCAAGGCTTCGTCTCTTTCGGTCTTTTGGTCTGGTAACCGGGCTTCTGGGATACGGAACTGCTTGTCCAGTCCGACCTCACCGATCAGAGAAAGAGGATATTTCTCGAGGTATTGTCTTGTCTCGGCGAGGAAGACAGAGAGAGGGCGTGGGTCGGGTAGGCGAAGGAGAAAGTCGCGGTCAGTGGGCCTGGGCGTCAAGGCTGCTTGGTAGTGTTCGACTTTCTGGTCAGATGTGAGAGTGGTGGTGGCAGGGTAGATTGCTTCGTCGAACAATTGGTGAGAGAACCATGGATGCCAGCCAAAACAAGGTATCACTTTCTGCTTAGAACTGTATTCTTGTTAGCCTCGGTCTGGTACAGACGACGAACAGCAAAAGGCTTGAACAGGGCGGAAGTGTACCTTGACTACAGTACCTACCTCCAGTCTCGTTGCGACTTGCTCTTGACACCAAGTTTTTCAGCAGTCTCTGCTACCAATTCCTGGTCTTGAGCACGAGTTGCCATGATGGTCAATATTTTGGCACGCATGTCCGGGATCGAGGAGATGTTGGCGACGGTATCTGTCGGATGACAGTGTGCGTCAAAGACACCGAGGTCCCATGGGAACTGCTCCTTCGATTCGTTTCCCATCTTGATAATTTGATGCTGAGTTGGGATGGAGATCGAAGGCGTCTGCTCTCTTGTCGCAATATTGCTTTCTCCAGCCATGACGTACGTGATGCACTTTAGCCTCAAGGAGCCGCATCTTCTTTGTGTCGCAAGCCAATCTCTGCGCGTGACGGATTGCACAACATTTTCTTCACATCTCTGGTTTACGAAGGAAACACCAGATCAGAGAGTCGCATGAATATCAAGTCAGAATATGTCGGGTCATAGAAGCTCTTGTCAAGCTCAAACAAAACACTTTGCCGTCGATGATTCGGCAGATGCGACCGAAAGCGCCGGTCAAGGGGTACATACGATTTACGACGGTTAGGGACGCGGCGGAGATTACATTCTGGCAAATCGGAAGGCGCAGATCCGAGGGGTTCAACGCGAAAATGGTTCGATTTTGTTGATGCGTACAATTTAAACAGTGCTGGTCTTGGGTGGTGGCCATCCTATCGCGACAAGTGCCATTGTAATCGACTTTTGCATTTCGGGAGGCGTGTGAGATCCATTCCTTCTTTTCCTCTCTTGAGCGGCTCTTTTCTTTCAGAGGAGATTCGTCTTTACTTTCACTTCATACCCTTTTTTCTGTTCTGTCTTTCTTTCTGGGTGTTCAGAGTGGGATACAGCGGCGGACATCTCACTATGTCTGTCATGAACGCGAGCTATGCCTCGCCCGTCGCAGATGCGGCCTTTGCAAAGATCAGTGCCATTGCGCCTGAGGGTTTCTTACAGCGTCTGCTTGCAGGAGTAAATGCATGGACTGTTGTCTTTACTCTGCTCATTGGCGCTGTTCTGTACGATCAGGGTGAGTTTGAGCGATGCCGAGTCTACCCAATTCGCGAACAAAAGACTGACTCAATGGCAGCATCATACCAATACAACAAGGGCTCCATCGTGGGTCCCATGTTCAAGATTCCCTTCATTGGACCTTTCCTCGAATCCGTCAACCCAAAGTTCCAAACGTACAACGCAAAATGGCAGAGTGGCCCTCTGAGTTGCGTTTCCGTCTTCCACAAGTTTGTCGTTATCGCATCGACACGCGACATGGCCCGCAAGGTCTTCAACTCTCCTACCTACGTCAAGCCATGCGTCGTCGACATTGCCTACAAACTCCTTCGCCCGACCAACTGGGTCTTCCTTGACGGCAAGGCTCACGTCGACTACCGCAAGGGTCTCAACGGTCTCTTCACCCGCCAGGCTCTCGAGCTTTACTTGCCCAACCAAGAGGAGGTCTACGATACATACTTTGCCCGTTTCCTCAAGGTCTCCAAGGATGCTGGTAACAAGCCCGTCGCATTCATGCCCGAGTTCAGAGAACTTCTCTGCGCCGTCTCCTGCAGAACCTTTGTTGGTCACTACATCAGTGACGAGGCCATCAAGAAGATTGCCGACGACTACTACATGATCACCGCTGCTCTTGAGCTTGTCAACTTCCCTATCATTCTCCCCTTCACAAAGACTTGGTACGGAAAGAAGGCTGCTGACATGGTCCTTGACGAGTTCGCCAAGTGTGCCGCAAAGGCAAAGGTTCGCATGAGTGTTGGTGGTGAGATCCACAGCATTCTCGATGCCTGGGTTAAGCAGATGATCGATTCCGAAGCCTACCGCGCAAAGTTGGCCAGTGGTGAAAAGGTGGACGACTCCGAGAAGCCTCCATTCCTTATTCGCACTTTCACCGACTTTGAGATTGCCCAGACTCTGTTTACTTTCCTCTTCGCTTCTCAGGATGCCACCAGCAGTGCCGCCACTTGGCTCTTCCAGATTGTTGCCGACCGTCCCGATGTTATGGAGAAGCTGCGCGAGGAGAACATGCGTGTTCGCCATGGCGACAAGAATGCTCGTCTGACTATGGATATGCTCGAGTCAATGCCTTACACCAGAGCAGTCGTCAAGGAGCAGCTCCGTTACCGCCCTCCCGTCCTCATGGTCCCCTACCTCGTCAAGAAGGACTTCCCCGTCACCGAGACATACACGGCGAAGAAGGGATCTATGATCATCCCCACAACATATCCCGCCCTTCACGACCCTGTAGCATACCCTGAGCCCGAGACTTTCGACCCAGAGAGATGGATCAGCGGTGACGCCGAGAAGCACCCCAAGAACTGGCTTGTATTCGGCACAGGACCCCATTACTGTCTCGGACAGACCTATGCTACGCTCAATCTGATGGCCATGATTGGCAAAGCTTGTGTTGAGATGGACTGGAAGCACGAAATTACGCCCTTGTCAGAGGAGATTAAGATTTTCGCCACGATTTTCCCTCAGGTATGTGCTGAAACTGGTCTTCGTACAACTGAACTCATACTAACAACACTTCGCAGGATGACTGTCTTCTTACGTTCAGCAAGAGAAATTAGAGAGGAGATTACAATTCTGTGCTTGTTGAAGAGAAAATTACATGCAAAGACAGCAAATGTGATTAGAAGTGCAGGAATATTCCCCCTACTTAATTGTTCAAATGATAGACTAATTATTTTAATGTTCTTGAGACGATCCATCTACCGCTTGTACTCTGATTTAGAACATGTTCCTTGTGACATTGTACTTCGTGTCACAAGATGCTTGAGAGGGCCTGGCTACGAAATGACCATGATCGGAGACGTCGGTTTGCGGAGAACAAGGCCGACGCTCTAGCGATGATGCAACCTTCAAGTGTCCTCCAACATTAACCCATCCTTCTGTAAACACGCCACATCCACACCCACCATGTCGCTAAAAAGAGTCTCCACCATCGCTGCAAGAGCAGCAATCGCATCAACACGACCTGCCAGAATACAAGCCTCAGCACTACTCCAATCGACACCAAAGCTTCAAAGCACAATCCGACGACCAGCAACATGTCTCGTCCACCAACGCTTCCACAGCACCGAAGGCAAACCCGACACCAAAATCTGGGACTTTGAATCCATAAAGCAACTCTCCGAACAACCAGACTCTTCACGTGTACTCATCGGTATGCTCCTCCTCCCCCTCCTCCTCCTCCTTCACACCTATCCTATCTCCATTAATCTCACTAACACCCTCTGCTCCTCCCACAGACGTCCGCGAACCCGCCGAATACAGCGCAGGCTTCATCCCCTCTGCCATAAACATCCCCGTCGGCTCCGCCCCCGACGCGCTATTTATGCCCGCCCATGAATTCGAAGATAAATTCGGGTTTGAGAAGCCGACGGCCGATCAAGAATTGGTGTTTTATTGCAAGGCTGGGGTTAGGAGTTCTGCCGCTGCGGGGTTGGCGAGGCAGGTTGGCTATCAGAAGGTTGGTGAGTATCGGGGGAGTTGGTTGGAGTGGAGTAAGAAGGGTGGGAGGGCCGAGTATGATTAGATGGGAGGGTTGTATGAAGTAGATGAGTGTGGGGAGGGAGGGGGGGGGAGGTCCACGAGAAGGGACTTAGATATTTGTGATCAAGGCTTCTCCGTGAGGGATACATAGCCAACCATCTGGGTCTTGAGACCATTCTCTCCACCCTTCGCGAATCTCTGCCATTTCTTGTTTCGTGGCAAGACCTTGCTCAACGACTTTGACTGCGAATTCGCTCTCCACCACCCTCTCCATCCACGCCTCCCCAAAAGCCACCCTCTCAACCTCGGAGCTGTAACACCAAGTCCCTGCACTACACCTCACCTCTTCCTCCTTCACCCCAGCACTTCTAACCCATTTCCTCAATTTCCTACCAGCACTCGTATCCCCTGTATTGCCCTCCCCCTCCATGGTCTTTGCAAAGAGTTCCCAATTCTTCTTCAAAAGAGGTAGTTCAGGATAAAAGAATATGGCCCTTGTATCTGCTTCTCTGAGCGCCAACACACCTCCCTTTTTGGTAACTCTGAGGAGTTCGGCAATTGCTTTGATGGGATCGGGTAAGTGACAGAGTAATTGTTGTGCATGTACTACATCGAAGATTTCATCTGCGAAAGGCAGGGTATATACATTTCCCTCCTTGAACTCGATGTTGCTCACGTTTTGCTGTTTTGCTGCGTGACGCCCTGGTTCAAGAGCTTTGGACGAAAGATCTAATGCTGTGATTCTTGCGGCAGGGAAAAGGAGGGCGAGAGAGATTGTTATACTCGCTGGACCACAGCCGGCGTCGAGGAGGGAAAAAGATGCGTGGGTTGTGGATAAGGTGGAGAGGGTTGGGAGGAGGAATTGGCAGGAGTTTTGGGCTGTGCGGGCGTTGTGTGTTGCTAGCACTGAAGGGTGGTAGCCGTTTATGTAGGTGGTTTCTGGCATTGTTGATGGTTTGATGGGATATCAATGGAAGAGCTGGTGTTTAGGTAGAGATAATTCATGGAAGTTCGGAGAGATGGATGGCGGGGTTGATGGAGGGGCTGCAGGATGAGGTCTGTATAAGTGCCTTCCCGGAACCTGCAGACGTCGTCGACTGTTGCGTGGCAAGACAACTTATTAGATCTCGCGTGCCTAGAACGGAATTTCACGACGACTGATCTCTGGTGATGTATGGACTTAGGCACTGTATGATTTACAGCTACATGTGGCAAGCTCTAGCAGACGTAATGGAGTCATGTGAAGTTTCGCGAATTTCGACGCATGCGGCCGCGGTTCTATCGCTTCTCACTTTTATGCCTCGGAAAGAGGAGGCTGAGATCTTGACTTGATATTTTGATACCCGTCTCTGTCAAGAACATATCACCATCCTCTTTCGGGACAAATAAGTGAGAAAGCTTGATATCGGACGACAAGCACTCGCGGAATACGACCGCACACCACCTGTTAGACCCTGCGAAACTTATGCGATTGACAGGCTGCAGATAGTCGTTCCAATCGTACAGCAAGTCACAGTCATAGATTAGACATCGATTGTCATCTGGACCCGTGGTCAGCCGTGCAGCCCATATGCTGTCGCGTGTGTAGCCCCGCTGATTAGCGGGCAATCCCCAGTTCGGAATCTCCATGCGATGCTATCTTATCGACCTTCCGGCTAAACATGCTTGATTGGGTATAGCGTGATATCGTCCACCACCGCCGCTGACAGCTCTGATGAATATAAGTAGAGGTGTCTTTCCGTGGTGATTGTGTCTTGCTTCTCATCAGATCATACCAACTTTCTTACCACTTTTGCCAATCATGGCTCCCTCTCATCCTCTTTCCAACCTTTCGATTGAGGAAACCAACCTCGCAAGAGAGATTGTCCTCGCTCACCATGACAAGGAGGTTATTGATTTTAGAGAGATCTTCCTTCAAGAGCCTACCAAGGCTGAGTTGGTCAAATACCTTCAGCTTGAGCACTCTGGTCGCTTGTCACCTACTTCTCCTCGTCCTGCTCGTCTTGCCAAGATCCAGTACGATGTCATCGGCCAGGACAGAATCCCGTCCTACCACGAGTCTGTAGTGGACATCGACTCTAAGAAGAGACTCAAGCATGAGATTATTGGCAAAGAGCATCAAGCTGCCTTGACTTTGTGAGTCTCCCAGAGACTAGTGCACCGAGTCATTTCTAACTCTCAACAGGAAAGAGTTCGAGGTTCTTGTTAGCGTATGCAAGGCCGACCCAAAGTTCAAGCAAGCCATTGCAGAACTCAACATTCCCGACTACTATGAGATTGTTGTTGAACCCTGGCCATATGGTGGTCTGGATGAAGAAGATGAGAGCCGCCGTTACTTCCAAGGTCTCATCTTCGCCCAAGACACTCGCAACGGTAATGCCGACTCAAACTTCTACGCCTTCCCTCTTCCTCTTATTCCTGTTCTGGACATTCATAAAAAGGAGATCTGCCGTATCGACAAACTTGCTACTGGTGGAAAGGGAGATGGACTTACGGCAAAGACGCACGGCGAAAAGATCCTTGAGCACTGCACTACTTCTGAATATGTTCCTGAGCTTCTGCCTCAGGGTCTCAGACAGGATCTCAAGACATTGAACGTTCTGCAGCCTGACGGTCCTTCATTCAAAGTCAGCGACGAGTCTCTGGTAGAGTGGCAGAAGTGGCGTTTCCGTGTGTCATTCAACCCTCGTGAGGGCGCTGTCATCCATGACGTACACTACGATGGCAGAAGTGTCGCCTACAGACTCTCTGTCAGCGAGATGACTGTTCCTTATGCAGATGCGCGCCCACCATTCCAGAGAAAGCAGGCCTTTGACTTTGGCGATGGTGGTGCTGGAAACTGTGCAAACAATCTATCACTCGGCTGTGACTGTCTGGGTGTCATCAAGTACTTTGATGCTGTTATCGTCAATGATGATGGTAAGGGCAAGGTCCATCCCAATGTCATTTGCCTTCACGAGCAAGACGAAGGTATCGGCTGGAAGCACACCAACTGGCGCACTGGCCGTGCCGTCGTTACTCGCAGTCGCGTCCTGGTAGTCCAGTTCATCATCACCCTCGCCAACTACGAATACGTCTTTGCCTACAAGTTCGATCAATCAGGCGGTATCGATATCGAGACACGAGCAACGGGTATCGTCAGTTGTGTCAACATCGACCCCGGCAAAACCAGCAACTACGGCAATGTCGTCAACCCTGGTGTCCTTGCCCAAAATCATCAACACATCTTTGCCTTCCGCATCGATCCAGCAATCGACGGCCACAACAACACAGTCATCACCGAAGAATCCCACGCCGTGCCCATGAACCCCAAGACCAACCCTCGCGGTAACTACTACGAAGTACGCAAAACACCCATCGAGACCGCTGCCTGGGCAGATGCCGAACCACGTCTCAACCGCGTCTTCAAGATCGTAAACGAGAATATCAAAAACCCCGTTTCTGGAAACAGTGTAGGCTACAAACTCGTTCCTCCAGCTACACAACTTCTTCTCGCCGATCCAGCATCCGTGCAGGCTCAACGCGCTCAATTCGCTCAACACCACGTGTGGGTCACAAAATACAAAGACGATGAACTCTTCGCCGGTGGCCGCTTCACCATGCAATCTCGCAAGGAAGTGGATGGAGTGGCTGATGCTGTTGCTCGTGGCGATGGCACCAGAGATACCGATGTAGTGGTCTGGAGTGTGTTTGGCCTCACCCACAACCCCAGAGTGGAGGATTGGCCAGTCATGCCTTGTGAGATTCATCAAGTGCATTTGCGACCTACGGATTTCTTTACCAGTAATCCTAGTATCGATGTGCCGCCGAGTAGCAACAAGGCTAGTGTAGAGGTGCCGAAGAGCTGTTGTCAACCTGCTCAGGGCAAGCTTTGAGAAGTTGCTTACTTTGAGGGCAAGGAGGGGGGGGGGGGGGGGGGGGGGGGGGGGGGGGGGGGGGGGGGTCAAGTTGCGGGTACGACCCTGGGGCGATCCTACTGGCGACGGTGCGCGGTTCACCGCTGGCTAGAATTGGCCTTGGGCTTGATGATGCGGTTGGTTGGGCTGCGGTTGCGGGGGGGGGGGGGGGGGGGGGGGGGGGAAGAAGAAGGAGAAAAAAGGGATGTAGTTCTCCCGGATGATTTGTAACGACTTTGACACACTAAAGGGATGTAAGTCTCCCAACACCACGTCAAGAACATAACGACTTTTTATAGATCTGGATAGCGAAGTCTCCATTGTAACGACTTAGATACCTCTTTGTTTGTAGTTTTTGAAAAATTCATGCATACTTTCTGACAATATCTCGGTTGTTCTTTTCTCTCTGTTTAGCTGTAGCTTATTCTAATCTCCTGTATTTAAGAAGTCATTGGCATGTCTGGTAGACGTCTTCATTTTCGAGAAGTACCAGAGATGATCGAACGATGGGTGCAAGATGTCAACGGACACCTTCACGTCATCATCATGACTATAATTGTCGTGGTCTGTTAGTGACAACGTTGGCCACAATTACACCATGGCGACTGACCCAAGCGAGCCGATTTGTTTCGCAGCCTAGTGGACGTGCATCTAGACCTGACTACGCACACTCGTCAGATAGATGTGAAAGCGATTTACACACCAAGACGTGGGTTGGATCTGAGTGTTTTCGAAGGGGCACAGGAGTAAAACGCTCGTGGTCCACCGCACCACGAAAACGCAAACCATAGTGTCAACAGGAGGATAGTCATCTCGACCACCAAAACTACCCTGCATATGTACAGAGAACATGGAGACGGAGGAGAAGGTCATCCACAGTCAAAGTCTAGTCCTCTCGAATGGAGATCGACAGTAAAGACGTGTGCGAAGAACCATTGCCAGGGTGCACCCAGAAGCATATTAGACATTGTATCATTTTGACCATCACTGAGGCATCAAATTGTCATGTACAATCGAACGGGCGGCCAAGTCAATACCATCTCACATGCACATCAAGAACTGAACAAGGATAGCCGGCTTTGCGCAACGGATGTTGAAATCTTTTGGGATCTCGCTTCATCGCCTCACCAATGCTTAACCACATACAACACGCCTTCCTGCTCTAATTTATGCAACAAACCCTGCACCTTACTCCTCTTCAAACCCTCTCTAGCCGCAATTTCTTCCAAAGCCCTCTTGCCGTCAAAATGCTTGACCAGCACACCCCAATACTCTTTCACTTCTGCATCTTTCAAATGAGCTCCTATCCACGTCAACCAGCGACTCTCCTCCGTACTAGCTTTATGCGGCGAAAGCACAAGAGTCTGCGTATAAGAGCCAGGATCCGTCGAAGGTAGGGAAGCAGAGTTAACGGTAGAAGTATCGTCTTCGTGGGCAGATGCACTGCTATTGGAGAGGATAGAAGGAGGTGATGGGGCTAATTCCCTGCTTGCATGCAGATTGGGTGATGTATCTGCTCGATGAGCAAGAGGTGGCGGTATAGCAGTTCTTCCGCTTCCGGAACTTCCTGCGTCGCTGGCTGAGCGACTCAGGGTTGGGGATAGTAATGCTGAACTTGCAATGCTCAATCTACTACTCGCGACCTCTGACACATTGTCAAAGTCTTCAGAGATACGGCGGTCTGCTCCTGCTCCCCCACTCCCCTGTGAAGCTTTTGAATTCATCATCGCAGTAGTTTTGAGCAGAGCAGAAGAAGCAGTCCCCCGTTTCGCCATCCTCTCTTCAAAGTCCGCGCGTAGCTTAACGGCAACAGCAGCCTTGACATCCACAGAAACTTTCACCCACGCAAAAGTTCTGAGTTGTGTAACCCAAGCTCCTCGTAACAGCCAAGCCAAAATATCCATGTAAGCAGGTTTATGATCTTTACTCGGGATCAAAAAGCCATATTGGATAGGCTTACCACTCAAATTCTGAAGCATCTTGGGTAAAGAAGGTAAGGCTGAGAATTGTTGAGCGTATAACGGCATTGCTTTTTGGAGCTGTCGCATATCGCAGTTAGGAGAGACGATATAGGTGTCTCTAATGTGGAGAGGAGGGATAGCTCGAGCGCGACGCCAGTAGATGAGATGACGAGCGAGGAACTGGACATCTGAGAGGGGGAGGGAGAGTGCGGTGGAGAGTTTTGCGAGGGACTTTGTGGGTGTGAGTTCGCGGATGAAGAAGGCGAGGGGGGAAGCTGGATCCTTGCCATCGCCTTCTACCTCTTTGAGCATGACGTCTTTGTCTTCTAGTAAGAGGAGAGCTGCATGGGGAGAGAGGGATAGTCCGTCATCTGATAGACTATTCGCAGTTGTGAGCCAAAGACCAGGCAACTGTGGCTCCGTAGGCGTAGGCACATATGGTGTTGATATAGCCTGAGGGATTTGAATGCTCGCTTCAAAGCCATCGCCGATACTGATATGCGCAATTTTGTTGCTCGCAATATTGGTGTACAAGATGGCAATCGCTTTTGCCAGTGGACAGCTAGATATCATAGTCGGCCACAAGACAGCCATTGGCGTTTTGTTTTCCTTTGCCTGTGCTTTCAATGACTGCATCTTTTTGGCATCTTGGTAGATTGCATTTGAGCGTGCTTGTTCGTAGCGCAAGGCTTTTGCAAACTTCTTGACAACATTGTCGTACATTTCTTGCAATCGGATGTGGTATTCGAGAGCAGGCGGATTCATGACAAAGACGACATGGAACATGGTCATCTCATCCTGATTGCTATTGGCACTGCCAGTTTCTGATGCAACTTCGGACGAGGCAGCTTCTGATTTATAACTGTGAGGCAGATCCGCGGTAGGTCGTCGAGGCGTCAATGGCGATAGAGGCGGACTGAACATGTCACCACCGACAGTTCCTTCGTCATCGTCCTCGTCCTCGTTCTCATTGTCGCTACCACTGTCGTTTGCATCCTCATCTTGAGCACCATCAGCACCCTGACTGCTCTTTCCGTCCTGTGTTGTGGCCCTCCTCTTGCTCTTCTTTTTCTTCCATGTGCCGTCATCGCGCACAGAGATGGGGTATCCGAGGAAGACCAGATCATCCAGCATGATTTCGAAACGCTTCTTGTGCATGCTAGACGGAGGCGATAACATCATCTCTAGCCCTTCCACGGGATATCCCAGCAGCTTTTCCCATTCGCAGGTATTGCGCTTGTCAGTCGTGGTATTTTCACGTCGCGTGGTGTTGGCAGATCGATCGTGAGCGATGTTATTCGTAGTAGTGGCAGGAGTAGGTTTGTCAGCGGGCGAAGAGTTCAGATCCAGTACATCGACATCTAGATTATCAACATCATCGTCGTCTTCGTCATTGTCTGGAGCATCTGAGTGTAACGTGCGAGTCGTTCGTTTGGTCGAGGTACTACCCGCGACACGACTCTGCGATGCGATACTAGGTCTCGCCGTCTGTCGCGAAGAAGTCGTACTCGCATCATCAGAAAGCACAGTCTGGTCATCATCCGACGAGCTGCCTCCATCCTCCGAGTCGCTGTTGGCTGAACCGAAGTGCCATGACGTATTGCGTTGAATGGCTTCAGGCACACCAGGATAGTGGAAGACCAGTCGCGGACCAGATCGCGTTCGTATTATGAGTATGACGGCCACCAGCGACGGGTTTGGCGGTAAACTGAACGGTCTAATGGGCATTGCTGATAATGTGCTTGTTTGTCAATTACCAGACGCGAGTCTGTTGTCCAGATGCTGTCGCGTGCCATATCACGAGACCGGATCCAGCCTTCGACCTACAGTAATATGACTTGTTGAAGCAGCTCTGACCTTTTGTTTCGCTCAAGCCATGGCAGTTGACTGTCTAGGCTGTCTCGCTGAACCCAAGCTGTATCGTCCCTCGAAGGCTCCCCCGCAAACCCCGACTTCGGGCCAGACTCCACCGATGACCGCCTATGATATCGTGCATGCCACCAAAGACCCAGACTCACCTCATGACACCCAAATATATTGCTCTACCAGCTACCGGCAGCGAGGCTGCATGGAGATGCATGAAACTGCCGACTGAAGGATCGGTATGCAGGAAGCGGAGCTATTTGCGCGAAGGGTAGTACTCCCAAAACCCCAAAAGATGAGGTGTCAGATGGCTACGAGGAGGATATGACTGTAATGTTATGTGTAGTTTTTTTAACTAAGTGTAATCTGGGTATCTCTAGTTTTTGAGGAGGTCTGTTCTGTCGATGCCGTAGAAAGAATGCAAGAAGAAGGAGCAAGGCTTAAAAGGGAAATGGGAGTCTTTTGCAGAGGAAGCCACCAGGGCTAATGCTGAGAAAAATCACACACGCTCATAAACACACGTTGTGTCATCAGACGAGTAGTCCTTGCCATCCTCGATAGAAGCACTCGATCTTGATGCATGTCTCTCTTCCGTTGTCGTAACCTGGACGTGCTTGCTAATGCCGTGATCCCAAGTTTTCAATGGCAGCATGTCTCTATCATCGTCACCAGGGAAAATGTTCTCTTCACTTCCATTGTCATGGTTGCCTGGAGTCGTTCTTGCGCCTGTAACTGTAGTGATCATGGTGTGGTTGTTTCGTGTGCCGTTCTCTGCACTGTCCAGAGGATCGCCGCCTTTTCGGTGTGATCGCTTGTTGTGCTTTGCTGACCATTTGAGATTGGAATTCGTGGGTCCGGAAGGGTTGTCGGGGAGGAGAGTAGGGAAGAACTTTTGAACAAGTGGACGCAGTGTTGCTAGACTGGCTGCTGAGATGCCGATCCCAACCTCGACGGTACTCCAAAGAGCGATATATGTTGAAGTATAAAGAAATTCTGGTGATCGTGTTAGCTCTTGCTTTGTGCAATCCGAGTCTGACTTATTTACACACCTCCTTTGTAAGTCCCGAGTTGCTTGACATAGGGAAGGCGGACCAAAGTTGAGAGGGATCCAATAGCAGCGAATCCAAGAATACAGGCGACCACGATTTTGGTGTTCCTCTTCATGTTGAGATCCTTGACGATGAAGATGGGCAAGATACCGAAGAAGAAATCTGCGGCTCCATTGAGAACAGATGCGCAATACGAGATGACGACCAATACCATAGGGCTGATGCAGTGTCCCTTGGCATTTGGCGAAAAGTCCCAGTAGAATGAGATAGGAGTACATTGGAACAAGGCCACAAACAAGTATATTGTGCCAATCAACATTGTTGCCGCCATCATGATTCTGATGATAAGAATGTGAACCTTGTTCTGGGTAATTCGCTCCAGGAAGAGGCCGACGGCGACCTTCAAGACGGATGCTGATGCAGTATAAAAGACTTCGGCAAACATCCACGCAGCAAAACCAATGGGTAGATGGTCATCCGGGATATCCTTGCGGTATCGGCCAATACCATGCGTTACAGCAGCCGCCTGACATGAGAGGTAACCAGTGAATAATAGAAGTGTGACAATCATGGCAACATCGTCCCTGCCGAAAGACTTGATCATGACAGCACTATCAAAGTCAATTACATGTACCTCATTGAGTCATGACAAGAAGGATACAGGGACATACCGGACATAGATTCTCAAACTAACAATGACCCATGAGAGTACCCAAAAGGTGATCATGACACCCTCGACCTGAGGTCGCAAATCATCGGCACCCATGATGTTGACTGACCCGGTATACCAATATGAACAATGTCAAGTCTTCTGCTCGGTCTCACGACTGACAAGAAAGGAAAGGCGACCACAATTCAGAAGGGTCGACGAGACCGTGCGAGGAGCAACCCCAATCCGTGAGTAGACTTGAGTAAGGAAATCCAAAGGAGTCGACTCTCAGATGTCAAGGCGGGAGGCGCAGAATACATATATCAAGAAAATGCAAGGACCGTTTGATCCTACGGGTCAGTTAGGCTCGTCATGTCTCTGCTAATGCACGCACATGGCGTACCCGCGCATCCAGCTCCTCCACAAAAGAAAGAGGTCCGAAATGGGCCCAAATCTACGGTGCCAGCATCAGCAAGGAACTGGCCCCATCAGCCATAAACTGCTATCGAAATAGAGTGCGTCCCGGCGAGCACTATCCGCGGCCGGCTTGGGGTACCTGAGCTGCGGCCACGTTGGAGCCATAGTCCGCTAGACATGGTCAAAGTACTCGAGGCACGTACCTGTAGAGATCTTGGCCACGTAGACGACCAGGTCATTGTTTGGCGTCTGCGTCTGGGGCTCAAAGATCCGAGTCGGGAAAGGCTCGAATCTCGAACGAGCCCTTCTGCGTCTCAGGTTCGTTCAGCGGGTCGGCAATGTCTGAACTCAAACTCTAACAGACGCGCGAGTCAACAGCGCAGACTCGTAGTAACGGTCAACGCCAACATTCAACAAAGTCGCAGAGACCTGTCTCGAATAAATTATATGTAGGAGTCATGGTCTGAAAGTAGCAATGAACGGTGACTTGCTGACGACTTACGATGGTCGTGGAGAGTCATTTGTTGATTGTGAACACGTTCGTGGAAGAAAGTTATGTCACTAAGCACTCGATCCGAACAATCTGGACTGGAAGGATTGTGTAACTTTGGCGCTTCTCGGTTACAAGCTTGGTGGTTGATTCCCATGTGAGGGTCGAAAGGGCGCGTCAAACCACCAATCTCGTGATTTGGCGGCAATGGGCTAGAAAATTATCTCCACCAAAGAGATGGGCTCTCGGCTGGATGAAGAGACGAGTAGACTTTGTGAGATGCCCCTGCGGATCGCATATTCGTGATCACCCATCACCCATCACTACCATAACTAGCAATACATCTGGCTGATCTTTCAACTTCTCCTCGTTCGTGCATGTCACGACCAGGATTTTCGCACATGTACAGACCTTTGAAGCAAAAAGTAAAACGGCAAAGCTGTTATGCACGCCCATCTTTCCATGCGTTCGCCCGATAACTTACTGCGAGCAAAGTGCGGAAACATCAAGTTCGTCCGAAAAAGACTCTTTTCCTCTTGACATGTAGTCATGTATACAGCCACTTGACAACATGCTTTTGCCTCTTGTCGCAGCACGCGAGATCGGTGGGGTTAAAAATTGCGGCGAGGCTTGAACTCTGAGAATGCAACGGGATGACAAAAAGTTCAAGATGCGACAAAAAAAAAGGGGGTCGAGACAAAAATGGAGAGTGGAGGAGCACAAGTACATCTTTGTCACCGTCTTGCATCCGACGATCTCCAAGATATGCAGGAGTCATGGAGAGGGTAGGGCATTAGGGTTTGTTCGTCATCGTGAGGATGTGCCTGCTTGCATACTCTGGCTATGCCAAGTCTATCTTGCCGTAACCAGCAGTTGCGTTCCAGGGCATTTCAGGGCATTTTGGTCGAATAGCTTCTTGGCTATATTCAGAAGACCCCAGCTGGATCTGGCCGATGGTAATGTCGATCAACATACGCCATGAATTACGCCTCCTGGCCTCGACTATTTCAAAAGCTTTGCGCAGTTTTGCCAATCTTGTTCAATTCGGAAATTTACATGAGTCGTACTGTTCATAGTTTCTACAAAGGTTCTGTATATCTTGTATACTCGGAGACTTTTGTGGGATAGAGACACACGCTTGGTATACATGACCTCTTTTAGATCTCGTTTTCCTTCATCTTTCTGAAGAAGTCCATGACACCTGTGAAGACGACAAGCAAGATACCACCTCCGGGACCCAGTCTCAAGACCTTGGGCAGGAAACCCTTGTAGAGAGCGCTGAAGCCTTCCTCCTTGTACACCGTGCCAAGAGCAGGCCAGGCCCAGTTGTACTTTGGTACACCTCCAGGCACTCTGGGGGAGTTTTGGATTCTGCTCTTGACGACATCCATGGGAGTGTTCAAGATTGTACCAACAGTACCACCAACAGCACCAGACGCCAGATCATTCAAGACCTGCGCCTTCTTGGTCTCAGCCTTGGGAAGGAGCTCACGGACTTGGAAAATACAGCCAAAGTAACCAGCATTCCACAGAATATGTCTCCACATTGTACTCTCCAGACCTTGGTATAGGGTGAGAGGTCCCTCTTGCTGGATGACCTTGCGCACACAGTCGACCAGACCGTTGTACTTGTGTGATTGTGCCTTGTCTTGCAGACGGATCTTGACCAACTCGAAGGGGACGACGACGAATGATTCGGTGGCACCAGCGGTAGCGCCAGTCAGGACGGAAAGACCCTGGGTCATCTTGGTCATGCCGAAGAGGTTACGGTAGAACTTGCCCCACTCGTCGTTGGCAGCGAACTTGGTTGCTCTGCACGTGGTCAGTACGGGTCCTGGCGCATATGGTGTCGCGAATGACCGACCTCTTGGGAGCTTCCATGAGGATGGGAGCCTCAATACCTCTGTACAGCCTTGAGAAACCCTCATTGCGGACAATCTTGCGGAAGCAGTCGACCATGCTGTTGTAGGCCTCCTCACCAGTAGCGGTCGAGCTCTGAAGCTGGATTCTTGTCTTTACGACATCCAATGGGTACCTGGAAAGCAGTCAGACATGGGGAGTAAGTCAATGGCTTGATCAGGTGTGTGTACATGACAAGAATCTAGATATTCGTCAGTCATGATCGGGTGAGGGTTGGATTGTTGATAGTGTACCTCTGAAACACCAGCGACGGCACCAGCGATGAACTGGTAGACGAATGGGAGAGGCTTAGGCTGTTCCGACATGATGGGCGATTCGAGTGGAGAGAATGTGTGTGGTGCACGAGTCTACAGATCAAGCAACTGGATGGGAAACTGTCGAACGCGACGGGTGATGGAAGTCGCGACGGCTGATATCGGCGGGCCGACGTCGCTGGGTTGCCGAAGCGGAGTCCTCGGTTGATGAGGCCATGTTGGGCTGTCCTCTACTTTGGGAAAAATAGAGGTCAAGTGTATACATAGTTTCCAATTGCTAATTGGGGATCTGACTACTTGGATCTGTGTTACCATGTCGTCGAGCGGGTTGAGACAATGATGACCATACCGGAGATGTTTGGCCCTTCCCCGGTTTCAAGCGGTGTCGGCGATTCGTGGTAAGCAACATTGTGATAAGCATATAAGTACAACTCGTAGGAGTGATAGCGTATGTTCTGATAGAGGGAGACACACGTCGCGGATAGACAGATAGATGATGCTTGCTACGGACAATCTGCCTATATCTGACGAGAGGTGACGATGATATAGGAGTTGATAGGACAGAAACAGTTCGGAGTTCGGCAGGAAGCTCTCTCCGTCGTGAGGGTTGGACCCTCAGCCCTGCTTCCAGAAATCGCGGGGCAGTCACGGACCCCCTTGTTGGCCGGGACAAATTAGAAGCAGCGGTGGGTGTGCATGGCCGGCTCTGGCCTTTGCAACTCCAACGCATAAGACTGTTGACTCTCCTTGTCCGGTCAACAATGGCAGCTGCAGACGTAGCAGGTACCATACAGTGCCCAATCATCACGCTCACGCCGCGCTGACACGATGCCGACAGAGCGCTCTGCTCACAAGCGACCCTTTGCTGCCTGGGTCAAGCGTCTGACCGGTCTGCACCCCAACAGCAAAAAGGCAAAGAAGGCCTCGCAGCTCAAGAACAACCCGTATCCTCAGTCCGGTCGTCCTCAACAGTGCCGTCATGAGTCGGCCAGCTCCTACTCGGCTTCCGCGTCCGACAATGCCAGCATGAACGTCCACCACACGGCCAATTCCACCGCCAGTAGGAACTCGTCTCTCTCTGCCCCTCCAGTGAACAGCAACCGCTCCCAGGCCAACACTGTCGCCACCATCCCAGAGACTATCGCTTCAGATGGTGGCTACTTCAAGTCGTCAACCAATGGCCGAGGCGGTGCCCTGAGCTCAGTCGACGGCGCTGGACACAACAGCACCTTCTCCTCGCCCAATCAGTCTCAGCAGTCTCTCACCACAACCCTGACCACCATCCAATCTACAAACGCAAACGCCCATCTGACTCCCAACCCGGCTCATGCCCACTTCTCTCAGCAACCGCCTTCCGCTATTCCTCCTCATCTCGCAAACACCTCCAACTATAACAACAATACACAAAACGACAATGCTTCCATCTTGACATTGGCTTCTTCCAGCAAGCGCCGTCGTCGCTCTATGGATACAGATGCCTCTGTCCGAGCTATCGCCCCGAAGAGCATGTGGGGAGACAGCCGAGAGTCTCTGCCTCTGAGCGTCCTGAGTGCAAACATCGATCACACCTCCTCTCGTCCTTCGGTCGGCGGCCTCATCAGTGCTGAGCGTGCTAGTATTTACTCGTCCAGAGATGTCTCCGCTCCTGCCATTGCATCGGATCGCAACAGCTACTACGCTGCGAGCCACAGACAAGTCAAAGACAGAGAGCGAGACAAGGAAGCTCATCGGGATCGTGACTTTGCGTCTGATGGAAGAAGTCTGAACTTCGATGCCAAATCTCTCAACTTTGACGGCAGAAGTCTTGGTGGAGATGTTGCTAGTCTGAGAGGATATGAGGGTAGTATCCGCAGTGGTGCTCTCGGTCATGGCCGCAATGATAGTATCCCTAGCGGCGCTCCAAGTCCCATGGTCGGTGGCTCTCCCCTGCTCAGAAGACCTTCTGGTGCTCTGACCTTCAGTTCTGATGTTCGCGACAAGGAAGATCATGAACCGGCTGATCACAAGAGTCATGCTTGACATGAAAGTCAACTCTCTTATTCACATTCTTATTTATGACCGGGATGGGGTCTTTTGAGAATTATGCCTGCCAAGGAGTTTCTTTGGGTTGGACGTGGCCTATGTTGTTGTTTTTCTCTTTTCCCGACCTGTTATATACCCCCACTCGTCTGTAATCCACAGGTTTCTCTGATTATGCATGACCGAGAATGTCATTTCCTCTTGACCACCGCCGTTCCTGATCCAGGTGACCGCAACTATGCTAACTTTTGTAAGAGGTTATGAGACAAACGGTGGTGCACAGGAAAAGATGAGTCTTTGGCAAGGTGGTAGTGGGGCGAGTCTGGAGAGATGGGCGTTCTGAGAGGAAAGATTGATGAATGTACAGGGGGATGTGAGCCTCGAAGAAAGTGACCGAAATGCTGCAAGAGTAGCATTTGATGCTGTGGGTATATGTGCATGATCTATGGCGGTCCTCTTCTCGTCTGTACGAGTTTACGAGGTTCTTTGGCGGACCTCTCTCTCCTCTGCTCGTACGCCACCCAGCGCATCTTGGACCAACTCTCTCAATTCCCTCTGTGTCTCTTCACTCTGGAAGTCAGGTCTGGCAGCCAACTCATCAATCCTCCTCCTGAATTCCGGATCCGGAGCATCACCCATCTCATCCTCTGCCATGGTGCCCAGATCAATCTTTACACCGTTAGGAAGTGGTGGCGGTGCGCCAGCTCCATTTGTGCCATTTGTCGTACCCGCAGCAGCTTGTTGTGCACTAGGGTTGCCTGTTTGCGACAAGACGCTAGCCGCAGCACCACCCTCCATCAGCCCAGCCAGGTAATTTGCAATCTCTGGATAATCCCCCTCGCTTTCGAATTTCTCAGCCGCGGTCTGGCCTTCGTCGTTCTTATGCGTGGTGTCGACGTTACATTGCTCAACGAGGAATTTGGCCATGTCTAGTGTTTCGACGCTGTAGAGGCAAGTTTCTCCGTCTTCGTCTACGAGGTTGGGGGAGACGTTGTAGGTGGTGAGGAGGGTACGAAGGACATCGGGGTGGTTGTAGGATGCGGCCGCGTGGAGGAGAGAGTAGCCGTGGCGATCTTGCTGTGAGGCGAGGTTGGGTGAAGATTCGAGGTGTTGGAGCACTTCATTGGGTTTGTCGACTACGAGGTTGAGGAGTCTGTCGATTGTTTGCGCCATGGTTATTTTTGGTTTGAGGATCGATTTGAGGAACGTGAAGAGTGGATGGTGTTTTGCGACAGAAGTTGAGAGCTTCAAGTGGTGATGCGAAATTTGGCGCGAGACTGATGTCAGAATTGGTGCCCCTCAGTCGAGAGAAGTTGCCGTTTCGTGACACCGCCCGAGTCATGCGTCGGTGTCTGCATCTCGATAGATCATTCTTTCGACAGCGCAACCATTCTCATGATCAATCATGTCAGTGGGTATCGTAGTGGGGTTAGATATCACCACCGCAGAATTTCAATTATCTCTGAAGTGGGGATGACGATGGAGTGGTGAGGTGAAGAGGAAAGAGGATTACAGCCGCCGTCCATTCCAAGGCAGCGCTAATGACTCGGAATTTCGTTCGGGCCTCTAACAACTTTCTTGCCATTCCATCAACTTTCATCACGCATAAAGTTGATTCGTTTCCCTCTTTGCCCCGACCTTGATTTGAGTTTCAATCATGGCTTACCGTAATGAGGCTCCCTACCGTCCTCAGGATGCTCATGAGGTCTCTGAGATGATCCGCGGCCTGACCAGCCATATCAAAGGCAACGGTGGAACTGGTGGTTTCTCATGCAAAAAGGCTACTTTCGACGTAGCAGGCTCAAGCATCAAGGTCGATTCCTGGAAGATGCAAGATTGGGATTATAAGAAGCCCAACCTCCCTACTTACGCCAGAGGTCTTTTTACAACCACAAACTCAAAAGGCGAGCCCGAAATTGTTACCAGAGGATACGATAAATTCTTCAACCACGGCGAGGTCAAAAAGACCGAATGGAGAAACGTCGAGCAAAACACAAGAGGCCCTTACGAGCTCAGTGTCAAGGAAAACGGCTGCATCATCTTTCTTTCTGGTCTCGAGGATGGCACTCTTCTGGTTTGCAGCAAGCACTCAACCGGAGCTCGTGATGACACCGAAGTCAGTCACGCTGTGGCTGGTGAGAAATGGGTCGACAGACATCTTGCTTCTGTCGGAAAGGCGAAGAAGGATCTCGCTGCCCAACTTCGCGCCATGAACGCAACTGCTGTTGCTGAGTTATGCGATGATGAGTTCGAAGAGCATGTCCTTGCATACAACCCCGAAACCGCCGGTCTCTACCTTCACGGCATCAACTTAAACCTCCCCGAGTTTGCCACGTACCCTCATGAGCTTGTCGACAGGTTCGCATCTGAATGGGGCTTTAAGCACACCATGTTCATCACAGAAAACGACATCTCAACAGTCAAATCCTTCCTCGACAAAATCGCAGAGACTGGAAGTTACCATGGCAGAGAGACTGAGGGTTTCGTCGTCAGATGTCAGGCACGCGAGACACGAGATGCACCATTCGAGGACTGGTTCTTCAAGTACAAGTTCGAGGAACCCTACCTCATGTACAGACAGTGGAGAGAATGCACAAAGGCCATCATCGCAGAAAAGCCGCCCAAGTTCAAGAAGCACAAGGAGATTACAGAAGAATATCTCCACTATGCCCGTAAAAGACTGAAGGAGGACCCCAACCTCGGAAAGGAGTACAACCAAAACCATGGCATCATCAAGCTTAGAGACGACTTTTTGGCGGAACGTGGCCTGAAGGGCTCTGACATAATTCGTCAGGAGCTTGAGAAGGGCAATCAGCACGGCATGGGTGTTGATCGTAATGTTGTGCTTGTACCCATTGCAACCATCGGTTGCGGTAAGACTACTGTTGCTCTCGCGCTCTGTAAGCTGTTCGGCTGGGGTCACATTCAGAACGACAACATCACATCGAAACCGAAGCCAATCAAGTTCGCCCAAGCGATTTGCGATGGACTCATAGATTACCCAGTCATGATCGCTGACAGAAACAACCACCAGCGTCGTGAGAGAAAGCAGATCATCGACGACGTGTTAAGAACCGTTCCTCAGGCTCACTTTGTCGCTCTCCACTACGTCCATGATCGCGCCAATTATGATCAAATCAAGCAGGCGACACGAGAGCGTGTATTGAGCAGAGGAGACAACCATCAGACTATCCAGGCTGGCTCAAAAGGACAGCACGAGATCATTGGTATCATGGATGGCTTCATGGGCCGTTTCGAGCCTGTCAAGGCTGAGCGCGAGCCTGACAACTCGTTTGAGCACATCATCGATCTTGATGTCACCGCTTCATCGCGTGAGAATCTGGAAGTCATCGTGTCTCAGCTCAACGCAGAGTTCCCCAAACTCTTTGGTGCGATGCCGACAGGTGAAGATCTTGACAGAGCCATCGAAGCGGCACTGAACGACTACAAACCTGATATCAAGCATGAGATTGGTGGAAGCAACAAGTTCAAGAACAAGGCTCTCCAGCGCGGTCCCAACGGAGCAAACGGACAACCAGCACGAAAAGCTCCCAAGCTCGAGTACTTCAGTGCAACACTTGATCCCAAGCGTGTTGCCAGTATCCTTGACGCAGTCTTCCGTGACGCTGATTTCGACACTGCAAAGACTTACCACGAGTTACATACTCGGAACCGTGTTCAGTCTGAGTTTCATGTCACATTGATGCATCGTGCATCTGCAACTCAGCACAAGGATTACTGGGAACAGCTGACAGAAGCCCACACCAACGCCGCAAACAAGCCCAATGCTGCCCCAGAGCCCGTCCTTGGTAGCTGCAAGGTTTTACTCGAACGTCTTGTCTGGGATAACAGACTGATGTGCTTTGTGGTTCGTATGATTCCTGACGAAAAAGACCAGGGTGGTGTACAATGGCGCAGTGTCAACGACACAGCTCACATCACAGTCGGCACAGTCAGCCCGGATGTGAAGCCCAAGGAGAGCAATGACTTGCTGAAGATATGGATGCAGACTGGCAGTGGTGGTAGCACTGGCATCAACGAGATCAAGGTCAAGGGCCAAGTCGAGCTCCCAGCTACTATCAAGAGTGTCTTGCAGAAGCATTGAGTGTTTTTGATAAAAGAGGTGGTTATGTCCTGATGAACACTATTAGCATGGGATTACATGGTCGGTTGTAGAAGCGGAGGAGATGGCGTTGCTGGGATTCATCGATTGCAACAAAGTATTAGCTACAGTATACACTGAGCAGTGATGAATGTCAGCTTCTATTGCTGTATTCTGCCATGGCTTTCTGCTCCATCGTGTAGGCTGAAAATTATACTTTAGACACGAAAACACAAGTCGTCGTCGGCTAGGTGAACCTCTGATTGGTCACCAGCCCTACCGGATAAATTCATGATTGCTGGATAAACTGTTTCTCGTGAAAGATGGAGCCTCCTCCGCAAAAGTTTAACCCCTCCAACGTTCCATCCCACCTTCCAGAACCTGACCTGCATCTTCTTCATTCTTTCGTCTGCATTGGAAAATCGACGTCGTACAAATATTCTCTGCATCCCTTCAGTTATCTCGGGAGATACAGGACCTTCTGGAGACTTGAACTTTAGGAACAATCTCACCCAAGGACCAAAAGATAACACACCTCGAAAAGGACAGACAAACAATCAAACAACTGACAACATACCTCCACTCCTAAAACATCAAAAATTCACTTCCAACCATGGCCAATTCAATCCATCGACCCCGCAGCGACCTCACCAAAGAAATAACCCCCATAGTAATGGGCGGAGCAGCATGGTCCCACCAACTAAACCCGGACGCAGAAACGCGCCCCATAATCCCCGTCATCCTCAAAGCCTTCTCCCACGGCATCCGCACAATCGACACATCACCCTACTACGAGCCCTCTGAAAAAATCCTCGGAAAGGCCCTCGCAAACCCCCAAATCACATCGCTTTACAACAGAAAAGACTATTTTCTCATGACCAAAGTTGGAAGGATTGCCAGTGAAGAGTTTAATTACTCGCCTGATTGGGTTAGAGAATCTGTGGAGAGGAGTTTGGAGAGGTTTCAGACTGGGTATTTGGATGTGGTGTTTTGTCATGATGTGGAGTTTATTTCTGATGAGGGGGTGGTGGCTGCTGTTTCTGCACTTTGGGAGTTTGTGGAGAAGGGAAAGGTTAGGTATGTAGGTATTTCGGGCTATCCCATTGATAAATTGGTGAGGGTGGCGAGGAAGTGCAAGGAGATGGGGAAACCGCTTGACATTGTGCAGAATTGGGGACAATTGACGTTGCAGAATACGAGATTGAAGACTGAAGGGTTGAGGGAGTTGAAGGAAGCGGGAGTGAAGGTGGTGTGTAGTAGTTCGCCTTTGAATATTGGCTTGTTGAGGGCTCAGGGTGTGCCGATTGGGTAAGTTTGATTTCCTCTTCTCTTTTTTCTCCTTCTCGACTTTCCATCACACTTTTCACACATCCCCCCTATACACATCAGGTACTGACAGAAAGCAAAGAACACTCGGAGACTGGCACCCTGCCCCCTCTGGTCTCCGTCAGGCAGCCGCAAATGCAGCCACTTATGCAGCAAAACACAACGATGACCTAGCTAGCCTGGCTCTCCGCTTCGCCGTCCGAGAAACCGCCAACAAAGACCCTTCTCTGCCCACTATGTCCCTTATCATGGGACCTGGCAGTGTTGAAGAAGTAGAGTCTTGTGCTGCTGCTGCAAACAGCGTTCGTGATAACAGCGCCAAAGGAGAGTTTGGAGACTTGAGAGATGAAGTCGTATTGGACAAGGAGGGAGAGAAGAGCGATGAGAAGTTAGTGGAAGGTGTGAGGGAGATTCTGGGAGAGTGGATGGATTTCTCCTTCATTAGTCCGCCCGAGGGGTGGAGTGTTAAGGAAGGAAAGATGATGAAGTGAGCGACCGGTCATGGTGTGTACGTTTGTTTGTTGTATATTAAGTCTCCTTAGGATGGAATACATAGATATATAGTTGCAAAAAGGTCCCCCTTCCCTTACTTCCTAAGAACAAGTCGTAACCATGAAATCATCATGTCTTCTTACCACCCATCTACAGACCCTCTCGGCGCTTGAGGGAGACATCCTTAACCCCCGCTTCCGTCACTCGCCGGTGTCGGCTCGTCTGCGTGACCCGGTTATCGTCCTCGGTGGCATACGGGAGCAAACACCGAGGACCAAACAAAAGACAGCAAGCTGCCCAATGTTATTCATGTTAAGCTGTATATAAGTTTGAGACATTCTGGACGGGCGTTTTTCTTTCATAGTTGTGAGGTACGGCGGTACTTGTGGTGGGAACTTGGGGAGATAGAAATATTCCAAAACCATTTGCGTCTGTCTGGGAGATCAGGTTGAAGATTTTATTCTTGAGCCTGTCTGATCCTGGATAGATGCAAGAGGTATCATTGTGCCCGCCACGATTGTTTGCTATTGACGGGCGTATTGCCATGTCGCTCTCAGGTGCGGCTTGCTATCATGCAGGTAAGATCCAAAGGGCTTTTGATACCGAGCGAAGACGTGGGAAAGTTCATGCATCCCATTATGTGTACTGTGGGATTACGACGCTATCGTCACTGTTTTCGCGTCTTTGTGAGGGCCATTCCTGGTGTTTGACACGATATTTCTCTTCAATGGGCCAGAGTCCAGGAATCTAAGCTGATAGATCCAAGAGTCATGCATGTGCGAAGGATGACCTGCCAAGGCTAGGCGTAGACATCCAAGCGCTCTGGTGCAGAGTCGATGAGATCAAGGAGTTTTGGATCCATGATCTTCGCCATCTTTGTAATCTTCTTACAATCTGCGCATAGAAGGAACGCGAGAGAAATGTGTAAGCCACAAGCGCTATGCCGGGCAAGCTATTACACGTATAGGTTATGACTCACTAATTCTCAGGCATCTTGAGAAGACTCATGGACATCTTGCCGCCGCTGGGGGCGGACATGGTGCGGACGTGACCTTTACTTGAAGTGCGAATCGCAAGTCTCTCCATGTCGGGTACGGCGCCTTCGCCATCATGACCATTTGTCGAAGTTGTAGTGCCATTGGACACGACTGTAACGGTAGGGTCTTGCTCGAGCACGCTGGTAATGGTGCCTTCACTGCTGATCTCGAGAATGACGATGAGATTGTCGTGAATGCTTGCGTCTCCACCTCACTGCTCCCAATGATCTTCAAGATCTTCGGCAGTACCTTCGGCAAACTCAGGCTTGCAGCTCTCTTGGTAGTTGAAGGTGTTGTTAAGCTCATTGAATAGATCTTGCATTTAAGTCGGAGCAATAAAGTGGACCAATCTTGCGTTGGCCAGTTTGCACCAGGAAAGTTCAGCATGAAGACGGTATTTTCCAGCTTTGTATCAGTGTCCTTCGGCAGCGCTGAGTATGCACGACAAGAAACATTTCCAATACATAGGGAACCCAAGTCTGATGGCTTCCCGCACGACAGCGACGCATCGGTCAGAGTCACCGCTCTCGCACAGTTTCCAGCCCTTGTGGCGGACCACGGGAGACGGGTCATGCCTAGGGTCAGCAGGGGTGTCGACACAATACTCATCGACTTTGATGTTTGGGTATTCCTTCACAGCGACGTGAGTGTTGAGGATCTCTTCAGTTGTGCTATGGGCGAGAAGGAAGTGATTGACTGGTCATTTGTGAGCTGGAAGACGAAGATTGGTTTAGCATGGACTGAGAGTGTATGCGGCACTGATCCTTCACATATGATCGCGTCTGATCTTCACTCGTGCACTCACAGGTCGCATTGAAGTGACAGGATGAGATATCCCTCCTAGTCGCTGCTCAGCACGCGTTGAGACCATCGAAACTCTCACATAGATTTGCCCGGCGTCCACACTTTCGTGGTAATCGTTTTCTTACCACTATCGCTCGTGCTTTCCGGTTTCTATGCTCTCACAGTGATAGCTGGATAAGAATCGAGTGCAATGCAGTGGTCGACCTTAATATCAAATCAAGCCTGAAGAGGGGCGGTGTATCGTTGTTGTTGACAACGCAGCATGCAGTAAGCATCGTAGGGCTGATGTCGTGTCTCTTCCTGTGACCAATTCCCGCTGCCCTGCTCATGGTATGTCTCATCAGCCGACACTACCTTGCTTAGACATCGTGGTCGCGCTGTCAGTTGAGCATGCAACAGAATTGCTAAGTGAGGCAGCAGTCGGCCACGGATATGGACAGCATCCGTGAGTAAAAGCGGATGCTGGAAGCTCCATCGGGAAACAGGATTCCGAGCCATCTTTGTAAGCGCGGCGGTTTTGCGTGCATCTTGTGTCGCACAATCTACCCCTCATCGATTGCCTAATCTTGACAGATTGATCGCCATGTCGCTCCAGAAGTACGCAGTACGAGGTGCGGCTGAACACTAGGCGTGTGAATGTCGAAGAACGCTCCGCGAGGATATGACAGTAACAATGCTTGACAGGCTATCAGGCTATGCATTTTATGACTACTTGTGATAAACAGACGTGCCTAGATGTCCATCATAACGTCATTACGACTCAGTGGTTCGCCTGTTTGCGATCCCTGTTGTCAGGATCAGGCGAGACCGAATGCTAGATGAGATGGAATCTTATCTGGACAATCCACACTGCACAGAAAAGAAGGCTTCAGGGCGTCAAAAGCGAGCTTATACGAATACGAAACTGTCAAGTAAAAACAGAGTTCGGTACATCTATCCAGCAGAGTCAGCACCTCTCGCGTGCGCATCCTGCGCCATCTCAGCTGCTTTGCCATGCGATTATGAGACCACTGTATCTGCAACGAGGTCCCAACGCGTTGGAATAGCTGCTTCTAGGCGCAATCTCTCCGTTTCTCGTATCATGCTTGGGAAGCGACAAAGCACCAGGTGTAATCTCCTTCTGCAATGTTTGGTGCAATGTAAACACGTCCTCCTGAAACATGCGGGCAGCAACCACGGAGTCCGTGGATTCCTGCTGACAGTAGGCAAATTTTGGGCTCGTACTCGTACAGAAGAGCCCCTGTCAAAGACGCGATTCAGTTGAAGAGACCAAGAGCCGGGGAAATGTACGGCGATCCCGCGCGGATAGCGTCCATCCGAAGACCATTTCCAATCACGTTGAGAGATTGCTAAAGACGCGGTGCCTTTTGCTGCAAGCAAAAATCCCTTTTCGAACACCGGCGGGACAGCCCTCGCACAGAGTTTGCGAAAATGCTGGGCTTTCGTCTGTGGTAAACCGTTCGTAGGCAATGGATATGAGAATTAGTACGTCATGACATCCGCGCCAAGTCGTCCGAATAGGACAACACAAGATACAATACTCGTGAAACTGCAGGACACGATTGGAGTAGAGCCATGCAATTAGCCTGGATCTGACATGGTAAACTGTGGGATTGCCAGCATCCTTCACGGGAAAAAGCAGATGGTACGATATGTCGACCGATATTCTCCAGTTCGGATGCTGGCCTTCCCGAGTTGGGGGGTAGGAAGTGGGCCTTCCCGCCCGGAATACCTTCTTACAGAGGAGCTAACGTTGGTCCGAGTCGGTTTGAATTGCCCCTAGCGCATCTTGGAGAGGCCGTCATCTACGCTTTCGTTGTCACTGCTTCGGCCTAACGCCTCAGCATCCTCTGGCAATATTAAGGTAAGCCGTTCGCCTTTCTAGACGACATCTTTTGTTCCTCGGGAATTCGTCTGCATACCACGGCACATACCTCGACCAGCAGCAAATACCTGCTTGCAAACAGGGCTTGTCCCTTCGAACTTAATCCCAGTTAACCTTGACGACATCTAATTATTTAATAAACATGTCGCTCGTGGGCAACTTTACCTTCAACAACTACGATGGTGAGAACCAACGTAGTGGTGTCAGTGCCCTTGGAGGTACTGCATTCCACGATGAACATCACGACCAAGCCGACCACTCGACTCGGGATACATTGAACCCTAATCGTCACGCCGAGCACTCACGCATTCCTGCTTCTCGCCAAACCTCGAGGACATTCACAACCGAACAGCCCGATCTATCACACTCTGGCATTCACGATGGCACATATTACCCTGACGGCATCCCACCATCAGATGAGAAGGTTGAGCTTGAGCCAGCCGAGTCACCATCATCATCTCAAAGCGAGGCCGCCTACGAAAGAGACGAGAAGGTTCACGATCTTGCAAAGACATTGAGCCGTACCATGTCGCAAGCACCTGACGACCCATTCACATACGACGAGGATTCGCCGCTGAATCCCAATGGGCCCAACTTCAAGGCCCGAGAATGGGTCAAGTCAATGTACAAGCTGGGTCAGAGAGAGGGCATGCAACAACGTACTGCTGGTCTTGCTTTCAAGAACTTGAACGTCCACGGTTTCGGTGCCAGCTCGGATTACCAAAAGACTGTGTCCAACATTGCTCTTGAGGTGGTTGGAGGTGTCAAGAAGTTGATGGGTCTTGAGAAGCCTAGAAGAATTGATATTCTTCGCGACTTTGAGGGCATCGTCAACCCTGGCGAGATGCTTGTTGTTCTTGGTCCTCCGGGTTCTGGTTGCTCGACGTTCCTGAAGACGGTGACTGGAGAAACCCACGGCTTCAATGTTGACGAAAAGTCTTATCTCAACTACCAGGGTATTGAAGCTAAGGATATGAACACGAAGTACAGAGGAGAAGCCATCTACACTGCCGAGGTAGATGTACATTTGTAAGGGGAATTTTTGAAGCATTACGATGGATATAGCTAACTTGAACAGTCCAAACATGACCGTCGGTGATACTTTGTACTTCGCAGCTCGCGCCCGCGCCCCCCGCGATGTCCCTGGCGGCCTGTCTAAGGTCAGATGGGCTGAGGCTAACAGAGACATGATGATGGCCACCTTTGGTATCTCGCATACCATCAACACTCAGGTTGGAAACGACTTCATTCGTGGTGTCTCAGGTGGTGAAAGAAAGCGTGTTTCGATCGCCGAAGCTGCACTGAGTGGCGCCCCTCTGCAAGCTTGGGACAACTCAACTCGTGGTCTCGACAGTGCTAACGCTGTCGAGTTCTGTAAAACCCTCCGCCTTTCTTCTGAGTTCTTTGGCACCACTCCCATGGTTGCTATCTACCAAGCTCCCGGAGCTGCATACGACCTCTTCGACAAGGTCATTGTTCTTTACGAGGGACGTCAAATATTCTTCGGCAGCGCCACTGGTGCCAAGGGTTACTTCGAGAACCTCGGTTTCGATTGCCCTGATCGTCAGACTGATGCTGATTTCCTCACCTCCATGACCTCGGCTCAGGAGCGTGTAGTCCGCAAGGGCTGGGAGAACAAAGCACCCAGAACTCCTGACGAGTTCGCCGCTTGCTGGAAGGCTAGCCCCGAACGTCAACGCCTGTTGGAAGAAATTGACGAGTTCGACAGAAAGTACCCCTTTGGTGGAGAATCGACTGAGGTGTTCGCCGCATCTCGCAAAGCACAGAAGGCCAAGGGTCAACGCACTGCCTCTCCCTACACTTTGTCATACACTCAGCAAGTCAAGCTGTGTCTCTGGCGTGGTTTCCAGCGTCTGAGAGGAGACCCTAGTCTGACTTTCACTCAACTCTTCGGTAACTTCATCATGTCTCTCGTCATTGGATCCATCTTCTACAACCTCGACAACGGCACCAACTCTTTCTACAGCCGTGGCGCCCTCCTCTTCTTCGCTATCCTCATGAACGCTTTCGGTTCCGCCCTAGAAATTTTGACGCTGTACGCTCAAAGACCCATCGTCGAGAAGCACTCTAGATATGCTCTCTACCATCCTTCGTCTGAAGCTTTCGCTTCCATGCTCACGGACATGCCCTACAAGATCCTCAACGCCATCATCTTCAACACTACACTGTACTTCATGACGAACCTTCGTCGTGAACCTGGACCTTTCTTCTTCTTCCTACTGGTCTCTTTCTTCCTGACTCTGACCATGAGTATGTTGTTCAGAACTATCGCTTCTGTCTCACGTACGCTCTCGCAAGCCATGGCTCCAGCAGCTATCTTGATTCTGGCTATTGTCATTTTCACTGGTTTCACCATTCCCACCCGCTACATGCTTGGCTGGAGTCGCTGGATCAACTACCTTGATCCCGTTGCTTACGGTTTCGAGGCTCTCATGATCAACGAGTTCCACGGCAGACAGTTCCCATGCTCGTCGCCCGTGCCATTGTATGGAACATACGACCAGGGCACTCAAGTTTGTGCCACTGTTGGTGCTATTGCTGGCCAGAACTTTGTTGACGGAGATGCTTACATCAATTCTTCATTCGCGTACTACCACAGTCACAAGTGGCGCAACTTCGGTATCGTGATTGCCTTCATGATTGGCCTTATGTGCTTCTACTTGACTGCCACCGAATTCATCTCAGCCAAGAAGTCCAAGGGTGAAGTCCTGGTTTTCCGTAGAGGTCACGCGCCTGCTGTCCTTACCAAGAACAGCCCCGACGATCTCGAGGCTGCTGGTGCCGCTCAGACTGTTGCTGAGAAGCAGCATCACGACACCGATCCCGCCGACATCATCCAGAAGCAAACCGCTGTCTTCCACTGGGAGGATGTCTGCTACGACATCAAGATCAAGAAGGAAGACCGCAGAATTCTTGACCACGTTGATGGATGGGTTAAGCCTGGTACACTCACAGCTCTCATGGGTGTTTCTGGTGCCGGAAAGACTACACTTCTCGATGTCCTTGCTACTCGTGTCACTATGGGTGTCATCTCTGGTGACATGTTTGTTGATGGCCGTCAGCGTGACGACTCTTTCCAGAGAAAGACTGGATACGTTCAGCAGCAGGATCTCCATCTTCAGACTTCGACTGTCCGCGAGGCTCTTAACTTCAGTGCCCTCCTTCGTCAACCCGCACATGTTCCTCGCAAGGAGAAACTCGACTATGTTGATGAGGTTATTAAGCTTCTCGATATGGAAGAGTATGCCGATGCTGTTGTCGGTGTTCCTGGTGAAGGTCTCAACGTCGAGCAACGTAAGCGTTTGACTATCGGCGTCGAACTTGCTGCTAAGCCTGAACTCCTTCTCTTCTTGGACGAACCTACTTCCGGTCTCGATTCACAAACCTCCTGGGCTATCTGTGATTTGATGGAGAAGCTCACTAAGTCCGGCCAAGCTATCCTCTGTACGATCCACCAGCCTTCCGCCATGTTGTTCCAGCGCTTCGATCGCCTTCTCTTCCTCGCCCGTGGTGGACGCACCGTTTACTTCGGTGAAGTTGGCCAGAACTCGCACGTCCTTACCGCCTACTTCGAACGCAACGGTGCACACAAGTGTCCTCCTGATGCTAACCCTGCCGAGTGGATGCTCGAGGTCATCGGTGCTGCCCCTGGCTCTCACACTGATATCGACTGGCACCAGACTTGGCGCGACAGCGAGGAGTACCGCGGTACCAAGGCTGAACTTGAGAGACTTCGCACCCAACGCCCTCACGAGACCCAGCCCTCGACCGATCCCAACGACCAGACCAGCTACCGCGAGTTTGCTGCCCCCTTCGGTGTACAGTTCATTGAGGTCACTAAGCGTGTCTTCATCCAGTACTGGCGTACGCCCAGTTACATTTTCTCCAAGCTCGCTCTCTGTACTTTCTCCGCTTTGTTCATTGGTTTCGTCTTTTTCAAGGCCCCCAACTCCCAGCAAGGTCTACAGAACCAGATGTTCAGTATCTTCATGTTGTTCACTATCTTCGGTCAGCTTGTACAGCAAATCATGCCTCATTTCGTCACCCAGCGTGCTCTGTACGAGGTTCGCGAGCGCCCCTCCAAGACTTACTCCTGGAAGGCATTCATGTTGAGCAACATCATTGTTGAGCTGCCCTGGAATTCTCTTGGAGCTGTCATCATCTTCTTCTGCTTCTACTACCCCATCGGACTGTACCGCAACGCCGTTCCTACCAACGCAGTCACCGAGCGTGGTGGTCTCTTCTTCCTCTTCGTTTGGCAGTTCCTTCTCTTCACCTCGACCTTTACCAACATGGTTATTGCTGGTATCGACTTGGCTGAGACTGGTGGTAACATTGCCAATTTGATGTTCTCCTTGACCTTGATTTTCTGTGGTGTCCTTGTCGGACCTACCGTCATGCCTGGTTTCTGGATCTTCATGTACCGCGTGTCTCCCTTCTCCTACCTTGTCGACGGTATGTTGTCTGTCGCCGTCGCCAACACCGACGTCGTTTGTGCCGACAACGAATATCTCAATTTCAGATCTCCCGCCGGCCAAACTTGCGGTCAATTCATGGGTCCTTGGATCTCCAACTATGGTGGCTACCTCCAGAACAACCAGACCTCGGACTGTCAGTTCTGCCAAATTGCAGACACCAACGCCTTCTTGTCTGCAGTCAGCTCTTCATACAGCCACCGCTGGAGAAACTTCGGCATCATGTGGGCCTTCATTATCTTCAACGCGTTCGCTGCTGTTGGTATTTACTGGCTCGCTCGCGTGCCCAAGAAGGCAAAGAAGGCAAAGAAGGATTGAGTGTTTTGCTTAACTTGTCTGTCTAGTCTATGTTTTCTACCTCTCCACTTTGGATGAAGGTGCCTTTTGCATTTTTGGCGATTCGTGTTCGATTCATCTATTTGACCTGTCTATACCCTGTCCTTTCCCTACACTACACTAGAGGAGCATACATTGCAAAATTCGACATTTATTACTTCCTTTCATCTCAGTGCTTATGTTCTCGGGTGCTGTATCGTCGAATTTTCTGTGTGTCGCAAGTTTCGGTCATTTTGATATTGCTCATGCGCGTAGAGTCTCGCTTCTTCCAGGTCACTGCATAATCGTGAAGTGTCAATCAAGATATGTCAGATTGTCTATGCAGGTGTCTCGCGTAAAGTCCAATACCCAGGCATTCGGTATGCTTCGCAGTTTCTCAAGCACGTGCAATGACGTTGTCCAATCAGCATTCCTTCCGCCCTTGATTGCCTAACCGAACTTCCACTTGCCGTCCTCTTCTCCAGTGACCAACCAACAACGAGTGACACGCTGTGCTTACTGACGCATAAGCGCTATGAGTTTGCGGCCTCTGAGACAGAAACATATGGGCTCGGGGTGGTTTGCGTGCGTTCACGATGCTTCGACACGCTACGAGCAAACGATCGTCAGAGACTGCAGCCTAGATATCGGCCTTTGAAGCGCCAGCAACCAGAACAAGGTAGGTCCACGATAACAGGTTCGTGGAAGCTATATTTTGATGTTTCTGCTGTTCTTTTGCGGTGTATCGAATTCGCTACACACCAACGGCGTACGCATCTGACTTACTATACGTCGGCGGTGTTGGACTGCTTCGCCAACCCGACTTGGACACCGTGGTGGTACAGTATAAGATCCGTCTTTGCCGACTTCCTGCACAATTGCGTTGACTTCAAGTCGCACGACATGGATTTTTTCTCCGTCAGTCGTCAGCTTATCACGACCTTATCATCCGGCAATGATACCGATGTCAGCGATCTGCCTATCAAACTCCTTGAGGCAGTTGTCCCTGGCTATAGTTTGTTCGCTAATACCGCGCAACAATGGCTTGGCTTAGACATCAGTCTGTTCATGACCTGTATCGCCTTCTTTTTCATCGCCAAACGTGCCCTAGAATTCATCTGGCATCGTGTCTACGGGGCCTTCCTCGACCATCTGACAAGTTATGTACACATCGATGGTAGCGACGATCTTTATCTCACTATTCTCGAGTGGTTATCAGCCACACAGCCCGATCTTTCTAAGCGCTCGCTCGCTGCTCGTACGCAATACGGGTGCCAGTATGACTCTGATGACCCCGATGATGAAGACGGCAACGAGGACGTGGACATGCTCGCAAAGGTCGCGATTGGTGAACACGGCTACTTCAACTTCTCCAGAACTGCTGCCAAGGTTCCTCCTCGGTATGAGCCTGATCATGGCCAATTTTGGTTCTCCACTACACGCGGCACCTTTCTGTTCACCAAACGTCAATACACCACTCGCGGTAGCAACGGTGTCGAGCGCACAGAGTCTGCTATCGATTTCTGCTGCATCGGTCTCAGTACCAATCCAATCAAGCTACTTCTTGGCGACATCAAGGCTTGGACTATCCGCAAACAGAGCTCCAACACTGCCATTCGTATTCCGTGCGAAGATCGCTGGAATGGCTGGATGAGAAGTTCAGAACGTCCACCACGTCCTCTCGATACTGTCATCTTGGACCCGGAACAAAAGACCCAGATTCTACAAGACATGAACGAGTATCTTCACCCTTTGAGCTCGAAGTGGTACGCATCTCGCGGCATCCCATATCGTCGCGGCTACTTGTTCTCAGGACCTCCTGGGACTGGCAAGACTAGTTTGAGCTTCTCTCTGGCTGGAATATTTGGTCTCGATATTTACATCATTAACCTCATGGATCCCTCTCTGAGCGAGAGCACTTTGTCGAAACTCTTCAACAACTTACCGAAGCGATGTATCGTACTTTTCGAAGACATTGATGCTGCTGGCATACAAAAGCGCAACGATGATACCATCTGCGAATCCAGCTCGGAATCTGAGTCAGAGCTCGAAGATCCGGATGTGGAGTCGCTCAGTCCGTTACACAACAAGACTGTCATCAGAAGCATGCGCAAACGTGGTGAAGAAGTTAAGGACGAGCTCATCAACGGTTCTGAGGATTCTGCCAGCCTGGTTTCAGATACACCCATCACGGTCGGCTCCCTCGCCCGCGCTCTTATTGCCGCAAGCCGCCGTGCCTCTTCCACGTCTCCACCACCCACTCGTCACGAACACCGTCGTAGCCGCGAGCCTAAGGCACCTTCCACTACCGTCACCACCGAGGAGCCAGCATCCAAGATCTCTCTCTCGGGCTTGCTCAACGTGATCGATGGTGTGGCAACCCATGAAGGTCGCATCTTGATCATGACAACCAACCACCCGGAAAAGCTCGACCCAGCCTTGATCCGTCCCGGAAGAGTTGATATGCAGATCTCGTTCACTTATGCCTCTACCTCGCAGATCAAGAGCTTGTTCGTGAGGATGTATACCCAGTCTACAGGCACTGCTAATGGAAGACATTCGCCACAACTTGGAGTGGCAGGTGGATTAAAGAGTAGGAGTGGGCTCAAGGATGCAGAGGATACGCTCATAGACACCGAGTTGGAGACACTAGGTACAAAGTTCGCTCAGGAGCTACCAGAGGGCAAATTCGCTCCGTCGGATGTGCAAGGCTATCTTTTAATGTACAGAAAAAAACCGAGAGAGGCTGTGGAAAAGGCTGGTGCTTGGAGAGATTCAAAGCTTGCCGAGCTGTCTAGAAAAGGCAAGGGCAAGACAGATGGTCGTAGAGCAAGGAAGACTTGATAGGAAAGCATGAACAATACATTATCGGAGCTTGATTTTACGCACTTATGATTTTATTTCCATTAGATGAGTGAAACACAAATTTAATGATTTCCAGTATATTTTGATATTTTCTCAACATAAGAATAAGATAGGAAAGGGAGGTCGAGTAGTTGCCAGAAAATCTTCTCCTCGTGCTTTTTAGTTTTAGCATTTCGAGCGCTCTCAACTTTTCCATCACAAAACCGCGACTCGCAAATCAGGTAACGCGAGATTTCAATGTAAGCACTAAGGAAAAATCGGAATCTCGCTAAAGATTACTATCCGGAGTTTCTTGTTATTACGATTATCAATTCTATATAAACAAGATTGAAACCTCTGATAATGCAAGTAAGCAATATTCAGTTTCTGCCGCAGCATATTTAAGCCTTCCAGTCAAAAGCACTCTGCCAAGCGTGACCAGCTCGTAGCACTTTTCCATCTTGCCACATTCCGCCAATAATCTGCATGCCTACTGGCAACTTGACCTTATCGTCCTCTTTCGCAGGTAAGAAGCCAATCGGTATCGTCATAGCAGGCTGTCCTGTAGCATCAAATTGAACAGTGTTACTCGTCAGTCCCACAGTCGGTGCTATGGTAGCTATTGGGGTTGTCAAAGCTCCATGTTTTGGAGCAACAAATGGAGTCGTGGGAGTGATGAGGACATCGTACTTCTCGAAGGCTTTCTCGTAAGCAAGACGGAGCTGACGACATAGATTTTGTGCTTTTGGGTAGAGGGCTGGGAAGCTGTCGATGAGGTATTTTCCGTTCAAGAAGATGTTCTTTGTGGTTGGGAAGCCTGCACTCTGTGTAAGTAGGGATATTACGTGATACTCTACGGTCGATGCTCACATTTGTCGAATTTCTCTTGTGTCCAGGGAAGCTTTGCCGTCTCTAGACCTGTGAGACCGTAGCCATGACGACCAGTCTGCTGGCCTTGGAGAGCCAAATAGCCGGAGATACGCTGTTGTATCGTCCAGATAGCATTACCCATCGGGTGCATAGGAATGGAGACTTCTTCTACCGTCGCACCCAGAGCTTTGAATTTGTTTGCTGCAGACAGGACAACGCTTTTGACATCTTTATCCAGCAACGCAATCTCGAAAGCTTCAGTGAGAATGCCAACTCGCATACCTTTCGCGCTATCGATCGATTTCAAATCGGCTGCGAAGGAGGTAGTAGCATGTTTGGGAGCACCGAGACTGCGATCATCTATGCCATCGTACCCGCTAATGGCATCCAAGCATTCGGCAACTTCCACAACAGTCCGAGCTAGAGGACCAGCGTGGTCATCAATAGGGTCATTGCTAGCAATGCCAGTGTATGGTACTAGACCATGAGTTGGCTTCAGCCCAACGCATCCGCAGAGTGAAGCAGGCACTCTGATACTGCCACCCTGATCAGCTCCGATGCCGATGTCGACAAGACCTCCAGCAACCAATGCTGCAGCTCCAGATGTACTTCCTCCAGCTGAGTAGCCCTCTGCGTACGGATTGTGGACGATACCTTGTGCACTCGAGAACGATGAAGTACTCTGACACCAGTTCTCACAGTGTGCAGTGCCAACGATCTCTACCCCTGCTTCCAAGGCCCAGCGAACGACTGTAGCATCTGCTTCTGGTATCCATGGGTCGATGATGTCGGTACCGAGGAGTTGAGGAACGCCAGCAACACATATACAGTCCTTGAGACAGACGGTTTTGCCTGTCAAAAGTCCAGATGGCTGTTTATCTTTGATAGAAAAAGTATGTGCCCAAGCATGACCAAGTACATTCTCGTCTAGAGTGGGCCTCTGGACATTTTTTCTAGGGAACCTCTCCAAGTCTGTTGACGCATGGAAGTCAGGCAACGCAGCTACTGTATCGGCACAATCATGTATAGCTGCGAGGAGTTTCTGATAATCGTCCTCTTCTGACTCGGGTACGCTGACATTGAGCTTGGCAAAAGTACTTCGTACATCTTCAGTAGATACTGTGTTTCCACTAGAAAGATTTCAGTATAGCACAGCAGGACGTTGAACTCTACATACGCTGAGATGGAAGTGAAGAGGACCGACATTGTGTAAAAGTAGCACGTATACCACCTCGGAGATGGACACCTGCCATACTTAGGCGTTTTGTAGTCCACGGCGTAATCGTGGTGGGGTGTATTATGATCGTCCGCCGAGGTCGAGATAGGGTGACAGCGTTCATATAGCTTATCAGCTCTTATCGCTTATCGCTCTACCATGATGTTCGAACATGAGGGGTTTGCGCTGTGATTCAGCGGCACATACTCCAAGTACTCCAACTATCTTGGAGATCTTCTTGAGAGATAGGGCGACTATAGATTAAAGCGATAGCTGTTCTTTGTGATTAGGTAGCCTGTCATGACAAGTATATAACAACTCCATTTTCGGTTCGAACAAAGCGTTTCGTCTGACATCAGATTATTACCTTCAATACACTCAACAATGTCGCTCACGCCTTCTATGATCCCGTCTAACCTGGACAGCATAGCTGACTGGAAGTGGGATGGCCACTATGATTTTCCTAGAGACTTGATTGGCTACGGCGAGAAGAGTCACAACCCGAAGTGGCCGAACAATGCGAAGATCGCAGTATCGTTCGTGATCAATTATGAAGAGGTCAGTCTCATAGAGAGAGGCATATATACCACCTGCTGATGAATTATCTAGGGGGCGGAAAACAGTGTTTTGAACGGTGACGTCCACAGTGAGAACCACCTGTGGGAGGCTCCGGTAAGTCTCTTAGTATACTGCTGCCAATAAGCAAAACTGAGAGTATTGGAGGGAGGTCCACCAAGAATCAAGGAACGTGCTGTCAATGTCGAGTCAGAATACGACTACGGTGCAAGAGCTGGTGTCTGGCGCCTTTTCCGACTGTTCAACAAACATGACATGAAGTTCACCCTCTATGGTGTTGGCAAGGCTCTTGAAGATAATCCAGCAGTGGGTCGCTCGGTGAGTAGCCATATTATCACGGCGAAATCATGCATTAACCTTTGATGGTAGTGCGTCGAGAATGGCCATGATGTTGCTAGTCATGCATACCGGTAATTTCTAGCGACTCCGCTGCGTGGGTCTTTCTGCTAACTATGTATAGCTGGGTCGACTACCATGACTTCCCTCCAGAGAAGGAGAAGGAGTATATTCGACAGGGCATTAATGCCATCAAGAATGTGACCGGCGAGTATCCCAAGGGTTGGTACTATGGTCGTCTGAGCCCAAAGTCTCAGGCGCTTGTCTGGGACGTGTACAAGGAAATGAACATTCCTCTACTCTGGATGTCGGACTCATACGCGGACGACGTGCCATACTGGGTTGATGTGCCTGCCGAAAAGGACGTCGAGAAGCCTGAGGGCATGCTGATGATTCCATACTCCTATGGTGAGTTCAATCCTCACAATTCTTGAATCCATTATGCTGATATTCTTGAAGATTGTAACGATTACAAGTGTAAGTCCGGCTTCTGCTCAGCGAGGTGGAATAACGATACTGACACGCTCCAGTCAACGTGCCCACCGGCTTCGGTAGTCCAACAGACTTCTATGACCACGTCAAGGGCGCATTTGACGTACTCTACGAAGAGGGCTCCGAAGGTTCGCCAAAGATGATGACTATTGGTCTTCACTGCCGATGCATTGGCAAGCCCGCTCGTTTCGCAGCGTTGAAGAAGTTTGTCGAGTACATTGGCGAGAAGGAGGGCGTCTGGGTCACGACGCGTACTGCAATTGCTGAACACTTCCGCTCTACTTTCCCATATAAGAAAGGTCAGCTTGCTTAGATAAGAGGTTGATGGAATTGTGAGGCTGCTTTTCGATGACTGTCGATGACGAAGCGGCCCGGGATGCCTTGCCCAGCCTTGTTTTCTTGAAGCCTTCCTTCTCTCTTCCTCCCAGCCGACATTTTTTCTACTCAACCACCCAGAATATATTGTTTAATCTTCTGCCTAAAAACAGAGACGATTCTCGTTGTAGGCCAGTGAGGTTCTGTTTTTGGCGCATCGATTAACTGCACCTGCAACCATTGCTACGAACAAAGAGCTAGGAAAATCGCTCCACGACATGGCTTGCAAGTCGTTGTCTTTGTCAAGAAGTTCAACTCCTCTTTGACGTCGGAGTGGTCGGACATGACTTTCCTCAACGACTTCGCATCCGCACTCCAATGCTTCTTCTCCTTTGATCCTCCACGTGAAACCTGGTCTAGGCGGCGAATTCGAGATGATGTTTGGCAGAGACCGAGCTCGCAACCCACAAAATTCTGGGGCGAAACGTTGAATTTTACGTATCAGAAATCTCTGACAGCGTCACAGGCAAATTTTACGGCCCGAACTAGGCCAGTCATACTCACAGGTGATTTCGTCGCTTTTCACTTGCCTTCTCTGTCTGTTTCATCTCATACTGTCCTGCAAGCTCGCGAACTCAATTGACCGATTGCCGATATATACATCATGGCGGACAACGGTATACAGAATGCTGGAGCACGACTCGAAAAAGAAGCCGACGTCAACGAGAAACATGCATGGCAATCAGATGCGAGCTCAGGCTCATTGGATCATGCCATTGAACGAGGAACCACACACCAGCTTTCTAGACAGCTCAAGTCTAGACATTTACAGATGATTGCTATTGGTATGCTCGCATGGGAATGAACCACCTCTGACTTTCAGCTGACAAGACCCAGGTGGTACCATTGGCACTGGGCTTTTCATCGGTTCAGGAACAGCACTCGCCAACGCAGGTCCGGCCGGAGCTCTCATTGCATACGCTTTCGTGGGAACACTAGTTTACAGTGTTATGGTGTCCCTCGGTGAGATGTGCGCATTCCTTCCTGTTACTGGAGCATTCACCGCATACGCCAGTCGTTTCGTCGACCCTTCGCTCGGTTTCTCAATGGGTTGGGTATATTGGTGGGCTTGGGCTTCCTGCTACGCTCTCGAACTCACCGCGAGTGGTATCATCATCCAATACTGGCGACCTGATCTGAGTCAAGCTATCTTCATCGGATGCTTCTGGATTGTTATCACGGCCCTCAACTTCTTGCCAGTCAAATTCTACGGAGAAATCGAGTTCTACTTCGCTCTTATCAAGGTCATTACCGTCCTCGGCTTCATGATCTTCGCCATCTGTATCGATGCTGGAGCTGGTCAACACGGATATCTTGGCTTCGAGACATGGAGAAACCCTGGTGCTTTTGCACCATACCTCGTCGATGGAGGCAGAAGTACTGCTCTTGCCAAATTCGTTGGCTTCTGGTCAGTCTTGATCCAAGCCGGCTTTTCGTACTCAGGTACCGAGTTGGTCGCCGTCGCTGCAGGCGAGACATACAACCCTCGCAAGACAATCCCCTCGGCTATCCGCAAAACCTTCTTCCGCATCATTTTCTTCTTCGTGTTTACGATCTTCTTCATCGGTCTCTTGGTCCCCTACGACAATGAACAACTTCGCGCTGGTGGTGATGATGCGACTGCCTCGCCTCTCGTTATCGCAGCCAAGCTTGCTGGTATCAAGACGCTTCCTGGCATCATTAACGCAGTCTTGCTCTGCACTGTTCTGAGTGCTGCCAACTCAAACGTCTACTCAGCTTCCAGAATTTTGGTCGGTCTTGCAGGTGAAGGCTTCGCCCCAAAGTTCTTTATGAACACTATTGGTGAGGTGCCTATGTACGCTGTCGGGTTCACATCTCTATTCGGTCTTCTTGGTTTCATGAACGTCTCATCGGGCGGAAGTGTCGCATTCAACTGGCTCATCAACATCAGTGGTGTTGCAGGCTTCATCGCTTGGGCATGTATCTTGGTCTCTCACCTGGCTTTCATGAGAATCCTGAACGCCAAGGGCATTTCCAGAGATACTCTGCCGTACAAAGCTATGCTTCAGCCCTGGTTCACCTACTACGGACTCTTCTTCTGGATCTTGATTATTATCACTCAAGGATTTACCGCTTTCATTCCTTGGGATACATCGAGCTTTTTCATCGCCTACATCAGTTTGATCCTGTTCGTTGTGCTGTACATCGGCCACAAGGCAATCGTCAGACCAAGCTTCGTCAAGCCTGCTGAGGCAGATATCGATTCGGGCAGAAAGGAGATTGACGAGCAAATCTTTGAAGAGCCAGTACCGACAACCTTCTTTGGCAAGTTCTGGGCATGGCTCTCATGAGACCAATTTTACGACGAAAAGCATGTCTGCGTTTCATCTTTGTTTTCTCTCCATAGCGATTTAGTAGCGATATCATGACCATCTATCAATTACAATAATTACGTTTTCAGCATTCAGCATCGAGCACCAAGACTCCGTATCTGGACCCTCGTTTCCCACGCACTCTTATCGCATGCACCTCTGACTCGACTTTTTGAGTCACACTTTGATCCTATAGTATAAACACAGCCAATGGTCTCTCCCTCACGATAGCACAACTCAATGTCAATTCTCTGTTCGTTCAGGAAACACGTCGCATCTCAATTAATCATCTCGTCGACGCATCGCAAAATGGCCAGCTCGGTCCCCACCAACAACGTCATAAAATCTTACCCACAGGGCACGATAGAGCTAGCCCAACACAACGATCTTGCCAGCATACACGATCTCATCACCACAGCCTATACGCCTTACATCGCTCGACTTGAAGGCAGGAAGCCAGCGCCAATGACTGCAGACTATGCTTCTCTGGTCACAGATTCGTCACTCTATATCCTTCGTCCTGCTGCCTCTCCTTCCACAATTGCGGGATGCATATCGCTCGCGCTGACTGAAGGAGGTGACGCTTTGGAGGTCAACAACCTAGCTGTTTCTCCGGCAGCGCAGGGCAAAGGGTATGGTAAAGTCTTCATGGCTTTTTCAGAAGAGCTTGCAAAGGACAAAGGCATCAACAAGCTAGAACTCTACACCAATGTCAAGATGGTGGAGAATCTGGCATTGTATAAGAAACTAGGGTATCAAGAGTTGGGAAGGTGGAGTGAGGACGGTTTTGAAAGAGTGTTCTTCAGGAAGGAAGTCTGGTAGATGGTCTTGATTTTCGTCAAAGTCTTCGCTTAATGGTCAATTCATTGTCAAGTTCATCATGTTTGTCATCGTCACTGCTCGCTGCTCCTCAGTTCTCATGTTTCGAGCGCAACAACCGCTTTCCGTGTATCACGCTTGACGCCGGCACTCCGTGGCCTATGACCTCATAGTTGTTGGAGTCTGTCACCCTGTCTGCTTCGAATACACCTTCGGTTTACCGCCATGCTTTCACTGCCAGGCTGTACGTGAGGTAGAGCATACTGCAAGTGTATTTGTAGACTTCCATATAGATCCGATTGGTCTCACTCACATATCGGCCGAGACAGCTCCAATCCCCGCATCATCTGGTCATCTGGTAATTCATTGAATTTCATTCCTTCTCAAATGCACTTTCCAGTCCTCGAGCATTCAAAACTCGAATTCGACCAAAACACCACAAGACAGGCCCGGATGGCCATAAAACTTGTAAGAAGCATGTCAGAGCATCTAATTTATGACCTGACATAGTTCTCGGTAGACTAAGTGTAATGGTACTGCTGAAATATCGTCGTCGACCTTGGAAAGTGTTGTAAGAAGCATCACCCTGTTCTCCCAGCCACCTCGGATTGTAAAGTCAAAAGTCGCACGAAAGTCTCACGATATTCCGCGCTGCCCAGCTCTAAGAGCTCCATGCCAGGTTAAATCTCTGATAATTCGTGATCAAGAGGGACAGAACGACGCTGTGAGAGGAGCCTGTCTCATAGGCCTATGAGACTGCATTGTTCTCTCGCTAGCACGGAGCGCATCTTTTCTCAACTTGAATCGCTCAATAATTGTGCCATCGGACACAACAAATGTGCTGTCCAATCTTCACCACTTGCGACACTAGCATCTCTTCGTCAATCCCGGATGGTCTTGTCAACCGATATGAAAGGTAGCAGACACCCAGCTACCTCTTATCCTCTAGCGACCCAAGCAGCTTCCTTGGCACAGATTTTGTACAACCTCGGCCATTCCAATCTCTTCTCCTCCTTCTTCTCCAACACGCTCATCTCAACAATGGTCAGTCTCTTCGGAGGATAAGGAGGTCGGAACGGCTGGATCAAAGACCTTTCTCTGAGGTGTCTAACCTGTACGCGGACGCCTGGGACAGGTTGACGCGCGTGTATTTCCTACAACACCCAGTGGAAGAACATCTTGTGACTGACATTATGCTGTATCATGTGTTGCTCGCAGGCTCTACGTACAGCAGTGACGAAACTCTCAATCCAAGCTACGGAGCAAATCGCAGGTCTTGCAGTCCACGCATCCATGTATGGTCCGAACACAAAGCTGCCAGTCTGGTTGGTGTTTGTAGGGTCCATGGTCAACGACGCACGAACAGTGACTTCACGGCAACGGTCTTTGAAGGACTCGATGCTAAAAGCCAGGCTTTTGAAACAAGAGAGCTCGATGTAAAGTTTGTGCACCCCAGCAAGCATTTCGTCAATGCCGACCAAATCGCGGAAGCAAGCCCAGAGAGCATTCTTGCCGATCATGACAAGACGTTCAGGGGAACGTAAAACAGGGGTGATGCCGTTGGTGAAGCTGACCTCCCAGAAACGACGGTAGGTAGCATGATGTATGTGGATCTGCAGAGTCGCGTTCTGCGTGAGCTGAGACAAAGCAACGCGACGAAAGCTTCGGTTCATCTGCAAGGGGGGACCGGGAAGAATCTGATGACGCTTATTTTCGAGGATGTAGACCAGGGTTTGATCAAGGAGCTCTGTTGGAAGTCTAGCGAGGCCGCGACGAATCGCTGCCATGGCCGCTGTCTGTCGAGGGATGGTTGTGATGTTGTGCCGTGACATGCTGGGACTGACCTAGTGCCGTTGGTGGTGAAGGCGGTGGACAGGATGGTTCAAGAGGCCAGAGTAACAAGACACATACCCCCCCATGCCCTCATGAATATCGGAACTCACGTCTGTGACTGTTCTGTCATGAGACGATAGAAGCAAGAACCATCAATTCGTGAAACAAGACTGATACGGAACATGACAGAATATCCGATCGACCGACGGCCTGGACCAGGTCCATCCGGGAGCATTGTCTTAATCTACATGCAGCATAACACTCATCTGTTCATGCTCAATGCACTCTATGATTATTCACGAGCGACTCTTCGAATGACCAAACAGCGGGTGTCTTAAGCAAACAATGACCCCTTCGGAAGTGGCCTTGCACGGATGAGGAGCAGTGATTTTTTCTGCTATCCTGTAGCGAAAGGGAAGGAACGTCGAAGTCGTCAGCGACTAGATACCGTCTCAGCAGGTAATCTAAGTAGGTCGCGTGTGCTGCAGCAGACTCTTTCTCATCAAGTTTCTAGTGCACAGGAGATTCTCCGACGACGTCAAAGCTGTAGATATGCTTGACAAGCGCAAGGGCAATATCTTCATCATGATCCTCGATGGTGTAGTTGCTGATGGCGGCAAAGGGGCTATAGAAGACTTTGAGCAAGACTCTTGACGTTTGGGCTAGCGCGGATGTGTGACCATAGATCTCTGTTCCTCTCGGAAAGCGTATAGTGACATCTGATCTGATGGCATTGTTGAAAAGTTTTTGTAGCAAGTCAGGCTGTACAAGCTGCTCTTGCTCTAAATCATCGTAGGTTCCCCACATATCCGTCGCGAGTCGGCAAGAAGAGGTTCTTAGGACTACGTCTGAGTGCGGTTCGGGAAATTGGGTGTGTCTTCAGACTCCCGTCATCTGGCCTACTTTGGAGGGTTTTTTGGATATTTTCTCAGAACGTGAGCTGTGAGTTGAGAAGTCGAATCTGTCTTGCGCATGTCCTTTATTCTTGCTCCGGCGCGACTCAACCAAACATCCGTCATGGACGAGAGCGTGAGTCGAACATGTTCATGTGATTGACGCACAGCGGAAGGAGCGTAGTCGTACCAACAAAACGACAATAGCACCCAACACCTTCTAAGCCTCAGAGCCTTCTGACGATATTGACCGTCGAGCGTACAGCGTAGGACCAGTGTTGTGCCGGTGGATTCAGAGGTCAAGGTACATCGATTGGCGAAATGTCTAGCGTTTGCGACCATGTTGAGCCGTCTTCTCATTGTACGCGTATCTTACACCCAACCCAGTAGGCCTTACATCCCTTTTCCAGCATGCCAAAGTATTCTCCACAAGTCTATTCCAAAGATCTGCCTCTATCTTCCTCCTCAATGACCTCTTCGTAATCTTCTTCGTCATCCATACTTCTGTAAATGAAAAATTGGGCAAAGACACCAAAGTCGAGGAAGAGCGTGCCCAAGCTACCAAGGATCCAGCTGAGGTTGACCAAGATATATCTGCCGTAGATTGCGCTAGCCTCTCCAGGTCTGCACTTTTGACCGTGCTTGCCGTGGTGGCAGATGGGGTTGAATGCGAAAATGCTGAGGACGTAGGTCAGATTACCGATGCAAGCGAAAAGGAAGAAGAGAGCGTTGAGACCCTCAGTGCTCTTGCGGCGGTAGTTGAGCAGGAGTTGAGGGACGCGACTGCCGAGGTAGAGTGCAGCGCACAAGTAGCCAAAGACTTGACCAACAATATTGAAGTGGAGGTTATCATTCTGCTGCTCCTCAGTCTCGCCGCCGCTGTTTGATGAAGGGCTGAGGTAATAACCAGCGATACCAGCTGCAACGACAAGAACAATCGCGGTCAGGTTGAAGAGCATCTTCTGCACGATGGAACGTTTGGCCGATCTTGGTCTTTGGATCTTGGGGACAGGGTGCATGGGATTGGCAGGTGACATGTGAACACCATCGTTCACGAAACGCTCGCCGAAAGAGGACGCAGAGCGTGTGCGAGGAAGATCGCTAGTACCATTTCCGTTGGCTGAGAGAAGTCCAGAGCGCTCGTTGGGGGTCTCCTCCTCCACGTCCGAAGGCTTGACGGGCTTAGGATCTCTGAAGTGGAATCCGCGGTAGTAGAAGCATTGTGCCAGTAACACGATATCCGCGAATGTGTAGTAGATAGCCAGAATGATCTGAAAAGAACATAAGCTTTGTTTCCAATTTCACACGTCAAATGTTCCGACTGACCATTGTGGGAAGGACTCTCTGCATGACAGCACCAATGATATTGGCGAAGTCTCCAAGAAGCCATATAATGACAAATTCTATACTCAAACCCTCAGCGCTACTGCGTCTGAAATTCTCAATGATCTGAGGCGAAAAGACGACCACCCAGCAGGCTAGAATCATATTAGCGACAGTCTTGGTGGAACAATTGACGAACAAGGCAAAACTCACCAATGGAGATGCTCCCCATAATGCCACTGATGGCCTCAATATCGAGGTTATACCCAGCCGACGGCGGAAACATGATCGCGTGCCTATCACAATATCCTGACAGAATTGATAGAAAAAACAGCAAAGAGTGAACTTTACTGCTAGCGATGGTTGGATGGTGTTCAGCGAATCAAAGTCCAATGCCGGCCTTGTAGTTGGTCGTGGGGAATTCTCTGACGTTCAGGGTGGCTTGAGTCATAAAAGATGACGCTGTTTGTGATCCTTGCACAATTTATGTAACAATTTATGCAGCTTTCGAGCATTGTTTAGATGCGAGATCAGCATCTTGCTCAGTTTCGTGATATCAAAGAGTGTTTGATGCTGGCGAGGGATGAATACTTTCAAGCTCAGAGCACAGCCGAAAGTCATGTCCTGCTTTCGAGGATAAGATGCAACATAATTTGATCTGCATGCGGGCATGGGACGGAGTAGATTTAATCTCCTTTTCCATCCTTTTCTCTCATCTATCAGATACCAACCCCGCATTTTCAGCATCTGCTCCCAAAGAAATCTTTCCCAAAAGTTTACCATCTGAACCACCTTGATATTTCTGCCAAAAGTACACCAATTTCCTGCACTAGAGCTTCCTACCACGTCCCAAACCAGGCTTCTGCGATTCATCATTCATCTACCCAGCTGCCCACCATACAACAGTCAACATGGCATCCGGAAAAGCAGCCAGAGTTCAACTCAGCGATGACGAGGTCGACGATATTCTCTACCTGACCCGCACAAACGAGAGTGCGGAACTCCAGCAATATCTCGGTCAACTCTCCCAACAACACAACTGCAGTATCGCTGCTCTGCTCGAAAGCACCGTCGACGAGGACAATGGCAACACACCTTTCCACTACTGCGCCGCGAATGGCTCCGCTGGTAAGACATTCGTTTAGAAGACCCTAGTGGCAGAATGTGTACTGACAGTGGGTTCCAGATCTCCTTAAAACGCTCTCATCGCAACTGGACCCCTCGACGAAAACTGAAGTCTTGAGTCGCAAAAACGAGGCCGGTAACACAGCATTGCATTGGGCATCCGTAAATGGTCACGTCGAAGCCGTAAAGGCCTTGATCGACGGTGGTGTGGACGTATGGGTCAAAAACGCTGCTGGACACCTTCCCGTCTTCGAGGCCGAACGCGCAGAAAAGGACGAGGTTGTCGCAACATTGTTGATTGCTGGTGGAAAGGAAGACGAGGAGAAGTCAAGAGCAGAAGAGGGTGAGGCCACCGAGGATGACAAGGCTGATGTCGAAGGCGTGACGAGTCAGATGGGCGAGTCGAGCTTGGAGAAGTGAGCAATAGAAGCTGCTTCGATCGGATTTACATGATACCCTGCTAGAGCAACGAACACAAGACGTCGCTCTGTCTATGCTCCGTGGTGACTTTGGAAGCGGCGCAAGAACTATCACTCCAAAGCACGCAAGCACACTTCAGACACCCTGAGCTTCTGCGAAGCACGCACTAGAGAAAGCCAGGCACGTAGAGACATAAACGATGGACTTAGTCTGCAAAACTACATAGATTCTAACATGAAATATCACACGATTCTCAAAACTTGTCTCCAGGTAGACTTTCAAAGGCATGTTGATGTGTATCCTGGCTACTTTTCTGGAAAGGTTCGATGAACGTATATATCCATCGATCGAAGTATTGTTCTTGCGATGTCCCAAAGACCACTGTGTTACAACATTGGAGGTCAACGTTAACCTGTAGACATGGTATACACGTTTTCGTAGCAGACATATACTATTGGTAACATCAACTACCGCAGCACAGAACAAAGCAGATCAGTTCTTAGCTCAGAACACAATCGCATGGCTGATTTATATCGTGCGTATCGTCACTGCTTCACCAGACTGTGAACTCAGTCCGCATAACGATGTCGAGGTAAGCCGAGTCTGGTCCTCTTCATCTAACTTACTATGCACGCGTGCTCGGTTGCACTCCCTAGCGGCGCAGTTGGTTTGTATCACTGTGGCCAATATGTCTAATGTGATGGTCGATCTCTCTTTCAAAAGGAGTCAGAGCTCTTCGAAGCCGGATGTGCTGGTAAGTGTTTTTTTTAGTATAGACTGCTCTTCTCGATACTAAGACAATGGCGATTATCGTGGAGAGAGGACAGCTTCCTGCAATGTTTTAGAAAGCTTCCATCGCTACAGGTACCGCTGGATGTTGACGAGACCTGCCTTTTCGGTAGTGCAATTCTTGAATAAGATTCAATGTGATGCTGAAGAAAGACAAAGCATATATGAGACAATGTACATTGCTGTAGGTGAGGTACAGGATTTCCAAGGGGCAGCCTCTTTGGACTTTGGAGCGCATCTGAAGCAAAGAAACAATACATTTCATCTTTCGTCTCCTACAAGCGTTCGAGCCTTTTTAGTGGAATGGCGTTGATGATTTCTCCTCTATCGACAGGTCGAAGCATGATTAATTTACGAGGTCTCGGGGTACATGGCCTCTCTAAGCTCGACACCGAGTTCTGACCTGAGGCTCTCGAGCTCGGTAAGGTACTCGTCGTACTGAGCCTGGTTCTCGACCTTGGCCTTGATGCCTGTAGGAGTATTTTGTCAGCATGACGAGCGTGTTTTGTCGTAGGAATATGACGCACCCTCGAAGATTCTGACAGCAGTGGGGAAGTCGTTGACCCTGCGGGCGGCCTTGAGGGCGGCGACAATGACCGAAGGGGCGGGGACAAGATCGTAGGCGAAGGCGTTGTTCAAGTTACGCTGTTGGTGGATCCGGTTAGAGACGGACGTGTTTGAAGACGTAGATCAGCAGTGTGGAAGTACCTGGAGCTCGAAAACATCCTGAACACCCTCGAATTCCTTCTCGTATCTGCATTGAATATGGAGTCAGCAACTGACTAGGACTGGTCCGTATATGGTGGTCGAGAGGAGCGGAAGTTCGGAAGCGGTTGATCGTCATAAAGGCTCCGGTGGACGCCAGCAAGATGATGGAATGTTCGGTGCTAGGGCGTGGAATGGTCTCACCTGGCGGTGAACTCCTCGAAGCTCTCCTCGTGGTGAGGGTCGTGTGCGTCAACGTCGGCACGCTTGATGCTGGCGACGCTGAAAGTTCTGGCCTGGTTGAGACGCTGGATGCGCGATGCGACCTGGATACGGGGCTGTGCGGGGGCGCGAACGGCGCGGGCGGCGACACGGAAGAAGGACATTGTGCGTTGGAGGTGAGACGAGTATCGAGGAGGGAGAATTGAGTCGACGGTGAGACAGAGCAGACAGTCGGAGCGAGGCAGCTTTGCATGACCTGTAATCCGCGACGCCGTGAGTGGTTGGCCCGTGCCCTGTCCAAGAAACAAGCCTCATCATGACCATCACCTGAGGTTACCGCCCTGACCCTGTTCGACACCACCATCTCCTACATTACACCCACCGACCCACCGACCCTCTGAATCATTCTTCCAGTTCTTCCGAAGTCTGTCACAAGTGCATTGATATATTCCATGTATCCCATTCGAGATGAACCTTGTATTGGCCGCATTCGCTAGGCACGGACAATCGTGCAGTGTTTGTATGGACAGCGCGTTGTGTTTTGGTCGATTGTCATGCCCGGTACCTGCATATCCTACTGCAGAATACCAGTCGCACAAAATGAACAATATCAGTCACCCTCTCTTCTGCCTACAAACGTCTATTGTCACTTCCAAATACGGGACTGCTTGCGAATAGTTACCAAGACATTATACACGCTCCTCCAGAATCCAAATGACCACCACCGCCAAGACCAGACCTCGGCTGCCCCAAGTTGTGTTGAAAGAATAATTTCCCGACCTCCTTTATAATGTAAGCTTCCTCCTTCCCAACGCCCTGCACCCCGTCTCCAGGTCCAATTCTTGTCTTCTTCGCTCCGGTAATCCTGTCATTACCTTTCTTGTCCTTCCTTTGCTGGCCGTAGGCCTTGTATCTTCCTTTCCAAAGCTCCCGCTCTGAACACGTCTCAAGCCGTCAAGTACCGACAACAATGTCTACACCCGAATGGATCCGCTACGGCGCGCCCACTCTTGACCGTCCCTTCGGTCTCGAGCTGTGGCCCATCTTCGAGAAGGCCTTCACCTCGATCAAGGGCTACAAGCCCCAGGACTTCCGCTTTGTCCCCGGAAAGACCCCTATGGCTACCTTCAAGGAGACGGCCACCATGCTCGTCTGCTACTACATCATCATCTTCGGCGGCAGAGAGTTCATGCGTGGTCGCGAGCCCTTCAAGCTCAACTTCTTCTTCAAGGTCCACAACTTCTACCTCACCCTGATCAGCGGTCTTCTCCTGGTTCTGTTCGTCGAGCAGCTCCTGCCCGAGATTGTCAGAAACGGCGTTTTCCACGCTGTCTGCGCTTACGAGGGCGGCTGGACCGACAAGCTCGTTGTTCTCTACTACGTACGTTCCGCTGCTTCCGCGACAACAGGAACGCGCTTACTGACAGATTGCAGCTCAACTACCTCACCAAGTACCTCGAACTGATTGACACTTGCTTCCTTTTCCTCAAGAAGAAGCCTCTGAGTAAGCGCGCCTTATCTGCATGTCCAATTGCTCCAGCTAATTCAGTTTCCAGCTTTCCTCCACACCTACCACCACGGCGCCACCGCTCTCCTCTGCTTCACCCAGCTCCTCGGTCACACCGCAGTCTCATGGGTTCCCATCACTCTGAACTTGACCGTCCACGTCGTCATGTACTGGTACTACTTCCAGGCCGCACGTGGCATCCGCATCTGGTGGAAGAAGTACATTACCGTCATGCAAATCCTCCAGTTTGTCATCGATCTCGGCTTCGTCTACTTCGCCTCGTACACCTACTTCACCTTCAGATACTTCCCCAACATGCCCAACATGGGTATTTGCGCCGGTGAGGAGTTCGCCGCCTTCGCTGGTATGGCCATCCTCAGCTCTTACCTCTTGCTCTTCCTCTCCTTCTACGCCGCTACCTACAAGAAGCCCACGAAGAAGGGTCGCAACCGCGCCACCAGCGCTCTGGTTGAGATGAAGGACGAGAAGGTCCCCACTGTTGGCGAGGCTAGAAGAAGATTCAGCGGTGGTGAGGCCCACTTCACTGGCCGTGACGGAACCACCCCCAACGGTCGCGTAACTAGAAGCCGCAAGGCATAAATGCATCAAAGTATGCATGCCAGCGCCTGACGGTTTGCGATGATTGCTCACATGCAACCGTCTTGAGATGTGTAGGTGAATATACGACATCTCAACCACATTTTGAGAAATAGGCAGAGATGCTTATATGCGGATAAAGGGCACGATCGTCAGGGAATGCTGTCCCCGAGCCTATCGTTGCCCAATCTGTTTGGCCTTTTGCGATGTTTGGCCAATTTTCCGAGCATCTTGCCCTGAACAAGCAAGAGCTCACTTCATTACTTCTTTGTAATTTCTCTAGGGCCCCGGTTTTCAAAAACGAAAAGGAGTACAGGTTCGACATGATTGATTGTAAAAAGAGAATACAAGAATACAGAAGAGACAGGGTCAACGCGTCATGCTCGCTGTATGATAGAATCATGTAATCAAAGAACGAGAAAAAGAGTCATAATCATTTATCAGTATACACTTTGATCTACTCAACAAGTGACACTGCCTAGTACTCTAATTTCTTTTGCGGCTGGACGAGTCTCTGAGGAGTAAATCGTCGCGTGCTCTGATGGGGTGCAGGGTGCAGGGTAACAGCCTGCATCTGGTAGCTTGAAGGGATTGAGGGTCTGCAAACTTGGGTAGCTTCCAAGACATGTCTTCCTCAAGATTCTCCGTTGCCGGCGTACTACTCTTTTAGCTTTGTGTCCCCGTCATTGCAGAAAGTGGTGTGTAGAGCCCATGACACGATTAGGTTTTACGATCAGATCCGGATAATGTGTTGAGAGCCGGACCCTTTCCCATTCTGAACAAAAGGCTTGAGATGATATCCGGTTTGCGGAATGATCCTCCGTTCTCTCGACAAGCGGTGAAGGAAGGAGATGTTTGAACAGAAGGAGTGCGGCATCGAGACAAAGTCAACCGTGCTGCCGATGAGATGTACATGATTGCCGTTCGCAGCCGAAAGATGAGCACCGTTTCAACTGCAGTAGACACGGGATATATCTTCTGGAACAAGAGGTGGGAAGAGGGAGACAAAGACACACGACACTATCATCGTGCTTCTAGAAGTCGGACCATGTGTCTGACTTGAAGCCTCGGCTTGTCCATCAAGTCTCGAGATTTATGGACAGTGAACAGAAGCTAGAACTGACAAACATGATGATGTGAGGACTCGAGAGGACGATGGTGAGAAACGGCTCATATGACGGTGTCTGTACTCGATACCTTTGGTCTAGACAACAGGTGATCTGAATATATCTGTTGGTTGGGGATGCCGGCTGGAATGGAAAGTTGAACAGCCATGACCCGGTAGCCACATTCCCAGTAACCCTGAAAGTATGGTCCCCTATGTAACAAGAAGACGGGATAAGACAGCCCTAATATAGGGCATGTACCTGAGGAGGGTGACTACAGTATCTATAGGAAAAGAAGGTTGGCTGTTTGCATGCAGGTTGGTGATGGTGAGGCTGACGTTGACTTTTCAGATCAAGATGCCGAGGCGCAGATGCGGCAGGCGTTGCTCCGACCACCGACACAACTATTCTCGCCGCAAACCGGCGGACTTGAACATTGCTGCTCTCATTCACATCATCGTCACACCACGACAACCGTTGCACACACCTGCTATTTGCTGGTTAAATGCGCCCGTGCCAATAGCATAAGCAGCATCTGTCATAACTAACACATTTCTAGCACACTTGTCCACGCTAGTCATGGCAGAAGCACAAGATCAAGCACCCCAAGTCGAACTTGCGACAGCGCCGGAGCACCAGGATGTGCAAGAAGCATCCGAACACACCCTTACATCTCTCACACCACAACTGGAGAGCCCTCCCTCTCAAGAAGGATCCGAGGAGGGTGAGATGGCCGACACAGAGGGGGCCCCTACAGACGGCGATGCGCCGCCGCTACCTGATGAGCCATTGCCTGACGATGCTCCGCCTCTTCCTGACGAGCCTCTACCTGCCCCGGTCCAGGAAGATGATGGCTGGTCAGCTCAGCTGGACCCCACTACAGGATGCTGGTACTTTCTCAATAGCTACACTGGCTTGTCGCAGTGGGAGAACCCGCGTATCCCGACCAACATTCCAAGTCAACAGTATGCCCCAGGCACTGGCCCGACATCACAAGCTCCTGGTACCGAAGCTGTCACAGCACCTCCGCCTCCTCCAAGAGAGCCATACTTGGGCTACAATCCAAAGATACATGGTGACTTCGACCCGAATGCAGACTACGCAAAGTGGCATGAGGAACACCAGACGGAAGAGTGGGCCGCATCGGAAGCTGCTCTGGCACAACAACAACAACCAACTGCAGCATTCGAGCAGGCTGGCACTTTCAACCGCTTCACAGGAGCTTTCCAAGCCGCCGACAAGGGCGCGGAAAACCACAATGATGAGAACAAGTCAAAGCGCCAGTTGAATGCCTTCTTTGACGTAGATCGCGCTGCCAACGCTCATGAGGGTCGCTCTCTCAAAGCAGAGCGCGCCAATCAAAAGCTGAGCAAGAAGCAAGTCAAGGCCTTTAATGAGTCGCGACGTGCCAAGAAGGAACAAAAGCGCCGCGATTTTCTCATGAGTTGAAGGGTTACAATTGCGCCGAGAGGACGTAGTGAGTGTCAGATGCGTGACCTTTTTGTGCGTGTACAGTACTACCATTTACCGAGCAGACTCTGCTCGCCTACAACGGCTGTATTCTGACTATTACGACTAACATGATCACTCAGCAGGATGAACTATGGACGGAGATGTTTCTACTTTGCTTCTAGCAAAACGGGCGTCTCGAGGCTAGGAAGGACGGACGGCGTTGAGGACCACTGGAATCATCTTTTGATTCCTCTCACCGATTTTCATAACTTGATTGCATATCTCTCTGCGTCGGTCGGTGTGTATATCGCGATCGCTTGCTGCTTTGGTCGAGCCTCGTCTCGGTGACAAGCGCGAAGTAGGCATTGCAGAGCATAATAGATACAAGCGGGTTGGGGAAGAGAGAGAGAGAGAGAGAGAGAGAGAGCACCCACATGTCATGCGATTTCCCAGGGTGCGCTCGAGCCTCTTACACCTCCACCTCGCCAAAATACAAAAGAGAGTCCACTTCCAACACCCACAATTCATATATATCGGCTCCCGAAACCGTGAAACCGCGAATATATCTACACAACGACGTCCGCCTAGATGTTACGTGTACGATAGCTCGCTCGTCATTCTGTACAGGTGTTCACCCGCACCTCGGTAGTGCACCACTCGATGCATCAAGTTATATTGAGAGGCTTTCACAATTGCCCATTGAGCGCGAGTGCCATCTTAGCTAGCGTCAACGGCTCACAAGCGTGGAGAGGAAGGAAAGGGTTTCGGTCGTTAGTGCTTGGTACTGAGTCAGTCTCAGAAGTCTACTTCGCTTCGTTTCGTCCGGAGCAGCTCTCACGACCAATGGACATGTACAACGATCAAGTGGCAGAATTTTGATGATGGTCTCCCCCTACAGCTGCCAAAGCTAGATCGACTACTCTTCTCCTTGACCCTGCGCGTGGTCATGCCTCTGATGGCTTTTGGTGACTTGCATGGCTATAGATCATCAGGTACATACAGCGAGGGCACACAGCGGTCTTTCCAGATTGCGTTAAGCAAAGATCCGGCCCGCTGCTGCCGAGTCACTCATGGGCCCGTTCTCCCCAAAGCCAATGCTCGCTCGCAAGGAGCAACTCCTGCGCTCTGCCCTTTCCCTGCCGAATGGTAGTGTAGCCGGGCCGTGAGCGATCAACGGGTGTGGAAATGTTTCAATCAGGATCACTGTTCCGATGATGCCCTCTCGTGACTGTGAAGCTGGTTGCTGATGTAGTGCTCGTGCGGACAAGAAGAATTGGGTCGCGTGAAAGACGTTGCTCGTTGGATTAGTTCTGGAACGGATTGCGGTATCTTCGCTCGTGCAAGCGCAGATCCGGCATCCAGGTCGTTAAAATTGTTCCAACGAGAACGCCGCAGTCTGCTTCCTAAAAGACGCCACTAGCCAAAGTCCCCGCGGACCAGACTGGGCAGCAGTAGTCTCCACCACGCATTTCTCTTAGTTATCCCTACTTTCTACTTTTATCCGCAAGTGTCCCGTCCTCTCTTGTCCTTTTTTCGCTTGCTGGAGCTGTGATAGCAAAGGACTCGACGAAACCTGAGATATCTGACAATTGAATCTGACCTGACTCTGCTTCTTGAATCCGAGCCCTCGAAGCTGAAACATCTCACAATTCTCGACCAACTTTCTTCTTCCCCTCCATCTATCTTCCAGAGCAAGCCACCTCGCGCTGCGAGCTGCACTCTCCTGCCTCGACGGTAGTGTTACACCGAGACAGTCGACACAATGGGCCTTTTTAGTCGCAAGGACAAGAAGTCGGCAGCAGATTCAGACAGAGGCCATGGATCAGAAGCTGGTTCCATTCACAAGTCGCCAGCCAGCAAGCCCATGAATGGTAATCCCTCGGCCACTGCTTCTCTGCCACACGTTCCGCTTCCCAGAGCCCCCGATCCAACTCTCAATCCCGCTGCCTACTTGCGCAGCATCTATGCCGTGCGCGAGAGATCAAAGTATGTGCTCGAGCTTGCTAAGCGCAACAAGACAAAGCACTTTGATGTCGACATGACCAAGTTCGCCGACACTGCACGCTTCGTTGTTTCAATCATTAACGTAAGTTTTCCATGCTCAGGCAGAAAAGTCAAAAGCGTCTTTCGAGCCTCCATCTAACGCTTAGCCGATAGAGAGATTACGCTCCCGACTACGCTTCAATTCCCCCACATGGCCGTTGGCAGCACTTCGAGATTGGCGGCAGACCCAGAGTTGACCAGCTCATGGCAACATGGCCCAAGACGGTCAACGACCAGGAGCGCACCCGTAGACTCATCGACCTCTTCCTCGTGTCTGTCTTGTTGGACGCTGGTGCAGGCACAAAATGGACCTACAAGAGCAAGGAGTCGGGCAAGATGTACAGACGCAGCGAAGGTCTCGCAGTTGCCAGTCTGGAGATGTTCAAAGCTGGTGCATTCAGCAGCAACCCCAATGAGCCATGTCAGGTCGACAGCGCTGGTTTGAAGAAGATCAATGCACAATACCTAGCAAAGGGCCTGCAAGTCACAGAACACAACCCTCTTGCTGGTCTGGAAGGCAGAGCGACTCTCCTGGTCAAGCTTGGAGACGCTCTTCAGAACCAGGACATCTTCGGCATTGAGGCCAGACCTGGCTACCTTCTTGGTGAGCAGAGAGCGAAACGCTGAAATCCTGCAATTGCTAACAATCTGCCTCTCAGATTACCTCCTCTCACATCCTTCCACTCAAGCCTCATCGGTACCCGTCGTCCCATTGCCAACACTCTGGAATGCTCTTGTTGATGGTCTTGCCCCTATCTGGCCTTCGACGCGCACTCAAGTGGATGGTGTCCCAATCGGCGATGCATGGCACTGTAATGCAATGCCCTCGGCGACGAACGCCCCGTGGGAGAAAATCATTCCTTTCCACAAGCTGACTCAATGGCTCTGCTATTCACTCATGGTTCCTATGACCAAGCTCATGCACGTACACTTTGCTGGTACTGAGCTTCTTACTGGACTACCGGAATACCGCAACGGCGGTCTTTTAATCGACACTGGACTTCTTACCCTCAAGCCCGCAGACGCTAAGCGCGGTCTTGAGCAATACCAGATCAACGCCATGAAGCAAGGACAACCCAACATGGAGGTCGTGCCCATGTTCAGCGTGGACGACGACGTAATCGTGGAATGGCGAGCATTGACAGTCGGCTTCTTGGACGAGCTATGCTTTGAAGTCAACTCTCAGCTTGGACTTGTAGGCAGCAAGAAGCTGAGTCTGGCACAGGTTCTCGAAGCTGGCACATGGAAGGTGAGCAAACAGGAGGGAGCAGACAAACACAAAAGCACTAGCTAACACACAACAGGCCGGCAGAGAGATCGCAGAGGTCTCGAGACCCAACACCAAGGAGCCGCCAATCATGATTGTGTCCGACGGCACAGTCTTCTAATGATACCCCTACACCGCAGGCCAGGTCGTTTTATTCCCTTCGATTGTCGAGCATCATTCATATTTCCATTCTCACGGCGGAGACATTGTATCTTCTTCTTCTCTTACTTTCACTTCTAATGATTCCCTTTGTTCATATTCTGATCCGTCTTTTCTTTCCCCGTTTTGTGCTTCTGTTGTTTCATGCACCATATCCACCCCAGTCTTCTCTCTCAGACGGCAGTACCTTTGTTCATAGACTACTTCACCACACCACACCTACAAACCGAAGCAACCCACACGAGCGCCAAAGGAAGCTCTGAAACACCAAAAAGCAAGGAAAAAGCAGAATCCTAGGGGAGAAGCTTTCACAGCGCATAAAAGCTTCCATACTCTGCATATAGATATTGATGAAATGAGAAAAAGGTGGAGGTTTCAGTTCTGTCACAAAACATGACGATTAGATCATGAATCATCACACATCTACAAAGTACTCCGCAGAGCTTTTACGGAAAGTCTAACGTATAGGACGTGTCAGGGTGACGAGGTTTCAAAGGCTAATATATCCTCAGCGCTTTTTTTTCGAATGTGCTATACACATCACCGGACCGAGAGTAGAGAGCCGCATAGCTAAGCATAGATTTGGAGAGCACACTACCCCTCCATCTGTGTAATCGTGTTTGACTGGTCGTATCGTGGGTAGATCTGTCGGCTTGTGAGGCCAGAACCGAGCGGACTCAGCCCCTGATCCTTCTTCGTATTCGAAGCGAATCGATTTTCATCGGAGTCGACATGTTTTGGTGGTTGAGATGCCAGGGTTGGCGAAGCTTAAGTTTTGATTACCTCTTGTTGATGTGGTTGTCTTGTTTGATCATGTCTCTCGGTACAAGATAAGAGCGCGGAAGGCCCGTGCATCAAGTATGCGGTAATGGCATCCTTCCTTATCGGACCTCTCTTGGCCGAGGCAGCGCGTCAAAACACCGTCACGATTCGGCCATACACACACGTCAAGGGTCAAGATGCTAAGCTCGGGGTCAGCGCGGAGGCAGAAGCAGCGCAAGGTGCTGCTGATGGGCAAGTCGGGCGCAGGCAAGTCGTCGATGCGCTCGATTGTCTTCAGCAACTACGTGGCCAAGGATGTTCGGCGACTGGGAGCTACCATCGATGTCGAGCACAGTAACATTCGGTTCATGGGCAACCTCATGCTCAACCTGTGGGATTGCGGAGGGTGAGTTGCTCATTCGTTTCTAGACCAAAACAGGACTGACGATTGATTGCGACAGACAGGACGGTTTCACAGAGTCGTATCTCACCAACCAGCGGTCAAGCGTCTTCGCATCCGTCGCCGTGCTCATCTTCGTCTTCGATGTCGAGTCCCGCGAGTTCAATGCCGACCTCATCAACTATGCCTCGATCGTCCAAGCCCTCCGCGAGAACTCTCCCCAAGCCAAGATCTTTGTGCTCATCCACAAGATGGACTTGATCATGTCCAACATGCGCGACCACGTCTTCGCAGAACGCAGCGACGCAATTCGTCAGATCAGCATCGAGCACGGCTTTGGCGGAGACCAACAGGATGCTGGCAAGGACGTCGACTTTTGGGGCACAAGTATCTGGGACCAGAGCTTGTACAAGGCCTGGACTCAAGTCATCTACTACTTGGTGCCCAATGCTGGCGCAATCGAAGACCTACTGCGCCAACTTGCCGACGTCATTGATGCCCACGAACTCATCCTCTACGAACGCACCACTTGTCTCATGGTCACCCACGTCTCACGCCCCTACGAACGAGAAGGCAACCCGCACCCCGATCGCTTCGAGCGTCTATCCTCCATCCTCAAATCTCACAAGCACTCTGTTGCAAAACACACTGGCATGCCCGCTGGATCAGCCAACTTTGCCGAGCTTCAAATCAAGACTGGCGAGTTCATGTTCTTGATCACTCGCCTTAGTGAGAACACAAACTTGGCTGTCGTAATGGGTAGTGGCGAGGCCATGTACAACGCTGCCAGAATAAACATTGCAAACGCACGCGACAAGTTCGCCGAGCTCGACATTGCGAGCAAGAGCCGCGAGAAGCAGGAAGTCCAGAGCGGCCGATGATGCTTCGAGAACAGCTGCCTTTTGCTCGTTGGAACGGAACATCCACTTCTGGACATGTTCTCGTGTCGGACATCTTCTGACACGCGTCTCGATCTGCCACTTCTCTTCCCCCTTTTTACCTTTTCACCTTTTTGCTGTCCCGTTTCGCTCAAGATACCCACAAATCTTCCACCTCTCTTGGTTGGCTCTTCTCGCTACATGTAACATACCTAGAGGAAAAGCATAACTTTAGTTCTCTTAGACTTTGCTCTTCTTACACGCCGGCGGCCGTTTTGTTGTCCGTTTCTTGCCGCACGAGGCGTGGAAGCTTGTTCAGAAGTGTGGTTAAAGTTCGGCCGTTCGACTTCAAGTGTCGCGGCTTCGATCTTTCCTTTTTTCACATTCCATGACCAACCGCAGGGACGGGAATACTACAATATTTAATTTGGAATGTGGTGAACTTCTAGATCTTCTCAAAATCGTATGACTAGTCAATTCTGCCCTGTTCGGCGTGAAATGGCAAGTGGGGGTACCTGTCAGCCACCAACATGTCAGCAAACCAACAGGCTCCCGTATCTACACAGGCACAACTTTAGCTTGATGAACCGACATCCGAACGGCCAACCGGCATCCTCTTCACGTGGAAGTGATACCGCTGCGCCTTTGCAGCTCTATGCAACATGCACGTCTGACATGGCTTGTTTCTAACATTAATCCTAGTGCTTAACTTAGCCAAGTCACTTGTTCTTTCTAATGTCAGATACATCTCACTGCACTGATGAGGGCTGAAGATGAGAAGGGCCTTAGTCGATGTTATTCCAGATCTTAGAGGTCGAGTACGTGGCCATGCTTACAAGTTGATGGATGAATGACATGTATGCTGTAGCTGTCATGATATAAAAGAGATGGATCTGCTGTAGTGGATTGGGATATCATCAGCCAGCAAGTCAAACATTCTACAGTCAAGCTCCCATTCACCAACATAGCACTCTTCTTTGGACATCAACTATCATCTTGTCTTACAGCTACCAGTACTTTCAGCAATGGCATATCGTGCAACTGCTCTCCTGGCTCTTTCAGGCCTTGCTTCTTTCAGTAACGCCAAACCCATTCAGTCCTACGGCTCCACCGCCTCGGGCTCTGATAGTTCTCATGGCTCCATGACTTCAACACATGAGAGTTCCATGCCGTCTTCCCACGGCGGATCCTTGGCTTCTTCCTACGGCAGCTCCATGGCCTCTTCCTACGGCAGTGCCATGCCTTCTTCAAACGGTGACTCCGACCACCCTCACGGCTCCATGACCTCTTCTTCTCCCTACTCTGCATCTTCCAACTACCAAAGCTTCCCCACCCAAGTAGCCACCAGCAAAAACCTCCTCCTCAGCAACGGATTCCCAAATCTCTCTCCTCAAGCTCTCTCCGCGGTCAACAACGCCGCCCACGGCACCCTCTCCAACGCCACCGGGCCTCCCCCTTCCTTCTCCCCCGACGAACTCACAAACTTCCAACTCGTCGCCTTTAACGAATTCTTCGAAGTTGCCTTTTTCACCTCTCTACTCACAAACATCACTTCTGGCATCTCTGGCTTTGAAATCCCTGCCCATTTAAACTCCTCCTTCATTCTGGACACCCTGATTGCCGTCCAAGCACAAGAGGAATTGCATGCTATAAATGCAAACACCAAATTACCCATCCCACTAAAGACGTGTGAATACGTTTTCCCAACGTCGAATTTCAATGATGCGATTGCATTGGCTGCTACTTTTACCGATGTGGTACTCGGAACACTTCAAGATGTTGCTGTGATTTTCGCGGCGAAGAACCCAGAGGTTGTCAGGGGTGTTGCTGCGACTATTGGACAAGAAGGGGAGCAGAATGGGTTCTATCGCGCGCTGCAGAACAAGATTCCTTCTGCTCAGCCCTTTCTCACCGCTTCGGCTAGAGACTTTGCGTTTAGTGCTTTGAACCAGAATTTTGTTGTTGCTGGGTCTTGCGATGTTTCGGGGATTGATCTCAAGATATTTGAGGTGCTTAGTCTGGAGACGGCAAATGTTGGACTCGGAGATCAGACGATTACGCTGTCCTTTGATATCAGCGACTTCCATGGAACAACTGAAGATCTTGCATTTGTCCTGATCAGTGGACAAAACGTCCCAATCGTCCAGGATCTCAAGAACGTCAAGCAAGAGGGTAACAAAGTCACTTTCGACGCCGACTTCTTGCAGCAGACTGATCTTCTCTTCGGTTTGACCATCGGAGCTGTTGTCAGGAAGGGAGGCGATCTGGCTACTGTTGATCAAGTTGCTGATGCTGCGATTTTTGGTCCTGCGCTTATTGAAGTTGCTTAGATGGACGGTTGTCTGGGAACTAGATATAGGAAGGTGTAGGAGAGTGGAGGAGATTGTTTGGACTTGTTCGATCGTCTCTTGGTGTTGGACTGTCGTTATAGATACTTGGGCCTGTTTTTGTTCATACTTTTGACTTTTTTTGTTTTGAGAACAACAGTTGGATATTGCTTGGATAATCATATGCATATAGAGGGAAGTTTGTAGCATAGTATATAGCTTTTCACCTCAAATGACGCAAATTTCTTTTGCTCAGAACAAGTTTGCCCTCAAATTCATCAGACAATACCTGCCAATCCCACTTTGTGAGAAAGGTCTACAAAGTAGCTTCCTTGGCGTGTGACCCCCGGCGTCCTGATCAGCTTTCTCCAATCGAAGTCTGATAACAAAAACCATGTTACACCAAAAACTGCTTGACTTCCGAATAAAATCAGATAGAGAAACCAAAAATTCTCAAGACTCCCAGTACCCAACCCACAAGACATGGGAGAATGCGCCGAGAGCGTAAGATGACATGAGACCATACACCACATTCAGCAGTACATCTTTCTCCTCATCCTCAACAGCAGTATCTCTCCCATCCAGAGCCTTCGAATCATTCAAATCTTCGCTACCATCCAGAGTCTCAGTATCCGTGTCGGGATCTCCGTGGTCTTCGCTGTAGTCCTCGCTGTCTCCAGAGTCGGAGTCGTTATCCTCGCTACTCTCGTCTTCGCTACTCTCGTCCTCAGTATCCTCATAATTATACTTCCCACACCACCCAATCCTATCAATCTCGCACGCATTTCTGGACCAGAAAGTTTCTTGTCTTGTGAATGTGGCAGGACCGGTCATTTTAAGTGTGCTGTTCATGATGTTGCAGTCTTCTGAGTCGTGAGTACTGTTCATGGTGTTTCGAGTGTCAAAGGTTGTCAAGTCGATCGTGATAGGTGGTTGTGTAGAGATTGCGAGTCTCGAAAGTTGAGAGTTTCCTTTGTTTAAGGCAGGGGATGCTTTTTTTTCTTGGGGTTGTGAGTGTGAGAGATCGGGAACTAGTGTTTGTGAAACTGTGAGAGGATAGTTGTATAAAGATGACGAGCACAAATGAGTCAAAGATAAGTGTGACTGGTGAAATGATGGTCGAAACTGACGAAAAGTACCGCATGCCTTCCTAAACATGTGGCCGGCATGCAATTCGCGTGGATGAAGCAATTATCGATAGGAAGTGTGGGAGAGACCCGTTTTTCATGTCCTCAGAATATCTCAGGTAGGATGGATCGAGTCGCAAGTCGCCCAAAATGGGGCAAGGGATGGCTCGACCAGGCAAGAGCAAAGCGTTGGTCGGTACTGCCAGACTGGGAGCCAAAACCTGCAAGTTGGACGACAGTGGCGCCTACGCAATGATGCGTAGGAGACAAAATGTAGAGATGACTCTGTCGATTTGCTGTGTAGATAGTGTAAGCAAGAGCCTTTACCATCGCACTCTTTCCTTTTCGCCAAAGACTTGTGCCATCAAAGAAGCTGGAGCCTGGAAGATCGAAGCGCAGTCAAGACGACGTTTGACGGTCTTCCCTCAAGTCACCCATCACAATTTCGATAGCATGTCCTCCAATCCCCCTCTATATCCCTGTAGATATCCCATGACAACAACCGCCACCACGACCGCGCAAAGCATATGGAACATCCATGCTTTATCCTCCTCCTTCACCATATCGAAAGCTGTCTGGTGGGCGTGAATCTTCTTGTGACGACCAAGACCGGGAACCATGTCGATATCTTGGGGACTGTTGTAGAGGTGGCGGGCGTCGTTGTGTTTGCAGTCGACGGTCGACATTTGGTCATTATGATGTGACGAGTTGTAATTTTCTGCGACGGTGTAGCATCAGCTCTAGGAAAATATGCGCTTGAGCCTCTCTGTAGGATCTTGTTAGTTCTGCTCAAAGGGTCATCTTTGGTGTCAAGCTGCTGTCGGCTTTCGCATGATGACTTGATTCTTGCCGCAAAATCCTCAAATCGACTCAGCATTTGTGCGTTGAGTGAGGTCAGGGTGACTCGATGCCAGAGCGTGGTGACACACATCAAAGTTCCCTAACCTATACACAGCATATCAGTGCGCTCGGAAGATAGGATTGGAGAGAGAATAAAACTTTGTGCCAAGGTTTTTGCTACCATATACTCCTCTTTGACCAGCCCAACGCCAACGATCTCAGAGCAAACCCCTAGCAATTTCAAACCTGTCTGAGTCTTATTCTTTCGACATCCTCCAGAGTCCCCACCGAATGGGTCGTGCTGCTTGAACTGCTCCTTGAATCACTTCTCAAGTGATTTCTCGACTCGCTCTTCGAGACCTGTGGTATTGCACCGATACTTTTCGACGATGTACGACTTCCAGAGCGCTTTCGACCATGACTGGTACTCGACCCGGAACTGGAACCACTCGTATTGCCGACGCTCGACGCATGTTTGTGACGTTTGTGATGGTGGTCTCATTTCTGCACATCCTCCAATAACTTTCATGTTAGATTTGAACTTTGTCATGGCATTTTTGTTTGTAGCGAGGAGATAAGTTTTTTGAACTCGCCCAAGTGACGATCGAGAAAAAGAACGAAAAGGAAGAAAGAAAAGTGCTTGATTGGATACAGTGATCAAGAAAGGAACAAAAAGTTGTGGGAGCTTGAAGATCTCCAGAAGGCCAAGGCAACAGATTGATGTAGAAGAACGCCCGGCGCCGTTGTGGAATATATTTCGCCCCTTGATGACACCCAGTAGCAGAAAACAGAGGGATTAGTGTGACACAGGAAAGGTGTGAAGGGGGAATGTGAAGGGGTTGATGGTGTGTTTTTAGTGTCTAACATATACTCATTCACAGACCCGTGATCGAGAGGGAGAGAAGATACTCGCACTTGATCAACGTACCGAGCTGGTCTGTCTCTCAAACTCTTTCGGTCTCCTGTCCGAGTCGTCCTGTAGTCTGAGTTGTTCCAGGCGCAGTGGATCCGTATCGTCCGTGCGCGCGGGTGTGGCGCTCTGTACAGTACTTGTGTTGACAGCGGTTGATGGGGGAAGACCGCTCTTCATTGACTGCGCGAGGGAAGCGAGTCGGTCCCACTTCTCCTGTCTGGCTCTCTTGACCTCGGGTGCGTTGTTTTGTTGCTCAGTGTAATCGTGGGAACAGTCATCAAACAGCTGGGGGTTAACCTCCATGAACAGTTTCATGGCGTTGTATACCATTCCGTGGATCGTTCTGCGATAGATTAGCCGACGGATTCGAGAGCAAGTCTGATGTCCACATACCTGTTCCAGTGACCCTTAGAGTTCTCGTAGAGAGGAGCAAACATGATTGGCAGAATGACATCGACATTGTCGCTGACGAGATTACAGAAGTATTCATTGTTCCAGAAGTATAGCGCGCGTTCGGCGACCTGTGGGCTTGTTAGTGATGGTTTGCGTGTGTTGCGTCGAGAAAAGGCATACTTGGAAGTGTGGGCTAGCAACGGACTTGGCAAGTTGACTGAACAACGCTTCTTGGACCTTTGCGAACTCGGCGGGGTCCATAACCTCGAAAATATCCTCCACCTCGTTCAAGAACATGACTTCTTTGGTGCTGTTGACCTTGGGCCAGTAACGCAAGAGACCAAGCACGACTTCCTCAGTCAAGGCGGCATCCTTTTCCAGGAACTGTACAATACAGTATGCGAGCTGTGGGTGGTACATGCTCAGACTCTTTACTTTGTGCAGAGGAATGAGAACGCGAGTCAGGAAGAGCTTGTGTTCCTCCTTGAGTGGCAAGGCAAATCCGTTAATAATGGATCCAAGTATTTCAAGAAGTTCAGCAATTCCGTTGAAGCGCTCAGTCTCGTAGATGAATTGGAAGAAGACGTTGTTGATGGAACGTCTGATAAATGATCTCAGGTTGAGGAATTTACCATAGATGCGGTGAAGGGTAGTCTTGAGGAAGTCACGCTCGCGGGGGTCTTCCGAGTCGAACAGGTCGAGTAGTGCCAGAACGAAGCTGTGGTCGATGTATTGCTTTGCGAAGTTTGTGTTGAAGTCTGGACTTTCTATGAAACGGAGGAAGAACTCGTAGACGACTTGAATATGGGGCCAGGCGACTTCAAGGACGGGCTCGTCTTCTTCGGGGTCGAAAGCATCACCCTGGGGGTTCATGGGAGGCGGAATTGGACGGAACAAGTTCTTGCTGAACATCTCGACGACCCTGGGGTACATGGGCTCCGAGATGACCTGGCGGTTCTGAGCGACGTAGTCGAGCAATTCGTGGAGGGCCAGACGCTTGATTTCCTTAGACTTCATGTCTGCGCTTGCGTCGTTAAAGTCGAAGATGATGTTGCACTGGTCGAGTTTCTGCATGAAGAGCTCCTGGCGCCTATTGGGAGGGACCTCGTGGAAGCCGGGCAGCTTTTCCAGCTCGCGCTGTCTCTGGTCCGAGATGTCGAATCTCGAAGAATGTTGACGCTTGGGAGTGCGGACACCCTCGGGCACAGTGTCTTTGGGGGTGGCCTGAAGTCTGTCGAAGAGCAGCGACTTTTGGCCGGCTTTCGGTGGAGCAAGATCATGCGGCATGGTTTCGGCGGCGCCAGGGGGAGGCACATGCTGGGATGAGTCAGTAAGGAGGGTTTGCCATGTCTTTGAGCCATCACTTCACTTACAGGAGCGCTCGGGCTGATGACGACACTCGGGTTCACACCCTGCTGGTTGTAGCGGTTTGGGCTTTGGGTGCCGTTAGCACCCTGTTGCTGCTGGAGATATTGGTTCTGCGACATTGCTGGCTGCTGTTGGGTTGCTGACTGGGCGTCATTTGATGGTTTGCGGGTCTCTGCGAGGTTCTGGGTCGAGGACGAGGGGGTGCCGGCGGGCGACTGGGCGGCGGCGCCGTGAGGAGAAGCGGTGCCGGAGGGCTGGTCCTTGTTCTTGTTCTTTGAAATCTTGTTGCTATCCTTAGCTCGTGAGAGCTGCTCATGCTGAGGTCATTAGCCATGGCTTGTCTTTGCGGACGGACTTGATGGGCAGCTGGGGGAATTGCCTACCACGCGCTGTCTGAAACCCTTCATCATGGGTAGCTTCGACTGGTCAAGTATTGGCCCTTGGCCTAGCTGTCTCTCGCTTCGTCAAGGCGTCGTCGAGGTCGAGAGTCGGGAGATGGTCGCTGAGGTGGTGGTTGCGGACGGAGAGAGCTGCAGGGGATGATGATACGGCTGGGTGGAGGCTTGCTCGACGTCGTCCTAGGGACACGCACGATACGAGAGTGGGACGTCTTGCCGACCTTGTCCAGTGGAGGCGGCAGCAATGAGACGGCGATTGAATGGCTGGTAGGAGGATCGCGATAGCCGTGAACAATGCTTGTCTTGAGAGAGCAGGACAATTAGCTATGCCAGATGGTTGTTGACGCTTCCGACTGCTACAACCAGCACGGTTAGCAGGCCTTCTTGGCACAAGCCCCGCCGTCCACCCAGCCAATGAAGTCGCCGATACCCTGCGCCAGACTGATTAAATTCCACTCCCGCTGCTGCTATCCGCCCTCAATTTTATTCTACCGCCCACTCTAATCACTCCGCGTTTCACAAACACCGAAGACGAAGACGAAGACCCAAGACGTCTGGAGCTCATCGCCCAACGCTGCCTCTGATCACGACTCCGCACTTTCAACAGCAAGTCTATTCAAGCCTCATGACCTTCTTCAAAACACAATAATCCCAAAGAGACATCATGACCGACCAACGGCCAGATGCGCCCGCCAACCGCCATCAATTAGCTGACTGGTTGAATGTATCGTCTGATCGAGTTGTCACTGTAGAGCATCCGTCCATCATCAGAGATATCGACAAGGGTCTTCGATCTCTTGGCGGAGAGCATCACATCAAACATGTAGGTCAATTATATTTCCTCGCTTCATCATGTCATGTCATCTGATCGACTTGTCATGCTAGCTGCTTGCCCCTGCTGGTCAAACTTTGTCTGTCGGTCTGTCCTTACGTCCTCATGATCACCTCGCCAAAAAGCTCGTCTCGAAAGAGATGGCTGTTCAGAACCTACTTCTTCGCGTGACTGTCCCTAGGCGCACTGGTCGCAAGAGGAAGAGAGGCTCCAATGGCCCGTTTGAATACCACGGTGACAGGGAGGGATCGTCGGATGATGGCACAGAAGAGGCGCCTATGTCTATTACCTTGACTGCAGAACAGCTGCGACGTCGTCTTATCGACAACGCCGACAAATACACAGCCCGACCAGTTGCGACTATCAAGCAAACTCACAGATTCAGAGCTCTGCCCGACTTCCAGCTTCAGGCTGGCTCTCAACCAGTCATGAACCAGATCGGCAGAGGTCTTGTCAATCCTACCTGTGAGTTCTTCTTGTCCCTTGGAGCTGGTGAACACCATCTAATAAGAGCAGTATCGAGCATCAAGAACTTCCACATTGACATGGCTACCGGTCGACCTCCCAACGAAGAGCTCATCGCGCCTCCAAACTTCACTTCCTTCGAGCAGTCTCTGAACTATCTTTACAAGCAAAACCCTGGTGTCACACACGTGACAGACAAAGAGGGTAAGGTCAAGACGGTCAACACCCAAGCTCCGAAGCGACGTCAAGTTGTCTCTGTACCTCACGATATTGACAAGGTGCCCACCGAGCCGCCCAAAGGTCTCCCACCTATCGAGAAGCAGTCAGAAGCTCTTCAACAGTGTGTCAAGAATATGTTGGAGCTTCTGGAGACTAGACCCGCCGTAACTCGACGTGTGGCATGCAATCTCGTCGACTGGGGTAATGAGGCACTCTTCAAAGAAGCAACGCAATATGTGGGATACAGCTTCAAGTCTGGACCTTTTCGAGACACGCTTGTTAAATACGGTCTTGACCCTCGAACTGATCCGAAGTATCGTTGCTACCAAACTTTCTCATTCCAGCTCATCGCCAAAGATAAGGTCATCGCTGCGGCAAAGAAGATGCGAGATGGCAAGAACCAATGGATCAGGAGCGACCGCTACAAGAAGGATGAAGAGCCTTCGCATGTGTTTGATGGTAAAAGCATGACGACCAACGGCAAGACATGGCAGGTTTGCGATATCAAAGAGCCAATTATTGCTGGCTTATTAGCAACTGATAATCTGCGGACTGAATTCGATGTACGTTGTTTCCTTCCCCTCGAGGTCAGTATTCTAACAGTTACAGTTCGAAACCTATGGCTGGTACTACAACGGCACAATTGCGAAAGCGCGCATCATCATGCGAGACATGATCGGTATGATGCTGGCAGGACATGCTCCTGACACAGCGGCCTACGAAACAGTAGCCACCGTTCCCGACGAAGTGGACAAGACGACATATCAGAAATGCTACTTCGAAAGAGATGCAAAAAACGACAAGGTGATGCAACTGTCAGGAGAGATCAGAAACCTTGTAAAGACAGACATTGCTTCAAGGGTGAGAGACAAGTTCAGAGGTGATGGGGAAGCAGCTGGTGACAACACCCAAGTCGGTGCAGAAGATGACGATGCAGGAGATGGACTCGAGGACGATGGAGACATGGAGGGCGACCTTGACGACTTCGGAGGCGAGCCGGAGGCATAGGCCTGTTCCACAAGTGAAGCATATACAGTTGGTAAGACCGAACTACTTCCTGCCCTCTCTCTTGTTATTTTGTCTTGGCTTAATTCACTCGTTACCGCGTCAACAAGACACGACTTTTCGCTCGACTGCTATCGACCGAGCAACCAATCCAGTCGCAATCCAGCGACATCATCGGTTTCGGCTCTCCCACCCACTCGAGTAACCCAGGTGCTCATCAACTGTTCGAAGTGAACCTAATAGTGCACGTCGGATCATAGCTCGCTTGCCGCTTCTATCAAACAGAATCGACAACACTCTCTCGACCACGAGCAAAGCTCGGCTTCACTTAGATTCTGCGCCGCGCACGACGCGTCCTCCTTTGTTGCTCCTCGCAAACAACACACCAATATAGTTGTCGTTTTCAATTCGCGCCAACAACATAACACAACTCAACGCGCACCACCCAAGAGACAGAAATTCTACATTTCACATCATTGACCCTCAAATATGGCACCAGAGATTGATCGAAGCTCTTATAACCTCTCGAGAATCCTTGGAAAATCCGATCGTTGCTATTCCGACGGCTCAAAGATGGAAGCGGGTCGTGCTATATAACCAGAAGATGCAGACACGATAACTTCCTCTCCTCATCGTCATTGATTCTCCATCATGTCGATCTCGATCTTTTCGACTGCTTCGATTTAAGCAGCGAGACTCTTGAGCTCCCCGAGTCCAAAGGCTCCGTTCGCCTCAAATACATCGGTCCCGTTTTCGAAGAGCAGGCGGAGAATCGGTGATTGACATTGATACTGCTGCGAACGAAGCTTCCAGGTGGGAACTTCCCACTCTTCAGGCAGATGCTTTGCCTTCTGGAGTCTTGAAAGCCCATAGCTGAATTTGCTGAGTGCTTTCCACATCTCATCGTCACATCCGCGAATGGCGATCTTGACCACCGTCGATCATATCCTGATGTTCTCAGAGGCGTCACTCGTGAGCCTGCGAAAGTCGGCTGACAAGATATGGCTGTTAGCAGGCAGCCACCTTGACAGACCCTCATTGCATTTGCGCTCGACGATCCTGATCGTGATCGTCTTCACAAATGGGTCAAAGCAAAGACGTGCAGTCATTGTCTGCAGCTTCTCAAGGCCGTACTTGACGGAAACATGATACCTTTCCTCAAAATTAGTGACAGCAAATGGAGTGTTTGTAATTTGGTAGAGAGACTTGCAGCTGATACGCATGCTGGTATAGTCCTCTGGATGGTCCATCTGGACGAGTTCCGCGATCTTGCACGGGACTTCGATAGAGAGGTCGGCGAGAGACATCATGGTCGTGGTGTGTTGATGTGTTTCCAAAGGTTGGCCTGGACTACTAGAAGGGAGTTCTGCTAGGCGTGGTCGAAGATGAGTCATGAGAGAATTTACGCTGTTGTCATTTCGTCGGATTAGGGTATCCTACTGTAGACGTCCCAGTTTCCTTCATCTTTAATTCGTGCATGGAACTACCCAGTCCCTGTCCTCCTATAGTCTTCCTCTTGCTGACCGAAGTACTCCTCATTCTGACATCGGCTTTTCCCATTCTATTGCTCTACAGTAGAAACATGGCTTCAGAGTAGATCCCAATCCACCTGAAACATGCGCTGTGTTGAAACCTGATACCCCGGCTGACACTCGACCTCCAGTGAGTTCAGCGATGGTTCACTCCTCAACTTGGTCGATGATGCCAATAATGCAATCGTCAACACGTCCATCCGCGATGATGCGCTGGCGCTTGTCTGCCTCGGCTGCTTTGACGTAACAGGCCAAGCTCTTGAGTTCTGCGCACACTCCATCGCCACTGGACTCGAAGCGCCGGGAGCCGTCTCGGAAATAGAGGTCGAAGTGTGCGGATTTGGTGGCATAACGACCGTTGCCAATGATTAGCTGCATGGTGTTTCCGATGATGTCAAAGTCGATTGACGCATGGTAAGAGACACGGTTCATTCGGTAAGAGACACGGTTCATTCTGCAGTACACGAGCCCAGGTAAGTTAGAAAACCTCTGTATGTGATCACCCCACCCGTTAGCATCAAGACTGTCCGACGAGCATTCTACAACGTCGAATTCGAGCCTACTCAAACAAGATGCAAGAAAGCTGCGAGTTGAGAACCTGGAGCGAATTTTGCAATCTGAGAGGGCAAGCTCAGAGATGTTCTTCTCTTTGACCCACTGAATGAGTAGTTCCGTTGTTCGTCCCGGCACGAGAGTGTCACCATCAACATTGAAGGTACCGCCATGAGTGATATCCAGACGTGCTCTCTTGCTGTCATAGAAAGTCCCCTCGAACTTATTGCCTATTTGTACGCTCATAGGCATGATACAGGACTCTAAGATCTGCGGAAGAACGGTGGTCAAAGACTGAGCAGGCCAGATGTCCGTCCTGAGACACTCGATGGGGCACCTTGCGCGTCGAGCTGCGTACACCACCTGCTCGAGAGTCTTGGCTGTCAGGTATGTCGTTCTAGTAGCTTCCTCGAGGACCCTTCTGGAATTTCCGCCGATCACTGGCTTTGATCCGTTCTTGGTGTTGAAATCTTGAACGGCGATGGTGACACAGCCGGAACGCGCTTTGATGTTTCGAAAGATTCGTTCCATCCGGTGGGCGAAACGCTTTGTATGGACGTAAGCATTCGAGAGGTCACGTTGGCGATTCTCGTGACGGCGCCTGCATGAAAAAGCCTCGAGCTCATCCTTGTGTACGAGTTCCACATGCCTGGCACTGGCAAAGGTTACAGCTTTGACATAGCCTCCAAAGATAGGGTGATCCGTGATATCGAGGAGCTTTTTGATACTCATGGGAGTGACCTCGTGGATTCTCCCCGTGATGAACTCGAAGCTAAAGGGTCTATTGGCGGCATCGCAAAGTTTCTTGCAAGTGAGGCGGACTTTTGGGACATCTGCTGGTTCGACTAGGGAGAAGATCTTGACCAGGATCTCGGTGGGTACGTTTGTGATGTCGGGATTGTTGTGAGGTGGAGTCGCCTGAACTGAAGTTAGCAAAGCACTGCGAAAAGTTGACCCCTCTGGCTACCAACACAACGCAGATGACGCCAAGGTTGATATGGGTCAAGTGAATACACTCTGACGAACAACTCATCCATAACCTTGGACTCTGTGAATCCCGGTGATGTTCGGGCCACTGCTAAATCTGAGCAAACGCTAAATTCATTGTCTTCACGTGCACGTTTGACACCTACTGGTATTGGACTGAAAAGCATTCTCTCTTGATTTACGACCTCTGATACCTTCTTGCTTTCTTGATGATGTCGTTCTGCCTTTCCCGGAGATCCAGCTTTCGTCTCTCATGCAACCCTGATCCGCTCCCTTTGGCTCGTCCTCGTGCAGATGTGCACTCTGTGTGTTGTATAGCCTAATGTTCTCTTGTGCTTCCTTTGCCATAATTTGTAGATGCAGCCACGCTCGCTCCTGGGCGCTGTAAGTGTCCGACCCGTCGTTGTGTGCTCATTTCTTCCAGAACCAGATTGTCTTCGATTTCAGGACCAGACGTGCTGCCAACCTGAGTTTGTCTGTTGATATTAGACAAGGTCAAAGAAAGCACGTCTTGCTTCCTCCATCGAATGAGGACGTGACAATGTGCCGTCTGGTGCATTGGTGGAAGCGACTCCAACACCAACGACGTCTAGTCTTTCAATTGCAAGTTGTGTGTTGTGCTTCAAACGCTCCCACGCGTCTCTGGACAACTGGATGTGCAGTCTTTGAACGTGGATTCCAGTCTGACGAGCTGCTGCCATGACAAGCTCGAGTGTCTCGCCTGTTCTGTACGCTAGGCCGCAGGGAGAGGCTCTGACAAAGGCTCGAGCACCGTGACACTGCTGATTGTGCGAGCTTCTGTAGTGTTGCTCCGGTAGGATCATCTCGAGACGACGGTCTTCGTGGATGGCGAGTGTAACCCGGCCGGACTTCTCCTTGATGTTGGCCAGGACCCGTGTGATCGAGGCATTGAATCTGCTAGATTCAACGTACGAGTTCTCCACGATAGCATCTTCATCGTGATGGCCGACAGTGTTGTATGCCAGGATTTGGCGAGCAGGGCTGATCATTATCGTCTTCATGTAAGGGGCGAAGACTCCGTGTGCACTGACTGCAAGCAGAGTGCTGATACTTTGTTCAGTCGCGACATGATGGCTGCTGCCAAAGAACGTGCAGGCGAACTGCTTGTTGGCAGCCCGGGACATCGCTCCCGAGACGAAACGAAGCTGCAGCAGGCTGTCGGCATCCACAAACTCAAAGATCTTGCCTACCATCTCCTGCGGGAGCGATGAAAACGGCATGGTACCCGTGGTGGCGACAAGGGGCTGTAGGGGGTGGTAGGGGGCGACGGGGGTGACGGGGAGGACGGGGCGATGTAGTGTGTGTAGGAAAAGAAAGTGATAACGCGCTTCCGCTGATTCGAACGACGGTCCTCCCAGTAGTGAGTAGTAATGAAGTGAGCACGCGTTTGCGCCGGTTCGAACCGTGGTCTTCTGGCTTACAGATCTTGCATCTCCTTGATGCAAGTACGCAAAATGTAGTCTATAGAAATGCACAGTTATATTCGGTTTCGCTAAGATGTCCGCTGAGAGCAGACGATCTACTGACTCTTATTCATACCAATTTGCTTTCGAAAAGCATCCTGCATTTCTACAGCTGTATAGTTGCTTGTGTTGGGGTCAGGAGCGTGGAGTGGGGGCTCATCCAAGGTGCGCAGCCAGGTACGAGCCGTGGTCCTCTCCTTGCACTATCTCCTGGAGGCAAGGTGTTCCAAAAGTAGGCTGTAAAAAGGCACAATGATATTGAGTTCCGTCGAGATGTTCGATGAGAGCAGACGATTTAGTCACTCTCCTAAACATCATTCTGATTCTCAAAATCGCCCTGCCTTTCTACAGCCTGTGTTTGCTCTGTAATCGAGCCAGAAGAAGATTCGAAGGGGCAACCCTCAGGGGAGGTACCTTTGCAGCTGAAGATAAATGGCGATTTCAGCTGCAATCTCCTGGTCCCTGCTAGCCGTAAAAAGGCACGATACTTTTCATGAATAGCAATCATGTCTGGGGGTGACGTCGTCCCACTGGCTCTCTTCACGGATGTCCTCATCCCAGAAAATGATTGTGCCTTTTTACAGCTCATTGTCGTCCTACATCATCATGGAGGAGAGCGTTACAAACATTGAAGCAATCTTCAGATATGGAGTATGAGTGGTGGCAATCTTGGTATTAACTGTACTCACGGCTCGTTAGCGTACATTCTCGAAAGTTGCGTCACAATATTACTGACCGTGTTGGCTACATGGCCCATTTCCTCCAACTTTGTGCTCTTGATGGCAACTTTTCTCAATAACAAAGCCCTTCTGACCCCAAACTTTGTAGTAAAAACGTGACGCGTGACTGAGTGTTCTGCTCGTTCAGGTAAGCAGATCGGCAACTGGCGTGCGTTAGCAGAAGAAAATGGGTTGATGTGGGATCCGTAAGCTTACCATTCATTGGCATCTCATCAATCTGGGTAGAGTAGTAGAGCTCGATGTCACGAAGAATTCTGACGTCCTCGCTGGTGACGAAGTTGATGGCGACACCCTTGCGGCCGAATCTTCCACTACGACCAATTCTGTGGATGTAGTTCTCACGGTTGCTAGGCAAGTCGTAGTTGATGACTAGGGAGACTTGCTGGACATCGATACCACGAGCCCAGACATCAGTCGAGATAAGGACTCTAGAGTTGCCCTGTCTGAAGTCTTGCATGATGCTGTCACGCTCCTTTTGAGGCATCTCTCCGTGCATGGAAGAAACCGTGAAGTTGGCCTCACGCATCTTGTCTGTAAGCCAGTCGACCTTGCGGCGGGTGTTGCAGAAGATGACTGCTTGTGTAATGGTAAGAGTGTCGTAAAGATCGCAAAGAGTGTCGAACTTCCATTCCTCCTTTTCGACAGCAATGAAGTATTGCTTAAGACCTTCGAGGGTCAGCTCGTCACGCTTGACAAGAATGCGAACGGGGTCGGTCATGAACTTGGTAGTCATGTCGAGCACATCGTAAGGCAGGGTAGCTGATACAACAACGACCTGAGTGGCAGGAGGAAGGTAGCGGTAGACGTCGTAGATTTGCTCACGGAAACCACGGTTGAGCAGCTCATCGGCCTCATCTAGGACGAGCATCTTGATGTTGCGGGTGCGCAGGTTGCGACGACGAATCATATCGGCAACGCGTCCAGGAGTACCAGAGACGACGTGCTGACCGTGGTCAAGCTTGCGGATATCCTCGCCAACGTTGGTGCCACCGATGCAAGCATGGCACTGGACGTTCATGTAGTCTCCGAGGGCCATGACGACGGACTGAATCTGAGTTGCCAGTTCACGAGTAGGAGACAAGACAAGGGCTGAGAAGGTCAGCACCCGATCACAGAGCCACAAAGCCGAACAACATACCCTGAGTTTCACGAACAGCAGTGTCGATGACCTGTAGTATGGAGATGGAGAAAGTGGCAGTTTTACCAGTACCAGACTGGGCTTGGGCGATGGTGTCGCGACCCTTGCAGATCTGGACGATGGCACGCGACTGAACGGCAGAGGGAGACTCGTATCCATAGGCGTAGATTCCACGGAGCAGGTTCTCCTTCAAGTGCATGGCCTCGAAAGTGGGCGCGACCTTGACTTCCTTGGACGTGTTGAACTCCATGCGCTCCTCCATCTTGCGGTCGATTCCTCCTTCCGCCATGGTGGCTAGTGTGGCTGATCTGATTTGCGAGGGTGTATAGACGGCAGGCGCGATAGTCTAAGAGATCCGGAAAGCACGAGTCGTGAAAGTAAAAAGTGGCAGTGACGTTCGCGTTCAAGAAGAATAAAGCTCGAAAGGCAAGAACGACGAAGCATCGCAAAGCACAGACCATCCTCCATCTCTCGCCGCGCTATTCACTATACCACCGACTACCTTTCTTACGGCCTCAATCACACACACATATACCATTATGCTCTTAGAAGACCTGCGCAATACACGAGAGGATCTAGAGCGTCTCGAGCAGGCCATAGCCGAGCGCTCTCTCGAAGATCCCAAACACGTAAGTGATCCTTTCCCGCTTCCGCAATTCACTTCAATTGCGCTCCTGGCCATCAGTCGCCCTGCTGCTCTTGACCAGAAGTAAGCTCCGAACATATTGGAGTGAGGAGCAGCCATCTTGTATTACGTGTTAACGAGAATTGTCGCAGATCCGGGACCGCCTAGCAAGAGATCACCAAATTTCAGCTTTCCTCGATCGCATAAAGTCGCAATCAAATCGCGCAGTCGACCTCTACAAAGACAATGATGGCAGCCGCCTACGCGAGATCCAGTCTATTTCCACCGGCGACACATTCGACGAGTTCTACAAGCAACTAAACGGCATCAAAGACTTTCACAAGCGCTACCCGAACGAGCCTGTCGAGAACCTTGAGCGCGCATACAAGCGCAGGGCCGTCGGCGAAGATGTCCCTATCGCGTCTGAGATTGACACCATGTTCACTGGAGAGGAAGCCTTTGGTCGCTACTTCGACATGAATGCTTTGCATGAGGACTACATCAACTTGCCTGGTTCGAAGAGACGCATCACATACCTGCAATACCTGGACACGTTTGACGAGTTTGAGGGTATGCCCAGGCCGGACAAGCTGAAAGACCAATACTTCCAGTACCTCGGAAATCTGGCGACATATCTCGAGAGCTTCATGCGCCGGATCAAGCCTCTGGAGGATCTGGACAGACTGTTCATCGGCTTTGACGAGGACTTTTTGAAGGCATGGGAGAAAGACGAGATCTCAGGCTGGCAGCTCAACACGAAATCAACAGCGGATGGGCCAGCAACAGAAGGCACAGGCGAAGGAATGTGGTGCGCAGATTGTGAAAAAGAGTTCAAGAACGACAATGTCTACAAGGCGCATTTGTCAGGAAAGAAGCACATCAAGAATGCAGAAGCAAGAAAACAACGCACAGCAGACGGAGAAGCATCGTCGAACGGCAGCAGCAATGCGACATCAGTACACCGTCTGAAGGAGAAGGCTGTGGCCGAACGCGAACACCGTATTCGCAAACTCGCCTCCGCAATGCAGACAGAGCGCTCCGACACACGCGCCAACGTCGAACGCAAGCAAGGCATGACAGACAAGGAACGCCAGCAAGAACTCGCCGCTCTCTATGTCGAGACCCAGGACCTCCAGAACGCCGATCCAGCTGCGGAAAACGAGGAGGAAGACGAAGAGTCCAAGGTGTATAACCCGCTCAAATTGCCCCTCGGCTGGGACGACAAGCCCATCCCCTTCTGGCTCTACAAGCTCCACGGCCTTGGTGTGGAGTTCCCTTGCGAAATCTGTGGAAACTACGTCTACATGGGCAGAAGAGCATTTGACAAGCATTTCGGAGAAGCAAGACATTTGTACGGATTGAAGAGATTGGGCATCACCAACTCAAGCATGTTTAGAGATGTGACGGGTATTCAAGAGGCGACCGACTTGTGGGGCAAACTGCAGACGGACAGGAAGCAAGAGTCAACAGCGACCGATCAAGTTGTGCAGATGGAAGACGGAGAAGGCAATGTTATGCCCGAGAAGGTCTACTATGATTTGCAAAAGCAGGGCTTGCTGTAAGGATGTTGAGAGGGTCGGTGGTTTCTAGTAAAGAAAAGAATTGGACATGGCGATGATGAAGACCAAGGAATGGAGAGTCGGACAATCATCAAGGAGACAGAGATCTCTATTCAGCCCTCCTGCACACACGAACAATAAAGGGACCAGAGTTTCTGACCAATGAGCGCGAGAGATGACATTAGACATGCATTAAGGGCCATGGCATCTGGATTCTGTTTCCGAGTCTCCACTCGGCCTTCAAGTGCTTCTCAGCACGTCCGCAGCTTCCTCGGTCTCGCCCAACTCTCTGTATATGACCAAGAAGTCCAATAGTTGTTTTCCTCCCACACTAGTAGCACCTTGTGCCTGTTTGACAGCCGTTCTTAGATCCAGTAATAACGTATTCCGGACTCGCAAGATGCGGGATTGTTGTGCTATGACAAAAGGATGATGCAGCACCTTTTGTGTCTGATTGTTGAGCAGGAGGTATGCTTGTGCGTGTTTCCTTAGTCGTGAGAGGATCGTGCTTGTCGCTGCATCTGCGTCGTCGTCGTCTTCCTCTTCGTCTTCCGAAGAGTCCAAATCGTTGGCAGAGGGGTTGTCCGCGGATAGAGAGTTTGCAGGCTCAACCATCAATCTTGCTTCCAAGTCCTCTAGTCTTTGCTCAATGTCAAGCAGACGTCGACCAATCATGACGTCTTTTCGTATCCTCTTCTTTTCCTCTAGCAAGCTTCCCACTTCTTCTGTCCTTTGAGCCACGATATCGCGAACACCGCCTACTTCCCTTCCAAAGCCTAGTACACCCACTCTCACCTCTTCAATCTTTTCCTCTCCACCTTTCAACTTCAGGCCCAAGGACAGAAATTCCTCATAATTCGCATTCACGAGATCCAGCAGTTCTTTGCTGAGAAGTTGAGAGCGTTGACGCAGATCTGAGCGCAAGTCCTCGAGGGTTTGGTGTCTGTTGTGGAGGGTGGAGAGGTATGATTCGGGTGTAAAGTCTGGAGTCAGGAAGTCGCTGCGGGGGAGCGCTGCTGGGAAGGGTAGGGGTGTTTTGTCTTCATCTTCCGAGTCGGAGTAGGTCGTGTAGTCGTTGTAGGGTCGTCGCTCTAGAGGGTTCGATTTTGGGGATGGTGGGGAGGTGAGGGGAGAGGCTGTCGCTGTTGTTGCAGTCGACTCTGGGAGCTGGAGGTTGTGGTCAGTCTTGTAGTAAATGGTAAATGTGTGGAGAGACATACGTAGAAGCGACTCATGACTGCGAGAAAGGAGTGGATACGCGACAGCGAGGTGTATGGTGATTGTCGCAAACAATGTAACAGTATGGACACAAAAGGTCCAGGTATACAGATGGATAAGATAAGATTGGGTTTCCACCATCTCCGCGATATGGATGACCAATAACCGAGGCCCCAGTGACGACATGTTGATCGACTTTGTGCAGATACAGCAGTTGAAAGAGCCTCTTCGTGTCCTTTCTCCGTCTTGTATAGTTGCAAAGATTTGAAGTTGCAACAATAGCAAAAAGATGCCTATACCTGCTCTCCCTCAGCCCGCACACGCAGAGCTCGATTCAATGTTGACGAGGAAGTTTGGCAAGGAAGTTGCCAATTACTTTGCTGGCAAGCATCCGCTCCTTCCGTTCTTGCCTTGGACAAAGGTACTGACAGAGAAATTCCAGGCAATCCGTTGAACCGCTTTGGCTTCCTCCGCAGCGACAATGTCTTTCTCTCTGGGGCTCTCAGACACCCCTCGACCAAGTTCCTTCCTTGCAACAACCTACAGCCATTGACAAAGGACAAGGCCAACCTCGCCTACGTCCAGTACAAGCATGTGCAACCCATCATTGGCGAGGATCCTTATGCCATTCCCGAGGACAAGATGATCGAGACGTTCAACTCAAAGACCTTCATCCCCCAGATGATCTTCCTCGGTCTGGACGAGTCCGTCAAGGAGAACTCATACAGCTACGAAGCAAAGAATGCCGTCCACCAGGGAACCCCCTACTTCGCCATCGACGTCACTCCCAAGGATCCCTTGACCCAACAATGCAACGACCTGATCAAGTCCCTCGAAGACAAGAACCTCACCTTCCAACAAGGCCGCTCTATGGACCTCGTAGCAGGCGATGCAGCAATCTACGCAGAAGCCCGCCAGCTCCTTGACTGGAACATGCGCAACCCCTTCTGCGCACAATGCGGTCACCCTACTCTCAGTGTCAACGGCGGCTTCAAGCGCACCTGCCCACCCACAGACGCAAGCTCCCTCCCTGCCACCGCCCTCTCCACCTCAAACACCCCGGCCTCCTCCATCGACCGCCCCGCCTGCGCAACCAGAAAAGGCGTCTCCAACCTCTCCTTCCCCCGTACCGATCCGACCATCATCGTCGCCGTCGTGAACCACGCAGGCGACAAACTTCTCCTCGGTCGTAGCAAGCGTTTCCCAAAGTACTGGTACTCTACCCTCGCCGGCTTCTGTGAACCCGCAGAGTCAATTGAAGAAGCCACGCGCAGAGAAGTTTGGGAAGAAGCTGGTATCCATCTCGGTCGTGTGATCATTCACTCCACTCAACCATGGCCGTATCCTGCAAACCTCATGATTGGAGCCATCGGCCAGAGTGTTCCTGAAGGCGAAAAGATTGATCTTGGCAATGACCCAGAGTTGGAGGATGCAAAGTGGTTCACCTTTGACGAGGTAAGGACGGCATTGAGAGTTGGCACTAGTGGATTGGACGAGGGCCCGAAGCCAGAGTACAAGGAGGGTGATTTGAGATTGCCGCCAGAGACTGCTATCGCCCATCAGCTTATTAGTGCTGTTGTGGAAAAGGGCTTTGTGGCTGCTGCTCCCAAGATTTAAGATGGGGTTCATCTTAGACGTCTATATTCTTGGAAGAATTGGAAAGATGTAGATTGGATATATCGAGAATCGCCAACTACAAATATACTTTGGTGACATGCAAAAGCCAAAAAGTGAAACTCAGAATACAAGTCATGTCTACACGGCTGTTCTCGACTCTCACGAAAGCCTCGCGCAATACTCGTAGATTCTCAAATCCCGTCGTTACCACTAGACAAACTACTACAATGTCGGGTCATCCAGATCTACGGACATTTTCGCCGGCTGTCACAAAAGACAAGAGTAGCCTTATATACATTCTCAACATTCTGATTCTAGGGGATGGGATTGTAATTTTTCAACTCTACATATTTTGGGGCAAGGGTGTGTGTATGTGGGTGGTGGGGGTTATTCAATGCTGCGGATACTTGTGTGGGGGATTTTCTTGTTGTTATTGTCCTCCTTCTTTTCTCTTGATGGTGTGGCTCGTTGTGGGTATTTAGTCAGCGTTCTTGTTGTCCTTCTCGTTTCCGTGGTCCTTTTTTGGGGTGATTGGTTTAGGGGGGGGGGTTTTGTTGTTGTTTTTTCCCTTCTTTTTCTGGTGATCTTCTTGAGGGGTGGTTGTTGTGATCCCTCGCATAGTAGTGTATGCTGTGCTCTCCTTTTGTCTTGCTTGTGTTGTGGCTAGAGCGATTGAGTGCTGCGATCAAGCAAAGATGTATTCTGGCCAGGTATGTGCATGTATTTTCAAGCAATGTTCTCCGAATCAAGTGTCTCGAGCTCTTGGACGATGGTCTTTTGTCTAGAGTCAGTCTGAGCAACTCTCTTGCCGGACAGCTGGATCTGGACTTTGATGTCTTCAGCAATTCTCCATAGCTGCTTTCCCTGTTGGTTCAGATCATCGCGCTTCTTGTCGTACTCACTGAGTTTCTCCTGCATCTCTTTGATCTTGTTGCGGATGCCAGTGTACGCGTTGCCTTTGGAGGTGATCTCCTTGTCGAGTGGCTCACGTTCGATTTTAAGAGTAGCACTTTCATCTCGAAGGGACTTTCTCTTTTGGATGGCGGCGAGCTTTGCCATCTTGCTTGCGAGTCGCGCTTGATCCGCTGCGATCTCCTCTTCTAGTCTAGCTCTCTGAGATTCAGGATCCTCGATGACGGGTGTTGTTGCAGTGGGCTGTCTCGATGTAGGCTCAGAGGGCTGCACAACTTCGATGGCGGGTACAGGATTGGCTTCAGCTGAGTATGGGAGCTGTTGTTCTGTTGCAATGGACTTGCGAGCCGGCTGGACCAGATCCAAGGAAGGTGTAGTGGTAGCTGTAGGTGAGACTGCGATCTGCTGGTCTGGTGTGGTTAACTTTTGTGCCGGTTGGACAGCCTCAGATGCTTCCTCTGGAGGTGCGAATGATGGGCGACTGGTCTTTGACTCCGGGGACTTGTTCTTACGAGTTGCAGAGAATCTGCCTTTGGCACCGCGCATTGAAACTGCTCTAGCTCCGTGCATGTCAAACCCTCCACGGCGTGCAAGAAAGCGGCGATCGACAGGAGGAGCTTCGGAAGCGTGCTCGTTAATCCAGGTGGCCATCTTAGACCACTCATTGTCGAAGGCCTCCGAGAATTTCCTGCCCACCTTGTTTACTTCATTGTCAGGAGGGTTGAAAAAGAAGCAGTTGCTGAACATCAATTTAAAGTCGTCCTGGAACTCTGAGGCGATTTCATACTCTCCTCTGTCGAGCTTGCTTCTGATAGTAGATATGTCCATGGGATGCTGGACTGTCGAATGGTAGTTGGGCACGTCCTCTGATACAGGAATACGAAGGTACACGGTTATCCCGTCGTTCTCTGGCTTCTCAAACTCATCCAGGATGTGTCGGCAGAACTTGAGCTCTGTTGTCTCCTGAGCAGCAGGTACGAATCTGCGCTTAAGTCTGGCCGTAGCATTGCTGGGAGCTAGAGGAGAGAACTTAGGTGCTGAGCGTGGCATCTCCATGGCCGGTGACTGGCGAAATGGAATTGACTCAGCCAGAGCAGTGTCTCTCTTCGGGCACTTCGACATCTGGGTGTGGAAGTAAGCCCTGAACTTCTCGACCTGGAGTTGAGGATCTGTGTCAGGGACACAGAAGCTGAGCCTTGTCGTAATCATGATCTCAATGTCCTACATGAAGTGGTCCACAGACTGATAGAGATCTTCCTCTAACTTTTCTTCAATGGTTCCCAGGTCTGTTGGTTGCGCGGTACCGTTGGCGATTTGTGAATTATTCTTGGCCCAGAAAGGTAGGCCACACGCAGCCTTGTTAGCGTTGTCCAGCTTCTTGCCGAGGAAAGCCTTCTGTTTGGGTGTCATCAAAAGAGCGTCGATGCTTGCGACTGCCTGCGGGGTGGCAGACGTGGTCTGACTGCGCTGGTCTGGCGCGCGAGGTGTAGTCGGTGCAGCAGAGGGCTCCTTGTCTTCTGTCTTGATGCGCTTTGCACCAGAGTAGGATCCTGCCGCCTCTGATTCGCGTGCATCTTCACCACCATGCTTTCTGTTCTGCGCTCTTTTAGTGGCAAATTGGGAGATGAGATCGTCCACTAGATCCATGTCAGTCTTGACCAAGAAAGGATGTCAAGTCTTGAGGATCTTACTATTCGACATCGGTCTCAAGGTGTGAATGGGTACAGAGCTGTTGAAAAGGCTTGAGAGGTTGGTCTGTCTGAGCCGAAAGGTTGAGCAAGTTCGCTTCGACTACTTTGTCAGTGGTGCGATGGAATGACCAGTGAGAGGCATACTGACAGACCAGTTGACAGTCTATCGTGACTTGTAGTGAGAAGATCAGAGCAGCCTTGACTAGAAGGAGAGCATTCTGGTCAGTCACGTGCGATGGTCTGACGTGCAAGCGATACAGTAGCTGCACCTGGAGAAGTGCTTACCTCTTTTGATATGAGTGCTGAGGAAGTGAATTCATTTAATCCAGAAATATTGCGAGCAGATGGTGAGATAGTTGAAGGCTCAGTGAACAGTACCGCGTGGTGCGAAGAGCGTTGGGCTGCGAAAACATTCGCAGCTAGGCGTTCAATGTGCGGTGCTTTCGAGAGACTCGGCCAAGACGCGCGCAGAGGGGAGGCGTCAAGCGACAAGAGTAGTAGTGCAACTGCAAGCTATGTTCTCGATCTGATGGAATATGGAAAAGACATTGAAGTGAGTGACCCTGTGTGCAAAGGCACCTGATGTTCAAACGTGTGCTCAATCAAGCACTATCGCTTCAAGCAACAGTACGATAGTGTGAGGCACAATGGCTTCCAGCTGTGTGCACACAAGCCACATAACTAGAGCGAGGTGCATCAGACACCAGTGAGTACCATGAACAGATCAAGCTGGCCAGGTCATTTTGATGGGTAGGCAGGCCGGGACTACAAGGACAATCATGCTGAGGATGCTATAGACGTCAACGCGAAGGAGGCCGACTAGGGGGGCGAGCCCTGGTCTCCATGGCTGAGCTGGCAGCATCTGGTTATTGAAATGGTGATACAGAAGTAGTACAGAAAGAAGAAGGGCACGTGAGAAGATTGGGTATATGTACAATGCTTTACCTGCCTATGCTTCTTACATGGCAGTTGAGAGGTCCTTTGTGGATATCGAGTCTGGGCCTCTGAGGTCACCGTTCAAGCTGAGACCGGGACCATTTGTTGAAGAGATGACCTGCAGTGTGTTAGATGACGATTCGCAGTATGATGACTCCCCCGATCAGGGAAGAGTGCTGAAGAACAGACATAACTCACCACCTCGTGAATGTCCTTTGAGATTCTGTCGCTCATACCAGCCATGTCCTTCTTGACGTTCTCAATGAAGCTTCTGATATTCCTTGAAAGCTCCTCGGGGGTCATGCCCAACTGTCCGATGGCCATGCGGATGACACCCAGACGTTCTCTGTATTCGCTTGCACCAACCATGTCCTGCACGCTTGCTGCAACATCCTTGACGACAGTTCCAGTCTTTGCGCTAGGCATCAAGCCTTTTGGACCCAGAATTCTTCCCATAGCGGCCTTGTTCATCTTTGCGAGCGAGTCCTGGTGGCACAGACAGCGGTCGAACTCAATGCGACCCTCCTTGACAGCATCGAAAATAGCCTCTTCACCGACCAATGTTGCTCCGGCCTTCTTTGCGGCAGTAGCAGCAGCAGAGTTGGGGTCACAGATGACGGCAATACGCAGATCGGTCTTTACAGGATGCGGGAGGCGGATACGGTTGCGGACCACGGGACCATTCTTGAGAGATTTGAGACGAAGGTGCAGTTCATACTTGGAGGATGTCGGTACGCGACCAACTTCTGTTGCGCGAAGGTATCTACATCTAGTCAGTGTCCGTTCTTGTACTGGTACACACCCAAGACTGAGCAGGTGGGTGTGGTGTAGCAAGGAAGTCCATACCGCATAGCATCAACCAGAGGGAACTGGATGGCGTCTTTCAAGTCATGGTTGATAAAGGTGGTCCTGCTCTTCTTCTTGCGCTGTGATGTGGGCAATTCCTTGCGCTTGTACTTTTGCGCGTTGGCACTCTGAGCAGCACCACGCTGTTGTATCGAGATTGAGGGGACGTAGAGATTTGGTCGTGATAGTGTCGTTCGTGTCAGTTGTGACAGGCAAGTTCTTGTAGAAGCCATAGCGATAGAATGTGATATCAAATGTCTATATCTCGTCGCCTGTAAATTGTTCGGCTTCAGCTTCGAAGTCGGGCATGCCAAGATTTTTGGACGTCGGCGGCTAGTCCCGCTCCGCCGACCAACACCAATTCATCTTCTCTGCAGCCGACGACAACCTCTACAAGAACGAGTTAAACCATAGTCTAGTCAACCGTACTCATGCCTGTGTCTCGTCCGTCACGTCTCTTGTCATGTTCATAGGGAGAGACGATCGACATCACTGCAACAGTCTGGCTTAAACGCGCTCTATATGCGGGTCTCATTGATGGGTGAGCCACAGCCAGTGCTGCTGTTCTCAGTACACGTGAAATGCTATAACACGCAATAGCCTTTATATGAGCTCGCCGGAGAGAACATGGTCCAAAAGTTCGACGTGTTTGAGATTATCCATTCTCCCGTCGGACTGATCTCCATCATGATGATATCATGATAGAGGTGATTTGATTATTCGAAGTCTACTTACAATACTAGGTCAACCTCAGCTGCAGTTCTCTAACGCACCAGTTCGTTACACCACACCCTTTTCGATTCAACACAACTACGGTTTCACTACGATGATGTCCCTTCGCACATCCCTCTTCCGCACAAGCCGTATCGCTTCAACACGTCCTCTGAGCACTACCTCTCGTCTTGCAAAGGACCCCCCTCCTCCTCCAAATATCCCTCCTGGTCGCCAGCAGAAGGGAGACAACGAATCCCCAGCTCACGATGCGCAGTCTTCTGCCTCGACCAAAGGCTCAGATTCTGCGGCAACAAAGAGTGGAGACGACCACCCGGCCAAACAGCCCGACCCTCAGAAGCCTAGTGACAGAAGCACTGGCTTCCAAGAAGTCCATGAAGTCAAGGGTGGAAAGGAGGGCCTAGGAGCTAGGACTGATAGGCAGTAGATGGCTGGGAGGGAACACGACACCGCGAATGAAGAAGGAACACAAGTACGTTGCTGATGACGTCGACAAAGAATACCAAGCGACCACGATGAACTTTACAACCTTGTTCGAAAGGACCTCTGTATCTATATCAAAGACATTGTGTCTATATCATACTAAGCATTGTTCCCATCCATACCCTGAACGCGTCTTTGGCCCCAAACATTATCTGATCATTGTTGAATGACGTCGACGCGTGCTTGTGATCCCAGAACAGCAACCCATGCGACAATGAAGTCAAACCTCAGATCGAGAAGACCACAACACGACATTCCAGAAAAAAGCCGGCTTGAGCCTTGATAATCTTGTCTCACGGTAGCTTTTACCATCTGTTGAGTTAGGTGCATCGAGCTATCGTTCGTACGGCCGTTGCGATGCTCCACCAGCCCCACCCTATAACGATAAGCCAGGGTCGTACCCTTTACCACTGCAAAACATGTTTATCGACCACCATGGCTTACACATCAATCTTCTCCTGCTTGTTGGGACTGAAGGAGACATTTATGTGGAAGCTAGTCCACGATCTATGATCAGATCTTGTGGGGCAGCCCCTCTGCACCAAAAAATCGCAAGTCTTCGTTTATGAGACGCCGGATCTTGGGAAGGTGTATTGGCATCATGACGATGAATACCACACCTTCTTACCCGTGGAACGTTCCAGCTGAATATTGGATTCAAATCACACCAAGCAGTCGCTACATGTCATTCAGTTTGAGCTGGAATTTTTGTAACTTCAGAGGTACTATGTTATGTCTAACCCAAACAGTAGGTTGGTCATGAAAGCAACGCTCGTCCGCGACCCCGCAGATCAAACTGGAGGCTGGATCCAGATCTCTCTCGCACGCGACCATCGCATATTCGCTTGCACGACCATGACTTGGAAGGCAAGAACCGAGCAGGTCAACACGGAGCTGCATAAACAATCAACTGACCGAGTGGTCGTACATGGCCGTAAATCGTAAACTAGGAGGCTCAAGGCGCGATTTAGACTCCAAAGGATCTGCGCGGAATGTGGTAGGGCCGGATAAAGCTGCAGCTCGCTTCCATCGGCCGTGACGTGCCTCAGCATCTGATTGGAGAAAAATGACCACTTCCTCTTTGGAGGATCCGGGTCCAACATCGCTAAGATGTGTTTTGCGAATAGCGCGGTTGAGCTATGTCTATCAGCGGGGTCATGGCGTTCTGTATATCTGTTGACCCAGTGCCACTGCTGAGAAGCCCTTGACTTCTTCCTTCAGCTTTCCAGCAAAATATCATCATGGCGTTGACGGAAGTGCTTCAGGGTCTCGGTACCTCGCAGACGTTACCAACTGTCATTTCTCTTGCGCTGGGAATCGTCGCCGCCTATCTCTACATCGGCCGTTCTTTACCTCACGGAGTTCCACCGCGCGTGAAGGGCGATTGGCCTCTGATCGGTCCCTTGACCTTCTGGACAAAACGATGGGAGTTTTTTCAAGAAGCGGCAAGAGCATCTTTGAACGGTACTTTCTCGTTTACCGTCGGCAAGCATGTGGTCGTTGGAATTACGGGCGATGAGGATAGGAAGGTGTTTATGGAGAGTAAGCAGCTAGATGCCACAGCAGGGTGAGTCATAGACGATTTGCTTCCAGAAGCAAGCAGAATCGCTAAATGATGGGTCTGTATCAGTTATGCTACGTTGTTTGCTGGCGCGCCGACAGTCTCGAAAAGTTATGATCCTGATCAAGAGGAAATTGAGGGCCAGCACTTCTTCAAACGTATCACTGCCATGTTGAAGAAAGAGAACTTTGTCAAAGGTAGGTCTGAGCATCAAACAAGTTGACCAAAGCTTACAATGTGTCAGGACTTGACGCTCTGGTTGCCGACACCAGATCGCGCCTGGACGAGCTTTCAAAAAATCCTACAGGCACAACTGATCCCTTTGAGAGCATTTACGGAATCGTCTATCAACTTACTATGCGGACTGTCGCATGTAACGAGATCGCCAATGATCGTGTGCTACTTGACCAAACTTTGAACATGTTTGAAAAGATTGAGGCTTCATCTTCTCCGGAACTCATCATCTTCCCCTGGTTCCCCTTTCCCGGCAAGCTCAGACGTCTCTGGTACGGTGGCAAGCTTTATATGGTGTTCAAGGGTATCATCGAGGATCGAGCCAAGACTGGACGTAAAGAGGAAGACCCTCTGCAATTCTTGATCGACAAGGGCGACGACGTCAAGGAAATTCTGACGTTCGTGATTGGTGCGCTATACGCTGGACAACTGAACTCCGGCATCAATGCTGCCTGGGTGATCATCTACCTTGCAAACGATCGTTACTGGCTCAGTCAGGTCCGGGAAGAAGTCAAGGCACTAGCTGAAAAGTACGACAGCGACACTTCAAAATCAATGGCCGACAGACTGATGTCTGCTCCACTCGAGGCATGGGAAAACGAGTTACCAACCATTGATCTGTGCCTGAGGGAAAGTATCCGTCTAAATACTCCTGGCTCCATGTTCCGTAAGAACGACAGCAAAAAGCCAGTCAAGATGTCGGATGGTGCAGAAGTTCCGCCAGGAGGCTTCGCAGCCTACCCTGTAGCCGATGTCCATCTCAATCCTGAGGTGTATGCTGACCCCGAGAAGTGGGACCCATCACGTTACCTGCCAGGCAGAGAAGAAGATCGCAAGACTAAATTCGGATACCTTGGATGGGGCGCAGGCAGACATCCATGCCTCGGTATGCGTTTTGCGAAGCTTGAACAGAACATCATTCTCGCCTTCTTCCTCGCCTATTTTGACTTTGAGTTGGTGGACAAGGATGGAAAGCAGGTTGGACATGTGCCGAAAGGCGATATGAACGCCTTTGCCGCGGCCAAACCGAAGAACCGGGTCTTTGTCAAATACAGCGTCCGAGGATAAGCAAGAGGTGAATGTTGGTTCCGTTGCAGTTGGGATACTTGTAACAAAACGTCAAACCCTGTGGCTTTGCATCAATGCATGCCTATACTGAAATACCGATGCCGTGTCACAGTGAAACCTTCATTGCGGTTAAGGCCGCTGCAAATTGGCGAGCGGGGTTGTCTATTAGGACTCGAGCAGGGGCAGTGCAAGTGAACGCCAGGGGAACCACCCGTTAGAAGGAGTATGGAAAGATGAGAAATCGATTGCATCGGAGCCTCAATTTGACAACAAAACGGCATGACGAAGCAGTGGTCATGAACGACTACTTTTGAATTGGTGTTTCTTGACACGAAACGATCGACGCATCTAGGGGATAAATTTGGCAAGATGTACGAGGGGTGACCAAGAGCAGGCCATGGCCTTTGTGATTTGTATGGGGATCCTCTATTCCCCGTACAATGGTTCCGACATCCAGGCTTGGCTGGTCGCTCGACTGTTGCATAAGGGGTTGCACCTGGATGCCAGACCGGTAGAGATTCTGGAAGAACGGCGTGCGTAATCATATCGATGGTTATTGCGAAGCTTGGAAGTACAATATAAGGAGAGAGGCCAGCCGCGCTGTGCCGTACTCGCAGCATTTTCAAGAGGCGCCAATGGCTGCCACGTATTGGCAATAACCACAGCCTCGTCACTGCAAAATTGCGATTCCAATGCATTGAACAGCATGATCGATTACCGTCGATTCATGCGAACCGTGTCATGTGCACCTGTCAAAGAATGTGGGCGAAGTAAGGGGTCGTAATAACAAAAGACTTTGTCGCAGTTACTGTTGCTGTGGCAGGAGTGATCGTTATGTTAGCAGACGTTTCATTCGTTGCAATCGTATCCCACACATCAGGAAAGAATGCAGGATGACACGCATTTTGTGCTTGTGTGAGGCTGCTTTGCTCCCTTTCTGTTGCCGACCGGCCGTTGTAGACCAAGCTTTGAGGCTTGCCGCGAAACCAAAAAGTTGAGACCTGTTGTGACCTCTTCCCTCGTCGTGTCAACAATCACTGGCTCGACTGTTTGACAAGGCTCATTTCCGACATGCAGATCGATATCCCAAGAATACACGATGATCACAGCTGTCTTGGGGTCCCTGATTTGCAGCATGTCGACGCAGGACGCAGAGCACAATCTGCGCTCCCGACACGAGGGTCACGGTGAGCGGCAGGCGACCGAGTGATGTGAGGCGACATGACAACAGCTCACAGCAGCGCGCAATCGATAGGACCAGAGTCAAAGGCAAGGTGTAATAACACGGTTCTTGACGCAGATGCCGCAGAGTGCATCGGGGGTACTGCAAGGTGAAACGCTCTAAATTGTGGCGGCGCGTGTAGGAGCACCGTGCCCCTTTTAGAAACAGCTTCATTTCCTTAAACACCCTCCCCCCTCTGTCTCCCCTGCCCGCCTTGGTCACCTCACTTTCGTCTGTTGTTTCTATTGCTGCTTCAATCTACCGTCACTCTTTTCATCTGGCCTCCATTTGGTCAAAAAACATTCATTATCTACCTGCATCCGCTGCAGCCCAATTCTTGGCACCATCTTCACTCGTTTTCCAGACTCTCTCCCACATTCCTTAGTCGCAGCAGCAAAACAACTCGAGTCGTTCGTGGCTTGCGTTTTCCTCTCCACCTTCACCTGACAATCGACCGGCCTTGCAGTCTGTCTTGTCAAGCTTGATCAACCCTACTTCATCCAATCGATAAAAACATCACCTTCAATATGGTGAAGAACAAGGCCTCCGCGCTGTCTCTGGCAGTCAGCGCTCTGTCGCTTGCCGGCAGTGCCGATGCCTTCTGGCGTCTTCCTTGCCGTGGCCGTACTGGTGTCGGTCGTCTTGATCCCATCATGGACCCTGGAAAGGTCTCTGACCACGTCCACGTTGTTCACGGTGGTAGCAGTATGTATCTGATATTGATGCCGTGCTATCCCAAAGACTAACCTTTCTTCAGACTTTGGCATCGACAACACCCCTCAGGATCTTGTCGACTCTGACTGCACCTCATGTGCCGTTACCCAGGACAAGTCTGCCTACTGGACCCCTCCTCTCTACTTCCTCCACGCCAACGGCACTGCTGAGATGGTCGAGCAGGTCGGCGGCATGCTTGCTTACTACCTCCTCTACACTGATGCTGCCAACCCTAACGGCAAGATCACTGCTTTCCCTGAGGGCTTCCAGATGATCGCCGGTGACAAGCGCCAGCGCAGCTTCGCCTACCCCATCCCTGACAATGACAAGTCCACCTGGACTGCCGACCAGAAGACCCAGAACGCTCTCTCCCAGAAGGCTCTTGGTTTCAACTGCCTTAACTACGCTGCCAACCCCGAGGCATCTCTCTACCGTCACTTCTTGCCCGACAAGGAGTACCTCGATGCCAACTGCCTTGATGGCATTCGTCTCGAGCTCATGTTCCCTTCATGCTGGAACGGCAAGGATGTCGACTCTGACGACCACAAGTCGCACGTCGCCTTCCCCGATCTTGTCATGAGCGGTTCCTGCCCCGAGGGCTTCGGCACTAAGCTCCCCTCGCTCTTCTTTGAGACCATCTGGAACACGTACGCCTTCAAGGGTGTCGACGGTCAATTCGTCCTCTCTCAGGGTGACCCTACCGGCTACGGATACCACGGTGACTTCCAGATGGGTTGGGACAGCTCCGAGTTCCTCCAGTCTGCTGTTGATACCTGCACCAACGCCTCTGGTCAGATCGAGGACTGCCCTCTCTTCAACATCCAGACCGAGGCTCAGGAGCAGCAGTGCTCTTTCAAGGAGGTCAGTGCCCTCATGGGTGAGAACCCCCTTGTCTGCGACAGCGGTCTTCCTCTCGATGTACCAATTCAGTCCGGTCCTTCGTACGCCACCAACTACCCCGTCGTCCTTCCTGGTGACAAGACTCAGGGTGGTGCTGCCTCATCGACCAAGACCTCTGCTCAGATCACCTCGTCTGCTTCTGCCTCCGCTGTCGTCCCCACTCTGAGCTACACTCCTGGAACATCTTCCATCACCGACAAGTACGGTGGCGGTATTCTGCTCGCCAACACTGCCTCTTCATACGTCCAGACTGAGTCCGCCTCCGCCGTCCAGAGCGAGTCTACCTCAACCGTCACTGCCGCTGCCTCGCTCTCCGAGGCCGTGACCGATGCCGATGGCAACATCATCGCCACCTCCTGGTACACCACTGGTAACCAGGTCATGGAGATGATGATCGAGCAGGTCGACGTCACTGTCACCGCCACCGCTGTTGAGACTGCCAACGCCCACGCTCGCCGTCACATCGGCAAGGAGCACCGTCGTGTCCGCGGTCACCCCCGTCGCTAAGCATCTTGCACGTTGATCAACCAGTCTTTGGTACATGCAGGCTTGATTCTTTTGGACGTAGCAAAAATCCCTTTTTTATACCTTTTGATGACCCCCTCTACCTTTTTGTGTTTTATACTGCATTTGGAGAGTTTGCGACCAAGTTATATCCCTTTTTTGTTTCGCTGGATCTCTTTCTCATCCATCAGCATCCTTTATTCACCAAACCCTTTTTTTCGTTGTCTGTTCTTGTTTTGCTCGATATACAAATGCTGCAGTTTTTATCACTCAGGCCTCGGTTTATGATCACACGATCGCGCGCTCCTCACCATCCATGAAAGACTACTATCATTGCGGGCAGGTTCCTGTAGTTTTGTATAAAAGAAACTTCTTTACCATTTATTCGCGAGATCTCTGCCTAGATTGTGATGTGACCTGAAACTGATGTTTTGTGATGTGGCTTTGCGCTTTTCGTCGCACCGTTACCTTCTAATTTTTTTCCGTGTCGAGTCCGTGGAGATGTATTACATTCGACTCGATACTCGTCGTTGTCTTCACATGTTATGTCTCTTTGCGATGTGCATGTCTCAATGTCCTGTCTTTGTGTCCGTAAATGATACGGCCGGTCAGCACGGACTCAAGTCACCTCGAAGCGACAACATCATGCATGATGTTTCTCATCCTCTCCCTTGTAACACTGACACACGACAATGTTCGATTCGTTTTGACATGACGAGTGCCATGCCTTCAGTCTCGATGACGTACGTCGCTGCTGCCTAGACGGATTCTCAGCATGAGGATTTTTCACACAATCTCAACTCGCCTCCTCGTTCATCGAGATAACATCACAATGGACTGTACCACAGACGAATACATACAAAGGCAGCGAGGTTGGCTTGGTAGGATGCATCCAGCACACAAAAGTGACACCGACACCGCACCTCCACAGCCGATATTGGACCCTGAGTCACCTCAATGGCACATCACGCAAGTCTTCAAAGACCTCTTGGAGACAAAGTATGATGCTCAAGAGGCAGCTCAACGTCTAGCAGACACCATAGTATCATCCTCGGACGTTTTAAAGACCTATTCAATCATGTTGGGCTGCTTTCTCAACGCAGTAGAATCCTTCTCGAGCATGGAAGTACATACTCTCTTGTCAAACTTCTTAGCCCATCTAGCCAGTCTACCGGACGCCGTAAACAACAGACCCGAGCCCTTAATCATCAACTCAACATACAAAACAATAATCCAACCAGGGTGTCCCATCATCGTAGATTGGGCTGGCAGAGACGATCATCTTTGGCGCGATCTCCCCTACTTATCCATGAACATCACAGAAAGTATGCAAGGACCAGAAGCCTATCTCAGTAGAGACGAATCAGTCTCTGTCGCAACACAGAAGTGGAAGAACATGAACACATTCATCGCTATATTAGTCCGCGATCATGGCAGCACTTTCCCCGAATTGTTTGGAAGCAGGATATACTATGCATTTTCGTGTATACCATGGGCGCTGGAGTATCCGCCAAGGTCGCGATGGGGAAAGAATATGGCTCTACATCTTCCGGCTGCTTGTCAGTGGATTCTTTTAGCTGCAGACGAGGTTTGGAAGGCTTTAGACGATGGATGTGAGGGTAGACCTTGGACGATGGGTGCAGGTCAGCTTTGGAGTAATCAAGATGGTGGTAATGAGGTTGATGGAAGGAGATGGGCTTTTTGGAGGTACAGATTCGAAGCACTCAGCGAAGACCCACGTTTGGATGCCGAGACGGCTGAGATGGCGTTGCAAGTCTCGAGGCTAATGTGATCGATCTGTAACACCGCTGGCAATGTAGTCAAGCGGGCAGAGGAAGGCCATCTGAACGCTTCAAAATTCTCACCTGGGCGTTCATAAAGCTGTGTAGATTGGCTCAGAAGTCGGTGGATGAAGAGACAGTGAGTGGACACCACATGAGTCGAGCTCCCAGGCGTCTTTGAATCTATAGTCTTGAAAAGTCAAGGACGCAAACGAGGAAGGCGCGAACGATCGAACTCATGTGCGCATTGTCAGCAGTGAAGCAGGAAAGAGCGACTCACTACACGGGTACACAGGCCGCGAATTTACACTCACTTTCTCGAGCACATGAATTTCCTAACTGCAGTGATGATCCAGTCGTCACTGCCTCACTGCTGCCTAATCCGTCACACAACACCCTTTGCTGCCTAAACCCATGACTCATCCCCCTTCCGCTCTCTCCTATATGAAGCTCCCTTCCCCTTCGCCCGACTATCCCTCTTTCTCCTCCATCCCAGTGCAAGGGCAATATCCGCGTCGGTGAAGAGACATCTGAGGCCGGATTTTTGCTAGTTGAAAACTATCAACTGACTGCTTCTTTTGGCTTCGGTCGAAAGGGAATTTTTGGAAAGCACATATCGGAGGTTCTTCATTAATTGTCTGGCTGATAAGGCTGGTAGTTGGAGAAGAGTGCTTGATGACGTGAAGGATAGAGAGTGAAGGAGCTGATCAGATGACTGCGACAGTCTCGATCTCAATCTTGTATTGACTTACACATGTCGGGGATCGCACGAGACGACTCGTCAGGAAGTTGCAGACCACACGTTTCGACATGTGACCGGCCTGTAGAACACCACGTCTTTTCTAAGAACCTCTCGACAGTCGCAACAGGGTGTGATCACTTATAGTGGGCGAACGAAATCACAAAGCTCACGATGAAGTGGTGATAAGAAGTTGGAACCTGATGGGTTCGAAATATGCTTGACCGGAAACGATAGGTGACTACGGACCTTGAGGGAATGACTTGGATTAGTGGCGCGAACGATGAGGAGAGTGAAATGACTGCGACAGGAGTTGGATGAGCAAAAGATGGTTCAGATATCAGTGCATACTTCATGGATCAACCGAGTAAGACCTCAGGACAAGAGGCATAACCACTTGATCACGGTATGTTTGTCTCTGTATCATATGTTGTCGTAAAACTCCTGAAGATGCTGATACAGTCGCGGATTTCTAGTCTCCAGAGAAGACGGTTGCACTTTTCTGACACCACCAAAGGCTGGGACGGAATCTGACAATTTATCAAAGCCACCATGCTCGGCGTTGATGATTATGGAAGCTACCCTGGCAAGCTTTTCGTACCGACCTGCGCCGGATCCAGGTTCATCTAGACGGCTCAAACATGAAAGCGCGATCACTACCACTGGAGTCAATGAAGAGTTGACTCCTGGGATAAGACGTTGTTCATCCGAGGAGCCTGTCTTTTCGATTCTGTATCCGCAACGTTTGAGCAGCGAAGAAGCATGTCGTGAGAGCGCTTCATGATCCTTGAGGACATGGTATGATTGGTAGATTCTACTTTCAAGCAGCAGACCGCCGAATCGAACCATATCGTCCTTGTAGATGGTCTGAGGGTATGTCTTGTCAATCTCGGCGAGTATTCACACCATGGCATCTACGTTCTGACCTGGCTTCTTCTGTCCAAGTCTCATTCGCCCGGCTGGAATGACGTGAGTATCTCGGTGCCTTTCATGATGTCTTTTGTAGCTTTGAGACTCAATAAGTCACCTATGGAACTGCGCTGCGTGTTTTCCAGACACGAATGCCTTATGTTTTGACAATGTCCCAAGAGCGTAATGGACGTCTTGTCCGGACCAGACTCGATGTCAGGAGTGTCACCATACGGCTCGTGGGGACGGTGGGGTGTCAGAACAATGGCGTTATAATCCATTTTGCCTTGGAGTGTAAACACATCCACGATTGGTGCGCCGTCGATCCAAGTAAGATCTGATGTTTTTGGAGGAGCATCAGTGTTGGAGAGTCGAGGTGCGCTGTCGAATAGCATCTGGATGATACGAGAGACGAGGACAGCATTGGGACTGATGTCGAACTTGCTTCTGAATGAATGAACATAAGGATGAGTCTTCTCGCATGCAACGAGAGCGCCGACCGAAATATCCTCCGTAGCAAACAAGCCTGGAGCTCGCCCTTTCGGTGCGAAGGTTGTGACACGACGGGTAAAGCTTGAGCAGCTCTTCACGTGTTGCCATAGGACAATTTTTGCTACCGCGCTTCTGACCCTTCTTGCCTTCGTGAGTGGACTTCATCTTGAACGACGAGGAGAATTTGGAGGGTTGACTTCGGTGCCGGGCACAGAGCGAGGAGAGCCGGATTCTTAAAGCAATGCCAGCCTCCTCATGCTGTACTCCAGCTTAGTGACCTACCCCTCAAAGCTTACTACCTACATCATCATGATCCCGGTAAAGTGATCTATAGCACTCGAACCCCATACAGGTGACAATATGCTGAAGACAATTGACAGATCGCAACTGCCTGCACGTAGACTCACGCGGTGTATGTCAAACCGGTTGCCATGACATGACACGCGCTGATCGCCGGCATAAGCGCTCAGTCTCGAACGCGCGATTGCCGCAGGACACCGACGATTCCAATCGACGTACAACTGGACAGTGACGACACCTCGAAAACGTCGTCCGGAGGGATCAAACCAGATCAACATGGAAGATGAACGTCGAAGAGGTTGACGGCATTGCGGCGCGGGCAGCCGCTAGCTCCTCTTGCCCGGTGCCAAGAGTGGAGGTGCTCCTTCCAGTATCGTGAAGCGCGCTCCCTGTCCTCGGGCCGAGAATCACGTCTCGAAAGAACATCGCTCGTAAGTCGCTGGAACCAACTCGACCGGACACCTATGTCGTGAAAACTCTTTCCGAATAGAGCATTGATATGGTGAATACATTCCTTCCGTTGTAGACGATAAACTTAGGGCTAGGGCTATTACGAAGCCAAGCTTGAAAGGCGCGCTCAGAAATGCTACAATAGTACAACATTGACACGTGCGCTGTAACGTGGCGGCAGCGTCGACAGGTTGGTATATAAAAGCTGGGTCGTCAATCGAGTACCGAGAATCACTCCTTCAGCATACTATCGCTTCCTTAAAGAGCCCCCAAGAGAATTTGGCACTTCATTCACTGGAACAGTCATTGCGAACATGGCTACAATGACTGAGACAATCGAACTCCAGCCACGAGAGACTACTGCACCCAAAGACGATGCCTCGGATACAGCTATCCTAAGCTCGCAGCAAACGTGGAAGAGTCCTTCCATCAACAAGTACCGAGTGCCAGTTACTTTCTGGTCACTGGCTGTCACAGGGATGAACGATGCATCCTATGGCCCGCTTCTCCCGTATCTTGAATCATACTATGATCTCAGCTATCTCATTGTCTCTTTGGTCTTTTTATCGCCATTTGTCGGATACACTCTTTCGGCACTCATCAACAATTCAATCCATATGAAGTTTGGACAGAGAGGAGTGGCAGTCATGGCGCCCGCTGCTCATTTGATTTCATACATGATTATCTGTCTGCATCCTCCTTACCCCGTCCTCGTCGTCGCTTTCATTCTTGCAGGCTTCGGTAATGGTCTGGTCGACTCAGCTTGGAATGCCTGGGTTGGTGCGATGCAGAATGCAAACGAGATATTAGGACTTCTTCATGGTGCTTACGGAGTCGGTGCCACTATCGCGCCCCTGATTGCAACATCTATGATCTCAAAGGCCGGCCTTCCTTGGTACTCATGGTACTATGTCATGGTATGTGTGTCGTGGCACGTGCAGCGTTGATGGCTACTAACCATGACCAGATTGGTGCCGCGACTATTGAGCTGGTGACCTCTGTGCACGCTTTCTGGGGTGCGAGCGGCGCTGTGTACCGCTCCGCAACGTCCGGAGAAGAACACAAGGGCGGCCTCGCTCAAGTGACTCTGAAGATGCCTGCAGCCCGAATTACCTGGTTGTGTGCAGCATTCCTTTTGTGCTACGTCGGAAGTGAAGTTGCTCTTGGTGGCTGGGTAAGTACTATCAATGTGCAATAGAGGACAATCTACTGATGTAACCTTCTCAGATCGTGCAGTTCATGCTTAAAGTCAGAGACGGCGAAGAGTTTGCAAGTGGTATGGTCTCAGTCGGCTTCTGGCTCGGCATCACAATGGGACGTATCGTACTTGGTTTTATCACACCTCGCATCGGCGAAAAGCTGGCAGTTTCAGTGTGTTCTTCGTCATGACTTCACAGAGCCCATACTAATGGTGTCAGATATATCTTCCCATCGCCATGGGTCTAGAGCTCCTTTTTTGGCTCGTGCCATCGTTCTACGTTTCAGCCGTCGCAGTCAGCTTCCAAGGTTTCTTCTTGGGTCCGATGTTCCCAGCCATCGTCGTGGTTACGACCAAGCTGTTGCCGAAGCATCTACACGTTCCCGCAGTTGGATTCGCAGCTGCTTTTGGTGGTTCAGGCGGAGCCATTTTCCCGTTTGCAATTGGTGCTTTGGCGCAAGCCAAGGGTGTTCAAGTGTTGCAACCAATCATTCTTGCACTATTCGGTGTGCAGTTTATACTGTGGCTCTGTCTCCCCAGGATTGGTCGCAAGAAGGACTAGATACGGTTGTGTCCGAACGCTCTCTTATTCGTAAAAAATACTACACACTCCTCGCGATGTGTTTGGATACCTCGGACAGTCGACCAATGTCTAATGGCCCCGTCAATTTACTCTTGGTGTAGCTCAGCGTTTGAAGACGTCGGGAGAGGTACCAGCAACCAAGTAATTGCAGTGGCTGAAATCAAGCCTACCAGCATCGGCTGGAGTACCCAAACGCCCTTGTGAGAGCTGACGAGTCCTGTAATGACCGGAAATAACGAACCGCCAACCTGTGCGAACACGAACACTAATGACAGCGCCGTCGCTCGGATATCTGCTGGAAAGAGTCTCGAGCCGACCGATATGCCCTGACATTATCAGTATGTTCTTCCCGCGAAATGCGCGTCTTTTGACCTACAGTAGCGAATAGCGGACCGGAAAAGAAGCCCACCAAGCTGATCGCGACGGCTGCTGCGACAGTGTTGGGCACTCTGGAAAGCGTGTCAGAGATTGTGTTGTATGGTGGGTTGCACGAAACTCACAGCCAGAACATGATCTGGAGCCCAATACAGATGACACAATAGATGCTGACCATCAGCCGTTCACCAAAGCGACGGGTAGGTTCAGGCAGAATCAGTCTTCCCAGCAATGCTCCCCCACTAAAGCCAGCCGGAACATATCCCATCGATACTATGTTCCCTTTTCGTACGTTGACCAGATACTCCACGACCCACCCGCTGGCTGTAACAGTAGCGCCCAGGTAGAAGAAGTAAAAGACACTCAGGAACCAGAAGCTCTTTTGAGCTAGAGTCTTCTTGATGAGTCCAAGTGCGTTCTTCTCACTTTGAACCTGCTCAGCGACGGTCGAAATAGTAGTGATTGTATCATTCGATGGCGCCGAATCCGAAGATCTAGCTTTCAGACGTAGCGTGTCTCTGAAGGCGACCGAACAAAGAATAACATTCGCAACACCTAGGCCCAGCGGTATCGTATAGAAGAAGTACCATGGTGAAGAATCACTAGAGGCGCCTCTAGACGATGCAATTGGCGAGGCAGCAAATGGTCCTGCCAGACAGCCTGCCATATACATAGCATGGATAAACCCTAGCCACCGGTGTGCTCCCTTGGCTGCAACAGCAACGTAAGCATTGGCATGGGTGTCATTATACGCTTGCCCAACACACGTGAGCCAAAAGGTAGTGACGTAGACACTAAAAGGCGCTGGCCAGACTCGCAGAGCTTGAGCGATGACTTGTAAGATAGCTCCGAACACAAGCATTGTACCAAGATCAAGACGTTGGCTCATATGTGTATTGGTGACAGCAGCCGTAAGCCATCCCAGGAAGCTCACTCCATAGCTAGGATCATTAAAATACCCAATAGCATCTCAGATGAAGACTTGGCTTACATACTAGAAAGGATGGCTGTGTTGATATCGTAGTCGCGGATCACCCATGGGATCAGAACACCAAGACTGCCATCATTGACTCCGGCGACGAAGAATGAGAAGCCAGCACTAATGAGTTTCAACAGAGTCGTTCTGTCAAGATCAGAGGTCTCTGAAACTTCCGCCCCGGGATTATAGTAGGGAAGCTCTGTTAAGACGATCGAGTTCTCGTCAGAAGCTTCGGCTTTCATTTTTAGATATAGGTTCGATGCTGTCGTGCGTCTTGTAAGAAGCCTTTGCAAAGGTAAAACTCATACTGAAAGACGGTGTAAGAATTATGTAGGTTTCTTTGGTGCTAAAAGCAAAACAGTGTGGTGTCATGCGCAAGGAGGGGTGGAAGCTGGGAAGTCACGGCTTTACGGGCCGTCAAGCCGATGATGCCGTGACTTCTCAACCTCCCGTCATCAATGACCACTCATATCATACTTATAGAAAGACACAGCACATATTGCGACCGTGACCCTTCGTAATGAAGCAACAAGAGTGACTGCTCTCGATGGATGAATCCGAGAACGTAGAAATAGTTATGCATTTTTACAGCTCCCACTTTTTCGGATCACTGCTCAGGAGATACTACTCTTCTACGCATGTTTCCTCTTTCGCGTGTAAAGTTGAGCTATCTTCATGCTGCTATTCGGGGTCGTAGATTGAGATAGATGCTTGGAGATGTAGGGAGAGGAAGGAAGGCGGGCTCTGCGACAACTGATCTCCAGGTACAAAGGTTGTCGAAGCTTCAGCCTTTGTGGTATGTCTATCGGGTGTGGAGATGTATGATTTTGGTCGTCTTCATGAGAGTTGATTGTGGGAAGCTTGTCTGATCATTGTTATATACTCAGGGACTTCTAGACGTAACAGGCTTTGTAACCAGTGCATATTCACTCTCCTAAAAAGTACTCTGGATGCTTCCTGTGTCGAGTCATAGTGTTTGTCGCCAGCTACTAACACCATGTCATGGTCTAGACCCCGTGACTCCCGGATCTTGCAAACCATATCCCCACCCAAGGTGAAATCAGGTCAACATGATGTTGTACAAAATGCTGAATCAATCGTCAATGATGATAACCTCGTGATCACGCTGAAGGTTGCTGATCACGCCAACTCGATTGTGTATGCGGGCCATATCGCGTCTCAAGTCGATCAGTACGTCATCAGGGAGACGGCGGTCAGGAGGAATTGACAAGGAGCTTCGTTGCTACACTCCAACACTCTATACCAGCAGTCAACGCAGATTGAGTGTTGATTCTTTCTTTGTTCCATTTGGAGAGCCGATGGGAGAGGAGTACTGTGCGTCAGGGTACGCTGAGTGTGCAAGTCCGTGAAACTACGAATGGGCAAGGTGGGACGGGCATTGGCCAGACCGGGCGGGGGAATATGCTCGACCTTTCTGTACTGTTAGCAATGCAATTGAGATATGCTCAGTTGACTCACGCGGTCTCTGTGAACAACCCTGGATACATACGTTAATCTATACGACAAAATTCGAGCGCGGAACTCTTTCTGCAAAGAAAGATACTAACGGGTCGTCTAATGGGCTTTGAAAATAAAGGAATGTCCGCAATGTGCAGTCAAGAAAGGAGCCGGCGAGTCAGCAGAGAAAAGAAGCAAGAACGTACGGCCTTTTTAAGGCGTGTACCTCTGGATCTTGTCGAAGAATAAAGGCGAGTTGATCTAACGAGAAGCAACAAGCTGTTGAGATTGCTCAGCAGCAAGGGTGATGCAGATGCTGACTTTGCATATCGATCGAACAGTCCGAAAACCGACAAGTCATCTTTCATGTGACCTTTCGGAAGGGATCCTTGAGACCATGAGTTCCAGCAAGATGAAATTATTCTCGAGCCGCATTTTGTGAACCAGGTTGATGAAGTCAGAGGCATGTAAGAGTGTCCGAGATGATAACAGGTGGCGCACGAACATCATCTACATGCAACGAAATCGTTGTATGGCAAAGTCTGCTGTCAGCAGACAGGGCTCGATTCCTACGGACCTGCTTTTGACGTGTAGCACAAAACGCGAAAGACGTGGTACAAAGCCCCACAACCTGGAGAAAGAGCCATGCACAGGCTTCCGCAGATAGTATAGAAGCCAGGGAAGGAACTAGAGATAAAGAGACCATCTACTCTTCGCTGCTGATCAGGATCGGCACGTCTTCTGTACCAGAAGCTTGTTTTTCTGCTTCAATCTACCACCCAAATCTTTGCAATCATGTGCCGATACGAAAGAATGGTCTGGCCAGGATGCCGGCATGAGAGCGAAACGTTGATCAAGCCATGCAAAGGCGCTTTGGAGAAGCGAAGAGCTTGCGAGTGGCTTCAATGCCAGCATGAAGTTGTTCCGCACCGCAACGAATGTCCAACTTGCAAAGACAACGGAGTCAGCACCCGAAATCCGGATTTGAGAGCCTACAAGTTTCATGCTTGGATGCCTCGTGATGATGTCGAAGTCAAAGTAGGATATCTTCTGGAGTGACGTCGCGGCCTTGTCGTTCAGTGGTTGCGATACCAATTTGTTGTACCGACGGGGAAGGCTGGATACAAAGAGCACTCCTGAAGTTCTCCAGAAGACACCGCCAGCGAAGAGATCTCAAGAAAGTGTCCAGGAATCCTTCAATGTGTGTTCTCAATCAATCCAGATCATCCGGCCCGACTGACAAGATCAACATAGAACAGGAAGCACAGATCAGCGCCCATCAGCGCCCATCATGCGCTGAATGAAGCGTAAATTCTAGTATTGGTGTCGCCATGGAATTCTAGAAAGGGGGACCTGTGAGTAGACAGAACGGACAGGCATAGCGTGCCCAACCAAAAAGTGGCCGTACGAGAAGCTCGAGTACTCTGGACGTAACAACGTTCCTTGCGAGCATGCAGACTGTGTCAAGTGGAAAGCACGTCTCTCGGAGATGCCTCAAGAGACATTGAAGAAGATGCTAGCAGATGCACCTCAACACCGTATTGATTGAGAGATTTGATGGGCCGTGCCAGGAGATGGTGGCTATGTCAAGGCCTATTGAGAACACATCAAGGACAAGTGTTGTCTAAGAATTGTGCCATGAAAATGGACGGAGCACGACACTGGAAGATGCAACAAGATGGTATAGGTTGACCTTCTGTTGACCTATGGAAGTGGAATGGAGCCTCAAGGGGCAGGACGTGACGTTGTACGAAGCTGAGTCAGCGAATGACAAAAGCCTCGGCTCAAGTTGAGCCTCACCAAGCTCTCCCCCACCTCTCAATGACGCCCCGCAATAACCGCATGAACCGGGGCAAAGGAGCCTCTTGCTATTGATTTGTAACCACTACAAGATAAGTCGAGCAGCCTTAGGCTCATCGTCCTTTTGTCTGTGAACCTCCATCTCCAGAATGCCGACCGCTATCACGATCCGCAAGGTTGACGGCAAGCCCGGTCAAGTGTACTACCCTCTAGAGAAGATCAATGTTCCCGAAAGCACACCCAAGGACAAGCAAGTCGTCGTGAAGATTACCGCCGCCGCACTGAACCACCGAGACCACTTCATTCGCCAGCATCTTTACCCTGGCACCACGTTCGGCGTACCGCTCCTCGCAGATGGCTCTGGTATCGTGACATCGACAGGCTCGTCTCCCGAAGCAAAGAAATGGCTGAACAAGCGCGTTATACTCAACCCCGGCACTGGGTGGAAAGATGACCCAGATGGTCCCGAGGATCCCAAGGGCTACTCTATACTTGGAGGAACGAAGCTCAATCCGCTTGGCACTTTGACTGAGAGTCTCGTCATTGACGCCTCCGAGTTGGAAGAAGCCCCCAAGCATCTCTCGAACGCTGAAGCTGCTGCGTTCCCTCTGACTGGTCTTACTGCTTGGAGAGCGACTGTGACGAAGAGTGGAAACTGCAAGCCTGGTCGTAACATCCTCATCACTGGTATCGGTGGTGGTGTGGCGTTGATGGCTCTGCTCTTTGCAAACGCTGCTGGTGCCAATGTCTTCGTGACTAGTGGAAGTCAAGAAAAGTTGGACAAGGCAAAGAAGCTTGGTGCTGCCGGCGGCGCTATCTACAAAGAGGAAGGATGGGAGAAGAAATTGCTTGAACAGCTACCGAAAGACAGAAAGTTCCTCGATGCTGTCATTGACGGTGCTGGTGGTGACATCGTCCAGAAGACTTTCAAGATCTTGAAGGTGAGTTTTGTGTATGCTTGTTGAATTAGCGACGTACTAATGGTCCATAGCCTGGCGGTGTCATTGTCTCTTATGGCATGACAGTAGGCCCACAAATGCCCTTCACAATGGCCGCTGTACTTAAGAACATCGATCTTCGTGGCTCCACAATGGGCTCGAGGAAAGAGTTTACCGATATGGTCAATTTTGTTTCATCCAAGAACATCCGACCAATTGTCTCGAGAACAGTTACTGGAATTGACGACCTTGAGGGTATCAACGGACTCTTCGAGGACATCAAGAATGCTAGCCAATTTGGCAAGCTGGTCATTGAGCTCGAGAAGGGTTCCGAAGCTAGCAAGCTGTAGAGAAGCCAATTTCATGATTTACGAATTGTCGTCCGCCACGACGTTCTTGACCCTTATGGCAAGGCCTCATGGTGCTAGACTGCTGTCCAATGCAGCCCTGCAACACAGAGGATCCTGTAGTGGTCCCAAGCAACGTTTCACATTAATTGGGGTTGTGGTCTAGTGGTATGACATCTTCTTAGCATTGTTCTTTGAACATGACTGAGTGGAGAAGGTTCTGGGTTCGATTCCCAGCTACTCCAGTTTTTGCCCGGTTGAGGTCGTGTAGCATGAGGCTTTTGCTCGATAAATCAAAATTTTGTTCAATGCACCTACTTTTGCGGAAACGGTATAGACTAGCGGCGGAGGTTGCTGAAGCCGAAACGCCGATCATTGGGCGGGCTTGGCGGGAAGCTGTGCGCGAAGCATGACGCATGATTGTTTGCGCGGCGACGAGCTTCAATTGAAACATTAACTTTCTAAAAGCAGCAAACATGTCGGGAGGCTGGAATACTATCGAATCAGACGCTGTCAGTGAATGCAATCATATATACCAATCAGCGCATGCTAACAAGTTGCAGGGCGTCTTCACATACTTACTCGAGAACCTCGGTGTCAAGAACGTTCAATTCGAGGAACTCATCTCATTAGACGCACAAACACTGGGCGAGCTCTCACCACTGGGAGTCATCTTTCTCTTCAAGTATAATAATGATGGTCGTAAATCGGACGGACCGCTAGATGGCAAATTCGACTTTGAAGCAACATACAACTTGGATGATGCCGAGAGTGCAGGAGATGGCCAGGGCAAGGTGTGGTTCGCTGCTCAGACAATCCAGAACGCCTGCGGCACACAAGCACTTCTCAGTGTCTTGATGAACAAGGACGACAAGGATGGTGTTGAATTGGGGCCTCATCTGTCAGACTTCAAGGACTTCACAGCCGCCTTCCCACCAGACGTACGTCAATCACTGCACTAGCAGCCAACCCTCATGCTGACCGACACTCTCAGATTCGTGGCGAAGCCCTCAGCAACAGCGATCTCATCCGCGACACGCACAACTCCTTCGCCCGTAGCTCTCCTTTCGTATCAGACGAGACCCGCATGGCCACCCAAGACGACGACCTCTTCCACTTCATCGCCTACACCAGCATCAACGGCAAGCTCTACGAACTCGACGGTCTCCAAGAAGCACCCATCAACCACGGTCCCTGCGCTCCCACAGACTTTGCCGAGAAGGTCATCCCCGTCCTACAACGTCGCATCGAGAGATATCCCTCCAACGAGATCCGCTTCAACTTACTGGCCATGTGTCAAGATCTTCGTGTCAAGGCAAAGGAGTTTGGCGATGACGAGATGGTCTACCGCGAAGAAGAGAAGAGACGTGCATGGCAGTGGGAGAATGCTCTTCGCAGACATAACTTTGTTGGCTTCGTTGGCGAGTTGATGAAGGGTGTCACTGCTGCGAAGATCGCAGACGGCTCATACGACGCATGGATTGAAGACTCGAAACAAAAGACGAAGAAGAAGTTGGAAGAGAGCAAGAAGAAGGGCTACAACCCTGATGAGATGGAGATGTGATTACGACTCCCTGACGATTAAAGAACAGCCTCCTATCCGGCATTGCAACTGCACAAGCTTTTCTTGACCACTCCCGATTCAATTTCGGCTTTTCCGACCATACTGGTGACTGTTATCGTGCTGATGAGTGACTTCTCGATAGGACATTCGGCAGTTTATCCTACCACCCATCTCGTCAGCTCTTGTATACACACATACACAGAATATGGGGCTTACCTGGAATCTTTCACTGGGAGTTGTCCTTGGAGTATGCTTTGCCCTCAGAGCCACCAGCCTGTATGGCTTGATTGCGTCTCAGAACCTCACAATCGGCGCAAGGGCAGGGTCCTTCGGTGGGAAGCTCGTTCATGATGAGCCACTTCCACTCAAGACATGGCGCGATGACTCCTCTCTTGAGGCAGAGCTTCTCTTCGGTCACAAGGTTGTAGCGGTAGGGACACGAGACATAGCGAGTGACTCTCTTGCTGCACATGATGAAGGATGTTTGGTTGTGATTTGATTTGACGCTGAGAAGATATTGTTGTAGTGACGAAGTCAAGGATGGGAGCAAGCGCATCTGATCATGTCGAGCAAAGAGGACGCCTTCGAGAGGACAGTGCTTTCTAGCATGTTGAGAGAGCGTGTTGGAGCCTTCTGCTTTCACTTGTATTTGCCCTGGAAGGCTGCAGCTGACAAAAGATGGCAGGTGCGAATCCATTCGGCTTCTCAGTATTGAAAGCCGACGCGACAGGCTTTTTCTAAGACAACTTCGAACACTCTCGTCCACCTGAATGTTGAAAACCCTTGCTGTGTCCGCCCTTGTTGGTTTTCGGTATAGGGCATGAAGAACGCTCTACTGTACTGGCTGACGGATATGACAATTCATTGACCATATGAGCAAAGGAACTGGACGCGCCGGAACTAGTTGAAATGTCTCAGGTGTCCGACCTCTACAGCAGTCAAATTCACGTCTGCTCGACCGCGCTACAATCTAAGATAGTACCTCTCATCGAATACTGACGGTACAACTACCATCCATTGCGCCGCACTTGTCATCAAGTCGATGCCTGGATAGGGCGAGATAATCAGTCCTTCTGATAGGGACGGGCTGCAAGAAAACTCACTACATGTTTCGATTGTTCCTAAGAGGAAAAGTATCATTCATCAGAGACCTTGAAGCCTCCCGTCTCGACCTGTTGCACAATGTCCGCACACATATTAACTTTTACCATCCGCCTGCCTCTTCTCCATTCACGAAGGTCCCACGCCATCATCGAACTTCAGTCTAGCCAACTGCCTCCTCAAGGCCTCCGCCGCGCTCATTTTGCCCTCGATCATCTCTTTTCCGGATCTCCTAAGCTCCTTTCCCCATTCTCTCAAGTCTCTAGCGTCCTCCATCTGCCTTCTTTCCTTCTCCGCTCCCTCTGCAGCCTTCCTCTCCTCCTCAGCGATATTTTCTTCCTCTCTCATTTGCGCCTTGATTTGCCTGATTTCGTGCTCCTTGAGCTTCCCGCAGTTTGAGCAGGTAGCGTTGGAGAACATTGCTGGTGAGGAGACAATCCAAGAGTGTGTTGAGCCGGTACGGCAGTGGCGATTGTTGATGAAGTAGTGAGAGCACTTGTGAGAAGATGAAGGCGTGAAGCCAGTCTTCTCATGGCAGCAGGGCGTGAGGAGTTCGTGGTAGCCACACATGGTTGTTTCCTTCGACGGTGTATTAGAGGTCACGACGGAGGGGCTTCGTTTCTGCTAACGGTCAAGAAGGCAACTAGAGATTTACAAGTGACAGACAAATAGACTCTAGCTGGAGCTTAGACTGTGTATCTTGATGGAAGATATATACATCATCGATGCAAGCCATGCGCGTGCTTTGAGTTTGTTCCAGGCTTGTGACAGCTATGCCTATCATGTGGCTGGCTGAAGACATGACTGGTTGCAAGATCATGCTAAACATAGACCTGACTTCTACGATATTTTGATGCGTCAACTCCTCCTTCTACCAGGGTAGATTCTCCCGTCACACCAAAAGCCTGAACATGAATCGCTGTTTGCCATCAGGCCTGAATTCACGACACTAGGCCAAGTGCCACACAAACTTGAGTTGTCGAGTATGCCTGGTTCTCGTACGTCCTGGAACGTCAACAGCACTATGTCAAGTTGCTGCTCCGCCTACTTCTTCTACAATCGTGCTTTCCATCTTGGTATCTTGCAAGCTTTTCTTTTTCTTTACATTCTCGACTGAAAACTCACTATATACACAAGGAGACGTGACACCTGCAGCTTTACATGGTCGTAAAGCTCCGTCGAGGTCGTCGATAGATCTGCTCTCGTCGACACCTGATTGCGACGTCAGTCTGATCAGGCTCCTGGCGAGAGCATCATGGACTGATTACAGATGGACAACAAACCACACACGCTGTGTCCTTTGACTTCATCGCCCATCTAGCATTGACTCCGACATGTTTCAAGGAGGGTTGACCGGTATATCTCCACGATAATCGCGCTTCGAGGGCGTCTTCGACCATTACTTTGCATGCAAGAGAATTATATACTTTGTCTCCAAGCCTTCTCGCAACACTGCGAGACCGATTGGGTCAATTGCATGACACTGAGATCGATTGACATTGATCTGGAGGTCTCGTTCGTCTGGCAGTCATGGTACGGCTCTCTATATCTGATACTTCGAGTTGCGAGATCGAGAAGTCGACGACAGCGCTCCAGGACGGATTTGGGATAGATTCTGATCTCATACAGTACTTTCCGCCGTATATTTGGAGGTTGGATCAACTCATCCGACGATAAAAAGGCCATGTCACCCTGCCACAGAATCAGTATTCTGGACGGGTGCTCGATGTTTTATGCTCCACATGAAATGCTGGTAGTCTTGTTTGTGTCTTGTTTGTGTCTTGTTTGTGTCTTGTTTTGACCTACACGGTTGAGACCATTGCTGCCTTGGATGATTGCACTATGTATCGCACATCATGGAACGTCATGATTCCAGAGAGAAGCCAATCTCCGACTATAGCATTCCTCATCCGCACATCCCAACCATCCCAACCATCCTCCACACTCACGACAGACTGCTTCTCTCGCTTGTGTCAATTGATTGCGGCTTGTTGTCGCGTTATATGTTGCAAGTCTCGAGCGACCGATGACTCTCGGGTCACGGATGGGAGATCGTGATGGCCGACGCTCGTGGTCGATGGAGAATGTGTAGTTGATCCAGGGAAATTAGGCACAGCATACCAGCAGAATGACGCAACGGAGTGCGGAGCAATAGTGGCTCGTTCGAAGCCCGTGATTTGAAGTGGTGGGCCGGCGACTGGTGTGGTGGCTATCCGTACGCGAGTATGATCAGGGGTTATATGACATGAGTTGATGCACAATAGGGAACTAGACATGGAGTCTAAGAGAAGTGTGCTTGTTATTCCTGAAATCATAGTGACCCTGTTGTATTTGGAGGCCAGGTCATTGACCGACATTGATTCTTTCTCGTCTCATCACGACATACAAGGCCTTAGATGATGCCTGTGGAAAGGCAGAGTGAAATCCTGGATTGATCCCTTGCTCAGAGAGAAGTGACGTTTGGTGATCCAGGGTGACCATGAAGTGCACAGGATGACCTGTGTCTCCAGCACTGATACCGTTCGAAATCGCGTCTGTAGAAATGCACAATGATATCTAGAACAGAGAGCATGCTCAAAGAGAGTTTGTCTATCGTCTATATGATGACTCTCATCCCCCAGCCTCCTGTTAATCCCCTCGCAATGACAAAAGCAATAGATGCAGCAACATACAAACACCCAGCAAATATGATAAGCCCATCATAATCATCACCCCCTCCCAATATAGCACCCGCAATAGGAATACCCATCAAGGTGCCGAAACTACTAATCGTGAAAGTCGTCCCCGTCCTCTTTCCAATATCCTCGGTCTTGCAGACCTGTTGAATGCAGACAGGTGTCAAAGAGATAGCGGCGCCGGACCAAAAGCCAAAGAGTACTGTATAAGCAATGATGCAAGCGTGAGAGGAAGAGCCGATAAGCCAGAGGAGAAAAGTGAGGAGGGAGCAGAAGATTGCTGTAGCGGTCATGGTGTTCAGACGACCGTAGTGGTCGGCTATGTAGCCGGGAAGGAGACGGCCGGGGATGGCGGAGGCGTTGAGGATGGGAATAAGAGCGTATGCTAATTGTTGTCGCATCCCTGCATGAAGAGCTTGATCAACCAGAAAAGTGTAGGGGATGAAGACTGCAAACTCCACCAGAAAGATGGCAGCAGTAGTAGCAGCATAAGGCGGATCCTTAAGTGCCATGAGATCAATCTTCGCTCCCGCCGTCTTATTAGGCGGAAGACGACTGCGAAGAAGCAAACAAGCAACACCGCAAAGCCCAGCACAGATGAATCCGATGATCCTTATCGCCCAGCCAAAGCCAATCTTTGGCGCCAGAAAAAGGATGATGAGAGAAAATGCCAGTCCACCAGTTCCACCAGCCGTACACGCAACCCCCATCGCCAAACCCCTTCTCTTATGGAACCAATGTCCAATCGCCGAAACAGCTGTAGTAAACAGACAACAAGTGCTCAAACCCCCCAACACACCAAAAGAAAGTATAATCTGATAATACTCTGTACTCACACTCAACGTCATTAAACTGACCACCAAGCCCACACTTCCCGTAATCACCAACACCCTGGCACCATAAACATCAAAAAGCGGTCCAATCTGTACACCAGCAAAGTAGAGAAAAAATGGAAAAGTTGAAAATATCCAGCCGACTGATGAGGACGAGTAAGTTGAGAGTTGATGTGTAGAGATCCAGGCGTGAAAGGTGCCGATGGTGTTTAAGAGGCCCATGCCGGCTGTCATGGCGCACCAGGATCCTAAGACTACTAGCCAGGCTTCGAGCCCGCCTTCGGGGTATTTTTCGAGGTCGGAAGCATTCTCAAGAGACTTGTCAGCAGAGTCCGCGTTCGACAAGGTGGGTTGTGATTTTTCGGAAGTTATCCGGTGTTGAGGCGAGTGTTTCAGTTCATGTGATTGATGTTCATGTAACGACCTTCTTTCTGATAGCCCACGATGTACGGCAGTATTTCCGTGGTCATTTTGCATATTTGAGAAATGATGGGTGTGGTCCAGTCAAGTCGGCGTCATGAATTCGCGTTCGCCTCTTCCAGGAAAGAAAATCTCACGTCGGTCGCGCACAGTTTTCAGTCGCTCTCGGGAGCATTGATATGGGTGCTATCTCGTACGAGTAGTCGGAAGGAACATTTTGTCACAAGATCGGATCTTATCGTCGCTGACAAAGATCGGTGACGGCTCGAGTCAAGATAGGAAATGTCCTTAGCGGCTGTTCGACGCGGGTATAATTTATCTTTTTCTTTTTCTTTTTTTCTTCTCGCCCGTCGGCCTTCCGAGTTAGGAAAGAGTTACCCCGACAAGCTTGACTTCGTCAGGTGTGGTCGACCACGTTCGGAGAGTAGCTTCAGGAAAATGTTATGTGTGATTTGAAAAGATGACCTTCCTCTCTCAGATGACAGCTCGCAGCTCGCAGCTCGTAAATAATTTCGTGCATCGTTATCGAATCGCAAAGTCGAGCATTTCGCGCTTGAAGTACAATGAGAGTAGATGGTGAGACGGCAAATCACCCTTTGTTCTTGCCAGCTGCACAATTGCACATTCTGTTACTTCCTCATCTGTAGTAACGTCTGATATCCTATTCCTCCTCCGACTCGCTGTCACTTTCGATCTGTGGCTTCCGGCGGTCCTCTTTTTGGGTTATGCTAGGTTCGACATCCACTTCCTCCTTGATCGGCTCTTCTTCATCGAACTGGAGCTCCTCGCTCCTAGAACATTATGCAGAATCAACTCTGGAAGCTCTCTCCGAGGCAGCATCGTCGTCTTCATTCTCACCATCGATCTCGAGCTCAAAACTCTCACGTTCCCGGAAGTCCTTTTCACGTGTGACTTCATGAGCAGGTATCAGACTTGCTGTATCACGATCTGGAGCATCGAAGATTTGGATGGCTTCTGCACCTGACTCTTCAGCATGTGCCATGAGCAAAGTGATGGCGGCTTCGGCACTGGGTCGACTCCTCACCGCTCTGGGTTTGTCGTTGGAAGTCTTGTGAAAGTACCACAAGAAAACAGGCTTATCTTGCAGACCATTTCCAAATACCAGCTCCTGGAGACGACTTTCTGACAAAACTCCTTGATCGAAGAGATTCTTTGCAAGCCCAAAATGATCGCGCTCGAGGATGAGCTGCTGGTTGACGATAGTTACGCGCGTGATGTAGAGGACGAGTTTTGAGAAGAAACTCGTCTTGACCTTGACTTTGCCAGTAGGGACGAATTTTCCCAACTCCTTCTTGTCATCATTGGGGCTCGCGAAACCGTTCGTGAGACCTTCGACGTCCTTGCTTTGAAGTCTTGACGAAGCAACAGACGAGGTTAGCATCGTTTGTGAAGAGGTGGTGGCTGGGCGCTTGGAGATCCCTGTTGTTTGCGAACTGTGCCGACGCTTGGACAGAGGCCAGCGGCTTTCATCTCCGTCTCCATCATCGTCTTCGTCGGCTCTGGAGCCAGCAGCTCTTCTTCTTTTCCCATTATGTCTATCAACTTTGGCGCTCGAGATGAATTGCTGAGTCACGCATTTCATGCTGTAGGACTGCCCCGGTCTAGGCTTCTGGTAGATGAGGTCTGTCGTGAACCATTCGGGTGGATTTGGTCCATGTCTTTCGACGAACAGATCAGGACGATTTCGGACCATGACAGTTTGAAGCAGATGCCGTTCTGATGACATCGCCGCGTTAATACCAGGAAGAGAGCCAGGCCCTCCAGATTGCTCTCCAATGGCACTAATCACGAATTCTGTTGCCTCGATGGCCTCTTCTGTCGTCCAGCCGAAAAAGTTCCGAAAGTATGCCTTGGGCTTGTATTTGTTGCTGATTTCCACGTATGTCTTGAGACTTTGGTAGGTCCACGTGGAAACGTCCTGAGCATTGAATATGGAGCTGGTTGTCATGGTGAATGGTGTAAAGACTGCGATGCAAGCCAAAATCCGGTCAACGTTGAACAGCTCTCCTGAAGATGACAAGGTGCCGATTCGAGAGAATGTGGAGGGTGTTGCAGATTCTCCAGGTTGCTGAGGCGGAAGATGTGACGATCCAGGGAGAAGTGCTCACAAGTGAGACCTAAGATACAAGCTTCTCGATGTTGATCTGTGGTTGGTGCTTGTAGAATCGAACTGGAAGTGAAGATCGACTGCGAATATGATACAAAGATATCAGTATGTGGAAGTCTTAATGGAACGCAAAATAATTGTAGCGAAGCTTCACTGCGCGATGGAAGGACCAGTAGTAGACTGATCGATCACCAGACTCTCTTAGGGAAGCCAGTGATGCTATCTAGGGCTTTCGAGGACAGCCTTATGTCGTTCAGGGGCTTGCGACGTGAGTATCTCGATGGCAGAGTCGAAGAAGCTGTAGGTGACCTAGGTCTGTGAAGTCATTGCCAAGTATATAGAGATCGGTGGAACATGAATCACAGGCCGTTTCCGTTCCTGGGTTGAGGGTTCGCAGGGGAACGAATCACCAAATCCTGACGTCTTTCAGTGAACGGATTGTGGATTGTCGAGAGCCGAGGATCGAGAGTCAACAAGACGCGAGCCAGTGTACAGACGGGTGAGTACCTGAAGTTTCAATCTTCGTAAATTTGTGAAAGGCATATGTAGTTGATGACTGTCCTACCATGTACCTCCGTTGATGCTTTTTTTATTCTCCCTTCCTGGTGACTGATAATGGACCGATAATCCCGCTTGAACGCACGACGAAAAACAAAACACAAGATCAGAGAAGGTAAGACTACCTTACCTCTCTGCCGAAGCCACGAGCTCTCATGGAAGCTTCAATGGCACTCCAGATCTCTTCCACAGTTTCACGGTCTCTCCATCTCTGTTGAGCAGTCTGGCCATCACGGTATGCGTCAATACCGACGTTCAAGACACCTCTTCCCCAGCCCTTGATGCTATCAGGAATGAGCTCGTTGCGCCAGCCGACGTAGACACCCAGAGAGTGGTTGAAGAGCTCAGCAGGCTGACTCCACTTGTATCCCTTGAATTGCCAAGCTTGACCTGTGGTAAAGACAGCGACAACACGGTTCCAGTAGTCGGGCTTGAAGTTATCAGGCGACTCGACAAGAATAAAACGCAGAGGGCGTGTAGGGTCGATCGAAGGCATGACACGGTTGACGTGAAGGATGTTCAGAGCGGTCGAAGTGGTGGATGTCGGAGGAGTGTAGACACCATCCATGAGGAAGGACTTGACGTTGGACAGGCGGAGGAGCGACGAGGCTGATGGGGAGAGAAGGATGATGGGCTCTGGACGGCGGCCACTGGAGGGCTTTGCAGGACGGATAGCAGGAGCGGGTGTGACAAGGGCAGGCGCAGGAGCGGAGGCCTTTGAGCGGCCCAAGAAGGCTTCGGCGTACTTGCGCACATGCGAGAAGTCCTGTGAATGGAGTTAGTCGGTGGGAGAGAGGGAGGCAGAGCGTGGTCAGCATACAGTGGGCTTGCTGCCTCTGAGCAGCGTGTTGCGATCGCCCGTCTTGCGCTCAAGGGCATAGATGTCACGCAACTTGTCGTCCTCGGCTCTAGCATCCTGCATAACGACATCGCCGTCTCCGCTAGCCATCTTCGCAGCATCGTGGGCCTGAGCGCGCGTCTGGCGATTGTCATCTAGACTTTTGATGAACTCGCTGTCATTCTCGCCAGACAACCAATTGATCAAGTCAAGCTTCTCGGCAAAGACCAGGTTGCGCACTTCGCTGAGACCAGTAGAAGTCCGCGCCGTGTTGACTTCTTGAGTTGCAGCAATGTAGTCTCCGGTGCTCTTGTCCTTGTTCTGCCAACACCAGAAGACACTGGCCAAGTCGAGCGCGCCATTGATTTGCGATACAAATCTCGTTGCTGTCGTCAAGGGGAGCGCGGTGTGCTGGGCGCCATCGGTAGCGGATTGTGTGTTGAAGAGTAGATGGGATGCTTCGGTCAAGGGCGCAATGTCGCTAACAGAGGAGGCATCGGCGCTGCGAGTCGGTAACGGCGGCGACGAGGCAGACAGACTCGTCCGGAACAGCGTCAGCGCATCAATATCTCCTGCGCTCATTGTGGCTTGTTTGTGCTTGTCGACTTGATTAAATCGTGTCTCATGTCGGCCAGCTTGGTCGCGACCAAGTCCAGCTTGCAAACGCGGAAGGTCTGCCGCGTCTTGGCACTCATCATGCCTTCCGCCGTCATCTCTCACTCTTCACTCCTGCATTTAAATACATCTGTTCATGTTCATGTCTCGTACATGATGGCCTCACACAGGCAGTCTCATGTCGTGTTAAGCTAGGTACCTGAGCTATCCTTCGTCTCAATGTAGAAGCCACAAGGCCATCCGCTAAGTCACACTTCGTCACACCAGCATGTTCCTGAATGTTGTCAACTTGCGTTCCTTGCTCGCCCTCCGCCCAGCTACGTCGATGCCTTTCCCATGTATCGGACATAGCAACTTTCCATGCATCGAGTTCTTGATGTGTAGAGGACAAAGCGGACTGGTAGGAAGATGTTCGGGTAAGTCTTTAGCAACTTCTTCCTCAGCATTCGCCAACTCAGCCTCCACCTGTTGCATCCTTTTCTAGAAGTAGTCCGATGTGCCGTTGCTGTCCTTGACCGGCAGGCCTACGTTACGCTTGAAGTCCCAAGGAGCAGCTAGCATTCGCATGTCGACGTCTGTTGATCCGGCTACCGAGTCCCGGCGCGTTTCTGCTTCGTCACTTTCGCCTGGAGGATTGGTGTAATCAAAGAAGAACCCTCGAGACCTTGACCCCGGACTCATTGGCGTTCTCACTGGCGGCGTGTTGACTCTCTGCATCTCGGACGGCAAGAAGCTCAATCCGGCAATTGGGCTCTGGATGTACTCACGACCATCTCCTCCGAAATACGAATCTTTACGCTTGGGGCTGCTGCTTGTGATGGTGCTTTCGGTTCGGATTGATACGTTGGTCCCTCTTCTTCGACGGGAACGGGAATTGAACAGCCCAAAGCATCCTGGCGTGGGTGAAGGCGACCTTGACATTGTCGAGAGCTGTCTAGATCGGCGTCGGTCTGGACTCTCGTTCTGCTGCAATTTGGTGGTCTGTCTTTTGACTGGGGCCGATACGATACTGTGTACTGTCAAGACTCGCCGGACTCCTTGGTTTGGTACCTCTTCGGTCGGGGGCGGTGGATCTGTTTGCTCGAGTTTCTTTTTGGCTGGTTCCTCGACCGAGTCCACCGTACTCACGAAAGAGACTGACCTTCCTGGATGGTCTGATCTTCGACCCAACTCTCGTGTGGGTATGGAGTCGCTCGATCTCTTTTGCGTCATAGCAGGCGGTATGAGCTCATGAGACGCCAAAGTCCGATTGGAACCTCTGGGCGGACTGCCGTGCTTTTCTTTGTGTGTTGAGAGGCCAATCGAGCGACCAGGCGCGACGGATGCTTTCGCACGGCGAGTTTTTAGCTTTGAGTTTTGGAAAGAAATATGGCCATGAGCTGCGTCATGGCGGTTTGGAGAAGCAGTGCGCGATGTGCTCGATGCTTCAGAGAAGGTTGACGATTTGGTGACAGGTTGAAAGCGAGGACTAGGTGGAGCTGATTGGATAACAATGGCGGGTGATGAAACAATAGACTTTGGCGGAGCAGGACGAGATGGTACGGAATGCGATAGATGCGGAGGTGATCTTATGACCCTCTTGAAGTTCCGTTTTGTGACGCGTTCTCTGCTCAAAACATAGGCAAAGCTGCTGGCGTCTGAGTGTGAGTCTTTCTCGCTGGAAGATGATGTTGGAGTGGGCGCAAAGCTAGTCGGTGCTGGTGCAGGAGCAGTTGGTGTTGGTTTATGTTGTGCAGGGTGTAATCTAGTAGGCAGTCAGAATCGATAAAACCGAAGTCACATCAGTGTAGCTTACTCGATAGTTGGTGTTCGAACTAGAGCATGGATGTTTTCGTGATCTGTAATAGGCAAAGCAAAGAAGTCTTCGTCAGCATGAGTATTGGTAGGAAGCTTCAAATTCCTTTGAGGGCGTTCTTCCAAGCGAAGGGGTCCTGCGATCTCGAATGGATTTGTGAAGAGTTGTGTCTTTGGTGATGGTTGTGGTGAGGGTGGGACTGGAGGTTGTAGTCCTGTTCTTGTTGACTGGGATAACGCGCCCTCATTCCATCCCTCGAAGAAGTGGGGTAGGCGGCTCTTTTCGAGGGAAGGGGCTCGTCTAGGCTGCTCTGACTGCTGCTGCCGCTGCTGCTGCTTGACGACTGCGATGGGCTTCTGCGGTGGCGCCCACATGGTCTGTTGGTGGGTTCCTCTGCCTTTTTCTCAGATCTGAATATACCACTTGGGTTGGAGAAGCACAGTCCAGCAAGAAGTACTGCGAAAACGGAGAAGATACCACGCTGGAATGTTCGCTTGTCGTCGACGTAGTCGTAGTAAGGCATGGTCTTTGAGAGTGGGTAGCGGGATGAGATTTGAGGTGTGAACGATGAAGAGCGGCTTTCAAAAGCAATCTAACATCGAGTGGAAAAGATAAAGCGAAAAGAAAGAGTTTAGGTGTGCGCAAAGGAGGTTGTCACGCTCGTCTCAGGCCACAATTCACGATGTTTTGTTCGCTCTGCTAGAGGAAGGACCATCCTACTGCAGCTTCCGCATCTGTCGTGCTCGCGAAGCTTGACACGTCGATTCCTAAAGTGTCTACCTACCTGCACATTCGAGTGCTCTTGACTTTCCAACTGGCTGCCGGTCCGCCGTCTCTGATGCCTTGCAAACAAGAGTATGGTCAGGTCCGTCGTTCTGATTCGCTGTTGACGAGCTGGAATCATATCGTACCTTGAGCAGGTCTCCGAAGTCTTGTAGATGACATAACCCATACCAGCATCGGTCTCAACAGACCCCAAATGTCGATTGATGAGTGTTGCAACAGGCGCATCCCGTTCGCGGCCAACAAGTCAAGTGCTTTATCTCCCGAACAAAGATTCTCAATCGATGCTCATGATGAACCCGCATTCGCGATACAGAAGACAGGGCTACCAGCCAAAATGTATGAGAGATTGATACTTAAGTCGGCAACTTCAAGGATCGTCCTGCGGTAAGCAAAAACGCCACCAACCGGGATGTCTTAAGATTAAGGAGGGTCACGAGACCGGCTCAATCGAGCGCCAAATGATTGCCACACTTCGAACATCTCCGTGTTGGAAAACGCACAAGAGTTGCGCGTTCCCTTACGTGATCTTTTGTATGTATGACAGCTTTGACGACTGCGAAAGAAAAAAGAAACACACGCCAACATGTCAACACAAGTGCCGCCCGCAACGGCCCCGCAGCAGCCACCCATGGACCCGACCATCCCGGAATGGGACAACAACGCCGTGCACACGTCCAAAGATGGAGTCGCGACGACATCAAAGTCTGGATACCCTCGTGGTGGAAAGATAGTGTTTCAGGAAAAGTTCGATGCTGTTCTGCCACGATCGCGGTCGTATTTTGGACTCAAGAGACGCACTTTCTTGATTGTTGTCATATGCGCCTTTCTCGCATTGCTTGCTCTTGTCATTGGTCTCGCCGTCGGTCTAACAAAGCATTCGAAAGGGTTAGTTTTCATCTTTGGGTTGTGGTCGCACTGAGTCGTATTGACTTTTCGCAGGAGCGGTCAGAATCTACCACTACCGACAAACAGCGAGCAGCATGAAGGTGATCTCACATACTACGGGACAGGACTAGGCTCCTGCGGTATCACCTCGTCCGATAGTGATTCAATCGTGGCTGTTTCCCATTATGTCTTTGACGCTGCATCGAGAAGCTCCAATCCCAACCAGAACCCTTTGTGCGGTCTGAAGATAAGAGCCTCGAGATACGATGAGCAAGTCGGAGAGAGGCGAAGTGTTGACTTGACGGTCGTCGATCGCTGTAAGTTCCATCCTGGTTGTCCTAAGTTCGACAATGTGCTGATGTATGATAGGTGTTGGATGCGCGGCTACTGACATTGATGTATCTCCTGCGGCATTTGATAAGCTCGCCGCAAGAGCTAGTGGAAGAGTCGACGTGACCTGGGCCTGGCTTTCGCCTCAAGCAACTGCTTAAGTTTGTGTTGCGGGCGACACATCACATGAACAACGATTGGACGACACAATTTGATGAAGACATGATTGATTCGTAATATGCACGCCTAAGCGCGACTTTTCTTGCAAGGCCAGCCTGCGAGTTTTAAGGAGCATACTCTGCGATCAACTGAATATCGACACAGTTGCGGGGGGTGGTAACGTTCATCCATCTGTACCAGATGGCAGTGGCTGGACCCCATTCCAAAGCCTGGTCGCAAGCTATTCAGCGAGATCAGCACATCATACCTCTCAACTCGGACACTGGAATCTACTCACCATACCAAGACACCCTCTGGGATGCCCAGTCCACAATACCACCCTCATTGACATAGACTCCCTTGGTACCCTGTTGGCCAGAGAAAATCTGCGCAATCGAAGCATTCGAGTACGAGAGCAGAGGATACAACACGAAGCCTTGGGGATACTGTCCATCGCCAAATGCCAAGGTACTGTTGCTGGGATTCGTGGTATCGGTCAAGTGTCCAACAATTGCGTCGCTCTTACTAGAACGTAGAGTTGCGTAGTAGCCTGCACCATAGGCATACTCGGCGAACATGTAGCCAACAGTTGTGGAGTCATTTAGCTGCCGAGCGCGGATAATGAAGTTGTCGGAGTTGTAATCAAGAGGAGGTCGAGTTATGTTTGTGCTGGATGTGGTGTTGGAGACTGTCCCGTTGGCTACTCTAGGCAGTACGGCTGCAGTAACGGCGCTGACGCCGAGTACCAGCGAGGTGATTGCCCTTGCGAAATGCATTGTCAAAGACTCGGTTCGATGGATAATAGACAGGAGATCAAGATAGGGATACGCAAGCAGCAATTGCGACTGGAAGATTCTCTTTATAATGATTCTGAGAAAAACGGTTGCGAACTCAACAGTCTTCTGCTGCTGTATGACGATGTCTCGAGAGCGGGTCCGTTCACCATCGCGTAAAGAATACTCTCGTCCTTGTTCTCGGGCCCGTGTGCGGCCCTGAGATATGCAGTGCTACATATGCCAAGAAGGATTGCTTTCTCTACCTGATTTTTTCGGACCAGTCTCTTTCAAGATCATAAAAGCCGCAACAAGCGCAAACTTGCCAGTATGCGAACAATGTACAGAAAACTACATCTATCCTCACACGTGAAAGAGATCCACTAGAATGCCTTAAAAATATATGCAAGACAGCAAGGATGGTACACGGCAAGACAAGACGACCTGGATTTTTAGACTTCTTGCGTTTTGGGTTTGTGGCAGAACGTGCAATGCTTCCCGAGACGCTTTCTTTTCTGACGTCGGAGTTTTGTCTCCTGACGATCATCCCAGAATGTTCCACTCTGATGACGAGACTGAGACGGCTTGAATAACGACAACGTTTTGGATGCAAGGAGTCAACATTCGAGGCCCATCGTTCGACTCGCAACTGCGATGGTAGAGAAGTAGAAAATGCGTGAGTAGGAGTATTAGCATAGACACGAGAAACACGATGTGTTGAAAACTCTAGGAAGACGTGGAAAGTTGAGCCGTAAAAGGTTAGTGGTCCAGACTACTGCTGTCATGCGGCGGACATCTCTTCACGTCATGCTTAAGGGTGACGAGCTTGGTCGACATCAAGCAACACAAGACCTTGATGTCGTGGTCGTTGCCGACATGGTCACAAACGGCAGAGTTGGTCTTCAACCTTCGTTACCCGATTGTATTGAAGTACTATCGATACTGACAGATAACCTGTTCGACCAAGGCACTCTCAGCCTAGTTACTGTATTTCTCAATCTTGACCTCTGCAATCATCAGCGAGTTTATGCGATTGATGAGAGCAGGGTCATTCAAAATAAGGTCTTTGGCAGATCTCGGTAAAACCTTCCACCTACAGCTGAGCAACTCCATGCCGTAAACATGGACCATGACGTGCTCAGTATTTTCAGGCCATACCAGCCACGACTCAAGAAGTGCAGCGATACCATGTCGCTTCGCCTTGTGTTCTCTAAGCAATTGAGACTGGACGTATGTCTCTCAGCTATAGCGTCGTCTTCGAGACTCTTTATCTCGAACTCAGCTCGTATCCTTCGCTAACAATACGCTTTCCTCCACTTGTCTCAATAATCAATAATGAAGCTTGGATATGGTTAGAAAGTCACTATAGCCAACAAATAAGAGAGAGAGGTGGAGCGGGATGTACGTAAAATTCATTGAAACGTTAAGCTATCTGAGTGATTCTCTCATCTTTTGAGCATGTCTATCATTCACTTTTATGCGACCGGCAGTACTATCGACTCCATGACACCCGGCCTATCGCTAATCATCTTCTAGACGTGCTCTCTGAGGGGCAATTCGACGGTAAGGGGCTCCTAGCGATCCTTTTCCTTCAGCTCATCCTCAGCGCCCTTGACGACAACAGCCATGTCCTTTCTAGCCCAGTCCCAGTAGTCGGCCCATGCACGTACGTGATCTGCTGTAGTCTCGGCAGGGAGAGTCTTGTTGATGATGACGCTGACCTTGGCAATAGCCTTGTTATGCTCACCGAGCTTCTCGAGCTCTTGCTTGACGGCAGTATCCTTAGGCTTGAAGGCAAGAACTGCTCTAAATGAGGCTGCCAGACTTTCGAGACGGCGAACAGTCTCCTCAGGTGCGAGTGTGATGAGCTTGGTCAGCATCAAACAACACAGGATCTTGATCTCATGCTCATCGCCGACACCGGCCTGCACACGGTCGTAGAAGGCTGGGATCGGGATACGAGAAAATGCAGTCTCCATCAGAGCGTACAAAGTCTCGTATGCAGATTTGCGAAGCTCGAGACCGTCGTCAACCTTGTGCTTGAAAGGACCCATAGAGACCTCGCGGATCAGCTCGGTGTTAATGACAGTCTCCTTCAGGGCAAGAGGCAGGAGAGTGTCCAGATGAGGAAGAATCAAATCAGGCTTGTTGTGTGCAGCAGAGTTGAAGGTAGTAAGAGCGAGGCGACGGTTATGCAAGTCGGTCTCGTTGAGCATGGTAGTGAGCATGGGTACGATGCTAGGCTGCAGGTAGACGTCGTACGAGGGATCAGTGTCAGAGAACGTGTAACGAAGAGCTGAGATGACCATGCCGCGTACAGTAGGCTTTGGGTCGCTTAGGTATGCCTGCAGTTGAGGAAGGTATGCAGCAGGATCAATTGTGGCCAATCTGCCGATGCATTCGGCACCAACGACCTTGTTATCTTCGACCTGTGATGCGGTGATGATATTGTCCCAGAGCTGCTTCGAGTACTTGATGACCTCTGTTTCAGCAGCAGTGTGCTGTAGCAGTTCCTTGATTGTATGCAGAAGTAGATACTGTTTTCCTTGGCTCATACTGGATTGGATCTGAGGTAGGTAGCTCGAAACGTTACCTGCAGCAGCACGACCCAGCGCGACTGCCGCAGCAAGAGCTACCTTCTCCGAGGTCGAGAAGAAGGAAGTGAAGACTTCAGGACCATATGGGAAGGAAGGACCCATACGAAGGCCAGCTTCACCGAGGATGTAGAGAGCAAGGCATTTACGCTTCTCGTCAGATGTGGTCTTCAGCTCGGCTTCGAAGTCTGCCAGCGAGACACCGACGGAGTTACCTCCAGCGACGAGGAGTACGCCAATAACCTGACCAACAAGCTCGGGGTTGCCGTTGACACCAACCTCGCCGAGCAATGCCTTCATCAGGTTCTTGCCGGCACCCTTCTTGCCGATGATTTCGAGAGACCCAAGCAGCGCATCGAGTGCGGCACCAGTAAGGTCCATCTTGGTTACAAAGCAATAGGCACGGACAACCTCGGCGTCGAGGACAAGCTGGGGTCTCTCGTTGGCGAACGATCCGATGATGACCAGCGCAGGGCCAATCAGGTGAAGGTCCTGATCTATGAGAATCAAGGGCAGCAAAAGCTGAACAATCTTCTGAACAGTCTCGTCATCAAGATTCTCGCGACATGCAGGGTTAGCAGCAAGACGCTTGAGTGCGGCAAGACTGGTACCGCGCAGCGTTCTGCTAGACTTGCGAAGTTGAGCACCCAACTCAAGCGCGACATCACGGACCCAATCGGGTGTGAACTCCTTGGAGCCTTGCGCCAGAATCGCAACAGTCTCAATGGCCTTGACCGATGCCAAACGAGTGAGCTCATTGCGCAGACGTTCATTAATCAGCTGCAAGCCTGAAAGCCTGCTCTGTTGGCTGAGAAGAGCTGAACCTCCAGACGTGCGACCAATCAAGAGACCAAGAGATTGAACAGCCTTCTGGCGCACTTCGGTGTCAGTGTCAGAAGCGGAGATGCGTTGCACAACAGTGTCGTAGATTTGTTGCAGATAGGTTGCATTTTGCTGCTTTGAGCCCGCAGAGCGAGGTGGTGTGAGAGCCTTGATGTACACCTGAATTGTGTCAAACGCTTCGCTCGACACCTTGCTGAACTTCTCTTTGGATACAACGGTCAAGGCAGGCATAATCTTGCTAAGATAAGGCTCAACGACCTTGGATGAATGACTGTCGGCAACAACGCGCAGCAGACGTAGAGACTCAATACGGAGAGCATTGTTTGTGACGGAAGCACCTCCAGATGTGCCAGCAGTAGACTTCATGGCATCGAGTACAGGGTCAATGACCTGATCGATACGCTGCGAAAGACCACCGTGCTGAGCAGTAACCAGATCTGTAAGCAGAGAGATGACAGCGTGCTTGGTAGGTACAGTGCTCGACTTGAGCAATTTGGCAGAACTTTGCACGATCTGAGGGTTGATTGCGGACAAGCTGACTTGAGGGCCGCCTTGGGGTGGGGGTGTAGATGGCGAAACATATCCGTTGGACAGTGACACTTGAGGGCGTTCGCTGGAGAAGCTACTGTCGCGGCGACGCTTGCGGCTGACGGGAGGGCCGGTAGCTGAGGAGGTTCTGCGATGACTGGATACAGAGCTGACTTCACCAGTTTTTCTGATGAGGAAGGCAAGGGTTGAAAGGACCTCGAGGCGTACGCTCTCTTCACGTTCTTGGAATCGTGATAGGAGGGCAGGCGCGATCTTTTCATAGAGAATACCGCTGTCCAATAGATCGCCACTTCCTTTCGTGGCGATCAAGGTGTGGATGAGCTTTGCGGCACCGCGGCGCACCTTCCAGCTAACATCATCCTCATCGTCAAAGCCAGTCTCCTCCTCAAAGTCCTCATCGACGTCGAAGTCGTCATCTTGGTCACTCTCTGCTCCTTCCATATCCTCATCGTCCTCGTCGCCCGCATAGTTGGGATCGTACTTTGCGAAACGAAGGCATGAGTCGATCAACTCGGGGAGGTATGGCGTCATGTCCTGTCCACAAGAGGCCAAGAACGACTCTAGAGCCAGTAATGCAGCCTCGCGTACCTCCTCCACTTGAGGGTCACGGCCTTCATCTGATTCGGCGGCTTCCTCGTTTTGTTGATCTAGCTCCTCTTCACTTAAGGGTGACAGGACGAAAGGTGCTAGTGTTCTGAGGTAAGGCCCAAATTTGCGGGGTATCGACTTAGCCATAGAAGCGAATGTGGTGAGGTATAGACGACGTTGAGCGGGCGTGAGGTGACTCTGGCGCAAACTTTCGATGGAACGAGACACGACTGAACTCAGGAGAGAATCGGAGAAGTAGGGTGACAGCACAGAGAGCGCGGTGACAGCCTTCTTTTTCATGACGGTACTGCAGCGAGGGTTGTCCAGCACCTCAGTTGTGACCTTTTGTAGGGCTTCTACTTCCACCTCCTGCAACATGGAGCCGAAACAGCGAGCAACTTCGACCAGAACATCAATAGCATTGCTGTCGATACCAGTCTCGATCTCGATTTGGATCATACCCTTAGGTGGTGCAGGAAGGTTCTTGCCTGTAGCAATGACTGTGTAACCGACAAGGCGAGGGATCAGCGCACGACTGATGGCTAGATAGGCTTCGTTGACCTTCTGAGTGCGAGGTATCGACGGCGTAGGGCGAGGGAGAGCGACGACCATGGCTCTTACCGCGAGAGCGGGGATTGAACTGTCGATAGCATTGTCTGTACGGAGGTTGGAGATCTTGTCGAAGGTGGGGCACAGGATGCTCTCGGGAGCCTTGTTGACGAATGGGCCAAGGCATTTGATGGCCATGTTTTGCACGTCGCCATTTGTGTCGTTGAGAGTGGTGAGGAGACCCTCAACGACGCGTGCGCAGCAGCTGTAGTCGTGCGAGATGAAAGTGGGGTGGCCAATTGTGAGCATTTGGTTCAAGTCGTTCAACGACATGTAGCGAATATCCGAGTCGTTGTCATTCAGCTTGGGCAAGAGCGCGGCGACATGATGCGCCGTCGGATTTGGGGGTATCACAGCCGCTGTGGTGGCCATTTTGGGTGTGATTGATGGTCGTTGTACAGGGACGTAGAGGTGATGAAGCTGGTGGTGGGGGAGAGGATAGACTAGTAGAGCTCTGTCATCCAAGGGCGGCGCAACAGCTGTCAAGAGGCAGAGTAATGTTTGAAAGGTAACAGCAGAGGTGGAGATGAGAGAGATTGGATGAAGCGGACAAACAACAATAATTATTATTCCTTCACTCTTGCGACGGCGTGTTCGTCTCGTGTTGGCGCTCGTTGCCTGGATGCGCACGGACGCTGTCGCAGCTTTCCCATTGAAGTTATGACGGATGGAGGCTCTGAATTATGACGCTTTCCATATGCTGTGTATTCTAATGCTGTAGAGATGTTGATACTTTTGGATGAAGCTTTTCTGGAAGATGATATTGAGCTAATGTCTCAGTAGAAGTCAACCAGATTACGTGTCTGTTTATACATCATCAAAGATCACCTCGGACATGCCGATTTTCGAGCTTCATGCTCATGAAGTTATGACGGAAGCTCGAAGAAGGAAGCTGCAATTCTTGGCAATCATCCGACCCGGCGAGCACTTTGGCACTTTCTAACGACGCTCGACCGGCCTTCTCTCGAGCGCGTCACGCATTGCCAATTAGTCAATCACCATACACCCCTCCTCTCAACACTCCATACACATCATGGTTCTCCCCCGATCTGCCATGCGCGGCTTCTCAGCTGCCCGTCTCTTCCGCTCTTCCGTCCGTCCTGCCACCCGTGCTGTTGCGCGTAGAGGTTACGCCAGCGGTCACGGCCACTCGGCTCCCAGCAGCGACTTGCCATGGTAAACCATCTCACCGAGCCTATTTCAGACCCATTGGATCGCCATTGACTCGTCTCCCTACAGGATCATCGGCTCTGTCGGTATTACCGTTCCCGGCGCCTGGTACCTCTGGCCCGATTCGTCCCACGGTGACACTCATGGTCCCGGTGAGGCTCACGCCAAGCACCTCGAGGAGCACCCTGAGATTGCAGAGCCCGAGGAGCAGGAAGAGGAGGAGGAGAAGTCCGAGGAGCAACCTAAGGAAGAGTCCAAGGATGATGAGTCCAAGGATGACGAGTCCAAGGATGAGCCCAAGGAGGAGTCCAAGGGTGGTGCCCTGAAGGATGGCGAGGGCGAGGCTGTCCAAGCACCTCCTCAGTCCGGTCACGAGCCCGAAGAGGGAGAGTCCAAGTCGAAGCGTACCACCGATGGCGCCAACATGCCCGAGAGCAAGGGTGACGTCGAGGGCGTCAGCTTCAAGGGCCCCACCAGCGAGGGTGACTCGGACAACAAGATGCCCGACGAGCGCAAGCGCGAGCCTGACGGCAAGGGTGCCTTTAAGAAGCGCATCGACTCTGGCTACGGCAAGAATCTCGGCGAAGGTCCTGAGTTCAGATCTGATGGCTCCACAAGCGTATGTTCAGACAATCAAGACCCTGCTGCCCGAAACCGAAAACCAACTTACATATCATAGGCTGCCACCGCAAAGACCACCTCTACCGGTGGCCAGGGCGATATCTCTACTAAGCAGGCCGGTCTCTCCTCTACGCCCACGCGCCACAGTACCGATGCAAGCCTCTCTATACCGTCCTCTACGTCCCCTACTGACTGTTACATAGATCACCAAAGACCCCGAGATGTCCAAGAAGGGTGAGGGAGCCCCTGAGACCGCCAAATCACAAGGCACTGTCTCCGTGGGACGACCTACGTAAGGCATCTCCCTGTGTATACCGCTGTCATTCAATGCTAACGATCTTGCAGTCCTGAGAACCAGATTGGGGAGAAGAAGGGTGAGACCAAGGAGAACACCCCCACCGAGTCCAAGGACGAGTAAATTAGAAACATCGCGAGTCTTTCCTAATATGTTCTATCTGACCTACGACCACGAAGGTAACGAAAGCAACACCCACATTTGCGAACTTTTGTACATATGGAAAAATGTAACATTACCGCCAATGGGCATGAGTTCTGCCTCCACTTCAACAAACTACTCTTCCTGCGGGAAATTCAGATGCGACGAAAGCTTGCGGAAGCTGTAGAAGATAACACTTGGTGACTGGAAGATCTCGATCGAGCTGCATGCAAAGGCGACGGGGAAGTACATTGGGATACTGGTGCTGATGTTCATGTTGATGTGAAGCCTCAAAAGCTGATGAGATGTGATGCTGAAATTTGCCAAGTCCAAGATTCTGAGCGGACAACCCTGACTACGATTTTCAATCTCCAAATATTGTAAAGAAACTCGTTTGTCCTTCCCAACCTTGCATCCAGAGCATAACTATAGCGATCTGCTTCTCCATAAATGTGATCACAAGTCACCAGTCCACTGCCGCAAATCCCATAACATTTCCAGCAACAAATTCCTCCAAAGTCCATCTTTCCTCTGCCTCATCTGAGTCGCCGCCAATCCATGCCCAAGCTTCCACATCATGACGTTTCCCCTGAACATCTCCAATCTGTGCGACGACTATCTCCCACTCTCCACTGCTTTGTTGAGCATAGAACTCTGCAAACAAGTCCAAAGCATCACTTCCGGACTTTGGGAAGTAGAGTAATCCTTGCACATGAGAGTATGCAGATGTGAGTGTTGAAGGCATGATAGTGGGGAGAAGAGTTTCTGCGTCAACACTTGTGGTATGATTGAGTAGGATTGCTGGGCTCAAGCGGCGGAGGAGACGATAGGTGCGTGTATGCAGGACGAGGGAGAGGGTGTGTAGGAGTTGTAGGGTCGAGTGGATGAAGATTGGAGTTGGACCTGAGAGATGGTCTGGTAATGTCGAAGGTGTAAAGTGGGTTGTCAAGGCGAGGTGGGAGGAGAAAGGGAGGTAGGTTGTCGTTAGGGCACTTGGACATGGTAGAGGTGGAAGAGCTGGATCAAGGTTGGTGTTTGTCCAGGAGTCCTCAAATTCTGAAGTGATATTGTGGCCCTCGTATCCCTCATCTTCAGGAGTGTGTGTGGGAGCTTTGGGCGGGATGAGTGGGTATGGTCTTCCACATGCACAATTTGGTGTGCTGTCGACTTGGGGAGACATCTGGACATGCACGTTCTCCAAATTTGCACCCGTAGCCACCTTGACAGTTGGCCGCCTTGCTGTCTTTATCTTTATACAGGAAAGGAGTGCACCCATTCTGTAAAAGACACAGCACTTGTTGCTCAGATCAAACACCTCAAAGGCTGACTGACGCTCAATGAAAGATGTCTTCTCAGATTCCAAGTATGATTGTGTATCTTTCAATCTCGAAGATGTCAAACTCAGGGAGAGGAATGTATCTCTTGCCTTATTTCAATAAGAGCAAGAAACTTTCAGATGTTGATGTCAATCTGACCAACATATGAGCACTGTTTGGCTTAGCCAAAATCAACTTCGTATGCCGCAGAGAGCTAGCCAATGTCGTTGTCAATGTCACGGAGAAGAATGGTCATCATGATGAGCCAAATGTCAGAAAAGGAATTGACTCCGATCACTATGAAACTGTGAGAGCTCACTCAAAAGCGTCGAGTGGCCTCATTATATCGTTGAGGCGCTCATCGGCAGTCAAGTCGAAGTCTTGTTGGCTTGGTTGAGAGGTCTCATCTATTTCGTCGAGACACAAACGTCGAGTAGCTTTCACTAGCAATGTCGAAATGGGCAGTGAAATATCCAAAACTCGAGTGTATTCGCTCGACGCTGTTACAAGAGATGGGAATGCATAGCTGTGAGGGCCAGAGTATCGAGACGAGAAATGAAACGGGTAAGAGCAGCCATGCGAAAGTTTCACGAAATACAAACCGAGCAGGTATGGCTTGGTGGATCTTAATGCCGTTGATTTGCAAAGAACGCACAGTGTGTTTTACTCGAGTCAGCGAAGTATTAGTGGAAGGGCGGAAGAAGTAGCATAAAGCTTGCCTGGCAGTTGAAAGTTGGCCGAGCTTGCTGCACGTTCGTCGATGCCATCAAGGTGCGGCATACATGAGTACCTACCTTCTCAATCAAGCTGTCGCAACATTCGTGGAATGCAGGCGGTGCCATGTGCGGGTTGCTGATTTCGTAAGGCAAGACTCGCCGTCTAGAGACAAATATAATGGAAACAGCAGAGATGTCTCAGCAAGCTCATGTCGTGGTGCACAAACGCCTTCGCAGTTGGCAGGCGATTGCTGAATGAAGTAGTGTGAAACCAAGTATTTAGCGTAGGCAGCAGTAAGCTTGCTGTGTACAACATGAGCGAAGTCATGTAATTGGCGTAGATATGGATCGGTCTATCAGGTTCTATCAGCTTCTCTGATGGTGGCGTAGATGAGTAGGTAATCATTGTCAAAGTGTCGTGTGGAGAGTGAAAGCTGGCCATGTTGACGGGTTGATTGCGGTGGAGAGCGAGCCCCGATTCCGAAGCTTGGCGGGAGCTTCTTCACATCGTCATTGCCTCACAAGCGGCACCTCTTCACAACTCTCCGTCTCACTCGCCATCTTTCCCCATCAACACATAACACTTTTGTCCATCAACTTAATCTCCCTTTCTCTGTTCAGATCTTGAACTTCTCCTCCTCCTCCTCATCAACACATACTCCGCAACAAGATCAACAGCCATCATGTCTGGGGAGCCGGATCACGTCGAGACCAAGGCCAAGGTCAAGCTTGAGCAGTACGATCATCACACGCCTCACCTTTAGTAGCATGCGCATACTGACTTGTTGTTCTTGTAGTGACACTTCTGGTGCTGAGCAAAAGCATGTGAGTTGCTGGTCCATCACCGCCTTTTGTCTACGAACCCCCAACTGACTTGCCCCTCAGGTCGAGAACGACGTATCAACGGCTATCCTCAAGAAGAAGAAGAAGCCCAACTCATTGATGTAGGCGCCGTTACCTCTCTACATGGTCCGACTCACAACTAACGAGTCCGCAGTGTTACTGACGCCACCAACGATGACAACTCAATCATCGCCCTCTCCAACAACACCATGGAGACTCTCCAGCTCTTCCGTGGCGACACCGTCCTGGTCAAGGGAAAGAAGCGCAAGGACACTGTCTTGATTGTTCTCGCCGACGACGATCTTGAGGATGGTCAGGCCCGCATCAACCGTGTCGTTCGCCACAACCTTCGCGTCAAGCACGGCGACATCATCACCGTCCACCCCTGCCCTGACATCAAATACGTAAGCCGCCTAAGCGCAACGCTCCAATGACTTGATGCTAACACCCACAATAGGCCAAGCGTATTGCAGTCCTCCCCATCGCAGACACAATCGAGGGTATCACTGGTTCCCTCTTCGATGTCTTCCTCGCTCCCTACTTCCGTGAGGCATACAGACCCGTTCGTCAAGGCGACCTCTTCACAGTCAGAGGTGGCATGAGACAAGTCGAGTTCAAGGTTGTCGAGGTGGATCCCCCAGAGTTTGGCATTGTCGCGCAAGACACCGTCATTCACTGCGAAGGTGAGCCCATCCAGCGCGAGGACGAGGAGGGTAACCTGAACGAGGTTGGCTACGACGACATTGGTGGTGTTCGCAAGCAAATGGCTCAAGTCCGTGAGCTTGTCGAGCTGCCCTTGAGACATCCCCAACTCTTCAAGTCGATCGGTATCAAGCCTCCTCGTGGTATCCTCATGTACGGTCCTCCCGGTACCGGTAAGACTCTGATGGCCAGAGCTGTTGCCAACGAGACTGGTGCTTTCTTCTTCCTCATCAACGGTCCCGAAATCATGTCGAAGATGGCTGGTGAATCAGAGTCCAACTTGCGCAAGGCCTTCGAAGAAGCCGAGAAGAACTCGCCTGCCATCATCTTCATCGACGAGATCGACTCTATCGCCCCCAAGCGTGACAAGACCAATGGTGAAGTCGAGCGCCGTGTCGTCTCGCAACTTCTCACCCTCATGGACGGTATGAAGGCTCGTTCCAATATTGTTGTTATGGCCGCCACCAACCGTCCCAACTCGATCGACCCTGCTCTCCGTCGTTTCGGACGTTTTGACCGCGAAGTCGACATTGGCATTCCCGACCCGACTGGCCGTCTCGAGATTCTCCAGATCCACACCAAGAACATGAAGCTCGGTGACGAGGTCGACCTTGAGAGCATTGCCGCCGAGACTCACGGTTACGTTGGTTCCGATATTGCAGCGCTCTGTTCGGAGGCCGCCATGCAGCAGATTCGTGAAAAGATGGACCTTATCGACCTGGACGAGGACACAATCGATGCCGAGGTGCTCGACTCGCTGGGTGTCACCATGGACAACTTCAGATTCGCCCTTGGTGTCTCCAACCCTTCGGCCCTTCGCGAGGTTGCCGTTGTCGAGGTTCCCAACGTCCGCTGGGAGGACATTGGTGGTCTCGAGGAGGTCAAGCGCGAACTCATCGAGTCCGTCCAGTACCCCGTCGACCACCCCGAGAAGTTCCTCAAGTTCGGTCTGTCACCGTCAAAGGGTGTCCTTTTCTACGGACCCCCTGGTACTGGTAAGACTCTTCTTGCCAAGGCCGTCGCCAACGAGTGTGCTGCCAACTTTATCTCCGTCAAGGGTCCTGAGCTTCTTTCCATGTGGTTCGGTGAGTCTGAGAGCAACATCCGTGATATCTTCGACAAGGCTCGTGCTGCCGCACCTTGCGTTGTCTTCCTTGATGAGCTGGATTCCATTGCCAAGTCTCGTGGTGGTTCCGGTGCTGGTGGTGATGCTGGCGGTGCTTCCGACCGTGTCGTCAACCAGCTTCTCACTGAGATGGACGGTATGACCTCAAAGAAGAACGTCTTTGTCATTGGTGCTACCAACCGTCCCGAGCAACTTGACAACGCCCTTTGCCGTCCCGGACGTCTTGACACCCTTGTCTACGTTCCTCTCCCCGACGAGTCATCTCGTGAGGGTATTCTCAGAGCTCAGCTCCGCAAGACTCCTGTCGCTCCCGATGTTGATATTGCCTACATCGCTTCCAAGACCAACGGTTTCTCCGGTGCCGATCTTGGATTCATCACCCAGCGTGCCGTCAAGCTCGCCATCAAGGAGGCCATCTCAACCGATATTGAGCGTACCAAGGCTCGTGAGGCTGCTGGCGAGGATGCTATGGAGGAGGATGCCGAGGATCCCGTCCCCGAGCTCACCCGTGCTCACTTCGAGGAGGCCATGCAGAGCGCTCGTAGATCCGTCACCGATGTCGAGATCAGAAGATACGAGAGCTTCGCCCAACAGATGAAGCAGTCAAGTGGCAGCAACTTCTTCCGCTTCCCCGATGCCACTACTGGTGGCGAGAATGGTGGTCAGGATAACTTTGGCGAGGCCGGAGGTGATGACGACCTCTACAACTAAAGCATGTCGACGGTAGCATATATCATGGCAAAGGCACTTTGATAGAAGCGAGGAAGTTTACGGGAGGAGTTCTTTTATTCTAACGGAAGCCGCAATGGCACCAATTACTGATGAATTGACGGCGTGAAATGGCTTGTCTTTTATTCTAGCTATTTTTCAATATTCATGCGGAAATGTACTTCTGAACAAATGATTCAAAGAACCCTCGATTGTGAAGTTTTCCATGTGATACAAGTGTGCGAGGTGTAGAAAAGATAAAAAGTGGTATCATTGATGAAGTCCGAACGCTGTACGGAAGCGGTCAGTCGAGGTCTTCCTTTGTGCGCCGAATGTTTTGGGAAAAGCGTACCCTGTTGATGCATAGAAAGAAGATATAGAGAGAGAAGAGATGGAAGAGATGGAAGAGGAGAACGTTCAAGCAGTGTCAACTTGACATATCTTGTCCAGCTCCTTCTTGACAACCTTGACAGCCTGAGTAATTGCCTGATCGGGTATAGCCAGAGAAGGATGCCGGCCGTCCTTTGAAGCGCCTGAATCGGCCAAAGCCTCCTCAAGAATACGGTCCATCAAGTCATCGTACTTTGTACATTCGCCAGAGCGCATGAGTTGGGTGACGTGGTTCTTGAGATTTGTTGACCAGCCTGAAGCCTGAAGTTCGTGGAGGAGAGCATTCTGGATGACGGGGATTGAGCCATGGTCGACGAGAGCGGTCGTGAGTTGGGTTTGAGTTGCTGGCTGGGTAGAGAAACTAGTTGACTCTGAGACGGCGACTTTTTGCGACATGACTGATGTTTTTTGTGATTGTTGATGCGAGGTGATTGAGTTTGATGTATAGTATCAATGGGGAAGTTCTTGGTGTGGAGTTGGCTCTGGGACGATGGTCGGGGTTGACGAGGCTTGGCGAATGCTTTCAGGCTATGGAGACGGAGACTGACGACGACAGGTACAAGAGCGGACACGTTCACCTCGGACAAGAACAAACAGCTACAGACGCAACTCGCTCGGTATAGACAGCGCCGACCCACGGCCTCTTCTGTCATCACGCCCCTCAGGCGCCACATTAGCTTCTGCAACGGTGCTGCCCCCCGGTAAGCGCCGCCTCCACTTCAAGCCAGGGCGCGCGCAGTGGAATGTCAATGGCCGCCTACAAGACGACCCAATACCACCATGATTCTGACCCGGACGACGACTATCTCCACCAGACATACCACTCGCCAAGCCTAGTACGATCTCAGCTCAACGCCGACCATTCTGACGACGACGACATGACGACCAGTGCTGAGCACACGCCCACCACCTTCAGCCACTCGCTATCGCATTCGCTCAACCCAAGCCCGACCGGTCTGATTACTCAATGGACTGCTGAGCAGGTGGCCGACTGGGTCGCTGCTCTAGGCTTGACTCAGTACGCCGACGCCTTTGTCGACGAGGCCATTACCGGTCTGGCTCTGGTCGAGATGCAGCACCACGACTTCAAGGAGATGGGCATCATGAGTGTGGGCCACCGCTTGTCTCTTCTCAGAGGCGTCTACGACATCAAGATCAAGCAGAACATCCCCCTTGACCCGGACCACTACGTACCTTTGTGTCAGTCTGGCCCTGTTGGACGTACCCACTCGACGCTAACAACAATGCGCAGCTGCTGGAGACAACGCTCTGGACATGACGGCCACTCAGGACGACATCGCCCGCATCATTGAGTCTATCCGTATCCGCGACTCACGCATCCTGTCAGCAGAGATTGAGCTCAGAACTCTACGCGACCAATTCGACCGCATATCAGAAGAGAACAGGAAGCTGCGAGAGGATACTCTGCCTGTTATCAGGATGGTCAAGGACCGTTCGCAGCTTCCTCCCACTCCAGCAGAAGGACTCGGGACCCCTCCAGCAGACCTCAAGCACGAGAAGATTGGCAGTGGCTTGTCGCGCAAGTTTTCGACCAAGAAACTCTTCCTTGGAGGCGCTCCCAAGAACACATCGCCCACCATACGCGAATCGTCTACCTTGGACCCGTCCGCTGCTGCAATGGCAGCTACATCCCACTTGAACCCCTCGCATCCTCAGAACTCGCCAAACCAGCTTTCCCAGCCATCACCTACATCTCCTGCATACACTTCTTCGGCGCAAGCAATGTCCGCTGGCAATCGTTCCTTCCCACGCGATGTACCTCCCTCGGCTCGGCCTTCGTATATCGAGGACCCGCGTCAATCCCACGTCTCGCAAGCACCTTCGACAGCGGCTCCTCCGACTCGTCGCACCGCAGCAACACCGGCACCCCAACAAGAAGACCCGCCGAACAGCGCTCCACTTCCACGATCTTCTCGTGAAAAGGACAATCCACAAGTCGAGATCTTCAAGTCTTTCCGCGTGAGCATCGAAGACCCTTGTCACAAGGTCCTACCCGTGGCTTTGCAACGCTACAACATCAACGATGACTGGCGCCAATACTCCCTCTACATTGTCTATGGCGATCAAGAACGCTGTTTGGGTCTGGAAGAAAAGCCACTCATGCTCTTCAAACAGCTTGAACGAGAAGGTGGTAAACCCATGTTCATGCTTCGCAAACACGCTGCTCCTGTTGGTGAAGGCTGGTCTGCCAATCGTACTGTTCCCGCTCCTGAGATGCAGAATCTAGGTCCTAGCAGAGAAAGTGTGAGGAGAGAGAATGCAGACAACGGCCGTGCGTTACCTGGAGGTGTGCTCTAGGCGAGTACGCCTCTTGCTAGGCTAATGCAGGATCTAGTCGGCTTTCATCATGGCGGCGCAAAAGTCTCTGGTAGAAAGTTGTGGTATTACTCCATACAGCAGATTTCCGAGCAAGCTCTGAAGCATGGTGTCGAGATTGATATAGAAGACTTGATGGATTGCTGGAAGAGGCAGGAAAGCGGGTCGACTTTGTCTGAGCGGAGAGGAGCGCAGGGATTGGAACTCTGCACATTGAAATGACGATAGCTTTGGGTAGATATGCTGTTTCTCACGGACCTGCAAGTGGCCATTTTGAACAAGGTCGTACACATTTGGATAGATGTCTCTTTTCAATCTACACTTTTATTTACCACTAAACTTGTGCCTGTACCAGTGTCACTCAGTGTGTTTCTGGTATACCTGACTGACCAGTTGTGACATTTAAGGATATTTGACCTCATAATAACAGTGACCTTCTATTATTGACATGCTTCAGGCAAAGATGGTCTGTGCATCACCTCGGCCTTCAAGGTACCCAGAGGCTCTTCTCGACAGCATCCTCCCTGCCATCAATAACAAATCTCATTGGCTTTCCATACGACTGACTGAAAGCCATCATCAAATTCAGCTGAAGACTGCGAACTTCGTCTGCTGGATTCTCATCTGACCTTGGATTTTCCCCTTCCGACCTAAGAAAAAACATCTATTCCCCAAAGGTCCCTAACCTAAAAGCATCAACATCAACACCATCAAAAAATCCATCAAGACAATGTCCTCCATAAACATAACAACCATCCCCCGCATCTCCCGCGAACAACTCTCCACCCTGATAAAAGAAAAACACCCCTCCACCGCCATCATCGATGTCCGAGATTCCGATTACATTGGCGGTCACATTACAGGAGGCACCAATATCCCTGCCAACACTCTAGACTACAAGATTCCGGAGTTGGTGAGGACGTTGGGGGATAAAGAGGTTGTTGTTTTTCATTGTGCGTTGAGTCAGCAGAGGGGGCCGGGGGCTGCTTTGAGGTATTTGAGGGAGAGGGAGAGGGTGGGTGGGAAGGGGAAGGAGGAACAGGAGAAGGAGGGGGAGGGGAAGAAGAGGGGGCAGACTGTTTATGTGCTTGATGGTGGGTTTGTCAAGTGGCAGGAAGTGTGAGTATCTCCTTTTCATTCCATGGAAAGATGTTTGAGAGGGCTTTGATTGCTAAACCTTTGCTGTGGTGTAGGTACGGAGAAGACAAGGAACTCACAGAAGCCTATGAAAAGGATATCTGGGAGTTTGGATACTGATGGCCTTGGTTTGTCGAAGGAGCAATTCTTGCCTGTCTTGACAACTCTCAAAAAGACCTGACCTATCGACTGCAATTATTGCTGCAGGCCAATAACTGTAGTTTGTGGGTTGCATCCTCAAATCCGACTCGAATTGTCATCTTTAGGCCGCACAAATGCGGACACTAGTGCAACACATCAAATTGCTGTTTTGATGGATCAGCATATCCCACAGAAGAATATACTGACCACAATGTATTCTGTTTGCAAGCTGTAAAGTCTTGGCTTCGACAGATCTCCTGACGTATCATTCACATTGTTTTATGCAACGACAGATGCCTCGTATTGAATTCACCGCACAACCAATGGACATCGGTCCAGAAGACGAGAAGATCTTGTCAGTCATGATTGTCACAGTGTACAATGGAAATGAACAAGGCACACATGTGTTCCGGGGAGTATTCTAATTCTTCACACTGCCAACATCTCGAAACCAGTCGAGATATTGCTATGCTACTTGCTAAGGAAGAGAGTGACCCAGACAACGGTCCGATCCGTCAATCTCTCCAAAAACTCGATCAAATCTTTCTTCTTCAAAAAAACACGCCAGATAATGCTAGTTGACCCTCTACTTGCGAACGGGGTTCTTGAGGGTAAGAACAGCAGGGCGGTAAGGAAGCTTGTCGTAAGTGGCAGTAGACTTGGCATCACGTCCCTGGTACAAGAACTGAAGGTTGCAAGGGTCAACAGTGAAGGTCTGATCAGGGTTGGTGCGGACAAGATCTCCGTGCGAGATATCGTTGGTCCAGGTAGCACCACTGTTTGCCTTGCCGGCGAAGGGGTTGCTCTCAGAAGCAGCCTGAGGAGTCCAAGTACCACCGAGGCTGGTGGCGGTGAAGGAACGGAAGAAGCGACCGTTTGCACCTTGGGCCTCGACGATCATAAGGTACTTGTTCTGGCCCTTAAGGGTATAGACCTGGACGGCTTCGAACAGGTTGTTGGTGGTGTCGCTCATGATGATCTGAGCGGTGGGGAAGTTGCCGGGGAAGTTGCCAATGGGCATGCTGGCGCGGTAGATCTTGCCGTTGTCGCCGGCGAAGAACAGGTACATGTTCTTGCTGTCACCGATGACGGTCTGGTCAATGGCGCCAGTGCCAGAGTCGGTGATCTTGCCGCTGTACAGAGGCTGAGGAGCAGACCAGCCGTTGACGTTGGTAGGATCCGTAGAAGTACGGTAAGAGAAGGTAGTAGGACCCCACTGGTGAGCAAGAATCCACTGGTTCTTGGGAGCAAAGTGGAAGAGAGTGGGAGCAACAGCTGACTGAGGCAGCTTGTTCTGGGCAGCAGAGCCCAGCTGAGACCAGTCGCTGACGAGTCCGAAGTTCATACCTCCGTAGTTGCTGTCGTCATGGTAAGAGGCGTAGACAAGGTGCTTGCCGTTGTAGTTGGTGGTGGTGAAATCCTTGAGACTGACCCAGCCGTTCTTGGGCTGAGCAAGAGCAGTGGTGGAAGACCACTGAGGGTTGGAAGGAATATCACAAGTCTGAGCAGAAACAGAGCTGAGAAGCATGGTAGCCGACACCAGGCCAGCCTGAGTCATGGAGAACTTCATATTGAAATAGGTTGAAAAGGTAGTGATTGAATGGAAAGTTGTTGGATGGCGGATGGGAATACATTCAACTTTGGCGGTGGGTTCTATATCTTATATCTTTCCACCAGCGCGTGAGCTCGGGCGAGTATGTATTTGTCCATCTCGTGTGTCGATCATTAGATGTATTCGCTGGTTTCAGGCTGAGTGGTGGGCTCGGATGCAGTTTGACAGAACAGTTCTGTATAGCCGAACGAAACGTGGAGTGCATTTAGAGTGTGGGGTAAAATGCTAGCTTGGAGTCGACATGATGCTTATATCTCACCTTAATTTAGTCAGTACGAACGGTGATTGGTCCCGAGGGTCCGAGGGTCGTCTGGCTAAAGTCGTGATGAAACCCATACTTTTCGTCGAGGCGAACCTAGCGCATGGCTCCTTCCTGATCTAGTAGAAGATCTCCGCAAGCTTGAAACACGAGGTCCGGCTTCGAGAACTAGTGACATGCCGTTTATAGTCGGCGTGGCTGTGAACAGTCCTATAACGTGTGGCTTATTCCTAGATTGAGTCGATCCGATATGCTTCTAAAGCTTTAGGCTGAGGATTTGGATCGAAAGACGGTATGCCTACTTGAACGTATCGCTACGTCCTTAACAACGCGAAGCCTGCATTGGTGAACGGCAAAATACCCACCGGGAGGTTCATCTATCTGTCCAGCTGACGAGAGTCCCAAGACGGACCGAAAACACGCAGTCGTACAGAGCTTACACGCGAGGTGCTGAAACAAGGAAGCACTAGTCTAGAGTGGACATGATCTGGGGAACCATTCGCCTGAACACTTCGCGAACTGACCGAGCCACGGCGTCCGCAACTAGCATTCGAGAATGGAATGAGAGCCATGGCCAAGCTTTGCAAGAGATCAAGGCTCTCGTTCCTCAGACTGTATTATCTCGTGGAAGCTGCTGGACGTCGTACTTTCCACAACCGATTTATCTGGGCTGATCAGACAAGGATGGCCGTCGGTCCATTTCTCCTTTGACAGAAGGACTTTCCAAGGCCTAGATCGTTCTGACGATCAACAACAATTTCGATTCCACGTATAGCTGGCCCTCACTCTTGGTTGCTGCTAAAATGCAGTACGATCCTATGCCATCGATCAGGCCCCTCACCTAGAACGAGATGTGATGTTCTGAAATTACTGTTCACCTTAATGAACTCATGGGTGATATCACACGTCCAATACGCGGCTTCCTCGAGATGCTGAGATCCTTCGGAATCTTTGAGATTGACCAGAATCTCAATATCTTCTTGATCTATGTGCTTCTTGATCTCACCCCGGTCCGCATTCGCGGGAACGCCCTTGTCGAACATTTTCAACATTTACGAACCATCCGAAGTAGTAAGACTGATGGACGTTGATTCTGGAACGATGATGCCTTGCGCAGCAAACTCTGTGTCAGTCAAGGAATAACCGAGAGCGACTGCGACATTCTCCCAGCCACTATCTTTGCCACATAAGGCAGTCTTGAGCAGAACAGAACGTGCTATCACCGAAGCAATACACTTGCCGGCCGGATAAGACGGTGCACCTTTGATACGAATGGTAACGAATTTAGTAGCACCTTCGCCATCACGAACGACCAATTTCGCGAGCTCAGCCATGTACTCGACAAGGACCTTCTGCAGGGCAACGAAATCGTCAGACTGATGATGAGCACTAGGATCGGAATCAACGACGTCTCCGCCAGCTGCACCGCTAGCGAGCACCACGACCATGTCATTGGTGGAAGTATCCCCTCTAATGGAGATGCAATTGTAAGACTTGTCGGCTGCGGATGAAAGATGTTGCTGTAGCGCGACTGGTGTGACGGGGGCGTCGATGCAAATTATTCCCAGACGCGCCTTTGGTGATACCTGCTAATTTGAAAGTCACGGACGAGTTCGGGAGAGTAAAGTTGCGTGAAGCCATTTTCGGAAATGTGTCGATTGTCAACAAGGCTTTGGCAGCGGCCATCCAGTGATCATGTGAGTTGCCCATCTTCTCGCGTAGTTTTGGCATGCTCTGGAGTATCGTATCCATTGGAAGTCTAGAAGTCACTAGCACATTGCAATGCTTAGCAAAGTGCCAGGTAGGCTTACCTTTGACTACCCGCATTTGTGTGCATGACCATGATTGGGGGCTTTGCTTTTCCATCAATCAATTGCGCAGCAGCTTCGTCTCCCATCTTGATAGTATCCTCTAATCCAGGCTTGCCAGTGAACAAATTTGCGTAGCCTGCGTTCGCGATTGTGCCTTGCACGCCATGTCCTTTGCACTCTTGCAGCTTGTTCCGAGATACTCGGACGGACGGTGCTGTGAATGCGTTGTTAGTAAAGACGGCTGCTCCGTTGGAAGGAATGTCAGACGCGATGAAAACCAAGTCATCTTATGGAGAAGCCTCAGGTTTGATGCCAGCCTTGACACTGCCGACGCTAAATCCAAGAGGATAGCTACCGTTATCTGGTATGAACCTCAATTTGCCCTTCGGGACTTGCGCGTTCGCATAGAAGTCGAATTTAGAGAAGCCGTCGAGCCTGCCCTCGAGTTTGTCCCAGACAAGTAGTCGCCTTCAAAAGTCTATGCTTATGAAGTAACATCATTGATATGCAACTGACGTTCTCGATAGTCGCGGCTCGGCTTTCGGCTGAGTCTTGCAAGAGTGCCAAATGAGGGTTCTTGGCGGAGGGTCGCTATCAGAGTGTCAGATAACAGAGCTCCAGATTGTCATCTTTGATCCTACACTCTTATAACATTTCAACGAGGCATATGACTCACAGCTCCGTCTAGAACCATCGACTAAGTGTTTGTGTTGTCGTCCCGGAGGGTGTACATGCTGTTTATGGATCATCACTGTCACTGACTGACATGCACACTCATGATCCTTCCTGAGTAACCTCAAATCGCAAGTCCACCGGCTCCTCGATCTCCACCGCCCCGTCTCCCACAGGTCCCACGTATCCTTTGTCAATGATATCAACCTTGGCAAACAGCTCACCGCCGACTTTTTTGTACTCTTCATTGTCCTTCAACTTTTGGGCAATGAACTGATCAACGTCCTCGCAGCATAGTCTTGATAGCGGCCCATTTTCGGCATCAAGTTTGAAGCTGTCTGGGAGGAATCTCGGCTGGAGATGTTGTTCGAATATGCCCGGGAATGCATTGATTGAAGTCAACGCCAGTACGTACCAGAATCGTCTGGTGGACCATTCACTTCAGAGCCGTCGACTGTACGAGCTGTCCCGACTCATCGTACACTCCTCTCGTTCCACTATGTTAACAAACTCATCATATCGCCGCTTGTATTCCTCAAGGTCATCGCCATCGAGCTGATCGACGCCCCGACCTGTGAGCCAGTGTGGCACTTGCACCATCTGCACGGGAACGACCGACGCGAATTCGAGATCGATAATGCTTGTGATGTTCCAATCCTCGTCAACAAAGATGTTGCTTTGGTGTAAGTCAGAGAGACCAAATACAAATGGTCCGCCCCGAGACTCTTTATTCCAGAAATGAGGAAGAAGTGCTCGGAGACCGACGAGTGCCGAAAGCTGATACTCGCCGTCAGTCACACCTACGATTGAATTCAATTGATCTCTCATACGGCAATCTTGGTAGTGAAGCATGTCATGGATGTACAGCTCTGTTGACGCATACGTCGTATCCTGCTAAGTTTAGTTTGTGTTGGCAACATCAAACAGAGCCCTCACTCACCCTCCGAATACTTGTGGAAATTGCATGCCTGTTCCAAAAAAGTGTGAAATCAGACAAAGGACCATTCGCGAGAGACAGTCGTCCATCTCTATCATTAGTCCATGCGCCTATACGGTGGAGTGGAACCTTGGCTAAATCCAATATCATTTTGGCAAGTCCGTGGTACAGGTTGTCACGCCGAGTCTCATCGTCGCGATGTTTTAGCCAGCTGGAGGACAACATCTTTGCCATTCGGTACCCACTCCAGAAGTAGGTAGCCGGTGTTGGCGAGGCCAGCTCTTTTGCTAGCAGAACATGGGATCGTCTCGAATCCTCGCAATGAGTTCCAGATTCTACGGAAGTGCCAAAGAATTCGGTTCGGCCAAGTCTCGTTTTCTATGGCAGTAAACTGAGCACGATACAGTCAGCGGACGGAGATCTGCCAAATGGCCACGAGAACCTACGGATTGAGACCCTGGAAACCCCATACCAAGCAGCCTAGGCAAAGGGATTGTTGGACAGTGCTTGTTCAGCCACACGTATGTAGCAGCTTCACAACGTAACTTTTCATCGATCGTGCCAGGCGCGAAATATTCACCAATATTGTACGGCAAGGGAAACCGCATTACCGCGCGCCGGGGTAGATGTGGACTGTGGCTACCATGTATGTCAATAGGTAAACATACGTTAAAGCCACCTCGGATCCAGCCAGAGGATTCATGCAAGAGGAAATCTGATCCAGGGATTCGAAGATGTCGCGAAATCAATTCGCGAATGTAAGATGCCCGTGAGTCCAGCTCGAGTTTAAACTCAGTTGCCTTCTGCTGTGTAAGAAGCCTAGGAATCACGTCAAGTTCAACATTCAGTGCCTCTACCTCGGTTAGAGGTCCTTGAGGCGTCTGAATTGAAGGGATTGTTGTCATCCCGATGTAGCTCCAGTAGTACAGCAGAGAAGTCGATTCGATGGAGGATCGAAGCGCGTCGGTGAAATTGTTGGACATACAGAGGTGCAGGAGAACACGTGAGTTGCGTAGGCGCCGCTAAGCCAACCTGCATGAAACCTTGACCTGTAGCACAAACAAGCTGATGAACAGTCGTAGCCAGTATGCTATTCACGATAGACTTTTGATTAAATGGATGTAAGCGGGTTGTGAAGCATGAGAAACGCTAAACCATTATAGTAAGCACTAACTAAAACTAGAGGAGCTGGAGAGTTATCAGATCATCACCCCTTCCCTCATCTTCCTACTTAATATGAAATTTATCGCATGACATGTATCGGCTCTCCTTGAGCGGCACACAATCAGAATGAGGGCGTGGGCCTGGCAGCAAGGCGAGAGAGTACTGCGCTCAGGGCTGACCCAACATTAGACACAGCACCATCAACGCCAGTCAGGACATTGCCGACACCTTCATCAAGGCCCTCGCCAACGTCAGAGATACCACTGGCCGCACCAGAGCTGATGTTGGACACAGCAGCTGCGGCTCCAGAGCCGACATTCGAGACAGCCGCGGCCACTCCAGAGCTCAGGTCACCGACAGCACCCGCGAGACCAGAGCCAACCTCGCCGACTGTCCCAGCGACACCCGATACAACAGCACCCACCACAGACGTAGCAGCCGATTCGACTCCAGTAACGACTGATGCAACGTCTGAGACGACTGTACCAACGATGGATGTGGCAGTGGCTACAACCTCAGGTACGACAGAAGTAACATCGCCTACGACAGATGTGGCGACGGATCCGACCCCAGAGAGGACAGCGCTCACATCGCTGACCACAACACCGCCAACCGAAGTAGCAGTAGCTCCAACTCCAGACAAAATTGAGCTCACATCGCCGACAACTGACGTAGCGGCTGAGCCGATTCCAGAGATGACAGAACTGGCATCTCCGACTACGACACCGCCGACTGAGGTAGCGGCCGATCCTACTCCAGAGACCACGGAGCCAACATCGCCGATGATACTGGACACAAGCGAGACAGCCGGCGAGGCGACTTGACCCACAGCGGTACCAGCGGTGTCCAAGATTTCGGAGACCCCCGATACGGCCGCTCCGGCTCCTTGGGCGACGCCAGAAACAATTGGCACGACAACTCCGGTAGCCAGAGCTGGCACTTCAGAGAGAATTGCGCTTGCAGCGGTCTCGACAGCTCCGCCAATACCGCTGACAAGTCCTCCTACTGGAGTGACAACAGGAAGAAGAGGTGAGACGAGGCCTGAGATCAGGGGACCGGCATTGACACCAAGGCCGACAGACACGCCGACACCTAAAGGGATAGCTTGGATAAGTGCGGGGGCAAGGAGACCCAAGATGGCAGCTTGACGAGACATGGTGATGATAGAACGTGAGAGTGGAACGAGAGATATTGCCTGATAACAAGGCGGAAACGATGAATAGCCTTGATGGTTGTGATGAACGGAGAAGAAAGGAGGGCTTAGAGCTGCCTTTTATGATCCACGAAGAGCGCGATATACCATTCCTGTCATAATGGTGCAATGCTTCTGATTACTCTGCTGTGTATCGCTTCTGAGACATCCAACTGGCAACGTGTAGGGTCTGATAGGTAGAGCTCTGTTGTGGAGCACCTTCTTCCCATGTGCTACGCCCGTATGCAACACCTGCTGTCCAAGAAAGACGACATCAGTCTAGAAGTCAGCGAGAAGCTATCTAGAAACACTCTAGGTCGATATTGATTGCTCAAACATGTCCATACATGAGAGGCCATAACGGCTAGCGTGCAGCGATTCAGGACAGAGTGTGGAGTCCCTTATCTGAATCGATCAAGGTCGATTTGTCCGTGGACCATGTAGATCTCAAGGGTTTTCATAAACGGTGACTTGTCCGGTATACAAGACGAGTTTCAGCAAGACCCTGGAAGATCATTCCAGCGCAGGCGTTGATGATAACGAAAATATAAAGCACCACTCAAAACCGACCCTCCAAATAGCGGCATTAGTTATTGGTTGATAAAGGCAGACAGCAGTGGTGGTATGTCGATGAGCGGCGGTCGGAAGTAGAAACAAAAGAGTTGGGTAAAGACCCAAAAACGGGATCAACCGCCGCCTTCAACGCTTTGACCAGTGCATAAAATCTGTCCTCATCATCGTGACAAACGTGTTACTCACAGGGTTGCCCGCGGATATGCCTTCCAATCGTACTCGTATCACTCACCCACGCGTCAAAAACATGGCGCAAGGATTATCGAGCGTTCAGGATGCAACGCCGATCAATCATATGTTTCAATCCCTTTTACAAAAGTCCACCAGATAGTCCATGGCATGCCTTCCAGTCGCATTGGCCGAACTGTGCGGAGACGCTCTAGCTGGTGGAAGCCATCGGCGACACGATCACAATGATGATATACGACTGCCCAACTACAGACTACGGCTGCAACGCTATGGAAGACTTCTGGGCTACCACATGCTGTAGACCGCCTATCTCCAATGAGGTCTCGGACTGGATTCACTTATCAGCGGCGACCCAGACGCTCAGTTCTTTTGGTACGGAGTCATCGATGTCGCCATCGGATCCTGACATACAATCATTGCTCGATGCAAATGTCTTGGCTTGTACTGTGCCGTGCTCTGCAAACCATTTATTCGATGTGACTTTTGCAACTGAGTGTCCGGACAGGTGATCTGAACAGCACTGGTTCGTCGACCTTGCAGACTGGCGAGAATTCCGTGCTAATTGTAGTTTATGATCCGAACTCTTCAGAGAATCAGAGGCCGAACGTGCTGTGGGCTGGACATCCATATCAAGCTTGACCCTCATTCAAACGCGCCTTTTCTGGGATCTTGGCAAGATCTCATGGATTACTCGTATGTCGAAGCACGTTATCACCCTCATAATCGCCCAGATGGTCGCAAGCGAGTATCTATATGTGCACTAACATGATGGCCTCAGAGGCATCCATGTAAGCTTTCTATGAGATTCGTTTTCGACTTTGGAGTGGTCACCTCGGCCTGGAGGTGTATTCTCTTGATCTACGACTCACCAAGATCTGAAGGGCTCTCTGAAAGACTCTTTGCCCACATTTCAGGATGACACATCGGAGTCATCGTAGCTTCTAGCAATGTCGAAAGCTATTCTCAAAGTACAAGGAACCTCACCACAAGCACTTTCCATATCAACTACACAAGAAAATCATACTAACATGCGCCTTGCTATCCTCTTTGCTTCTTACTGCGGACTCACTCTTGCCGCGCCAGTCTGATCGAGGTGTCAGGGTCTTGTATACTCTCATCGATAATCTGGGGCCCAGCCTCCTAGCAGCAGCGTCGAGATACTCCCATGCAATTTGTTGGGATGTCAGCATCAGAGGACGCTTCCACATCCCAAACATACGCTCTGCTATGATTTGCTTGTAGATCGTCTGTCGTAGTTCCAACGGAAGCTTTGCAAAAGGCGAATTGCCATGAACAGGCTTGAGTGCTTCGGTTTGGGATTTCGTGATCATAATCATCGTGTGTTCTCAAGCGGGAGGCAGAAGGAAGAGTCCAAGGGAATGGTGTTTTGCGAGCTCAGGAGGAGGACGTGCGGTAAGGAACGATCACAACAGAACCTGCGTGCAATGAACAGTCGGAACCTGACTCCACGTGGCAACACCTCGAACTTGCTCATTGCTCATAAATATGCTCCACACACAACAGAATCGGCCGAGGCTACGTTCTGCTGACCTCATGCACGCAAGGCTCTCAGGTAAAAAGTGGCAACTAAACACTAATCGCAGCAAATCTACTTTTGCTGGCCGATGAATTGTCATATCTGATTTAGATGGTGAATGTGATGCTAGGAAAATAGGTCTCAAGTTGTTTGTTTTACCAGTCGATCGCACTGGTCACTTATCGAGGCGATGAAAGAGTCAATCCAAACGGTTGAACACACTGCCGGAGTCAGAGTCCATTGTTCAATGTCCAGGGCCCAGCGGTTACCACGAGTACCAAATCTTTCCCAGTCACCAGCACGACTCTGATGGATAAGTATAGATGGTGATGTATTGTCGTTGAATCGAATCGTGAATGCAAGACCGCGATAGCATGGCATCCGGATGTATACGCAGCCAACTCGAGCAAGTATGTTAATAACTTCCTCTGCCGACTCACGAAAGTTCTCCCATTTTAGGTAGTGTCCTGATAGAGTCGGCAGACCGGGAGTATGGAAGAACTCTCCGCTGGCAAAGGACTGATAGAGGCTTACGTCCCACGTATTTTGAGGAATTGGATGGTTAAGCCGAACAAGTTGCAGTGTAGTTCGATGGTTGAGAAGCTTTCGAAAGCTGTGTAGGAACTCTTGTTTGATCCTCTTGCTTGTTTGCATGAGTGGAAGTGGTAGTCTTTGCTCTTTTTGTGAGGTGAGCAGCTGGTCGTAGATCATCCCACGTACTTCAGGCGGCAGTATCATGAAAGAGACATTGTTTTTCGTGTCATCTACACAGGGAACACCGACTGATCTGCTCAGACTGGTGCTGTTGGTGGGTTGATGTTGCGGAATCATTGTGTTGTAAAAGTTGGACGAAGGTGTTTAGAAACAAAGAAGACCGAAACATTGTTATATAGAGAAAGAGCTCTGGAAATGACTCGATTGGGGAGTCATCTTGGAGCACGTGGTGTGAGTCTTCGGATTGTGATACGACAAGACGCTTGACAAACAGACCAAATCACGGGAACGCTAGCAGGCAACACAGAGCATTAAAAGACCTGGTCGAGTCGATTGCAGGTGAGTAGGTAAGATTGTATAGATTTCTCTGATGGTGTAAGGCGTCAACAGTCAGTTTCGAGACTATGGACCCGCCCGGACCTGCGTAGCTGCCCATCCACACGGGCGATCAGCGCTCCTTCCTTTTCATATCGGCTAGGAAAGCATCGATCCACTCCGCCGAGCATGTAACGCTTCGTTTCTCCCACCTTTTGTACCTCGTCAGACACACTCGATATAAACGATCTTGGAACCGAGACTGGTTTTCACGAATGGCTTCCAGCTCCGCCGCGGTATCTGACCGCACGGCTCCGCTGAACCTCTGAACAAAGTGCATCATATGATCTAGCAGTATCGATATGGCCACTATGGCCATACGTGGCAGCATCTCTTTTCCTAGATCGCTACAGCAAAAGACTTGCCATTCAGGGTATGGACTCCTTTGATAGCGCTGACGGCCTCGACTTATCCACGGATGACCTGAGAAGATGTTGCTTGCTACATCGGCATTCTTGTGGTAGAAGTTAAAGAACGGGCCATCGGTATGACCGTAGTCCTCGATGTGAAGTATGGTGCCAGATCCCAGTATACGTGCCAATGTCGTCGTAGCTTCCTCTCTAAGCTGTTTAGACGTTCGCATGATTGGATGGAAGATCTTGTACTCAGTACGCCTGGCGAAGAGATGGTCATAGATCATGTCGCGTAGTTCTCGTGGAAGCTCGACGAGCAGAGGGCTGCTTTGAATCGACCGAGTCTCTTCTCGAGCCTGGGATCGAGTTTCGACTGGCATTGTGCGGACGGAGGAAAGAAAGGCAAAGGATACACGAGATTCGTTGTACATAGTGTAGGGAAGCAAAAGGGCAAAGAGTTTGAGCAACACGTTGTTCGAGGAAGCAACAGAGTTGGTAGCTGCAACGAGCCAGCTGAACTTTTCAACGACCTCGTTGAAAGAAAAAGCCACGTGCAAATTACAAAAAATCTGCTCATATGTAGCAAGCTTTCCAAAATCAGGCTGTACACCGGTTATCAATAAGCCTTTGGCTAGACTTATACACTGACTCGCAAGACTTCGTACACATCTTTGAAGGACTCGTCAACCCATACAAGCGGATCTCCCGATGCTTATCATTCCCAGTTGTCAATCACCACAAGATGTATCGATATCTCGCATGGAACCTCCAGCTGATCCTAGGCGTGGTGTAGCGCTTGAGATGTCGCTTCATGCACTGGCGATATTCTTGGTTTGTTTGCTTGCATGTCAACATGAGCGGATGTGTGAATATGGACGTGAATTTGCCGTCGAGGATATAGTGGTGGATCATGTCTCGGACTTCTATGGGGACCTTGGTGAGCAGGAAGCTCGGCTGCTCGTTGGACTGGTGAGCAGTGTCCATCCTCAAAACGCCAATCACAGATGGGAGAGGTGAAATCCGAAGTGGTCGGCCTTGCGGGTCGGTCTTGCGGTCGTGTGTGTTGTGTGAGTGCAAGAATGAAAATCTCTCATCATCGATAAGTTGCCATGTGGAGGCGAGGTAAATTTGCTCACATGTACCAAACTCCTAGAAGCCAAATCTGGATGCTCGCCTCCGAGTCATCCCGTGACCCTCGACTCATCCCAGGTGATTCTACGATTGCATGGCTGCTTTCTGTCTGCAAACTTTCCAGTTTCGAGTAACACTGCTCATATAACGAATAGATAGATAAGATCCAGACTATGCTTGTCCGAATCCCAATGAATGTTCCAATGCAATATCCAATTTTCTCGCAAGAATCTCCTTGCTTTCGTATTCAGGAAGCCTCAACGTGCCGAAACAAGTGCTGCTTCCAGGCAATGCACTCGTCTCGGCATCACTTCTCTCGATAACGAAAGTCAAGCTCGCAGCTCCATTGATGGGTACTCTATTGCTTGCTGTAACGAATTCCAGCAATTGCTTTTGCTTCTCTTGCGGATATGCTTTGACGACCTCCCAGAACCAACGAACGACAGGTGAGGCTGCTGTATAATGATTGTAAGTCGCTGCCTGTTGCAAGGCATCGATGTCAAGATGGTTGTATCCCTCGACTAGATTTCGGAATTGGTCGGCATTCAGGAGCTGAACATGTGTAAGTGGATTGAGACTTGTTGGACAGACAAGACACTTACTGTCAATGGTCTAAGATTCATGACCGAGAAAAATCCTTTGGCGAATGCATTGAATTGCGGCCTAATGGACCAGTCCATGACCCATTTACGATATGTCGAAATGTAATCGTGACGGTTATCATTCGTAACTGGTTGGACCGTTTCGCCAGGTCCCGCAACTTCCGCCTTCCAACCAGGCCATTCGAACTTGCCTTGTAGTGGTACAGAAGCATCTGACGGGGCCAACTCGGACTGAGATGTCAAGTGTGAGTCTTCCGTCTCGTTCGACGTCCCATTCAGAGGCAGTTGCTGATGGACGTCGTCAACTGGACTTTGTCCAGACAAATATGGAGGATGGTACCGGTCTGGGTTTTGAGACATCACCTTCAATCGACCCAAGCCCATACTTGTGCCTAGCTTGATCTTGTCAGACAATGACCAACCATCCCACGGGTCATTCATGCACACATCCAGATTCAAGCCATTGGCATCAAAGCTGTAGACATAGTCTCGAGCCAGATCCTCTTCTACAGAGCCCTGGTATATTTGCATAAATCGCAAAGACCCGGCTAAATTCGGCCAACCTTCCCTGAAGTCGGCTTCGTTGGGTTGTTGGAAAAGAAGTTTCTTATAAAAGGCCAGAGGAAAGGAAACTGGCAGCGTGATACCATTATAGATGGCAAGAGCGAATAGCAGACCAACAATTTGATACTTGTAGAGTGGTACCATCGTTGCAGGCTGAAACCAGGCCAGACGAGTCAGAGGGTCGATTGAGAAGAGGGCTACTCGACATCAGCACGATCTCGAAGATACCAGGTCAAATCACTTACAGTAACTGGGGTCGAACAGTTCTTGACAAGCGAGCTTGAAAAATTCGATCTGAACACCTCCAAGGTCGTGACCAATTTCACCTTCGTCAATCCCCATACGAACCCTGAGTGGTCGCAATAATTCTCGCCTCTCTCTGTGCCAAAGCTGATCAAAGGCGTCAGATAGAACTGATTGTCTGTTGATTTTCAATACGAGGTAATGGTCTTGAGCCGTTTTCAGACGCTGATCCAAGTAGACGATATCTTGGAGGGTCGACTGAAGTGTTGTTCTGCGACGCAGATGCAATACAGCATCCGCTTCGTTGTACGCTCGCCGCATAAGAATGTGATGAGACGCCCGGACCAGAGGGGTTGTTACCCTAGTATCGAAAAGGAACTTGAACGATAACAAATGACGAATGTTAGGATCTGATCTATACGACAACCAGTCTTGTGCTGCTTTGTCGACATCAAGATATTCGAATAGCGCGGAAATCGTGAATAACTTCGCAGGTATATCTAGCTGTGTCCGACCGTGGTGTTTCCCTGTCGGTGTCAGTTCTGAGAGGCAACTATGGGCTTTGGCGCATACAAAGATCCTCGATCAGCTCGAGTGCCGAGCCGGCAACACTCCATCTATTGATCTGCAGAGATCCATCCCACTCCTTTAAAAAGCATTTTCGAAGCCATTCAAGCCAGATAAGAGACGTGGTACCGACAAGTTCCCCACCGTGTCGTATCTCGTCTCTAGACTCCGCCCCGAAGTGAGCCAAGCGTATACTCTGCTCCTCTTGGATCAAAAAACCGGCGACAGACTCTTTGATCCTACGCGTAGTCCGCCATATCCCCAGTCTTGAATCTGGCTTTGCATCCTCCGTACTGCAGGCGGACAGAGTCTCTTCAAGACACGTCCTAGCGCCAATCGCCCGGATTAGGCGCTTCGCCATACGCAAAGCAGACTCTTGCTCCAAAGCATCAAGGACTTCCAACCAAGACGTCGAAGACGGCCCTGGTTTGACGCTTCTCTGCTTACCGTATGCTTTGCCATGAATAATCGTGGACCATACCATAGCCCACGTGTCCCTCCCGGCACGAGGAACGAAGGAAGTGAGTGCGTGGATAGCACAATACACTACACCTGAGACATGCGAGCCTTTGCGATCGGAGGGAAATGTCTGGAAAATCCTTGGACTCCGTTTGCTTGTGTCAAAGGGGCTTTCAAACAGCGGCTCTAAAGATTTCCACATGGAATCAAAGACAACATTCGATGCATCTGAACCAAGTGCATGCACCGTCTCGAGAGCGTTATGCAATCTAGTACGATGTATTGCGCAATGAGGAATATCTAAGTCTCCACAGACACCCATAGGGTTGTCAGAGAAGCAGAGTGCAAGACAAGAGAAGCTGGAAAACATGGAGCTCAGTCTCGCGCTGATGAGTTCGAAACTTGCAGGGCCACAATGATTCAAACCCGATGCAGTTGAAAGAGTGTTACGCGATGCTTCACACAGTTCGATCAGGTCATCGCAAGACATTGGACGAGCAGATATGGGCTCAGAAGCATCCTCGTCTTGTGTAGAAGTCAATGGTTCAGCGTCCTCGATCAAATGGAAGTTTCTCAGCGACTGAGAGTCGAAAAGTTGCTGCACAATTGACTTGTTATCCAGTCTCTCCTGAAGGTCAGTAACGATGGCAGGGAGCCGAGATGGAAGGTACGGGCAAAGGTGATGAGATGCGTCTGCCAATGAGGCTAGAACAACAGCCATGGCTCGAGCACTGACAGGCGTATAGACACGCAGGGGTGGGCCAGTACGTCGGGACCTTGCTGTCGCACAAAGAGGTGTGCTGCAATGAGAGGAGCCACATCCATGACGGAGTTGGACGAAGAAGCTGTGAACACATGGTTAGACAGGGGAATGGGTATCTGGCCACTTCTAGGACGCGTACCGATTGATCAGGTCCTGAGTCTCATAACGGCGACATGGGAATGACTGTAAGGAGATCGAGCGAGACGATGATTGCGCGTCCATAATAATACAAGAGCAAACCGTACAAGGAAGCGCCTATACCCCCATAGCTAGTGTCGTCGAAGAAGATGTCGAAGGTGTTGTATGAACACGTGAGAGTCGAGGCAAAGAGACGCGATGCGGACCAGGCTCCGACGTGGGACAACACATCAGAAAGACGAAGGCTTGCTGATCTGACTCGGGGAACAGAATCTGCGTGTCTTAGCAGTGGCCGGAAATGGCGCAATAACAATAGAAGACTACCGATGCCCAAGGCTAGAAGACTCGCGAACGGTGGGAAGTTGTACCGATGTGTGAATATGTCAGGTGAAGAAGTGGGCTTGGCATGCATTTGGGGCGATGTCAGGGACGGGGATTGCGGCGTTTTGACTGACGAAATGGTTTGCGACTAAGAAATTCCGCCCCTCCAGACATTTCTTATCAGGCTGCTTTCTCGCCCTTTCACCATTGCGCGCCACCAGACGTTCAACTCACACACAGCATATACCACCCTGACAAACTCGCTCAACATGGCTAGTATGGCATCGGGTCCTACCCACCCTTTTACCTGCAACACGTGCCAGGTCGCCTTCCGCTCCAGCGACCTGCAGCGCACTCACATGCAAAGTGACTGGCAGTGAGTCTGTCCGACCAAAAAGCACAACTCATAACTGACCCTCTTGCCTAGCCGTTACAACCTCAAGAGAAGAGTTGCATCTCTTCCTCCGCTCACATCGGAAGTCTTTGCCGAAAAGGTCCTCGCCAACAAGGCCTCAGCTGCTGCCACGGCCGCTCGCGCCTCGTTCGAGAAGAGCTGCTCCGCCTGCCAAAAGACGTATTTCAGTGAGAACGCCTACGCAAACCATCTCGGAAGTCTGAAACATAGACAACAAATCGCTCGCCTGCACATGAGAGATCACGACGATGCTGCCTCGGTCATGAGCTCGACCTTTTCTCTGGGAGAGACTCTCGAAACTGCTTCCAACGTCGAGACTGCCTCGGTCGCGTCTGTAGCCACCGACCGCCCTGAGGAGCGCGACACCGACCTTGGCCAGATCACCGACGGCGTCCAACAGGCCAACATTGCCGACGGAGACAACGAGTCCACAAGCGCTTCCAACGCCACTCCCGACGAAGACATGGTCGAAGTCCTACTCAACCAGTGCTTGTTCTGTAACACCATCTGCGAAGACGTCGACGAGAACATCAAGCACATGTCCAAGCAGCACGGCATGTTCATTCCTGAAAAAGAATTCCTAGTCGACATGGAGGGTCTTTTGAGCTATCTCCACGAGAAGATCCACGACGATCACCAGTGCTTGTATTGTGGTCAGCTGAAGCACACAGCCTCCGGCATCCAAACACACATGCGCGACAGAGGTCACTGCATGATCCCCTACAGCACCGAGGACGAGATGCTCGAGATCGGAGAGTACTACGATTTCAGAAGCACCTACTCAGATGGTGAGGACGATGAGAGCACTGATGGTGCCGACGACAGACAAGAGGGAGGCGTCAAGCTTGGTGCCGCTCGTGCCACAAAGGTCACCATCGAGACCGAAGACGGTGACGGAGATGCAAACATGGCCGACGAGGATGATGAGGGATGGGAGAGCGATGGATCCTTGTCTTCGGTGCCGACCGATGAGATCACATCGGTGCCCATCGACGACCATTCACACCGTTACAAGACGCTCGACCGCCACAGACACCATTCTCACAACGACCCCCGTCCCCACCGAAACACAGACGGTTATCATTCTCACGCCCACTCGACTCCTCATGCTGTCTACCACGACGACTACGAGCTGCACTTGCCTTCGGGACGTACTGCCGGTCACCGTTCGCTCGCCAAGTACTACAGACAGAACCTCCGCAACTACCCGACCCCCGAGGAGAGAGCCGAGCAACGAGCTATCGAAGGGCGCCACGATTCGGACGGCGAAGAAGAGGTCAGAAACAGCAGAAATGGCCGCGGGCGTGAGATCGTCACTCGTGCAGAGGGCGGCCTTGGTATGGTCGGTGTCAGCGAGGACAAGAAGAAGGAAGTCCGCACTGCCGAGAAGAGAGAGAAGAAGCGCGAAGAGAGAGCGCGAGCCAATTACCAATGGGGCAACGACAAGAGAGGAAACAACCAGAAGCATTGGCGCGTAAGTCATATCGATGATGAGGCTGGCATACATTCACTAACTCTTTGCAGGACCATCTTTTGCAATAGACGGTTACGCATCACATTGCAGTCTCTGGGGATTTGGGTTGCAGCATTATTTGGACAAGGTCTGGTTCAAGTATATCTTATGATTGTCACACATCTGGGTTTCAGCGAATTGCACCAGCGAAGGTCCTTCAAATTTCATGACGATACATAGAGCATTATGTTTTTTCGCGGGAAACAAAATTGGGTTATTCTCGTAAACTATATCTGCATTTCCTGGACAGACCAGTGTGATGACCTTGTCCAAGCTTATACCGGACCCGTGATATCAGTTGCACATAGGTAATGTGGTGCAATGAAGCCTTCGAAGGACAGACCAATGACCATTGTAGCGCGAGTGTGGACGTCGAGATATGATTGGACAGATGTTGATGTCTTGGCGTGCAGCATGTTTACTCGCAGTGTTTTGATGTTGACGCGAAGGTGGTCAGTGTGCAAGTTCGTGTCAAGTTTCAAGCATCTTTCCTCCAGCATTGGATAGTCCAGCATGCCTTCGTCTCGCCAGTCGGCAGGGAACACGTCTACCATGTCGAGCTTCCAGCCAGAGTTCGAGTCGACCCAACAATTCGACACGGCGACGCAGTCACTGCAACTGCCCAACCTCCGATCCAGCGCGCAGCGTTTCGCCTACTACCAGCCGCCGCAGCCTGAAGTGCACATCGACTCATCCTTTGTGCGTGACAGCTTCCCAGACTTCACCGAGAGATCGCCCTCTCCATCGCCCTCGCCCGACGCCAACAGGTCCATCGAAGCAGGACGCGGCAAGAAAGGCAGCCCCAAGAGCTTCGACATGTCCGACATAGCACTGCCTAGTGACAGCCTCTACGATCTGCACAGCACCCCTCCCAGAAGCGCGCGTCCCACTCCCAAGAAGACCGACAATCTGAGAAAGGAGGCCTCGTTGCGACGCGCCCACTCGACCGACAAGAGAGCCAATGCCTCTCAGCGCCGCTCCTTGTCTGACATGCACCACAAAGTCCACCGCGAGAGCGACTCGTCCTTTGTCGGCGAAGACCGTCCCATTACGAACACCACCCAGCCGCGAAACACGCGCTTTACCTCGGCCAACCTGCCCACTTCCTACTCCCACGACCAAGGCTTGCAATCCACCTTGACTCCTCAGCGTCCCCTCCACAACCCCACCGCTACCTGGACCGGCTCCCAAACTCAAGCCTCGTTCATGCTACCCGACCTCCCGAACATCACCGAGCTGGTCTCGGGCATGCGCAAGGATGGAACTCCAGTTTTCTCACGCTCCCAGAAATCCCGCTCGCGCTTCACCTCTGCCTCTTACAACAACCCCACCATCACAAGCACCGTCACTCACGCGAACATCAACTCCATCGCTGTCCCTGACGAAGAAAAGGCCATCTTCGCTTCTCTCCAACTCTTGAAGGACAAGGTCGCAAACCTCGAATTGGAAAAGAGTGAAGCTCAAAAGAGACTGGAAGAATACGAGACTGAAGTTGGTCAGCTCAAATCACGTCTTGACATTGAGCAAAAGTTACGACGTCCTGATAGTGCCTTGGGAGAGGACGACGACAGTAGTGCAAAGGAGAAATGGCGCCTCGAAAGAGCCACCCTTCAGTCTACCGTCAAGACTCTGCAGGACCGCCTCGATCGTGGTAGACGTAAGCTGTCTGTGAATGATATTGCCGTCAAGCGTTTGACTCAAGAACGTGACAACTTGGTCACTCAACTCGGCGTTGCCTACTACAACTCTGAGGAAATCCGAAACGAGAACCTCCGTTTACGCGATTCCAATGAGCACCTTGAAGCCGATGTCGAAGCGCTACAAGCAGAGAACAGTCGTCTACGAACCAGGCTAGCTCAGATCAAAGCTCAATTCAACGACGAAACCCAGCAGTGGAGCTCGCGTGAATCGGATCTCAAGGCCAAGATTCAGCGTCGAGAGGTCGCTGTTCGCGACATGCAACACGACCTAACCACTCAGTCCGCAATCGATCAAGACGGAAACTCGAAGTCAGTCAAGTCACGCACGACCCTTGAGCATCAGCAGCTTGTGGGCAGCCGCCGACCAAGCGGAAGACTGGGTCAGCATACCAAGCACAACATTCTGGACAGCATCGAGGATGAGATTAAGAAAGCTCGGATCGCATCTGCGTCTGGCAATACCCGCTCTCGCTCTCGTTCCAGGTCCAACACTCGTCAGACTACTTCAAGGCCTCAGCGAACCGTCGAGTTGAGCGACATCGATTCCACGACCAATCTAGATTTCTCGAGACCCATTAGAGATGAGACTGAAGAAGACTCGAAAGACATCACATATCTGAGTTTCCTCGATCCCAAAGAGCTGGCTAAGTTGCGAAGGACTCTCGAGGAGGAACGTCGTGCTTCGAAGACCGCGCGTGCTGTGTCTGCGCCTCAAGTGCAAGATAGCGCAACTTCAACCAACATTGTCACAGCGCCTCGCAAGTCTTCCCTCAAAGACGTCACTACCAATGACACTGGGCGTTTCACCATCAGATCTCAGATTGACGAAAACACTGGCTTACTCAAGAACGTCCGCATCCAATCGCCTCACATGTCAGATGCGATCTCATACTCTGAGCCGAGAGAGTCCATCGAGGCATCGTTCATGGGCACCTCGTCACGCCGAAGAAGTCGCAGCAAGAGCACGGAAGAGATGACCTCTGCGTTCATCCTTCCTGATATCACTCTCCATACCGGCCCTGGTGCCGAAGCCACATTGATGGACGACAATGGTGATGTTTCACATGACGGCGTGAACTGTACTGCTTGCCCAAGCAATGACTCAGAGGAGAAGGAGGTTTCCATACCACGACCAACACCCGTTTCCGAGCGCGATATTGATGACACAAATGCGACTGTTCGCCCATCTCAACCTCCTCCCGTGGCTCTCGCCACCGTTCTCAAACAGCTTGAAGACGAAGTCACGCATCTGAAGATTCAGCTCAGGGCTTACGAGACAATGTACAACAAGCACGATCCCGCCCTTGGTCGTCGCAAGCGTCTGGGCGTGAAGCAAAGAATTGATACTCTTATCGCCGAGGTCGAACGCCGCAGCGATCAAATCTACGCTTTGTACGACGTCCTGGAAGGACAAAAAGCATCTGCAGACGTTGATAGAGAGCAACAACAGCAAGAAGTTGCGGATGAGAATGTCGAAAGCACACTCCAGAGCCTGGGCATCGATGTCAATGAACTGACTCAGAGAGCTAGAGAGGCCAAGCAAGTGCAACAACACCCTTTTGACGTTGCAGGACTTGATGATGAGAGCGACGGTGGATTGTCCTGGGAAGGGTTCAATGACGAGAGTGAAGTGGAGGAGATGCAGTTGCCCCGGCGCCGTTCTGTGAACATGGCTGCGGGTGCATAGAGGTAGATACGAGGATGACTTTATATTATGATTTTTGTGTATTGCTTTCTATCGGGGCAATTCTGAAGGGGAGTTTCTCCAGTCGAGCATGTTTTGGGTCTAGGTTTAGTGGTTGGTGTCATGGGCAAGAGGATCCAGGATTCACGTTGTTGTAGTCACTATTCTCGAATAATCATTTTCTTACCATTGCATGTTCAGTATGGCTATCAGTATCAGCGCATCAAATTAGGATCACAGGGTCATCTGACCGCAATGCCTACCGTGAACGTCAGTGACTCTTGCCAAGCCATAGCTGACAACCTATACACGTTCTGAATCTCGCACATGTAATTGCATCTGCTCCCCGCGGAAGCAACAGAAGACCCACATGACCACATACAACCAGCCTTCCATCATGTAAGAATCTAGAGGAGGATGCCGAATTCGTATGCGTATAGGAAGAAAATACGACGATGAGAACGATCGCTGGCCCGTTGAGGCCGGCCAATAAGCGGCGGTTTTCTATGAGCGCACGCCCTTGTTTTGAGCCCACGCCCTTGCTTCGATCGTAAGCACAGCCTGGTTCGGCCGAGGAATGTGTTGCCGGTCGCTGCCTGGAGGATCCGAGAGGGCAAGGCTCAGCAGGTTACATGAGTAGGTTTTTTTTTGGCGATGTTAAGGTTGTCAGATTCGATGTGGATGTTGTGGTGCGCATCGCCCGGCATGACGATGCGACCAACAATGCGGATAGAGCAGCCGGAAGCTGAGGAACAGAGGTACCATAGCCCTGCTTAGCCACGCGGCTACTCTAGTACTTGGAACAGCCTCCGGACAGCTGGATTACACTGTCGCCTAGCCGACAGGCTGAGTGATCTGCAAGGTTCCTCCGCGGCAACCAAGCCCACGGAAGATCGACTTGGGCAACTGCTCTTGTGCTTGGAGAAGATATCTTGAGCATGGCTGAAGAATCGACAGTTGCCAGCTGCGCTTCATGTTCACTTTGTTATTGCGCGCTTGGCAGCAGATTGGTGTGGAGCAAGGCGCGACACGATGTAATATAGCAGGAATGAGCAGTGCGTAGCCAAGAGAGCGTATTCGAGCGTATGCAAATGTGACGGTGGGATGGGAAAGCGAATTTGCCAAGGTGTGTTGGGTCCTGCATGGAACTGAAATAAGTTTAGAGTACGTCACACTCTATTGGTAACGTTCCCGCGGGAGCCGGCAGGCTTGATATATCCTTTTGTTTGCCCAGTTCCGCAGGCAGATGGTCGACTATCACATTAATCGCATTCTGTATTCCTATCCCAGTAAAACAGGATGAAGGCCCAAACAGCATTGACCGGCCTGGTGTCGGTGGCCGCCCTTCTCCCTGAGGCCTCGGCCAACATAGTCGCTATCCGTAACCCCTCTGTTGAGCAGGCTGCTGCAGAGGCTCTCGCTATTCCTCTTGCCGTCCTGAAGCGCGCAGCTCCTGACGCTCCTAATGGCTACGTCCCGACACACGTCGACTGCCCTTCCAACCGCCCTACCATCCGCCAAGCAACCACCGTTTCGCCAAACGAAACAGAATGGCTCTACGTGCGAAGGAACAATACCGTCTCGGCCATGAGAAACTTGCTTGGTCGCATGAACATCACTGGACTCGACACAAACGCTTACATCGATAGTGTAGCAAACAATGTTAGCGCTCTCCCCAACATTGCTATTGCTGGGTCGGGCGGTGGTTACCGTGCTCTCATGAACTACGCTGGTGCCGTCGCTGCCTTCGACAATCGCACTTCAAACTCTACTGCTACTGGTCAGCTTGGCGGTCTCTTGCAGGCTTCTACCTACCTCGCCGGTCTTTCAGGGGGTTCGTGGTTGGTAGGAAGTCTGTTTGTCAACAACTTCACTTCGGTCGAGAACATCCTCGCTCAAGATACCCCTGACAACGGAGGCACATGGCAGTTCGGTAGATCCATTCTCGAGGGGCCTGAGAGCAGCGGTCTCTCAATCTTGAACACTGCCGGTTATCTCAAGGATATCTACGACACTGTCCAGGACAAAAACGATGCTGGCTACGAGACCACCATCACTGACTACTGGGGACGCGCTCTTTCCTACCAGTTGGTCAATGCTAGCGATGGAGGGCCTGCTTACACCTTCTCATCTATCGCTGACTCGGACAACTTCATCGCCGGTAACACACCCATGCCCATCTTTGTCTCTGACGGCCGTGCTAGAGGCCAGCTCGTCATTGATGGTAACGCTACTGTCTACGAGATGAATCCCTGGGAGCTTGGTACTTTCGATCCTACTACCTATGCTTTTGCCCCTATTCGCTACCTTGGCTCAAACTTCTCTGACGGTGTCGTTGTCGACGGCGACATGCAGTGTGTCCGTGGCTTCGACAATGCCGGTTACATCATGGGCACATCCAGCTCTCTCTTCAACCAGGCCTTCTTGCAGGTCAACGGTTCCACCGGTCTGATCGCCGAGGCCATCACCGCTGTCTTGGCCGACATTGGTCAGGACAACGACGACATCGCAAACTATCCCAACCCCTTCTTCGGTGTCAACAACGCGACCAGCCGTGTCGCCGACACTGACCAGCTCACTCTTGTCGATGGTGGTGAGGATCTGCAAAATATCCCTCTTCACCCTCTCATCCAGCCCGAGAGACACGTCGATGTTATTTTCGCCATTGACTCGTCTGCCGACACCACTGCTGACAATGGTGGTGCCAACTGGCCCAACGGCACTGCACTGGTGGCCACCTACCAACGTACCTTCCTTCCCATCTCCAACGGCACCTCTTTCCCTGCTGTTCCCGATCAGCAAACCTTTGTCAACCTTGGCTTGAACAACCGCCCTACCTTCTTCGGTTGTGACGCCAGCAACACAACCAACATGACCCCTCTCATCGTCTACCTCCCCAACGCTCCCTACGTCTACCACAGCAACGTCAGCACCTACGACCTGTCCTACAACGACACGGAGCGCAACTACATCATCGAAAACGGCTACAACGTCGCCACCCTCGGCAATGGAACCCTCGACTCCCAATGGCCCACCTGCGTCGGCTGTGCCATCCTCAGCCGCTCCCTCGAACGCACCGGCACCACCGTCCCCGACGTCTGCACCCAATGTTTCCAGCGCTACTGCTGGGACGGCACGGTCAACTCGACCACAAACACCACCTACGAGCCCCCGTACAAGCTCGCCAAGGGCGAAGTGCTCGGCTTCAGCAACAGTGGTTTCAAGAGCACTATGCCTTCATTGGCATTTGCTGTTTCTGCCATTGCCACCGTTCTGATGATCATGTAGATTGCGATAGGTGCTTTTGTTTTGTTCGCTGTCTTGTGGTTGTATAATACATCTTCTGGGAAGACGATATCTTTTGTATGAGGAGATATCTTCTGATTAGTCTGTTTCTCTTTTCTTTTTCTTTTTTGGAAAATGATAGATCAGACTTTTCTTGAATAATAATAAATCTAGATTACCAATTTCCAACAATCATACAATTGTGAAACGATCATCGTCTATGTGGTGTGAATGTACACTCAGAGTGCTGTCTAGTCTTGCAGCTTGTACATTATAGTACTCGTACGCGTTTGTTACTCTAGTAGCCAAGATGACTGATTGTTGGTTGACCGAATCTTGTTCAAACTGGGTATACAAGGGGCCGACTACACACACCGAGGGGCGACTGTCCAGCGAGCCGACAGTGTCGAGAAGAATGAAGTTGAACTCCGTGTTCAGTCTGTTCCATAGTCGTAGCTGGCCATCATTCGAAAGTGCGATACCTCAACTCCTGATCGCACGCCAGATTAAGCCCTTTCCAGAATCACCATCTACCAAAACGCCTTTTTAGCCTGCGCGCGACGTAGGTATACCATTGATGGCCACTACATCCGTCAAGCTGTATGGTACTAGCCAGTGATTGTCGTTGACGAATATGTATGTGCGCAAACAGAACATGTTTATTCTGAGCAGGGTTGTTCTGACAACAAAAAATGTCAGTCATTTATTCGTCGGTAGAACAGCAGGATTTTCCATGTTGCGAGTGTGCGCTGGTTGTTATTGTCAGACAAGAGAGGCATCTACTAAAATACTCTGCCTGAGCTCTCAGCATCTGCACATTGTGCATAAGCTGTCCCTATCAGGTGTTCATCCTTGAAACCAGCACACTTCGAGCACGTGGAAAGAAGGATATATGCTTACCTCCAAGTCTTGATCTCTGATGTAAGTGGTAGTGGTGGATCTTCTTCGATGTCATTATCAAGGTTATGCTTGCTTCATGAGCGCTCCGAGTCACCAACAACGTAGCCTCTTGCTACACCACCACGGCCCTCTTCCATGGCAGCACCCTTGATCTTGCCATCCTCGTCATAGTCATAGGCAATCTCGTAATCGGTGCCCAGACCCTGCCATGTGCGCTTATTGCGCAAGAACTCTGCAGCAGGAGAAACCTCGCCACCGATTTGAGCGAGATCACCATTGGCACGCTTGATGAGACTGGTAGCAGCAGTCTTCTTCGATGCTGAAGCAGAAGGTCGTGCCATCGGGCGACTCTGAGAAACGTAGCGTCCAGTGCGAAGATCAAAGACTGGAGCTTCAGACTCCGAATCTGAGTCAGCGCTAACGCCGTCGGCATCCTGCTCCTCGGTATCGTCGTCATAAGTGCCTTCGCCCCTGACAACAGTCTTCTTGCCGAGCAGAGATTGGAAGTCACTGTTCCATTCTCCAGTCCAAATACGATGGCGTTCGTCGGTGAGAGCCAGCTCCAACTCGAAGGGTGTGATAATGGGCTTCCAGAAGTCCTTGCTTTCGATCAAACTGCTTTCCCAGCAGCCAATGATGACCCATCCGTCGACTTCCGAGAAGTTTGCGACCTTGGCAGCATTGACCTTGCCGACAACGAAAGTGTAGTACTTCTTGCCGGCACGGGTAATGAGGTCTTGCACGTGAGCAAGGGCTTCCATGTAGTTCTTGACGGAAAGAGTATTGATCAGAATACCGAAGACGGAGGCAGTGCTGAGATTTGTTACAAGGGCGTAACGGCGTCGAAGGATCTGAGCAGTAGAGGCCGACATGGTTTGTGGTGCTTCTGAGCCCTCGGAAACAGTTGGGTAGATGTCGATGGAGGAAACCCGCGAGGTGAGGTTAAGAAGAAGAGAGGTTGGTGGTTCTGAAATGTGGAACAGGGAGTATTCGCGAAGAACGTTGGCGTCCGCGTCCACTCCAGCAGGCACAGTACGATTAGGCAACAGAGATGAGGGATTGTGAAGTAGCGATGTGGGAAACAGGTTGTTGTAGCCGGCTTCCTGGAGAGCAGATTGCAGAGGTTGAACGTGTTCTGAATAGGGAATATCTGCCATTAGGATTACTTTGTGATTCTTGTCCGGGTAAGTTTTCTGAAAGCTAGCGACTACGGCGTCCAGATGGAGCGGGCGGAAGGTGAAGACGTAGATGACGGGCAACCTTTGAGTTGGAGACAGACAGGTACGGCCATAGTGGACTACGACATCGGCAAGGACATGCTCAGCAGCGACTTCGTCAACACAGCAAGCGCCGTACGAAGTGTCACCCAGAATGCATAGTCTCTTTTGATCGGCGTCGAGTGAAAGAGCGTCCAAGTTCTCAGCCACGTGCTGCTTCTTGTCCTGCAAAGCAAGCTCTTTCTGCAAAGCTTCAAAGACTCTCGGGGCATGGGTCAACATGTGGTCCGGAAATTGGAGAGCTATTCTTTTGTATTTGCCATGGCGGATTTCGTCGACCGTCCTCTTGATCTCGTAGGTGAGATATAATTGTTCGTCCGAGAAGTTTCGCACCAAGGAAGGGTCGATGGCCGGAGTGGGATCCTCGAAGACATGTGTATCCGGAGTCGACAGCACAGGGGCGACAGACATGACTGCGACTGATTTCAATCGAGACCATGTACAAAGCGTACCTGGGCACAAGTAGAACAAATAAATTTCGGCCAAGCAAAACCACCTCCGGGTGGTCTGTGCGGCAGAGGTTCGATTCCATCATCGTCGAAAAGTTGCAAGTCGAGGGCAATCGAGAAGTCGCTCGTTATACAAAGCTCCCTCGCAAAAGTACTCCGACACACAACTCACAGTCGCCATGGATCACAGCAGAGACCCTTGCCCTTGGGTGTATGTCCACCTCATTCGCCTCTGATCGCCATCACGCGCTAACCGCACTTCTTCAACAGGGCCTTGAACGATTTCGGAGGCGCTTTCTGCATGGGCGCAATCGGTGGTTCGCTCTGGCACGGTATCAAGGGTTTCAGAAACAGTCCCTATGGCGAGAGAAGGATAGGTGCTCTGACCGCCATCAAGGCGCGTGCCCCCGTTCTGGGTGGTAACTTTGGTGTCTGGGGCGGCATGTTCAGCACCTTTGACTGCGCAGTCAAGGGCATTCGGTGCGCAACAAGTCCCCACGCTTGATCTGTCCCTCCATACTGACCACCTTCTCTCACAGCAAGAAGGAAGACCCCTGGAACGCCATTATCGCCGGTTTCTTCACCGGTGGTTCTCTCGCCGTTCGTGGTGGTTACAAGGCCATGCGCAACGGTGCCATCGGTTGTGCCATCCTGCTCGCCGTCATCGAAGGCGTCGGTATCGGTTTCCAGCGTATGATGGCAGAGAACACCAGACTCGACGTGCCCCCTCCTCCTCCGCAAGGTATCGAGGGCGCCCCCAAGGCCATCGCCGCTTAATAAGAAACCTCTCGTTGTATACTGGTACCTTCCGGCGTTTGGAGCGAAAAGCATTGTTTGTTACACCTGGGGCTGTCCTTGTTCTTACCCATACACGACCCGCACCGACTGGGAGGCGTCTGTCTTATCTTCACTCTTCCAATTCATGTATTGCCACAAGAGGAAGATTGTGGTGTACTGGTCTTGCATAAAGATCACCATGTATTCTATCTTTCATGTCATGTCAAAATCTCACAAATTACTCTGCATTTCCACACTGACACATTATGCCATGTAGAGGACGAAACTAGATACGGCATCCATGGAGAATAGGTCGCCGAATCAGAGAGCCCTGGCTTTGTTCTAGGAACGGTCGTGAAGCGGAAAGACAGAATCAGCTCTCTGCCTCCACATTTGCCATCCTCGCGGACAGACTGGACCTTCCATGCACTCCGTCATGTTCTATCTTGAAGGCGTGTAAATGAAACATAGCCATAATCTTGTCTAGCCATCTAAAACTTCATCCTCGCAGCCTTGAACCTGCTCACCTTCTTCAGCTTGCCATCGGGGAACTGCTCCATCAAAGGATCGTCCTTCTCCTCTTCCGTTTCCTTGAAACCACCTTGTTGGCGGATCACGTTATTGCGCAGACGATAGTACTCTGAAGCCAATTGACGCTGTTGTAAGTCCGGATCAAGCTCGTCTGCCTCCTCTGGAGCCCGTGCATTGCCGGAAGATGCCAACGGTTTCTCCATAATGGTATCCGACATGACAGAGCCGGCGGCTGGCTTCTGCTCACGTTCTTGCTCGTCGGCCTCGGGAGCGGCGGCTCTATTTTGCTTGAAGCGGGATACTTTGGCTGGTTTGATTGGTTGTGAAGGAGCTTCGACCTTTGAAGCTGCACGCTCGACGATGTCCGCAATCGGCGCAAAGCGTGGCTTGGAGATGGCAGGAGTGTCTGTTGCCTTGGGTGCTTCCTGTACATCCAGTTGCTCTGAGAATCTGACTCCTTTTCTCGCGGGTGCGTCCGGCTTAGCTGCCTCTTTGCCTTTAGACACTGCTGATTTGGTAGTCTCCTCCGGAGCCCCTTGCTCGCCACGAACCACAAGTCGGCGAAGCCCTTCGGGATCGTATACAGGATCGACTTCTTCGAGATTGGGTCCGAGATTACCAATTACTCTCGAGCGAAGCTGTTCTTCCAACTCCTGCATCTGATCTCTGTAGTTTTTGCTGACTCCAGGGCGAAGTGATCTCCCATGCTCATCTTCTTCCTCTGACATCTCGCTATCGTAATCATCATCGAAGTAGTCTTCATCGTCCTCAAACTCTGATAGATTTTCGTCCAGGTCCAACTCGGCCACGACCTGACCGACTTCGTTCAGATTGTACTGTAGCATTTCCCTTCGTAGTTGTGCGTCTTCGGGTGACTCGTCTTCGGGAATCACTGCCTGAGTCGCAATGATATCGTCGTCGTCGTCCAATTCAATGACACGGTCGCCGTTTGCAAATGTGCCATTGAACAAGGCAGGATTGACTCTGGATGATTTGCTGGCATTGGCATTGTCGGCACGAGACGGGATCTCTCTTTCCTGGACCTCTTCTGCGAAACTGACTCCCTTCTTACTAGTCTTTGGAGCACCAGCTGTCACTGTTGACGCATCCGGGACCTTGTTCGCAGGACTGATATCGGACTTTTCGTCGCTTGCAGGTAGCGAGTTTTTGGCCGCGTCTCCCTGTTTCGACTTGGAATCCATGTCTTTCAATCCAGCCTTTCGAAGCGTTTCGATTATTTGTGCAGTTTGTTGTTCTGGCTGGGTGACTTTGCTCGATATAACGTTTCCATCCTCATCCAGTTCTTCGATGATCTCAGTCATGGGTAGTCCGGGTTCTTGGGAGTCGCCATCTTCTTTGTCCATTTCTTCTAGCAGTTCAGACAATTGACCATCGAGCTTCTCCACCTGGTTGGAAATTGTCGTCACGTTTTGCTGTACATAATCAAGCCGCCTGTCAACAAGTCGGCTGACCTCTATAGGATGGCGAATTGGTCCTTTGCCAACTCCAAATAGTTCAAATATTTCTAGAATGGTCAGAGTTGGGAGCTATAGCCTGATGGAGTACTGCATCGAACCTTTTTCGTTCACAAGCTCTCCACCAAATTTGTCACTAATACGTGTCTGCTTGATGTCAGTTGAGTGGATATGTCAGGTATCGGTATAGCCACTCACGCAATCCTTTTCAGTTTGAACGTTCACGCCTGATGAAAGTTCCTCTTTCAGGCCTTCATATTCTGCGTCCCATGTTCGCCAGTGCTGCAAAGATTTGCGTAGCTTTGCCACGTTCGCTTCCAATTCTAATCGGCGAATTTCGAGCTGATCAAAGTCCGCCATAGTATAGTTTGGTGTAACGGTGGACGAGTGGTGGTAAGAAAACTTTTGGCCAGAGTATGTTTGTAATCAGAAGTGATAACTTCTCGAAGCGACTAAAATTGAGTATAGAGCGGCAAACGCCGGCTAACAAGCCGAAAGCATGGGCAACGTCGAAGTGACAAGTTGAGCCTCACAGTGCGACCATTGTGAGCTCATCATCGACGACGACAATGTCTCGTGTCGGGCAACCCAGGTCCGCAGCGGCGCGGCCGGGCGAAGATGGTGAGCCACACATGGTCGACCTCGACCTGTCGAGCCTCCGCTTGACTGTAGGCATTGCTGACAGCCTGACCTCAGACATCTGCCCCGTATGCAAGTCCTCACGCTATCTCAACAAGTCCATGCGCTTCCTGGTCAACCCAGAATGCTATCACAAGATGTGCGAGTCCTGTGTGGACCGCATCTTCTCCCACGGCCCAGCCAGGTGCCCGATAGCTGGCTGTAACCGTACCCTAAGAAAGCACAAGTTCCGTGAGCAGACCTTCGAGGACATCCACGTCGAGCGCGAGATCGACATCCGGAAGCGTGTAGCAAATATCTTTAACCGCCGCGAAGACGATTTCGACTCACTACTCGATTACAACAACTACTTGAACGAGGTCGAAGACATCACCTTCAACCTCATCTACAAAGTCGACGTCGAAGAGACGGAAAAGAAGATCTCAGTCTATGCCGATCAGAACGCCAAAGCCATCAACACGAACGCCGCTCTGGCCTCTCAAGAATCATACGATTACTCGGCCCTGCAAGCCGCCGAAAGAGAACAGGCTCGCTTACGACGAGAGGCTTCTCGTCGGGAAGAAGAGGAAGAAAGAAGAGCTCGTGCAGAAGGAAGACAGGACATCATCGACCGCCTTGCCACGGGCTCTGGCGACGCGGATACCATTGCACAAGAGAGCCGTGTTACGCTCAAGAAACGACTTGACAAGAAGCAGGCTGCCGACAGACAGAAGCAATTGCAAGCTGCCGCTGCTGCAAAAGACGCTACAAATGGCAGCAGTGGTATCGTCATCAAGGGTCTCAAAACACGCAAAGCACCTGGCCCAGAAGCTCCCTTCGACGTCTATGGCGGACTCCAGTTTAAAAACAATTATCACATCGTGCAAGACCACTACGAGTGGGACTGGCTTAACGAGATTGATACACAAGTCGCTATACTCGCAGGCGGCTACAGCAAACACGAGTTCCACTCACGCGCACTATGCGAGGCATTCTCGGGCCTTGGGGTCATCATTGGAGAGGAGAAGGCTGAGCAGAATGGCACAAACAACGCTGCGAATATCGGCACTGCTGCAGCAGTTCATGCTGGCGCAGACGCAAAGGACGTCAAGATGGAGGACCCGTTTTGAATTCATTATGAACGTTGAATGATACCCCCGAACAGGCGTTGGCATGGCATATACCTTTTTATTTTAGCTACCCATAGAATTGACATAATTCGATTCAAACCCATCAATGTTGACATTCTTCGTGATCTCGAGGACATGGTTGTTGTGTTCTTGGCATTGCTTACTGATTGCTTGCTTGCTCAGGTGACACAGTGGGATCTTCTTTGCGTCCCTGCCTCTTTGATTAGATTTGACATTCCCCTTCGAGCAGCAAACGAGGCCCATCCATAGCTCCCACTTTACCAAGCCGTTGACTGATCAAATACCGTCTGTCGTAGCTGCACTTGGGTGGCTGAACCCCACTTCGAGCATGTAAACATGGCCGACGCGGAACCCCAGCGTCAAATGTCTCTCATACCATACACTTCTGATTCTCAGGAAATTGTCTTGTAAGATTTCTACTGATTGTTGCGTCATATGGCAGATATGGAAATGCTGATTCTACAGACGCCGTGGTAATGCGATCGTCGTGTTCGATCCAGAGTCGCGACAGTTGTCATTACATGATGATACTCCCCAGACCGCTATTGGAGGTCTCGACTTGCAGCAATGTCCATATTGCCATCGACCTCTGAACGATGACACGAACACACGCCAGTATGATTCCGAAGATGCTGAGGCTCCCACGCAGGAGCAGAGCACTTTCGTCAATCCGGAGTACTTTCGCATGCTAGCACATAGCATACCCAGCTCAGCAGCGACCTCAAGACCAGCTTCACCGCTCAAACAGCTTCCGGGTCTACGATCTGATGCGCATTCTAGAAATGTTAGCGCCTCTGGTCCTCCCAGTGGTAGTGAGTCTGCAGGTGGTGCACACCCGCCAGGTACGGCCAACCAAGGCATCAAAGACGATAGCTTTTTGCCCAACTATTTCAAGCATTTCTTCATCGAGAAGCGTGAACTAGGCCGTGGCGGCTGCGGAGTCGTGCTTCTCGTTGAGCACCACCTGGATCAGGTCTTTCTCGGAGAATTTGCTTGCAAACGTGTACCAGTTGGCAATGACCACGGCTGGCTGGAGAAAGTCTTGATCGAAGTGCAGCTACTTCAAAGACTGACACACCCAAATCTGGTATCTTACCATCATGTCTGGTTAGAGGATGCACAAATCACCAATTTTGGACCAAGCGTACCATGCATCTTCATCCTACAGCAATATTGTAATTCGGGAGACTTGCACAACTACGTCCTTGGTTCGTCAAAGGCTACAAGTACTACTGAGGTCTTGAAAGAGCGTATGCGAAGACGCTCAAAAGGCGTTTCAGAACGTCCGAAAGATCTTGGGACTCGCACCATGACCTTCGATGAGATCTTCTCGTTCTTTCGGGACATCACATCCGGTCTGCATCACCTACATACCAATGGCTACATTCACCGTGATCTCAAGCCATCAAACTGTCTTCTCCACAACGATGGTCAGAAAATGTCAGTCCATGTTTCAGACTTTGGCGAAGTTCAAGCAGCGAATGAACAACGCAATTCTACTGGTGCTACAGGCACGATATCGTATTGTGCTCCCGAAGTGTTGCAACGACAGGGTGCTGCCTACGGAGAGTTCACCACAAAATCCGACATTTTTTCTTTGGGCATGATCGTGTACTTCATGTGCTTCGGAAGATTGCCCTACCAGAATGCCGATGCTTTGAACGATGAGAACGAGGATCTCGACAAGCTGCGTGCCGAAGTGTCCGCCTGGCATGGCTTCGACGATGCGACAAGAGCTCGAGTGGATCTACCGGAAAAGCTTTACAAGTTCTTGAAGAGGCTACTCAGTCCCGTTCCAGCGGAGAGACCAAGCACAGAACAGATCTTGCAGGCCATCAAAGCTGGAGGAGGAATTGACGATATTCTCATGAGCTCAGGCAGGGCAGCGGGAGAGTCACCTTCTCTACAAAACATGAGTTCCCGCATCTCATCTGTCGATTCACCAGCTCCGAAGAAACTTTCACGTGCATACACAAACCCGAACCCTTCACGGCCAGGAATATCTCAACTAGCAAGACACCAATCTGGCGAACTTGTACACTCAAGGAGTCCTCCTCTACAGCCCCGTCGCTTCAGTAGAGATATGGGCTCAGGGAGTGGTAGCAATACCAGTACTCCATCACCTCCAGACACATTCGCACTCACTTATCGTGGTCGGGATATTGGTGCACCTCCCCTTTCAAAGCATCCCTCTCGACTTATGCTTCCGCCTCCGCCTGCTCCATCAAACCCTGTTTACGTCCATCCAAATCTGCTCTTTATCTTCAAACTCCTTCTTTTTGGCCTGAAATTCTTTTTACTGAGCTATCCTTGCTCTCCATTTGCGCCTAGGATATGGCTGACATATCCGCTCATGGGTCTTGCCACGCTGGACCTCACGATATGGAAGTCCAGTCTGAAGACAAGTTTAATACTGATTGTTGTGCATGCGCTAGTTCCTGCGGTTGCGGCAAGATGGGGCACGATGTGTAACGGTGACGGTGTAGCATGGGACAGCACAAGGCTCTACGATGGACTCTAACTTGCGATTGTTATGCTGAAGGGTACCGCGTTGATATCAGCAAACAATAAAAAGTATTCTAGATTGCTCATGAGGTCTCCTTACGTGTACGTGGAAAAAGCGTGGAAGCTTTCTGTGGATTGGGCCACATTGTGATTTTAAGACTCTACTGCGTCTAATAGATCATGAGAGCGAGCAAAAGATAATCACATTGAGTCAGGCTTTGAACGGACGTAAGTTTACAACGCTATTTAATTATGCAACCAGCCAACATGGTCAGGCGTAGACATTATGTGATATGTACATATTTTACGATTGTTTGCCATTAAGCAGACATTATGTGTATTGACACGGCATCGCAGCCCGTCTTTTGACGACGAGCTCAAGCACGGGGGACATGAACAGGAACGTTTCTTCTTCCCTTGGTGTTTCTCTTGACAAGGACATCTCTCTTGCTGAAGATATCACCACTGACCTCAGCGCCGAGACCAAAGTCAGGCTCACCACCAAGAGTACCAAAGATGTCACCAACGTAGTTTGTGGCGTTGACACCTTGGGCAAAAGTAGTATTCCAGCCATCGAGGATACCCTCGACGACTTGGATACCAGCAAGGTAAAGGTTGTTGATGGCGGGCAAGAAAGCGCCTTGGACAGAGGACTCGAAGAGGTTGTAAGTGGCCGAGCCACCGAGGAAAGGACGGTCAAAGTCAGAGGCAGTTCTCATGACGATGACTCTGCTGTAGTCGACGAGTTGCTCGACGGCAGCGCGGAGGAGGGCGGCAAGAGTTGCGTTGTCCTCCTGGGCGGTGGAGCAGTAGTTGCCGGTACCATTGGTGATTAGGGTGGTGAAATTGTCGAAAGCCTCTCCGAGAAGACGACCGGAGTAGTAGACATCCGAGGTAGCAACATCGCACTCAACAACACTGGGGCCGCTGGCAGAAGCACCAGCAGCGTAAATGGCATCGTTGGCGTAAAGAGTGCGGTATGCGACTGCAGCGTCAGAGTCGTTCAGTGTAGCCTTGCGGGCGAAGTTTGCAGCAATCTTTTGCAGGTCCTGGTTAACCTCGAAGACCTCGGTACCGTAGATGTTGAGAGGGTACTCGGAAGGACTGGTAGCGCCAAGGGGAATGTATCCGGTCGAGAAGTTTCCCGGAATGTCGCGAGGGTCGAATTCGTGCTGAAGAGCGACCTGGACGGCGTAACGAGCGAAGGTGACGGAGCAAATGGTAGCGACCTCGGGGTTGATGCCAGCAATACCAGCAACCATGAAGTAAGAGGTGGTCAGGTCGAAGCGAGGGCTACGCACAAACGAGGCGATGGTGACGGCAGCATTGATCTCGCTCTCTCCGGTGATGACCTGGCAGACATCTCCATCCTCTGTGCAGTGGACGTGAGGGAACAAGGGAGAGGCACCGGGAAGGGAGATGTTTCTGGCCAAGAGGTTGAATTCCGGAATTCCGTACCAGATCTCTGCCTCGGGGGTGAACATGGAGATGATGACCATCTTCGGCTTGATGACATATTCCAGTGCTCTTTCAGCGACAGCGACAGGCTTGTGCAAGATCGATCCAGAAACGAAGGAGCTCATACCCAAAAGGGCAGAGGCGGCATTGAACGAGACACGCATGATGGGCTTGAGGGAAACAAAGAATTGGAACCTACGAGTGAAACACTTACAGGCACGGCGATCAACATGGCTATATATGAGTCGGCACAATTGAGCAAGACTTATCTCCAAAGGCAAGCTCCATACCGTTGAGCCGAAGAGCGCGCTGTGCACTCGAACCCAGCCATTCAAAAGTTCTTGGCTAGAAAAAAAGCACCAAGGGTCGCACGCGTTATCGATCCATCTCGCGTCATTTTGCCAAAGCTTGCAACTTGATGAGGAAGAAGCTTGTCCGATAATGGCAGGACGTCTTGTGCACGGCCTGCCGCAGATGCCACCGGGGTCATCGCTTCCGATCGTTGGCGACATATTTACGACTGATTCGCGACCCATGCCATGAGTCTCACGACGAGTGACGATTGACATTTGTAGAGTGTTGAAGATCGATTTAAATGATGATGCACGCACGACATACACGGATGTGATTTTCTCATAACACTTACGACTTTCCAACATCCAGATGTCCGACAGAAAACATGATACTCGTGCCTCGACCGCATCCTCGGCTTCTGGTCGATGTCGAATTCGGGAAGCGTTCTTATCATGCCGGTGACGAGCGGGATCGGCGCAGGATTCGGACAGGCGAGGTGCGAGAGATATGTGTATCTAAGCATTATTGAACATTGCTCGATTACAGTCATCGATGCTTCAAAGAGAAAGCTACCAAAAGGACCCTGCCAGTATGCGGAACTGTCAGAGTTCAGGTGAGCTTCAGCGTGCTATCGTCTCGGCATACCAAAGCTTCAGGATTCCTTAAGGTTCTTTATCGTTTGTGTGCTTGGCGACTTCTTGTATACGAGATATGTTCTGTCGACACCGCGTAGGAGAACCCGAGATACGTTCGCTGTTACGGCGGAATAGTCCACTTTGCGTTCTCCGACGATGCTCTCCTGTCTCATCTTGTGATCAATTGTCGAAACGACCTTCCCTCATTGCTTGATGCACCGGGTTTTCAACATTGACAACCCCGGTGGCCTTCAACCTTTCAAACAACACAAACAGACGTTCCGCCTCGCACTCTTTCTCTTCATCTGTCATCTCGGGCTCAGGATTTTCAGACTCAGCAGCTAGTCGTTGACCTGTAACAGGATTGACAGCTGCACCTTGAGCATCGGTTCGCATCATGGTCTCGGGCACCTCAATCTGATGCGTGGAGAGGAACCCTGCAGCATAGCCGTATCCAATATTGTGAATGAAGGTAGTCGGGTCGCTGTCGGATAATTCGAAGAACAAAGCAGAAATGCTTTCCCGCACTTCATTTAACGAGGGCGAGATGGAAAGTCGCAACAATCTAGATGACAAAGAATCGCCTTGCCCCAGAGGCTTGGCTCGATCCTGCTCGTTGGGTAGTAGAAGCGACTGTATATGCTTGCGCCCATCTTGTGACGCCACTGCCTGGATCTTACGCAGAAGTGTGAGCAATGGGGTTGCGGCCAGTTCAAGCTGCGTTTCCGGGTATGCTTCGATAGAAAGGTCGAGGATATTGATCAGCTGTTTCGTCAATGTCTCTGTAGGACACGTCTCTTTTGTTATGTGCATGTTCATCAGCGCGCTGATGATAGAGTTGACGGGTACTTGGAGTGAAGGCACAGGCAGCTTCTGATGGGACAGTATGCTGAAAAGGTCTGGTACGCAGCTCGCGAATCTGGCGATTAGTTCGGGCTTTTTGGCTGTCACGTTGAACAACAGCTTGAGAGACTCGACCAAAGCCATGTCATCCATTGGGTGTGCTGGTTGGCCGGCGGAGTCAGAAAGTCTATCGGCATGTCCAGCAATGTTCTAGATATGTGTCAGCTGCGATCAATCATCATGGATGCCACATACCATACCCTGCTGATACTACTAGCCAGCTCATTTTTCTCGACAAGGTCCTCCAGATCAACGGTGGTTTTATACGTCAAAAGAAAGATGATGCGAGAGACCAGAAATTCGTCATCCCGATCATTGTTCTAGAAGGTGATCAGATATAGTTCGTATCGCATTGGACGATGAATGACAAACTCTCAGACGCTGCGCGGCTTTGTCGCGATAACCTAGGTCTAGTAGATGTTGCCTCGGGGCTTCTTGCAAGAGCATGGCGTTCGCCAGACACCTTAGAGCTTCTTGCGAGACATCGAGCTCCGCAACGTCGAATCCATACTCACACAACGTCTCAATACCCTTGATCAATTAGCGAAGCGATGGCGAAGAGACGGGCGTAGTATACCTTTTTGGCAAAGATGGAGTCAGAGTTCGCAGGATTCCTCCCAAGTACTTTGAGCTGCTCAAGCAAATTCTTGCGTTCTAAAAGTCCAGTCAGACTAAAGCCTGTCATCATACAAAGGCCAATTGAACATACGTGCGGCGGTCAGTTTCTCATCCTGCAGGTCGGCGGTGAGCTGTGTTAGTAGCTCATCGACCTTGGCCTTGTCTTACGATATGTCAGTGGAACACAGGGCACACAACTTGGAAGCATGCTGACCTTGAGCACTGTTCTGTGAAGGCCTGGAATACATGGCCGGCACTATGTGAGAAGGTTCAACGACTCTCTAGGAAGGAAGGAGCAATTTCCGGATCGGGAAGCGGTCACCAAGCAACTGCAAGCGCGCCAAGCAAAATTTGGTAATTGCAACACGAGGAAGGCACGTCCAAGGCGCGTCATCTGGACTTGGGAAGTTTGGATGCAACGCTCGAAGACAACACAATCATGCTGCTGAACAGGCAGGGTGAAGTGAAGAAGACATCCGACTAGACATCTCTCCAATTGCCCGGCAATGGTCTCTGCTGAGCCCCTCGAGCATCTCGCCAAGCGCCCGCCTACTCCCCCAAAAGACGTCGACCACGACATCAACCAAGCCATCAGTCTTCTGAACGTCAACCTCGAAACAGCTCTCGGCCAGGTGCAACAGACGACCTCTCGTGCAGGCACGCCTGTCCAGCCTTCTCCGCCCTCATCACAGGACAACGGCTCCCGTCACAAGTCAAGCAAGCGTGTCGTATTCTCGCCATGCATCACCGCTCATGACCCCACGCCCTTTTATGCCACCTCAGCAGGCACTGCCAGTCCGCTGCCCCGCCGCTTCCCCTCGAGTAAGCAACCGCGGCCTTTCCGATCCATCTTGAAGGCCACTCTCGACCTCCAGACTCCCACACCCGACGCCGCATCACCTGCTGCCGATTACTTCTCCATCTCAGATCCAAAGACATTTCCCGTCATGCTTGACTCAGTCTTAAAGTCCCTCGAGGCTCCCTCGACCGCAATGCGTATGGATGGGTATAGTACCCTCAATGGTGCTCTCAAAGCCTACGACGATCTGCCTGACGCCGACGCAATGCGCTTAAAGATGCCTCTTCTCACCAAATACATGTCTCGCGATATCCTTGAATCAGGCCGAAAGGCAGACCCAATGACGTCGAGTCTGACTACACAAGCTCTCAAGCTCACAACTGCCATCTTGATGACGCCTGCTCTTGCCGACACTCTGGATGAACAATTCCAAACTCTGCTCGTCGACCGCGCTATTGAGCTATTGGAACAGGATCCAGTGCCGAAGTCCATCGCAAATCATCACATGTTTCTCCTTGCAACTCAACACTTTTCGTCAAGAGTGGTTACAGCGACTAAAGTAGAGCGTATCGTTGCTTCTCTCACCACCATCCACGAGCGTGTCAGCGGCAACAGTGTTATTGCGTCTCGGCTGGTCATCTTCCAGCGATTAATAGACCAAGCGCCTGCGACTATGCTTGCCAACATGCGTGATTGGATGCCCCACGTGTTTCATGGTGTTCTGAGCAGCATAAAGGACATCCGAGCGAGAGCCATTGAAACTGGTATGCATGCTTCTACCATGTATGGCACGACTTATCAGTCAACCAAAGTCATCATTGATCTTTTCCACACAGCGACTGCGGAAGGCAGTACTTACGGCGCATATTTCACTGCCCGTTTGTTTGACATGGCCAAACCGAAAGAGAGCGGTGAAAACACAGACCTTGAGGAAGCTGTTCCGCAAATCTGGTCGATGGTCGTACTTTTCTTCAGAAGCAAAAAGGTCAGATTGTCACAATGGCGATTGTTCTGTGAAGAATGGTTCCTTCTAATCCAAAATTGCCTGAACAGCAAGAATCTTACGGTCAAGTTTCGGGCGACTTGCGCCTGGAATCGCCTTGTGTTTGTCGCCAACCCAGACCGCGAGATGCTTGAGAAGATGGAGGGCTGGGATCATACCCTTCGAGTTCCCTTCGTACATATTCTGCATACGAACAAGGGACGAGACAAGAAAAGCAAGGAGATCCGTCACATCGCACTTTCTGGTTATTGCAACTTGCTGCACTACTCGCTAAGACCGTCTCAGCCATGGGAAGACTTGGACTATTTCTGGGATTTCTATGTTCATCAAGTGCTCTCAAAGCTGCTTTTGTCGGGCGGCAGAGACGCCAGCCTTGCTTGTCGAGTACTAAAAGCACTCTTTGACGGAAAGTCCACTGTCTGGGACGAAGATGTTGCCAACAAAGCTCCAATACTCCCCGAGTCACTTTCCCGGTTGGATTGCAAATGGATACGGTCCAGGACCCGTATTGTACTGGATCTGCTTGGTCCTTTCCTCGAGCTGTCGTTAGCTCAGCCACGCGGTGGACGTGGCATCGACGGGACTCCTTGGCGTGAGTTTTTGACTGCAGTCGCCAGTGCAGGCAGTCATGAGGTTTTGAGATCACAAGAACTTAAAGAGTGCTTGGCCCAGTTAATGAATCTGTTCGGCCGCTTATGGGCAAAGGCTCCCAAGACCGAGGATCATTTGGACACACCTTGGATCTCGCGGTTCACATCGCTTGTACAGTGCTCCATTGACATTATTGGACCTTTGCCATTTAGCGAAGAGAATCTTGCTCGCAGTGAGACTAGAAGTTTAGAAGCAGCACCGACTCCATCAAACCGCTCGTCAAAACACCATGCGAGACTGCAGTCTTCTGCCTCGTTCCTTTTCGACTTGTTCGCTCAACCGCCATCCGCAGTCGATGTCGACACGGCATACTCGAACGCTGTCCAGACGATACTGCACAGTGTCTGCCTAGGAAGAAACTCGCGCAAGGAACGACTAGAAATCATCCGAAAGTGTGCTCAAGCGAGCTTGGCTTCCAATTCAGTGCTACTCTGGAAGACTGCAGTACGAGAAACCACTGCAGTTCTTCTCGATTCCAATCTGAACGAACCCGTCCAAGAACCAGCCCGCTTAGGACACCAAGCTCGACACGCCATCTCGATCCTAGCCGCTGGCTTTCACCATCATGAAGATGGGCAAGACGCTTTGCGAGCTGCTTTCGAGCTTCTCGGTGTGCTAGCGAAGATCCTAAGGCAGGAAGCTGGTGAGGGTGGTGTAGCTCTTGGTCTTATGGAACCGCTAGCTGAGGCCCTCTTGCAACAACGAGACCAGACTATCCCAAAGTCTGTCTTTGTTCAGTACGCTACAAAGGTACTCCAACTAGGCACTTTTCCTCGTAACAAGCAGCAGATGGACGAAGCACGCAAATCTCTGTGGAACACGCACCCACCCTTCTCGAAGCAGTCGAGCTTCGAGCCATTCAACCACGTTTACGAGCTTGTGAACTCGACAATGCTAATGGCATATGTCAGCATCAGTGACACTGCACCATACCTTGCGGAATTCATCATGTCAATCCAGGAATTGTTGTCCAAGTGTCCTTTGTCTTTGTTCGCATCGCCAGCGGTGCGCAGATTGCAACCTGGAATATCACGTGTCATCAAGGATGATGATCGTGTACTCACGGGCAGCATAGAGTCCCAAGAGGTGTTCTTGAAGGTTAGTCTCGAAAGCTCATATTATTCAGGATCAGTACTGATGTGAACAGGTTCTTTCGTTCTGGCAGTCCGTACTCGTCCAGCTGAAGAACTTACCTTCCAATAAGACACTACTAAAAGCATTGGACGAGATGTTCGCTGCTGGCCTGAACAGTACACATCGCCAAATCATCAATTTCACCGTGTCGTTCTGGAACACTACATTCGGTCAGCTTGACTCCCTCGACTACCCAACCAAGGTCGAGCAAGCAGTAAGGCGACTTCGTCCGCTCGTTGAGCTCGATCTACCCACATTCCCCGAAAACCCCAATACGCCGGTAAGCATGATCAGAACGTCTATTCTATTTATATACTTACCACAACAGATATTGTCGCCACTGCGTGATCTGATCGATACGCAACAAGACATGTGTGTTGAGGAGACACCATCACCTGCCAGGCTTCCCTTGACTAGAAGACCCCAGAAGATGAACGTATTGAATTGCCGGATGTCTGCCTCTGCTAGTCCTCGAAGAGCAAAATCCGTCACACGCAGACAACCTAACGTTAAAATAGCGCCAAAATCAAAACTGCGACACGAGGATTCTCAAGTCGAATTTACGGCTGTGGAAAGCTCGTCGCCAGTTGCGATGGAGTCTCAGCTTCTGACCGAACACCAGAAGGAGGTAAAATCTAGACAACGGATCGAAACTGCAGACATGTATCCCGACTTCTCGTCGAGTCCAGGCCTACAAAGGAGAGTCACAAGATCAGGACTGTCATTCCTAGACTTCTCGGGCCAGGTGGTCACAGATACTGGATTCGCTACTCCTACGCTGAATGACGAACATGGGCCGATGGATGAGTACATCACTTCTTCACCCACGCCAAAGGCAGCTGAGAAGATGCAAGTGCCTGTAGCTAAGGACACAATCATGGATGACTCGGCCTTTGAAGCTGATGATGCTGACATTCCGTCTTCTCCTCCAGAAATGGCAGATGAGACTATATACGAAGGCACGACCGAGATTGAAAACGTTCAAACAGCGGAGCAGGAGGGATCACATGGAGCTGTCTATGATAGCGTCGTTGGGAATCAGTCAATCACTGTGCCTCAGGAAGAAACCGCGATGGAGATCTCGACAGTGCTGCCAGCAAATGACTTTGAAGAGGAGCCAGTGGTGCCACTTGTCAAGCCACATCTTATGATTCAGCATCCAGCTCAAACTTCCAAGGGCGGCATTTCGTCCGACGTCTTCACCGATGCTAGATCAGAGCCCGCTAACACCGAGCATGAGACTACGGCTGTGGGTGACACAAAAGATGACAGCGAAGCCTCGGAAGAAGTGCTGGAAGGTCAAGATGTCGGCGGGCCTGACATGTCCTCTCCCATAAGTTTCTCCAACAGTCTATCTCAACGGGCTCCAGAACAATATCAAGGTCTCCAGGACTTGGCAGATGAGGCACCACAAGCCAATACTCCAGGTGACATCAGCAGAATCTTGGACTCCTTTGTTGAGAATGCGGCCAATGAGGGCGACTCGACAATGGTTCAGGAAGAGATGCGCGTTGAGCCCGATATTCAGAATAGCACTTACCCATCAACATCTAAGCGCAAAAGAGATGAGGCTGTAGAGACACGAACTTCGGCCAAACGTCGAAAGTCGTCCGCGTCTCCTTTCAGACGTATGGTGACCAGGACTCTGTCATACTTCACTGCTAGCCAGATCGAAGAAGATGATGACGACGAAGAGATGCAGGATTGTATTGTTGTGGGCAGTCAGAACGACCAAGAAGAAGAGTCTCCTCCAGAAGACGCAGAAGCTTCCCCGAATCCCGAAACGGCCTCTGCAAATGCCGCTACAACTACAACCAAGCGTGGTCGCGGAAGATCAAGAAAATCGACGACCCCCAACTCAGCCAGTCCAGCATCGTCCGTGGTGACACGTGCTTCGAAACGTCGTGCATCAATCCTCGATGCTGAGGAAACTCAAGACTCTATCATCATCGACACGCCAGCGCCTAGCAAATCTCGAAGATCCACACGGAGTCAAGATGCGAAGACAGGCCAATCGGTCGCACATGTCATGCTTCCGCAGACTCAACGACGAGGACACAAGCCCGAAGCTGTTGCTGCCAGCCCAGGTCTTTCTGTTGAGCCCTCGTTGGTGGAAGAGTCAATTATCGAGCAGCAAATGATTGAAGAGCAGGAGGACGATGAGGATGACGGTAATGAAGGTGCTGATTCGCAGCTTAAGCATGAGGAGAAGGCGGCAATCTTTGAGCGACCTGTCGCTCGACCACTGGGCATGATCGGGAAGCTGAAAGAACTTCTCATCGACTGCAAAACGTTGGTTCTTGGACCGCGAGAGGAGAGAGAAATTCAAGACGTCCTATACTTGCTAGGACGAGAGGTTTATGACGCTCGGAGGCGATTCGACGGATAGTGTATGCATTAGCGCCGACCACTTGTAATTGATTGTTCAGATGCTTTCCTGTACCTCATCTGAACTGATATTAGCATCGTCTTCCCACAATATCAGAAACCTTCAGGCATGTTGGTTCGCGGGATGAATGTGGTATAAGCAAGGACAAACGATCGCTATATCAGTGCCAAGGCAGGCCGATAACCACAACTTTAGCCCTCGATATTCGGTCCCTACTCCTGAAACGACCCTTGGCAGCACAGCAATTGGTTTCACTCCTGTCGTGACGATCATATCTGTGGATCACATTGCATAAGTTATACCAGATGTGCCGTCTGCATAAGTGGCAGTCGCTAACCTAATATGGCTAGACCGGCAAGTTGTGTAAGAGCTCTCGCAAGAGCTCCCATACAGATATCTCGTACTCGTTCTTAGATCTCGATGAAATACTGAAAGGGGATTTGTGATCGTTCTGATCTCCATGGATAACATCTATCTGAATTTTGGAGGACATTGATAGGTATATATGAATGCATAGATGGCGCGTGTTTTATGAAGCATGACGCATTCCAAGAGCAACCCCACCAAGGGACAATCAAGAGCTTCTGACAAGACGATCTTCGTTTCCTTTCCATATTCACATCCAAGAAACGCAACAATGGTTGAGAGATCGCACAAGCCCTCAGCACTCACGCCCAGTACCACTGGCCCTCAGCCTACCGTCCACTCGGATGGCAAGAAGGTCACGGCCAGCCTGCCCAGCGGCGACTCGGTTGAGGTGATGCTGTATGGCGCTACAGTCATCTCATGGAAGAACAACGGCCACGAGAACCTGTGGCTGAGCTCTAACGCCAACCTCGAGGGCAAGAAGGCCATCAGAGGTGGTGTCCCTGTCGTCTTCCCTGTACGTTCTCACCGCTTCCGTATAGCAAACAACGTGACTGACCACTCTGCGCATAGAACTTCGGACCTGCCCCCAAGGACCACGCCACCTCAAGCCTCCCGCAGCACGGTTTCGGACGTATCTCCAACTGGGAATACCTGGGCACGACATCGTCAGAGTCTGGCAACCAGGGCAAGGGCAGCGACGACTCGATTCGCCTTGACTTTGGCTTGACGCCGAACAACCTCAGCGATGAGATGAAGAAGGCCTGGTCATACGAATTCAGTCTGCAGTACAGCGTCACTCTGTCCAAGGATGGTCTGCAAACCATGCTGAACGTGCGCAATGAAGGCGACAAGCCCTTCGACTTCCAGACCCTCTTCCACACTTACTTTGCCATTCCTGTAAGCGCTCTTCGTCTTATGCTCATGCATATCAGCATCACGCTAACATGGTTGTCTAGGACATCTCCAAGGTCAAGGTCACCGGCCTGTCGGGTGTCAGATACATCGACAAGATCCTCAACGCGACCGAGCACGACTCAAAGGGCAACGAGCTCCGCTTCGAGGGCACTGTTGACCGCGTATACAAGTCTTTCACCCAAGACACCACCTCAATCCTCGTTGACGACAAGCCCCGCTTGGACGTCATCAGAGACAACATGCAGGACACGGTCATCTGGAACCCTTGGAAGGAGGGTGCCGAGGCTATTGCCGACTTTGAGCCCAAGGACGGTTACAAGAAGATGGTCTGTGTCGAGGCTGGTGCCGTCAATGGCTGGATCACCCTTGAGTCTCAGGACTCCTTCGAGGCCGGACAGATCCTCAAGAGCCACTTGTAAATGCGATACGATAGTGATGAAGAAAGATAGCATGACGGACGCAGCATAGGGAGCTGAACTTGCTCCCCCCAAGTATAGACACAATGGAAAGCCTTAGGGTCATTCACACTCTCCACATGGCGTTGTACGCTCGGTATGTGATCAGTCAACAGTGCGCGGCAGATATTCCGCTCCCCAAGCTCACATTCCGAACCCCGCACTCTGACAGTCTGACCCCACCAACCCACTTTAGCTGCCCCATGTATCTTTGAGGGCTGCATCTGCCGAAGTGTGTTAGCATTGCCGAGTGTTATAAAGATTCAAGGGCGCCCACTGTCTACATGGGCTGAGTAATCGATCCAGAAACATTCCCAGTCCTTTCCAAAGCAATTGCCGAAAATGGCTAGCAGAGCTCCAGTCGCACTCATTACAGGTGGCTCATCAGGTACAAGACGATACGTTAGACTCACCCTAGACGATCACTTAATAACAGAGACACAGGCATTGGCCTTGCCCTCACAAAATATCTCCTCTCTCGATCGTGGCACGTCTTCATCGCCGACATTAATCCTCCTCCTCCTTCTGAACTCTCCGATTACCCATCCTCGACTCATCATTTCCACGTCACGGACGTTTCATCCTGGGATGCTCAGTCAGAAGCGTTCGCAACATGCTGGTCCACCTTTGGCCGACTCGATTTCTGCGCCTTGAACGCAGGCATTGACGACCGCGATGATATATTCAACTCTACAAGCAACGACCTCAACACCCCACCAACGAAACCGAATATGAAGACTTTTGAAGTTAACTTGTACGGTCCATATTATGGTGTCAAGTTAGCTGCTCATTACATGGCATTGAACAAGCCTTTTAGTGGTAAAGGCGACGGTAAAGGCGGTAGGATAATCATCACGGCATCTGATGCTGGACTTTGGGCTTTATCGGCTATACCACAATATACAGCTACTAAACATGCTATTGTGGGTCTGGTCAGAGCATTGGCGCCTTCAGCTACTGAAGCCGGTGTCTCCATTAATGCCGTTGCGCCTGCACTTACACCATCCAACCTCGCGCCTGCTGGGTTACTCGAAAGCTATCCGAAAGAGGCGTTGACGAAGATGGAAACATTGATGAAAGCATTCGATGTGTTGGGCAGATTTGACGATGTTGAAGCTGAAGCATGGGGTGCTCAGGAACCTCATGGAAAGGTTATGGAAGGCAGAGGTGACGATATTCATTACAAGGGGGAGATAGAAAAGACGGGTGGGAGAGAGGTACCAAAAGGTGAGTCTTAGTCATACAATCTCGTGCAACTGGATGGCTACTGATGTGAAGCAGAAATTCAACAGATCTGGGCAGATACGTACAGGGAGCGGAACAGAAGGTTCGCCATGCAGCGCCAGTAGCGGTATGCTCAAGGGAGAGGAGGCATTCTGAAATGTGCGTCGATCGGTGTGTAACAAGTGACCACGAATCGACTCTCGTGGGACGCATGCCAATGCTTGCGGTTGGCTGCAGGTTCTTTTGACGAGCGCTCCTCACATGACACCATATCGAAAGATACCACACTTTTTGCAATATAGCCCGCTGCCTTGGTGGTGAAGCAGTCAATACGTGTTCCAAGCTCAAGGACCCGCTTCGAGCGCTAGCCGGTTTGGAAATCCTCATATGCCAGAATAGCCTTGATCTTCGAGGTGAAGTCAATGAAGCTGCCCTTTCAACCCAGTTTGGTCTTGCCGTATGCTCCACCAGCCGTCTTGCGCATCTCCAATGCTTTCCTGTATGGCGGCGCGGTCGGTGGCTGTACAGGATCCAGCACGACGTGATCCTTGGGCAGGTGGTACGAAGCATCGGCATCGTAGGCTGAGAGATCTCCACAGGCCAAGAACGGCGCGATCCATCGAATGTCTTTACCTTCCTCTTCGTCTCCAGAGCCCAGCTCTAGTTCTGTGATGCCATCAGGTCTTAGTGTACGTGATGGTGGCGTCTTCGTGGTTCTCATACTCTCCGGTACTTGTAATTGTGTGCCTGCCCCTAGAGGGTTTTCCAGACTGGCCTTGAAGCCCTTTGGCGGGCGGAAGCCTGTACATACGACAAAGGCTTCCACACTGCTTGCACGACTACTTCTTGGCTTAGCCACTCGTACACGCTCGAACACAATCTTGAGCTGGGCATATAGAAGATCGACATCTTTGCCACGGAAGATCTTGGCCACGAACTTGCCGCCTGGCTTGAGAACGCATAGCGCGAGGTTCAGCGCTGCCCAGAGCAACTGAGATTGAACGTATGTGTCAAGATCATGCAAGCCAGTGACATCAGGGGCACCGTCTGAAATGACGAGATCCACAGGATGAGAAGCTTGTACAGATGTATGGTCGAAGATTTCCGGATCCAGAGCCTTAAGTAGTAGTGGAATAGTGGAAGGATGTGTAATATCTGCGCGCATTGTCACAATGCCTTCGAGAGGTGACATTGGCTGCAAATCAATAGCCACAATCTTGACATTTTCTCTCGGCTGAAGCTGCTGCTTGACTTCTTGCTCGCGCCTTGGGATAGTTGTGGTAGTCTGATTGTGTAACTCGAGCTTCTCCTTGGCTTGCTTGTCTTCCCAGCCAGCACGTCCAATCTTCTCGCCCTTGATCAAAACGCGAGACAGGACTTGGCTCCAGCTTCCAGGTGCGGCGCAGAGGTCTACTACGCGAGTGACTCCTTCGAAAAGATTGAACTCCTCGTCCAATTGAAGAAGCTTGAAAGCACTTCGGGCACGCCAACCTTGCTCCTTGGCGAGACGGTAGTAGGCATCGCGCTTATCTTTGGATGATTTACCCATCTGCGGTTGAATCGAATTTGGCCAGGATAGAAAGACGAATATTAAGAGTAACTTATGGTAAAACGTCCAGATGCGATTGATCAATCTCGAAGCAGAAGACTTTGCCGAGGCTCTCCCGCGACTGGACCCTTGAACTTTTCCACCTTGGCATTGAATGTCGTTTTTATCTTCTCACACATTAACACAACCACACACATAATAATCATGGCGGCAACTGAAAACAAGCGTGCTTTACCTCCAAAGGTCGCAGCGATGAAGGCCAGAAAGCGACAAAAGCTTGAAGAGGGAAACGCTGGAAAAAAGGCAACCACAAACAAATCTTCAGCCGCGGCGCCACCAAAATCGGAAAAGGTGCGCTTGGATGATCTGGCCTGGAACGATGTTGAAATGCCGGATAGATTGGATGACTTTGAAGGTTTCTATGGTCTCGAGGAGATCGATGATGTGGATGTTGTCAAAGATGATAATGGCATCATTTCTTACCGAGCCAAGAGTGAGAAGGCCACCAAGAAGAGAGCCGCTCCGGAGGCGTCAGACGACGATGGCGAGGAGTTTACTGGCTTCGGAGATGACGATCAGGAGGAAGACGACAAGGAAGACGGCGGTGCCATGGTCATCGAGACTGTCACACCGCGATCTGCTCCTGAACTTGAAGAAGGAGAAACTTGGGAGGACAGAAAGAAGAAGCAAAAGGAACTGCAGAAGCAGCAATTGAAAGAAAAGAAGCAGAAGGAGAAGAAGGAGAAAAAGGAAAAGAAGCCAAAAGCCGAAAAGAAGCAAAAGAAAGAGGCCGCTCCCCAAGCTGAAGTCGGATCTGCAACCTTCGCCAACCTATTAGACGGAGAAGAGGACGAAGGTGCCGACATCACCGCATGGCGACCATTGAAGCTCTCAGACGAAACTCTTGGGTCTCTGTCAAAAATGAAGTTCCATCAACCATCAGCAATTCAAAAGGCAGCTATCCCCGAAATTCTAGGCGGTCACGATGTCATTGGAAAGGCTAGCACTGGATCTGGAAAGACTCTGGCATTCGGTATCCCAATCTTGGAACGCTATCTCGAGATGCAAAAGGTTGCCGGCAATAACAAGAAGAAGGTCAACAGCGAGGAAGAGGCCGCTCGCAAGCCTGCCCTGGCGCTGGTTCTCTCACCCACTCGTGAACTTGCCCACCAGATCTCAACACATCTCGTGACCCTTTGCTCGGGTCTTGATAAGGCACCATGGATTGTGACCCTGACTGGTGGTCTTTCCATGGCTAAGCAGCAACGACAATTGAAGAATGCTGACATCATTATCGGTACTCCCGGACGTCTATGGGAGATCATCAGTGGTGGTCACGGCGTGCTCAAGTGGCTCAAGCAGATCCAGTTCCTGGTCATCGACGAAGCGGACAGACTGCTTAGCCAAGGTCATTTCAAGGAGCTTGAGGAGATCATCAACGTTCTTGACCGCAAGGATGACTTCAAGGCCGAGGAACATGAGGACGAGGACGAGGCGCCGGAAGTGGTTGAAGATGTCGAGAGGCAGACACTGGTCTTCTCGGCGACTTTCCACAAGGGCTTACAGCACAAGCTTGCTGGCAAAGCCAAGCCCGGTGCTGGTTTGATGGATAAGAAAGAGAGTATGGAATATTTGCTCAAGAAGCTCAAATTCCGTGAAGAGAAGCCCAAGTTCATCGATGTGAACCCCATCAGTCAGATGGCATCGGGTCTTAAGGAAGGCATGGTCGAATGTGGTGGCACAGAGAAGGTAAGTTCCATCTGTCTCCAGTATGCGTCTATTACTGAACTAACAACTTACTAGGATCTCTACCTCTACGCGCTTCTTCTTTTGCACCCCAACGCCAGGACGATAGTGTTCTGCAACTCCATCTCTGCAGTGCGCCGTCTAACACCATTCTTGCAGAACTTGCAACTACCCGTTCATGCCCTCCATTCGCAGATGGCTCAGAAGGCACGTCTCAGAGCCATTGAGCGATTTACTTCAAACAACCAAAACAAGACCAACCACAAGGGTTCTATCCTTCTAGCAACTGACGTCGCTGCTCGTGGTCTGGATATTCCGAATGTCAACTTGGTCATCCACTACCATCTACCTCGTGCCGCAGACAACTATGTCCATAGATCTGGCCGTACAGCCCGTGCCGGTGAGACCGGTTCCAGTATCCTTATCTGCGGACCTGAAGAAGTCGCTGGTACGCGCAGATTGATCGCGAAGGTGCACGCCAGCTCTGCAGCCGCAGGTGCTGAGCCCGCAAACCACGCAGCAAAGAACGGCTACTTTATTCGTAGTTTGGACATTGATCGTCGCGTCGTCAGCAGACTGAAGCCGAGAGCCAACTTGTCCAAGAAGCTCGCCGATACTACGATTGCGAAAGAGAAGAAGCATAGCGAAGACGACTTTTTGAGGCAAGCTGCCGAAGACTTGGGTGTAGATTACGACTCTGAGGAGTTCGAGAATGCACCTGGAAAGAGAGGTAGAGGTGCCGGCAGAATCAAGAAGGAAAGAGAGGCGAGAACATTGACCAAGGCCGAGACTGGTGCACTCAGAGCACAGCTGAGGGATATGTTGAGCACTAGAGTCAACGTTGGTGTCAGCGAAAGGTACTTGACCTCGAGTGGCCTCGACATTGATTCCCTCTTGCAACAACAAGAGGCTGGCGTACATGGGGAATTCTTAGGCACCGTTGCAGACCTCATGGAGTAGAAAGATTGAGGCTATGACCTCCCCAATCATGGATTTTTATTTTCGCCCCCATTCTAGTCTCTCCTGTCCAACTAGTTCTTTAAGCTGTCGAGTCCGCCTTCATACTCACTGACATCGTACTCGTCAGGATACTTCTCGATGATACCCCTCAGCTTCTCCATTTGCTCTTTCTGCTCCTCAGTCAACTCTTCGTACACACCTTCCATCATGTTTCTCAGTGCAGGTCTCTTTTCTTTCTCGGCCTGCTTGAATGCCGCCAGGATCTCCTCTTTCAGCACAGCTCTAGCCTCTTTTTCTTTCTCCTCGTCCCAGATGCCTTTGCCTTCCATCCACTTGCGTAGACGGGTGATTGGATTGTCTCTACGCTTCCAGTCTTCTACCTCGACCTTGGCGCGATATGCGAAGCTGTCATCAGACGTGCTGTGATGCGAGACACGGTAACTCATTGCTTCGATCAGTATAGGTTTGCCGCCATCTTCGAGACACATTCTGCGGGCTTCTTTGGTGACTTCTCTGACAGCAAGGACATCGTTGCCATCCACGCGAATGGTGTCGATGCCGTAGCCTACACCTCTTGAAGCAATGCCATCACCGCGGTACTGTTCTAACGTCGGTGTCGAAATGGCGTAACCGTTGTTTCTGCAGATGAAGATGACTGGACATTTCCTTGTAGCGGCGATGTTCAGAGCCGCGTGAAAGTCGCCTTCGCTGGCTGCACCTTCGCCAAAGTAGCATGTCACACAGCGTTGTGTGTCTTTCGGATTCATGGCGTTTTGCATCTTGACGGCATAGGCCGCACCGGAAGCCTGAGGAATCTGAGTAGCGAGAGGAGAGCTGATGGTGTGGATATGGTACTTTGTGCTGCCGTAGTGGACGGGCATGTTGCGACCCAATCCCGGATCATGCTTGTTGGCGTACAACTGGTTCATAAAGTCTGCTGGTGTGAAGCCTCGGTACTTGAAAATTCCGGTCTCTCGGTATTGGGCGAAGATTGGATCACTAGGGTCCAAAGCAGAGGTCGATCCCACTGCTATGCCTTCTTCGCCAGCTGAAACCATATAGAAACTGATGCGTCCCTGTCTTTGTGCATCAAACATGATCACATCCATGACTTTGAGAACATCAGCGAATAGCTAGATATCAGGGAGAGAGGATAGCCCCTTACTGCTCACACTAAGCATATCTTTGTACATATTGATCAGATGATCGTCTGAGACATCGGAAGGCTCCCTTGACTTGTCTACTATGACACCATCTTGGTCCAGAATACGATAAGTAGGCATTGCTTTCTTGTTCGATGGCCTTGTGAAGTCGAGGTTGGTTGTGAACTTGCTCTCTATAGCACCAGGGAAGCGTACTCTAAGCTAGACTCAGCGAAAGCTCACAGTGTAGAAGAAGGGGTGACAATCTACCGATCCGAGCCTGGTCGTTGTGATACCGAGTTCCATCTTTTGGTCGCATTCCGAATTGGGTATCTTGAGCAGCGTGTCACTGCAAAGGTGCTAGATTTGAGGAGGTTCATGCTGCGAATCATCAAGAGGTAACTGGCAGAGGTCCTTCAGAGGGAAGACCTGAAAAGTACAATGATGGGTACCCCTCCGCAAACACTCGGTAATCGGTACGCCCTCCGTCTGGGGTACGCCCTACACTAGGCAGCGGATCTACCCGCGATCTAATCTTTCGTCGACGAGATGGACCTTGGCGCAGCGCGAGCGTTTGTTTCCACAAAGTTCATGGTACGATAGCAGAGGCAAGTACGACCAACAAGAATCATGTCTTCATTTGTTCCTCGCGCCGCAAAGCGGTTACGGCTCTCTAATCGCACCGTCACACCTTTACCTGTCCGCGCATTCTCGTCTTCACCGTACCTCGCCGAGCAAAAGCCAAATCGCAATGATGAGAAGACGACGCATTTCGGTTTTGAGAGCATTGCCGAGTCATTGAAGGAGTCCAAGGGTGAGTGCATCTTGCTACAAAGTCTCCATGTTCGTAGTTGGGGTCGATCAACAGCTAACGACTCTATGCGACAGTTGGCGCCGTCTTCAGCTCCGTCGCCTCCTCGTACGACACAATGAACGACCTCATGTCTCTTGGCATCCATCGTCTCTGGAAAGATCACTTCGTCCGCAGCCTGAACCCCGGCAGTCACACCCCTGGTGCACCCCAAAAGGGCTGGAAGATCCTGGATATCGCTGGCGGTACTGGCGACATTGCCTTCCGCATGCTCGACCACGCGACGAACATCAACCACGATCCGAATACACATGTCACAATCTCAGACATCAATCCCGAGATGTTGGCCGAGGGCCGCAAGCGCGCTGCTCTATCCCATTACAACGGCACTGGAAGATTGGACTTTGTGGAAGCCAACGCGGAGGATCTGCACATGATTCCCGATAACAGCATGGACTTGTACACGGTCTCTTTCGGCATCCGTAATTTCACACACAAGGACATCGCCTTGAAAGAAGCATATCGTGTTTTGAAGCCTGGCGGTGTTTTCGCCTGTCTCGAGTTCAGCAAGGTCAACAACCCCGTTTTCGACTTTGTTTACAAGCGCTGGAGTTTCGCCGCTATTCCCTTGATCGGCCAGGTTGTCGCAGGAGACAGAGACAGCTACCAATATCTTGTTGAGAGTATCGAGAGATTCCCCAGCCAGACTGAGTGGAGAGATATGATCAAGGAGGCTGGATTCGTTGTTCCTGGTGGTGAGAATGGTCAAGGCTGGGAAGACTTGACTAACGGCATTGCTGCTATTCACAAGGGTGTCAAGCCTCTGAAGTAGCGTATGTCCGCTTTCGTATTCTTCTTCTGTAACATATACATAGGCGATATACTCATGTTTACTGTACTATTATCAAATCATCTCGTCCATCATCTGCCACTTTCCTCTAGCCTTGACGACTGCTTCATCTCCATTCCTTCTTTATCACTACTTGTCGTTGAAGAGAACTGTTCATCCTAGCCGAATGTGTTTGCATTCGGGCCATCTGAGCGGCCCCGACCTGTTCGGGTGTCAAGGCCCATGATTCTAAGCATAGCTGATCTCTGATGAATGACAGGGTCAGGCCTTCAGCAAGTATTCGCGACCGTTCACCATCGATTTCACTTGCAGCATCGAGTTTTATATCTTAGCATATGCTTATTAGACATCAGTCTTGCGCTACTCACGTGGACCTTTGGGCGTGTCCGTATAGTCATGGGTGGTTCAAGACAAGTTTTACTGATTTGGATCTCGGATTTGAAATTCAGACCATCAACCGCACTGTAACATCGATAGTGTGAACCACCATTCCACTCACCGGACACATGGCACAGAAAACGTCTTGAAATCGGTGGCGCTTCGTACTCTCAAAAGTGTTATTGACTCGAACACCCGGAAATACCAAATATGTGTACGCGTAAGCCTTGTGTCCAGCATCCCATATCGGCAGCCCCGGATGTACCGTAAACCTTGACTCTAGTGGTCATCGTACAACATCAGTGTTAGCTCTCTCGTTGAATGAATCCAACACGAGATGGAAGGGGAAACAGACGAAAATGCTGTTTGAAAATGGTCTTGCCATTTAGCTCGCTCTATTCAAACTAGCCAACCTAACCACCAGCTCCAACGCTTCTGCAAAACAAGGGTGTGATGATGACCAAAGACGCAAAAAGAAGAACCCTCCATAGCGGCCTGGCTGAAGTGGTGACAGAGATCCGAGAGAAGACATTCCAACCGGACAGCCACAAATGACGAGTATTGACAAGGTATGGAGTCGATTGAAGACTGAACAGCCAGAATGAAAACAGGTTGTGGGAAGAAAATTGTGAACAAGGGAGTGACTTCGACAAAAAGAGATTTTGAGCGGGCAAAATCAACCAGCCGAAATGGAAAAAGAAACCACACGAAGAGAACAAATCGGGATATCACCCATGTGAAAAAGAAAATCTGCCACCAGTAAACAGCTCAAGGGTGGTACAACTAGAGTAAGACGATAGGAGAGGCTCTAAGCCGTGAATCATCAGTATCGTTAATCGAAACAAAAAGGACAAAAGAAGCGCGTGTAGGTCTGACGAGCCTCAAGAGGCACACCACAAGGGTTAGCTTGACCAGCCCTGGCCGTTGAAGTCGTTTGTCGAGAAGTTCTGATCGTAGTTGTATGTGTTGAGAAAGTCTTGGCCGGCAGGGACCATTATGCTGTCGTTCCAGTTGACGAGTTTCGAGCTGCTGTCAAAATCGAAGAATTGTTCATTCACGTTCGAGTTGTCTGCACTAAATTTGGGAGAAGGCGCGGCGGTAGGAGCCATAGAGGGACCTGATGAACCTGCCACAGAGTAGGCGAGCGAGGCGCTGTTGTCGGTGTTGTTGCCCATGGCGTAGTCTATAAGAGTCGGATCCCATTGGAAACTGGACTGAGCTGGAGACTGAGATTGGACAGAAGACATGTCGAAACCAGAGAATTGGCCGAGGGACATGGACTGCTCGGGTGACTGCTTGGAGCTGGATAAGACATCGGTATTCATGGCAGCCAGGTCGATATTGCTTGTGCTCGGATTCGAGTAGGCAGGCATGCTCCAACGATTTGATTGTCCAGTCGCGACAGAAAAGTCAAGATCGAAGTTGGTGGTACTGTTATTGGCGTTGGTACCCACAAGGCCTTGCATGTTCATAGAGTAAGGGTTGTTGTCGAAGGTATTTATCTCTTCAGTGGTGGGGACCTCGTCAACCTCGGACAGTGTGCCAGAAGAAGTGTTTGTCAAAGCAGGCTGAACATCAAAGGAAGTAGTATCGACCTTGGACCAGTCAAAGTTGTTCCAGAAGTCAGTGTTCATTCCTAGATCAGAGCTCGGCAAGGAGAAAGACGGCATGGAGGCCTCTGTGGCAGTGGTGCCAATGGACGAAGTGCTAGGGAAACCAAAGTCGGCGAACATGGAAGTTGGCACACTCGACGAGACATTTGTAATGGAGTACTGGGGCTGGATATCGCTTGGGGGCTTGATGTCCTGTTGCATAGCTTCGGCCTGCATGGTAATAGCCGAGACTGGGGAAGATTGTCCAGAAGTGGTACTTGAAGGCTGGGCGGACATATTCGGCTGGAACCAAGAGTGAGGCTGGGTCGAAGCAACTGCAGCAAGGCTGTCTACGGATCGGCGAGCATTGCTCTTTGTCACGGTAGGCTGAGTGGTGTGCGAGCGAGGCAGCTTGTAAGGAGCGCCTGATTCGTGAGCAGCATTGTTGTTGCGATGGCATGGCTTGTGATGGCCGTTGGCAAAGACAGTCAGATGGCCCTCAGATTGATGCGAGGTGAGTCGGGGTTTACGTTGGCTCAGAGACTTGGTAGGTACGGTTGACGGTTCTTTGACAGTATCCTTTTTGGGCGACACCTTGACAGGTTCCTTGTGGTCCTTGGCGTCTTCGGGTGACGGCTCCTTAAGACTTGAGCAGATACACTTTCCGCCGTGAGGACAACAGCAGCGGTGCTCATCAGACGATGGGGACTCTTCGGCAACAGGATAGAGATCAGGCGAGTGGTGTTCTCCAGACGAGGAACACGGTGGCATGGGGAGGCCGGATTCAGCGGCTGCAGCAATAGCGGCAGCTTTTGCTTCGGCCTCGCGCAGATGAATACATTTCTCTTTGGTGTGGGGTTTCTCTCCACAATCGCATTTGACATGGGACGATCGCTTCTTGCGTTCAGCTCGGCAGTGCGGGCATTGGGTGATGGGACGGCCCTTCTTGGGAACAAAGAAGAGCTCACGGTCTGGAATGTCTATGAGAAGGGGTCCTTATATAGATACGGTGGCACGGGAACGCAGCCACTTACCTGTATGGGTACAGCCGCTAACACGGTGACCCTTTAGGCACGATTGGCATGCCCATTTGGTCCCATCTTCCTTGACTACCATACCTGGTGGACTGATTGAGTGGCCGGCGGAAATGCGTCGGTCGAGAGCGGAAAGACGCGGTTTGTGGTGCTTGTTGGTCGCAGGGCCGGCCTGACGGATTGGGCCTTGTTATTGAAGCGGATTTTTGTTGATAGGAATAAACCAAGGAAAGTAGCGTGGAGCTGGTATGTAAACAGTCGAGTCACAGAATTGGGGGTATCTTTTGCGAAAATGGCCTTTCAGAACGCCGGAGATGCAGAGGGGTCGTGCGGGCGGATCGTTGCGGTCGAGTCCTTGCGGCGTGGTATGACGAGGGCCGGGGCGGATGGCGAAGCGACAACAGCGGTGAGAAGGTTAGAGGCGGCGGATAGAGAGAATAGCACAGAGCGCGAGGCCTTGACACCCGACAAGTCGGGGCCGTTCAGATGGCCTTGGAGCAAATACGGTTGACCAAAACAAACAGTTGTCTTCGACGACGAGTAGTGGAAGAGGAGGGAGATGGAGCGAGATGTGCACGAAAACCGGAGGCAGTGCCCGCCAAGCCTGCACCACTAAAACGACAAGTGCGATCGGCACAGACCATCAACTCAGAAAGACTCGACATTTGCGCCTCGGAACTGTCTCTTCGCTCATCCTGTCCATACAATCCGCAATCTGCCGCTAGTCCTCCACGCGGGACCCCATCATTCTGCTGCGCTTGAGCCTTTGTACGTGCAGGACGCCCGTCCAGAGGTGCTCTTTATCCATGACCCGTTAAACGTTCGTCATGGATCTCACAGCCACCCGCCGACTTTCAAGGGGAATGGACAAGCATGATGATCGTTCGTGAGGGATGGGCTGCGCTTTGATGCTTCGTACTCGTAGACTCGTCACACGTGCAAGATACACGACAAGCACAGTTGATGCTGCATGCACCTCCCTCATCCGTACTCCTTGTATCTTCAATTTATGCACCGCGCTTCGTAGCTGCCGTCATTGCAGGAGTTGGTATTGCTGGTGTGTCTGCTGACGTGCACATGGTGAGGCTTTTTGGACCACTTCTATATACCAATAGACCAGTGAACAGAGCCAGAAAGCCATTTTAATTGTCAGAAGATGCAAGCGTACAATAAGTGGGGGCTGCCCAGCAGTGGCCGTCGCCGTCGAGAATGCCAACAAGGATGATTACAATTCATTGCGACAACGTCCAAGGCTCAGGATCTAGATGGTTTGCAACGGCTAAAGGGAGAGGGGTCTACTCGAGTATGTAGGGCGTTTATCGAACAGGTCATTAAACTACTTACCTTGACTAGGCAGGTGTACTGTGTTGGCTCAAGAAAGGGCAAGTTTAGCGGTCAGAGGAACCATGGGCATCGGGAAATGGCCAAACATTGATCCGATGTGCTGGTATGAGGCAAGAACGCCGGAAGAATAGTTCCTGCTGTCTGAGTAGTTAGCCGTGGGACTGCAACGCCATGAATGGCAAGAGCGAACGTGAAGCATGTTCGGGCTCCTCGGCATGTCATAGAATAGTAGCGTTGTATTTGTATACCATCCCTCTTACCTCCACACCTCGAAATGACAAGTGGACCTGGTACTTACGCCATAGACCCCTCGCTCTCGTTGGGGCCTTATTATAGCCAGTCGAACAATGACACAAGGCACAATAACAATTCGCACCATGTACAGCAACCCGAAGTAGACGATGATTTGGCCCTTCGCGCCGAGTTGAGCAGATCGCTCGGCCTGAACCATTCGACCCACGACTCTGCAGACACATCGCAACAAGCCTCACCACAGCCACACGATGACCTGCAACGGAACATCGACCACCATCAACACTCACACCCGCAGCCAGCTGCACTACCCTCACCGTCACAAAGAACATCGCCGTCGCAACAAGCCGCTGTCCCCGACTCCTTGCCCGAGCACCAGCTGAGTCCGCCGCCTGGTCAGCACGTCGCCGACAACAGCCGAGACAAGCGAAGCAAAGTCAGCCGCGCGTGCGACGAGTGCAGACGCAAGAAGATTCGATGCGACGCGTTGAATGAGCATGAGATATGTACCAACTGCAAGCGCTCCAACTCTGCGTGCGCCTTTAGCCGCCAGCCTCTGAAGCGTGGTCCGAGTAAAGGTTACATCAAAGAGCTCGCCGAACGCCTGAATGCCCTCGAGGGTCAGATGCAGCCGCAACAACACGGCCACGTCGAGCAGGAACTACAAACCTTGATTGCCGAGGCTGCCTACGTTGCACGCGAACATGCTTCACCGCCCCGTCATGCTGGCCACAAGCGAAGGCTCTCACAAACAGAGACTATTGTCCTAGACGGTCCACCGCTACTGGCACCCAGACCTGCTCCAGCACACCAGTCTGCTCAGCATTCTTCTGCTCCTGTCTCTGCTTCTAATCCCGCCGCCCTTAATGGCTATGCCAATCCTTACCGTCATGACCCGCGAATGTCGTCGTACCCAATGCAACCGAGTTACCGTCAGGACATGAGGCCCACACCGCAACCACAACCCGTCAATACACAACCATTCTTCAAGTATGGAGGAGATACAGGTCGTCGCGAGAGCGTCAGCATACCTTTCGACACACAAGCAGGCGTCCCAACATTGGTGGAATGGGACGAGGAGGTCATCGACGAGTATTACCGAACCATACACCAGACCTTTCCGCTCCTACCACATTCGAAACACCGTCTTCGTATGCGCCTGTCCGAGTGTCCTGTGACATTACGAGAAGCCTTCTTGACCGTCCTGGAATGTACAATGCGCACCTTCCCGTCATTCTCGTCTACCCTACGTCCCCAACATACATATGCACCCATGATGAAGCGAGCTGCCGAGCTGCTGGCTGGCTATCCTTTTGAGAACCCTGCCACGCACAACAGTGGCACCAATCTAGTTTACCTACAGACGTTACTCTTGATGGCTCTAGAGTCCGACAACCATGGTCCAGCGACCGTCAGAGGTCAAGCCGGGCCCTCAAGAGCAGAGTGGTTGGGTCGAGCTGCAGGCGTTGCCGGTCAACTGGAAATTAATCTTATTCGACCACGCGAACGCTTCGCGACTGAAGGCGACCCAGATTCTGAAGAGCGATTGTCAAGAAGAGTGTGGTGGGTGCTGTTCATTCTTGATCGTTGGCATGCTTCCAGTACCTCGGATCTTCTCAAGCTCCCTGAGAATAGTGTTGTCCTGCTCCCAGAAGACCAGATTTTGCTTGGTGAATCAACATACCACCTAGCACGCCTCTCCTTCATCATCGGCCACCTTGCTGCCATCCTGACCACAACAAAGACTCCCGAGACCAACGTCATGGCTCCTTCAAATCCTGCCTCATCACTTCTAGGAATGACTCTGGCCGGCGAAATAGACCGCTTCCGCGAATCTGTAGAGAGTGTCTGGGGCTCGCTGAACCTGGTTCATTTATCCTACCACCACTGCCATCTTCTGATCAAACGCCTGAATCCCACAACAGAGCCTACAGAATTGATTGGTCATGCCGTCAAAGTCGCTACAGTGCTAAATCAACGTCAGACACCCATTACACCACTAAATCATCACTTTGCAGCTCTCGCGGCCATGACCCTTTGCGAACTAGTCGACATTGAAAGGACGCGCTCCGAGGCTATCAGAGGACTCGAGCAAATTTCCGAAGCGTTAGGATTTGGTCGCGGTCTCGCTGGCCATGAAAAGTCGACAGGATGGGATTCTGCAATCAGAGACCTGATTGTACAGAAGAGAAATAAGTTGCAGTTGATTCTGGGTGGCATCGAGCAACTACCTCCTGGATTGCAGCATCTGGCTCATGCTTCGGCTGGAGACGGTGGCAGTGGGACTTTGACGCCTAGTTCAGCGCAAGGAAATGTCTCTGCTACGAGCGTGGCGGGAGAGAATGGTAGACCCGGTAAATTCGATCCTACCATGCTAACAAGATATGGGTATCTTACTGCTTTGGGACAGGGCATGTTTGTCTCTAAATAAAGTGATGCGCTACATAAATAATACTTCTATAAAAACCATTCTTGAACAGCTAGTCTTAATCCATTCTCAGCAACCGAAATTGTTGTCTTCGCCTCCATCAGCAATGGCAGTATGTATACATGTATGCGTGCATTGCGAAATCTGCTTGAGTCTTCTGAGCAAATTTGTACCCATTCGAAATCAGATACGTTTATCAAGCACCTTGCGTTGCCAACATGCCTCGACGTCGACGCACAACTTCAAAAACTCATCGTTCTCGATGCTGGCCAGAATGAACTGATTGATGGTCTCCATACGTTTTTCTTTAGGTAGCTCGGCATGATATTTGAGCTCTGCCTGCGCATCTCGTTGTGCTGCACTCTCTATTGTCGTCATCTCGACGTCCTGCATGTCTGCTTGCTCACGACTATGCTTCTGAGCGAGACGCTGGCTATATTTCTCTGACGGACTAGAGGCTGGCGTGTACTCAAGACCAGAGTGATATGTACGCTCTGGACTTGAGGATAGCTTGTTGGTTACTCCAGAGCCGATAGGATGGACAGCGCTTACACTGCTATGATAGCGTTGGTCAGAGTCCGAGCCAACATCCGCGTTCAATTGGGGAGCCAGAGTGCTGCTAGAAGCACGACTATCGACTGCTGTTTTGTCGGACGGAGATGCGAATCTAGATTCGTCGTGCATCGCGGTATCACTGTCTACTGCCATATCGTCGTCTTGCTGTCGAAAATTGTACATGCGAGATGCTGGAGGCTCAAATCTTGTTGGTCCACGAGGAGTTGCAAGTCGTGTGATGCCCGGATGAGCCAGAGGCGGCTTCTCGGGAGATGAACGACTTACATTTTCCCCTTTCGCAGTCAATTCTGATTTCGCAGCTTCTGAAGCATAACTAGGTTTAGGAAGAGGCGGCAGCATCTTTGTCCTAGCAGGACTGCTGGATGGCTTGGGGAAAGGAAGCTCTCTGCGAGGAGGCCACTTCCTTGTCATATCCGATGGCCACTCGATAGGCGCAGTTGAGGGTCGGTGTTCTGACTCAGCACTCATTCGAATCGGGGCAAACGTGGGCTGTCTTTGGATATTTCGTGTCTCATACTCCTTTGGTCCCGGCGAAGAAGTGAACATGTGCATATCAGACAGATCACCTCGATTGATACTGGGCTGTCTTTCGGGAGAGACAGAGGTTGGGCGAAAGGTTTCTAATCTTATCAACACATGGCTCGATCATTTTCAAGCTATGCTAGCATACCTTGCACTGTCGGAACGATTATGGAAGAGGTGTGTCGGTCGAAGCGTGCGGACTGAACAGAATTTTGACGACCTATGTACGAGTCGACTGTCGTGGGACGAGCTTGATACTGTGTACTTTGTTTGGTGAGTGGTATGGAAAACATCAGTCCGTGACTAGTAAGTAGCTGTACAATGTCGTCACATGAGGCATCGTCGGCGAAGCGCAATTGAATACGCCTGACCTGGTCATCTTGACAGAAATAGCGGACAGCCAGTGCAGTTCCTTTGGTCAGACCAAAGATAGGCAAGTTCTCAGTCACTTGATTCGGTTGTCTTCTATGCAGATCTCTAGTCTCTCGAATGATAGCTGTAAGTGGGAGACACTCCTGCGATGTCGTTAGGGGAACATGAAACAATCGCAGTGGAGCAAACCACATACCAAGTCATGGGTCCCCTGGACGACCCTAAGTTGGATACAGCCATGGTCGAGCTGTTCGACCAAAGCATAAATATCTGGAGCTTGAATATGACTCCATCCGGAAGAGGGCGCCTGGCGAGGAAGAGTCGAGTGTGAGAATTTGAGAATGGAGCGACACAGCAGGGAACGACCAAACAGAGCTTCTTGACTGGCCATGTTCAGATGAGTGGCTTGAGAAAGGACATGAGCGTTTGACCACAGGTGGAACAATGGACCTTGGTACACGAGGTGAGGGAGAGACGCTGGAGACTGGCAAACAAAGGTGTATTGAACTGTCGAAGAGCAAATGCCGTCGACACATCAGTCAGCAAGAGAATGACATCGCGTAGGCAAGTAGACCCTCATCTTGCAGGAGCGATGATCTGTCTCAAATGGGTCGGACCGTGTGTTGAGACTCGACTTGAGGAAGGAACAATGAAGAGTCTAAGCCATCGAAGAAGGACCTTATGGAGCCAAAGATAAATTGACATCTCTCTAAGCATGGTGATCTCGAGCCTATACTCGTGGATACCAGTCGGCTGGCAGTTATGAGCAACCTTGCTCTCCTCAACATAGGTATGCTGTGGAGAAGGTGTAGAGAATTGTAGAGAAGGTACGCTAGAAAAGGAAGGTATCGGAGATAGCGCAAAGTAACCACCGAGAGTAGCCAAGTAAATCCGAATGTGGGGAGAGCCGATCAGCAACGCGAGGAAGGTGCAACCAGACGCGTTGTGAAAGGACATCGAATTGTTGCGCCGAGCTCGAACGTGCCCGACCCGACATCGACAACCATCCGATCATCTTACTGGAAGTCTACAACTCGCGTCCAGGATCAACTACCATATCGAGGATGCCTCCCAAGGGCAGCAAGATCGGCCAGCGGGTCGAGCGCGAGTCGTCAATAGAAAAGACCGATGAGTACGAGAAGTTCATGGAAGAGCTGGCAGCGTACCATGAGAAGAGAGGGTAGGTTTTCGGCCAAGAGTGTGTTCGATGTCATACGAGAACGGACCTAATGCGATGCGCAGAACAAGTCTGGAGAACGAGCCGAAAGTCGAGGCTCAGCACATAGACTTGTCGAAGCTGTACACTCGAGTGGTTGCAGAAGGAGGCTACGATCTGGTGTCAGATACAAAGAAGAAACCGTTGATGTGGAGGAAAATTGCAGAGGAGCTCCTACCGGGCATCAAGAATCTGGCCGGCGCGGCTTTCCTGGTGAAAAGGGCCTACTACTACAACCTGGTTGCCTATGAAATATCAACGCATTGGGGCAAGGAGCCTCCGCCAAAGGAGGTCGTCGAGGACGTGACTGCAAAGGGTGGAGACGTCATGTCGAGGACCCTCGAGAACTACCCGACATCCTCGACCAGAGACAAGAGCATGGCCAACGGAAATTCGTCCGACAACGAAGACGCCGCCAAGGACAATCACGACGACGGTGAACCCGGCAGTGTGCGCTCGACAAGGGGTCTCCGTCACGCTCCGCCGCCGCGCGACTTCTATCAGCCCTCGGCGCCGCAGCAGCCGCGCCAGACCCGCAACCAGGGCCAACACACATCTCAAACTCCCGCCTCGCCATCCCCTGCTTACGCCAATACCACGCCCATGACGTTAGCAACCTATGAGCCGCAGCAGCAGCTGCCTCTGACGCTGAAACCCGTCACCACCCCAGCCAACAACTCCGAGCACTATCGCGTGAAGCGCAAACAACAACAAGAGGCCCAGGCCAGCCACGTAGCTAAGAAGCATAGAGGTCTCATGCTACCAGGAACTGGCTTCATCGGTCCTAACATCTACGTTCGCGCACAGCTCGCCTTGCAATCCGGCTTGCCTGAAGAGGAGGAATACGCCTTGCACCATCTCGTCAAGATCTCACACGAAAGAGGTGACAAGTACCGCTTCGATCAATTCGCTGGTCTGGCCGAGGCTCTCGTCAACAAGCTGTTGCAGATCAGCACTCTCTTCTACGACCTCGAGTGGGTTGTCTCGTACCAAGAGTCTTCTGCTTCGCGCAGCCTCGACGCCATCAACGGCACACCTGACTTGCTACAGAAACTCCAATCTGCCGTTCCTTTGGACACCGATCATGCTGTCGAAACCTCAGAGTTCAGACAGGCCCTCGGCCGCATCACAGAGGCCGGTCTCGTCATCCGCAATATGGTCATGTTGGACGAGAATGCTCAGTACATTGCTAAGCTCCCCCTTCTTCGCGATTACTTCTGCATTGTCTTGAATCTAAGACCTCACCCTGCCCTGGTGGAGCTGCAATACTACGCCCTCGAGACTATTGAGCAACTCACCAAGCACTATGATCTCGACGCCACTGATCTACTCTATGAAACTCTCCTTGCTCAGTTGGAGTCCAACGACCGCGGCAGAATCGTCATCTCTCTGCGTGCCATCAGCAGACTTGGCATGGCGTACGAAGAGAACAAGCGACTCGAGCTGGTGCCCCTCGAGATCGTCCAAAAGCTGCCTGAATGGATGATGCTGCCTGATGAAGAGCTGCGTTCTGCCTGCTTGGACTTCCTCTTCCAGTACACAAGCATCGCCGACAACGTCGAGACACTGGCTCTGGATGCCGACGTCCAGTCTCTTGTCAGACAGCTGTCGGAGCTATTGCTCTACAACGCCAAGAAGGAGATGCCTAAGATGCACAAGCCTCGCGCTTCGGAGCCTCATTACGACTCGGAAAGCTCAGCACACGTTCCCCGCTTAAGCCAGGATGTGATAGAGTCACTTTTGGCCCAAGCCGAGCCTGATCGTAGCTCCCGCTGGTGAGTGATCCTACACCAGCTTAAACATTCAAAGTCTAACCATTGTAGGTTGAAAATGTGCTTCGAAACAGACCCAGAATCCGAGATGACCCAGATTCACTTGTGGCAGTCGTACCAAGCGACCTTCCTCAAGTATCAGCCTTCTCATGGAAATTTGATCGCAGGCGAGTTCATCAAAAACGTCTCTAACACATTCAGTGGTGCATCTGCCCAAGTCGCCAACTCGAAGTACGTCATCAAGGGCATCAGACCTCGCAAGGTTGTGCACGATCTCGAGGGCAATGCGTTTGTCAAGTGCTGCTGGCGCACCGACCCTAAAGACGTGCCACATGAGCACATCAACATCTTTGCCAACAACGGTGGCAAGGAGTGCGGCGAGTTCTTCGTCAGCAGCAAGAAGCTCTGGGAACACATTCTCTCCTCTCACATGAAAGTACCTAAGAAGACATCGACCGCTGTGAATGGAGACGCCGAGCAGCCGCAGAGCAGAAATTTTGACTTCGCCAAGGCCGATCCCTCCCTCCCATACGATTGCAGATGGAACAGCTGCTCCCATCAGACAACCGGCTATGGCTTCGCTGTCAATGTTGCATTCCAAGGTCGACACATTCTCACACATTTGCCAGACAGTGGTCCACTCGCCGAGCAAAGACGCCAGAACCAGCGCAACTCGGAAGACGTTGAGGAACCCGTCCCTAGTAACCGCATCTGGTACCGTACCATGGCAGACGAGCACAACGATGCTGCTGGTCTGCCCCTGGGTTCCGCGCTCGTGTTGCGAAATATTGCTCGTGGCGTCCGTAAGATGGCACCTAGCGAGAATGGAGCCGCTGCCGCTGCTGCTGCTGTCGAAGAGAAGGCACACCCGAACGATGACGAGCAAACTCACCGCGAAGCAGAAGATGATGAGGGCGCTGTCGCCATGCCTGAGCTGCCAATCCCTGCTTCAGCCGAGCTGATGAAGAAGATCTTCGATCCAATCAGAGAGAAGCTCTTCTTCGCCATGGCACACAACCCTACACTGAAGGATCACTTGGGCGCTGTCATTCGCGCTATTGCTGCTGGTGGAGGTTAGAGAATCTCCTGTCACGGTCCACTAGACTTGTCTCTTAGGAGCTTACGATGGTATGCAAAGTGGCGTTATGATTTGCTTTCCTTTTTGCTCCTCTGATGGAGGAGCCCCTTTCATAGCGTTTGCGAGGACATGCGGAAGGATTCTTGTCTCAAACCACTTCTTCTTGACCCTTTGCACGATGCCCACATAAATTGTGAGTGTTGCCTACTTTGCGTACTCCTCTGAAAATCTGCGTCTTGAAGTGGCTGCGTGCGACGTTCTCTCAACATATTCGAAAGGAACTTGTGTGAACTCGATGGTTGTGTCGTTCATTCGTTCCTATTGTCTACGGCTGTCATTTCTCCATGATCTCGCTGGCAAATTTACTTCGAGCTCTAATCTTGGGTCCCCAGATCAAGAGCGCAAAAGGAACTAAAGTCAATACTGCTCCAATGCCTCCCAAAAGACTGCCTGCGCCTTGGAAAGTCATCGCCCTGAACATCTGCGGCACGAAGAGAGGAAACGCTCCTCCAAGCATATTTCTACAGAAACTCTGCGCCGCCAATGCTGAACTAGCATATCGATGATATGTATCGGCGAGATAGTTGAACACGGCCAAATAGATGCTGAAGATGCCCATGGTTGCGCAGCCGATTGCTAGAGTAGGCACGATCCAGTGCGCGTTACTGCCCGAAGTCCATGCCAGCCAGAAGAGTCCAACGGGTAACAAGATGCTCTGCGCACATGCAAAGTATAAGCGACCTTCTGGTGAGTCACCAAGATGTGGAAAACGTCGTTTTGTCCACCTCTCGCCTAGAATTGAAATGATGGTGGAAATAATTGATGCGACGCTGATTGCAGCAAACACTGATCCGTTTTCGTAGAGGTTGAAATTATGCGACGCTGTGAAGATTACAGGAATGGCGCCGAAGGTGAGGTCTGCAAGGCAAGGAGCACAGTCAGCATGGTTCAAGAGTGAGCAGGTGAATGCTGCTGGGAGGCGGCTGCCAAGGTCCTCTTGTGGCGGCCGACTCCTTCTGTACTCACATAAGATAGCCCAGGAGAAGGCGACCCAAAGGCTGAAGAAAAACACGACGGGTTCTGTAAAAAGAAGGTGGAAAGGTCTGACGAGTGAGATTTTGATCATTTGTAACAGGCTAGCGCGCTCTTCGTCGCTCTTGACTTTCCAACGTATCCTTTGCGAAGTTGTCTTTGCTGAAATTGAGTCAATGGGCATGTCGACGCCCGAGAGTCCTGCTGCCTCCAGTTGATCGTAGTATTTGTTGAGACATTTGGCTTTCTGAGACAACAATACCGAGCCTCTTGTCTCCTTGAAGAAAAGAATCACGAGTAGTTGCACAGTGCCGCAGGTGATAACCTGCAAGTAGAAGATCCACCTCCACGTCGTGTGGTAAGCTACGAATGAGGACACAAGGGGTCCCAATCCTGTGCCAAAAAGGGCCGCGCCAGAGAACAGGGCCATGGCAGTGTTGCGATCCTCAGCGTGATAGATATCACTAACTACACCACCAACCATAGTACTGAATGTACTGGAGGCGCAACCCTTGAGAAATCGTGACACTAGCATACCTCCATAGGACCGGGTAACGGCGCAGCAGACCTGGAAGATGACATATAGGGTACCAGTGACCACAAACATTGAGCGACGACCGTTGATTTCAGAGAAGGGGGCCAGTATCATTGGTGCGATGGCAAAACCGGTGGTGAAGATTGTGACGCCCACAGTGATTGCAACCCTCGATACGCCCCACTCTTGTTGCATCTGCTCATCACCGGCAGTGTAGCTTCCCGCCGCATATGCCGTAACAGTTGTCGCAAGGCATGAGAGCCAAGTTATGGCACGCTTTCTGCTCTCTGACCATTTGAATGGTGACTCGTATTTTTTGAGGTCGGGCTCTGCTGGAGGTGTGGTCCGAAGTTCGTAAGGCGATGACAAGTATGTGGGACGAGGAATTGGTGTATCGAAATCCAGGTAGTGATATGTTATGTCGCCGGATGATGACAAAGTGCGAGATGGTGAAATGTTTGTGGAGCCATCTGGGGACTTTTTGTGATCATCATGTTCGGGTTTCTCGTCGGCGTAATCTGGAGGAGGATGAGATAGGTGTATCTCAGGATTGGCACTCATCGTTGCGAGAGCAGAAAACTCTCATACCACTCACTAGATGTAGAGACACAGGAACGGGATTAGGGGAATATTATAGCAGGCCAACAGAGCCGCAAAAGCGTGCTATGAATCAGAGTACTCCACCTTCTGATGGTTGCCGAATGCCGAAGCAGTCATCGCGGCTGGGCAGTTACCGTCATATGTTGAGCGCGAGGACTGCTAGCCAAGCGCATATTGCGGATAGAGCGGCCGAACTCGCGGAGAACCACATCATATTGGTGTAGCTTTTCCGTTCGTCCTCTTGCTTAAAAATCAGAGTCGACGGTTGGTTGCTAGGACCCTCAGAAACACAATCAAAGCAAGCCATGAAAATGTGCGGAGGGAAACAAGCAAGCCAAGGACACTCTTCGAGCTGGCGGGTCAATCGAGTTGTGGTAGTCAAGCTCACAACGGCACCGACACGACTTGATGCCTTCGAGCTGTTACTGCAGCAAAGCTGTTCAAGGTGACGAGACGCTGTAGAACAGCCAGTATGAAGACTCATCCAGGTTCTTGTTATGCTTAGACAGAGTCTCCTCCGGAACACGAACTGGTATCAATTTGCGATGACCGGCTGCTGCTTTGCTTTCGTTCGTAAGCGACACAGTCCACTCACCTCTTAATGAGATTTAGTCCCATACTCAAACCTCCGGTACGTGATACCAGGATATAGCTCTTTTGAGAGCGATTGTCTTGCGGGACCACTGTGTTGGACGCAGCGTGTTCTCGCATATGTCACCGCCCATGAGTCTCTCTCTCGGGGTCGAGCAACTGTGGGGTTCGATACCAGCGTCCACTTGGATGTCTTGGGTCGTTTATACGCCATTTCTGACCAATCAGAGTGCGATACGCACAAGCCACTCCGCAGAACCATAGGTAGCTTTCTCCGAGGTCGCTCTTGAGCTGTATGTGGGGTTAATCGAGCATGAGGAGTGCACTCGAGTAGATTGTGTGTCGTGAGGCATTGCTGGGTGTCTTGGGTTGAGTGTGTGAATAAAGCAAGTGATCACAAGCACCTTTGCCATCCTGTACAAGTTCGAGGTAGGAAAGCGAGGAGAAAAGGCCAAAGCGACACAATGACAAGAACTGAAGTCTTTATGCACAGACAGATGATGCGAGTTCTAGTGGCTGTGGCGTGAGGGTCCCGCCAAAGATTAATAACCCTCAACTTCCACCCCACTTCGAGATCGCCTTTTGTTGTCCTTTCGCAAGCAGCTCCTCTCTCTTCCTCACTCTCTTCACACCCACACAATCACACCCAAGATGTCCCAAAGACCTGAGCCCCTCCGCCTCGGCAGCGTTGCCCCCAACTTCGACGCCGACACCACCAATGGGTAAGTTGAACGTTCAATGTGTGTCACCTGCTGCGAACTTAACAGAGTCTCAGTCCCATCAACTTCCACGAGTTCATTGGCGACAAGTGGGTGATTCTTTTCTCTCACCCTGAGGACTACACCCCCGTCTGCACCACTGAGCTCGGTGCTTTCGCTAAGCTCGAGCCTGAGTTCACCAAGCGTGGCGTCAAGCTCATTGGTCTCTCAGCCAACACCGTCGACAGCCACGGTGGTTGGATCAAGGACATCGACGAGATCAGCGGTTCCAGCCTCAAGTTCCCCATCATTGGCGACAAGGAGCGCCAGGTTGCTCTTGCCTACGACATGCTCGACCACCAGGATGCCACCAACGTCGACTCTAAGGGCATTGCTTTCACCATCCGCTCTGTCTTCATCATCGACCCCAAGAAGACCATTCGCACTATTCTCTCATACCCCGCCTCTACTGGTCGCAACACCGCTGAGGTCCTCCGCATCGTCGACTCCCTCCAGACCGGTGACAAGCACAGAATTACTACCCCTATCAACTGGGTTCCTGGTCAGTCTTTATTGCACTCTTGCCTTCGATCAATTACTGACCTCGATAAACAGGCGACGACGTCATTGTCCACCCCTCCATCAAGACTGAGGAGGCACAGAAGATCTTCCCCAAGGTCAACATCGTTAAGCCTTACCTCAGATTCACCTCCCTTCCCAAGGAGGAAACCAGTGCCAACGTCTAAATTGGTTTACTGCGTTTTAAAAAGCGAATGATATCCCCTGTTCTCCGATCGGTTGAAGAAATGGGTCCTTCCCACTTACATATGATGACATGAAGAATTTGACGTTTCCTAAACAACTCTCGTAACACTTTGCTTTGATTTAAATACTCAGTAAGATGGGAGACGTGAAGCATCAATCCTGTAGCTGACATACTCGGCCGTCTACTCCGGTATACCGTATCCGCGTATCTCCAGTGTTGATCTCTTGGCATTCTGTGAGAAATGTAAAAGCAGTTTCCTTAGCAATGCACTTATCAGCGACCTGAACCAAGGTGTATCCGGTCGAGAACCTTGTATCACGAGGCGTCATCTGGTCTAGGTGGATGATCTCAGGAAGCCTTGGAGACCTGCACATTATCCTTTCTCGGAGCAAACGAAACTGCTCTGGCACGGCTTCTTCCGACATCAAGTGTGAAACCGCGTTCAGGGTTCACATCCCTTCTTCCAAACAGTCAGATTGTTGTTCTACAAGCCCTCGCACAGCCGCGTCTGATCCTGGCGATCGTTTGGTGATATCCCGTCGAATACTTCGTTGGCGACAAATCCTGGCGCTCTTCTGGTAGGTGCAATCCTATCCTTTTGAACTCACAACATTACCTCCTGTTCGGTTCGTTTCATTTGCGCACTCGGACAGGTGTAACTCAATCACTTTATGGTCTGAACATCTGTTCGAGCTGAAATGTGAGACGAGATCGCGAGAGCATTCCCCCTGATGGAGTGCTCAAACGAGAAATCGGGGTCCATCCGCAGATCAAGCATATACGATCAACGATCTTGCAACACACCGAAAGAGGTCATCGCAGGCTTCGCTTGCATTGCAGCTGTCGATTCGATGCAAGCCAATATAGCGTTGTAGTCGACATGCTTCGCGCGATCTACAACTAGCCAAATCAACCTCTCCTCTCCCATCCAGACGTGGAATAAACTTGAGATGATCGTATTCATTGTTTCGTGAGTGCACACCGCTAACATGTCGACATCAACAGGAGCCAAGTCGGGACCTGGATTACGAAGGACTGCTTCCAACTTCCTATTCAAGCACAAAGAGACTCATGTTAAGTCAGGGACACCGTTGAACTCAGGACCTTACGCTCTCGCGCGACCATCAGAGAGCTTTCTTTTACCAGAATTGAAACAATACACGTATTCTCAGCGTACATCCAGTCCGCAGAGATCGAGACATATTCCGATAGTCGTGCACAACACTTGCAGCGACTCTCGCGCCCTCGGATCATTGGAGCCCAGCATTTGCTTTTCTAGCTCGACCTCCACTCTTGGATGTTATCGGAATACTCACCCTCAGCTTAGCTTCGTAGGACCGATCACACTCGTTGACATTGCAGGGATATCATCGGTATCCACGAGGTACTCGAGCATCTGTGAAGGATCCAACCACTTTGCAGCCAGCAGTTTCTCTGACGGTGCCGAAGAGCCACGGCATGTTGATCTGGTTCGGCCTCCTTCCCCAGTCTACAGTCTCTCTACAAGCTCTTTTCATACAGCCAACGAAGTCGACTTCGAAGACGCGCACGCGCCCATAGAAAATATGGCACAGCAATCTGTCTCCAACCGAACGAATACGCTCGATTCGTTGATGACTTCACCTACTCCCTCTCATTTGAATTCGAGAAAAGGCTCGAGCGCGCAACTCTCTGTCATAAGTGGTCAGTCTGGTCTCTCGAGGCGCGACGACTATGAATCGGCATCAGAGATGGATGCCATGGCTCATGCTTCACATCCTGGCCGCTCAAATGCGGGCTCACCCGTTCCTCCTCAGACTCCAAGCGCAGGTTCAGCCACCGCAAATCTCTCTGGTCTGGTTTGCAACGTACACCGCACTACAGGGAGAGAGCCTCATCCTTTGGTCGGAGCTACCACCACAATTCTCGGTGATAAGTTATACGTCTTTGGCGGTCGCAAAATCTCAAAATCTCGTCCGACTTTGACTTCGGATCTGTACGAGCTCGACCTACCACGCAGACACTGGTCCAAGATTGAGACCAAGGGCGATGTGCCTCCGCCAAGATATTTCCACAGTGTGTGTTCTCTTGGCGACAACAAGCTCGTATGTTATGGAGGCATGTCGCCCGAGGGAGGGCCTGCGGCTCAGAACGAATCTCCAGACGCTCAGGTCAGCGTAATGTCAGATGTGCACGTCTATGACATACCGTCACATACTTGGACAAAGATCGGCACGGGAGAAGCTCCTCAAGGTCGTTATGCACACTGTGCAGCCATTCTCCCTTCGGGGGCCGTCTTTGCTTCCTCAAACGCACCTTTGTCGGCCATACATCACAACCCCTCAGGACCGCAGCCAAACTCGGGATCAATTGGAGTGGATCTTGATGGAAGAGGCGGTGCTGAAATGATCGTTGTCGGTGGTCAAGATAGCAACAACCAATATATTGAACAGATTAGCGTGTTCAACCTACGCAGCCTGAAGTGGACTTCGACCAAGCCCATGTCTGGTCGGAGCTGTGGGGCTTATAGATCAGTAGTCACACCCTTAGTCAGCATGGAAAGCACGAAAGTTGGCGCTGGCCACGAGGCATCCATTGATGACTACGACGATGACGACGAGGACGACGACTCCGATCTTAACTCATCTGGATCTGCAATGCTCATCTACACCAACTACAACTTTCTTGATGTCAAGCTCGAGCTTCAAGTCCGCAATCGCGATGGCACGCTTGTTGATAAACAGATGCAGGGCACAGTAACTCCTCCGGGGCTTCGCTTTCCCACAGGTGGTGTCATTGGAAACAACTTCGTCGTGGCTGGTACGTTTTTGACATCCTCAAAGCAAGAGTTCTCGCTCTGGGCTCTCGATCTTCGATCCTTGACCTGGGCACGCATCGATAGCGGAAGCAGTATTTTCAGTCAAGGAAGCTGGAATCGAGGAGTTCTTTGGGAGCGTAGAAACTCTTTCATCATTCTTGGAAATCGGAAACGAAATCTGGTAGATGACTACAACAACCGTCGTCTCAACTTCAACAATATGTGTGTCGTTCAACTCGAGGCATTCGGCCTATATGACAATCCCAGAAAAGCTTGCCCTACATCAGATTACATATCATCTAGCGCTCCACAATATCAGCCAGGCTCTGAAGGCTCTGCAGGCGGGAGAAGACTTTACAGCGGCGCTGAAGAATTGGGCGAGACGATGCTTCAATCGCGCGAGCTCTGCGATATGGACTTCTTGGCCATCGACGGCACTCGACTTCCTGTTAACTCGCGTCTAATCGGGCGCAGATGGGGCCCTTTCTTCAATCAGCTCGTGCGCGAAAGTGCCGGACCTAATGAGAGCGGCGAAACAGCAACTTTGAGACCCGCCACAATGGCCTCCCGGAATTCCAGCATCACCATTACCCCAACGCTGACCTCGAATGGATCAACGCTTACGGCCAATAGTGTGACAGGTACCACAGTGACACTAGAGCCGGCCGATGTCAGAAACATGCCACCTAACTCGCGCCCGCGAACCTTGTATCTCCCTCACACAGTTCCGGCACTACAGGCACTCATCCATTATCTATACACTGGTTCTCTTCCTCAGCAACCCTCACATCTAGCAACACCACAGATTTTCTGTTCTTTGCTTCAACTTGCTCGACCCTACGAGATTGATGGGTTGGCTGAAGAGGTGACTGAGCGATTGCATGAGACATTGGATGGCCGCAATGCAGCAGCCATCTTCAATGCTGCGGCAATGGCTGCTGGTGGTGGTCAAGGCGTTGTCTTCAAGGAAATCAATACCAGTGTGCATCCGCCCCGCGTGCAAAGTCTTGCAGGTATCGAAGCTTTGTCCATCAATGGCAGTGGAGGCGCCGGCGGACGTAACCCGCTGCGCGTAGATACTGAGATTGCCAATGGGCGTACCACACGCACAACTCTGCGTGGCGAAAGTCTTACCGAAGAGGACGAGGATGTTCCCGACTCTGCCTCCACTACCGGCTCGGCTTACAGCGTGACCAGTAGTCGTCAAGGTGGCCGGGACGATGACGAGATATGGGACGGTGGTCAAAGCCATGTCATCGGACTGCAGAAGCGCGGACTCCGCGGTCTTATGGAAGGTCGTCGCATACGCGAGCGAGGCCGCAGTGATGGTACTGGAGCGGCTAGCAGCGTCACTGGTAGTAGTAGTGTTGCAGGCGGTAGTGTGGCTAGTGGCAGCATGAGTGGTCCATCAGACCCCAAGGGTCTAGGCTTGGGTATATCATGATTGCGCACTCCCAAAGCGGAGCCTAGATTCAGGAGACAATACACACACATGAAAAGGAGCAAGTACTGCATATCAAACAATAATAATAGCACATTGCGGAGTTATGCAAAGGAGTCGGGAAATACAGGAAATGGCATGCGCGACAACCACTTGGCGTCGCATCTTGGAGGCCAACTCGATCAACTGCATACGGCGTTTTGATATAGGTGGATGGCTGCTGCGTCGATTCCATTCTCAGGTCCTGGATATTCATTAGATTACGGCTGAATGAAGCTTCACTACATTTCGATGTGGCAATTTGCTCCTGGGGAAACGGGATGTGCAATTGAATCCGACGCAAGCATTGAACAATCCGAGTCTTTCAGCATATCTTGTATTGCGGCTGATACGAAGATCACAACGCCATCGCCTCAACATTAATAATACATGACACCAGTACACACCTATATGAGCGTTTGAGAAGATTTATGATCCGATGGACGCTGTCGCTGCAGGTGCATGAACTTCCGAGCAGGGTGATGCCAGTAGCAAAAAATGAAGGCCATAAAACGCGGGAGCCGAGCTGTCCGAGGTCATGACGTATTGAGGTCGAAGGAAGCTCTTTGTTTCTGCCCTCTTCCAAACGATTTTGGCCACCCTCAGACTACTCTGATATATCCTCGATCATACACATTCATGCGTGTGCCTTCATTTCCAAACCTCGTCCGCACCTTATACGCCTTCTCGAACGCCACTTTCAGAGTTGCCCCTCCTCCATTGAGACCAGCTCTTCGACCTACCGCAAAACTGGGTCTTCCTAGCATCCCATTCCTTGGAGCCTTTTTCGGAACATCTTCATCCTCGAACAACATGACCTACCCATTGCAGAAGGGCAAGGAGGAGTGGCAGGCTCAGCTGAGCCCTGGTATGTGACTAGCTTATGGGTGACAACTTGGAGGCATCAGCTGATTGTTTCCGACAGAGCAGTTCCGCATCCTCCGTGAAAAGGGCACCGAATCTCCCTACAGCAGCGACTTCGACAAGCACATGCCCTCCGAAGGTGTGTACACTTGTGCCGGTTGCGACACACCTCTTTACAAGGCCAACCATAAGTTCAAGTCTGGCTGCGGCTGGCCTGCCTTCTTCGATGCTGTTCCTGGCGCTGTTACTAGACACACCGACCGTACCTTCGGCATGGAGCGCACCGAGATTGTCTGCACCAACTGCGGCGGCCATCTCGGTCACGTCTTCAAGGGCGAGGGATACCCTACTCCTACCGATGAGCGTCACTGTGGTATGTAACATCCTGAATCTCGCCTCAAGCTTTGTCTGACAATCATCCAGTCAACGGAGTATCGCTCTCCTTCAGCAAGAATGACCCCGTCAAGGACTCGAAGGCCTAGTCGCATTCTCACAATGAATCTGATGAACAATGAACAATGAACAATGTATTGGTACAACGATTTGGAACTCGACTTCGTAATTGAAATGAATATTTGGACCGAAACACCGTCTTTATGCTATCACGTCGAAGAGCACCGGTATGGATATCCGGTCTCCGAAACAACTCGTATTGCGACATCTTTTGACCCGATATGTATTCGCTTTCAAGAGGAACGAGGGTGTGTCTTGAAGCCAGGGGTGTTTCCATGTCGGCCACCCGTATCTGATCCTTCTTAGGGTCCATTGAAGCTCGAGCCTCAAGCGCTTGCTCAATCTCGACCCTGCCAAGCTGTACGTCCGGCTAAATAGCCACGCTTCCCGCCCCCGCATAATTCACATGCGTGCTGCAGATCTCAAGTAAACAAATGGGAGAAAAATTGTCGAAAGCAAGCGTGTAAGGAACCGATCAATCCACAAAGGGTTGGGTACCGGCTGTCGATGTAGCTTATAGTCCAGGACTGGAAGAATATTGTGACTGTGCTCTTATGGTAGGCGCCATGCAAGTAACCTCTTGTAGTGAGCAAGCACTTGGGCAGGAATAAGACAATCCGAGCTTCGCGTTGTCACCTCAACAGCAGTAGCAGAATCTCTGGGTGTGTGCTTCTATTGGCTTAGTTGCATGACGTGAACTCATGTGTACGCTGGCAGCTACAAATCGAAAACAAGGCAAACTGCAGGCATCAGGAGTTTGATTGTTTATGCAGTGCAGATCCCTAGCCTCAGCCAGCCACGCCAGCCATACCAACCACCCTCAAGGCTCAGAAAGAAAATGTCCACACAAAAAGATGCAACAACGCTGTGTAGTTCCCAATTCTGCCCGTTAAATCGAAAGAAGTTGCTTCAACGGTGTTCACGAACTCTATCTTCTCTACTATTTATCGTTTTCGACTATACACGACAGCAGCAAACACACGACTTGCTGCATTATCAATTCCAATCCCATCAACCAATCTTCGAATACACAAAAAGTCAATTCTCAAGATCCTCAAGACACTTCAGTGTTACTCTATCATCTGGATACCCATACCAACTCCATTATCAATACCGCTGAACCACAAACGCGTCCCATACAACCGCTTCACCCTCCAAAATTCCAATCTATCAAACCTCTCACCAACCGTCTCAACAAACCCCATCCCCTCGTATCAGTCCCTCAACCCGACCCAAAAAGGTCAAACGCACAACGCGACAATGAAACGCAACATTGTTATTGCCGTAATCATCATCGTCCTCTTTATCCTCCTCACACTTCTCGGTTTCCTCATCTGGTGGATCCAAAACGGGTTCCCAAGACGAGGAGGTGGTGATAGTTATACTGATGATGAGGAGAGTGCACACTGAGACGATAGGATTGGATATTCAGGAAGCATACAAGTCTGCGGGATATCGCTGGGCAAGAGATTGGACATGACAATGTGTCGGCAATGAATGAAAGCATCATGATGGCGTTTGGGCAGTGATTGTTATTTTTCTCTCATCTTTTTCATTTTCCTTTACGCCATACATCATTCAAGACGAGCACGACAGCAAAAGAGACAAGACACAAGACATGTAGAGGAGGCATGCATTCATGGCATATTCGAGAAACGACATATAATGTAGTTATACCCCCCTTTGAGACGCAAAAAGCACAAGAAGTCCAAACGAGAAGCAGGCCATAAGAATTAGTCGACCACTCTTCCCGCACGCAGAAAAGCAATCTTTTTCATCACATCTTCATGTGACATTCGAAATTTCAAAAAGGGGATGAGTTTCTCCTCCAAGCAAATTTGATATCTTCGCACAACAAGGCAACAACAGTCTGGGGGTGTCGAACAGCCATGATAAAGCAGAACAAGCAATGGAAATGACAAATGTCGAGAAAAGAGAAGAGTGGTGGGGGCATTTTTTTCAAGTTTCTCGTTAAATATTGCGTGGGTGTCAATAAGAAAGAAGAAAATCGCGACAAGGGCAAGGGCTCGTTAATAATAACATCTCTTTCAGCGCATCAGCAACACGTACAACAGGTTTTTCTTCGTTCTGAGAAAGAGACGCGGCATTGCTTCTGGACGAAAGCAAGGCATGGGGGGGAATAAACGTGGGTAGAAACAGAAAAGAAGAAGAAGAAGGATACGAAAAGTAAACCAGAATGGTCCCATTGCAGAACCCTGTACAGCAAATCTGCCACGAGAGGATTGTGGCAGATAACAATTCGAATGGGATGATGGTATATCGTCGTATGCAGCGTCATCTAGTCTTTTAAACCTGACCGACGGCACGTGTGCCAAAGACATCGGTTTCAGAAGGAAGAGGACTATCATGGTACATTTTCATGTTCTTCGAGTTGGAACGGTCGAAGGGGGGAGGGGGGCGCTTGCCATTGGCATTGGTCATGCCGCCCATGTGGGTGTCGGTGAAGCTGTGCTGAGGGTGGGAGCCCCAGTGCGGCGCATTGCCCATTGGTGCATCTTCGCCGTCGGCATCAGCATCGGCGTCAGCGTCAGCATCAGCATCGGCGTCGGCATCAGCGTCAGCATCTTCGTCGTCGTCAATGTGGTGAGTGCTCAATTGACGAGAAGTGGTATGACCGTTCTGGAGAGAGTTCTGGTTCGCTCTTATATCGTAGGGAGAAGTCGTAGGTAGCTGAGCGGGCGTGGGTTGCAGGTTCCTGGAGGAGGCGGCGGTTGCGTTGGCAGATGGAGTCGAGATGGCAGCCTGCTCATTCGGCGAGGGCTGGAGACTGACGCCAGCGCCGCCAGCTTTACCGGCCTTGACAGCACCTCTCCATCTGCCAATCATGCGGTCGTAGTCCCAGTCACGAGATTGGTCCTTGGTCAACATGTCGGAAACGATGGCAGGGTCGAGGGGCAGCGAGACGGGAGGCTGCAGCATGAACTCGCGGGGCAATTGTAGGTTGCTCATGCGGGCAAACTGTTCCTTGAGCTGGGCGATCTCTTGTTGTGCTTTGGCCAATTCTTCGTCCTTCTCTTTTGATTGCTGATTAGCACGAGCGAATGCACGCAAGATCTCAATCTCCCAAGTAGAGCTCTTGTCCTTGTCCGAGAGTGGAGACCAATTGTTCCAGGCGGCCTGTAGATGCATCTGTAGCCTGCGGACGTCTTTCTCGGGAACGGATGTAGGCATCTGTTGAACACGTTGTGTGATCTGGCGTTGGAGGGCGTCAAGCTGGGCATCGGAGGGAACGTCGAGGGACCACGATTCGCTGCTCGCAAACGGAGTCATGGAGAAGAGGGTCTGTGGAGCGGGAAGGGCATGGAGGCACAAGGATGGGAAGTTCATGGAGCAGAAGTCGAAGTTGAAGACATCTTGGTGCGACACTCTGCGTCTGGAAGTAGGCGTGTCAGCACATGGAGGAAAAAGCGAAAAGGGACAAAAAGAGTACCTGGCAGCCTCGAGACTGTCGAGAAGTTCACGCAGGGCCAATTCGGCGGCTTTTGCATCATCTTGAGAATCTTGGTCTTTGGCGTGCGAGGAGCGCTGCAGGTGGGCGACGTTGGGACGGTTGGACGAAGAAAGATCCGAGATGCGTGGAGGCAGGTTGTTGATGACGCCGGTGCCTTGCCAGGAAGCAGTGTTGAGGCCGAAACGGGGGTCGCGCAGGTTGACGGGGCTGACGCCCATGGCGCTCGAGGCGCCGCCAGCTGTGTCTTGAGATGAAATGGTCATACGGCGACCCCACTGGCCCGTCGGGGTGCCGCGGTCGCTGGCTCCATCGTCGTCGTGCTGGAGCCTGCTGTTGTTGTTGGCGCTGGCCCTCAGGCTGTTTCGCGGTTGGCGTCTCGTGATGCCGCCTCGCATGACCTTGATTTTTTCGACGTCGTGGATGCCATCTGCCGGCTTGGGGTTCTGTAGCCATCAAAGTCAGCATGGCAGGCAATTGGAGCAGGGAGGAGACTTGCAAGACGAGAGGACTTACCTTGGGCTTGATGTAGAGATCCAGATGGCGGCCGAGGGATGAAGAGGTGAAGGCCTGGTTGCAGAATGGGCAGTTGCGGTCCTTGGGAGCCTTAGTCGACGAGTCCAAACTGTTGTCGAGGTCATTCTGGCTGCCGTTGACGGATTGCGAGTGCGATGCAGAGTCCTGTGGGCCCATGCCAGGCCCTGTCACGGTGCCTGTGGCCGACGATGAGGGAGTCGACACCGTGGCCGGCGTCTGAGACGACGCTTCTGCCATGCTGCTTTTTTCTGCTCACTCGTAAGGAGGGTCGAGTCGGTCGTGCTATCCGAAAGCTGTCATTCGCCTTTTTAGATGTCTTCGAGCATTTTGCTATCCTTAGAGTTTCCTCAATGTTTCCATGCCACACCCCAAGCGACGTGACAGAGTGCAAGAGGTCGAGGAACAGTAAACTTAATAGCTGCTGCCAAGATGCTTGCCGAAGAAGGAACGCCTGCGCTTCTTGCCGATGCCTCGACCACTTCCAAGTCGCTTTCCTCACTACCACCACGTGCCATTTGCTTTTCTTCTGCATGCTTTTCTATCGCCATCGCCATCGCCATCGCCTTTAATTCTGTTATTCTTTCTATATCTAACCATCCCCCGTCACCAGCTGTGTTTGCTTGGGGTTTCAATTGCTCCATCCCGTCCGTTGAGGCTTCCCGATTACGGGCAACCATTACATGCACACACCTGAAAGGGAAACCGTTCCTCCACAAAATCTACCGACAAAATATTGCGAGATACACGACTTTTGTAAATTCCCCTACATCTTGAGCCATCTTGTCTCAGGTCTGTCTACCAGTACTCGACCAATCCTCATGTTTAGCCGTGGATAGCCTCATAGACATACTCTGAGATTGCCAGCACCTTCTCCTCTTCCAATCTCCTACATACCACTTGAAGCGATACATGAGCTCCGTCGTAGATTTCTGCGTCGTCTACTCGGAGTTAGCAAGGGAAAGATGAACCGAACATTGGTATCAACTTACAAGTAGCCTGTGTCTTCTCATCCACGTCCGACACCGGCTTGAAGTCAGCATATGCCTTGTCCACAGTCTTGTCAACCTTTGTGACTGGGACAATCGCAGAGCTGTAGTCAAGCACATTGACCCACACCGAATAGCTGTATGAGGTGTACTTGTTTGGACGAGCTGCGGTAAAAGGTGCCAGTGGGGAAATGATAGCATCGACTGGACGCCCGGTGCCAGTCGATTCGCTCGTTGAGTTCCAGTACTCCATGTACTCCTTCTCGGCGTCCCGCTTGTTTACTTGATTACGCATGATGTCGGTCGCATTGGCTTCGGGGGCCCGCTCAAACATGATGTTAGGCTTGGGTTCCTCTCCACTGAGGGCAAAGGCTCTCGCAGCATCTGCATTACCATCATAATTCCACGACTTGCCACAGATTTCCTCGAGCTTACCGTGGCTAGGGGGCTGCCACTCAATGACCTTGTGTCCCAGAGCCTCAAGCTTTTGGACCGTCTCCTCAAGTGCTCTCTTGATCGGAGGGTGTGGGGCACAATTGCCATCATGCTTGAGAACCGCGAATGTCAATTTCTTCTCGCTTGCAAGCTTTCTAGCCGTCTCCTCTTGCTCGTATCTCCAGGGCAGAGGGTGCACGCGAGGATCGTGTTTCCATGGTTCAGTCCGTAGGATAGATTTCACGGCTAGCTTGAGGCCAGCAGATGAAGACGATAAGGGCCCAACAACGCTGAGAATGCTCGGAGCTCCATCAAACGAGTTGGCCATTCCTTCATATGGCAACCTGCCGCTACTGGGTCTCAAACCGAAAAGGCCATTGAACGCGGCAGGAATTCTGATGCTTCCGCCAATGTCAGTTCCCCAACCAAGAGGACTGCCTTTGAGCGAAATGAGAGCACCTTCGCCGCCAGAGCTACCACCAGCACTGAGATTTCTGTTCGTAGGGTTCCAGCAGTAGTCAATGATGTTGTTAGTCGTCTCTCCACACATCAATGTGTGTGGCACTGCCGTTTTGACGTAGAGCACGGCGCCCAGACTGCGTAGTTCCTTGACCATAAGAGACTCGTACACCTTCTCTTTGCCGGTTCCCTTCTCGCCTTGGAAGGTACCGATCCAGCCAACGTAGCCCATGTGAGTTTCGACTCCTTTAACATGGAACTGGTCTTTCAGCGATACGGGCAAACCGTGAAGAGGCCCCACTGGCTTTTTGTGGTTTGTAAAGTAGTGGTCAAGTTGCTGGGCCGATTCAATTGCAGCATCGTAGAAGATTTCGTGGAGGCAGTTCACCTGACAGTGGTTCAGCATTGCTAATGTTCAAGCATGGATCTAGCTTTCAAAACTCACCAATTGATGAGCCACAGCACTTCGGTGACAGAAAGCTTTTGTGACTTCGACAGCGGTCCATTCACCAGTACTGGTCTTCTTGACAATCTCAACAGCTTCTGTCTCAGTGATCTCGATTTCCTTGGGGTCTAGGTACTGTTGAATGAACGTGCCAGTGACATTTCTTTGCTCTTCTACAGGAGGCGGCGCAGGAATTCGCCATTCCTCGGGTATCAGTGAAAGCACCGAATCACGCTTTTGAGCAGCAATCTGCTTCCAATTGGGTGCCATGAATGTTGAGTGGTCAGGAGGAGAGATACGATATGAGCAGATGTTGAGGAAGTGAATTCAATCTGATGCTGTTTACGTAGAAACTCAACTTGGCCGAGCCTAGGAGCAGACAACATATTTGCCTTCTTTCTTCTGATGATGCTTAGCAACATCTCCGAGAGTCGGCGGAGGGGCGGGCGCCCGCCTATCTACCTTCCAACTGCGGGGCTGATTGGCATGAACCTTGCAAAACGCTATCAGATAGTTGCTTCACCTCCATATCGTTGGCGACGTCTATCGTCTATAGATCATGACACTCTGATTAACCTGGGTTTCGATGCGGATCGGTACAACATCAAAGAGAGAGCTTGTCTTGTGTCAACAGATCAGGGTGAGGTTACGATTCAGGAGACCGTTCGCGAATTTGTCCCTCTGATGACGTACCACCCATGGATGGGTGAAGACGCTTTCCTCCATGCACAAAGGGTTCCGTCAAGTAACGCGATATGATACGGACAAGTCGCAACGATTTATGCTCCTATTGAAGAGCTACTGTTCAAGTATGCCAGTGATCAGTACCGACTTTGAGATCGTTGTGACTTGACGCGGTCGATAGCGCGTGCCCAATCTTATGCGTGAAGTGAACCCTCTACTTTACCTTAAGATGTCTTCGTTATACTTCTGTACGAACACCCATCACCGAGCCAGCGCTTGGTGGTGGCTTTTATGTGCTTGCCGTCGCTAGTCTGTCAGACTCCAGACCTAATGTGAGCCAGCAACGTGAATTCCCTTTTCCCATCCTCTTGACGCCCAACACCGACTTCTAAACATTCCTGAAGCAAGCATAGCAACGTGGCCATGAGGGTCTGGACTCAAACAATCCAATGACCTTCGTCGAATCAGTCTCTTCGCAGTTCGCGACGCGCTGCTTGTTTGCTGTTCTTCCGATTAACGAGCTACCTGCGCTCGCCACATGCACAGCCACTGCATCGAAGGCCGTGTCTCTCATAGGTCAGTCTGTCGCTTGGGAAGCGCATAATCGAACATGTCTACAAGCGACGGTGCCATAAAGTCACACCCGGCTGCAGCAGGGCGCGTTACCTCTCGCTCGACCGACCATTCATAGTGTGTCAGGACTTGGCTCACTGCAGCGGATGTACAAGACATCTAGTCCGCGAGCCCAAAGCTACTGACAAGCATTCGCAGAACGACCAACCTGCACATTCAGCATAACTACCCAAAGCTATCTCATCACACTGTCCGGGAGAATATCGTCCGATCATCCAAGGGCAATTCGGTCTATTATTTGTAAGGGCTTCAAAGCGCATCGCTTTGTCCAAGATTTCGAAAACCCGTCGTGTCTTTGTTCTTCGAGGACCTCATTTATCTTCAGCACACCGCTACATAAACCACCAGCCCCCTCATTTTCAAACTCACGACCACTTATCATCATCATAATACGGACTCTCCCAAACCAAAAACCTTTCCATCTTCCCAACATCGCTTGCTGGTCAAGCCATTTATCTCACAAATTACGTCATTCGCATTCGCATAGCATATCCGACTCATACACACCTAGAACATGGCAATCGGTCAAACGGTGACGGTGGTCAATAAGTCTGGCAAGGTTGTCAGTACTGGCAAACACGTCGTCAAGGTTTTCAAAGAGGCCAAGTCAGCATACAGAGAACGCAAGGCCGAGATTAAAGCCGTGCGCGATGCAGACATCGAACAAAAGCGTCTTCAGAAAACACTAGAAAAATTTACGCTAGAAGACGATCGTGCCTCACAATCTTCTCGCCGTTCTCACACGTCAAGCAGAAGCAAGAGATTGAATCGCGATCGACCACCCGTGGAACGTGGATACTCGGACAGCTTCTACGCTAATGATAAAACATCAACTCCGAGAAGCCGTCAGCAGTCGGGACTTCGCAATGAATTTGATCCTGATGGAGAGAGACAACACAACGAACTGGTCCGGAGGCACACCACCGACATGGGTCAGGAAGTTCAACGACCAAGGACATCACGCTCAGTATCAGAAGCAGACATCGACATGGACCTCGCTTATGGCGAATTACCACCACCTCTGCCGGAACGACCACGAGACAACGAGATCGAATTACGGGAGAAGATGACAAAATTGCAGCAGCTGCTAGACGAGGCAAATTGCGTCCAGCACTCTGTCATCGCCACCATCGAGAACCTCCAAAAGAATCCTGACGCTTTGGCTGCTGTAGCGCTCACCCTTGGTGAAATCAGTACCATTGCAGGCAAAATGGCTCCTGGTGTGTTGACGTCGATGAAGACCGCATTCCCAGCCATCATTGCACTACTCGCCTCACCACAATTCATGATTGCTGCCGGCGTAGGTGTCGGCGTCACAATAATCGCATTCGGCGGCTACAAAATCATCAAGAAGATTCAAAAGCACAAAGAAGATGCTGCCGAGCTCAAAAACGGAGGCCAACGTCGCATCGAGGACAACGAATCTGTATCCGAATACGACGAATTATACGAACTCGATGGAGATCTCGACCACATAGAAGTCTGGCGCCGTGGTATCGCTGACGCCGAAGCCCAAAGTCTTGGTACCAGTGTCGACGGCGAATTCATCACCCCGGATGCTGGTAGGCAACTCGTCTCTGAAGGTGTGATTCGACAAGAAGATCTCAAGTCCATGCGCTCGAGCAAGTCTCACAAGACTACAAAGTCAAAGAAGAGCAAAAAGGATGCCAAGAGTGAGAAGGAGTCCACTGTTGGTAGCTCCAAGGACAAAGAGAAGCGTAAGAAGAAAGAACCGAGTGGGTTGAGGATGCTGTTCAAGACACGCGCGTGATATTGGTGACTTGGTTTCTGTTTTTCTGCCATACAATTTGCTCTTTTGCTCTTGTTGATTACCAGTATTAAAGCAGATACGAGTTATGTTGTCTTGCTAATTGTCCATGTATGTTTTGTCCTGTCCTACAGCGTATTTAGCGGCATTTTCATTGTCCTCTCCATCATCACTCACCGAATACAGCGCTAGTTCTTGTCTTGTCTTTCGAAGTACAAAACTGCTTTATTGCCACCTTCCTTATTGTGATATAAAAACAAAATTGATATACTTGAGACTAGGGTTGTAGAGATATTCATGATGAGGTCAAACAAGCCTTTTCTCGAGTCTCGAGAATCGGTTTGCTTCCACGGCATCAAAAACATGGTGTTTGTCCAGGCATGTCTGCCCATGATGCATAAACATATGTCCTGCAGCAAGATCTGTCTTCACTCGTCCCAGATGTTGTCTACAGCAGCCTCCCTATATGCCGAATACTCTCCCACCCTCTCCTCCAATGATCAAAGCAGGATAAAGATGAGCTGTAGAAAGGCACAGTCATATCTCGGATCGATGAGCCTAGCGCAGGGAGTCGTTGACACGAGACATCTCGACGACATCGCTTCAGCTAAATGAATTACCGTGCCTTCAGTCAGCTATAAGTGTGACAGTAAGTTGCACGCGGGGAGGAGGGTCCTCCGATGTCAAGTATCGCCTGTAATCAGACGCAGAGCAGCGAAGTACTACGTCCATAGGACTAAACACACGAAGATATGTTACCACAAGCGATTCTGATTCACATTCAACAGATGATCAAGCGATAGAAGCATTATTTGTAAAGTGTTTTTAGTATTGAGTGGCTCCAGATTTCTTTTTATCTAGGAGTGATCCCTTTGTGTGACGGGAAAATAAAAAAGCAAGCTTACGCGTACAGTTTTTTGCGCAGCGCTGGTATTATTGAAAGCGCAAAAGAAAGAGCAAAAACGTGAATGAACACCCCCCAAAAAAGAGAACCAAAAGTATGCACAAATTTCATCAACTCATCGAAGAGGCGGTGAGATGCCGCCTAGGAGGAAGCGGAAGGAGTGGCTTAGATCTGGGGACCGGCCTTGATGACATCCTCGGTGGCTTCGCTCGAGTACTTCTCGAAGTTGTCGTTGAAGAGCTTGCCGAGCTTCTTGACCTCTCCCTGGAAGTCTGCGGTACCGGTCCAGCACTTGGCCGGGTTGAGGACCTCGTCGGGAACATTGCTGCAGGTCTTGGGGACTTGCAGGTTGAAGGTTTGGTAAGTCTCGTACTCGTTGTTGGCAAGCTCGCCACTGTGAATGGCGTCGAGGATGGCGCGAGTGTACTTGAGAGGGCAACGCTTGCCGCCAGTGGTGGCACCGGCACCGACCCAACCGGTGTTGAGGAGCCATGCGTTGGCCTTGTGCTCCTTGATCTTCTCGGCGAGCATGGTAGCGTAGCGCATGGGGTGAAGAGCCAAGAAGGGCTGAGCGAAACAAGATGAAAAGGTAGCCTGGGGCTCGGTGACACCCTGCTCAGTACCGGCCATCTTGGAGGTGTAACCGGAGATGAAGTGGAACATGGTCTGCTCGGGGGTGAGCTTGGAGATGGGAGGAAGGACACCACGAGCATCGCAAGTAAGCAGGATAATGTTGGTGGGGTGACCAGACGAGATGCAAGGAATCTTGGTGTTCTCGATGTACTCAATGGGGTAGGCGCAGCGAGTGTTCTCAGTAAGAGTGGAGTCCTCGTAGTCGACCTCTCTGGTGGTGGGATCGAAGACGACGTTCTCGAGGATGGAACCGAACTTGATGGCGTTGAAGATATCGGGCTCCTTCTCAGCGGAAAGACCAATAGTCTTGGCGTAGCAACCACCCTCAATGTTGAAGACGCCCTTGTCGGACCAGCAGTGCTCGTCGTCGCCGATCAAGGCACGCTTGGGGTCGGCAGAGAGAGTGGTCTTGCCAGTACCGGAGAGACCGAAGAAGACAGTGACATCGCCGTTCTTGCCCTCGTTGGCAGACGAGTGAAGAGTGAGGACGTTGTGCTTGACGGGCATCTCGTAGAAGAGAACGGTGAATACACCTAAGTAGTAAAGTTAGCAAAAGTATAGATGTGCATGTCTAGAAGGATCGCTCGCCTTTTTTCATCTCACCAGCATACTCGGTACCAAGGATGACCATCTCCTTCTCGGCGAAGTTGATGGCGACCGAGGTGGCTGAGGTCATACCAGTGGTGAATCTGTTGGCAGGGAAAGCACCAGCATTGTAGATGACATAGTCGGGGTGGAAGGTCTTCAGCTCCTCTCTCGAAGGGCGGATAAGCATGTTGCGCATGAACAGAGCGTGGTATGCACGAGCACAGACGACTCTGACTCTGATTCTGTAGCGCTCATCCCAGCCGGCGTAACCATCGATAACGTAGATGCGGTTTCTGGTGTTGAGGTAGTCGACTGCACGTTCTCTGTTAATCTTCCAGACCTGTATTTACAAAAGTGGTTAGCAACAGATTATTTGACTTGCATGTGATGGAGTAGAAGGGGTGATCGCCAGAGCCGCGGACAAGCGCGAGCAGCCGATCGGGATGCCGAAGCGTCGCTGTGGACTCCCGAGCCGCTGCGCTTGCCCGAAACATAAAGTGGGGTAGAGCTGACGTAGCGACCCGAGCCCCGCAGTGGAGGCTCCGCTGTGCGAAAACAATTCGGGCCACCCAGCAACCAAATGTTTGTCATGGACGAGATCGGGAAGGATGGGAAAAAAAGTACTGACATCAGGGCTCATCTCCTTGTTGACAGGTCCCCACCAGATCTCTTTCTCTGAGCTAGGCTCACGGACGATACGCTTGTCTGAAGGCGAGCGACCAGTCTTTGCTCCTGAGTAGGCGGAAAGGGCTCCAGATGAAGTGATGGCTGAACCGGTTTCGTAGACGAGGGCATCCTCGTAGAGGGCTGCAACGGAGGGGTTTGCAACCTAGCAAAGGATTAGCTACTGAGCGTACAGGTGTGGTATGATCTTTAAAGTGACTTACAATGGCGACACGGTCGTAGTCAATGTGTGCCTTCTCGTGGAGCTCCTCCTCGATCTCGGTGTGTTCACGCTGAGGTCTGAACATGTTGTTAGTATGGTGTTGATGGAAGAGCATGTAATTGGCAAGCTCAAGCAATAGTAGAGAATGAACTCACTGTACACCACCGGGGTGAAGGGCAGTCTTGTTGACGCTGGAAACCATTTTGAGTGAAGTAGAATGAAAGTTTCCCTTTTGTTGTTTGGCAATCTGTTGCCTGATAAAGTCTTGTTCAAGGGGAGGAGTAGGAGAGTATGGTCGGACAGATTCAGGACTGGACGACGAGGTCATATTTGTACTCGAACTGAGCCTTTCCTCGGATCAGCTCCTGCGCTACTTCTTCACAGAGCTCCTACGATTTCCCCACAACCCTCGCTACTCCGACGGATCTGCCGAGGCCTTTTTGACGCTACTTTCTTCCTAGGGAGAGCATGGGCTTACGGAATAGTATGGGTAGCGTCCAATGGACCGTTTGTAATTGGATGGTACCGTTTCGCGGAGACTAAATGCGATAATGGGCCGGAAGGTCGTAGGCTTCGGGGGACTTCGGCGGGCAAACACGGATGATGCAAGCTTGTTTGATATCTCTTGTTCGGAGCAATTCAGCACGAGTCAATCAATTGCTTTGGTTTCTCGTTCAAGATCGAGTCAATGCTTGAAGTCGTGTATTAATAACCGCAACAAGGACGCTCCTGAGCGGTTCAAGGGAAGAAGTCGGGTGTGTTAAGTAATAGCGATGGATGCTGCGTCATGAAACTGTCTAGATCCTCGATGCAAACCCATTGTAATTTGCGGGGTGCAAGCCTGAGAAATATATGGTTACCTTTTGTCTCTTGTTCTGCGATCTGACGACAGACAATCGTCAGACTCCCCCTCACCTTCATGCATTCTCACGAGTTGACGTACTTATTGAGCACAAAGTAGCACACCACCACCATGTATCTTCTACATGAACCAGGACAATCTGCTGCTTTGTAGACGAAGACGACGAACGGGTTTGACCTTTGCCGAGCTCCCCAAATTATTTCCCCATGTTATCTTTCCCCATGCTGCCCCTTGCGCCTTCCGCGATTTGTTCCCGTCCGCGTGATACAGAGACCACCTCCTTTGGCATTGGTAATTCCGCTTCTCTAGTCTCGGCCGGGAGACAAAGCTTCTTGCAAATAGCCATCACACGCACGACTTTCTACTCCCATGAGACGCCTCGGGCTTCCTGCCGCGAGGCAATGCCTTCGGGAACAGCAACCGGTCGGGATAATGCGGAGCTGGGGTGCGTTCCAGCCCCCACGATATCTACGAGTATGAGGCGCTGGGTCTTTCCTTTTTCGTTGTCCTCTTTCATAGATTGGTATATTGTCACGAAGCACAGCTGTCGGGTTGCACGATTACTGCCACATTCAGAGTCGTGTCTTACTAGATTGTGGTTGATGACGGCCATCCCGTGGCACAACACTGTTATCTGGGTATGCGTTGTGCATCACGACATGGTCGTAGCAGGGCGTTAGAAACGATAGTAATGATGGTCACCCCTTCTGATCGTTCGCTAATCGACGACTCGTGGATTACAGAAACGAGAAGAAGAATGGCTACTTGGCAAACTTGAACAGAACACTACGATTCGACGACTAATACGGCTGACATTTTATTACGGTAAGATATCAAACGAGCATCGAACATCTGTCGGCACGCTTGCACACAGGATCACCCCCATGACATTATGTGAGATTCGTGTAACATGAATCATTAGGGAGCGAAGCTGTTTCCTGAGGGATCTACCATATCCTCTTTGCGGCCATCGTGTACCTGTCGACCCCATCAAGTTTCAATTCTCCTTTGGCCTTCTCTTTTCCCTTGGCCTCACGCTCTCTCAAGTTTCTCAAGCCATCAGGATCATCCTCGTAGATCCACCTACGTTTGTCTTCATCCACCTCTACAGCTCCCCAACCGCCAACTCTGCGGCCCTGAGTGTCGAAACTCTGCATTTTGTGTTCCTGCATCTTCATCTTTCGATAACGTGTTCGAGCAAAGCTGAGTAAGAGCATACCAAGTAACAGCTTTAGAGCAAGCAGGATGAGGTAGATGATCAGGAAGAAGACGAGCATGGTGCCTAGAGCTATCGCGTCGTCAAGTGTCCAAAACCGCCATGAACTCAAGCCGGTCACAGCATCGGCGCCTGCCCCAAATGAGGATCTTCCGAGAGCTCTTCTGAATATCTGATCAATGTGTGCAAGCGCAGCTGTGGTGGACGGCGAGGACTCGCCAGATGCAGACTCTAGTGCAATTGCTGTGGCGGTTGATGGCATTGGCAACGGCATGTGCGTAGCTATAAGCATATGGTATGTCTGCACGGAGGCGCGAATGAAGAGACAAGAAAGGGGGAGCACGGGGAGACCAAGTCGCTTGGTCAAGTTCTGATCCGCAAAAGCATGTGAATAGTAGTCTTTGGTCAGGACGTCCAAGAAACGACCATAGAGACTCGGCTTGATGTTGTTGAACTTCGAGATGTAGGCATGCTTGACCCAATCAACAATCATCTCACTGCCAATTACAGTCACGAATGGCCCGAATATCTGACCGAATCCCGATGGGAACATGTTGAATGCTTGAGGAAGGATACTCGTGCTCTGAAGGGCTGATGCTGTCGAGTTTGAGTTGAATGTTGTCGTCGAACCACTTCTGGACCCAGAGCCCATGTTCAGACCGCCAACCTCGACAACGTTACGCAGAGCGATGATTAGCAGCATGAGCCAAAGTTGAAACCTCTCAACCACATCTGCGCAGGTCAGCTGGAAAAGGTTCTCTTTCTCGAACTTCTTGAAGACAGTTCCCTTAATCTCAACGAATTGGTTGGACATGAGAAGTGTGAGCAAGGCATTCGAGTAAGAATTGACAGCAACGTTGAGCGCAATGACTTGGTAGAAGAGCATGGCTGCATGAGCAACGTTGTAGACTAGGGCAAGGATGAACATGCCTAGAGGAAGCAGAATCTTACTGCGGCCGTTGGGCTTACGCTCAAGAGTTTCCTTTGAGAACAGGCATTCAATGATGTCCTGACCTATAGCCGAGAGGAGACGATCAAAGACCTCAAGGACGTTGTAGATGACATAGAGCTTGATAGCAGCTTGGCCACGAATCTTGTGATACATACGACTTGCATCGAATTGAACGAGAATCATACAGCTAATGATGATCAACAGTCCATGAAGAATGTCAGCTTTATGATTTGGAAGCAGAGCAGAGGGCGTGGACTTTGATCGTCTATGACGGTATAATGGGTTGGGTATTCGGAGCTTCGATGGAAGATGTTGGAATCTCGTCGAGGTATTGTCGTTTTGGCCATCCAGCAGTGGCGAAGGGGCCGTAGGAGCAGGAGCAGAGGTAGGATCGATTATGGGCGAGCTGAAAGAGTTTCTGCGGGAGGGATTGGCAGATGGTGGCTGCTTTCTGCGATGCCAGACACGTCCTAAGCCAGTATATATGAAGGAACCAATATCTTTGAATTCCTTAACAAGACTCTGAGCCCACCACTTCAGTAAGATGGCTACAGCCTTCAAAAACCTCAGCGGGAGGATGGTAAAGGTATACAACCAGGCGTCCAGACAGGCCAAGGCACCAAAGACCAGCGTCTGTTCAAGCTGAGGCGGCAAAGTCAGGAAGTTGTAGAGACGCTCAAACTTTGCTTTGGAAGACTCGTATGGGAAGTCGCTGCTCGCTGAGCGATGTATATAAAGGGCCGAGGGACGCTCGGAGGAAAGCTCGAGCTGGAGGTAGGTAGGCAGGGAAAGAGGCGGAACAGGGAAGGAGGTAGGCATCGGAGAGGGGAAAGAGTCCGGTATGGGCGAGGGTCTGAGAGTTTCATGGCCATCTTGGTAGTCGGAAGCTTTGAGATTCAGCGTGGGACGTTTGGGCCTTGAAGCGTCCCTGTTCTCGGAGGGGATCCTTGGTGTCTGAGCGGAGGAAGGCTTGCGCTTGATGACGGGAGTAGAGTTCGAGCGGCCACTCGCGGCGGGTCTTGAAGCAGTTAACGGCGGTCGGCCATTCTGTGCAGGCAGACTCGTAGGCTCTAGCGATGTGGTCGTGTCCCGCGCAGAGATGCCTAGACCGCTCCCTTTCGCAGCAGCATCGTCGAACAAAGGCGGGATCTCGTCAGCCGATGAGACAGAGACAGCTCGTAGTGGTAGAGAGTCGGGCGACGAGATCAGATCCTGCATCTGGGCTGGTGACAATTTGAGAGCGGGAGATGGTGAGAGCGACTTTCCATTGTTGCTCTGTGTCTTGAGTAGGGGCGATACTACGGCGGTCGGCGTAGCTGCTGAATCGGCCGTCTCCTCAGATGGGCTCTCAAGGTATGGACTCGTCAAGTCGGCAGAGTCATTGAGTTCGGTGGTGTACGAGCTTGTGCCATGTTCGGTAATGGGAGACAGGGCTGGCGTGGGAAGTTGGTGCTGCGTCGCGCTTGCCTCGCTGCCATCAGGCGTGCTCTCTTTCATCGTGTCCGCCTTTATTGCATAGCTCTTTCGTGATTTCTCATAGTGATCCAGCCATCGACATGTGTGTGACTTGAAAAGTCAATGATCGCCGAGGCACGATGACAATAACGCGTGTCTGTGCCTGCCTGCGGATTTAAGCTCAAAAGCCGTATACCAATACCATCATATCTGGTGAGACTCGCTCTGGACTTCCCTAACTACCAGACAAACCTACCCAAATTTGCGCAACCATGTCTGGCTACGAAGGTTTGCACTTTCATCATGCCTGCAATTGTATATCCGAACTCACCATCTCTAGTCGAACACAACATCAAAGAGGAGAAGAAGAACGAGGCACCGCCCCGCCGTCCCGATCTATCCACCTTCTTCACCACTCTCGACCTCGTTGATACCAGCGGAGACCGTCACCCTCAGAATGCCCATTCTTTACCGCTGCCCGGCGACGTCTCGGCAGCTTTCCGCAGTCTCGCAAATGCCTTCTCCATGATGCAGGGCGGTGGCCATGGCCAATCGCAAGACAACACTGATCAGCTGCTGAGCCGTATGGTCGAAGAGTTGATGCAAGAGTCGGAGAATCCTCCACGAGAGGTCAAGGGTGTCTCGGACGAATTCCTCGCACAGTTGGACAGAGTGCCAAAGTCGAGCTTGAAGGACAAGGACTGTCCCATCTGCGGCAACCCTTTCCTTGAAGGTGAGCTCGCCGCCCATGACGAGCCTCGCTATCGCATCCGCTAACACAGAGCACTAGACTCACACCCACTCGTCGTCCAACTCCCTTGCCACAAAGACCACATCTTCGACCTAGAGTGCATCTCCCCTTGGCTCAAGCTCAATCCCACTTGCCCCCTCGACAGAAAAGAGTTGGTCAAGAAGAGAGCCCCTACACCGCCCCCTGACGAGGAAGACGGGGAATACGACGACATGTATGCATGATTACACACGTGCGCATGGTTTGGGACATGCGCCTGCCTCTGGCGAATGGGCACCTATGATAATTGCAATATACCCTTCGAGTTTGAACATAAAAGACAGCGGCTTCTACCTCTACAGATACTTGCTTCTTAGTGCCTGGCTAATGGAACTCATCCTGCTTGTAGTGGACCCATGTTGTATGTGGCTCATGAAGGCTTCTTCTATCGCCGACTGAGATATACTAGCATCTGGCCTTCAATTAGCATTCGGGCTCCGTCGTAATTGCGAGCCATCGTCTTACCGTCTAGATCGCTGAACGAGCTTCCCATACTAGGTGTACCCTCGCTGCCCTCCTTACGGACCCTTGGACTGAGTTTGGAAAGTTCTTCGCGCTGCCTGGGACTTAACGCACTGGCTGGCGATGCATGAGCATGGCCTCCTTTGGCCACTTCCCTTTGCTTGCCCGTGCTTGTGTTAGTACAAGTGGGCGCCGCAGAGCTTGCTGAAGATGCTGAAGAGTCGGGAGCAACTGTCCTCTGCTCAAACGCACGTTTGACTGGTGACTTGAGTGTCGCGGCCGGATCAGCACTCCCGGTAGCAGTAGTAGCGAATGGCAAGAAGCCACCAGATGATTCGCCGTCGTCATCTTCGTCATCATCTTCATAGCCATACTTGCTTCTCTTGTCGTAATTCGCTGGACGCCGAAAGGCTTGACTGCGTGCCATGCTCTGACTTTCCCCATCAGAAGAAGAGTCCGAATCCGACTCCTGAAGTGGATCAGAGTCTGGTTCTGATATCTCACGTTGAGGTGAAACCGGCTTCCTGTGGTTGCCGAATGCTGTGTTGAAGGCCCTGCTATTTGGCTGTGACGGGCTCGCAGGTGGTCCAGTACGACTCTGGGTCAACGTCCTTGTAGAGGGGGTGCGCGAGAGACCTTCGCTCTTCGATGATTGGTTAGCCGTTGACAGATTGGGTAGCACAGCTGGCTGGCGAAACACTCCAGAGCCTCCAGAACCCATCGTTGGGGTTGGACTATCCCGCATGCGTGTTGATAGAGCAGAGGGTGCTCTAGGTCCTTCATCTCGATCAGCTTCTGATTATGTTGACACCGTACTGATTTAGTGTTACCCTGACTACCAACTTGAAACGCGGCCGCACCGCTGTTTGCAGCGAAGTTTCCTGTAGAGTCCGGTGGGAGTGGTGATGGGCAAGCAGACGGACTAAGCTTCTTCATCTGTGCTTTCATCTGTGCGAAGTGACGTTCATATAGCCATGCTGCTTGCTGAAGTAAGAAAGCAAGAGAGACCTCGTATCGTGTGGACCTGTATTCCAGTCAGAAAGCGCAGATGGTTGCAGTGTAATAAGGTACCAACAAATCTTCCCCTGTCGATTGTCAGCGTGATGGTCACTATATGCATCGTAATTGGTACGTACAGTCCAGCTCTTTGCTATTGGAGGCTTTAGAGATGATCTTCCATAGCGCACGATCTTTTGTAGAATTCCAATCAACCTATATGTGGTTAAAATTCAACAATATGTGTAGCCGATATATTCTTACCTGTGGTGGATCTACAAAGTCGCCTCTAGGAAACGGCAGCCGGATGAAGCAGGTATAGTGCACGGATGAGTCTGCTGGAGCCGACTTATGTGCTGGTGACGGTGGGGCGTTGATACCCAAAACATTACCTGAAGCCTGTCCCGTCCGAAGAGAAAGTGATTTTGGATCTTCGATACTCGACATGACATGGATGATGTTGAGTTGATGGGAAGTGGTGGTTATGATGCGTGGTTGAGGTGCACAACATGAACGACCACGTGACAATCAACACCTGATACAATCACAACACACACATCGGAAAGCTATCCATTGATACAACCTTGACTGAGCGAGAGTTGTAACAATTGTCTGTGCCAAATTTCGCCATCCGTCCGGCGCCCGGTGGTCAGCGGACAATGAGGAGATCAGCAGGAGGACCAGGGTAATCCCCTTCACAACATCTTGCCCAGTGCGAAGCACGCACGCGCGATAGAACGCATGCTCTTGCACGGCTTTATGATACAGTTTCAAGATGGGTTATAGATATGCACACGAGAAACTACAGGCAGCGCTAAGGAGCACGAAGACTGAGGGATGAACGCCGATCAAGTTCCGACTTGGAAAAGAGGAGTCTCTCGGCTATCATGCAACAGCTCAGCCCGTGACCATCAGGGTGTTCTGACATGGCGGGGTCTGAGTTGAGCTTGAAAGTATATTAGGATGTCGCTCCAATGCAAACTGGCCGAGGCATTCTCGCTCTATATCTGCTTGCTCCTGCTTGCTCCTGCTTTCCCTTATTCGAAATCTGACACACAGCTCTGGCCTTTGTTCATTTGCGATCCTACAATATGACAATCAACCGTGGAGAATTAGCAGTCTTACCGCAGACAAACTCCCCACTGTTCAAGCTGCCAGGCGAATTGAGGAATTACATATATGACCTTAGCCTTACACCATTCGGCTCTATCGTCAATCCTTGCTGGGACAAGACAATCAGACACGAGCATCAGCAAGTGCCTAGCTTGGGTATTGCCCTACTGAGGACCTGCCGCGCCCTCTATCTGGAATTAGGCAACTCGATATTATTGGAGAAGGGAGACTATGTGTTCACTCGAGTCACATATATTCAAGCCTTCTTTGCTCGTCTGTCTCTAGCACAAGCCAGTTATGTGCGCCACATCACAATCGATCTTAGAGAAGCAGCATCAGGGGATGTTACGTCACAGACGGAACGTAGCATGACCATCGCCAATGAATGGATACACTATTTCTGCTGCACTCAAGGAGCACACATGATGGGCGCCTGGTGCGCAGATCTCTGCACCCTTAAGTCTGACATCCCCCATCTGAGATCACTCTGTATTGATTTGACCACATGGCAACCCAGCCATGCTGGCTCTCGGATGGGCGGCTGGAGGTATCTGCAAAAGCTGCTTCCAGAAACTCAAGGATTGGACTCGTTCACGCTAAAGGGCAAGCGTCTAGACAGTAGCTCTTGGAGCTCACAGCCGGTACCATGGAGCCTGGGCTTGTGGTTCTCGCCCGTCTTTGAGAGGGACGAGTCTGCGCTCGTTGACTTGATCGCACAGACTGTACGCCTGGCCAACGAAGAGGAAGTTCGACTCGTAGAATGGCACACCATGGACTGTGTCACGCTACTCACAGTGCGTGTCGAGAAGGCACGCAAAGTCTGTCCATCTATAAGTTGTGTGATCCCGCTCTTACAAGACGGTATGATGCTGTGGGATGAGTTCCTCGAGTTCAAGAACGAGCAAGTCGAATTCACGAAGAGACGTAAGGCATCGGTGCCTGTCGGTGATACTATCTGGACTGGAGCACCTGTAATTCAAGTATAAGGAGACCAAAATGAATAGTAATCAATTGAACATCGATTGAAACCTCTCAGTCCCAATGTCGTCGTATGATAGGGCGTGCCGGATCCCAAGGCCCATGTATCTCGTTCTTGTATCTTTGTAATCCTATAAGCCACCAGCTGGTGATGCCCATAGCAAGACATGTGAGCATACCACCAAGGATTGCACCAATGACTCCAGCTTTCCAGCCTCCTCCTGTGATGGTGACACAAAGTCCACTTCCCGCGCCGAGGACGATCAGGGCGGTCAAGAGCAGGTGACCCGTCCAAGATGAGTGTCGGACATGTCGTCTGAAAACAGGAAACAAGCCAAAAACCTCGATACTGAAAAGCGTCAGGCTAAACACTTCGTTAGTGTAAGTAAGGCGAGAGGCCAAGACTGTAGACGCCATCAAAGCAGCATTTGTCGAAAGAGAAGCAGGAAATCTAGAGGAGGTCGGTCAGTGAGGAAGTAGTGGTGTAGCTTGGAACAACGTACTTCGATTCGGTGCCAGCACCGTAATCGAACGTGAAGATGTTGATGATCAGAAGCCACGAACTCATGGCCCAAATAGAATCGGGAGATGTCGATAAGGTCAAAGACTTGAGAATTGGGCTCAGACCTAGCAAGGCACAGTAGATCAGAATTGCAGATTTAGCGGTGGCCAATCTTTCCTGGTTGCGAGGCGAAAGTGAAGAAGTCTGGGTCTCGTAAGGTGGGTAATAGCTGTAGCTTGCAGATGTGCCAATGCCATTAGGCTGGCCAATGGTGGACGTGGTGGATACCGAGCTCTCGGTTGCTGAGACCACAGACAGAGGGCGTGGGCTCGAGATACCCAAGCCCAGCTTACCGTTTTCCAATGCGGCGTTAGGGTCTGCAGGACTCAGAGGCCCGTCTTGATGGTCTTGACCATCAACAATGGCTTTAGACGAGGCAGTGGCCTCAGCGAGCGCTGCTCTCTCAGCCTGGGCGGCCTCTTCTTGCGCTACCCAATAATCACGAGCAACCCAACCCAGGACGGTACCAAAAGTAGCCCAGCTAACGACGGACACAGGCGAAACACGCTTTTGGAAGATGCCGACAAAGCAACAAACAAAAATAATGACAGAACCGATGTGTTGTACGATCACAGTCGAGTCTGCGACAAGAGGCCAGAAGTCATATGGCCGTAGGCGCGGATTGCGTTGCAAATGGTCTAGAAATGTCTCCTCGTCCGTGTAGTTGTCGGGATCTGAGAGTCTCAGTATGTGTGCACTGATATATACAGTCTCTCATGCGTCGCATACATGCTTGTTTTACCCAGAGCAGCTTCTTCCATGTCCGAGGTCTTCGTCGACTTGCGCTACGACTGCCATGGTTATCTCTTTTCCTCCTGCCACCGGGGGCGCCATTGTTGTTGCTCGATCGATGTGGCGGGGAGTTTGCAAGGAATGCATCTTCGGGTCTCAAATGGGATGAGGTCGTTCTAGCGATGCCTCGTCTGGATATGCTCGCATCGGAAGCCGACGCGCTGACAGGTGCCTCGAATGGCGGCATGATCGAGGTGAGAGCTCGCAGTCCGGATGCAGGCGATGCTGACGCGTGAGCTTCGGTCATTCCGTTGCCAACGCTGTTGAGCATCAAGCCGCGCACTGTTAATGACGTTAGTCGCGCCCCCACGGCTAGACAGAACCTTTAGCATGATTCTATCGCGCTCATGAATACCTTTGCCAGAACTGTCAAAACCCCGCGAAAATTGTCATAGTACGACTCTCTTGGTGGTCAGATCCAGCTCTAATGTGGTCTCGCAGTCTGCACAACGCTTCCATCGCTCTGGGCGACAGACTCTAGCATAACTCGGCAAGGATGTCCCGTACCAACGGGGCTCCAGGAAAGAAGGATCGCTGTCTATGTTTCAGCATTGACGAACCACTTGACAAGCACAATCATCAGGCCCGGTTCGCTGACTAGCACTCATTGATCATCGACCATTGCAACGCAAGATGAGCCGTCATCTGGTGGCACTTGATGTTCATTCGTGACTTGCAGCTGCACTCTACAGTATACCATAAGATTTGTGCATATCCTTGGCCAGACTGCACCTGAGCTGTTCCGAACGCAATCACACAATGCTTGCTTGCGGGAGTCTCTATGTCTCGGGACTGTCACCAGTGCCGACCCTCTGGAGTACGGTCGTATATTTATTCCAACGGTTAGTGTGTTTCATTGCTTTCTAGAAGCCGCAATTTGGCGAGGATCCATCCACAGCCACGTTGACCTATACTATGTGTCTCAGAGTAACCTTTCCATCAAGGCTTCGCGATTCAATGACATCTTCCCAGCTGTGGCATTGATGGACGCGAACTCTCGGCAGAAACACGATTTCGCTGCTTGTTGGAACGATTGCTTGCCACCGTTGTAGCGGTCCTCTTCGATTCTCCCACAGTGTGTTTACAACAATCATTACCAGTAGTAGCATCTCTATGATAAACTGAAAATCTCAAGCTGCGTTGTAGTTACCCATCATCATGACTCTTCCTAAGCAATTTCATGCATAGTGGCTTGTGGCGTTGAGATTTGAGGCACTACGGAAAGGATATCAAGCTGTCAGCCCTGAGAGCTCGCTCGCGTCACAATTACGGTGATATGAATTCGGCTCATCATCATTGGTGTAGGTAAAGTATGTCAGGCGGTCAAGTCAGGCTGTCTAGAAAAATTGATTTATCCTTGGCCGCCAATCGAAGAGTTCTTGAATTCTGAGAGGCGCGTAGAGTTTTGGTGTGACAGGCGCATTGACGCCGATTCAAAACACTGCCTGACTCGAGCTCTAGGACGAGTCACAAGACACACAGGAGAACAGACAGCGAACCGGTACGAAGGGCACGGGGATTTCTTAGTCGAATTACCAAGCAAGAGCCAGATGGAGATCTTTGATCCCAAGCGGCGAAGACGGTTGTTTTAGCCCTTGCTCGGAGACGTCATACAGTTCTTGCGCTGTGGTTCGCTCGATGGTTTAGTTCTTTACTGATGGTCGCCTTCTCTTTTCTTCCCTATGCTTGTCTGTCAGCCAATTCTGCAGACCGCCAGTCGCTCTTTTTGCAAGTAGTTCAGGCTAAGCTTCCTTCAGCTCATAACAGACAAGCATATAACGAGGTCCGGTGTCCGGGTTATTGCGGAGTTTAAGCTGGGATTCCCGATACAGACCGCTACAACACACTGGTACCTAGACAACTAGTAGAAGGCCTCGGCAGTTGTTTGTTGCAGCACACCTGACGTTGTTCCTTTGCTACCTCTGGAGTACTGCCACTTCCATGCTATCTCTTGCGACACAACCGAAGCTGGATTCACTCGCGCGGTCACGCAACATCAATGGAAGACGAGTTCGCTCGTGAAGTCCTGCGACTAGCCGAAGGCCAAACGGTTGAAGACTTTGAAAAAGACCTAACAAGCCAAGCACGAAGCCTGGACATTAATACCACTCTACCGGAAGACGCCCAAAAAATCAAGAATCCGAATGCGACCTCGAGTCTCACAAGCTCGACACATCCGCGCCGATCTATCTCGACTGGCTCTCAAGCTTCGCATTCTACAGATTTCACCGATGCGTCTCGCATATCGAGAGACTGTCCGCATGCAAGACCTCGACCGACTCGTGGGCGACGCAGCTCTGGCACATCGGTGTCGATCAAAGATTACGACTCAATAGTCAACCATGCTAGATTCGACTTCCGCCGCTCATCGTTCAACTTCGCTACCTCCCCCATCATCTCACCATCGCCCTCCACGTTCTCGCTATCATCTGTGTGGTCACGCTCGCGAGAGTCGTCACCAAAAAGGCACATCATCACTCGAGGCCTGAGCCGACTAAGACTAAGACGAATCGACTCGGGGGACTCAACTCGGGAGAAAGAGTAAGCAGAGGCATTTGGATGATGATGAACAAAGTCTGATCAAGTACGCAGCGATTGCCCCCACTGTCCCCAAAGCGGGTCTCGACACCGCCGTACACTCCACACTTTGTCTTGTGGACACCGCTATTGCGCTCTGGCTCTTCGGAAGATGATCAAAGACTCGCTGAACGAGGAGAGTATTCCACCGACATGCTGCAAGAGGCCGATACCAGGTAGCTTGGTTGCGAGTGTAATGAGCCAGGATGAGCAGGATGCCTTGATGAACATGCTGGTTGCCTGGGATGACGATGCGACTACGACACCACCGATTCACGAAGCTGGAGTGACATCGCATCCGACGTCGTTCGTCAAATCACGATCTCAGTCGAGATCACCAGCGTTAGGTGCTGAACGTCCGCTTCCGGACGAGACGGAAAAGAATCTTGAAAAGGCCATGGAAATACCCAGCTTCAGAGACCTAAGACAACAACAGGAACGCCAAAGAGATGATCTAACAGCCTGGGCCAAGAGAAAGCGACAAGGCTTTATTGACGGGTATGCTGTACGCAAATTACAGCTGCTCCCATATTTCGATCGACAAAAGGACCAGCTTGTGGAGAAACAAACCGCCGCAATTGCTCGCATCGAAGACAAGCATGTAATTGACGAACACGAGATGCGCGAAGAGCATGAGGTGGAAACACGAAACAACGCGATCGCTCTCAAACATATGGAGGCATATTGTCGAGGGGAAACTACAAGTGGAGATCGCCACGAAAGGGCTGTTACAGACAGAGACTTGGCCGAGCTCACAAAAGCTAGGAGGGCACGCGACCAGATGGACGCGAAACACGCTGGTGCTATCAGTGTGCTTCGAGGCGAGCAAACCAGACGCATCAGTCAACGATTAGTCAAGCAAGAGGAGGAGTTATCAGAGCTGGAATCTCGCCAACTCAAGGAGCTTGAGAGCCTGCAGCGCGAATGTGATGATATGGTCCGTGAGTGGGATGCAGAGACGCAAAAACGACGGGCGAAACTCGAAAGATGGTGGAACCTACAAACAGAAATTTGGCGAAAGGAACTCGACCGGGAAACTGGCGTTCAATTTACTGGAGACTTACCTTCGATCCGGTGGCCATGTATTGATACCAACAAGAACAACAGAAGAAGAGACCCTACTAAGAGACATACGATTGCAGTATCTCCAGCTCCTGGATTGCAACCGGATGCAAGCCGCGCACCTCGGAGCGTGAGCCCTGCGCGCAAGCCACACCGCTTCAGCACCGCTTTCACGATCAGAGGTGGTATGATTAGTCAAGCATGAATTCACTGTAAAAATTCTTCGCACACCACCCCAGTCTACCTACCTAATGTTTAGAATTGGATAAATTACAAGTTCAAGCTTTGGAGGAATGACAACATCAGTGCTTGGAGACATATTCTATGCACATTATCTACAATGACAGACACTGAGTCTTCTCTACTGCCTCCCATGTGAATTGCTCATTTGGCATCATTCTTCCTCGTGCACTTACAGCATACAAGTGTGGAACCATATAATACGACAAGAGAGACCCGAGGCCAGACATGATGTTCTGAAAGCGACCGTACATCGCTGTAAGCAGCACATGATTTCACCACGCGACTTGGAGGAAGAGAGAGAGAGTGTGTGTGATATGAGGAATAGCATTCGAAAGGCATGTCCCCCTACCGAATCAACCAGTCATCGACCTCTCAATAAGACCGGGGCATCGAGAATGAATCTACAAGCATCGTTGAGGTCCTCCATACTCTTGAGTATATTCAGTATGGCATCACAATCTTCCGCCGAGCTCTTTCGAAGTAATGCCAATACTTCCTTGTAAGATTTGAGTTGCTCCTTTGTAGCCTGCTGTTGGGTCACACCTTTTTCGACGGAGTATTGGCATGTGAATCTTCTCTCGGAGCAGATTTTACATGACGGGCGGTCTCCATCACACTACCCATGTCCGTGATGTTAGTAAAACACTATGATGACTGGAAGTGGCATTCAACACTTTCGGCTGACCTTTGATTTTCGCTGGCGACATGTAAGACACGCGGCTTTAGTCTGTGTCCGCTTCGGCTTTGAAGATTTGGCAACCCCTCCGCCCGTCCGTGGCGCCAACGCTGGTGAGGTCGATGTATGTGATTTAATGCTACGAGATGGGGTCCTGATCTCCTCGACCGGATATTGAAGCATGTTTGCGATGTTCATGGGAGCAAGATGAGAGGGATTGTCCTGTCCGGTGGAAGCAAACAAAATATGGGGACGGGTGAAGTGAGCAGAGGGCAGAGAGTGAGGGGGGGGGGGAGAACGACTCCGGGCTGCAACGGTAGATATATAGGACCTGATGCCTATTCAGGGTCTGGCTCCGCTGCGGCGGACCAGCAGTCCGCAAGCGCCACATCTACCTTTCGATGCTTTCTTCTTCCTGCAAATCTGCAGTGGTAAGCCCAGCTGGGTACTCGTACTGTAAAAATGAAGCTTGATTGTTGAAAGTACGGTAGGCACGATCCACACAAACGGGCTAAAGCGAACGCGGAAAGGCCTCCGATGTGCTAGTCTTACAAAGCGACGAGGGTGTCAGGTGCGGAGAACTCCCCAAGTGTAAGACTCTGCCTCACTTGCTCATCTGGAAGATGGAAGGAATAGAATCGACAGTACATCTTCCAGTCTTGTGCGGAAGCCAGACACACTCGATGTTTCCTATGGGATCCAACATGTGCGGCGTGACAGACTTTCGCACACCTGCGCTGCCCCTCGAGACATCAGTGTGCGCTAGGCGGAGCGAGCTCCGGGACGTTGCGTGTACCTAATGCTGGCTGGATCGTACATCGCGACGAGGTGAAGCTCGGCGAGAGGCACCAAGAAAAAAGCTCCGATAGGATGGTCTGACGCGTGCGCGAATGCGGCACGTCCGCTTGAGCTTCTAGCAGAGCCTCATGACTGAACAAAGTTCAAGATACCCGATAGTCCTGCTTGTCCAAAGCAGGAAAGACTGTCAAATCGCTCAAGATGGAACTGCTACTGCACTCCTGATTCCGGATCATGCTATGCATATATGTTGCTGGCACATCTCATTTATACCTACTGGGTTATTCTGCTGAGACTCGAACAAATAGGCAATTCTGTGTGCATGATCAGTCTATCGCCTTTTGCCATTGCCTCATCGTCCACACTCAAGTAGGACGATCCCATCCCGCGTTTGACAAGGATTATGACTTGGCGGTTCCTTTGTACCAGGCTAGGAGTCAAGTCGTGTATGGTGATGAACCGTTTAGACGAGACGATTCATGAACCGTGTACTTAGCGCATGTCTTGGGGGCGTTACAATGTACGCAGTCGATATGAGCACAGGAAACCATGACGAGATGGCGAAAGAGTTGTTGCGCGGTTCCCATAACTCGGAAGGACAACCTCGTAAGTTTGTCTCACACATTAACGATGGTGGCTTAGGCCCCTACACACTGTCGGATAGGTCGGAGCGAGGTCCAGCAGTTGTCGATAGCTGCTTACCTATAAGCCCCCTGGATCTGCACAAGGCGCTTGATCACATACGGTGCCGCGTATTGCACCTGTGAGCCTGCGTATTCGTCTATTCATCAAACCTTCGTCCCAACCCATATACGACTTACGTCTTGTTGCATTCATAGCCGGAGAAACTCGACTTAGGCAATTAGAGACCCATAGAGCAAAGGTGGGGGTCGCAAGAGAAGAGTGGGGGGCAAGGACAGCGGGCCGGTTGAAAGAAGAGGAGACGGCCTTCACGCCGCATAAGCCGGGCCCAATATACAACCAGTTACGTGCTCCGGGCCTCGGGTGTCGTGCTGACCTCTTCCCAATCCTTCAATATTGTTGTACAGAGAGTAGGAGAGGACAGCAAACAGGTTACTTTCGCTACTGACCTCCTGATACTGAGTTACTTCTTTCTGCCAGTATCCAAACCATGGCAACGAGAATGCGATTGAATTCATCCGCACTGCGGGGACTTCGTCGGCCGGCCTCTTGTCGGTCTTCCATTCCTGGTCGACAACAACGATTCAATTCTACGAATACAACATCGCTGAATCAAGCCGCATTCTGGACAACGAACAAGGTTCTACTGCTCAGCGCATTTACTGGAGCACTAGCCTACACATACGGAATCTGGGATGCCGGAGCAAGTTACAAGGAAGATGGGGTAAATGCTCCTCAAGTGCCAGTATATGCTAAAAAGGCCGAGTGGGAAAAGGTACGTGAGAATGATATGAAATTTCCGATGAGTGGTTTCTAATCATGGCATAGGCTATCGAAGAGGTAAAGGCAAAACTTGGCGAAGATGCTATAACCACAGACGATGACGAGTTGCACCGACACGGATACTCAGAATGGTCTACCATCAATGTCGATGTACTGCCTATTGCTGTGGTGTATCCTAAATCTACGGAAGAAGTATCGGAAATTGCAAAGGTCTGCTATGAGCATAAGATTCCGATTGGTAAGTCGGCCTCCCAGACACCGCGTTAAAACCAATGGCAGTGAAGTGTCTATGTTTATTTGGTCGTACTGACACTCTCCTCAGTCCCTTATTCTGGAGGCTCAAGTCTGGAAGGCAACTTCTCTGCTCCGTGAGTCACATGCCATCAAGCCGACATGGCTTGAAGAAGACAATGGGCCGACTAGACTAACAATACATCCATAGATATGGCGGTTTCTGCATCGACTTTGCCTTCATGGACAAGATTCTTGCTTTACATGATAATGATCTGGACGTAGTGGTCCAACCCTCGATAGGCTGGATGAAACTGAACGAGGATATCAAAGACAGTGGTAAGTGCCCTGAGCCAATTGCCATTGTTCGATCCTCCGACTGCCGTTCCAACCCCCAATATCTAGCTGCCGCCATGCAGAGTGCATCTCAGAAAGTTCGGCGGCTTCTTGGAGACCCTCCGAGTTAGGCTCTCCTTAAAGTGTCCGTCCGATCTAGATTGTACTCTGCAGTGCAGCAGCTGGATCCTACTGTCCATCCAGCTCTGTAGTGGTGTACAGGTTGGATGAAAGTCGATAGTCGATAATCGATTGCTTGGGTCTTGGATCTTTTGTATCTCAGGCATCAACATGACACACGCTGACCCAATCTAGGTCTCTTCTTCCCGGTAGACCCGGGACCATCAGCTATGATAGGAGGTATGACAGGAACAAACTGCTCTGGGACCAACGCAGTCCGTTACGGCACAATGAAAGACAACGTCATAAACCTCACAGTCGTCCTCGCCGACGGCACAATCATCAAGACCAAGCGCAGACCACGAAAGTCTTCTGCCGGCTACAACCTCACCGGCATGTTCATCGGCTCCGAAGGCACTCTGGGTATTGTCACAGAAATTACACTCAAACTCCAAGTCATCCCTCAGGAGACCAGCGTGGCAGTCGTAACCTTCCCTACCATCCGCGATGCCGCAAGCGCAGCCTCCCGCATCATCAAAGCCGGTGTCCCCATCGGCGCCATGGAAATCATGGATGACGTGCAAATGAGCGTCGTCAACAAGTCCAAGTCCACAAAAAAAGTGTGGCGCGAAGTCCCCACCATGTTCTTCAAATTCTCCGGCACAAAAGCAGGAGTCAGAGAGAATGTCGATTTGGTAAAGCAGCTCTCCAAACAGTGTAAATCTATTGATTTTGAGTTTACTGCCGATGCAGAGGAGCAGAAGCAACTCTGGTCTGCGAGAAAGGAATCTTTGTGGTCCATGTTGGCTATGAGGAAAGGTGATGAGGAGGTTTGGTCTACTGATGTTGCTGTTCCACTCTCGAGACTTCCCGATATTATCGAGGTTTCCAAGCGCGAGCTGGATGAATTGGGCATCTTTGCTTCTGCTCTGGGACATGTTGGCGATGGCAATTTCCACGAGTGTATCATGTACAATGCTCAGGATCCGGAAGAAAAGAAAAAGGTCGAGGCGTGTGTGACTAGAATGGTGGAAAGAGCTCTGGAGATGGAGGGCACGTGTACTGGCGAGCATGGAATCGGCTTGGGTAAAAAGGGTTCATTGGTCAAGGAGTTGGGGCTTGATACCATCGGTGTGATGCAGAAGGTCAAGCTAGCCTTGGATCCTAATTGGCTTATGAACCCTGGCAAAGTCTTTGATCATCCGGCAGAGACCAAGCCAAAGGGTCACTAGATGGTCTGGACTAGGAGGGTGTACATATAGAAATGGCATTGGCTCCAACACTGAGGACATGAGCATATGCGACCAGCAACCTTGCCTTGAGCGCAGAACTTCTCTAGACCTGAAGCCTGCGCTGCTTGTAGCTGTAAGAATTCACGGTCTTTTCGTACTAAGCAGAATCTTGGAGAACGAACTGCAGGACTCAAGACACACTACGTTGAAGGCACGATCGTGGCAATTTCTCAATGTGTTGCTCAATGTATCGTTCGGGAATGTGCGTTTCCTCATATACTGTGGGCTGTTGCCAAAAGCTACATCTATTACCGTACTTTTTTGTTCTCGCCATGTTGGTCAGCTACCTTGACCGCCTTGTTCTTCTGAATCTTCTGCTTCAGATTCAGGACGACAGCTTGGACCTTTGCTTTCAGAGCAACGATACCTGCAGGCTCGACTTCATCAGCAGCGACAAAACGACGAACGATCAGGTTGAAAATGCTGCCGAACGCCATGGCCATGACAGTGCTGGTCAAAATGATGACATTGTAAGGCATGCTAAAGTCGGGAGTAGGAAGGGGAAGAAGCATGGAAGTGGTGCGAAGATAGACGGGTATGTTGTGATGGGAATCGGTCGAATTGGACAGCAGCTTGACTATCGACGGCGCGACATCAAACCCACGGTTTGCGTCGGGAGGGTACTCCGTGTATCTCAGAATAGCTTTCTCAAAATCGTAAGTCAAGACCAGAGCGCTGCCAGCAGGAACATGGAGGCGCAACTCGAGGTGAGTGCCCCGGGCACGGTCTATGGCTGGTCTGTAGAAGGTCTGCTGGATGGAGGAAGGGGAGGGAACAGAATTGATGGAAGCATGCAAGGTATGGAGATATGGCTTCATGAACCATGGCAAAGACTCGAGATAAACGAGATCGACAGCCTCGGTGAGAGAAGGGTTGGTAAGCACGATGCGCATACCTCCTCTCTCTTGACCGTAGCCAACCATGGTTCGTTCAGCGCGAAGGCGCGGCTGTTCGAGAGTTGACGGTAGAATCAGAGGCTGTTCGCCCAAGGCAATGTCAAAGGCTCCAGACTCTGGGAGAACGTAGCGTAGAAGGCCGTCCCCGGAATTGTGCTCTGTGTAAGGCTCTTCGGCAGTTACCTCACTCTCTTGCCCAGCGGCGGTGTGCAGAATAACAGATTCGGGTGCAGCACCTTCATTTACATGGCAAGAGCCACGAAGAGAACGGCCAAAGACCTTGCCCAGGGTCCAAGCACGCTCGGTAGACCGCTCGCGAGGGTAGCAGGTATCGGGGTTGTTGTACCACTTGTCTGTGTTGCAGTCGATTTCCTCAAGAGGTGGAGGCCTCGGAATGGGATCACTCTGGGACCTCATGGAGCGGTCAAGGTCGAGGACCATATCTACCGTCTGTTCAATCTCCAACAAGCACTCGCTGCCATCGAGTGGGCATACAGGGCGCACGTCGATGGCCATTGTCTGCCATGAGGCGTCGAACAATTTATGACCGTCCAGAAGAGTCGAGATGCCGGCCTTTCCCTTGCAGGGCAGAAGCTTCAAGAAAGGAGTCAGGTTCTCGGTACAGATGACTTCATGGGGCAGAGCGCCATGCAGTAGGTGTAGTGTGGAAGGGTTCGGATGGGAGCCCTCCAGAGCAAAGGTCATGGCAGGGCGAATTGTTTTGGTCGAATCGATGAAGTTCATGGAAGCGCAGAAGAGACCAGACAGAGCATTGCTCAGAGTCAACCAGCGAGCATTGGCCTGCTCATGCGAGTCTGCGTCGACCCAAGCCCATAGTTCGACACCGGTACCTCCTTCACGACGACCATGTCGCGGTCGCTGGCCCCAGTTTTCCGAATCCCAGCGGCCAAGACTGAAGCGGAGATGCAGTTCCCGGGCATGTGTATGTTGCAGGATCTGACCGAGAGAACGAGGGAACAGGCGGTAGTTCTGGGCGTCAAAGTCGGACAAGGTCGTGTTGGCCTTGAAGTTGAAGGCAGCGAGAAGCTGAGATTGTGGAAGCGGACGCAGCTCGAGCAGCTCGGAGTATTGCCCTTCAACCCATGGTGCAAACAGGCCCAGCAGCGACAGGGCGAAGACTATGATGAGCATGGCGGCCTCATGGCGTGGATGGCAGGTGCCAGGGGCAACTCTGTTGCAGCATACATGTGCCAAGAAGTCGATGGGCGGAGGAGCGACGCTCTTCCGCTTTTGCTGCCATACAAAGCCGTCGAGCCTAGTCATTCATCTGCCACTATACATCGACCGTCTTATCGAATCGCTTATCCACTCTTGACACTGCTGCAACACCGCAGATCGCGCGCTCGCCTCTACCCACACACACTTGCGACGTCACGAACAGCCATCATGGCAGCTGAGCAGAGAAAACTGCTGGGTACGCTCTCGTTTGAAACATGCTTGTCGCAATTCTCACTGACACTTTTTTTACAGAGCAGCTCATGGGCGAGCAGTTGCTGGCTGGTCCTGGCGCGTCACGCGCTCCTCAACTCTCCATCACTGATCCAAAGGTGTGCCGCTCCTACCTTGTCGGCACCTGTCCTCACGACCTGTTTACCAACACCAAACAAGATCTCGGCCTGTGTCCCAAGACTCACAGCGAAGCCTTGAAGTCAGAGTACGAAAACGCAGACGACCAGCAAAAGCGCAAATGGGGCTTCGATTTCGACTACATGCGAGACATGCAAAAATACATCGACGACTGCAACAGGCGCATAGACAGCGCCCAGCGCAGACTGGAAAAGACGCCTGATGAGATCCGCCAGACGAACGCTCTCTTGAAACAGATTGGCGAACTATCGCGCAATATCGAGGACGGTCTGGTCGAAGTTCAGATCCTGGGCGAATTGGGTGGTGTTAATACCGCCGTCACAGAATACTTCCGTATCAGGCAGCAAAAGCAGTTGAAGGAGGATCGCGAACGTGAGCTCAAGGCTCTCTCGGATACTTCAGGTCCATCGGGTCACCAAAAGCTTCAGGTCTGCGACGTTTGCGGCGCATACCTCAGTAGACTGGACAACGACCGTAGACTGGCAGACCACTTCTTCGGAAAAATGCATCTTGGTTATGCCCAAATGCGCAAGACATATCAGCAATTACAAAAAGACCTGCAAGGACGACAACCGCCGATTCGCGAGGAGCCTGCTGGGCCAAGGGGTGGTTACGATGATCGAGACTATGGCCGTAGCGGTGGCTATGGAAGACGTGGTGGAGGTGGCGGCGGTGGCTTTGGCAGAAGAGGCGGTGGCAGATGGTAATGGGTGTATCAGGCTACGAAAGGACATGTACAAGAGGAGGAAGCATTACAAGTCGATTGGGTGTTTTATGGCGCAATACCCAGCATGAGGCATGGCAGCGAGGCGCTGGATTGGTTATTTCGTTTTTATACATATTTGCTCTGCCTGAACAATGCCTGGCCAGGAAGAGTTAATGAAACCAAGGCAATCTGGAAGTCATGAAAGGCTATTGACTAAATCACGTGCCAACGAGCGTCATTCGGATTTGGGCTACGACAATCGAGGGGCAGCTTTGATTAATCGTTAGCCATTGTCCAATTTAAATACATACAAGTCCTCTGGGAACAGAACTGTTCTGTACACATTGCTGGCCCGTCGACATTCACTCGATTCGAAAGAATAAGCATCAACCACTCCGCATACCAGATCCCCCAAGCTCACCGTTACCGCCGCCGCCATGTCGCGGAGACCCGCTGGGCCCGACAGGACGATGCAGAACCAGCAGACGTTGAAGAGCTTGGTCAAATTGGAAGGCAACAAGAGCTGTGCAGACTGCAAGAGGAACAAGCGTACGAATCACGGATATCGCACCAGTGCATACAAGCTGACAAGTGTCGATAGACCCGAGATGGGCTAGTTGGAACTTGGGCATCTTCATTTGTATTCGGTGTGTAGCTAGGAGATTCCCCGGGGAGACATGTTCGCTGACAAGCATCACAGATGCTCTGGTATCCATCGTGGTATGGGCACACACATCAGTAGAGTCAAATCCGTCGACCTTGACTCTTGGACCGATGAGCAGCTTCAGAGCATGTTGAAATGGGGCAACACCAGAGCCAACAAGTACGTACACTTCGACGCTCGTAGCTTACATTTATTGATTGTCATTCCGCAGGTACTGGGAAGCAAAGCTTGCGCCGGGTCATGTCCCCGCCGAAGCGTACGTGCTCCGTCTATAACCTTAGCAACCACCCCTGATCGCGATGACTGACGCACTTGCAGCAAGATCGAGAACTTCATCCGCACCAAGTACGACTCCAAGAGATGGACAATGGACGGCCCCATCCCCGACCCTTCCACTCTGGGAAGTGAGGGGGGAGACGAAGACGTGGTAAAACCAGATCGATCGTACCATCTACCAGTACGAAACAGCTGACCAAATCACAGCCTCTCAGCGTAGTTCAAGAGAAGGCAAAGCTTGATCGATCTGCATCTCTCAGAAACGCATCTATGAGCAGTGGACCGGTTGCTCCTCCTGCAGCTCCCAGAGCAGTCGCTCCAGTTATTGATCTCTTTGGTGACGACCCGACTCCAGCTCGCGCCAGCACCGCCGAACCTTCGATTGCTTCAAGACCGCCGCCGCAACAACAAAAGGCTCCTGCCGCACCTCCTAAACAGAATCGCCCAGGTGATTCACTGCTCGGTCTTGACTTCTTTGGGACCAGCCAGTCCGCGCCTCCAGCACGTCCTGCTAGCGCCGCTTCCAGCGCTGCCACCCTTGGAAGCAACCCGCGATCAGATCTGAAGCAGTCAATCTTGTCTCTCTACGCATCCGCACCCAAACCTGCTCCAGTGCAGCAACCTCAATCTTCTTCGAATGCCTTCGGTGGCTTTGCTTCCGCACCAATGCAATTTCCTGCCGCTTCGACATCGTCCTTTGGTGGTATGGCTGATGCGTTTGGCGGCCTGAACTTTGGAGGCCCGTCTGCTCCCCAACAACAGCAACAACCTAAGCCTTCTGCTTTCTCGAACTTGGCCTCTCCAGTAGCACGAACGAGCTCCCTGAGCGGCGGCAGCTTTTTCGATGCAAAGCCTGCTCCCCCGCCCAAGCCTACCGCTGCACCTACGTCTAAACCCCAGCCAGCGCGTATGTCCAGTGGATTTGGCGATTTTGGTGACTTCACATCTGCAGCTTCCCCTGCACCTCTACCAACATCCACGAGATCGCCGGTTCCCGCAAGTTCTGGCATGGGTGACTTGTTTGACATGGGTGCTCCCGCACCTTCCAAGCCTGCGCCTTCATCTTCTTCATCAGCTTTCAACCTGTCGGCCCCGGTCCCGCCGCCAAAGCCTGCACCTGCACCAGCTATGAGTGGCCTCGATAACATGGACGCCTGGGGCTCGAGCAACGCTTGGAGTACCCCTGAGCAAGCAGCACCTGCACCTGCACCGCCCACTACCTCATACAAAGCGCCTGCGACGACCAGTGTGTCCAACGATGATGACTTTGGTGGTTGGGGAAGCAACGAGGGCACTACTTCTAGCAAGCCTACTGTCTCTCAAGACGACGACTTTGGCGGCTGGAGCAGTGCACCTGCACCTACCACCACTACATCCAGTAACAAAGCTCCTGCCGCAGACGATCTCTTTGGGAACGTGTGGGGTTAGACGGTCACATTTAGGAGGACACAAACAGCGTTGAAGACCTTGAGCACAGACGCCCTTCTGCCTAACTCACAATATCAAAACATCCATGAGGAACTTTCGATCCATCTCAGTGCCATGAATCCTAGAGTTGCAATGCTGATGCAACGACTTGGCATGTCGTGAGTCTGGTAATGATGTCTCTAGTAATCCATAATCTCCATGCTCGTAAGCTCCCCTAGCCTCCGCAAAACTTACTTTGGGCCGTGTCCCATGCTATCATGTCGCTCGTACGCTTGTGCTGCTACGAGAGGTGATTTAACGACTTCGAGTGGGCTTCCTCTTCCTCTTCCTCTTCTACATGCTCGTCCAAGCAGGGTGGCTTTTGTGGCTTGGCGAATGCATGAGGTGGCATCGAGCGGATCCAGAGTCTTCAGACCAAGGAGGTCTGGCGGTTTCCAGTATAGGTAACCGGATGATATAATGTTCAAGCAGCTTTGGATCTGAACACCCAACCACCTATCCAGTAGAGCACGAGGACTACGGCGATAATGATAGCAGCGAGCTTGAGGATGGCGACTTTGTTTCCTTGTTGTGCCATACGCGTAAGTCTGCCAGCACTGCCCTGCAAGCTGTTCGAGAAGGAGGAAAAGGCATTTGTCTGCACACCAGTAGATTAGCAAGGTCGTAGACTCGAACAGTCAGGGGTGGAGCGGCGTACGGAAGAGTCGATGACACCCTGGTCGCGGGCGTTGTCGTAGATGTCTATGGTGATGCCACGTAATGCCGACACCTTTCCAGCGAGTTCGTCCAGTCGCGAGTTATTTTGACTTTCCAGTTGTCAGTGGCTGTGTAGTGTCGCAGCAGGGAAGAGGGGTGGGAGGCTACCGTTCACGTTCGTAGGCTTCAGACATTGCGACGGGAGTGCAAGTGGTTGCAAGTGGTGCGGCAAGTATCGCGACGACCGAGACGTAGTATGCTAGGCAGATGCTGTGGACAAAGAACAAAGAACGTTTGATGACGGTACAGGAGCAGAAGGCCGAAGATGACGGCCAATCGGGAAGCCGTTGCCGGTCTGGGGTCGGCGAGCACAGACAATGACGACGATTGGAATATTGGTGGGGCTGTCGCCGAGCTATGCCATGACTTGCCCGACTTGTATGCCTGACACTCGTACTCCAGGTCTCGTGTCGCCGCGCACGCCGTCGTTTCTTCTCCATACCGCAACAATCTCGAGTACTGCCTGTGTCGCGTCTTCTTCTTCTAGTCTTTGCGTCCTTGATCCCCAGTATATCGCCTGTCCGACCGCCCATCATGCCTCTCATCAACAACCCGCTACCTTCTTCTATGAAGAGTAAGTCGCGTCTTTGTGATGCCATCTTCTCCTCAGAATCTGATTACCTTCAGGTGAATGCAAGAAGACGGGCAAGATCCTCGCCTCCTTCATCGACCCGAAACAATCCTTTGGCCCCGACAAGATCATCCCCCCTAACATCCTCGCAAATGCAAAAGGTCTTGCCATCATGACCGTCTTCAAGGCCGGCTTCCTCGGTAGTGCTCGTTTCGGATCCGGTGTCATAGTAGCCCGCTTGTCAGACGGCTCCTGGTAATCCACTCTATATCCGCTTGTCCATTGACCTCTGCTGACATCAGCCTTAGGTCCGCGCCATCAGCCATCGGAACCGTCGGCGGTGGTTTTGGTGGTCAGATTGGTTTCGAAATCACCGACTTCGTCTTCATCCTCAACGACGCTGCCGCTGTCCGCACCTTTGCCCAAGCTGGTAGTATTACTCTCGGAGGTAACGTCTCGATCGCTGCTGGTCCCGTCGGTCGCAATGCCGAAGCTGCCGGTGCGGCGTCGCTCAAGGGTGTTGCTGGTATCTTCGCCTACAGCAAGACAAAGGGTCTATTCGCCGGTGTCTCTCTCGAAGGAAGCGCCATGATCGAAAGAAGAGATGCCAACGAGAAGATGTACAACCGTCGCGTCACTGCCAGAGCTCTCCTCGAGGGCGGTGTCCCTGTTCCACCTCAGGCTGAGCCCTTGATGCGCATTCTCAACAGCAGAGTGTTTGCTGGAGTTGCCGCCAACCAGGGCGATGGCATGTACAACGATATTCCGGTCTACGACGAATCTCACGATGATGTCATCTGGCAGGGCAAGAGAGGTTCCGCCCATGGAGAAGGTGTTCGTTCAGATCGCACAGGAGCCTCGGGAAACTTCGGTGGCCCGTCGCGTGCCAGCACATGGCAAGACGATGTGTACGACAGGCAGCCCAGTTTTGGTTCGCGCGCCAATCCCACAGAAACCTTCGATCGACTGGAAGCCTCGCGCCAGCGTAGTAACAGTGCATACGGCGACCAAGCAGATTACTCTTACTCTGACCGCAAACCATCCAGGCCAAGTGCACCTAAGCCCACTTTCAGCAGTGCCAACACCGCAACTCCCAAGCCTGGACAGGCCATCGCGAAGTTCACTTTCGATCCTGACCAGCCCGGCGATTTGGGCTTCAAGAAGGGCGAGATCATCACTATCGTCAAAAAGACTGATAACTCTGCCGATTGGTGGACCGGTAGGATTGGTTCGAGAGAGGGCATCTTTCCAAGGTAAGTCAAATCACTCTTGACACTGTCGTACGAAGCTAATGTACCATGTAGCAATTACGTCGAACTGACCTAGACGACGCCATCCTTGCAACGAGCACATATGACGCTGCGCACTATTGCACTCTTCTTCTTGTCATACATATATCCACTCTCTTGTCTTTTCGGTTTCAATCTGCATAGCGCCGCGTGCACGGCGTTTGGCGGTGTCTTCTCTTTGGATCGCGTTTTCCTGTTATATACCTTTACGTACAGACCGCTTCTCTTTTACATAGTCAAAAGCTGGTCCATCTCTCCTTCCGAGCACACCAAGTCCCGTTTGCCGTCAAATCTCCCTCTTGTGTCAGCATCAGATCAGCCGGTATTCTGGTCGAGCTGCATGGAAGCCTGGTTCTGGACAAACCGGCTTCGAGAGACATGGAGAACCCGAGCTCTCCATGTTTCAATTTTGGATCCCGATATCTGCGTATGAGGCGTTGGCACCAACTGTCACGCCAGCACCCGGGGCGCGACGGACCGATCGCGGGTTTGTGGCCCTACCTTCAGTGGACCGTTGTCCATCAATTTATCTTTGTCAAGAGGCATGCTTGGTTCCACGTGCGTAATTTCGGCCTTTATACACCTACTCCCATGCACCGGCAGCGGGATTGTAACGGAGAGGCACTCGATCAGCCCCTTGAGTTGCAGCTTGAGTCACTCGATGCCTGGATGATCGTAATCTCAGACTCCAGAACAGTCACATTGACCAAATGGTAGGCTGGTCATGTCGAGGAAGATGTCGCGGTAATCGTGAGTTATGAGCAATAATTATGTGTCGGTACGGTCAGAAAAGCGAACGATAAACATCCTGCCGGCCCGGGATGATGATTGATGTTTGTGCATCCCACAGACTGACTCGCCTCTCAAAAGACTTGGAAAGTGATTGCGAGTAGTCAAAGCTGGACATGTGCTCCTGCATGCAGTGGTCGAGATGCATGCTGCATATGCGCCACAGACCCCTTCAATCAAGCCTGTTAAAGATCGCAAAGGTGAAAGCGTGGGTTGCACATCAATCGTTTCTGGGCATGTGGGGTCCCGAGAGACTGGGGAGACTTCATCTTTTGTGACGGCGTTTCGCGGCTGCACTATCTTTTATCGATCTACAACCTTCAAAGGCGCGCGGTCCATAGGGGCAGACGTCAAATATCGGGTCCTTGCATCTCTGCAGCCCTCACCGCTCCCGATGCCAAACGGCGAGCAGCCGCGTGACTGTGTTACATGTTTGACAGCGCCAAAGGCAGCAGTCCTTTTTTTCCACCTGCATGAACGAGGGATATGATGATAAAAGGGAGCAAACCCTGCTGGAACCAGAGGCTCTTCTGGTCTCTTCTGGTTTCAGGCCTCCTTGATCAACTTCGCTCTCTGCACATATCCGTTCTGATCCTGTTTAACGGATAAGCTGACTTGAGCCATTGTCACTTCTATTCTTGATAAGCTGAATCCTTCACATCACTTGATTTATTCAGCAGATCATCACAAGTCACGTCACTCCAGGCGACTCAAAGGCTTTACTCAAGAGAATCGACAGTGGGCAGGTGAAGGTGATCATCAGTGCTTGTAGTGCTTGTGTTTGATCAGCTCATCGCCAGCCTTTCGCCTGTTGTGGTGAAGTGTAGACTAGGTATATTTCCCATCTATCAGAGCTGTTTCCTCATGAACCCGTCATTGACTGTCAACTGAAGCTACAGCCCCTCGATCCGCTTCCTGACTATCCCGGTCGTCGTGGCTTCCGCGAGAAACAGCATAGCAAACCGCTGGATTTTACTTGAGCGTCACTCGTTCCTGCCTCAACTTTGGCATTCACTCCTGCTCCTGCCTTCACATCGCAACTGTCTACGGCTGCCTTCGCTCGCACTTCCCGCCCCTATATATCAGACGCCGAGCTCATCTTGAACCTCGCCTCGATCATCCACGTTCCGACTCGATTTCTTCCAACTTCTTCCAAGTCTTTCCAACTTCGATCGTCTACCTTTTCTTCGTAACAGTTCTCTACAATCGGCACTATGGCCTACATGTCAACCATGCGCACTTCGGTTTTCCGCGCCGCTTGCCTTACCAAGGTTCAATCCGCTGTCGCGCCGATTTCTGTGCGCACTTTTGCTTCGACTCGTGTTCTCGGTGATGAGCAGTCGATCAATGTCGTCTCTTACTCCAAGGCTGGTCACCGTGAGCAGGAGACTCTCGCCGTCCCCGCTCCTGGTAATGAGCCTGTCTCCCCTCCTGGTCAGGACATCGAGGTCGCTGCCCAGCCTCTCAAGGCCGACCTGCTTGCCAAGATGCCTCCTACCCTGCAGAAGTTCACCCTGACTGACAAAGTCGCCGTTATTACCGGGTAAGTCTGAGCTCTTCTTCTCCTCACTTTATACGTCTCTGACTCTCGCCTTCAGCGGTGGTCGTGGACTTGGTTACAACATGGCTCAGGCCCTTTCTGAAGTTGGTGTCAAAGGAATTGCCATCTTCGACGTTCAGCAGGAACTCGGCGAGAAATCTGCTCAGCAGCTCTCAGCTCAGACTGGCGTTGATGTTCGCTTCTACAAAGTCGATGTTCGTGACCAGGCCGCCATTCAGCAGGCCGTTCAGGATGTTGCTGCCCACTACGGCCACATTGATGTTCTCATCAACGCCGCTGGTATCGCCGAGTAGGTCAATCTTTTTACATTTGCCATCACTCGTTTTAACAAGATTCAGCTCCAACGTCAAGGCTGAGACCTATGATTCGGAGAAGTTCCGCCGTCTACTTGACATCAACATTACCGGCACTTTCCTCGTTGCTCAGGCTGTCGGCCAGCAAATGATCAAGCTCAAGACCGGCGGTTCCATCATCAACATCGCCTCGATGTCTGGTACTATTGTCAACTACCCCCAAGAGCAATCCTGCTACAACGCCTCCAAGGCTGCTGTCATTCAGCTCTCCAAGTCCCTCGCTGCTGAGTGGGCTCGCTTCAACATCCGTGTCAACTCTATCTCCCCCGGCTACATGGACACCGCTCTCAACCGTGTCCCTGCTCTTGACGCCCAGAAGCGCATCTGGATGGACAACACTCCTCAGAAGCGCCTCGGTGCTGTTGATGACCTCAACAACCTTGCTGTCTACCTTGCCTCGCCTGGTTCCAGCTACATGACCGGCAACAACTGCCTCATTGACGGTGGTTACACTCTCTGGTAAACAGTCACGCCTGATGTCCCCAAATTGTCAGCGCGGCGTTCGTCATTCTCCTCAGCAAGTTCACGCATCTGCATGGCGTTACAGGGCGGGTATATAAGAGGCGTTCATCAAGAGGCTGCGATCTGTTCTCACAGCATCTGATAGTCGCTCGATGCGGTATAATATGGTCACGAAGGGGATGATACTATAAATGTGGGCTGGTCAATTGCCTCCTTTACTACTACAATGCTCTACAATAGGCGACTTTGCTTTTTTCTCAATCAAAACTACCCTGATTTGCTCACACTTTTTTCCCTTTGTTTGGCGTGATGGATCCCAGTATGATTGTCAGGTTGTGTTTCTTCATGTCGCATCGAGTCAACTTCACAATCTTCGTACAGGGTCTTACAGACTTGACCCACATGAAACAAATTCACGATTTGCAGTTTCCAGCGACACGCGATGTCACTCTTCGCACTATACCAATGATGTCACGTCAGGGTGCTAAGCTCAACCAGTGGTTCTACCTTGATATGCCAAATCACTGCTACCCCTCCGACTCTAAGTGGATGTGTCAAATACATCTATGATCTTTCGCACTAGTTTTCAAGGACACAAAGTGTTTTGGTATCCTTGGTCGAGGTCGTTGAGCAGACACGTCGATATTTATGATTCCAGATGTGCTGTTTCATGGATGAAAGGAAAATGACAATGCTCTGATAGTATGCGAGAGTGTTCAGAGCGAGGATTTTGCCGGAGATGTCTTCTCGCCTGTCTGTAGACTCGGCATCTCTCCAGCGGACATCTACCATGAACCTGACTCTCATATACCTCTGTCACGATAGATGGATATGCCATCGTTTGGGGGAGGAGAGTGCAGATATCATAGACACTCAAAGGCACCATACTCCTGATCTCAGCCTTGCGCACTCATCGAAGCTAGTAGCTGTGGAAATGCAGAACGTTTCCTCATGTTTGATGCCATAGGCAGGGAGATGGCGTAAGACACTACATCTCGAGTAAGTATTCAACGACACCGAAAAAACATGGTGCATTTCCACAGCTACATTTCTGTCATTGGGGTTATGGGAGAAGCAGCGCCCAATGTGCCGATTTGCCATGACCTGGTAAGTGTTGGTTGACACCTTCTCTCAAAACCAACAGTGGCTCATCATGTCTAGTCTGTCATGTGTTGCAGTACTAACCGTATACGAACTACCAACATTAAGATAGCATCGACGAAGAGCGTCTTACGAACAGACCGCACCAGGTCCACGATCACTTCCATCGTTGCCCGATCTCGTCTCGACATGCTTAGTCCATTGTCACACTCTGCGTCGACGCAAAAGATACATATCCTTTCTCCTCGACATCCTACTTGTACGTACCATTCTGGTCAAAGACCCTCGACGCTTCTCCTTGTATGCCATGTCTCATTGTTCTTCGTCTCGCATGTACTGATCCATTGTATCAGATACAACGCACAGATGTCGGACCCCTCGAACGAGGTGATGGAGAAGGACCGCAAAGTTGTCGACGAGGTCTCGGGTCCCGGTGCCGTTGCGAACAAGGTTGATGACCGCAGGGACGCTCCAGCTGGGTATGTGGTTGATGTGCCTGTGTTGTGCATTGCATCAACTAACCAACCCTGTGTTGCAGGCAGGAGAGAAAGAAAGGGGCCGCCAGCGCCAGTAACCCGGCCTCGCAACACGGTGGTACCTCCCTCGTCTCCGAGCCCAAAGCAGACACTCCAGCTCCCAGCATGACCCAAAAGAAGCTTGTCAAAATGCAGAACAAACTCCTCAAACCAGCACACGACGACGGAGAGTTCGAAGACATCGATCTAGGAGACAGTGAGCAAGAAATCAACATAAACGAATGGGTGTGGGTTGGAAAATGATGATGTATAGGAGAGATTGCGAAAGATCAAGCTTTCTTCTATTCGTGCTTTTTGTGAGCTAGAAACTCCAGAATACCAAAAAGACATTTGAAAAATGAAACCACCATTCAATTCATCTATGCAAAACGAAACTGTTCGGAAAAAGTCATGGCGGGGAGTCCACTGATCGAAGCAGTGGACGAAGCGTGAAGTGCGTCTGTGGGAGCTGCAGGACGACTCGTCGGAGGTGTGAGAGGAGGTGAAATAAACGGGATATTAATCTCTTCATGCGCTGGCCTCGATGGTACCGCGGACACCAGTCTTGGAGCCGACTTCGCGGACGATGACCTGTACTGAAAGGTCGGCGCTGACGTTGATCTGGACCTCGACCTTGCTGCCCTTCTTGACGTCCTTGACGGCAGCCTCGGCAATGACCTCACCGGCCTTCCAGACCTTCTCGCGGGTCTCCTCGGGCTCGTCGTCGCTGTCATCGTCTGAGTCGTCACCGTTGGCCTCCTTAGGGGCGACCTCCTCCTGGGTGACCTTGATCTCGCTGACACCCTCGCAGAGCTTGACGAGAACGTCGCCCTCGGCAGCGTTGAGCTGGGCGGTGCGGCGGACTGGAACAGCGGTGTTGGCATCGATCAGGGTAACGAACTCGTTGTCGCCAACAAGAACACCAATGGCCTTGGCGAGGTGAGGGGCGACAGTGACGGCGGGGTGGGTGCTCTGCTCAACATCCTCCTTCTCAAACTCGCTGATCAAGCTGGCCTGGATGGCAGCACCACGGACGGTAAGCTCGCTGGGGTTGACAGCGGCGGGGTTGGTGGAGGGAGCAATAACGGTGGACTCGGCGAAGACGGACTGGAGGTTGTTGGCGATCTTGGGAGTGTGAGAAGTACCACCGGAAAGGAGGATCTCGTCAATGTCGAGGTTGTCGAGACCGGCCTTCTGAACGGCAGACTCGATCAGACGGGTGAAGGAGCCAAAGACCTTGCCGGCGAGGTTCTCGTATCTGGTACGGTTGACGGTCAAGCTGAAGTCAATACCGTCGGAGAGGGACTCAATGCTGAAGGCAGCAGAGGCACCAAGGGACAAACTCTTCTTGACAGCCTCAGCCTCGAGCTTCAGCTTGGCGAGCGAACGGTCGTTGGTGCGGGGGTCGGTCTTGTTCTTCTTCTGGAACTCCTTTGCGGCGTAGTCGATCAGGGCAGAGTCGAGCTGGGCGCCGCCGAGCTCGTAGTCGTGGGCGGTGGCCAGGACGGTGTACATACCACCGCGCGAGGCAACGATGGCGATGTCGGTACGGGTACCACCAATATCGGCAACAACGACGTTCTTGTCCTTGGTAGAGTCCTCGTTGTTCTTGGCATCGTGGGCGAGGAGAGCAGCGACGGGCTCAGTGATGAATTGGAGGACCTCAAGACCGGCCTCAGTGGCGGCCTTGTTCAGGGCATCCTTCTGAGCGTCGGTGAAGTCTGAGGGAATGGTGATGATGGCAGCATTGACCTTCTTGCCAAGGTAGTCGGTAGCGGAAGAAGCGAGACGACGGAGGTGACGGGTGGTGATCTCGTGGATTGTGCGGGTGTTTTGCTCATCGGCCTCGGTGTCCTTGATCTGGAAAGAGATGGTGTTCTCGGCGTCCACGGGGTGGGCGGAGGCGTGGCAGTTGGTGGGGTCTATTGACTTGAAGCTGCGAATTGTCAGAAATGAGCTCTAGCAGTGCCATGGTCAATTGAACAGGCAGGAGCAGGAGGTGACATACTCCTTGCCGAGGAAGTCTCTGAAGTATGCGACGGTGTTCTTGGGGTTGCGGACGAGCTGCGACTTGGCCTCGGTGCCCTGGAACTCCTCACCGTCGACGTAGGAGAGGACGGTAGGGATTTGACGGTCACCAAGCTCGTTGGCAATGACTTCAGCCTTGGAGTCGCCGGAAGTGTAGGCGATGGAGCTGTACGAGTTGCCAAAGGAGATACCAATGGCAACCTTGGGTGCGGTCTCGCCCTCTGAGCTCATATTGAATGTGATGTGTGGTGGAAGCGGCTGAAAAGACTGGAATTCGAATCGTCGCAAAGTCGGATGGTTTGGGCGACAGGGATAAGTGGATTGATCTCTTGTACAAAAGCTGGTCGATGGGACTTTGGACTTTGCTCCAGACTTTCTCGAACCTCGAACAAATTTCCAGCCGCGATTTAGCCGCCTCAAGACGAGCCAAACCATCCTTTCGTCATCGTCGCAGGAATCGAATCTACTCAAGAATCATGTCGTCTGTAATGCTGCTGCCCGGTCAGGAGCTGTCGCCTGATCAATTGCCTTCTCAAAACACCACTCGCACTTTGACTCTGGGTCCTGGTCTGCGACACATTCCGCCCGTCACGATTGTCGCAACCCAAGCTGGAGAATTGTGTACCGACTCCAAGAAGAATGCCATCTGGATTGAGAACCTCGGAGGTCGCTATCTGCCTCACACTGGCGATCTTGTCGTCGCCACTGTCCAACGCTCCTCTACCGACACATATCACTGCACTCTGACACCGCACACTCCTTCCGTCCTGCTCGGCCAACTTGCTTTCGAAGGCGCAACCAAGAAGACCAGACCCCAACTCACCCCTGGAGCTCTCGTCTATGCTCGTGTATCAAAGGCCGACAAGTGGAGCGATGTCGAGATCGAATGTGTCAACCCTGCCACCGGAAAGTCTGACGGTCTTGGTCCCCTCAAGGCTGGCATGCTCTTTGATGTCTCGCCTGCGTTCGCTCGTCGCTTGATGATGGGTGCTGGAAAAGGTGGTGTTGTGCTGCTGGAAGAGATTGGCGAGAAGGTCAGATTCGAGGTGGCTGTGGGAAGAAATGGAAAAGTCTGGGTCAACAGCTCTACCATTGCTGAGACTGTCGCTATCGGACGCTGCTTGACCGACACTGACGACAAGGACTTGGACCTTCAGGCGCAGAAGAAGCTCGTCAACAAGATGGTCAAGAGCGTTTGAGCCCTGTCCCAAACCGAGGACAAGGCAAGAAGAACTCCCTGCTATCTCGCCAGCATCAGCCTCGCACACAGCATTCAATGAATCAACGACAGAGAGTCTCGAATTTGCAGCACCAAGATGCCCACTCGAGGCGTCCAGCAATGAAAGCAAAGTGCAGCTATAAGCATTACACGGATTCGGACAGAGTCCACTCGAGACCTTTCTCGACCCAAAGTAGCACGCAACACGCTTCGGGACAAAGCTCGGAAGCCTATTCGTGTGCAATAGGATGGACGTGGGATGCGCGCAGATGCGCTCAAGGACATATCGGCAGGCGAAGCTGAAGACGCACAGCTGTATTGTCTGCGAGGCTATGAGCCAATATGCAGTCAATCACAAAAGTAGATGAATCTGTAGCCTACCCTAGCAACCGTGCTCGCAACTTCAACACCATGCTCAGAACTCATGTGAATAAATTTGCCAAGAATCACAAGCCAAAGTCGAAGCCTCAGGCAGGCTCCGGAAAAAAGTCCATCGCAAACGTCACCGAGGACCCCGCCATAGCATACAGAAATTCATAGCTCGATTTTGACAGAGAAAAACACAATCGACCAAGATCTCGCCGCAATCATGAGTACACGCAATCGAACACCGCCACTCCTTGAACCATACCTCCGTCTACCTTCTGAAGCATCACAGCTGCTCTTGACGGGCGTCCTCGACTCGTCTCCACAATGGCTTGTGACCCGCCTCCTACGTAGCGCATTTACTCCTTCGGAAGAAATAGAAGCACCGGAAGAGCAGGATGTTAGTGTGATATTGGTATCATGGCTACGCGACTGGGAGTTTTGGAAGAGCGAGGCCAGAAGAGGTGCTGTGAGTACCTCCACAAGAACTCGAGGAAACACGAGAGCCAAATGCTGACACTACGGAACAGGGCATCGATCTCGCGCGTCTGGCACAGCAAGACAAATTCTTCTTTGTCGATGGATTGACCCATCTCTTCCCTGTCGCGACCTCGACGCCTGCTGCACCTTCACCAAAAGCAGCACCACCAACAGCACAGAGGACTCTACCCATTAGAAATGCACCTGCCTCGCCTATACCGAACAGAGGTGGCCCTCTACCATCTCGAGGTCCTCTACCCTCTCGCGGTCCTCCTGCTACCACACCTTCGCAACCACAACCACAACCACAACCACAACCACAACAATCCGCAGCTCCTTCACCACAACAACAATCCACCCAACCCTCAAATACAACCCACCTAAAAGACGCCTCGCTAATCTCCGTTTACAAAACCCTCTCCACCAAAATCTCCTCCCTCTTAACCTCGCATCCGACCAGAAAGATCCACCTAATCCTCGACTCGCCAACCCTCCTGCTCTCCACCTCTTCCTCCCCCTCCGCTTCCTCCCTATCCTCCCTCCTCCTCTCTCTCCGCTCTCTTGTCACAACATCAACTTTGATCCTAGAAGCCGATACACCATTTCTCTCCGCCGCTCTTCCTGACACGCATACACAGCCTACACCTTTAGAGGCAGCTCATGCGGCTTTTGTGGTTCAACAGGCTCATATCAGTAAATGGGTGTTGAGTTTACGGCCGCTTGATACGGGCAAGGCCAGGGATGTTAGTGGTGTTATCAGAGTGAGCAGAGGTGGGGCTTGGGATGATGATGGGGATGAGATTGAAGGCAAGGAAAAGGAGATGAAGGAGTTGGAAGCATTGTATTTTGTGCAGAATGATGGTGGTGTCAAGGTGTTTGAGAGGGGTGAGGCTAGTGTTGGGTAGATTTGGTTATCCATACCGTGATATAGCTCATCGTTGTCAGGGCCCTTCACAAGATTGTTGCAGAGGTGTTCCTTACAGGAGACGATGGGCTCTGCTCTACAAGGGAGTGCACACCTCGAATATTTCTGTAAAACGCACGATGTCGTTCAGCACAGTAAGCGGTCTATTGGGAGCTGCTCTCATCCAAATCCCTCCAGACGCAAGAGTTCACTGCGGAAATTACTGCGTTGCGACGACTATGATCAATACAATGACTCTACACTGGGACGAGGGATTTCGGTCATACTGGTTGCATTTCAAGACGAATCTGATTCGCTAGGGTACAATGCTTTCTCCAATCTCTGTTCAAAAATGCATGGCCATCAAACGATCAAGTGCATTCTCAGGTGCTTCCATCGCTGCTTCATCGGTATGGCTCGCTCCTTCCTCAGCTTGGAAAGTACCTTCCTCAGTTTGGAGAGTGCCCTCCTCAGTTCGGGTAGCCTCCTCTCCAGTGTGAACCACTCCTTCTCCATTGCTCATCCTGTTCGAGAGTTCTTCCTTCAATGTGTTTTGCTCTACTGCTACTTCTTTCTTTGGACTTTCAGCAACATCGAAGGCTGTTCCCACGTGGTCATCCACACTGTGCTCAGGTCTCCATTCTTCAAGAGGCTCCAGCTTCAATCCGCCGAGGTTGGCCTTGTAGCTGGACTTTACGACCGGTGTTCTGCGTCTGATCTCACCACCAAAGGTTGTGCTCAAGAGAGATGGCCCTGACTGGCTGGTGGCTATCTTGCCAAGTTCTCTGCTGAACAACCAGGGATAAGTTATGAGGGGAGCATTGCTGAGATCTCGGTTTATCGACCCCTGCTTATTCTCCTTCCACTGTCGCACTTCCTGATCGGTGACCGTATACATGGCAGCCACGAAAGGTCCGAGGATGCCGAATGCTTGTTCACCTCCCATGTAACCAGTGTCGGCAAGTTGAAGATGTTCTCTGACTTGAGCTTGGAAATCGGATTTGATGGCACTCATCAAGTTGCCAAGGTCTTCGGCCAGAGAGTACCAATGCTTCTCGCGATTGTGGTCCATTACGAAAGCTGTCCAGACCTCGAACTCTGTTTGGATGTTGTGCTGGGCCATGACACGACGGATTTGCTGGTCGTATGCGATTTTGAACTCTCTAGCCTTTGAGAGCATTGCTTCAGTCACGACGTACGCATGGAGGATGCGCTGATCAAAGGGCTTCTCGAGCTGTGGTGTGAACTTCTCGGGCTGCACCATGTCGTAAAGAAGACCAAGAACTTCCTTGGAGGTGTAATGCTTGTTCTTAGGCTTTGCTTCCATCCAATGAGGAAACTTGTTCGGCCAGAGGCTCTCCGGAACTCGGGCCGGTACACCGGTCTTGTTGAAGTCCACTGCTTGTGAATGTAGCTGGGCAAGATCGGTACAGTCCTTATGTCCCACTCCTCCGTTCGCAGACTCTCGATCAGCAATAGCACGATGATTAGTGGCGATGGGACCGATATTGTCGTATTTGATGTAGTCGACAAAGAACTTGAAGAAATGCTCGTCTTGCACAGCACCGATACAGGTGACTGGCGTTGGTGGGTCGTAGTTCATAGCCTCACATTGCCATCTCGATCTCGGAGGCAGCAAGTCATCATCCCACATGATCAGATAATCGTCGCCATCAAGATCTCCGCCAGCGCACATGTTGGCAAGTGGTCTTTCTCCTTGCTGCGGCAGAACAACGATGTTCTTGAGATGCTTTAGTGCCTTGCAATCGACAGCCTTGACCACACGAATGTCACCAGGATGTAGAGACGGATTGCGTGCAAGGAGACAAATGCCTTGTACGATCCTCCATTGGCCTTCCTTCTCTGCTGGCACTTGGATGAATATCTCTGGAAGTTGTTTTGGAGCCATCTTGAGCGTGTTTGTCTCGTCGACGCAGCCAAGAACGAAGGCACCTTTCTCAATAAATAGCTTGGCCTTTTCCTTGAGAAACTTCAAGCTCCAAGCACGCCAAAGCTGAAGCAAAATCTTGCACATTGGCTCATCAGAGTGCATAAAGCCGTCGAGAATCATTCCAGAAATTGTAAGAGTAATCTGGTTGAAATCGACGTTCTTCTGCAACATCTTCAAGGCCATGTTCTCATCATTCATTGCCATGTTGATGTCACCAAGCTCTTTGGTCATCTTGTCGATGAACACTTGCTTTGGGACACCACGGCCGGTGAGGACAAGGATGATTTGCTGGTTGAGAGTGGATGATAGAAACTTTGAAGGCTTGATGATCTCGAGTCCAACACTTGTCGCATTGAACTTGCGCTGACTAGGTCTGAGCAGAACCTTTCTACCCTTGAGAGCAGGATCGACTACGAGGATGCCCTTGAAGCCCCCCATACGAAATTGAAAAGCGGATGGATAATCGTGAGGGCCACGGTCGGCGTACAATTCATTAGCGACCATCTGAGCAACGAAAGGGGAGACTTTACCCACACCATCAGTGAAGCAGTAGCCATTCCTTTCGACATCTCTGATCATGGTGTTATCGACTTTGCCAATGTTGGTAGAGGCTCTAGTTGTAGAGAAGCATTGACCAATACGAGCCATGCATTTTGCAACGACATTGATAGCCGAGAAATCCCCAAGAGCCATGCGGATGTTGCGCGCGGTTTTTTCCTCGCTATAAGGTGTAAAGAAATATGCGCCTCTTTCACGGAACTGGGAGTTTCCACAAGCAAGCCAATCGTAATGACGGCCAGCGATGTCAATGCCATGGCGCAAGCAACGTTCGATACGGGCCCATACCTCGTGCTGATTCTCGTACCTTGCAGTGGGCCTGAGGCTTCCCGACGGATCTTCATCCTCAAACTTGACGCGGAGGAAATTGCCAGCGGCGAAAAAGTTGTCCCTGATGACCCGATTTGAGACTTCAACGGATGGTGTCTTGACGTAGAAAGTGGTGGGTGTGATGACGGCGGTCCTCATTAGAGTACATCCCCTTGGCACACGACGCTTGCGAGGATGACGAAGATCATAAGTGGCAAAGATGTCCATGGGATTGTAGTAGGTTCTGTTTGAGTCTGCGACGTTCTCGAGGATGATCAGGGCTAGTGAAATGGTAGAAGGATTGTTGATGTCGCGCACAAAGCCTCGGTCCAAAGCACTGAGCTCAAGCAGGAACTGCTGGGTCAAGGTGTACTCGATGATATTGTTGTTGGAAATGCACACCTCGAGCTGGTAGCGAATGTCTTGATCGAGGTGCATCATATCGTCTTGCATCTCATGGAGATCGGAATCGTGAGAGGCACGATGTGGATCCAGCAATGCCCAAACGACCGGATCTTCTCGAGATATCGATTCGAAGTCAGCAGGACCGCAGCTCTGGATGTCTGAATTATGATCTTCCAGGACCTCGAGGATAGTGTGGTAAGCAGAATTGTCTACACTGGCTGGAAACTTGAGCCTCCAAGTCAGCCAGCGACCCGTATCGACTACCGGACTGGGAGGCACGAAAGAAACTGGATTGAGATCACGCTCTTCGGGGTTCAGATCTATGTCAGTGACGCGGCGCCAACCTCTAGGCCAGTCTCGAAACTCTTGAAGATCTTTGTTGGGCTTGTCTTGGTATATCTCTTTGAGAAGACCGCGTCCTACGGTCTGCCACCATACAGGAGGAAACTGCGAAGTGATGATTATCTCCCTTTGACCATCCTCGTGTTGCATTTGAACAATCTTGAGAGGGGAGCTGAGACGGAACTCGGCTCTGTACCAGGGTGCTCCGGGCTCAGTCGTGAGAAAGAAGCGAAATTCGAGAATGTGCCTGTTAGCTAAGTCAAGCATTAGGACGGCAGGATGGTGCTCTGTGCTGGAGGCCGTATGCATGGTCATCATCTGACGATCACCAGTCATAACACCAAACTCGATCTGCTCGACTGGAACGATGGTGCTTTTCCTGATTTGCCTGGTAGGATCTGCTGGATATGGAATCTCCCTATGTGTGTAAGGCCGGGTTGTGACTCTAAGCTCGCGTGGGCCGCAGAACATAGTTGACTTGAAAAACGCATCGCGAGTGAAGAATAGAAGAGCGCTGGTTGTGTGATCGGAACGGCAGTCAATGAGAGAAACATGACCGAACTCGAAGAGGACCCGGTGAATGTCGTTCGGGTTGCGGCGGCCGGATGGTATGCCCTCGATCTTGATCCAAGTCGGCTCCCAGGGCTTTGTTGTGCGGTTAAGCTTTCGACTTTCGTCATATTGCATGGTGAGCTGAGGTGATATGAGCGGTGCTCGATACATGGGAGCATTGCGACGAGAGTTGGCAACTGGAAGACCTCTGGCGTTGTACCTGACGGTCCCTCTGGCGGGGAGAAGAGGAGCAGGACGAGGTTGGTTGGTGACAGTGGCAAGAGGAGTAGGAGCCGGACGAGCAAGTGAACTGGAAGTCCGAGCCGAAGGTGATAAGCGCCGATGCGGTCCTAGTTTGGGAGCCAGTTCTCTGCTTGATGGTGGGCTCTCCCCAGGTCCAGTATTCTCTGCCATGATGACAGCGGAGAAGCAGGATGTATCACGATGTTGATGGTTGAGCAAAGGAGTGGCGATGAATACGTGGGAGGTGTGTTGATGGTGTTGTCGATAGTGACGATTCCTGAGGTAAAACAAGTACGCAAGCGCGCGAAGCCGCTCAGTACGTATGTGTGACTGAGAGGGAGAGACAAGGAGATAGTGACGGAAGAGGACAACAAACGCCAGCAATCAACAACGTTCTTGCCAATCCAGCGTGAAAGCGTGTCGACAGTTTCAGAACAAGCGATTGACAATCCGACCAACTTTCGGTCTTCGGGTGCTTGCCTTTGCTCTTGTTTGCTGCACGACAACAGTGGATCTGCTTCCTGTCTGTTCTCATGCATGATCCTAGACACTGCTCCAGCCTACATCTAGATCAACATCACAGAGTTGTGTAGTTAGGCTCGCCTTGTGGAGCAAGTGTTTGATCAGTCATATATGTTGTTGATGGTCTTTCTTGTGTTTTGGTAGTGAAGGTTGGGAAAGAAAACAGTGCTTCACAAAAAGTGCCATGCGCTGGTCCCGTCTCTGCATGTGCACCTGCATTTTATATGCAAGCGTCCTTGCTTGGCCATTTCTAGGCCGGACAGGCAAGGACGGACTTCTACAGGTCTGCGGTAACATATTGTTGGTAGAAAATGAGAGCTCGGCTCTTACGGGGCATTCGAAAGTCATGAGGAGCGACTGCGTCTAAACTAAACATTCGCAGTACTTTCATCCAAACCATTCTCTCCCTTGTTATTTAGACCAGCACCTGGGGTACCAGTCATCACATGATCAGCAGAAAATGACCAGTCTTCCAGCTCCCGTCTTTCTGCAGTAGCCACTCCAAAGCTATGGTTTTGGAGGTCGTGAAATGCAACTTTGCTCGGAGATCTAGCTCGCACAGGCGATCGATTGGTCGGCATGTCTTGCAGAGGCTGTCTCTTAATAGCACTCTTTGTTCGCATTATAGCTCTTGCTGACCGTGGTGCGATGCTCGTTCTTTTCTCCTGTGTAGCCGTTTGCTTCAACGATGGACGAGGTCTTGCACGCTTGGGGGTAGGACCATTATCTACCGAGGCGTCAGACATGAAAGTACTGTTTGGTTCTTCGTCCTCAAGATCATCATCCGAGTGCTGTGTGCCGGGTGCAGGTGTGAAGGGCATTTGTGAGGCTAACGAGGTTCGTGGGGTTGCTTCATTGGTAGAAGCAGATCGCACAGGCAATACTGACGATTTCGCGGGCTCTGGTGGGGGAGCCATCATGCCAGTGAGGCCCATGGCATTCATCAGTCGGTTCCTCATCTCCTGTGCCTCGAGGACTTGAGCATCCTTCTTCGTGCAATCCTTGGTCAAGCGCTCGATACGTCTCCGAAGATCCGCGGTCTTCTGCTTACTGGCCTCGTTTTGCTGTTGGAAGCCGTCTTCAGCTTCGGCAAGATCCTGTCGGGCTTCTTCCAGTTGCTCCTCAAGATGACTCTTGACACTCAGCCACTCTTGTTTGGTTCTCGACATGGTATCCTCATAGTCGGTGAACGCCTTCTTAGCCTCATCTTCTGAGTTTTGCTTGATGGCTTGAATTTCGGCGAGAAGAGTTTCGTGTTGCACTTGGCGCCCGTTGATGTCTTGCCGCAGCTTCAAGATATCTTGCTCCAGTAGACTGTGGCCTTCGAGTAGCGTAGCTCGTTCGTCTTCGATTTGAGAGATGCGATCTTGGCTCTCCAGAAGCTGCTGCTCGACTTGTTCCTTTTCGGACAACAGTTTCTCATATTCTGAGTTATCGTGTCTTCTGGACTCCATCGTGTTGTCAAGCTCGGAGCGCAGGTTCTCGATTTCCGATTTAGCCTGGTGGAGTTGCTCGCGCACTTGTTCAAAAGCCTCCTGCTTGCAGGCAATAGCGGTAGCGTGCTGGACTTCTTGGTCCTGCTTCTCCTTCTTCAGCTGGTCGATATCTCTTTGAGCCTTGTGACTAGCTTCTTGAAGTTCTCGCGTGATGACGTCGATTCGCTGCATCAAGTCTCGTGTTTCTTGAGAGGATGCTGCCAAGTCATTCTCGTGGCGGTCGTTCTCAGATTCGAGGGCGTTAATGCGCAGGTCTCTATCCATGACTTGGCCTTCGAGCTCTCCGTATGACTTGTTCAAGTCTGCGTATCGCTTCTCAAGGCCTGTGAACTTCTGACGCTCCAGTCTCAGTGGTTCTTCGACACTCTCGCATCTTGCTTCCAAATCATGACAGATGTTGATGAAGGAAGCCACCAGAGACGTCTCCTGATACTTGGCATGCATCTGCATCACCGCACCCAGGCGCTCCTTCCAATGAAGACTTGCGTCTTGCGACTCAGGGGTGGCTTCAATCTCCACGAATGGCGCCGGTCGTTGTGGCGCTCTCAGACGTGTCTGAATACAGATGTGGCAGATTGGGTTGCTTGAATCAACGATCGCATGGTGTCGGAGGATCTCAGGCAACATGCGGCGGATTGAAGAGGTCTCTTCCTGCGGAGCAGCCAGAGCCGCTCGGAGCAATAACGAGCAAAGAGATGACTTCAAGCTGTTCCTCGAAGACGCGTATGAAGCAACGCAGAATCTGTTCATGCCATGACCTGTATCAATCTCAGATGACTTTTCAAGATCAACGAAGAAGTATTCCAGCTTCTGTCGATTATGGCTAGAATGCAAAGCTGCCAGTATACCACGGCGGCAGAACTCATTGTCGTCAACCATGTCAGCAATGTGACGAAGAAATAAGACGTAGCTGTCCGCCGAGTTGAAAACAGTGGCCGGCGATGCTTCGGTCAACAGATCCATGACTTTGTCGAGCAATTCTCCCCACCACTCAGGCTTGAACTTGGAGGATAAACGATACAATGATAGGCGAAGAGACATGTCTAGATGATCGTGTCTCAGAAATGCGGCACCCAAATCCAGCAGCGATCTCTCATAGAATAACGTTGCTTGAGGTGGCAGTACGACTTTATCGGACAGTGAACTTAGGAAAGTCAAAACCTGAAAACGAAGAGCAGGTAACATATCAGGTACGAGGCACTTCTCTTGTAACTTCCGCACAATGACCACGTTCTTGTGGGACCATTCAATCGCAGCAGACTGAGATACGCCAGCAAGGATCTGATTGACCAAGGTAACACTAGTAAGGCCTTGTTCGGTGGGATCTGCTGACTCCGGTCTACAAGCCCAAATGACACGTAGGACAAGCAGCTGCATCGTTTTGTGTGTCTTGTTGCCGTGGAAGAATTGCTTGATGGCGTCGGGCGTCCATTGCGAATTTGAAGAGTCGGCAGGATGGTCAAAGGTAGGCCAGATGCCGTCGCTTCCCACTTCAGTTTGAAACTTCTCGAGAATCATCCTCATGATAGCAAGACAGTACATGCCCAAAGATTGGTCCTCCACACCAGAGGAGCTTTTGAGGATTGAGAAGATGTACTCTTCCAGATGAGCCAAAACGCCTGGAGATAGGACACCAAGAATAGGCTTGCAGGCTCCGTAGACTAGGTGGTGAATTTGTCGAACAGTCGTAGCATTGGGCTGCGTGGCAGCACGGTCGAATAGCTGAAGTAAAAAATTCTGAGAAGTCGCCGGAAGAGCCACATCCGAAGGCAGGGGATGTGAGAGAATGCCTACAGCAGCATCCACATACTGTAAATGAGTCAATTTGGAGCGACTCGGTTGGTATCCTTGCCATGGTGATACCTTTCTGCTTTCAGCTCGCGACTCCAGGGCATGGGTCAAGAGACGAGGCAATAGTGATGGCTCCCTCTGCACGAGCGAGTTTCTGACGTCAACAGCACAACACAGGCGAGTGATGATTTCCAAGACATATGGCCATTGTGGGAGAGCATCTATAAGAGCCTGACTCAAAGAAGATACTCGGCATTTATAGCAAGAAGCCCAAAGACATATATCGGCTTCGGATGTCTGGTTGACGATATCATGGAGAGACTACATAGAGGCAACGATCAGCGTTGTCTCTGGCAAAGTTGCTATTTTCACCAACCTTTAGTTGAGTAGGATATGGAGTAAAGACGACTCGGTCGACCTCTGCAGCGAGGATATCCATAATCTAATGCCTTGGGCGGAGTCGCATACCCGAATAGTTAATGCATGCACTTTATTCTAGAGGCAAAAACAAACATTGCGCCGGTTGACGAGGCACGCGATTTGGTTATACACGCGGTCACATGACCAATTTGCGAAGAAGGTCGATGCAAAGCGGAAGGCCAGTTGTCCGCGATCATTGTCTCAAACTCTTGGAGTGATGCAGAGATGATCAGCAAATAGAGCGATCTGTGTATCTCCACTTTGATGTGAGTATCAACAGGACCCTAGACGCAATCCACGGCGTGTCAAGGGCAAAGAAAGAGTGATGCCGACAAGGTTCAGGGCAACCCGCGTGGAAATGGCGAAAGTGGGGAGCGGTGGAGAAGCGGGGCAGCGATGCAGGTGGAGGGAAGAAGTGCCATTAGCAAAAGCCGAGTCAATATCAAGATACTACAAGACGTAATCCTGTCCTCTGCTGATATACAAGTCCTTGCCAGTTGCTTCAACCCAGTCAGCACATATTCACTCAGCATGGCACAGCAGAATGGCGTTACGGGCCACTACCGCAAGCACCTTCCAGACATCAATGTGCCGCGCTTCCAGATGATGAAGCAGCAAGATGCTCACGAGTATGCTCACGACTTCAAGACCAAGCACAATCCGCCATGGCTACATGCTCTGTATATGTACTGGCGTTCTCTGCTAGCGGAGCCTTTCAAGGGTGTGACCAGCGATGGTGAGTCAACCCAGGAACCACTTTCTCTTCTCCACTGACTCTCTGTTCCCAGGCAACGTAAGAGAAGGTCTCTTCCACTACGAAGACGAAGGCGTCGAGATCGAGAACATCGTCAAGGCCGCAAACTCCCTCCTCTCCCAAGTCACCGACGAGCAAAAGCAAGTCCTGAGCTACCACATCGACAGCCCTGAATGGCGGACATGGTCCAACCCCGAATTCCTCCTCGCACACAAAGGCCTCCGTCTCGACGAACAATCAGGACAAATCCGTGACTCCATCCTTGCAATCCTCAAAGCCACCCTCTCTCCAGAAGGCTACGGAAAAGCAATCTCGGCCATGCGCATCAACGGCTTCCTCGGCGAACTCGTCCAAGGCACAAAAGTTATGAATGAGTTCAGCTACAACTTCGTCCTCTTTGGCGAGCCCTCTTCTACAGAACCCTGGGGTTGGTCATTCTACGGTCACCACCTCTGCCTCAACATTTTCCTCTTCAAGCGTCAAATCGTCATTTCACCCTGGTTTACCGGAGCAGAGCCCAACGAGATCGACTCTGGTCCTTACAAAGGCACCCGCATCCTCACCCGCGAAGAAGAACTCGGTCTCCAACTCATGCAATCTCTCAGCCCAGAACTACAGCAAAAGACTCAAATCTACAAACTGATGAAAGACCCGGCCATGCCAGAAGGACGCTGGAACAGAGACGATCAACGCCATCTCTGTGGTGCATACCGCGATAACCGCATTGTGCCTTACGAAGGCATCACGATGCAAGACATGACTTCAGAGCAACAATCTCTCGTCTCCAGCATCATCGACGAGTATTTCCTCTACCTCCCTGCTTCCTCTCGGGCCAAGAAGCTCAAGCACGCATTATCCTTTGCTTCAGAGACATATTTCAGCTGGATTGGCGGCTATGGTCCTGAAGACCCATTTTACTATCGCATTCAATCGCCTGTGGTGATTGTAGAGTTTGACCATCACTCAGGCGTCTTTTTAAACAACGAGCAGCCGGCGAAGTTCCATATCCATACTCTACTGAGGACGCCCAACGCTGGTGATTACGGCCATGCTTTGAAGAAATGCATCCCAGCGAAAGAGCAGTTCTTTACATGGGAGCCTGAAGATGCGTCAAAAGGGCCTGGCAATCACGCCAGCCGCTTGGACTAGATCATAGATGCATACAACCACGATTGGAAAATATAAACTTGTTGACACGATATATCGATTCTCTGTACTGCATGCCATGACCTAATGTCGTGGCCTTCATCAAGTCATAATCTCATCACACCAATCTTCAACCCATCGTGCTCTGCTTGTTCATACCCAATTTTCTTTCATGCAAGTACATGCTATCATGCACGCCCTCAAGATACACCTCAAGGGAAAGGGAGGCCAGGAATGCCGGAAAAGCCAGGGGGCAGCGCGACCATGCTTGCCGACACAATCGTGAAATTGATGCATGGAAACGAGAAGCGACCGAAGTCTGCTTTCCAGGCCTTGACTTCGCCCTACGAAATGTTAGCAACAAGTTTTGTAGCGTACAGAAGCGACTTACTGCAGCAGCTTGCTTCAGGAACTCGATGTCTTCGACCATGTAACGGCGAATGTAATCCTCATCGTCGACAGGAAGCAATTTCATGGACTCTGTCAACATCTCTACACCCCGAGTATACATATCGTCTGCGTCCGTCTGGTGAAGGGAGTACCATGTCATGTAATATCTCAGTAGGGCTTTGGAACGACCGTCGAACGAACGCGTGCCAGGACGGAATGTGTGGGTGACGACATGCAAAATGGTCTCGACGCAATCCTTCAGGTGATCAAAAGTTTGTCCTCCAGACCAAGTCTTGCGACTGTAAACAAACAGTCGAGAACCAAAGATGAAACTGCCAGTTGCCATGAGTCGGCCACTGCTTCATTGTAGTCTTCGTCATCGAGGTCTTTCCATGGCATGAGGCATAAGCTGATCATCATCTCGTGCATGTTGACATATGTGACCACGGATGCATTGGCCCAGTGACCCACGATACCCAGCGGCGAGCCCACACAAGCGAGGTCCGTGTAGGAGTGGATGAGATTGGAGATGGAAGTCGAGCCTTCGGATAAGAGACCGTCGAGGTGTCTCTTCTGACTCAGCATGAGGTTGTAGAGATCCCATCCGACTGCATCAGTTGAGACGACACGAGGCATGACCTTGGAGATTTCGAGCGCAGCGTCGGGATCGGCACCGATGATCGAGATATTCTTGCCATGGCCAGTAGGGAAATCCAGAGGGACAAGCAGTCGAGTTTGTCTAGCTCGACGTTCGACAACAGTCAAGTCCTGACGCTGAGATGGATTGATCTTCCAGACGACCTTGATTTGTGTGTCGACATTGATTGGAATGTGTAGCACGGGGGAGACTCCGGCCTCCGAAACGACCTAGATAGGCTTGGAAGGCCACATGTGGTAAGTCATGCGCAGTTCCCGCACGAGGTGTTCGAGATCAGCAACAAGAAACAAAGCGTGAGTCACTCTGTCCTTGACCGAATGCTTTTGAGGGTTACAACACGCGCACAGAGTCGGATGAAGATGAGTGATGGTAGCTTCAATGGCAGGGTTTGCGAAAGTTCTGGCAGCCTTTCCAGTGGCGACAGCGGGCAGGAAGCGTTTCTTGTCAATTTCAAAGGCAAAGAATTTTGAGTGGAGGGCGAATTCTTTCTGGCTGCGCAAGTAAGAAGTCGCGTCCTGTTTCATCTGTTTGCTGACGCGCATGATGGTCGTGTCGAACTTGTACTTGTAGCCAGGCCATGATCCGTTGGTCGAGTACTTGATTTTCGCACCGAGCAGAAGGTTTGAGAAGATATTGTCCTTGATCTCGATGGGCTATGTTTCCAAGGTTGATTTGGTTGCTTCGCTGTCAACAGGCTCGCCGTCAGCGGTAGACATGTTGTGATGCTTGGAGGGATCGGGTTGCGCAATGTTGAGCTGTCGTGATGTTAGTTTCTTTGCAGCGAAAGCGGGCGTTGACATCAAACGAACTTTGGCTAGATCGCGAGAGCCATTGTCCAGGAAGATAGCCTGCGCCATGTCCGATGATGTGTTGACTTTAGGCAGACGCCAGGTCGCGCTTTCCACAGTGCGAGGATAAACAGGAGTGGTCAGAAATCCTGGTGTGCGAGTCTGTCGCGTGTGGGTTCCTCGATGTTGATCCAGTATATCAAACAAAGTCGCGCTTACTCTTCCTTTTGTAGGAGACTATCCCAGCTAAGATTTGCAACCAGCCTTACAATACGAAGAACAACGAAAACGATCTATAGACCAGCTGTCGCAAGATCGTGAGGATCAGAAGAAGCAAAGTCGACACCGGCGCAGTCCAGATGAGCGCAGTTCACTTTGTCCAGAAGATTCCAACGGAAGCGTGCAGATGCAAATGATAGCCCGGTAAAGAACTACTGCGCTTCGAGAGGGGACATTACGAGCCTACCGATGGACAAATATACCTAGTCTTTCGAAACACGTACACCCAGCGAGAGCGCTCAGTTGTGTCTTTCAGCGCTTCGAGCACGAGGTGATTATTTTCCATCACCATCGCTACTGAGCTGGCTTGAGAAGGTCTTCCACATGGCGGAATCCTCAGTACGACCACGGAGCGTTCTGACAGATGGCAAAGACGGCCAATGGCATGCGGTGCTGATAGTACTGTGCATGCAGGTATTTGACGAGGAATCACTCTTGCAGAAGATAGACAGGTCAAAGAGATCTGCAGAGAGCTTGGCAAACGCGGCTCTCGGAGCAGGGGCCAGCCGCCAGCCACGTTGCCAATTGCGAAAGGAGGAGAAGCAAAGTGGACCTGCATTGTGTTTCATCAAGCACGGGAGAGTGTCTGAAGACAGGAAAAGTCGTTGGCTAGCATATTTCCTACATAGACTGTTGTAACTCTCCCGAACGAGAAAGTATTGGTGCATGTCTGCTACGCTGTCCAACGACTTGATTCATACGCATTCTCGGTCTCATATTGTGGATATCGATAACAACGAGCCGAACGATTACCGTCTGGACACGTTTATACCTAGAGAAAACAGAAGACCACGACCCATCGACGTAGGTGTAGCCAACTCCCACCACTCGCGCCCGGTAGACATATCTTTGGCCGCTTCGCCTTCTCCGATGCCCAGGAAAGCAAACGGCGGTACCAGCAGACCTAGCAGGGCGACGGGCTCTGCTCCCTCGTCAGCCTCGTCGACCACCGACGACGCCAACATGTCTGGCAACCTGCTCGAACAACGGCGCAAGCATGCCTCGCTCGAATCTCCCGACTCTGCCACCATGACGGCCAACCTCATGAGCAGGAGCTCCTTCACCCTCGACAATGCCCCTCCACCGACGACACACCCCGAGGCCGCGTCCAAAGGCTTCACAGACCTGCCCGAGCAAGACAAGCGCAACTTCTTACTACTGGTCTTGTTGTACTTCCTGCAGGGCATCCCCATGGGCCTGGCCAGTGGCTCGGTCCCTTTCCTCCTGAAGTCGCATCTTTCATACGGCCAGATTGGCATCTACTCGCTCGCTTCATATCCCTACTCGCTCAAGCTATTATGGTCGCCGATCGTTGACGCTGTCTGGACACCGCGATTTGGCAGAAGAAAGAGTTGGATTCTCCCCATCCAGACAATCAGCGGTCTCGGCATGATCTGGCTCGGTTCGCACGTCGAAGTGATGATGGTCAAGGCTGGTGAGAACGGCGGTGCTGGTGTCTGGAACTTTACAGGCTGGTGGTTCGCGCTGGTCTTGATGTGCGCCACTCAAGACATCGCTGTTGACGGTAAGTCTCCATCTGCCGCTGTCTGTCCTCTCTAACACTACCCAGGCTGGGCACTTACGCTCCTTTCTCCCTCCAACCTCTCTTACGCCAGTACCGCTCAAACCGTAGGCCTTACCGCTGGCCAGTTCCTCTCCTACACCGTCTTCCTTGCTCTTTCTTCCAAGGACTTTGCCAACAAGTGGTTCCGCAGCGCTCCTGGAGAGACTGGCCTTCTGACTCTCGGCGGCTACCTTAGCTTCTGGGGCTGGGCCTACCTCCTCGTGACACTCGGCCTCGCTCTGCTCAAGAAGGAAGACAAGACCAAGGAAAGAGACGGCATCATGGAGGTTTACAGAGTCATGGGCGGTATCTTGAGCTTGAAGAACATTCAGACATTCATCGTCATCCATCTCATTGCGAAGATTGGCTTCCAGGCGAACGACGCCGTCACCAACCTCAAGCTTCTGGAAAAGGGCTTTAGCCAAGAGGATCTTGCTCTGACAGTCCTCATCGATTTCCCCTTCGAAATTTCGCTGGGTTACTATGCTGGAAAGTGGAGTGAGCAGTACGCTCCCATGCGACTCTGGTGTTGGGCTTTCGTCGGCCGCCTAATTGCTGCTGCCTTTGCCCAATTCACCGTCATGATCTTCCCTAGTGGCGGTACCAACCTGCCCTACCTTTGTGTTGTCATTGTCGAGCACGTCTTCAGTACCTTTATGAGTACCGTCATGTTTGTCGCTGTCAGCGCTTTCCACGCCAAGATTGCCGACCCTCATATTGGTGGTACTTACATGACCCTTCTTGCCACGTAAGTCTTCTTCTTCTCTCTCTTCCAGCCATAGCCAAATACTGATCAAACCCTCCAGCGTCTCCAATCTCGGCGGCACATTCCCTCGTTTCTTCATCCTGAAGTTTGTCGACATGTTCACAGCAGCCACCTGCGTACCCGCCAGCATCCCCCCTCCCGACTTCAAAGGTGACTTGATCACCAAGCCCTTCTCCTGCGCTCTCGAGAACGACCGCCATATCTGTGTCAACGGCGGTGGCACCTGTAACATCACCACCGATGGCTACTACATTGTCAATGTGCTTTGCATCATCATCGGCGTTGTCACTTTCTGGGGCTACATCAAGCCTAAGGCTTTACAATTGCAAAGTCTGCCTTTGAGAGCATGGAGAATTGCTGATCAATAGAAAAAGACACGGTCTGCGTTATATTGTGGTTTTTACATTCTTTGGGAGTCTGCATTGGATTTTCCATGTTTTTGGAAATAAGAAAAAGCGAGTAGAAAGCATCATGGTTCGTTCTCATAGCATAGTCAATCACTTTACATCACAGCGATCTTTTGCAAGGCCTGTATGTACAACCGTTTTACTCTAGCAGAACGCTGAACGTGCATAGAAGGTATAGCGGAAATTACAGGGAAGAAAGCGTCATGAAGTGGTTGTTCCGTAATATTCTCGTGATATGATTCGTAACGACATTACATATGGGTACAAGGTATGAATTGTGAGCTCGAAGGCTCATGGTCATAAAGTCTCTGCCGGGTAAAGCCTCTGCCGGACAAAGCAAAAAAGGTGGCTGCAAGGTATCATGATCTCAAGCCGAAATCGTGAGCGAACAAAAGATGATCGAGCATTGTCCGTGAGACAACATCCCTATCGAGAAGAGAAGAAAAAGCCATTAGAAGAAGAGAAGCGAAGCTGGATGAACTCGACCAGCAAGGCATCAGAGAGGAAAGAATCTGATCATGCCTCGATACTCGCATCAGAGATATCAGAGACATCTTCCGAAGACCAAGATAACGGCAAGTCGTAGTATGATGAGAAAGCCACTCTCGCCAGTTCAAAGTGCGAATGCGCATCTCTGACTGCGTGGCTGAGGATCTCGCAGATCTGACCAAGACCGACACCAGTGTAATGAAGGTCGATACCAAGTGCCAGGATGGTTTCGATACGTGCACATGCTTTCTCGATGCGTGTTAGACCGAGCACGAGAGATGCACATCGTAATGATTGTGTACTTGTGTTGAGCTGTGAGAGATTGACACGTAGACTTTCAGATGAGCATGTCAGTATGGATGGTCTTGAATAGCATATTCAGGTGAAAAGCTTACAGGCTCTCGCTCATACTGCTCAAAAGCTCCGGACCCATGACAAGGAACTCGCTAACAATGTCTTTGCTGAAAGCTTCGCAAGGTGTGTCGAGATCGAGTAATTCTTGGAAAACATTCAGATTGATGGAGCGGCCAAGCTTCTCCAGTTCTGGCGTTTGTGCTGTCGTGGCTGTGTGGTTGTCTTTGAAGGATTGCAATGAACCAGAGATGCTTGAACGCATTGCACATATGTTTGTGTAGTGATAGACTGCCATGGAGGATGCTTGAAGAGTATTGAGCAGGATGTAATGTGAGACATGGAAAGAGGTTAAGAGGACAGATGATTTATATCTATGTAAATACCTGCCAAAAGCTCGAGAGGGGTCGACCGATGCTTGCAGAGCGCCACAGACAGACGGGACACAGTCGACCGTACCGCCTGTCGATCTGCGCAGGACATGCGGCCGCGATCGAGATTTGAAGGAAGTAAGGACAGCAGGCCGCCGGCGCGGGCGGTGCAGTGGCTTGCCGCCTGGCCGTTTCCAGACCGGTCTACTACAATCCTCCATGAATTGCATGATCTGAGGATGCATTTCTGGCAGAATACCATGTTTCGAAGATGGCATTCTGACCAGACAACCGTTGCATAACTTCTCGTCCGTAGGCGGCACCGTGTTCGAGACCTAGGGTCGGGACGCGAGGCACATATGGCCCACATGTCAGGGTCAAACTTGTCTCATGCCCACCAATGGGCGAGCCTTGCCCCGTGCCGATGATGGTCGTGTTTGACCTGACTCGTCCCAGCCATGTTTTGACAGCGTGACAAGAGAGGCTTGAGGCCTAAGGTAACCAATCATATCTTGTGCGTAGGACGGACCCGTGTCCGAGGCACCCGAAGCTCCACATTGGTTTCAATGTGCATGTCCCGGCAGATGGAAGTCCGCCATGGTCTAGTCCAGTCCTTGGAGGTCAGTGCCTTGGATGAGGAATATCCTTGCCTTAGACCCTTCGAACGGGTGTTATTTCAAGTGCTCTGGACCTCTGTTTCAACCACTCTAAAACGAGTGACAGCTCGGAAAGGGTTCACCGGGCGGCAGAGTGGCAGACCGTTTGCTGCATAACAGAGCAACGAGCGTACGATCAATTGAGTCTGGGTAGAAAAGCATCCGATAGAGTTCCGTTGCACTTGATTAATATTCAGCGCCACACATCGGCGATGCTGACATGAGGGCGCGCGCATGGCTGCGAAGAAACCAGAGAAGAGAGGTTGGCGGCCGTACTTTGAGGCTTCCCCACAACGAAAGAACGAACGGTCTAGACCCTAGACCCTGTTTTTGTCGCCTTTTCGCCTGCCCACTCTCCCTGTCACATCTCAGGAGAGGAGTGACAACCTCTTCAGATTACTCTACCCATGTCGTCGCGTGTTGATGATAGTGATGTTTGCATATGAAGGTCGGCCGTCCCTCCATGCCCACGCCGATTTGACTTGGGCCCCTTTTTCGCGACCCGCGTCGTACTTGACGCACCCGCATGTGCATGGCTTGAAAGTTCGGGCTCGAACCACGAACCCAATCTCCTGTGCTTGCGGAAATATTGCGGTGGTCCCAGGCCTGATCGCGGACATGAGCTGTGCGCCCGTAATAATGAAGCCCACTTCTCTACCGAGCGAGCTGTGAGACCGAAGAAGCACGATTAAGCCCAGTGTGTCCAGATCATGATACGACGTTCTCGGTGCGCCTTCAGTGAATGCCGAGAGATGAGCTTTCAAACTGCTTGTCAGCCACATACACCGTGAATGTTCACGTCCCTGGCGGAGAACATCCCTCTGCGCATTACGATCGTCTGCAACCTGTACTGAGATTGACGATCGAACCAACCGCGATGCCAGACTCCTGAAGGACGACTATATGCTCGGCAATGCTGGACTCCGCTTGGTGCCGTGTCGATAACCAGGCAATTGCTGTTGAGACAGGCGCCAAAAGCACGCGTCGAATCTCGACAACTCGATGCTAGCCTGTCCACTTTGTCGTGCAGAACGTACCACCCGATATGTTGCCACTGGCTAGGATCTCGTGGTGTTCGACAGATAGTGGAAGTGGATCGTCAGTGATTGGAATCAGAGCGGTTATTGGAGATGTCGTCGTCTCGACAGCCCCGGCAAGAACCCCGCGTCCGAGAAGCCGACAACGCTGATCTTCTCTGTGTCATTCGTAAGCATGAATATCACTCTACACATCTCGGAACAATTACAATACCTGCCCACAGAGAACATCCAAGTATCATGTTGACAGGAATCGCCCACGTGAACCTGACGGTTCCTTCGAACACTCTCGATGAGGCAGAAGCATTCTACAGCAACACTCTTGGTATGCAACGCGTACCAGTCCCCGTACTGCAGAAGGATAGACTTGCATGGTAAGTTCTTGTAGCGCTTACTGAGAGCTCTCAATAAAGACTTGCTTGGGCATCACTCAAGCATGCCTTCAGGTTCGACATCACACCCAACGGGCAACAAGTTCACATCGCCTTTGGCCCCCAAAACGAAGAGTCATCCCGCCATCCGTGTTTTCGTGTAGAGTCGCAAGAAGCATTGTTGAAGCTTCAAAATCGCGTCTTTGAGCACTACCAAGCTGGCGGTCCAGGAGCTCCAAAAGCGGCTGATCAACCTGGAGCGGCCAACTCAGGTATGTCGACATACGACCAAGCGTTTGTTTCCGACATGTACTGACGGCACGATATAGGCTCAAAAGGTGTAGAATACCCCAGCCGCTTTTTCGCAAGAGATTATGCTGGAAACCGTCTCGAATTCAGCTTGTAAGATCTGAAGGCCAAAAACCAATCTACACGTCCATATTTATAGCGACAAGGCATTCATTTACATTCACTGCCACACCATTGCATTTTTGTCTCATACCAGGCTGAGGAGCTGCTCAACCATTTTTCGTGACAGCTGTGGGGTGCAGCAGCAAGAAAATGAAGTCTCGATTCCCCAGGTGGGGTTAATTCAAATGCCCTGCATACATGCGACACTGTCACTCTCCCATTATGAATCACGGCTCACACTTTAGCCGCCAAAATGGTGACTACGATCAAAAATTGGAGAATGCAACTATGCCGGGTACCCGGTATATCGCCATTGAGATGAGCGCCATTATAAAGAAGGTCTTCAAAGGCAAGAACACATCATATATATGGTGTCTGACGCCCGTCCAGCTTGCTCAAATCCATATCCTGGTCTCCAACATTGAGCTTCGACGAATGAGCATACTTGACGCATCATGAACATGTATGTTCCTTACTTACTTGGCGTAGGAAGTCTTGCCTTTGCGACACCCAGTTCTAGTCAGCTTGGAACCGTCGGTATCCTGGCTTCCGATGGTCTGAACAGTACGTCTTTGCTTTGCGACAGCTGGACACGCACTGACAATCGAGTATAGCACTGGACAACAGTACTGCGAGTGCTGCGTTATTGTTATATGACCCAGTCACATTGTCAGCAGCAATCGATTCATGCGGGTCTCTGTCAGAGAAACTGTGGTCACCCTCTGACCTACCATTCAATGCCGGGTTGAACGACTCACTTGCATACGAGGTGTACCGTAAGCGCCTCACAAGTCATGGACTCTTGTGGATTGATCAGCCCCACTCGAGCTATGAGTATAAACAACCACCTCATCAAGTACCAAGATGTCAGGCAATCGACGTCCACGGAAACATCCATCCTGTCAGCTGTAGAGCGAAACTTCCAGCTCTTTGCTCCCAAACCGCCCCAGCATCCAACATCACATACGCGGACAACACCTCGAGATATCAGATCGCCCAATCTGTTGGCTCACAGTCGCTTGTCGGATATCGAGACTTTCTGACCTTCCGATTCATGGGAGTTCGATTTGCTGCCGAGCCCGAGAGATTCACCTATTCTTCTCTTCACGAAGGAAGTGGGACCAATGTTGCTCTTAAGCCTGCGCCCGAGTGCTTGACACTACCTAACAATGGATCTACCGATTGTTTGTTCTTGAATATCTGGACAACAAGTTTGCCCGGTCCTTCCATGAAGAAGGATCTCAAGCCTGTGATGGTCTATATATACGGAGGTAAGTTGTAATCATCTGGTGCATTAAAATACACTCTCGAGGATCAAATATTCATAAGTTCCGTTTGTATTTACTGATCTCTGTTCAGGTGGGTTCACGACTGGTTCCGCAAGTAATCCTACCAATGATGGTGGCAATCTCGCTGCACGCGGAGATGTCGTGGTGGTTGATATCGCCTACCTTCTGTCCACACTTGGCTTCCTCGCTCTTGACGACGGCATTCACAATGGCAATTACTTTCTCTCCGACCAGATCGCTGGTCTGGAGTGGGTACAGAAGTATATTGAGCACTTCGGTGGAGATCCCACGCGTGTGACGATATTTGGCGAATCGGCTGGTGCTGAATCTGTCAACGCTCTCATTGCTTCGCCGAAGGGTAAAGACTTATTCCACGGAGCTATCTTGCAGTCGAACTATTACCAGCCATACGTTCCTCTAACTACTGCCATCAACAAGACTACCAGACAAATTCTCAACCTGACTGGCTGCGCTACAGTTGTCGACCAATTGACGTGTCTGCAAGCGTACAATGCGACTGCCTTGCTCGGTCTCGCGACTGTCTTCAAGTAAGTACTCGATCACTCATGTTCATCCAGTGCTCATATATACAGCTACCCGGTCGTTGACGGTACATACCTTGTGTCCGAGTCCATTGATCTCAACAGCACAACCAACGTCACTAATCGCGTATCGGTAATGATGGGCGTCAATCGTGATGAAGAAGGTGTCCTCGGAACCGTCTTCCCGACCAACGATCTCACCACCGGTATTGATGACATAGCCCACGCAAGTCATCTTAACGCTTCTGCTATCTTCGAATCCCATCTCTTTCCTGTTGGCACTAGTCGCACTGCGAATGACACTCTGGATGTTTTCAACACAACTACACGCATCTCAACAGATGCCTCATTCCGCTGCGTCAATCAGTTTGAAGCCTATGCTGGCGTCAAGGATGGCGTCCTGCCCAACATCTGGTTCTTTGAGTTTAATCGTACGTACCAGGACCCAGCCTATAATCCGAACTTGGTTTGCGCCGCTCCGGTGACACCTTCTCATCCTTACGGTGACCCTTCACAAGAATACTTCAAGTGCCATGCTGGGGATCTGGCAAATACTTTTGGTAATGTAGCTCGTGTGGGCTTTCCTGACCGTGATGGCTTGGACGCAAATTTCGGCCAGCTCATTACTGATTACTGGACAAGCTTTGCGAGAAATCTTGATCCTAATCCTGACATGGAGTATCTCAAGGTGAGAGGATACTGGAACACCATCAACCAGATCGAACAGTCAGGGCCTTGGGAGAAGGTAGACCCTGCACAGCCAAAGATGATGGAATTGCAGTGGAACTCCGTCATGATGTCGTTCAGAGATGTCGAGCAATGTGCCATCCTAGGCTTTCCCCTCAATTATCTGACACAATGAGGGATTCCCCCTACGTACTTGCACGGGGGGTGGAGGACGTCGACAGGCCTGAGGGCCTTGAGGCAATCATAAAATTGTCTGTCATTCCAAGAAGTACTCGTGCAGCTTACGTGCGACCCAAATGTTCAATCATAATAATGTCGTGATCCAATTCAGACAATCAAAGTCTCCCAAGCAAGCATCTAAGAGAACTCAGACTTCTGGTCCGCTCCCTCAACTGGCTTAGTGTATCCCAATCTGTCCTTGTTGTAGAACTCAACCTTGATATCATGGTTCGCAGCACCTCCATCCAAACTTCCGCTCTTCACACAAGTCATGTCTGGCATGATCTCCAACTCAGTGTACAAAGAGGAGCCACAGGTTGAGCAGAACCAATGCTTGTTGATCTTTCCAGATGCACCGACGGCATCATAGTCCTTGGGCTTTCCCTTCGTGACGTTGAAGCTTTTGCGAGGGACGACGACGTTGGAGGTGTAAGCTGCGCCGGTCCATTTCTGGCAGTCGGTACAGTGGCAGAGAGCTGTTACTGCAGGTTCGCCCTGGGAGGTCGAGGGTCAGAAGGAGTATTGCGACTCACAATACATTGGGCGCTTACAGTATATTCATAGTGGACCTCGTCACACATGCAACTACCCTTCGCCATTGTTGGAGTCGTTGAGATGGGTTCCTTTCTTGAAGCTGACGCGGAACGGGTTCCGCTGTATAGAGAGTATGCGGGGAACAGAGCAAGATGCCGACGTGTTTAAGACTGAGATCAAATTCTTCTTGAATAATGCGGCACTCAAGCAGGACAAAGAAGAGAGTCAATTGAGGAAGGGAAGACGGTCTATTTGAGGAGGAACTGCTCACCTACCAAGAGCTGACATTTGGAATAGAGGCTTGCTTACCCCTCATCAAACCGCTGTGTAAATCAGGATGTCGCTTTCCGTGTCACCGAGACTTGATTCTCTACTAGGATTGACAGACGATCATCGCCCAACAACATGCATCTAGACTTTGCATGCTGCCATGTGCATTCCATGTGAATATTCGAGGGCCCGCAAACAGGTGTCGCAGGTCTGGTTTGGCTGAGCCGCAAGAGAACATGACAACTGCCAACGCTTGCGATATTACACCATGTGTCCCGTATGCGATCAAGCACAGGTGCAGTCTTCGGAAAGGCCGTGCGATTCAACTGCAGCGTTCCACCGTCTTGCCCACTGTCGTTGATCGCCATCTCGGAGCTGTTGAACGAGCGAGTTCCATGTCTCTCTCCCGAAGACACTGAACGAAACAGACGAGCATCTGTCGAGCTGAAGACGAGCACGAGATATCAAGCCTTATGTTGAAGCACGTCTCACTGTGTGTCCGCACGACTGCTGATCCGCACTCACGGACAGCCAATCCCTTGAAAGCTCACCGACAAGAGCGCCGTACGACTCAACCAGGAAGATAGCCAGCTGCCAGGATGCGAAACAAGGCATATGTAGTCAGATCGGAACTCGCAGGTCTGCAGTTTCATGACTCTTGTAGATGCGCAGGTATCAGAATAGCTAGACGCTGTGTCGCACACCAGATTACCAGCGGCACGGACATTGTCGAGGACATTGCGTAAATCGAGTCACGTTCGCGATTTGGACAGACGGCTGTTGGCGCTCGATGGTGATTGCACATGCTAGCGTCAAGCTGGTAGGTGTACCTGACTTGAATAGAATCGAACTATGGCGGTGGGAGCGAGGTTTGATGTCGCTGTCGCTGCCACTGCGGAAAGCACGACATCAGCTACGCCGGCACTTGCCGGGAAGCCAGCTATGGCCTGTCGTCGCAAAGACTGGGGAAACTCAACCTCGTCCGCTGCCCACCAAACGGGATTTCATAGGCCCTTCTGACATCGCAGTGGCAATGTTCCAGTCAGAAGGCACCCCGTTGACTGTGGTGTTTCACGAAATGGTGTCGGCCTTCCGTTGCGGCGTCGTCGATGCCAGTTGAGTGCATGATCTCGTTTGTCTCCCCTTTCGACTCACGTTCGGATCCATCGTATTCTGTAGCAGCATGGGTGATCGGGGCAGTGACCATCTAAAAATGATAGGGTACCCTCTGGTATCTGCTTCACTAGTGAAGTAAAATGCTCTCGAGTTCGGGCACCTGCATATAGCTTCATCTCCGTTTGTTCCAAGCACTCTTCCAATCTTGCCCATCTGCCAAAAAGAAGTTGCTAGTATGCGTACACTTAGACGCTTGCACTTCACTTTGGGTCCTCTGGTCATCTTTCTGCGATCCTGTCTAGACTCCGTCTTGCTCCTCACTCCTCACTCCGCTGACAAGGAAAATTTTGCTCGGCTCCTGGCTCTAAGTCAGTCTCACAATCGGGGTGCGTCGTCAACGCTACCGCAGACAACACTAAGCTTGGGACTTTCGTTCACTCGTTTTCTGAGTTGTGGCGTTCGAGCTTCCACTCTACAGTCAAACCAGGAAGACCTTCTCCTTTCACTTTTTCATCTAACATTTCTCCCCCTGCGCGCAACACCTCCGAACTCAGAGTTCAAACCATTTTGCTCGCCTCTAGCTTTCATCCAGGGCGAGACAAACTACAAGTCAAGATGCGGTTGAACGGCCATGCGATTGCCGCGCAGGATCTCTACGATCTTGTGAATCACATAGTCCTGCCACCGCAGTTACCTCAGTGCGCAGACAAGAAGCCCGAGGAGATTAATCAAAACCTTTGGCGTCTGGTTCAAGATGTTGTCCCCGCCATGGTTGCTAATACCCATCCGGCCTGGAGGCGCATTGCTACAATGCTCGCAAAGCTCGAGATCATAACGACCACAACTGGTCTCGATTCCAACGCGCTCAAGAAACAACTTTCCGCACTTCCTCCTGATGGTACGTATTCACCTTCACGCAGAGCCGCTCAAGCTGATGCATCACAGATTGTCTTGCCGTGAATCTCGAGGCACAGAACGCCGGTGTTCTGATTCGCTACAGTCGAGATGGAAGGATCATCTTCGAGACTTTCGAGCTTTCGGCCACCTCCGAAAGTGTTATGTCAACCACTGGCAGACTCTCAAGAACGTTTCCCGGCCACGCTGTCAGCATCCCAGCTCAGACATTCCTTGGTCGCTCATTTCAACAGGAGTTGTCAGATTTACTCACCCGGCTGAGTAGCGAATCTGTCAAGTACTACCAGCCCACGAGTATCAAAGCTGGCACTAGTATGCAAGAACTACGCGATACCACGAGCCCAGCCCTAGTCTCTGACTGTCTCATGAGCATGCTCTGTGCGATTGGACGAAACGAAGAGGTTGCCCTAGTGCAAAAGTTTGTGCGTGAGGACGTCCTATGGCAGAAGACACTTCTCCCTTGGCGCAGGGCCCCGTTCTGGTTGCTCCTCAGGGTCTCGATCTTGCGCGTGCTGATTTGCTCCCACGGAACCACGGAAGCCCTCAAACAGTACAAATTGTTCATGATCCGACTTGTCGCACAACTCCTGGAGCTTGCAAGCCAATCAAACACAAAACCGGATGTGCTCTCAGTCATTCATGTGAAACTTGCTCGCCGTGTACACAAATTCGAGCAACTCTTTGGACCCTTCCTGGACCCTAGAATTGTAGCGATCTCGATAAAGGCCCGCAAGGTCATTAACGACACCTGGATATCGATACATGGAAAGACAGAGCTTGCGCAAAAGCTGCCGACCTCAGGATGGGAAGAGGCCACGAACCTTTCTCTCCGAGGCGCACGAGATATCCTGTGCAAAGCCCTCAAGCCCGCAGTGACTTTCGCAGCCCCCAAGAACTTCGTGCCACCTGCAGACCTGCGAGTATCTAGCTCGACTCTACCGTCGTTGCGGTCTGATACATCTGATAAGACACTGGCTACCATGCTGTTGAAGATTGAGACTTGGGTTGAGAAGCATCTCGCAGCTTGGACCAACACAATCGCAAGCGACCCAAGAGCTCAGCCTTTCGACGATCTGGCAGTACTCATCGAAGAGTACTGGTCACTGGCTCAGCCACAGTACAAGTCCAGCCCGCTTGACATGTCCAACGCGTTATTGACCATACTCGAGCTTTGGGTGTCTTTGGACAAGATCTGCATCTCACGCATTCCACTGCTTGCCAGACACTCACCCGAAGTATCTTCCGATCTTCTCAAGCCTTTACTCCTGCACAAAATTGCACAGATGTGCCGTCTGTCAAAGGTCGAGGAACATCTCAACAAGCGATTGAGAAACGCTACCAAAGGCGCGTCGAGCGTTTTCAAGAAGCCGAGTGCCAACAGTCTTCCCATTTGGTATTATGACATCACACCTGAGCTACAACAGTTGCGCCATGAGATTGACCAGTGCGACATCTCAAAAAAGCAGAGGAAGCTTGAAGAGCTGAGAACATTGATGGAAAAATATGACAGGCTCGTCTCTGCAGCCGAAAACGAGGAACACTACTACCGTCTCAGTCGTAAGAACAGAGAATTTCACGACAAGAAAAGCTGCAAAAAATGTAAGCTCGAAGGTCAATACGCACGTATGACCATTGACATCGATGAAAAATCACTTCCCAACGACGAAGTACAGGCCAAAGCTGCCATCTTCGAGCTCGCGGTACCTCTCGGATATGCTGCTTGGAGGGACACTACTTGGTACATTGTCCACAAGATAGGACAGAGAACGTCTCCCCGGGCCGAAGAAGTCTACAATACCGCCAGAGCTTATGGGCAGCTTCGCTCCTTTGTGAAGCCCAGATCTCGTGCACTCCAACTGACGCTGACTTCAAGAAAGAAGACATTCATCCAATCGCACTATGAGAAGGTGTCGCTACCCACAACCAGCGAGACTATTTGTCGATCCAACGGTATGGACTACGACATGCTTGATGTGGTATCTTCTACTTGGCTGTCTAGTGCACAAAGTCTGCCGAGTTTCAAGTCTCATTGCACTCTGAGTCTTCCTAATGGCTCTTATGCCAATCTGCAATGGGCACTATCTTCAAGCGGTCATACATCAAATCAAGTCATGGCATCCCAGAGCGATTGCTCCAATGATCTTGAGATACGGGAGTACATCGCTTTCTGCAGTCTTCGTTCCGGCGCGAGACTACAATGGCTCAATATTCTTCGAGAACTTGGCTGCAGCAATCTCACGCTGAATGATCCAGCGGTCGCAAGCTTGATACATCAGGCCATCTGGGAAGTAGGCACTCCCACCCAAAGCGACCATCGTGTTGCACACGACGAATTGCGCAACAACACATTTTGCAACAAACTTCTCGAGATGTTGCAAAAGAGACTCATCAATTGAGAGCAACTGGCAAGAGCAACACAGCATGATGACAGTCATACAACTTCTACTTCGCGTTCTTTCTTTGAGCACAGACGAGGTCACAAAAACAGTGTGCCACAACCTTCTGAGCACGGCAAGGAAAATTACACTCGATTGGTGTCGAGAAATTCAGGTGCACATGAACAACAACACTACGCGAGAAGATGTGCAAGGAAGAGCGATCGTTCAGCTGCTCAATGCGGGGCTATCCTGCTACAGCACATTCGACGTTGACGAGCAACATCTTCCTCACATCCTAGGATCAGCCGGAAATATTGCTGCCCTAGCGGAAGCCCAGATCATCGTGTGTGATAACACTCCAGTTGACCGCAGTACTGTTTCTCCTTTGCTCAAGCAGAGCCTGTTACATCATATCGTTATCGCCCACAAACTCGAATCCCACGTTCGCGATCTCTCACGCACAGATGGCTCGGGACTGAATCAGGCTGTGCAGCGTATTTGGAATGGTGCCGTACTGCAGCAGATTTGGGACGTCGCGACTGAGGATGCTCACTCATGGTTGACCAATAATACAATCACAGAGCGTGGTAGAGGCCAGAAGGTTCATTTCAATCTGCTCGGAGGTGATCTGCTCGTCGATGGCAAGCCAGTGGGTAAGATTTCCAGCAATCTCAGATCTCAGCCGCTCTTCCAGCAGATATTTGGACCCGCAATCCTCAGCGTCTTCACATCAAATATGCCCGGGATGGACTGTACAATCTCGCAACACATTTATGAATATGAGGTTCACGTTGGTGCGGAAAATGGACATGTGCTTATCAGACCTAAATCGGGGGGGGCGCACGCTGCAAGCTCTCTCGTAGACAACTTTTGCCAGGCAGCTGCCTTCACATTTCGTGCAATCTTTCACACACTGGCTCGATGAAGCGACCGGCGAAGTTGAATTTCGCCCACTCGAAAAGCCTTGGCAGTCTTCAGCAGAATATTGGAAGCTGTCGTTTCTCAGCTTGGACATTGCCAATACGAATTCTCAGATGCGTTGCGGACAAGAGAGATTGATTGAGAATGGAAGCAAGGTCGGTCAATCAGTGACAGACATCCTCTCAGCTCTGGACAGCTCGCAGCATTGCCAGATTATCCTGAATGACTCTCGTACTTCGGAACTGAAAGTTTACCTACGAAGATACAACTTGCATTTCCATGTTACTACTGGCGGGCAGCTTCTGTCTCTTGAGTATAGTTTTCTGTAGTCGATCGAAACCAGAATATCGGCACCATGATAGGTCTCCGCAGCAAACTCGTTCTGCGCGATGTATCATCTGCGCAAGAGCTGCAGGAGCGTCGCATCATAATTCCGTGGGGGGAGGTCACCATCGCAAAAGAAGACGAACATGTCGCTGTCAGTGTACCGCATGGTACCGGAATCGAGCAGAAGTATTTCGTCTACAGCATTGATCGTCATCTGCGAAAGCTTCGTGGCCAGCAGGATGTTCTAGGTACTTTGTACAAGGCATATCTCCATGCAATCACGTCGTTCGCTCTCCCTGACCCATTCACCGGGCGTACTGGCACCGAAGAGTCGATAGCCACACTGAAGGAAGCGTCTCTGTTTTCGTGTGCGCCTTTGCATATGGAGGAGCAAGAGACTCTTGCTTTGATCAAGTGCCTAACTCCCGAGCGCTTGTACTATCCTAAGCACAAGACAGCTATGCAAACCGTATGCTGGCACCCTAGCTTATCTCCTCTTGCTCAACATGACGATTTTTCTCTGGCGGCGTCAGCAATCTTTGCTCACCATGCCCAGACAGAACTTATGTTTGACTTGGATCAGAGAGCAAAAGTTCCCGTGCCCAGCCGTGGGGATGCAATTCTGCTAGCCAGAGCTAGAAGAAGTAACGCATCTGTCATGAAGTCGGGCTTGTTCTCTGACATGGAGCTATCGTCAGACGATGACAAGATTTACTGTTCTCGCGACCACCTTGTCAATGATGATCGGGCAAAACGAGTATTCGAGATTGCTTCTCTCATCAAGGCATGGCCTCCTCAGATTGCCACGCACGCTAAACTGACTGAAGTGGTCAAGGTGTGGGGAATTATTCGTGGGTACCATGCTAAGTTTAATCTGTCATCCTTGGAAGACTTGAGCTCGCTCGTGTTCAGCGATCACTTCGGCTCACTGTACCAGATATGTCGCCAAGCATTGCGAAGGACTGACACATACTCCCTCATGTTCAAGTTGTGCCCCGTGGCTCTCGGAGCGGAAACAGACGGGCTCGTACACTTGAGAACGTTGCTTGCATTTGCATTCTCTGAATATTTCGCCGGCATCCACTCCCCACCTTCCGAGACTCAGTATACACTTGGACAAGGCTCGGCGCCAGACGTGCAGACCATAACCTGGGTGATCAGTAAGTATGCAACAAACTACGAGTTGCCCAACTACCCAACAAAGACCGACATAGAGGAGTTTGAAACAAAGGAATCCGAGCAGGAATTACAAGAGGATGCTCTGGCTAAGAAAGTCTTCAACATCTGGCCCGGTGCCTCGGTGTCTGTCGTACAGCAGGACTATCAATATTTCAACACGACTGGAATTGTTCATGAGTGCCAGGGACTGTTCGACGAATGGCATAAGAATAGACGTTTTCTGAAACACATTCAGAAAGTGGAGGCGAGGCTGGCTTCTATGCAAACATCCCAGGTTGTGTACAATGTGCCAGCCTTCCATATGTCGAGGTTCAGTCAGGAGCATGCGATTCATACCCAATTCACTCTGACTGATCTTCTCCAAGCGCGCTCCGGTCGTTTATCGATCAGACCCACCCCTCAACTAGTGTCGACGCCCCCACGCAGTCTTGAGAACGCCTCACAGGTGAAAAGACTTGTCTCGGTCTTGAATACAGGCTCGAGTTCGACACACAAGGAGTACAGAAGAGATCTGTCTGCCAGTGTAGAGGCGCTCGAAGGCAGACAATCCGATTGTGAGAGTGGAAAGATTGCTTTAACTCATGGGCAACTTGACAATCACAGAGGACTCATGATTATGGAGGTCAAAATGGCGTTGGAGGCCATCCGTGAAGCGTTGTCGCCTTGCGGTACTGCTGCATCTATTGTCGACAGCGCCGATCTTTGGCCACGACTTTCTGAATCTTGCCTACTCAGTCAGCTTTCTCGAAACAATGTGGACCGCCTACCTGCACATTGGAAAGTCCCGCTTCTTCAATTAGGCGAGAAGATGGCATCTCTACAAAGATCCGAGCGTATGGCACTTCTTCATGGTGCCTCAAACAAGAAGGCCTTGTGGAATGAGCTAAAATGTGCGGGACGAGATGGGTGGACCGCTACCGAGTATCCCAGCTGGCTGCTCCTTGAAATTGAAAACAACATCACCATTCGACCTCTCCAGGCAAAGGTCGCGAAAGAGATGATTGCACCTGGCTCTGGACGTAACTCCGTCCTCCAGTTGAACATGGGAGAAGGCAAATCTTCTGTTATTGTTCCCATGCTAGCCACTGCTTTAGCAGCTGGTGAGAAACTGGCAAGAGTTGTTGTGCTCAAGCCTCTTCTTCGCCAGACAGAGCAAGTCCTTACTCAACGTTTGGGTGGCTTACTTGGTCACCGTGTTGGTCATGTACCCTTCTCGCGAAAGACCAAGATTGACGTAACGACAGTAAGGATCATCCAGAATACCTTCCAGAAATACGCGCAAGGTTATGGTGTGCTGGTCGCACTTCCGGAGGAGCTACTCTCCATGAAACTCATGACGCGTGAAAAACTGGCATCCGGTTCCACTCTTGCGGCGGAAATTTTGGATATGTATCGCTGGCTCAAGGTTACTGCTCGCGACATACTGGATGAAAGTGACGAGATTCTGAGCGTCAAGTCCCAGCTCATCTATCCAGTCGGTGACCAGCAAATGCTTGATGGTAAGAACGACCGCTGGCAAATTGTGCAAGCTGTACTGCGAAGAGTCGAGCTTCATGTCAAGCGGCTTGCAAATTCTTATCCGTCTGAACTAGAGTTGGAGTATAGCGGCAAAGCTTTCCCTCTACTCAAGTTCCTTCGACCGGGAGTCTTCGACATGCTGATGGAATTTCTGATCGAAGACGCCATCAGCGGTCGTATCGCTGGCGTATCGTTTGACTTTTATTCTGACGACACAAGAGAAGCAGTTAAGACTTACATCAGCTCTCGAGAAATCTCTCCTACTTGTCTCGAAACACTCACCACGAGTGTGCATGAGGGCCCCCACTGGGACGCCCTGTTCATCTTACGCGGACTTTTTGCGCATGAGGTCCTCTCCTTTTCGCTGCAACGCAAGCGATGGCTGGTCGAATACGGCCTTGATTTACGCCGCTGTCTGATGGCGGTACCATACCGAGCCAAGGGCGTCCCTTCTGTGAACTCGGAGTTTGGCCATCCTGATGTTGGCATCTTGTTGACTTGTCTCAGTTACTACTACACAGGTCTAACGCTAGAGCAGATGTACACATGTTTCGTCATCCTCTCGAAAGACTCGAATCCCCAGGACGTGTATGACAACTGGACGTCCGCCCGTGACTTTCCCTGGAGCTTGAAGTCGTATGAAGCGGTCAATCTTGATGACAAGACGTTGTGCGAAAATCTGCTCTATCCCAAACTCCAATTCAACTTGGACATCATTTCCTTCTATTTGAACCAGATTGTATTCCCCAAGGAGGGTAAGGAGTTCTCCAAGAGAATCTCAGCATCTGGCTGGGACATCCCATCCACATCTACTGATCCTGGTCTCGTCACTACTGGGTTCAGCGGGACCAATGACAGCAGAGCTGTGCTTCCGTTTTCTATCGATCAAGAGGACCTTCCAGAGCTTCTTCACACGAATGCCATGGTACTAGATCTGACCCTTCGAGCAGAGAACAGAAGTTATCTGCAGAGCGTTGACGCGTATGGTAAGAAGTTGAATGTCGACGGCCTCCTTGCCATGATGACTAGGCAGAATCCTCGAGTCAATGTTCTAATCGACGTAGGAGCTCAAGTGCTCACAGCGACCAACATCCGACTTGCCCAGCAATGGCTTGCTCTGGAAGCCGGTGCTCACGCGTCGGTGTTCTTTGACGAACAAGACGAAGCAGTGGTCTTGGATCGAAGCGGAGCCGTCACTCCATTACGAATCTCGCCATTCTCTGGCAAGCTCGACGCTTGTCTCATGTATCTGGACGAAGTTCACACCCGCGGTATTGATCTGGCTATACCCATCGGTGCAAGAGCCATGGTAACTCTGGGACCTCGCCTAGTGAAAGACCGTTTGATGCAAGGTAAGTTCCATTTTCATCAGTGAGATCTTCCCTACTGACAAAGATCCTAGCTTGTATGCGACTGCGTAGTCTTGGTAACGGCCACTCACTGTGCTTTGTCGCTCCCCCTGAAGTCCATCGCAGCATCGCTGATGCATCTGGTGGGAAGGATGAATCGCAGCTTACCTCATTCGATGTTCTCGCGTGGACCATGGAACAGACTTGCCAATCTCTGGAGATCGCTAGACCTTTAAGAGCTATGCATGGTCTAGAAATGTCACGCCAGCAGAAGGTTTTGGAAAAGTTTCTGCCAGAGACTAGGTCTTCGAACGCGATCATGAGCAAATCATCTGAGATGGGGAACTTCTGGGAATGCATCCAAGAAGATGATGCGCAGACCCTGGAGAATCTCTACGGCATCAACGACCATCGCCTCGAAGTGTTCCAAGGTCTGCTTGATCGTACCTCGAAGTGCCCCATGATGCAGCACCTTATTTCGGAAATTGAGACTATGAGCAAGACTCGTTTGCAGGACTCGAGTATGGACAACGAGCAAGAGCGCGAGCTTGAGCATGAGATCGAGACGGAGCGCCGAGTCCAGCGACCTGCGAAATTGGAGCCCATCATTTCATCTGTCAGCAAGGGCATCCTAGACTACATCGCCTCTGGGACGGCCTTTGCGCTGAGCCAGTGCGAGGCAGTCAATGCCTTTTCTTGCTTCGATAAGACCACGGCAAAGATCATCTCGGAGAAGCAGAACGTCACGGCTGGTCACTTTAGAGTTCTAGCCACACTCGACTTTATCCATTCTGTCCTCTTTACAAAGGGCAGCTTAGGCGACGATTACCTCCGCCCGACGACTTGGGTATTGAGCAGTACAGAGACAGAAAAGCTGCTTATAATAAGTCCACATGAGGCCAACGAGCTCCTTCCCGAGATCAAAGCATCTGGCAAGATTCACCTTCACACATTCGCTGCACGCTTGAACAAGAGAATGGCGCGTTTCAATCACATGGACTTCTACACTCCTAATGCCAGACCTGATGATGTTGCTCCCGCAGCTCATGCCATCCGCGACCTTGAGCTTTTCTCGGGCTCATTGTACGTCGATAACATGGCTAAGTACGAACGACTATGTCACTTCTTGGGTGTCGCGACTGCTTCTACTCGCCCGCAAAATAAGCCTGTCCAGACCGATGGCTTTGTGGATGTCAAAGACAGAAAGGAAGTTGGATGGCCCGAGGATTGTCCTTTCAACCGCAGCCCTCTCCCATTCTTCAAGCACATCTTGTCGCTTCGAATGCACGGTCAAGCATTTGACCACAGTCATATGGGAGCTATGCTTAACGGTAGAGCTTTGCAGGAAGCTGCTTTTGAAGGTTGTCAAGAAATCGAGGAGATCTTTGAAGAGATGGACATTGATGATTAGAAGATGGTGCGCAAGAAGTTTTCTACAGTTCTAGATGGTAGAAAAGAAAGAACGTGGCACGGTGACGGCAGCTATGCATTTCAGTAGAGTAGCTCAGTTACCACAAGTTTTCTTTTTGATTTGTGCCTTGCGAATTATACTCCTGCTTGCTTGTTGGTTCTGCTGTTTTTGCACGACTTTCAAAAATGCTGCGAATAGTGCGTGATACTAACATGAAGATACTAGACCGTGACTGTAGCCTTCTTTTGTTCTAGCTGTGAGCTTCTCGGTGTATTTCTGCTTTATCGCGGAAGTCTTCGCCTACGGATCATTTTGACCATGGCTACAACCGCTCTGAATCTCAGTGATCTTCTTTTTGTGGACAGAGGTGTTCTAATCGCCACTGCTCTGGGATATGAGCATTTGCCTTTACTGAGCAGTGGCATCGCTGTATTCTTCCACGAACGGGTCGCGAGCAGACCATCTCTTCTGGAGAACAGGAATGCGAACTCTCTCAGCACATACTTAAGCGAAAGTGTTGAGATTGCGATGCATGGAAAGAGTAATCTTGTCTATTTGCTTGCAAAAGCCAAGTTCACGACTCTGATGAAGATCACCCTGAAGGTGCTCTTAATGTGGCCTCTCCCTGAAGCGAGGCATAACAGGCTTCCATGCTGTTTTGTAGAACAGAACGAAACCACCATGGATATACCAGCAACGAGGATGTCAGATTTCGACAGAGCAACTATTGCCAAATAATGAGTGCGGCAAGGACTCAGATCTAAATCTACATGATGAAATAAGTGGAAACCGCCATCGTGACAGTCTTCAAGGAAAGGGCGATAGAAGACCCCTTTCCTGCCCGACTCCAGCACACGAAGTGAGAAAGCACGGCGTTGTGACCATGCAAAGCTTCTTCTCTGGGAAGGCACCATCTTTTAGGAGTCGCTCTTCCTCGAATTAAGCAGTGATGCTTAGATGCAAATGACGACGCACAACTTGTATCCATCGGTCAGTCTCAACTTTTGAGTTGAGAGAAGCTACTGAGAATGAGTTGAGACTGTTCTTTGGTGAATAGTATGGGAATTCGTGCGCCCAACTTCTGATGGACATTGGGTTTAGTGACTAGAGAGACAGGCCACTTTTCATGGTCGCCATCCATGACGAAGACCTGGAAACAAAGCGCGTAGCACCCTGAAAATTCAGCGTGATGGAATATCAACAGAAATTCGATATTCTATGGTTTAATGTGTATACCGACTCCAGGCTGCTGTCACTCTACATCACGTAGTCGTCATCGGCGGCATACTGAACACCCCCTTCAGGCTCCTCTTCAGCATCAGATACAAGCTCAGCTGCGTTAAACACGTGGAACAGCACGACATCGGAGAAGGCCAAATCCCTTCCGCTCGGAAAGTCCTCGTCGCTTTGCCCAAACACAGGGTGTCCGTCAGGTCGATACCATATCAGAGGGCCTTCGTACCCTTGCACCCGAAAAATTTGGTTAAAGTTCATGGTACTGTTGTCGGCAGAGGCAGGTCGTTGTAAAAGGCGCATCTGGAGGATCACATTGTCCAAGACGGACATTTGAAATCGCTGTTGCAACTCCTCGTCGTCGGCAGGGTCGATCGGGATGGCTGCGTCGTCGTCGAGGACCCATTGATCTTCTTCGCGGACACCCACAATATCTGGTTCGAGATGCCCACATCCGTTGCAAGTACTGATCAGCCCGCCACAATGGATGCACCATTCGTGGCCGCAGACGCAAGTCATGTGAGAGCATCCACCATTCCTTTCGACCATTCTGCGACAGTAGGAGCAATGTCGGTAGCCTTCCTTCTGCATCTGATCGTGTGCTTGTTGGTCTCCTTCGGATGGACCTGCGCACTCACCTTCGTGTTGAGAAGCACGGCATAACCTACACGTTGAGGTTCCGCACTCGCCACACCGGGCGAGGTCGTCGATAAATACGAGCGCTGGCGGGATAAAGGCGCTACAGTTTCTTTTGGCGCAGTAACAGCGCTGATTCGGGGGCGTAGTGAGTTCTCGAATTTTCTTCTCCAGAATTTTTGCTTGTTCTTGTGGCAGAGCTTGTATCGCGACGCTTTCTGGAACGGAACACTCGACTTCGCATCTGATCGGCCAGTCGCGCTCGTATCATACCGCAGAGCAACCGCGTGTCATGCAGTCGTGGCACCATGAGTGGCCACACGGTAGGGCGATGAGAATCTCCTCGCCTTCGCAGATGTGACATATCTCTAGATGTTGATACTCGGCAACGACACTGTGGCTCTGCTCTTTCACTGTGGGTTCCGTGTCAACAGGTGACGGTGTCTGCTCGTCGACGACCGCAGGGCCCGAGGCGGATAGTACATTACGAATGGAGGTGTACTTGAGCTGAGCTTTGGGGTTCGGGAAAGCCATGATAGGGACCTAGCTTGTATGGAGGGGGCTTGATATTGAATTGATGATGAATCTGGTTGTTGTGTTTGACGACAAGTATCTGTTATGTTCGATCGATGAATAGATCCAAGGGAGGACTAGTAAACGATTCCAGCGGCGATTTGTAGGCGAATGTAGCTCTGACTCTTCTCGAATAAGACTCATCGCTATGGCTCATCCAGAAAAGGATCATTGCGAGAATTAGCGCTTGAATGGCTCAGGAATCTACACTTGCTGCATTACGCCGACAAGATAACTCTTCGTGCTCCCTCGGCCTTCTCCGTTCCACATTTGGCTTTCGTTCGTGATAATTGTCGTCAGAACGAAGCAGCGCAGCGATAAAAGCCAGAGCACGTAAGATTCGATGCCTAAGGCAGTTTTTGGAGCTTGGGCTGTTCGGTGCAGACTTGTGGCACGTCCTCGACGATGGACACTCGTGACTTCATAGCGACTACCGTACTGCTGCTCTCTACCTTCCCATAGAAAGCTGTGACGTGACCAAACAAGCTTTGCGGAGTTTTACGTTCGACCTTTTGAAGGAAAGCATTGACTTCATGAAAGGTGAACGTGACTTGCACCCGAGTGTTAATGGAGAGCATAAGTCTTCTGAGAGCTCTCATATGGTATATCATGAAGTCGTTATTACTTTACATACCGCGCAAGTTACTGCAGCTTTCTGCCCGGCAGTAAAGCCATGTCTTATTCGAAGCGAATCTTGCGTCCTTTCGGCTTGGTATCGGCATTCTGAGAATAATGAACTCTTATGCCCTGCTCTCTTGCCCACTCGGGCGCATCTGGACTGCAGTGCCAAACATTGACGAACTTGAGTGTTTTCAGAGTCGACTTGAGACCCTCAACAAGCGCGCGTACACATGCGCCCGTGATCATCGTTGAAGAAAGATCGATATCTCGCAGCTGCTTCATGTTGGTCGCAATGTGATTGGCTACCTCATCGTTGACACTAGAGTTGTGAGTCAGCCGCAGGCTACGGACCCGCTCCAAACGTGGAAGGGCGAGGATCGAGGTCACGGGTTGGGCTGCGCCTGTGCACTGCACATGCAAAGTGCGGAGCTTGGACATGTTTGAGTGCTTGAGAAACATGTTGTCTATAGGGTCTGGGTAGTTTGAGATGAGCTCCGGATCAGATAAGAGAAGACTAGCGATGTCTGTGCCGCAGCAGACAAGTTCTTCTAGGTTGGGAAGAAAGAAGTCCTTCGGGCTCAACAAGACAACACTGCTGAGCGGACGATCGAGGTCAAGGCGTAGCACACGAAGGCTTTGTGGGAGGTTACGAAACGGAAACGGTACAGGACCAGAGGATACATCTGACGTCATGTCAAGCTCGACCAAGCGGCTTGCTGATTCCCTGAGTGACAAGATATCGTAAGGGGTGGCCCAGTCATTGAGCGAGAGAGATTGGAGATTCGGTGTCAACGCCAGCAAAGTGCCAATTCGGAGGGTGTGCATGGAGCGGTTGGGCGACTGAAAATTTCTGATCAACTTCAGACGGCGAAGCTTGGGAAACTCGCCTTTCCAGTGGATGTTCAGACTGCCGGGGACGATAGCACGACATTCGAGTTCTTCCAAATTCTCACAGCCTAGGAGGAGGCCTGGAAGGGTCATTGACGATACACTGGCCGATGCACCGAGGGTGAGCTTCTTTAATTTGGTGGCAGACTTGAGGTTGTGAGTAAGACTCTCTCCTTGCAATCCTCCGTCAACGATTCGAAGCGAATGGAACTCCGGACAACTCTGGGCCAGGGCCTTGATGACCTTTTCCAAGTCGTTGACACGTTTAAGAGTGGCGGAGATGACTTTGCGTCGGGATGTGTTGATGCAGCGGCTCAAGAATGCGGATCTCACGTGCCTTCTTGCCTCGGAGAAGTCCAGATTCATCCAAAGGCCAGGTAGGCTGTTAATGAAGACGTTCCATTGCTTCGACACGCGAGTGCAGTAGACAGTCTGTCGGAAGTTGAGGTACGACAGGATCATCTCGACGATCTCGATGGGTAGCTGGGCGAAGGGATCTGCGGCTTTATCGGGAGCAAGAGACAACAAGAGTTTGTTGTGCATTTTCTGTAGCAACTCGACATCCTTGACCTTTTTACTGATTCCATGTTTGTAGATACTTAATGCAACATCAGTCTTTTGCATCATTTGTAGCACCTTGCCTGCTCGCAGGTAGCCAGTGGGGTCCTTCTCGAATATCCGGATACATGTTCGGGCATCTTTGAGCGCGAGCTTGTGATCGCCGAGCTTCTCATGGACCGCTGCGCGTGTGTCGAGCAATTTCACCGATGGCGATGGCTCATGTCTGATAGCCAGGTCGAGAAGGTCTACAGCTTTGGCATACTCCTTCCTTCTGTATTGAAGTCGTGCATGCTCGAGGAGCTCGATGGTTGGCGGTATGTGAGGCATTTAGTCGGTGGAAAGCATTTACAAAGTGATGTCTTGAATCAGAAATACGGTTGATGAATTGACGCGCACCATCGCGTTGGCGAGAGAAAGCGCGTTCGTCAAGGCTTGGCGGTCTGATCAATTTGACCACCTCCTAACCATGACCCCCGTCTTTCTGTCTGTCTGTGACGGAGGATAGTGTCTTATCTCCATCCAATGTAATCTTCAATTCTTATAAAATTACATCACCATTATCATAACCCGCTACTTATTGCTCAAGTCACTGTCCTAATGCCAGCGATCTTGCAGAACCGAGCTTCAACCTCATGTAAACCATCGTGCAAGTCCTTCACGGTATCCCCATACTCGTATAACGCAACAGCAATCTCGCCGACCTGTCTTGCTGTTCTTCTGGTCTGCAGACGGCTGACAGCCTCCATAATGGCAAGGGCGTCAGACCTTCGACGAAGCCAAAGAATGCGTTTGCCGAGAGTGATGTTACAAAATGCGTCTCCCTGAGTTCTTGGATCTTCTTCATCATCGTCGTTTTCTTTGTCCAACTCCGTTTCCTTGCTGCAAAGACCCTTTTCGCTATCTAACGTGTCCCTCGGATTGGGCGAAAGGCTTTTGCGATATCTACGACGGCCATAGGCGGATTCTTGATCGAGAAAAGCACGTTCGAGTGTCTTGAATCTCCTTGTGAGATGGCGAAGAGTGTCTTGCATAGATCTGATGGTCAAATCGTCAAGGCGGGGCAGGGGAAGGCCTTCTGAGCGTCGTCGCTTGCCCCAGTCTTTATTGTGTCGTCGTAGATTCCGTAGAGATTCCCGTTCCTCATACAGCTGGACCCGGAGATTGCTCAGGTAGTCGTGTATCTCATCATGGGCGTTGGTGACAGTTGTGATGTTGCCCCAAAAGACGCGTAATAAGGTAGCGATGGTGAAGGAGAATGAAACGAAACCGATGATGGTGCTTGCTAATGATAGTGGAGCAAGAGTTGAATGTGTGGATAGAGTGATTCCCATGATTGATGGCAGGGAGAGAAGCGTGATGAGATCAAGGTGGTAGTGGGGTATGAAGTCGATTATGTAGACAAACTTGAATGCAGGCACGCGATGCGATCAGAATGGCGATCATGAATGAGACCTACATTTCTTTGATATGAGCTATCTGAGTGATGTGTGACCTGGTCACTGGCGCGCTGATAAGCGGACAAGTTTCGAAGCTTTGTTGGTGGGCAGAATGGCACGACAACGGCAGAAAGCATGGGTCAGCAGCCGATGCGGAACAAGGAGTTGGCGCCTAGATCGGAGCTCTGTCACGAGTGAAAGCTAGACACGATAGCACAGAGCGGGCTCGACTGGAGTCTCGAAGAAGATGAGGCTCTGCAGTAATGAATCATGGAAGCAGAGAAGGTCAAGGAACCGTGTTGCATTAGGTGTTGTCGAACGATTTTGCAGAAAGAAGGACGACAGCGCTTGGACACCAGAAATTGTCAGCCAATGACGACGTGCCCAACTTTTTCGCGAATCTCGCCCCGCTGTCGAGTCATCGGGCAGTCGTTTGATCCAAGATCGCTGCCATCTTCATCTTCATCTCCATAGAAATAGCTTGTCCATTTCCGCTTCCCTGCTTCGCCCAAGCTCCGACACATCTGCATAGCAACTCATATTCACACTCCAGTGGTCCGAATCATGTCGGTACCATTCTTGCCAGCCATTGACCTGGCCCAAGGCCTCAACGCCTCTGCAGGCCTCAGCGCCGCCAGTCTTGGTCACGTCGGTGCCGTCTACGCTGTCGCAACCCAACAGACGATCGATGCCGCCTTCGACCACCTCACCCAGACTGCCACCCGCTTCGGCACCTACTTCGACTGCACAAAGCTCGACTCCACCGACGACATCCTGTCATTGCTTGACGCCGGCGCAGTCAAGGTCTTTGTTTCCAGCTCGCAATTGCAAAATATCCAGAACAAGAATGTCGATGCTTCGCGACTAGTCTTGTCGCTTGCCGGTGCTGGTAACTCGGCATTGGACGTGCTCCAAGGCAACGAGGTTGGAATTTACCTCGCTGGCATCGCCGACGTTACTGCCGTCGAGAGCCTGCTTGAAGCCTACGGATCAAACAGGCCTCCCGTCTACGTCTCGCTTGCCCAGCCCACCCTGGAGAAGGCCCTCCAAATCGCCCACATCAACGCGACTCCTGTCATCGCCGCCCAGCACCTCACCGTCGACTCCAAGAGCCAGCCCAACCTCATTCCCGCCGCCCCTCTCCTTCTCGCAAACGCCACCACCGACAGACCCGATGGTCTCTTCACCACCCTGGTCACCGACGAGCGCGGCGTCGCTCTCGGTCTCGTCTACAGCAGCGAGGAGAGCATCTCCGAGAGCTTGCGTACCGGTCGCGGCGTCTTCAACAGCAGGAAGCGTGGCTTGTGGTACAAGGGCGACACCAGCGGAGACATTCAAGAGTTGATTCGCATCGACAAGGATTGTGATGGCGATGCTCTTCGTTTCATCGTTCACCAGAAGGGCAGAGGCTTCTGCCACTTGGCCACCCCCACCTGCTTCGGTGATTACGCTGGCTTGTCGCGTCTCGAAAAGACCCTCTCAAGCCGCAAGCGTTCGGCCCCTGAGGGTTCCTACACTGCCCGTCTCTTCAACGACCCCAAGATGCTGTCAGCAAAAATCCTCGAGGAGGCGCAAGAGCTGGTTGATGCCACCGAGAAGGACAACATTGCTTCTGAAGCTGCCGACGTCATCTACTTCGCTCTGACTAAGTGCATCGCCAACGACGTGTCCCTCGAGGACATCGAGCGCAACCTGGATGCAAAGAACCTCAAAGTCAAGAGGAGAAAGGGAGATGCCAAGCCTCAGTTCGCTGAGAAGGTTGGCATGCAAGTCAACGGTGACAAGGAGATGGTCAAGGAAGCTGCTTCGGTACCAAAGGCCAAGGAGGACCCAGCAGGCACCATCGATGGCAGAATTAGCATGCGCCGCTACTACACAACCAAGGAGACCAAAGACACTGTCCAGCAGGCTCTGCAGCGTCCCTCTCAGAAGTCAACCGAGCGCATCATGGGTATTGTCAACCCCATCATTGAGGGTGTCCGTAAGGGCGGTGACAAGGCTCTGCTCGAGTACACTCACAAGTTCGAAAAGGCTACATCACTTACAACCACTGTTCTCAAGGCCCCCTTCCCCGAGAGCCTCATGCAGATTGCTCCCGAGACCAAGGAGGCCATAGACATTTCATACGAAAACATCCGCAAGTTCCACGCTGCACAAGAGACTGAAGATCTTCGTGTCGAGACTATGCCTGGCGTTGTCTGCTCTCGCTTTGTCCGTCCCATCGAGCGTGTTGGTTTGTACGTCCCCGGCGGTACTGCTGTTCTTCCTTCGACCACCCTGATGTTGGGTGTGCCAGCCAAGGTCGCTGGATGCAAGAAAATCGTCATTGCCTCTCCTCCCCGCTCCGATGGCTCGATCACCCCTGAGATCGTCTATGTCGCTCACAAGGTTGGTGCTGAGAGCATTGTTTTGGCTGGTGGTGCTCAAGCTGTTGCTGCCATGGCTTACGGTACTGAGTCGGTCACCAAGGTCGACAAGATTCTTGGCCCCGGTAACCAATTTGTCACTGCTGCTAAGATGATCGTCTCCAACGACACTTCCGCTGGAGTCAGTATTGACATGCCTGCTGGACCTTCCGAGGTCATGGTCATCGCTGACTCGTCCGCCAACCCTGCTTTCGTTGCCTCGGACTTGTTGTCACAGGCAGAGCACGGTGTTGACTCGCAGGTTGTACTCATCGCCATTGATATGAGCGAGAAGGAGCTACAAGCTGTCGAGGACGAGCTCCACAACCAAGCAATTGCTCTGCCCCGTGTCGACATTGTTCGCGGCGCCATTGCTCACAGTTTGACGCTGGTCGTCAAGACTCGTGAGGAGGCTATGGAGTTGAGTAACTTCTACGCTCCTGAGCACTTGATTCTGCAAGTCGAGGACGCCGAGGCCTACACCGAGACTGTCGACAACGCCGGTTCTGTCTTCATCGGCCCCTGGACCCCCGAGTCGGTTGGTGACTACTCTGCTGGTGTCAACCACTCTCTACGTAAGTTTCTGATACATCATGACATGCATTCTCCGAGCATTATACTAACATTTTGTTGCAGCCACATACGGTTACGCCAAGCAGTACTCGGGCGTCAACCTCAGCTCCTACCTCAAGCACATCACCAGCGCAAACTTGACTGCCCAGGGTTTACGCAACGTCGGCACGGCAGTCATGCAACTCGCCAAGGTTGAGCAACTCGAGGCTCACAGACGCGCTGTCGAGATCCGCATCCAGCAGATGGACAAGCAATAGATTTGTCCGCTTCATCCCGGGGAAGCTTGTCCATATGCCAGGAGCCTTTCTGCATATCCTGTTTTATTGCATGCATTATGATAAAAGTGATTCGTTCTTATTATAGACTATTGGTTACGTTTTCACTGTACAACATTATACTCTTCATCTTGCCGGTGTTTCTTGAGCGCCTTTCTCCATGTCGTGCTGTGATCTGCCTCAAGGTGCATCTCACAGTGTTCGATCTCAACGCAAAGATCGTCGAGGGCATTGGAGAGTCTCTTGAATGTTCCAAGGCTCTCTCTAAGGTAACATGCAAGAGAAAATTGATCTCTATTCTTCTCTACCTCGGACCCTCGTGGCCTCTATTACCGGAGAATCACAAGTAAGAGCGATGTCAGAAAAGCGGAAAGGACGACACGGGACAAGAAGGACGATGTGAGAAGGAAAGAACTGATGCTGAACAGATGTCCGGTCAAAAGTAGAGTACTCGTGATCAGTTCCAGAATGCAAGAAAGGATCAAGGTAGAACAAGGTAGAACAAGGTATTCCCAAGCGTCCACAATGTGCGAGAAAGCGAGAAAGCGAAGAAGGGATGTGATGAAAATTTCATGGATTCGTGTCAGGATGGTTATCCTCGTTCTCAGCTGGGCGTCTGCTTCGTAATCCAGAAGTGGTATCTACGGTGAGGGCGGGCATTGGTACAGAACGTCGTCTGGTACCTTGATGCAATGTCGTGTCTCGTGCTGGACTGGGGCTCATATCTTGTAGCTCTCGAGGACTGTGGGGGCTCTGGGGCGGTAGCTCGTAAGCAGGATATGTTTCTATTGTCTGTGGTGAGGAAGCAGATAGTTCTGTCACGCCGTTTGGTAGCGGATGCGTCCTGGTAGGATGCTCTGGTCTCGCAGACGGGTACCCCCGTGTTTGTCGGCGATGGTTCACCAATCCTCTGGCAAGCTGTATGAGCCGTCGTTCAATTTCAGGTTTGTTGACATACTCGTGTACTGACACGGCAATGTCCTTGAGTGTGTAGTTCGTGCTCCCATGCATCTGGCATTCATCCAGTCTCATATCTTCCATTCCTCTGTCTACGTTGAAACGATAGTATACACTAGCGTCTGCGGCCTCAGTCATCCATTCATGAGCCTTCTCAGGGTCAGTCATGGACTTGACACCTTTCTTGAGAAGGCTTAGCCTTAGAAGAAGAAGACCTCCGCTTGCTACTCGTTGGCTGGCCTGCAGTCCGGTGCCAACAGATACCAGGAATCGGATGCCGCTATGAGAGGCTGAATTCGGACACGGTCCAGCTGGATGATTCTTGTGCATCGAGGCCGCTTCGGCCCATGCATGTTGTGTGGGATTGTTGACCTCCACGCCCCCATCGATATATTTCAAACCTTCAATCGTGACTGGGCGAAAGTAAGTTGGCGCTGCGGATGTTGCACGGGCTATCTTGCAAATACTGGCACTCTGCTGGACGTCAAGATTCAGGAGGAGGGCTTTCCGTCCGCTTCTACTCCTGCCTCCGGGCTGGGTAGGATTTTGGTATGATCGGAACATGTGGACGTTTTCGTACTTGTGATTTGTGCCATCTTCTCGCATCGCCAGAACGCCCCTAAGATGGTCAGTAAGAGGCGAACCGCAGGACGTTCAATCGACTCACACACGACATGGGATGGGTCTTCGTGTGCCTCGCCCAGTTGCTGATTTATCTTCCTCGTTGATGATTAGAGGGTCCCTTAATCGTGGCTCCTCTGCATTTCGTTGTTGTGCGTGCCTCTCGACAACATCCCTGATCAATCGCTCGAGCTCCACATGGTCGTACTTGTTTCGGCCTACGAAAAAGAAAGGTTTCTTCCTGGCAAATATTCGACTGCTAAGCTCAGCGTAGACGGCTATGCAATCTTCGATGCTCATGCGAAGTCTACCAAGCATGATGGAAATGATCCTGTTGACGTCATGTCAGCGCGTCTTCTACACACAATTCGGCAGTGCAACCCTTTCCTTCTGGCCTTCCTTCTACAAGCATTGTACCACTTACCCGCCTGTGGAGGTCCCGAACATGAAGTTGAAGTAGTCGCATGGTAAGGGCAGTTCGTCATCATCAGGCGACTGCCCAACTTGATCATCGAACTGACTCTCGACGTCGCGTATTTTACGCAAGAGCTGGCGTACAATCAGAAGTGATGCGTAACCTCGAGTGCCGCCGCCGTCTGAGGTACAAAAGTGTTATTACAGACACAGCCAGAGGTCGAGCCGTCGTTATCACAACGTACCGAATGTCAGGACTGCCTCCCTCAAATGCGGCTCACACTCGCACACAGCATCCGTTTGTGTCTGACTCATAGCAACACCGGATGGATATCGTCTCGTAAGACTACTTTGCTGCACTAAGCATTGATATTTGTAGATGCCTTGTCGCCGCACGCCGCAGACCTCTGCGTACAGCCCCGACGAAAGCTGGCATCTCTGATCACTCGGATCATCCTTGAGGAGGCTTACCCTACTGCAAATGCTTGTTCAGGCTGGAAACCTGACGCCATTGATGGGATCCCATATTCCAACTATCGCAACCTCTGGTACTTCGACGAGGCTGCGAACATCCACTGCCGAATTATCGAAAGGCTGCAGGTATATGGATAATATTGCAGAAGTCTGCATAACTGGTCATGCGCCTCTTCAGCCTCGTTCCAATCTGACTCTAAGCGGTCCTTTCTGACCACTCTCATGACTGATTGCAGACGCCCGCCTCAGAGTCGCTGATACACATCTACATACCTCGCTGGCGATGGCTTGACTCAGTCATAATTGCTGATTGAGTCGATCTACGCACGTCTCTAACCCTCACTGCACCCTTACTGCTCCTTGCCGATTTGTTCCCATGCATCAATACGCCTCAGCCCTGTCGCATGCTTGCCCACGACCAATCATGCAGCGAGAAATCAGCAGGCGGGTTGTGTCGGCTGGACCATTTTCCCCAAGCGGCACATGTGCACTGTGCCAACCCCGATACAATCCATCATGTTCCTGCTTCCAGCTATCATGTTCCTGCTACAAGCTGTCACGCTCAACACCGTTGTGCTGAGTTGTGATGGTTGGTCGTATACCCGTATGGCATAGCCCTACTACAGGGATGATCCCTCGCAGTGGACGTATTGCCCACTTGTTTGGCACGGAGTAAGCGCCTCATGTCAAGGGACAGGTGTGCAGGTAAGCATGTGTATTTGTCATACTTCTGAGGTCGTGGATGAAACTCCCCACCCGACCCGACATAGTTTAGCGACACAGCATAATCTCAGCCTAGCTGGCGTGGAAGGATCAATACAAGCATCCGCGACAGGAGTCCACGCGCCTTTGCATCACGTACGGTATTAACCCCTCGAAGACTCGGCTGCAGGCACATTTGTTTTTGTGTGTTGCAGAGGCTCTGCCATATATATATATGCTTGACCGGCTGCTCAGGAAATCTGTACATCACAGAGCTGTAAACTCGAAAAACATATACTGAACTCCAACCAATGTGTATTTGCACAACAGACTCGTCTTCAACATTGGACCGTGCGAGGCCAGATACATCGGCTTACCAAAAAGAAGCCTATCGTCGTCAACATTCCGAATCATCAAAGAAGGACTCCAAGGTCTCGACATCTTCCAAGGACGGCTCTATGGCCCATGTTCTGAATGTAAATCTCAGCTTCAATGAAAAGTTGATGCGCACTGAGCCAGAGCCGCGAGACTCCATATATGTGTACGACTACAGTCGAAACGAGACAAAACGAATGAAGACGCGAGATCTTCTCGAGAAAACAGGTTCGTGCACGCAACTTCATGAAGACCTCGAAGAGCACAAATCTGACTTTCATATAGGAGATCAGTCAATTGATCAAGAACCCATACCATATTCAATGCGTAGTATACCGATAAAGACAGGCACAGGAGGCTTTGGTGGTGGAGATGCTGTCGTTGCTAGAGTACATGTCAATCTTGGATTGAGGATGCAACGGTGGCTAGGTATGCAGAAACGACTGTACATTGTGGACGCAATCCAATAGTGAAGTTTTGGTTGCCATAAAGTGATGGAGTTTTCCGGGCTTTGGGGGAGAGCTTTTTCTCGCGAAGTCCACAGCACCCGGGACTTGTAGATCGACTTTGGACTTGTGTTTTCTTGATCATGCTTACTAGAGAATTGGTATCACCGGTTACGTCCTTTCCGTCCTCTCATGCTCGAATGATGGGCTGTCTGGTCATCAGAACCAAAGCCTCGTTCTCGGCTGACGTCCTGTGCTTCCAGTACATATTGTATCAAGCACACACGCGACGGCATCATCTTACTGCATTCATCTGCCACATCATCATAGATATGGTCTCGGATGGGGTTTGTGCCGAAGCGCCCAACATTCACGATGAAACAGTGAACAAGCGACCACAATCTCTCACATTGGCCCTACAATACCTGGAATCAAGCAGTCGTCCGCCTGAGCCTATGGGTATCGGAGCGGCTGACTATGACTGTTCTGCAACAGACTACTTCCGACAAGCCATGCTCCAAGTTGGCGCTGGCATCATGTTGGTCTGTCCGAGATACAGGGCTGAATCATGGGCGTCAACCGATGCATGACTAGGCCGATGATACATCGAGTGTTCGGCGATCGCTGGAGCCTGATCCAAGATTGATGCCTGTAATGCGGCGTGACCACAGCCAGTGAAGAGGAGCGTGTACCTATATCTGTAGGCTGTTACTCCAAGCCCGTTCGTGACATGCTTGAACTGTCCTTTGTGGCGATATCCTCTCGGAATGTCATCCAACCAAGTGACTGGTCGACCAACTATTAGTGTTAGCCAGCCTGGTCATTACCTGGTTGATGTTATAATTACTTCGTGTCAAGGCTGAGCCTGCATGTTGAGGGGCAACCCTGGCAGGTGTGAAAATCAGCAGGACAACTTGGCAGCAAAATCACTATAACCTCTCGATCGAGACTTACAAAGCCGCTACCTCAATCCCGTGGGATAAAGATGATACACGAGGTGTAAGTATGTCAGCGGGCGACATCATATCGTCACCGAGTGGCGCAGTGTATAATGTCCGTCAGGCTCCATCGCAGCCATAGCTTCCATTGGTCTCTCCCATCCTCAGCAGCGGTCAGAAGTCCGAATAGTTGTCAAAAAGTATTCTCATTATCATCTCGTATGTATAAAGTCCAAAACATGCATGCTTATGTATAAGGTGTTTTTTTTTTTCCTTCAGGACCGCCAGGTGTGGTGTCTTTACGGCAACTCGCCCTCCTCGAAGCTCTGGATTTGCACCTTGATGGCGCCGGTCTTGGGGTCTGCCGCCGTCTTGAAGGCCTCGAGAGCATCCTCAATCTTGAAACGGTGAGTGACCAACTTCTCAAGGTTCATCACACCACCCTGCAACAGGCGGATGGCTCTGGGCCATGTGTTGGCGTAGCGGTACTGGAATTGGAGGTCGACCTCGCGGGTGCTGAGGCGCATGAAGGGAATCTTGATCTCGTTCTTGCCAACGCCGATGACGAAGACCTTTCCGCCGAATCTGACCGTCTGAATGGCACCAGCGATAGAGCTCTCGACACCGGTGCACTCGAGGGCAATTGAGGGCTCGACGCCGCCGCCCAACTCAGTGATGGCCTTTGCGAAGTCTTCGGGTGTGTGCTTGAAGTCGACCTTGTGGGTGCGGACCGAGGGGCAGAACTCCTTTGCGAACTTGAGACGGCCCTCGTCAATGTCGGTGATGATGATTGGCTCAGCACCGGCAGCCTTGACACAGGCGAGAGTGACCAGACCGATGGGACCAGCACCGCAGACCAGAACGGGGTCACCGAGTCTGACCTCAGCTCTCTGTACACCAGCCAGAGCAACACTGAGGGGCTCGAGCAGAGAGCCGTTCTCGAAGCTCATCTCACCAATCTTGTGGCACCACATGGCGGGGTGGTTGACATATCGGCGGAGGAGGCCGGGGACGGGTGGGGTGGAGCGGAAGAGAACAGAGTCGCAGCCGTTGTAGCGACCGGTCAAGCAGGGCTCGCACTCGCCGCAGATGATGTTGGGCTCGATGGCAACGCGGTCTCCGATCTTGAGGGACTTGACGTTCTCGTGGACGGCAACCACGATACCAGCAGATTCGTGGCCGAGAATGTGGTCGTCTTCGACAATCATGGGGCCGATGCAGCCGGCGTGCCAGAAGTGCACATCGGAACTTGTCGTCGTCAGTTTGATCGTCTCCTTGTGCTCAACTTGCGCAGCTACTCACCCGCAGATACCAGTGCTCTTGACTGCGACTGTGACCTCGCCAGGAGCCAGCTTCTCGCCGCTCTGGACTTGCTCGAGCGAAGGCTCGGCCTCGGCGACCCAGAGGTCATGTGCAGGGTTGGTGTAAACACCAATGTTCGACAACGTCGGCTTGATCATTGTTTGTGTGGAAGTCATTGTGAGGGATGTGGGAGAAACTCGACAGAGGGTTGGAAGAGCTGCACGAGGAAGGAATGTGTGTTGAGAGAGGAAGAACAGACGGAGCAACAGAGAGACAGAAAATGTTAGAAGTACCTACCTTAACGTCACGCTCGTGTCTTTTTGACCCGCAAAAACATCCTCGTCCCATGGAGCATATCTAACCGGCGGGGTAAATGGTCGCTCATTGCTCAATGAGGGGGGATAAATTCACCACCGGGCCTGCAGGGTCTCGGGCGAGCCTTGTCACGCTGACCTTTCGGGGCCCATGCTGGCGCAGAGCGCTCCCCGAAATGCTGCAAATCATAGACATGTGCCAAATTACCCGGCTGTACGACTCAAGTCTCGAGGTTAAACACCTCTCGAAAAGGAGTCTTGTCCTCCAGCTTTTAAACGACTCTCGGCTTCGATCGGTAGAATTGCTTTTGATCCGAGCTGTTTCAGCCATCGTGCTTGCTTTCTGCTTCTTTTTATGCCACGCAGAAGGATTGATTTGCTCGGCGCTTTTCACAATCAAGGTAGAAAGGAGGAAACACCGGCCGATCTTGTCTCGTACCTGCCTATCTTCCTATCTCATCCGTTCGGATGCCTGCTTTCGGAGTCTCAAGAAACGCATTCTTGCGAACTCCGATATCAGGCATGTCCCGATTGGCTGATCTGTACCCCACAAGATCGTCGTTGGACCTCCGCGCGAGTGCCGAGGCTTCTTGGCGCGCGAAGCTGTCACTCTCACGACCCTGCTCTTGGCTTCTGACCACTGTTTCCAGGTCTATGGAAGGTCCTGCATAGTGAGAAGCCGTCAGGAGGTCTTTATTCATAAGAACTATGACAACGTGTTCTACCAAAGTCAATATATGGTTGAGCGAGGCAATTTTGTGGTGATGTGGCTTCTTGGCGTTTCCACACAAGAAAGACCGTAGGAACTTTGCAACACCTCAGCTCTCTTCTAGATGTCAAGCATTGCATATAGGCGGGAAGTGACACGAAGTCAACAGGTGGATGTACTAGTTGACAAGATCAAAACCTGACATCCGTCGCAATATATCAGGTACTATGTGGGTATCTTCTAATAGACAACACTTTTGCGCTCAAGCTTCTTCTGCACCACCCTTGATATCATGCTCATACCTCGCTTCCTGGATGAACGGACTTCTTGCTCTAATCTCAGGCCCCTTCAACAACAGAATGATAGGCGCACAGGCCAAGGCCAATGACAGAAACGCCAACAACGAGCTCGCCCATTGGTATCCAAGGTTGGTATACATGCTCTGCGCAGCTAATGGCAAGAATGCAGAAAATACATTCTCTCCAAAAGCTACTGCTGCAATTGCCGAGCCAGCATACTTTGAGTATGAGTCCATGAGGTATTGCGCGATGGACGAACACACAATGTTGATACCAAAACCGACCATAGCCAGCCCGATCGCGGGCGCGATCCAAGGAATCTGCGGGTATGATGTCCAAGCATAGATGAACATGCCTCCTGTCATGCCGAAAAAGCCTCCCACAGGCGACATGTAGAGCCTAGCTTCCGGCACCGGTGTACCAGGATCTAATGGGTTCGACTTGGCAGACCGCAGGTAAAAGTGCAAGTTGGAGTAAGACACAACGAAGCCGAGTAGTTCGCCGATACCAACGGCTGCCTGGACATAGCCGGTGCTGTAAGCTGGCCAACCATAGAGACCTGCAAAGACCTCTTCAATGCTCTGTGTAAAAAGATAGACCAGACCGACTGCAAAAGCAGACCAGAGTGTGAGCGAAAACACCACCCATTCGGTGCAAAGCATGTACGCCGGTCGCTGTACCGAAGTCTTCACGATCTGCCAGATGGGGATGTGGTTCAACTCATCACGAGTGTAAGCCTTCTTGCCAGTAGCAGCGCGTATCTTCTTCGCGCGCTGTTTCAGAATGACGGAGCCACGTGTCTCCTTGATGGTGAAGAAGAACAGTGGAATGAAAGCGCAGTACCAGATGATCTGGATGTAGAAGATCCAGCGCCAGTCGAGAAATTGGTAGATGGCACCACCAATGACAGGACCCATAGTGCTACCAAAAAGATAGACGGTAATGTAAAGCTCCATAGGTATAGTCCTGCCTCGGTCACCGGCCCAGATATCGCAGATAATGCTGCTGATGGTATTGGCGAGCAACGAAACGCAGCCGCCTGTGATGAAACGTGTGACTACCAGAGTCGCAAAGTTTTGGGCTACCGCGGAGGGAACAATGAAGATGATCATGACGATGTAGGATATGATGTAGCCCCATCTCACTCCGAAGTCCTCAAGGATGGGCAACAGTACCATCATGAAAACTCCTCCACCCAGTGCCCAACTCGCAATAGGCCAGTATGAGTGTGGGAAGTGTGCATCGCTGATACCAAATTCGCGGTTGTAGGATTCGGCAGCAACAGCCATTGCCGTTCCGTTGATCAAGGCGATAAATGTTCCGAAGAGTGCTACTGATGTAAGGATCCATTTCTTCCGTACTGGCCAATTAAATCTTTGCACGACTGTGTCAGTGCTGGTCGGTTTGAAATACATTCCAATACATACGGGTTTTCCGGGTCGTTCGGTCCATCCCAATCAACGATCTCGATATCAGGGTCGATTTCTTGGCTCGTATGTGACTTCTCCCTGGCTATATGTTGCTGCTCATCGACTCTATTTGCCAATGTGTCTGAGCTACTCCCTGTCCATCCTGGTTGCTCGTGAGCAGGTTGTGCGGATTCTAACATTTCATATAACGGCTATCGACGTATCATAAGCAAAAGCAGCGATTCAGTATCCAAGAAGCAGGCGGGCCAAGAAACTGGGTCCAGGTACTGCACGATTGCTGGAAACCGGAGCGAGAGGAAAATCAAGACAAGCTCAAGAGAAGCAAAATGGGGTCTTGGAGATATTTGAAGGATGCTGCCTAGAAATGCTTGAACAGGGCCGCCCGAAACCGAGCAGCGGTTATTCGATGTTTTGTATAAGAGATGAGCCTCTTGGGACTTCAACAAGAAGTTGGGAGCGGCGACGGAATAGGCGTTTTGACATCATTAGGTAAAAGGAAAGGGAAGCTAAACAAGAGCCGGGTCAACGGCCTAACCTACTCTCGTGGTTTCAATGACTTGGAGATGCCATGAGGACTAGTTGACTATACGGCCATAACCTCGCTGGCGTGTACACCTTACTAGCTGCCACACCTGGACTCAACGCTCATTCGCATCATATACAACATGACCATTCTACGGCCATATGGGTGGCGGCACAGATTTTGGAAAGCGTCGCACGTCATAGGACACGACCGCGAGGAGATCCAATATGCCAAGTCGCACCGAATACCCTTTTACGGTTTAGCTCGATAAGGCGTCGCTGTCGTTCGCTCACAGTTGAGGTAAACGCGAAGGCCGAGGATGAAGGGAGGGCGATTTTGTCAAGACCAAGTTCGAGGTGAGAAGTGTCTTTGTAGAGCTCGCAGACGTTGATGTAGCCGTGTAAGGCGGAAGGACATCGGGCGGTCGATGTAGAACATGGCAGGCTGTACGTTTGTCTAAAAGTCACTTCTTCTCATGATCAGGCTGCGGATTTCAGAGTAGGAGGGTCGATTACTTATATCATCGCACGACGACAAGGCACACATGGCAAGCGGACGTAGTCAGAAGAGCATGTCAAGATATGCTTGCGTTTGAAGCGGCTTGATATCGCAGACCAATATAAATGGCCTAAAAAGTTATAGCACGGACCACATCGAGATAAGCAGACATAGACACTGCTGCACTTGCTGACCCCCAAACACCAGGCCACCAGACAGATACTCAACACAACAATGGCACCCCAATTACAAAAGGCGTTCCAGATAATCGATGAGGCCCATGCCGAGGATCCCAAGAAGGTCACGATCAATGGACAAGAAATTGCATACGAGCTTCACTATGCCCAGCAGATGAGCTGGTACTTGGAAAGACGCTCACCCGATGCCTCGGATCCTCTCAAGATCGCCATTCGCGCACAACACTTTCGCCGCTGGGAAGTGCCTCGAGACTCGTATCCCATGACGCGCATTGGTTACCACAGCTGGAGAACCTTCCTCAAGAAGAGACAGGCACAACTGGTCAAGCCCATCATGGAAGAGTGCGGCTTCAGCGCAGAAGATACACAAAAGACCATGGCCATGATTGAAAAGCAAGGTCTGCGTGAGGGCGATGCAGAGACTCAGGCTCTGGAAGATGTTGCATGTCTGGTCTTCCTCGACGACCAGTTCGAAGCCTTTGAGAAGACGCTGGATGAGGAGAAGATCATCAAGATCCTCCAAAAGACATGGGTCAAGATGAGTCCAGAGGGTCATAAGATGGCTCTGGAGCTTCACATGTCTCAAAGATGTCAAGAACTGGTCGGAAAAGCTTTGGCTTGAGCTATCTACGCGCGATTCGCCTCTCAGATGTGTCTACCCCCATCCACGCTCATGTTCGTCCCTGTTACAAACCTTCCTTCGTCAGACGCCAGGAACACACAGGCATTGCCTACATCCACGGGGTCCGTCAGTCTGCCTAGCGGGATCGACGCCGCAAACTTGTCCCTATTTTCCTGCGTGTCTTTGACTCCAACAAACGACTCGAACAATCCGGTTGCCGACAGCAGAGGAGCAATCGCGTTCACTCTGATCTGGTCAGGTCCATACTCTGCAGCCAGTGCCATGGTTGCCTGTCGAAGCATCAGTCAATCTCGCCCTCAGTTTTCAGAAAGAGACGAGACGAAACTCACATTCGATACCGCACCCTTGCTGGCGTTGTACCACACCAAGCCCGGTCTAGGCCTTATGCTTCCAGATGACGAGATGTTGATAATACTTCCACCGTCGCCCTGCTTCTGCATCTGCGGAATGGCGATGCGGACGGACCAGTATATGCTCTTCACGTTGACCGACATCACTCTCTCGAACTCCTGCTCTGTGACTTCAGCAGTTGGCTTATTTCTATAAGTCACTCCCGCATTGTTGACAACGATATCCAACCTTCCAAACTCTTTGGCCGCCATGTCGACTACACGTCTCCAATCATTCTCGGAGCAGACATCCATGGCCACACCTTTGACATTGGGGGACGAAAGCGAAGAAGCTACCGATTCGGCACCAGAAGAGTCCAAGTCGCCAATTATAACCTTTGCACCTTCCGAGACGAAGCGTCGAGCTATGGCTGCACCGAAGCCGAGAGGACTGGCACCACCAGTGACGATAGCGACTTTGTTGTTGAGACGGCCCAGCTGAAGTTCGGTAGAAGAAGACATAATTGCACTGAGTTTGGTTGACAGGCTGTGTATATGTAGCGGAAGTTGAATTGAAGCAATCTCTCAGCAGGCTCACCTTCGCATCGGTACATGATTTATGTGCTACTGACAAATGAGGGGTGATGCAGCTCGAGGCGGGGCATCCGAAACCCCGCAGCGATCTTCCATCCTTACCCATCATCATCCCAGCAGACAGTAATATGGCGATCATGAGAACCCGAGGAATGCGAAACATAAGGGTGGATAAACAATTTAGAATGAACCGCTGTCGAATATGATTTGTGTACTATGCTACAAATCTCCAGAAGCCAACCCATATGACCCTCATGTACACCTGACTTAATACCATTACTACCATGACCCATTCCCAGTTCATACTTCATTCTGTCTTCCCTATCACAATGCTTTCATGACATTGTCAAATGGACTCTAGTGTGCTGCTACTGCCGATCTTCGAAGTGCAACGTCAATATCCTTGCGGCGATAACCTGGTGCGCGCATCAAACAAGTGCCTGCCATGCTCATATCTTCACGTGGTGTTAGCTCTGGTCACACAGTAAATAAATTCTATGCTCACGCTCAATGAACTTGCCAACATCAATGGTAACGCGAGCTTTCCTCGCCGGCTGGCGGGCATAGGGGTACACGTGGTCCGTCATAGGCATAGTTCCATACTGCTGATCGACTGTGGGAGCCGTCGACCTTCGCTCGTCGACTTGTGACTGGAAGTACGTTTGCACTACCGGGTATGATTTTCTCTGTGGTTGGATAGCAGGTAAAGTCGGCATGTGTCCTGCCTCCGAAAGTCCAGGATAGTATGTGGGGTGCGCGGAAACACTTTCAGCTCCCGAAGTTGTCAAACTCTGCACGTATGCAGTAATCGCGTCCATTGGAGGTGATGCGACGGAATACCCAGGGCCGGAAGGCTCATCGTCTGGTAGCTCGATTTCGGCGAAGGACGAACTCGGGTCCAGACGGATACCTTTCTCAGCAAGATACCCTTCGACATCGTAAGCGTCGAACCATTCACCGTCCATACCCGTTACACCTCGAAGCAACATCTCTGCCGTGAGCGCCTCTTCAATGGTAGAACCGCCAATCTTGTGGGGGCCTACGGTCGTCACAGCCCATGAAGTCGGTGACATGTAGCTCAAACCGCCTTCCTCAGGGGGTCGTGCATAGTGAGTGCCTGCACCGCCAACGTGAATGTAGGTCACTCCCCAATTGGACAACGGTTCTTTGGTGCTTCGGCTCAAAGTTGATCGCAGGCTGTACTTAAGTCGATCGACAGTGCCAGCAGCCTTGAGGGTTAGTTTGAATACATTGTTGAAAAGAATGGGTACCCGAGCGGGATCGCAGGCGAGTCGATAAGCATATTCACAACTTGCTCGATGTAGTCTCCGAGCGAATGTCCTCTCGAAAGAGCTGTATGTGGAAGGAATGCCCAATGACCGCAGTATGGAGAATGAAGCAGGATCGTTGTCTATGCCATCGGGCATGTTTAATGCACTGACGGGAGCAGTAAGAGGGCTCCAGTGCTTGACCTCGGTTCGGGGTGATGTGTCGCTTTCGTTAGTGGTTAGGGGACTGGATCTCTCGCGACCGCTTGTTGACGACGGAGGCTTAATGACCAGAGACTCAATCTCTGGTGAATTGCTCATACTCAGCGAGTCTGCTCGGCTTTGACCAGCAGAGTATAGTTGAGCAATACTTTGCACCTCGTCAAGTACGATGGGTGAAACATTGGTAGCAGAGCATCTCTCGGAGAAATGGCTAAAAGTTTGGTTCATAGACTGGATGGTGGATTGAAGTTCCTGGACCTGTTTCTTCAATTCATCGATCGTATTCTCTTTTCTTTGTCGATAATTGCGTTGCGCCAAGCGCACCTGCTGCCTTCTTTTCTGTTCAAGTCAGTATAACAACGGTGTAATAGATGAAGCAATCTTGTTTCTGTTCTCGCGCCACGTAGCACAGATAGATTTAATAGTACTCACATCTGCAGCACTCTCGCCCTCTGTCTCCAGTCGAGGTCTTCCTCTTTTCCTGCTCTCTTCATTGTTGGAGTCGGGCGCATCCTTTGAACGTTTTCGCTTGGTGATCCTCTCGGGCTGAGTCAAGTCGATCCGGCTCAATGCTGCCGACATGATGCTGGTGTCGTGTCTTGGTAAACTGAACTTGTTTGACTCAATTCTCTGCTGAAGCCTAGACGTGACACTGACTGCAGCAGAATCTAAGACTTGTGTGCTGTATAGACCCAGTATCAAATTTCGCAGTTCCAGTCAATAGTTGTGGCTCAATAAGACGTGCTGCAATTATCGATTAGGTTTCAAATCTGGTGGAAGGAAAAGATGGGAACTGGGGACGAAGATCAGTAATCCAATGTTGGGGAGGGGAAGTGGTTGCTGTTCGACCGTTGCAGGCGGGGGGCCGGGTGACAGGCGCCAAGATTGCACTGTCTCACCCAGTGTCTGCTGGCCGAGGTTCTTGCATGTGCTTGTACAAACGCTTCGAATCGACCAGTCGAATAATCTCTCTCGCCAGAGTCAACACATCTTGGAGCCAATGCATTCTTCTACAGGTATCAGAGATGTGAAAAATACGAGCACATGAGATTTGTGTTGCTGAACACCTCCGCCCTTCGCCCGAGAATGCCAGACAAGCTGAAGCTGCCGGAGACACTTGTCTGACTCTACAATGTCTCTACAATCTCTATATTGGGATGTCTTCTTGTTCTAATCCATATCGTCGAGGATCGAGTATCTCGAGTTCTTGAGCGATATGGGTATAAGAAAGGTGAGCCATGCCAGTGTATATGCTCCGAGTCGCATCTCAAATTCACAGCAACCTGCAACACACGCAAATATCCTCAACAGGCTTTACTTGACATCTCAATTGATCATGGGCTCCCAGCTGGAATACTTGGAATACGGTGACTCTATAACGTCGTTCAACGACCATAACACCACGTACTGTGCGGATGAGCAACTTGGCTCCGGCGGCTTCGGTACAGTCTTCAGGGTCTACCAGGATAACTCCAATCAAGTGTACGCGATGAAAGTATTCGACGGCCCGTCCTATGACCAAATCACTATCGGGCAACGGAGATCCCACGAGAGAATGAGGGATTCGCGCGCAGAGGCCACTATGCTTATGTGACTTATTCACCAGCATATCGTGGAGCTCGAAGATGTTGCACAAGTCTTCAACCTCGACGACGAGCCGATTCTTTGTCTGTTCATGGAAATTGCAGATGGTGATCTGACAGCTGTCTTCCAGAATTTTCATCTTGACTACACGACTCGTGTGATGCTAGCACAAGCGGTAGGCTATCAAATGTCCACAGCTCTACAGTACCTGCATTCTGAGAATATTGTACACGCTGATATCAAGCCCGAAAACGTCCTTTGCTTTGGTAACAATTTCCAAGCTTTACGTTTCAAGCTCTCGGACTTTGGCCTATCCCAAGTTCTGGATCTGGACAGTAACGACTCTATGAGACTTGGAGGTACTGCTCACTACATGGCGCCAGAAGTCTGCAACGGACATGTGGAAGGTCGATATGCGACCAAAGCCGATATCTACTCTTTGGGAATGGTGCTGTACAACATCATCGCTAACAATCTTTGGTTCCCCTTCGACGGATACGGTCGTATTCCGGGCGAAGCGCGCATCATCCATGCTATGATGGCACGAAACTCAAAAGGCCGTCCTTGGGCCATGACTTGTGTCAACAACAGATGGATCAGTGACGGAGTCCACCTCCGTCGCTTCGAACAGATAGGATTAAGCAATGCTTGTAGCGACGAGTACTCTAGCGAAGATCACTCCAGTAACAAGTATCACGATAACGAGGACGAGGATGAGGACGACTCCGATGACGACGACGAATACTACTCCTCCAGTGACAACGGCTATGATGATCGAGACTCGCTGGCTCAACACATGAACCGCTTTCAGATCTATTAACGTGAAACGTGCAGGCCGTTCTCACAATTTCATGTTTTTCTTCTGAAGCATCTTTCAATATCGTCGCAAATGTCTTGCTTTCCGCTCGACTTTCGCCATGAGTGTCTTGTCCTGAAAGAGCTGCGTTTTTATGCATACAGAGAACTTGGTGAGTGCTTGGATGGTTTTGAAATATCTTGATGTCTTGTACCAGATATGCATGTCTTATCTCACGGATGGCTGGTTCAGTCCACGGTCTCAGATGTGCCCATAAATGGACACATACAACGATAACACCCTGATATAAACACTTGCCTCTACCACAGTCAGACTTCCTTCTTTCCATCAGTTCTCATCATCAACACACTTCCTCATCAAAACAATGCCGTACGCATCCAGAATCTCGGTTGGCACGACTTTCGCATCTTTCAACGACCCCAATCTCAAGTACCGGATCGAGAAGCGCGTTGGCAGTGGTGGCTTCAGTGAGGTGTTCGAGATCGCGAGACTCCGTGATTCCAAAGTTTTTGCTCTAACCGAAGAAGCAGATCTTCCAAGAAGAAGCCACCAAGCTCATGCAGCTGAAGGGCCATCCTCATATCATGGAGCTCGAAGACGTGATGCAGATGCCACAGAACGCAGAAGCTGGTCTCATCATGGAGCTCGCTAGCGAAGGCCATCTCCGCGGCCTCCTCGATCGACTTCCTAAGCAGCATCATGTATCTCTCTCGCAGCGTGTGACCTATGAGATGGTCGAGGCACTATACCACATCCACTCTCACAACCCACCCATTGTGCACAGAGACATCAAGCCTGACAACATTCTGGTCTTCCTTGCCGGTACAGAGCACAGCCCACACTATCTTTTCAAGCTTGCAGACTTCGGTCTCGCCGATACCGTTATTGATGATGATAAGGAAATGTCTGGTCGCGCCTACCCCCTCCCCCCCCCTTCAGAGCACCGGAGACTCTCATGTGGGGACCTCGAACCCACACTCGCGGTTATGAATGCAGCGCGGACATCTGGTCCCTCGGAGTCGTCCTCTCGAAGTTGCACGACGTCACGATTGTCGATGGCACCTCGCCCGCACTTTCTTACCTTCCTGCTCAGGCTCTTTCTTTGATCAGATCCATGCTGGAGAAGATTCCTTGCAGGCGTCCTTCGGCCGAACAGTGCAAGAGATATATCTGGTACAGAGAAGGAGCCGCAGCTGTTGTCTACAAGATGACCAACACCATCACCAACATGTACGCCGGATACGATAGCCTCGACAGTATGAGCGAGATGACCATCGATTCTGACTCTTCTCTCGAGGATGACTGTCCTGCAGACTCGATGAAGTAGTTCGACATTGTCTGTCAACCCCACTATTATCGACAAGCATCACTTCCACAACACCCAAGCTGTTACGCAGTTTGCATGAGAGTTGGACTCTTTCTTCTCCTTATCATTGACGCGTCGAATGGGGAGCATCATTATCACAACTATACACTTCAGCACGACAGTCGTCTTTACCACTTTTCTCAGCACAGATAGTTAGACACACACAATTTCATATCACTTATAGCATCTGTTTTCGAGCAAAGAGTGATGATCTTCCCAAAGAGTTACTTGCAGACTGCTGTGACATGTAACGATAGATTCGAGCGATGTTCTGTGGCATTCAGCCTTCTGTGACAGCTTGTCCTTACTAACACCATGACATAGACATGAACATGGCATGAAGTGCTTAGTCTCCTTGAAACACAATCATCGTCTGGACAGAAGGAGATCTTCTTGACACGAGGTTTACGATAGATACGTAAGTGGCAGGACCAAATATGCGATGTGTTGTGGAAAATGTACATTTTGATTATGGTTCGTTTCTCATGTCTTGTTTAGGCAGCACATCTACTGGAGCTTGGAGATCTCTAGGAGAGCCTTACCCATGTTCTTTCCGCTGAAAAGACCCAAAAGTCCCTCGGCGGCGTTGTCGATGCCCTCAGTAACGCTGAACTGAGGCTTGTAGGTGCCCTCGTGGATCCACTTCTGCACGTTCTTCTGGTGTTCGACGAAGTACTTGGGACCCATACCATCGTCACTAACGATGAAGCCCTGGAGCTTCAGGCGCTTTGCAACAACCTGCATGAGGTTGCGGATGGGGTATTGCTCGCCAGGAGCAGTGTTGTATTGCGAGATCATACCGCAGCAGATGATGCGACCGAAGTCGTTCATGGCGCCAATTGCAGCCTCGAGGTGCTCACCACCGACCTGATCATGATGTGTTAGCTGGGGTTTGCAATGGTGCGACGTCATGTCCAACTCACGTTCTCATAGTAGATGTCGATGCCGTTGGGGGCAAGTCTGGCAAGACCCTCGGCGGGCGTCTCCTTCTTGTAGTTGAAGGCACCGTCGAAGCCAAGATCGTTGGTGATGTAGTCCAGCTTCTTGTCGTCACCGACGGAACCGATGACCTTGAGGCCCTCGTGCTTGGCGAGCTGACCAACGAGCTGACCAACGGCACCAGAGGCGGCACTGATGAAGATGGTCTCCCCCTTCTTGGGCTCGCCAATGGCGTAGAAGCTCGAGTAGGCGGTAAGACCAGGCATACCGAGAGCACCGACGAAGAGCTTGGGGTCGAGGTTGTAAGGATTCTCGAGCTTGCGGGCAGCATTGGCCTGGTCCTTGGAGACGACGCTGTACTCAGCAGTGTCCTGCATCATAACGACGACATCGCCAGCCTTGAACTTGTCGTTGTCTGACTTGAGGACAGTCGAGATGCCGGAGTTTGTGACGGGCTTGTTGAGAGCGAAGGGAGGGGAGTAGGACTTTGAGCTGGCATCGCGCATGCGACCACGCTGGTAAGGGTCGAAGCTGATGTAGTGGTTCTTGACGGTGAAGCCGCCCTGGGGAGGGGCCTGGTCGACGTCGAACTCGGTCGACTCGATGGTCAAGTGCTCGCCGGGAACGGGGAGGCCCGAGGGGACCTTCTTGAAGATCAATGCCTTGTTCTGAACCATCTTGTATATGTGTGAGATGTGAGTTTTGAAGATTGCGTGGAAGAGTAGAATTGGGAGAGAAGAAGAAGAGGGACCTGTTTTCTATAAAGAGAGAAGCTCGATCAAGATGACGAAATGCTAAACAAGGCCGCCCAGAAGAGCTTATAAAGCAGAAGGCCTACCGCTACTCCCATGAGGGGTCCATCATCTCCAAATTTGGTCCGAGGTTGCAACGTACCCGCTCGCTTGATCTCGCATTCTGATTCGATTGCTTTGTAATCTCCTGTTGCGTCGTGTGTCACTTGTGTGTCAATCTTTCGAAACGAAGAGAAGGCGAACCTTCTCGCTCTGGAGCGACTATCGATAAGCCTCGGTCTCTCTTGCCAAGCCGCCCCGGCCTTCCGAGTACTTGCCTTTACATGCCACGAATATATTGCTTATAGGCTGATATGGCAGTGTCTTCGTCGACCTAGAGCTGTTTCGTTCGGATGCCTTAGCAAATCAAAAATCCACAGCCAAGTCATGGTAATCGCTCACTTACTCCTCATCATGTATAAATCTATTTGTCGGTCGGCTGTTTTGAAAATTCGCTTACTCCGCTCGATTTGGACAAACATGCGAATCTTTCCAGAAAAAAATGCTTACAGAGCACCCTTGACCGACATCAGCCTTCATTGCAACCACCCGGCACGTGTGCATCCGACAGGACGCCAATTCATTTCAACAACGACATGTCTTCTTTCGTGGACCCCGTAGCTCCGCTGCTCAAGCACACTCCTGCCCTGGTACTGGACGGTGCCCTCGCAACAGAACTCGAAACTCGTGGACTTGATCTTAGCTCCAAGTTATGGTCTGCCAAAGCTCTGGAAGAAACTCCGGAGGCGATCTACGGAGTACACCTTGACTACTTCAAAGCTGGTGCTGATATTGCCATCACCGCAAGTTACCAAGCTACTCCTCTCGGCCTATCTGAACATCTTGGCATGAGTCTTGAGCAGTCCCAAAAGCTCATCCGTCGCAGTGTAGAGCTTGCTCAGCAGGCTCGCGACACTGCTCTTCAGGAGGAGCAAGGCAAAATTTCATCAGCTCAACCAAGAAAGCTTCTGATTGCGGGAAGTGTGGGTCCCTATGGTGCGTTTCTTGCGAATGGAAGCGAATACAGGGGTGACTACCATCTGTCGAATGATGAATTCAAAGATTTTCACAGACCTCGCATCGAAGCTTTGGTGGCAGCCAATGTGGACATCTTGGCTTACGAGACCATTCCCTCTTTGCCAGAAATCAAGGCTTTGATCGAACTGCTTGAGACCGATTTTCCAAAGACACCGGCGTGGTTGGGTGTCACGCTGAAGGATTCGGATGTGTCTCTACTGAGTGATGGCTCGTCGATGTCCGAGGTAGTCAGATTGGTCAACGCCTGTGATCAGATCGTGTCTGTCGGCGTCAATTGCATCCCCGAGCAGAATGTGTCCGCAGCGTTGGAGTATCTCAAGCCTCTGACCGACAAGCCCCTTATCGTTTATCCAAACTCTGGCGAAACATGGAACGCAAAAGCACGTCAATGGAACGGTCCACGTGTGGAGGGCAAAGAACACGCTGAATTGGTCAGAGAATGGTTCAGCAGAGGTGCCAGACTGATCGGAGGGTGCTGCCGCACTGGTCCCAAGGATATTCAAAACACCCGCGATACTGTCATATCCGATTGCTGAACTGGGGCTCAGATGCCAGTTTTGGAGTATGAGGAGCGTGATGTATCATGGGTAAGTCCTTTCGACTTGCTCAAGTGTTCGAAGAATACTGACCGGATTCGCAGGCTATGCCAGGATATAAAACGTCGTGATTTACATCTGGACTCTGCGAATCTGTGCTCGTACTCAATGATCTGTTACTATCCGAATTGTTTGCATATCCCAGCTTAGACATTGAGCAATAAGGGTTTCCAGTCCGTTGACATGCCTCTGTTGTCTCATGGCTGTGTGCGATGATCACACACTCGGACATCGAAGTCGACGCGAAAGACGACTATATTAGTGTCATGCTGATTGCTGCAGAATGTCTTCAATGCTTTTCGGCGTGAATCAGAACTCTTTCACCACGAAGAAGCTTTTGTGCAGCAGAAGCTCACTCACACTCACCACGACCTCCATCAAGAGTGTACACAGGCAACACATGTCTCGTAAAAGCTATTGTTTCGTAACTACATAAAACATCTTATGAACTAGCATGTCCCGTGCGCCTCATCAATTCATTCAGTCGTTCAGACACCACTGCTGATGGTTCTCGAGTAACGGTATCTGGGATCGTGGTCTGCGACCATGCCGCCAAGTGGTTCATCACCGCCGGCGGCGAGAGGAGCATAGAGCTCCTCATTCGTCGTCATACCGGGGCTGTCAACTCTTGACTCGTTGATGATGCTGTTCATTCTAGGTTGTTGGACACCTGCGCGGCCCAGATAGCTGAAGCGGCCAAGTTGGCTGCCAGTGGTGACAGCTGAAGGTCTTTGGACCACAGCAGTATCGCCAGAACTGGTAGATGGTCTGGTTTGATGTGAGTTGGCACGGAAGCCGGTGCCGTACATGGCGGTGTCTTGACCAGAGCCGCGACGGCCTTGACCGTTGGCAACGACGGTGCCGTCGGGCCCACCCTTCTCGGTGACAGTCTGATTTTCCTGCAGTTCGTTGGCGACGTGATGAGCATCGACCTCGTTGATACCGGCGGCGATAAGAAGGTTCTTTCTCTTCTCGACCTTGGCTGCGTGATCCATGTCTTGTCCAGGGTTGGCCTTGAAGCGAGTTAGTGGCCTTGTTACGCTCCAACCAATAAATCTACACTTACAGTCTCGTATTCCAGAATCTTGATAAACTTGTAGAAGCCAGCTGCGACGATGGATCCGAGGACGGGACCAACCCAGTAGATCCAGTCTGTGCCAGTCGAGTCAGTAACGGGCCCTAGGATCTGTTACAAGGAGACTTACGGTATCCTGAGAATTCACGGTTGACGACAGCAGGGCCAAATGATCTGGCAGGATTGAGACTGCCGCCAGTGAAGAATACTCCGGTAAGCTCTGCAATGAAGAGCGAAAGACCAATTCCAACAGGAGCGATGAAGGTACCCTTGTGCTTCTCAGCAGCCAGCATGAAGATGGTGAAGACAAGCTGAGCAGTCAAGATCATCTCGATGAACAAACCTTGGACGATAGTAGTGCCTCCACCAAGGGTTGTGCGGACGTTGAGTTCACCGGGGAACATGCAAGACACCAAAGCGGCAGCAGCCAGACCACCGAGAATCTGAGTAACGAACAACAGGCCACCACGCACCCAGGGCAGGGCTCCGATCAGACACATACCGAAAGTGACGGCAGGGTTGAAAAGTCCACCACTGATGCGGAAGAAAACCCAAGCATTAACAGCCAATGAGAAACCAAAACTCAAGGCAATGTACTGCAACTGTTGGGGGTTGCTACCGGTCTCTGCAATAGACTGACCGCTGGACGTGTTGACGCTGTTTGCTACCTGTGCTCCCGACAGCGCAAAATAGAGGAACAGTACAGTTCCAACAAATTCACCACACATTGCAATGAAATGGTTTCTGGAAGCCGGAGTCAGCGCCCTGGATCAGCATGCATAGATGATTCGCACTTACCTAATATTGTCCGGAATGCGACTGATGAATGGCAGACGAAGGTCTCCATCATTGAGATCAGCGTTGGGGTTGGCGGCCTTGGTGAAAGGGATAGCCAGGCCTCGCCCGGAGAGGGGCTGATTGATGTTCATCTTGAGATAAGACGAGTAAAATGTGTGTTGCAGATATGGAAAACGAGAAGAACAGGAATAGGAGATAGACCTCAGAGTACATATAGAAGGCTCATCAGAAGAACCTTCACAATCGTCATAACGTTCTACTTGTATAAGCTTCAGCCCTCCACGCACTCGCACAGAGGATGAACCGCTGGAGGCACGACCAGGTGCAAGTCAAGCCGCCATGCTTTGAGATTGAGCAACGGGATTTGACGTCGATCGCAAAAATCACTAGGAAGGCGGGATAGGGTTGCGCGAGGATCTGTCCAGAGCTGGCGATTCTGTCATCACTCGTCTCTTAGACTTGCCGATGATCTGGATTTGTCTATTCTTTGGGAGGGCAAGTGCACGTTTGGAGGCTGTCAGCACGTTGAGAGCGGCTCAAAAGGGTTTCTTAGCGGCCGAAGTGACGAAATGCGCACGAGGAATCCGGGCGTGGCTGGATGCTCCACGTAGCGACGATCTGAGGCTCTCCACTGAATCCGAGTCAAAGGGACAGATCTGACGAAGGCTCCAGTCGAGACTGAATATGGAAGCGGGAATATAGGACAAGGGATTGGGTTTCGCAAGAAGTGCAAGAAGATGGCGGTATCGAAGCTGAAGCGTCGGAGTCTTCGTCCTTGACTTTCGCAGTCGGCGTCAAGCTGCATCAGCCAGCCACGGCAGGGCCTGATGACATCGAGATGCTGCTTGGTGACTTACTATCTGCTCATCAATCGACTAAGCAAGTTTTGAGAGAAGGGAAAGCAAACAAATCTAGGACGCAGAGGCGCAACTCAAGTGTTTGCAGTCGAAGGACGGAAGCGTGTGGACGAGAGCCGTTGCGGCTCCCCAGCAATACGCACTAGATTGAAAGGGTCGATTGTAAAAGGAGTCCAGCAGACCCCTATCGAGCAAGCTTTCCGCAAAAGCGATGGTCTACCGCCATGGTTTCAGGACGGACAGATGAGTGGAATATATGGTTGATGGATTGAGGTTGACAGCTCAGAAGAGCTAGCAACAAATAGATTAAAGCAATATATGCATGCAGGCCGGAGTTCCGAAGCCGAGAGTCGTTGACCGAGATTGCCGAAGCGACATGTTTCGGCTTCGAGAGTGGCCGCGATGCAGGAGGTCGAGGCAGTTTCACGAAACGGGCATCAAGCCATGCAATCTGTATGTCTTGAATACAACACGCCTCACGGCCCCTGGTCTGTAGCGACTGCTTTTCCGGTCTGAACATAATTCTTTTTCTATCCCACGCCCAGTTATCTCCATCTCGAGCTGCACCTTCCGCTCATCAGCACCGGCTTACGACCCTGAAGACGCCACGGCAGGACCTTGTTGGCGCATCCCCCAAAGTCACTGCCCATCGCAGTCAGCTGAGTCTGGCCCGGCGCGTATACAAGAGCCAGGTATCAAGTAGTCTGCTGGAGCAGGCTACATATTCTTAGACGCCAGTGTCCTGGTCTTTTCTTTGTCGCGCTTTGTGTCGCAAGTCTTCGCCATGGCGCCACAATACCTTCAAGTCTCACAAAGAGACTCTCGCCGGGACAACAACACCCTGATATCTTCTACTGGCCCGCCGCCGGAAAGCGCTCCAAATGGCTCGCCATCCACAATATCCAGCGGAATCTCTCCAAGAGCTTCGCCCCAAACACAGTTCGCCAACTGGAACAACAACATGGGTCCCCGTACTCCACCACAGCCTTCTGCGCAGCCCCAGCACCTGGCAACCACAACACTCAAGGTCGAAGGCATGACCTGCGGCGCATGCACCTCTGCTGTAGAATCAGGTTTCAAGGACGTCGATGGCGTTGGCAGCGTTTCCGTCAGCTTGGTCATGGAGCGTGCTGTCATCATGCACGATGCAACAAAGATCTCGGCCGATCAAGTACGCGAAACCATAGAGGATCGAGGCTTTGACGCCACTGTCCTGAGCACCGACTTGCCCGCCTCGACCTTGGACGATATCGTTGAAGAAGAGTCGGACGAAGACACAATGGGCCTCGGAATCACTTCCGCATCCTCCGGTCTGACCACCACAACACTTAGTGTAGGTGGAATGACTTGTGGTGCATGCACATCTGCTGTTGAGGGTGCCTTCAAGGGGCTCCCCGGAATAAAAAGCTTCAACATTTCGCTGCTTTCTGAGAGGGCCGTCATAGAGCACGATCCGAACCTGATCACCGCAGACACTATCGCAGAGACAATTGAGGATACTGGCTTTGATGCCTCGATCGTAGAATCAAAGGTTTCAGAGCCTGTGCGGTCCAAGATGCTGTCTTCCACTAGGAAGCTGAGCAGAAAGCATGATGTGCTGTTCACCACAATCGTCGCCATCGAAGGCATGACTTGTGGCGCATGCACCTCCGCTGTGACGAGCGGCTTCGACAATGTTCCTGGTGTCATGAAATTCGATATCAGTCTGCTTGCCGAGAGAGCTGTCATTCTACACGATCCCACAAAACTCACTCCTGAACAGATCGTTGAAATTATTGAAGATCGTGGCTTCGATGCTAGAATGCTAACTTCGCGAGAAGAAGGAGGACCGCGTTCGCGACGAGCGAGCAGCACTGTAGAGTTGAAGCTGTTCGGCCTGCAGACTCCGGAGGCTGCTTCAGCCCTTGAAGCCGCGCTAAAGCAACGAAAGGGAAGCACGGCGGTCAAGATCGACTTCAAGACCGGTAGAGCTTCAATTGCTTACGATCCCACCCAGACTGGACTCCGGTCGATAGTCGAGTCAATTGAGAGTGAAGGCCTCAATGCTCTGACCGCCGAAAATGACGACAACAATGCGCAGTTGGAGTCTCTCGCGAAGACTAAAGAGATCCAAGAATGGTCCAGAGCACTGAAAGTCTCTCTCCTCTTTGCTGTACCTGTCTTCTTCACCAGTATGATTTTCCCTATGTTCATCAAACCCTTAGACTACGGAAGCTACAAACTACCTTTGATACCTGGATTGTGGCTTGGAGATGTCGTCTGTTTACTTCTCACCATCCCAGTCCAATTCGGTATTGGCAAACGGTTTTACAGATCCGCCTACAAGTCCTTGAAGCACGGGTCTCCAACCATGGACGTCCTGGTTGTTCTGGGAACTTCTGCAGCATTCTTCTTCAGCTGCGCTGCTATGCTAGTATCAATCCTCACGCCACCGCATTCAAGACCTGGCACAACATTTGATACAAGTACGATGCTGATTACATTCATCCTGCTCGGTCGCTTCCTCGAGAATAGAGCCAAAGGGCAGACTTCGGCTGCTCTATCTCGTTTGATGAGTCTTGCGCCGTCAACGGCTCTGATCTATACAGATCCGATAGCCGCACAAAAGGCTGCCGACGAATGGGACGGCAATGAGAAGTCCGAAAAGAGTTCTTCTGTTGGGGCTCTCGAGGAGAAGACTGTTCCCACGGAGCTTTTAGAGGTTGGTGACGTTGTTGTTCTCAAGCCTGGCGACAAGGTTCCAGCTGATGGTACTGTAATTCGTGGCGACAGCTACGTCAACGAGAGTATGGTCACCGGAGAGGCGATGCCCATCTTGAAGACCAAGGGAAAGAACCTCATGGCAGGTACTGTCAACGGCTCAGGAAGACTCGACTTCCAGGTCACCAGAGCTGGTCGCGACACACAACTCAGTCAAATTGTCAGACTTGTTCAAGAAGCTCAGACCAGCCGTGCTCCCATTCAACGTATGGCTGATGTGGTGGCTGGCTATTTTGTTCCCATCATCATCACACTTGGTCTAGCCACCTTTACCGCATGGATGATTCTGAGCCACATCCTGCAGACACCACCCACAATCTTCACCAAGGACACGAGTGGCGGGCCCTTGATGGTCTGCGTCAAACTTTGTATCGCTGTCATCGTTTTCGCCTGTCCCTGTGCGCTTGGCCTTGCAACTCCTACAGCCGTCATGGTCGGCACTGGCGTTGGAGCGGAGCAAGGCATTCTCATCAAGGGTGGTGCGACGCTGGAAACCGCAACGAAGGTGACGCACATCGTTCTCGACAAGACTGGTACCCTGACAAAGGGTAAGATGAGTGTGTCTCGATCAGACGTACAAGGCGGCTGGACCGCCGATGCTGCTACGCTACGTCTCTACTGGACCTTGATCGGACTTGCGGAAATTGGCAGCGAACATCCGATCGCACGTGCGGTCACCAGTGCCGCCAAGGCACATCTGGGCCTGGGGTCTGACGGCACTCTCGATGGCAGCGTAGGTGATTTTGTGTCCACAGTCGGCAAGGGCATCTCGGCATCTGTGGAAGCCGCCATTTCGCCCGAGCGCAGGCGCTACAACGTGACGATTGGTAACACCTCATACCTGCGTTCTCGTGGCGTGGCTGTTCCAGAACATGCAGACGACACCAATGATAATGAACGTAGCAAGAGCGTCAGTGTATCACCCAAGCAGCAGTCGGCGGGTGTCACAACCATCCACACATCGATCGACAATGTCTACACTGGCCCTCTGTCACTTTCCGATACCCTCAAACCGTCAGCACCAGCCGCGATATCTGCCCTCCAACGTATGGGCATCACATGCTCGATTGTCACGGGCGATCAGGCAAGCACTGCCTACTATGTGGCCAACCTCCTTGGTATTCCTAAGAGCAACGTTCATGCTGGCGTCCTTCCTAGTGGTAAGCGCGAGATTGTCGAAGAGCTTCAAGCTCAAGGTATCATCGTAGCCATGGTGGGCGACGGTATCAACGACTCACCTGCCCTTGCAACCGCCAATGTCGGTATATCACTTGCTTCCGGTACAGATGTCGCCATTGAAGCTGCGGATGTAGTTCTCATGCGTCCCGACCATCTCCTCGACATCCCATCTTCTTTGGCCTTGTCCCGCGCCATATTCCGGCGTATTAAACTCAATCTGATCTGGGCTTGTGTCTACAACGCTGTCGGATTACCCATCGCGATGGGCTTCTTTTTGCCGTGGGGCTTGTCTTTACCGCCTATGGCTGCTGGTGCGGCAATGGCGTGTTCGAGTGTCACGGTTGTGGTCTCGAGTCTGTTATTGAAGCGATGGAAGCCTCCGAGATATATTCGTGAGGCTGCCGCTAAAGAGGTTGGTGAAGCTGATATGTTTGCAGATGTCGACGCCATGGTTCAGAGCCGTGGCTTGATAGACAAAGTTTTAGGCTTGATCAAAGGGAGAAGAGCAGATGATAAGGTTGACAGAGGTGCTTATGTACCGTTGCAAAGGTTCGAGGAAGTGTAGATGAAGTAGTTGACCTTGACACTTGTTGAATATTCTGTTTTCTCCGTTTCTAGTTGATCTAAGACGCGTGTTTGCTTGTCACATTTCATCATTGCTACATTGGTGCACTATTCAGGACCGGTGGTGGCTACCGTCTCCGTTAGTCACACACCACAAAAGAGCTGCATGAACACAGATCAATGCAACAACGATCCTGATGCCGTCAAGTCAGGATCTGAGTGCGGACCAAGTCTAGCTCATGGTTACATAGCTACTCCAGAACAGACCGGGCACGATATGCCAAGGCAGAGATGATATGTGTATGGTGAAAAGACAGAAGCAGGGTTGGAGGCGCGACAAACCCCGCACATGGCCGCCAAGAATTATGACTGAGTCCGAAGCCGCAATGACATTTTTCGTCGATGGTGGGAGGTTTAGAGTTGAACATATACACATCCAACATGGCCGAACAAGCACAAGCAGCAGCTAACGCTGTCAAGGAGGCAGTCAGCGAAGTGACTCAGAAGGTCGGTGAGCTTACGACTGGTGACAATGCCGCAGCTCCCACTCTGTACCTCGACGAAGTGACGGGCGAGAGGGTCAGCAAGACCGAGCGTGCGTATACAAGCAATGTGCTTGAGCGAGGATGTTGTGTGCTGAGACATTGCAGTCAAGAAGCGCCAGAAGCAGCGCGAAAAGGAGGCCAAGAAGGCGGAAAAGGCAGCAACATCGACAGCACCAGCTGCTAAGAAGAAGACTGTCAGCGCAGAGGAAGAGGAGGCCCACCTGAACCCCAACCAGTACTTCGAGATCCGCAGCAGAGCCATCCAGAAGCTCCGCCAGAGCCACGAGCCCAACCCCTACCCCCACAAGTTCCACGTCGACTATGACCTGCGCAACTTCGAGAAGGAGTTCGGCCACCTCAAGTCAGGCGAGAACATCAAGGACAAGACTCTGTGCATCGGAGCACGTATCTACAACAAGCGTTCGTCGGGAGCCAACCTGTGCTTCTACGATGTGCGCGCAGAGGGCGTCCGCATGCAGATCATGTGCCAGTCGCAAGAGTCGACCAGCGACAAGTCGTTCGCCGACCAGCACGAGCTGCTGCGTCGTGGTGACATTATCGGCATCAAGGGCTACCCCGGCCGCACAAACCCTCGCACCCGCGACCAGGGCGAGCTCTCGCTCTTCGCCCAGGAAGTCACCCTCCTCACTCCCTGCTTGCACCAGCTGCCCGACGAGTACTATGGCTTCAAGGACCAGGAGCAGCGTCACCGCCGCAAGTTCCTCGATCTGATCATGAACGACCACACTCGCAACACCTTCATTACCCGCTCCAAGATGGTTACATACATCCGCAACTACTTCGACACTCGTGACTTCATCGAGGTCGAGACTCCCATGATGAACGCCATTGCTGGTGGTGCCACCGCCAAGCCCTTCAAGACCTACCACAACGACCTTGACATGGAGCTGTTCATGCGTATCGCCCCCGAGCTGTACCTCAAGCAGTTGATTGTGGGTGGTCTTGAGCGTGTCTACGAAATCGGTCGTCAATTCCGTAACGAAGGCATCGATCTCACCCACAACCCCGAGTTCACCACTTGCGAGTTCTACGAGGCATACGCCGATGTCTACGACCTGATGGACACCACCGAGGATCTCGTTTCCAACCTCGTCAAGCACCTGACCGGTGGCTACGAGACCAAGTTCGAGACTCAGCACGGCGAAGTCTACACCGTCAACTGGGCCAAGCCCTGGAAGCGTATCGAGATGATCCCCGCCCTCGAGGAGGCCTGCGGTGAGAAGTTCCCCGAAGGTGACCAGTTGCACAGCGACGAGACCAACGACTTCCTCAAGCGCATGCTCAAGAAGATGAACGTCCAGTGCTCTGCTCCCCTCACAAACGCCCGCATGCTCGACAAGCTTGTTGGTGAATTCATCGAGGAAAAGTGCATCAACCCTACCATGATCACTGGTCACCCTCAGATGATGTCCCCTCTTGCCAAGTACCACCGCAGCAACAAGGGTCTCTGTGAGCGTTTCGAGGCCTTTGTCTGCAAGAAGGAGATTGTCAACGCCTACACCGAGTTGAACGATCCCTTTGACCAGCGTCTCCGCTTCGAAGAGCAGGCTCGCCAGAAGGAGCAAGGTGACGATGAGGCCCAGCTTGTTGACGAGACTTTCTGCCAGGCTTTGGAGTACGGTCTGCCACCTACTGGTGGTTGGGGTATGGGTATCGACCGTATGGTCATGTTCCTTACCAACCACTACTCCATCAAGGAGGTCCTCACCTTCCCATTCATGAAGGATGACAAGTCGCAGGGCGAGAAGCCCAAGGCTGCCGAGGTTGTCGATGTTACTCCCATGCCTGAGGAGGGTATTCGTAAGTCTTGCTTATGAGATGTACCATCAGATTTCATTCGCTAACTTTGTATCTCCACAGCCCACAAGTAAATGACCTGATCTTTACCGCCCCACCTGCACGAGCTGGATTCGGCCTTTGGTCATGCGTTTTGTAGAGTCTAGCACATGAGTATCGGAGAAAAGGATAAACACCAGCATACAAAGACGATCAAATACACGCCTTTTTGTTCTCAGCAACTTCTTTCAAAATATTTATAATAGAGTATTGGTGCCAACTGTGATATCATAAGAACAGTAGAGTGTGGTAAGAGAAGAAGGATGAGGGAAAGCTGTTCCCACGTACGCCGCCCAAACAGAAAGAAAAAGCCCAATGCTTCTCGCGTAATCAAATGCATGTGTTTTTGGGGTGTCGTCGTAGTCAAAAGACAGGAAAGAGGCTTCTACATGATGACCTCGTTGCTCACGTCTCTACGCAAGTCCTTGTAAGGCAGGCAGACACAGTTCTGAACGCGCACCTCGTCGCCGACGTTGCACTCCTTGCCCAGAATGGTGACGCTCTGCACCTTGACGCCGTTCTTGATGATGGTGGTGTGGTGCTCGCGGACTGGGGTGGGGGTACCCTCAACACGAGCCCAGGCGCCTACACGCGAGGACCATCCGATGATGGAATACAGGACGCAAGCATCGTGCTTGATCTCGGCATCTTCCAGAACGATAGAGTCCTTGATACGAGCACCGGCTCCGACTACGGCACGGGGGCCAATCGAGACGTTGGGACCAATCTTGGCAGTGGGATCAACGTGCGCTGAAGGGTGGATGTAGACGGGCGGGAGGATGACTGCTGAAGGTTTGGCAAGGTCTTCGCTTTGCTGCTGGAAGGCCTTCATAAGGTAGAGGGCGTTTGCGGGAACTGCAGAGCCAGCAGTCTTGATCTGGCGCCAGAAGTCTGTCGTCTCGAGGACAAAGAACTTTGAGCTGTCTGCCAAGTCGGACAGAATGTCTTGCTCGAGACGAATGACCTCGTTCTTGCGGTTCTCATCATCCTCATCCTCGTCGGCGTTGAGCGAGAAGTCGCGGCTGTCAAGGGCTTCCGATGAAGGGTAGGACAGCAGGCGAGGACGATCGCTGCGACGCTTGATGGCGGTCTTGATGCTGGGGAAGATGCTCTCGGTGCTAAAGAGGTAGACACCGCAGTTGATCAGATTGCTGATGTGGCCCTCGGGCTTCTCGACGTAATGCAGCACGCGCTTGGTGTGGGTGTCACTGACGATGCATCCAAAGTTGGTAGCAGCGTCGTTGGACACGCGTGTTCCCAAAATGACGGCCTCGGCATCCTTCTCTTCAAACAAACGGAGCATCTCGCCGAGAGGGAATGAGCAGCAGACATCGGCGTTGAGGACGAAGAAGCGATCGGGGCGGCCCTTGAGGATGGCGTCACGGAAGTGGTAGAGACCACCGGCCGTGCCTAGGGCTGTGTATTCGCGCAGGTAGCGGACGGAGATCTTGGGGTGTTCGCGGTGGGCGTCCTTGATGAAGTCGCGGAAGACGGTCTCGTCGTAGTAACCAACAAGGAAGACTTCTGTAATCTCGGGCACTCTGGTGACAGCATCGAAGCAGTGCTGGATGATAGGCTTGCCGGCGACTTCGAATAAGGGCTGTTTGGCGCAACTTGGTCAGACGAAACACTCGTGGACGTGCAACGGATGCTATCAATTCACCTTGGGGACATCGAGAGACAGCGGGCGGAAGCGAGTACCTCTGCTGGGTCCTCCGACCTAGGTTTAGGGTCAGCAGCTGCTCATACGCTCGCAAACATGATTGATCTCACCAAGATGACAGCTTTAGTCGAGGGCACAGGGTTGCGGCTCCTGCTGCGAGTAGGAAGTTGAAGAGAGGCCATTATGAAGTAACAAAGTAGTGAGCGTGGGTTAGTAGAGAAGAAAGCAAGAATAGGTCTCCTTCTAGCAGGGAAAAAGAAGCAAAATCGTCAAGGCAATCAAGGTGAAATGGGCGAGAGTGAAACGAAGCACCAGCTGTTCCGACTTGTCCATCACCCCGCTGCTGCGCGAATCAACGCCAGGGGCAACGCCGCAGCAAGGGTCCGCCCCTATTTCTGGCCGAACAACACGAATTATTTACAGCTGCCATCCAACCGTTTCAATTACTACTTCCCCTTTCCGCTGTCTCTGGCTCGGTCGTCTCGTGTGCAGCCATGTCACGCAAGCTGCTGTCGACCACTAGCTGACGGGCTCCGCTGATACCTCCTTTCCCCTCTGACCTTCGTTAGGTCTCCGGTACCAAGTCGTTCTGGCAGTCTCTGTCTTCTGCTAGCAACAAGACAAGGCTTCTTTATATGAGCGAGCGCATGCTGGCTCAGGCAAAGATTGTATTCGACGTCCGCGACTTAGATTCACATGTTGAACAAGATCGTGGCCGCGAGCATCTCCAAGCTCCAAGAGGCAGAGTCCAGCGCGTGGCCCAGTCTAGTGGACACCCATACCCGTACCTCGCCATCGTCCTCGAGCACGACAAGGTGATGTCGACCCCATCGATCTTGATCACTGGCTCCTCTGGCACGACAACGCTCTGCATTGTCGCAGAGAATCAACAGTGTATATTGCTGGAAGTCCCTTCGAGACGAACGAGAATGTCGCTCACAACAAGGTGCATATGTTAAATTGCGAGTGCGATGATTTCATTTAGCTACCTCCGTCATGGAAAGATGCTGCGTTGTTCGAAAGAATCAGCGGCACGTCTGTAGTCCAACCATGCCTGGATCTCGTGGTGCTGGTGCATTCTAGCTTTCAAGATCCGGGCTTCATTCTTCTGGACCAGGTTGAGATCGCAGGTGGTGTACATGAAGTCTTGTGAATACCACTACAGTGGCATGCCCAGAAGCTCTCGGTATCTGCATTCATTCTCATCCAGCAGTGAACACGGATAAGCAAATGTTGGGACAGCAGAAGGTTCTCGCGTTGCGTCTGAGGCTTGCATGACTTCTCGCAGCAGCATCGTGAGTAACTGCATCGGGTTAGCTTTCACGTGCTCGACCAGGGTCATGCCAGAAGTATGCGTGGTGTGAGAGACATTGGCATAGACCAAAGAGTGCCGATGACTTCTCAAGCAAGACCCAACGCATCACGCTCAAGCGCATTCCTTGTCAACATGGCTCACTTAGACTGCTAGTTAACAGAACAAGGGGCGTAGTAGGCAAGTATTATCACTGGCACAGGCGTGACTACGGCTATTGATCTTCCATCATTGCAATCTGGAACTCAGAATCCTCCAGTACTGACTATGCAAGGCACTTGTTCTGTTATATCTGGTCCTACGCGCACCGCCTATGCGTACTGCAATCTTTCGCTTGTCCAACCTGGCTGCAGATAGCTCCAGTCCTGCGCAAACTTGAACGAAGTCTCGTAAACATTGTAAGAGAACAACGAAACAGTGTCGAGCTTAGCACCTGCATCTGTCTCGGCCCATACACTCAGGGCAATTGTATTATTGCCCTGGTTGTTGATGATACCAGGTGGGAAGGGGAATCTTGTCTGTGGTCCGATGTGAGTGATGAATTTGCCATACTGGTAGCCATTCAGATAGATCTGTACGCTGGCAACGGTACCTGCCGGCGCGGACAGCTCGAGACCGATGGGAACGTCGAGGTCGGAGTCGATGTCGAGCTCAAATGTTGTGAGGTACCACTTGATGCCACTGGAGTTGAGGCCCTGAGCAGGGGACCCAGCTGACCAATCTTTGCCCGAGGGAGAGAAGCCAGGAAGATGCCATCCGACACGTTCTCCGTAGAGACCTCCCTCGTTAAGAGGTCCTCGGACGGGATCGATGTTGGCTGAACCACCTGCATTGCCCTGGATCTTCCACTGCTTGAATGTAGCAGTGGTATTACCAGAGCTTTTGAGGACTGCACCCAAGAGACCTCGGGGGTTCGCAGCACCTTTGCCAGTCGATGTCTCATCGTGGCCAGTATAGTCAGTGACCACAGTAAGAACGTTGTTTGTATCGTAGAGTGTGACCCCACTGAAGTCAAGTACATCGGATGTTGACAAGAGCGAGGCATTGCCAGGATGGCCACCGACAAGTTTACCATTCAACCAAGCACTCCAGCCTGCAGCCGATCCACCTTGTGCTGTCACATTTGCAGACACAGCCGACTTGCCATCGAAGTGACCACGGTATATCTTGATGCCAGAGTAGTAGCCGTAGTCTGAACTATACAAAACGGGAAGAGACAGTGGTTTCACTGGCGCTTTGGTGCTTGTCTTGTTGCATACAGCCCAAGCAGAATCGTCATAATCTCTGGCCACCTCAGGCAGAGAATCAGCAACTTGCCAGCCGGAAAGTGTTGGGATGGTTATCTCGCGGTCGAGTATGCTTGTAAGATCGGCTGTCAGAGCGCCATAAGAGGTCTTCTTCGTAGCGAGCTCCTTGCCATTCCACAAGATGGTGTCAACACTTGCGTCGCCAACGTAGACCTCCAGTGTGGTAGAGTTGGTGTTGTCACCATTGACCGAGACAACGTTACTGCTGACACTGGCGTTACGAACAAGATAGGGGCCTATAGCGAAGATCTGTTCACCAGGGCCGACATTGGGATTGGGGGTGGTTGGAGGCGCCCAGAATGTCCATGCTGTCGAGACGTCCAACAGATACATCAAGACACCATTGGACAGCTGTAGAGAAGTCTTGCCGGCCGATTGTCTGTAGACAAACTTGGTGAAGGAAGCTGAGCCGTTCGTTTTAACTTGAGATGCTGTAACATTCGTGCTGCCATAGGACTTGACCGAGATATTTCCTGAGAAAGCGAATTCTCCGATCTGGTTGGCTTCAAGGTATAAAACGAGAACAGCTTTCGGGTCGAACAAGCCATAGGTCAGAATGTCCACAGACGAATATAAGAGAGTGTGCTTCCCAAAGTGATAGTCTGTGACAGCAATCTTGCTCTGGCGGCCATTGAGCTGGACATTCGGTACAGTGATTGGTCCAAGAGAAGTCTGAAGATTGATCGAGAAATCCGTGACTGCTCTTGAGCTTGACTTTGAGTGCTGAGTGGTGTAGAAGCCGGTCGTGGTGTTTGGGTTTCTGAGAACCCACGTCCAGATATCCTGTGTTGACACAGCATTACCAGTACCGTTGCTTTCCATAACGGTGTATAGCAAGTCCTGAGATACTCTTGTGAACAGTGCTATCAATTTACTAAAAGGGTTGTCAGCTCTGCTAGCGATGATCACAAGAAGCATTGTCCGAAGCTTCACTAGGATATTCGTTGTGAGGATACTTCTGGGCCTGTAGATGCACCTACGTTTGAGAGAACTTCGATTGGATCTCGCGAGTCTCGCGTAGAGGCGCAGAGTAATCGTAGCTTGTGTAAACAACAGGAGCCGCTAGGTTACCCCAGTTCGTAGCTCCCATAGCCCTGTGCGAGAGTTAGCAGAGTGTTATACGAACTTCAAAGATGGGACAGGCATACATATAGAGGTTAAGGAGTGCCCCATTCTGACCAATGTTGTTCTTGTAGTAAACGTCAGCAAAGGCAGGGTCATGCTCTGCCAGACAGTCATCATAGAAATATCCGCCCCATGGCTGGAAGTATCCCGATTCGAACTCTGGCCAGAACTCAGGCTGGGTGGAGGAGTAGTTCTGGAACCATTGGTAGTAGTTTCGGACCAGATTGAATCCTGAGTTGATGTTTGTGCATGATAAGCCACCTGGGTAACTGTCTAGCCCGTAGATGTTGACCGCCCCTGTATTACAATCAGTTTCGGAATGTGCATAGGCTTAGTTGCATCGACGTACCTCCAACATCTTGGTAGTCAGTAGACCAGCTCTGAGCTCTCTGGCCTTTCTCGTTACTGGTAGTCGGAACAACAATGCCGGAATCCTTCACGACTTGTTCAATCTGCTCCATATAAAGTACAAGTGTGTTATCTGCCTTGTGTACAGTCTCCGACAGTTCGTTTTCGATCTGGTAGAGGATTATAGGACCACCTTTGGCACAGTCAGCATACTTGTCTTCATGATCTACAACGGCAGACGATGCAATGCCCACCAACCTTCTGTGATCTGATTCTTGACTAAGATCTTGTTGAGCTCTTGCATGAACGGTTTCCAGGCGTCGTAGTAGGCTTGATCTGACGTTCGGTAGTTTCCTGATTTTTGTCAGACATGTTGTATCTTGATCGAGCGTACTAAACCTACCTGCAGAGCCATCACTCGTCCACAATGCCAAACCACCTGCATTTGTCTCTGCATTTGCATATGGACCTGGTCTCGCAATGAGGCTAGTCGAGGAGGTTAGATACATGGTTGCAACAGATCAGAACCTTTCCAGAGGTGTCGCTCAAGACGAAGACACAATCATGACAGCGTAGGTGAGAAGCGCTGGAATCCTCGTGGAAATGAAGACCGGAAACTCCCAAGATAGGGTATCCAGGTTCGATCAAGCATTCTGCATCGCAACAAGCACCACTCGGGAAGGGGGCTTTTGAAGGGGGGCCGGGTGGGATACTTACTATAGACCAGCCTCTGCAGCAGCGTCGATGACTTTCTGAACATTCTTGCCACCAGTTTCAAAGTCGAATACATCACGAGACGCCGAGTGATAAGACCAGAAGAAGTACATGCTAACAGCATTGAATCCATTTGCCTTGAACTTTTGAAAAATGTCGGACCACATCTCCGGCACCGGCACACGTTCATAGGCGAATTCTCCAGAGAAGAGGAACAGGCGCTCTCCATTGACCATGAGACTGTACGGATCCCACGTGACTTGAGTGGTCAAGCCATTGTCCGTAGCAAGGACAATCACGCCAAGTAGAAGAGCGCATACAAGAAGACGTAGAGAGACTCTCATTCTGAAACAATAGAAGGAAGAATGTCTTGGAGAGAGGCCAAGAAAGAATGCTTACATAGATCTTATATAGTTCTGTCAAAAATAGTCGAGGTGGCACATTAGGAAGGTGTTGCTGCATATATTATCCGCCAATCGTTGAATGAGCCCTGCGCACATCATTGGAGACACTCATTTCACTTTACTAGAAGAGCAGACGTTTGAAGATCCGAGGGTTCGGCTGGCAGGTTTGTCGTCTATGACCTGCTCATGCAGTCAAATGAGCAATACGACGTGACGACGACGATGGGGAAAAAGAGGGGGAGGTCGCTTTGGATTGACCCGAGACCTGCACAAGCGGATTCGGTTGTACGGCAAAATGCCGGTTGGAATGAGTGCGCCTTTGATGCGTTGCACGAGAAAGAACGTAGGGCGAAGGCGGAGAAAAAGTTGCATGTAAAGAATTTGATAAGTTGTTCTATGTACAACGTTGCAGTAAAAGCGGACTAAGGGGTTCGTCCGTTGAGTCTTTCTGACAAAGTATAAAGCAGGTCAGAGTGATCCATGCTTCCATTCGGATAGTATTGAACCAGGTAAGCCGCATGAGTAACTTGCTCCTTCTTGCCGAAGAAGACATGCAATGGCCAGGCAACGCATTATATGCGTATATGCCGAACAGGTTGATGTCGACCACTTCGGTGGTCGAGTGATGAGGGTATGAGCAATCACGAGACATGGCTGGAAGCTTGAGGTCTGTGTCGCGCGTCGGCCTGTCTGAGAGAAGGACATCGACGGGGAGGGGGGATAGGCGTCTTGCAAACTATGCAATCATGGAAGGTGGGAGAGAGGTCCTTTTCCAACGTCTCTTCAACCTTCCTCGGTGGCCTCGATGGCAACACCCTCCTCGACGTCGTCTTCGTCCTCTTCATCACTTGTGAAGCTGGCGAATTCTTCGTCCTCCTCGTCTTCGTCATCTTCTTCGTCCTCCTCTTCCTCTGCCTCGCCACCTTCATCAGCAGCACCACGCTTTCTCTTCTTGATGATCTCGGTCAAAAGCTCGGCCTTGGCCTCCTCGGCAGCACTCCATGCGGCAGCAGATGCCGGCGGCGGGGTGAACCAAGGGATCTTGCCACGAAGGAAGTCATTGAGGACCATCTTGGCAACACCGTCCATGTCAGCCTCACCACCCTTCAGAAGCTTACCACCTTTGCGGGCCAGAAGCTCAAGGAACTCGCCTGGCGTCTCCCAGTCGCGCACGTCGTAGGTTCTCTCAACGTGATGTCTCTTGCACTTTCTTAAAGCAGCAGCGACATATTGTTCAGGGTTCTCGACGTTCTCAATACGAACGACACCGCGAAGGAGAATGTCTTCGTCCGTATCACCCATGTTTGGAGGGACAACACCAGGGCAGTCGATGAGGTAGATACGCTTCATCAATGTGATGTATTGCCAGACCTTGGTCTCACCAGGAATGGGGGCAACGTTGCAAACCTTCTTCTTGCGCAAAGTGTTGATGATTGAGGACTTGCCGGTGTTGGGGTATCCAATGAAACCAACAGAGATCTGCTTGCGGGAAGAATGAAGAGCAGAGAATTGACGAAGAAGAGAGATCAAGGAACCCTTTCCGAAGGAGTTGTTGATTGAGGCGTGGAAAGCGAGAGTGGGGTATTCCTTGCCAAGAAGTCGGACCCAGTTGGCCTGATTCTGTGGTCAGTACAATGCTTGCGAAGATCGAGTGTGGGCGATGTGTAAGGACGAATGAAGCAGTGAAGCAGGTAATAAGAGAAGACAGAAAGCAAGAGATGTGTGAATCATAACTAAGAGAGCCTCCATGAGCCACTCGTGAGAGCGGGGGAGGTACTCAACTCAAACGAAACACGCTCGAACCCTTTTGAAAGCAAACCAAGACGGCAAGCGATCTACTAGACATCCATAACGGGGTCTAGCGGCGGGCCGACTTTGATCTGCCAGAGTTGTAACAGTCTCCCTCCATGGGGAGAAACGCACACGAAATGCGGAAGGAGCCTTGACTTAACGCTGGCATGGGAGGGAAGATGGGAGAAAAGAAGGAAAATGGCAAACGACAGGCAAAGGGAGGATGGCTAGGACTTACAGCAACGCTTGTGGGGATCAGATCGCACTTGTTGAGGACGAAGAGAAGATGCTTGTGAGGGGCTTCCTCGCGAATGTACTTTTCAACACTTCTGCAGCGAGTACCGAGAGGGTCTCTGGCATCCAGGACGTGGATGACAACATCACTGGAGTCGATGACCTTGTAGAGTTCGTTCCAGATACGCTTGCTCTGACCCTTTGAGAAGATGGCCTCTCTTGCAGCAGTCAAGGCACCGTCGACCTCTGCATCTTGAGCATCGTCGACGGAGAGACCGCTAGCAAGACGAGCTTGTTCTAAGCGATCGACATAGGTTTCGTGCATCTTGTCCGACTCGCCAGCGAGGTCGAGGAGAGAGCTGACAGCAAGCTTTGGGCGTTTGCGCTGGGCCTTGGGACCGAAGGTGTCTGAGAAGGGAGCCGTCTCGACAGCAATCTTTGCCTGGTGTTGCTTCAAGCCATTCTTCTTGGTCTCGTCGTCCTTGATCAGACTCATAGGCAGCTTGTTTTGCTTGAGCAGGTATGAGTAGGGATCCTTCTGCTGAGCCTGGACAGCGCCACGGAAGGCGGAGAGGGCATCCTGTGAGATGACACGGGTGTTGGTGAACCACTTGCGGTTGGGCTCGATGCGAGCTGACGGCCTCTCACGCGACTGGAAGACGGCGGCTTTTGTAATGTCACCACTGGCGTTGCGCTGGGCAGTTCCCTTTGTGAGGATGTTGAGCTTCTTGACCTTCTTGGCATCTCTGCGACACGGGTCAGTAGGCTGCTTGGATGAAAGGGGACTGAAGGATGGTGACACACCTGTAGAAGTTCTCGCCCTTGACCTTGACGTTGGCCATGCCGTCGCCGACCTTGCCCTGGCGCGTCTTGCGCGCAGCCTCCTTCTTGCCGGTGCCCATTCTGACCTGACGATAGGCTTGACGGGTATGTGTTGGGAAAAAATGATAGGGAGGGAGCACAGAAACGGCAACCCACGACGAGGTAGTCGAAAGTTGTCGAGAGGAGGACTTTTTTATGCGAGGGCCGCTAGCATCTCCGCAGGGGCACGGCCTCGTTCTGCGGCGACTCGTGCCGCTTGATTGGCTGCCGCTTTTTTCCACGACAAAGACGCCAAGGCCAGCAAACAGCCCGCCGCCAGCTGCGAAGCGGCCGTCAAGAGAAGGTCAGAGAGGCCATCGAACAGTGCAGAGCAGCAGGAGGCCGACTGATCACAGCTCACCCAACCACACACACAACAGATGCCTGTCCGTCTACCACAGGCCGCCGGCCTCTACAAATGCCCCTCGTGCTCCGCTCGCTCCTTCTCTCTCTCGTCACGGCAGCTGGCTCTCGGTCCTGAATCTCCTCGCTACATGGACATCCCCCAGCCCCCGCAACAGACTCTCCCGGACAAGACGCGTCTCAAGGGTATCCTGCCCGTCCCTCGCAATGTCTTTGCTGGCCAAGACCCGAAAGAGCCCCTCAATCTGGACAAGGCCACCAAGGAGCCCGCCCATCAACCATCTCACAATGACCCTCGCTCTCTCTGGAAGGAGCGCATGGCTGCTTCGCGAAGGAAGAACCTGAAGGAGGGTCTGCACGCCCTGCAGTACCGCAGAATAAAGTCCGACGACTACAGGGCTACCCGCGCCGCCGCCCGACAACAGGAACGTGAGGCCCGTCTGCATCGTCCCGAGCGGGAAGACGATCGTCTGACCGCTCCTTCGGTCGACAACAACCTGCTTGCCCTCTTGAAAAGGGGTCCCCTACAAGACCCCGACAGAGATGCTCGTCTGGCCGACATGCGCCAGCGGGAAGCCAGCAAGCAGGCCGCTCGTCAAGAAGACCGCCGCGATGCTCTGCATTCTCTCTACGTCAATGCCCGCGAATTCATCGTCAACGACGCTCAGCTTGCCACTGCTATCGACAAGGCTTTTGGTACCGTCGATCAGCCTCGCGGCTTTGGCTCAAACTCTGCCAGCATTTGGGACGTGGGCCCTCCCAGCACCATTGTAGACATGCTCAATTCGGCAACTGGCAAGGGCATTCGTGGCGGTGCTCTCAGTCAATCTTCTGTCAACAGAGACCAAGCCTTGACTGCTGCGAGAGTCAGGAGAATCGCTGCTGAGCTGACTGGAGGCCAATTGCCCTCAAAGTCTTAGACTGCTTGTATAATATCCTCCTTTTTCCACCTTCTTTCATCCACCTTTGCAGTCTCCGACTTGCCAATTTTCACTGTGTCGACCCTGTGCTCATTGACACTAAATCTTTTTTAGTGCTCCTCCCGTTGCTCTTCTTGGCCCTCTTGGCTTTGCGTACACATAACATCTACACACTGGTACACACAAGGAATGGTATGAATGCTCAACTGCGCTGCACATCATCTCTTTGTATCATGAAGTCGTTACCTGGCACTAGTCTAATCTACCGCTTCCTCAGATGAATTCAGCTATCGGGGTTTAGTACATCTGAAGCCTGCCAGAATTCATCCCGTAAGATTCCTCGGGTCATTCGATTGCCCTGAGCATGACAAAACAACAAGTCGGTCCAGCCATGCATGAGAGTCACATCTTCCGATATGGTTCCTCGCCCCTGCCACGTCCTAATATTTCTCGTGAAATTTGCTCCTCGCAAGGACGTGTTTGAACACCCCCAACCCAGTGCTACGATCCAATATACTCAAGCCATGCTAGAATCCGTCCGCGTCCCAGCACTCACTCCCTGTCTCGTTCAGTATCCCCGGTTCGTCTCGGACCCGCTTTTCTTCGAGCAATACCTCACACCTCACTGTCGGCCTACTCTTCGGTGTCGCTTCAGCTTTGGTCCTGGAGATCCCATCTTCTTTCGCTCTTTACATCGAGCTCTTTCGCAGCTGTCACACTCTCTTCATCATGGCTACTGACTTTGTTTCCACCGCGATGGTCATGAGCAAGATGCACCACAGAGTCTTCATTGACAAGATTCTTCATTCGCGCCAGTCTTCCAGACAGTGCGACTTTACCGATCAGGAGCTTGTTCTGCTTGCACTCGCTTACTCGCCTGAGAGATGGCTCTCGACCACCAGCATTGGCTCTTTCGTCATACGCAACATCAAGTACTACACCCTTCAATCAGCAAAGAGTCTCTTCGCACAGACTGGCTTCCATCCTGCCGGCAACAATGTCACAAGCCTCGCCAGACGCGTCGAGGGGTATGTCCCGAGCTCTAGCAGAGTATTCCAACATGCAGGACCCATACTGATATGTTCCAAGATACTTGAGCACATATGGAATTCCCATCCATACCAAGATCAACGAGAACAACAAAAGAGCCTACGCCATGACTGCAGGTGCTGCCCATGCCTTCGTTCAGTCATGCTACGACAAATATGTCAGCACCAGTACTCGTCGCGGCACAAAGATGACTTCGATCAGAATCAACCTTAAAAGATGTCCATTCTTGGAGATCCCAGTCGAAATCCGCCTGAAGATCTATCGTCTGGTGCTCAAGGTCGCTGGCTTCCGTCTAGTTGTTGGCCAGCACGGATCCATCGCCTATGAAGAAAATATTCCTGTCTGGGAGTGTCATACTCAGATGCCATTGACTATGCCTGCATTGTCAGAGTTTCTGACTCTGCTTTCAGTCAACAAGCAGGTTTATGGCGAGTCGATGCCAGAGTTCTATCACGAGAACCACTTCGGATTCTCGAACATGGTCATCATGAAGGAATTTCTTACTCACATAGGTGCCGAGAGAAGACGCCACATGCGCAACGTCTCCGTGGGTTACTACAAGCTCTCGGCTGCTGCAGCTGGCGCTAGGCTCCTCACTGAGTCAGACACTATCCAGAAGCTTACTCTGATTGTGTCTGGAACTCAGAATCCCGCTGGTCACTACACTCTCGATGGCAGTCGTCGTCACTTCAAGACCCTTGGTCAGGTTCCTGGTTTCACTGCCCTCAAGCGTCTTCGTGGTGTTCAACAGCTGACCTTCAACCCGAAGCTTGAACACACCGTTATCGAGGCTTTCTTGCGTCCTGTCATCACCCAGCCCAAGCCGATCAAGAAGATTAAGGGCAAGGGCCGGAAGACGTCAAAGAAGCGTAAGCATGATGAGGTCTAGATCATCGCGTATATTCAGCTCAGCTTAGATCACGTCAAAGACTACTTGATCAAGGTCGGGAACAGTCGCTATGTCAGACCAGTAAGGAAAAGACCGGGTTAATGTGAACGTGGAACAGAAGGAAAACAGGTGTTACCAAGAGAGGGCCAATAGTCTTTCAAAGCACTGAGACATATGCGTGCAGCATCCAGGAGTGATTCGTGGTGGGTTCCTGTGGAGAGGGTTGACCATTGCGAGCTGGTCTTTACACTGCTCAGGACCATACGTTCACTAGCATGCCAAACTTGTCAGTATCCTCAATGGTATTCATCTTATCTGGCTCACAAGTGTTTCTCTTTGTTCTCGGGTGATTGTGTGTGGTAATTCGCGGTGCAAGATATGGGTGACATTTGCCCGGCTCCAAACACAGCTTCCCAGACGCCTACAATCAACTATGACATTTTCTGCCAAGTGTTTGGTCAATATGGTATTCGTTCTGGACGAGCTTGTCGGGTGTACTTTCTCGTGCGAGTGTCGTTCGCCCCTGACCATCTTTCGAGCAGATTTGTTCTTCTGTTGCGGTATGATCATATTTCTGTGACCTCCACTGCATGGCCGCATGGTACGATGCACAATGTAACCCTTCTGTTCCTTCGAGAGAAGATCGAACTATCGATTGACAAGCGTCTTGCTAGTTTCTTTGGGCACAAAGACTAATGATCAAGCAATCACCTCTCGACACCGCTTCTTTGAGAATTACTTTAGATCACGAAAGTCATAGTTTGCCCAACGGCGAGACCTTCTGACGACGCAACAAAGAAGCCTTTCGAGGTCTTTGACTCTGAGCCATACGGTGGTGTGTATGCTTGTCTTTGTGCTGACTTCGAACCAAATCAAGGTTTTCTCTTTGCCTATGCGGCACGGCAACTCAATCCGCTATCGAGCTGTCACAAGGCCATCAATGTCCAAGATGCTTCAGTCAATCATGTTGTCCTGTACTAACGAATGCTATGAATAGAATGATATATTTCTATTCTCCATGGAGCTTGCTTGCTTGAGTAAGAAAACAGGTCAATCGTGACGTCGCATCTCTGCCAAGCATGTACCCCGCCTCTGCCTTTGCAGATCCGGAGGTTTCACATCCATTCGAACATCGTGAGCACTGTCATTCTATCAATCGAACATTGTATCACCATATCATCATCTAAACCACGAGTCCATTGACCCTATTGGTATATCTCAGAGCTGTGATGTCGATAGTGCCTTTCAGACCATCGCACAAGATGCCGTATCTCCGACCACGCCTCGTATTCACCATGTGTCGACGCAATATATCGCGCTGGCTATACCTCGAGTCCATGCCGCTCTGGCAGATCGGCTAACAAGATGTCAACGTTCATGTCCTCCTCGGAGGACTTGCTGCTCAGATGACCTTGTATGTGATGTATCGGGATTAACTCTCTTGATGATGACAGGCTGGAGGAGAAGGATTCATGGCCGACATCACCGCTATGGTGCTCCTACATTCCTGGAGCTAACGATTGGTACTGCATCATCTCACGATTTCTTTTTGGAGCAAAACGAGACAAGGTGATCTTCACTTGAGTGAATGTGCCTTGACGTATATATAGTCCTTTCCCAACACCCCAGAACAACAATCTCTTCATCATCACCACTGCCGCCTTACTGACAAGCGACTACACTACAATCCCACCTCAACATCAATCTCACAAGCATGAAGTCTATCTTTGTCTCAGCAGCTCTCGTTGCAGCAGCAGATGCTCTCATCGCCCGCGACTCGACCTGGTAAGTACTTTGTGCCCATCTGTTCGAGTTGTGCTCTGACAACATGATAGCTGCTTCCATTTGACTGCTTCAGGTGGTCCCGGAGGTATTGTTGGTCAGCTCTCTGATGGTCAGAACCGCATCGGCCAAGGCATGTTGATCCTCTACATCGTTTGTTTGTTCCCTTGCTAATGTATTCCATTAGGTCTTCCTGGTGCACAGTACTGCATTGACTCCAAGGGCGGTCTTACAGATCAGAGTGGAAGAGGGTGTATCTTGACCCCTCCTACTACCCAGTTCCAGTGTGATCAAGGCGCTAGTCCTACCGACGGCTTCTCGGTCTCTTGTGATGGTACACTCTCATTCAAGGGTAACACAGAGTTCAAGTCATGCCCCACTGGCGACAACGGTGGCTACAACATCTACACCACTGCTCCAGCTGGTCAAGGTGGTTGCGTCTCGGTGAAGTTGAGCGCCGATAGCTGCAAGTCTGGCTGCCCTGCTCCTGCTCCCGCACCGGCTCCTGCGCCTAAGACCTGTCCTGCCGCCCTCACCGGTACTTACGAGTACCCTCATCTTATCGTACCTGTCGACTCAAAGCAACCTGACAAGGCCTTTGGAACTCAGTACAACGGTACCGTTTCAGGAAGCGTCTCCAGCTTGTTCAACTTCGACATTCCTACCTCTGACAACGGAAAGACTTGCTCGTTGGTCTTCTTGTTCCCCCAGAAGCAAAACCTGGAGACTTCCTCTTTCGCCTTCTCAGGTACTGGAGGCATTGACTTTGCCATGTTGAAGGGTCCTGCTAGCTCTAGCACCACTTACAACAACAGACCAGGTGTCGGTACCGGTTATGGCGTCACCAAGGTCGCTCCTGGCAACTCATACACCATTGCAACCTTCCCATGCCCTGGTGGCTCTGCCATTGGCTTCGATCTATCCACCTCGGATGATACCATGCTCTCTTACTTCCAAGACTACAACCCATCTCCGTAAGTTAATCCCTAGGCCTCAATACTCTGATCAACACTAACAGCGCGACAGTATTGGTCTCTACATTACTGTCTGCTAGATGTCTTCTTCTGGACTGGATCTTGTAGCGGCTCTCTGGAGGCGCTCTGTTCTACACATTTCGTATCACATCTCATTGTAATCACGTCCTCTTCTTTACTTTCTCGCTCTTCTACTCACTCATTTGACGTATGATCATGTCTACTTTTAATCAACATAATGACAATAACCTGTCCGCTGCAATCTGCTATTCCATTCCCACGGGCCAAAGGTTGATCGACGCATAGCCGTGAGAGTGCACATCGATAGTACTAGACACTTAGTCACAAAACAAGTGTGATGGCATTTCATTTGTTATTCATCAAACCATATTCCCAAAAGTCCACGTGCAGCATCTCTTAAATTAGCATATATTCCCCACGCTCTTCCATGATTAAGTAAGAGCATCGACGAGCTGTAAAAAGGCACAATCGTATGTCATATCAGTGGACGTGACGCGGAGAGTCGATGTAACGACGTATCTCAGTAACATTGCTGCAAGTTCAAGAAGCACCGTGCCTTAAGACAGCTACAAGCATGCCATAATTCAGCATACAGGAGATGACAATCCTCTCTGTCACAGATCTCCATCAAGCTCCATCCAAGGGATTCTCATTTGCTGCATCAACATCAGTTTTCTGTCAGGAATGTAAGCACTACAAGCTCAACCCACCTTCAAGTATCCCTCCCTTGATGAGCTCAGCAGGCGAAGGTCGAGTCTGCAAATGCTTCTCGATAGAATCCCTCCGCATAGCAGCAGCAAGCTCACGCTGATGATTCTGCAGAGAAGGAGCAGCGGTAGAATCGGGCAGGATGTTGCGTTCAATCAACTCGTCCTTTACCGGTCGTGTAGCGATGGCTTTGTTCAGGCTGTCGGTGAGTTTTTGGCGTTGTAGCTCTTGCTGGTGAGCTTGCAGAGCTCTGGAGGGTTGTTATTGTTGGGCGTCTGATATCTGCCATGTTTGGTAAAGCTTGCTTACGGCGCAGCATTGGTGGAGAGAAGGATGTGCTTTTCCTTCAGCTCTTGAGCTTCAGGTCGGCTTTGGATGGCCTTTTCGAGACTGTTGCGACGCTCAAGAGATATGGGGCTGGTGACGGTAGGCTGCATCTCGTCCGACATGGTTGCGAATGATGTTTGCGTGTTCCACGACAGTGTTATGAATCTGATAGATGGCTATGCCGGGCACAGCTGATGCCGCGAGGTATGAGCGACGGTAGAGCCTCGGACGAGTAAAATCGTCTCGAGTTACCCCTGCCTGTACCTTTGTCCTCACCTGATGGACAGGACCCTGCATGATAGCGTGCGGGGTCTCGTTTACGGAGTTGGTCACAAGGTCTCCTTTGTTGCACAGGCGGACAGTAAGAGTTGGGTAAGAGACACGTTCGTGTGCATTAGGTATCATTAACTGCTAATTACAACATGCTGCTGCGACGAAGCAAGCGCCGGACTTGACAGCCACAGGCAGAAGGGAGTCCACGATAGTAGTAACACTCTTCTCCTTAAATTATCCTCCTTTCTTGTTATGCGGTCTGAATTGGGCAATCAATTCATTGGTGGAGAAGGGCGGTTCCTTGAAGGAGTTTATGCGCCCTCGTCATCCTCACCAACGCGGATAGCACCCTCGCTGCTGACACCGTGGGCCCAGAAGCCGCCGAGCTCGACCTGAGTCTCGGGCATGCTCTGGTGGGTGAAGAGCAACCATGCACCGAAGACGGGCTTGGCGAGCAGATCGAGGACAGCGTAGGCAATGATCTCCTGGTCAACGGTCATCTTGCGAGAGCCATCGGCAACACCCCAGACACTGTATAGGCATTAGTAAGAGTGCAGATTGACAGCTTGATGAGTTACTTACATAGGGTAGATGGTCCAGATGACGAGAGTGAAGCCAGCGATGGCACCGAAGAACTTGCCGACCTTGCCACCCTTGGCCATGGCGTTGGCGCGGCCGTGAACGGCGAGCATCCAGATGACAACGAGGTAGGCAATGCAGGCAATAGTGTACCAGCCCCACTTCTGAGGAGTACCCTCGCTGCCGTAGGCGGCGAAGAGACCGGTAAGGACCATGATGATGTCAGCAACGACGGCCAACAGGATGTGGCCACCGCTGAGACCGGCGAGCAGAGCCAGGTCGAGGAGGAGAAGAGGGGTGGTCAAACTCCAGTCGACGTAACGGGCCCAGTAGACCTGACGGTAGACGTCGTGGGTGGTGTCAGGGACGTGGCGGTGCGAGTCAGTGACGGTGGTGCGGTGGTAGCTGATGCCGTGGCCGGTGGCCATGGCGAAGTAGGACAGAGAAGCAAAAGTGACAATGAGGGTGGTGACAACGTGGTAGAGACGCTTGGAGATGGGGACAGTCCAGGAAAGGCCGACAAAGACAATCATGGACAGGAGCATCAGCACGCAGACGGCCCACAGAGTGCGGGTGCCGGTCTCAGTGACGGTCTGGTACTCGGGGAGAGAGGGAACAACAGTGGGTAGAGGAGCCACGGAGCTCGTGGCCTTGAAGGCCTGAACGGGGTCAACAATCATGGCTGCGGCGTGGATTGAAGGGATTGAGTTGGAGGGAGGAGAGGGGATGAAGGTGAGATGGACGAAGAGCTGAGGGGGAGACGTTCTTAAGCAGCTCGGAAGCTCTGAGCTGCTGCGCGCGGAGCTTTCGATCGCGCCTGCCTGCTACGATGACGTTGTCATGCATTGCATTGCTCCTTCCCCACAAGCAGGCCGTGCTGTTTCCACGAATTCAAGGAAGTCGCGCAACGCTTCTACAAGCCAATCGACCAGCCATCACCTCCATTAATTACGCTGTCCAGCCTCTCTTTGTTCTGAAAGTCGCAGTATCTACCCTCGACGACAATTTGCCATGATCCATGGCCTACCTTCACATTCCTGTACGATGCTCGGCAGGTTTCACGCTCACCTGATGTCTGCAAAACAGGCTTCGTGCAACATGCATCGGCTGCTTTCTCCACAGCGCCTAAGGAATCGGTTGGAGACAACCGTGGTCTTGAGAGCTCATTGGACCAGAATCGAGCCTGTCATGACTTTCCTACTCACGCGTTTGTCCAACTCTATCGTAAACACATCCAGTCAATTTTTTTACCAGTGATTAATAACTTTCCTTTCCTTGCGCAGGAGTCTTCAAGCGCTCGTCCCAGTCCGCAGATGAGCGCGCAATAAGCTGGCAGGTCGATTCTCGTATGTACCACATTCTGAGCTAGTGAAAGACCCGAACCACGTTTAAGCCAGCGCCTCGAGCGGAGGATTCATCGCCATCGTCTTCTCATCGTCCATGTCTGTGAGACCAGCCTCATCCAAGCCCCTCCACTGGCGAATAGCATGTGAAATTTTTGAATGGTGGACACGGAAACGGTAGGCAACGGCGATTGATCGCGATCAAGATGGCGGAGCAGCCGTCCATGTCCCAACACTTGCAGCCGGGCTTTGCGGCTAATGTGCCAAGGCGGGGTTCATTTCAAGATTTGTGAAAGTCAAGAAAGATATTCTCGATCCATCGAACACGTCCCATACCGTCGCTCAAATTCAATCAAGCGTTCCAACAACAAAGCACGAATATTAAAATGTCTCTCACCGCCGAGCAACAAGACAACTTCGAGGACATCGAGAAGCAGTTCGCTGTCAAGGGTGCGTGAAGCCCGTCACTATTCTACAGATGCCATCAAGACTGACTTATTCTCACAGCTGTCCAGCATATGACCACTTATTGGTCCATCCTTGAGAAGGTCCCCGGTTCCAAGCTACGCCTCACCAAGATCGACGACGAAATCTACGAGCACTTCAAGAAGGAGTTCCCCGACTACGATGCTAAGGCTACCATCAACGAGGATGAGATGAAGAGCAAGGCTGGCAAGGACCGCTGGAGAAACTTCATCAACCAGTACGAGAACAAGGTTGACGACTACAACTTCGGCACACTGTTGCGCTCCAACCCTGCCTTCGAGTACGGTCAGGACGAGACCATCTTCGGTATGACGTGTTATTCGTACAGCTCACTGACAAGTAGCTGACGCCAAGACATCAGCTGTGCGCATGCAGTTCTACGCGCTCGAGATCCTGAGGTAAGCTTGTGATTCTCAGTTTGAATGATTATTTGCTTATGAAACCGGACAGAAATCGCGAAGGTCTGAATGACTGGATCTACGAGAAAGCCCAAGGCCAGAAGGCATCGTGAGCCCAAACCGTACGATAGCTACTTTCGCTAGCCGGGTGGATAGATGGCAGCAACTGTTGACAGGCTGCTACTTCACTGCTTCACTGCACACCCAAGCGCAAAATTAGCCGCCGCTCTGGAGACAAAGGACGATGTAGTGCGACCTACCTTGACGGTTTGATGAAGCCACGACGGAACGCGAAGAGGAAGATACTATGGCGATGGAATGGAGGTAACGATTTCGGCCCTAGAACTTGCCACACAGAATCCAAGTAATCTCGCGGTAAATCGTTACAGTTGGAGGACACATGGTTAGCCATGGAGTATGCCACTTTGGAGAGGGGCTAAATAAGGGGTCGGTGTTGCGTCTGCTGAAAGCCAGAACAAGAACAATAGTAACGCGACACATTCTTCACACCATCCGCCGCAACTACGCCACTGCATTGTCCCGACTTGGTAATTATTCTGAACCTTCACCGGAACCGTCTCTTCTAGAACAATCGCATCAAACACGAGAATCTCCGTCCCTCGCATCGAGCGCTTCAGAGCAGTACTCAATTTCGCTCGCTTGTTGAGCTTTATCCCACAAGTCCAAATGCCTAGGTTACCGCGACTAATCCGCGCGGAAGATGCAAAACCAAGCAGTGAGCAAGACGGTCCCCGCGTAGAGAAGGATGCTTCACTCAGCAAACAGAAAGAAGAAAATGTGCCAGCAGCGCCTTGGAAGGCCTTGTTCTTCTTCACCGCCAGATCACATTTGACATGTCTAATTATCGGCCTCGTGGCAGCTCTTGCAGCTGGTGGTATCACGCCAGCGCAGTCTTATCTACTCGGTAAGGCTTTCAATGCATTCACCAGTTCTAGTAGCCCTAGCGCTGTCCTCAGGAGTGTCACAAATTACACAATCTATCTCCTGGCCCTCGGAGTTGGAAGCTGGCTAGTGCATTTCATCTTCTTCTCTGCATGGCTAGCATTTGGAGAGCTGCAAGCCAACAGTGCCAGAGAACGGCTGTTCTTGGGTATGATAAATAAGGATGTCGAATGGTATGATATGAGAAAGAACGGAATAGGGGCTATGATACCTCGTCTACAAGCGTAAGTCTGGCCTATAAATCAACTTGGGCGTGACGTGCTGACGATAGCAGACAGATCAGAGACCTCCAGCTCGCGACCGCACAGCCCTTCGGTGGCTTGATCACATCTACTGCAGATGCCGTGGCGTCTCTCGGACTGGCGCTGTACACTTCTTGGAAGCTTACCCTCGTGATCATCTCTACCACTCCCATCATCGTCCTGGTCATCGGGTACTTGAGTGCAACCATGCAACAACACGTAAACAAGCAACAGGAAAAGCTCACGGAAGCCCTCAAATATGTCGGGAATGCAATCAACGCCATCGAGGCCGTCAAATGTTTCAACGGCCAAGAGCATGAACTCGCGAGATACGCATCCCGACTCAAAGATGCTGCAACCTGGTACTACCGCGTCATCAACGTCAACGCTCAGCAATTCGGTTTCATGGGGTTCATGACGCTAGCCATGTTCGTCCAAGGCTTTTATTATGGAGGCGTACAGGTAGACAACCACGAGAAGAACACTGGAGACGTTATCACGACTTTCTTCTCGGCCATAAGTGCCTTTCAAGCCATCTCTAGCATATTGCCACAGATGATTGTGCTTGAGAAGGGAAGAACAGCCGGCTCAACTCTCAGAACTGTCATGGCGACAATGGCCAAGAAACCAGACTCTACATCACCTTATGAGCTTGTACGACCTGAAGAATGCAAAGGCCATATTGAGTTTCGAAATGTAAGCCAAGTGTCACGGCTAGTTTTAGCGTTTATTGACGACGTCTCAGGTCTCATTTGCCTACCCAGCACGCCCAGATCGGTTGGCCTTGAAGAATGTCACTTTCTCTATCCCGTCCTACGACACTACATTCATCATCGGAAAGAGCGGATCTGGCAAGAGCACCTTCGGACAATTGCTTTTACAGTTTTACCCTGCGACTTCGGGACAAATACTGTTCGATGGCATACCCATCAATACCTTAGATCCTGTCTGGCTGCGAAATCAGATCACGCTCGTCGAGCAGCACAGTACGCTATTTGAGAACACCATCTTCGAGAACATCGCCATTGGCAACGAGAAACGACACAACATCAAGGCAGAGGATGTCACCAAGGCTGCTGAATTTGCCCTGCTGTTAGCAATGATTAACGATATGCCTGAAAGATTCCAGTCGATGGTTGGAGCCAAAGGCGGGACAATGAGTGGTGGACAGAGGCAGCGCATGGCTCTCGCGCGAGCATATCTGCGAGACACGCCTGTACTCCTCCTTGACGAGTCAACAAGCGCACTAGATCAGGTCAGCCGGTCGTTGATGATGGAAGCAATCCGTCGATGGCGCCGTGGGAAGACAACTATGATAATCACTCACGATATCACACAAATCCTGGCCGACGACTATGCGATGATCTTCGAGGACGGTGAACTCATCCAGGAAGGCCATCGTAAAAATATAGAGCACATGCATGGGTCCCCTTTCCAGAGATTTCTATCCGCTGAGGTGGTCGCGGAACCATTGTCCCCAGAAACCGTCCAACCTGATTTTCCAGAACTTACAGAGAAGGACACGATCGCAAATACGGCGTACCGATCCTCGACAGATGATCCATTGTGGACGAGCTTGGTTATCAGTGAAAACATTCGGTACACTTATCTACCAGCGCTGTTTGCAAACAGACATACCAAGGCTGCTTTTAGAGGGGCATACGGCTTCGCTGCTCCACTTAGCGAATTTGGCTCACCAACTTCCACCTTCACTTCGGGTCCATCTTCACCCTTTTCACCTTTGAAGAGAACTTCGACCGGTAAAGAGTCGTCCAATTCGTACGAGCTGCAGGCCGATGACACGGTGCAGCAGAATAAGAGAAAATCAACCAATAGGAAGTCTGTAGCACCAGAGCTTCTCGAAAAGTTCATAGAATCGACAGGAAACTTCGCCGCTCGCGCCCAGATCACCACAGGAAACTCGAGAAGAAAACGTCTTCCTTCAGATGCATCGATTCCTGGATTGACCGATGGGACTGAGTTACAGCCTCTTTCGAAGCATCAAAAGAAGAGCGTGCCTGTAGAGAAGCGACAAATCTTCTCCATTCGCGCTATCCTCGGCACTGTCTGGCCTAGTCTCGACTGGCATATGAGATCCGTCCTTATCTTCGCGATTGTTGCTGCTTCCATAAATGGCGCCTGTACCCCGGTTTTCTCCAGCATCCTGTCCAAGTTGATAGGAACATATGGCAAAGGTGGGAAAGCAAAACATACGGCTGTGATATACACTGTCTCTATTCTCAGTATTGCCGTCGTCAATGGCTTGACCAGCTACATCATGCACCTACTTCTGGAATACGTCGGCCAGGTGTGGATTAACACGATGCGTGAAAGATCTCTGGAACGGATTCTCGACCAGCCCCGTGACTGGTTTACCCACGAAGAGAATTCAGTGTCACATGTGATGGAGGCTCTGGACCGTCATGCGGAAGAGATGCGTAACTTGCTGGGTCGTTTCGCATCTTCTCTCTACATAGCCTTCGTCCTGAGTGTCGTCGCTCTAGTCTGGGCTATGACATCTCAATGGAAACTCACGTTGATTGCGATCGCACTTGGTCCTTACGTATGGTTTGTCACCAAATCGTTCAGTACAGTCAGCGGTAATTGGGAGGGAAGGAGCAACGACGCCGCCGAAGCTGCTGGCTCAATATTCACCGAGACGTTCACGAACATCAAGACAGTACGGGCCTTGACACTGGAGTTCCACTTCCGAGAAAAGTACTTTCAAGCAACGAAGCACGCTTTAGAGGTTGGTTTCAAACGCTCCTTGTACGCTGGCTTTTTCTTCGGTCTTTCCGACTCGTCTGGGATTTTTGTCATGGCTCTCATGTTCTATGCTGGTGCGAAACTGATACGAGACGGCGCAAATCCGACAAAGATCGTTGAAGTCTTCATTCAGCTTATCTTGGCGATAACTAACGTGAGTATCTACTTGAGTCTCATCCCACAGATCAGTTTAGCGAAAGATTGCGCTTCTCGTCTGCTTCGACTTTCGACGTTACCGAAAGACTCGCACGAGCACTTCGGCAACACGCAAATTACTTCGATCGGAGATATCGAGCTCCACAAGCTTTCTTTCTCCTACCCTTCCCGTCCTGATCAGAAGGTTCTCAACAACATCAACTTACTCATACCAGCGGGCGAGACAACCGCCATAGTTGGATCTTCAGGGTCAGGCAAATCGACCATCGCTGCTTTGCTTCTCGATCTGTATACATCTGCGAACGAGGCGTCCGAAGCCAGCGGCAAGATCCCGGACATTATGCTATCTGGCCGTAACTTGAAGCACATACATACCCCAACACTGCGTTCTTTGATCACAGTGGTTTCACAAACTCCAGTCCTTTTCGCTGCCACAGTAGCCGACAACATCACATATGGGCTGCCACAAATATCTCCTCATAACAACATGGCATCCGTCCGACGGGCGGCAGCTGCAGCAGGTATTGATGAATTCATCATGAGCCTTTCACAAGGTTACGAGACTCTCATAGGCGACGGTGGCACCGGACTCTCGGGCGGACAAGCTCAGCGAGTGGCCATCGCCAGAGCTCTGATTCGCAAACCGGCAGTCATGATTCTTGATGAAGCAACATCCGCTCTTGATGTCGAAAGCTCGAATCTGGTTCGGGACACCATACAGGGCTTAGTCGAGCGCGATGGAATGGGTATGACCGTCATTATCATCACCCACAGTAAAGACATGATGAGTATCGCGAAGAACATCATCATGCTTTTTCAAGGGAAGGTCGTAGAGCAAGGAAGCTATAGAGGATTGCTGCGCAAGAAAGGCGAATTTTTTCATCTTTTGAGCGGAGGAGAATGGATCGAGGAACCGCGAAAGAAGGCAGAGGCTGGTGTGCGTGGCTTATCGGGTACCATAGATTGGGGGGCTAGACTGACCTGAGAGCTTGACTCTTCGAGGAAATCGCAAGAGTAGTACACACATGTCTATGACTAGATTAAACTATGGACATACACAGCATTTTGAGCATTCTTGAGCCGTTGTTGACAACTAAGATCTGTTAGGCACAATCTATGAAAGTGTCACCTTCAAGAAGCGACTCCAGCATTATCGCGGAACGAGTTGTAGGAACAGATGCCGGGTTCCCGTGGGCCGCACTTCTTCTTAGAGCAGTCATAGCAATACATCATACTTGAGCACGATCGAACTCGTGCTCCGGCACGTCGTTCGCCGTCAGGGATGAACCCTGGAGCGTAGTGCTTTTCCATCAATCCCCTCATTGATGAGCTGATTATATTGTGTTCACCTGGAAGAATATACGTCTTTGAGATAGGTTGTTGATAGAAGTGGCAATTGGTGCATCAGATTTTGATATCTCAACAGTCGTTTTAGGAAGGATCTGGTGTAGAGACAGCTTCATCAATGGCTGTATGCATGAATCGTCGTTACTGAGGCATATAATTAAGGTTTGAGGATCTAGGGTCCTGACCAATGACGAAGATTCGGCGTCCACCGACAGCCAATGAAAAGCTCGTATCCTGGCCAAGAGTCAACTCTATCTTCTACGCGACGTCAAGATCTTTCGGCTCCCCCAAGTCGTCCGAGATGCTTGTCTATGAGAGTCGATGATCGCTCTTGAGCCGCATGCTCGCTGCAGCCACACATGTGTTCCCAAGGATAATAAATCTTTTCTGAACATGGGTCAACACGAAATATTCGGTCGTCACAGTCGTCATTTGCGGATGCTTGAGGCAATGGCTATGCAGGGAGGCAAGGCAAGTAGGTCTTGATAAAGGCTCCGCCTGCTGCAAATTTGTGCCTTGCCTCGTCCTCTCTGTTCTTTTCAAAGATTGCTGGTGTAGCTTAAGCGTACTTCTGGCTGTCGGGTCTCCTTATATCTTTGTTCTAGGAGTAAACACTATGGTACCACCCACGACCCTGTGGCTTGTCGGCCTCTCTACAATACCCTTAGCTTTGGCCGGCAGCCCGAGGTACGACGCCATCTTCCAAAATTCTTTGCCTCTGGCACCAATCGCGACTCCGGCAAGGTGAGAGGTACCTAGCTGGATTGTGTCCGACCTATTCTGATTCTCACTCAGCTCCACCAATGTCAATGGCCAACAAATAGACTTTTACGAGGTTACTATTGAGCCATTTCAGAAGCAGGTTTACCCCGACCTGGGTCCTGCCAACCTTGTGGGTTATAACGGTGTTTCGCCAGGACCGACTTACTACGTCAAGAAGGGCACGCAGACAGTCATTCGCTACCATAACAACCACACTGATGATTCTGTGGTTCATCTTCATGGCTCAAGCACGCACACGCCATGGGATGGCTGGCCTAGCGATCATATCCATTACGGTCAATTCAAGGATTATTACTATCCAAACAAGTATGTACGCTTCCATGTGAGCAAGATTTGAGATCGATGTACCATTAGAGACTGAACTGACTGGCAATTTACTGATAGTTCAACTGCCCGATCTATCTGGTATCACGACCACGCCGACGGTATCACTTCGACAAACTGTTTCAGAGGCTTGATCGGTACATATATCATCTACGATCCTGAAGAAGGCAAACTGGGTCTTCCTGCTGGAAAGTACGACATACCGCTTATGGTCAACGACAAGATGTACACCGACACAGGTGATCTTGTCTCGATCGCTAATGAGCATAACGATTTCATCGGAGACACGATGGAAGTAAATGGCCAGCCTTGGCCATATCTCGAGGTCGAGCCTCGAAAGTACAGACTACGACTTTATAACACTGCCACAAGTCGACCATTTGACCTTCACGTGGAACAGTCCAATGGTGACTGGCTCGACTTCCAAATTATCGCCTCAGACTCCGGTCTATTCGGCTCTCCGGTTGCCTCCAACGATGTCACTATAGCGATGGGAGAAAGATACGAGATTGTCGTTGACTTCTCAAGTTTTGCAAACCAGAATCTCACTATGAAAAACGCCTTCCATCTGGGGGGTCAAGGTCTCGCACAGTTCGACAACGAGGATCTCATTATGTCATTCGTCGTTGGTGAGTCTGTGGCAGATTGGTCATCTAACGATGTTCCTGGCACTCTGAACGAGAACATCGCCTGGCCCCAGGACCTCGACGATGTTGATCATGTTTTCAGATTTCAGCGAGGCGGAGGTATGTACAATGCGTTCTGAACCGTGCTCGACCCTCAACTGACATCTATCAGAGAACAGCTGGACTATCAACGGCATAGACTTCGACGATATTAACAACAGAATACTCGCGAGACCACCCCAAGGCTCAGTCCAGCGTTGGAGATTGGTTTACGCTGGAGGTCCCGGCTTTCACCCGGTCCACGTCCACCTGGTGGACTTCAAGGTAGGCTGTACAGTGAAATTGGTGTAAAGAACGAAGGCTGATCGAATCTAGATCCTATCTCGAACCGGCGGTAGTCGTGTCGTACTACCTTATGAGTCGGCAGGCTTAAAAGATATCGTGCTTCTCGAACCTGGTGAAACGGTCGACATTGAGGCGCATTATGGCCCGTAAGCTACTATACCATGCCTTGCTAGTACTCATTACTGACTCAAGCATAGTTGGAACGGACTCTATATGTTCCATTGTCACAACCTTATACATGAAGATCACTTGATGATGGCATCTTTCAACGTTACCAGACTCGAAGCATTAGGGTATGACAACGTTGAGTCTCTGGACACTCCTGACGACACTCGGTTCTTAGCAGAAGATTGGTCGGCTGAAGCCTACTCTAATGACGAGATCCAAGGTAGACTTAATTGGCTCGGTAATTTGGGTGCATACAATGAGCGCGATCAAATCGTCACTGCAGTCGCGGCTTACTACTCGGATAACCCCAATCCTCCAACCGAGACCAGCAATGTGCCAGAAGCTGGGTCTGTTCAAACACAAGGTTGGGGGCAGAACTGGCAGAATCACAGAGGAGTGCCCGGAGTGTAGCCTGTCAAGAAAACAACCAACGCAGACGGGAATAAGCTGAACTTCCCGCAAGATTTGTTATTTGCTTTCTACACATGAAAATTCCCAAGACAGTTAGACTTATACAGTAACAAGACGTTACCTCGATGGTGGATGTATCATTTACATAGACTCGCAATGTAATGTCGATTTATTTTTCTAAAATCTGCCCATCTTGGGTTGCGAGTGTGACAACCCTGTCTTTCGATTCGATTTTCCCAAAAAGATTGCCTCCGGCTAGCCTCCTAAGTATTGAGAACTTTAGTGGCTCACGGGACAGTCTGTATTAGTCTCCAGGTAGGCAGAAGGGTCTATAGATTCCTTAAATCAATCGAGTGTTGTTAATGGTCACAAGTGAATGAGGTGGTAGACAGCTGCAGCGTGTTTCTTTGACCATGTCAAGTCATTGGAGTGACATAAAAATCATTCATGGAGTGCTTCGAAAGCTGCACGAGAGGGAGTCTCAACAAGTCAGCAATAAAGGTTGTCTCTAATACGATTGTGTATATGAACCATCATATTGTTGACCTCTAAGCATCAGATGCAACATCACGAAGTTCTATTCCGACCAACTCCAGACACAGACTTCACAGGGCAAGTTTAGACGGACAGATAGCTCAAACACCAACCAGTGCAGCCATCTGACTCTGCACAACCAGGCCACACATCACAAGCTACGTGAGAACTTGATTGGGCAAGATGTCGAGTAGTGTTGCAGAGGGAAACCATTGACTCGTGTTGTTGAGATGAGCCGCATCAGTCCTGTCATTACAATAGCGGCCCTTGAGCTTAAAAACACGCATCATACGCCGCCGGCGTCATTGGGTCCGGGCTTACTGCCAGCGTGTTGACGTCGTATTCTTCGTGCATCGAACAGGAAGTTAGTCAGGCTGGCTCTCACCCCCTATGCAGGACTGCGAGCGTGCATCACGAGATGTCGGAGGACCCTTCCCGTCATCTAAGAAGATGTGAACAGTCGAAGCACTTTACGATCAAGCATCCGAGCCTTTCTGCACCCCGATTTTGCTGCACATCCCTGGCCAAGAACGTCCATCGTCATTCCTAGAGCCTGCGACCGGTCCTGCTTCGGTCTCCATACCATCACCTGGAGAAACATATTGCTCGCGAGGGAAAGCAGATTGCTCATCGATGATCGTACAGACTGGTCTTTCGATTTCCCACGAGGACGGTGTTGTAGGTCCTACCAGTCGCGTCATCTACGCAAGAGACGCGAGATGAATGCCTGATTTAAGAAAACATGTGTCACTTTGAACTCATCCCCATGGTGAACCCACGCGAAAAGATCGGCACAGAGGAGCATAAGTTTCATCAATCTTCTGACAGACAGACAGGTCATGGTACATGTGCGATTTGAGGCTGTGCCAGTAACCATAGTGAGCGATGCGTCGGTATTCGAATATCCGTCCTACCTGTATTCTGGGGACGTTCTCGTGGAGTATTATGATTAAGTGGACGCCTTGTACATGGAAAATACATAGCGGAACAATGCTGGATGCTGAGCGCCCTTTAAGGTCAAGCTATTACTGATAATCTTCTCCGAGGTAGCTCAGGAAAAATGGTATACAGCATTATAACACGTACATAAAACATCTCACCCACACTCGATGCCCTCCTATAAATGATTAAAGTATGCGTCATATGAGATATCCACGACGATACCCGGTAAGCTCCTACATATCTTCTTCGTATCATCTTCACGAGCACACCAGGTAGTCCGAATGCCGAGACTGCCGCCGGCAGACGGTGGAAGGTGAAGATTCGGGAGCCGGAGCATCCAAGAGCAGTTTCTTACTGCGCAGCCCTAGGACCTCTCGCCAAACGCATGACAGACCGCTGTCTGATTTCCGCGATGCAGAGGCGTTGCACGTCAGATGAATCGGTCGCTCGGCAAGGAGTTGTAGGCAAACATTTGTCCGTTGGGGCGAGGAGAGAAAAGTGCGACGTCATATTCGAGCTCGAGAGTAGACATCTCTTGGCGGATCGCGGCCCGCGAAGTTCGCGTTCCAGTTCTGCTGCTGAACATCTCTGCTCAACGTCGAAGCTTATCCTAAAGGTCACCGACGAGTCCAGCTTTGCAAAACATGCAAGAGCTCGAGATCTATGACAATTCGCCTCGAGGAATAGACGTTTTGATGACCCCATGTTCCAATGGCATACAAGGTATGATACGAAGCAACGAATTTGCTACATGCGGCTAGCAGAGGCAGCTCAACCCGTAAGTCTGAGTTTTCGGTCCGTCAGTCGGTCACATCGCGGACCCTTCAACGTCCACCGAGAAGGAACCTTAGGTTGAGAATGTGATCTCACTGGCATTTGCTTGTCGTGCCACCGCCGGTTGTGCAGTGGGTACGCCTGGTCACAAGATGATGAACTGTTTCCAAGGCTCCCCGGAGCGAGTTTTTTCGTGGGCCACTTCTCCGTCATCGTATATAGTTGCTCCATCCCTCCCCGGGTTGCTTTTGCATTTGCATCCGTTTTGTCATTCTCCATCATGAACACCGCTCCTACACATCTGAGGAACCCCTCACTCACAAATCCTTCGAGGAACGCCTCTTGGACAGGCCAGAGCTACAAGGAGAAGGACTCCGAGTCCCCTCGCTCAGGATCAATCGACGACAATGGCACCGATAAGAAAGAGACCAACGTAGAGCCTCACTCACAAGGTTGGCTATGTGGTGGCAAGCATCTCGAGGAGCTTCGCCAGAACGAGAACTACAACCTCGATGGCCCCTTGACCGAGGTCGACATCGACATGCCTCTCACTCGCACTCAGGTCATCAACCAGGGCGACAAGCAGATGGTCGAGCTCAAGTTCGCACCGGACGACAAAGAAAACCCCTTCAAGTGGGGAAAATGGAAGAGACGATTCATCTCGACACAACTCAACCTCATGACCCTGTTCATCGGTCTCGCTACTACTGCATACAGTTCCGGTATCAACAGCATGACCGCCGAATTCCATCGCTCAACTGAGATGGGTCAACTCGGTCTATTCACTTTCAACATGACCTGCGCCCTTGCTCCGCTGTTCCTGGCTCCATTCTGCGAGCTTGTTGGCCGTAAGATCATCTATGCAGGTGCCTACTTCCTCTTCTGTCTCTGCTTCATTGGTCTTGCTCTTGGACAGAACATTGCCACCATCCTCGTCATGCGTACACTTCTTGGTCTCTTTGGTTGTGTTGGTACTATCCTTGTTGGTGGCACCTTCAGCGACATGTACGACGTTCACGAGCGCGCCAGACCCATGGCCTTCTTCTCATACGTTGCCATCCTCGGTACGGTCGGTGCCCCCATCTATGCCGGCTTCATCGATATGACCATTGGTTGGAGATGGATTGAGGGTATCCAGGGACTGAGCAACATTCCTCTCCTCATCTGTATCTTCTTCTTCTTCAAGGAGACTCGTGGAGGTGTTGAGCTTCAAAAGCGTGCCAAAGCTGTTCGTAAGGCCACCGGTGATGATCGCTACCAGAGCGCCATGGACTTTGAAACCCCCAGTGTCCAGGCCATGCTTAAGGCCTCTTCGGTCAAGGCTATTTACATGTTGGCCACCGAGCCTGTTGTCTTCTTGTTCGGTCTCTGGATCGCCTTCTCCTGGTTCATAGTCTTCTTGTTCCTGTCCGTCATTCCCATCACTTTCCAAGAGAAGCGTGGCTGGAATGAGGGTGTTGGTGGTCTGCCCTACATCTCGCTTTGTGTTGGTGTTACTCTCGGCTGGTTGGCCCACCACATCCAAATGAGAAGATACCTTCGTCTTACCCAGGACCCCAACCACAAAGTTGTGCCTGAGGACCGTCTTTGGGCTGCTCTCTGGGGTGCCGTCTGGATGCCTATCGGTCTCTTCATCTACAGTTTCACTCAGTATGGATATCTGTCTTGGGTCGGCCCTACCATCGCCCTTGCACCCATCGCATTCGGTGTCTACTTCATCTTCGAGTCAACCTACAGTTACACTGCCGATTGTTACGGAGAGAGCTCTTCTTCGGCCATCGCTGGTCAGGGTCTTATGAGAAACACCCTCGGTGCTGTGTCACCCCTCTTCGCTTCCCAGTTCTTTCATAATGTAGGCAGTCAGTACGCCGGCCTCATCCTGTCGCTCATCGCTTGCGTTCTCACCCTGGTGCCTTTCGTATTCTACAAGTACGGACACCTGATGCGTGCTCGCTCGAAGCTTGCCATTGTCTACTAAGTAGCATGACTGCTGTCATGAAATCGCGTTTGACTCTTATGGCATTTAGCGATCGGCGTTTTCATTTATCCTTTTTTAATATACCTATGAGTTGCTCTGCATGACCTAGAAGGGCTTTGGGATTGATCAATTCAAGGTCTCACACGACCGCAATATAAACATAAAACTTTATTATCAATGAATGCTTCACGTAACTAGTCCTTTATCAAGCGCTCACCCGATTGTCATTTGAGTGAGAACTGCTTTCAAGTATCGTCGATATTGTAATCAGAGCAGGAAAGGTTAGAAACAAAGACGTCATCCGGAATCGTTGACTACATTGATGGGCAACGAAGCATATGTCTAGCAAATCATGCCGAGTGCTACGTAAGATATGGAAAGCAGATTATGCAGGACAACTCTGTCTGAAGGGTAAGTTCGTGGTGCATGCCTGCTGAGGCATATTGAATGGTTCATGTCGTCGTCAAGGAGAAATTGCATAGAAGGGAAATCTCGCGGCTCGTACGAGGAGGCTGAATATGTAGACTGCCTCTGCGTTGGATCGTATGTTCTTCAGACATAGTAACGTCGGCTGCTGCTGTGGTGTGAGCGGCGAGGAGAGTTACGTCTATCAACGCTTCCACGGCTGGAGCGACGTTGACCGTGGCGTGTGCTGTGATACTCTTTCTTCACCACAACAGTGTCGCGATCGCGATGATTCCTGTGAACGAGGAGTGCGAGCAGCTAGAGAGACACTGGTTAGTGACCACTTGGCTGAACCAAATGAGAGACTTACGAAAGTAGTGAAGAAGAAGATGATGTTCATGATGGCAAGCGCAAAGCAGGCCTTGAGCATGGCACAAGTCTTGTTGATGTGAAGAGACCAGTCGCTACCGCTCTGTCGACCGTAGTATCCGAAGGGCCCAAGACTGAGATAGATGCTTCCGCTGCTGAAGTTGGAGCAATCTTGGTTGGTGATGGCACGCAGCTCGTAGACGGCGGCAATCAAAGTGCCCACGAAAGCGAGATCGACCAAGGCAACGAACAAGGCGGAGTGACGAGCACGCAGGTAGGTCACAAGCGTTGCAAGCGCCCATGCTGCTGCCAGTACTGAGGTGATGAAGAGCAAGAGGATGAAGGTTGGTGTGAGCTGGTTGTTGACGACGAAACCGTGAACGAACCACGCTAGCATGCCCACAATTGGGATCAGGGTGAGAGTCTGCGCGATGCGAAACGAGAGGAAGAGAAAGCCTGATAGCGCCATGGTTGTGATGGGCGTGAGGGCGTGAGGGCGTGAAGGTGTGAAGGTGGAGAGAAAGGCGGGCGACGAGAGCTCTTACGCTGAGTCGGCAGCACGGGTGAAAACAATCAGGCCAGAGGTGCTCAAGGTAGCACGTAGTATGAGAATACTGCCTGGTTGCTACAAAGTGACGAGACTACGATGGGTATTTGTACAATGTGATGACGATTGCTTGCGCAGCATCCACGAACAATGAAAATCTTGATTGCAGAGGCTGGGATCCTATATTACATGCAGCTGCGTGTGCTGACATCTTTGCATCGCTCTTGGCCTCTTTGGTGGAATCTGACAAGACCGAGAGAGAGCGCGGGGCTGGCAAAAGTTGTGGAAGCATGGAAGGTGGTTGGGCGATGGAGGAAAACAGGAAGTCACACTGATCGCGAGCCAATCACAGCACTTCCACAAAGCCACACTTCTGCACCCTGGGCAACCCTCTGCTTCACCTCCCGCGCCTATCTTGTCGTCTCTTCACTTTGCCTAGATCACATACAGCCATCGCCAACTTTTCTTGATCCAGGCATCGCTTAGATTGCCATGGTTTCTACTAGCAGACCACTTCGGCCTTGATTCTTAGTTCACTCGAGTATCGATCTTCCCGCATGTTAAGCTTTGTCGTACCCTCCTTCAACGAGCAGAGCAGAGCAAAGCAGAGCATCACAGAGCTGTAGTAAGGCATTGTCATGTCCCACATCAGCGAAATCAAGACAGAGAGCCAGTCAGGACATATCCTGGAGCATTGGCTCTAAATCCGAAAGGTTCGTGCCTTGAGACAGCGTATCTTCACTGTAAACAATGTCTCCCGTCAGGTAGAAACAGAGAGCTGGTGAGTGACAATGTGTTGCACTAACTCACTTCGACTTGTGAGTATCTGGAGCATCAATGACTTCACAACGTGTTTGGCAACAATCCAAGCGACACTGGCGATAAGCGCGATAAGCCACCATAAACCACACGCTCACCATGGCAAACACCGACAACATAAACGACATATCTGGAAACACCATGGTTCATCCTCTACTTCGAATAGCGGACGACACAGTGCCGGCCGAGCCTTGGATTTCCAAGATGGCCTCCATCGATAATTTGATCAGAAACGGCATCAACAAGAGCTGGATGCTTGTCTTCAAGGGCGAAGCTGATGGAGTGTCTCGTTACAGCGGACATGTGAGTGCTAGAAACTTGCGCAATACTTGTGCACCAACTAAACTCTTCAAGGACGATCTTTGGGACCACGAAGGCGACTGTAAAGTCAGATTGGGCAACCAAGAAGTCTGCTTTGACAGCAACATCATCTTCGAGACCAGATCCGACGATCTTCTCTCACTGATAAGTGGTATGTTCTTATCGCGTGCTTTCCAGACAGAACGGGTCGTGAGGTATTGACCATGCAATAGAATGTGTTTGTGAAAGGGGCATACACTACATCTTCAGACTGCCGCCGCTCGGCGAGGATGTCGAGAAAATTAACAGATACAATCTCGCCATTCGCAACTTCATTGCAACAATCATACGCAAGCCCATCATCGGAAACACTCTGGTCTCTGCTCTTGAGGATCTTCAGATCGTCGCCAAACATGTCTTCAAGCTGCAGCACCAGCCAGAGAAAGCGGCCGCTTTCGTCCATGATCTGGTAGAGAATATGAAGTTTGACAATTTTATCAACAGGCCTGCCGATATATGCAAGTTTCTGGCCTGGACCGAAAAAACTCGTTGGTCAAGGGGATTTGTCGAGACTTTTGCTCACTGTGTGGGCATGCTGAATTGTGGACACCTGGACCAAGAGTCTCTGGAAGAACTCTCGCCAACAAGTAGGGCTCTCTTAGAGCAGAGCTGCACAAAGATGCATTACAGTCTCATGACTACAGAAATACCCCTCACTGTGTTTGCCATTGGTCCTACCGTCATGAGAGAGGTCGAGGATTATGCGGGTATCCAGCAGTCGCTCCTAGCCTTCCAGAACTTCCTTCACCGATACTATGCTCAGTTATACGGAACATGGCCGCCGCCTATGCATCAGAGCAGTGCTCATTGGTTAACTCGTTCGATGGTTCAGCGCTTGCAAAAGGATTTTGGCAACCTCTATGACCTTCTTGTCGACACTAACATCCAGCGTGGAGCGGCGAAGGATGCGGATGCCGACTCCTTCGGCTGTGGACTTGACAGAGGCCATCTCTTCGCCACATGGGATAGTCGGAATAGTTTCGATCCCCTGACGTACTTCGAGCCGAAGGCTCCGGTCTACTCTCCCACTGTAGTTGTAGAGCAGGAAGGCGCAAAGGGCGCCAGACGGTCATCTCTGATCCCGGCTGTCCAGAAGCATCGCAACAAAGGTCCGGATCTTCACGACATCTACACACGTGCTACCAACGCCGAAACAAATGGTATGTCTTCAAGCTTTCTTCTATCCAAGAGGTGGACTGACTCGATAACATAGTGTCCGATTTCTGCAAAGCCTTCCAAAATCACGAAGCCTCGATCAAGCATCGAGCCATTGATACCCACGAAGGTCGTCTTGGACGCTGGATCGTAGTATACTGCATGATGCAAGTTCTCTCCAGAGTTTCTGTTGACATCCAAGGCCTTCGCTACACCCAGGGAGTGGAGTACTTCCTCAACGCAAACATCAATGGCACGCCACCCTGGAGTCCCAATAAGCTTCCAGAAACCATACGCGCAGCTGCTCCTCAGTATGGCTGGGCTGCGCTGTATGCAAGATCCACCGAAAAGTTGCCGCAAAGATTGAATAGTGCTCAAAAGAAGGACACAAAGGCCAAGTTCGAAGTGATGCATCTGGCTGATGGCCGCGTGATGCTCAAGGATCCAGATGGCCACATTGTGTTTAGATAGATTGGCCTCTAGAAATATTCGGGATTGACACTTTTGTGGTCTCGAGACCCTTGACTGGCTCTGGAAAATGGAAAGGAGGAACTCATTACGAATCGGCGCGCTTTGAGTCTTGATATTCAAACGGCAACTATCAAGACATGGGCAGAATTCATGTTCAGAACCTTACGGGACCTCACACTCGAAGGGACTACCATCGTGTCTCAACCGAGAAGGCTCTTGCCATAATATTGAATTAGGGTGATGTTTCGGCTCTTGTATGTTGTGTTACGAAGATTGATCGAATCGAGGTCTTGGGACGCGAGGTCCTCCAGCACCTTGTGATATCTGACAAAGACTATCAACGTCGACACGGCGGTAGTAGGAGATGTGTCCAAACTCTATCCAGTGTTGTGCCAGGCAGTCGGGGGATATCAGAATGAGCTGTGAAGGCATGTATTCATCTGTCAATCGGTCAGAACCATTAGCCTTTCTTCAACACCTGAGAATGAAGTTGTTCTTACCATGTGCAAAGCCCACTCCTGCAATATGTCCAGCACTTCTGACAACTCTTGCGCCCCTAAATGCAGCTTCGTCTGCAATTCGTACGAGTCCGCCCTCACTGATGTCAGGAGCAATGAATGTATATTCTCCTCGTGGTACGTTGGGGTCGCCTGTCAGCTTGATAGCCTCGATACGTCCAGTGTAGATATCTGGCCCTTCCGAACTAGACGTGGCCGGCGCTGAATATTCGTAGGGAGATGACAGGCTGGAACCGGCATTTTGGTCTTCCTGAGCACTCGCGTAACTGCTGTCACTGCTCTGTGAGCTGTTGCTTTGGCGGCGGTAATAGCCTGTGGCCAGCCATTCGAGCATGTGATTCATTCCATCAGGCAATGCGATCTCTTCATCTTTCTCTGGTTGCAAGACAAGGAGAAATTCACAGCCATGTCCGCTATAATCACCACACCAGATGCCCTGCCAAGGCTTCTCTTTGGTAGGCACATAGCAACTCTGTGGCAGTGTTGCATACGTTGATACTTCTTCGCCCATTCGGACCGTCATACCGTGCCCACCAGCATGCATCAGAGTTGGAGCGAAGCCACCAAAGCCAAGAGCATTGTGAATGCGCTCGGCAGCACCCAAGGCCATTATCGAGCTGCTATGACGGCGGCCGGAGAACTCAACCCACTTCCTTAGTCGGAATGTATTTTGACTGACTTCATCCAGCGTTGATGGTCTGTGTGATAGTGCTTGAAATGCTCGGGCTGATGCATTGCGTGTTCGGGAAATTGCAGGAACTTTCAAAGGCGGCCATACTCGAGTCCCAGGACCGATTGCTATTTCGGGAAGATCGCGAGCGAGCATGAAAGAGGTATAAAGTCCAGGTGGAGCAGAGCAATCCATCATGATTTCGCGTGAGAGTAGGGGTAGAGATTGGTCGCCTTGGTCATCATCGTCGTCCTCAGGAAGACGAACCTGAGTACGAGGGTTCCCGGGGTCGAGCTTGAGTACCGGTGAATTGAGGTCCAGTTGCACTTTCGGATTGAAAGTATGGATTGAGACATCTTCGTCATGCTCCCAATGCTCGAATTTACGGATGCCTGGCTCGGCGACTACGGCATACGCCTCGATACATCCTCGACGTGGATCATAGCGAGCGATTAGAAGTTTCCCGTTCGGCTCACTATCCGAGAACCAGATCTTGTGTCGGCATAGAAACCAGTAAGGATGATGAGTGATGTATAAATCCCGAAATGATGGTAGAGGAGCAGCACTGGTCAGAGTATCTGGAATCTGATCATTGACGTGCTGTTGCCACAGAGAGTCACTAAAGGCGTGATTGCGAAGAAAGCGGCATGTTAGTGCTACATCAACCAAACATGTCGGTTCTAAAAACTGGAGTACGTTCTGAATTAGCTCAGCCGGTAAGCCAAGTATTCGAGGCACAATGTTGTCTCCTTCCATGGTTGGGGTTGATGATAATGTCGAGTGTTGTAGGTATGAGCGGCGACAACGGAGTTAGATAGAAGGCGTCACCACCTCCACCCTTGCACCACCTCGGCACCTTCCACTTTACGCAACACGGCACGACATCAAGCGCTGTCTATCATTCTGATATCGCTTCTTCTCTAGATGTTGCAGATGCCGTGAAATTGTTCAGAACAATTGATCTGGAACCGCATCAGAAAACACCAATCTGGACTCGTCACTTTGAGAAATCTGATGTCAAATCCGAAGCTCTGCTGGTAAAGAAAAATACACAATCACGTCGGATGTCTTTGCTGGTCTAGTATAATGCTAAGCTTGCTGGCTCCGCTCTTTTCCAACAGCGCTATGTCGGTATAGTCACTCCCTGATGCACCGTTCGGTTCAAAAAACGCTCGCTTACTCATCATCGTCCGCTTCTTTCATGCTCATTCCATCTCAACGAATCGTCGCAGCGTCGAACGCAGGTGTGGCCTCCAATGTAGCATTGTCATGCTCCCGATCCCCGGACGTTGTCTTTGGCGTCGATGCGCCTGCTGCTTCCTCTGATGTCTCAGCCGAAGGTGAAGGCTTGGCCTTTTCGCTCTTGGTTATCTTAGGCTTGGCCAGACTCTTGGATCTGAGTACGGAAGGAGTTCGCTTTGGAGGGCTTTTGACATCGGTCTTGTCGTGTACTTTGCTTGCCGAGCTTGCAGTCGGCCTCATCATGCGTGCAAGGAATCCATCATCAGAGCCCTTGGCAGCAGGGATCGGTTTGTTTTCGGCCTTCTTGGGTGCACTGGATGTCGATGCGAGTGATGGTCGGACTGTAGGCTTCGCGGTAGCTGCAGGCGCACGTGCTTGTGAGCGACTGGCAGTAGCAGGCTTGGAAGATGATACCGAGGCCCTGGCAGGTTGAGGATCATGTCTTGCTGATGATGCAGCGGTCGGCGCAGTGAGGTGTGAGGATACTTTGACGGGTCGTGTGGGCGATCGAGGACGAGTCGGTTTAGACTGAGGCGATTTGCTGAAAGATGTGTTAGCAGACTGAAAGATGTGCATGCGGTCGAATGTGTAGTCTCACGTCTTGGTTGAAGCAGCGTCGGACTTGGGCTTTCCCTGAGTCAGCGAAGAATTGCTAGGCTTCCGGACAGGGGGCTTTGGCGAGAGAGTAGACGATGGTTTGGCTGCTGGGGATTTCTTGATGGGTGTAGGTGCGGCTCCCTTCTTGACAGAGATAGGTGTCTTGGGCGGAGCGTCGGCTGATTGCTCTGCGGCAGTCGCAACAATGTTGGCAGGTCTGTGAGGTGTGGAAGCAGGGCCTGGATCCGCGGCTGTAACAGTACCACGACGGGCACGCGAAGGAAGCTCGGAAGACGGTGTCGATGTGTCGTGGCCGTTTGTTTCGGGAGTGGGCGAGACGAGCGAGCGGTCCTTGAGGTCAGAAGGCTGCATGGGGCCCGGCTCTTCTTGCACGCCAGATATCTGTAGACGGACTTAGCATGCAGAAACAACAAAGGAAGCCCGGGGTTAGCTTCTAACCGGCTTGTCAGGATTGTCGGCAGGCATGTCGTCAGTAGGCAGAGTCATGGGTCGAGCATCGTTACTCTCTGTGGCGTGGTTGGTAGTGGCAGAAGCATCGACATGGTCGGCGGCGACTTCGTCTCGAAGCTTGCTTTGGGGCATGGCGTTGGTGGAATGGGCTACCTCACCGGCAGCCAGGTAGTCCTTGGCTTCGACTGCAGGAGTAGTGGCAGTGGGGGTCTGCTCAATGGCAGCCTCAGGGATGGTTTCTGCGACCAGAGGATTTGAGCCTCTGCGTTCCTCCTCCTGGCTCATGCTCTGTCTGATGTTGGCGACGGCGTCGCTTGAATCGTCGTGGCTGAAGCTGTGACGACGCAGACTTGCAGAGCTCTCCTGCTGCCTGGACTGGGTGTATTCTTCCTTTGTCTTTTGCGGATCGATGTCCATGGCTGGGCTTGGGCTGCTTGGTGTGCCGTGTTCGACAGAAACGAAGCTTGAACGAACTTTGGACAAAGGACGGTCGCCGTTGGAAGCCGGGGACAGATGGCCGTTGGAGCGACCGCGGTCAGGCGAGGTGGAATCCGAGCATGTGGTGTTGTTGTTGTTGTTGTTCTCGAACATGGCGAGCAGGTTGCGTACTTGGCTGTTTGAACGATTTACCGACATGGCTGCAGGCACGGCGAGGTAAGCATCTGGCCGCATTGGATCCTTTTGAGGACAGAGGGGATATGCGACAGGCGTCTCGAAATCAAGGTGGCTGTTGATGCCGTCGACAAAAGCGCTGCACGAGCCGCTTCATCTTATGGAACGAAACGCTAGTCCGCGTGCCAGGGCTGCTGCCATTGGGGGCCACTTACGATGCTGTAATCACTGAGACATGGACACGCCAACAGGGAGCTTCTGTCTGGCAATTGGGGAGGTGATTTGAAGAAGGAGCCAACTCTTTCTTGCAGCTGTCGACACGCAGCTATTCGCGTGCCTTGGGCCATCGAAGTTCCACCTGCTGCCAAGACCACCACGTCATACCAACATGCACAGACTGTCCCTTTCCTGCTGCTGCTGCTGCTGCTGCTGCTGCTGCTGTCTGAGAAGGCAGGCAACTTGATTCTCGTCTTCTACTCTGTTCTGTACTCAATCCTGGTCACTTGTGTCGCATGATTGTCTTGTATTGCCTAATTCTTGTATCAAAGAACTGCAACGCCCGCGAAGTTTGTGCCACTCGAGCCAATCAACTATCCATCCCTTATATAGATTGCTAGCTGAAACATGTCCGAGGACCAATTTCTTTCGAGAACATGTCAATCTAGATGCCATCTGGTTGTGCTGTGGTGAAGAAGCTTCGGAGCTGCTCTCAAGGTGCTCATGACCCCAGGCTCGTGCTAGTGCAGCATCCAGTTGTCCAGACTAGAACAAAGCACGTGTTTATCCAAGTGCCTTGTCTTTGTTCTACTGCCCACTTGGCACTTGGCTGAACGACGTGACGTGAACAGCTTTTGCACACGGGAAAATAGTTGGATCCTGCCACTATTTCAATTGCTTCGTGAACTGTGGACACTCCCGGTAGCAAACGCAGTGATCAAGAGGTCAACAGGTCTAAAAAAGGAACAGCACCAGCCGTTGCTATCGGAGAGAGGTGCCGAGAGTGTACAGAAACAGCCGTGCATCTGGGGCTGCCGCTCGCGACCCAGCCCTTGATTCCCGCTCTCTCATCCACTCCATGTCAACAGACTTGCTGGTGTGTCCGCTTATCCATAGCTATCCATCCTGTCCAGCAGCTGTTCAGTCGATTGTTGAGGTTGGGATACCATGGCGGCAGCAGTCTCCTCACGCTCTTCGACTGCTTTCGACCTTCGCAACACGGCTCCTTACACCATCCGCTTGGGACGCCATCTACCGTCATGTTCTAGTATACAGTACAACCATAGACCAGATCTCTCAGATCCTGACAATGCCGAATCTTCGATCTCCCATTCTCCCGAAGGCAATCGAGTCACTCTTTCCTTGAGAGACGGTGCCGACGAATACAAGTATTCTGGCACTCGCTGTGACGAAGACGACGCATACGTTCTGTTGCTCGACGAAGAAAGTAAAGATTTCGTTCTAGAAAAGGTCGCCTCCTCGTACACTCTGAACTTGACCCATGCGCCTTGGGAGTCGAGCTCTGATACACTGGCCGAGCAATACCCACAGCTACAATCTCACGATGATGACGGTCATGGAGAACATGTCGGGAACGCAGATGATGAAGAGGGCGGCGTAATGCTGGATGCAGCAGATGCAGACGCTTCCAATCCTTTCGACTTCCGCCACTACCTGGACGTCGAGCCTTCACCTAGTCCTCACCTTCCCCCCACCAGGGCCGTACCGATAGCAACGCCCGCAGCCTCTCAAGCTTCCACAAGAACAAACACACCACTCGTCAAATCTGTACGCAAACAGACCTCTGCCTTCGCACCGCAGAATCTCAAAGTGCCGCCGAAACCACGAGCGAGTCCGAAACCTACTGAAGACGAGTCCAAAGTCAAGCATGCAGCACGCTCGCCACATCCAGAAACACAAGCGAGTCGAAAGACCCAAGTCGACGTACCCGCCGTTCGTCTCGACCGGCGTGCTTCCACTCGGCTTGCATTGCCTTCCAAGCCTCCATCAAAGAAGCGTGATGCAGAAGGACTGTCGCTCGACGGCGACAGCGATGATGATGATGACGGAGATCTGATACTCGAAGGCGACGAACCGCAACGATCATCATATCGTTCGAACAACTCAAAGTCGAGCCTAGGTCTTGCACTCACGAATGGTCTGGGTGAAGGACCGCGCAGTCTGCGTAGTGCAGCAAGCAGTCCAGCTGGAAGTCATATCGATTCGCCTGCCCCACAGCGACCAAGTCCGCTCGGCGGACACCGAGAAAGAAGTTATGACGAGGACGAGCTTGTCATGGATCCGGACGAGGAAGCGAATGAGTACGATCAGATGGGCAGTGATGCAGAGGATGATGGTGATGTGGACGCTTTGCAGCTGCCCAGCCCTGCGCAAGTCCATCGATCCAGTCTCGGCGGACCGACGGTCAGCGGTGATGACGATTACGATCTCGAGAAACAGATGCTGCTTGAGCTGGAAGGGGGTTTGGACGACTATGCTGCATCCGGACAACAAGGCGGGGCAGACAGCGATGAGGAGAGTGAGGAGGAGTAAGGTGAATGCGCCCGTAAAGCTACCATGAATGATATGGAACATGGATAGATGTGTGTGACACTGAGAGAAAGTGTGTTTTCCACCAGCAAGGCGTTTGCGGTGATGCATGGATATTGGACATTGGATATACAGGAACAAAGTAATTTTACAGATACCCCCCTTCGACATAGATTGTTAGTTATGCATAGTTATCAACCCTCATCGCAGGCTGATCTCGCCCTTCCAGGTTCCCTCGGTCAGACCAAGAGTCTCGATAAGATGCTGCCACCTTGGGCCACCTCTCTCCTTTCGCCTAAGATATTGAAGCAGCTTCTGTCTCTTGTGAACCAGAATGGTCAAGTTGCGCTTGTTGATCTTGTCTGGCTTGCCTCTGGTCTCGAGAAAATCGGCTAGTGTCTTGATCTTGGCTGTCAAGATGGCAATCTGGACCTCACTACTGCCAGTATCGGGGCCAGCACGCTCCACTTTCTGTGTGTTGGCACTAGGGTTCTTGAGCAAGATGGACTCGGCGACCGGGGGCTTGGGTGGCAGCTTCTTGTCGGTCTGGTGGCGACCGAAAGCATCAACACAGCGCTGGATATTGACACGAAGACGGTCTTTGGATGAGCCATTGGCCAATGACACAATACGGTTGAGGGCTTCGGTGGCTGTCGCGTGCTTCTGTTTGCGCTCTTGATCGTTCTGCTGGCGTTCCTGTTCTCTGCTTCGTTTCACCTCCGGGTCGTCTGTCTCGGAAAAGTCTTGTTCGGCGACGGCAGCAGTCAACTGTTCACTGCGCACGGAAGCCTCTGCGATTTCTTTTTGTGTGAGGTAGAAGTTCTTGTAGTCTTCCAACTCGGCGTTCGGACCGGGAGGAGATTGATTCGGTGAGCCAGACTCATTGCGTGTGGCAGTGTGAAGGTCGGAAGTAGAAGAAGGCGTGGCAGTGGGCGGGATGACCGTCTCGAACGACTGGACAAAGGGAGTAGGTATTCCGCGGACGGGGTCACCAAGTGCTGCTGAGCGCTCCTGCTCGAGGACTTCCTGGCGTGAGATGTTGGCGGCCTTGCGGGCGCGTGCTTGTGCCAGAGCATATGGGTCGCGGTGTTGTCTCCTTTGCTGAACAGTCGAAGCCTGGTCTACGGATGTCGAGGCGAAAGTTCGACAGATTTGCACTGACGGAAATGCTGTACAGCCATGTCCTAGGATAAATCGTTGGTGTCTGTATATGCATTTGATTGAACATTCGACAAACCATTCAAAGCCCTCAGGCTCGAGAAGAGGGGAACGCGTGGCGGCATAGTTGTGTTTGGTATATTATAGCATTGACTGGACCTGAAATTTGGCTTGGACGGAGATGCCATCGCAGGACGTCCATCTCGCCGGCGGCCTTGGCACAGCATTCCCGCGGCCACAGCGTGCAAGTCTACCTATCTGAGGACTATGTATCCCAACCAGCATTTGGACGTCTATAGCGCCACAACAAGACGAGATATCTGCAAGAAGAGCAGGACTGTACTCTGGACAGCTATTGAATTGCGCTGCCATAGAGAATAGCTTCAATATTGAAGATGAAAAGCATCCTGCTACGACCATCTATGAATCCAAAGTGTCCATGAACAAAGTGAGAACGAAGGAGAGATGAAATACTGCTTGCCTCACTCGGCAAATGAGTTGTCCAGCATGTGATCGCAATAAATGGTGATGGTCTTCGCACTCGCCATGCTGTCCAGACTTGGAAGGTCACCCTGGTATGCGCCGGATAAATGCCGGGAGAGAGTCGTTCGCCCACAGCTTGGCACGGTCAAAATTGAGCCTGACACTCGCGGCTTCACATCTTTTGCAGTGTTGCGCCTTCTCTCTCCCTTTGACACCAGCTCGTCGACAAATCTATACCGGTCAACATGTCTCCCTCCAACACTCCCGCCGCCATGGCTGCCACCAGCCAAGACATTGAGATGCTCCTGGCCGCTCAGGTTCGTGCGACTGCGCCGTATACCGACTTCCTCGACTAATGTGGACTCTAGTGCCACATCGGTTCCAAGAACCTCCAGGTCCACATGGAGCCTTACCTCTGGAAGACCCGCCCCGACGGTGTCAATGTCATCAACATTGGCAAGACCTGGTGCGTTGGATGAAGCTGCTGGCGAAAGCGCAAACCGCGACTTTTCGCAGCCTCGAAATTTCCGAGAGAGCATTGTCTGACTTGGGATTCGCGTTTAGGGAGAAGATCGTCCTTGCTGCCCGCATCATCGTCGCCATTGACAACCCCGCCGACATTTGCGTTATCTCTGCCCGTCCCTACGGTCAGCGTGCCGTCCTGAAGTTCGCCGCCCACACTGGTGCCTCTGCCATCGCTGGTCGTTTCACCCCCGGTAACTTCACCAACTACATCACCCGCTCGTTCAAGGAGCCCCGCCTCATCATCACCACCGACCCCCGCACCGATGCCCAGGCCATCAAGGAGGCTTCGTACGTCAACATCCCCGTCATCTCGCTCTGCGACTCCGACTCGCCCACCGAGTACGTCGATGTTGCCATCCCCACCAACAACAAGGGTCGTCACGCCATCGGTCTCGTCTGGTGGATGCTCGCCCGTGAGGTTCTCCGTCTCCGTGGCACCCTCCCCAGCCGTGAGGCCGAATGGGATGTCATGACTGACTTGTACTTCTACCGCGACCCCGAAGCCGAGGAGAACAAGGACTCTGCTGGTCAGGATGAGGCCAAGGTTCCCGGAGCCGACGAGGCTGGCCCCGCTGCCGTCGAGAGCGGTTTCGCCAACGACTGGGAGGTTAGCGGCGCCAACGCTGGTGCCTTCGCTGCCGCCTCTGGCACCGCCGGTGCTGCTGCCAACTCCAGCTGGGATGCTGAGGGTGCTGACTGGGCTGCCTCCAGCGCTCCCGTCGAGACCGGTAACGCTGGTTGGGCCTCTGAGAACAACGCCGAGACCGCCCCTGAGACCACCTGGTAAATGTCACATTATCGAGGGGGGCGAGAGCCGGTGGAGTGAGATTCGTCGATACAACCAAAATGGGGGATTTACAATAAGCCCGACCGAAAGATCAAAAAGTCCATTTGTTACGAGGCCTTCCACTTCTCACCGTCGCTATTCTTGCTCTACTCTAGATCAAAGAGAACGGCGCTTATGAGGGAAAGATATCCACTGGCCTTGCTGCCAGTGGGGGAAAGCCCTGTGCTGTCTCGAAGGGATGTACTTGAACGTTGCCCTATCTAGATAGACATTGCCACTATATGTTCGCCCGTTCTTGAAGTGCCCTGCTGTGTGTTCCCGTGATTTAGATGTTCGTTGTGAGGTCTTCGCGAAGATGCAGGAAACAGTGAATCCTTGTGTGATTCGAGCCCGATGTCGCAAACCGGAGCCCAAAAAGATTTAAGGTTTCGAAATCTCGTGGGGAGGGATTGGCGTGCTCATGGTGTCGCCAGTCGAGACGCTTTGAGTCATCTCCAATTGACCTTGCCGCTCACCTCGAATACAAGTCAAAGCCCCATTGCTGTTGCCGTGAGCCACTTTGTCCATCATGTCGGACAGCTCAAGTGCCAGCGAGCCCACGCGGGTTTCCATTCTGGGCAAGGAATCCATCATCATTGACTACGGACTCTGGAAGAAGTTCGTTGTACCCGACTTACTGGAGAATGTTTCCTCGGGCACCTACATCCTCATCACTGATACAAACATTGGCGCCCTCTACACACCTACTTTCGAGGCCGCCTTTTACGAGTGCACGTCGAATCTTGACAATGCGCCGCGACTTCTCACCTACCAGGTTGCTCCTGGTGAGAGTTCAAAGAGCAGATCGACCAAGGCCGCCGTCGAGGATTGGATGCTTTCGCAAGGCGTCACAAGAGATAGCGTGGTCATCGCTTTGGGAGGAGGTGTTATTGGCGACATGATTGGCTTCGTCGCCGCTACCTACATGCGTGGCGTCCGCTTCGTCCAGGTCCCGACTACACTTCTGGCCATGGTCGACTCTTCTATTGGTGGCAAGACTGCCATTGATACCCCTCTGGGCAAGAACCTGGTCGGCGCTTTCTGGCAGCCTCAGCGTATCTACATCGATCTCCAGTTCCTGGAGACTCTGCCCAAGAGAGAGGTCATCAACGGTATGGCAGAGGTTGTCAAGACCGCTGCCTTCTGGGACGAAGCCGAGTTCGCTACCCTGGAAGAGAACGCAGACCTGATCATGAAGGTCTTGGACGACAAGACCAAGAAGGGCGATGGCAGATTCACAGAAATTGCACACATCCTCAAACGCATTGTCCTTGGCTCTGCTCGCATCAAGGCCGAAGTAGTATCTGCTGATGAGAGAGAGGGTGGCTTGCGTAACATTCTTAACTTTGGACACTCCATCGGTCACGCCATTGAGGCTATCTTGACTCCTCAGATTCTTCACGGCGAGTGTGTCGCTATCGGCATGGTTAAGGAAGCTGAGCTGGCTCGTCATTTGGGTGTTCTTGCTCCTGGCGCCGTTGCTCGTCTTTCTAAGTGTATCTCCAGCTACGGCTTGCCTACTTCGTTGGAAGACAAGGTTGTCCGCAGAAGGACCGCCAACAAGCACTGCCCTGTCGATCGCTTGATCTCCATTATGGCTGTCGACAAGAAGAATGCAGGCGGTCAGAAGAAGATCGTTCTCCTCTCTGCCATTGGCAAGACCTACGAGCCCAAGGCTAGCACTGTTGCTGACAAGGACATCCGCATCATTCTCTCGCCTAGCGTGCTTGTGCACCCTGGTGTCGATAGTTCTCTCAACATCTCCTGCAAGCCCCCCGGCTCCAAGAGTATCTCCAACCGCGTACTGCTTCTTGCTGCTCTCGGTTCTGGTCCTTGCCGCATCACCAACTTGCTGCACTCTGACGATACCCAAGTCATGCTTACAGCTATCAACAAGCTCGGCGGAGCAACCTACTCATGGGAAGATGCAGGCCGTGTCCTTGTTCTCACTGGAAATGGTGGTGAGCTGAAAGCTAGCTCTGACGACCTTTACCTAGGTAATGCAGGCACTGCCTCGCGTTTCTTGACGACTGCAGTCACACTTGCAAAGCCTTCCTCTGTGAGCCACACTGTTCTCACCGGTAACGCCCGTATGCAAGAAAGACCTCAAGGTCCCCTCGTCGATGCTCTCCGCTCCAATGGTGTTGAGATTGAATACATTGGCAAGCCTGGAAGTCGCAGTCTCCCTCTTCGTATCGCCGCTGCTGGTGGCTTCGAAGGTGGTGTCATCGAGCTCACCGCCAAGGTCTCATCCCAATACGTCTCATCTATCCTGATGTGCGCTCCTTACGCCAAGAACCCCGTGACTCTGCGTCTTGTCGGCGACAAGGTCATCTCCCAGCCCTACATCGACATGACCATCGCTATGATGGCACAGTTCGGTGTTGATGTCGAGAGATCTAGCACTGAGGCCAACGTCTACCACATACCTCGCAAGGCATACACCAACCCTGCTGAGTATGAGGTAGAAAGTGATGCCAGTTCTGCTACTTACCCTCTTGCAATGGCCGCCATCTCCGGCACAACCTGCACGGTTCCCAACATTGGCTCGAGCTCTCTCCAGGGAGATGCACGCTTCGCTGTCGAAGTCCTGCGACCCATGGGATGCAAAGTCGAGCAGACTGCAACTTCCACCACCGTTACGGGGCCTCCTGTTGGCGAACTCAAGCCACTGCCTGAAGTTGATATGGAAACCATGACCGACGCTTTCCTTACCGCTTCAGTGCTCGCTGCAGTTGCCAAGCCTAATGCTACCGGCGCCACTACCCGCATTCTGGGTATCGCCAACCAGCGTGTTAAGGAGTGCAACCGTATTAAGGCCATGAAGGACGAGCTCGCCAAGTTCGGCGTCACATGCAGAGAGCTTGACGACGGTATTGAGATTGATGGTCGCGGCTTTGATCTTCAAGAAGCACAGGGTGGCGTTCACTGTTACGATGACCACAGAGTTGCCATGAGTTTCTCGGTCCTTGCTACTATGGCTCCCAAATCCACTCTTGTTCTGGAGAGGGAGTGTGTTGGCAAGACTTGGCCTGGATGGTGGGATCAGTTATCGCTGCTTTTCAAGGTCAAGCTGGAGGGTGTCGAGCCTGCAACTTCGCATGCTGTTGGTCAATCAGTCCCCAAAAGCAACCAAAAATCGATTTTCATAATTGGAATGAGGGGCGCTGGTAAGACAACTACCGGTGGCTGGGCTTCCCGTCTTCTCGGTTGGCCTCTGATCGACCTGGACACCGAGTTGGAGCGAACTGCTGGCATGACCATCCCGAAAATCATCGAAGAGAAGGGATGGGAAGGTTTCCGTGAGCTCGAGTTGGCGCTCTTGAAGACCGTGATGAAGGAGAAGCCCACCGGCTACATCTTCGCCACTGGCGGTGGTATTGTAGAGAGAGACGAGGCTCGTGAGATTCTCACATCCTACCACAAGAATGGTGGCAACGTCCTCTTGGTAACCAGAGACATCAATCTCGTGATGGACTTCTTGCAGATCGACAAGACACGCCCAGCTTACGTTGAAGACATGATGGGTGTATGGCTCCGCAGAAAGCCTTGGTACGAGGAGTGCAGTAACTTCCACTACCACAGCCAGACTGTCGAGTCTATGGACGGTGCCAGAGCCAAGAACACAATCGAGGACTTTGGTAGCTTCTTGAGACTGCTCACTAACCGTGAGTGTGCATTGGAGCGCATGAGAAGGAAGAGAGAATCGTTCTTCGTATCTCTGACCCTGCCTACTGTGGCTCCCTTCTTGTCTCGTCTGAATGAAATCTCGTTCGGAGTCGACGTCATCGAGTTCCGCGCGGATCTTCTCCAAGATCCTTCCACATCAGACGGTCGCCCGAGCCCTGAGTTCCTTGTTGAGCAGCTTGCGGCTTTGCGATCTGGCAGTGCTTTGCCAGTCATCTTCACCCTCCGCACCAAGTCTCAGAGTGGACGTTTCCCTGACGGTGCCGACGAAGAGGCAATCAAACTCTACCGTGTTGCGCTCCGTATGGGCTGCGACTTTGTTGATGTAGAGCTGACCTCATCGCCCGAGCTGAAGCAGTTTGTCGTTTCCAACAAGCGTAACAGTAAGATCATTGCATCTCACCACGACCCTGCTGGAAAACTCTCATGGGCTACTGGAGGTAGCGCATGGATGCCTCACTACAATGCTGCACTGGAGTACGGAGACATCATCAAGATTGTCGGTAGCGCAAAGTCGTTGGAGGACAACTTTGCCCTTGCTGAGTTCAAGGCTTGGGCAGCCAAAACTCACCCCGAGATTCCGCTCATCGCTCTCAATATGGGTGGGCATGGTAAGCTCAGTCGTATCACGAACCGCTTCATGACTCCGGTCTCGTCTCCTGCCCTTCCCATTGTAGCTGCTCCCGGCCAGCTTTCGGCTGCCGACATTCGTCGCGGTCTTAGCTTGATCGGCGAGATTGAACCTAAGAAGTTCTTCCTCTTCGGTTCGCCAATCTCCCAGAGCAGAAGCCCTGCCCTTCACAATGCTCTGTTCGCACAATCGGGACTTCCCCATGAGTATGGGCTGTTCGAGACTATTGAAGCAAAGGACATTGAGAAGATCATTCGTGCTCCCAACTTTGGTGGTGGCAGCGTGACCATTCCGCTCAAGCTAGACGTCATGGAGTTGCTCGACCACGTAGACCCTGCCGCCAAGATCATTGGCGCTGTCAACACCATCGTACCTACTCAGACAGCTGAGGGTAAGACTGTCCTGACCGGTTACAACACAGACTGGCAGGGCATGACGATCGCACTGCAGTTCGCTGGTGCTGAAGGCACTAACGGTGTTTTGAGAGAGGCAGCTATGGTCGTTGGAGGTGGTGGCACTGCACGCGCCGCAATCTATGCTTTGCACAAGATGGGCTACAGCCCGATCTACTTGGTCGGCCGCAATACAACCAAGTTGTCTGCCCTCGCCGACTCGTTCGACGCTGCCTTCAACATCGAGGTACTGAGCGACACTGAACAAGCATCCAAGCTGTCACCTGACAGACATCCCGTTGTGGCCATCGGCACCATACCTGGTGACTCGCCTATCGACCCTGCCATGCGCGAGACATTGTGCTGCTTGTTCGAGGCCGGTAACAACCCCCGCGACATCCCCGGACCCGAGGACAAGGCCAAGGTCCTTTTGGAGATGGCCTACAAGCCGCGTGTGACATCGCTGATGCAGCTCGCTGGCAACAGCAGCTGGAAGACTGTCCCCGGTCTCGAGGCTTTGGTTGGACAAGGTGTACACCAGGTAAGCAATTTCTCGACTCTTTCAACATGCAAGACATGTCAGCTAACCCTCATGTGATAGTTCAAACACTGGACCGACATTACCCCTCTCTACAACTTTTCCAGAAAGGCCGTTCTGGGTGACGAGGCGTAAGGAGGAATTGGATGACAAACGTTGACCTAGAGTAGTATCATGAATGAGTAGTTTGGATAGTGTCAAAGAAAAGCATTTCGTTCGCTGACATTTCTTCCATTTGCTGACGTCGAACTTATCTTGTCAATTCTAACGTATATCAACTGCACAGTGATCGAAATGCGCAGCATTTCGTTACACGACTCTTTTGTCGAACTTTGCGACTTGGTGCAGTTAGTGCAATAACAATCCTCAGTGACATTTCTGGAGGGGCAACCCTGTCGGTAAAAAAAGCAAGGGCAATTTGATCTTCCAATCTCACGCGCTTAGAGCGCACTGAATGTCTCCAATATGAGCCCACTCATATGAAGTTCTCCGAGCACCACCGACCGCTACAGGAGTTTAGGGCAGTCGCTGACGATGCCTTACAGAGTCGAAACCCTAACGAGAGCTTGATGGAGCCCTTGCAGAGAAAGAGCAAACAACTGAATCATCGAGGTAGCCAATCTTCCAGCTAAGCGTCCTTCAAACGAGCTTGCTGTCATGCTTGTATTTGAGCATAATAGTTGCAACGGCAGGCGCATCGCGAGTCGTTTGCCTCAAACTGAGATGGCGAAGGCAGCTCCTGCCACATCTACTATCTTCAGCAACAACAAGACTCTCAAGGCAGATACTTGCATTCACGTTCTATCCCATCCAGATCATCCGAAACGCAACCACTTCGACTATATTCATTAAAATCTTTTACCAGCTAGCTCTGTTCTTAAGCTTCTCGTTCTGGATGACCTCGATCCAGTAGTTGTCGGGATCTAGCTTAAGTCAGTGATGGGGTACCAGGAGTGTGTTTAACTAATTGCTCACCGAGGATAAAGGCGACGTTCTTCATTCTGCCGTCTGTCAGGCGCTTCTTCCATGAGACCTTCATGTCGTCAAAGCGCTTGCAGGCAACATCCAAGTCGTCGACAGAAACACAAGTGTGACCGACTAAGAAAGATCGAATTAGTACACAAATTTACATTTTCGAAACCGCCGCAAACGTACATCCTTGAGGCTCGTCGTTACCGTTGTGGTACTTGACATTAGGATCGCTTTCACTGCCGTGGTTCCACGTGAGCTCGAGTATACCTTCACGGTCAGCAATGGGGTTGACACCGTTCGCAGACTGCTCAGGAGCCTTGGGACCGTAGCTGAGGAAGTATAGAGTAAAGCCAGCCTCCTTTTGCTCCGAAGTACGCTGCAGGGTCATTCCCATGACGTCCTGGTAGAACTTGAGCGACTTCTCAGCGTCCTTGACTCTGATCATTGTGTGGTTCATGCGGTACGTGGCCACATCAGACTTCTTGCCCTCGGTCTCGCTGACGGGATTCTGGGAGATGATTTCTACCCAGTAGTTGTCGGGGTCCAGAGCGAAAGCGATTGAGCGCATACGGCCGTCCTCGAGACGCTTCTGGAACGAGTAGCCAGCGTCGGAGATACGCTTGCAGGCGTCCTGAATGTGGTCGACGCTGATACAGACATGCCCGAAGCCGCGGTTCTCTTTGCCGTTACCATTGTTGACAGTGTAGTTGTCGTCCTTCTCAGTGCCTGATTCTATGTTAGACGAAGAGCCTACTGGATCAGGATGGATTCAAAAAAAAAACCATAGTTGTGCGTGAGTTCAATGAGGCCCTCGCGATCTGTCCAATGCTTGCCATGGTTGGCAGCCTTCGGGTCGTCATAGGCCATGAAGTAGAGGTCGAACGAGGCATCCGGGTTCTCAAGCTTGTTGATGAGCTTCATACCGAGAAGCTCATAGAACTTGACGGATCGCTGAGGCTACATGTGAAGAACGGTCAGTCAAAGTCCTGCTAATATAGTGTAGGTAGCTGGCCGAGTCCTCGGTTTCGCGGCTGGTTGATGTGTACATACGTCCTTGACCCTCAGCATGGTGTGGTTGAACTTGTAAGAGGAAGTGTCAGTCATGGCGGCGGCGAGTGTACGGGACGATGTAAATGTTCTTCTGGTGAGGAATGGTTGGACAATTGGTCTGAACATGACTTTTTGGAGGGAGCGAGTTGCTTTCTTGATGGCTGATGACGCACTGATAATACCCCGCACATCCTTGGTAATAGCCACAACCATGGCCAGAGCGATGCTCATAGTCTATGCCGCCACTTGACATGGTAAAACACAAGACATGGAGCCTGCAGGTTGAAAGAGAGACATAGAAATTATGATTGTTGTATTCAGAGCTGCTCTAATGTATATATGCCAATGCTATGTGACATTACAGTAAATCTCATGTCCTCTTGAACTATGAGCTGTACTTCTGGCCTTCACTGCCCTTGGTGGGGCTTCCCTTACCACTGCTTCTGGATCTGTCGCTAGGGCTGTCACTCGCCGCTGCGGCCGAGCCTTCAGCTCCTCCCTCTGTTGGGCTTCTAGGCTTGCTGACTTCCTGGTTTGCAGGGCTGACGTTCAGGGGGTTTGTTGCCTGTTTGAGGTACAAGTGGTCAGTTGCTGTTGCTTCTCGCCAATCTTGTCTCCATGCTAGCGCTATGACATAGCACCATGGGATCCGACGATAGATACAAGGGGACTCACATCTCCAGACTCGCGACCAGCCGAGTCATGCTGCTCCTCAGGTGTCGTCTTGTTGGGGTTGAAGGCTGTGTCCTCGACGCGAGCGGCTTGGTCGTCAGAGCCACTCTTGCTGTACTCATAGGGCTCAGGCTTGAGCGAGTCCTTGTCCTGAGTATCCTTGGCTGCTTGCAGCTGATAAGTGTATGACAATGGTCTGCTAATAATCTTTGCGATTGGGCGCTGGCTGAGGACGCGAGGCTGCTGGGCCAAAAGGCGGCGGCTGAGAGATCCGGTGATCATGTTTGTTGGAAGGTGGTGTTATAGATTGGGAGGACGTATGTTGGTGAAGATGTTGGAGTCGGTTGAGGTATAGGAGTAGAGAGAAACCAAGTCAAGTCGCGCCCAATTCACTTTGTTGCTTAGCTCGGCCTTGACGTGCTTGTCTCTAAAACGTCACTGGGGAGCTGCACGTCATCATCACTTCTGACTTTGTGCATATCTCTTTATGAACTTCATTATCCTCGTGTAATTCTCCTCCCAAAACTCGATGCTGTTCCCAAATAAATTACAGAGAAGAACTCGCTGGACGCTCGCATTGCCAAAAACATGTGGTATCTATAAAGCACGACTGTCGTAATCTCCCCTTGCACATGACCATCGACTAATCCACTGTCTCACTCCAGCCTTCTGCAAAGGACTCGGCAAACTAGAAGAACTTGTTGCTTGGATCGTCAGGCATCTGTAGTGATGCAATATTAGCTACTCTGCAATTTTGAAAATGCCATGTTTTACAAACCTCGAATCCAGCCAGCTCTCGTTTGATCGTTTCTGTCATCATCTCCATCTTCCTTCGCTGGATGTGAAGAACACTAAGCCGTTGTGTGCTGCTGACTGTCGTTGACGCTTTTGATCCAATTGATGTCCCAAGCATAGCATCCGCTCCACTCGAGTCTTCGGATGGGTACCGCGAATCTCCAGGTGCTTCGGCCGTCACCTTGAGCTCGCGCTTCCTTCCTGGCGGTACGCCTCCTTCAAGAACCAGCAGTAATTTAGGCTGCAGATACTTGACTATCAGGTTCCGGTTGTCAAACTCGACAGTCAGCGTTTCCAGCGCGTCCGCTCGGACTACACGTTTTGATGGCTCGTTAGGACCGCCTTGGCTATATTGCGGTTCAAATCTCTCGTTGTCTTTGCGTTCCAGATGTTCTTTCCAGGAGATTGATACTAGTGCGACTTGATCTCGGAGTTCCTTCATATTGGCAGGTAGAGTATAGGCCATCAGTGATCCATTCGGCGTCATGATGCTGCAGAAGGTGAGCACATGTCCAACTGGGAACCAAAGTTCAGGGAACCTTACAACCAGCGCACGAAGACCTTATGGTCAACGTTTTCAGTCAAGAGCTTATTGAGAGCTCGTACATTCAACATAATGTTGGTGTCGCTTGAGAGATATTGTCCTGTGAGCAGGTTGTCAGTGCCTGGTTTACCGCGCTGAATAGCAATTCCATATCCCGACAGATCTGATGGTCGCAACGTGAGACTTTGGACTTGAAATGCTTTTGTACCTTTCTAGACAGTTGTGGTCTGGATATCCTGAATTGGGAGAAGTGAATTGGTGATAGGTGATACCGGGTTGAGTCGTGTGCAGGAATTGGCGGGCAAGAGAGAAGGGAACACAAAGAGCATATCGATAGCGAGTTGAGTCAGGCGTAGATGTCGAGGGATAATCTCAGCGGGGTGTGTATTAGATAACGAGTATGACAGCCGATTCTGACAGATGCGACACAGGGTTGACCGATATACGGAGTTACGAGGATTGGACTGCCGTCGCGACGTCACAGGGGCCGTGCACCCTTGGGCGTGTTCACTGTTCAGCAAGCAGCATCGCAACAGTTTCTCCATGCAGAAAGCACAGCAACTTGACCTTGACACAAGTCGCAACATGGCAGACACAACATGCACACTTGCTGGAAGCACAGGCTTAGTTGTGAGTGCTGTCCCACTTCAACGACGCCAGATAGGCTAGACTGGTGCATACACGCGACATGAAGAGATGCTAAATTGTCATCAAGGGCGGCAACATCTACTCGATCCTGTCGTCGCATCCTGCAGTGTCGACTGTGTACGCATATGCTCGTAGAGAACTCCCAACCACCTCTCCCAAAACCCACCCACTCGTCTCGTCCGACTCCTCCACATGGGCCGCGCTCTACCCAAAGGCTTCGTCGCTCTTCTTCTCCGCTCTCGGAACGACTCGTGGGGCTGCTGGAAGTGTGCAAGCACAACGCAAGATTGACTATGACTTGAACCTCGAGCTGGCAAAAGCTGCAAAAGATAAGGGAGCTACCACCTACGTCTTGGTTTCTACAAGTGGTGCCAATGCTAGCAGCTTCCTCGCATACCCAAAGATGAAGGGCGAGCTGGAAGAAGCTGTCAAGGAGCTAGGCTTTGATCACACTGTCATCCTTCGTCCTGGCTTGATCGTCGGTGAAAGAGAGGACTCGAGACCTCCGGAGTTTGCTATTCGTAAAGTCGCTGCTTGGGCTGGCAAGATCAGTGAACCGTGGCTCAAGAACTTCTGGGCCCAGGACGCCGATGTCATCGCCAAGGCTGCTGTATCTGCGGGCTTGCAATGCGTAGAAGGCAAAGTGCAGCAAAAAGTCTGGATGCTTACGCAAAACGACATTATCCGCCTCGGGAAGACAGAGTGGACTGGCGTCTAAGACGTTTGTCCATCTATACTCGCTACCATCTTGACACTTAGAGACCCTAAAGTGGCCCAAAATTTGATGACGAAGCAGCTACACCAACACCCGATATGCTTGTTGGCCCCTATGCTCCACCCAAGACTTTGCGCCGCTGCTAGAATGCCATCCATCCTTCATCTGTAATTCGACTTTCGAGACTGATTCGACTAATAGTCCAACGTTGTCTTGATGGCATCGTAGATACCTGTTTATCTCATTAGCTGCGTATACCAAACAATGTTACAGCATCCACGTACGGGTGACATCTGGAATGTTGAACCGCTGCAAGCCGTCAGTTAGCACTATACATTCACCGAATCAAACCGACGTCCAACTTACCTCATAAATGAGACCCATGTGTGTGCTCCAGCCACCTACCCTAGCGACAGGGGCTTCTAGGTTCAGGAAGCATGTCTCTTGAATGGTTGCGGCAACTTCTGCGCCAACTCCTGCATTGGTCATACTTTCATGCACAACAATTGCCTTGCCGGTTCGCTTGACGCTTTCGATAATGGTAGGTCGATCCCAGGGGTAGATGGTTCGAAGATCAATGAGTTCAATCTCGCAGCCAAAATCTGCTTCTGCCTTTGCAATGGCATTTGAGCATGTATACAACGGGGTTCCGTAGCTGATGATTGTGATGTCTTTGCCAGGCTTGACAATCTCTGCTTTGCTTAATGGAATCTCGTAAGCTTCTGTCGGGACGTATTCTACTGCTGCACGATAGAGGATCTTTGGCTCCATGAAGACAACTGGGTCATTACTTGCGATGGCGGCGAGTAAGAGGCCCTTGGCCTGCGCAGGTCCACGAGGCATGACTACCCGGAGTCCGGGTATGTGTGTGAAGAGCGACTCTGGCGACTGGGAATGATATCTGCTACTGTTAGTATACTTGGAAGCACGTTAGACGACGTGTTACTTGCAGAGCACCTGTGATCTGTCAAAACCTCGCATGAGCATGTAACTTGATCAATAAAACATACCATGTCCCACACTTCCACAAGGCATACGGACCACTAGGCCTCCGCAACTTTGTCCTTCAGCATTAACACCAGCTCTATACCTGGCTTTTGCTGCCTCGTTAACCAATTGGTCGAACGCAGGATACACGTAGTCGGCGAATTGGACTTCGGCGACTGGCCGCATTCCTTCAAAAGCTGCTCCGATAGCAAACCCGACAATGCCCTGCTCAGTCAAAGGTGTGTTGAAAACCCTATCATCTCCAAATTCAGAAGCCAGGTTCATGCTGAACAGTAAATTAGACGATACTCGTGAGTGCCATGCTTTATAGTTTGTAAATACCTGCAGCGGAATACTCCTCCAAAAGCTACATCTTCGCCGAAAAGCAACACACGTGGATCCGTTCGAAGTGCATGTGATAGAGCAGAGTTGATGGCTTGAAAGAGATTCAATCGCGTGGCAGTTCCGCTTTTCGCATCAGAGGACAAGTCATTGCTGGCTAATGCTGATCTTGAATTGTGATTAAGTAGAGGGGTTGCTTCAAAATCGGTCGGAGTATTTAGTCGTGCCTTTGGTGGGAGGGTAGCGTATAGGCGTGGTCTTTGGCTCTTGATGCTGGAAAGTAGACGAGGACGCATCATTGTTGTTGTCGACATATTTGATTTCCTTGAGGTGAAGGAGATGCATGCCATCAAGGTAGACGGAGGTACAAAGCGCCTTCGCCGGCTATGCGGGCGGGGTTCGGTCTCAATCCCACGCACGCCCTTGGACGCCCTGTGACTTGAATATGCGAATCAAGCACTCTGTTCCTCCTCATAAGTTTTAACTCTGTGAAGCCATACATGGATGTGTCTTCTTTGATAAGTACTGATATCTTCGCCTGCCGCCAGCACAGATTTTCCTTTGGAAGGCTCGGGGAAATGCATCACTTGTGGGAAGAGCTTGATCGTTAACTACGCAACCTTCGTCAAATTTGTATAGCTACATTTGTGTGTTCAACGAATCTCCTATTAACTCTCGATACTACCAGGTATGTGTACATCTGTAAACAAAGAGATTTGGACGCCGCTATGCTTGAAGAACCAGTGGAAAAGAAACAAGGAATCATACATGATGAAGGAACAACCTCTTCTTTCGTCAACTTTTAACGATCGCCTTGGTTCAGCAGAGGGGTGCTGTCGCCGCTACGGCTTTTGACAGAGTCACCCTTGTTGCGGAATTTCTTTCCTCCTCGCTTCTTCTTCTTCTTCTTTTTGGAGCCTTTCGTATCGTCGTGACCTCCGTCATCGTTGCCAGCATCATCATGATCATCATCATGGCCACTTTTGTTGTTACCACCGTTGTTGTTGTTGTTCTCGGCAGCTCTCTGGTCGTCTCCATCGGATGAGCTGTTGGCCTCTAGAACCACCTTCTTCATACCGCCTACATCGACAATGTTTTCGGTGATGCTTCCAGATCGTACAGCACGACGAGCCTTGTATTCCGGTCGATCTTCCATTTCTCCTAGAGTAGAATGAGACGATCCCGACCCTCTTCTGTCTTGAGAAACAGGGCGGGATGTGCCTCCTTGCACAACCAGCTTCTGGGGCAACTCAGGCTGCTCTTGCTCGGGCGAATCGTGGTTACCGTTCTGCTGACTGCTTTGCTGGTCGTCTTGCTGCTCTTTTTCATGGGCATTATTGATGCTGGACTGAAGCTGAGCTACCGTGTGTTTGTCAGCGAATGCAGATGCTTCACTGGCGGTCATAGGCTTGGAAGATATTGAGCTAGTTTCGGCATGCATGCCAGAGTCTTCATGGATGGATGGGTTCTTGGAGCCAGGAGAGACCGTGCCATAACCGTGAGCGACAGCATGTGCTCCGTCTTGGGCGTCAACGCCAGCCGAGCCGATGATACCGGCGCCTACGCCGCCTTCGGGGCGAGACGAATCGCCGTTAACGACCGTCTGAGGAGTTACTGCTTGGTGAGAATCGGCTTGTTGAGTTGAAGTAGAGGCAGAAGCGGGTACGTGGTTCTCAGGAATGGTTCCAACACCGGGCTTGATCTTTACAGAAGTGTACTTGGTGGCTTTGGGGCGACTTGCGACGTTGCTTGGACCGAGGTGTTTCAAGTGCTGGCGTAGGTCGGCAGTGTTTGATCGGATGGGCAATGGTCGGTTTTTGTCGCTGCTCGTGCTGCTGCGTCTACGCAGCACAAGAGTAGCCTCGCGAGGACCTGTCAACGAAGACTTACGGCTCTGACCAGCGGAGGCACCAAGCAGATGGGTACGCTCGTCAGCGTCAGTCTCATCATCGGTGGCAGGGGCATCCACGACGAGATTGCCCTTGGTGTATCTAGTGCGTGGTGCCGGTGCGATGCGTCTTATCGCCTTGTGCACATCGACAAACACATCAGACTCATCGATAATCTCCCTGCACAAGGTATTAGCACAACACGAACGGTGGGAGCATAGAGCTAAAGGCTGCTACTCACTCTCCAATAAGTTCTTCAATGACGTCCTCCAAGGTGACAACTCCAAGAGCACCCTTGTCTTGACCGGGGAAGTCTGATACAAGGACCATGTGTGATTTGCCCTCCTGGAAGAAGTTGACAATGTCCAAACAGCTGGTCTCTGGTTTGGTCTCGGGCAGTGTTGCAAGAGCAAAGTCGCGGACACGTAAGCTGTCCTCGGGATCGTAGGTGATGAGAATCTTGACAAGCAGCATGCCGATGAAATTACGAGTGTTGTCGGGGGCATAAATGGGAATTCTAGAGTAGCCTTGGGACAGGATCGTGTCCATCATCTTTTCGTCCAGAACCGTGTCAGCCGACATAGTAAAGACGTCACCCATGGGAGTCATGATGTCGCCGACGGGCTTGTCCTTGAGATCGAGGACGGCGCTGATGATGGTGACTTCGTCTTCGTTGAGACGGTCTGTGGTTGTACCGAGCGTCTTGTGAAGGGTGACAAGCGTCTTGAGACCTGCCTTCTTGTAGACAGTACCGTGGTCCTCGCCGAGCAGCCAGTCCAGAAGTTTGGCTGTGGGCCAGGCCACAGGCGACATGATCCACATGAGACCTAGGACGAGAGGGGACATGGCCGCACCAATAGGAAGGCCGAAACGAACGCAGATAGACTGAGGAACGACCTCACCGAAGATTACTGCGGGTTGTTAGCGTTGATGCTGAGTGCAGACGGATGCAGGCTATGTACCAATGAGGATGGTACTGCTCAGCACAGCAGGCCAGCCACCACCTAATGAGCGATCTAGCACGATGGGAAGAGTCTCATTGGTGATGACATTGCTGAGCAGGAGTGTGACCAGAACCCAGTGCTTGCCTCTCTTCAACAGACGCAAGACTCTAGCTGCACTCTTCTTCTCGCTTCCCTCACCCGAGGTAGCGATGACTTGCAGGTAGATCTCATCTTGGCCCATGAGGGCAATGGTCAGACCGGCAAAGACTCCACCGAGCAGGACGAGAGCAATGGCGACACCCAGATAGACCCAGAGCTGCGGGTCATCTGGCGATTTGGGCTCGGGCTCCTCGCGCCTGTAGACGGGAGAGTCTGGTTTTGAGAACAGCGGAGCGGCATACGACAGAGGGAGGTTGATGAGCGACACACCAAGGAGCTTGATGATAGACAGAGCTGCCGGTGTCATGACGCCTGCGCGCCTAGGCGCAGCAGTCGGAATGCCATGCGCCAGAGACATAAGAGCTGCTGACAAGCAAGGAGATGGTTGGCGCGGATGCGTGTGCGGGTGCAATAACCTCTCAGCAGAAATATGAGGTTGCGCTATTTCTCCAGCGCCAAGCTTTGGCAAAGTCGACGACATTCACTTATGACGCTGCCTTAGGCGACTGGAACGAGTCAGTAGCAAGACGGAGCCGCCTGTCAAGCCCGCGAACATCGACGAGGCCCCCAACTTGTGCCACCTCGCGTTTCTCTAGATCTCACACCTTGTCTTCTTTTGCAGGATGCGCGTTGCTCGATGAAGCGCCTATCTTAACATTTTTATCCAGGGCCACAAACCCTTACAATATGAGGCTCCAATTACGCTTCACCTGCTGGACATTAGCTTCAGTCAGGCCTACTCATTCTACCGGGATGCTTGCTCGGCAGCGGTGGGCCTACAACAATTCCCTCGAAGTATACTCTATCGCACGTTGCGAAGGTTTTGTGTGTCGAGACCCATTCTCAGTCTTGTTGATTCACAGTGGGCGTCAAGTTTATGGCAGGAGGAATACCTACTTTCAAGGCCAAGATAACATACTGTGCAAACAATATGAGGCCTCAGGGCGTTTCACTGACTATGGATATGACAGGCGCCACGACCAAGCAGTAATATCTATCGCAATGTAAGAGCACTCTTCCCCGAGTTCTCAAGAACCGGAAGCAGATAAATCGGATCGGCGCCAGACTTTGTCAGACTCGAGACATCGCGATGGTCGAACAACAAGACTCAAACTTTCAACAACAACAACAACAACATCTCCCCATATCCGCGTCAGGTACAGATCATCTGCTCGATATATAAGCTAGTACCCACAGGCGCCAATCTCAGCCAAGCACAGTCTAGGATGCCTTCCCCCCAGGAATCCTGGTTGATTATCATGTATCAGCGTGGAACGGTTTACCGTACGCGCGTGACTGGTAGGCGGTGGACTAGTGGCGCTATCTTCTCAGTCCCGACTCGGCTATAGGCGGCAGATAGGTGACTCTCAGCCTAAAGACAGTCGACCTCGCGGAATAATTCTCCGGATGTCTGAATTATGATGCCAGATGGAGTGTGTTGTGAGGAGGACGTTATTTCAAAGATCAGATCAGGGAGAAACGTAACACGGGGTACCACAGCGTTGTTCGGCGGAACGAGGTTTGTATAGCCCTCGGCTCCGAAAAAGGACGGCCCGAGTCTGATCCTATCGGAAGGCTGGCCGATCTTGCCCTACCCTCCAGCACGTTTGCGGCCATCAATTCTGAAGCCTGTTCTCGCCAGGGTCTGTACTCTCTTTGTCAAAACCGCACGGGTTTTGAAGGCAGGACTCCCTTCGGCAAGCGTGCAAATTTCGACAACTTAGAGTTGTTACCTACTACAAGTATCTACGGGTTTACGGCCATTGACGTTAAATGGACTCTTACTAGGTAAATTTGGCTTTGAGGTATTGAGCTGCTGACTGGGGTCATGACAGATCAGGCACGGAGGCAGCCCCTCATGCCACATACAGCCAAGCGAGGGTCCGAAGACTGTATGAACGTTAAAATCGGAACTTCTAGTAAGTCACTTCTGTGAATCCTTGCCCGGTCAAGAGGAAGGCGGTGTTCTTGCCGACAGTAGTCTTATGTACTTCCAAGGTCTCATGTCGGTGTTCGACACACCCCGGGTTTAAGATGTGGACAAGCATTTTCTCCACCGGGAAGAGTCATGACCCATAAAACCATTGGTACCACGGAGCAGATCGGGTTGTACGACTGTGCAAGATGTGAGCAATCGAGTCTGGTTTCTGGTCTGCTTACATTGCATACCACCCAAGCATGTGATATTCTGTTCATCTTACAACTCAGGCTGCGTCTAGGTCCTTGTTCCTTGACAAACAAAGGCCAGATCCACGAGCTGGTCTAATCATTGGGGTGACGAGTCACGCCGAAATCGTACAGGCGGAGTCTTCTTGGCCCCCTGCCACGTGAAAGAATGGCCGCTTTGCACGTCGCCGTAAAGGCACCGGTAAAGTAAAGACTTTTCTGGCGTTTGAAACTTTACTTTGGTCTTCGTGGGCCCGCTCTCACCAAGCCAAACCCAAGCCCGCCATGAGGTCGTAAGGTGGGAGTCACAACCACGGGCGCAACACGTGGATCCTCGCCGACAGGTGTGTGGCTCCAACGGCGCTTGCAAACGAGGTACCAATAACAGTCTTATCGACTGCCAATACTGACAATAGACATCAGAGTCGCACTCAACAGTTGCATCTGCAGATGATTGGGTTTACAGCAAGGCATGCGAGAGTAGTGCTGTGAGCCAACAAGATCTGACTGCTCTGGCCACGGTCATCAACAACAACTCATGGCGAGTCATGTACGTTCGAAGTAAGGGTCTTAGGCATGTTCTCAAAGCACCAAGCACACGTCCCACAGACAAGCTGCATGCAAGAACCCCCTAAAATGGCGATCCGTTCGTTCTCAGATTCTGGAAAATGCCCAGTCCGGCCGATACTTCTGGCCTGATGAAGAGTCGCGTCGGTCGAGAGAAGCGAACGGTGTAACAAAGGGCAATCGGCGTGACCAGCCAGCGCACGAGTGTGAATGAAACAGAGTCAAAAACGGCAGTCAATCGGCCAGCAAATAGGTCATCAGTCAAGAACCCCAGAGTGTAGCTTTGGAGCAAAGGTCTGGAGGAGAAGAGCTGTGACCTGATCCCGAACAGGCATGCCGGTACAAGTTTCCGAATGAACCGAGGGGAGGCGTAGGTTGTTTTTTTGCGAAAGCCCGAGGTGCCAGCGATTGCACCTTGCGGGTTAGCTCAGCGCTAGGTGAGCCACGAAAAGAAGAGTCTCTTGACGACGAAAGCGCGGGAGATTGGTTAAGTACATAGTGCAACCCGCCGGCCGCCCACCTTTTGTCCGCTGCCAGATGTTCATCGCCCCCATAACGCTCCCACGTAGACACACCCCGCACACCGTCACTGGAACACCTGGATACAACTACAACAGGCTGCCGTCACTCTTTACTCTTACCTCGACACTGCTCTAGATGCTGTCGCAGAAATCAACTGCGCTACCCATCAATCCGGCTCATTCCACTTCCTGGCCACTCCTGTCCTGCCGATCCGCCTGACGCAACATCGACCGCAAACAGAGCGCATCCGAAGCCTCCAACTCTGGCATATACCTTGCCTCCCTATTCGATTTTTACCACGTCCAGCAGCATTCGCTGTCCTGTAATACTTTCGCCATGCCTTTCCGACCCCAACATTCGTTAGTCATGATTGACGTCGACAAAATGCACACCATCGACACGCGTTCCGTCGAGGACCTCTTTGGAATGTGGTCAGGTACTCATAAACCCACCTTTGCCTCCCTCCTGTGATTTGTCGCTGACAAGAATTGTTCCCCTGTGCAGTGTTTAACAAGATCTCCGACGCAATGGAAGATGGCAAGCGACTGGAAAACCTCAGCTGGCGTCTCTGGAATCGCGAAACGTTTGTGTGTTCCCGCATGCCGCGTGCTCGGAAGAGCATTCCTCTGCCCGCCCTTTCCAGCAGCGTGTCTTCGTCGGACGAGTCGGACGAGGAAGACGTGTCGTCATTGCTGCCTTCCCCCATGGTGAGACCTGAGTTGAGAAGGAGCGAGTCGTCCGAGCACCGCAGCCGAGGCCGTCAACAGAACCACATCACGCCCATCGACCTCGAGAAGATGGTCATGTCCATCAAGGAAAAGAAGAGCCTCGAACCGTTATCCGCCTTATCCATGCCTCCGCCTGCCATGTCGGTCTCGCCGCCTGCAGAAGACAACCAAACTCCTACCGTCACAAAAACGACACTATCTACACCTGCACCTGCGCCCGCACCTGTATCCGCACCCGCACCCGCACCCGCAGCAGTCGCTTCAAAGTCCATCGCCACTCCCATCCCTACCATCTCCGCTCCTAGCCATCTGGAGTCATCTACTTCTACCGTCAGTAGCAACGAATCCCAGGCCATCGCCTCGTCGTCCGAAAGCTCATCCACCGAGATGAGCACCCACAACATCGTACGAGGCTTCAGACCAGAAGTGCCATCATCATATCGCTCCCAAACAAATCTCGCCGCCACCCAACCAACACCCATTCTCAAGACTTCGCCTCAATATCGTCCCGATCGCCTCAATCGTGGCAAGAAGGGCGCAACCTTTACGCTTGGCGCATCCTCTGGTGAAGAGGAAAGCTCTCTTGACAGCCACATGGGTCACAACAGTGTCGGCTCATTATCAGCCGGCATGCCACACCCACCAAAGAAGCACGCGTCTTTCAGGGACATCATCCAGGACAGAGCCATCACCGACAGCCCTGTCTTCGAGGAGTCTGACGACGAAGATGACGATGACGCCTTTGAGAGTGTCATTGAAGAAGACGAAGACTCATCTGACTGGGAAGACGACGAAGTTGTCGAGAGCGGCAACTCTTCAGCCGACGAGCACAAGAGCATGTTCCGCCGTGTTGATTCGCAACCCAATCTCACCTCTCGCCGCTCTCTTCTCACTACCATGATGCATGAACCGGACCGTGCTCGTGCAATGGCTAGTGCTGCATCCCGCTCTACTCCTGCGCTCCGTCGTTCGCGTGGTGCTTCTCCGAGTGGACCTTCCGCCACACCATCACCCCACCGACGAGAAGTCGAGCGTGCTGGTCCTGACTTCGCCTCACACCCTTCGCAACTTTCGCAACAGGCTCAAGAAGCCTCAGAATCCTCACAGCCACGACCCATCATCATGACCACCTCCAACACCCACCAACCTGCTCTCTCACCGCGTACCACTAGGCGGAACATGCTCTCTACCGAGTTGACTGAGTCGCTGCGCAAGAACCTTCTCTGGGAACGCCAGCACAAAAGCTCAAACAACCTAGCCGCTATGAAGCGCAGACATACTTCTCACGATATTAAGAATCTTAAACAGCACCCTGAGCCGCAAATGGTCTTGTCGGTTAAGGAGAACGATAAGAAGAAGTTCTCGAATGAATACTTTAACCAGGGACTTCAGGAGTACCACGCCAAAGGCTGGTAGACGCACCACCTTCTGTTCCGCTTTACTTGTTTACTCTTCCTACTGCATTTTAGCGACATGCATTGTTTTCTTCTCTCTTTTCTGCATCAGCGAGCAGGCATCGCATGGGTGTTTGGTTTTATTCTTCATGGGACTACGGCATTATTGGGAACTGGCAACAGAAAAGAATTGTTTTTGATACCATCGTGCGGTTTATTCTTTCTCTTTCTTCATGCTTTGCTATGCTTGATTCCTGGTCTTACTTCAACAGGCCGCGTCTTTTACTCTCGGGCCGAATGGTGTCGGACGGGTGCGCGTTTGTTAGCGTTGACCGAGCTGGTCACAAACAACACTGTACAATATATACATAGGTTTCCTACCTTCGTGAGGAAGGGCCGATGGGCCGATGGGCCGATGAAATCCAAAAACACGATAAAACGCAAACAGCTTGCCGTCCTGATGATCACGATATTGTAGATATCCGTAGTTATTGGCATATAGTGCCGTGTCAGACTCAAGGCAGTGCGACTCTAACCAATGTACTCACCTATTCACCGCTTCTTCGACTCCACCTATGAATAGAGTGGATGCATGCCTCGAGTCCAGACGTATTCGGCCTTCGCTTCATCACAAGTGCAACAACACAAATCAGTTGCAGCAAGCTCCCCGTTCTCGTCTGCGATGTGGATGCAGACTAGGAGCTAAAGCTGTGGAGAGCGCACCGAGCCTGCTTGCGATGACGTGTGTCATAAGCATCAAAGATCTCGACGGACCTGACTTTAACGGCTTGTTTTTTTTTGCCAATGGTTCGTGATGCGCGTTTGCCCCTTGCATCTGTAGAGAAGGACGGAAGCGCCGGGATGAACCTCAACCATATCGTCACGTCGTAGCACCTCGGTCTTTCTCGAGTTTCGTTGTTTGTCGAAGGATCACAAACGGTCAAGAGGTGATCGTTGAGTTCAGCCACGTCCCACGTTCATATAGACGAACATTATCGATATGATTGATGTGCGCTGCAGCCTATATTGGAAATCTTTCCGTGTAGTGTCGCAAAAATTGGGACGAAGAAAGCGTGCTCTCATTCGTTCCGCTCATGACTCATGTGGGATCCAAGTGACAGCATCATCATCGCATGTGAGAACTGAGGCTGTTTCGTACGCTCTCGACAACATTTTCAAACGACCACAATAATTGGAAGGGAACTCGAGATACTGAAGGCAACTGGTGGTCGCGATTGTATTTCATACTAGAGAATCACGAGTGCGGTTTGTGTATTCAGAGAGTAGCAGCAGAAAATGACGACCGAGCCTCCTTCGGCTGCAGTGCAAGGGGGGCAGGAAACGGGTGAGTTTGATTCGGACCTTTGTGTGCTGGCACTGCAAAAGATTATGCCACCACTGTGCTGGTCATCTGCTCACAATCCATGTAGACGTGAGCAATACTGCTGCGCCGGCTGAAACCCAGACTGGGGCGACTTCACATCACCAATCAAACTCAAGCCAGAGCAAGAAGCAGGTTTGTCGATTCTTCAACTCAAAAAAAGGTACGTGATATTTCATTGCCTTGCACGTTTCTGTCGATATTGGCAAGCCTTCCCTGAAGACCATGGTCTCTCGTATATGCGAGCAACACCATCATCTGCCATTCATCCCGAGGTTTGCAACTGCTTACCAGCCACGAATTTGGTAGGTTGCAAGGCGGGCACTCAATGTCCATTCATGCATACACAGGCTTCGCGGCCAACAGTGTCAGAACCCAAGCCTCGAGTGTCAAAGCCAAAAGCACGAGCAGATGGCCTTGAAACTTCTACTCCCCAGCGTCAGTATGAGCCTCGAGTGGATCGGTCCAAAGTGGTCTCTAGACCCGTACCCAAGACCGAACGAGAAGATCCGCGAGTATTTCAGTTGGGTCAGCTCCGTCGTCGCTTCGCTCCCGCCGAGGAGTCTGTGCAAGATGCAACTCTGCTCAAGCTGAAGCTGGCCCCAAGCGACCCCGATTTCCCATTTGATCTTCCCTTCTTAAAGTGCTCTCTCACTGTTCCATTATCATACCCAGAGGGCAAACCAAAGCTTCGTATAACAAACTCGGAGATGCCACGTGGATTCCAACTCAATGTCGAGCGGGGATTCGATCAGATCATCATCGACTCACCAGACGCGACACTTCTCGGGGTGTTTAATCGTCTTGACAAGCAGCTTGAAACACTGCTGTCTGGTGAGAAGGCAGACACCGTGAAAATAATACGCAATGCTCCGAAGAACGAATCTCAACCTCAACCTCCACCAGTTGCTCAAAAGCCTCGGCCACAACAGGCAAAGACTGCTCGTCGCACAGAGCCCACGCAAACATATACGACCGAACAGAAATTGCAAGCCGAAAAGAAACGTCAAGCGGATATCAGACAGCTCGTCGCTAGGCTTGGTCGATTGCCAGGCTTCGTCCAATCTTCTGACGACATCTCATTCACCCTTCCCTTTCAGCCCACCAAAAAGACGGCCTTGCCTGGAGCATTACAAAATCAAAAGTTGATTCGCTTGGTTGTACCTCAGCTCTATAATCTACACGCGCCACGCATCGAAGTATTTGGCAATTATGACCCCGCAGCGAGAGCTCTCGAGCAAGCATTCCAGGACCGAGTCAAGGCTGAGAGCGAGTCAAGCTTGATCGCCCATATCAACTATCTTACCCAGCATGCACATACAATGTCCTTGGTCAAGGAACCAACCCCTGTGCCAGAGGTTCAGGAGCAGCCACAAGAAGCGGTCAGAGCGGGAATTGTGGTCCCTATATCATCCCACACGCCTGGTACTTTTGCGTCCGAAGACTCTGACAAGTCTCACATCCACGTCATCCCGAGGCCTCCAGAATGGAACAATGATGGACCGGATGATTGGAGCAGTGACGGTTCGGACTCATACGATAGCGGAGACGAAAACGAGGAGGATGAGACTCCAGATCAACCAGAGCAACCAACTGCCACAAATTCAGGGCTTGCGGAGCGTGGTATAATGCTGTCTTTCACCAACTTGGAGTTGTATGGCTGTGAGCTTTTAGAGCTGGTTTCTCTTAGCATCACAGTCAAATGCGAGCGCTGTAAAGATCTGCTCGATGTTCCGCGGCTGAGGAACAATGTCAATGCCGACGTGGCTGGTATGCGGGATGAAATATGCAAGAAGTGTGCGAACAGCCTCGCAATTGGTATGAGAAATTACTGTGACACACCTTTGACATAAGACTAATGTTTGTAGGATTCCGAGCCGACCTCATCCACCAGAATTCCGTCAGAGCTGGATACTTGGATCTTGACGGCTGTACTGTGGTTGACATGCTTCCGAGGTAAGCCTCTCTGACCCACTTCACGTTGACTACCACTGACCGGATGTAGCAATTTCATTCCGACGTGCTCGGAGTGTTCGACATCTTACCCAGCCCCCGGCGTTATTGGTGTTCGAGGAGACTCAATTCTAGCCATATGTAGGGAGTGCCACCGCAAGATGAGTTTCCGGATACCGGAGACCAAGTTTTTGCACGTCAGCACAGCTTCCGGTATGTCCCGAAGTTGTGAATTCTGAAGAGTCGTGGCTAATCACATACAGTCCGAGCGAGTCGCGCGCCGACACGTAGAAAGGTCAAAGAGAACCTTGGCATCGTTGCTGGACAGGAACTCCCAAGACGCGGTCGTTGCACACATTATGCAAAGTCATACCGATGGTTCAGGTATAAGGTGCTTTCTTGACAAATTCAAATATCTGCTTACAAACATCACAGATTCTCATGCTGTAGCAAAGTCTACGCCTGCGATGTAGGTTCTGCAATGCCGTTCAGCAGTGCACGCACTAACTAGCATCCAGAGATGTCACGATGAGAAAGAGAGTCATCCAAATGAACACGCCAACCGGATGATTTGTGGTCACTGCTCGAGAGAGCAGAATTACGCGCCCGAAAATTGCCATTTCTGCCGGGCTAGCCTGATTGCAAGAAGAGGTCACGGGTTCTGGGAGGTTTGTGTCTCTTGAATACCTTTTCACACGCAATCGTACTAACTGGTTGACTCTAGGGAGGCAAAGGTAAGACGAATTCTTCCATCACTTTCACCGCGTGTTCGCTTCGTACATCAACATTTCCCTGTCAATCGTCGATGCGGCAGTTTCAGCGATGGTTGTTTGCACCGGCAATGACGTCCTGGCGGATGACCCCAACCCCATGCACACCATGCAGCCCTCACAAACTCCAGCTTTCCCCGCGCAACGGTGCGAAAGTCTAATTCTGTGTACCTTTGTATACACGAGGGCTTCTAGTGCATCACGGCGGTTTTCCACATCTGGACCTGCAGCAGTTTACCGTCGCACCTGCGCAAAACACTAAAAAAAAATCGATCATGGGGGCTGACGTATGACCAGGTACTCGGGACAAGACCCGAATGAGCAGAAAAGGCAAGTACAACCAACCTCGTGTCTCTCCGCTTGGCGACACCACGAGCCGTGTTGGGGGACGCATGACTTGACATATGCTAACTGACTTTTGACTCTCAGATCCTCGTAAGTACAAGCGAAGACCTGGCACCAAGGTCGGTGGTAGCTAGACGGAAGGACAAGATCAGCGCCTTGTCTCGAGCGCGTGACTTTCAATTGTCGGAACCGCAGCAAGGTCGCTAAAGATGACGGTATCGTTGCCTTCGCGATAGCTACTCATAAGGCGGATGAAGGTCTCGAATGGGCAGATCATGTTTTGAGATCATTATGCACCGAATCCGGAATTCATCGCTATTAGCAAGAAGCTTTACAAATCATGTCATTGTGAACGGTTATAAGTACTCGAGTAATATTCGCGACTTCTATAAGCAGTCGTTTGATCGAGATCGGCATGCTGTATTATGTGAATAGGGCATTGACCTATGTCTGCTGGTCGTATCTCAACGCCCATCTCAAGAAACATGAAATATACTCGGGTCCGCCACCCAAGGGTCATAGCACTTTTTTGTAGTCACGGTTGTTTGAGAACAGAATGTAGAGGGCTCCGGAGATTACACAGAGGAAATGTGAGTATGCGTACGCTCGCTTTGCCTCAATGACTTGAGCAGATCTGATGTCGAGAGGGCAACCCTGTCTACTCGCGAGAACAGCGGCGGCATCCTCACTAACACTCATCGGTTTGGCTGCTCAGACGGTACTTTGACTGTGCCAGCAGTTTCGTCACAAGTGCTACAGAGCCGTTCACCGCCATCCTGTCTGTATCGTTAATAACACAGCATGATTCGGTCGCTCGTGTCCGACAAGGAGTAACATAGATTCGACACAGTGCGTGTCTCTTGGAAGCATCTGAACACATCTAGATTTCCCGGCTTTGCCCTAGTTCAGGTATGCTGTTCCTCTTCTTCCTTTTCTCCTTCCAGCCATATCTCATGTCCGTCTCCATCTTTGACGAAAAGGCCTGCCACAGCACCCACGGCCGCAAGACACGCCATACACCACCAAGACAACCCAACTACGCCTTTTCGCAGGCCGACACCGTACAGGAAACTCAGAAGAAGAGGGCCAATCGTACGGGAGGCAGAGCTTGCGCTCTGACCCAGGCCGTGAACTGTGCCGAGGACGGAAGGATGAGGCGAAGAGTTGTTGATCAAAATCGCGGTCGCAGGAAGCGCGAATGTCCTTGCTGTTACTTGTATGCATAGGACGATGACGATTGAAATCCAGAGCAAAGGTCCCGAGGCTGCTGCGGGTGAGGTGGATGTAGTAGGTACCAGTGACAAGAATGGTACGAGAAAATAGGCCAAGGGGAACAGGCAGAGCGATAATCGGAACGAGGTAACTGTACCCAGACGGAAGGATATTTTTGGGTACAGTATCAGTTGCAGAGAAATACCGACAACGCCCATGATGGCTAGAGCTGACCCGATTCGCGCAGGTGGAAGAGCCAGTCCGCCTGTCCAGCTGAACGGTGGATGCGGTCTGTAGTCCGATGGTACCCCCAAACTTGAATTTGGATCTGTTCCATCATTTGCCTGAGCATGTGGAACGTATCTAGGTGTCGACAGGAACACAAACCAAAGACTGTTGAAGGTGCCAACATGACCGGCCAGGAGGAAATGGGCTGTAAATGTGAAGATCACATTGGCGGTCCAGATGCGAGAAAAGGGCAGCTTTCTCTTTATTTTTGGAAATTTGGGCGTGGGTGGCTCGTCAGTCGGTGAGTGCATCTCGATGGTCAAAGGGTCCGCCTCATCGTTCGGAAGTGCCTCGTAATCCTGTTCGCCTTCATGTCGGAACACGACTCGTCTGATCCATCGTCCGATGCGCAAACCCAGGTCTGCCTTATCTCTCAACGCTTCATGTGACTAGAAAATATCTTAGCAGCAGATCGAAGCTGATCCTGAAAGCAAACAAACAGCTTACCTCTTCAAGTCCCAGCAACAACACCATTGCTGATAGGAACAGAAATACAGCACTGACTATGTTCGGAAGCGCATACGGCCACTGCTTCAGCCATGTGATGGATTCGAACGTCGCAGGATAGTTTCCCGCTGGATCAGCCAACAAGCCGCCGAGTATCGGACCTACGACACAGCTAATGATTAGGACGATGTTTCTGTTTCCTGTATGTGGCCCACTACACACCTACGATGACACCGATGTTGAAGGTCATGGGTAACAGGAGAAAAGCCCTCGACTGGTATTTCTTGTCGCGAATGATTTCTGAGATCATCTACAAGAGTGATCAGTATAAGGGTATGGCACGGAGGCTTTGACATACTGTCCGCATTACGCCAATATTTCCATTGAGAGCTATTGCTGATTAGTTGACCGATCCTCAGAGCGCTGGCTGATGTCGTCGAATCGCAAGAGGCTACGCAGCAAGCAAGCAGGTCTGATCCTAAGTGAGCCACCAAGAAGAGAGATAAGAACATCAGTGCTTAAACGAGGCGTCTTTAGTGTAATGCACCGGAGTCCTTGTCTTATAGCTGGACCGAGACGCAATCTTTGACTGGTAATTGCGCCTTTTTGGAGACAAGTCCGAATCTTGCATTCGTAGGCACTCCTTATGTCTTTCCATCCAAGTGCAAACGACGCATCGAACTCGTATGTGCAGCTCAGCTTGCTGCTCGTGGCTCACGTGCTCTGGATCGACGACACGTTTGAATGACTCACCTCCACCAATGGCTCTCCATAGCAGTGCAATGCCAAAGCTGGAGCTGAATCCGAATCCCAATGCTCCTATGCCAGTACCTAGAAGTCCTATAAGGATGACTCTCTTGCGACCAACGCGCTCCCAGTCCGCCATCCTGCCCCAGAAGACGGCTGTGCAGAATTGAGCACCAGTAAAGGCAGCTTGGAGCATACCAGCCTGGTAGGATATGGTACTATCAGGAGCAGACGGTGAGAAGGAGCGTAATTGATAGAACATGTAGGCTTGTAGCGAAGTCTGGGTAAGAGGTTCCGATAAACGGGCTAGTGTGAGGATGAATAGTTGATCTTTCCTAGGCAGACTCATCCACGACACTGGTCTGGGCTTCTCGGATACCGGATCAATGTCGTAAGGCAGCCTGTGCTCGTTCTCAATGGAGACCGTTCCTCGGCCAGCAGGAACAATACTCGAAGAGACATGAGGCTCGGCGAGATCAGAATCATGACCTCTTACTGGTGTCGGTGAGAAGTCCGGGGAAGAGTGAGGCATTCTTGACCATCAAAGGCACCAAACGGGGGTTGCGCCTGGGATAGAGATGATCTATGTTAATTCGCGAAGAGATGTCCCGTGTCAACTTGCATTGGAATGTCCTTTGTCAACTTGTGATGAGTAACAGTGACAGATTGTTAGGCGCTTAAGTGAGTAAGAAGCAGATAACGGGCGGAAAAGCAAACCTAGGTTAATTCGGTACATGATCTTTCGTCACGTGGGATGCCGCTTTTAGCGGGATAATGCAAGCCGCTGCTTTTTGTCTATAAATTAGTATTGAGGAGAGGTTATCTTGTTAATAAAGGAGGAGTCGAATTGTTCTACTACAAAATGCCATGCGGCGTTGAATTCAGGCTGCGTGAGGGGGTCGTGTGTATGGTGCGTGCGGCTGCAAAGAAGGCAATACTACTCATCCGTATCCATGCTCGTCTTGAAGACCCTGGACCTTGTTAGTGGAACGTCTTCGGCGGGTCTTTGGTTTGGAGTGGTCGACGAACAGTTTCGACTCGTAGTAGTCGAGAAGCTATCAGGAATTAGCATAAGAGGCGCGCTAGATAAGAAGACACAACTCACCTTTTGCGGGCACTTTTGTCTGCACACCTTTACTGAGTGCTGAGTTTGTTTGCCATCTTCCCAGAGCAGGTATACGACCAAGTCGCCCTTGCTGTCACCATCTCCTGCCTGCTCAACAGCATCGATGAGCTGAACATGGTCCTCCCAGGAGCCCTCAGGCAGTGATGACATCTTGGCATGCTCGGGCTGTTCCTCGGCTGTCTTGACGGAATTTCTTCCACGCTTTTTTGTGGTGGACGAAGAAGCAACTTCGGGTGTGTTCTGAGCTGTAGCGGCCTTTCTCTTGGTGCCCTTCTTTGCAGGTGTCTTTGGTTTGGCTGTAGGCTTGCCGCCAATGCTGTCCCAGTAGGCTTGTAGGACGTCCATAGCGCCCTCACTGTAGCGTGGTTAGGGGTGATTACAATGCATGGCTTGATAGGGCGACTCACAGATTCTCTTCCGGTTCCCAAGTCCTGTCTTCGACGTTCTCGTAACCAAGCCACTTGACCTCGTATAGACAATCTTTTCCGTTGTCAAAGGCGTGCTTCATGATCTTCTCGACGACATATTCATCGGCATTGTCTTCTTCCTCGTCGTCGTCGTCGTCGTTGTCTGCCTCGACGTGTCCGTTCTTGACGTCGGCCATTTCTTCATCGACCTCTTCTTTCTCAACGGCCTTTGACTTTGATTTGCTGTGGGGCTTTTTGGGTGCAGGTCTCTTCGGGGGCAAGACCTCGTCGTCACCCGAAAGAGGGTCGGATCTCTCGTCGTCGGAAATTGCGGCTGGGACGGTCGGTCAGAGTGAGGAGTGAGGATGGGAGAGGTGAAATTGATATTACGAGGCATCGTAGATGTGTGGTTGGTGTTGTTGTGTCGATGCGGCAGGTGTAGGAGAGTTGCGACAAATAACTTGTTGACGGGTGATCGAGTGAGTGACGCGAAGCTTACGCAAGAGACGCGTCTCAAAGTAGCAGGCACGATTCACGATTCACGAAGCTGGCCGGCATTTACTGGCGGCGCACAGACCAGTTGTCGGGGGTTTCGACAGCGAAAGTCTGAATGGAAAGTGAGAGAGGGAGCAACGAAAGTCTGAAGGCCAAGAAGCAGCAAGCACCATCAACTCATCGCTGCACAACGCAACAATACCTCACTTGCTCCTTCCTCCGCCGTCTAGTAATCGCTTCGGGCTCCTCCTCTATCCGCCAACGCTCCCTAGGAGCTACAACAATTGCCCGCCATGGCCATGCGTATGTCGTTGGTCTCGAATAATTTAATGCTCCCCTGCTGACATGTTTCCTAGAACTTGACATGTCCAACGGTATTGACTCTCCCATGCGACCATGCCCATCCTAGTACAAGACTGACGAGACTGTGTCGCATACAGCCCAGGTCGCCAAAGACGAGAACGGCCGCCCTTTCATCATCGTAAGAGACCAGGGAAAGAAGAAGAGACAGCACGGAAACGAAGCTGTCAAGTCGCACATCCTCGCCGCAAAGACGGTTGCTGCTATTGTGCGCACCTCTCTCGGTCCCCGTGGTCTCGACAAGATCCTCATCTCTCCCGATGGCGACATTACCGTCACCAACGACGGCGCTACCATCCTGTCCCAGGTACATATCTACACAGCTCTACTGCAAACAGTGATAGCCTCCTCTCTGACACGCCGTCTAGATGGAAATCTCAAACCACGTAGCCAAGCTGCTAGTCTCGCTCTCGCAATCTCAAGACTCGGAAATCGGTGATGGCACCACTGGTGTCGTTGTCCTTGCCGGCGCTCTCCTCGAGCAGGCTGCCGACCTTATCGACAAGGGCATCCACCCCATCCGCATCGCTGACGGCTACGACGCCGCTTGTGAGGTTGCCGTCGCCCGCCTCGACCAAATCTCAGACACCATCTCCTTTGACAAGGACAACACAGAGAACCTCTTCAAGGTTGCAAAGACCAGTCTAGGAAGTAAGATTGTCAGCAAGTCACACGACCAGTTCGCTCAGATCGCTGTGGATGCCGTCATGAGTGTCGCTGATCTGGAACGTCGCGATGTCGATTTCGAGCTGATCAAGGTTGACGGAAAGGTCGGAGGCAGTCTCGAGGACACACTGCTCGTCAAGGGTGTCATTGTCGACAAGGACTTCTCACACCCCCAGATGCCTTCGGAAGTCAAGGACGCTAAGCTGGCCATCCTGACTTGCGCCTTCGAGCCCCCAAAGCCCAAGACCAAGCACAAGCTCGATATCACCTCGGTCGAGGAGTTCAAGCGCCTGCAAAACTACGAGAGCGAGAAGTTCGCCGAGATGATTCAACAGATCAAGGACACCGGCGCAAATGTTGTCATCTGCCAATGGGGCTTCGACGACGAGGCCAACCATCTCTTGCTGACCAACAAGCTTCCTGCCGTACGATGGGTTGGTGGTCCCGAGATCGAGTTGATCGCTATTGCCACAAACGGAAGAATCGTGCCGCGATTCGAGGACCTCAGTGCTGACAAGCTTGGAACTGCTGGTGTCGTTAGAGAGATGAGCTTCGGAACTACCAGAGAGAAGATGCTTGTCATTGAGGAATGCGCCAACAGCAGAGCCGTGACCGTCTTTGTGCGCGGTAGCAACAAGATGATCATCGATGAAGCCAAGCGCTCATTGCACGACGCCCTTTGCGTCGTTCGCAACTTGGTCCGCGACAACAGAATTGTTTACGGTGGTGGTGCTGCAGAAATTGCCTGCTCGCTAGCAGTCGAGGACGCAGCCGTCAAGTCCCCTGGCCTCGAGCAATACGCCATGCGCGCGTTCGCAGATGCTCTTGACAGTGTGCCTATGGCTCTTGCAGAGAACTCCGGTCTCAGCCCCATCGAGACATTGGCCCACATCAAGAGCCGACAGGCCAAGGAGGGCAACTCAAGATTGGGTGTCGACTGCATGCAGACCGGCAGCAATGGTGAGACAGCAGAATATCAACATGACACCTTCACAATGACTAACTTGAATACAGACATGAGAGAAAACTTTGTCATCGACCCCTTGATCTCTAAGAGACAACAGCTTCTTTTGGCCACACAACTCTGCCGCATGGTCCTCAAGGTCAACAACGTCATCATTGCTGGAAGCGATGAGAATGACTTCTAGATTGTGTGATACCTTTTTTGCATGAAACATTACACGTGGCGTTGACAGCGGAGCCCAAAAGAAAGAGGATCTGATTTGGCATGGAGAATTGTCATGTTGCAAGGTAGAATACCACTGTTTAAATGTCACCTCAGGACGAGGTCTGCCAAAGTCTCAACCACCATCTTAGTTTGAGCGGTGCAAGGGAGTGCTCTTGTTACGTGGAGCAAACAATCCTCATAAGCGTGTGAAGTGAACCAAAGCATCTTCTGACACTGAAACACAACGGTCACAGTGAACGAGCGAAGTGGCAGCGGACGAAGGACGAGGGACGATGAAGAAAGTAGCCATTTGGTTCAAGGGTATGAATTGTGAATAGCCAACGAGATCATCGTCAGACTCATTGACGGGATGATCATGCTATAGATCAAAAGGGGGGTATCGAAGAGAGATATGATACATCGAGTAGAAGAAGGAAAAATCATATCATGATAATTTGGGGTATCAACAAAGGAGAACATGACATGGAGCATATAAAAAGAGACATTTCCCGAACATCAATCATCACCATTCAGGGATCGTGCTATACTTCTGACCTGGAGCAGCAGTTGCACTTCTGCCTGGGATGTCATGATGGTGATGGGGAGCAGTGGATGCACTTCTGACAGGGGCCTCAGGTCGTCGCTGGCCAGGTCCTGCAGTCGCGCTTCTACCGGGGAACTCGCGGCGGGCGTATTGAGGCTGCATACCTTGGCGGTATTCGTCAATCAGTCCGTCGTAGGCTTCGGGAGGTGCTGTAGCACTGCGTTGAGGACCAGCTGATGTGGCAGGTCTTGATATTTCTGGAGGACTTGTGATGCTGCGATTCGGCGGCATAAATGAAGGTGCGGCGGCTGCGAGAGTGAAGGATGGGTTGAACGCAACGTAGCCTCCAGATGCTGCAGAGGCGGATCGTGGCTGATGTGACTGCTGTTGAGGAGGCGATGTTCGCCGCTCGAAAGGCTCTGGCATGGCTGTTCGTGTCTGCGTCGTCATCTCGAAGCTCTGCATTTCAGGCTCGGGTGTGTGGCGAGAAGCAAAGCTCAACCCACTACTCATGCGAGCCAAGGGAGCGTATGATTGCTGGAAACTTTGCTGTGGTCTCTGTCGAGGCATGTTGATGGTGTCTTCGTAGCCCATATTCGCTTGATGCATGGACATGTCTTGAGGATAGGGAGATGCGTATCGATCCATTGGTTCCTGTGTCATGTCCCTCTCGTACTCGAATGTCTCATCCAACTCATGGTGTCCCCATCTTGCAGGCTGTTGCGGAGCCGCTGTAGCGCTCCTGCTCGGGTAGGGCTGGCTTGCATATCCGGAGTGAGCGTCGAACGTCGGGGGCATCTGTCTGGAAGCATGTGACGTCGATCTATCGAACGTGGGTCTTGATTGCGTGGAATAGTAATCCGAGCTGTCAACAGAGCCCATGTCATTGGCGTTTCCAAGTAGCGAGGCATCCGAAGCATAAGTGGCATTGGACATGGCCGACGCTTCGGTGTCTGAACGGTAAGGCATGGGCGGACGTCTCTCGGCGTCCAAGTCCGGCAAGCTCGGCTCGCGATACATTGCCATTGGTGGTGCTGTGTGCGTTCGAGGTGGTTGCTGCATTTGCTGAATACCGAGCGGCGTTTGCTGACGACGCAATGCTGGCTCAGGAGCAGGTGCAGGTGGCAATGCAGGGTGGTCCTCTGGCAATGTGTTCTGTCGCTGGAGCCCAAATAATGGAGTAGTATTCGTCCGGCTTGGTGCTGATTTCTGAGTCATGTGAGTATCCTGCCTGACGAGGCCAAAGTCACTATCCCGTCCAATGTCTGGCGTCTGGGCTGCAACTTGAGGCAGCGTAGGTTTGCGGTTGACCTGCGGCCTGTTCGGAAGCTGGCCAACCTTCTTGGCTGCCTTTGCCTCGCTTTGTGCGTGCTTGTTCTCTTGATCTTCCAACGCTTGCTTGACTTTCTGGCTCACGACTTTCTCAAGCCTACGGTCAATCTTTCTTCGGCAGTAGTTGCTCAACCGGCCGTCGCTCTGAGGAATGTAGTGCCAAAGGAAGACCAGGTAAAGAACCACAGCGATGATCAAGCACAAGGCTGAGATAACCCAAATGACGAGGGTGAAGAGCATGGTGAAGAGAACGACAGCTTGTTCTCGATTCGATTCAGCCAGTGTCTCAACGTTGACCCAGAACTGCTCGAACGAGGAGCGGTTTTGTGTAGCAGCGTGATCGCCCATTGGAATGAGATCTTGCTGCATGAAGGAGTAGAGAGTGATAGCGTTGACCACCTGGCGCGGTCCCTCGGCGAAGATGATCCGTACAGCACCCTTGAAGGCGAAATAGACAAAAAGAGCAACATAGTCGACGCCCTTCTTGCTTTTGGTCAGTTCGGCGAAAACGAGGAAGCGCTTCCAGCCATTGGGTCGCATTGACTGGAGCGTGACGGCAACAGAGTCCATATAGCTCTCAGCAACGCTGCCTCTACGAACCACACGGGTAGCGCGGACCCATTCGAATATGCAAAGAACCCATGAGAACATGATACACGCGGCGAAGATCCATTTTGAGTACTTCAAAGGAATACTGGGCTCGATCTGGGAAGACCATTTATCGTATGCAAGGAGGTTGATGGCAGTGAATGTGTCGGCACCATACACAGCGACTGCTATGAGAGCCATAAACCAGAGCCATCCATAGGAGAGATATGTCAAAGCGCCAGATGCGCGAAAGTCGGAAAGAGTCTATGCATTATCGTGTTAGCAAAAAGATCAGAGTACAAGGGCCATGAAAACACCGGTCAACTCACCACATAATCCCACTTCTGCGACTCATCGAGGTGGCCCTTTTCTCTGTCGCCCGAACATCCCATGATAAATTCGGAACAGAGTGTATTTTTTGGCGCGTAAGAAATAGGAGATTGTCGCCAGTCCAGCTGAGGACGATTAGGGGCGTGTCTGAGCCGTTGATCGCAAAGGCTTGCTTTTGTTGTTGTTGATGATGATACAGAGAAGCGCGATATCTGCCAGCAGACGTCGTGCGTGTGTGTGGTATTGAGAAGGAAAAAAGTGAATAGAAAGGAGTGTGGTCAGTCTAGGATAAGGAGCGCAAGGCTGTGAATGGCTGGGACAGGTATTGTAAGGAATGTACAAGGTTCTAACGGCTATAGACCGTTTGTCTCCAAGGTTGCTGGCCTTCTTTGTCGACAGAACAACGAAAGAAACGCCGCGACAAAGGCGTCTTGAATGAGGTGTCCGTCAGAGGCGGCTCTCTCCTTTGATTGTTGCACAAAGCAGTAGCTCGTTGGCGCTTGCGCAAGTGAACGACCGATGCGCTGCGCCGTTGTATAGTGGGCTAAGAGGGAAAGTTCGAGCAAGCGCCCACGAAACGAGCGAGGGGCTCTACCCAGCCTCGGGAACGTCGTCCAGTAATCATCTCATCTTATCTCCCTGCCCAGAAGGCTTCTCTGTTGGCGTTCTTCAGACTGAAACACGCGCCCCTGCACCTTCACACCATCACTCGGCTCTTCCCCAGACTTCCCGGATTCAGGCAACGTGAGCCCGCGATCTCTTCTCCACCTTGCGTAAAACCTGTACCTTGCACCAGGATTACCAGAGGAACACCTGTAGCACGGATGTAAGGCGGTATGCTTGTGACATACCTCACGTGAGAAGACATGTTCAACGCTTGAAGCTACACTTTCTTTGAGCTGATCATGACAACTTCTGGACGCGGCGAGTGAATGTTGATCATAGAACTGATTGAACTGAATTGAATGCTTGGGTTTCTATTGAACGCCTGGTCTCATGAACCCCATGATGAAAACTAATATATATTTTACAGCTCGTCGTGGCTGGGCTCATCATCGTAGTCGGGCATACCACCAGCACCACCGGCGCCGCCGTAAAGCTTGCTAGTGATGGGGTAGGCGACGTTGCTGAGCTTCTCCTTCTGCTCATCGAAGTCCTCGGCAGTAGCATCGGCGGCATTGTCGTCGAGCCAGTCCTGGACCTGCTTGACAGCGTCAAGGATCTGTGTATCATGTCAGTGTGATGTTCCGATGATGGGGTTTGCTCATGTTAACTTACGGTGTCCTTATCATCTTCGTCAACCTTGCCACCGAGGCCCTCCTCGTCATTGACCTGGTTCTTCAAGGAGAAGGCGTAGTTCTCGAGACCATTACGCGATTCAATACGTTGGCGAGTTGCCTTGTCCTCCTCAGCGTACTTTTCGGCTTCCTCAACCATGCGCTCAATCTCCTCAGCGCTAAGGCGGCCCTTGTCGTTGGTGATGGTGATGCTCTCGCTCTTGCCAGTGCCCTTGTCGCCGGCACTGACCTTTAGGATGCCGTTAGCATCGAGCTCGAAGGAGACCTCGATTTGAGGAACACCGCGAGGAGCGGCGGGAATACCAGTAAGTTCGAATTTGCCAAGCTGGTTGTTGTCCTTAGTCATAGAACGTTCACCCTCGAAGACCTGGATCAAAACGACGGGCTGGTTGTCAGCGGCGGTCGAGAAGATCTGGGACTTCTTGGTAGGAATGGTAGTGCCACGCTTGATCAGGTGGGTCATGACACCGCCAGTGGTCTCAATACCAAGAGTGAGAGGGTTGACATCCATAAGGACGATGGAGCTAGCCTCGGCCTCACCAGACAAAACACCACCCTGAACGGCAGCACCGTAAGCGACAGCCTCATCAGGGTTGATACCCTTGCTGGCCTTCTTTCCGAAGAACTCCTCGAGCATGTTCTGAACCTTGGGGATACGAGTGGAACCACCGACAAGAACGATATCGTCGATGTCAGACTTCTTGAGCTTGGCGTCCTTGAGAACCTGCTCGACAGGCTTAAGAGTCTTCTTGAAGAGATCGTTGTTCAGCTCCTCGAACTTGGCACGAGTCAAAGTCTCGGAGAAGTCGTTGCCGTCGAAGAAAGCCTCGATTTCGATGCGGGTGCTCATCTGGGAAGACAGAGTACGCTTGGCCTTTTCGACCTCACGCTTCAGCTTGCCCATAGTCTTGAGGTTCTTGGTGATGTCGACGTCGTTCTTCTTGTTGTAGTTCTTGGTCAGGTAGTCGATGACTCTCTGATCAAAGTCCTCACCACCGAGATGGGTGTCACCGGCAGTAGCCTGGACCTCAAACACACCGTCGTCAACAGTCAGGATAGAAACATCGAAAGTACCACCACCAAGATCGTAGACGATGATCTGGCGTTCCTTGTCGGTCTTGTCCAGACCGTAGGCGAGGGCGGCGGCGGTAGGCTCGTTGACGACACGGAGAACGTTGAGGCCGGCAATGGTACCGGCGTCCTTGGTGGCGGCACGCTGAGCGTCGTTGAAGTAGGCGGGGACGGTGACGACGGCATTGGTGACCTTCTCACCGAGGTACGACTCGGCGACTTCCTTCATCTTGCCCAGAATCATGGAGCTGACCTCCTCGGGGGTGAAAGTCTTCTGACCACTGCGAAAGCCATGTCAGCGTGGGTTCCCACATGTATTCTCTTTGTCTGGAACTTACTCCTGAACCTCGACCTGAACTCTGGGTTGGCCGTCCTTGTTGACAACCTTGAAGGGGAAGTGCTTCATGTCACGCTGAACGTCTCTATCGTTGAACTTGCGGCCGATCAAACGCTTGATGTCGAAGACGGTTCTCTCGGGGTTGGATGCGTACTGGTTCTTGGCTGTGTGGCTTGTCAGCGGGTGTCGCAAAAGTCATGAATTGCGAGAGTGCTTACCGGCGTCTCCGACGAGTCTCTCATCGTCGTTCCAGGCGACGTAAGAGGGAGTGATACGGTTACCCTGGTCGTTGACAAGAATCTCGACCTTTCCGCCCTTCATGATACCGACACAAGAGTAAGTGGTTCCAAGATCGATACCGATGACTGGGCCAGAAATGGCCTTCTCGCCGCTGTCCTGAGCTTTGGCATTGGAGCCAAAGAGCACCATGGGCGCGAGGAGCACCAGGAGGAGGTAGAAGATGGTTGACCACGCAAAGCGTGACTCGGTTCCAATGCGTCTCGCCATCTTGTTAGGTTCCTGTATTGACAAGAATGAAGCTACCGAGATGGGTTGGTTGCTTCCTGACAAGATCAAGAAGTGTGACTTAATTCAAGAAACCAAAAGGAGTGAAGCTCCTTTAATAGAAAGTAAAGAGTTGCAAACTGGCCACTCCGGACTTTAATGCCACCTGGTCACGACGTAGCCAATCAGACGCCGAATGCACGGTCTCCTCCGTAGAAACTTCCCGATTCTCCTCTGCGACATATTGTAGACCTACGTTTCATGATGCCACTGCGCCGCTTCTCTGTCAACGTGTCTTTGCCTGGAACTATATCGCCGTTGCCTTCTTGTTGAAGACACACTCTCCGACTTTAGGCAAAATGTTGTCTTCTCGTCAACTCACACGAGCCAATTGCGCGGCGATTGATCTGCAAAAGACACTTTGTCAAGTCTGCCATTATCGATAAGACGCTGAAACTACCTAGGCATGCTGGTCGCTTGCAGCAACGTATTTGCACCGACAGTCAATCTTACCACGTCTCCGTGCGACATGGCTGGCTCTACGATGCGGCATAGCATTCTCAAGTGCCAAGGAAGTTTTACGTTGGAGATACAGCATCACTTTACCTCGCTAGAGACAAATATTTTTACAACCGATCCGCGCATGGGTACAGCTGAAAGATGTCGCTGTGTACTACGTCGGATGAGGAAGTGATGATAGCGAGAAGATAGCAAAGGCAGTCCTGAACCTGACAAATTTGCTTGACACTCCTCATGCTTGATTCTGGGTGCAAGAGAAATACCTAACGTGGCGCCGGTCTATGTCTGGCCGGATGGCCGATCTCCATGAGCCCTGCTTTCTGAATTCTTGAACAAAGTCCCGACGTGCTTAGAATTGTCACTCTCCACCGGCCCCAATCATCAGAGAGAGGCAAAAGAGAGCTTCTAGAATTCGCAGACAAAAAGTAGATCAAGGGCAAACGAGCCTACGCCGCTCCTCGCGGGACTTGTAACAGCATTCAGAGAAACACGCTTCAGTGTATCTATACGTACACCAGCACATGGAGGAGTTGTTCTTGTTGTCAATTGCCTCGCGTACATCTGGTTCAACAGACCTCTGGCGTCAGGTTCGGCCAACTCCAACATCTTCCCAGAACCGTCTGAGGCTAGAGACGCGATCCGTCTCTGAGCACGTGCGAGAGTCAAGACAAGATTCTGACGGCGGGCGGTTGGCCGCCTTCCCTTTCTTCGAGAATCGCCATACGAGAATGCCAACACCGCCAACATTCGACTTGTGCTTCTTGATCGCGCGAGCTTTCTTCTCGAGCCAAATCCGCATACCCTCCTTGAATTTTGTAAGTTCAAGCTTACGCTTGTTTTCGAACAGTCCGGACGGGGCAACGATAATTTCACCAGTCAAATGATCACGGCGACAACAGTCCCTCGGAAGAATGCGTGCGTTGACAAGGGACGAGACAGATGGTCGCCTGGATAGCGAACGATTTAAAGTTGCCGATAGCAAGCGGAAATGGAGACGTCGCGCAGCAACATGCGTACGAGTTAAATAGATTGCCGAAGCAGGAGGTTGGAGAGATCGAAGCAAAGGACGCTGGGGCAAGAATGACGACAGAACATGTGTCGAGTTTTGAAGGAGTTGAGAAAACAAGACACGATCGAGAGAGATGGCACGTAGTCGGTGTGACACCTGGAATGGTTTAGCAAGAGCCGCAGACAACACCGAGGGTCCTCACTCTCGTGACAGCCAGCAGAAACGGATAGTCTAGATGTCCAAGAATTATGAGGATGAGCTCGTCCGGAAGAGCATCGATGCTCGCAGCCTTCTTACAAGACAGAGTGCTAAATGTGACAGTTGACGCCATGCTGATTGTCAAAGAATGGCAGCGTTCAAGAAGGCGTCGCTATTGTAAGTATGCGGTGAACGGGTGGGTCTTTTGCGTCAGTGCGTTCATCCAAGCTCTTACCGCCCATGTGCAGACCTTCTGTACTGGTTCCATCAGCCATTCTACGCATACCCACGCGCTCACACAGAAAGAGCCCCATGCACTGATGGTATCCTGGGTAGGTATTTTGATGATGTGGCGATCTGTCTACGCGCACAATATCCTACCTTTTCTCCACGACATCCCAGGCGTTTAATGCCCTGCTCTTACCACATGCGCAAGAGAACGCGCCTGTCTCCACCTCACTATACATAACTTGCCCTTCGACATGCCCCTCCATTGGATGTCACTACATCAGCATTGACGCCTTTCGTACTGGTCACCTCTGCTATAAGCCGAGAGGGCTGGCCGGCAAGTAGCGTTTCCCTCGCATACGTACTGCCTGCCACCTCGCAAGGTTAAACCCTGGGATACCGCTCTTCCAAGCAAATTCTGCACGCATCTATGCATAGAACAATACAGTGCGAGCTGTCTACTTTGCCGTCTCAGGTTAGGGTACCCACATACTGCAGCCAAGATTGGCCTCTTCTCGAGTTGCAATTGGTCCTATGAGCTTGTACCCAGTGCGCCAATGAGACTACGTCCGGAACAATTGTGCATATCCGCTCGGAAACAGTGTGACTCTCGTTCGCTGTGAGCGGCCAGTCTGATCTCGCTTCTCGGCCCTCTAATTCGCTGTCTCCTGCCCTTCGGATGGTGCGTGTTGATAGAGGCAGGCCACGAGGATGGAGATATCAAGCAGCACCTGTCGCTCACATGACCCGATTCGCTCTTGATGCATCGAAGCTCTTGCAGAACACCTGAGAAAGGTAAATTTCGACGTCGAGTGTAGCGTGGAGCTTCGCCAGACTGTGCTTACCAAACTCGCACTTGGCTTTGTTTTCCGCCTGTGACGACGAGCTGCTTGCATAACACAGATTTGCACTTTAATGCTTGGATTCTCGAGAGTACTTCATCCTTCAACCATTCTGAAACCGTATTTTGGCGCTCGTCATATCAGAGCGCGATAAATGTTTCATTCTCGCATTTGCTGATGACGTTGTGTCTATCTTTGGCGTGTCCGCTACAAACAAAGCTCTTTCAATTGACCATCCTTTTGGCGCCTCTTCGCTGAGCATACCTAAGATTCTCGTGTGGTTTGAAAATTTGTTAAGGAGTGAAAGTCCGGACACCAGGGCTTCCGCTGAGCGTGCATAAACTTACCCGCCACCCAGTATCAATGATACCTAAAGTCATGCATTGCTGTCGCTTATGAATATGACTTGGAGTCTGGCTGCTGCTCTTGCTCGTCAAAGGGGCCATCATCAGTTGCTTCACCAGGCGCCATGAGATGGTGAATCGTGTCGCAATTAATCAATCAGAGGCTTCTCTGATCATCGGTTTGGTCTGCTAGCCGATTCAGAAAAATTGACAGTGACGATAGCCTTTTCAGAGCCCACCACACTCGTTCCGCCACGTCACAAGGGCGGAGACGAGCATCATCCTTCAAATCTAGCGTCCGCCAGCTTCAGCCGTGATTGCCTGAGGTGACGGGTGACGGGGGTACTCTTCTGGCCTAGGCAAGCACTGTCAGCCCATCGCTGCCGTCTGTATTGTTTCGACCTGTCATGTTGCCTCCAGTTCCATGCACGGAGAGGTCGAGAGGCAATTTGATGATCGTCCGAGTAACGAGGAGCCGCATGAGGCGTGGACCAAGGACGGACGAACCTTGTTTGTGGGCAATGCTCCACCCTTGTGGGAATGACCAGACACGATCGCAGTCCTTGACGATAAGCTGACTGGATACCAATGCTTCCTGCCCGCGCATGCTCTCGCCAAGTCATTGAATGCTGCATCTAAGCCAACTACTCCTTCGGCCGTCCCTCAACGATGGGGTTGATGGCAGACCTGCGTATCGAGCTATCCGACGTCCCGACCGCGACCGTTCCTACTAGTCAGCTCAATGAACTGCCGTTGGTACCGACCTAGCATGTGCACCTTGCGCCCCATCCTTCTCGAGATGAAAGAAGTGTAGATAGCAAGAGGAGCCGATACACACGGGACTAATCGCCCCAGCAGGTGAGCCTTTGGAACGTCAATGTTTGGCGATAGAATCCGAAAGGCAACAGAGAGAATCGTCCAATGGAAAAAGGCTCTTGCCAAGGCATGCAAGCAGGCAAACAAACAAACAAACCAGGCGATGGAGTCGAGGAGGAAGCGCGGTCCACGTGATATCGAATAAATATCCACCATGGCCTCCTGAAGCCTCAGAACATGAGCTCATTGCATGGTTCATACCACGACAACGCATAGAGGATCCCCATGGCATGAGAGTGGCTTCGAAACTGAGCATCCAAGCATCGGCGAGAAGGAATAGGCGAGCGAGACACAAGCCACACCGCTGTTGATCGTAGGAAAGTGCGATATCTCTGCTCACGGCCTCGCAAGCGATGGAGGGTCGGAGTGGCACTTTGGTCCATACTAGAAGATCGACTAGCTTCAATGCATGACTGCGGGATAAAGTGACTGGTTCAGAGCGGGATGTTGGAGGTGCTCTTGCAGGACGGTGGAGTGATTGCAGATGTCGTTGACAGAAAAGCAACGTAGGTCGAGTTGATTAGAAGAGGGCCTTCGAACCGGAAAGCATAAATAGCTGGTCCAAGGGGCTCCAGAAGACACAATCATCAGCAATTGACTTCCACTGAACACCTTACAACCACCGGAAGACCTCCTCTTCACATCGTTTCAACTTCCCCTCTTCTCAATCCGACTCCGATGCCCCAAGACAGATCTCATTGACTGTCTCGAGCCCCTATCGACCTGAGTCTTCAGCACCACCAGCACCTCCAGATCCCGTCAAGAATAAGTTCGTTCTCAATCCAGTCTAGGAGATGACATGATTCATATGTTGACAACCGATTAGGAACTTACTTTGCCATAATGTGCTTCTTCGACCAAGTCATGTGGACATGCGGCGACTGGAAGTGGGACCGTTTCCGTCAGCACTGCAACCGCGAGTACCGTACTGGAGAGACATGTGGTATGAAGCTTGTCTATGCCGTCGCCAGAAGCAACGACAAGTGTAAGATCTGCCAGAAGATTGACGCCAAGCTTCGTCGTCGTTCAGCAGAGGTAGCAAAGATCCAACGATGGCAATCGGAGGGTAGTAAGCTGAAGGCATCCATCGAAAGATCTTATGAGATTGTCAAAGACCTCGACCAGGAGATCTACCAGTTGCAGATCGAGAAGCAGCGAAAGACTCAGGCGATTGGCAAGTCCCGCTGAGGATTCAGGTACTGACGCCGTCGTGATTGCAGCAAGTCTTTGTTGCTTCCAGGGCGCTGCAGTCTATCGAAGTTACGGACCAGCCAGCTCATTGAGGACGATGAGGTCGATCCTTTTGTTTCTCAGAGACTTTTCATTTGTCTGTCATGATTGTCTGTCCCGGGTTCTATCATCTCTGCTTTCCTCTTTCTTTGGTCTAGGTCTTTCTTCAAAGACAATCAATATACAAACATTGTTATGCTCGAGTTTTATGCACCGTCGTCGCGTATCGTGCAAGTTATGCAGATATTGAGTACATGTATGCAGGTATCCAAGAGCTGGCCAATGACGTCCAACACATAAATTAGTTGCGTAGATTTTTCAACCACAACACTTACATACAGTAAATTGCGACGTGTCATACAAAGCAGTCGATGGCGAGAAAGAAGGGGAGCAAAGTGAATGAGCGAACGCGTTGGAGTTTTGGCAATCCTAGCGTGAAGGTCACATGATGTGGTAGAGACTTAGTAAGATGTTGTAGGTCCTGTGACGACAAGATGGTTGATAAGAGCTGCTATATAACATGTCACTAGGCTGTCTAAGGCTACTGCTTTCCGGTACTAACAAATGGCAAACATCAAAATGCTGAAACAGATCCATCCCCCCTCTCGAAGCCTCGTGATTCATGGAACCAAGTTGTCCCAAGCCCAAACATTGCATCCATTAGTCGTGACAATTCATCCATGGCAATCAAGCAACCGAGGTTGTAGCAGGAGTGGTGGCTTCTGGTTGGAACCCGCCAAACGGTCCGTAGTAACCAGGGCCAGATGGAGGACAGTTGGAGTAGCAGCCAAGCAACGTCGTAGTCGCATACACAGTGGTAGCGGCTTCTGTGATCGTAGAGAACATGGTCACGGTGACGGGAGGAAGTTCGGTACAGGTACTGTTGATGACAGAGGGGAAAGTGCTACTAGGTCCAAATGGTGTACGAGTGCCGCTGCGAAGATCGGTCGTACCTGATGGCGTGAAAGGATTTCCAGTGGGACCGATCGGAATAGAGGAGTTGCCAGTCGGGAACGAGAAACCGGACGATGGACTGGTACCAGTGGGACCGACAGTGAGTGATGAGTTTGCGGTCGGGAAGGGGAAGCTAGCGGAAGGTGCTGTTCCGGTAGGCTGAGGAACGGACGAGTTTGCTGTGGGGTAGAGGAAACTGGCTGAAGGCGCGGTACCAGTTGGGAAAGCAAGAGTTGAGTTACTGCTAGGGAAGGGGAAGCTAGCCGAGGGCAAAGTCGACTCCAAATTCGAACTTGGAACTCCAGTGCTTAGAGGGATGGACGCGGTCGAATTTGTGATGGGCGTGGCGGTTGGCAACGGCTGACTTCCCGAACGGTCATCGGTAGGGAAAGAGCCAGAAAACGTGCTTAGAGCGGTACCGGTAGGTCCAATAGGTACTGAAGCATTTGAAAAGGTGTATGGAGTAGTCAATGGAGTTCTTGTACCTGAACGATTTCCTGTAGAAGATGGCGAGAAGGGACTGGAAGTCGTGACCGAAGCATTTGTAGATGGCGCGGGGGAGCCACTAGGTGAGCCTGTAGAGAATGTTGGTACATAAGCTCCACTTGAAATGTTGAATAAGGGGATGCTGGTCGAGATCGTAACATTAGATGAGGGAGATGGTGTGGGAGTGGCGGTGCCATTGGTTATCGGGAAGATGGTTGGGGTTCTCGTCGATGCAGTACCGGAGCGAGGGGCTTCAGATGTCGAGCCTGAGAATGGAGACGAAGCGGTCAAGTAAACAGTAGAGACCGCGGTAGAGTAGATCGTGGAGACAATGATGTCTGTGCTGACATTGCCAGCGGCACCACCTCCAGCTCCACCACTGCTGCCACCATTCGCACCTCCAGCAGTTCCATTGGTAGAAATGGTGTTGTTCGTGACAGTCGTAGAATTGGTGACGATGATGGTGCCGTTGGTGACGATGCCACCATTGCCTCCGCCAGCTCCGCCTCCGTTCGAACCTCCTCCATTCGAGCCTCCAGCTGAACCACTTGAGTTTCCAGCAGATCCACTACCTGAACCGCCAGACGAACCAGACGAGCCACCCAGCTCGCCAGAGGAGCTGCCGGAAGTGCCACCGGACGAAGATCCGATAGTGGTAGTTGTGATCGTGGTGGTGGTGGACGAATTGCTTGTACCATTGGACCAGGTGTAGGTTGTCACGACTGTCTCGTTTTGGATCTGCTGGTTTCCACTGTAGATGGTTGTGTTGTAGACGCTTGTAGTTGTGGTATAGGAGTTGGAGCTCGATCCGGATCCGGCACCGCCAGCGCCGCCGTTGCTTCCACCACTAACATCCGTGGAGTTTCCAGAAGTCGAGTTTCCAGAGAAGCCGCCAGATCCACCAGCAGAATCGCCTCCAGCAGCCCCTCCGACAGATCCACCGTTGCTGCCACTGCTGGAAGAAGACGAAGTTGCGTAGGACACTTCTTGTGTAGACGAGGCTGCCCAGGCAACGGTATAGGTAGTATAGTAAGAGTAGTACCAAGAACCATCAGAAGAGTAGTAGGTAGAGTAGACAAGCGCAGATGAGTATGTGCTTCCATCGGATATGTAGGTTGAATAGCTTGTGGCGAGTCTTGCGTTGCTGACCGATGGAGCAGGTGTGATGATAGGAATCGAAGTGGTGCTGTCCTGTAGGATGGAAGAGAGCATCGAAGTAGTGTCCACACTAGAAGAAGATGAAGCGGAAGCGTATACTGCACTTGGGGTAGTGGAGTTGGAAACTGCAACCTCAATCCTCTGAAGAATAACCGCATTGATTCCTCCAGCGACCACGGTCGAGTTTGAAGACTTCTTCAAGAAACAGTTAGAGCCAGAGTTGGCGCCAGGATAGAAAACGGCACCCTGACAGACAACTGAGCTGAAACCATAGTTGGCACTACCACATGCAGCCGCGCACTCTGTGAAGGTCTGGTAGCGGTATTGAGCCAAATTGTCATCGGTAATGTCAGTATCGCACTGCACAAGATACTGGAAGAGTTGACCATCGATAAGCTGGCTGTCTATTGTGTTGTCGTCGTTAGGACACACAATAGCCGGAGAGATTGCAGTAGCCGATGCTGCAATACTGGAGACGCTGGACGGAGAGGCCGAGACTACCGAAGAAGCTTCAGGACTGACCACAGCTGTCACTGTTACAGATACGGTTCTACCCGTGGTAGTGGTGTTCACCATCTGGACTGTGTTGGCATAGGCACGCTGAGTGGCAGTCTAGAATCCATTAGCCATTTGCCATGGATCATGAATTTCGAGTCAGTTTACCGTAACATCATCTGTATAGGTCACTGTTGAAGTGGCTCTGGTTAGGGGCTGACAGCTGCAAGCACTAGACAGAGCAGTGACGAATGAATAATCCGCAGTTGCAGTACCACTGGCTTCGGCTACTCGGATGAATCGAGCGACTGCTCCCGAGTCGAACCTGTTGTTCATCAGGTTTCGCTTGGCTTTGGGCACCGCCGTAACAGTAGCCGTGGTAGTTGGAGTGATTCTGATCGTGTTTGTCGTGGTGGTGGTTATGGTAGTGTAGGTGTCGACGACAGTCCTGAGGATATTAGATTGAGTATTCCGGTCGATCAAGGCTCGAGACTTACGTAACAGGGGTTGTGTAGACAGCGAAAACATCAGGAGAGTAGCCTAGATATCTATTGCAGAACGTATTGTAGTTGGGATATTCATGAACCTCTGTCCAGGTGTCGTCTTCCACGCAGACCTGTTCCTGACGGGCTGTCAGACCAAAGAGATCTCGAATGAAGTTTGCTACTCTGTTGGGACTGGTTTCATGCTCGGCACGCTTTTGCTGGTTGGTGGCTCGAGATGCAACCAGCTGGAAGAGAGCAAAGCTCAGAACGATGGTTGAGAAGAAAACGAATGAACGCATCTTGAGTACACCAAACGAATGATGGTATTCGTACTCTTGTTGACGAGGTGATCAACCGCGATATGGTTCCCACTCATCATGGGAGAAGATGTAAGCTATATAGGCGTGCAGCGACGCCATTGATCGTACGCGTAGATTGGAGATGGCCTCCGACTGCCTTGCAGCAACAGGGCTCATGCGGTAGAGGCATGGTGTGAGCGCGTCTCGTTACGGTCGCAACACCAAGACACACATTCCACAAAGTCAAGGTATGAAGCCTCTCCGAGTAACACCCTTGCTGTAGGGGCAATCTGAATCTCCGATCAGAGGCAAAGGACAATGATGATACATGTGACGAAGGTTTCTCTTTTCTGGCTGAAATAGCTCGTGCATGGAGAAGACGCGACACATGCGCAAAGCGAGAAAGGGACCAAGAAAGACCTACCATTGGGGACAAATACGAGTTGGTTACCAGGTGAAGTCAGAGTATGATTTCTCTAGGACTGTTGAGTGTTTCACAAGTGTCGTGTTGAAGAAAGTCGAGGATTGTGATGGGCACGGAATGGTGGTCGTTTGGAGCAGGCATGCGTGCAGCGTGCTGAAAGTTGGAGGCTCTCTTGAGGCTCTTGAGGCTTGGCAACAGGCGCAGGAGTGGCATTATGCGGCGAGCATCACGTCGCGAGTCCATTCCTTAATGCCGCGCAATCATGGGCATCTGTTCCAGTTGTCTCGGTTCAAATCGGCGAGCTTCGCGCGAGGTGAGAAGGTCTCGATGATGGAAAGCGACACCCCTTGCTGACATGGCGAAAGGCGTCTGAGACCGAAGGCCTTCTGTATGAAGACGCAACCCAGCCGCAGTATGGCACCGTCACTGCTGGCGCGACTCTGCCAGAGCCCGATCCGGAAGAATTGAGAAGGGAACGCGAGATCCTCGAGCGCATCTGCGCCCAAACTTCGAAGTGCGCATCTCAGCAGCTCCCGCTCAAGCGACGTGCTAATACTTTGAGTAGCGAACTTATCGATGTCCTGCACCACGAGTCCAAACTTACCAGCGATTACCCCGACCTCCTCAACAAACACTTTCCTCCCTCCTCCAGTGGCGCCTCTTCCCCTACAAGCACTGTCGTCGATGAAGATGCTTGGCTCGCTGCCACTCAAGGCTCCGAGCGAGAACTCTGGGGCGAGGTCAAGGGCCTCAATCCTGGTGAACTTGTCCTCGAGCTCCACCCGCCGAACGCTATAACAAAGTGATCGCTCACACCTGCCGCTACCTTCCCTTTGTCAGAAAGCATGATACCCCGTCTGCGATACCCGGATAATCTCCCTGTTTTTCTCCCATTCTTAATTAATCATACACGTCCATAATCACTACCATCATCTCTTGGTCTACAATTCCATGTACCAAACACTAACAACTCGTGTACCAACTTCATGTTTCATATGCCCATCTGCGACTCTCAGAATTAATCATGCAGCATTGGGGAGAAACTGCATATGTCTATCTCTAGACACAGTCAAGCTATCAAGCATAGCATTTGAGATCATGTGTTATGACGACGTCCATCTAATTGTAGTCTCTATATCTCTATGTCGGCATTTAACTTAGCCTCATCTTACAGGTTGGCTTCCAACAAAGTCTTCATTTGCGAAGCACCTCTCTTCGACCATCCCCATCTGCGTTGAAGTTAGCGAAATGTCACGAGGGCGCGCTACCGCGAAATGTTCAGCTCACCTGATCTGGTTAGGCATGTTGACCTCAACTCCGAGCTCGTCAGCGAAGGCGAAAACGACACCAGGGTTCTTCTGGAAAAGACGGCCGACCATAATAACATCGAGACCTTCCTCGAGCAGCTCATTTGCCAGCTTTCCAGTGTGAATGCTACCCACGGCACTGACAGCCATCTTGTCGCCAACAGCCTCCTTCACGTCCTTACTGAGGGGCGCTTGGTATCCAGGAGCGGCGTGAGGGTGCTGCTTGGGGTGGTTGCCACCAGAGCTGATGTCCATCAAGTCAACACCACGCTCGGCCAGGATCTCTCCAAGCTTGACAGTCTGCTCTGAAGTCCAGCTCTCCTTAATCTCCTCGACCTCTTCAAGCCACTCGGTTCCGCTAACTCTGACGAACAGCGGCATGGTCTCTGGGATAATCTCCCTAACGAGGTCAACAGTCTCGAGCAGAAGTCTGGTTCTGTTCTCGAAGCTTCCGCCATACTTGTCGGTACGATGGTTAGAAGTTGGCGAAAGGAACGAGCAGAGCAGATAACCATGAGCGGCGTGAATCTCAATAGCATCGAAACCAACAGTCAGAGCACGGCGAACTGCATCGGCATAAGACTTCTTGAAACTTTCGATGTCCTCAAGGGTCATGGCACGAGGATTTGCATGGTGCTCGTTCCAAGGAATGGCAGAAGGCGCAAGAACATTGTCCGGCCATCCGTTCTGCTCCTTTGGTGCGACAGCAGCTGCACTCAACCAAGGTGCAACACAGCTTGCCTTGCGGCCTGCATGCGCGAGTTGGATCGTGATGAGTTGGTTCTAGCGGTATTGTTCAGTATTCATGCATGACCTGCTGGCGGATCACCGCATACCTGGCTGTGAGCGAAATCAACAACACGCTTCATAGGTGCAATCTGGCTGTCCTTCCAGAGACCGACATCTTCCGGGGTGATTCTGCCTTCCTTTTGTAACAGTCAGTACAGTTCATGCGTGTAGGGGATTTGTTCTGCCGCTGTCCTCAACCGATCGATACCATGATTTATCTCAGTACTTACAGGTGTGACGGCAGTTGCCTCAATAATAGCCATTCCTGGTCCACGCTTGACGATTCCACCAATGTGGGCTAAGTGGTAGTCGGTCATGTGTCCATCTTCAGCGGAGTACTGGCATAGAGGAGACAGGAAAATGCGGTTGGGAAGAGTCAAACCGCGCAGCTTCAAGGGCTGGAACAACTTGGGCACTGCCTTGCCATCCTCACGAACAAATGCTGCGCCTGCGGGAGGAGACTGAAGAGGGGTGAAGTAAGGAGCCTGTTTGTATCTTTAGCAAATCTTGATAATTGACTTTGCTACATGGAGCCATATCATACACCAGGAGCGGCACGGTTGACGTGACGAGATTCTCCGACGACTTTCTCGACGACATTGTGGTGAGAAATTGCTTCAGGCATGATTAAAGATCTATTGCGTGAACACGAAATGTGTGGCTACTCGAACAAAAGCGATCTCAGAATATTTATATGCTCGGCAATCATCAGCTCTAGGGTTGGGGTAAACCGTCAAGCACGGTCATGGTTGCTTAGAAATCAATCGTTTGTCCATCGTCAGGAGTTGAGCGTCCGATGCCGACCATAATGGCCACGAGCTTGGACAAGTATTGCTGTTTCGCGAAGTTCGTCATCGGACGCATATGTTGATGATCTGGAAGCTTTACCAATCTTGAAACAGTTTGTACGGTTAGGTAAGCACGCTCGTCGCTCAGGGCTGGCTTATGGGCATAAGCAACGCAGTCGCGATGACGAGGGGCGGCCGAAACTTGGCCGAGGCAGGATAAGACGCTGTCACCAATGCGCTGCCGCCGCGGCGCCCTTCCCCAAGTGGCAACTCCATAACCATAGAGCGTCTTGCTTTCTGTCATACATCAGGCCTGCATCACTCCATATTCTATCCCCAAGATTTGGAGTAACAATTACCTAAGCAGATATGCCGCCAAAGCTTCCGATTCTTGTCAGCTCAGCATCGGTATCAATTCTGCTGGCACACTACGCGCCTGCTTACGCTCTTGGCTCGCGCGTACAAACCTTCTTCCTCGTCGCCTTCACAGAATTCATTGCTTGGGCAACATGGCGAGTGATAATTTACCCGAACTTCCTCAGTCCCTTGAAGGGCCTCCCGGAGCCCTTGGGTGCCAGCTGGTGGAACGGACATGCATCGGCAATCATGGCAAACCCGTCAGGCCATCCGATGCGTGAGTGGATAGACGCGATACCCAACGATGGGCTCATCAGATATACCAACTGGTTCAACTCTGAGAGAGTGCTCCTCACAAATCCGAAGACGCTTGCAGAGGTTCTTTCAAGTAAGAACTATGAGTTTATTAAGCCAGCCCACTTCCTCGACATTATTGGCAAAATATTAGGCATTGGACTGTTGTTCGCAGAGGGTGACGAACATAGGACTCAGCGCAAGAATCTCATGCCGGCATTCTCTTACAGACATATCAAGGACCTCTATCCTGTTTTCTGGTCAAAGTCAAAAGAGATGGTGGAAAGAATGTCCATTGCGATGCAAGAAGCCCCTGCCGAAGACGGAAAATCTACCAACGTCGTTGAAGTCAGTGATTGGACCAGTAGAGCCACGCTGGATATCATCGGTGTGGCCGGCATGGGTCGCGATTTCCAGGCTCTCAAAAATCCGGACAACGAACTAAACCAGACCTACAAGACTATTTTCCATCCACCCAAGTCTGCCAGGTACTTACAGGTTGCCGGCATGTTTTTACCACGATGGTTCCTCAAGAGTCTGCCTATCAAGCGTAATGATGAGATTTCAGATGGGTCTGCCCTTATCAAACAGACATGTCGTGATTTGATAGCAGCAAAGAAGATCCGCATGGAAAAGGGTGATGCCGATGACACCGATATCCTTAGTGTCGCTTTGAGGAGTGGAAGTTTCGCTGATGAAAACCTTGTCAGCCAGATGATGACTTTCTTGTATGTTACTATACCTTTAAGGACTTCTTACGGCTATACTGATTGACTTCTAGGGCTGCTGGACATGAGACTACTAGCTCATCTATGCAATGGGCCATCTACATGATGTGCCGTCATCCTGAAGTACAGGCTCGCCTACGTCAAGAAATTCATTCGAAGCTGCCCTCTGTACGCGACCCTCAGGCTCGGATTACCGCCTCGGATATCGACAACTGTCACTATCTTCAGGCAGTGTGCAAGGAGACACTACGTCTATGGGCTCCTGTGGCTCTGACCATGAGAGTTGCTGCTCGAGACGAGACCATCAATGGCCATCCTATCCCCAAGGGAACGCTCGTGGTTGTCGCTCCATTGGCAATCAACTGCAGCAAGCATCTTTGGGGGGATGATGCAATGGAGTTCAAACCAGAACGCTGGTTGACGGATGGTGTCAGCAACAAAAATGGCGGTGCTGAGTCCAACTACAGTTTCTTGACTTTCCTCCATGGCCCGCGATCCTGCATTGGGCAAGGATTTGCCAATGCGGAATTCGCGTGCCTTCTTGCAGCGTGGTGCGGCAAGTTCGAGACAGAGTTCGAGGACAAGGATTATGTTCTTGAGGTCAAGAGTGGTATCACTTCGCGACCCAAGAATGGCTTGCGGGTCAAGCTAACGGAGGTCGATGGATGGTAGAATGCTCGCATGAGTTTTTGACGCAGCTGATTCCGCACGCTTTTATCCTAGATCATGCAGATCGCATGTATACTGCCCCCATTAAACAGGGTATGATTTCAGCTTGCGATGCGCTTGCCTCCGTGGGTGATGTCTTGGCTGTGCAGACACGGCATCTTGTGACTTCGGAATCAATTTTCCTCGTAACTCAGCCAAAACACTCTCATCGTTACGCGATGTATACCTAGGGTTTGTAAGTATGCTAGTTGGAGCCAATGCAAAGTCAGAGAAGTGCAAAGATTCGTGGTCGAGGCTGGAAAGGTTGTGCCAAAGCAATACCGGGGCCATCCCACTCGCATAATGGACATGTGTGTCATTTCTAACGTATATCAACTGTACGGTAGAAGAATTGCGCGGCAATTCGTTACCAGACGTTTGTCTACTTTTGCGGCTTGGTGCAGCTAGCGTAATAACATGTGCTTGTTGTGCATTCCAATGGAATGCATCTATGCGAGGATACACAATATTGACCTGATATCTCATGAGGACGTCCATGTAGGTCAGTTCAATGCTCCAGCGAGAGTTCAAGCTGTCATTGCACTCACTCGCAAATTTGAACCTCTTGGTTTAGCTTCCTGGTGATAAAGGGCATGCCCGTCAAATCCTTTGCAAGCACCCCAACTGTCAGCATGAAACCTCGCGAGGGCTATCATACGAGCCGGGTGATTGTTCTAGCAGAGTCTCAGCGTGTCAATCTATTCACTCGCAAACTTGTACCTCGAGCTTGACTTTCTGAGATCCGCTGCATGGAGCACAAGATACTTTGTGAGGATGTCTAGGCTTGACCCAAGAGTTCGCGAGGGCAATAATGAGGCTGAGATGAGAACTCTCGCGAGGTTCAAAACTGTCGACTCACTCGCTCGCAAAGTTGAACCTCTAGGTTAAGCTTCTTGACGGTATAGGACATATGCCATCAAGTACTTTGCGAGTACTTCCAGGTTCGACATGAAAACTTGCGAGGGCTATCTTCCGAGCCAGGTGATTGTTCATGCAAAGTTTCAGCTCGTTAGCTTATTCACTCGCAAACTTGTGCTCAGAAGTTGGCTCTTGGGTGATACACTGTATGAAGCACAACGTTCTTTGCGAGGAGATCTAGTCTCGACAGAAGCTTGCGAGCGTAATCGGAAAGACTAGATGAGGGTTCTCGCGATGTTTCAAGCTGTTGGCTCACTCACTCGCAAAAGTACAGCCCTAAACTGAGGTCCTTGATGACGGGCTGTCTGAAGCATACCCTACTTCGCGCGGATTTCTAAGGTCGGTCCGGAAGTTTGCGACGACAATGTGTTGGGCACTTAGGACTACTTTCGATAGTCGCAGTATGTATAGCTCGCGTTTTCGTACGCGGAGGAGTTATCGTTTCATGTTGGTGAAATTGAGAATTCTGGATCTGGGCAATCAAGTCTGCCACAAATCATCTGACAAGCGGTAGGGTTATTGGATTCAGTAAGTGCAGCTATAGTCAGAACATGTAGCTTTGATCTGCCAGAGATGAGCAATGTTTGTGGTGATCAGTCACGAACGACTCTCACGCGCGACCACCTCTATAGGAGGCTTCCTCGGGTCGGAGATGTCAATGATCCACTGCTCGCGTTCCTCGTCATCCTCCAGAGCCTCCTTCATGAACTGCTCTTTCAGTGAGACCGCCTTGTCGACTATCTCGGATACATTGAAGGGCTGGAGTGGCCCCCCAAATTTGCAGTACTTGCGAAAGATCTTCCGATACACGTCCGGACCTGGTCATACCTGTCAGTGGGAAGGGCAGACCGGAAGATAAGAGATGAATATACCTGTGAGCTCCAAGAGACCTTCCACTAGTGGATAGATCTGAGAATCCGGATCCCAGCAGGTATATGGGACGTTCGATTGCTCAAGCGGAACATACTTGAGGTGCTTTTCCTTTTCTGGGTCAAGAAAGACGCGACCTTCTAGTTCCGCACCAAGTCTCTGATCGTGAAGAATTCGCCAATTCTCCCTCCATCTCATCATCTTGCGGTCATCATCTTCTTCTGCATCGATGATCGCCTGCCGCGATCGTTGGAGTTGCTGACTCTGAGAGTATTTCTCTGCTGATCTGTTTTCTTTGAGCGAGGTCAATTGCTGCTCAAAAACACTACGCACAAGCCTGATCTCCTTGATCATACTGATAACGTTTCGACCACGTATAGTCTTGATCTGCGAGCCCATGGCCTGGTCTGAAAGGTAGACGATGGTTTTTGCCAGACTCCTAGATATGTTCACCTGCTCGAAGGTAAGTTTCGTCATGGTCCCAGCCTCCGAGAGGAAGTAAGTCAGCGAGTTGTGCAGCAAGCGCACGACTGTCGGAAGTACTCGTGTGAACATGTACTTGAAGCCTGTCGCTGTATTCCAACCGGGCTGCTTAAGCACGGCCTCTGCCTCTTTTGTGATCAAGTTCGAAAGCTTGATGACTTTGCTTGTCCGGCCGTAGTCCTTTTCAGCTTTCCAGCCATCAATGGTCTTTTTTGAGCTGTCGTAAGCCTTGAGGATGTGGACTCCATGAAAGCTCCGCTCGAACCGGTCCGAATTTGCTTGTTTGTGAATGACGCGGGCAAATCCCAGGGCTTTGATCAATGGCTCTGGCACAGGAACTGTCTGCGAATGATCAGTTTCATTGTCGTGTGTCTCATCCTCAATAGTCTCGTCTTGTGGATCGTCCTCCTCGACAAAGCTCTCCAAATTTTGCATTCTTGCCCCTTCATGTCCAGATATGCGAGTCTGTGGACGCGCAGGACTCTGGCATAGCTCAACATTGGGCTGTGGAGTATCTTCTTCAGGTTCAGCCAGCTGATTGCTCGTTGACCGCACTTCGTTGACCCGAGGCAATGGTGTGGCCTCGCTGGTTAAAGCACCTGCATTGGCCTGGGCGTGCGGGTCTTGGTCCAGTACCTGCAGACAACAAAGTGTTAGCGTACTCCACAGGTGAGGTTTAACTCAACCACACCGAAATTATGACAGCTTCCAAAGAGGCATTCATCGCAAAGAAATAGACCATTCCGACTTGAGTGTGTAGTCATAGCACTCGAATTCATGCGCAGCTCTGCATGTGAATGATTGACATAATTTGTTCGGTAAAGCCATCGACTTCATTTGGTACGTACCGGTCGATGTGGCTCCTCCATCGAGGTATCGGGGATTTGAGCTATGGTTGGAAATAACAGTGGCGGAGCATCACTCTCGATATCCGGGTGGGCGGACTGGCCTGCGCTGGCAGTACCGACTGCATTCCGTAAGACCCCTCCGGGGTGAGTACGTTTCCGACCCTGAGACTGCGTGATAGATCGAGTTTTGTTCATGGCAGTTGGCAAGACACTCTCATTGTCGACATACTGATGTTGTGTCCCCGAGCTCGCACGATCGTTCTTTCCAATCTGCTGGTTTATGGGTACAGATAGATCGAATGTTGGCTCTGCTTGTTTTCCCGAAGAGCGAAGAGTTCTCGAAGAACCAATCAATACTGGCGATGGAGACGGTACCACCTTTCTAGGTACCTTTCCTTTCGCTGAAGCCGGCTTGCGAGCACCTTCGGGATTCTGCACTGAGACGTTTTGACCACGCTTTTGCCGCTTGTTGGAGAGTTCCCGCGGATCATCTTGTGGAAGTGAGTGACCGGTCTTGGTTCTTGGATTGGTGGCACTAGTCGATCTCCCAGGCGAAGCATCAATATCGAGCAATCGAGTCCGCGGAGCAGTTGTTATCAGCCTCTGTGGACGGTGGTACAATGTATTTTTTGGTCTCTTGGGTAGTTTTCCAAGTGGAGCAGAGGATGTGTTCAAAGCTCCAGTAGTTACATCATCAGATCTAATAACTGCGTTGATTATGTCCACTTCTGGAGGTTGCTGATTTGTGGTAGGGTGAAAGCCTTCCTCCTGTCCCTCGCTCTCTATTCGACGCAGTCAGTGTTGACGTCTTGTGTAGGTCCGGGAAACTAAGTACCAGGCATATCGAACTGTGATGGTATTGGAATGGTACTTCCGAGTTTTGCAATTCGAGGTTCTTCAAAAGCGCTTTGATATGAATCGTCGTGGGGTGAATCCTCATCCGAATATCTACTCACGAACAGCGATTCCGGGTCCATTGTTTCAGCGCATTGTTCTTGAGACGAAAGATGGCTGATATAAAAGGCAGGGTCGTTCATAAAGTTCGATGGATGGCTGGAGAGGCTAGATTGCTGAGCTTGGACCACCAAGACCGCGAGACGCAAGATTGGGAAGCGCGTTCCACATCGACAAAGTGCAACATCAACACAGAAATTCAGAATATCTGTTCGACAATATGACGGACGACTTGCGCAATGGATCCACCATCCCTTCGCTACATGTCATCGACTTTTCTTCCCGTCTACACTCTGAAACGCCGTCCAAACGTATCAACGATGGCGACGACCTTTCATTTTTCTTGCGAAGCTCTGCCTACGCCGATATCATGACCTGGATTCTTCAATTGAATCGCTCCATGATCCCTGTGAAGCGTGCAGACGATTCACATACTGTCGAGACATGGCCTCTGAGGTCGTCCGCCATCACATTCTCCCCCGAAGTGGCCAAGTTGAGAAATCTTATCCACTCGCTCGAGGCTCTGATGGACGAGGCACCTCCAGAGTCTGGCCCTCGACGATTCGGTAATGCTGCCTTTCGTACCTGGCACAGGGCTGTTCAGGAAGCCACTCCATCTCTTTTGCGAGACGCCCTCCCGGAGAAGCTGTGGGGCCGTGCTCAAGGCGACGCCGAGCTGAACTCACTTAATAACGAGTTGGCTGCATACCTGTTGGGTAGCTTTGGAAGTCCCGAGAGACTTGACTATGGTACCGGGCATGAGCTGAGCTTTCTTGCCTTCTTGGCTTGTGTATGGAAGTTGGGAGGCTTCGCGCAATCCGAACGTGGTATGGAGGAAAGAGGCATTGTCACTGCTATCATACAGCCGTAAGTCTCAACGCCGGTGCAATCTTTCGGGCCCGACAATCTAACCAACGTGCAGTTATCTGGAGCTTGTTCGCAAGCTTATCCTGACCTATACTCTTGAGCCTGCCGGTTCACACGGGGTATGGGGACTCGATGACCATTCATTCATACCATATGTTCTAGGTTCGGCTCAGTACTGTGCACCTATCGACAAAGACTCGATCAAGGTGCCCAATGAGGGCTCCCTTTCCCGTTCGCCAGCAGCAAATCGAACAGCCAAGAGCGACTCGGTCGATATGTACAAAGACACCAACATGTACTTCTCCGCGATTGCCTTCATCTTTGATGTCAAAACGGGCCCCTTCTGGGAGCACAGTCCTACCTTGTTTGACATTTCCGGTATCAAGGATGGATGGGCCAAGATCAACAAGGTCTGAAGCTATGCCATCCTGATGTCAGTGTATTTTTGCTAACAGATCAGCAGGGGATGATTAAGATGTACAATGCCGAGGTTCTTTCCAAGTTTCCTGTCATTCAGCACTTTCCATTTGGTTCTCTGTTCAGATGGGAGCAAGATCCAAGTGCTCCGATGTCTGTAGCATCTGCTCACATAGGTTCTCAGCCAAGGCCATCAAATTCATCCAGCACCAATAAAACGACTTCTGCCCAGCCTTCCATGAGAGCGCCATGGTCAGGTACGGCAGGACTAATGTCGGCAACGCCTGTCACGGCCGCGCCAAGGGCAGCGACCGGGCCATCATTTGCAGCAAACGGCGCAAGAGCACCATGGCCGAGAGGTCCGCCAGGCTCTAACCGGCCAGCTTGATCTGTTCTCCAGAGGCAATGCGTCTTCCGGGGATGTGCTGGCCATGAACGTGGAAGGAGTCTGACGGACTCGGAGGGTCAGAATAGGTGGCGTGCCATCACTGACTTTTCGAAGCTCGCACTTGCCGGTGCTCGGGTACGGGCAAAACGGTTTCGTTTCGCGCACACATGGACAAACGGTGAGTGGGGATTTGCATGCACATCTGCAGGTCGAGGGCGCTGTACTACCACGTGTGCCGCATTGCAAGAGTGATCCAAAAGGGAAAAGAAGATATTAGACAGCACGCAGGACGGACGCAAAACAGCGATAGTGTTGGAAGCTAAAGGCTAGAGGCGGCGCATTAAAGCTGATCTTCCGTGGGGACGGCCAAAAAGAGGAAAGCGATAAATTGCCCTCGACCCTCGTGTATCGGCGCTAGAAGGGTCCGCGAAAGCTTCTGTTTGCCGGTTGGGTGCTGAACCAGAAAGTCAAAGATGTCTGGTCCGCTTTGGAACGAGACACGAATTGACAAGACGTCTTTACCTGTCGCTCTTGCCCTCGGCGTAAGCGTGCATCGTTCTCTTCTTTTCCCGTTATCCTTGACCTGAAATCTCACCATCTTTTTGATTCTTGTTTGTCGTTTCACCAACATCTCCATTCTCTTGTCTCACGCGCCCTGGGCAAGCGCCCCACCAGAGTGACATGATGCCTGGAACCTGTTAGTATAATGGTTGTGTCAACCCGAGTCCATGAACCGGTCAATTAACAATCTCCCCAGCATCTCCATCCGACACTTATGAACAATTCAAACGCGCCTTGCGGAATCTGTTTCGACGACGGAAGTTCAGCACCAACGTTGCTGCAGTCGTGAAGCCACAAGCGCCAACGCGTCCACCACGTCCACGGTCAGCCTCGGCCGTCGCAGCTCCTGAAGTCTTCACAAGCCCAGATGTTCCGTCATGGCCTATATTTGGTCAAATGCAGTACGGCGGAGGTCTTTACTGTGCGCCAGTCGAGCTTCCAGGATCACTGGCACCCATGCTCCAGCATCGCTCCAAATCCGACATCGGCCAGCCCATATACCACTCCGACCTTTTCAGCGAACTGGACGCCACTTCAGTACGACGATTGAGTATCATTGGAAGCGAAGCAGGAGAAGATGAGGATCTCGAAGAAGCATACATGAAGCTTCAAGCCGAGTTGAAAGAACAACAAACACAAAATGAAGTTTCGCAGACAGAGGAAGAACATATCACGCCAGAGGAAATCACCGAAATCGCGTACGAACAGTCCAAAGCAATTGAACGACCATCGACAGAAACACCAGCACAGTCAGAACCAGAACATAACCATGATGACGCCTTATTTGAGGACGCGGAGGAGCATCTAGCACCAAAGCAAGAGACGGAAGAATTGGTAGAGCCGGCGAACATTGCTCTTCCCGAGAGCTCCGATTCAGGTATGTTTGATCGACGGAACCGACTTTCGAACGCACAGCTGATTAGCGCAGACTTGGAAGAAGAAGACGACCACTTGGTCACACTAGAAGCTGAAGAGCTGGCCAAGAACGACCCTGCAAACGGCGACAAGGAATTCCATGACGACTCGAGCTCTCTCTACACCTCTGATGGATCCGAAAATGACGTCGACTCCACAACCGACGCAGCCACTGTTTCCACTCCTCGCACCGCCTCGTTGATCAGAGCAGAGATGACCGAGTATTTTGAAGAGAAGATTCCTGTGCTTTCTGAGCCTCCACAAGCCATATTCGTCATCCCTGCTCCAGGCATGGCTGCAACTTCTGGTCCCCTCGAGGAGTTCTCTTGGTGATCACTTCGCTAATATATCTTGTTTCTTTTGTTTCTTTACATATGCGTCGGGGTTCTTGGATTGTGGCCAGCAGGATAGGGTGTTTTGACTGTTTTTTTTTTACATGATACCATTTGATGAACATTCTACTTCTTTAGTTCGATTACATTTTTGGGAAGGGGATTTATGGGTATCAGTCTCGGGCAATCTGCAGTTGTACATAGTATCAGCAAACAGGACGATTTACACATTTCGCATTACCGAGCAATCTTGGACTGTCACTGCGTGATCTGACGATAGGTAAATTCCTACTTCTTTCACTCGAGTTATCTGTCATCGGACATGTCACACGTGTCAATACACCGAGCGGTGTACCGTAATGTCACGGATTTGGTAGATTTGACATGGTGGTTGCTGATCTCTTGGTCGGCATGGGCCAATGCGAGAAAGCGGGCGAGAATGGAGATGATACTCACCCACCAAACTTGTGTCACACCCACATGACTCTTACCCTACGCACGAGAGGAGCATATACCGAAACAACGAAAACCAGATTACCAAACAAACTCAAATGGCATCAACAACATTACTACCGATTAGCCAAGGACCGAGAGTTGTCGTTTATCATCAAACGATTCATCACGATGGGAAATACGTGTCTCTGTTGCCGCTCATTACCAACCAGACGGGCGTTACGCATGTAATAGTGGCGGCTATACATCTTAATGAGGGACCGGGTAACATCACTTTGAATGATGATCCTCCGAACACTTCCAAATATGATACGTTGTGGGGAGAAGTGGCATGGTTGCAGGCGTCTGGTGTCAAGGTGTTGGGTATGCTTGGAGGAGCAGCAAAAGGCAGTTTCGAAAGACTGGATGGACCTGATCAACAGAAGGTGCGTATATAATCTTTGTCCCGAATTGAGGCGAGGTGAGATATGAGCAGCTAACGTGTCTGGTGTTCCAGTTTGAAGACTACTACAAACCATTACATGCGCTGATATCTAAACACAACCTCTCAGGCTTGGACTTGGATGTCGAAGAACACATGACAATCACAGGAGTCATTCGATTGATAAACCGTCTACGTGCAGACTTTGGAACTGCCTTTCTCATCACCCTGGCACCTGTGGCTACAGCATTACTCCCTAACCAACCCCATCTATCAGGTTTCGATTACAGACTCTTGGAGCAAATGTGTGGCAATCAGATTGCATGGTACAATACACAATTCTACTGCGGATGGGGTGACGCAACAACGACATTCTGGTACGATGCCATCATGAGCGTAGGATGGCCTGCAAACAAGGTAGTCGTGGGACTTGTCACAAACCCAGGAAACGGAGCAGGATATGTGGAGCAAAGCACTGCTTACGATGTCATGAGGATGCTGAGAGCAAAGTACCCGACATTTGGCGGTGTGATGGGTTGGGAGTATTTCAACTCGATGCCTGGAGAGCATGGTCAGCCATGGCACTGGGCTGCGGGTATGGCGAGAGCAATTAGACATGCATTGCCGCCGTCGGATCAGATGCAGGGTGGAAGGGGCGTGGAAAGGCCCGGTGCAGGCGGCTTACCCCCAACGATACCAGTGCCCGCTCACTCTTTCCCGGCGCAAGATATCGAGACGCTGCAGAACTTGGGATTCTCAAGTCAGCAAGCGATTGCGGCACTCAACGCGACAAGCGGCAACGTGGAATACGCCGCAGGACTGCTGTTTGAGTACTGAAACACACATACTGTACATGATGATTATAGATGCTAGCATTAAAGACGGACACGGATGGCATGAGTAGAAGAAGATTCATTGCGAGTAAAGAAGCCTATCAAGAAGACGCCCCCCCCCCCCCCCCCCCCCAAAAGCCTTTCCTGAACATAAGCGGGGCATGAGCCGGCATGGCTCGATGACATGGAGGTAGCGAAAAGCGTAAAACAGAATGGAAGAGAAACGTAACAGAAACACGAGGACCCATATGGAGCGAGTATGCTCGCTTTGTTGATCGCCTCAAACGCCAGTAGTGAAGACGAGCCATGCCGATGCAGAGAATTGGGAGAGTTGTAAAAAATACGAAAAGACATCAAGACGTGAGTTGTTGATCAGTGGAAGCCGTTTCGTGCTCCGTAGTACTTTGAGTCGTTGAAGTAGGGGTGTAGGCAGGCCTGCTTTGCGGAGATTCTGCCGGCGGGATCGTAGATGAGCAGCGACTCGAGGAGGTCGATGCCGTCCTCGCCCAAAACTCTTGCGCCGTCGGGGTTGATGATGTCGTCGTCAGGGTTACGGGTCCACTTGGGGAAACTGGGCTTGAAGTCGGGGAAGCTGGTGACACCGGGCCAATCTTGCTCGCCAGGGGTACCGAGGATGCGGAAGATCTTGAAGATCTCGTCGATCTCCGAGTCGCCAGGGAAGAGAGGCTTGCGTGTGGCCATCTCGGCGAAGATGCAGCCAACGGACCACATGTCGACGCCTGTGCTGTATTGACGGCCGCCGAGGAGAATCTCGGGTGCGCGGTACCAGAGGGTGACGACCTGTTTTGTCAAAGTCAGCACTGGGTTGGCAGATGGGAGCAGGCGCAGAGGCGACTTGCCTCGTGGGTGTAGGTGCGAAGAGGCACCCCGAAGGCTCTGGCCAGACCGAAATCGGCCAGCTTGAGGTTGCCCTCCTTGTCGATGAGCAGGTTCTGGGGCTTCAAGTCGCGGTGGAGAATGCGGTGGGAATGGCAGTAGCGGATACCAGCACACAGCTGGTGCATGAACTTCTTGACCATTGCTTCGCCGAGTCCCATGTGGCCAGCGCGGCCGTCCATGCATCCTTCGGGCAGAGGCTTGCCGCGGCCACCTTGTGACACGGGCAGAGCCTCCATGTACTTCTTCAGATCCAGGTCGAGGTACTCAAAGACCAGGTAGAGCTTGTGGCCGTCGGCGTGGACAATGTTGAACAGGCGCACAATGTTGGGGTCGCTCATCTCCTTGAGGAGCGAGATCTCGCGGATCGCAGTCGACGGCACTCCCTCATCCTCGGCTTCCAGACGGATCTTCTTGAGGGCGACGATGCGCTTGTCGGGTGTGGTGAGGTCGCGCGCCTTGTAAACAACGCCGTAAGTGCCTGTAACAGGTGTCAATCTCGTCTCGTGTTAGGCGCCGCCGGCTTGGAAGACGCACCCTCGCCAATCTTCTCCATCTTCTGGTAGTTCTCCATGGCTACAGCTTGCGTTGCGACTTGCAGATGTGAATTGAACCAAGGCCGACTCGTCAACTGGCTGAAGGGCGAGTGATGTGATGGGCGGGCTGCGTCTGGGGCTTCAAAGCAGCGGCCGTTTGTGCCTGGTTTGCGAAAGAGAGAAAGGGGTAGCTCAAACTTGTGCCGATTGGAAGATGCAAGGCTGTAGCTTAGCAGACGACGACTTCTTGCGCTCAATCTATCTTTGACCTGTCAAACTGATGTATTCGACCAACAAAGCCTTTTATTTTCGTCAACAAGTTGCCTCCCCACCAAAAGTAAACACAAAGTGGGCAACAGAGCCAAGATGCAAACACAACAACCACAAACAATCCATCAACATCACCCGCTTATCCCGACTTCCAACATCAACAATCAACAAAATCTCTCTTCCAACAATGACACAGCATCTCGATGCCCATGCTCGTCCGCCTGATGACCTCCGCCTGCAGTACAAGCACTATCAAAAGGCCGCGGTCCACGCACTAGACCTAGACCCTGACCTGTTTGATGTCAACAGACGCAATTTGGCCGCCTGTGAAGACCGCAATTTCTTCCATCAACATCCCACCGACATCATCAATGTCTATTCTCACTTTCTTGGCGAACATGTCAATCCATTGCCATCTGCCAGACTCTACGAGCATCCGGGCCTTCCAGGTATGTCGTCGTTGCACCAAGCTCGACTCTACACTCTTTCTTAGTCCGCGGTAGGTCTCTTCATCATCCCCTCTTTGCTCCCCAAGGAAGTCCAGCTCGCCTTGTTGAACAAACTTCTACATCGCGACCTGCCAAATGCCTCGCACCAGACCAATCTTCATATGCACTATGACATTTCACATCCTCAAAAGTCAGATGGAACACCAGCCTCTTTCTTCTCAGATCAAGCCCGTCTTCTTGTACATGAGCCAAAGGATCCTACCATCCACAAGTCTCTGGCAATGTCTTCGTGCCTAAACAGGAAATTGCGATGGGTTACTATTGGCGGACAGTATGACTGGACCCAGAAGGTCTACCCTTCATCAGCACCACCACCATTTCCAGAGGACGTGGCAGCCTTGGTTCAAGGCTTGTTCCCATCGATGAAAGCACAAGCGGCGATAGTAAATCTGTACACACCCAGCGATACGCTAAGTCTGCACCGAGATGTAAGCGAAGAATGTGATCGACCACTGGTGAGTATTTCCTTAGGATGTGATGGCATATTCATGGCGGGATTGGAGGGCAGCAAAGGTCTTGCGATGCGATTACGCTCTGGAGACGCCGTGGTCATGTCAGGTCCCGCTCGATACGCATGGCATGGTGTGCCACAGATAGTAGCAGGCACATGTCCAGAGTGGATGGCAGATTGGCCGTGTCAGACAGATGAAGCTGATGGAGAGACTTATGAACATTGGAAAGGATGGATGGCACGCAAAAGAATCAATCTCAACGTGCGACAGATGTGGGAATAACAGTATGATGGAGACGTTCACCTCTACAATAACAGACACCAAAACACGTGGTCATCGTGTTCTAGATAGAAAGCAATGTGAATTAACAAGAGGGTGCTTGACGCAAGCCATGACGAAACAGCTCTCGCAGATCACCTCGAAGCTTCATACCTCAACATTCAAAGCGACCTCGCATCCTTCCACAACATTCACAACCGTAATCATGACTTCCACAATCGACTCCTCGATATCACCTCTCAAACCAGTCTACGAGCCGAAAGACAGCTCGGCTCCGCGCAACGAATCACCACAACTAGCCAAACTCATCTCAACTCTCAACCTTCAACAACACATCGAAGGCGGCTACTTTGTCGAGACCGACCGTGACACCAACCGCGTCCCAAACCCTTTCCTCAACACCTCACCCTCCGCGTCCAGCCATGAGCAAACAACTTTCTACACCTCGACAGGCGCCGTAAAAGCAGACCTCGGCAACAAGCTGACAGACGTGGACCCGGACAAGAACAAGAACATGACTGCAGACTCAACAAGCCAAGACGAGACGAGAAATGCAAGCACCAGTATCCATTACCTCTTGACTCCCGAGTCGCCAATGGGAGCTTTCCACCGCAATAGAGGGAGAACGATACACACACTCCACAGAGGACGAGGTCGCTACGTCATCATCCACGCCGACGAGGTCATGCCCAGCTATGACACCCACTCGGCTATCAGGTCAAAGGCAAGAGTAGAGACTTTTATCGTTGGTCAGAATGTGGAAAAGGGTGAAAGGCTGCAATGGATTGTGGATGGTGGGAAATATAAGAGTAGCTTTTTGCTCCCGCTCGAGGGTGAGGATGCTGCGGACAACAATGGCCTGCTCATTAGTGAGACTGTTGTCCCTGGATTCGAGTACAGCGATCATGACTTTATGAGAATCGATCGACTCGAAGCACTGGTCACAAAGGAGCAGGCTGATGAGATGAGGTGGATGTTGAGAAAAGACGACAAAGTAGTCTGAGTATGGTGTCCTTGAAGGACTGGCTCATTGGGCATTTCAACAGCAGACTAAGCACGCAGCTGAAGAGTCGGATGATCAAGGCATAAAAACAATCAAATTATTACTGCTCAGCTATTGAGTCTCAGGAGGTATCATGCAGTCAAATCAGTCAACCACTCGTAATCATCGTCGCTGTGTTCCATCTATCCATTACTTCGTCCATTCCATCTTTTCCCTAGACCTTGCTGTGGGTTGCGACACCATCGGTAGGACCAGCAGCGGCATATGCTGCCTCCTTGCGCTCTGCCTCAAGGGCGGCAGCGTCGGTGGTTTGAGGACGCGTGTCTGCTTCGGTAAAGACCTTGGTGGGCTCAACGTACTCGCCGGTGGCCGACTTTTCGGGTGCGAGAATGCTGGAGCTAGTGGGCTGTCTGCTGACAGCGGGGCTAGTTGGAGGAAGCTCGTTGGTGGTCGAGCCAGTAGCGCTTCTGAGAGTCTCCCACCACTTTGCAGCGTCCTGAGGGGTGTGGGCCTTGAAGGCGTACTCGTGTGCCATGGTGAGCTTGTTCCCGAAGCTGCTGCCCGACACATCCTTGCCCTTGACCTGGAACTTCTGTCCGTCAACTGCACCAACCATGCAGTCAGGCAGGTACAAAGATGTCTCGGGGATGGGGTCCTTTGCAAAATCGTCGTCGGTCTTGAATTCGTGCATGAACTTGGAGGGAGTGATGACCCAGAAGGAGGACTCGTACTTCTTAAGCAACTTGCCCTTCTTCTCCAGGGAGCCGGCGATCAAAGGCTCGGTAGATCTGTGGTTCTGGTTGGGGAAGGAGATGTTGGACATGGTGCGTGGAGGAGCGTTGGGGTCGATCAGGACCTGGTTGTTGCGCTGAACAAAGCCGTTCCACTCAAAGTCGGGAGCGATCTGTTGAGCGGTGCTGGTCATGTTGGCGTACATGGTGCGAGTCTGCTCGGCCTGGGCACCGACAATCTGGTTGAACTGAGTCAAACCGTTCTGGATGGTAGTGAGGATGTGGGCCTCGAACTGGGCAAAGCTGTTCTGCACGGCGATGATGTCGTTGCGGTTGTTGTTCTCCTCGATGATCTGCTTGTTCAAGCGGTGGTAGACGCCACGCTGGAGAACGTAAGGGTCTTCGCTGGCGTGGATCTTGCCGCCAGCGCTGTCAAAGGAAGCTGTGTGCTGGCCGAGCTGCTCAATGTGCTTTTGCGAAGTGGCGCGAGCCTTGTCTACGAGCTTGCCTCCCTTGCCAGCGCCCTTTGTGAGCTCCTTGGTCTTGTTCTTGACCTCGGTGTGGAGGCGCTCGAAGATGGGAAGCACGGAACCCTTGAGAGTCTTTGCTGTTTCGGCGTGCGAGTTCGAGATGCCCTGAGTGTTGGAACGAATGGTATCAAAGGCGCCGGCGACGCCACCCAAGTTCTGGTCGAAGTGGTGGCCCTCCTTGAGAGGATGCGAGACGGTCTGTTGTGTGGAGTCAGTGTACTGTTGTAGTCCGGACCAAGTGGCAGAGCATAATCACCTTGAGGACCTTCTCGTACTCCTTGGCGTGCGAGTGTTGCATCTTCTCGGTGGCCGAGACGTAGTCTTCGAGGTAGCCACATGCATGCTTCCATGCTTGCAGGCGCTCGTGGAAGAGCTTGGTCACCTCGCTGGTATCCTCATCAGGGACAGCATCATCGTCGTTGGTCAGACTTCTGGTAGGCAGAGCGCGTTCTTGTGTGGCCATGTTTGCGGTTTGATGCGTGTGATATGGTTCGGCAGGAGGGTTTTCTGTGCAATCAGACTGGCTATCAGCGACATGTTCAACGAGGGGCTGCCTGCATCATAAACTTGGCAGCAACAAAGAAAGGCGGTGAGCTCCCGCATCCGCATGATCTGCGCGGGGTATATGAGATTGGAAGCTTACCCGCTGGCTTGGTGCTGTCTGTGATGTATAGGTGGTATGCTTCTCACGTAGAGCAGACGGCTGCCTTGGTATTTGTATCATGCTCACTCGAGGCGCAGCTGTTGATCAGACTGTTACACTCATGCAAACCGCCGATCCCAAAACCGTGAACCTCCTATCCGACCCCGGTCGATCATTCGTTCAATGACGATTAGCCTTCACACCTCGCAAGCCACTGTCGTAGACTTTGGGCTCGTGCTGGAGTTCGAGACCAAACCGGCTTCCATGGCGTTTCCTGGCCAACAGACCCTTTCAAATTTCGAGACACTCCAAGCCACAAAGCCTACCGCAGATGGTAAATGCAGCCACATCAAGCACACTATCCAAGATTAATGGCTGGATGGGGCAGCCATCAGAGGCCCATGTAGATGGAACATATCAAAGGTCGGCCTTGGCTTCATTCACGCTGCCATTCCAGCCACTGAGCCCCTGTTCGTCCCACAAAGCCGCGATACCCTTGCACAGAGCACTGGTAGAAGTCGAGAGACTGTCTTTGAGGGCTCTTGCTAGTACGCGGTGTGATATCGTTGACAACTCCGTGAACATCAAATTGTCAGTTATGGCCTGTCGGCTCGACTCGTCTGTTCGTCGTCCCATGAAGGGTCTCGGAATCAAAGGATCTGGTCGAATATTCGCGCCGAGCACGGTTTCCAGCTCAAACCTTATTTCTGGAATCACCTCGAGGGGTCCAACATCAGTCTCAGGTACCGTCTATACCGTCACCCAATCAGTCTCTCTAGTCCACTGCATGCATATCGGTGAAGTTTCAAATCACATGACCAAATGCTTCTTCTTGCGGTAATCGAGACCCCGCAAATGCAAGAGGACCTAGCGAGAGGTTTGTCCAGCGCTAGCCGATAGTGGATAGCAGATCACGTGTAGTACAAGGGATACAAGCACCCCAGGCTTCGAGATAACTCGCTCTTCGAGACGATGCTCTGTCCTATCAGATCAGTGTTATGCTAGAGTGCTTCCATAGGGGAGATCTGTTGGAAGCAGTCGTATGCTGAAAATGTGACCCTGTCACCTTGGTATATATATATATCACAGCAGATAACTATGTAGACCAATTAGCCTTCAAGTCACTGCCTCATATATCTTCAACAAGATCTACCCTTGGCCCAAGCGAGGTCATGTCGCCCAAAGTGTCAAGCACAGCGAAGTGTCTCCAAAGTCTCACATGCCACTGTTGTCCGCAAGAGCTGTACGTCGATGCGGAGCTGCTTGCACAAGAAGATGCAAAAGAAGAGGTTGATCATGATGACCATGTTGTGCATCTTGTGCAGACGAATTGAAGAATGACTGAAGATATATGGAAGAATGAAGATTCGTGGCTCTCATTGCATTTCGACGGTCGCAAGCAAAACAAGAACAATAACCAATGTAGATGAAGAAGAGAAGGTAGAAACTTATACGCCAATTGATGCGCCTCGAAAATGAATAGCCAAGATGATAAAAGAAACGCCTCTTTCCGCTGCACCAAAACTCCGTGATTCCCAATGCAATGTGTGCTTCGACATATCACCACAAGTCGCTATTCTCTTCGTCTTGCCAGAGGCTACTTTGATCTCCAAACGGTTGTGAGTCGGCCGTATACCCAAGGTAATCTTTCTGGGTCGAATTGTTGTTCGGTGTTTCGTGAGCTGGCTGAGTGGGAGGCTGTTCAGCGCCGGCGGCAGTATAGTCTCCTGATTTACGTTGCTGTTAAGAATGTCAGCCATGTGGTTACCGGTCATGCGTGTCGTTTCGACTACTGACCTCCGACCATTCCTGATATTTGCTATACTCCTGCGCTTGCTTCTCCTCGGCTTCTGCCTCTGCTGCGTCTTGTTGTTGCTGCTGTTGCAATTGTTGTTGCACTTGTTGTTGCTGCTGCCTAGCTTGGGCTGTCTTTTGTGCTGCAGGTGCCTGGCTCTGAGGATGATACATCTGCACTTTGGCGAGGTAGCTGTACATGAAGTTGGATAGGAGCACTTGGCTGTGCAACGGCCTTCTAGGATTCGCAAGCTTCATATGCGCCATCCTGTATATAGCACGTTCTTCCAGGATACTGAAGCGGGTCCAGTTGTAGTCGATGTCTGGTCGAAGTATCCTGGGAGCAGGTTCTGGAGAGGGCGCTCTGAGAGACTCTTTGGGGGCTTGCTGTTGTTGCTTTTGCTCCTTTGACCGCTTACCTCCTCCAAAAATGGCAGAGAGAATGCCGGTGTCTTTGTCTTTTCTGCCATCTGCGGACTTCCGCGAGCTTTCTCTCTTACGTTCTTCCTCAAGTTTAAAGCTATCCCGGTCAAGCACGATTGACTCTCGACCTTTGGGGACAGTGGCATTCCCGTCGATGGAAGACTGCAGCACATCAAGTCGAGTCTTCTCCGCAGGCTTGGGATGTTGTTTAGCAGCGGCCTTTGACTTCTTGGAAGCCTCCTTCTCGCGCTCTTTGTCCTCAATCTTGCGTTCTTTTTCTCTATCCTTCTCCTCACTACCGAGAAGCCAATTCCAGCTTGTTTTCCGACTGTCTTTCTTTTCGACCTTCTTCTCTTCGTAGGTTGGTACCATTGTGAGCGCATCGGTTCGCGTATTGCCACTACCAGGTAGGGGCGAGGGGTGGGATGATATGTCTTCCAGAGTGGATTTCGCAGAGGTTGAACGAGATGAATTTGAATGGACGAGACCGGGTCTGGAGTGCGCGCCTCTCGCACTGGGACGGGCACGAGGAGGAGCGGCATGCTGTTGCGACGGCCCATGCGTAGAAGGTGAGGATGAATGCTGCTGCGGCTGCTGCTGAGACGGCGGTATGTGTGATGATTTTCTCTCTGGCACGGTGAAGTTGTTCGCCGGCGGAGGAGTCTCGACTATCTGCGGAATCGGGCTGCTAGCTCCAGGTATCGGGGCAGTGGTACGACCGTTAGTAGCGATTCGTGAGTGGAATGTGGTCACGGGAGCAGTGTTTTGAGCAGCAGTTTCCTTTGCTGGGCTAGCCTTTGACTTGTGTTCGACTAAATCTTCGGAGGAAGCAGAGGTCAAACGTCCTGCACCACTGGTAGTAGCTGCTTCACGAGCAAAGCCTGGCTCTGTCTGCACGCGCGTAATTCCCGGAGAAGGAGGCTCTCGTAAAGATAGGGAGGGCGAAGGAGCACGACCCCCCTCGCCGTCGGACTCTGAATGTTTGCTGTGGTCGGACTGACGGCTGAGAGCTCGTCTGGAGAAAGGTGCACGATCCTTGCGCATATAGGTTCGCGTGGATCGCTTGAGCGTTGGACCTGGAGCAGGCAATACCGGTGCCTCTGCCATTGAGATGGCCGAGTCGAGACTGTTCCTAGTGGAATCCAGAGTAACGTTGTTGACCAGACCTTCCAGCTCTTGTAGATTCTCGGCGGTTGGCGATGTTTGTGAGTGTTCCTTCTCTGATCGCTTTCTTTGCAAGCGTTCTGCACCATCTTCGTAACCCTTGGACGAATCAATCTGGCGTGAAAGCATGCTCTTTTTCCTTGTGAGACTGCTACCGGAGTTTGATCTCTCCACACCGGGCATCAGAGAGTCGCCAGAGCCCGAGCGCTTCCTTATGCGATCAACACGATCCTCGACAAACGTCTTGAATTCCTTAGGGGCGAGTTCGGGATGGAGGCGTGCTGGTACCCAGAACAGGCGTGAGGCTTCATCATCGTCAGAAGCCTCAGGAGAGGTGGAAGCAGAGGGAACGAAACTGGGTAGGTCCGGATCTGCATTGTCGACACTCATGGACATGCGTCGAATGGCCTGAAGGTTGTTGAGCTCCTGGGCCACAGCAGCAGGACTCGACTCATAGTCAATGTCGTTCAGTGGAAACTGCTGTGTTGCCGTCTCAGCGGATGACGAAGAGTTCCTAGACAAGGTCGGTGGAGAGGACGGATCCAGAGGGAGGTTTTCGGCACCGAGACTCCCCTTGCGCGTGACCGTGTCGGACGAGGGCAGTTTCTCGTTGCTGCCAGTCTGTTGGAGGGGAGATCGTGGCGGTGAGGCGCGCTTGGTATCGAGATACGAGGGGGAGAGTTGGTAGGCTTCGATGGCAGAGCCCACGAAGCTGAGCGGTCGCGAGTTGCGGTTCGAGGGTGTCAAGTAATCGTCGTCGTCGCCGCCGTACATGCCTCCGATGGCCTCTGTGACATGGTGGTTGTCGTCCGATATCGAGATCTGCGGCGCATGCCTACGCACATAACTCGGCGCATCGTGAGAGGCCTGCAGCGCGTCAGCATGTGCCATTGTTGGTCGACTAAAACTCGTCGCCCACCATGATACGCACCTGCATGGCTATGGGAAATAGAGGCTGTTGATGGGGAAGCCAGACACTTCAGGAGACCGTCATACACGCGACATGGACCGCCACATTAGACTCGCGGGCAGGATCACACACTATGGGCCAGATTGAAGATGCAGGATAGAGATAAACAAGTGACACTACGCTTCCATGTTTATTCTTCACTTCCCTAAACTGCTCGGGGCCTGAGGAGCACGTCTTGGCAAACGCTGTTCGTCCGAATGCCGGATCCCTCGAACCCGTCCGTGTCCAAAGAGTCAGACCCTGCTCGCCTTGTCTTGTTCGTCATCTTGTTTACATTTGCCTCATCCTTACTGCTCTTGCTGTCGTTGTAGTACGTAATATTCAGAGTTGGGTATCTTGACGCTAAAATGCACTGTAACTCCATCCATGCCTTTCGTCCTGCACAATTCTTCCTCAGTTGCTTGCTGCTATGCTTTTCCTCCACATGATGGCCAGAGCCGCTCCAGCGCACACCGCGGCTCCGAGGCCAATGTACAGATTCGTTCGGTCAACATCTGACTCCTCGTTCTTGGGGAACGCTGTGGAAGGAAATGTTGCGCTTTCTGCGAGGTGCACAAAAAACTCCGAAACACTTCCCCATGTCACACTTACATGAAGTGGCTTGGGCACTCGCAGCTCTTCAGTGTATTGGTCCGGCTGCATCTCACTCCTCTGCACTGCTCTATCTTGATCTGCTTTCAGCGCCGTATAGACACCTGGTAACGATTCGAGGTGAGCATACTTCTTCCTCATCTCGACGATATAACCAAAGCTGTCCGGGTCACTTGAATCATATGTGTAACACAGCAGATCACAGGCTTCAAGTTTAGCCTGGTTCTCCAAGACAGCAGGCTCTAGTTCGCCCAGCTCTTTGAGGATGAGATAGCATTGCCGGCCTCCCGGTAGCTCAACACTGTTGACAGCGATCTCGGGCTTGATGGTCGGGTGGTAGGTTGTGCTAAAAGGTCTGTTGAGGAAAGCTGACAGCAAACTCGACTTACCACTGCCACCAGCACCGATGACATAGCACAGAAAGACATTTCGCTCCACACGGCCAGGCCTGTTACGTCGCTTGCGAGCCTTTGTAACTTTGAGAGCAGCCGTCGTACCTCCTCTTTGGGGACTTTCGAAGCCGAGATAAGCCAGATACTCCAAGGTGACCTTGGGCTCCTCATATGTCGTCATGCTCCACTGGGCCAGCCAACCTTGCAAGGTGATGTGGCCAGCCTCGTTCCGGACAGTACAAGATGGGAAGTCCGAGTCAATCCAAGAGGAAGGAAGACCTGGGGTCGGAGCGAAAAGGGCGGCCAGCTCGGAGTCGTTGAGGCCCCCATCGTTGTCCTTGTCGTGTAGAAGGAACAAATCTACGAAGAAGCGGTATCCTTGTGGACTTAGCTCGGCAGAACTAGAGGAAGCAACATCGAACTTTGGATGCAAAAATGTGTCCTTGAGGCTCAGACTGTCGGTGTATTGAAATTTGCGAAGGATGATCCAAATGGTCTCATGACGACCCTTTTCGGCGAAGGTTTTGTTCAAAAGGAGGAAGCCCTCAATGTCAATGCCACCGTCGTGAGCGTGTACAGTGCGCTTGATGCTAACAAGATCTTGGTCCGAGAGGGGTTTTTCGAAGCATTTGACTTGGAAGTCGTGGAGCTCGGCATCATTGAGCAAACCGTCCTGATCCTTGTCGCACAGATAGAAGATTCTACGCAGAGCAGATAGGGCAGCAGGCTTCAGTGAAGATTCCTTTGCATCGTATATGGGAGCAATGGGATGCGTGACCGCCTTTTGGCACAAGAAAAAGACCTCGTTGATGTTGTGGTGCTCGCGTGCACTTGTTCGAATACAGGAATCGATTTCCTTGAACTCTTGCATGACGGGAAGCATCTCTTCGTCGACGACTTGCTGGGTCGAGACATTCTTGGACAGATCGGCCTTGTTGGCGGTCAGGACGACGGGGACATTGACGCCTAGAGAGCGGAAGTAGGGCAGCCAGAAGAGGGCGACACGCTCATAGCTGTAGTGGTCCGAGTAGACCAGAAGGATGACGTTGGACTTGCGCAGTTCGTTGCGCAGATTGTCGCGTTCTTGAGGAAGCGCGGATGTGTCGACAATGGTGGTCGTGACACTCTGCGGAGTGCCCAGAGTCGGAGGAATCGAGATGGATGGTAGCACGGGTTGGATCTTGTTTGTGACAAAGACGTCCTTGACCAGCGACGTGATCAAGCTCGACTTGCCTGTGCCTTCATCACCGCACACACATACGCGTACCGTGGCCATTTTGAGCGTCAGCCTCCTCTCTAGCTAGCGGAAGGCGAAGGTCAATCTATGTGGAATGAAGCCTCTCAAATGAGGCAGGCGCTCGGAGCGCAGACGCGAAGACGAAGACGGCAAGCACGACGTTCCCCGCGATGGGGAAGGCGCCCCCCACAGTCTGGCAGTCTGCATCATGTCGCGAGTCGCGACACTGACCAGCCGAAAGCTTGCCCATCTCCCATCTCCCGTCTCCCGTATCCCGTCTCCCATCTCGCATCCTGCCTCTTGCATTTGCTTACCACTTGTTCTGTCGTCCGCATGTGTCGCAGTAGTCCTGTGTTTTCTAGCATACACTGATCCGACTCGACTTCCTGCCATTGTCGTTGCTCTGATCGGCCATCCTTGTTGCATCGGCATAGCGATACGCTGAAGCCTCCGGCGCATTCACCACCACTGCACCAACGCTTGTCGCAATGTTGTGTGTTCACGTCAAGATCGTCTGTCTTGATTCTGTTCATGTCTGATATGTTTGCAGTGTTCTACCGCCTCCGCCGCGTTACCCAAACGGGAACCTATATACCGGCTATCCTCCAGGTGCCATCATCGAGACCAACAACACCCTCGCCAAGCACACAGGCCCCGAGTATCAGCTGCTTGTCGGTGAGGGTACCTATGTCCAACGTGACGAGCTCCTTCTGGCCACACCGCCGCCCCATCCTTCAGACAACCCCGTGCCCAACAGCAACCCTCTCGCTACCACCATCGCTCCTCCCACCCAGGGCACCAGACTCTCGTTATGTATAGTCGCTCCGAAGAAGCTCCCCGACAATCCTCTCGCTCGTACCATCACTGCCACTAGCCAGCGTTCTGCTGTTCCTACGAGTATTCAGGACGATCCTCTGACCCCGACAACCGATTCGGCCTCGTTCTTCCGATCATCAAACACTCCTGTATTTGGCGACAACAATCCGGCCCTGGCTCCAATTCCTACAAAGGACAATAAAGACCCATCAAAGAGGCGTAAGCCAAAGAACAACATCGTCAAAAGTAACTCTTCATTTGTATCTCGCGTCATTCCACATGAAGCTCTTCAGAAGCGCCTCCAGGAACGCAACCCTCAGGGTGTCTTTGCTTTCTCGAACATCAACAGAGCGCTTCAGTGGTTGGATCTCTCTTCCGATGTCAAAACAGAGAATCTGACTAAAATCCTGTTTACCAAAGCTCATGCTCTCTGCCATCATGTCAATCCTTTCACCAAAAGCACCACTCATCTAGATGTCATCCTAGGCTTCTCCTCTTCGGACATCATCTGGTACGAGCCGATCTCCCAGAAGTATGCGCGCATCAACAAAAATGGTGCCATCAACTCGTCCGCCGTCTCCTCCATCTGGTGGTTGCCCAATAGTGAGAACCTCTTTTTGGCTGCTCACATGGACGGCACTCTGATTGTGTATGATAAGGAGAAGGAGGACGCCCCTTTCATACCTGAGCAAGAGACTTCTGATTCTGCCGACATCCAATCTGGCCCTGCATCCTTCGTCATTAAAAAGTCCGTTCAGTCTCGTAACCAAAAGACCAATCCCGTAGCTGTGTGGAAAATTAGCCACCAGCAGATCAATTGCATTTCCTTCTCTCCTGATGGCAGACATCTTGCAATCGTATCGGAAGATGGTTCTCTGCGCATCATCGACTACCTCAAGGAGCAACTTCTGGACGCCTTCACCTCATACTACGGTGGCCTGACAACTGTGACATGGTCTCCCGATGGCCGCTACATCCTTACTGGTGGCCAAGATGATATTGTTAGCATCTGGTCTTTCGCAGATGCCACCCTGGTCGCCCGTTGCCAGGGACACAGCAGTTGGGTAACGGACGTCAAGTTCGATCCTTGGAGATGCGATGAGCGCAACTACCGCTTTGGTAGTGTGGGTGAGGACTGCAAGCTTTTACTCTGGGACTTTTCTGTTGGTATGCTCGGCCGAACGAGAGCAGTAAGTTTCATCTCTGGCCCTTCCTGATGAATGGCCTACTGATCAAAGGTGTACAGATGTCTATCAAACACCGAGGTAGTATGACATCTAATGCGATCATCCGCAAGGAGACCAATTCTACTGTCGGCCGCATCAGATCACACTCGACAATTTCTGAAGATGGCGATGGTGATGTTGCAGTGAACGGCGCAGACGTACTTCACGGCTTCAGATCCAAGGCCAGCACAGCCATGTTACCACCCGTCATGGTTAGTTTGGATCGTTTTGCGTAGCTGGAAGCTCGCGTGCTGATCATTCGCAGTCAAAAAAGATAGACAACCACCCGTTGAGCTGGCTCGAGTTTCAGGAAGACTGTATCATGACAGCGTGCAAAGATGGTAAGTGTTTCGTGAGGCCGTGTTGGGAAACAAAGATCCAGAAGAGATCTGTCGGTGAATTGCGCGTCTTCTACGCATCGCGCGGTGCCGATCGGGCCTTTTGATTCCGCAAGAATTCACGTTGGGCTGACACGCTTCACACAGGTCACATCCATACTTGGGATAGGCCCAAGGAAGGAACCGGAGAGAACGGACACTACTCGAACGATGCCGACAACAACGCTACTTGATTCGTGCACACGATCAGATACAGGCACCATGTATAACGATGGCGTATCGGTCAAGAGCGCCCTATAATGTATAGCTGTCGTGTAAATAGCAACGACCTCCCATGGACAGAGTCGGCATGTGGAAAAAACTAGCTGCACGTCACGTCGTTCCGTCGGGAGTAGTTTGTAGGAGATGCTCAGCGATACGGCTCCAAGAGACGCTTAAATCATGTGAAGCTTAGAGAGGTGTTGCACTGCGGCTGATGTAAATCACGCCATAGCAGAAGCGCAGACCCGTTGCACAGCAGAAAAGATTCGAGTGCTCAAATCCCAACCACGGAATAGCGAGGAATTGTTGACGATAAGGCGAGGATTTCTTTGTCCAACAAGAAAATAGCAGGGTTCGCAGAGGGTAAGACCGAAGCGAGACCGGACCCTTGATCAGCAGAGAGCCGCAGACGTGAGTCGTGATCGCTCTGCATGTGCATGTGTGAAAGCCCATGATTTGTTTTGCCAGCGACAAGACAACAGGCTGAATGGTGCGATACACATGACGAGTGCACCTGGGGGGCTATCTCAGCAGAGGCGTTTGTTTTCGGGAAGAGCAAAGGGGCCGGTTGCTTCTGATTGCAGACATGGAATCTGTACAAAGGGACCAACGGCAGACCCGTCTCGCGCCGACACCAACGAATCTTTATCTCAATCGGGCACGAGCTTCTTGGGTTGGTTGTTTGAGAACGTCATTTCAGATCAAGCTTTTGGCCTTTTACACCGTCGCGCCTCCTACTCTCCTTTGTACTCTCTACCAAGTCCATTGCTGTTGTCGCGAAGCCTCGAGGCCTATTATCGTCTCTTCTGATTGCTCGCGCACCCGCGACAGACATCTTAGCACCCCGCCGTCGCCATGGTGCACACGCCTCGAGCCAAGCCCGTGCTTGAGATCATGTACTTGCGATGCAACTCGGCTCACGAAGCGTCCAGAGGGCTGACACTTTCTTAATAGCCCAAACAATCGCTTCATCGTCTTCCACGGTGATCAACATGAAGCTCAGAACATCAAGCTGAATGGTGTCGTCCGATTGACGACGCCAGATGCCATGAGCATCAAGAACGTCAGAATCTGGCTGGAGGGCAAGCGACGCATCTCGTGAGTAGACTCAAGGCTATGACGGGAATAGCATATACTAATGGCATGCAACAGCTGGTTTTACATGGGTGGCATGGCTGCAGGTGAAGTGTCGGACAAGAAGACATTCTGGCGAGAGGAACGCGCTCTAGGCACGTCTGGAACGCACAAGATCAACTCTGGAACGATAGAGTGGCCGTTCGAGTACACGCTCGACCCCAGCATGCCCGAGAGCATCGAGGGCATGAACAGCACCTACATCGTCTACTACCTGCACGCAAGCGTCTCCAGACCCGGCTGGAACGCAAAGGACATTACTACCACACAGCACATCCGCATCGTGAGGACGCTGGGTGGCGAGCAGATGGAAACCACTCGCTCAAGAGTATGTGTCTGCACCGTGAGCACCTTGAGTAGCTGGACAGTACGCTAACACGCTCCGCAACAGACCAACGCCGATATCTGGGCCAACAAGCTCAGTTACAGCATCTCTATCCCTACAGATGCCGTCGTCTTTGGAACTTCGATCGTTGCAGACGTCGAACTCTCACCCATTCGGAAGGGCATCAAGCTAGGCAAGATCGAGATGCGGCTGATAGAAGCCGTGACCAAGAGGATACAAGCCGCCGAGGTGCCTGATCAACGTGGTGACAGGTGCAAGGTCGACGAGTCAGATGTTGCGAAAGCAGAAATGGAGTTTCCCGAAGACTCTCGCGTCACCTTCACCGACGAGAGCGCCGACAACCCAATCATGGAAGACGAGAAATACGTCTTCAAGGCAACCCTGGAGCTGCCCAAATCTCTCAAGCAATGCAGGCAGGACGTCGATTCGCACAACATCAACATCACCCACCGCTTCAAACTCATGGTCAACATTCACAACCCAGAGGGCCACGTTTCTCAGCTCGTGTGCCGTCTTCCTGTAAAGCTATTCATTTCTCCTAATCTACCAGTCGACGACGCCAACGAGGTCCAAGTGGCTGCCAGAACAATGACCGATGCCGAATTGAACCAGCAGGAAGTCCAATTGAATGCCCCTCCGGAGTACGGTCGTCACCAGCTCGATGCTCTTTACAACGATATCAACACCGGTGGATATATGAGTCGCGCGCCCAGTGGATCTGCCACTCCCTTCTACGCACAAAGTCGCAACGCCTCGTCCGAGAATTTGCAATCTTTGAACGGTGTTGCAGATATGCACCACTCACAATCAATGGCCGCACTCGGTGGTCTTGGTGGTGGTGACGAGAGTCACTTTGCGCCCGCTCAGCTTCGTTCACGTCTCGCGAACTTGCAAGACCAAGGTTCAAGCAGACAAATCCGCGCTGCACCGGTTGCACACCACTCCCCATCCGGCGGCAATACCCCTGCATACACTGGTAGCTACTTCGCTGCTCACTTCCCTCAATCAAATCACGCCTCCCCGCCGCATCAATCTCCTGCACACAGTGTACCAGAGTCACGCCGAGCTTCCGGAGAGGGTGAAGATCTGATGGACGACGAAGGGCCGCACTTGGACGACTTCGACATGGGCACGCTATCGAGAGTGCCCAGTTACGGAGCCGCTGTCCGCACCCCAGGACCTTTCACACCCTTTGCCGACGGACCACCGAGTTACATGGAAGCGACCAGCAGGCCCCCAAGTCCTACTCTCCAACTCCCGCAACGACCAGGCGCTGTTCACGTCAGAAGCGGCGTTAGTACACCTGGCTCTCACTCGAGTACCCAAACTTTGACCGGTGCCGTCACTCCTGGCAGTTATGCACCTACTGGCCTAACTCCCTTGACACAACTGCATCCTCACGAGGATAACAGACTGAGGCTTCTGAGAGCAAGAGTGGATTAGGAAGTCCACCCATCGGACTAATGACGGACGAGATATACATCATTTTTAGCATCGGGAAGGTGTTTTGAGTTGCTTTTCACATTGTTCAAATCACTAGGTGTCTGGGGGAAAAGATTGCGCGCTCCGGAGCAAGTTTCGGATTCGGATTTCATCTACATTTTCATTTTCCATTTCTCATTTTTCCGCGAAAGGCGTATAGACTCGATAGATTACAAACTCGTCACTCCATTCTCATCACGTATTCTGGCATCTCTTGTCTGAATATGTCGTGTGCGCTTACCAATATGAGCAACATGACCAACATGACCGACATCATCACAGGGGAATCGGGGGGGGGAGTCAAGATTGTCTTTTTGAAAGTAAACGGAATGTGTTTTGACCTATGTAAATACGTACTCGCTCATGATTACCATAATAGAAAAGGAAGAAAAGTCGATAATCGCATCCAGAAACAACCAACCAGGCCTAGTCATAAACAACAATCCACCACGACCTTTCTCATCAGAAAAGTGATAATCATCGTTCCTTCCATTCAAATAAAGGGCAGCGTAAACCAAGTAACAACGCAATGTTTTGTAGACAAGAAAAACAACCTCGTAATGGTGTGCAACTTCATGGGCAAATGTATAAATGCCTGCACAAGATCATTCCTTCCCTCTACTCTTCGAGCAGAGATTCTTCATCAACACCGATGCCAGAGTCGTACTGACGGCGAGTGCGACGGCTCTGCTTGATGTGCTGGACACGAGGGTTGGCAGCAGAAGATGAGCCAGCAACGGCAATCATCTCGCCAACACTATCCATAGCCTCGACCTCCTCTAGCACGCGACGGCCGACCTCGCGCAGTTCGCCGCCCTTGGAAGAGGCGGAAAGAACAGCTTGTTCCATGTCATCATGCATGGCTGCCACGGTGGCAGTGGAGTCACGGACGTAAAGTCTAAACTTCTCCTTGAGTGCAGTATTGAGCTTGGTCAGGCGAGCAATGGTGGCAGTGTGCTCGGAGCCAGTCTCACGGAGCTCCTCAATCTCGATGGTGCGCTCGTTCATTACGCGCTCCCAGCTGCGGTCCACCTCTTGTGCCTTGCGGCCGAGGTTTTCAATCTCAGCCTGCTTGTTGCGGATGTTGGTCTTGAGGTCGGCGATTTGGTCATCGCGGTCGGCTTGTAGCTCAAGCATTGCCTCAGCTTCGGCTTCAACACGACGCTCCAAGGATTCCTTCTCGGCCTCGAGGCTTCTGATCTCGGATTGAGCGTTGAAGATATCATCGTTGAGGTCGGCGATCTTCTCGTCGCGCTCAGTGATGGCAATGACGTGAGTCTGAGCAGTTGTCAGAGCCTCAGCATTCAAAAGCTTGATGGTAGCCTCGTGCTGAGCGATAATGCCTGTGAGATCAGCGACATCAGCGACAAGCTCGGCAATGCGACCCTCGGACGCTTGTTGCAATGCGTCAAGCGCGACCAAAGCGCTGTCAAGCTCCGTCTTGGTGTTCTTGAGCTCTGCGGTGAGTTCATCGAGCTTGGCAGCCCACTCTCTGATCTTTGCAGCGCGCTCCTCGAGCTGCTTGCCCATACGAGCTGTGACGTCCTTGAGCTCCGTCTCGTATTCTTTCGCCATGATGCCGTTGTAAGTGGCGGCATCCTGGGCCAATTTAGCTTGCTGGTCCAAAGCAATGATTTCGGCGGCATGCTTGGTTTCACGCTCCTCTGCAATAGCTTGAAGTTCTGCGACAGCATCCTTAGAGCGCTGTTGAACTTCGAAGAGTTTCTGGCGCAACTCGTTGGCTTGCTTGCCGGATGCTAGCAGCTTCTGCTCCAATTCGCTGATCTGATTGTTGCGGTCATCTAGGTCTGCCTCGGCTGCCTCGCGCTGGCGTCGCTCGGCCTCTTCGAGTGCGCGTAGGTTATCGAGATCGGCTCTGAGCTGCTCCAGTGCAGTCTCGGCCTGTTCAATCTTAACCTCAAGCTCGGCAATGAGGGTTGTGTTTTCATCGTTGATGGTCTCGGCGACCTCTCTTGCCTGTTGTTCGGCTGTGTGTTGTACCTGGACAGTAGCAAGCTGCTGCTTAAGGATATCAATATTGGCTTCGTCCTCCTCGGCGCGGCGTTCAAGCGTGGTAATGACATTTTGCTTGTTGTCTGCCTCGGCTTCGGCGGTGTGGCGCTTGGTGCCCTCGACACGAAGCTGCTCCTCGAGTTCAGATACGGCAACTTGGCTAGCTTTGGTGAGGTCAGAGATCTTCACATTGGCCTCTTGCTCCATGCGGGTAATGAGAGCGTGGAGATTAGTCTCGTTGGCTCTGTAACCTTCAAGGGCTTCGCCGAGCTTTCGGATGGTTGTGTCCTGATCCTTGTTTTCGCGGTCCAGTTCAGCAAGCTCGATCTTCTTCTCAGTGATGAGCGTTTGGGCCATGTCGTGATTGTTCTCGATCTTCTTCAACTCCTTGCTCAAGGAGTCAATCAATTGCTCATCTCTTTGACTCTGTGCATCCAGCTCGTTGAAGCCAATCTCAAGAGTGCGCTTGCGAATCTCGGCCTGACTCAGTCTCTCGACAAGACCATCAATCTCGTTGACGAGCTCCTGACGCAACTGGTCGTTCTCGACAATGAAGAGGTCTTGTTCGGTGACTTTGATGGCAAGAGCCTCAAGGTGCTGGACAACGAGCTCGACCAGGTCGGCATCGGAGATGTTGCTGGGGATGGCACCAGGCACTGCGGACTCGAGGCGCTCACGAACTAGCGCGAATGATTCGCGGATAGATGCGAGGATGGCATCCGAGTTCTCTCCTGGGAAACCAAGAGATTGTAGCTCAATGGTCAGGATCTGGAGAGTGGACTTTGCATTGGATGCTTCGTCGGTCCAGTACTGGATGGCCTCCTTGAAGGCGCGACGCTCCTCCTCCTGAGTAGAGTCTGGAAGCGCAACCTGAGTCTGGGCGTCGGTGATGTCGACAGCGTCAGATGCTCTCTCGACGGTACGGACCTCGATCCCGGAAGAAGGAAGGTTGGGGTAGGAGATGCTCTGGCTGCTATCAAAGACCATCATGTCCTCGTTGATGACGTCAACATTCTCGATGGCATCCAGGTCAGGAAGGGCAGCCTCTTGGGCCTTCTTCTCTGCAAGCTGCTCGTTGAGCTGGGCGAGCTCGACCTCAATTGCTTCCATCTTCTGATCGTCGGCATCTTCTCCCAACTGCTTCTGCACATCGAGCTGGTGAAGGCGGGTGCGGATAGTGTCCTCAATCTCTCCAATCTCTTGACGCAGCTGAACCAGCTCTTGATGAGTGTCGGAACCATCTCTTTGCTCCTTGATCTCCTCGCTCAGACGACTGCGGCGAAGACGGCTCTTAACGCGCTCGGACAGAACCTGACTCAGAGGGCGGAACAGCTTGGAGACGGGGCTGTTGGGCGAAGGGGAAAAAGTGGAGGGAAGAGACAAGCGGGACTTTGTTTGAGGAGTGGAGAGAGTCTCGAACTTTGAAGGTGAAATGGTCTGACGTCTTTCCGTGCTGATTGTCTTGCGGATGTGAGGAGTCAAGTGCGTTGAAGTAGCCTTGTGATCCTGGGAGGTAGACTCGGTAAAGTGAACATGGCGAGCTGCAGGAGCTGGAGTGTGGACTGTGAGGGATTCTTCCTCCTCGTCAAGGATGTCCAGGTCTTCGGGATGGTCGTAAGACGCGTCCTGTCTCTTTCTACGCTTGACTTGTGATGATGAGACAATAGTGGTTTGGGAGCTCTGAGGGATTGGCGCGTCTGAGGAACTGCTTGCTCTTCTCTTGCGGCTTGTGCGTTTGTCGGCGCCAGCAGTCTGCTGTGATGATGACTGCGACGAGGGCGTCTTTTCTTGATTGCGAGTGCGCATTTTGAGGGCTGAGTGTCCAAATAGAGGACAAAAAGAAGTGCTAAGGGAAAGGTGATAGAAGAATGCTCGTGAAAGGTGAGATCGAGCAAAGACAGATCGACTGGACAGCAAATCGATGTGGAGGTAAGAATTGGATGGCTCGAGATGAATCGCGCCGCTTGCTTTTGACACGCGCCTAGGACAGATGACGTAGTGGTCAAAGCTTTTGTGCGCAAATCGTCGTCACTCAAGCAACAGAAAGTATAAACGCGAACAAGGTCATGTACTAGGGTAACCGTCGAGGTAGCTATCATGACCTTCTCCAACTCTTATAGGCACACCACTATTCTCACAGAGCAGCGCATTGATAGCACGCAGACTCTCGCAATGCGTTAGCCAGCCAGCCAGCCTCCAACACCGTGTCTCAGAGCTTTCGTCGCGCGTCTGAGCCAATCAAAAAGTATTCAGAGACCTGCATAAATTCCCAGCCACCCAGGCAGCAAGTCGACGTGGCTGAAAGTAACACATGAAGATCGCTCTTGAAACTGGGAAACATGGCACTGTCGTCTCCTGAACACATGTGCTACCCGCAAACTCAACGTTAATGAGTCCGCCGCATTCTGAGGTAGGTACAGAGTAAGGTGCATGTAAATTTGGGTATCGTGTATCATCTAATTTATCCTGATCGTCTCTAATCCAGATCTTCATCCTTCTGGCCAGAGCTCTCTACCTTCTTGGCTTCCTCCTTCTGGCCCTCGCTATGGCGGGGCAGTAGCGTAAAGATGATGACGAAGAGGACTTCGTTTGTGCTTCTGTCTTTGAGGACATATCTGAGTGCGTGCGACCTTGCGTTAGTCAGATTCTGCTCATTACACTCCAGGACATGACAGGGACGTGAGATTCGAGCCCTGTGTAAATGGGCTACTTACCTTAGAGGTTGACCATCCCAGTAGCTAATGATAGGAATCGTGATACCGGGAATGTAGCTGAAGCCGGGCAACTTAAGTGCAAAGTCTGTACCTTTATCAGTACGCCAGCCTGTTGCTTCTCCATTTTGCAAACATACCGTTGAAGTCCAAGTACGGGTTGAAGAAGTCGCAACTATAGTTTCTGCCCTCCTCAAATGTAAAGTCTTTCAAGTGTTGCTCCTTCAGAAAATATTTTTTGCGAGCGCTGGCCTCATCAGGCAAACCAGCCTGCTTTCTCGCCTCGATACCGTCACCATCGGCGCCTTCGGATACTACGGCTGGCTTGTCCTGACTTCCCTTTACCTCAGCGGGCTCTTTCTTCTCGCCGACCCTCAAAGTGTTGATTGAGCTAAGGAAGGGTCCGTACAAGTATGGCTCGTCTGCGTATGCATCGCCGTAGAGGCCAGGATCGATGAACCACTGGGCAATCTTCATTGCTTGTCCAAAGCCTGGTGGCAGCTTGTCCTTGATTGGGTGATCAAAGTCGTTTCCGAAGACCAAATCATGGCCATTGATGTTCTTCTTGGGAGTGAAGGAAAAGGAAATGCTGTAGAGGTCCGATTTGTGCGGGTCGGCTTCGAAGTAGGCGCATGATGAAGGAGAGTTGACAGGTTCGCCTCGGTAGTTCTGGATACGGACGGTGAGAGAGGCGTCCAGTTTGGAGTTCGAGATGTTGAGTGATTGCTCGGTGTTGACGTGGACCAGCTTTTGATTCGCCTCGTCATAGTCTGACCCAGCAGTCACTCTGAGCATGTATTTATCCGCCATATCGTAGGTTTGGGGTAGTAGATAATGAGTACGATGAGAGAGGAAGACTTGGTGTAGGACGTTCTTTTGTCAACGAAATATTGACGGTGACGTAGAGATTTTCCCCGGATCGGACGTTTTCGAGCATGTGAAGCTCGCCGAGAACAAACTTGATGATTTTGGAATGAGAGAGGTTGTTTGATCATGTACTTCCGTATCCCATTACTTTTGGTATCTCAAAAATCTATACAAGCATGACTGATTTACATTCTTCTAAGGATATCTTCGACGACCTCGGTGGTCTTGGCTTGACCACCCATGTCAGGGCTCAGATACTTGCCCTCCTCAAGGTTGGCATCGACGGCCTTGTAGATAAGAGCGGCAGCCTTCTCCTCGTTGAGGAATTCGAGCATGAGAGCGACACTGCGGAGAGTAGCGATAGGGTTGGCGATGTTCTGTCCCTGGATATCAGGAGCTGAACCGTGGCAAGGCTCACCGATAGCGAAACCCTCACCAACGTTGGCAGAAGGGACAAGACCCAGACTGCCAACAAGAGCGGCAGCACCATCGGAAAGAATGTCACCATAGAGGTTAGGAGCAACAATGACGTCGTAAGTCTGAGGTTGACGGAACAATTTGTAGACCATCGAGTCAACAATCTGCTCGTCAACTTCGAGACCCTTGAACTGAGACTGGGCCAGGGCCTCACGAGCAGTCGAACGGAAAAGACCGTCGGTCTGGGAGAGGACGTTACTCTTGTGGGTGATTGTGACGAGAGCAGACTTGCCAGTCTGGCCGGTCGATTCGCGCACACGCTGGCGACGGAGAGCAATGTCACCGGCCATGGTAGCGATGCGGTGTGATGCACGCTCCGAGATGCGCTTGATGGCCTCGGCGACCTTGCCGTGCTCGGTGTCGTATGTCTTTTCTTCCTTGACATACAAGTCCTCGGTGTTCTCGCGGACAATGACAAGGTCAATGGGGTCGGGGAACATGGTGGTGTTCTTGACACTCTTGACGGGACGAACGTTGGCGTACAGGTCGAGACGCTTGCGAAGAGCGACAATGGGGGACGAGTAGCCCTTGGTGGGGGTGCTGGGCGAGCTCACGGCACCGAAGAGAGCACCATCGCACTCTTTCTTCAAAGTGTCGACAGTCTTGTCGGGCAGAGCAACGCCAGTCTTCTGGAAGGTCTCGAAACCAGCTTCGAGGTCGACGAAGGAGAAGTTGAGACCCAGAGACTTGGGCAGGGCCTCGAGGATGCGACGACCGGCAGGAATGACCTCGCGGCCAATGCCATCACCAGGGATCAGACCTGGATACACGTTAACAGATGCTTCTGGTACAGGAAGGTGAAAGCCGACCAATTCGTAGTGTGCGGGCTGCCATTGTTGCTGAGTAGTGTGGAGAAGAGAGTCATCGCGAACTTGGACAAGACCAGGTGAAATTGCGGCCGATGTCGGGTCGCTACTCGTTCGGCTTGTGGGGACCTGGAGGACATGCTCGGTAACACGAAGGGATGTTGTAAACCGTGACTCTCGACATGTTCGTGAGTCCTACCTGTAGTTATGGAAAAGATGAAACTCAAGGCAACACACGGCAGAGCATTGCTCAAGCTTGCACGATTCCAGCGCGTGCTCTCTTGCCCTCTGAGCAGTGATGCGGCCAAAGCTTCACCTCCGAGTGTTGCGTACGCGGGGAAGTCACAAAACATGCACATCTAAACTTTGTCAAGAGCTTCTGATCAAACAAGTCCAAAATGTCGTCCTCTCCAACTCCCTCAGAGCGCGAGGCCGCCGACAAGATCACCGCCGCTCGCGAAGCCGAGGAGCAGGCTAGACTTCCTTACAAATGGATGCAGACGATTCAGGACGTCGATCTCACTGCTCAAGTTCCTGGAAATCTGAAGGCTCGCGACTTTGACATCAAGATCACAAAGGACCACTTGCGCGTTGCTATCAAGGGCCAAGACCCCATCATTGATGTACCTGGCTCACGGCCCCTGACTCTGACTATGCTGACACATGACACACAGGGCCGTCTCCCCCATCCCATCTACGTCGACGAGTCTACCTGGACTCTGGAAACTACCCCCTCTGGCAAGGAACTCGCCGTCCACCTCGACAAGGTCAACAAAATGGAGTGGTGGGCACACGTCGTCGAGACCGCTCCCAAGATCGATACCTCCAAGATTGCTCCTGAAAACAGCAAGCTCAGCGACCTCGACGGCAACACCAGATCCATGGTCGAGAAGATGATGTACGACCAGAAGCAGAAGGAGATGGGTCTACCCAGTTCGGACGAGCAGAAGAAGCAGGAAATGCTTGGTACCTACAACCCTCTCAATGACCTGCAAGAGGCTAGCTTTGCTGACTCAACGACAGAGAAATTCATGGCTCAGCACCCCGAGATGGACTTCTCCAACGCCAAGATGTCACCATAATACCCTCCACAGTATTGCACTTCACATACGCGACTGGCTTTGTGTGCATGACATTGAGCTGAAAATGTTTAACATCAATGAGAAACGGACAACCTTACCTTCTGGACTCTCGTTTCTCTCCAAGTAAAGCCTGTGTTTTCAAACGGGAAGACTCTTAGCTTTTACACCGAGTCATCTATGACTCTACCTATCTTGGGTCGAATCATCGATGATGCCGTTGAATAGATGGCTGGGAGACTTCGCTCGGCCCTCGGATGATTGTGGCCCGAGTGCCTGATGTAAGCTATGGTCAGGGTTGTACGCTCGACGATGGCTCGCAGAGTCGGCGACCATGTTGTAGAGAGACGTATCGAAGCTCCGGACTTGTAGACTTCCAGTAACATCCGTCGTGACTGCTTGCATATCTCTGCAGTCTCTTTGGGTGATAGGTCGCTCCGTAGAGCTTTTAAAGGCAGTCGACAATTTAACTAATTGCTTCGATCGGAAGATGGGCGTATCTTCCATGACAACACGGAAACGTACTCATGACTCTTCACCATGTACATCAGTAAGATCATCTTGCATGATCTAGATATACGCCAGACCCGCATTGGAGAATACACCATAGATCAATTGATCACAACGCAATCGGCTGAAGTCTGTTTCACCAAGTGCTGCAAATAGTCATCCTTGAAGCCAAGCGCGTGTCTTGGGACCAAGCCTCATTCACAGACTCACAGCCACTGAAACGCGCATCTTTTGTGTTTGAGGAGTGAAATGGGTTTGCCGGGCTGAACATTTCTTCCTTTCCCCATTCATTCTTGTCCTGTGGGCACACGACAGTGACATCTCGTGCAGTGACATTCTCTGTACTCATCGTTCAACCCTGTGTGGGGTCGCAAACGCCCATCACCCACCTCAGACCTGCCAGTTCTCCAAGTATTGACCTCGGCCTGATCGTTATCCAGGAGCCTCCGACTGTATATCGTATCTCATTCTTGGGATTTTTCTGCTCCAATGGACGCTCTACGGAATTTGAAACTGCCTTTTTCCACCAAACCATTGCCTGCAAAAGTGGTGATATCGTCAGTGCATGATCTGGTGTTGTTTCTACAGGAATGCTAATTCGTAGCAGATATATCTTGGACTATGTGATTATCGTGTAAGCTCCTGTTGGAAGAGAAGCCATGTTCGACCGGTCTAACCATACACGTCCTGCAGTATTCTTGCCATCCTGTTCCTTGCAATTGACAAGGTCGAGTAAGGCCTCCCTACCTGCGTAACACCGAGGCATGAATATAAGCACTAACATCACAACTAGCGGATTTCGACAACACTTCGCGCTTCAGAACTACACATTGCAGTATCCGTATGCGGTACACGAACGAGTACCAGCAGGAGTATGCTATGTCATCGTCGTCATGTGCCCCGCTGCCATAATTTGTTTCTGGACTCTGGTCATTGACGGTCTTTTTGCGCACTCACAACCCACAGACGCCGAGGGCACAGGTAGAAGACTCGGACGCTATAGACTTGTGGACAGATTATGGGAACTCAATTGTGGCATTCTTGGCCTGGCTCTATCAGAAGGTACCGCTTTCGTCATCACTGGTAGGTTTTGTGGTATGACGACTCACGGGACGAATCGATCAGCTCATACATATAGGTGCACTGAAAAACACCGTCGGTAAGCCGCGTCCCGATCTTATCGACAGGTGCCAGCCTAGGGCCGGATCGGTCGACCCATCACCCTACGGCTTGTCAAACTCGACGATATGTACACAGACAGATATGAGTATCCTCAGAGATGGCTTCAGGAGCTTTCCTTCAGGACATTCTAGCAGTGAGTTGCTCTGACCGACGGGATACTACGAAAGCAACAAGCTGACGTGTCTTCTACTAGGCTCATTTGCTGGACTGTTCTATCTGTCGTTGTACTTGGCAGCCAAGCTCCACATCTGGGATTCGAGAGGTGAAGTATGGAAGATCTTTGTTGTCATGATCCCAACTCTCGGCGCTGCCTTGATCGCAGCTAGTAGGATCATGGACGCGAGGCATCACCCGTAAGTGAGACACTTCCCAGTTCTACAGCCAAGCAATTGACGCGTAGTTTAGCTTCGATGTGATCACGGGCAGTATGCTTGGTATAGCGTGTGCTTGGGTGTCCTACCGTCAATATTTCCCAGCAGTCAGTGAGACCTGGCGCAAAGGACGTGCATACCCCATCAGGACCTGGGGGCAAGGAACGGCACCACCTCCAGCCGCCATGTCAACCGCGTATGAACCGTACGGTAGACAAGGATCTGATACGCAAGAATCGCTGTCACAACGAAGGCATCCTCAGCACTCCAGACACGCGGGCTCAGACAGCCAAGCGATGCTGGCGACGCATGCAGCACCGTTGCCATCTGGGGGATTAGCTGGGACGGCGGCTGAAAGGCGGCGTGACGAGTGGGACGCGTCCTCAGCAGAGGAGGATGAGTTCGAGTTGCAACAACAGCCCAGATATCCACCAGGGGCGGTGATGGGAGGGTCGACAGCGTACGTACCTCGAACGCATATGGGACCTCTATCAGACCAGGTATAAGTCCGCGGAAGACATTTGAGAACTAGACCAGTGGGAAACTGCACGCACGACGAATGGATGTTTAGGTCAGTCCAGGAACGACACGGCGTAAGGCTGAGTAGCGATAGTCGATAAGGGCAAGTCGAACAAAACGTGGATGCATCATCGGAGTAGGTAGAATTACTGTATCGGTTGAACAGTGTGGGAAATGTGTTCCTCAAATTCCAGAGCGTGTCCGTCCAGAGCGACGAGTCACGCTCAGTAGGAACGGACGAAGCTCCTTCTGTCGTTTCTGCATCGAGACAAGTCTGTCTGTGCGTGCGTCTACAATGTTGCGAGTCACTTGACGGATCACACGTCAGCGCACGCGGTCAGGGTGCGGACGAGCGTAGGCGAAGAAACAATACTACCGAACGCATGTCCTGCATCCCACCAGTGATACCGAGTGTAATCTGGTGATAGGGTAGAGTCAAAGCGGTCGGCTCTCCGTACTCAACATTTCGCGTAATCATGGATGGGTGTAGTACTTGCAAATTGCGGTGCACGCGTACACGGAGCAGAGTTGCGAATAATGACCAACGACGACAAAGAGCAAAGAAACCCCAGGGAGCGTGGAGGCCGAAGGTTCAAGGGCGAAGGGAGCTAGAGCCGCAATAGGCAAAAAGCGGGTGCATGCAAGCCGATGGGCGAAGTGTTCACACGTCAGCCTCCTTCTGGGCAGGGCCTTAAGCAACACACCAACGGTCGAAAGGCTAGACAACTCTGCTGGTGCAGGAAGAGCGGAAGAGCGGAAGAGCAGATGAAGCTGTGTAGAGACAGCAGGGTAGGAGAACGACAGTGACAGGCAATTATGTGCTAGTGAGGATCTGGAGACGCGACAAGCCAAGAGAGATGGTTACACATAGGAGATTGCGCGGGCGAGTATGGGAGTGCTTGAAGCTTCGGAGAACGGATAGCACAAGGAGAAGCAAAAGGAGGAACCTGTGTTTCTAAAGAGCGTCGTCGACAGCAAAAGAGTGGTCGAGAGCTTGGCAGCGGGTTCGACGCCACGCAACGTGGAAAGATGTAAGCGCAGATTGAACACGAAGAGATCTGGAACGAGAGGAGCGACTTGATTGCGCATCTCTGCCTGAGGGAGAGAGGCAGATACGAAGTGATATGCAGCATGGTGTCGAACAGATGGCAACAGGGTGTGGACTCGAAGATCTGTCGCATGAGTTGCAAAAGGACGACGTGGACGACGTGGACGGCGATTGGTCGATTGGACAAAAGCGGAAGCGTCGTCAGCCTGTCTTCTCCAAATAGTCCGAGCGTCAAATGGAGTGCGCGTCGTGGTCGCCGGTGCATTGCGTGGCCGCGAAGCAGAGGCTGACCATAATCTGCCAGTCTCTCGCTTTCCTATCCTCGTGCAAACCATCGTCGCTCCCTTTGAACACTGTCCGTTGAAGCGCTGCAACAAGCGTCGTCCAAGTTCCCCAGCAGCAATCAAGCCAACGACAGATAATTCGCCTGCTGCCGAAAAGACGCTTTAGGTGCCAAGGGGCTGTGCAATCCATCCCACTAACAGACTTCGACTTCCTCTGGACTGCTGCTCTTTTGACCCGCCACCCTCCAATCAACACGACCCTCTGGACTCTCCCAGACATCCGTGTAGAGACCATCTACCTCGTCTCTTCGAATCATGGCTAGTCGCACACCCATCAGCCGAGGCAGGCGTTCAGCGGTGCCCGAAGGCCTCAATGAGACGTGGGCAAAGGACTTGACCGACCAGTTCCGCCGCACCCTCAGCACAAAGCGCATGAACGCCCTCACCAGACAGACGACGCAACAGCATACTCAAGCGCCAAACGCTCCGCCCTCCTACTCATCTCTCCGCAACATTCCGCTTGTCGCAACCGCCCCGTCGGATCGAAATTCGTTGCGCTTCCGTTCCATGCTTCTCTCTCTGTCCAACACGCCCTGCAGATGGGAGAATCCCGGCTTGCTGGACGAGGCCCTCCGCTCAATTCCTCTGGAACGCATCTACGACCAAGCACAAGAAGAGAGTGATCTTTACCTAGCCGAGGCTGCCTCATTAGGAACCAACACCAAAGCTGCCTGGGGCTACCAGGACTGCGTCGTCCGAGCCCTCATGAAGTGGTTCAAGCACCACTTCTTCCAATGGATCAACAACCCCAAGTGTGGTGCATGCCATGCACCCACCATTGCCGTCGGCATGGCTGCTCCTCTTCCCGACGAGCAAGCCCGTGGTGCCAACCGTGTCGAGATCTATCAATGTTCCAATGCCCAGTGCCAGGCCCATGAGCGCTTCCCCAGATACAGCGACGCGTTTGTGCTCCTCCAAACACGAAGAGGTCGTGTCGGTGAGTGGGCCAACTGCTTCAGCATGTTGTGTCGTGCAGTTGGCAGCAGAGTGCGCTGGGTCTGGAACAGCGAGGACCACGTCTGGACCGAGGTCTACAGTGAGCACCGCAAGCGCTGGGTCCACGTCGATGCCGTTGAAGAGGTCTGGGACCAACCTCTTCTCTACACACATGGTATGTTTTGACTGCTACATTCCGTCATGTCTTCATGTTCTAATTGTTTTGCAGGCTGGAAGAAGAAGCTTGCTTACTGCATCGCCTTCTCTGCCGACGGCTGCCAAGATGTCACACGTCGCTACGTGCGCAACTTTGGAAAGTATGGTCTACCCCGAACAAAGGCCCAAGAGAGTGCCGTCCTTCACATCATCGCCGAGATCAAGAACATGCGCCGTCGCGACATGAACAAAACAGACAAGTTCCGCCTAGAGGGCGAGGATATTCGCGAAGACAAGGAGTTCCGTCAAAACGTCATCGAGAGTCTGTCAAGAGAAATCTGCCGCATGCTTCCTGGCCGCCCCGACGCAGACATGCTCAAGGCCCAAGAGCGCGCCAGAGAAGCCCAACTCGCTCGTGCTCGCAACCAGCAGAATGCACAATACTTCAACCCTCGCGACCAACAGCAGCAATAACACACCTTACCCTGCTTCGACCCACTTAACTTTATAATCACCACCACATAAACCTTTCGACATTCTCCTCTCGCTGTCGCACATCATCTTTCGAGCTTCGACCTTCCACCTTACCTTACATCATATAAATCGGAGCTATTTATGACCGCACCGACAGATCCGACCTCGATTTCCTTTGTTATGCATTTCCTATCATCTTGGAGCTTCGGAGTTTCGGGTCCTGACCTCATGAGGGACGAGACTTTTTTTTTTCATGGGCTATACCACGTTCAAATCTTTCTTTGGGCTATCGGGGTATATGAAATTCCGTCATGTTTGCTTTGCTAGGTGTTACTGGCGCTTTGAGTCTATCCTCCTCTATACGAGAGCGACGACCGGGTTTTTACAATGTCTAGTGTTCTTCCTGTCGCTTGGCGACTTTGCACAGCTTCTTCACTTCTATTCTTCCTTCACCACCTTTTGTTCACTCTTTTATTTTTGGCAAGACGTTTGGATGGCGAGGGAACGCGACCAAAGAGCTGGAAGTTGAAAGATGGATGACGCTTCTTTTCTTCCCACTGGCTATAGCGTATACATTCGGTCACTTGGATTGTCATATATACAATCAAGAACAAATTCACAAACATCAAGCACAAAATCCCATGTTCTCTTTTGTGATGACACTCGTACAACCATGATTTGGAGACATTCGTAGTGTGAAGGAACACTCGCTGATAGTAACTCATGCAACCCATCAAGGCGCATAGAAGATAGAGAGCTTTCGTTATCATGAGATCATCCGTCCAGCCATCTTTATGAATCTCTTTCGACTATACCATTAAGCATTCTCTGAGGTGAGGAGAATTCTGACTGGCCGCGTTTGCATCTGTCCTGCCACAATTCTCAAAATAGCAACTCGGCTCGAAAAGCTACACGGCCGCGTTGCCATGTCTGGGCACCTTCCAGGGGTCTTCTTCAGACCACCAGGGCTCTTGCTAGGCATATCCACATGTAAGTGATGCATGATTGAGAAGGGTATCGTATCAATGAAGTGGCAAGATGAGACCCAAAGGCATGTAGATTCGGTGTGTTTCTCGTCAGGATTCTGATCCGAGCCAAGAACTCATGGTGCGTTTCACGTAGCAACCGTGAAGTGCAGGGTTGGGGAGTCTGAAAAAGTACGTCAGCAGTGTTTGCGCAGCCACCCCTGCGGACAAGGCTGCGGCAGCCTGACTACGAGTCGAGGATGCGTAGAAGATCGCTGCGTTTGACACAAAACCCATCTGGCTCGCCTGACAAGTGTTCTTCCCCTTTCTTATAATACCTGTTGGACCACCTACTTCTTCCTCTCGTCGCCACAACAACAATCCGTTTTCTAAAAACGCCTCTTCCCTCACACAGGACCCTTATTAGCCACCTCCGCTGTTTCACATTCGCCATATACTTTCTCCACATTGGTTCCTGCATCAACTCTACGCGAAATACTTAGGAGAAACACGTAAACAATCATGGGCAAAGCAGGGCGCGCAGTGTGTGTATTCACGCCTATGGCGCTGACCATTGCTTCCTTTGTTTGCGTACTTCTCATCAACCTGGGCGGCATCAGCAAATCTTCATCAACACTTCAAGGTCTTCACTTCTTCAGCGCCGACTTCACGAATTTCACCACAGACAGCAGCACATTGGGTACGGTTATCAACCTGGCCAAGCAGGAAGGGTTCATCTCGAACAAGTACGAAATCTTCCTCTGGAACTACTGTGATAGCGGCAATGGCACAAGCAGCCAGAACATCACTCACTGCTCGGCTCGTAAGACTGGTTTCTGGTTCGACCCTTACCAGGTCTGGAGTCTCGAGAAGGCCCTCAATGCTACCGAGGACGTCGCCTCAGACCTTGCAGGTACTGGTGCTGATAGCAGTATCATTGCCCAGCTTGAGTCCTATGTTACCGACAACGCCGATGCTCTCTACGACCAGGTCCTCGATAGCAGTACTCGCAAGTCGATTGACTTGTACAAGAAGCTGAGCAAATGGATGTTTGCCGCTTACTTTGCAGGTCTCTGGGCTTTGGTCGTCACCATCGTCTTCGGAATACTGGCTGTCTGCTCTCGCTTTGGCAGCTTCCTTACCTGGATCTGTGCCATCATCTCCACTGTCCTCATCTTTGGAGGCTCTATTACCGCCACCGTCATGTTCAGCATTCTGGTGTCCACGCTACACGAGAAGCTCAAGGACTACAACGTCACAGTCAGCCTCTCGACACACATGCTCGCCGTTACATGGCTCGCCACTGCATTCATCCTTCTCGCAACCATGTTCTGGCTCTTCAGCTGCTGTTGCTGCTCCGGCAAGTCCAACCCTCACCACATCCGCAACAAGGAGGCGCCTGCAGCCGAACTCGGCCTCCCTCAGGGCGGCCTGTTCAACAGAGGCAGAAGTACAAAGTCCGAGAAGAGTGGCGCTGGATATGAGCGCGTTGAGTCTCCATACGCACACCACCATACCGCTTCTGACTCTGTACCGTTGACACATGTCGATGGCGCTGCCGACTCGTACTACAAGCAGGAGACAGGCTACATGAACCACGAGCCCCAGAGCCCGGTCTGGAATGCGAATGCTGCTCCCTACGGTAATGACCATGGTCGTTCAAATGGTGGAGCATATGAGCCCTACCGTCACGGTAACTGAGCAATGTTTGCTAGACGCAAGGCACCAAACCCTCTGAACATCTTGGTTGGCTAGCTTTGTGCCACATACGAAGACACTGTACATCGCTAGTCTGCAAAGTGCTTCCACTTTACGTCACGAGGATGTCCAATCCTGATACAACATTAGCAGAGTTTCTGCACCGTTATCACTTTTCTTTTCTCACTCTGCATCATACACCCATCATCAATGCCAATGATTGGCATATGGATTACGAACACAAGCATGTACATAGATACCAATAACGAAGCCTTATTGAACATTTTCAAAAATAGTTCGTCGGGCCTATTAGCCTTTGTAACAAGTCTATCCTTAGTGCAAACGGTTGTAGGCTCGTTTGGTAACAGAAGCAGGGATCTGAACTAAAGCACATTCGCCGAGAGTCTGTACGCACTATTATGACGGCAGTATTTACACCGTGACTGACCAAGAAGAGCTATAGGGAGGAAACATCAGCAAGAGAGAAGAAAAGCATAATTGTTTTCCAAAACGTGATGATGTTTGACTTGCTATTTGCTCTGGTGTATTATGATTTGCCTGATAGACCCCAGCTTTGACAGTACAGTATAACAAAAGAAACAGAAAAATCATCATCATCAAGGCTTTGAAAGTTGCTCTTTCCTGAAGAACTTAAAGAACCCAATCGGTATGACAAGCTGACAGGTAAGCGCGATCCAAAACCAAGGTTTACTGATGGCCTCTATCACACCAGCACTCAGATCCGGAAACACATCTCCAGGACCATCTCGATTTGGCGCGGTCGCTTTCGCGATAAGTGTGACTGCCGTACCCAAAACCTGAGCCGAGATTAGCGTGACACCAATATGGATGCGCGTCAGGGTCTGCAGTAGCATCATGCCAAAGCCAACACCCTGGAGAGCATCCAAGACACCTAGCCAAAGCCAGAGTGCTCGACCTGCTATAGCGCCTCCTTCAGGACCTCCAGGCATCCATGGTAGCCAAAGACCAAAGCCAGAGGTACCCCACCATTGTTGCGCCCAGCGAGGAGCTAGCAGACCGATAGCGAAAATTGGTAAGATCCAGCTGTGACTTTTGCTGAGCTTACTGAAGATGAAGAGTACCAATACCCATACAATGATGAAGAACACGAGAACCAGTATTGCTATAACCCATACGGGAGCATACGTCGAGCTCCAGAGATATTGCCAAGATCTGCCGTATTGGGAGGACAAGAAGTAATTTTGCAAAATCACGGCCACGAAGAACCAGGATATAAGCTTGCGTCGGGCTAGAGTTTTGTAGAAGCTAGGGATCTTGCCAGGGCGCTGTCGATAATATGCAGGTAGGCTGGTGAACAATATGAGAGAGATCATCCATAGAAGTGCTGCAATCGGAAGAGTGATGGCAGCCATGATTGGCGAAGACGAGAGTGTGTCCTTTTCAATCTTCTGCTTTGTTGTGGCTACGGTGAGCGTCCGTCCCCAGTAGAACAGACCGGTGATATAGAGCTGTTGTGTACCCTGGATGACACATGCTCGATATACCCAAGAGGAAATGGGCGAACCGCCTTTGGAAAGTTGTCAGTCAAATCGTTTGTAACAGGAGTGACATAAACTTGCCTTCATCTCCAAAATTGAGTGCAAAGTACAGACTTCCACTTGCCGAAGCAGCTGCGTATATCCCGTCTGCCACATTGCGTATCCAGTTTCTCCCAGCGCCTTTGGGAAGGAACGGCGCCATCCCGATAAACAGAAACGCCAAGCCATACATGATGAACGGCACAGAAAGTACGAATCTAGCCTTCATGGTACGGAACAGAAGCCACCACAAAACAGAAGCTGCAATGTAGATGCCACCAATCGTGTAGATCATTGACGGTTTGGGGTCCTCACCACCAGTCAGTAGCGTGATTTGGTAACTGTTTGCAGCCATTATTTGTCCGAGAGCAAGCAGGAACGAATACAGAGGCCAATCTCCAAGTCGTGTCAGCATCCAGCGTTTGACGAGAGAAGGTCGTTGGTAGTTCTCGCCAAGCAGGAAGTCTTCCATTGAGCCTTCTCTGTCCTCAACGTTCCCATGTTCGTGGCCATCCACCGAGGAGCCCCTGGAGCCATAAGGCGAGACAATCTGACGGTTGCCACGCAGATTTGTAGACGAGGCACGTCCGCGTGATCTGCCCAACTTGGCATCGCGATACTTTTTGAACCATGCCTTTTCGCTCTCAACTAGATATTCCTCGATGCAGAGGTCTTTCTCAGATGTTTTGCCACTGAGCTTGTCCAGCATTGTTTCAAACACACGGTAGTATTCACCAGTCTTATCATCGAAGTTGAGCTCAATTTTCTGCAAGCTGTAGTCTCTCTTACTGCCTACGACAGTCGTCAAGTCCAGTTGAGAGGATGTACTAAGCCTTGAGGAAGTGCTGAGACGAGATCCTGAGCGATCACGTGGCTCAGCGATGGGAAGAAGGCTGTCAGCACTTGCCCTCCGGTTTGGTTCTCCTGCCTGGACAGATAGATATGGTCCAGAGCTACGATTCCGACTCCTACCCCTGTGGATCTCTCTGGAGCCTGGGCTTGGTGATCTAGAATGACGACCAGACATCAGCGCAGGCTGTGGCGTACTTAGTGATGTGCGTCTGCCCCTGCCTTCGAGCCGCTCTAGAGCATCAGATCTCGCAGATCCTACTGCAAAGGCGTCAGCCTCCTCGCGAGAGATGGTCGCTTCTTCCATATCTTGGCTATACTCGCTGCCAAAAGTGCCGTCGCCGTCACCTTCAGAGATATCGGCTTCGGTAATGAGCACCCGAGGAGTTCTACCGTGGTGACCAGGCCCGGCCCTCGACCCAAGAGAAAGTGTGCGATTCAGATCGCATGGCGAAGGGCCGGTTCGTGGTTGAGTCTCGTAAGCTGACGCAGCGTCCGGACTTGCGTCTCTCGAAAGAGCCAATAGGACACTCGAGTCATTGTCAAAGTGCGAGCCTGATCTTCGAGAGGGCTGTAGTCCATAGTTCGCTTCACGTTGGTGGATGCGGATAGCCGTACTCTGCAGCGTGTTGAGATCCTCCACCCACTTCTGCACAGGGAATCTTTGCTTGGCCGAGCGAGCTCTCATCATCGCTCTGACATCGGTCTTGGCTGCCAAGGCGTCTTCGATTGCCGATTTGAATTGATGGATCAAATGAGCAGTAGTCGTCGATTCTACTGTGAACCACCAGCCAGGCATTTGACCCAGGCCACCAACTCTGCATACTGTTAGCGTATGATATAACGACTAGCATGTCATACAGCTTACCTAGCACCAACGCCTAGGGCGCCTTTGCGTCCAAATTCGACAGCCACCAGACCGAAAGGCTCATCTCTGGATGGGATCAAAGCAAATTCTGCACCGGAAAAGATGAACTACTCGATGTTAGCTGACATAGCCACGCTCTGCTCAAAGGGAGAACCCTTACAGGAGGTAGTGCAGTAAACTCAGGCTTCGAGTAAACACGCTTCGGGTGTTTCTTCATCATGACTCCAAGTTTCAGTGCTGCGAATTTGCCATACATGTCGATAACCGGTCCGACACATATGAGCTGCACGTTCTGGTGTTTCTCGAGAATATTAGGGAAAACGTCGGCAATCAGATCAACTCCCTTCTGGTTGCTCCATCGGCCGACGAATACGAAAAGTTCAGCATTTGGGTCGATTTCGAGTCCAGCCCACTCTTGCGCTTGTCGACGGAGGTCACCTCGTGAAGCTTCGTATACTGGATCGACCGTGATGGCTTGATTCTCCTCTTCCTCACGAGTCCAAGGCGCGGTATCAGATGGATCAGGATTAGGGAGCTTGCCAATACCTGAACTTAGCCCCCAAAATATCGGATAGCGAGCGAAGGAGCGAGCGCCATACTTGTTGGATACTCCAACAGCGCCGAAGCCTTTCTGGTGAATTCTCAAGTAGCTCACGCCTGCGTGTAACAAATTAAACACCTCTCCAAATTGAACATACTTTTGGATGACATCTTTGTCTAGGTTGTAAACACGCGACACTTCGTCAGATTCTTGATCTGTACGCATCGGCCACAAGCCTTGAAACTCTGCATTGTGAAGGCCGCAAAGAGGTCAGCATTTGAAGGATGATGTAGCTCCGGATACGACCTACGACAAACAACATGGGATAGTTTCTGGAAGCAAGTATAGAGGTGCGGCACTTCCGTGGTAGTCCTGAAAGTACCATTAGCATCACTATTTTGCCAAAGTAAAGGCTGCTCTTGGCTCACATTGATGTGGTAAATATTTGGCTCGAATCTCTTGATTGTTTCAGCGATACAAGCATTCCACGCGCTGTAGTAGATAGCAGAGTCAAGATCGTCCATTCTTGGAGGATAAGGCTCTGTCTTGGTCTGTTTTCTGAAGACTGGAGCATCCAAAAGGACATAGGTGATGTTCCCGAGCTGATGATACTGCACTTGAACCTCATATGGATTTCCAAGAATTGTTACAATCATGGGATCCGCAATCTGGTCTATTGGGTAGTCAATACCGCTCACACAAGGCACAACCCCTGTTTCTTGTCAGTGATGGTCTCATTCAATGCGAACTAGAGACTCACATATCAAGTCCTGGTGAGTCAAGCTCTTTCCCATCAACTGCGCCATGACACCAAGTCCACCAATTTTGATCTTCAGGTTCCAGTCCGAGATATCATACTCCATGGTGGCAATGATCACTTTGCGTCTCTTGTCTTTGTTGGCAGCAATTGTAATGCCCGATGTACCAGAATCATAGCGTTGGTGAGACTTTCCCAAAAACAATGGTTTCATGCGGTGGCCCTGGTTGTCTTCGGCATCTTCATCTGCCAATTTGCTGAACCTGTGGCGGTTCCAAAAAGATGGCATGCCCTTAGGTAGTGAAAGACCATTCTTGTTGAATTTCACGCCATAAAATGCGCCCATGTAGGTCCAGATACTCACGACGCCAGTCAGAATGGGGCAAGACCATAGTAAAGCGAAGATGAGAACTTGGACCAGTCGACTACCGGTAGGAATGAGCTTGTATGTGAAGCTGGCATCGCTGATGCTGATCTTGTAGGCGAGATAAGGGCTGGGAGGAAACTCGGTAAGATTGATCAAGGCGGGACTTAGAGCATCAGGTGGTAGTCGGTCGAGAACAGTGTCGTTATCAATGTCTCCGTAGATGAACGATTGGTCCGGTTGGCCGTCAGGATTCATCCCCCAAACATTGACCTGGACTTGGTGTGGCCACTCGGTCATTAAGTGGAATCTCCAATCGTCACCAGCTCGCTTGAAAGCGTTCCGTAAGCCGCCATCGAAGCCGAATTGGTTGAAGATACCGTTTGCGAACATGTGAGGAAATCTTCGAGGTCCTTGCGTTTGGTCCACATCTGCGTGTTGAATGTGAGTGCTACTGCCGACCGTACGACTCCAGTATTGAAGTACAATATGATCACCGCTCCACTTTTGATGTTTCGCACCCGACCAAGCTTGTTTCGTGACGGTTGAAGTCGCGCCGTCATAATTTTGCCAGTCACTCCACGTAGAGCCCCAGTTGGTCGAGTAACGCCATTTGTCAGCTCCAGCAGCTTGATGTGCGACAAGCAAGTCTCCACCATTGCCTTTGGAGAGTACATTGCTGCTGTGATTGGCAGTGCGCGGAAACACCATGGGATTTCCAGCTTGTCCTATACGGAAGAAAACATGATCTGTCGAGTCGCTAGAGACCCCATCTACTGTCGATGTATCCTTGATGGTCAGACTGTGTACACCGTGCGACACGTCAACCAGCGTAGCCTTCCAACTCCATGCTGATGTGATGGCGCCGATGTAGGGTGGAGGATTAGAGTCCTGGATCTTGCTACAGACGACGCTTTCAACATCGAGAGTAGGACTCCCCTTGTTCGCAGTGGTCGATGTAATCGATATCCCCTTGGTGATGGAATCACAGTCCATCTCTTGAGAATATTGAAACTCAACATCGATAAACTCTGTCTCACTTTGGCTGACCTTAGACAAGATTCGCGCATCATGTCCAGGATCGAATCTCGTCAGCATTGGTGCGGGTTCAATCCAGTCTGCTTTGCGGACGTAGACTCTGAAATCCCAGGCACCCAAGGTAAGCTTGTCAAGACAGCCATTGAACTTTTTCGAGCCGTCAATCTCGAGCTTTTGCCTGCCTCGCTTGAGTACTATGGTGTCGTATGGACTTAGCAAGTTCCGGACTTCTTCATCTTCATCGAACACGGAGACTAGGGCAGTATCGTTGGAAGAGCAGTCAAAAGTGTAGTCGACAGTATGGTCTTCATTTTGGTAGACGAGCCATACTGCGGGCTTTGTATCCGTACTTCCAGTGAGATTCTGGACGCCGTTGAAAAACTGGTTACGCATGACACTCCACATGCCAACCTGAGTTACTGTCCCGTTGGAGCCTGGGAGGTAAACATCACGCGTCTGATTCGAGAGGGACTGCAATGACCACCCATCATTGAGGATTGGGTTCTTGCTTCTGAGGTGGTAAAAGGACTTAATGATGTTACGAACAGGATGAGTGGGGTCTCGATGATCCTGAGATACGTTGTCATCCTTGCAAGCGCGGGCCCCCGTATCAATAGGGAAGTCGTGGAATATGTCCGAGCCGAGCTTGTAGCAACCATGGGTTTGCCAAGCGAGTGAGGACGATATTGGCTGGCGTCCAAATACATAGTTGGAAGCCGTGTTGTCAAAAGTATACAGTGCCTGCTCCTCTGAACAGTTTTAGCCGACGGTCCCGTCAACCAGAAACATGCGACTCACCGCCCCAATTCAATAAAGGCACACCAGGCATATGCAAAGTAGTCATGAACAGACCGAGAAGCATTTTTTGTGTACCATCTTTAATAGCTGGCCAGCGAAACACGTCCTGGTTCGACGTGCCATACCTGCGACTGTTAGTTCTTGTGGAAGTCAAGAGCAATTGTCAGCTTACATGTGTCTTGGGTCGAACTTTCCAGTGTTAGGATTCACAAGATCGTTGGTCAATAACATCTCATTCCAACCGTCGACAAAGTTGCTGGGGATGTCGTAGCCTACTGTGAGATTTCCATCCATACCAAGAAAGCGTTGCAACATACGATAGATACTGTAGTGGAAAGCAGAAGCATCCAGAGCACTTTTGCCCGCGGCGCGTAGGAAGATCTTGTCGTCTGATTCGTTGCTCGTCTTCACGGCATCTCCAAGCTCAACAATCTTCTGATCAGGCTCTCTACCACGTCCAAGATAGATTGACCCGAAGCTGTTGCTTCCAGTGATTTCGCCAACTATCAGAAAATTTTCCTTGCCATTACTCCGAGCACACTCGCGAATTGACTCGCTGAAGTCGGCCAAAGCGTCAACAGTCGCTTGTGTGGCTTTGTCGAGTCGGAAGCCATCGATGTCAAGCATGGATATGGTAAGGCAGTGTAAGTGCTTGAGTTTTTCTAGCACCGATGGCTTCCATTCGCGCAGTCTGTCTTGTACAGACGCAAACTTTGACAATTGTCTTTGCCAATCAGGAAATACACCAAATGCTTCTGTATCGCCGTACTGATGGACGTCAGAAGGGAACAAGAGTAGAGACAGAGGTTTGACTTACCTGATCAAAGTCACTGTCATAGCAGCTACCAAGTGACCTGAGTTGGTCAAAAGTAGTAGAGAAATTGTCTATGTTGGCACCTTTGGTGACCAGTATGCCCCTATCATCCCAAAAGCGAGGCAGCTCGCATGTCGAGGTCTTGGTATTTCCGATAGTAAAATCAGGGTAACGACGATTAGTCTTCCAAGATACTTGATGCTCGTCAGGTAGGAAGGGCGTAGATTCGTTCAGGAAACCATTGAAGCCAATGAGATCAGCCATGCTACAGCTGATGATTAGCGCAGTCTTGAAGTTGATATGAGAGCAGATCTACGTACGTAGAGAATGTATTGTCAAGGAGAATGTACATTCCACGTCGATGGATTTCATCAATCGCTGCTCTCCACTCGACGATTTTCCCGAAGTGGTGGTCCAGCAAGGTGAAGTCAATCGGCGAGTAGCCGTCCGATTTCCACGGCATATTGATGAACGGCGTTCCGGCTACATAGAGACCCTAGAGACTGGTCAGCTGCTCATTGGGAATTGGGACAACCGGCTTGCATACCTTGATACCCATGCCTTGGATGTAGTCCAACGTATCAACCAAGCCTAGAAGATCTCCTCCATGACGCATAGTAGTTCCCATGACATCTTGCTCAAACAGTGTGCCGTTGATGTCGTCGTTAGTTGGATCTCCATTCACGAATCTGTCAAGGAAGAGCGTATAGAATGGAATCCGCCAGTTTTCAGGCGACGAATGAGACACATGGCCCTCCCATGTTCCTGAATACTCCAGAGGATTCGACGCAGCTTTGGTATTGAGATTCCAGTCAGTTTCGCGCGGATCGTAGTTCAAAGATTGCGCAAATCGCGATCTAGACAAGAGCAAAGCTCCAAGCACGTTCTTCACTCGCCATGGCTGTATCATGGCTATGTTGAGATGATACTTGCTGCTGTCGTCGCAAAATCACACGATGGGACTATGGCGGCTCTACGCTGAAAGACGATGAGATAGAAGGCGCAGAAGGAGGGACTCGGAGCTCATATCAGTGTACAACAGCTAGTTTTGAGGAAGCTCGAAGGCTATCCACCATACTCCCAGAGTCATAGCTACAACAGTGGCTATTATTTAGTGCTTACCTCGACTGACACAAGTTTTGCACCAGGCTGCGATGATGATATCTCGGACCATTAACCTAGACGAATCGCCCTGATAGGAGTATGGGGCTCGAAACTTCAGGCTCCACAGCTCGCCATACCCTGTCAAACGGTGAGATGCTGATGTAGAAGCCTACGTTGCCAGGAACGTGCTCGGGCCATCTACGGCTCCATCGTTCTCCAGATATTGTATACAATCATCAGCCCTACGAGACACGATCTCGAGGTGATAATGCACATGCTGACGAGCGGCTGTGGGATTCTCAGCTCCTCTTCGGCCTAGAAAGGAGGAAGTGGCTGATTTTGACAGGCCCTGCGTGAGGTATCTTGTCTAGGTTTTCTGTCATGGCCTCGGGTTCTACGCTGCAGCATGTCGCCATTCACGTGCCTATAATTAGCAAAGCTGCTGTCGTGAATGGCTGAGCTCGAGATTGTCGGCCATATTGGGCAACACAAGTCGTGTATCACCGTGATGCTTCACTGTGTTGAAAACATCGACCCCTTAGCAACGTCGCGATCTGTCAAAGTATCGACTCGAGAGTGTTCATTGTGCCGGAGTTGGTCATCACCAACAATCGTGCGACGAACCCATGTGTCTATCGCGTGGGGTTGTATGTGCCTTTGTTGCATGTACTGTAAGCTCTAAGATATTAGCTCGCGTCAGCATGCAGCGTACCGGTGTAGAGAGATTGGCAAATCAACTTGACTCGATAATGTGTCAAGGCCAGTCAAAGGTCTGAAATATTCGATGAACTCAGTGATCGCCATGGACTCGAGAAAGTCGTCAACAAAGAGCCTCGAGGCTCGAGGCGCACAGATCTGACCGTAAAATTGTGAGGAACACGCAACGGATGATATCTGCATAGACAAAATATCTATCGACACCGCATTTCAGAGGTCGAGCAAGTGTGTATCGAAGAGTGCTTGTCATTGCCAGCCCAGCCACCACCCAAACTGTGCCAGAAGCCAGTGACTGAGCTGGCCATGAGTTTTGGCCAGTGAACCATCTGGCAAGCACGGCGACTTTCAAACTCCCATTGTGTTGCATCAATTATTCTTAGCAACTCACCAGGTCATACATGACAGTAATTGTCATACACTATTCGAAGGACAAAGGCTGCACTTGGCTGTCAAGGTCGCTTCTCGAGCACAGCCACAGATTTTGGCCTCAACCAGGCAGCCTGGAGGTGGGGTGTTTGCACTTTCTACTTCGTTCCGGATTCGTCCATTGCTCTTGGTCCGCAGCACCACTTCCAGCTGGGGGATGCGCTGCAACATAAGTGCCAACACAGTGCAGAACGGCTTATGGCCATCCGGACCTGGAAACTTACGATAAGGCAACACACAGGGCTGAGGTTTGACTTTGGGAGCTCGATAAAGTCTGATAAACCGACCAGGATCATGTAGATACTAAATCGAGTATGGTGAAAGTGCTCGACGAAGCTTTCGTCAGCCCCTCTTTGTAGTAAGTCACCTTGCTTATGACTGGAGGCCAGATGCTGGCCAAGGTACCGTATATGCATTGTAGGCGAAAGCACAAGATACGTATTTGGTGGAAGGTCATGCTACTTCTCTATGTTCCACCCACGCCCCGAATCCACGGTCTTGTTTTCCCTCCTTTGCTGCCTGTACCTGTTTGCATCGTCTGCTGCTTGACTGTTCGACGCCTTCTTCCTTCCTTCCCAGACCGAAACTTGAAACATCAGGACAGAGACTCTCAAAACGCCGCTATGCGGTACATTTTCTGTCAATTGGTGGCCTTCTTGGCTTTTATATATGGTGCGACCGCGCAGACAGCCACAGCGAATGCCTTAGCTTCTTTTCAAACCGTCTTGGTCGGGTACGAAGCGCATTCATTCGAGCCAAACAACTTGACTGCCAGACCGGGAGATGTGATTGTCTTTCAATTCATCGCAGAGGGTCATACAGTAGTGCAGTCCAACTTCGAAGAACCATGTGTTCCGAGAGATGCCTACCACCGAGGCCGCTCTACATTCTTCAGTGGCTGGTACAACAGCAGTGATGTTCACAGCGACAATGTAAGTCACTCGTCAAATCTGTTCTGTTAAGAATGGCTACGAACAATTTCCCCCTCTAGCCACCGACCTGGAACCTGACAGTCAACGACACAACCCCGATCTTCTTCTACTGCTCCCGCCTAGGTTCCTGCCTCGATAACAAAATGATCGGTTCCATCAACCAAAACGCCACCTACACCCTCCAAGCCCAACTCGACTCCATAAACTCTTCCGACATAATGCTACAACCCGGCCAACAAGTCCCCGAAGAATCCATACCTACCTCTACCTCTGCACCTTCGACTTCCCACCACGGAGTCACCTTATCAGGCGGTGCAATCGCCGGCATCGTAATCGCAGGCGTTGCAGTCCTCGCATTAGCCTGCGCACTCTTCTGGTTCGTAGGTCGTCACCGCACGCTAAAACACATCCTGAACTCCCAATCCTCACACTCTGCACATTCCGGCGCTGTCGAGAGTTGGGTAGATAGTACACATCCACCTAGCACTGTAGGAGGTCCACCCTCAGCACGTCCACCCTCCTATGGTCCTGATGCGGGAGGCTACATGGTCCCTATGGATGGAGCAAAGCATTGGGATTACAGTAATCAGAGACAGAGTTATATGCCCATGACACCGCCGATTCAGGAATTGGGGATCAGTGATCCGGTAGAGATGGAGGAGACGGGGAGAGGCAGGACGAGAAGTAGGAATAGGGAGAATGAGTAAGTTTTACATCCAAAGTGTTTGATTTTGGAGTGGCGAATTCATAGGCTGACCACGTAGACCACAGATCGCTGATCCCAAAGTGGTAGGAGTCGAGCCAGATATTTATGAGAAGGAGTAATGTTTGGCTTCTTGAGGGGGAGGGACACTTGGTGAGGTCAGAAATGTTTTGTCTAATATACTTTATACCAATTGTGTTATGATATGATCTCTTGCATCAAGGCATATCGAGTGAGCTCAGTGAAGATGTCTCTCCAGGACTTGGGAGCAAAATCAGTTGGCATATCAACTGCATGAAGTTTGCGGAAACACGCAGAGAAGAGTCAAGGAGTTTGGACTAGTGAACTTCTCATCATTCATATTGGCGCATTGTTTAATATCCAAAGTCCAGTCAAGGAAATGTTGTTACAAGGTGCCAGCCATTATCCTACTTTTCCTCATTGGATACTGATACGGCTGCTTCTCTCGATCCTTTCCAGACCGCCCATGAACGGTCTCAACACTTCAGGAATAATCATGCTCTTAGTACTCTCCTCCCATCCAGCCTCCATGATAGCAGCCAGGACTCTGGGCACAGCAAGTGCAGTGCCGTTGACAGTGTGCGGCCACTCATGCTTACGTCCAAACTTCTCGGTCTTGACGCGGGTGGCTAAACGTCTGGTTTGATAGTCTGTGCAGATGGATGCAGATGTGACCTCGCCCCAACCTTCATCCTTCTCTCTGCGTGAAGGAAAGAAGGCTTCAATGTCAATTTTGCGAGTGGCAGAGGCGCCGAGTTCGGTGGTAGGCATTTCCAAGACGCGACAATGAAGACCCAAATTCTGCAGAATCTCCTTCTGAATGGCGACCATGTCATCGAAGAGAGCCTCCGAAGATGAATGCGTGGGCTCGGAGAAGTGGTCGTCGCCTACATTATCAGGCATTGTCCAGGCGAACATCTCGACCTTTGTGAATTCGTGAACGCGGTAGAGACCCTTTGTATCAATACCTCTAGCACCAGCCTCGGCTCTGTAACAACGAGAGGCGCCAATGATCTTGAGCGGCAGATCTGCTTCCTCGATGACTGTGTTGGCCTTCATGCCTGCAAAAGGGATCTCTGCGGTTCCTGCCAGACACAAGGCAGGCTTGTTCTTGTCTTTCTCTGGTTGGGTGATGGCGTAGATTTGCTGTTCATCGTTCTGGTCGCGAGGTTGGAAGCCGCAAGCGTGGGCAATGTGTGAGTAGACGATTGATGGTGGAGAGACGACCTTCCAGCCGCGCTTCATGGCGATGCTGAGGGCGTACTGAATAAGGGCTTGTTCGAGGAGGGCGGCTTCGTTCTTGAGAAAGTACCAACCCCAGCCCGAGGTTGTGGCTGAAGCGGTGAAGTCCAACATGTCGAGTTCGGAGCCGACGTGAACATGGTTGCGCCAGACGCGATCCGACGGCGTAGGGTTGCGATCCGGATGGTCATTGAGGTACTCTCTGACTGATGGTTCGTCGCCTTCCGGAGTGTCCAGACTGCTCAGGTTGGGCAAGGCAAGAGCCAGCTCTTCAATCTCATCGTTCATCTGCTTGTCTTGGGCATCTATTTCGGCAAGCTCAGCCTTCAACTGCTTTGCTTGTTCCAGCAAGGCGGGATCCTGCCTGGTCGCGGGGTTTGCGAGTTGGCGTCGCAAGACATTGTTGCGTTCGCGGAGGTTTCGGGAATGTCTCTGCTGCAATTGCAGTTTGTCGTGCAGTTCAAGGATGCGCCATGAGTTCTTTGATTGTTGCTTGTAGTTGCGGGCGATGCAGTTTTGCTCGTAGAGACCGGGCGCGTTGCGGATGTGTCTGATGTCGATGGTCGGCTTGGGCGCTATTGAAGGACGCGTATAGCTACGAGAAGCAGTGTGTGCAAGTCTGCCGACCGAACGGCAGCGACTTGACGTGGACAGTTGTGGAAGAAACATTGACGGAAGCTTTGCGACAGGTCGAAGCAACAAAACAGACGCCGCGCCCGTTTCATGTCAGAGACAAGACCACAACGTCATGCCACTTTTGTCTTGCTTCCTCTTGTGAGTCTCGACATGTTTCGCTCCTTCCTCTGCTGTCATGCTTCGCTCCTTCCTCTGCCGTCATATTTCGCTCCTTCCTCTGCCGTCATGTTTCGCTCTCACGAGACAATTTCTCCTGTCCGTAATAGGTAGGTACGCTTAGAGACAACACAAAGGTTTGACGGTTCTTTACTGCTACACAGACACGGCTGGGCCATGTGATTTGTCGAATGGCTGGACTGCGCCCCGGCCGCGACGAGATCCAAGACTACTCGAACGAGTGCAGACTGCTATATACTCGTCCAAGTGATGCCGATTGACAAACAAACACGCGTCCAGCATGGTGTCGCACATTGAGGCACCCGAGCAGAGGCTACCCAGTCCGCGACGCCCACCTTGGGCCTCCAGCAGAGCCTCGACGACACGCCGCCATCGTTCAACACGCTCCCACCACGCTGCATCTCCTTTGTCGCCGCTGAACGAGTTTCCCGTCTTTGCGCATACTGGTGATGTCGACGTTGTCATCTCGTCATACTCCGGTCGCAAGGAGCAGCGCTACCTGCTTCATACCATAATCCTGAGCCAATGCTCGTCCTTCTTCGCTGTAGACACGAAGCGCCCACCCGTACACAATGCTCTGCCTGCTCCCCAATCCGCTTCTTTGTCGCGCATCGGCGACATCAACTCGAGCAGAAGCAGTCTGGACTCGATGGATGCGCGACGCCTCACCTACGTCCTCGACTGGAAACACACAAGAGAAGGAGACACACCACGACTCGTCCAGCGTCCAATCGCCATGAGTCCGCCGCCCGTCTCGCGTAACAAGCCGCCTGCTTCGTCCTCTGCCTTCTTCCGCTCCATGTCGAACCTGTCCGCCCTATCCTTGAACCAAAAACCAGTTGCGCCGCCGAGCCCAGATGATCAAGTGCTGAGAGATTATGACAACATGTTCCGCATCTTCTACAACTATCCTCCTACGCTAAGTACTGTCAACATTGCTGATGCCTATATCGAATCAAAGAGCCTGCTACATCTGGCTCAGATGTACGATGCTCTAGACGTTGTAGGCTTGCGCATAGACCACCACCTTCTGGCTTTCCAAGGTCGCCTGTTCAAGCAGATTGCTCGCTATCCACCATCCTATCTCAAGCTTGCCTGCCTAGCCAAGTCAAAGCTTATCTACACCGAAGCCTTGATCCACATCGTGGGCCAGTGGCCACAAGCACAGTCACAGCTCGTCAACCACGTTGATCCGCTTGTTCTCGATATCATCGAAGACAAGGTCCAAGAGTTGGAAGACGCCAAATTGCGCATTGAAGTGCGTCTCTTCAGGCTGACCCTGACTACCAGTCGTGGCGAGCGCGTCAAACCCTCAAACGCTTACTTAGAGTGGATGGCCATGAGCCTCTTCCGCCAGTGGCTGGCTGAAAACACCACTCCTGCTCCAACGTCCATCCTCAAGAATTCATCACGTCCGTCTTCCTCCGATGCCGCTTCGGCCTCTGCCTCTGTGTCAGGACCATCAGGTCGTCCGTCCAGTTCAAGAGCGCTGGTCACCACCAAATCTCAAACACCTCAACATCCACCACCAGCTCATAACTTAGGCCGGGTGTATCGCCTCCTGGGCAGCACAAATAAAGAGGCCTACCTGAATCATGAGGAGCGTAAACGCTTCCTCAAGCTCACACCTGAGATGTACTCTCGCGATAACCTCAAAAGGTTCGAACGGAGAATTGATGAGATCAAGAATCTAGCGAGAGATGCTGTAAAACCACTCACTCGCAACTTCCTCGAACTCGATTCAGGCAGTCTTATGCCGCCACCAACTGGGCGAAGTAGCGCTACTGCTCCCTCCACTGGCGGACTTGGCTATCTGACCTGCACAAAGGTGCTCGAGGAGGACTTTCCTTGGGCTGCCTGACGGCTGAGGCCGTTACAAACATGATTTCACGATTGATGATGATGACGCGGATAATTCAGTTTATGTTCTTCTCACGGCCCTCGATTTCTCACTATGCGTAATCTCTTCATCCACGATCTTCGTTTACTTTGCTTTCCGCTCTCGCACAGCTTCTCACTGATACCCACCTCTCTATATTAGCTTAGTATGCATTCATTCCTTCGCATCGGTTACTCGTTTTTCACTATTTCGCCGTGCACTAGTGATTTGACCTCCATAACACTGTCTCTGTGCTTTTCTTCTTCCTTTATTGCGATGCGATATGAGACGACGAACTGTTATGCCACTACGGTCATGAAGGCAACCAATAAAGACGTGATCGAGCTGCTCAAGCACCTCACCATCTCTCTTCACCAATCTCCTCCTCTCCAACCCCAACGCTAGTACAGACTATGCATCACACCATAGCAGCATCTTTCCCCCCAATCTTTTTTCGGCTGAGACAACCAGAATCCCATCTTTCCATCGCAGTAATAGATCCGAGTCATGGGTACACGTCCCACCGATCTCAAGAAATCACGGTGTAACAAGCAAAAGAACCAAGGATAACGCCTTCATCGGCTCATTCGGCCCGACGTCCCGAAGATTCCGATCAAATGGTATCTACTATATTGAGCATTTGAAGTCGAGTACAGAGATACGAGATATGGCATTGCGTTATGACATCGGAATTTTCTCGCTCGATACACAAACTCATTGTTCGGATGCTGGAATGTTACTGGTAATGTGGCTTATCGCACCCGTATCGGAAGACTTGCCCGGAGAGATAGAGCACAAGATCCACTTTCGATGCTTTCCCAAACACCTGGGTGCTATAAGTGTGGATACTAAATGATAGTACGACGGTCAAACAAGCAGATGATCAGATAATGCAAACACGAGATACAAGTCACGGAATATGCGCCGAGAGCCAAGATGCAATGTACGAAGTAAGGCAAAGGGCAAACGTGACAATCAGGAAAAAAACAGAGGGCACCTGAAGGACGGGGAATAGCACGTTGCATTAACGGCTATAAGCATCCGTGGCGAAGCGCTTAGGCACCACGAACATGCTCCAACCATGCGGTCCAGCTGATCGCTATTATACAGAAAACACAGGTATGGAATGGAAACAATTAATGAGTGCGCTGGTTTTCAGCACATCGGGTCCTTGGGTTATGCATACTCCTCTCTGTTGCAGTAAGTCCAGAGATGCGTCTGGATCACGGGCCGACGTTCAATAATGGCAATATCAGCGACACCAGCGACCGGGTGCATGCGGACATGTGTCCGGTATTTTGGTTGGTAGGGAGTTTTCGGGGGATGAATGTCAAGTGAGACAAGGTCATGCTTCGTTGTTCAAGCCCCGGATCGTTGTCTTGGTTGTGCATCCGGATGACTGAATCGGGACATTTTTAGATCTGCTGATGATGTCGTGGTGTAGCTGATGCATGTCCTAGACAAGAGCTCAGAGTACCTTGCTTTCTCATCGATGATTTTGCCTCATCGAAGGCGACAGGTCCACGATGGACAGGTGATTCGGACCGCTTCTCCTCTCACTGAATTACAGCCAGGGTGCACACGCCTCGTATCCCACCTCGTCGGCCACATCATCATGCTGTTGCATCATACTAAAGTCTCGTAACGTCTCAGCGCCAACACTGCGCTTGTTCTGAATGGCTTTGAGGCGTATCTCGTGAACGCGGATATCCGCAGCAGCCATCCGCTCCATCACGCTTTCCTGCGATCCGCGTCGCCGGGGTTGTTGGTAAGCCTGTTGCACCCCTGAGCTGGTGCGGCTACTTGCTTCGGAAGTGCTTGAGATCCCTGACGTCCGGCTGTGGCGTCGCATGTGCCGCCAGATCCGCCGAGCCTCATCTTGTACTACAAGGCTGTCCGGTCTCGGTTCGTAGTCGATATGACTCTTGTCCACGGGTGTGGCTATGGTTGTACCGTTCTCTTCGGGTGTCGGAGTGGACGGAGCGGTATTGTAGACCTGCAACGCCTCGGCGTCGGCTGATTGCAACGTGATATTTCGTGTACGCTTCGAGTCTTGAAATTGTCTGGCTGTTGCTGACGACCGTACTACCTCCCGTGATAATTTAGTCGAGATCGTCTGCTGAAACTCGAGTTCCTCACGCAAGTGCTGCAGTACTGGTGGCCCGTCGTTGCCGGACCAGAACTTGCCAAATTTCTTGTGCAAGATTCTGATTGCAATGTTTGGGGGATAGTTTCTCGCAGCGAACCTGGCTTTCTCAATCTCAACTTCCAGACCATCCTGGTCCTCTTGTCCACGGATCGTACCCCATTGGCTGCTTCTGTTCGTGCGGACCAACTCACATGCTTGTTCAACGCGTAGTTCCGTGGCCAGCGGAAGAAGAGAATGCCTGTATCGCACATCCGCCTTGAACAGTTCGGTTTTGAGACTTCCTAGTGTCTCCTGAAGCCCTCTCAAGAGTCCCTCAAGCGAGGCTGGACCTGAAGTTGTTTGGGGAACGACAGAGGGCACGCGCACCTTCGCGAAAAGAGTCGTACATTGGCCCGGATGCAGTGTCGCTTTCCGAGGAGGCGTTAGGAGTCTTTCCACACGACATGGCTCGGCCGAATTGATAGACACTCTGACGTGTGAAAGTTCTTGGATACAAGGTTCCTCGCGTGCAGACTGGACGAGAGCCTCCAGTACATTATCATTGGCTGTGTTCCATTCAAAGCACCAGCCGGTAGCTTGAGGACGGTCTTGAGAGGTGGGAGCTTGGTATGCATAGCCAACCTGGATCTGGTGAACTGGCCATGATACCACATCGCGAAACATAGACGCACACCTCTGCGGAAGTGGAGATAACACGAACCCATGTGTGACAGAGTCAAAAGTACCCTCAAGCGACGTGATCGCCGAAGTAATAGCGTGCTGCATCATAGCAGATATTTTGGCTGCAGAGGGCGGTGTTAATACTTTGCCGACCAACAGCTCTGCCACTTCAATAGCGAGGGATGCTGCATCTGGCTTCTGCAAACAATAGAGCTGACAGCCATGATTGGTAGCTAGGCATTGCGACTCATGGACACAACTGGTACAGAATACCGCCAAGCGGTCTCGATCATCCTGTAGTAGATTGCAAAGTCGTCGGGTAAAGTCGGATATGCTTCTGAGAGCCAATGGGGACACAAAAGGTCTACCCCGCGTTAGCGTCTTGCCGTGAATGAGAGTGGGTACAACACGAACGAGTTGTCGATGAACACGATGATATCGAGAGGCTTATGGACTTTACCGATGTGTTGATCAGACGCAGGTAGATTGACGTTGTTCATGTCTGCCGTAAATTTGGAGTCGCTTCCGACGCTTGCTTCAGCCTTGATCATGGCCCATATGGTCGCCTCATCAGCCAAGTCTAGAGTGCTCCATGCCGGTGTGACAGAGAGATTGATGTGAAGCATCGAGAGGTCAGCCTGTGAAGTGACGAAGTGAGGTTTTGAAGATCGAGTGGACTTCCTGTCTGCACGAGGAGTCTTTTCAGGGGACGGTGAAGGACTTGGCTCTAGCTCTTGTGATGGGCTTGGAAAACTGCCATCACTTCCGATGAGAACTTCTCTGTGCTTCAGATTGAGCGCCGTGAGGAGATCCGGTGTTGAGATGAAATCTTCCGCAGGCAACAAGGATACAAGACTTTGTGCTGAGTCAGAGGTGAGTAGATGTGGAGTAAATACATCACCCTGCCTCTCGTGCTCAGAAGCTGAGCAACTGATGGCGACATCATCTTCTGTCCTCAGCGGTACCTTGGAAGAGCTTCTCGACCGGCTGAGAAGACCGCCTTTGACTCTTGAGACAACTCTTTTGCGAACTGATAATTTGCGAGAGAGTGATGGAGCGGACTTCTGCTCACTCTTGTCAGACTCGATTGAAATACGCTTGGCCGGAGACTGCTCAATGACTGTTGTGAGATGGATACTGTTAGACTCCCAACTGAAGCGAGTGTTTCTCGACGAAGGTCTGGCGGATTCGTCCCGCCCAAGGTTTTGAATCTCTTGGAGTGGCTGTACGCTGTGATGCTTGTTGTACGAGAAATCTGATACAGAGCTTCCACTCGGTACGGCGACATCGTTCAGGTATCCGGTCCGCAGATTCTCACGTGTTTTCCGAACATTCAGAGGCGAATTTGATGTTCTGTGTGCTAGACGTGGTTGAGCAAGGACGTCACACTGCCCGTGGAGCTCAGAATCACTCGTAGGCGATACACTAGCATGCGAAGTTGGAACGATGGTGGAGAAGCTGTTCGTGGAAGCTGTATTCGAGGTAAACATGTGAGCCCGCGGCGGATGCCATCCACGCAGTCCAATGGATCCTGGTGTGTGGCCATAGGCAGTGCTCGACGATATGTTGCTTTTGCTATTCTGTGCCGCTCGGAGAGTTCTCGGATTCGTGTTCTGCATGCACCGTCAGAGAACCGTCCGGAATCAAAAGACTCGAAGCACCTGAGACTACCTCCTTATTGGATGGCATGGCTCAAGACTAAAGAGATGCACCCTGGTATCCAATTGGAGCAATGAGAATATGACGAAGACTGCTGAGTACTCGACGGTCGTGCCGAAATTGGTATTGCGTTGAGTCGAGTCAGAGTGCCCGAAGAAATCCATGACGTGTCATGTGGGAGGTTATTTGCGGAAGGCGCGACTGCCCTGTAGACGCTCACAATTCGAATTCTCTCGTCTCGAGTTCTGCACGCAAGCCAATCTACTAAGTTGTTCGTCTAAGGCCGAAACATGGAGAAGCACAAATGTTGCAGCTCGTGGAATGTCTGAGAACCAGGTAATTTCTTGGGTCACCACTTTCTACAGAAGGCGAATTAAGCGACAAGCTCATCGTCAGCTCCATCGTCTCTGTTCCAAGGAACTTGAATTGCTTCTGGATCAATATCCAAGAAGCTGATCTGAGGTACAGCGTTGGTGGGTTTGTCCTCTGGGAGACTCAACAGCGGAAATGACTCACCAGGTTGTCGTTGGAAGCCGAAATGTTTCCAAACAGGGTATGCTGTGAGATACTCGCTTGCACACCCTTCTTGACTCTTTCTTCCCAGACACCTTCCCAATTCCATTGTCCAGGCCTTCGTGCGCCACCCGGTTGTTGACGTAAGGTGGGAGATGCGGGGCTCTTTCCATCTTCTGGTGTCGCGGGGAGGAGCGTAGATCCAATGACTCGCGCCCTGTGAGTCTGCCATGCATGCCATGCTCCTGGATTGCCTGCGGCTTCTAGCGGTACTCTATCCAGGACCTCTGCCGTGTCGAAGGTACTTCTCATATAAAACAAGATCTGCACTATAGCCAAAGGTCCGTACGACTGTCGCGAGTGCTCTACTGCCGATGTGACGTCTTCATTTGAAGCGACTTGAGACGTCGGCTTCGGCTTATTGCGCCCAAACCATTGAGGAAAGCCGTGTCGCAAGCTGAAGCCGCCAGGTGGGAGGCGCTCGTCATCGGTAGCATGGACGGTATCGGCACCCGTGTCGCTTGTGGTGTAGGTGTAAGTGGTCAGAGGAGTAACCAAGGGATGGAAGATGTCGGTCGAGATGGTAATGGTTGGAGGCTTGTCGGTGGCAAGGAGCAGGGAGAAGTTGAGGATTGCGGGTGTGTAGGGGCCTAGGGGGTTTGAGAAGTCATCCAAGCATTCATCACGGCGACCCTACCTTTGCGGATGAATAACACACCCTGCCACACGTGCGGGTCTTGCGGTGTGGGTGTGAGGTATATGCCTTTGGGACAGGCCTGTTTCACGCTGGCGCTACACAGACACTCATGAGCTCTTCGCAAGACAGGCCTGAGGAATCGGACAGGCAAGCATACAAGTCCAGGCGCCGTTGTTGTGCCTCAAAAGTCTGCGGCCCTCCACGAATGTTGGACTGCGTCAGAGACATTGAACAATACCGTAACTCAGGTGGTCGTGTTGTCGAGAAAATAGGTAGGATGCTGTCTCGGCCTCGCTCGTTGCGTCAGCCCCGTCTCCACTCCTGGTGACGAGCGCTAACGCACCACACCCGCTGTGACAAGTCACAACGCAGCTAGATGTATCCGTCTGTGTGCTTTCCCTTTCCTATCTCTACGCACGTATAACTATACACGTCGCTCGGATACGAAACCCATCTCTTTTGAGATTGGACTTGAGCGCTCTCGTAGTGGGGAATCTCCAACTTCCATGGTCAATTGGGTTCAAGCCGGCGTCTATCGCCCGCGTCTCACAACGTCCCTGCTTTCTTTTGTCCCTTGACAAGTACGAGTCCGAATTTCTTTGCTTTGTGCATGAGCAACAGTATCATGGCGGCCCCTGTTTGCCATAGTCTGATAGGTCACGAGACCCGGCTCGAATCTGGTTAGCATTCTTGAGCGTGCGATCTGTTCCTTCTGCAGCACTCGATTTCTCCATCTGACCCGTGGCTGCATCCTGCTTCGGCCCGTCAGCCCGTCAATGAGTCTCTCGTACCTGGGAACGAAACAGCGAAAGCCACGATGACTTGCGTCTCTATAGGCATAATGCTCATATCTACGTGAGGCGGCGAGCGACATTCCTCAACCAGTAGTCGGATGTCGCATGACTGGTTCATGCTCGGACAGCGGCGCCGGGAACAACAACACTCGAGTGCCCCTTGACGACGAACACGACATGCTGCAAGAGAGCTGCTCGCAAGCCGCCGAGCCGGTTTGTTGCAGCCCGGCCTCGTGAATTGATGCGACAGGGGTATCAATGTTTCTTCACCGATCCACCGACTTGACATGTACCATGACGTTGCGTCTCCAGTTCCCAAGATCCCCCAGAAGTCAAAAATGCGAAAGTCCACTACGGCGCCTCGTAGATGCGGAACCTAGACGGCGCCAGGAAACGTGTTGCAGGCCATACCTTGCTCGGAGCGAATTGCAGCGTGTCCCTGGGCTAGCGTCAGAGCTGTCTGGAGTTGATCGAAGAAGGTCCTTGGAAGCTTCTGCCTTTCTGCGACTAGCGCTGCAGCCGAGCCATCCCGAAACCCACTCGCCTGGTTTGCTCCCTTGCCCTCGATAGATGAACCGTCTTTATTAAATTTACCAGATTCCAGAGAACCTCCCGGCATCTGACGTTGTACATGGACCCTCTTGCCATATACAAGATATCTTTGGGTACACCATTGACGACAATCATCTACTGCAACCGGCAGAAGATTTCTTCTCGGCTACTGACTGACGCCAGTCGGGCATCATATCGATATCCGTCGGCACTGGTTGGCTGCGCAAAGAGGACGAATGACCTTCTGGCACTGTTATACACTGCCTAAAGTGCGTAGGCATGTGTTGTCCTCCTTACCGCCAGTCATTTGGGAATCTCTGACTCTGTGGCCAGGCTACGTGCAGAGCACATCATCAATCTTCATGCGGTTCAATATAGTGTGAGTACCGACCGCTGTGGCAATCTATCGCCCAGTTTCTAAAGTAGAGACACGTCGAAGTCTGGGAGATCGACTACATATAGGGTTGTAGATTAGGCTTAATAAATATCTTCGTTAAGCTCCGAAGCCGAGTTCCCCGGTCCACTTACCCGAATTTGTGGGCATAGTGTACCAATTAGTGCCTGCAAGATCCTCCGCACTGGTTCCACCGCAAGGTTTCATGACCAACAGGGGAAGCATGGAACCTTTCGTACTTCCGCGATCCGCGAGATGCTCGCTTTCACACAGGCCAATTCCTTAGGAATGCACTTCACCGACTGTAACGGTGACCCGCTCTCGCCAGGCCTGTCAGCGGCATTGTGACGACTGTAATAATAACCTTTCGCCCTGTCCTCTTCCTCTCGTTCCATTGATCGTGCCACCTGACTTGTCCCTCTTCACCGTCTGTCAAGTCGTGCCACCATTCATATGCACCTATCCGCTGGCCTTTGCTTCTAAGTCCCATTACGTTCGCATCACCTACCCGAATCCGCGGTTCATCTGTTCCACGACCTGAACAAGACATTTTCATCATTGCATTGTCAGCCGCTCCGAGACGCTTTCTGGGATTCGATTTGTTCATAAAGGGCGTGCCATCGCCAGGACTTGAAACAGTTGTGCTCTCTCAATTCTTCTTTGGATCGTACAAAGGCACTGGAAACCCTCACCGACACTCCTGTCATACACCTCTTCACAACCATGTCGCCCTCACAGACACAACGCCGTCGAGTGCAACAGCACTCGAGTGCGTTCCCGACTCGACAACTCTTCGTGCTAGGTATGCCTTGACGCCCTTTCCTCGTACACTCACACATCTAACTTTCACTCAGCGCTATGTCGTATCTGCGAACCTATTGCCTTCATGTCAATCTTTCCCTATGTCTATTACATGATCTCTGGTTACCACATCACCAATGACGAGAAGCAAATTGCTCTGTATGCCGGTATGGTTACGTCTGCGTTCGCCTTTGCCGAGTTCTCGACAGGAGTCATGTGGGGCAGATTGAGCGACAAAGTTGGACGCAAACCAATTCTACTCATGGGATTGGCTGGTACCGGAGTGAGCATGATTGTGTTTGGTTTCTCTCCCAATCTTACGACAGCTCTTATTGCTCGCGCATTGGGTGGTCTTCTCAATGGGCAAGTTGTGCCGTGTCTCGCTTATCTGGTCATGTTCTAACCTGGAACAGAAACATCGGGGTCTTGCAGACCACAGTCGCAGAAGTGGTCACTGTTGAGTCACATCAAGGTCCGTGAAGATCTGTGTGTTAAACGCAATGCTGGTACTGACGATCTGTAGCACGTGCGTATTCGATTATGCCTTTTGTCTGGTGTCTCGGGTAAGTTTGCCGTATATGCCATCAGCACCACTCTACTCACGCAATCAGATCTATCATCGGCTCTGGTCTGGGAGGAACGCTTGCAGATCCCGTACACAACTATCCAGGCTATTTCGAGCACGGATCCCTGTTTGACAAGTTCCCTTACCTGCTCCCGAACTTGGTTTGCGCCGGCGTAGTCATCTTCGGATTGGTAATCGGCATCTTGTTCCTCGAAGAAACCCATGAGGATTTCAAGGACCGTAGAGACTATGGTCTTGATGTTGGTGACTGGATCTTGGAGTTCTTCCGTCCGACCCAGCTTGTTGGTAAGGCCGGCGAGACATTGGCTCTATTCGAAGACGTCCCTCCGGGTTACTCATCAGGTGTATCGTCACCTGCAATGAATCCGATTCTTGTTGGAGAGTTGCCAAACGAAGCCCAACCTGTGTCTGCGCAGACCGTGGCCACCGGTCGCCGTGACGCAGCTGTCAGTAATGCCTTCACTTGGCAAGTTTGTCTCAACATCGTTGGTTACGGTATCCTTGCTTAGTAGGTCTTGCACAACAATCACATTGATCACTCACTGACAGAAACACAGCCACACAATATCGGCCGAGCAACTACTTCCCGTACTCTTCAGTCTGCCCGAGTCTGAGGAGACGCCCAAATTACCTTTCCAATTCTCGGGTGGTTTCGCTCTGCCAACAAAAGTCATCGGTTTCATCCTCTCAGCTCAAGGCTTTATCCAAATGTTCGCCACACTTTTTGTGTTCCCATACGTCAATCGCAAGATTGGAAGCCTGGCAACGTTCCGACTTGTCGTTCTCTCATATCCGATCCTCTATTTCATGGTCCCCTACGTCACGCTTGTTTCAACGACATTCCGCATGCCTTGTATCTACTTCGTTCTGGTCTGGAAGGTTGCGGCTCAAGCTCTCTCGTATCCATCTCTCGCTATCATGCTGGCCAATGCTGCACCATCAAAAAAGGTTCTAGGGACCCTGAACGGTGTGGCAGCCGCTGCGGCGAGTCTATGCAGAGCTTTTGGTCCTACTCTATCAGGCTTGGTCCAGTCACTGGGTCTTTCCGTAGGCGTACTCGGTCTTCCGTGGTGGGCAAATAGCTTTGTCGCTTTGATCGGCGCTGTTCTCAGTCTACGCATGGTTGAAGAAAAACGCCGCTACACGAAAAACGAAGAAGCAAACTTGGAGTCTGAGGATCTACCGTTTCTGGACGCGGACGTGCTCGAGAACGTGTACGCTGAAGAGTCAAGACACTGATTTCCTGGAGCATTCACAAATCCTCTCCGTCCGCTCCCAGAGAGACTCACGACCCACAAAATACCTTCATCACGATTGATATCGAAACACCATCTTCCAAGCCATTTTCGTTCAACAATCATCATGATTCGATTCAGAAGTTCAGCTAGACGAAGCAATCATACGGCAGGAACCGTATTCGTTCAAACAAGGCGGTATCGGCTCTAGAGGAGTTTTCCGTATTTGACAAGGGAGGGTTTCCCCAGGCGTTCTCATCATGTCTTTATTTTTTGTGGCTTTTGTACAGCACCAGGTTTTTCAGACGAGAGTTAGGCAGAGGGGGCGCTGGGCGCTATATACCCGCATTGGGCTTTACTCGATAATCTCGAGTCACCGGATAGGAAAGGAAAGGCGTCTTTACGAACTGCAGACTGAATCAACGAAAGCATCGCATTCTCAAAATTCTCGACATCGAATTCCTTTGATAGATAAGCCTGAGCATGCCACTCGACGTCCTTGTGCAAATCCCTCTCGGTTGACGTGTGCCCCTATTCTCTATACTAAGCGCAGAGCAACAGAGAGTCGAATAGAAAGACGATAGATTTACGATCGATAAGTTACGAGCAGAGGCCTCGAAGATTGCTGCGATGCTGGGAAGTGTTCGTGCTTCGAGTCTTCACGCATGATAGAGTTTCAACACGCAGAGATAAGATAGGCCAACCCCGCGCCGACTAAGGAGACAGGCCCGGCGGATAAAGCAAACGCCGACTCATCATCGACCTTGAACACTCAACTCTTCTTGATTACCCAGAATTAACTTAGAAACCGGCCTTGCTCTCATACATACTCAAAATCTTTCACGAAATCAACATGTCCAGTAAGACTGCAGTTTTCACATCAAAGGCACCCAAGCCTTTGCCCGGTATCTACAGCCAAGCCATCGTCGCCAACGGCTTCGTATACTGCTCAGGACAGATCGCTGGGGATGAGACGGGCAACATCATTGATGGTGATATTCAAGCTCACACTGTAGGTCTCACTGTTCATCTGCAGAGTTGTACACACGTTGCTGATTTTTCCGACAGCACCAATGCATCAAGAACTTGACTGCCGTCCTGACAGAGGCTGGAACAACGATCGAGAAGGTTATCAAGGTCAACATCTTCCTTGCAAGTATGGATGACTTCGCGAAGATGAATGAGGTGTATAAAACTTATTGGGGCAATGTCAAGCCAAGTAGAACGTGAGTGCTCTTTCTTGTTACCTTCTGGTATTGACATGCTAACACACTGTGTAGTTGCGTGGCTGTCAAGACTCTGCCTCTAGGCACAGACGTTGAGATCGAGTGCGTTGCAGTACTATAATCGCATGGAATAATCCTCGCCCAGATATCGATGACGAGATTGAGACACTCGTACGGCTCAAAGGAAAATCGCGACCCTGACCATCGCGGACAGGGTGCTACTCTTCTCAAGCTTTTCACGACCAGAACGACCATCGATGTTCCATCACCCGTGTGGGTATGATTATAATATGGTCGTAGCTTTTCTACATGCTATCTTGTAGCCTACCTGTCGCTTTAAGAGCGATTGTGACCTTGTCGCTGCGATCAGGAGTTGTTTAGGCCGCATGGATTTTGCTTGTTGGTGTCAAGTCACGCACATAACTTTCCGTCGAAACAGGGAAACATTCAGGTTCGGGCATGAGACTTTCGTTAAAACATAGCTCGCACTTCAAAGATTGAACGTAGCAGAAACCCGCATCATTCTGCATCAGTAAAGTATTATTGTCGATAGACATAATTAATTGTCATTATTTTGTTGAAGTAAATATCCAGACGGACCAATTTTATCCGAGGCTATAGACCGATAAGGTTAGCGGCTATCCCACATAACGCGTTCAACAGCCGCGCGAAAACCCAATGACCAGCTTATCAGTGCATGATGAGGACGTGAGAACAGGTGGAACAACGACGAGTCATTATTCCTGAATCGAAACGTGCGAAGCTCGAGACCACTGCATCACAAACACAGGGGAAAAAGGAAGCTACTGGACCCGGAACTCTGAACCTGCCTATTTGTGTGCAGCAGGTGAAGGCAGAGACAGGACCCCGGTGACCTCCGCGTAGCCGCTTCGCGCTTGCTTCGGTGAGCGATGCCGACCGCAAAATGAACAATTCCATCAATTCGTCCAACAAGAAGAAGCGTGCCAATCCGCAGGCCTCTGACGGTACTGATGAAGCCGTCGAAGGTGCTCCGGGGGAGGGTGCTGCCGTCGCTACCAATGGCGCGTCTACTTCGGCTTCGTCATCAAACTTTCGCAATGTCAGCGCGTGTAATCGATGTCGACTGAGGAAAAATCGATGCGACCAGAAGTTACCGGCATGTACGAGCTGCGAGAAGGCAAATGTCAAGTACGTGCGATGTTGAACATGAGCTATGATGCTCGGCTAATGATTCGTGCTAGATGCGTCGGCTTTGATCCTGTTAGCAAAAGGGAGATACCAAGAAGGTGAGAATGTATGCGAATTAACAGCTGATGACTTTTACTCATCTGGAACAGTTATGTGTATTACTTGGAAAGTCGAGTGCAGCATCTGGAGTCTTTGCTCCAGGCCAACGAGATACTCTATGCGCCGACAGACGATTTTAGTATGAGCGTGACAACACCACCTTCTCCTAATGTGGCGTCAATGGGAGAGACGACCGTAGCAGGAGCACAAAACGATCGTAGTAACGCCGGTCCTATCTCAGCTGTATCAAACGAGCAGACCGAGCAGAAGCATCTCTCCAACCTTGTCCACAACATCGGAATGGTCTCAGTGCAAGGAGCTTCTGATGCCAGATATCTTGGCTCGACCTCTGGAATCTCCTTCGCTAGGGTTGTGTTCGCTGCAGTCAAAAGCTCCGTGTCCGGATCAACCTCCGAACGGGGCGGCGTACGGCCTTCGAAGCCACTCACGAGTGGCGCGGCTACTGGAGGCACCACCATGAGAGACTCATTCTTCGGTCTTCAAACCAAGCCAGCCATTAAGCCAGCTACTTTCCCGGACAAGGATATCGGACAACGGTTGATGGAGCTGTATTTCGAGCACTCCAATCCACAGATCCCTGTCCTCCATCGAGGAGAATTCATGGCATTGTTCGACCGAGTATATGCTACCGATGAGAAGAAAAGGACACCACGAGAGCTATATATGCTAAACATCGTCTTTGCCACCGGTGCTGGAGTCATTCTGGAAGCCTCCGACAAGAACAACGATGGAGAAAACGCACCCGATAGTAAGACTGGCCAGAGCCGCAAGAGGCAGAAGTTATCTCACGAACAGTCTCGGCCTGAGGAGTATCACGCTTCAGCTATAGTACACCTAGAATCGTTCCTCGGATCATCCTCTTCTTCAACAGATGGTATAGGTGGCGGCCTCGAAGAGTTACAAGCTGTGCTTCTCCTAGCAGGATTTGCGCTACTTCGTCCAGTCGCACCAGGATTATGGTACATTGTAGGTGTCGCAATGCGCCTGGCTGTAGATCTCGGCCTCCACAACGAAGACCCCGAGGCTTCTGCTGAGACTGGTGAAGACCAAGGTCAGACCGAGATGACAGCTGCTGCAAGGGAAGAGTATGGACGCCGTCAGTATATCCGAGACTACCGAAGGAGACTGTGGTGGTGCGTCTACTCCTTCGATCGCTTAGTCTCGACGTGCGTTGGCAGACCGTTTGGCATCACGGATCAAGTCATCACCACCGAATTCCCGACGTTGCTGGACGACAAGTACATTACGCCCAATGGCTTCTTGACACCGCCACAGAATGAGTATGGAAGCATACCGAGCTATAAACACGTCTCGTATCACTATTTTCGGCTACGTTTGTTGCAATCAGAGGTACTGCAGGTGTTGCAGCATCGTCAAACGCAGCAGTTTAGGGAGAGAGGCACTGTGCATGGAGCCAACCGGTGGATGCATACAGACCTCCCGTCGCCGTTCTTGTCGAGGTACTCGAGTTTCAGAGAATGGCGAGGCGACATCGATCGAAGGCTGTATGAGTGGATCGAGTCTTCGCCTACACAAACGATGACCGGAGTGGCCTTTTCGCCACTCTTTTTGGAACTCAATTACTGGCTCACGGTCACCATGCTCTATCGTCAATCTCTGTCAGTACCTCCATCGCTTGCTGGAGAACTAGATGCCACCACAGGAGACGATGTTACAAGTCCGGGCCATGTCGATTATGAAGAAGAAGACGAAGAAATGGTGTTCTTGAAAGTGGCCGAGGCTGGCCAAAAGACGCTTAAAATCTACCGTCAACTACATCGGGTGCGGCTAGTCAACCACACTTTCCTGGCTACTCACCATCTGTTCATGTCTGGGATATCTTTCTTATACGCTATCTGGCACTCCACAGTCGTAAGGTCCAAGCTTACTCTGGATGACGTCGACTTCACGATCTTAGCCGCAACATCGGTGCTTGGAGACATGATAGAGAAATGCCCGCCTGCCGAGGCATGTCGCGATGCCTTTGATCGCATGAGCAAGGCGACTATCGCAATGGTTGAGCAGACAACGGGATTTGGATCACAAGCATTGAGATATATTGCCCAAGCGCAAAAGGTACAACAGCATGCAGAAGCGGCTGCCGCGAGCGAGCACATCATCAGGAAGCCTAACCCTGCTTCGGTGGTTGCGACTGGCAACCAAGGCAGGTCTCAACAGCATCAGCAGCCACAACAAGCCAGACGACCCATGCCACGATTCGACATGAACCTGCGAGATCTTTTTACGGACGATGAGTCAACCAACCGACCATCAGCGCAGAGAAGAGGGCCCTTCCCCGCAATGGCCAGACCTCAGAACGCGGCGATCAAGCGAGAGGGCGGAGCGGGCTTCCCAGGCACACCTACGGGACCTTCTTATCAACAAAACCAAATATCTCCTCAGCTATATGCGCCTAGTCCGCCGGTTGACTCATCTCTGCAGGCAACGCCACCTCCATTGGCAAGACAATCGCCTAGTCAGCATCATTATTATCCAAGAGGAGGGCAGAACTACTTGGCTTCCGGACCTCAAGGAGTGCCGGGTCAGCTTGAAGGATTCGAGTTCTTGCAAGACTTCCAAGTTCCAGATCAAGGTGGTCTTTTAGGTCAAGCAGGACAGGCACCAGGCGGATACGGAGAATTCGACATGGGTTTTGGTGCCGGCGGACTTGCTTTCGATGGCGGCGGTCAACCGTGGGACGAACATGGAGGATTCGACTTGTTTGATGGCTTCTTCTTTGGTGGGACTAATGGTGGTGGACAGAGGTAGTAAAAGTAATGTCCTTGTTGCGACTCTTGAAAAACGTGGTCTATCTCATTATTGCTACATGATAGCTTCCAGACCTTGAGATGTACTTTCCATGCGGGTAAAGACAGGAATAGGCAACTGCAAGCGTGGAGGTCCGTGCAGCTCGCGGAGTTCGGTCGAGCTGCGATTTCTCTTTTAGTGACGTTAGGGCCGAAATCTTTCAGATCTTTCCATAAATTCATCAATCATGCCGCAACGAAAAGGAAGAGGTGTAAGCATCACATGAGGTCGTATAGCAGATTACAGCGACTGACAAGCTGGCAGAACTGGGGCAAGAACAAGGGCAAGAGTGGCCGTGGCGGCGGCAACAACTGGTCGACTGAGCGCAAATCGTACGCCGAAGTGCCCAAGGTCAACGAGCAATTCGAGAGACTGTACAATGACATGAGCATTGTGCCCGAGGGCGAGGAGCGCGAACAGTTCTGGGCTGCGCTCCGTCGCGAGCTCCCCAACTCGTTCCGCTTCTGCGGCAGCAAAGGGTAATCCAGATTGCCATCGGAACATGTCGACAAGCAGTAGCTGACTGTCGATAGACATGCGCTCGCCGTGCAAAAGAACCTGGACGAACACTTCATCCCTCAGATCAAGTCGATGAAGTTTGACGACCAGACGGTCGAACCTCCCATGCCCATCACCTGGTACCCCAACCAGCTCGCCTACTACATGACAACCCCCAAGAACGTCATCCGCAAGTTCCCTCCCTTTGCCGCCTTCCAGAAGTTCCTCGTCTCCGAGACCGCCGTCGGCAACATCAGTCGTCAAGAAGCCGTCTCCATGATCCCCCCGCTCCTTCTCGACGTGCAGTCGCACCACACCGTTCTCGATCTGTGCGCCGCCCCCGGAAGCAAGAGTGCTCAATTGGTTGAGATGCTGCACGCTGGAGAAGAGTCGCGTATTCGCAAGGCTACAAAGCAACACCAGGACGCCCAGGCCGACCCCGCTGGAGCTGCTGACGAGACTGTAGAGGGCAACGACTGGAGTGATGATGGCAGAGCTACTGGACTTTTGGTCGCAAACGATGTCAACTACCAGCGCGCCCAGATGTTGGTTCACCAGGTCAAGCGCTTGAACAGCCCCAACTTGATTGTCACCAACCACGATGCCACCATGTTCCCTTCCATCGAGCTCCCCGCGGACCCCGTTCCTGCGGGCACCAAGAAGCAGGGCAAATGGCTGAAGTTTGACAGAATTCTTGCCGACGTGCCTTGCTCTGGCGACGGTACTTGCAGAAAGAACCCCAATATCTGGAAGGATTGGATCCCTGGAAACGGTCTTGGCCTCTACATTACTCAGGTCCGCATTCTTGTTCGCGCCCTTCAGATGCTCAAGGTTGGTGGTCGCGTCGTCTACTCGACTTGCTCCATGAACCCCGTTGAGAACGAGGCTGTCATTTCCAGCGCCATCGACCGTTGTGGTGGTATCGAGAAGGTCAACATTGTCGATGTCAGTGATCAACTGCCAGAGCTCAAGCGTTACGCTGGTCTTAAGCAGTGGAAGATCATGGACAAGGAGGGTCGTCTCTGGAACTCCTGGGAGGAAGTCGAGGATGCAAAGTCAAAGAAGTTCGAGGCTTCGCTTGAGCGTGTCGTTCCCGGCATGTTCGCTACTGCTGGCCACGACCTTCCTCTTGACCGCTGTGTTCGCGTCTACCCTCACCAGCAGGATACCGGTGGTTTCTTCATCACCGTCCTCGAGAAGAAGTCTGAGATCAGAGCCAAGCCCGAGACCGAGACCAAGGCTACCAACAACACTCCTTCTGTCGTTTCTATCGCCAAGGAGATTGTAGCCAAGCCCGAGTCCGACGGTGTCATTCCTAAGCTCGAGACCATTGAGGACTACGCTCCTAGAAGCACTGACCACACTGTCGAGACCGGAACCGCCTCTGCCGCTCAACGTCAGAACAAGGAAGCCATTGCTGACATCGACACCGCATCTAACAAGCGCGGTCTCGAGGATGTCGGCGATTCTGCCGCTCAAGACATCAAGAGAGCTAGAACAGAGAAGGATGAGGGCGCCGGTCCTGGTGCCGTTGGTGAGGTTGGTCAGATGGAACACTGGCCTATGCCTCCTTCTGCACCTCTCAGACATGACGAAGTCACTCCTGATGAGCCTGCCGCTGCAGCAGCAGCCGGTGGATCTCGCGGACGCCGTAACAACCAGCCTCACGAAGAGGCCTTCAAGTACCTCACCCCCGACCACGAGGAGCTTGATGGCATCTTCGACTTCTATCAACTCTCCTCCCGCTTCCCTAGAGACCGTTTCATGGTTCGCAACGCCCTCGGTAACCCCGTCAAGGCAATCTACTACACCACCGCTCTTGCCAAGGATATCCTGACCAAGAACGAAGGTCGTGGTATGAAGTTCGTGCACTCGGGTGTCAAGATGTTCGTCAAGCAAGACGCCCAAGGTCAAGATATTTGCCGCTGGCGTCTGCAAAGCGAGGGTCTTCCTATTGTTGAGGGCTGGGCCGGCGAGAACAGAATAATTCGCTGTTACAAGCAGCAGACTCTGCGTAAGCTTTTGATCGAGATGTTCCCTCGCGTTAGCGGAGAGCACTGGAAGGAGCTTGGCGAGATTGGCGAGAAGGCCAAGGATATCGGTATGGGATGTTGTATCCTCCGTGTCGAACCTTCTGATCAAGAAGATGGCTTCAAGTAAGTTTTTGACCATGCTAGTTGATTGAATCTGAATGTCTACTAACAAAACCTCCAGGGAGAGATTGACACTACCCCTCTGGCGCAGCATTTCTTCGCTCAACCTCATGTTACCGAAGGAAGAGCGTCGTGCTATGCTTCTCCGTCTCTTCAAGGACGAGTCCCCACTCATCGACCACAGCCAGCAGCCTAACCGCAAGAACGGCCCCGCAGCAGACTCCACCGTCTCTGCCACCTCAGCGCCGGAGACCGTTAACGACAGCGACGGCGGTGTGGCATTGAATGACGTGGATGACGATATGGAGGATGCCGATGCTACTGCTCCAGTAGGCGCTAGCGGTGTAGGCACTGAAGAGGACGCCATGGCCACCGAGGATGCCCTCAGGGCTAAGCAGCAGGAGATTGTTGATGTTGACCAAGCTGTCGCTGCGGCGCCGGAAAGGGAAGGCGAGACCGACGAGGCCAACACTACTGTTTAAGACACAAAAAGTCATGATTGCTGGACATATTTACGCTTTCGAACGATAAAAAAGCTAGAGAATGAAAGTTGTTCGTTTCCGTACATTTGATTTGCTCGTACTTGTGAGTATGAATTTGTCGGCGTTGTCGATGCTCTCAATCACGTCGACGCCAACACTGCTCAGCACCAGTGCGATCGCCAGACCGTTCCTCTCTAAGACTCTTCGCGTCCACCACAACTTTCACCCCAGCACCGCTGAGGCTCGCCGTCGTGCGTCACTTCTCGGTACTCCTCAGGTCACTTTCGAGGTACAGATCAGGTAAGTACACTCTAATTTCCCAAGCATAGACTCCCCCATGAGATGAATAGGGGCGTCAAGAAGCGGCCGGGAAGCAGAGAAACGAATTGCCCCTGATGACCTTCCGTTGAGGATCTCATCGTCGGTGGCATAGACGCCAGTTCTGGAGCGTTATCGCAGCCTTCATCTCCCGTGCAGTAGATTTTTAAAGCAAGTCCAGACGTGGGCTCTACGTCCTTTCCTGAACGGACCGCATCCTTGAAAACCTCGCAAGAAAACACAAGTCTGTCGACGGAGCCTTGAAGGAGGACGTCTCAAAGCAATCACTGCAGCATCTCAGATTCCATTGTACAAGACGACGCCATTGAAGAGGAAGCGAGCTGGACTCGAGCAAACCCCACCAAACAAGAGACTCAAGGAGTCAGCCATCGAGACCCCCGAGCACCAAATGTACTCCGTCCCAGCCGACTCAGCAAAGGCACTTCCTACTCCCACTTCCGCCCCACCAGCGACCTCTCTCTCTCTCGTAGCTCCTGCAACCTTCTCATCGAAGCCTCTACGACCACCATTTTCTCTCAGCCCCTCGAAGCAGGGTGATAAGTGGAACACGACCTGGCGTACAATCATCACGTGAGTTTCCAACAACTCAAAGACCCAGAAGCCTTACACATGGCCAGTTCACATCACATCGGTTCTGGAGCATATCTGGGGCCCGGCTGGCATTGACAGCGTTCTTGATATGGCTGCTTCCATCATATCGAACTACGGCATGTGCTGCATCGATGCAGACTTCCAGGTCAGCAGTCCACAGTCGCCGGTACATGAGCTTGAAGTACGACTCAAGCGAATCTGGCAGCTCTCGAGACATGGATCCCTGCATGCTGCAGAAGCGATTCTTGAGTATAAGATGCTGTCGGAAGCATTCTTTGACCTCGAAGAGCAGACGCGCCATGACTCCACGCTCGTGGAGAAGGGCAGGGGGTCTCTGTCCAAAGTCGAGGTAACCATGGCCCTCCATGATCAGCGCTCGATATAACAAGAAAACTCGTGCTTTGAGTCAATGATACGCTTAGAACACTTTACCGCTCTAGAAAGACGTGTGCCCCCTTTTCTCTCCACAGACCCCACCCCTTATCTAATTGCACATCCTTGTACTACTCTCTGGTCAGGCGAGGTAAGGAATCGCGTGACAAAACGCTTCCATAATTACCAAACTCATTCGTCTCTCCTCAATAAACGTGCCATAGACGAAGGCTAACTGTCAGAATGCACAGTACTTTCCAGGACATTCGCATCAGCCTTGGAGAGCTATTCCGCTTCACTCTCCCTAGGTGCCATCTTAACACTGTATAAGTCTCTGCTTCTCGACAGCTTTCTGACGCCCCTATACATCGTACTGGGAATTGTAAGTTCCGAGAGTTGAGTACATTTACCTGATCTCCGTCTGGATGCATAGCGTTGAGAACTTGCTGCATTATGAAGTTGGCTCGAGCCTGTGGTTGAGAGTAAAGTCATGAGAGATGACTTTGCTCTCTGCTTCTTGTTCAGTACGTCGAACTTCAGGTTGCGAGGGATTGCGGCACCTCCGAGCACATTGAAGTGCTTCCAGACGTTCTCACAGGCGAGGTCGCACCCTTGCTTCAGCCAGGGGGCTGTGCTTAGCCAGATAGGCCAGGTCCGGCTCCAGCTTACCACTGATTTCGCAGGCCACTCCTGCCAGCTTCTTCCTAGAACCACCGACGAGGAGCGAGAAGACTCCGCCGCCAAGGTACGTCTGCAGCCATAACAGGACCTCCGAAAAACGAAGATTCTTCTCGACAGAAGATCGAGTGGCAGCCGCGGTGGGCGCAGAAATGTCGTAGGCCTCGTTGATGGTGGAGGCGATGAGGAATTGGCGGGGGGAGGACATTGTGTCCTTCTTGCCTAAAGAGCCGGAGCCGTCGACCGCAGTCTCGTAGACTGGGTACAAGAGGCAGTTCTTCTCCTTCAAAGCCGAGATCCGGCTGTGCAACAGGTGGGCAGTGTTGACCTTGGGTCAACAACAGCTCCACCTCCGCCATTGTAGTTCTAGTGTCGGTCACCATTAGGCGCTTGATGGCATCTCCGAGAAGCTGGTAAGGCGAGTCAGAAGTTGTCTTAGCCAGGCCTTGTACACTAAGGACGGCGGTGGTGAGAGCGTCCTGGTTTTCACGCAGAGACTTTGCTAAGCCGGCGGCGTGTTGCACGCCCTTGAGGGAGAACATTTCCAGGAGCATGTTCTGGAAAGCCTCTGAGGCGGGTGTGCAGACGTCATCACCCAGTGCTCTCATCATCATTGCCAGACTCATATGCCAGTTGACATCGCGGTCGGGTGGGGTCACGACCCAGACTTCTGCTTTCTCGAGAGCACACTTGGCTGGTGCTCTAACAGGCTTTTCGGCAATTTCCTGCTCTTCTCCATGATTCAATGGCTCGTCACCCTGAGCGACTGTAGTCTCCTCTTCCTTTCCGGGCTCCTCGATCTTTCTAGCGCGCTTTCTCGTTCTGCTCGAGGTACTCTTGTGTTAGACTTCCTAGTCATCCACTTCACTAGTCTCGCTGCTGGGGGACTCCTTCTCCTTCTTTTTCTTGGGTGTTGTGGATCTCTCAAGGGATCTGCGGATATGGTCGACCAGAGGGGTTGTATAAGGCTGCCACTAACTCTCCCGACCTGCATTACGATGTTTCCAGCGAAGTGAAGAGAGCAAAGTCATCTCTAGTGACCTGGTACTCGGAAACGTTTCCGTAACGCTGGCCATCAGTGACTTCCGCTCGGTTTCGCAAATATCCGTGCCTCGATTCAATGATATTCCTCGAGGGGCTGAGTAGATAGGAGAGACTCACATTCACTCATACTTCTCAGTGACCTCACCCCCCGATGAAGCCCGATAAGGAGAACTTCGAGTCAGAGACCAGTACGCTCTATCTAGACAGCGTTGGTAGAAAGTATCCATGTACCATGAGAGTCTTGAGTGAGGCCAGCTTCCCTATGATTGATTTGTCCTTCCTCATGAATAATACGGTCGTGTCGAGATACAAGTGTTCGAGCGTGCTTCGCTGAGCCCACATTAGACTTCCAAGTGCCTGAGTGTGCAGGAATGAAGGTTCCTCGGTTTCTGACCACTCCAGTATTTTCAAGCCGGAGATGTTGGTTGATATGGCTTGTAACACGCTCGAGTCGATTTCGCATCCGCGGAATCTGAGGCAATGCAGGGAATGTGTCGAATGATCTCGGATAGGCACAGTGCGATTGATCGGAGTATACGTGACAGATGCTGAGTTATTCACCATAGGTCGGAGTGAGATGTCATTGATGTCGCTGTTGCAGAGCGTGATGTTCTCCACAGTTGGAAGAGCTATCAACTGACACAAGTGAACGCCAGACATCCTGTAATTCTGGTGCATGTTACCGATGTTGAACTCCTTGACTGTACAGGAAGCAGCCTCACGATCAGAAAGAAGAGCCATGAATAGTTGTGTGGTGCCGCATGGAGGTCTTTGCCGCATCGACACTCTGGCCATATTTGGTAGCAGAAAAAGTAGCAACAAGATCGCTGAATGCTCGTCGCCTGTTAGCAGGTCGTCGACGTCCAATCGTTTGCGGAGCGAAACTTTTCTTCCAGCATTGGGGTCGAGAGACCACGTGCGTGAAGATCATCCGGACTCCTGAATTTACCAAGTACCGATCGGTTCAAGGAGATATTCCATGACCCTAGAACCACTCTCTTGACGTTCGCGGCGAGGCGAGGCTGGCTAATCACAGTTCGTAGGAACATTGCCAGAGCTAGGTTGGATTTAGCGACGTTGTAGTCCATCGTCTTGGATCCGTTCCACACTTGCTGGACATTTCTCGATCCCCCGTTGTCTTGCTTCGTAAACGTCGAGTAGAGAAATGGTTCGACGAGTACATGCCATCTGATGCATACCAGAGATATGCCAGCAAGCGACTTGGTAATCAACTTCGACTCCCTACTTGGGACTGATACATCGTCCCACCGACGGTCGTGTTCTTGAGCATCTTCGAATACCTTGAAGATATGGAGTAGAAGCTCTTCAGGAAGGTCGTTTATTGACATATCGGGACAAATCGTCGATTTGAACTTGTGAGATACCGTCGCAACCTGGAGTTGATGTGGTGCAGAGATTGCAGGATGAGAAATTTAGACGTAAAGAAAGTAGTTGAAAGCCTGAACAGAGGGACTTTGAGAGAATTAGAGCTTTGTGACAATATCACATCCACGTAATCGCAACTTGAACCAGAGACTGCCGCAATTGAGTAAAGCCACTGGAAGAAAGCCCGATTGCTTTGAAATAATAAAGCGTGTCTTCGCTGAGATGCGACAACCGCATCAACAACATTTGGCGGTCTATGAATCCCACGACACCCTTCGCGATGTCTCGAATATCGAATCCCGACATGTCTGACTCTTCGTACGTTATCCATTTGAAAGATTCGATAGCAGAGCAATTTTGCATCAGGACTTCGAAAGTTCTCTTACTCATGTGGCAGTCGACGAACTTGATCTGAGTCAACGTCGAAGGACGCTGCAGTTCGTGCTGAGGGTTGAGGCCCCTGCGTGGAGGCACTGAGTCAGGATTTGACACATGGCATTTGTGGAGCTCGATCTTTCTGAGGCTTGGAAGCGACATCAGCAAACGCAAGCGGGTCATGCAGGTCGTTAGTGAAATATCCGGGTTACTCAAGCTGACGTACTTTATTTGGCGGGCGAAAGGCATCTGAGGGTTTGATCTGGCAATTGAGAACCATTTCTCCACCAGAGGTACCTGTGCCAGATATAGATGGCTGGCGTTCGGAGACAAGTTCAGTAGGAAAACGATCTCTAGATCTCCATCGCCATCGAATAGACGATACTCGGAGCTTGCAAGCTTCTGTTTGATTGTCGAATACTGCCTGAGAAGAGCGGGAGTAGGAGTTCCCACAACTATCGATGGCGGAGGCATCCACATCGATTGACTCTCGTACTGACGATGCACGGAAGTGACACATGGATTCAGAGCGATTCTTTTGATGTGTTCGGCAAGCTGAGGCCGTCTGATTATGGTACGTAGGACTGTCCTCAGTGATTGATTAGGCATAGCCAGCTCGGGGAGGATCATCCGATTCAAGCCAAGGCTGAATTCGACGTCCCTTTTGCAAACACAGTGTGGTCTCATGTATGTGGAGTACAGTAAAGGCTCCACGATGGCATGCCACCTGATGCAGACTCCAGATATGCTTGCCAGAGACTTGATGTTCGTACTTGCGTTACCGATCGGGACATTCGTGCGTCTGAATGGGTTGTCGTCCTGTCTGAGCTCGGCAAGTGGTTCGAAGATCTGGAGCAGGAGCTCTTCGGGAGTTCTTGTATTGACATTTTGTCTTATTGGAAATCCAATGGTCGGTGGTCGCTCGACACTTTTTGTTAATTTGTCAGGATGAAGAGAGGACATTAGACATACCCATTCCCTCGTGAGATGACTCACTTCCTGGCGAGAGCGATTGGGCGAATTAGGCTAGTGTAGTCGTCGAAGATGCCTGCAAGAGGAAATAAAGCTCATGATGTGCACCACTCGAGTCACGTTCGCGGGGTCAGGAACATGGGAACAGTCAGCTGGGTCGGTGTTCGATATCGATGATAAGCGGAAACTGTCAATTTTCGAAGAATCATAGAAGATGAATGTCTAGCAAAGTCTTCTCTTGCAAAGATACACTAGATGTCTGTCAGCTCCTTTCAACGACATCTGACTCAATCCACCTCACCAGAGATACCCCTCTCGCATTACTTCCCAGCCTTGATCTTCTTCGCCACAAAGTTGACAGCAGCCTCATACCCAAAAGTGCCCAATCCAGCAATAACAGCAACAGCCTTATCAGACAAGAAACTCTTATGTCTGAACTCCTCCCTCGCATGCACATTACTAATATGACACTCTACAAACGGAATACTCACACCGACCAAAGCATCTCTCAATCCCACAGACGTATGTGTTAGAGCACCAGGGTTGATGATGATCCAGTCAATGTGCTTTTTGCCATCGCCTTGGGGGCCGAAGCCGGCGGCGGCGTGGATGCGGTCGATGATAGCGCCTTCGTGGTTGGATTGGAAGGTTTGGAGGGTCAGGCCGTGAGACTCCGCAAGTGCGACGGCGTTGTTTTCGACGTCTTTGAGGGTTTCACTGCCGTAGATTGCGGGTTCGCGGGTACCCAGGAGGTTGAGGTTTGGTCCGTTGATGATGAGGATGGAACCCATGACGATGGTAGATTGATGTGAGAGACTTGTTGGTAAACTTTGAAGCAATGTGCGAAGCGAGAGCTCGAGAAGTGACTGTGAGATTGTGTGCTTGTCCAGGAAGAAGATGCTATCTACTGTGATTCTACAATGATTTTTTGTCAAGACATGTTCTCGGAGGGGTTGGTGGAGTCTTGTAGCTTCGGCCATGCGATGCGGCAGGTGGTCGGCTGCAACTCTCCCGCATCGGCTACTGGATCGGTACTCTGCGGCGCCGTACGGACAAAACTTTACCCAGCATCCCACTCGAGTATTACAATCTCGACATTGCGATTCTCAATTCTCCGAGTCTCCGAGACTGGCTGTCGATGAAGAGCGGTCATCAACTCTACGGACAAGTCAGGCTAGGAGTCTGGAGTCATTTCAGACACACCGACAAAATTGGTCCAACACGGTTAATCTCCGGCAAACATGAATCCAGCATACTCTTTTCTTTGCGCGCAGCTCTCTTCCTCTCCCCTCTCACATCAACCTTGTCGCCCGCCGGTCGCTGCAGTCAGATGTCGCTGCTACGGCGGATGACGAGGTCTTGCAAGTCTCGGTAAGCAGCTTTCTCTTTCTCCTCCTCCACTTCCGGCCTTACCCACTCTCCTTGGTCATGATGAATGCAAGGGATCTGATATGGCCTTCCATGAGAAGAGTCAACAAGTAAATGCAGACCAAAAAATTGTTCCTACTTAACCACACTACAAGGCCTCAACTTTATGTCATGATGTCCTATTGAAGCAGATCGCTGACATACCTCAAGATAGATCATCCGCGCGCAATATAGAACTTGTTCGACTGACGGAAGCAGGAAAGAGATGGGAAGACATGTCTTGGGAATATATCTAGCATGTACACTTGCAATGAACCAATCGCTTCGATTCTACTCTACTCTATTCTCGACCTACATTACTCCCCACCCTTCCTTCTCTCCGCCTCCTTCTGTATCCACTCAGCCGCACTATCCTTGTACTCCTCATGCCACCTCGACAACGCAGGTCTTCCCTCAACCACATCCCCGACCGCATAAGCCATCCTCGCCTTATCCAACTCCTCACTGACATCATCATCTGGACAAACAATATAAAACTGCCCCTCGCACATCTTTTTAACACCGTATTCTGCAACCTGCGAGCCTAACCATGCACCCTCTGGCTTCTTGGCCTTGGCCTCTTCGTCAGGGATAGGTCCCGCATTACCCGAGAATCCGGTATATGTCCAGCCGGGGATGAGCAGATGTGTGGAGATCAAAGGGCTTGCCTCGCGCAAGTCATGAGCGAGGTGTTCGGCCAAATGCTTGAGTGTTGCTTTTGAGGCGTTGTAGGCTGGGTTGTTTCCACCAGGGGGATTCGTGATGCCCTGTTTACTTCCTGTAATCACAATCGCACTCGGCGTGTTCTTGTTTTGCAGCAATGGCAAGAATGCGGCAATGCCATTGAGTACTCCAAATACGTTTGTATCGTAGGTCTTGTGGTGGTAGGAAGGGTCTAGCCAGGTACCAAGAGCGCCGAATCCTTGCGAAGGCTTGAAAGATGCGCCGGCGTTCAGCACGAGGAGATCGACGAGACCAAACTTCGCTTCGATCTCTGACTTCAATGAGCGCCATTGGGGGAGTTCGGATACGTCCTGAATTCGCGCATGTCAATCAATTGCTGGTGTGGGCATGTGGGCTTCATCGTCGAGGCGCAAGCAGCATACCATGTCGTAGACTTCGGTCTTTTGGCCGTTTCTTGCACTTCCTGACAGAATTTCCTTGGCCTTCTCGAGTCCTTCAGTGGATTTGTCGACGAGAGCGACGTTCATGCCGTACTTTTGGCACAGCTGTGCGAGAGCAAAGCCGACGCCTGAAGCGCCGCCGGTGATGAGAGCCGTACGATTGGCTTGGAAAACTGCGGATGCCATGGTTCGTGGTTCGTGATCTATGATCTGTCTGTGAGAGGAGGCAATGGAAGGTACAAAAGGACGGGAGCAGAGCCTCGTTGCAGATGGGAAGTGCCTCCGATTGTGATAATGATGACGATGATGACGATGTTCAAAGAAGCTCAGCTCTCCAATTCTCGGAGTCGAGCTCCTGCCGAGGTAAACTTTGTTCTCAAAGCTCTACCCATACTGTTCTTCACATTCGCGATGCTACAACAAACCACAGGTCGCTCCTCACACGGCAAGTCGCACATTACACGAAGCATGAATGTATGAGCAGCTCTGTACTTTACATCTACGGAGACTTTTTCTCCTAGCAACATTGAAAAACCATCATCAGGCCTTCATATCGTAAAATCGTTCAACGCTTCTCGTTCTCTCCTACCACTCGAGGATCCAGTCCCGTGCCCATGCACCCGAAGAAGTAGCGTCTTGCAGGCCAGTAACCTTGAGTACCTTGCTAGTACCGTTATAGTCGACACCGGCCGTCAGAACCTGGCCGTCAAACGACACGGTCTGAGGCTCTTCCTGCACACCAAGAACAGTAATGTTGGCGAAAGCATTCTTCTCCTGCCAGGTACCGCGAGCAGAGGCGTAGAGATGTTGCTTCTTGGCTGTGAAGTCAACGAAGAGGGTTGCATTCTGGATGATGCTTTCACCGTCGTCAATGTACAAGCTGCCAGTAGCTGTACCGTCAATTGACAGCGCGGCAATGACACTCCAAGGAGAGCTTCTGCAAGCTCTAGTAGTGAGACCAGCTTCTTGTTGAGGTAATACACTGCCGCCACGAATATGGACGTTAATGTGGCCAAGAGGTGCGTCCATGGTGACATTGGCGCCAGGGATAGCGTTGACAGCAGTCTGCGTGTACCAGTCATACCAGACAACTCCATCCTTACTACCAGGAAAGACACCGTTGACAGTAGTGACCAGAGGGCGGAGAACAGGAGTGATCAACAAGCTAGGTCCGAGCATGAACTGACGGTCAGCAGCGACAAGGCTAGGGTCATTAGGAAATTCCCAGGTCATGGCGCGCATCACAGTGCTGCCAGTGGTATGTGCCATGTGGAGCAAGGTGTACATGTAAGGAAGAAGCGAGTAGCGAATGGCCATGGCACGCTTGCTGGCATCAATGACAGAGCCCCACACATAAGGCTCTTGAGAGTTGTCGTCCAGAGCGTTGTGGTTACGGTAGAAAGTGAAAAAAGCACTGAGCTGCATCCAGCGACTGCAAAGCTCCTCGTCTGAGTTTCCATAAAAGCCGCAAGTGTCAGGACCAACCATCGGGATACCGAGAAGAGAGAACGAGAGAGCCTGAGGGATGCTGAACATCATGGACTCCCAGGTGGCATAGTTGTCGCCACCCCAGTGTCCGGCGAATTGACCGGCGCCTGCGAACGTGCTACGGCCAATGATGAAGGGACGCTTGGCCTGGACGATCTTGGTCAGAGCGATGTACGTGGCATTGAGAATCTCGTATCCAAAGAGGTTGTGGACGTCATACTCTTGAACCCCGCTGGCATGAGTGGCGTTGGGCGATACAGCGTGAACAGCCAAATCGCCGAGGTGACCATTGATAACATATGGAGGGTGGTTGATGTTACGAACGCCGGGAGTGGGTGTGGTACGGAGATATGGGCGGGTATCAGTCGTCGAGGGACCTTGCTCAGCCAAGTTGGACGATGCCTGAGCCAAGGCCTTTGACAAGGCGACAGCGGCTTCGGTACTGTTGGTGATATTGAAGCCCTCGGGGTAGTTGTAATCAACGGAGCCAGGCTCACCTGGAAGATCGAAGGGTGGGTGAACGGGGTTCATGTGCAGATGATCGGTTCCACAGCTGCCGATACAAAAAGAGCTGACCTCTGACATGTCAATCCAGATACCATCAACTTGGAACTTCTGCCACCAATCGTTCATCGACTCAAACCACCACTGTGTAGTGTTCACGGCGTGCCAATCAGGGAAGACGGTGAAGCCCGGCCAGACAGCGCCAATGTACTCGGAGCCATCAGGGTTCTTCATGAACACGTCCATATCCTTACCACGGCTGTATACCGAGTAAGCATCGGAAGCGTTATCGGGGTTAGGATGGTAGATAGCGGAGTCGACGATCGGAACGTAATGCTGACCATTGGCGTGCAGCTCATCGATGAACTTCTTGCCTTGTTCGTACGGGAAAGCATTAGGATCGTTCTCGAAGTCTCTGTACTGGTACATGTAATCGATGTCATTCCAGATAGTCTCGAGAGGGATCTCAAACTTGGCGAAAGTGTCAATGACTTCTTGCATCATAGTCCAATTCTTGTAGCCCCAACGGCATTGGTGGTAGCCAAAAGTCCAGTATTGCTGCATCGCAGGCATACCGATGGCACCATTGTGGTACTGCTTGGTGACTTCGACCTGAGTAGGGCCGTCGAAGAAGTAGAGATCGATGTTACCACCGAGAGTTCTCCATGTGATGTTTCTGGCGTTCAAGATAGGCTCCATTCCATGGGAGTTTCTCAGGTAGACACCATGGCTGTACGAGATGTAGTTGGCGTCATCGCTAGCATTACCGGTCAAGAGAGTCAGAGCACTCGTCTCAGGATCTTGCTCGTAGTATCTTGTGTCCAGGTAGAAAGGGTGAGAGCCGTAGAGGCCGACATCTAGAGGATCGCCATCGTCCGTAGCGAAGATGGTAGCAGTCAGATTGTTGCCGAGTCTGATGTTGTGAAGACGCTCTCCCAAGCCATAGAGATTGTAGTTCTCGGGTAAGGCAGACACAAACTCGATGAACTGGTTCTCATAGACAAGGACTGTGCCCTCGGTAGAAAACAGAACATCGCCAGTTGACTTTCTCAAGACCGCAAAGGAGAAGGTAGGGTGATTTGACCAGACGAATTGAAGGTCAATGTCTTGGGTAGCCTCGTCGGGAACGGACTGCTTGGGCTTGTAGACTTGCTCGGAAGGCAAGATGTACCAGCTAGCATTCTCGGCAGTAATGTGAGCGGGAGTGATCTCGACTGCCAAACGGTGGGCAGACTGGTAGGCAACTGTGAGGTTGAGGACGTCAATATCGGCGCCGTAGATGTTACAAGCCTGACCAGCAAGGTTCAGAGTAGCAGTGAAACCGTGTTGGGTGTGCACGACATTCGAGGCCTTGTAACCAGGGCAGATGCTTTGAGCAACCTTGGCCTCGGGATCCTCGACGTTGGGAAGCAAGTGCTCGCCACGATCGACAGAGGCCGGGAGGGTGTACTGAGCAGTGAAGCTGGTTCTATCGTCAGCGTTTGATGCGCGTCAAAAGATTTAGAAGGGACTTGCGTTGATGAAGTGCCGTTCACCAGGATCGATGCGGTGGTACCAGACCAGGTGGTAGCAAGAGGCGCATAGTTCAGAGGCTTGGTAGGATAACGACCCTTGCTCCAAGTAGTGGTCACTGGCTCCGAGATGGTTGCTGACACAGGCAAGACGAAGAGGGCGACCCTCTTGGACGGAGGGAAAATCATGCTGTCGATGGCCTCGAGGAGACAGAGTAACAGGATGACAAGAACTTGTTGTGTGTCGGGAGATTTGAGGGAGAGAAACATGGTGGGCGTCTATGCGCGCACATAGTTGACAAGGACTATTAACGCGAAGGAAGTTTGCCTCGTACCTTCCGCGCGGTAGAAATTCACGAGTAAATGTCCCGGTATCACAAGCACATCACTACCTAATATTACTTACCGGTACTGTCACACACAAACAACACGCCGTAGTGAAAGGCTTGCAAGCGACCACATCGAGCGACCACCAAGCCATTTTCAGTTTGGCAAGGGCAGCAGGCAGGGCAAGTGACCCAAGGATGCAGGAACGAAGGAAAGAACAGAACAAAACGCAAGCCGACGTCAAGGCAGCGATGCGGCACCCCGCCATGTGGGTTGAAACATGGAGCAACCGTGCAGATCACCATCCTTAGCGAAACTCTTGTCTTGCGAGCACGGCTTGTTGCATTCGTCGACCTCTCAATTCGAGTTGTCATCCAATGTCGGTGCACTCTATCTTTGTAGCTCTCAAGGGAGGACCCAACATCCTAGCGGGTTGAGAAGATGATCAGATCATCACACGAGGATCCCATCGTCGTCTACCTCGAAACCTCACGCCTTGTTTTCCACAGCCACACTGAGAAGGTTAGAGACAATACGATGTTCGCAACAAAAGATAGCTGGTGTGGGAACTGGCGTTGCAAACATCCTTCTGCCTGAGAGCAGGGTGTTGCCCTCGACGAAGGTCGGCGATATTCGAGACGGTATTGTAACGCAACTATGTTTGATATTGAAAGTTTCAATGGCTCAGTAGGTTTAAGCCTATTGCATCTCGCAAATTTGTACATTCGTAGATCCAAAGTCAGACGTGGTCGCCGTCGTTGTGATTCGTGATGAACCCATGTTCAAATATCAGAAGCCAACACCAAGACGGTGCATGCCATACATTACCCTACCAGCTAGCGATGAGCATGACGAAAAAAGCAAGCATAACACGTCACAAGAACACGAAACAATCCCAATGATATCATGAGGAACCAAAAACCAACAAAACCAAAAATTAACAGTTCAGAAGATTCATTAAGTCATTGCCAAAATGTACAGACTCCTCCACGACTATTACCACTCCCTCATTGTATCCTTTCTTACCCTAACCATCCTCTTCCACTTCTATGACCACACAAGTTTCTTCAACGAGTACCCCAGCGACTCAAGATAACCAGTGCTCTTCTTAGCCTCAGCCACAGAAATGACGTCTTTCTGCTCGGCGTGTAACTTCTTCACACCTTGCTCTTCCTCTCCTTCAGCAATGTGCGTCTGCTTGTCGAGAGCTTTATTGCTCAGCCTTTCAATCTCCTCACAGATATGCCTCACCATCTCCACTTCAGTCATCTCACCCTCAGCATTTTTGCCCTTGGAAGCCGAATTTCTAGGTGGTAGTGCTTTGAAAGCAAGAAGACGACTCTCAGCAGCTTTGACATCCGTCTTCTTTCCGTCTTTCTCAGCAGCAGGTGCCTCTTTCTCATTGGCTAAGCTGCGCGTGTTCGTGCGAACCATAGCAGGTGTTTGACTCGAGTACTTGACCACAAAGCCCACGTTCTTCTTCTCGTCCATGTGAGTAGGTCCGAGGGTACTGGTGATGTAAGTGCCATAGTTGACACTTTCGACATCGACCAATTCCACACGTTCAAAGCTGCCTACTTTCTCTGTATCCCAGTCAAAGCGGCAGAAGTATAATGCAGTGTCTGTAAGAAGCACAATGCATTCTTCAAAAGGCAGAGCGCGGAGCGTATTTGCAGAGGCTGGACAAGACAGTGTCCAACCAGACACCATGTCCGCCGAGTCTTCGAGGACAATGCGCACACAGGTCTCGATGGCGCTTTGACGAATACGACCCATATCGAGAGCGTAGTCTTGATTCATCATGTCAGTCTCAAACTCCTCGAATACAACAGGTCCTGCATTGCCGAGCCAGAAATCGACGCAGGTTTGGAGGAAGTAGTCGCCGAAGATATTGTTGTAGTAGCGGTTCAAGGTAAGGCTGAAGTCTGTCAAGGCGCCTTGCCAGTTTCGTTTGCGGGTACGGGTAAAATCTCCCTTCAATGCGGCAGTTCCTGCGTATTGGCGAGAAATGGCATCGCCATTGTCAGCCCAGAGGTTGTTATACCAGGAAGTCTTTGGATCGGTTTGAAGATTGATAGTCAAACCCATCTCGGCAAGTTGGTCTTGGAGTGCGAGACCAGCCGCGCCAGACTGAACGACATTGGTTCGATCTAAGCAGTCCATGCAGTTCGTCCTCAGAACACCAGTCTGAGTGCTACTGAATTTGCCGTCTTGATGGACAGTCCAGCCGAAAGACTTCATGGTCGGCCTCAATGTATCCATCAAGACCGAGACGTTTTCGAACTTCATACCCTTGCACACAGTGTGGAAGTCGAACCAATGGAATCCAACTTGTTTGCCAGAAGCGCCTCCGGAGGAATTTAGGCTGTTCGCATGCTTCTCATAAGACTCACCAATCTTCGATTCTGTGCCATGCTTGTCAACCAAAGATGCGCACTGGACCTCTCCATACCGCTCAAGCATGTTGGAGAAGTGCTTCTTGAACGCGGCTTGGTTTGTTGCTTCTGAGCCGTACTGAATCGGGATTGGCTTGAAGCTGTAAGGGCTTTGCGAAAAGAACAAGGGTATAGATCCTCTAATCTGCAGGAACGAGAAGACCTTGTCTTTCGAGTCCCACGATGGCGTTGCAAGGATCTGCTCAGTCTCAACATTGTTGGCGACATAGCCGTCGTCGTCGATGCCGCGACGCAGGTAGCGTAGTCCTGCACGTTTGACGGAGCGTCTCGAGATCAAGGTCAACAGCAGCTCCTTGGCCTGTGACTTGTCGTCGGTTGTGTTTGCATTCTCTTTCTGAGCATCTTCCTGGACCTGGACGACTTCTGAGGCATCCTGCTTCGAGTCGACAATCTTGCTCTCTTCGTTCTCGGGTGCATCGACGGTGAAGGCGCGCTGACCGATGAAGCCTTGAATGACAGGCAACACGAGATTGTGCTGACCAGCTTCGATAAGCGGCTCAGCCAAGTTGTGGTTCCAAAAGTACTAAGCTCGTCAGCACATGATTAAGGCAGAAAGCATAAGAAGATGCTCACCAAAGGATCGGAACGCTTGTAAAGAGGGACAGACGCAGAAGCCGACTCCTGTCGTGAAAGGCTGCGTGAAATGTCGTAATCGTAAGAGAAGTAAAAGCTTCGTGAGGTAAAGTACAACTTCGTGGTCTTTAGAATTCGTGGAATGAGATTAGTAAGGGTCGTCTCGCCCGACGCGATAGGCGCTGCTTCGGTGGTCGGTTGTTGATCGTCTGAATGTGTTTGCGATTGAGTGTCAACAGGCGCGCTCTCGACCTCGTCTTTCTTGCCGGCGGGCAGAGAGTCTTGTGCTTGTCTCTTCTGCTCGTTGGTCAGGGACAAGTCGTCTTCGCTAGCGCTCATGCCTTGCTTGCGGATGCCGTCTGACTTCCAACCACCTCCCTTGGAGAACCAACGCTGAGCGAAGCGACCATATTGCCCCTTGTTCTTGATGACATCGGTAACCACAGTAGTGGCCTTGTTGATTGAGCCCTTTGGCACATGCAGCGGCTCATCTGGAGAGCCGACCGAAGCATTGTCGTCGTGTTCGTCGTCTGCGGTTGTACTGTTTGAGTCCTCCTCATCATCGCTAGTGTCGACCGACTCGGGCTTGTTGCCCTTCAGAGCCAGTTTCGCCTGCTGGATAGCATGTTGTGCTTCTGACTGCGAGGCCAAAGGGATAAGAGCGACATCGGTAATGACGTATATGGGCTTGCCGCGGATCTGAGCAATTTGCTCACGCTTCGAGATGGCGACAAGGTACGATGAAGATGCGAGGTTCAGGAGACCTTCGAGCGATTAGCGAATGAAAGGGTCTGTATAACTGGCGCTACCTACCGAGCAGACCGTGAGCTTCGAGTCCCTCGCTGGTCGAGTCTTCGCTATCTTGTTGGAGTTCAGGAGTGATGTTGTACGTGTTATAGCTGATCTTTACAGAAGGAGACGAGGGCTGTTGATTTCGTTGACTGAGAGGTTGCAACAGCAGACCATCTGCGGCCGCGCAGCTGTGTGACCGTCAGCAAAACATGTCGATGCACTAGTCAAGGCTAGAGGACTTGCATGAAGAGTTTGCGAACCAGACCAGGCATTGCTACAGCATTGGTTGCATCTGGCACCGTCTTGAATTCCGACTGTCTCATCAATCTTTCAGCCTTCTATGTGTTTGGCTGTCTTTCCTCGGCCTTGTCTTGTCCCAATGTTTCGCGACTTTGAAGCTTCGAGTGATGACGTCTGCGCGAATGGCCTGATTCTTCTGTCAGATTAATTTTGCTTCTACAGCAACGCGTCTTTGCAAGTGTTTTTCGAGAGACGCCTGACAATCAGTATCGAGGATGTCTTCCAAGAATGACAATAATGTATAGGGAGTGGATGCTGGACGTCTTGGACTTTGTTCATCTTTATTAGGTCTCATGACCCCCGCTTCCACGCCAACCTGTGCCGTTTCTTGACCCACGCGTCGACTTCGTGGATACACTTGGATTGACTCCAAAGTCAAGAATGCTATCACGGACGCTTGCTACAGGATCTCACTATACAACATGAACAGGTAAAGAGATTTTGCTTGTGGCGAACGTAATATTCGATTCTTACGTCTTATGCCAGATCCAGCTCAGCCGTTCGTAGTCTTTGTCGGCAGTCAAAGCATGCCTCCTTGTTCAAGAGACACATAAGCCGCCATGACCTATCAAGAAGCATTATCAACAGAATGCCAGTCGGAGCATGGGATAGTCATATGCATGTGACCTCCCCCGACTACCCGCTCGCGAAGACGGCTGCATACAAACCATCACTGCACAGTCTAGACCACGCCATGACCTTCGAGAAGACAATTGGTTTAAGCAACATCGTCCTCGTTCAGCCATCTATCTACGGTAATGACAACTCTTGCCTATTGGACGCTCTAAAGGAGATTGGACCATCCAAGGGTCGGGGCGTGGTGGCGTTTGACCCTAACGACATTGCACCCGATACATTACAATCATGGCACAAACTTGGTGTCAGAGGCGTCAGGCTGAATTTCAAGTCTACAAATGAATCTTTCGATGTCGAAGTCGTCAAGAAGTCCTTGCGCAAGTACGCAGATATCGTGAGACCACTCGACTGGGTCGTCGAACTCTTCATTGATCTCGAACAACTTCGCTTGATAACCGACATCATACCTGAGCTCGGTGTCAAATTTTGTGTCGCTCATTTCGGAGCTCCCGACATGAGACGCTGGAAGTCGTATCCTACAGACGCTTCAGACGTGCCCGGCATGCAGCATTTGACGACGCTTCTGTCACAGGCCGACAACCTTTGGGTGAAAATATCCGGTCATTACCGTTATGATCTGTCTGTTGACAACATGGCCGGGACCGAGTCCATCACCAAGCTGTTGTTGAGCACTGCACGTGACAAGCTGGTCTTTGCATCCGACTGGCCACATACTCGGTTTGAGGGTCTGGACGTGAAGCCGTTCGTTTCCAAATGCCTTGATTGGGCCGACGAGCATGATGCGAAGGATATGGTATTTCGTGACAACGCGAAGTTTCTGTGGAGTTGCACCTGATGCACGTCGTGATGGAGGCGAGAGAAGTCGCAGTGAGCGCTCAGGTGTCAATTGGCCACTCCCATGCTTGAATGAGATGTTTCTGTGTTGACAGAGTATGACGAGCGTGTACCCTGTCGGTATACCTGAGAATTTCAAGTAATTCTTCCTGCTCCTCGCGAGAAGTAAACCGATCTCCGCACCACGATATACCCATGCAAGTCGTGACCCAGATGGCCGCCGTCTTACATCCGCCTTGAGCTATGCCACAAAGAGCCCTAGCATGAGATCTGAGCTGGTCCTGCATTCGAATTAGCAAGCGTTGAGCCTTACAGTGTATGCCAGAAACTTACGTCAACAGTCTGCTCGTATGCCTTTCTCTGCAGTCCAAGCCGTGGTACGTTGGGATCGTGAGCAACAAGAAGAATTTTGGACAGATGGTAGTGTTGAACGCCCTTTGCGATGACGTCCCCAGTGAAGTAGGTCTTAGTGAATAGCGATCCGGCTATGCCCGACGGTTGCGACTGGAAAATGGGGTTGAAGCATGGAGGCCTATGTGCCATCCATGCTTCGCCATAGTCGCGAAGTGCTTGGTATGTAGTTTGATCGAGTGAGCCGTTCTGGAAGCAGTGGTTGATAACATCTGCACAGTGGACGATGATCCTGTTGGTCCACGTGAAAACGTCGGCTGCTGAGAACGAACGGTCAAGGTTACAATGCTCCAGCACAGGTACTATCGGCCTTTGGTTGATGAAAGCAACGACCATCTCTTGTCGAAAGCCAACCCACCAAGCCGCTTGTCGTAGGCCACCCTTTGTAGCAAACCTCTCTTGAGCGCTGATGAGAGCGTGGATCGCCGGCAGGTGGCTTTGTTGATCGTAGCCTGAAAGTGAGACTGGGCGATGTCAGTACTTCGTTGTCGATGCCTCCTCTCAACGCCGTTTTTCGACGCCATGTTCCGACACTTACTGTCCATCTCTTCCATAACTCTCAGAATAACCACGGCGGCTAGGATATAATCCTCGATGAGTGCATCGGGCTCATTGAGTACTGGTATCAGATGATCCAAGGTTTCTTGGAAGTAAGTCTCTGGTGACGGGTCGGTCATCTCTATAGTCTTAGAGATATGCTTAGAAGCTACCGCAAATATAGACGTTAGTAAAATAGGTGACAGGAATGCCATTCGAGGAACAAGACGACCAAAGACCTGATCTTGACTGCACACGTCGATACTTGGAGCCAGGTGTTCCATGAAGTGCTGCATTAGCCGTGACTCGTGCGCAGACAAGGTAGGCGTCGTCGGCAAAGAATAGGCAGCCTCTGAAGAGACTGTAGAGATGCGGCCTGTAGCAGGATCCCTGGGTGATCCAAAGCTTCGGAAGTTGTATGGCGATAGTGCGGCGTTGCGATCGGACAACTGGTGCTGGTAAAGGGAAGCATAGGATGGCGAGGTACCGTCATTGAGCGCAAACTCGAACACGGGCGATCTGCCCGTGGATGACGTGGTGAGGGTGGTGTCTGGTATGACTTCCGTTGCGAGGTCTATCGGAGCACTACGTGAGCGCTCAGCCTGGCATTCAGCAGCCACCTCGACGAGAGTCTCAAAGCGTATCGATGCTTGGGATTGTCCAAGAGTCTTAGCAGGTCCTTCGTAGTCTCCTGGGCCTTGGTCGCGGTCTGCCACTTGATTGTGCCTATCGGTGGATGCTGTTTCGAGGTGTGGAGTGGAAGCGGAGTCGGATGCCTCAGCAATCAATTGACTTGGCTCCTCCGCATCATCCTCGAAGTCTAGTACCTGGCCGTTGCCGAATATTGTTGATTCATTCTCGTCAATGAATACCAGTGTTTTCTTGATTCTGAACCATGGCTGATTCGCAGGAAACTTTGGTTGATGTTTTGACGGGTTGGCCAATCTGAGGGGGCAGTAAGTACTGATAATAGCATCGCGCTTTAATATCGCAGGTGTAGCTGCCCGCAACAATTGAACATCAGGTCAATGCAGTGCAGTCTTAGGCATCTCACCTTGCCTTCTTCTTCGGTTGCTCAGGAAGCTCGGCCCGGCTCACGCATTCAACATCATCCTTGGAACACCGAGAACATCTTGGCTTCTTGCGGTCACATTTCAAATGCCGGGACCGACACTGTTGACTATGTTGGAGAGGACAATTAGTACGGTCAAGCCACCAGTGCTGCCGGCCGCGGAAGGGGAGACCAACCACGCAAGTCTTTCTCCGCCGTTCATCGCATCCCTCGGTGTCGTAAGCAGATCGATTCGCGGAAGTGCTGACCGCGGGGTTGTACCTGAGAGAGCTCGCGGAGGAGTTGTTGCGTCTTCTGGGGGAAGAAAATTGCAAGTCGGATGGCTTCGGACGTTGTCTTGCCTCGACTTCGGGGGTCAGATTGCTTGATTTGTCAGATGACACGATTCAGGAAGCCCCCACAACCCCCGCTACTCCACACTCTCGTGTTTTCTGTTACTCCTTTCGTTCATTACTACTATTCTTCTCCCCAGTTTTTGAGGAGTACGTCGTTGTATGGACAAGAAAGGCAAGAATGGCAGCCGCCTGTAGGATCGTATGTGATGAGTTTCAATTATAAAGAAGGACGGATCCTCCAGATCTGCTCGAACAAACTCTCATACTTCAATTTCTCCCTTGTCGAAACACCTTTCCGGAACCATATCTATACAAAGACGCCGGGATGGTTCAGAAGCTCAAGATTGCCGCTGCCGGTCTTGGTCGTATGGGTGCTCGCCACGCCATCAACTTCTTGCACCGCACTCCTCGTGCAGAACTTGTTGCGGCCTTCACGCCAGATCCGAAAGAGCTTGCGTGGGCAAGAACCAACCTGGAGCCTCACGGAGTCACACTTTACACAAACTACGATGAGATGATCAAGCAAGAGGGTCTGCAAGCTGTTGTCATCGGAACTGCCACATCAGTCCACGCCGAGGAAGCCATCAAGGCAATGCACCAAGGTCTGCACGTCTTGTGCGAGAAGCCTCTCTCAACTAGCATCCCTGTGGTAAGTTGTTCCAAGGCACACAACCATGATCAGAAGCTGACATCTTGAAGTGCAAGCAAGTCTTGGACGAAGCACTCAAGCACCCTCACCTAAAAGTCATGTGTGGCTTCTCCCGCCGTTTCGATGAGTCTTACCGTGATGCTTGGGAGAAGATGGACAGAGGCCTGATTGGAAGACCTACAATCATCCGCAGTCAGACATGCGATAAGCACGACCCCAGCGGCTTCTTTGTCGAGTATGCAGCTTGGTCTGGTGGTGTCTTTGTAGACATGTCTGTTCACGACATCGATCTGGCCTTGTGGTTCTTCGGCGATGATATCCAAGTCAAGAGCGTCTCCGCATACGGTGTACGAGCAGTCCAACCAGAGCTCGCCAAGTACAACGACTATGACAATGCTATGGGTATTGTCGAGTTCTGGAACGGCCGAGTTGCAAACTTCTACTGTTCTAGAATGATGGCTCATGGACAAGAAGACGTGACCGAGATCATCGGTACTGAAGGAAAGTTGACTGTCAATAGCAACCCTCAGAAGAACTTTGTCAACTACTACGGTCCTCAAGGTGTTACACGAGAGGTTCCCGCGCATTACTATGGCCGCTTCGAACAAGCGTTCGTAGGAGAAGCAAATGAGTTTGCTGCTGCCTGTCTGGACAACACCGCGCTTCCCTTGAAGCTACGTAACGCCGTGAAGGCCGTCGAGATTGGTGCTCTGTTGCAGGAAGCCCTGGTCAAGGGCATTCAGATTCGCCTAAACGAAGCTGGACAGCGTATTGCCGATGCGCCGGCATCAAAGTTGTAGTCGAAGTGTGATTGGACAGTTTGATAGATAATGAATGCTCTGTTTTCCTTTCGCTCTGATCAAGACTCATTGTCTCGAGAGTCGGTGGTGCCAGCAGTGCCATAGCTTTGAACGGAGCGACTCATGTCGTTGATCTCTTGCAAGTCGTGTGCCGCCAGTGTTATCGACAAGAGCACTGCTCGGTATGTTTGTGTACCAGTGAGCCCCGACTGGCTGTTACCGCAGCGGTGTTTGCGCAAAAAGGCTTGCCAAGATACCGAGTTGCCAGAGGTATGCCACTGATCAACACCTCAATTTGGCGCCGAGGATCCGGCTTGGTGTGGTGTTGCAGGTCGACAACTCTGTGCACTCCCTGAGACTCGCAACCCGTCATGAATAGTCATGAAGTGGAGGAGATGGTCTACTGTAAGGCTCGTTAAGCGCTTCGCGTTCTGCTGCTTGCCCGTGTGTAGAGACGCTGAGGAAGCATCACAAATAGAACATTGTTTCTCTTTACGGTGTGTTACAGTCGTGTTCGAAGAGACTTCAGGGACTCTCGTCCCGAGCTGAGACCGAACATGTTGTGACCGCCCGTTGAGAAGGTAGGATTTTCTGGGCAAGATAGAGTTGAAAATGGGATAGCAAGTGTGCAAGATATCAGGCGAGTATCATGCTCGGACATTGACGGTGTCTGAAGGTGTTCGGCCGGAGTTGCTCAAAAATAGTCTCTGGGAAAGATCCGAAAAGGGGTCTGACCATTTAGTCGAGCAACAGCGAGATTTAACAACCGTTAAAAGTTTGCTGGACATGTTCGGCTTTAGCAGCTTCAGCGACTCGACTTGGAAATGTTGCCGAAGGAGAAATTCATCGAGACAATATCACGATGTGAAAGCAATAATGATCGAGCACTGTTAAGGATCGGAGCTTGTCGATCAATCTTGAGGTTTTGTTTCTGTCAAGCTTCCAACATTCAGTCAGATGGTTCGAGAAGGCAGCGGTCGGATATGAGCGAAGCATCAATTTTTGGAGAAGGATCACTGCAATTTTCTTTGAGCATTGCCGTAACTATAGTATAATAGTAGCCGGAAAGTAGGTGACTAGCGGCACGGGTTTTACGAACAAATTAGCGCCAAGCAAATTTCATTAGCGGCAGGCGGACTTTTTGATTGACAGCAGTTCAGGGACCGAACACCTTATTCTTGTCGACGACGGCGAGCGCATGTCGAGTCCTGTTGTTTGTGCATAGACCGAGTGGAAAGAAGGAAGCTGGAGATGATTGTTGGCAGATGTATTCAATAATATCGCTTCTCAAGCTATGATGCAAACAAATAATCTCCACCTTCACAATGTGATTGCGGGCACCCGGGGCTCTGACAATTGCGGTTTGGACGTTTGACCGGCCTCAAGCTCTCTATGCACCAGCAGCGAGGAAATGTCTACTGCTATCACCCAAGGTGCGTTGAACATACAGGGACGATGACATTTCGATGTTGGAGTTTCGCAAGATCGGTGCTCAGTGCAGCCTTCAAGACGAGTGCACAAGGGCGATGTGCAGGCGATTTACTGCAGCGAATCGATCCGGGCGGAAGGCGCTGGGGACGTTCGACGACGCTTCGGAGTCGCTAGCAGGCAGGCTCAACGGCAGGTCAAGCAGGAGATAAGCGGCGAAACATGTGGTGTGATGTTGCTCAACGGTATGGATGATACTTGTCGAGAAGGCAAAATATGACAGTCTACTGTAACCTCACAGTCTTCGCAAGGAGATTGGCGAGGCCTCGTAGGGTTTGCGTGAACGAAAGCGTGGTGGTATTTTGTACACGTGCCAAGAGGACGCAGCTGCCAATTGCATTCCTTGGAAACAAGTCACGGCTGAATTAGGTTGTTAGCGCACGGGAGAGCGCGTGTTTGGAGACAAAATCGAAGGCTTGGTCCTTGGTCCTTGGTCGTTGGTCGTTCTTAGGGCTTTGCATCTGGTCGCTTGCGCAGCTTCACAGCCTCTCAGAGGCAGGCAGGCAGGCATTTATCACTCCTATCACTCTCCTCAGTTCCGCCTCCTGAGAATCGATTACTCGATCCCTGGTGTCTCCTGTCGCCGTCTGCATTTGGCTCTCTAGTCGTTCACGAGGTCGTCGCTTGGCTCTCGCTTACAGCTGTAGGAAAGGAGATTTTGACTTTGTCGGATCAGGCGTCCCCACTGGTTGCTTTTCTGATCGGCAGATCGATTAGGACTGGCCTTGTACAAGTGCTGAGCCGCTGAGCCCGAGTCGGCCTACTTTGCATCTTTGTACTCGTAGTTCGTAGCAGTACGAACGAGCGTCTTTTCGCTTAGGCTTACGCTGCCCTCGTCGCTGCCACGCCTGGTGCAGACATTCCTCTCGTTTCTCCTCGACTACCGACGGTCGCATACACTCCTTCCATGTCCGGTGACTTTTCTGGCCAGCACCTCCTCTGCTGATAGCACCTGCTCACCCGTCCAATCTATCTGCGTCGCCCACTACTCGTCTCTCCGACCCCGACCCCGATCCTGACCTCCACTTCGACCTCGACCTTGACCTCGACCTTGACCTCGACCTCGGGCCACGCTCTCGGCCTTCGAGCAGTCTTCACCAACCTCGACCCAGAGGCCGCGCCCTCATCAAGCCTGGCAAGATGCGCATCCCCATCAGAGAGCAGCTCGCTGGCTTGATCCTGCTGGCTGCTGCCATAGGCCTTGCTGTCATATCTATAGCCACATGGGTGTGTCTCTCTGCTCTACGTAGCGACAGTCCTAGTCGTCCACTGACACTCCCCTGTAGTACACCAGCCACAACTTCATTCTTGAAATCAGAACCACCAGACTTTCCTTAACCGCTTCGCTCAAAGCTGCCCAGATCGCATCCAACCTCGCCCTCATACAAAACAGCGTCCAGCTTGTCTCGAGTCGTTTGGTTATGCAGAATGCCCTGAGGAGATACAACCTGCAAGGAAACAACACGGCCGCCAACTGGCTCTCGGCTCAGTCGGACTTCAATGCCGCTATCGCCGGTCCTGCTTCCGGCGCCGTCGGCCAGGCCTTGATGTTGCAGGGCAAGATCTTTCCACGAGATGCCAACGGTCCCAATGGCTACTCTTCGGTTTTGAATGCTACTTCGGAGAACCTTGAGACGATCCTTCTTCCCTACAAAGCGCCGAACGGAAGCGACGTTTACCTGAGCGACACCGACTACGGCTACCCACCCGAGCTCTATCCCAATCTGACCTACTTTGCCGTCCCCGTCAACAACTCCTACAGCGAATCGCGCGCTCGGTACAACGGAGAGGTCCTGCAGAGTCCTAATTCGACTCTGCTCCTCGGGCCCTATCATGTCAACACTACCTTCAGTCTCTTATCTCTCACCATGCCTGTTATTAATAACACCTCGGCCATTGACGTTCTAGGCTGGCTGACCATCGTTTGTGATGCTCGTCTCATTGGTAGTGTTATCGCCTCAGCCGAGGGCTTGGGTTCTACTGGTCTGACCCTTATCGTTGGTCCTGCCAACACTACCAACCACTTTCCCAACGGTCTGCTCTACAGCTCGAGCGACAATACTTCAGTGCCTTACAATGACATTGGAGGCCGCTTCATCTGGCCTCTGCCCAACCAGCACTCGGACCGCCACCCAGGCTCCTCAGGAGCCATCAATCCCCCATCGTTCCCCATCACCAAGTATCCCGCCGTGGTCACTGCTCTTACGCAAGATCAACATTCTATAGGAAATGCGGGAGGTGATATAAGCACACGTGATGAAGCTGGCAAAGGAGTTTCTGTGGGCTTCGCCATCCCGGATACTCGCCTCGTGGATTGGGTTGTGATTGTGGAACAAGATAAGCGCGAAGTGTGGCAGCCGATTCGTCACCTTCGCAAGGTTCTATTGACTTGCATCTTTTCAGTTCTAGGCGGTGTAATATTATTTGCTTGGCCGCTCGCGCATTTTGCAAGCGCTCCTATTCGAAGACTCAGAGAGGCTACACGCAGATCCGTGCTGCCTATGGGATATTCAGAAAGCAACTACAGTCGGGACTCGCACGAAATGTTCAACAACAACGATGGCGACGGAAGCAACGATGAAGACCCCGATGCAGTGATAGCTCGCAAAGAAGGCTTCTTCGCAACCGTGACCAGCTGGAACGCTAGGAAACAACGTTCGCGAAAGGACCGCAAGGAAGAACATCGAAGACGTCAATTCCACATTCCCGGCAAAGTCAAGGAACGCAAGACCTGCATTCAGGATGAATTGACCGATCTTACACGGACTTTCAACGAGATGTCAGATGAACTCATGATGCAATATGAACGCCTGGAGGAGAGGGTAACGCAACGTACAGCGGAGCTCGAGCTGAGCAAAAAGGCCGCTGAAGCAGCTAACGAGAGCAAGACGCTTTTCATCGCAAACATATCGCACGAGCTCAAAACTCCGCTGAATGGTATCCTGGGAATGTGTGCTGTCTGCATGCAAGAGGAAGACCCGACAAAGTTGAAGAGATCTTTGGGCATCATCTACAAGAGCGGCGACCTTCTTCTGAACCTCCTTACAGACTTGCTCACTTTCAGCAAGAATCAGGTCGGTCAACAACTGAGCCTCGATTCTAAAGAGTTCCGATTGCGCGAGATTAGCTCACAGGTTCTGGCTATTTTCGATAAACAGGCCAAGGAAGGGCAGATCACACTGCGCGTCGAGTTCCAGGGTGCCGAGTCTATGAACGGTATCGTCTTCCCGTCCGATGAAGAGCGGACACAATATGGACCTGCTGGCACAGGGCGTGTCAAAGACATGATTCTCTGGGGCGACGTTCACCGCATTCTGCAGGTGGTTATCAACCTTGTCTCAAACAGTTTGAAGTTCACTCCAGCTGGTGGATCGGTCGTCCTCATCGTCCGCTGTTCAGGAGAAGCCGCAGAAGTTAATAGCCGTAAGACGTCTCTTCAATCACGGAGCTCGAAGCCCATCTCCAGCAGGCACAAGAACTCTGAAACGTCGATCGCTGGACCATTCGGAGCCAAAAACTCCGCTACTGCCAATGAGATTAACCCATACCGAGAGAGGTCCGATGCTTACGCACAAATTCTTGCTTCTGAACGACCAGCATCTCCACCTCCTGGACGGACTCTACTATTCGAATTCGAGGTCACTGATACTGGGCCTGGTATTGCGGAACATCTTCAGCAACGAATCTTCGAGCCTTTTGTCCAAGGTGATCTTGGCCTTAGCAAAAAGTTTGGCGGCACCGGTCTGGGCTTGAGTATTTGCTCGCAGCTCGCCACATTGATGAAGGGCACTATCGATTTGGAGAGCGAACTCGGAAGAGGCAGCACATTTACTATGCGTATACCTCTTCGGCATGTCGTGACCAGATCTGATAGTACTGCGAGCTCAGTTGTTGGTAACAACAACGATATCGGACTCGAAGGAAGCCGCTCACCACAACGTGTGAGTCAGCTTATCACCGACGATGCACAATCACACCGATCCGGTCATTCGCACACTAGTACTGGTAAATCACCAACAGTTGTCCAGGCCCAAGCCCCCAATGCACAGAATTATTCTAACGATGCGCAACCTCGCTTGGTCGGTCTGAGTCAGCCCTTCTTCTCGTCGAATCAAGCCATGGAGTCTCCCGGGTCTCAAGCAGCTGCAATGGAAAAGATTACGAATGACGCCAAAGATACTGGCAAGATTCGAGTGCTTGTTGCTGAAGACAACAAAGTCAACCAGGAAGTGGTCTTGAGGATGCTCAAGCTTGAGGACATTTACGATGTGACGGTGGCAAAGGATGGTCAAGAAGCTCTGGACTTTGTCAGAGAGAGCATGACAATTCCTGGACGTCACCCATATAACCTCATCTTCATGGACGTCCAGATGCCCAATCTTGACGGTCTCCAATCAACACGACTCATTCGTGAGATGGGCTATGACGCTCCCATCGTTGCTTTGACCGCGTTCGCCGAGGAAAGCAACGTCAAAGATTGTCTCGATTCAGGCATGAACTACTTCCTCAGCAAGCCGATCAGACGACCAGCGCTGAAGAAGGTCCTGAAGGAATACTGTCCGCCCATCATCGAAGTTGACGAAGAGGTCAGCCCCATGGCCGAGAAGCCACAGCCTAAGCCCAAGCCGATGGCTCAACCTGCGCCCAAAATTCAGGAACCCTTAGCGCGAAGTCAGTCGCCACCTCCGAGACCAATGTCCCCAGCGATATCCGTCCACTCTATTGGCAACTCGGGTACCAGGACTACAATCGTGAACCAGAACTCCAGGCCTAATTCCCTGGATATCCCGCGCCCTCGCTTCTCTGGTGAACATTAGAACGATGTTCCGTTCTTGTTTCTTTTCTACACTTTTAACTGTTTTTGTCTGAGGCATGTACGTAGCATTGAGCATGGTGTTTGTAGGCGTTGTTTTTTCTTCCCTCAAAAGCAGAACTTGGCAGCAAAACAAGTGTTTGGAACAGGACAGGCTTTTTGTTATTCTCTTCATTCTATATGGCTGTGTTTAGGGTCTCTTTTTTCTTTGGCTCTTGTTTGAGTGACGAGGTTGACGAAACTATGGGGATTGATTTACTCCTCTTCTTAGACTACCCTGATTTGATGGATGGCGAGAATTATATTCTTCTCTCTCTCTCTCTTTGCATTTGCGCTGAGGTCTCTTTACTGTCTGATTCTAAGAAATCTCTATTACGTGCACTATATGTCCTTCATGTAAATTATCAGTGCCTAACCGGCACAACGAGACTTTCACCTGACAGGCCTTGTCAGTGACCACGACATCGATGACATCCGCTGCTCTGAGAGGTATGAACCATGGAAGTGCTGGCGAAGACCGCAAGTGGGTAAGAAGCAGAGTTGTACCGAGAGACTGTTCAACAAAAATGGCGAGAGTCTCAATCCTATCTCTAGATATACGAGAAAAAAAAACCAGCAGCCCAAGAAATAACAAAGAAAAGAATTCCGAAAAAGAGGTGTCCCCGGAGGGAGGTATCATGAGCAAAAACAAAAAATAAAAGGAGCCAAAAAAACCAATAAGAGAAGTCAAGAAATTTTAAACATCCTCCCTAACAGTCCTAACTTGATACGAAGTATGCACCATAATGCCCTCTCTCACCTCTCCACTCTTCCCCCACTCCTCCTCATCAACAATATGCTCCATACTCCCCGTCTCAGCATCATTACTCGTAACAAGTGTTTTATTCTTCGTACCCCCCCTCCCCTGCAACATTTCGATAAAGTTTGGCAGGTTGGAGGTATCTGACGCCATACGCGAGGGTTTACCAAGGGAGGAATCGGTGGCGTAGGAGGAGTGTTGTGTGTGTTTGGAGATAGAGGTGTTTGGGCCAGAGGATGATGAGGAAAAGGATTTTGACCAGCTGCGGGACCAGCTGTGTTCCGAGGTGAGGGTTTTGACGATTTTTATTTGGCGGTCGACAAAGGTGCGGAGTGTGGGACCGCAGGCGCAGATCATGCAGACTGTGAGTTCTAGTTGGCTGCGAAATTGAAATGGTCAGTAGTTGTTGCTTGATGTGGAAATGCATTGGTGATGCGTCACTTACGTCCAGATGACTATGTTCCAGAGGGTATATGTTATGTCTTTGTCGTTTGCGCCGTTGTGGAGCCAGTCGACGAGGACTTTTAGTCGGGCGATACTTGTGACGCAAGGTAATGATCCGAGAGCAAAGAGAGAGGTAAGAAGGTATTTTTGGTCGTTTTTCATGGCGAGACTCCAGACAATTGGCATGGGCATGAGTAGGATCCACCAGGTGCTGATACTGTTCATCACGGTGTAGGCAATGTACAGTGCTGTTCGGTTGATACACTTGTGCTCGGAAATTGAGACATCCCTAAACATCGTCAGCTCGAGGTTGGAAGATGAGTCAACGAGAATCATACCATGCAGCCGAGACAGGCGAGCAGGAAAACAGTGATGCGAAGATGAACATCACACTGTAAGCATTGACGAAACAGAATGCAGACCACCATTGAAGCCTAAAGTTGTGGATGGGAAAGAGGCGGCGATAAAGCATGAGTACGGACAACTTCATAGTGAGCATACATGCTGAGTACAGCACGGCTACTGTGAGCCAACCCTGGAGGAAGTAGGGAGAATAGTTCTCCAGTGGTACGTCCCAGAGATGTTTGCCGAGACCTAGTGATACCATCCATTGGAAGACACCCATGATTGCCAGAAAGGACGCAGTAGCGAATAGTATAAGAGCTGATGTTCAGAGTCAGTATATGAATGCGACACACTGTTGGCAGTCTTGTCCTTACAGTCGTCATGGCCAAATGATCTGTTGAGAAACACCCGAGTGAACAGACGAACCATTACCACAATCATGAAGAAGACTATGCAGACAATATTAGTGATGGTGATACGGTATCCAACGCCATCAGGGTTGATTAAGTTGCTAACATGGCCATCCGGGGCCTGTGTCGCTGGTGTCAAACTCGAAGCCATTATTGCAGTCGAGTGGCGACAAGGTCAAGTTGGTTCACACTTGTCTTGAAGGGTAGTCGGGGATCTCAATGAGGGACATCACCTCGTAAGTCGGACAGAGAGAGGATCGAGGGTAATGAACAAAGAGAGTCAGGGCATGAGCGTCCTCTTCTGCCCTCGGCGGGCCCCAACATTCCACACCACGCGTCATTAGTTGTTCTTTGATGCCGCGCGACCTAGCTTAATTGTCTTTGTCAATGAAAATGATCACTCTATGGTAAGGCGAACCAATGCATGCAGATTTTGCATGGCCTCTGCTGGCATGTGGATGGTGGAGGTGTGTGGACGGACGATCTCTGCTATTGGAAACATTGCACCATCTCTCCACTCGGCTGCATCCCCGTTAGTGATCATTGATAGCCAAGTTCTACTTAGCGCCGTCACGGGCCGGTGCGTGTTAGATGAATGATTGACGACTCGTCTCTCGTAAATGTGTGATTGAAGCTTGCATAGTGCATATCTTCAGACGCTATGGAAGACTGAAAGTACTCTGTAGCGATGAGGATTTGGGTCCGGAACCGGGATCGAGACGACACGATCTTGTTGACCCCTGATCTAGTGGCGCAGTATCTCTTCTGGAGATGCGGCGTGGAAGACTGAATGGCCATTGGGTCGTCCAAGTCGTCGGTGCCCAAGCTGACGTTTTTCAAAGCTGCTGCGTTGTTTTGTTCTTCTTTCTTTGAAGCTTGAGATAGCCGTTGAGAGGAATGTTAGCCACATGCTCGAGCGATTGAAACGGTCGACTGTCGGCTCTTGGTCGCACAAACAAGCGTGCGAACTGTCCTCCAGAACAGGCACGTTGAGCGCCCTTGTTCACCTGTTACTTGCATGATGTGCATGAGGCCACATGGCACCGTCTATTTTTTTCCGACCTCCGCCCGTGGCGCGAACCCCGCCTACGGGACAAAAGACCACAATCACTCGTATACGGGCTATGCAGGTCGGTAAGAGACTAATTGGGCCTTGGTAGTCGTTTAATAGTGGTGAACATCTCAGCTATTGAAAGCCAGCCTGGAAGTGTCAATATTGCAGTCCAGAGTCAAAGTTCCTCGACGGGTGATAGGCAGATGTCGTCAACATCTCAAACATCGAAGAACATGTCAATCGCATGCAGGTGCCCGCTTTCTCGAACGGAAAGTCGCATCGACGCAGACGAGTCATTCTGTTCTTAAATGGGCGACGTGCAGCAAAAGTGTCAAAAAGCTTGGACGCTGTCAAATCAAAAGTGGATCTTCAGAGCCCGGGAGAACGACATCACGGGAGAACGACATCACCCTAAATTAGAGGCCTGTCAGTGGCTTCAAGTCTCAATTAAACAAAACTTCCTTGTGGACATCAATTCACGGTTCGCATGCATGAGAACAAACAACTCTTCTTCTCGGTTGCGCGGTCGGCAAAGTGACCTGAGCCATGCATAGAGAGACTCGAGACTGCCACGTTACACAACGATGCATTCATTATACCTGAAGCCGCGGCTGCATGAGAACCATTGACGAACATGCACCTCCTACAGATATGTGCGTATAATAGCTGCAATATGCCGCTCCTCCACTGCCGCCGTCCGTCGAAGAAAGACTCAGTATCTGCCTCTTTCCCCACGTTGATGCTGCTGCTGCCCGCTCGCAGTTTACCAGTTGCATCTACAACTTTGGTTTCACCGCCTTATCCTCCTTAAGCACCGCAAGCGAATCTTGCAATTTTGATAATGCTTGCAACAACACTCGCTCTTGCCTGCACTGAGATACGACCTGCACACACAATGTGCCGCCTAGGAATACGCTACGATCGTCATTCCAGAGCTTGCGGTTATATTTCTCCCAGCCGTTCGGCGTCGCCGTCTGTTCGGTCAGTGCATTGTTGAGATCCGAAACTCGGATGGGACGGACAGGCAGCGTTGCCGCTGGGTAGTCGAGTAAGTTGAAGGAAGAGGTATACGAGACCGTGTTCCAGGTATCGATTGCTGGTGTGGGATGAGGCGCTACAGGGCAAATGAAGACATCCAGGTTTCTGGAGCCTCCCGAGGCATCCTTCCAGTAGCCTCCACTCGATTTCCAAATGTTGAGAAAACGTGTCTGTAATGCGTTTCGTCGTGCTTGAAGGTCTCGAACTTTCTCCGCCGTAAGACTCTTCTTGCGGCGTAGGCGTGTAGCGAGCCATGGCGATATTGGCTCGGAAGTCACTTCCATGAGGTCGAATGCAGTGTTCGCGCCGTCAACTCCAAAGAGTCCATTGGCGATTGTTTGACATTGTGAGAGCAGAGATGTAATGTCTAACTCCACGACTTCGATGGCAGCATTGCTCCTCAGGGCCTTCGCAATTTCGTCGAAGATTGCTTGGATAGGAGGAAGAGGAGTCGTGATACCATCAGTCCTAACAATGCCGATCCTCAATCTTCTCATGTGATCGGAAAGTGATGGCGTCCTCGGAGCACTACGCACAACTTGTTGATCCCAAGTCTGGGCGACACACTCAGGATCGAATGTCCAAGGTTCCAGATCTCCGACAGCTCTGAAGAACAATTCGCAATCTCTGATATTATGCGCAATCGGCCCGGCGACTGACCTTATGCCGAGGGTTTCAGTACCAGGTATACTGCCGTTTTCCTGTCCAGCATAGGGTATGCGACCATGACTAGGCTTCACACCTACAAGGCCATTGGCCATTGCTGGTATACGGATACTGCCTCCTACGTCTGTGCCCACCCCTAGTACACTACCGCGCATTGCAATCAATGCGCCCTCTCCGCCTGAGCTACCTCCAGCAGTAAGCTTGAGATTTGCAGGATTGAGCACTCGACCGAAGACATTGTTGTGGGAGTCCAGGGCTTGAAGTGTCAGTGGGATGTTGGTCTTGCAATGGATGACAGCTCCAGCTTGTAGAAGTATCTCAACCAAAGCCGAGTTACTCTCAGCAGGTTTGAAGCATAGGGAGGCATATCCGATGGATGCATCACGGCCAACGACCTTGAAGGAGTCCTTGACAGAAATAGGCAAGCCGTGCAGGGATCCTACGGGTTTGCCAGTTCGCTCAAGGTGTTCGTCCAGTTGTTTGGCTCTTGCAATTGCTTCCTCAAACATAATCTCCGTGAGACATTTGGTCTTTTTTCGTCGTTAGCAGTGATTACATGTCTCCACGAAGAATTGACTCACCAACTGCTGAGCAATAGCCGCTCGCTTACAGAACGCAGTAACAACATCCACGCTCTTGAGTCTCTTCGCTGCCAGCTCTTTGACCAATGCCGTAGCATCGTATTTCTCGGTGATTCCGATCTCCTTGTCACTCAGAATACCACACTCTCGAGGGACGGATAGTACATTGTTGCGATTTGCCGCTGGTCGAGTCTTGAGCTTCCAAGCTTCGGGTATCAGGTTCGATTGCTCTTGCTGCTTGCGACGAGCTATCGATTGCCATGGCGCTTCTGGTTGGGACATGTCGGATCAAGCTTAGAATGCTCGAAGCAAATTGTCGAGTCAAGTCAATTGCCTTTGTTGTAGAATAGTCAGTGGAGAGGTGCGGGGAGTAAGTGGAGCAGCCGAGGCTGAGGACTTGTTGAAGTCACCACCCTGTTGTCGTTCTCATGTGGAAGTCTTGCTCTTGAACAACAATGAATTCCTGGACGGAGAAATAAGAGACTTGATGCGACCGTGAGTACGTCGATTGTGGGTAGATTCTCCACTGAAAATGTGGTTAATGTGACTATACCGAGGATGGCCAAAACTTCAAAAGCTTGATCCAGAGCTTCGTCGCCAGCTCAATTCAATACACACTCGCGTTACGGTCAAAGACATACTTAAACACAGCATCGAAGATGACGCTCGCGGACGACGTCAACACAATCTCTTCTTTTCTCTCCCATGACCAGATACAACTCGACTCGGGGTCTACAGGAAATCAAAGCTACGACGCCATTGTCCTCTGCGTCAGCGCAATCTTCCATTGTGCAGAAACACTCTTTCGAGCACTTCAACGGAACGGGCCACAGCTCACAAGTACAATAATTCTCTGTGGCGGCATAGGTCACTCGACGCCATATCTCTACACCGCAGTAGCAAATCACCCTCGCTACGAACACCTCTCAGCACAGATCAATGGCCTTTCAGAAGCTCAAGTCATGGAGAAGATCCTCGACGACTGTTTCTCCGGCCACGATATCGGAAAATCGGGTGTGAGAGTGTTGATAGAAGATCAAAGCACCAACTGTGGTGCCAATGCCATCGAGACGAGGAAACTGCTACAAAAAATCGGTATCTCGGTATCTGGAGGCAAGATATTGATAATTCAAGACCCGACTATGAGTTTGAGGACGAAAGCATCATTTGAGAAGGCATTTGAGGACGACGAAGTGATTTTAGAGGCATGTCCCACTTTCGTAGCCAAAGTCGTCGAGGTGGGCGGACGATTGAGATTTGATGAGAATGTAGAGGTCAAAGAGCGGGATGTGTGGCAGATGGACAGATTTCTAGGCTTGATTCTAGGGGAGGTGGCTAGATTGCGAGACGATGAGAACGGCTATGGACCTCGAGGAAAGGGCTTCATTGGACATGTTGATGTACCAGATGCAGTACTCGAGGCATATGGGAGACTCGAGAAGGTCGTTCAGGCCACTAGATGAGGTTCTGGAAACAGAATACTACAGTGAACATACTGCGCTCGACGAAAAACGTTTGGCGAGTGCCGACGCACGTCAGCGATGCGTGCTACCTTGGTGTGACAGAATCAAAGTGGTGCAGTGTCACGTCAAAAATCCGATATGATGATATGCTCTTTCCTCGACGACATGATTACAGAGTGGTTGGAAACGGAAAGAGATGTTCCGAGATGGGCGAAGGATCGGTGCCCAGCCACGTCTCAGGCACAACAGCGTGCCGAGCCTCGGTTTCTTTTGACTCCCCGCATCGACGGCACCACGTCCGAGACGGTAAAGGCTATGGGAAGCAGCAAGCGCTTGGTCAGTGAAGGTGCCGTTAAGGATGGCGCCAATGCTTGCACGTAATGATCGGGGTAGGCTCTAGGTAGGTCAATTAGCATCGACCGGTTTCTTCTTCACTGCTCAGTGCTCATCCCAATTCACTCCTTCTTCGCCATCATCATACTTTTCACGAATTCAGAGACGCGCCTGTTTGGAAAGCTTAGCATTCATAGGTTTGTCGACAAGAGAGACAGAAATGGCAGGTACGTTGACTTATCAAGGTTGTTTATCGTCGAGTCTTGCTGAGCAGCAACCTCACAGGACTACCCTTGAGCATCGCTGCTCCAGCAGCGGCGGCAGCATCCATTGCATACCTCCGAGCAAAGACCAGTTGGCCCAGCGACTACGCCCTGCTGAAGGCCACACTAGTCGGTGCACTCTACGTCCGAAGCTGTGTCAAGAACGACCGCGTCAATCTCTTCTACGAACTCGAGAAACACGCCCTGAATCCAAAGACACGCGACCACTCATTCCTCGCCATCCCGCCACACGTCCCCAAGGACATCGCAACACCAGCCGATCTGAAGGGTCTACAAGCAGCAGAATTGAGTTATGCAAAGGTCTATGAGACGGTTCTGAAGTTCGCCGCATGGCTGAAGCAAGAGCATGGTGTCAAGAAGGGCGATATGGTCGCCATTGACTTTACCAACAAGCCCGAATTCGTCTATCTCTGGTTTGCCTTGTTCTCATTGGGCGCAAAGGCTGCTTTCATCAACACCAATCTGAGGGGCAAGGCATTGCTGCATTGTGTCAAGGCTTGCGAGGCCAGGCTGCTGGTCGTGGATCCTGCTATCGAGGACGCCTTGACCGCCGAAGTCACACAAGAGCTTCAGGGCTCGGTGAAGACAGTCGTGTTGGATGCCGTCGTTGAGACCAGAATTGTTGCGACCACGGGCTTGAGAGTGCCTGATGAAGAGCGCGGAGGCAACCAGATGACCGACACGGCCGTCCTCATCTTCACCTCTGGAACCACTGGACTGCCCAAGCCTGCCGTTGTGCCCTGGAAGAAGTTCTTGCTGTCTGGAAAGACTGTGAGCACCTGGCTTGGTATCAAGTCGACAGACCGTTACTACACTGTAAGTTTCCATCTCGCGTCGTGTTCGTGACAACGAGAGCTGACAACTGTACAGGCAATGCCTCTCTACCACAGTTCAGCAACCATTCTCAACATCTCAGTCGTCCTCCATGCAGGTGCAACAACAATTCTCTCTCACCACTTCTCCCCAAAGACTTTCTTCGCCTCCGCCACTGCCTCGAGAGCAACAATGATGCAGTATATCGGTGAAATGTGCCGATACCTCCTCAGCACTCCTCCCTCACCCTTCGACAAGGCTCACAAGATCCGCCTGGCCTTTGGCAATGGACTGCGCCCAGACGTCTGGCAAAACTTCAAGGAACGCTTCAACATCCTCGAGATTGCAGAGTTCTACTCGGCCACTGAAGCCGTGGGTGGCACTTTTGTCAAGAGCAAGAACAACTTCGGTCTCGGCGCTGTGGGCAGAGCAGGAACAGCAATCACACTCCTCATGGGCTCCCAAACCGCAATCGTAAAACACGACGTCGAAACCGGGGAACCCTACCGCAACGCTACTGGCCTCTGCGAAAGAGTAGGCCCCGAAGAAGCAGGCGAATACATCAACGCACTCGACCCCAACAACATCCGCGACAAATACGTAGGCTACTACGGCAACCAAAAAGCCTCGGATTCGAAGATCCTGCGTGATGTGTTCAAGAAGGGAGATGCGTGGTATCGCTCCGGCGACCTTTTACGCAAAGACTCCCACGGAAGACTGTTCTTCGTCGACAGAATCGGAGACACCTATCGCTGGAAGTCTGAAAACGTGTCTACTAATGAAGTAGCCGAAGCCCTCTCCACTTCTCCTCACATCGAGGAAATCAACGTCTACGGTGTTGCTCTGCCCAACCATGACGGCCGCGCTGGCTGTGCAGCCATTATGCTGAAATCCCCTCCTACTTCTCAAACCATGAAGGAGATTGCAGCCCACGCACGGGAAAAGATGCCCAAGTTTGCGATTCCCCTGTTTTTGAGGGTGGTTAGGGAGTTTGAGGTTACGGGCACGGCAAAGTATACCAAACATGGATTGAGAGAGCAAGGTGTCGATCCTGGGAAGACGGGAGAGGATGGCATCTTCTGGTTACCTGTAGGCGCGGACAAGTACGAGGAGTTTGGAAAGAGGGATTGGGATGGTGTTGTGGGCGGTGGAGTTAAGCTTTGAGCAAACGTCTTTTATGTCGTGTGCTGATTCAAGCTGTGTATCTGTACTATTACACTTGATGTCTTTTTCCCTGGCGTCGTTTCCTCTTCAACCCAAAGACCCCCAAAGAACTTCCCTTTTTTCCAAAACACCTCATTTCTTTAGCAAAAGATCTTTGAGAGAGCAGCAGCAGCAGCATCTTCATCCAATCCTTGCTTCATCATCTCTGTATGCTGCAACACAGCATCTGCAAAAAGCACTTCTTGGCTTGTCCCCTCGGTACCCATAAACATATCCCCGACTTCCAGCCTACTCACCTTTTCCATTGTTCTTGCCGTCCAGACTTGTTCAAAGGATCCCTTCGTGGGGAAGAGTTTTCCTGGAGCATTTCCATGAAACGAGTGTGTGTATGTTAATTGGTTGGGTAGAATAGTGGTGGTGTTTGCAGAGTCCGAATGATGCGCGCGTCTAGAGAGAACCACCACTTTCACTTTCGAGGGAGTTCAGAGGGAAAAGTGATGAGGATATTGGAGGTACGAAGCTGGTTCAGAGTCCAATCGTTGTAGGTCTCGAGATTAAGTTCGGCCCCTGAAAGAGTGAGCAACTCTTTTTCGGAAGTCTCGAAAGACCTTTGGAGGATTGTATTGTGAGACCAGCTTTGTGGAGTGGATCGCGTGTGTTGACGTGATTGATGGATGCGTGCTTGCGCCGTGCCAACCAGATATCTACTGTGTTTGCTCGATCAAAGATCACTGAGCTGGTGTGCCTTTGCGAGAGTGGGCTTGAGTTCTATCTACTCTTTGTCCGTCACAGTACCATTATCTTTGGACTTGACCTCTCGAGCTCTGGCAGCAGCGAAGATATTACCGATCTCGCGCTTGTATCGCTCATAGTCCTCCAACTTTCCGGTAATGAAGCCATCAACATCCTCATCCCAAAGTTGTGCGAGAGCACCAACATTAGAATTCGCGTCGATCCTGCCTTTGAAGAACTTTGAATAGAGATGGTCTCGAAATATGGCGGGAAAGGCATTGATGCTGGCTAATGCTATGAGATACCAGAACCTACCCGTCTGCCAGTCCTCTCGCAGCCGCTGGCTGTACGAGCTGTCCTGTCCTTGCAAAGCCTCCTCATCTTCCAGAGTGCTTACGAACTCATCATACTGGGCTTTGAACTCGTCCAAGTTGGAGCTCTTCATGTCGTCTATAGCTCGGTCAGTGAGCCAGTTCGGTACTCGAGTCACATGTATCGGTCCGACTGGTGCGAATTCGAGATCGATCAGACCAACAATGTTGCAGTCATCGTCAACGAATATATTAGCTTGGTGCATATCAACCAGACTGAGTACGAAGGGTCCATGGCGAGAAGTCTGATCGAAGAAGTGAGGCACAAGTGCTCTCAAGGCTACTAATGATGACAACTGTAAGATTCCGTCTGCCTTGTCAAGCATAGCGTTGGGTTGATGACGCATACGGCTGTCCTGATATCTAATCACGTCCTGAACAAAGGACTCGGTAGAGCCGTAGGTCATACCCTAGACACATATCAGACTTTTCCTGAATCAATGTCGAGTTTGGGAATCGTCCAAATACCCTGGGTATACATGTTGGGACATTGTACTTGTTCCAGAACCCAGTCCAATCGGAGAGAGGCCGATTGGTGAGCGAGACTGTACCACTATTACTCATGGTCCACGAACCAATTCGAGGAAGCGGGAGTCGTGCCATGTCAAGCATCATCTTCGTCATGCCACGATATAGGTTGTTTCTTCGACGCTTGTCATGACGGTACTCTTTCCAGCCCGACGATAGCATTTTACCATTGTCTACCCACTCGAGAAGCAGGTATCCAATCTCGGTAAGATCGTTCCGCTGATAAGCATAGTATGGCGAGAGTATCTCTCCGCGCAGCCACGCCAGACCACGACGTACCCGCCAACTCAATCGATGAAAGACTGACTCATGTTCGACAGCTTTGAACTGGAATACGTCAGTAAGAGATATGGCATTTGGAACATCTCAGGCTTACCGATCGCCCTCCTGGAAAGCCAATGCCAAGTAGACGAGGTGTGGGAATAGATGGACAGTTCTTTTGTAGCCAGACGTACGTAGCAGCTTCGCATCGAAGCTTCTCATCGACGAAATCGGCGTCAGAATGTTCAGATTCTCCAATCGGTAGGGGTCCCTGATGACAGCAGTACGCGGGAGTCGTGCGCTGTGTGAACTATCAATATCCAACACCAAGCAAAGATTGAAGGATCCATGTATCCAATCCTGTGGTTCGTCAAGTACAAAATCAGACGTCGGTATACCGAGATGACAGGAGATCAAGTCTTCAATAAGCGGCTTGCGTAGATAGAGATCATTGTGCTTGAATGTTGCAATCTTTTGTGGCATTTGGAGCGCGGGTATCACGTCCAGCTCAATTTCTAAAGCCTCTGACTCGGTCAAACGCCCCTTAGATGTTGAAATGGTGAAGACGTCCATGTTTGAAGACAGCGGTTGGAGACCTTGGCGTGTGACTGGGATGGCGTTATCAAACAGGATGTTTTGGAAGCTGGCGGCAAGAGCGCTTGTCGAAGGGCCTAAAGACGCGAGACTTTCGATACAAGTACCGAGCTGTGTACGTAAGCGGAAGTGTCGCGTTTATCAGATGGAACGATGGACTTAGGAACCTCCTGGAACAGACAGGGGCTTGGTCTTCTTATCACGTGAATTAGGTGCCGTCAAGCGCGTTTATGCAAGACGACAATGTGAGTACGCTCAAATATATTTAGATCAGGAAGTTGCCAACGTGAGCTCGGTGTGTATATTGAGAGATACCTTGACTCAGTTCATGCGTCTGCGCTATGTATCGCCATACAGGTTGACAACAAACCCTGCTTGACCTCGGCGTCGGTGAGACGTCGCGACATATCGAAGGAGCAGTACCAATTTCTGATTGGCACAAGAGACCGACACGCAATGTGATACGAATCTCTAGCCGGTGAGAGACACCAAATATGTCGCTAGACATGCAGTCGCCAAGTACATATAAGAGATTCGGCGGATTCGAGGAGTACTTTCGGCTGCCATACTGAAGCACATGGGACTTTGACATGGCAATGTACCTCGACCATACTGTACTATACAAGTATTCATTAATGTGCTTTATGAAACGTGTACTACTCTCCTTGCAGAGGCTGTCCCATACCGCCCAGTGTGACCATCTTTGTGACCATGTACTCGTCGATGCCAATCTTCGAGCCCTCGCGACCGAAGCCTAGGGAACAATTAGCATGAATACAATCTCTGAGCTGTGTGATGACTCACCTGATTGCTTGACACCTCCAAATGGTGCAGCAGGGTCACTGATGATACCAGTGTTAACACCGACCATGCCGACTTCAAGAGCCTCTGCTACGCGGTAGACGCGCTGGATGTCGCGCGAAAAGAAGTAGCCAGCAAGACCAACTTCAGAATCGTTGGCAAGTTTGACGACTTCGGCTTCAGTGTCGAAGGCGAATAACCCGGCCACAGGGCCAAAGGTCTCCTCGTGGGCGAGTGCCATATCGGAAGTCATGTCACGGATGACTGTAGGCTGGAAGAAGTTGTCGCCGAGGTCAGGGAGTTTCTGTCCACCAACAAGGACCTTACCGCCGTGCTTGACAGCGTCCTGAACGTGAGCTTCGACCTTGCTAACAGCGCGGTCATGGATCAGAGGACCGTGAGTGACACCCTCGTCATAACCGTGGCCAACCTTGAAGTTCTTGACCTTCGCGACAAATGCTTCACAGAATTTGTCGTAGATGCCTCTCTGAATGTACAGGCGGTTGGCACAAACACAAGTCTGACCAGAAGAGCGGAACTTGGAAGCGATGGCACCATTTACGGCGGTTTCGAGATCGGCGTCATCGAAGACGATAAATGGAGCGTTGCCACCGAGCTCAAACGAGAGCTTCTTGAGGGTGTCTGCGGACTGCTTCATGAGAAGCTTACCAACTCCAGTGCTGCCAGTGAACGAGACCTTCTTGACAATGTCGGACGACGTGATGGCCTCTCCAACCTCAGGGGTGTTCTTCAGAGCAGTGATAATGTTGACAACACCAGGAGGGATACCGGCACGGACGGAAAGCTCAGCCAGAGCAGCAGCAGTGAAGGGAGTCTCACCAGGAGACTTTGCAACAACGGTGCATCCTGCAGCCAGAGCAGGGCCAATCTTTCTGGTGATCATAGCAGCCGGGAAGTTCCAGGGAGTAATAAGACCGCATACACCGACGGGCTCCTTGAGGGTAAAGACTCTGTTGCCAGCAACAGTGGCAGAGATGGTATCGCCGTACGCTCTAGGAGCCTCCTCGCTGAACCACTCAAAGAAGTTTGCAGCATATGTGGCCTCACCCTTTGCATCGGCCATGGGCTTTCCATTCTCCCATGTGATGAGTTTCGCAATGTCGTCGGCGTTCTCAACCATCAGGTCGTACCACTTGCGCAGCATCTTTGCTCTTTCTCTCGCTGTTGTCTTGCGGAACTTGGGGAGAGCGGCAGCGGCGGCGTCAATGGCGAGTTGTGCGTCTTCCTTGTTCATCTCGGGCATCGTGCCAATCGGCTTGTGTGTTGCCGGGTCTGGCTTGTAGTCAGTATGACGGTTCCAGGGCCTTTTCTGATCCATCTGGACCCACCATTGACCTCGAAGGTCTTGCCCGACTTTGCGTCGACCCACTTTCCATTGATGAAGGCCTGCTGCTTGAAAAGCGACGGGTCCTTGAGCTATACAAGATCTGTCAGCATTGGTACGGGTCAAGGTCGGGTCGACGTACAGGAGGTACACTGTGTCCCATGGCGTATGATCTCGAGGCTATGCTGATGCGTGTGACTGGCTGGAAGGATGACCTGAAGGCAGGCTTTGCGACGATGCGAGAGATGAAGGTCATGGCAGACTCGGGCAGAAGGTGCCTCAACTGGGTGAGCTCAAGTCCTCGGCAGACGATAGGCGGGCACTTTCTGTTGACGATGACGATGCCGTGATGCGGGGAAAGCTCGCCGAGGTCTTTGTGTATACCTGTCTTTCTGCTGCGACGACTTCTCTTTGAAAGCGATTGTTTCTTGTCGTCGGTTGAATTGGCAGAGCTGCAAGGAGAGATCGGCTTCTTCAACTCCTCGTGAATACTCGTGACTCAAAGAAACCACCTACATCGCATCGGCTCTATCGATAGGCCAGCTTCGGTGACGGCCTTCTATGTGTAAAATCTTCGTCTGTACTTTCCCCTCATGGACCGACCCCTCGCTGCTTCGTCGGCCGTCGCATTCCGACTTCTTTGGCCGCAGCCTTCTTGACCAACATCGTCTTTTTCAGACGGACATGTAGTCGTAGGTGTCGTACACTGGGCGGAGAGTCTATGATGTGCTCCTCCATGCCCTTGACGGTTGAAATGCCACAGCTTACCGCACGAAAGCCTGAGCTCACCACTTTGGGGGCCTCTCCTGCGCTCGAATGGAGTTGGCATTCAGCCTACCTAGTCAGAACCTCGCACTTATGTCCCAACATGGCAATGTAAGACTGCGTCATGATCGTTTTTGAAACTATGCACACGTTCAAGCCTCGTCCTTGTCCATTTGTCGCTTCGGCGGAACTATGTACTCCTTCAATTATATAAAGTGGCCACAATGTATGGCACAAGCATGACTTTGCCCCGTATCGGCCGAAAGCAATTGACTTTTGTGGGAGACGCGGAGCAACTTTACGCCCACGGTCATGAAATATGGCCTGTCGCTCTAGTTCAATAACTTTAATGCTTCTCTCCACGATTGGGCTGCGGTCTTTCATCTCACCGTCGGTGCAAGAGACACTTGCATGTTGGCTGGAGTACTCTCAGCCGCAACGATGTTATTCGTGACGTTCGAACATGTGTGTAAGATACAAAAAGGCGTGTTGTGCGCTGTGTGAAATTTTCCGTAGTAACATCAAATCCAACGAGTCGCAAGTAAACCATCTTCATCTGCTCATCTTGACAACCATATTTTGCTTTCTTTTGCTTCATCTCAACTCATCCTCAAGAAGCCCATACGATATGGCCACACTGCATGATGACCATCGTCCATCTCTACTCACGACAGAGATCAAGTCTCCTTTGGCAGACTCACAAGCGCAGGACGACCCACCCATCGATGAGTTTAAACCCGACTTTCGGTTCCGTCTGGCCTGGGCCTCGCTACTCATAATCGTTCTGATGGCCGCCCTGGACGCTACTTCGCTCTCTGTTGCGCTCGCCAAAATCGCCAACGTGCTCCATGGAACAGCCATCGAAGCTTTCTGGGGAGGCACATCGTTCCTTTTGACCGCCACTGTTTTCCAACCTGTATTTGGCTCCATCAGCGGTCTCTTTGGTCGCAAACCTTTGCTCTATGTCTCCCTGGTCTTGTTCTTCATCGGTGCCATCGTTGGGTCGGTCGCGCCACGTGGAAAAGGCATGGCGGTGCTTCTGGCTGGCCGCAGCATCCAAGGCATTGGCGGCGGAGGTATCATTGTCCTGAGCGAGATCATCCCGACAGACTTGGTGCCTTTGAAGGTTCGAGGCAATTACATGAGCACGGTCGGTGCTATGTGGGCTATAGGCAGCGTCTCCGGTCCTTTGATGGGTATGTAACAACTTATTCGACCCTACTTACTATGTCACTGACAAAACTACTACAGGGGGAGGCTTTGCCACCAACGACACCAACTGGCGCTGGATCTTCTGGATCAACATTCCGTTCGTCGTCATTGGCGGCTTGATGATCACTATCTTCCTGAAGCTCAACAAAGTCTCCGGCACTGCCATAGACAAGCTGAAGAGAATCGATTACGTGGGCATTGTCGTCTTTGTGGCATCCACCACGAGCGTCTTGATTCCTTTGACTTGGGGTGGTGTTATGTATTCGTGGTCTAGTTGGCGCACATTGGTGCCTCTGCTCGTCGGAGCCGCCGGCCTCGTCTTGTTTGTCATCTGGGAAGAAAAGTTCGCCGCCGAGCCTCTCATTCCGTTCGACATCGTCAAGTCGGTGAACAACGCTGCTGTCTACTTCGGAACCTTCATCCACGGCATGATCTTATGGTGCATGCTCTACTACGGACCTCTATACTTCGAAGCCGTCAAAGGTTACTCGCCCATCCTATCTGGTGTCGCATTGTTCCCAGCAACATTCACCGTTGCGCCTGCCAGTATGGTGGTCGGCATACTTGTGACAAAGTCAGGAAGATACAGATGGTCTATCTGGGGCGGCTTCTTTTTCGCTACCCTCGGATTTGGTCTGCAGTACATGTTGTCCCCCAACACTCCAACCGTCGCTTGGGTCTTCTACTCAATCATCACTGGCGTCGGCACAGGACTGTTGTTTCCGGGATTGATGTTTGGCGTGCAAGCTGCTACAGACGAGTCGATCGTCGCTCCCGCCATGACATTGTTCGCTTTCTTGCGTACTTTCGGCCAGGCTGTCGGAGTGGCTGTCGGCGGCGTCATCTTTCAGAACGAACTCAAGAAGCAAATCTCAAGTCATGCCTTGATCGCGTCAAACGCAGCAGAGTGGGCAAAGAACTCAAGTGCCTTGGTAGAGATCATTGGCCACATGCCGGATGGGCCTGCCAAAGATGCTCTCATCCAAAGCTATGCTGACGCGCTGAAGATCGTGTGGGCAACATGCTGCGCACTTGCTGGGGCGGGACTTATTGCGAGTCTCTTCATCAAGGGCTACTCTCTCGATCGCGCTCACGAGTCGAAGCAGCAGTTTGCCCGGAAAGAGAAGAAGTCCGAAAAGGTACAAGGTGCAAATGTTTAGAAGTACCTACTCGAGTAACGCGTTAATGAGACCATGCAATTCTATCAACTGTTAAGAAAACGCTCGTGTGCCATCAATCTCCGTGAACTGCCCCTAGCTGTTTGGTGATTGTGGTCTGCTACCCAACCAAGTAATACGAGGCCTACGACGACTTCAAGTATCCTCGTCGATGAAGCCGAAATATGCTTCAATGTCACCAGATGACCGTAAATCGCAACACAAAGAGGAGCAGTGGGGCGGAGAAGCAGGCAGCGCCCAGCCCGCTCTCAGCCGCCGTTGTCCGCGGTCCGCGACGATGTCGCAATCGAAATGGCATCCGAGAAGGAGAGACCTGTCTCTGACTCGGTCTCAGTTGATTTCATCTTCGAAGCCAAACTGTCTCTCCTTGAGCTGTAGCACGTGTCCGCCCTAGACAGCTTAGGATTGGCTATTTTCAGTCATGAAGAAAACGCCATTTTCGCATCACAGTTCGTGTTCCAAAGCTGGCGCCTGACGCGCAGCGGCTTTTTCTCCAGCCCCTTGTGCAGCCATAGATCTTGGCACGAAGGGCCAGAACCCGTTTCGTGAAGGATCTGGAGGCTTTGCTCTTGCCAATCTTAAGACATGCATTGCAAAAAATGCTTGTCGCGCCAATCCCACGAGCGTCTCTGCAAGCGCTGCGGGGATGATGGAGAAGTGGTTCATGAGTGTTGCTGGGTTGTTGAGATGAGCACACCATATTCGCGCGCTGGCGGCTCATGGATGTCACTCCAAGCCTGCTCACAGCTGCTTTTTCCTTCTGCTGAAGTTTGGCAAAAGGCAAACTCCCCTCTTCAAAGCCAACCTCGGGTCACTCGAGGTCGTTGCAGCGTAGAAGTGGAAGCTGGACCCGATCGCACGGTAGCGTGCAATGGTGTCTCGTTCCTATTTGATGACCACCATTGACCCGTTTGAATCTAGGTACATGTCTCGAACGCTAACAGTAGGCTTCCATAACATCAAAGCCACTTTCCTATATATATGCACCTCGCCAAATCTTACTGCCAGCGTCAAAAACGTGCTCGTGAGATATATACTCTAGACTGTGCCGTGGCCTGTCACTCTCCTCAATCACGTCCTTCTACCGCTGTACATCACACTTCAACATCAAGTCAACATGTCGGAACAAACAATACTGTCAGAGAAACAGCAACTGGCACGGGAGCTCGAGAAGAGAGATGCACAATATGCCGGCCTAGAGAGTCAGAATGCGGACTCCCCACCTCCGGCACGACCAGTGTTCTTACTGCTATGGCTGTTGTTTGTCATTGGTACCGTCGCTACTATCGTCTCTTCCAACTGGAGCACACCGGAGGCCTTGATCAGATCTCAGAACACACTACTGAAACCGACGAGCATCATCGCAACAAGCACGTCATTACCAACCTCGGCACCAACGAGTACATGCGACAACCTCACTCTCCGTCGTGAATGGCGAAACATGAAGCCAAGAGAGCAAGCACGTTACCAGACAGCCATGCGTTGCCTCCTGGAACTTCCTTCCAAAAATGGCAAGACTGGAAGCAGACTCGGAGACTTCCTGTCTGCATACAGCACATCCGGCTGGCACGCAACCCAAACCACCGACTATCTCCCATGGAACCGCTTCTTCATGCACACGCTCGAGACCTCTCTACGCAGCGAATGCGGATATAGAGGAGACATGCCTTATCTCGACTGGACGGTCGCTACCGACAACGCCGACTCCACAGACGCATCCGCACCGGCCGTATCATACTCCCAAGCCGCCCTCCGCGATGAAGCCGCAAAGCAACATCTCGATGCCGCGCTCGTGTCTGAAATTGTATCTGCCGACAATTACGACGACTTTGCCCATGTCCTTGAAGCTCGTATTACCTCCTTGGCACCTTTTGACTTTTCGAGCTCTGAGCTGCCTCAAGGTAAGATCACCCAATAATCTCGTACTGTGCTGAGTTTTAAGCTAACATCTTTGTTTCTTGTAGATCCCCTTTTCTTGCACCAGATGCAGGTAGATCGTCTGTGGTGGGTTTGGCAACAACAACACCCCAACACTGAGATGAGAGTTGAGGATCAACGTGTGAGGATTAGCGGATTCAGAAATTCTGTTGCTGTCAAGAGTGTTGCGTCGACAGAAGGTTATGACCTTTGCTATCGCTATGTGTAGATGCCTGATTTTTCGGATCACACCTTTTCACGTTTACGACCTTATAGATTTGCTTTTGCATGTAGCATTTTAGCCATGACAATATTTGTACATTCCGATCATCTGGCTCCAGGGATTTGCTGTTACTATGCCTGCACCACTGCTAACCTCCAATGTCTATTCTCCTCGTTACTGCCGCGCGGTTCACTACAGTCGTTCGTAGATCAAGTTTCTGCAAAGCGCTTGACACGGTGCCCGCGGCTCCAATTTAAGCTCAAGAGGCCTCAACCCCCACAGATCCGAAAGACGCGCACTTTGACTCCCTATACCGATCAGGAAACTCCGCCATTCCATTGGTCAGTTTTGCGAGCTCGAAAAAAGTATATCTATTCGCGGGTCATTTGAGGCGCGCAGTTGATTGCCATTCCAGGAAAATAGTGTCGGCATACGGTTGCAACGGCTGTCAATCTGTCAGAACTTTAGGGGTTTCTTTTGTTCGTATGCTGTAAGGGACGGTGCAGCTAGTATGGTGGTTCGTTTGTATAGGGGTCGCTCGATGTGACTGAGATTGGATGTTGTGTAAGGGCTTGCGCAGGGCTGATATTTCGCAGCCTCGAATCCAGCTGTGAGATAGGGGAGAATGGCTTGTGCGATGATCTTAGCAGCTGTTAAAAAGCGAAAGTTCAGGACCCCGTAAACACAAAAATCTGGTACATAGCTGGGAGCTCGTTCCATGCTAAGAGACCTGAAGAAATTGTGGCTGATACAGATGCGAGTGACAAGGGTGAAAGATCGGGCAAAGATATCGCGATGCCGACTCAGATCTTAAGGCGACCAGGTTGAGAAGAGGTGGTGGGTATATTCGTTGATTGACTCCCCCTCGGCACATCTTACTCGGCGACAATCATTTGTCCTACTTCGCGGTCGCTTCTCGAGAATTTGAACATGATCGAGAGATAACTCGGGCACATGCCGCGCGGCTATACGAACTAGAGCACGTGCCATGCTCGACTTTAGAGCGTGATAGCAGAAGCCTGGTGGACACTTGGTACTCAGAGACAATGAACTCTCCTGAGCATGTTTAAACAGTTACCATCCATCCCATACTTGTTCGACAACGAATGGTGCTTATAGCATTCTTCGTCAGGAAGTATGAACTTTGTTCAGCTGATCCAGTAAAGCCGAGGTAGATCCGACAAACTTCGGTTCTTGGACCGGAGTCTTCCTTTTCTTCCATCAACACAGTCAATCAGTCCACGAGACTGTGCAGTGCTGAGAGAAAGAGCAAACGAAGCATGTCGATATATGTCATATAGTCTTTGCCTTTCCATCGTCACGATCATCTTTGAAGGGAGCGTGATGTCAGCTTCTGGGGCGACGTCGTCTCCTGACAGCCTTATAACAATCTGCACAAAAGCACCTCCCGACTCTTGCGTCACCCTGTGTTTTGCGTCGCTCTAGTGTGGTTCTCTTTGAGAACGACCATGTACAGGCGATGCGAGACGTCGATGGCAGGCGTGGCAGGGTGACACCTTCCCGTTGTAGCACCACCAGAATAATGTGAAGCTTCAGCCATCTCGGGTCTCTTCACGTTGTGTCCCATCCCGTACTTGACAGCCATCAACATTGTCATTGTCGCTGATCTGGAGTTCGTACTGGTATTGAGTGTCCGAGCTGTACTGTATCGTCGACACCACCATTTCTCTTTCCAAGGTCCTGCTCTTCTCCTGGAACCTCGAACGATCGTGCACCGGCCTATCGACTATCGTCTTCGGCTCATCAGTTCATACCATATCAATCGCTGGTACAGGATCGTCCGGTACAGAAGCAATTGCAGCGACGTCTGGAACAAAACGGCGGCCTCTAGTCGGGGTCAACAAGATACCGCTTGACTCTGCGTTCAAGCGTCCCAGTCTCGTCGCTATCTCAAAGCCAGGAGGTCGACTACCAGACATCGTGCTGCCCGCCCGGTTGTCTGATCTTCTTGTAATCAGATCATCAGTCCAGTGTCGACGTCTTCCAGAACTCTTCCTTTCTGTTGAGGGGGCACAGGACGAACAAGGAAGAGCCGAGAGATTGTATATGGCGTTGCTTTCCGGATCGATCAGCAGTTTCTGGGACTTCTAGTGCAGGCCTTGACGTCCTCGTCGGCATCTTTGACGATCTAAGAAGCTGGAGGCTCTCGATTCGGTGTCGTGGTTCGTGATTGATTGCAACTTCCGTCAGGCGACAATAGAAGAACATTTCGTCACGAGCGAGGGTGAACTCAAAGGACTGACCAGCTCTCGATCAAAATCCGATCAATCATCTTCGATCACTTCGGTGCCATCGTACTGGTCTAGCGAGCGTCGGGAGGTCTCGAATCTGGAAAGTTGTCGTTTGGCACGCCTTCGCGTCCGTCATCTGAAGTCTACATCGAATTTGTGTCAGCAAGGCTTCATCGAGTAGCCAGTGGGTGGTTGTTCGTTCTCTCGAGTCCAACACAAACCATTGATCGACAAGGCTCGGGTTGTTCTCAGCGAACCTGTTGTGCTGTTGCCGTCGGAACGAAGAGCCTGGCCCAACGCGCCGAGCTTGAGGATCGAAGATGTCGTTCTGCATAAGCTTTCCCTTCGCTCAGAGGACTCGTGAGGGTCGAGAGGCTCAAGTAGCTGGTCGCCCACTCTGGTTCCGTTCTGGACTGATCCTAGATGTTGACCAGTGTCAACAAAATCTTGGCTGTGGATGGAGTTTCGATCAATCTGGTGGAACCAGTTTCTTGAACTACCTCGAGCGTACAACAAACATCGAAGACGAATCGGAGGATAGTAGTAGGCGTCTGTCGATGACTACTGTGTCTCTTCTGCGTTTAATCTCTGGGAAGGAGGCTGTTACTGCCCATAATACTGTCCCAAAGCCACTAGCGCCCGCACAGACCTCGATCATTCAGTATCGAGTACCATCATTGAACAACCACGCATCTTCTTCCTCTTTGACTGAACATACCAGGATCTCGAGTCCTTGTACACAATGTAAGTATTATTTCCTTCATTCTCGGCCGCCAGTTTTCTGTATCTCGATGACGTGTTTCATGTTTCTCAATTTTATCCTGCCTTTTTACAGCTACATTTGGGAGAGGGATCTTGCACTTGGAGTACAGCTACTACGTGCTCTTCCCACAAACCCTCCATCATCATGACCCGGGGCTCAACTGACATTAGTATAGCATCAACATCCCTCCTGGACCTCTACCTCCTGAAAAGTTCTTCTTGCCTCAACGCAGGCATAGATGTAGGCTTCATCGGTCCCTTACAGTACCCTTGACCTGACTGACCCGCTATAGACCCTCCCCTCGACCGCCATCATGGACGGTCAAGTACCCGGCGACAAGGGTCGCGGAATCTCGAGGGGCTCGGCCACCCTCAGCACCGTGGAGAGCCTCCTTGAGGCTTATGCTGCATCGCAGCACAGCGAGGCCTCCGGCCCGTTCATACACGCGGGAGACCTCGACAGGCAATCATATATAGATGCCCGCATGGGTGTCTCGGCGGTGCCTCGCCCCCTCTTCGCCCCCGGCCCTGCCCCCAGTCTCCTTCCCCCTTCCCCCGCCCACCTCCCGGCTCCGCCCCGTGTCGAGCTCGAGGAGAGCGACGAGGCAGTCCCCACGCCGCCAACCCGGATTCTCGACCGGGAGAGACCCGCCTCCGTCTCTGGCTTCTTGTCGGCCTTGGGCGCTGGTGCCTTCGCTGCCGAAGAGTCTGATCATGAATCCGACTCTGCATTTGAACAGCATGAAGACGAGGTTGTCTCTGCTGGTGAAGTGAGCGTTTTTCAGCCTTACGAAACGAGTTTTGGCAGGTACAAGTTGTTTCCTTCCACAGACCCGGCACCCAGACTGCCACAACCCGTCACTCGCCCGGTCGTGCCTGCCAGATACAGATCCCGCTATCGTGAGCACCTGGACGAACCTACCTCACCCACTGTAGCGTACGTAGACAAAGGCAAACAGAGGGCGGAAGAACCTGCCACCGGTGCCGTCGACACTAGCCCGCCCAAATCAGACGTCAGCTACCCTAGCGATTGCATCCTCACACCCTACAAGCACTTCCTCCAGAACGGCCCTCCCCCCGGTCTGGAAGATCGCACGAGTCCACAATCTTCTCCAAGCATCCGCACTCGTTCAAGCACTTCGTCGATGGCCCCAACCATTCCCATCAGTGTTTCCGGGTACGATGACGATCAAGACCTGATGCTCAAGAGACAAGACAAGATCACACCCCGTGTTATTGAAGCTGGTCGTACGCACAGTCTCGCTAATGACAACGATTGGCTACAAAGAGACAAGCAAGGAAAGTTCAGATCATGGAGTCTATTCATCGTCTGCACTATCATACCATTCGCCTTACTCCTACTCATCTTTGGCGTTCTCGACAAGACCATGGCGAAGCGTTGTGGTGCTCATTCTCGTCCTACTCTGGTTCAGAAGAATGTTGCAAAGTATGTTTGCGTTGTCGAGGTTATTTTCTGGCCTACCCTAGCGGCTTAGTTGGCTGGCGGGTTCCGTCATTGACATTGAGCACTGCTCTATCAGGGATAAAGGAATAATCCACAGGCAGAGATATGAGAAGGGAATCTGTGTGTATAACGAGGGAAATGTTGATCTGAGAGCGGGAAAAGTGGATGCAGAGATACGATTTTCAAAGGTTCTATGGTGGTGTCATTCCTTTTTGCTGGATGAAAGCGAGACACAGACCATCTGAAGAATGATTATGGATGCTGAAGACAAGCAGAGAGGCTTCTGTGCATTATTCATGGCTTTTATGGCTATGGGGGGATTAAGAATATACACGCGAGATGAACGTCGCTGACGAGGATGATATGGAAACATGATACTTTGCTCTCGAACGATTGCGCAATTTGTGTACAGCGATTTGATTCAGTGATATCATGTCTCCCCTCTCATGCTCTCCAGGCTCGATATACACCGTGTAGACTAGCTGTGGATATGCAGAGTGATTTTTGGAAGAGTGTTGATATCGGGAGAGAGTATAACATCTCACTACTCTCAGTGAACCCATTGCAAGTCCCAGAAAAAATCACCTTCGTCTTTCCACACAGCCTCTTCCAATTCCTTGAGTAATCTATCATGCTGGAGATGGGGGGTTCAGAGCATTTTGGATCCTCTGGCGCCTATAGAGCAGATGTCTATCTCCCACATTTCGAGCAAACATTATTTTTAATTTTTTTCAGCTGTTCTGGAAGGAATGCACAGTACCTTTTTCCAAAGTCTACGTTAGATGTCCGGGGAGAGAGAGGCAATAAATATTTCCATTGCTCTCAAGTGCCACAACTCTGATCTTTAGAAAAATCACTGTGCATTTTTCTTTCTTTTTTTTTACAAAGCCCTCTAGACCTTGTTATACTCTGATGCTGGAGATGCGAGCAGAACGATGATTCTCGCGCCTTGGGACAGATTTATCTCCTGCCTTGAGTTGTAGTGTTTATTACAGTTGTGGAAATGCATAGTTATCTGTTCTCTGCCAGCTTGAAGAAGGAGAGCACAACATCTAGCCTCTTTCCAATAATGGTGCTCGTCACTCAAACACCATCTTGCATATTCACAAGCACCAAATCGCCCTACACCGACGAGGGAGAGCAGTAATTGAAGATTACGATTGCAAGCCTACAGAGAAAAGAGTGACAAGAAAAGAAAAGATTTTTAGTCCCAGCATCTCAAAACCCAGCACCGCCCCAAGTCTCATGCTGCTGCTGCTGCCTCTGCTGCTGCAAACCCTGCCCATACCCCTGCTGTTTTCCAATCTCTCCCACATCAAACCCATTCTCTGCACTAACCTCAAACGAATGCGCAAAATCATGAACATCAGTCTGGCTCGCATACGCATTTGTATGACTAGCAAACGAATCCTGTCTCTGTGTCCCGAAATCCTGTGTTTGCTTCTCAGGCAGGGAAAAGCCGTCGTGGTGGGAGAAGTTGAAGGACTGATGCTGAGGTGGGGAAAAGTGGTCGGTGGAGGGCAGGGCGACATCATTGGCTTCTGTGTCTGGAGGGAGGGTGGAGAAGCTTTGGTCTCGGGATTGGTGGTCGAGATCGGAGGTGGTGTTGCCGGCACCGGGGAAGGCTTGGTGAGCAGATAGTGAGAAGGAGTTGGGGAGTGTATTAACGTCGAAGGTGTCTGTTAGGCCTCCAGCGGCAGCAGCGAGGTGGTCAGCTAGGTTGGCGCCGCCATTGTCAAAGTCTGGGAAGGCTGCAGTGGCTGGTGAATGAGGTTGACTGAACAGGGCGGCGTAGTCTGTTGGAGTGGCGGTCGAGCTTTGCATCCAAGGTGTCGTAGTACGAGACGGTTGTAGGAGTAACGGATCTGTGGTAACAAGATCAAGATCAAGGGCATCGAATGCTGAGGAAAAGGCGGCGGCGGCGGAAGAGTTGGGGAGAGGCTGATGTGGTGACAGAGCGGAGCTGTCGAGGGAGATGGAGATGTTGCCATTGCTAAAATCAAATGAATTGACATCGTGAAGATGATGCTGTTGGAGGCTCGATCGGGCACCGTGAGGAAGTAGAGGGTCAAGAACGGTCGAAGCGGGGTGGTCGAGATCAGACGTCGAGGTGGGCAGTAGCCAGGAAGTGTTGTACCCAGCAGTCGCTTGCGTATCGTGAAGGTCGATGGGCGAAGCCAAGCCATTCGCAGCATTGTCCGAAGGATCTGGATATGCATGTTGTGTTTGTTGATGATGTCCGTTGCTGGGTGCGGAAAAGTCGAAGCTGGCATAGTCGTGGCTTCCACCATAAGTGTCCTGAGCGCTGAGAGCACTTTCCTGACTATCACTCGCAGAGAACGAAACCTGGCTCACGCCTCCAGCAGATAAAGGAATCGCGTCTTCATACGCGCCAGTCATGTCGAGATACTGCCATTTCGTCACCGCAGCTTCCTTACTTGTCGCATGCGAGAAGGAGAAGTGGACTGTCAATACTACTCGGGCTTCTCCTAGCTCCGTCCTTGCAATAATTTCTTGAACGGCAGTAAGCTCTTCCAAGGCCGAAGATACTTCAGCAAGCTTCTTGTGAAAGAGATCCTGTCTGTCTTCGGTGCTCTCGTCTTGCTGCGAGGGACGATGTTCCAGCTCCCTGGCTTGTCGTTGAAGAAGGACGACGTGGTAAAGATAGCGCGCCCAAAAAGTACTGGAGAAAGGCACATAATACTGCACCATCCCTCCATCGCTCCTCGTCTTTGAATTGTAGTGACCATGGGAGTCTACCTCGAGACCATCGTTGTGTTCGGATACCTCTGCGGCATCACACTCTCGGGTGAAGTTTTTCCAATCCTCATGCATCTCTTCGGTCAACTCATAGTCCTGGTTGTCATAGAAGCGACGATTTCCCGCTCTATCACAGTACATGGGTCGGCCGTTGAGATACAGCTTCGTGCGGCTACTGATCGAAACGGAGGGGTCGCGAGCCGGAGCTTTCAAAACCCAACTGATGGCCAATTCTGTATCGCCAACTAAATTCTTGGAGTGAAGCATGATAGGTACGTGAAGAGCCAGGAATTTGCCACTAGCAAAGCGTTCGGCTGGGATGTTGGCAAGTCCAGGGAAGAAGGTGTAGAGTTCTGCTTGAGTCTGTACGAAGAAGTTGCTGGGACTGAAGCCTTCCGTGGCGCTGTATGTGTGCAGCGTCTCCGATGCTTTACTAGAGCGCATGAACATGCAGAATTCCTCGGGCTGAGGATCGAAGGGAGATGGGAAGGAGAAATTTCGGTGGTGCTGCAATAATCCAGTCTGCATCTGGCTACCAGGATTGTAGACCGACGCTTTCTTCCGAGCAGCCTTGCTAGCTGCCGACTCTTTCCCCTCGCCAGGGGTAGCGAGAAAGCGCATGACTGTCACATGTTAGTGTCATCTCAGCAATAATCTGCTACATTGCTTACTGATTGCCTCATTTTGCACGAACGGCTTGAGTACCTGGATATGGCTCGAAACCTGCTTTCTGGTGCGAACGTCTCCGGTGTTGCGGAAGATGTAATCTGCAATGAGTTCGTTTCTGCCCATCGCCTTTGCGTCGTCGTTGTGTTGTTCTCCCGGAGCTTTCGCCTTCTTACGACCACAAGGAGGGTGACGACAAAGTGCTGGAACGGAGCTACGTCAGTAATTGGGCTTTGATGTGATGGACCCATCTACGAACCTACGATGAAAGCATCTTCGATATGATCCGGCCACTTTGCATCTTCCTTGTTGCCCTTCTTCTCCTTGGGCTGTCGATTTCGATACTTGATGTAGCCATCACAGCGCAAGAATCTCGAAGCGAGAAGTCTGGCCTTCCTCTCTGCCGCTTGGTCCATTTCCTGATCATCAGAAAGCGTACAACGTATACCACGAGACTTGCCGCGAGTAACATTGCTGAATAAGTATTGAGAGCTAGGGTCGTATCTTTGTGCCAGACCGGCCATCCACGGGTAGTGAGGCTTGCCCGGTTGACCTCGACCGAATTGTAAAGGCTGGTAGTCCGAGCCCCTAACACCAGCCGAACCACACGTAGAGTCATCGTTGATGTTGGCGTAGTAGTCCTGAGTAGTTTGAGTTTGCAGATACCCGAGTTGTCGATTACCACATTGCTCTCTGAGAACATGAGAGCCTTGATCAACCTCAGTCCATAACGGAGCATTGGATGGCACAACTGGAGTTGAGTGGAAAGATTCCATCTGGGAACAAGCTTCGAGGCAAAGAATGAAGTGTAAAGAATGGATTGTGTTTCTAAGAATGCTGATGGTAAATATGAGATACAATGAGAGAAAGAAAGGATCGTAAAAGTTTGATGTTTGGAAGGAACGACTTGTGAGAAGAATAGCTAGTGGATTGGCCCATTGCTATTGGATCGGTTACATGTTTATAGAATTGATCCTCATCCCAGGGACATCTACAGAGGCCATGACCCGTGGATCAATCTCGGCAGGGGTCATGGCCTTCGGGGGAGGCCTACAGTGACAGGCTGAACTTGCCGTAGGAACAGGCCGGTGGTCGCGCAGCGCCACGGATACAACCTTCTGGTGGAATTCATCATTTCATCGACAGCAGGGGTTCCTACATGACGTGTGGGGGAATATGGACGATCACTCCAAGTAGCGCTGACTGTTCCGGAAAGGGAACATGAAGGTGGTGGGCTAATTTCACCTTCCACACGATACAGGAATGCGATCACGCAGGAGCCTTCACTGAAAGGGTCTCGATCGACTCCTGCACGTGCGAGTACGTGACGAAAGGGCTAGCACCAACCTTTATCAGAGGGACGTTGTCCAATACGCCTGGTTGATTACCAAAAGAAACCTGCCAAGTGAGCAAAGCCAAGGGAGAGGGTAGGTGTAAGATTGAAAGGTGAGAGCGTACAAGCAAGGGAGCCTTTCCGCATCCCCCAAAGACCACGAAGTTTAATGCTGCACTCACACCTCTTCCAAACCATCTTGATCGTCGCCAATACGGATCTTCTTGCGACCGCCGCTGGTGAGCTTTTGCAAAGCGACCTTATTAAGCTGAGCGCCGGCCTTTTTGGCCATTGCTTCAATTTCGGCTTCGGCGTCTTCAGGGTCTTCGGCGGCGAAGTCGAGAACCAGTCTACGACCAAGCAAGTGAGTGTCGCGCAGGGCATCCATTGCGTTCTCCGCTTCCTTCGGCGTAGTAAAGTCTGCAAAAGCAAAACCGCGGGCTCCTTTATCGAATTTCTTCGGCACGCGGACAGAACGGAGTTGACCGTAAGCAGCGAAAAGAGCGCGCACGTCCTTCTTGGTCGCTTCGAATGGCAAGTTCTTGATGATGATCTTGGTTCCCCGGGCAGCAAGCTTCTTAGCCTTGTCCTCTTTGCGGCGTTCTTCAGCAGCATCAGTAGCCTTGTGCGACGCACGAAGCTGGAGCTTGTGACCATCTAGACTGTAGCCATCCATTGCCGTGATAGCAGCTGCGGCTTGTTGCTTGCTGGCAAATTCCAGGAAACCGAAACCCATACTGAGAACTTGGCCAGGCTTCTTCACGTCTGTCTTGGTCTTGACTCTTGCAGTCAGGAAACCAGACAGAGGGCGGAAAGTATCTGTGAGACGGTCTGTCGTTGTGGTGAAGTTTAGGTTTCTGACAAACAGAGTACTTGTAGTACCCGCAGACACCTCTGTACCGGTTTCCTGTAGCAATTCGCTAGCGGAAGCCTTGGCATCGAGACCAGCCTGGGTGGTCTCTCTGTCCGTGCTGTCAGTCAACGGGGCGGTCGCCTGGAACAGATCCTTGGGCGCCTTTTCAAGGAAAAGCACTGAGGTGTGAATCTTGCGGTAAGCAAGAGACGCGAATGCAGCACGTGCTTCGGGGGCGTGTTCGAACTCAACAACAGCAATGGTGCCAGAAGGAGGCATCAAGAATCTCTTGATCTTGCCATGCTGTTCGAACAGTTCCTTGAGCTCACTAGCCTTGGTTTCATAAGGGAAGTTCTTCACCAGGATTGCTGTGTCGCCGCGTTCCCGCTTCTTGAATGCATCCATGTCGACACCATTCTCCTTAAAGTATGACTTTGTCTCCTGGATGACGTGAGTTTCGGCGTGCGCCTGCTTGACGGCTGCATCAGATGAAGTGGGGTCTAACAGTTCAGACTTAGACACGCCGAGACGATCAGCCACTGAGGACATAACAGCGTCGGCATTCATGTAGAGCGAATTCCAGTTGAAGGTAGCAGAAGCAGCCTCACGCTTTCGCTTAATGGCTTGCTGCTTTTTGATGGGAAGTTTCGAAAGGGCAAAGTCATCTAGCTTGTCCTCTCGCTTGGCAGCAGCAGGAAGAATATGTAACAAGCGACCTTGGAAAACCTTGCCATCCATTTCACGCAATGCTTGTAGAGCGCTGTCTGCATTGGCAAAGTGAAGGTATGCGAAGCCTTTGGTTGCTCCAGTTTTGGGATCGATTGGTACATGAACCTAATGCCATAATGTATTAGCCAGCTGCTTGTGAATATTGATTGCAGATATGAATGTTTTGCAAGCTGGTTCGTTTTCAGACTAGAGAGGCATCTACTAAAATACTCTTCCTGAGTTCTCAGCATCTGCACATAGTGCATAAGCTGTCCCTATCAGGTGTTCATCCTTGAACCAGCACGCTTGGCGTGTGATGAATTGAAAAGAAAGAAGGAATAAAGTGCTTACCTCTTCTAGATTGCCGAAGCCAGTGAAAGCGCCTCGCAGGTCGTCTTCCTGGGTAGCGTAGGAAAGGTTTCGAAGGTAAAGGCGTTGACTGGCTCGGACTTTTTCTTCGACCTCGTCTGTCGGTGGTTCGGGTTCGTCCCCGAAGCCCTCAAACTCTTGTTCTTTCGGTGCATGCTCCGCCTCGGGGATCAGCTCGGGACTGAGTGATGCTGCCACTGTATATGATGGTTGAGTGGTCGCAGCGGCTTCCTCTAATTCTTGGTCATCTGCGAGACCGAGAAGTCTGCTTGTTCGTGAGCGCATCCAATCGTCGTCATTCATGACTGTGTCTTGCTCTGTAGCCGGCTCGGCACTCGCATCTGCTTGCTCAGTTTGTATTGTGTCGGGCTTGTCAACCTCCATGGCATCTGTGGTGGTAGGTACTGGTGAAGGTTTCACGGCTGGGGCTGCACTCTTCGACTTCTTGGGCACATTCTCATACTCGGAGTCACTGTCGGCCTCGGGCACAACGACCTTGGGGTCGAGCTCTTGATTGGCAATGCTGACCTCTTCACCTCGAGTACCACGAAGTTTGGAAGGGGCCTGCATAGCAGTCAAGAACTCGCTCAGCTTCGGGTCCTTCTCTTTGGTCTCAGGTTCAGGAGTGGCGCGCTTTCGCTTGAGGTTGGCTACAATGGGTTCGGCATTCGCGTTGTATGCTGGCAGCTTGGCCATAGCCAACGGATGTTGTGACGATTGACCTTGTCTCCTTGTGGGAGCCTCACCGATCTGAGAGAGGAGTTAGCAGGTGAGGACTGGAGGGGTAGGGCTTCAGCAACATACGGGTCTGGCCAGCTCAACGCCGATCTTGGACATGCGGATGAAAGTACGGTTGAAGTACTTGACAGCCTTTTGAGCATCTTCAGGCGACTTGTATCCGACATAACCAATTCGGCGCTGAGGAAAGAGTCTGGCGTCGGTGACTTCATATTTGCCAAAGTGCTTCTTGAAGTCTGCCTCGCTCATGGTGGGGGGTAAACCCCGTACGAAAATACGTGATGACTCTGACTCCATGACTGGATAGCTATCAGTTGCTGAAGATAAGGAGCGACTGAGATAGAGAGAAGAGAGGTTGATAGGGAAGAGAGATGATGTAAAAATTTATGGCTGCGTCGAGATTGTCGAGATTTGCGCCGCGGCGATTTTGCGGTCCGGCGATTTGCTCGGCTTTGCTACCTCTGCTCGGACCCCCATTGCGACGCGACAACTCCCAACATCATCCAGCCTGTCCCCAAACATTTCCCTTCAGGAGTCATAGAGTAGGAAAGTGCAGACTCACATCATCACAATGTCCGACGAGAAGAACACAACAAACCAGCAGCTCGAGCAGTCCGAGAGGCTCGAGGGTAAGTGAAGATGCTGGTCGATGAATAGACAAAAGGGGCAGTTGAGCTAATGCTTTGCTCACAGCCCAGGTCAAGTCTGCGGACATGGTATGATTTCTGTGACTCTTTTACTGCGCATTCGTAGCTCATGTCATGTTCCAGACCGACGACATGCAGCAGGAAGCCATTGAAGTTGGTAAGTCATGGGATTGTGGAGAACGTTTATGCGGAGATGGATGGATTGAAGGCAGGCATGTTGCTAACCAATGTCTGGTATACAGCACAAGAGGCTATGGAGAAGTTCAACATCGAGAAGGTGAGTTCGGTTCCGACTGCATGAATGATATTGCCAACAAACGCTGACTGATATTTAGGACATTGCACACCACATCAAGAAGACGGTTCGACATTACGATATGGCTATTTTACGACACTCAGACTAACCGCTATACAGTTCGACGAGCGCAAGGGCACCACCTGGCACTGCATTGTCGGCAGAAACTTTGGCAGCTTCGTGACTCACGGTAAGAAGCTTGTGCTATCTGGGAAAGGTAATATGGCTAATGACATCGAACAGAGACCAAGCACTTCATCTACTTCTACCTCGGACATTGCGCCATCCTCTTGTTCAAGACTCAGTAGAAGCGCAGTTGGAGCAGAAGTACAAACGACGTCGGGATACCCATGGAGTCGAGGAGCAGTGGAGTAATCATCAGAAAAGGGCAAAGATGGTTCAAGGAGCAGCAGACATGTTTCTTTGTCGGGTTTCAGCATCAGCGGATCAGATATACCAGCACAATTTCAGCGAATTGACACAAAAGCACAAAGCGTTGACTGTCACATGCCAGAGTAAATTGCTATAGACGGGTCTTGGCATGTCCGTGTCAGCCAAGCTTCACCATGATGCTGAAACATGCGAGCATATCACGATTCATGTTTCTCTCTCCACCTCGCGATGCACTTGTAACATATCCATACACTGCACAGCGACCAGCATGTTAACGAGTGACGAGATTCTAGAGCAGGCGGCGCGTGACGGGTCCATCGACATGTAAGTCGCGTATCACTTCCCACAGAGCGCGTTTTCTGAACAATGACGACAGATCCGAATGGCCGCGAGTGCTGGAGAATGTGCTGCTGAAATTACACAACGTACGCCCATCGCCTCGCATCTACAGCTCCGTGGCTGACTTGAGTCAAGATTGTACACAACGACTTTCCGATACCCAAGGCGCCACCGCTACCTTCTCCACCCGTCCTACTGCCGGTAGCGCCAGTCATCCTTCCCTCCAACGATGATTCAACAGGCGCGACAAAGTCACCCGAACCCAGTGCTCCTACTGTAGAGCCTTCAGATCCGCCGGCCAGCACCGACAAGGAGAATGCAGCTCCACGCCCACCGGTTCCCTCATTCGCCGCTGTCCCTCAACTTCGCCAACAGTCACCTTCCTCTCCACTACCGCCCGACCTCTACACACTTTACCACTACTCCAGGAGCACACTCGAGACCAACTTCCCAAAGCACCCACCTTATACAATCCAGCGCCTGGCCGAGCTAGTCCTCTATCCAAAGAGATACTACCGCTACCTGCCGCCCTTCCTCGCCGCCCTCGATCGCGTCGTCTCCGTCACGAGTGCTGTACATGAGTTCCCCCTAGCTCATATCAGCATCGACTCAGCAAGCGGCTTCCTCGCGAATGGCGAACCCAGCGAGAACCACCCCGAGCGCGAAGGACTGGGTAGCGACGAGAGCCTAGGCGGCGCATTACTCACACCTATCCCCTGGCTGAAGCGCGAAAATGGACATCACGACTTTCGCAGCGAAAGCTCGCAAACCATAGAAGGTCCCAATGGCACTGGCGTGATCGAGACTGTTTCTGTATCTTCCAACGTTGGACCTGCCTCGCCTCAGGACGAAGATACCATGAGCCATGAGCAGCACCTACGCGCTGAAGGTGGAGTTACACAAGGCGAACTTCTACGTCAAGAGCAGGAAGCCGGTATCGTGCCAGTAGGTCAAGAAGTCCCTCGTCGCTCCTTGATGGCCAGTGGCTCTTTGAGCGCTGTTGGCAGAGGCGAGAGCACATTAGCCGCCGAAGAAGACGACGGAGACAAGCCAGAGGAACACACTCATGCGCGCGGACCCGAGGAGATTGGCGCCGAAGATATGGGACCTCAGGACACTGCAATCGGCCTCACACGACCGCTGAATATGGAAGCCGCAGCAGGAAGAGCAAAGTCTCCGGAAGTAACACGCGATGACAAAGACATCGAGGGAAACACTGCCATGGAGGAACCCACCGAGGAGAAAAAAGAAGAATCCAAAACTGAAGAAGAGAAGAAGGAAGATACGACCAAGCAGGCTGATGAAGAAATGCCAGATGCCTAGACGGCGAACGGTTGTTCCCCTCTTTCCGACAATACACTCGAAGCAGGTGACCAGACGTGCTTCGAGGATGCACAGGAGCATAGCGAACCAGCTACAGCAAGGTTTGAAGCTGTGGAAGACATGGAAGTCGAGATGTTTTCGCCTTAAAACTCGAAACTATCGTTTCTCTCATTCTTTCTCTGTATACACAGTCATTCATCCAATCTCGCATGTCTACCAAATCCTGCAGTGGTCAGATACTCTATGAGCTGATCGCGACACGAAATGCTTTTTTTTTTGGAACAGTTACGTTTCAAGGCGCAGATATGAAACAGCCAGGGTGATACCCTCAACCACCATCTATGGACAATAATATGTGTCTACTGCTCAACCATGGGACTCTAACTCTTGATTATATGATGAAGTTGATTGTTTGTGTATTTCCAAGGACCCAATAAGATATCAGTGTGCTCAGATGATCGTGTCGTTGTATACATTAAGAATCCTGAATCTGAAGCTCGACTCTTGGAAGATGGACCTATAAAACTCCCGGACCTATGTGATATCCTCAAGACAACATACCGAGGAGCAAAAGAAAAACGTTGACGTGAGAATATTCAAAGTTACGTGTTTCACTTCAGTTGCATATCAGAGCCCATGAGATGCAGACAAGGAGATGCACAAATGTCGCATCAACCCCGCACCATGTCCTCCACCCTTCGCCCTCTTAGACCAAGACATTTAGCCTCAAACACCACACTCGCAAGATGGAGAAGTATCGCATACAAAACTGCCAGAGTCCCATCAGTTCCAAGCAAATCATCACGGGTGTTGTTGGGTAACAGCTTACCAAGCAGGTGTACCAGCAGCACAATTGGCGTCTTTTCGGCATTGATCACATTGTGCTATGTTGCAGCCGGCTTGTCTGGGTATGAAAGACTGGGTTCGTGGACTGATTCCTGAGCGAAAGATGAAGGTGGAAGGGAGGGATACTGGTAGCAGTGCTGGTAGCAGTGCTGGTAGGGCGTTGGTGACGGTCAGGAGGATGCCGAAGAGGAGAAGGGTTGAAGAGGCGAAGTGCATTTTGGTGTTTGCTGCCGTGTGATCTTAATGGGCTGTGATGTGACGACCAGAGTCAGACGAGGGATAAGAAGCGCTGAGGCGTATGATGAGAAGACCAGAGAGCAGGGAAAGGCACAATGTTGGAGACGAACTTGTTGGATGTGGTCGAGGTCAGTCGTGAAAGAATGGTGCTCTGCTGCCAGATCTACCTTCCTGCTGGACCTCCACTTGCATTTATACTCTCACCTTAGTAAGCATTAACCTCCTCAGCAATGGTTTTTGCTTTGTTGTGGGCGCACAGAAGTTTGCCGTTATCTCGAGTTGAAGAGTATGGTTTCGAATTCATGTCACTTGATGCCCCTCAGCCTTGGACCAGTCACAGCAGCACCCAAGGCCAAGCCGTAAACATGAATCCGCAAGTCAAAGTTGGTATAGAGTAGGTAAGACAACTTATCATGTAACGAAGCGGCGGCTGGCACTTTTGCTCGTTTGTGGTAACACTATGTGTCCGGAGGCAGCATGCCGGTTCTGCGGCAAGGTGCCGGACAGGGACACAAAGGACGATGAACCTGTTTGTCCTTGCTTGGACTTGCGATTCGGAGTCAGACATGGCGTCGTCGGCATGATCTCCCCGACAGGATACCAAGCGTAGGTTCAGATCTTATGACATGTCAGGAAGATTTGTGTGAGACACTCGACGTGATGGGAGCAGTGGAGGGAGGGTTTGTGGTCGGAGTCAGCTCAAGTGATGATGGAAGCCAAGACATCAGGGCTCTCTTTCCAGGTTCTCTCGTTTGGTTGTTGACTTCTTCTACTCTCCACAACAATCTCGTTGATGCAAGTAGCCTCTCAGATTTGGAAAAAGACAATGTCGGAGATGGCGGAATGTGTATACAATAAAGTCAAGAGATTGATGAAACCGTGGCTCGCGTCGCTTCAGACGCGAAGCAAGGACGCATGCTCGGCGGGCACCCGCCGCAGGGGAGTAGAACAATCCATCTTCTCCGGGCGCTCGTAGATTTTTGTTCAAGTTTCATTATGTTGTGTCTTCGCGCATACGCAAAGGCAAGCGGTGTTGATCGGCGTCTTTGATGACGCTGATCTTCTTGTGACAGCCTATTTGGTCATCTTCCTCTGCAAGCTTCGCGTTGAGAGTTATCTCTGATGGAAGGAGCGATTCTGCTCTGGACTGTTGCTGGGTCGTCAGGATATTCAAACCCTCAGTCGCTTCGCAGAGCAGTCTTGTCACCTATCGTATTTCCAATCAACCCGGCCAGCTCGGCCCAGAGGTCGCTTGCCTGTCTTGAGACATGTGCTCTAATTGAAAAGCAACATTCAATCCTGGGTGGCTACCTTTTGGATCGACTTCTCTTCGTTGGACGAATGCCAAATCCTCTCTTGGAAGGTCAAGGCTTCATCGACAGTATCGACGCTTATCCGACTAGTTTCAAGTACAGCACAGCAGAGTATCTCGATTAACCCGACATGGCTTACGTCCTCTCTCTAATGCCCCAGAGTCCGCTGGGCTCTCCTTACGACCAAAAGAGGTATGAAAGATCGTGGTCGTCATTGGGCAGTACGGGAACCGTCCATCGACATCGCTCGAGACAGCTGTCAGCCGGCTCCTCGGCCTCTGTAGCTTCGATATATGGTACACCATGGCGCTCACTCTCGAAACACGGCACGCCACTCCGATCGACATCCGACTCGGACCTTGAGAATGTGACACACCCCTCAGCCCTTCGTCGTCCAACTACCGCAAGCAACATATCCCGTCCTCTAAGCGTCCCGCCTTCTGTCCCGCAACTTGTGCCTGCCCTTACACCCTTGCCGTCTCCAGTCGAATCGGATCCTCTTCTTACTACACCCGCTCTGAGAAACGAGCGTTCTACCTTGGATCTTGTCGACGAAGAAAGAGGCGATTGGGATGAAGACCATGCTCTGCTAGAGTCCGAGACATATGACAGCTCCGCACCACATATCGATCCTCTAGTGGTAGAGCCGCCCGATGTCACGCCTACCTCGTCGTCGCACCAACCCTTCTCTAGATGGATGAACACCCTGAGACTAAAGAAGGCCTGGTACAAAAATCATGTCCGGCCAAGACTCGACACTCTCCTACAGCAAGCAAATCAGTCGGCAATAACTTCACCAGAACCTTCTTTCAGAGGCCATCGTAAGTCAGGGTCTTGGGCTTCGTCCACTAACTTCATCACTGCGGTCAAGTCAGCCACCATCACCGTTGCCAGTGCAAGTATTGCTCCCTTGTCGAGATCCGCCAGCCGGAGGTCTGGTCACCCCAGGCTCTATCGTGGAAGCAGTGGGTGGTTTGAGTCAGAGCCCCGATTCTCCACTGACAGTGGTCGCCCCTCCCTGAGTCTCATCATCGACGACGCCGCCCGTCAAAGAGCAAAGAAGCGACGTGAGAAGATTGAAGAGCTGGTCAAGACTGAGGAGAGCTATCTTTCAGATCTCAAGGCTTTGAGCAACGTGGGTTTCTTCCTGACGTGAACAGAGCGTCAGCAAATTGACATTTCCGCTACAGGCATACTTCACATTCTTGCCGCCAACATCGCCATTTCCAGGTCCTCAAACTCGTGCTTCGACTCGGAGTAATATCACTAACCTGCTCCAACTACACACTGAGTTGTTGGAAGATCTGCACCAAGCAATACCTTTCTCGGACCATGATCAAGCAATCACCGAAACATCAGCGCCAAAGCGTAAGCCTTACCATGTCAGATGGCACAGCGAGGATTCTATACCTGTCCGCAGACCTCCTTTGGGAACCAGTCACACTGGATGGTCAAATCGCTATTCGCTTGACTCGCACAGAGCTCCAAGCCAGGAGCCGCTGTCTCTAGCCTGCACACCAGCTACTGCCGCTGATGTTGGTCGAGTCTTTGCAAAAAACGTCAGCAGTGTCACCCCCCTTCCACTTACCGCTAGACTGACAACATCAACAGATCAAACGATTTGCGTTGTATGAAGAGTACAGTGCCAGGTGCGAGTTCATGCACGACGATATCGACCTTACCCAGAAGTCGTCCTTCTCTGTTTGGGACTACGACAAAGCCATCGAGACACTCTCTGCATCTGTGAATCCTGTCAAGAGTCGAGAAGCAAATCGCAGAAAGGCACTTAGTATCAAAGACCTACTCATCAAGGTGGACTTTACACAAAAATCTTCGAAGATCCGGACTGACTGTGCTACAGCCCATTCAAAGAATCACTCGCTACGATTTGCTCTTCAAGGACCTTTGCAGACTCACACCTTCTTGCGACGACCCCACTTCGCATGCGGTGTTGGATGATGTTCTTTACCGCCTGGGTGAGACGTGTCGCAACGTTGACGACTCGAAAGACAACCCGGACAGGCTTCGACTCATGGAGAACTCCTGGATTCTCCAAGATCGACTCTGTTTCTCGGACAAGGTAAGAGAACTCTGTAAACTCGGCAAACATGTTACTGATCTGGTCAGATTCCACGCGAACTCCTTCTCCAGCGTCTCGGCCGCTTGTCCCTTTGCGGCACTCTGTATGTTGCCTATCGGAACAAACTCAAGTTTCATGGATGCTACATGATCTGTACTCTGTATGAATCATGTCTTTTGCTTGCTCTGGCAGATCGTTCTTCATCAAAGTACAAGGTTGTTGTTGCCATCTCCCTGGCATCGGCTAGTATTGAAGAGAGTGACAATGGCAAAGGTAAGCTGCGATATGCATTGAACAGAGCACGCCATTGACAACAACAGGTCTCCAATGCCACACAGCACCATTTACTTGGAAGATCGTGTTTGAATGCGCCGGCAAGATGTATGAGCTAATCGTTGGAGCATGCTCAGAGATCGAGGAGAACGTCTGGAGAGATCGACTTGCTGGTCGAATCGCCGTTGAAGCACAGCAGGTTTCTGAGGGATCCAGTTTTCCTCTCGATCTCCAGTCACCACTCACTCGAGAGTTGCGCAGTATCGGTAAAGCTTACGGAAAGGCTAGAGGCTTTGTTCGAAGACTTTCCATCCAGCGTACTGCGACCATGGGACCGATGGTAGACAGCAACCAGGTCATCATAATGCATACCTCAGCTCCGAAAGTTGATTTGACCAACTCTTCGACCTCTTCGCTACCTGGCCGCTCAAAGTCACTTCCAACCTCCAGCGGTGTCCCCATACTGGCACCGATGAGGGCAGAGCGTATCAAGGTGGAGGCCATCATGTTCGATGTCTGGACAAAGGACTCAATCCCCTATCCAGGCATGGGCTCAAGGCGCACTGAGAACATTTTCAAGGACACGGCCAACGACTTGCTCCGCAAGCTGAGCATGGCCAGTATTGCGAGCAATTTCTCCAGGCGATCGATGAGCTATACGAGTGTCCACGGTCACGCGCCAACGGAGAAGCTCGTCAAAGCCAAACCAGTGCCACGCCCTGACACTTTCAAGCCGAAGCGTCCACCTCTTGTCAACTTTCAGAATGCACCGAACGCATTCTTGCCAGAGGATTTCGAGTTGCAAGGACCGGATTCGAAGCGCACACGTAAGCTGGGATTGCGGACATTGACGATGACGGATCGCCCAAGGTCGCCCTTTTTCTTTACAGAAAACAAGGCACCGGAAGTCAAGCGAGCCAAGAGCACGACACAGGCGCGTGCACCAGTAGAGACCGAGGTCAAAGCTGAAACGGTGGATGGATCGGACAGGAAGGACAGCTTGCAAGCACTGCAGAGCAATGTCGGCAACATGATTGGCAGCGAGGCGAAGAAAGAGGCCAAGGGAGCGGAATCTGACACGATGAGGAAGAAGAGACCAAGACTCTTGAGGTATCTGACCAGCAAGTCTTGAGTTGGTGACGAATGACGAGGATGATGCAAGATTTTGCTATGATCGAGGTGGAGACACGTTGATTTGTTTACGTATGTGGAGAAGGGGTCATTCGAGCTCGAAGCTTTGCGCTCCTTGCTCCGGCGACTGGAGAGAAGACGTCAGCATCACGAAAGAGATGTGGCTAGTATTGGGTATGATAGTATTAAGCAACAATACAAGACAGTATGAGTACAATGCAAGATTCATGTTGTCGCTATCCCGATTGTCATTCTTCGAGATGGACAGGAAGTAAAACAGTCTTCTGTTTGTTTCCATCGGTTGTTCATGCCCAAGGCTGGAAAAGGTGGAGAGAGTGGCCCTGTGGGAAGATGATATAGAACGTACAGCCAGAATGACCAGTGCCAAGAGATCGTCTTGGTCGGGTGACAGTTCGAAGCGTTCTTTAGTCAAAGCTCCGGTGACGTAGGGCCGTGCTGAAGCTATGAAGTCAGGGAAGTCGCGTGTCCAATGGAGTGGTGCATGCTTCAAAACGACCTTGTAGACAGGCGGCCATTCATCTTCCCTTTTTCTATCCACAACATACAACTTCGCCCATATTCCAATTACTACACTCATTCACTACTCAGTCACCACCCATCCACCAATCCAAACCGCCAACATGAGAGGAAACGCCGCCCAGGTCAAGGTCCACTACAAGGGCTCCGACGACGACTACATTGTCTTTGTCGACTCTGCTCAGGCTGTCCGTGAGTGGAAGGCCGACAAGTCTGTCCCTCTTGCCCAGGTTGTCAGCGGCTGGAAGGTCTTTGTTACCCACAAGTAAGTAGCCATTGTCAAGACAGCTACCCCGCCGTACCCCGCTAACAATCATACCAGCCACGGCACCCAGGGTGTTCTCGACGCTGCCTCGCATAGCCAGCTTGACAACGAGTTCGGCACCCACAAGGAGGAGGATGTTGTTCAGCAGATCCTCGAGAAGGGTGACATCCAGGAGACCGAGGTAAGCCAAGCTCTCCAAGCACAAGCTCAAGGCACGAGAACACACTCTGACAAGAACATAGAACTCTGCTCGCAACGGCGACCGTAACATCACCCAGGGCCCTTCGGTCGGCCACTAGACGCGGTCTGAAGTGCCAGTTCGAACTGCTCACAGACGACTGAAACGCCTTTCCGAACGCTTCCACTCATCACGACGTCGACCAGGCCGTGAATGTTGGAATGCATAGATAAGCGACGTGGGTGACTACAAGTGCACTCTTCCGCTATCAGGTTCAGCGCGCTCGCTCGAAGACATGACCTTTACATAAGTCATTGATACCACATGATGAATGAAACGAATCCCAAGTTAATCAACGTCTCATGTCTTGTGTAGTGATCCTCCCTCTGTAGTGGCTCGTGACACATGGCTGCCTCGAGGCACAGTATTCCCAAATCGCTTGATGAGGAGCAGACTCTAGTATAGACCATCAAGACTCGGAAGAACTATGCTTCTGTAGAGCGACTCCAAACCGGTGCAGCGAGGCGTAGATGCTGTTACAGTACGACGCTACCAAAGGCAATGTCGATTACTTCCTCGACTAGAACCCAAGCATCTAAATCGATCAATTCACCTTCGCTCGACGCACATAAGTAGAGATCGAGACACTCAATTACGCTGGCCTCGCAAGATCAGACAGCGGAAGGTTGGTGTTGGTGGTGAATGAATAACGTCTCACAAGGTCGCAGCTACCGACTCACATTTATCCAGCCCGAAGCTTTCTTGTGCAACTTGCTCAAATTCACTTTACAACATAGCATTCGAGTCACCCAGACTCCGTCACTTCGTTCTAGTCACATCAAAACCACCAGACGATCCGGCCAATTCTCCAGACTGCGCACAAATTCAGTATCACTCACGCTATTGACGCGACGCATCATCCGTCGACAACAAGCTACCCTTTCCACCGTCACACAACAACAACAACGACGACACCATCGACATGGCGACAACAAACCCTTTCGCTCACTATGCCGGCATGCAAAACTCCTTCTTGAACAACCAACTTCAACAATTGCCACGAGAACTCTACGACGACATCATGGACCGCGCCGATGATTTCAAACCAGTCAAGACCGCCCCGATCCCATTGGATCCCTCGAAAGATGCCTCGATCGCACCCAGTGATGGCTCGTCTCCGTTCCTCAACCTCCCTTGCGAGTTGCGCCGCGCAATCTTTAGCCATCTTCTACCAGAAAAGGGCAAGATTATCGAGCCCAGTCAAGCATCTACCGGCGTCGAAGCAGAAGCACAGGTACCTACTCGCACTATTTCCGCCGCCGCACCTATGGTAGTCTTCGGTACTAATCCTGTGGCTGCCCTCCAACAAGGACCGCCACCTCCAGTACCTTGGACAGCCGTTCCAGCATGGACACAACAACCCGCATTTGCAGCATTCGCACCTCTACCCTCAGCAACATGGTTCGTGACTCCGACAATCGCGCACCCCACCACGAGTCCTGCTAAGATCAGTCGCGTTGAGCAAAAGCCTCACTTGTCTTTGCACGATGCACTGGTTCTGAACAAACAGATTGCGAGTGAGATCCTCGTCATGCTGTACGATGAACGCACCTTTGCCATCAACGTCCATGAAGGCATCTTCGATGGCGGCGTCGAGTTCTTGAATTCGGGACTTCAGCGTCTTCAGTACCGTGAGCACTTCACTCAGGTCCGCTTCAAGCGCTTTGAAAGTCCCAATGACCCTTTCGGCTTCTCGCGCATCAAGAGGCTTCTCATCAGAGTTTATCCTGCGAAGGAGGGAGTCTCGGAGCACCAGGCCAGTCGTCACGATGCCATGCACACCCACTTTATGCTTCGTGCGCTTGTCAAGCTCTTGAAGAAGGACGATAGATTCGGTCTCAACTGTCTGCGCATTCGCTTTGTCGAGCCTCAGCATACTTCATGGCGTCCTCACCCATGGCAAAACGCTGCAAACTCCTTTCCTCGCTGCACTTCTATCCACGGTGTTCCCAACATCGAGGTCATCCTGCGCGCCCTGATCGAATTGCGTCAAGTCCAGACCGCTATCTGTGAACTCCCTGTAGGCCTTTACAGAGATAAGGGTCTGAAGGACTTTGTCGACCGCATACAAGGTGTTGTTACCGGTAAACTTAGTCCTGTCGCTATGGATGATGAGCTCACCTCCAAGATCGAAGGCGCAAGAGACATGCTTGATGATTGGATCCATGCCGTCTTGTTCGCAACCAAGACCTCCAAGGATATGTCATCCTCACTCGAAGACTCGGATTTTCACAATGTACAGAACGTTAACTACGTCGACTACTACCCTGACGAGGACGACTACTTTGAGTTACCTGAACGTCGTCTCGCTGAAGAAGTCGACACTAGAGAGAGTAACCCTGTACTTAACGACTTATACGAGGAGCATATCACCAGCAATGAAGACCTAAAGGACAACGGCAAGGGCAAACAGGAGTATGATGATGATTATGATGGTGATGACGATGAGACCCAAGGCGGTTCCAGCTTCTCTAGAGCCGCTACTCAATTCCTCAACCGCCACTCAAGACGTAGCTCGCTTTTGAGCTCTTCTGGATCTAGCGGAGGTGCCTCGTTACTTGGCATGGTATCACTCGAGGACGACGATCTCGCCCGAGCTGTCATCCATCGCGGTATCTCTAACGGTACGCGCAGAACTCGTCAAGTTGGTCTTAACAGCACCGAACGTGCCAAGTTGCAACCAGTGCGCCCGTCAGAGAGAAAGGAGAGACTTGACACGGAGAGAGTGGATAGGATGCTTCGCCGTCGTGCTAGACTAGAGGTTATCACCATCAGCAGTGACTACGAGGACGATCGCCCTCCACCCTCGTCCAGACCTATTCCAAGATCTGCACCCCTCCCCAGTATCTCATATGGCTTCCTCCCTGACGCTCAAACATCGACACCCATCAACTCAACTGCTTCCTTCCAAGCCGACGAAACCACACCCAGAACTTATATGTTTAGGGATGACCAGTGTCTGCCTACATTCCTGCTTCATCTAGCCATGAGAGAAATATCTTGAATGAATCTACTGGCACTGCACAGCAGATGGCTCAGACACCAGCAGTGCGTCCGCCTGTCTCCTTTGCCTCTCTGCTTGCCGAGCTCGACCGCAGCACCGATAGAGACTCGAATGTTATCCAGCTTACGGAAGACGACGAAGGCTCCGAGACTCTCGACATGGAGATATAGACTACATACTCTGCGCTCAGCGGAATTGAGGATCTAGTCGATGGAGGGACTACATTTCAGATGTGGCGTTGCTCATACGGATTGGATGGAGAAACAACATGGCTCACACACAAGAACGAGAAAGATGAACTCCAGAAGATCTGAGATGAGAAGATGTTGTTCATGACGAAATGTGGAGAGGGGGTCTTGCTTTGATTGATACTCCTTCTTATTTGCTGTTTTCTGTGTTTCTTTACTATACTCATAATAGCGAGACTACATAGCTCTGTATCATAGCTTTATAATATTGTCTCCACTTCCCTTCATTTCTGTGCCGAGGCGAGGAACAAGTAGTACTTTCTTTAGCTCTTTCTGCTTCCATCTCCTTACTGTGTGTTTGGTACGGGATGATGATGATAATGATGATAATAATGATACTGATGACAATGATAATAAAATGATAATGATGATAGTCTAACTTCTATACTCTGTCAGTCTATATATTATATATATTTCATGAAAGTTGCAATGTCATTAACCGCATGTGCGCAATAGGGGGAACAGCAACACTAATGCACCTGAGCACCACCAGCATTTCCATCCAACCCACGTAATCCAAACACAGAAACCACAAGTCCTAGTCCTGACAAGCCGATACAACAGTATAAACCAGTTTGGTACTGCTTACTCTCGTCATGGCCCTTCTTCCCATCTACTGCATCTACGACAGCAGCAGCTAGTGCAAGGCTAACACCACTGCCGATCTGGAATGCCGTGTTGACCAAACCACCACATAGACTCTTTACATTCGCCGGCACGGAGCTTAGCATGATGTTTGTGATGCAAATGTAACAGATACTAACGCCTGTCACAACCATGATGGATGTAGGCAAGATGTATCTCCAGAAATTGGGGTCGGAAGCTGGCATCAAAGACGCCGGGATGGGTGAGAGTGTTGTAATCAACATTCCCAGCAGCATCAGATATCGCATATTCATATACTTCATCCACTTTGCCAAAACCATGTTTGTGGTGAATCCCGCAGCTCCCATGGGTAAAAAGCGCAGTGCTGTTGCGCCGGCAGAAAGTTTGGCTACTTGCTGTGCTTGTAGCACGACGTAGTAGATTACGGTTTGATAGCTTCCGTAGAGCACAAATCCTGCTATCCAGAGGGGAGCAAAGTTTTTGATCTTCCAGAGTGAGAGGGGCATGATGGGGTTGCTGACTTTCTTCTCCACATAGGCAAAGACGCAGATCATGATGACGGAAATTATGAGGAGGGCGATTATAAAGGCTTTGCTCCAGCCGTACTCGCCGCCGCTGGATAGGACGAAGGAGAGGAGGATTAAACCGCCTGTGCAGAGACCGGCACCTACAAAATCTAGCTTTGGTCGTGCTGTGCCTTCTTTGCGGTCTTTTGGGAGGAGGAGCCAGCCCATGATGCCTAGTGGTCCGGTTACGGTAACGGCGATGCGGAAGATGTAGCGCCAGCCTAGAGAGTCGGTTACAAAGCCGCCGAAGATGAGGCCTGCGCAGAAGCCCACTGCACCAGAAGCTCCAAACATGGTCAAGGCGACTATACGCTCGCTGGCGACAAAATGAGAACTGATGATGCCGATTGAGGATGGAACGGTCATTGCAGCACCAACACCCTGCAGAGCTCGGAAGATTGCTAATTGGATGAAAGAATTGCCAAAGCCGTTGGCAAGAGTCCAGACAGATAGCACACCCATGCCAATGGAGAAGACCTGCCTTTTGCCGTAACGATCTGCCAGTACGCCAGAGAAGAGCAAGAATCCTCCAAAAGTAAGTGTGTAAGCGGAGAGAAGCCATTGGAGATCTCCATTGGAGACATTAAACTCTGCCTGCACGGATGGAAGAGACAGATTAACAGCAGTCATGAAGATATTATCCATAAGCTGAGAGCCACATGTGATGAGTAGAATCATAAAGCCTCTCCAAGAGTAAATAGTACCAATATCCGGATAGGCTGTTTCTAACAGCAAAGGGCGAGCTTGAGTTGACTTTGGTGTTGCCCATCCTGGTGTTGATGCTCCAGCTGGAGTCTGCCATCCTGGTGTCGCATTTCCCGGAGTCGTCCAACCTGGTGTAGATGCTCCCGCAGGCGTTTGTGCTCCAATAGGTGTAGATGGAAACGAAGAGACGTCAGGCAAATCATGCCAATTCACTCTTTTGCTCTCTAAGTCTGGAAAGTAGGACGAGCCAGCTGAGATCGTAGCAGGAGTCGGCGCCTGTAACTCAGCACCAGGAACAACAGACCGACGGCGCGGTTGCTCCAGCATCTCCAGAGTCGTCCGTGTAGTCATTCTCCAGTTGTATACAAAGCGAAAAGAAAGTTTACCTTTGCAAAAGTCACCCTCACCTTGATTTTATAAGAACAAGGCAAGTCAAAAATCTCTGCTCTCCTTATCTCCTCACACCTACAGAAGATCTTTCGCCCATCACAAGTGATCTGACGTGCCAGAGTCTTAGACCATGACTGGCCACTCCGAGGCCATGAGTGGATCCTATGCCAACGCTTTTGATCTTCAAAGTGTGGGAGACAGCTGGAGATGTGTTTCCGGAGATGGAAGTCTTTTTCCGATCGTGTCAAGAACGGGAACTCTGTCCGAAAGAAAAAATTTCCAGATCCGGTTGCTGCTGTCGTTTCGCTGTGATATTTCCCTCTTTCTCTCTGGAGAATTGCTAACGTCTATTTAAACGACATACCTCGGATGGCATGGTGTTTTCTGATGAAGTGGTGGGCTTGAAAAAACTCACTGTTCTCTGCAGATAATTGTAGGCACTAAACATTGTGTTTCGTCACGGCCTTCACAACTGCAGTCCGTCCCCAACAGCAGCATTGATACTGGTACCTTCCGCGAAGAGTACGTGCGGGAAGCTCATGTCTATTTGTGGTAAGAATTTCGGAGATTCAGGATCGGAGTGTAGATGGATGACGAGGTCCCCCCAATTGAGGAAGACTGGTTATATAAGGTTAAGCCACAAAGCCTCTTCATCAACCAATACCAGCACAGCTGGCTCATCTTCATTGGTCTAGTGGTCATGATTTCCGCTTGTCAAGAGAAATCTCGTCAAGCGCGGGAGACCAGGGTTCGATTCCCTGATGGAGAGCATCGTTTTTTGCTTTTTGCGCGCCCAACCACAAGCGTTCTGCTGTGCTCTGGGAGTACCCTTTGCTGTTTGCATTGTCTTCCAACACACGACAATCACAAATCTACGTTTGTATTGGGAATTATCAATTGTGGTTCGGCTGCACATATCAACGCCACATGTCCGTCTTCGACGCATCCGCTTCATACAATTATCGGTACTATCTGCTTGCTGGACTGTACGTCGTTGTCATAGGCGGCGCTTTCCTGCGAATCTCGCGACAACCATATGCGAAGTCCATCAAGTGGGAGCAATACGAGACTGTGTTCAAGGGAACCACACTTCTGGCGGCGATTTCTGGATTTGCACTTTCTGGCCAGGTAAACAACAGAAGAAGCCAACCACACCACGATCCGACCAGAGATTGCTCCATTCGAACCCACCTGAGACCTTCAAAGCGGACAGTGGATGGTACCGGTGTGACTCGCTTGCTGTTCAACGCCATCAGCAACCCCTGTTGCTGTTACCTAGAAGCAATCAATAGAGGCAATTACCTAGTCGTAAGGCCGTCCAAAGCTGGGAAGATGATCGCTGGAAAATTTACCAAACGGCGCCGAGAGTCTGAGGATGTCCCCCCGTCACCGCGACAAAGAATCAAGTTCGACTCAACCAGAATAGAAGATCAACTCGCCGAGTTGGGAAGCAACACGTGGCCACCTGATACCTCAGACAACGTCCAAGATACTGCCAATCCTGTAGAGTAAAGCAATGCGACTGAAGAGTCTGCCGAAAATGCCATCCCAAGCACCGAGATCCCTCCCGCTGCTAATTCCCAGAAACTCTGCTGAAGAACAGCCACAGCCGGTCCCAGAGTTCCGCGCAGCATCTGATCATACTGCACATCTAATGACAGCAGCACATCCTCCTTCTACCAAGCTAGGTCAATTCTCCAGTCGGGCCGCTTAAAAACTTGCCGAAAACCGCTTTCCTCGGAAACGTCCATCCACTCACGAAAATTGCAAGACGGTCAGTGGTGGAATCACTGTTCGAAATGTCTGCCACTACTGTGACTAAGACTCCGGTCGCTGCCGCGGCTCTCTTTTCTCACTTGTTTGTCGCCGTGGTCTTCATATCACCAAGTGCGGACTTCGAGGATCAGTATGGTGAGAAGTGAGAGACTCTGGTGACGAGATACGAAGAAGCCACGAGGACCACTCTCGCTAGAGCAGATATTCTGCGGTCGGGTGATACGAATCACTTGGAGGTACTTGCATTTTTCATCGTGAGTTTCAAGACATTGTTACTATCGTGACACCGATACATCACGAATGGCACAACATCGAGCGCTCACTCCTCGGCAGCCCCGAGATCGTGACGTATCCACGGAAAATACTCACGCGAGAAATATTGAAGCTTCTAAATGGCGCCTGGAGGCGCCGCGAACGTGGACTCAGACGACAACAAGATACCCTGGCGAAGCGTGTGCGACCTACGTTCTTGGAACCTCTGCAGTTGAGCATGGCAGATATATACGGGCGAGAGTTTCCTGAAAACACTCGCGCGGTCACGGATCGAATACGAGGGAGCATGATGGGTGCAAAAGCAGAGTACAATCGGAGATTGCAAACAGAGCAGACACAAGCGATCAGCGATGATGAAGACGATTGTGCACACGACTGGCATTACTGGGATGAATTGCTGAGCATACATAGGCTTGAAACATATCCGACTCGTATGATGACTTATACGCCGTGGATATAGCCGGCTAATCTATAGGGCTTGTGCGGGTAAACATGGATCATGACGAAAGGACGTTTCTAGAGCAATAGGCGGTAGGTAAATCAAGCATCAGATAGAATCATGCACGGTTTCAGCAGCTGCACCGTTCCTGCAAGCTCAGTGAGCAGGCGACTGATCGGTCTAAAGTATGTAGGTAGTAAACAAGACAAGATCGGGCCGCGGGACAGAGTCCTGAGCGTTATGCAACAAAAAGTGACAGATAGGAGAACCGATATTAGCAGGATGGTAACAGACGGAGCAAAAAGGCAGGATGTGTCGGCAAGCGACGTTGAGCAAAGAAGAGAAAGAGGGGAGGTTGCCGGTGGTCAGGCTTGGCGGCTCTAGACTAGCCGGATTGGGGTTTGATTGGAAAGTGACAGAAACGCGGCAGAGTGGAGGAATTCTTGGTGTAGCAATCAGAGCAAGGCAGAGCTGGGGGTTCAGATGACAGTAGAGGCTCACAGAGGATGAAAAGGACAGGCCGAAAAAAGCAAAGCTTACAGTGAGCCTTGTTTATAGAGCATGTATTGTTTGGGTGGGCTTGGGGTGGTCACAAAGCCAATCGGCAGGATGCAGGACTCGCAGGAGGTTGTGAAGCTGGACGGCCGTCGTATCGACATGCAATGCTAACGCTGACAATCAACTTCTCGTCCACCTGAAAACACGCCATTCTCTGACTACCCATCTGCTTCTCCCACATTTACTTGACACGACCTCTACCACAGCACATCCGACATACAGGAACATTACAAGACAGCAAGCTCCAACGTCTTGCTGGCACGATGAAGGCAGCTCCTCTGCTGGTGTCATGGCACGACGAAAACACACCAATCTACTCTGCACATTTCGAACCGCACGGCAAGGGCAGACTAGCGACAGCAGGCGGTGACAACAATGTCCGAGTATGTCACAGTATCACACGATGGTTCAGAAGAGACACTGACAAGCAGCAGCTCTGGAAAATTGACGGAAGCGGAGACGACAGAAGCGTGACATACTTGTCGACGCTGGCCAAACACACACAAGCTGTCAACGTAGTACGATGGTGTCCCAAGGGTATGGCCATACTGTTCTCCCCCCCATCATCAACAAGCAGGCTAACGATCGAGCAGGTGAAATGCTCGCATCGGCGGGAGACGACGGAAACATTCTGCTCTGGGTTCCGGCCGAGAATGCAGCGTTGCATGCCAACAACTTTGGAGAAGACAAACTAGAAGACAAGGAGACATGGCGGACAAAAACAATGTGTCGGTCGACGGGATCGGAAATATATGATCTGGCTTGGTCCCCAGACGGCGTCTTCTTCATCACGGGCAGCATGGACAATGTGGCCCGCATCTACAATGCCCAGACCGGTATGCGAGACATGCACCGCCATGCAGAGCACCACGACTGACAGACAACAGGCTCGGTGATTCGCCAAGTCGCAGAACACAACCACTACGTCCAAGGCGTCGCATGGGACCCGCTAAACGAATACATCGCAACCCAGTCGAGCGACCGCTCCGTCCACGTCTACACACTCAAGACCAAGGATGGCTCCTGCAGTCTCACCAACCACAACAAGATCAGCAAGATGGATATGCCGTCCCGCCGCGTCTCACAAAGCAGCCCTGCTCCGCCAGACTTCCGTGGTCGCGCCTCGTTTGTCGGCAACGAGTCTCCCGCTCCCAGCGCTCCCGGCACTCCTCTATCGCTCGCCCTGCCCATGAACCCGCCACAGACCACCCACAGTCGCCGATCCTCGTTCGGTTCCGTCTCCGTCTCGGGCCAATCCATGCGCCGCTCCGTCTCGCCCAGTCCGTCCATGCCTCTACCCGCCGTTATGCCCTCAGCTTCTCCCAGCATTGGAGGCGGCCTGAACATGCCTGCCCGCAGCACTGGCATGTACGCCAATGAGACCTTCACATCCTTCTTCCGCCGCTTGACCTTCGCTCCCGATGGAAGTCTGCTCTTTACACCCGCTGGCCAACACAAGGAAGCCCATGCTCCTACGACAGAGCCGAACAAGACAGATGACGTGGTCAACATGACTTATATCTACACAAGAGCCGGACTCAACAAGCCGCCTGTCGCAAAGTTGCCTGGCCACAAGAAGCCTTCGCTGGCCGTCAAATGCTCGCCCATCTTCTACACTCTCCGCGCTTCCCCGGTCCCGACGAAAGACATTACAATCGACACACACATGGAAGATGAGATTCCTCTTCTCCCCGAGCCTGTTGTGCCTGCCAGATCCATCTCTGCTATGGAGCCTCCGCCAATCGTTCCTTCTCCGGCACCAAGCCACGCCCATCCAGCTCCCATCAACGAAGATGGCTCGCCTGCACAGACTCCTTTCAATGGACCCCCGCCAGTCTTTGATCTGCCATACCGGATAGTCTACGCCGTCGCTACTCAAGATTCTGTCCACGTCTACGACACCCAGCAGTCCAAGCCGCTATGCGTTGTCAGCAACCTGCATTACGCCACTTTCACCGACTTGACCTGGTAAGCTGACCATGCATCTTCTCAGCTCTTTCCACATGCTAATCTTACTGCAGGTCAAACGATGGCAACACACTACTCATTACATCGTCCGACGGCTTCTGCTCCAGTCTGAACTTCCAGCCTGGCGAACTCGGTGTATCATACCAACACCCGCCCATTCCTCGCCATGTACCTTCCATGATCAACACCGCCGGATCTCCCTCCACCACAGCCGCATCTCCAGCATCAACCCCCATCACAGCATCCATGCCTCAATTAATGCGTAATCCATCATCTCAAGGCCACGGAGCACCATCACCATCACTCTTCACTATGCCAGGCAGCCCGGCTAGAAGCATGTCCACAGTCAGTGTCGCCGGCAGTATGGCAGCTCCCGAAACTTCCGCCGACACACCCGAGATGAGCAGTGTACCCAGTCTCACAGCCGCTAGCTCCGGCACCAACATGATTGGCGGGATGCCCATGTATACACCACCTCAGACTCCTGGCTATGTGGCTGCTACACCTGTCATGCATGCTGCTGTGCCTGTCTCCTCCGCGGCAAACGCGTCTAATAAGCGTGATCATGAGGGAGGGGAGGAGGCTTCTAGGGATAAGAGAAGGAGAATCGCACCTACGCTTATCTCAGATACCTGAGTATGAGTGTGAAGAAACATGGGAAGCAATTGGGAATGAATATCACGGGGATTAGGCAATCATGGCGTTTTTCTTTTTGAGATTAGAGCATAATTTCTTTCTCATGACAAAGGGGGATACCAAATATTTCTCAAGCGGGTGTAGAACGGGAGACAAAACAGGCGTTCTCCTTTTTTTTCTTTTTTTTTCTTTTTCTTCTTCTTCTTTTGGAGCATGAGACGCTTTCGTTTCTTGTCGTTAAGCATCTTTCTATATCCCATGGCTTAACTTTGATCCTTGTCTCTCCGCATAAAGCACTTTTTGTATCCAAAAACAAAAAACAGAAAGCTTTTTTTTTCTTGTCTTGTTCTTTTTCGATTTTAGCACTTTGAATCCCCTTGACGGTCCTTGACGGTTGTGTGGGTTCTTGGAAATGTGATTAAAATTCTTCTTTTCCTATATATATATATTCATATCCCCCTGAATTTTTTTAATTTTTGTTTTATCCCCCCCCCCAAAACAAATGCTTCAAGAACGAGAGCTTGCTTCTGTCGTGCTTTCGTGAAAAAAGCTGGAGGAGACGAGATGTTTTTTCTTATCCCCCTCTGTTTACCATACTTGACAAGGGGCGTGTTGAGTAGCCTGAATGGCTAAAAGGAGGAGTTTTGCTGAATGGAGCGTCAAGATGATGGGAGTTGGGTCAATACTGATAGAGAAGGGTTCTGCTACTTTTCTTTTGGTAACAGTAGCTACAAACTCGCAGCCTCTCAGCTTGAGAAAGGACGAAAAGAGCCTTTCCATGACCCATTTCTCGAAACCGCTCGCACATCCAAGACACGCACATGTGACTGATTTGGTATCTGATCTGGAGGCAAATACGCATCACCAGTGGCAGACTCTATCCGTAAGTCGTTTGTGCTCAAGGAGCTGAGAGTCTTGATAAAATTTCCAGATAGATTGCGCATGTACGAATGGGCATAATCGTCACTGAATTGTAGATCAAGGTAGAGTTTCAGTTGCTTCAAGTCGAGGAAATTTGGTGATGGAAGATCAATCCGATTGTCGATTGTCAAGATTGACATGAATTTAAACGTCTGAAGATGAGGGTGGCTGTTTGAGAAAGCGACGATACCAGAGAGTGCGACTGGACACTCTAGGTTGATCTCTAGATGTTTCAGATGTGAAAAGCTGTTCATCCACTGGACAAAAAGATCGTCCGTTAGCCATGGTGCAGTAAGATTGATACCAGAAGGTTGAATGATCAATGAGTGTAAATTGCTCAGAGCCGACAAAGCAAATATATCCTCAGATGTGGCTTGCCAGTCCTTTGGTCCGGGCATGTATCTACTATCGGAGGTCCAGCGTGAATAAGGAACAGCTCCAATGACTAGGTTCAGATAAGTCAGGTTTTTGAGACGGCTTAAACTTGGGCATATGTGATGTGCCGGATCATCGACCCAAAGCTGGAGTGTCGTGAGTGATTGCATCGACAGGGAGACGAAATCAGAAATCGGCGACATTTGACCCTTGATCGCCAGAGATTGCAGATTCTGAAAAGGAGTATCACGGCCCTGAAGGACCTTGTCTACCACATCATCCTGCAAGTCCTGATCCAATCGAAGATGCCTGAGGTCGGTGAGATCAGCAAGACGACTCAGCAACATGTACATGAAGTTCTGATCTCCACTGCTGTCACGCAACTCGAACTTGCGTAAGGAACCACAAGCATCCAGAAAATTGAAAAGGTCATGTGACAGAGCTGCTGTGTCGACCTGCGATAGAACCAGCTCCTCGAACTGTCGAGCTATGAGAGGCTGTATGCCAGCTACTGCAGCACAGACGAGAGAAGTAGGAAGACGATTGCCAATGGTGAGACGTCTAATTTGCTGACAGCCTCTGATGAATCGTGAGAAAGACTCTGGATCAGCAGGATCTAGATTAGGCTTTGCAATCACGCTACGATCTAAGCAGTCTCTGGAAGGAGCGATTTGTAACTCGTGTAGATTAGGACAAAGCTTAACCATCTGGTCGAGTTCACGGCGAGTCGAGTTAAAGGTGCCGTGGAACTGCACAAACTTCAAGTTTGGTTGCAGGAAAGGTAATATGCCAGTATGAGGACCTCGTAGTTTTAAGTAAGTCAAGCTCGAGAATTTCAGGTTCTCGATCAAGTCAAAATAAAGTCTTGCAGAATGGAGATCTAGGATGCGTATCTTGCTGACATACAGCTGCCGCCTCTCCTCATCGAAGCCCATCTGAGCAAATGTAGATTCCAAGTTGGACAAGTGACTCCATAGAATATCTGCGCAGTGGTGGAACCAGAAGGAGTTTACCCTCATTGGCGAGAGCAGACGTTTTCTGTCGTCCAAAGTCAAATTCGTCTTATCGACAACAAGATGATCGAGGATGTTCTGCTGGAGCTCGCGTGGCAGGTGCGGGAAGGAGGCCATGACTGCAGTGCGATCATCATAAGATGCAGCATGTGTCGACTACACTCTATTTTGATCGTACCTGTCCACACACGATGTGTTCTGTGAGTAGGAAGGAAGAAGGTATGGCTCCTGCTCAGGTGGAGGTGGGAATTAAGGCGGAGTTTAGGCCGGCCAGAAGGGTCTGTGCACGTGCCGACGGGGATTGTTTGTGTACAAAAGTAAACACAGGAAGCTCTTGATGAAGTCGCAACAATTCGCCCATTGCTAACCCACACAGTATTTCGACCAGACACCAGAGACAACCATGGTAGCCACACGAGCTATGGCGGCCAAAAAGGCGCCCGACGTCAATGACGACAAGGAGAACGGCAGCCAGTTGGCTCTGCGCAAGAAGCCTGTCCGCCGCGCTACTGCAAAGGCCACAACTACATCAACAAAAGCCTCTACTGCCACAAAATCCACCGAGCAACCAGCTACTACCATATCGACAAGGACGACATCTGCACCGCCAACAAGAGCAGCAGTAGCGCGCCCGAAACGTCAAACACGCGCCGCCGCAGCACCGACATCAGAACCGATACTCGAGCCCGTTCCTAAGAAGACCTCTACAACCCGACGAAAGCCTGCACTTCCAGAAGTCGCAAGGGGAAAAAACTTGAGGTCGCAGAAATGCGAACTTGAGCCAGAGGTCGAAGCAGAGGCCGAGTCCGAAGCAAAAGAAGAGCAAGAGGATGACGCCAAAGACATCTCTCAACCACCAGTCTCAAAAGCTCAGATCAAGCCATCTAAAAAGGCTCGAAAGAGTATTGAGTCCGAGGCTGAACGAGAGTCGGCGTTAGAGCCAGAGCCGGAAGTCGAGCCAGAAGTCGAAGCACAACCCGAGCCGGCGGCAGTGGTACGGTCAGACAGCGATGTGGAGGTCGAGGAACAAGAGGAAAGCGTACACACAGCTACGCCAAAGCCGAACAATGGAACAAGCCACCAAGTCCGGAACTTCGAAAGTGGTCAAGAGACTGGACATGTTCGAGGCCAAGATGCGGAAGACGAAGAGCAAGGGAACAAGGAGAAGGATTCTTCCGACGATGAGATATGCGGACCCAAGACGCCGATGCGTCGTGCTACCAGGAGTCAGAAGGCATCACGACAAGAGGACACTTTCTCGGCAAGCACACACAAGCACAAAACCCTACAAACTCCTGCACGTCGTCTGCTTGGCCACAGAGCCACTCAAGGTACTCCCCAGACTCAACGACTCCCGCAAAACACTACGCAAGCCGCATCGCCCCCTCGTCCTATGACTGTAGCTAGGGCTGCGAACAAGCTGATGGTTTTCCGTCCCCTGAAGCAGCAAACCCCACGCCCTACTCCGCTGCCAATCATCACCGTCAACGTCTTGGACACTCTGGCAGCCGGAGAGGAGACTCAAGACGAAACGGAATCAGAGCTAGAAGAGTCGAGCGCTGATGAACTCGATGCTCAATTGGAGAGTTGCCATGATGACGACATCATGATTATGCCCACCCCGGCTCGTACCATCAGATTTGAAAGTGTGGAATCTGACTCGGAAGACGAACTTGCTGCTGCTGCCAACCTTCTGGGCGAAGACGACGAGCCTGACGAAGACACCATTGTGGAAGAGGATAACAACAAGGAGTCAGACTACATCGATCTTCCACAAGACGCGGCTGATGCCTCTTCGGAGGAATCAGATAGCGCTACAGAAGAAACTCAAGTCGACGACAGCATTCTACCTCAACCACACTTCTCGGCCGAATTTACCACATCTCTACCTTCGTCACCAATCTCTGTCGCTGCGAGTGTCGCACAAATCGACGTCGAGGACTCGGAACTGCTTTCATCACCTGCACCTTCGACCCCCGCCTCTGTCATACACCGTGACTTTGCGGACGTAGATTCACCTAGCGAGAACACGCCACCGGCATCAAGACTTTCTCTCGATGATAATGATCTCCTCTCCTTGATCGAAGACGAAGGAGCAACCACACCAAATGTCAACTCGCGTGTGTCATTCTCAAACACCACAGCCAAGATGTTGAAGACCCCTCGCATGCAGTTTGCTCTCGGTGGTCTTGACGCGAACGAGATTGATGACAGTCCATCTGTCACTGTGACCGAACCGGTGCAGAATGAAGACGACGTGACTATGACAGTCAATCCCTCTCAACTAGAAGTCGATGAGCACGGTATCAAGTTGTCTTCCAACCTCGAGAACGCTGCCGCGATTCCTACTCCATATCTCGCAACACCAGCCGCCCGCGAGAGGTTGAGCATGGGTCTGTCTAAAGAACGTATGAGTCTTCTCAAGGACGATATCTTCGACCTGGTCAACTTTGACCAAGCTTCGCCTGCCAAGGAGGATGTCGATACGCCTATCCTTGATTTGCAGCATATTGAAGCAGATCCCATGGAGCTGTCAACTCCCGGATACAGTTCTCGTCGTCAGTCTTATCTCCCTCAGAACGACTTGACACGGATTGAGCAAACTGGTAGCGCACGAAGATCGTCTCTAGCGCCACCGGTATCTCCGAGCTACGCAAGGTCCATGTTTGCATTCGACTCTCGTCGAAAATCTCTTCCTGCGGCTGGTTTGCATACCCCATCAACTGGCGACCTGCGACCTCGAACCGCCGAGACTTCTATCAAGCCGACTACCAGTGTGTCTTTCGCTAAGCTGTGGGCCAGTAAGCAAAGAAGATCTTCGGTTCGCAAATCCTTGCTCGAACACACGATCCCGGACTTGGCCGAGATGCATTCTTTTGTTCCAAAAGAGCAGTCAAACGCCCGCAAACGGGATTCCATGTCTTCTCAAAGCCGTCTCAGCACGATCGAACATGTTCAAGCGCAATCATTTTCCCCTCACGTGCCGTTTTCTGGCGCGAAGCCTAGAAGGCATACCCCTAGTTCTTCTTACAAAGTACGAAGTGTGGCTCGCAGTCCATTAAAGACTCGCAGTAGTAGTCGTAGCCCGGTGAAGTTCCGTGGCAGCAGTCGTAGCCCAATGAAGCTCCGTGACGCCAGCCGTAGTCCGGTGAAGCGCCTAAGAGAAGCACCGCGCACGCCCATGAAGACGCCACTGAAGGCCGCCGGGTTGGCAACACCAGCCGTTTACCCAATGACACCTCATCCAATGCAGCCTCTGAAAGCTGTTACAGCATTGGTTGAGGTCTTCACTCTCGACGGATCATCTGCTTCAGGCCCTTTCATCGCCCTTCTCCAGGGCCTGGGCGCCCGCACTACCAAGACCTGGTCTGATCGTGTCACTCATGTCATCTTCAAAGATGGCTCGCCGGCTACACTGCAAAAAGTGCGTCTCGGCAATAAAAATCCCAACAGCAAGAAGGTCTTCTGTGTCAACTCCCGCTGGGTAACAGACTGTGAGCGCAGTGGCACCCGTATGGATGAACAAGCAGACATTTACACTGTTGACCTCAACGAGGTGCCTCGCGGCGGTCGCAGAAGGAGAAAGTCGATGGAGCCTGCTGCGCTCAGGAATGTGGATGGTAACATCGTCCACAGCAACACTAGCAGTGCAAACAGCAGTGCCAATCGAAAGAGTGTCAGCTCGAGACAGAGTATCACCGGTGGTCGACAGAGTATCAACCTCGTCAAAACCAATAAAAGTCTTGCTAGAGTGTCTCTAGCATCCAGTTTCTGGGGCGATGACTCTCCGGTCAAGAAGACTCCTGGTCGCAAACAAGCCAGAGACTCATGGGATGATGACGAGGAAATGGCAGATGCTTTCTTTGATGAACCGACTGCCAAGTTTGATGTTTCTGCTTCGTTGGGTGTTAGGGGAGCTAGTCTCGAGGCAGGTCAGATGACGGCACCTGTTGATAGAGTCAGGAAGTTGAGGATCAGGGATGAGGATAACAGACGTTTGACCTTCATGGGAGGACGAGAGTAGATGTCATGAGCAGGCGAGATATCACGAAGTTATGATTGGTACTGCATTGGTTGGTGAGATTGGTTAGTTTTTTGGGGTTTTACGCTTTTCTGATGTCGTTGTCTTTTCTCGCGCTTACACCTACGATACCAAATTGTCGACATTCGAATCATTATACCTCTATTCATTTTGAACGGGTCCCGAGTATCGGCAGATCGTGAAACCATAGTGTGATACTGATTCGAAGATGGTATTAGCATTAACTCTGTTGTCTCATGTTCTCATTGCTGTCATGGTACTCATCACTGCGTCTCGCCAGCTGCTATATCTGGGCCAGGTGTATCAATGACTTTAGCTCCCACCATGCCTTGCACAATATTCCTCTCAAGTAGTGAACCAAGCCCTCATAGCTTTGACTGGATCTGCATCATTGCTCTTCAGTAATTCTGTCGCTTTGACCCTCGACACATCCAAATTGTCGGCCTGGCAAAGACATTAGCATTTGCACCCCTCTCTCATGTCACCTGCTTCCGAAACTCACCAACAATACCACATCAGCCATATCAACCTTTAAATTCTTGACATCTGGTTTGAAGCTGTCTTTGAGATCGAGGTTCTTCATTGCTTTGCCTAGCGCTGCTGTTGATGTTGTGGTAGAAGAGCTGTTGTGTGTCGACGACAGGAATTCCAGTGCTGCGGTCTCGGGCTTTGCAACACCAGGGATAGCAGAGGCTGCCTGATCACCCTCTTGAATTTGAGGAGGCTGTGGTTCCGCCATTATAATTTTCTTGTTGTTTGTTGTTTAGTGGGTTTGCGGTTCAACATGATTGATTGTTCACTCGGGTGTTTTATACCTCAAGCGATGACGTAAATTGTGAGAAAAGGCTTGGCGAACTTATCGGAGAATCGGGGTTTAGGGCACGTTTGGTGTCAATAATTTGCGAAATGCACGCCCTGCGGTCAAGAGTCGTGTCGCGCCTTTTTGAGTCACTGGAGACTTAGTCGAGTACACTTGGGAGTAACATCCTGCTGGACATCGGTTTTCTCTGTCTTTCGTCAACAAGTTTCTCGGGTTTCTTGAATCGAGGTAGGTTGCGATCTTCTCACTTTCTGCTCATCTATTTGCGAGGTTCACACTCTGCTGGAAATTCTTTTTTGTGGTCTTGGGATTTTATTGTCACGCGTTTCCGTCAATATCGAACAAGAGGCGTCATACTTGGATCCCCTGTATCTTACCACTGTCCATTGGATGTGATGGGTCGAAGATACTATGGTGTTTCTTCAATACTACATCCCTCTTGTATAGAGCGTTGCGCAATGTCATCATACTAATCATTTCTTCAGAACCGCAATTCATCAAGATCTTACATCTACATTATGGCAGCCAACAACGACTGGACACCGACGTGTTGGTCGTATCATGTATACCACAGTTTCCAGGACTGACACAATTATAGCTTGGCGCTCAAAGCCCATCAAGCAAGAGGTTGTCTATGATGATCAACTTGCAGTCAACAAGGCTGTGACTAAACTCACCAATCTACCTCCTCTGGTTACAGCTCACGAAATCTGGAAACTTCGTGCCTCATTGCGGGATGTAGCACTCGGCAAGGCTTTCCTGCTGCAGGGTGGTGACTGTGCCGAACTCTTCTCCTACTGCAATGCCAGCTCTATCGACAGCAAGACCAAGCTGCTATTGCAGATGTCTCTCGTTCTCATCTATGGTGCTAATAAGCCTGTCGTTCGTATCGCACGTATGGCTGGTCAGTACGCCAAGCCCAGATCTTCACCCATGGAAAGTCAACCAGATGGCTCAAAGATCCCTTCCTTCCGTGGTGACATCTTAAACGGCTACCCTGCCGAGGAAAGAGCCATCGATCCTGGACGTCTCGTCGAGGCCTACTTCCACTCTGCCGCAACTCTGAACTACCTTCGCGCTCAACTGGCCTCTGGAGTCGCTGACCTGCACAACCCCCTAGACTGGAACTTGGGTCACGTGGCCGACCCCGACCTAGCAGAGCGCTACCACAAGATCGTAGACTCGATTGCCGAGTCTCTTCGCTTCATGCGCACAATCGGCGCAGACACCGCCGGACAACTCCAAACCGTCGACCTCTACACTTCCCATGAAGGCCTGCTACTCGAGTACGAAAGCGCAATGACCAGAGAACTCCGCCATCCCCTCAACAAATTCTCTGCTTGTGCCGGAACTTCTGCTTCTGTGGCACGTAGCAGTATCAGTGATTCCGAAGACGACGAAGATGAAACGGGTCATTACAACACTTCTGCCCATTTCCTGTGGGTAGGCGACCGTACTCGTCAGCCTGATCACGCTCACATCGAATACTTCCGCGGCATCATAAACCCCATCGGCATCAAAGTAGGACCTACAACTTCCGTCACCGACCTCTGCGAACTCCTCGACATTGTGAATCCAAACAAGGAAATTGGAAAAGTGACCTTGATCACTAGATATGGTGAAGCCAAAGTCTCAGACTTGTTACCTACACACATCAAAGCAGTTCGACAAAGTGGCCACATTGTGGTTTGGCAATGCGATCCCATGCATGGAAATACTCGCTCCACGGCTACGGGCATCAAGACTAGATCTTTCGGCGCCGTGTTTAATGAGTTGGAAGCGTCTTTGCGCATTCACCGTGCTTTGGGTAGTGTCCTAGGCGGTGTGCATCTAGAACTCACAGGCGACGCAGTAACCGAATGCACGGGTGGTAGTGTAGGCTTGGAAGACGAAGATTTAGGAAGCAGATACGAAACTTTCTGCGACCCTAGGTTGAATGAGAAACAGGCTCTCGAGTTGGCCTTTTTGATTGCCGGGTTCCAGAGAAAGGGTAGATCTAGTGTTGCTGTTTGAGCATGTCCCGTTTGGAAAAGTTTTGGGGGGTCCATGACAAATGAGGCGGGTGGGAAAAAGAAAAGGTTTGTTTTTTCTTCTCTTGGATGGAAATGAAAGTCGAGGGTGTGAGATTATATAATATAGTACCACAAGGCCTTCTCCCCTTCTCTATACACATCGCGTTTTACCGCTTTTGCATCGATGCCAATTCTCTTTAACAAGACAGCACCATACAGTGGACATAATAACAAAGCAATATCGACAAAAACACCCGCACCCATGATCTTCTGACTTTGCAAAAAGCCTCCCCCCAAATCCGAGCTATACATGACAGAAAGAAACCAGTCCAAAGGAAGAAAAAAATCTTCGGAGATGTGAGAAACGTCCTGATTCGATTTTCGAAAAGTAAAAAAAGACACGCCCAGATACAAGAAAACGAACAAGTTTGTTCGAAGGGGGCCATCATAAGAAATTCATGCTTGGAATTTATCAAAGCTCTCCGATCGTTATAGAGGAAGTGGGACGACATCACACAACAGCCATATTGCCCTTGCTCCACACACATCCTTCAGATCTCATTAGCTCCTTCTGCTCACAATGATTCAGAAATTCAAAGAAATTACAGGTTTTCGTCGCGGAAAAAAAAGTCTACGTCCACATCTTATAAACTCGTGCTTGATACAAAGTCACTTTGAACTTCCAAAAACAAGCAATCATGATTACAACAATTTTACAACGCCTCGGCAATGTTCAGGTGAAGAAGAGAAGAAGATTTGTTATAATGAAAAAAAGTGTCCGACTAATACATTTGAATGGCGGAAAAAGAAAAAAAAAGGCTTTTCTCTACCCTCATGCTTCTTTGACCCTTCCAACCCCCCTTCCCAGCAGTCTTCCCAAGAATTCAATGCCATGCCAAAGACTTAAAGAAACAGTGCACATTTACTAAATAGACAGAAAAAGTCTGCAAGAGGAAAAACGCCACGCTGACCCAAGACAAAAGGGGAGCAAGAGAGAAAAAGAATCGATAAACAAGAACCCAATGGAAAGCAATTATCATTACGTTCAAGAAGAAAAGTTTGCAAAAGGAAGAAGAAAAGGGGCGGAGGAGGCGGAGAAAAAGGAAGCCTTTGAATAAAATGGCAAACAAGGAGACAAGAGAAGAGTAAAAAAGGGTATAAGAAAACAAGCAAGGGAGATGCAAAAAGGCAATGCTTCGGGAAGAAGAAGGAGTCGAAGAAGAGGAAGAAGAAGACTGCTCGACGGTCGATCAAACAGCACCAAAATAACATCAACAAGCCGGACAAAGACTTTCCTAGTTGCTCCTGTCCTTGCCTCTCTTACGGAACCAGTCCATCACTCGTCTGGCACCACCGCTACTGCCACCATTGCCATGACCTTCGTATGCATCTCCGAACTTGCGGTTCTTCTGTAGCACTGCCTGTTGGCGTTGTTGAGGCTTTGCTACAGCAGGTTCAGCTTCGTTGAAGCCGGCAGGATATTTCTGTCGCGGCGTCTGAGTAATTGAATCAGAAGCCTGTGATTCTGCGGATTGCGAAGGGGTGTAAAGGTTCTCCTGTCTTGGTCGACCAGCGCTACTCTGAGGAGGAGTGTAGTTGTTGTACTGCTGCTCTTGTTGCTGCTGTCTAGAAAACTGCTGCTGCTGTGAAAATCCAGAGTCTTGCATCTTGGTAAGATCGGGCGCGGTTGCACCACGTACAGGTTGGTGAGTCATCTTACGGCGGGCATCAACGTTACTATCCTGTACAACTGGAATACTGCTGCTAGTTGTGCTTTGACTTGGCGAGCGACTTCTTCCTTGGCCAAATGCCATGATTGGCGATTGCTTTGAAGCAGGACGACTGCGAGCGTTTGCTTGAACAGAAGCGCGTCTGCCACCCTCAGCGGATTCGGGACCAGATGCACCAGAGAAGCTCATCCTAGAGAACGACATGGGCAGGAAAGAGAATCTCCTTGACGATCTGGGCCCGGCGGTCTCACTGTTTTTACGGTTATAGCCAAAGGAGCGGCGAGACGACTCGGTAGACGGGCGAGTGAGGTCCTCACCAGAGTGTGGCATGGCGTTCTTCATGCTGACTGGAGGATACATGCGATTAGCCTTCTCCCTCTCTTGACGGGCGTTGGCAATCTCCTGCGGAGTGGCCGATTGACGGCGAGAGTTAGTGCGACCGAATAACTTTGTAGTGAAACTTTCCATCGTGTTAGAACGTTTGTGTCCACGAACTTGTCTTTCTGCGGGCTGTTGAGGAGCCGTTTGGTAGTCGGCAGGCAGATGCTGGCTGACTGGCCTTGTGTATGAGTTTCTCTTTGAGCCTTCTTGCGAACCTGGACCAGAGATCATGTAGCCAGAAGATTTGTTGGGCTGCGAGAAACGACCTTCGGCATTGGTAGCAGCGACCGTGGCAAGCGCAGGTTGACCATACGAGTTACCACGCGACGGTAATCTCGAGCCGCTCGTAGTAGGACGAGCATTTGAAGTCGGAGAACCGACGGTGAATGGAGTCGAGTCGGTGACTGCTCGTGCAGGCTCGCGATGGGGGCGGACAGGAGGCGACATTGCGGATTGGGTAGCTGGACGTGGTTGAGAACGCTGGGCACTGGTCGATGGATCGTAAGATGCAGGGTTGACGGCCACGGGTCCGGAAGCACTGTCCCCTCTCGCACGCGATCTTCCTTGAGAAGAAGGAGGAGGTCCAGGTTGTGCCAAAGCGACACTAGTGGGCAGCGAGGTCGAAATGGGTTGCTGGCGCACGGTCTGAGAGTTGGGAGCAACATACTCGACCTGCACAGTTCTGCGCTTAGCATCGCGGGGCGTCTTTGTCTCAGTTTCATTGATGGGAACATTCTTGTTGATGAGGCCACCAGGAACAGAAATCTGACTAGGTTTGGAAGGTTCTCTGACGGATGCACTGCGGGCGAGTTGTGGTACATCATATTGATCTTCTGTGGTCGCATCAGTCGCCGGAGGACGAATTTGGCGAGAAGGCGACTTACCAGTAGGAATGGCAGAGTCGACAATGTCGGCCGAAGTAGTCGTGGTACTTGTTATGAAACCAACGACATGGGCGTACTCGCTCAGCCAGCTGTGACGAGCAACTTCGAACAGGTCGGCGCGCTTTCTCGGATCGGGCACGAGAATGCGACGAAGCAGATCGCGAGCGTGAGGGGTGACGTACTCGGGGAAGGTTAGGGGAGTCGACACAATATACTTGTACAATAGGTTAATGTTATCGCCTTCGGGGTTGGCCGGATCATCGTCGAATGGCAGATATCCTGCAAGCATTGCGTACTAGACAGAGTTAGCGTATTGTTGGTTGCTCAGACTCGACACGACGCACCAATATGACACCGCAGCTCCACACGTCGACTTTGCGGCCAGTGTAGAGCGAGTCACTAACAACCAGTTCTGGCGCAGCATAGCACGGGCTACCACAGCTCGTTTGCATGAGATCACCTCGACGGTGACCGGTCGGTTGTACGTGTTCCAGGCCCATCTTGGAAACAAAGTCCTTGTTGTTCAGATTGTACTCGATGTCCTCGCCCAGCTCATCGTCCGGGTTGAAGGTGTTGGCAAAGCCAAAGTCGGTGATGATGATGTTGCGGTTGCGGTCCAGCAGTAGGTTCTCCAGCTTCAGGTCGCGATGGACAATACCCTTCTTATGCAAGTAGCCAACACCAGATACGAGCTGTGCAAACAACCGACGGGCCGCATTGTCCTTAAGATAGCGGTGGTTCAGGATGTAGTCGAACAGTTCTCCGCCCGACGCGTACTCGAGGATGATTCCAATATGCCTCTCGGTCTCGACCATCTCATGCAGACGGACGATGTTGGGATGTGCTAGTCCGCGGAGAATCGATATCTCGCGGTAGATCTTGGGAAGGCGGTTGGGATTGTTGCCCAACGTTTCGCGGCGAATCAGCTTGATGGCGACCTGGACGCCTCCCTCTTTCTTCCACCCCATCTTGACCTTGCCGAACTCTCCCTCACCCAGTGTCTGTCCCAGGATGTACTCTCCGAACTTGGTCTCCTTTCTAGGGTGACTTGACTTGAGGTGCTCTTGGCGGCGGCGGGGGGCGGAAGCCTCATCAGGGGCTTCCATGGTTGACATGGAGGGTTCGTGGTGGTGGTTGGCGGACATGGCTTGTGCTTCGGCCTGACGATCTCTCTCACGAGCAGCGTCGGCCTGCGGGTCGTCGATAACCAACCTGCTCAAGATGGCGCTGTCTTCACGAGGAAGAGTGTCGGGGATCATATGGCGAGGCGACGAGGGTTGATCCAACTCTTTCCGACGGGCCTGCGACGGACTATCTGTGTTGAGGTGTGGGTGAGTAGATGTGTAATCTTGTTGAGGCATGGCGGGCTCCATCGAGTCATAGGCGGTAGAGATCTTGCGGTGGTTCGGCGAAGCCTGGGTCGAGGACGAGGAAACTTGACGGGCAGCTATGGCAGAAGGAGTGTCGAAGTGTGAAGGGCCGGACCCGGTCGAAGGTCTTTGGCTCTGCGGACGGCGGGCTGAAGAGGGCGAGGCATTGGGTGAGGACTGTTGGAAATGCTGCGGCAAGGCATGTACGGCGGCCGACGACATTCTATGGCTGAGTGCAGGCGACGACGGCAGCGACGAGCAGAGCGCACAGGGATAAGGATCGAGCGCTCGCGGTCAGGCGGCGATGACTATGGCTATGGCTAGGGCGACGGCGGTCTCGGAGGGCGGACTCGTCGGGGATGGCGCGACCTGACGAGTTCGAGGATGGATGGATGGTGTGGACGTGTGATAAAGGCGCGCGTGGGCGGTGTAGCGTGGCCCGGTAGCAGGAAAGAATGCCAGTCCAACTTCAGGATGCACCGAAGTGAAACGCAAGACCTTCGATCCGCTTAATTTCTGCGGAAGCCGCGAACAAAGCAGTCAAGGCAGTATGCAATAAGCGACAAAAGCCAACTGGAGAACAAAGCGTTTTTCGGGCACCACCAGGCAGGAGCGATCGTAGACTCGAGGCTTGCGATGGCACTTGCTACCTACCGACACTCGAGGGAGAGAGACGACTCTGGACGACTGTGAAGCAGCAGCAGACTAACACGAGCAGCGACAGGCGAGTAGGTCTCACTTCTCGACCAAAGGAGCGTTGGAGTGTTATGATAATCGAAACCTTATCCACCCGTTCTCCTTTCAAGTTTGTTTGCTCTTCCCCTAAACCGGATCTTGCTAGAGATCGGCTGCCGATTCTCTTCCAGCACACCGCCCGACGACTAGTAACAAGACCACCAGACGTCCATCTGTTATGCAACATCCTACTCGGCCTACTTGAGATTCTCTAAGGATGTGCGATGCATTCTTCAGACTCTCTTCAGGTCGACTTGCTTCCTTGTGACCGAGATTTGCGTATCGTTCCTCCCTGAAGCCTAGTTGGTGCCAAACACATGAATAGCACATGTTTGACGTCGCGTAGCTTCCGACACACGTTCAGTAACATCAATCCCCCTAGATTGTCTATATCTCGGTTCTGGGCAGCCAAGCTCTAAATTAATCCCATAGCGCGCCTTACTTCCAATTCAAATACCACTAGAGTCCTAGACGCCTGCGACCGAGACATTCGGCCTAACCACTATCCACTCTTGCCTTCTCACTATCTACCTACTGCACATCTTTTTCTTTCAGCTCTCTTTCCACGAACTCGACCCGTTACCCATCTCTGTTTCTGTCTCGGCACCCATCTGTTTGTGTATCATCGTTCGTCCTTCGTACCGTTGTTTCCCCCTCGTTCTTGCCGTTACCAGGCGTCCAGCGACAGCTTTCTGCATTGTTTCAGAAGTCGTCCTACCAATCTCGCTCGCCTTTCTCTTCCAAAGTCTGCCCTTGTCCTTTTGTCAACCGATCGCACTCTCACTTGCTCCGACGGTGCTCGCATGGTCTATCGCAAGCTCATCCAAGTGGCTGGGAGCTTGCCGTCTGTCAGGCCCACTTCTCTAACATGTATTGTGAGATCGTGCTGACGATCGACGTCACTTTCTTGCCTCGACCACTTCAGATTGATTAATGTCGTCGCCAGCTCTCGGATATCTGATCCCGTCTACTGTGTCAGATTGTCAAATTTGCGAGACTATCTGACATGACGAATTGACAGGCCTGGTCACAGACGTGTGTCTTGCAGCAATGGCGAGTGCTTTATCTTCATAGCGACGAACTACTGACAAGATTCACAAGGGCTTTAACTATTACTTGCATGGCGCCGGAAGCGGCATGCGAGGGCGGCCACTGCGGCTGGTCGGTCGAACTCTATCCTGTAACAAGTCAGCCCCTTCTCCGCGTCGAGGCCCTGAGCGAACATGTGCCAAAATCACATGCAAGAACGTTGTCACTACTTAGATTGTATACCACAAAGGTACCTTTAACAGTGCTGCCAAAAAGCTTCCGATATTCATGCAGTCGATCAGCTGCTGTCTTTTGCATGTTCTGTCAAGAACTTGCAGTCCGGATTCCCCGAAGCGCTTGTCGGACTCGGTTCAGAAACATACTTTATCACTTAGGGCTCGTGCTTCGGGGTTTTGTCTCTTCCTGTTGTCAGCCAGCCATGGTCATCGACGCGAATCGAGCCAAATCTGCTCGATGGCTGCCGTTGTACGTTTCGTGGATGGCAAAAGCGTCTTGACAAGGATGTTTCATGTACCTGAATGCTTCCGTCATTCCATGAGTCCTTCCATCTTCCATGGCAGAATTGGAAAAACGTGGGCAAAGTCTTTGGTCGAGGGCGGAGATCGAAAACGCAGGCATCCCAAACGAGACATGGCGGAAATTCGTTTGCGACCAAACCAAAGCACAACATCGAGAATATGGGACGTCGGGAGCCGCTCTGTCAAACCAGGGCTACAACAAAATTGAGATCAGCCTGCACTCGGGTGGTGGTCCGTCTACTGCCAAGGCAGATTTCGCAACATTTTGGCTGCACAGTCGATCGGAGACGACTGTTGTCGATGGTGATGAAGGTACGAGATGGTCTGAACTCCATTAATCTTTCGACAAAAATAATAATGGACGCTCGGCAAGCTCGAGTCCCAAATGGTCTTTCTCTCGGCAAGCGCGCCATGCTATGTTCTAGCCGATGGGAAATTATGGACATGTCAAGGGCAGGACGCCTCGAAGATGTCAAAGCACCTTGCAGGAGCGGCAGAAGAAGGCTATACGTCTGTTGACGAGGCGTACCGGTACTGTCAATTGCGCTCTACGGTTCAGGCGGCCATGGAATGACGTCTCGCGCTTCTAGAATGTGTCTCGTCACTGGGCTGTCAAACGACAGGAAATCTGCCACGTTCGAAGTCTTGATCGGAGGCAAAGAGACGAGCCTCCTAAGCAAGGGTTTGTAAAGATTTCACGTGCTTCGGTAGCTTTCTCTGACACGTCCTGGAGATTTCTTACAAGACCAACAGACGTCTCCTTCTGTTCAAATGGATTGTGTTGATAGTGCGTAGGTCAGGAAGATAATGGACGATCCAAAAGATGGCTGTTAGGGTGACCCTGATACAAACTTCAAAACCTTCTCTCTGGAGAAATCAAGACACACGATTGCGTTGAATGGGCTAGAAACAAAGCGAGTAACTTATAGCTGCCTTCTTAACTTGAAGGGATAGCAAAGAGGCCCTAGGAGTGCTAAGGGTAGTGAGAGAACTGAATTATACGTCGAAGCATGTCGAATGCCCTCATCAAGCGCCTTGACTTCCCTAGAAACAGGTATACAGCATATCCGTCATTAACTACTGGCAAATGAGGGATTGCTCGGCCCGTCCAGCAAACAAAATCTTAGACATGGCGTAATCTCCTAAACAATATTAGCTGGACGATATCGATATATTGATAACGAATAGCAGCTACTAGAACAAAACGTGGGGTGCAACGTTGTGACAGCTTCGCCAAGCAGAGGTGGGGGTTTCGGTGTGTCAAACTTGCGGACTCGAGCCTCTTAGAGGTGCTTCGACCAGTGATTCGAAATGCATTTGACCCCGAAAGAGGTACACGTCTTGATGAGATGATGCACGTCGTGACCAAGATACTGACATGATGCATGACTCTAGCTTGACAAGCTGGTGGTGTCGCAAGTCGGCCAGCTTGCACAGCGTAGATTGGCACGCGGTGTCAAGCTGAACCACACTGAAGCGACGGTATGACAGCTGCACAACATGACTTACACCTTGATGGCCGCTGACGTCTCGACCAGGCTTTGATCGCAAGTGTTCTCCAAGAAGTTGGTCCCCATCTCTGCACTTGCACTCCGAGTACAGGCTAAAGTAACGCGTCCTGATAGCTTATCCGCGATGGCAACCACTCGGTGGCAGATCTCATGTCGCTGGGCAAGACCATCCTCGGCCGTCGCCATGTCCTACCGCCTGTAGTCAGCTCTCTAGCTGAGCTTCAAGTCGAAGGAACCTTTCCCTCCGGCACCTACTTGGTCACCGTCCACCACCCTATCAGCTCAGATGACGGTGACCTCGAGAAAGCTCTATATGGAAGCTTCTTGCCCATTCCCGATAAGGACGTCTTCCCACACGCCGACCCCTCGGCATACCTCCCCGAGAAACAACCTGGCGCAATAATACCCCTGAAGAACGGAAAGATCGTCCTGAACAAGGACAGAAAGAGGATACAATTGAAGGTTGTCAGCAAGGGAGACCGTCCCATTCAGGTGGGTCAATATGAGCCTGAGAGTCGGAATGAGAGGGAGTGTCTAATAGTGACTAGGTCGGATCCCATTACCACTTTGTCGAGACAAACCCTCGCCTGGACTTTGACCGTGTCAAGGCCCTGGGATACAGATTGGATATTGCTGCTGGAACCTCTGTCCGTTTTGAGCCTGGTGACACCAAGACTGTCAATCTTGTTCAGATTGGCGGCAATCAGGTCATCAAGGGTGGCAATGGTCTAGCTACTGGGTCCCTCCACGATGCTAGAATTGCCGAATCTCTTGTTGAGAGACTGCAGCAAGGAGGTTTCCACCACACACCAGAGCCTGCTGGCGATTCTGCTCATCTTGACATGTTTACTCTGGAGCGTGAAGCCTACATCTCCATGTTTGGTCCTACTACTGGTGATCGTATCCGTCTCGGTGCTACAGATCTCTGGATCAAGGTTGAGAAAGACTTTACACACTACGGTGATGAGTGCACCTTCGGAGGTGGCAAGAGTATTCGTGATGGTATGGGTCAAGCTTCTGGACGTTCAGATATTGACTGCCTGGACCTTGTCTTGACAAATGCTCTAATCGTCGACTACACCGGCATCTACAAGGCCGATATCGGTGTCAAGAATGGTATTATCGTAGGTGTCGGCAAAGCAGGTAATCCAGATGTTATGGAAGGTGTAGATCCCAACATGGTTGTTGGCTCTAACACGGATGTCGTTGCTGCTGAGAAGAAGATTGTCACATATGGCGGCTTTGACAGTCACATTCACTTCATCTGTCCTCAACAAGCTCCCGAATCGCTCGCCTCAGGTATCACGACCATCTTGGGCGGTGGTACTGGACCAAGGTAGGAGCCTTCAACGATTTCACCTTTCGGCTTGAGATGCTAACATGACGCAGCACTGGTTCCAACGCTACAACTTGCACGCCAAGCGCATGGTTGATTGAAAGTATGCTTCAAGCTACTGACATCATACCACTCAATGTCGGCATTACTGGCAAAGGCAACGACAGCGAACCTGGACCGCTGCGCGAACAAGTTGAGGCTGGCGTTTGCGGTCTCAAACTGCACGAAGATTGGGGCACTACTCCTAAGGTCATCGACACTTGCTTGAGTGTTTGCGATGAACACGACATCCAGACTTTGATCCATACCGACACTTTAAACGAGTCCGGCTTCGTCGAGACCACTGTTGCGGCCTTCAAAGGGCGCACTATCCATAGTTATCACACCGAAGGAGCAGGTGGTGGTCACGCACCCGACATCATCTCTGTCGTCGAGCATGAGAATGTTCTTCCTTCTAGTACCAACCCAACCAGACCTTACACCAACAACACTCTCGATGAGCACTTGGACATGCTCATGGTGTGCCATCACTTGTCACGAAACATCCCTGAAGACGTCGCATTTGCCGAGAGCCGTATTCGCGCAGAGACAATCGCCGCTGAGGATGTGCTACACGATCTCGGAGCCATCAGTATGATGAGCTCAGACTCCCAAGCCATGGGTCGCTGTGGAGAAGTCATCCTCCGCACTTGGAATACTGCACACAAGAACAAGACACAGCGAGGATACCTAGCCGAAGATGAAGGCACCGGTGCGGACAACTTCCGCGTCAAGCGCTACGTCTCAAAGTACACTATCAACCCTGCAATCGCACAGGGAATGTCGCACATCATTGGCTCCATCGAAGTCGGCAAACTGGCCGATCTTGTTCTCTGGGATCCTGCCAAGTTCGGTACTAAGCCTACTCAAGTGATCAAGGGTGGTATGGTCGCATACAGTTTGATGGGTGATGCTAATGCTAGTATCCCTACCGTCGAACCTATGATGATGAGACCCATGTTTGGCGCATCTGTTCCTCACAACAGTATTGCGTTTGTCAGCAAGGCAGCACAAGCGAAGGGTGTGCGCAACAAGTGCGGTTTGAGAAAGAGAGTTGAAGCAGTCAAGAACTGCAGAAATATCGGCAAGTCGAACATGAAGTTCAACGACGTCAAGCCAAAGATGAAGGTTGATGCTGAGAGCTATGTGAGTTACTAAATCCTTGACATTTGTCGCGTGAGTGGTTATGCTGACTTTATGCTCCAGACTGTCGAGGCGGACGGTATGATCTGTGAGGCCGAACCTGCCACCGAACTGCCTCTTACTCAGACATACTATGTATACTGAGATGTCGGGGAGAGCGGAGATGTATCGTGTTGATGTTCTCGAATGTACAGTCATGATTGAAATGAGCCATTTGCCTGGTTGCTAGCGTTCTAGTTCTCCTTATCACCCTTAATCTACTGACCAATTCTTGCAATCGACGCACTTTCTCGAGGATTTTGCTGACTGTCAAGAGTATGGGATATCGCGTGAATGCAGAATGGTTTTCGCCGCCTTGCTGCCCGACTGATCTGGAGTATTTCATGACTCCATCGTGACTCTTCGCTTCAGTGATGGAAAAACGCGAAGGTTTGAGTAAGTTGCACTTGGTGACTCCTCCAACAGCCATACAAATAGAGAGACTTTCTACATCAATCTTCTCTTTCCTTACCATCATAAATTCGAGCTCTCCTCAACATTCCAAAAAGATTTGATCAACTACTACACTTTGAAACCTCAACACCGAGTCACAGTCAGCTATGAAGCTTACCGCCCTCACCTTGGCCTTGGTCAGTAGCGCCGCCTACGTATCTGCCAGACCAGCCGACTCGACTCTCAACTCCATGGCAAAAGCCTACGCCCTCCACGACAAGACCCGTGCAGCTTTCGCCACAAACCTCACCACCACACTCGCCAACATGCCTCCATCCATGAACGCAGCTTTGATGACCGAATTCGCCGCCGCCATGCCAGGTAATCCCTACTGCACAGAGGTAGAAGCCAGTTGGTGTAGAGGGAGTAGCCCACCCGCTTGGTGCGACCTCTGCGGCGATCTTGGAAAAAGATCTCTTGATGTCATCAAGATAACCTCGGTCACTGATCTCGATACTGCTCTGGCGAATTTGCCTCCTTCTATGAGTGCAGGTCTCATGACCGATTTCGCCAGAGTCACCGCCTCGGGAAATCCGAGATGTACAGATGTTGAAGCGGGTTGGTGTAGAGGAAACCATCCTCCTGCATGGTGCTCCATGTGTGACCTCACAAAAAGCAACGACCATCCCATCCTTGCTGCTGCTGCTGCCCCCATCCACCTCCTCCCTCGGCACCACCCCGACGGCAGATGCCATGTCAAAGAAATAAAAAAATGCGAAAAGAAAATCGAACAAAAGTGAGTTTTTCTTCCCCCCCCAAGGCGATGGATGATAGGGATGATTTATACTAATGTGAAGGTGGAAAAATAAGAAAATTCCCACTTCCGGATTGGTGTAGGGATTGTGGGTATGCTGATGATGGGTTTAGTGCTTGTCGATCTTGGCCGGAGCCGATTTGCCATTATGACCATTGTTCTCCGGGGGGCCATGGGAATGATATTCCTCGTGGTGATCAGGGTCATCGTGATCAGCGTGATTATCATGGTCAGCTTCATGGCCAGCATGATCACCATGGCACGCACGGCACGCACGGCAAGCATGGCAAGCATGATCACCATGGCCAGCATGACTAGAGGAGTGGGGAGAGAAGAGAGTTTAAGACCTTTCGGATGTGGTGGAGGGATGTTAGGGAACAATGTCGTGTTTTAGTAAGAAGGTATGTCTGGCGTATGGAGTTTGAGATCAAGCTCCCGGTAATAGGAGACTTGATGCTTGGGTGGAGTTGAGACTGTTCAGCAAGGATATACGAGAGAATTGTATTTTGATCTTCGATATCCCCCCAAGAAAGCGCGAGAAAGAAAATCCTTTTTGCTTTCCAAAGTCCTACAGATTTCTTGATGCATTCATTCAGCAATATTAATCTTAGTCTTTCGTGACGTGTGATGCGACGATAGAGCTGATGTACTCTTGTATATTGGGACTGTTGTAAAGGAGATTCAAGCTTAATGATGAACAGGAGATGCGCTCTTGACATTTCACGAACTAACACCGACACAGTAATACTCACCAGCCTGAAACTGCGTCTGACAATTCGAACCATTGGCTCCCAGAATCGTGTTCCAAGTATACAGCTGATCGGTCGTGATGTTGTTATCCTGTGCGAACACATAACAGTAATCTCCAGCCTTTGCAATCTGATACTTGTTGCAAGTCTTTGCGATTCCTGATTGTGTTGGCGATGGAAGTGCAACACCGATGCAGTAGTAATCGCCGGCTTGAAATGTAGTTCCACAGTTTGCACCGTTTGTACCGAGGATGCTGTTCCAGGTGTATAGTTCATCAGTGGTGATGTTGTTGTTCGACGCGAATACGTAGCAGTAGTCTCCAGACTTGGCAATCTGGTATTTGTTGCAGTATGGTGATATTCCAGATTGAGTGGGTGAAGATCCTGATGTACTGGTCGATGTTGACTTGGTAGGAGTTGAGCTGGTTGTTGTGGGCTGGATTGAGCCGTCGTTGACGCAGTACCAGTATCCAGCTTGGAATTGCGTCTGGCAATTGGCGCCGCCGCTACCCAAGACCGGATTCCACTGATACAATTGGGCTTGTGTCATGTTTGTCTCCATGGCAAACTGGTAGCAATAGTCATCGGGATATGCCTGGCACCAGGTCTTGCAGGTGGACAGAATGCCATCCTGGATCGGATCTGGTTGTTGCGCCGAGGTACATTGAACTGTGGCATTACCAAATCTTCCGGTGCTACTGCCATCATTTCCGCCTCTTTGCTGGTTATTATCGCTGTTAGACCCAGCAGGCGGCGGAGGAGGTATGTAAATGCCTCCAGGAGGTCCAGCACAGATGAATTCGTCTGGAGTGAGGCTGTCGCAAAGGCCATTGATGGTGGGGTTCCAGTTGAGAAAACTCACAACAGTCACTGTAAGGTTGGACGTGGACAACGAGGATGCGATTGCGTCGCAAGTCAGGTTGCCATTGCTGGGTACCTGAGATATCTGGCATGCTGCTGGCAAGCAGAACCCGGATGCTGAGGGCTTACACGTCGTGCTGTTTGTAGCAGCTTGTACCGCACCAGTTGCAACCTTGAAGTACTGAGCGATCGACGCGCAGTTGCCGTTGGGGTCCAGCGAGCTAGTAGTGATGTACTGCCCTTGCGAGCAGCTCAAGTCTGTGTAGACTCCTGTGAGATTTAGAACTGGTGGTGTCGCGACAGCGTAATTCGGCAGCGCTCTGATGAGGAGCTCGGGAAAGTCTTCCGTTGCGTTGCACACATCCAAGATATCCTGATACTGAGCAATAAGATAGTCTGAGAAATCGTGATCCGGGAGATATTGCGAAGTGGTTCGCTGATAAAGCATCTGCACGAAACATTCGCTACAGAGAACATCGTCTGAGTAGAGATTGGCCATGCGAGAGTCGTCAGGGCTGACATAGGATGGATCAGCACAAGACGGATCTGAAGGATTCACCGAGCAATCTGGTCGGATGAAATCACTTCCTGCCCATTCCTGACTTTCAGCAAGACAGTATAGGTAGTCGTCGTCAGTATCAGTGGCGCTATGAAGGAAGCTTCAGCATTGGGATCACTGATCACTTAGCGGTACTTACTTCTGGTTGGTCAAGCATGCGATGTTCATGCCATCATTGTATCGTCCCGTAACGTCGGATGCTGGTACCATTTTGCCATATGCGACTAGACTATCGTCCTGGCACTCGATGAACACGTTGGCATCCCAGGCTTGAACCGACACCCAGCAGTCGTTTGTGCACAACTGAGTGAGATTATCAATCTCCCACCAGTAGTTGTCCACTGACCCTGCCATATTCAGAAGAGTTCTGTCGCATGGCAACGAAGCATTCCTGCATTCTGTCAGTAATCCATACAACATCAAAATGAGTAGGAGAATTACATAGCATCCAGACAACCGATGGAGATATTGAGGGCAGTTGCAAACGAAGTTGAGTCGATTGTCGGCCATAAAGCAAATGGATCAGAGACTGTTGCAGGGATACCAGTATCTTGACCATACACCATCGCCAGGAGGCCGAGGATCATCGGCCAGATCCCCAATCTGAAGTGAAGCATGTTTGGATTAGTTTGCCGGAACATGAGAAGCAAGCATAAAGAGAGAATGTAGGAGAAAAGCTGGGTCCGACGACTATCATCGAGTCGAAAGACGCACAATCTTGAATATACAACTAGCGGGCTTTCATGTTTGTCAGACGAGGCCTGGATAATGACCTAGGACAATCACTGTATGCCAAGCCTCCGCTCTTCCAATCAGACCAAGCACTATTTGATGCAGCAAGCCACATGAGCATCCTGATCTGTCTCTTCACCGGTACAGCACCACCATATGTCAATAATTTGCTGATCTTCGTTCCAAAACGAAGACTTGAAAATCTCCACTCAGGCGTGGCTTAATCACGCGGCGTCAAGCACCATACCCAGAAGACTAAGCATCAATAAGCACTTGTGCTTAGAACGCCAAGTATTGACAGACTACTGCAAGGTACTGCCGCATGTACTGTTCCGAGGCTTGAGATGCTTGTTCTGGCCTCGCTACGTGAGAGTGCACTTTATACACTGTTTCATCATCCCCTTGTGACATGACCATCCTGCATTCAACAAGAGATACCTCCTCACCTTTTGAAGGATGACTGTCGATCCCCATTTGCTGACGGCCTGTAATTCGCTAGTAGCTTCCACCAACAACGCAGGAAGCTGAGCATTCATGCCAGAGTTGACCTTGTGAGGGCTTCTCAGCCTTTTCGCAAAATCTCCGGTCAAGATTGATGCACTACCAGGGACCTATTTCCGATGAGAGTCTAGTCTTCAGCCTCGTTCTTTCTGCCGAGTACTGCCTGAGATTGCTGCACTCTGAAGGACCGGCACTGAGATCAGAAGACCTTGCCGTCTCGTATGATTCCAATCCTCTTGTCTATTCATGTCGTCCCTTGTCCCTCCCATCTCTCATTCTGCTCGAATTGTTCCACGTATCTTGCTATACATACCTTCTTTCTTGAGTGTTCACATTCCAATATACTCTTTAATGCTCATGAGTCTTCCATGATGTTCATAAGTTCTCTTCTTGTCCTCGTGGTCCTTGGTATGGAGCTCTGTGAGGCGGCTAGTCCAACTCATGGTACCAAGCTCGATGCCCGAGGATATGAGATTTTCAGAGGAGCCTCATCAGAACTCAACCTTAATCGCAGAGACTTACCAGTCGGCACGTGCGATGCGAATACACCATGCGTCAACGGTGCCTGCTGTGGAAGCGACAACCTATGTGGTTACTCGCCCAAGCAGTGTGGAACTGGTTGCAGATACAATTGTGATGCCAAAGCCGAGTGTGGACCATATGCGCCTTCCAGCAGTCAAGCCTGTCCGCTGGCCGTCTGCTGCTCAGAATTTGGCTTCTGCGGAAGTACTTCTGAGTTCTGCACTTGGACGAACAAGGACGACTCGAACTATCCTTCTTGTAACACCAAGTACGGCGGATGTGGTGACGTTAAACGTCCGTCTTGTGGAGGAGGTTCCAGTGTTTCGAAGCGCACGATTGGTTATTACGAGACATGGGCCAACTCGCGCAAGAATGGCCCAGTCACACCAGAGGACCTCAATCTGGACGGCTTTACCCACATCAATTTTGCCTTTAGCTTCTTCGATGCCTCTTCTTTCGAGATCACATCTATGGACTCCAATGCAGCTTCTTTGTACAGTCGCTTCACAGCACTAAAAGAGAAGAAGAACGGTCTCCAAGCTTGGATCTCTGTCGGTGGATGGTCTTTTACTGATCCAGGGCCGACTCAAAAAGCTTTTTCCAATATGGTCAGCTCTCAATCGAACCGTGCCAAATTCATAGGCAACTTGAGACAATTCATGGATACTTATGGATTCGATGGAGTTGACCTCGACTGGGAATATCCTGGAGCAGACGACCGAGGCGGTGTTTCGGCTGACACTGCAAATTATGTCGCTCTAACCAAGGAGATGCGTGCGTCGTTCGGAACAAAGTATGGTATATCCATGACCTTGCCAACATCTTACTGGTATCTCCAGCACTTCGATCTGCCGGGCATTCAAAGTAGCCTTGATTGGTTCAACCTGATGGCTTATGATTTGCATGGCACATGGGATAAGGCCTCAAAATTTGTGGGACCATATCTGGCACCTCACACAAACAACACTGAGATTGATCTTGGTCTGGATCTCCTTTGGCGTGCTGGTGTGAACGCAGAAAAGGTGGTCTTGGGCCTAGGTCTGTACGGAAGATCTTTCACCCTGGCAAATCCTTCTTGCAATCTTCCCAATGGAGTATGTCAATTTGCGGATGCTGCCAAACCAGGCCCCATCTCAGATGCGGCGGGTATTCTGATCGATACTGAGATCAACGTCATCATCAAGAAGAACAATCTCAACCCGACATGGGACAAGGAAGCTGGCGTCAAGTGGGTATGTCATGGATAAGCTGCTGACCCAGGATTCCATCGCACATGCTGACATGACTTAGATCACTTGGGATTCCAACCAGTGGGTCTCGTACGATGACAGTGACACCTTCCAGCAGAAGCGTGACTTTGCCAACAAGCGTTGTCTAGGCGGCCTCATGGTTTGGGCAATGGATCAGGTTGATCAAGCCGCGTCCAATGGACTGAGTCTCGACGGCGAGGTGACATCTGATCAACAAGACGACGCTCAGTCGCTGTCTGACGACCAAGCAGCCAAGATGACTTGCAAGGCCACCGATTGCGGACAAAGCTGTCCAGCTGGTTCCAACCGCGTGACCGAGACAAATGGACAGCCAGGACAGCTAAGCACCAAAGATCGCTGCAAAAAAGGCCAGTACCGATCGATTTGTTGTTCTAGCGGCACAACATTAGGTACCTGCCAGTGGCGTGGTTTCCGTGGTCATGGTCTCTCCTGTATCGGAGGTTGTGCCGATGGCGAGACTGAGGTCGCTACCAACACCAACAGCCACGAAGGCAAGAACGATCTCACTTGCAATGGTGGCCAGCAGAGCTACTGTTGCAAAGGCTTCAAGCCAGCAGTGTCCAAATCGGAACTCGAGAAATTCGCAAAGGATGCTGCGAAGGCAGCGGCTGAAGCTGCTGCCGAGCAAGCAGCCCTCGATATTGCAGCCAAAGCTTTCTGTCGAGTCGCAGTGCCAGCCTTGTTGGCACCTTTGGAACTTCTTGAGGATTTGATCCCTATCGTCGGCGAGATCCTTGACATCGCCGAAATCGCCGCGACTCCGGCTCTGATTCAACTTTGCGTCAAAGGTATTGAAAAGGAGGGCAAAGCTGAGTTCAAAGTGTTTGGCAAGAAGCACACTCTGAGTTTTGACAAGCCCACCAAGAAACCGAGTGAGACTAGACCGCCCATGAGCTCTCACGATCCACCAAAGACGAAGACTGATGATTCTTGCCCCAACAACCGCAAGCGTAATGATTGTGATCGTCCGGAGAGAGGAGACGTGACTACCTACGACAAGGGTACCACTACATTGTATACCACCCTCACCAGAGTGTGTGACGGTGAACGATGGCCCCAAGCCTGCATGCACTATTCCTCGGCCATTAGAAACCATGTCGGTAATGGATTCAATCCGGTGACATGCTCTGAGAATGCACGGCCTCGTGAGTTTATTGGCCCCGGTCCCGCTACCAACCAATGGTCATTCGAGAAAAACAACAACGAATGGAAGAAGTGGATGGCTCGAACCTCAACTGGCTTTCTACCAGGACAGGGTTGTCAGCGTGATGAATGGCCACCGGCTCATTTCTGGCAGGGTGACGTTGGTCAGATAATCCGCTATAATCACCGAGAGGATAATTCCGGGGCTGGCTCGCTCTGGAACCAATTCTGTCCTGAACACGCTGCCTACAGGTGTGTGCCTGGAAGCGGTAATGTGGAGAATCCGCGTCGTGGGAGACCTACAACGCATTGTAAGAAAGAGCTTACGATTAGAGGTAAGTCTGCCACTTCTGACATTGTGTTGAGGCCAAAGCATTGACGAAGGTTGTCTCTAGTCATGGAAATGGATTTTGACATGGAAGGCGTCCCACTCTCACAACTTGCCGACGATGGATTGGCCGCCAACCAATGTTACCCTCGCTTATTGCCATTGGTGAACGATCCCACGTTTGCGCTCCTTGATACCGACAACTACTTCGCAAGACATGGCCGAGCGCCCCGCAACTGGCATATAGGGCCCACTCCAGCAGAGATCAATGGCCGAACACCGCCTTTTGCCAAACGAGGGTCAGAGTACCTTCAAGGCCAATTTGCTTGGGATGATGGTAACTCTTCACGCCCGTTGACTGACGAGGAGATGGATGGAATTTCCAGGGGGTTGCGATTAGAAAAGGAAATGGCCGAGATACGCGGTAGCCTGGGATACGTGGATTGTAGGGGTGACGATTGTGCCACAGCGATAACACTGTGGGCAAGGTATGTCCTTGACTAGTGTTTCTGCGCAGTGTTGGAGCTGACTTCAGATAGAGAAACATCGGTGCCGATGCCCCTGGCTATACCCAGCATTGCTGAGGCATTTGCTACCCCCGAGGTCGTCTGGCCACCCGAGGAGGACCTAATCTCTAGATCAGCATCATCGAGATCGTGGCTGACTCAACCACCGGGCCCCATTGCGACTATCTTGTCTTAGGTCAACACGTGCGCAACCCATAGTCCTTCGATGATCAAGTCCTTATATGAACATGCAGCTTTCTGGTGCCGCCTTTGTCGAAAAAACTTGATGGAAACCACTGTTGTCTGTGCATGCGATGTGACCCATATAAGCGACCAAACTTCTCACGAAGGAGTAAAATATGACGTTGTTCAGTTTTCATCTTCTCAAATCAACGATTGTAGCCGTCCTCCCCATCAGATTCGTCTTCGCTTTCCAGACTAGTCTGATCACCATGCGGACCGGGAGGTTGACGAGTGATCTCGTGCAAGTTATGATCCGGTTGCGATAAGCGATTGCCGATAGTCCTGTTCCAAATCTGCAAAGCGATGCGGCAATCTTCGCGACGGAAGTTATCAGGCCAGCCGTGGTCACGATAGATCTGGCGAACTTCCTAGAAGAAGTCAGCATGTCGCACTGATTGATCTAGAAAGGATGCAAACGCACGTCTGTCATACGATCATATCGCAGCATAATGCCACCTTCAGCGTTGAAGGGGTTCGCTGTCCATTCTAGCGTGCGGAACTTTTGCTCCCATGAAGCCAATAGCTCGGCGACAGGTGATGTCTCCGCGAAGCGCCAGATCTCTGATGTCGTTTCTGGATCAGGCACGCCTTTCTTTCGTGGCGCCTGTGGTTGATAGTCAGTAGCTGTACCTGTGAAAGGTATAATTAGTCTTGTTATTCATCATAGGGTGCGCCACAAGTCGATGACCAACCTTTCTCCGTGTCTAAGAGCAGCAGGCTCCCATAGTAATCTTCGCCATCAGCGGTCAAGACTACCACATGGGGCGGGAACTCCTTGTTTCCGACTGGTATGAATTGGTGACGTTTTCCTTCAGCGACTTTGTAGGCTCCAATCTGCCTGTAATCTATTACGCTTGTACCGAAAGCGACCTGGGTATTGTAGTCATCTGAAGGTTCAATATACGGCATGTGGCGTAGAAGTTCAACCACCGCTTCGGTCTTTTCCAAACCAACGAGTGAGTCTTGAGTGATGCTGGGCCAGCCTTCCGGGGGAGGTTCGACAATGCAATCCGACGGAATCGCTCCCAGATCATTTGACAGGAAAGTATAGTATTTGCGGACAGCATCTACAGCAGGCTTCCAGGAGGGTTCATCATCACTGTTGGCCATTGTGTCTGTTAATGTTTGATGTCAGACAATTTGTTGTGTAAGTTGTTGAGAGAAGAAGACTGTTGCTCCGTTGACGCGTCGTGAGTTGAAGTGACGCGCTAGCTTACCTCCACCACGCTGGCATTCATTTGCGGCGAGCAACAACTTGTGGCCGGGGTCTAGCCCGTGATCACTGTGTTATTGATGATCAAGTTCGCCCGTATGAGCTTGCATGCGCGTAGAATGGCATAGGATGAACACTAGCGCGTACGCCATCAATATGTGCTGCATTGCATATGCATTGGAGTTTGTGAGCAGTCCTGCTGACACCAATAATAGGATAGCGATGTCAATATACCGTGAAGATTTCACGCACGACACATCAGTATACTCTCAGATGCCCTTCGAAAAGATGAATGCATTTGGTTCGCGGTGAGAGAACGAAAAGCCGAGCCTGAGGATGGCCGCGTCGAATGGTACCCCACATTGAGCTGCGTCATTGTTTTTCATTTATTCTTTTAAATCTGTGCCGAATTTTACTCACAGCTACAAGCTGTATCTTACTGTCACTTAGACTCTCACATGTCACGGCTCCAGATCCAGACAGCAAGTCCGAAACACTCGATATGGCATGACATATCCGAAGATACATTTCGCCAACACTTAGTCGACCTCGAGAAATGCACAAATGCTGTACCAATAGGACCACAGACTTTTCCAATCGTCTTGGAGAAATCAGCAGATGACTACACACTTCCTTTGAACGTAGAGCAGAAATTAGCAGATGATCTGGCTTTCCTAGCTGCAATTGAAGAGGGGGCTCAAAGTGTCGCTGCCGTATGCTTGGAAGAGCATCATCAACCAGGTCATCTCACAGTACGGTTCGCAGCATTAGACCTTTCTCTCAGCGATGAGGTGAAGATTGCTCTAAGCAGTGTGATCGATACTCTAGGTACCACTTCGACTCTCGGTAGGGCAGAGACTATAGAGAATCTGTTTGCACAGATAGTGAGTTTGCATTTCCGACGATTGCTCGCCAGACTCCGATCGAAAAAATGGAACAAACCAAAATATCTGGCAAAACAACACAAAAAGCCGCTGTGGCAGGACTTTGCAAATCTTCTCCATCGAATCGAGTTCGTGTATACGAAGAGAGAGGCGGCTCTGAGGAAGACTGTGGAAGCTCTAGTACAGCATCTTGCTGCGGTTTACGAAGGCTTTGAGCAAGTGGAGCCGGGAACACAAGATGAAGAACCCGCACTTCAAGAGCTGATCAAAGCAAGTCATCAGTTCTGCACGACAACTGAGATTATGGACTTTGCACATCGCCTGGAGAGTAGCGTCAGCAGATCGCCAACACCCAAAGTTGCATCAGCCATAAAATGCCTGCGCCAACTAGAGAAGATAGCGGCATACTGGCGAGTCGCCACATCACTTGCGACTGCGAGTCTGGAGTATCCTTCGTTGTTCCAGACGAACATTGAGCTAGCTTTCCTAATACCATACAAAAGCATTCCTACCACGATCGGTTACGAGTCTTGGGCAAAGACATGTCATGTACATGCTGAAGTGCAGCTCACAGTACACTATGATATCCTCTTCCAGACTACAAGGCCAAGTTTCCGACCCCCTCGTGTTATTGGAACCTCCAAATGGCTTTGTTACCTCTGTTACTTGTTCCTACGAACTCACGGGTCGTTCTGCCCGGCCAACACGCACGGTCGCCTGTACGATCAATGGACGATACCGGATCTGGCTGAGTACGGAGATGAATTACGAGATCGATATCGTGAGGTTATTCGTGATATGGACTGGGAGGTCGTCAGAGAGACGGGCGATGGCAGCCTAAATGATGATGGATCTGTCTTGGTAAGGTGGCGGGCTGAGCCAATGACAAGTCGAGAAAATCTGCTAGGTGTAGACGGTGCATGTTGACAGGAAGCTATGGAAAAGATTAAGATAGAATCCAGGTCTCGTCTTTCCTGCGAAGATGGGGGTGATTATACTCGTTGTGACATGAGTGACGGCGTGAAGCGGAGATCGGAAGCCGGAGTTTGCGGGCGGCGGCAATGACGATGGTCAAACAAGCACCCTCCGACCTGTTAATCTTCACTTTTACAACAACAAGTTCATCATCCATCGCACGATCACGCTCACCTCATCCGATACAACGCGACTCCATAGCGACTACTTGATTCATCGATTACCGACACACGAGCTTGGTCGGAAGGCACACAATCATCATGGCGCAAACAAGAGCAACCAACGCACTTGCACCTTTCCTCGCTCTGTCCAAGTCGGCCACATCACCTCGCGCAGCCGCCGACTTGATCACTCAAGCTACCTCGGCCACGAATACCTACGTCTTCGGAGAGCTCCTCCAAACACCAAACATTATAAGTCTGCGCGATCAACCGCAATATGGCAACCACTACACACTACTCGAGCTGTTCGCCTGGGGCACATGGGCCGAATACCAAGGTGCGTCTTGCTCGCCATAGCCACTCAAGGAAGAAACACTGACATGTCGCATCGCAGCCCTCTCATCATCACTACCCCCACTGTCACCGACTCAAGAACACAAGCTCCGTCTACTCACCCTCTTGACGCTGGCCGCAAACACGACAAACAACACCCCTCTCACCTACTCCAACCTCCAAGCAGCCCTCTCCCTGCCTTCCCCACTGGCTCTTGAACGCCTCGTCACAGACGCCATATACGCAGATCTCTTGACCGCCACCCTGAACCCCGCCCAAAGCATCGTAGTCATCAGCAGCGTAGCCGCCTTGCGTGACCTTTCTCCCGGCAGCGTGACCTCCATGATGGCTTCTCTGGATGCATGGAGCAATCGCTGCGACGACGTGCTCAAGAGTCTGGAAACACAAATGAAGACTGTGCAGGAAGCAGCAGAGAGAAGAAGTCGCGAGGAAGCCATGCGCGCCGACCAAGTCTCGAATGCAGAGGCCATTGGAAAGAAGAATGACGATGCTGCTGATGATGCCATGGAGCTTGATGACGCCGGAAGGGGGATGGGTGGGGGTAAGAAGAGGGGCGGTCCTGGTTTGGGGCTCAGAAAGAAGTAGAATGCTCTCAAGGGCAAGCTGTCCAACGAGAGGAATGGCTAGAGCTGAGCACGAATAAATGACTGCCGGGCGTGAGAAGATGGTTGAAAAGCTGCGAGCATTACACCACAAGGATGAGCACTAGACGACTTTGCTCACCGAATTACGAAGACAAATGACAATTACCTCATATTGCTATCCACCCTCTGCACTTCTCGATCCCTTGAATTATACATCTCTCGATTGATGAGATCAATAATCATCATCTCCAAGTCCCACCATAACGCGGCAGCCTGGACTCAGTCATCTCAGAACCGGCATACAGAGCTTTTGGTTGCTCGTAAGTTGTTTGACAATCAGCCTCAGTCTCCAGACCGGACCGAATTTCGGGACGTTCCCTCATCGTTTGATGTTCGATCTAAATTCTCGTAACACCTGTGAGGGGGCACGATATAGTGATGAGCTTGGAGGATTAGCCTACTCGCTAATAATGTCGTTGTCTAGGAAGCTTTATGACTCGCTACAACTGACTTTGGGTGATTCCCCAAGCATTCTCCACTTTGACCTCCGCTTCTTGGCACCCCCAGCCTCCGCCGCGCAGGGGTACTTGCAACTGAGCTAGAGAGTTTTGTCTCTCCCAATTTCCAGTAGAAACCATGTCGCCTTAGCATGGCGCTTTCGATCTTTCTTGCTTGAGAGGCCATGGTAGATGCGGCCGTTACAGCTATGCGATATGTCTATACAAAGACAAGCATGCGGCCAAGCCTTGACGAAGTCGACACCGAGAACAACACATGTCTTCTGTATACATGAATCAAGAAGGTCACGGAAGAGCATCTGCGGTACTCGGGATATGATAGAGCCTTTCGGATCGATCATGAGCCGTGACCTCGTCGGGGAGAAGAGCTTGATATGACGTCTGAAACCCCAATTTTTCCATGGGGCCCCCTCCATATCCCGCTTCACTCCGCTCTTCTCCACCAGCATCGAGGACGTGCTTTTCTGTCACGAGACGGTGCAGAGGTCCAAACACAACTTGATTCCGCTCTGTAGACTGCTTGCTAACAGTTCGGCACCATACTCGGCACGCCGTGGTGTCAGTCTAGGGTAGCATGGAGAGACAAAGTGGGTCTCTTGGAGAAGTTTTCGGTCGGCATATCGGGCCTGAAGCCCGTATACTGATGCCGAACATGTTCAAACACCAGAATACTCCGCAGTAGGTAGGCGTTCCGTCTTGGTATACGGACGTGCTCCCCACTTTAAGTTCTTGACTCACGACACTTTTCTTTAACACGGACTGCGCCAAGCTGCGCCCAGTAGCATGACCTAGCATGAATGCCTGATGTCTGGTATGGATCAGCTTGTTGTGATCGGTAGTTGATCGATTGATCGACAAAAATGTCTGCCAGCTTCGTGTGCTTGTAAGTATTTAGTCACGTCAAAGTCCGCTCCTTGGTAAGAAGAACAAGCCAGTTGCTACCTCCCTCGGAATTACAACTCAACATGGCCGCCCTCCTGCCTCTTCTTTTGCCTTTGCTTCTTCCTACTGCAAACGCCCAGGCTTATGATGCCACACAGCGTGATGCCAGTGCTTTCAGTTATATTCAGCCGTTAAATACCACAATTCTCGGACCTTATGGCAACTCGCCAGCGGTTTTACCCTCTCGTACGCCCTCATCAATCTTGAATGAGTCAAAGATGCAAAATCACTAACCAGTGTACAGCGAATGCGACTGGCGTTGGTGGTTGGGAAGACGCAGCTGCGCGTGCAAAGGCTTTTGTCGCGCAGCTCACTCTTGAAGAAAAGGCCAAGATGGTCACAGGTCAACCAGGCCCTTGTGTCGGTAACATTGAGCCAATTGAACGTCTCGGATTCAACGGACTCTGTCTCCAGGATGGTCCTCTTGCAATTCGTGTTGCCGATTACGCCAGTGTTTTTTCTGCTGGTGTTTCCGCAGCCAGTTCCTGGGACAAGGACATTTTGTACGAGAGAGGTCTCTTGATGGGCAAGGAATTCAGAGCCAAGGGTGCTCATGTTGCTCTCTCGTAAGTGTACCCAGTTTTTCTTCAAGTCATGATTGACCACATACTAATGACTTGATTAGTCCTGTTGCTGGACCTCTCGGCCGCTCGGCCTACTCAGGTCGTAATTGGGAAGGCTTCTCGCCCGACCCGTACCTCACTGGTGTCGCCATGTTCCAAACCATCACCGGTCACCAAGATGCAGGCGTGCAGGCAACAGCCAAGCACTTCATCGGTAATGAACAGGAAACTCAGCGTAACCCGATCTACAAGCAGAACGCCACACTAAACACAGTCGAATACGAAGCCCTCTCGGCCAACATGGACGACAGAACCATGCACGAGCTCTATCTGTGGCCCTTTGCTGATGCGGTCAAGGCTGGCGCTGCTGCTTTCATGTGCGCTTACCAGAGACTCAATGGCTCATATGCTTGCGAGAACTCCAAGGCCCAGAACGGTATTCTGAAGACTGAGTAAGCATGATCACTTTTCTGGATTTGTTGACAAGGCTAATAACTTTCAGGCTTGGATTCCAAGGATACGTCATGTCCGATTGGGGTGCCGTCCACTCCGGTGTTGCCTCTGTTGAAGGTGGTCTCGACATGAACATGCCCGGTGGTCTGGGCAACTACGGAACGGTCACTGGTGTTGGATCCTACTTCGGTGGCAACATCACCGCCATGGTCAACAACGGCACTGTTCCAGAATCCAGAATTGACGACATGATCATCCGCCAGATGACACCTTACTACTGGCTCGGCCAGGACAAGGACTTCCCTACTGTTGACCCCTCCACTGGCTGGCTCAACACCTTCTCGCCTGTAGACACTTGGCTCCGTGACTGGAACCTCACCGGACCTTCTAGCAGAGATGTCCGCGAGGACCACAACGAGGCCATCCGTAAGCACGGCGCAGCTGCCACTATCCTTCTCAAAAACGAGAACGGCGCTCTTCCCCTCAAGGCTCCCATGTCCATTGCCGTCTTCGGTAACGATGCTTCTGAGCCCACCCAAGGTCTTCTCAACCAGAATGACTACGAGTACGGTACCATCATCGCCGGTGGTGGCTCCGGTACCGGTAGAGCTGTAGAGATCGTCACTCCTCTTCAAGCAATCAAGGCGAAGGCCAAGGAAGATGGTGCCATTGTCCAGTACTGGCTCAACAACACTCTTCTTGCAAACACCGACATCAGGTCTCTCTGGATCCCCAAGGAGCCCGAAGTTTGTATTGTCATGCTCAAGACCTGGGCCGAAGAAGCTGCAGACCGCGAGTCTCTCCACGTGGATTGGGATGGTGATGAGGTCGTCGCCCGTGTCGCTGCTGCTTGCAACAACACTGTTGTCGTCACCCACTCTTCAGGTATCAACGTCCTTCCATGGGCCGATCACCCTAACGTCACTGCTATTGTCGCCGCACACTTCCCCGGCGAGGAGAGCGGTAACTCGCTCATCGACATACTCTATGGAAAAGTCAACCCTTCAGGCCATCTCCCCTACACAATCGCCCTGAACGGCACCGACTACAACGCTCCCCCTACCACGGGCATCAACACCACCGGCATCAACGACTGGCAATCCTGGTTCGACGAAAAGCTAGAAATCGACTACCGCTTCTTCGACGCCCACGACATGGCCGTCCGCTATGAATTCGGCTTCGGTCTTTCCTACACCACCTTCAACGCTTCTTGTTTGAGTGCCGCCCCAACCGTCTCCACCATCACCTCCAAGCCCGAAGACCTCCCCATCCTCCCCGGTGGTAACCCCGCCCTCTGGGAAACCCTCTACACCGTCAACGCCACAATCACAAACTCTGGCAAAGTGGCCGGTGCAGCCGTACCTCAACTCTACATTTCCCTTCCCTCTTCCGCTCCTGCGGGAACGCCTATCCGTCAACTGCGAGGTTTCTCAAAAATGTACCTCGAGCCCGGTCAAGAGGAAATTGTTACCTTCGAATTGATGCGTCGTGATTTGTCCTACTGGGATGTTGTTTCTCAGCAGTGGTTGATTCCCAGTGGAAGCTTTGGGTTTGATGTGGGTTTCAGTAGCAGGGATTTGAGGGATCATGTAAAGGTTACTGTAGTTAATTAAGAAAGATTGGAGATGGGGGGGATGAGGGAGTTTATAAAGACTTTTTGGAAGTGAAAGTTGGATTGGAAAAAAAGTAAAAGAGTAACTTTAATGTTGGACGAAATTCTCTTAATGTAATCTTTGTAAAAGATGTTTCTTGATAGAAAATTCTTGATCATGGTAAACATTCTCTTAAAACAACAATGAACGTTTTGCTTCGACAGACGAGCTATTCTGTCAAGTCACTCTTTTTCTCGACCATGGCTTCCCGCTCTGAGTATGAAAAGATAGCTAAGTCATCACTACTATCCCACGACACGAATACAGTAGATCCTACGGCCCTGATCAAAGATCCAGACAACAACTCCTCGTATCACTGCACACTCTTACTCTCCATCCTAGCAGCAAGACCGATTACTCAACCCGATTCTAATCATATCTCAACCTTCCATCCATCTTTGCCTCCACATTCTTAAATCAGAAGATGAAGGTGGCAAGCACGTACGGCCACAGTCAGCTGAAAACTGGGCATCCCGTCCGCTCTGCCATACATAAGCAGTTGAACGGCAGATTAGTACTACGGTGGGTGACCACGTGGGAATCCCTGCTGCTGTACGTGTTTTTTGTTTTCATCTTCCTCCTTTCCACCTATTTTTGCCTGTCTTCTCTCATGATCGTCCATCTGTTTCATTCGTTGCGCGTCCTGGAGAGCGATAATCGTCACGTCGCAGTGGAAAGTATTGTCAAGTGATGGAATGCTCTTAGATTTTGATTGTTCATTTTCCTCAAAACAGGAGCTTGTATGCGATGGGGTATAGAAGAAAAGGGGGGGTGGGAGAGGGATAAAAAGAAGAAAAGGGAAAAGGATAAGAATGCAGCAAAAACACAATATGCAAAACCCGGATACCACACAGCATCTCTTTCTCTTGAACATCACACGTGAGGCAGTGTGTGCTCTCGACATAGAAGTCTTCTGTCCTAACGCCTAAGATCTAAAACGCCGCGCCATATGCAAAGGGTAAGTGGTGGAATCTAACAAATCCAATTCCGGCGATTCGTAATGCGACCCTACGAGCTGTTGGACCTCATAAGCATTTCCTGTGAAGCACAAATATTAGCACCGCATCGCACAAAAGAACACTTTGAACTGCTTACCCGCTCAATAGGATCGCTAATGTCTGCCGAAACAATCGAAGGACTCTTAGTCGGATTGATCGGCGAGTCGGTGTATCCTCGAATATCCAGAATTGGTCTCCTGGGCGTGCTGACTTTGCTGCTGCCAGTGCTATCGGCTTGCTTGCTATCGTCGCCTTGAGTAAGAGCCAGTCGTTGGTCCTTGTTGCGTTCGAGCAATGCTCCACCCATAGTTGCACACTTGAGAAGAGTCTGAATAAGCTGGTTAGGCTTAAGCGGTTTGGAGAGGTACTCGTCCATTTGAGCTTGAATACACTTCTCGCGATCACCCAACATGGCGTGGGCGGTGAGAGCGATAATGGGCGAGCGCGTCAGTTGGTTCTCGCGTTCGTACTGACGAATGTTGGCAGTAGCTTCGAACCCTCCCATGATAGGCATTTGCACATCCATGAGAACTACGTCGTAACGCTTCTTCTTGATAGCTTCGAATGCTTCCAGGCCGTTGTTCGCGACGGTCACCGTGTGGTGGTGCTTTTGCAGAATCTTGACGGCCAGTCTTTGGTTGACAGCATTATCCTCAGCAAGCAAAATGTCAAATTTCATTGAAGGGTCGGCAGATGTTGGTGCTGCGCGTCCCTCCAGAGCCGGGATGAGTGCGTTGCCAAGATCGATGGACAAACAAGGTGTCGTCATGTAGCTTGCAATACCATCCTCGAGTGCTGACTTGAAGCTCATGCTGATAACGGGGGCTAGCATGACGATGGGGATATACTTAAAGTCCTCAACATTACGAAGCTTGCGAGCTGTCTCTCTGCAGTCGACCAGAACGCAGTCGTAAGCCTTGCCAGCAGCGGTAGCAGCATGAGGCGAAGGTACTTCGCTCTCGTTGTGAACGATCATTGGTACCAGCTGGAGGTTGCGAAGGTGTTGAGCAATCTCGTCAGAGCACCCAGTCTTGCCAGTGTCGATGAAGAGCACATTGTGTTTGCGGTAAGCTCGAAGCTGCTTGTCGATGGCCTTAACATCGGGATTGCCAACCTTGAACTTGACGGTGAAGTAGAAGCAACTACCTTGACCAAAATCAGACTCAACCCACATTTTTCCAGACATGAGAGAAACGAGTCTTCTTGAGATAGAGAGACCAAGACCAGTACCTCCGAAGCGGCGAGTGGTCGAGCCATCTGCCTGTTGGAAAGTGTCGAAGATCAGATCAAGCTTGTTGCTCGGTATACCGATACCGGTGTCACGAACAGCAAACTGAACTGCGTACTCGCCGTCGTCGCACCCAAGTTGATCAGCTGCGGAGATGGAGATTCTGACCTCGCCCTTGTCAGTGAACTTGATAGCGTTTCCGACAAGGTTCAGAATGATTTGACGAAGTCTGAATGAATCACCGACCACGTAGTCGGGTACCGAACTGTCGACATAATAGGCAAGATCCAGGCGCTTTTCATTTGCCTTGACTGCCAGACCCTTGAGTCCATTGAAGACTTGCCCACGGAGCGAGAAAGGAATCTCTTCGACGACCATGCGATTGGCCTCAATCTTGGAAATGTCGAGAATGTCATCAATGATGGTCAACAAACTGTTAGCCAAATTGAACACCAAGTTCAGCATCTCTCGCTGATTCTGGTTCAAATCAGTATCAAGAGTGAGTTGGGTCATGCCAATGATTCCGTTCATAGGCGTTCTGATCTCGTGAGACATGTTGGCCAAGAATTCAGACTTGGTCTTGTTGGCCAACTCGGCAGCTTCTCTTGCAGCGGTATTCTTCTGAATACTTTCACGCAGTCCAGTGACCATCTTGTTGATCTTTTGCTTGAGCTCGTTCATCTCACCAGAGGCTTCGACGGTGATCATCTTGGTGAAATCGCCGTCCATAGCAGCGTTCGTGATGTCACCGAAGGCTCGGACCTGAGATGTCAAGTTCTGTGCCATGGTGTTGACGTCGGAAGTGATTTCTTTCCAGCGACCAGAAATGCCATCGACCTCTGCTTGACCGCCCATTTTACCGTCGACGCCTACATCGCGAGCGACGCGCTTGACAGCAAGTGACCAATTATCGAGACGAGCAACCATGTCGTTGATGGTGTTCTTCAGGAGCAGGATTTCTCCCTGAGCATGAACCTTGATGACCTGAGTCATGTCACCACGAGCGATGGCTTGCGTGACATCTGAGATGTTGCGGACCTGGGTAGTCAGGTTGTTGGCCATGGTATTGACGTTGTCGGTCAAGTCTTTCCATTTGCCCTCGACGTTCTCGACCTGGGCTTGTCCACCGAGTACACCTTCGGTACCAACTTCTCTTGCCACTTTGCTGACCTCAAAGGCGAAGGTGCTCAGACGGTCAACCATGGTGTTGATAGTGACCTTGAGCTCAAGAATTTCACCCTTGACCTCGGCTCCGACTTTCTTGCTGAGATCACCTCTTGCAACAGCTTTTGTGACGTGAGCAATTTCACGCACTTGGGTGGTAAGGTTCATGGCCATGCCGTTGACGTTCTCTGTGAGGTCTTTCCACGTGCCTTCGACTCCGTGTACGGTAGCTTGTCCACCAAGTCTTCCTTCTGTTCCGACTTCTCGAGCAATTTTTGTGACTTCGTGAGCGAATTGCCTGAGTTGGTCGACCATAGAGTTGATGGTAGACTTGAGCTCGAGAATCTCGCCCTTACACTCGGCCTTGACCTTTTGAGTGAGGTCACCCCGCGCGACGGCAGTTGTGACTTCAGCAATGTCACGGACTTGTGTTGTGAGATTGTTGGCCATAGCGTTGACATTGACTGTCAGGTCATTCCACATGCCCTGGACGCCCTCAATCTGGGCCTGACCGCCCAGAACACCCTCGGTTCCGACGTCGCGGGAGACACGTGTGACTTCCGTCGCAAAGGTACGCAATTGGTCGACCATACCGTTGATGGTCTGCTGAAGTTGTAAAATTTCACCACGAGCGGGACGTTGGATCTTGCGACTGAGATCGCCCTGAGCGACTGCGGTAGTGACGACGGCGATTTCTCGTACTTGATTGGTCAGATTTTCGGCCATGATGTTGACTGCAGAGGGTTAGCTGACGATGATTTGGTGATTGGGTATGTTTGAGCGTACCATTTTGGGTCAGTTCAGCCCAGATACCGCTGACACCAGGCAAGACTGCCTGACCTCCGAGTCTCCCCTCGGTACCGACCTCACGAGCGAGGTGTGTGACTTGACTGGCAAAGTCTTGTAATTGGTCAACCATTTTGTTGATTGTGCGTTTGAAGGTAGCAATCTCAGGATCACGCTCCTTGGCGCTGATGAGGACTTTCTTGCTGAGGTCACCGTTGGCGACGGCAGTGACAATGCTGCCGATCTCGCGGAGGACTTTCTGGTAAGTGGCGTTTATTTGTTGGTTCTTGGACAACTCGCGTTTCAGGGTCTCGACGTCGTCCATGGAGCTCTCGATACCACCGAGAGCTTGTTCGGTGGCCTGGCGCTGTTGTTGCAAAGTGTCATTGATACTATCAATGTATTCTTTCTGATCCTTGATCTGCTCGCTCTGACGGTCGACATGGTCGCGGAGAACACCCAGCTCGTCTTCTGTCAGCTGTCGCGGTACGGCGGTGCCCTTGTGTTCAGACTTGGCCAGCAAGCTGTTCACCAGAGATGCAGAGCGAGGGCGCGAAGCCAGGACACGGGCAGCAGTTGGAGAGCTCTCTGGTGAAAAGGCAGACTGCAAGGGCTCGTTTGGCGTGATGGGTAGGACAGCGGTTACGGAAGAAGCGACTTTGTTCTCGAGATATTGTACGCGGCTAGCCAGAGCGGCGACTTCCCGCTCGAGTTGTCGTTTGGCATCAGAGTCGGTGCCAGGCAAAGGACTGCGGTTGAACTCGACGCTGTTGGCAGCGACACGGCTGTGGAAGTCGTCGTGGGCGGGGGTATATTGTTTTGCAAGGTTTGAAATGATGCCGGCGAGGGCTGCATACGAGTCCTCTTCGGCCATCGTGGGCGGTTGTTGGTGCAGGTTCGGGTGGTCGACGCGCATGAAGCTTTGGCAGGCAGCTTCTCTGTCCAGGGAAGGCGGAGGGCACGCGGAGGAGCCAGACAGACAATCAAAGAGGGGGCTCGGGGGCCTTGTTGAAGGCTCCGTACGGGCCAAAGACGGAAGTAGAGACTAGATTGGCATCAAAGACAAAAGCTGCGTCGTCGCTGGTGTTGCACTCCTGATTCTCCTCTCCAGACACGTCGCGGATGGGAAGAGGAGTCGAGGGCTGAGTTGCGGATTCGTGACAGATTAGCACGACCGGCAACAAGCGCTAAGAATGAAGTGATCGCCGAGAAAGCGAACCTGTCCAATCGTAGCGACCCAGACACGAAAAGACAAATTTGACAATGCGGCGAGAAGCTCGGATCTTGCCTAATCCTTCTTCCAACACGGCGAAGAATGTCAACAGGATCGTAGTAACAAGAAACGAAAGGGCGGCTGTCTCGTCCAAACAAAGAAGGGCCAAACTCTGAAGAAGAAGAGACCCATGCGTTAAAGAAGCCACTATCCACCACGCGAGCCGAGGACCCCGACTCGACAAAACTCAGCTATATTTATCTGCACCTTCCCATCAATCATTTCTCTGCTCATAAACGTCTTCTGCTCAACTTCTGTCCTCCACCCTCGCTGCTCCGTACTTCTGCGAATCCTATCGGCGGAGACTGTCCTCGTATTCCCTGGTTTCTTGGGCCCGATAGCAGCTGCCAAGACTCTTCCTTTAGTCGTTTATCCTTGATGCCGCTTTACCCATGCCTACCTCCCTTGCCTCCTCTGCTTCGATCTTCATTTTGAGCTTTCCATGCTTCGCATTAGACACTGAAGGTCTAGTAGCAGTCTTGCCTCCTGCTCTCTTATGGCTCTCACAGATCGCGAGCATATGATTCGACATCGAGATTCGAGATCACTGACAGGCGGCTTTGGAGCTTTGACCTTCATCTTTTCCGTTGGACCCTTATTTTACCTGTGGAGACCTTGTTTCCAGCCGCATCTTCCCAATCTTCACACGTTTTCGAGAACCTCCGTGTTGAACAGCTCGTTCTTTTCATCTGGAAATTCGCATGTTGATCCACTCAATAAGTGGCAAGCCCAGTTCGAGACCACCATGTCCATGGTCTCGTTGCGTCTTTGCCTTCTTGATGTCAACCCCTTAGGACACGATAATACCGCAGATTCACCGCCACGCTCGGCGATCCCTCCATTTATTCGTTGAGCAAAGACGCTCTTGAGATGGGGCAAACTTTCTCTGATTCGTCAGTCCAAAAGCGAGCCATTTTCACCAAGGGGCCAGCGAGGGCGACCATCGTATTCCTCAGGATTGCACCGTTCATGTGCGCAGCAGGAGAGCTGATGCAGATCATGTGTTTCAGGTTGCCTGCTTATCATTCTCCTACACAATGACGGGAACGCTGTAAATGACATGTCACATCTGCCACTATCTAAATCTACAGTCGAGCAGATTCATTTACTGAACTTGTACATCTTCCTCAGCCCTGGTCGCGTCTCTTCTTTGCCACCCACCATATTCGCTGAGTCGAGCTTCTAAGCTGCCTATCTTGAATTCTCAAACACAACGTGTCGGCGTATCGTAAAGTATAACACATTCTGAGTTTTGCCACTGACTCGGCTTCAGCCTTTCCGGAACCTTGCTACTCGTCAGCTGGAACTGTTACAGGGTCCTCCCAATTCGGATCTTGCTGGACTCCTACGTTGCGCGAGTAAACTGGTTTAGTCCCACTGACTACTTATAGATTGAAATAGTATGGCAACAGGATAGAAAGCACATGCAGATGGGCTTTCTACCTGGTGGTGCTCGAAGGTAGTAAGGCATGGCCATGTCTTCACTCGAGTCAGCCGTGCTCAGATGCCCGGTACCTGATTGCCAAGAACCTCGGCAATTCAACAAGGGGCAGTCATGCAACTCAACATTGCTTGCTCCGGCAAAGTCCCTCTTCGTACGGAGGGAACAGTTATGTTTCAATTTACCTTTGAGCGATAGGTTCTGCTGAAACAGTCAGAGGCTGAAACGGAGACTTCCGTAATGCCGACCCGTCAAGACTGCTGGTCAAGTTTGGCGATCGTGATATCCACCTTGGGAGTCTTCTCCTCGTGGATGATCTGGCGGTAGCCGAACCTGAGAAAGTAACAACACCTCGTGCTTGGCCACATCCCTTACTAGACTGAACACGTGCAGCCACCGATAAGACCACATTCTCAGGAACTCTGCTGAGATGGTTCGATGAGCGGCTCTCTTCTGGTACTATCAAGTGCTCTGCAGCGAGCCGTGACGAACACAAGAAAGCGCGATCCAAGATGGGAACGCTCCGTAGTTGTCAAACTTGTAGTATGAGATAGCCGACGGTCTAGATCTGTTGCTTTGGTAAGTTAGTTACTTCTTGCTATCGTGACCGCCTCGAGATGTAGGTCGTTCCATCACGTGAAGTCCATCTTGTTGTGTTTCCATACAGCTCGCTTTGGCTTCAGCTGTATTTATCGTATTAATCGCTGATCGGTGAGGATGGGTGCTTCCCTCGCCGGCATCGGGCTGCATCAAGATACAATACGACTCACTATAGCACCTTTGCTTCGGCTGACTGCCTACTGTCAAACGAGTCTTCCCGTCACTATGTTCTTCACTCATCTTCATCTTGGCGAAGCAATAAACGCGCCTGCTCACTCTCGCTCGAAGCCATCAAGCTCCCTATCTACGACTTGATCTTCCTCAAACTCCCACTTTGCCACCTTCCACCACTGACCACCATCGGAAAGCGCTTTCGTCATGCCTCCCACTAAGCCGACTCCATGCGGTTTTTCGCCGCAGTAAGCTACTGCGGTTGCGATCTACATATATCAGCTGACCATATACGCAGCAACGAGTCCACGATCTTCAACAACGTGAAGGACTTCGACATTATCGTTCGCTTCAGCAAGCAGAAGCTTCATGCCCACCGCATAGTCGCAAGTCCCTTCTTCGATCAAGTCTTCAATTCAAAACTTCCTGTAAGACTCGTACCAGACGCTCGCGAGTTCTTCGTACTAATGTTCAGGGACCTTGGAAGGTTGCGCAGAAAGACACCCATGACCTCGGCGATGAGGACGACGTTGATGCCGTGTGGGCCATGTTCCGCCACATGTACAACATCGACTATTGCCACGACCCCACATCCACAGAGACTCGCTCTCTCGAATTCCACATCGCTGTCTTTACTACCGCCGACAAGTACGACTGTCCAGGCCTGCGCGAGAAGGCTGTCGACAGATTCGGCCAGATGGCAGACACTGAGCTCAAGGCCGGCAAACTTGACAGATTCATCGCTCTGATTTCCAAGATCTGTGGCTCGGACTCTCCTCAGATGGCTGATCACGCCCTTCGTGACAAGGTCGCCGAACTCTGCTTGACTCACTTCAACGTCCTCATCAGCAGCGATTTGTTTGCTAGAACTATGGTTCAGGGCTACATCTTTGACGAACGTGCTGCACACAAGCTTCTCATCTATGCCATTGGTCGCCATGTCCATCCCCATCTCGAAAGAACCAGAGGTACTCTTCCTGACGCGGCTCGTACCTTCAAGATCGCAGCAGAGAAATTGGTCTCTAGCTCTTGATAGCGTCTTCTACCAGTCTTCTTTCAGATGACGTCTCACGTCAGGCGCCTCATAATGTTTGATTCGTCTTACCGAATTCGATATTTGGTAGTCGCTAGGGATCAGAAGGGATGATTTCACTCGCAACGTCAACAATGACAGAATAATTCAAGCCTCGAAAATCTTACAAAATGAAAGTGATTGGTGAAGATAGCACTGCATGGAATGAAAGTGTTGAGTCCGAGAATCGATAGCCATTACCTCGGTTGTCTTTCGGGCATCTTGTCCATCCATCCTGTCCCCATCTCAACGGCTGCAGGGACTCTGCTTATTCAGCTCTCTAGCTAGCTTGGGTCAGCATCTCAGTCATCGTCCTGAGCCATCATCCACAAATATCCCTCTCTCGTAGCCCTTTAATTTTAGCGATGCAAGCTGCTGAGAGTGTGTCCTGCACGTACGAGCTTTGACAAGGATGCTCGGAATCAATTGTGTCAACATTCGAGGACCAAGAGCTGCGTAAAAACATTGACATGAAGGGTAGTATCTTGTAACCACAGGGTCAACAAGCAGGCTATTCTTGGTTACCAACGACTTGCAGCAGCTTGATCATGTCCTCTCAATGAAGCAACCTGCCGTCCCTTAGATACGTCCGAAAAGTCCTGACGCTAGAAAAATCTGCGATGACCAGCTAAACAGACATTCAAGACTGTTTTGGAACGAGCACTATAAGTTCTGCTGGGCCCCAGGACTACACAATCGAGAAAATATGGAGTGTGGAAGCATGATTTGATACACGCGCAAGCGATCTTGAGTGCTCATGGTGTGACTAGCCTTGTAAGGAGAACCAGAGAGTTGCATGCGATGAGAAACGATTACAATGACTCAGGTGCGGATCAGCAGAAGGCAATTGTGGGTTCAGATTTTTGGATGCGCTTTTCCATGTTTGGATGAAATGCTTCTTTTGGTTGGGGTTGACTGTCTAGACCAGACCATCGAAAACTAGTGCCTCCTTGATGGTAATGTAATGCCGTGTAGGTAATACTGATGCCTGTGTCGTTACTTTGAACGATTCCCCCGAGATCGGCCTCTTTCGCCATTTGCTCCAAGTTTCTGAGATGGCCATGTGGTACCCGCGCTTTCCCCAATGAAATACGAGCCTTTGATAGCTTGTCTTGTGACGGGTGTAGGCGGCAGCCTATGTAGATCCCCTAACTAGCCTAGCCACCCTAACTGCCCTGCATCCCTAACTGAGTGGGATTCAGATGCTGCACGGAGGTCTGCTGCACGGAGGTCTGCTGCACGGAGGGCTGCCATCAAACTTCCCGGGGGTATCTCGTCATCTTCTTGAGTAGAACGCAGATTAACCTTGGCTAGGATCTGTACGGCAGCATCGCCATCAAAAAGCGTGCCTGCTTTCAGTTCAGCCTTGAAGACATCCTCTTCGGCGAGCCTGCCGTAGTGTTTCATGCAGAGACTGAGGATTTTATCACGCAGCGACTGGTCCGCAAGTCTGGGAGCATCAGGGCCGCACATCTGCGACATACAATGGATGAAAGCGTTAAGAGATGCTCCGTGGAGCAATCTCAGTGCTTCATTGTAAAAGTGTGCCTTGGCGACTTCACGCAGCGGTGGACAATCGTATTGATCGGCAATCATGAAGGTTCTGATACAATGATAGAGGTGGATGCCTGTCGGGATACGGTTGTGCGGGTGTTCGCCATACGGCATGTTGTACATGTGGCGCAGCATAGCGTAGACTGCTTCCGAATCGTCATCGTCGTCGAATTCGTAGACTCCGTTGTGGGCCACCTGATGAATATTCAGCCCCGGCCAGGAAGGGTTGGAAGGGTAGCTTACTGAGAATTTGGATTGGAATGCGCGATTGAAGTAGGGGCTCCACAGTCTCAAGATTGCGCGATGAGCGAAGACTTGGTTGTCGCCGAACTTGATCGTGACATCAGAGTCCAGGGGGTTGTCGAAGACATCACTGCGTATTGTTGGACCCGAGCAGGGATGAGGTATAGAATGAACTTACTTGGTATGGCCACGGTCTTTGTGACCTGGAGGATCAGCCATGTTTAGGCAATCTTTGTGGTGTTGAGAGAGGAAGAAGAAATGAATTGGAAAGCCTCGCAGATTTTATTGATTGGAGAGTGAAAGTGTGTGGAATATTCGCCAGTGGTTGTCTGAGTGAACGAACGGCCAACTTTCCGGTTCCTACTTCTGCTTACACGATAATGCTCACATCTATTGGAATAGGGATTAAGAAAGTGTAGGCCACTTGCTAACGAGAAGCAAACTCAGCTACGACGTTTGAGGCGCGCAAGTGAGGACGAACGTGCCGGTATCTCATACTGAGTCGAGCTTCGTGTTGTTGTGACCTCTCCAAAAGTGAAATCTCGGTTCGGCGACGGGTTGGCGATACGCTCACATGGTCTCTATACTTTGCAGTGCTATGCTGATGCATATGTGCGGTATGCCTTTTGGCGAACATTACATAAACAGCCACTTCGACTGCACCGATGATTGCATCGAGCCCTGCGAACATCCTCTGCGTCGGTTCCTCAAGGTCTACATGATGGCGGACAGATACGACTGTCCTACCATCCGTCGCGCCGTGGTACCACTGGTCAACGAGCAGCTTGAAGAGCACATATCACCCCATGTTGGCGACAGTTTTCAGGATCTTTCGGGAGAGATTGTCCAGATCACAGCTGAGCTTTGTGGTCCCGACTCATCTCAACTGGCCGATCCTTTTCTCCGCAGATCTTTGTTCGATTGGTTGGCTTACAACTTCGACGTCTGTATCCAAGAACCCAGTTTCCGGTCCGCGATCGGACAGGGTATCCTCCTGGATGCCCGGTTAACAGCCACGTTGTTGCTCAAATTGGGCAAGCAGATCAAGGACAGTCGCAGTCATTCGCGAGAGCGCTCATTCAGGCCCGAAAGCTCAATAGGTAGCAGCATTTTTGGTCCTTGAGACCGGCAATGCAAGGAACCACTGCGTGCTACACGGGACAGGGAAGGAGGATGGATGGATCCTTCAGGCGAGCGATCAGTCTGGCGGCTGTCTAGTGAAAGCAGCCTCGAATCTTAAGTTTGCGATCTTGATCCCGATTCGTGAAACGCTTGCTTCAGATTCTCTTCTCAATGATATTCTTTTTCGACCATCTAAGTCTTCAAAGTAGTGAAAAAACTCGGAAAAGAAGTGAACAAGAATGTAGAACCTAAGAGGTCAGTGGCGGGATCGCCTTTCGGAATGGCTAGCAGGATGACAGTCTCCAGAAGTAGCATGACTCCTTAGTGGAAGGCAGGCTCGAATTCTTCCAGCAGATCGTGTACAAAGCCTTGTTATCAAGAAGCACGATCTTGCGTATCCTCTTCTCGCGACTCTTTGTTCTTGGTTTCAATACCCAGCGCTTTGGCCTTTGCCTTAACCTGGACCATAGTCGTGGCATCTGCAAATCCATCCGGCGTAATGCTCTCAAAGGCATTCTTAGAATGACACGGGCCACATCGGTATGATCTGATGTCATCCGAGGAGGTTTCGACCCACCATAGTCTGAACCCATTCTTGAAAACGATGCTACAATCCGAGCACTGGTGTTCGGTCCTTTCGGGATAAAGCAGTGGTCGGTGCGTCTTCCAGGGTAAATTGTCACGGACCCAAGAGTTGCGGGAGCACCATTGGTACAGCCTCATCCACTTCAAGTGTGAGTCAAGCATCTGTCGCTTCCGATTCCAGGCTCGTTTGAACTCTAGTTCTGCTTGTCGGAATGTTGGATCGTTCTGACGCCTTTGTGACTTTGTTTGCATCTGTCGGTCCAGGAGTTTTCTACGCCACTCTGTGTCCGTATAATACTTTGTTTGAAAAACATCATCTTTCCATTGCTTTGCTTTTTGTGTGGCATTCGTTCGAATCTGCCGAGATTCTGTCCTTGCGAGAGCCGCTAAATTGGGAAGTCTGATCGCCGCCCTCAGTCTCGGAAACATGGCTGTGGATTTGTGATGTCGGGAATGATAGCTCGCAGAAGACAGGCCGCATTTCCGAAGATTCTCGGTCGCTGCCTGACATGCATCTCCGAAGTTTACCCATCAGCTACCTCCGTGATGATCCTTTGTTGTTGATTCCGTGGCTATCGCAGCTCGATGCTGCTTTGCGCACGCTGAGAATTCCCCGCGGGTTTTGGCGTTTTCGAAGCCTTCAGGACAAAAACTTGTTCCAGTCTATCTTCGACGCGCAAGTTCCGCACAAATACTCTGGAGTCACCGATGTAGTTGACCGCCACCCTAGCACGCAAGCATCATTAGCAAAGTACTTTGCGAGACAAACTCACTGTAGTGTGCCAGTTGATATCTCACGGGACACACACTTCCAACTACCTTAGTATTGCATGCCAATGCATCAGTCGTGGTGCATGTGTTTTCCCAGTACTTACATAATTTGGCTCCACCTTTTCTCTGAACTTTTCTCCGAAAAGTACAGGCAGTGCACTGATGAATCTGTTTCTCGAAGGACAACTCAGGGCAATACGACTTCCACTTGAGATCTCCTAACTTATCGCTGTGTCTCCTGACCCACACAGAAAACATACACCGTTTGTACCACTCCTTGTCGACCTCGAGCCTTTTCCGAGACCGTTCATATATTTGCAGCTTTCGTATTCTGTAGAGTTATGGGTCCTCTTCGTATCTCTTGTTCTCTCTCTCTGTATATCACGGTCGAGCTGCCGTCTGCGGTACTCCGGATCCGAATGATACCTAACCATGTCTTTGGTAGCAGACCTGGTCGTGGAGAACTGACGTATGCCAGCAGCCCGCGCCAGAGACTAGCCAGGTGTCCGCATAGACAATCGGATGTTAAGCAGCACTGTTGTGAACATGATATGCGACGCCGAGTCGTGTTGGCAGAGTGTTGTAGACGACTTCTGGAGAATTTGAGATACTGGTTTGACGCGCGCACGTGACGACTCTCGGATCTAACCGAACACACCGCTGGGATTTGGGTTCATCTCCCAGCAGAAGTCGAACTCATTCCCTGCCATTGTCTCATGTATGACTGACTGTTCCTGTTCATCTACATACATGCCTCCATCTCTTTCGATATCAATAACATAATTTGTTCCATTCAGTGCTCATGCGCTACCACAACCAGCAATACTCGTTCTGTTGAAATACACATCGATCGACTTGATATGCATTACAGCATCCATACTAGGAGGGCCGAGAGTCCATGATCCATTGTTTCTACGGACTCAAATCAGCTTCATGTCCAGTTAGGCACCGTGTCAATCATTACTTACGTCCAAGAATTCCACATCCAAAATCCGCTCGTCCTGGGCACGAATTTGGTGTAGGTTTGCAAGAGCTTGCCATCAACATAGAGGTCCGTTCTCCCAGGTACCCAATCAAGACGATATTCATGATAAGCAGCAGAGGTGTTGGCTACAACACTGGTGTTGGTCAAGCCATTTGAACCATACCAGTCTTGGTTGGTCCAGTGGGCGTGTGTGACATCTCCAGTTTGCATCTCGATATCGGCTTCATTGTTGTCATCGCTGTAGAAGAAGGCAGCGCTGACAGTGCCCCATACATTCGGTGTCTTCATAACAGTACGCATGCTTCCATACATGACATCGTCATAGGCGGTGGTGATCTGAGCACTTCCGCATGGTTTGTCGTCCGTACAGGTTCCTTGACCTCCAGGTACGGTGAGGGTGAGACTGCCGTCGTTTGCATCTACACCGACGAGAGAAGGATCCCATTTTACACGAGCTGGACCTCCGGTACGGTCTGTGGCTTTTAAGGATGAGGGGAGTGTTTTCCAGTTGCTGACATTGAGGTGAGAGTTGAATGCTCCTACTTTGGAGACCTGCCAGAGACATCCGTCGAATGGTGCTGTTGGCGATGTGTAGCGCTTTTCCAGGGCCGATGCATTGCTGAGAATTGCCAGGCCAGCGATACTAGACAACAATACTGCTGGGGATGAAAAGTAGTACATGTTGATAATGATGGCGAAAGCACAAGCAAGACTTTTGAGACTGTCGATGTCAAAGACGATCAGGACAATCTTTGCGAGGATACGGCACCATCTTGTACTCTACACTCTGCTCTCACATTCGCTACACCACGGCTCGGTACTGCAGATTGTTACGCCGGCTAGTCATTGTTAGCTTTCCTCAAATTTCTCGAATCTTGGTTCTGCAAGCAATGTTCGTAGTGTGGTCGGCAGAGTTCTGCTCGGTACTTCGTCATTGAGCGCCAAGCGCGCTGCATCCCCGTTGCGTGCTTGAAAAAGTGGCGCGTCGCGTCAACACATTTACCGAGATGATATACGAGATGGCTTGCAGCGGCCTTCAGCCTCGAACTCAAGGAAAGGAGAACGTGTTCGATTTCTGGTCGTTTGCTCGGCAGTTTGTGCGATTCAGCCTTGATATCAGTGAGGATGCACGCATCATGCTGCGGGGTCGAAGCTCGATGGCAGAATTTCACCGCCATGTGATTTCCTTTTCTGGTGCCGCGGACGAGTTGGTGTTCCGCGAACAAGCCTTCCTACAAAAGGGGAAACAGGTCGTCGTGAGAAGTGTTTGATGTATCCCCGGCACGGAAGCTGATCTCATATCTCTCTCGTGGTCTTGAAACCAGTCACTCCGATGTTTCCGTTTCTTTCGACACCAAAGATGTTCTTCTCCTGGTTCTCGACCAACCGCCTCTTCAGACTGATTTCCATTGTCCTTCTGCCCTTCTTACGTCCCTTGAGACCATCATCGTTCCAGTCATAATACAAGGCCCATCTAGGATTGCCGTTTTCGTCCCGGTACATGTCCTCTTCGACGGCTAGGAAGCCTTCCCATTCGTTTAGAGTTATACTCGAGTCTTCGAACTCATCCGTCCAGTCCCATGGGCCGACTTTATGAGCTATACTGCCAGAGCGATTTGAGTATTTGAGCTCGAAGGTCTCATTGTCGACGTATATCCAGTTGAGCATCGGTGGGTCTTTCTGAATAGTCGTCACCAGTCCTCTCTCGGCGGGTGAACGATTCTCATCCGGATACATGAGATAGAATCCCGTGAACGGATGTGAGTCCTCGCGTCTCGGTTGTCCTGTCGCTCGATTCTTGGCTTCGATCCAGAGCTTGTCGTCGCGAACTACGACTATACTGTCGTGTAGTACTTCGCCTCTCCCTCGCGACCGCGATCCTTCATCCTCTATGACAACGTCTATGTAGAATTTTGTTGTTCGAGATTCTGGGTTTGCATTGGCTGCTTTTTCGTTCTCCTTTTGTTGGTGGGATACGCCTTGTGCAACGCCAGTCACAACGCCGACGCCAGTTGCAGCAGCGACTGGCAAGGAAATGCCCAAACCCAAGATAACACCGATGACCATCTTGAATGACTTGAGTTTCGTATTGGAAAGAGTTGTGTATCGCCTGATAGTGTGAATCTGTGTGCTTGGTGATGTTGGTGAATTTGCACGGCTGTAGTGGACATTCCAAAGTACTTCGGGTAGAGTAGCGTCATTGCGCAAGCAAACCTGTTTCAGGATGCTATGACCATGTATTGTTCATCCCTGAGGCTGTAGGAGATAGTCGGTATCTGATCAGCCTTCTAGACCGTATCCATGAGATGCTGGAGGGCCACACATCGTATCGTCTCACATGGTAGCGTTAAATGATGTCTGTCCGGGTCGCTCGAGAACCGAGTTTCCAAGTGCCGGTCGGTGTGGGGACAACCCTGATCTGTGGTCCAACCTATCTATATCGTGCTCTCGACACTCTCTGCGTGGTTAAAACCTTTTGTATGGTCGATGATGGAGATTCCAAACTTGCTCCAGGTCAAATGTAGTTAGCTTTCGACGCGTGGCTCGAGATATAGGCAATTGTGTTTTAAGGGTTGGCCCAAGATTTGATACACCACCAGCAGTTCACGTGCAGCCTTCACAACGAGTCACAGGAGTGTCATTTTGGAACAGTTTATGGAAGCATTGTGTTTCATATCCAGGACTCTTCATGTACTTTTCATGATGCGACTTAGTTACATGACTTGCTGCGTTCACAGACGTTGGTAGGGCTCATAATTTCACCAAGAGTAGAGGGCGTCCACCATCTCGCGCCGAGTCCCATCAAAGTCTTGGAGCCGTTGTATCTGTTCGGATCCCAAATAGACACCGGCACCCGGGGGTTGGAGACTCGTCGATTCAAAGTTTGCGTCTTCTCCTGATCTGTTTCTAAACAAAGCATCAAGAGATCGATGTCGCAAGCACCTGACGGTAGATGTGGGAAATGAGATGAGATATCGAGTTCTTCTTTTAGAGGATGACATTGATGATGGACATGTAATAAATGAAATGGTGATGGCGGAGCCACGCGGCTGCATAAAGTGACAGCAAGCGAGGAGCCGATTAGGAAAGACCCTTGACAAACGGCAGGCGCTCGATCCCTCTTCTGGCCCCATGAGGCTGGGGAGCGTTTACGGAACACTTTCACAGAGTTCACACTGCTCCGCCTCGTGTGTTGACTATTGTGCTTGGCCGGACTCTCGCACCATCACAGCCTCACGGACTCTTATTGTTTATAGGTGCCATCATCGTCTTGTATATATGTAAGAACCGTCGCACATTTGCTGGTCGCAGCTTCCTCAGTCAGCCCAACATCACAAGGTTGTTTCCTCGTTCGCAGCTGAAACAGTCGCATCCGCAGTCCGCACCCTAGTTGCACCCTCTTCTTGGCTGCTTTCTCGGCTGAGCACCACCATCTTTCGCTGTTGTCGGCCTAACAGCACTGCAGCAAGCAATCGACGACTCAAGCAACCCCACGTCTCGCGCACAAACACGACGACTTTCGCTCGCTCTCTCCAGCCTCTCGGGTCTTTGCTCTTTCGCTCGTTGTTCCTTCTCGCTGCACGCGACACCTACACACCGCCACGCAGGCTGTCCCTGACAAACGGTCCCGCGTCTCAGTCACGCTTACCTCCTTGCACAAAGACAACTCCTGGCCACCGCATCAGCCCAACACCCGCTCGACACACATAATCCCCAAACACCCAGACCGCTCCTAGCGGCTCCCGACCGTCACCATTACCAACCACAAGAAAAAGACCTCTCACCTGGGAGGTCAGGGTTTCCCCAACAGCTCTTACATACCACTCGATCGCGACCGAAGTGTCAGCCCCTTTCCTTCTGGAGGCTATTATGACCGCGAGGGCTTGACCGGCACTTCTTCCTCTAGACAATCAACTTTCGGCATCATGTACATGCCTGGCTCACGATGGACGTGGTCGTTCCTGATGATTGCCATTTGTCAAGCAGCCATTGGTCTGGGACTTGAAGGGCGCGTTGACGCGATATCCAACGATCACGAATTGCACATACTAACACGCGCCGCAGCTATGTCTTCGCCAAATTCCAAATCTCACTCGCTGCTCAAGCGCGAAAGACGACGCAATCACGAACCATCCCCACATACCTCGCCCTGTTCATCTTCGGTTTCATCTATCAACTCGCACTCGTCTGGGACGCTCTGCGCCTAAAAAACACAATTCAAGTCATCGGGCTTTGTCTTTACAACCTTGGTCTACTCGTCTATGCTGCAGTCCAGTATGATCAGATCGATCGCGCAGTCGATGTCCTGAACCAGAACCAAGAGATTGAACACGGCTTCGGGCACGACGTGAAGCCGTTCCTAGTCGCTGTGCCATGTGTACTTGCACTGGGTACAGTCGCCTTCAGCTTTGTAGCGTGGAAACTGTACGATGAATTTGCCTGGACCATCTACAAACACATCTCGGCAGACCTGCGCTTGAAGCGCCGCTACCTCGTTTATCAGGTAGGTCGTAAGATCCTGAGCGCAAGAAACACACGCTGATCATGAACAGATTTACATTGCCCTCCTCAAATTTGATTTCTTCTTCTTCCTCGGGTTCACAGTACAATTTGTTGTCGTGGTTCGTGAGCACACATCAAACATGGAATTTGCGCTCACCATTGCCGCCATTCCCGTCACTATCGCCATCTTACTCGCGGCGGCTTGGTTCACGCGGCGTGAATCAACCCCGGGAATGTGCAGCACCATCGTTCTCTACTTTGCGGCCATGGCATACTTCCTTTTCAAGCTTGTACGCATGTACGACTCCAGCAACCCGGAAAGAGTGGCAGACTATGAACCAGCGCGGAAGAGTTTGACGACTTTTGCGGTGATCACACTCCTGCTGTTGATTCTGACTATTGTCAATTGCGCATGGTGTACGGCAAACTTCAACAAGGGACTGAAGCCTCATATCCAGCGACGAAGGGCTATTGGTGTCGAGGACAAGGGATATTCTTATGAAAGACGGCAAGGATCATTGGGAGGAGCACATGCCATGGGAGCAGTTCCAGCGAGAATGACGATTGACTGATTGACTGATTGATTGGACCTTCTGGCAAGAGTACACAGCAAAATACCACGACGTTTCGGCTGGGCCGGAACGACTGCTCATCGCATAAACGACCATTTCCGATATCCCACGGGTGGCTGGCGGAGAGGGACCAGAACACCTACCGACCTCTCATCACGGCGTTTTCCTTTCACTTCTTCTAGTTGTTCTACGAATGGTTCGAATAGCATTGATTACTTCATAGCGAGTAAATGTCTAGTTATGTCAAATTCAGATTTCACTTTGCAGATTGGTCGTCTTGCTTGTTGCCCTGTTTCTGGGCGGTGGGTTTGCTTTGCACATGGTTGATGGCCACGGCATGCGCTGTCAAACAAGATTCTTGTATCAGAGATTAACAAGGGTAAGTGGCTTGTAGCTCAGCCACCTGCAATGACGTGGGGCTAGAGCGCGGGGTTGAGCATTAGGGTTCCTAATCAAAAGCGACTTGCAAGGCGGTCGTTTCTAGACCCTTCAACTACGGCACTAGAGTGCCACGACACTTCAGAAAACACATACAACATGGCGGAGCAAAAGACGCCGAGCGCGACCATGGCAGAGATACCATCAACTATGGTGGCTCAAGCAGCTGCCGCCGCACAGGCAAACGCCGAAGAAGACAGCCACCTGCACACGACAAGGACCGCTGAATACCTCAGTCCAAACACTTCGGATGAGAACCCACCACCCCCAGCATACGGCGACACATACGGCGATGTCAGCAGTCAAGATGCTGGATTGGGCGCCAAAGCCACTCTCCGCTCCGACGGTAGAGTCAACATCAACATCAACCAGACGTCTCGCCAGCTCTCGAGCTTACTCGTACCCGCCTTGAGGAGTCAACTCGATCTCGCAGACACTACAAAAGTCCCTCCACCATACATTCCCACCTCGCTCGGAGGAGCTCCTGGTCAACCGCCACCACCGCCTCTGAATGTCGTCATCCATGTTGTTGGCTCAAGAGGTGACGTGCAGCCCTTTGTAGCCCTAGGCAAGGTTCTCAAAGAACAATACGGCCATCGTGTCCGTCTGGCAACACACCCCGTCTTCAGAGATTTCGTCACCGAGAACGGGCTTGACTACTTTAATATTGGAGGTGACCCCTCGGAGCTCATGGCCTTCATGGTCAAGAACCCGGGCTTAATGCCTGGATTTGACGTGCTCAGGTCTGGAGACGTTGGGAAGAGACGCAAGGAGATATCCACCATGATCAAGGGGTGCTGGAGAAGTTGCATCGAGTCTGGGGATGGTACTGGCGTGGCTGCAAACGACAATACTACTGAAGAGTGGATGCGCAATACAGACGCCTCGGACAAGCCCTTTATCGCTGATGCCATTATTGCAAACCCTCCTTCGTTCGCGCACATTCACTGCGCCGAGAAGCTAGGATGTCCTTTGCACATGATGTTTACCATGCCATACTCTCCAACCCAAGCCTTCCCCCATCCTCTGGCTAACATCCAGTCCACTAACGCCGATCCTCATCTCACAAACTTTATCAGTTACACTCTTGTCGAGATGTTGACCTGGCAAGGCCTGGGCGATGTAATCAACAGATTCAGAGTGAAGGACCTATCTCTGGATCCTATCAGTTTAATCTGGGCTCCTGGCATGCTAACAAGACTGCGCATCCCCTACACATACTGTTGGTCTCCTGCTTTGATCCCCAAGCCCAAGGATTGGGGCAACCAGATCTCCATCTCCGGTTTCTACTTCCTCTCTCTGGCCTCGAACTTCACACCACCTCCTGATCTCAAAGCTTTCCTGGACGCTGGACCACCCCCTGTCTACATTGGATTTGGATCAATCGTCCTCGACGACCCGGACGGTATGACCAAGCTTATTTTTGATGCCGTCCGCAAGACTGGCCAACGTGCTCTGGTGTCCAAGGGTTGGGGAGGCTTCGGCGCTGACGAGATGGGCATTCCAGAAGGTGTGTTCATGCTTGGTAATGTGCCTCACGACTGGCTCTTCAAACATGTATCCTGTGTAGTCCACCACGGAGGAGCAGGCACGACTGCTGCTGGTATTGCATGCGGTGTACCCACAGTCATCGTTCCTTTCTTCGGAGATCAGCCTTTCTGGGGTGCCATGGTCGCCAAAGCTGGAGCTGGTCCTGATCCCATCAACCACAAGGACTTGACCGCCGACAGTCTGGCCGAGGCAATCAACAAGGCACTTGAGCCGGCCACCAGAGAACGTGCTCAGGATCTGGCCAACAGCATAAGTCATGAAAAAGGAACCGAGTCTGGCGCTCAGAGCTTCCATCAGTTCCTTGAAGTCGACAAGATGAGGTGTAGCATAGCACCTAGTAAAGCGGCTGTTTGGCGTCTCAAGAGGACCGAAGTTCGTCTGAGTGCTCTGGCAGCCACCACTCTTGCGACGGAGGGATTGTTAGACTTCAAGGACTTGAAGTTGTATCGTCCTAGAGAGTACGAAGCTGACGAAGGTCCTCCAGAACCTATCTCGGGTGGTGCTGGAGCTCTCACCGGCACAATCAGCACTATGATGATGGGAGTTGCTGACTTTCCTGTTGCTGCTTTGAAAGCATTGCGCATTCATCCTGATTCTGTACCCAACAAGACCAAAACAGACCCTCAGGATAGTTCTCAGCAATCTTCAGAGTCTCAGCCGAGTCTGCCTAGAACATCCACCAAGGGCTCTACCGTTTCTAGCCCAAGCAGACCCGCCTCTCCTGCTCGAGGTGCCAGTACAGGTGGCTCTTTCAACCTGGACGAATCGTTTGCGAAGATGGGCTCTCCTCATCTGACGCCGGCCGATAGGACTGATAGTGGAAAGCGTAGTCGCTCGTCCTCGCTGGCTGCAGCCTTACAGGGACGTCTGGGCGGACAGCTGCGCCCTCGATCTTGCTCTCGCAGCGGTCCTAACTCGAGATCTTCCAGTCCGCACAGAACAAACACGTCGCAGTCGCAGGCACCAGCCCAGGCACAATCACAAGGCGGCGAGACGAACGTTAGAGAGGTCATCGAAGCCGCGTTTGGTGCCAGCAAGGGTGTCTCAAGAATCGTTGGAGCTGGTTTCAAATCACCAATGGACTTTACTCATGCTCTTGCCAAGGGTTTCCACAACGCACCCAAACTCTATGGAGATGAGTCTGTCAGGAAGCCGGATCGTATCACCGACTTCCGATCTGGACTTCGGGCAGCTACCAAGGAGTTCGGTTATGGCATGTTCGATGGCATTACCGGACTTGTTACTCAGCCAATGGAAGGTGCCAAGAAAGAAGGCGCTGCCGGATTCCTCAAGGGGTTCGGCAAGGGCATTGGTGGTATCGTGCTGAAGCCTGGTGCAGCCATCTTTGGTATTCCAGCATACACAATGAAGGGTGTCTATAAGGAGCTGCAACAACTGTCTGGATCTTCTGTCCAGAATTACATTATTGCGGCTCGCACGGCTCAAGGTTATGACGAGTGGCATAGATCGAGTGCGCAGGAACGACAGGAGATTATCAGACGCTGGAAGATTGTCGAGTCCGAAGTCAAGAAGAAGAAGTTCATCCACGAGCATTTCCAAGATATGCTTAGAAAGCAATGGGATGGTAATGGTAGCGGTAACGGTGGCGATGGTCAAGGCAAAGGTTCGCGCTCTTTGTTGGGCATTCGTCCCCGTTCGCGTGCTAATTCGCGTGCAGCGAGAACCGGTACACAGAGCGAAGTCTCCACGCCGACAGTCGAGGTCTCGCAACACACCAATGAGCCTCCCAAGTATGAGGATTTGCCGTTCGGACGTGGTGCCAGCAAAGATGAGCTGGAAAGAGCCATTCAAACGTCTGTTGCCGATACTAGTCGCGGAGACCCGGAGCAAGATGCCATGATCGAGCGAGCCATCCGTGCTAGCATCGCCGAATTAGCGTCTAGCCAACCTCCTCCTGGTAACAGTAATGACACTGACGACGAGGATGAGATCTTACGCAAAGCGATTGCAGCCAGTATGGCAGATCACCAGGGCGAAGAGCCACCAGCATACCAGGAGAACGTCTCGTCCCCTGAGCATGACGCAGAACTAGCAGCAGCACTCAAGGCCAGTCTAGCGAATGATTCCAAGCACAAAGACAAGCGTGTCAAGCGTTACGGCCACTCCACCGACAGCGAGTGGGACACTAACTCCAGCGAGGAAGATGACGAATTCCGCCTTGCCATGAAAGCCTCTCAAGAACAGCACTCTCAACACCAGCAACACGACGAAGACGCAGCACTCCAACACGCAATCAGTCAAAGTCAAGAAGCTCATAAACAAGACACAAGCGCCGAAGAGGAAGAAAGAGTAGTTATGGAATATGTCAAGAAGCAGAGTCTGCTGGAAGAACAACACAGACGTAACGCCAATAAAGGTAAAGGCAAATTGGAGGAACAAGACGAAGATGATGAAGATGATGAAGACTTCAAGAGAGCTATGGAGATGAGCTTGCAGCAGGAGGGTAAGAAGGGTGGAAGAGCTTGAGTTGAAGCTGTGAAATGACTTTATGACAAAAACATATAGCACGATACCCCCTTTTTTCCCCCTTTTCGTACACGATTTTTCTGTTCTTGCCATGGTTTCCACATTTTCAGCTTAGCAGTAATTCCTCTTCCCGTCGCGAGTGACTGTGGCAAGAAGGAGCTGGCGGGCTCGAGTGACTACGGAGTAAGTGATCAGAAGGAAAGCAGGGCACGAGTCACAGGCTTGTTGTAAGCTAAGCTGTTTACCCTATTCACCTCTTCACTCTTCACAATACGTTTTCGCACCACACTATTACATCGCTTATCAACATTCACCTCTCCTAGAAACAGTGTCCTTTTCTGTTCAACAGTTTTGCGATTGTTCACTCTTGGCGACTTGCTCTTTATATCGCGATCTTCTACTACGACTGCCTTTTCTAAGATCTGCGATTGTTCACTCTTGGGGACTTGCTCTTTATATTGCCTTCTTCTACTACGACTGCCTTTTGCAAGATCTTCTCTTCACAACATCTGCCCATATTAGCGCCAGCTCTTCGCAGTACCAATTTCGACAAGATCCTCTCCTCTCGAAGCTCGTCGACTCCATCTCATCACTCCACCAAGACTTCTCGTAGTCATGGCCGAGGCCACCAACCCGTTATTCGCGTGAGTGATTTATCAACACAATGTTATCGTTGTTCCACTCTTACTAACATTGACAGTGACCCCGAGATCTACAACAATCGTGACGATTCGGACATCATCATCAAGTTTGGTGACCAACAGATCTTTGCACACAGAGTCGTGCTAAGAATGTGGTCGCCGTTCTTCAAACGTAGTCTGAGCTCCAAGTTTGCTGTGAGTATCTGGTCGTCATACAGGTGTTTTTTTTTGTCTCTGTTAGCGCGAGGACTCGAATCGCAATCTTTCATGTTACAGTCCTCGATATTGCGGAAGCGTACTTTGAAATATGAGTGGTGGAGTGATTTTTCGATAGTCAATGCTAACGAGTGCACCCAGGTCGCCACAAACTCCGTCTTCGACCTCGGCGGCGAGGACGACCCTGACCACATCAAGGCAATGCTAATGCACATGTACGGCCTCCGATACAGCGAACACCCACTCAACCCCAGCAAACAAGCCGGCGAAGTAAAACCACTAGGAGATCGCATCGGTCTCTTCATGGTGGCCGGCAAGTACGACTGTCCCTCCGTACGCGTCGCAGTCATCACCCTCATCCAAGAACAAACAAAGACCAAATGGAACTTTTCCTCCTCTTCCAAACTCAATTTTAAGGTTGCCTCGGATGCGTTTTTGGCCGGGCTCGGTCCTGATGCTCCCCAGCTTGCTGATGGAAGCTTGGTTGAGGTCATCTATGAGTTTCTGGAGAAGAACTTTGGCGGACTCATGAGGTTTGGTAAGTTTTCGGAGCTTGTCAAGAGTGGTGCTCTTTTGAATGCTCAGATGAGTGCAAGATTGTTATTTAAGCTTGGAAAGGATTTGGTGTGAGTAGGCTTGGCTCAATCGAAGCACGATATCGAGAAGGAATTAGGGAAAAGAGAGGCGAGGCAGGATGCATATACCAGACAGGATGTATAATAGGCACCCCTTTGACAAGGGTCAGCTATACTAGACGTAGTCTCGTCTCCACTCTATATTTTACATCAATCTATGCGACTTGATAGTCAACGGTGCAATAACTAGTGCACTTATAAGATTATTTCCAGGACCTCTTCTGTAACATCATCCGATGCATTTCGTGAAGCTAGAAAGGTGCAGCTAGAAAGGTGTGGCTCGAAAGGTCACTGTCGCTAAGAGCAGGGTCGCAGGGCTAGCATCAGAATGATGTGACGTCAATCGACGCGTCTTGCTCTTGCCTTTTTGTCCGCTGGATGTCTTACGCGTCTTAATCCCACCTTTGTGTGTGGTGAATCCTGCGCGTCTTGTTTAGTATATCGCCATCACGTAATAGGATATCGAGAGCTTTGATCTGAAAAGGACCGTGCCTATCTACAGCTCGCCATCGACTCTGATGTCGCTGGCAGGAAAGTCGGAAGTGCTACATTCAACAACGTGCCCGCCCCCTGGCAGACTACAGCTCCTGTCCAGACTACGACTCCTCCGCGCCCTCTAAGGCTCGTCTTTCTTCAATCATATCAACATCGTAAAGGCCACGTTGGATGAGCTTCTCAACGTCCAAAGTGTGCTCAACTGCGCCAGAATCATGCAACAACTGCATGATATCCGCATTACCCTGTATCCATGCCGCCTCCAGAACTCTGTCAAGCTCCGTTTTCGCTCCCGCATCCAACAGGAGCTTGACAATCTCATAATTACTCTTCCGGACTGCCATGAGTAATGGCGATATACCTCGATTGTCAGGCGTATCGACGTCGACATCATGCGCTAAGAGCGTCTGCACCGACGTCTCTTTTCCTTGCTTCACAGCATGCCACAATGGACTGCAGCCATTACCAGTCAGGGCGTCCTTGTCGACTCCGGGCTGAGCTAAAACAAGTTGTATTGTTCTTGCATTGTCGGAGAGCATCACGTCGTGAATCGGATACTTCAGTGCTATGGTCCTATGCGTCTTACAATCTGCTATACCCTTATCAATCAAGGTTTTGCAGACCCCTGTAAGACCCCGGGACAACGAAATGTTGAAAAGCGTCCGGCCAGTCACGGTCTCGGCCTGCAGATCTGTTCCTTCTACGTCCATGAGTAACTCGACTGCTTCTTCTGCGCCGCTATGAGCCGCAAACAAGACAGCTGTCATACCTCCTGGAGTCTTGCAGTGTGGATCTATCTCATCGTACGTCAACATGAGCTTGATTATCTCCGTCTGCCCCTTGCACGCGGCGAAATGAAGAGGTGTTTCGCCATACTTGTTCTCGACTACCAGAGTGGAGGGATTGGCATGCAGCAGAAGCTTCACGACCTCGAGTTGACCCCCTTGAGCCGCAATATGCAGTGGCATATTACCGCGTCCATCTACCAATATGGCAATGTCTGGGTTGTGCGAGAGTAGCAGCTTGACGACATCGGCATGGTCACCGATGGTGGCGCATATGCAAGCATTGAGATCTGTTTCAGTACTATGCATCGCGTTGCAGCCAGCTTCGAGTAACACCTTGACAGCACTCAGATGACCATTCCGACAGGCCCATAGTAGAGGTGACCAATGGTTGTCGTCCTGCACATCAATGTCGGTGCATAGTGGGTTGGATATCAAGATGGAGGTCAGATTGTGGTCGTTCTTGAAGCCGCTGTAATGCAGAGCAGTGGCTCCGTCGTTGTCTCCAATCATGGGGTCTGCCCCTGCTTGCATGAAACAGTGTACAATCTGGGAATGGCACTTATTCTCGCATGCACAGATCAGAGGGGTCTTGCCTTCGGAATTCTTTGCATCAACGGACGCCCCTCTTGCGATCAAGAGCTCGATGACGGAGACAGGGAGATTTGCATTTGCTGCCAAATGCAGTGGTGTCCATTCGTCGTTATCACTCGTCGTTGGATCAGCTCCGAAATCCAGCAGTAGACGCACGATATCATCCGCGCCGTCATGCAAGTCGCATGCTACAGCCAGAGCTGTCATCCCTGCGGAATCTTTGGCTGCCAAATCCAATGTATCAGAACTTCTTGCTAGAAGATACTGCAACACATCGATGGAGCCTCCTTTCACAGCCGCATGGAAAATTGACTCGCCACTCGAGGTATAATTGGTAATTTGAGCTCCAGAGTTTACTAGTAACTGCACTATAGCTTGTTTGCCCAGTCTGGCTGCAAGGTGTAGAGGACCTTTTTCTGTCAGCACAATCTCGTCGCCGAAATGAATGATATAGGAGCTCACTGAATCCTTGCTTATCCTTTGCATTGACGTCAACATCCTTGGAAATCAACAGCTTGATAATGTCGATGTCGCATTTGTGCCAGATGGCTGCGTGGAGTGTAGTGTATGACTCCAAATCACACGAATTGACGTTAGCGCCAGCATCGAGCAACTGTTGGAAGATCTCGTATTCACCGCATTGAAATGCGAGAAGAAGAAGCGCATCTTGTTGTATTAGCAATGAGGCCGACAATTATCATCATCATCATCATCTCGGAAAAACTCACTGTCGCCCTCTTTGCTGCTGCAATTCACATCAGCGCCTTTCGAGATGAGTAGTCTAATAATCTCAGGATCGCATCCATGTATAATCGCAATATGAATAGGGGTCATGTAAGAAGAGTCTTTTGCGTTGACGTCTGCGTTAGCTCCTAGCAGAACCTCCAAGATATCATGTCGTGCCCGATAGGCAGCCATGTGTAATGCACCTTCACATGTTAGTAAGCAATACAGAGAGGGTGGGAGAAAGTCTTACTCGTCCCTAGGTCACTTGTTGCGTTGACGTCAACGCCCTTCGAGATGAGCAACGCAATTATCTCTACGTCACAGCTTCCTATAATAGCCTCGTGAATTTCGGTGAATCCCGAATTATCTGGTTGGCATATCGCTCCATGTCTGAACAGATAGAGGACGATCTCGCTGTGACTTCCATGCAATGCACGGTCTAGCGCAGTCTCTCCTTCAACGTTCGGTATATTGATGGCAGCTTTCTTATTCACCAGAAGTTTGACCATGTCAAAAGATCCCTGTCGGGAGGCCATGTGCAACGCTGTGTCTCCGTCTTCGTCTTGAGCATCGAGATCGGCCCCTGCTTGGATTAAAAGCTTCAACATTTTCATGGCCGACTGAGCGCCGTTCTCGACCACTGCAAGCAACGCCGTTCGTCCATATTTGCCGTGTGCATTAGTTTCCATGACACTTACCTTCAGCAGTGTCTCCACAACTTCCGGTTTGCCAGACATGGCTGCAGAAATTAAGGCGGTATCACCTTCAAAATCTCGCAGATTGACATCGGCTCCTGCTTTGAGTAGCTGCCGACAGATCTTTCGATTACCTATTCGAGATGCCGCAATCAGTGGAGATCCTCCGGATTCACTGTATCCGTTGACTTCTATATCATCGTGAGACAGCAAGTAGTCCACGACAAGATCGTTCCCGCTGGCAGACGCGGCCAGCAACGGTGTATATCCCAGATCTGCGCAGAAGTTGATGTCTACCCCATTGTCCTCTATCAGACTCTGTACGATCTCGAGATGCCCGTAGCGGGCGGCTAGGTGTACCGGTGAGTGTCCACTGGCACTATAGTTTTCCCAGTCTGTGTCGATCGGTTGATCATCGAATAGCTCGAGCAAGCCGAACCTTGCTATCATGAGAGTCGGCGAGGGAATTCTTGCGCTGAGGCAGGGTTCTAGGAACTCGTCTCTAGACATGTCGTTTTTCTTGCTCTCCACGATCTCTAGACAGTCATCATTCCATCTTGCGAATGCGTCTTCGTCGGTCAAAAAAGCAGCGATACGACTCTCGATTGTTTCATCTCGTTCCTTGATCATGCCGATATGATACACCAGATGGTCGACAGCGTATACGTAGAAACACTCATGACACAGATCAGGTCGGTCCAACTCGTCGTCATAAGCGTCAAAACGAGGCTCCTCGAACTCCTCGAAACACCTGAGCGCTGCAAAGGTGTGTAATGCGTCGTCTTGGTATTCATACTTCTCTAGGAGGAACTCCTGAATGGACAAGTGTGCAAATCGGAACGTCCCTGTCTCTTCATCAGCGACCACAAGACCGCGGCATACGTCTAAGACCTGGTCCCTGGTTATCTCAGGCTCCTCGTACTGCGAGACGGCCTCGAGTAGTGTGCTCATGGTCAGCTCTGAAACCAGACACCATTTCAATACGGACATGGCCACTTCCCGACTGCTCTCTCCAGACTGCATGATTCGGGCAAGCTCGCTCTCGTAAAATTGGCTAATTCCCTTCGGCGATTTTTTCAACTCAGCCAGAACATCTTTTTCTAGCATGATGCCCTCCTTACAAAGATCATCAAGCTGGAGTCGAACCCACAAGAACCTGTATTAGTCAGCGATCTGTGTGAGCAATGTTCAATCTGGCTCCGTGTACATACATTCCTTGTGCACCATCATTCAGCTTTCTGATGATAGTCTGTCGCAAATCACTCGTGACTCTGCCTCTGAGTAGCTTCTTTTCAGAGATAGCACGGTCAACTCTCCTGGTGACGAACTTTTGGATGTCATCTGTATTAGCGCCCTCGTCGACTACAATCTGGACGGGAAAATCTTCCTTGGGCATATCTTGAGATATCTTGCTTCGTCCGGATATGACGAGTTTTACGACCGCAGTCTTTGTCGACATGATGGCTCTCAGTGCCATAAGGAGCTCCGGTCTGTCGACACATTCGTCGAATCCGTCAATTGCTATCACCGCAGCTTGCCCCGCTAGCATCTTCGAGATTAGCTCTGTCAGATGTCTGGTCCTCAGTCGCTCTGCTTCATCGGCATTGACTCGTTCAGCTGCCTTCTTGTGGACCTCGTGTGCGTCGCGAAAGATTTTCTTCGCAGAATCGCTATCTATCGTCCAGGCTAGCTGTCGAGCTATGGCACCAAGAATCTCTCGAGCTTTGGTCCTCTGTCTTTCTGCGCCATCGCAGTAAAAGTATGCAACATGAGGCGCGTGGCTTTCACGCTGACGGTTTTCAAGTAGTTGCTTAATCACCACAGCCCTGATAGTTGTCAGTCGATTCTCGATGAGGAAAATTTAACCTACATAAGCTTGGTCTTGCCACAACCGACTGTTCCGTGGATGAACAAGGTGCTTGACTCGGCTGCTTGGTTCCATTCGATGTATTCATCCAGTTCCAACAGCCACAAGCCTGTTCCTGGCATGACGTCCTCAAGACAAGTGTTGTGATGTTGAGTTACTGGTATCGTGGAAAGCCATTGATACTTGCGTAATTCCTCTTCCTCTGTCATGTGTCAGCAGCAATATACAGAATTGCGGCGGCGACCTACTCTTCCTCTTGCTGTGCTCTACCATCATTTCTGCGGTCGACATAGCCAATGACTCGAACTGGGCCAACGACAACTGATGCAACTTCCTGGAACCTTTGGTCGATCAGCTTCTGAGCATTATCATCATGCGGTAGTGTCTTACTATCGGCATCCATCAATTTCAGCATCTCGCTGACCTCACAATGGCACTTCTCAATCGCGGCTCTGGGCTCGTGGACCAAAGCGTGAGATGTCTTGATCACACTCTCACCAATTCGTTCTAGAAGACAGATCAGTATGAGTGGCTGTTCACGGCAAACACACCACACCACTCACTGTATTTGCTCTTTCCGTAGTAGCTATTGGCAATGCCCAAGTATCTCAGGATGGCGACATAGAGTTTGACGATTTCATCCTTGAGTTTGTCTTTGTTTTCCGACTCGTCAGACAGGTACATTTTTTCGACGAGCTGATATCGCGAGATCATGGTAGAGACAAACTCTAGACCCTCCGCCATGTCTTGAAAGCTATTACTGTCATTGGTCGCGACCTGATCAAGTGTGTCAGCGCGAGATAAATCAACTCTCTGAAATGAAATGAAATTCGCTTACAACAAGTAACAATCTCACGCCAGCCCAAGGTAAAGCAGCATGAGCAGGATCAATCTGAATAAGCGTATCCCCAACCTCGATGAATGATTTCAACATGTTGGCAATCTTGTCGATATACTGCCTAACCTCCTTCTCCCCTTCTTTTGTCTTTATACGCATCTGGTTTTTCTCCACTTCCTCTTTCTTCTTTTGTATGTTGTCCAAGGCTTTATTGATGATATCGACCGTCTTGTTTTTTTCGCCCGCTGAGCCCAGCGCTTTGAGCTCTTTGTCCGAGAGTTTGTCCCGCGCTAGTTTCCAGAGATCTTCGAAGTTCTGCTTTTGCGGGTCACTTTTTTTTTGGGGCGCAAGACGTCAGTTTTGTATGCTGATTATATCGACTTCGGGGGGGCACTCACAGCCTTTTGATATTGGTGGTCATGGTAGAGTCGTCGGGGTGTAACGTCCCGGAACGAGACATCAAGGCAGACCCAGGTCTGCTCTTCGACGAGTGTACCGCGGTCAACTCCAAAGTCGGTGCATACATAGATCCACGAGTTGCGCCCGCAACAGTATGGTATGACGGTGGGGCCTCCATGTCTGCGACGTTCGCCGCTGAATGTGTTAGAAACCAACAACTCCGACGGTACTGGACAGAGGATCTGCTCTGGTCTTTGTCTTTGTCATCACCTTCAACCTCTAGTCGCGGAGCTCACCAGCTCATGCATCTCAATATAGTGAGAGAACCCCATTGGGCGAGCTTGATGTCTTACTCTATCAGGTTAATAGAAGTTCACCCGCTTATCAACGATCTGTTATTCGTCATCCGCAGTATAACGACAGCCAATGTACGAAGACTGCAGCGTTTAGATTGGTTCCGGGACGGCACTCTATGCGATTGACGTGGCCGCATGCTGGTGTGGAAATTTCACGCGAGCAACAATGATTTCACGAATGACTTCCTGACCGACAGCAAAATCGCAATTCTCTGGTATATCGGTAAGTGGCAGTTCCCGGCTGCACGCTGTACGGTCCTCGCTATGAAATCTAGGAGCGAACAAGTATGATTTTCGCCTGGAGGAGTTGGTGTGGAGACATACCATTGCCTGTCATTAGGGTCAAAGCAGGCGTGCGCTATCGCAAACTTCAGCCTGCAGAACGAGACTTGACCGGTTGCGTGCTTAATTGCGAGGACTGGTAATAGGGCAGATTTTCGATGTCACCCAATCGCAAGCCGAGCTCTGCGATACGACCAGCCTACGATACTGTGTCGTGTAGAACATGACTTAATCAATTATCTTCGTGGAGACATCCATCTCTCACTTTACCACGCGGAGTCGCCTTACAATGTCATGCGACGTGGCTGGGATGTATGAGGGTGATGGTTTGTGCAAGCTGCATGAGGTTTATATTGTGGCTTGAGAGGCACTTCCGGAATAACCGAGGGCATGGACCATGCCGATAACCCAAGCTAGTAGTTCGAAGAACAACACCCACCGTTAAAGTCCTATATTCTTTCTTCTTTCTTCATCTTCTGTGCGTCAGAGCTCAGGTCATAGAGGCCAGTATGTGTGGGTCTGGTAAGGGAATAGTCGAGAGGGGCTGTGGGTGTGAATTGTCTGCAAGTGTTAGCGACGGCGACAAGATTGGACGTTGCGACAGCATACTTTCTCATGAGCTTGGAGGTCAAGTCTTCAGGTTTGAGCAGTCGATCGAGAGTTGCCAGCACCAGCACCAGTACCCGGTGTGCTATTGCCACGATGGTTGTTAGACTGTTTCTTCGTGGCCTTATAATTGCGTTCCCTATCATTGTGGTCCTTGAAAAATTTCGTGATTTCAGCTACAGGGCGATTGAGAACTTGCTATACACCTATGAGTGATTACACATCGAGTCGTAGAGGCAAGGTGAACTCACCCTACAGAAAATGCAATTTCTTGTTGGGTCTACGCGCTTTGGTCGACGATCGATGAAGTCCTGAGGGTCCCGACGAAGATGTTGGCATCTTGGGCAGCGCTTGAAGCCTCGGTCGTTGCTGTTGGCTTGGTCGTCTCCAACTGGCTCCTCAACTGTCTCTGCGACTCTCCCTTCAGTTCTCTTGGGCTGAGACATTTCAAGACTGTATGAATGGTTTGAAGAATGGAATGTGGTTATTCTGGGTTGTGATGTTTGTGATGATGTGAATGATTCAAAGCGAGACAGTGCAGAAATATTGTTGTTTACCATAGGACTCTCTCTAAGAAGGTACAAAGATGCGCTCCTGCTCAACACGCAAACAACGTTGTCGACTATTGCGGTCCACGTTTTGGATGTGAGTCGTGGCTTCCATTCATTGGCTTCATGTTCAGATTGGAGATTTGCGTTCCTAGATTTTGGCTTTGTTTCCGATCAAAATTCTGCTTTGCGAGAACCATATTCCACCAGGAATTCACTTTTGAGGGTTGAGCAATGTATACTGTGTGAGTTGGATTTGCGCGTTGACCGTTTGTAGGAAGGGCGCATCTCAGGTGGACAGCGCCGTCAACGCACACGCACATCTTGATCGTGACTTCCTCCTGGATATCTCACACCCAAGACTTTGATAGGCGCTTTCTGTCAGCATGCCTTTCTCTTCACTTTTTGGCAGACCACTCTCCAAAATCACACGGATGACGCGTTCACGACGTTGCACTTGACGCAATTGATGAAGGAAGAAGAGTATTGTGGATTATTTGAATCATAACTCCAAACACTTTGAAACATGCATAGTCTACTTTTTTGTGGTTGTAGTTTTCTTGCCACCCTTGTCATCACTCTTCGTCGAAGAGGTCGTCTTCGAACTTGCTGAGGTGATGAGTGTGCTTCCTGTTGTGCTGCTGGACTTGGTGGTCGAGGAGACCACCGTGGTAGATGTTGCAGAAGACGCAGCACTCGAGGTAGCCGTAGGGACGGAAGAACCGCTCGAAGCACTGCTGCTGGATGAAGTCTGGGTCTCCAGTGTGGTCTTGGTCTTTCTGTCATCCCAGTACGCTTCGAGCTTCTCCTCAACCTCCTTCACACTCTTGTAAGCATCCATGTCTTGGAAGTCCTTACACTTCTTCGTGATCTTCTCATCCTCAAAGTCACCGTCGCGGTTGGCATAGTCTTCCTCGCTGAACTTTTTGGCACGGTATTTGGGTTCCATGGGATCAATGAAGGACGTCTTCTCATCGTACCCGAGATCCTTGAGAGCTGTGACATTCAACGCGGCCATCATGTCGTGATCTTCGTGGATCAAGTTGTGGCAGTGGAACATATAGAGTCCGTCCCAACTGAAATAAAAATCAGTACGACATTGTGAGTTGAGAGATCACATGTACTTACGGGCCATAGCGAGCAAGGACCTGAACCTTTTCATTCTTATTAAGCCACACTACATCTTTCAATGCAGTTTGCTCATAAGGAAGGACACCGCGAGTTCCGCCAGTGCGACCAACGACTTGGAAGTCAATAAGATGGATGTGGATCTAAGAGTGTTAGCAGAGACTTGGTAAGATGGTTGGAAAGATTGACGGACCGGGTGCGACCATCCTCCCGAACTGTTCTCTAGTTCCCAGAGCTCAACAGCGCCGCGTTCAGGCTTTGCAATGACTCTGTCTGCGACGTCGGCCCAAGTGACACCGTTGACTTGCCACTCTCCATTGCTACGCATGAATGTATACTTGCGATCGACCCCGGTCTTTGGTGGTGGCAGAGGAACATTGCGTAGTGTGGATGGAAGGGGTCCGTTGTTAGAGGTGTCACTCACGGAGTTGCCGACCATGAAACGCATCACTCTGTCAGTACCATCGTAGTCATCATCAGCAGCGACCTTGCCGGTGTTCTTGAGTGTGATGTTCTGGCCAGCGTAACCAGAAAAGTCAAAAACGACTTCCCATCTCTCAGCCATGGAGATGTCGAGTTGAGTAGTGTCGACCGGACTAGCAAGGAGACCTGCATCTGAGCCGATAACTGTGAATGGAATGCGAGTGCCGACATTCTTGTCTGCCTCTGCATACAGCTGGAAAGAACGACTGATCGAAGTATCGAGGAAGCGGAAGAGATACTTGCGAGGCTCAACAGCAAGATATGGCCAAGGCTGACCGTTAACCTGAATTACATCACCAAAGACACTGGTAGTCTCTCCATTGGCTTCAGGATCCCAGAGCGTGCCATCAGCATTGTAGCGCTTGGCTGCTAAGGCGAGAGGGATGTCGTAGTCGCCTGATGGCAACTTAAGAGAGTTCTTCTGGGCATCTTCCAGAATGTAAAACCCAGCTTGACCGTAGTACGCGTTCTCAGCAGTATGTCCAACAGCGTGATCGTGGTACCACAGAGTTCTTGCGGCTTGAGCGTTAGGGTAGTAATAGTCCTTGTATTCTCCAGGCTCAGTAGTGTCTTCAGCCCAGCCATCAAAGGGAGCGCGACCTAAATATATGTTAGTGTTGTGAAACAATCCGCACTCAAGCGCGTAGAAGACTCACTATATGATCCGTGAAGGTGAACAGAGTTTGCACGATCTGCATGGTTGATGAACCGAACAACGGCCTCGCGACCTTGTTGCATCTTGAAGGTTGGTCCAGGAACGATACCGTTGTACCCAACATGGCGTGCTTTCTTGCCAGGGTAGATTTCGATATCAACAGGCTTGATATCAATCTCATAGTAGTCGATGTTGTCGTACGTCCTTATGACCGTCAGAAGAGAACTGTAAAGAAGGTCGATGTGGTTTTGCTTACTTGACTGGCTTGGCGATAGGCGGAATTGGTAATGGAAACTCGAAAAAGTTCTTATAAACAGGACTGAGCCATCCTTTGGCTTCGGCTAAAGGGAACAGCGCGAGAAGTATAAGAGGATGCATTGCACCAGGAAGTGTTGCTGAATTGAGTGTGGGGAGGGAAGAAGTGTATGTTGTTGTTTCTGACCTAAAGTTTTGAGTAGGACAAGCACATATATATACGTGCAGACCTACCACACATTGAATCCACTCGTCTAGTTTTTCTCAATCGTGCCTTACCTTTCGCTACATCTACTTCCAGGCTAGACTGTACAGTATAGATACGAACGGGGTCTCCGCTCACAGGCCCCTGCTCTCTCCCAGCAGCTGGAGCCTTGTATCTAGAAGTATAGACAGCACATGGCCAGGAAAGTGGCTCGTGGCGCTTGTATCTACCTGTTGAGAGTTCTGGAGTTGAGGACGCGCTCGAGAGTTGTGAAGTCAATTTGAGGCTTAGTCACAAGCTGGCTGTATGCAAGAGGTAAGCAGGCCTATCCAGCTTGCAAGGGCTGACTCTAGATCATGGCGCTGGAAGCGAGGCTCTCGATCGCCAGGTGGAAGACATGATTGTGAGACCCGAATGGTCAAGACCATATCCAAGAGGCAGAAGACTATTGAAGCATAAGGCTGGCAGCTTGTACAACCTGGATCGGAGCCAGAGGACCAATCATTGTCATGTATCCTAGTTGAGCTGCATGATCCAAGATTTTTGTCTACATCTGACCTGTTTCGGCAGCAGGTGGTCGACTGTTCGAGCTGTGGTCGATGTTCGGATGTATGTACTGATGTAGTAACCAGACGGGGCGATTTGAGCAATGTGGTAAGTTCAGGGCTGAAGACGGCAAGGTAAGTTTGTGGAGGACATGGGGATACTCTTGTATATTCCGCATGTGGCTGCGCTGCCAAGAGCTTTGCTGTGCTCGCTGGCAGTCGCCACTGACCAAACTTCCCAGGCTGTTTGTACTGAAGACTATCTTCGTTTCTCCGAACAGACACGATACAGGGAGCAATGTCAGAACCTGATGGTTGTGGCAGAGAAACAGAGCCGTCTCCACCTGTATGAGACACGATCTCTGGAGGCTCCCGTAGGGATCCTACGAGAGATAGCATCATGAGATTTAGGATTCAAGTATCGGAGTTGGGAGAGTCATTGCAGACACGTAACTTTGGTCGACCGACTTGGCGATCATGCGGGAGGAAACTTGGCAGCTTGGCGCTGACCGCTTGTGAATCCTTCCGATACCTCACTACATCCACACGAGCACATGAGTAGCTCTCCGGAACTTCTATTTCCATACCATGGCCCTGTCGCTAGAACCAATATTGCGGTTTCGTTCCCGCTCGGATGGAAACGCGAGGGCTCGGCAGCTGATCAGTGATGCTTGTCAATCGAATTTTATGTGGTACGGCGACATTCGGTACTCAGTCTCGAACGCTGCCGACCGTCTGATGAACCGCCTTCACTATGGCCGATATAACGACACTCCATCTGGGGACATGCACCCGTGCGCATGCTGACTCACATACCACTGCAGGTAACATGGTATGGCAGCAAGAGTGGCTTCGGCATGGCCTACAGTGTGTGCTTTCAGCTTCTATGTTAGCACCATGAGGCATTCGCCACAAAGCCAAAGTCGACTCTACAATATCGTGTCTCGCTTGTTTCCCACGGTATACCATGTCATTAGATCCTTGTTCATTGATACTTGATGAATGTTCTGTCAGCTGCTCAAGTAGACACACCTTTCGTTCCCGTCTCGATGTTGCCCAAGTCTTGGATGCTCGAAATATGGTTGTCACTACCAGGGACTTGTCGTGACCTGCCCTGCTCTGCCCTGACCTGATCTGAGACTGTTCTCGGCATACAAGCGAGTAACTTGATCACATGCAGATGCAATGATTGAAGCGAAGCGAGAAGGTCTTGTTCATGTACCTCGAGAAGGCACATCTTTGCTCATACGCTCTGGCGACACAGCTCTGATATAAAGTGTTGCTCTATGCTGCAAGTATGGTTCTCATCATCTCAATCTCAAACTGCGACTCTTCAGGATGCTGTCCAAACCCTTTGCTTGCCTCACTATTGGCCTACTCAGCTCGCTCGCTGCAGCTCAGACTGTTGAGCCGTTCGTCCTGGATGGCAGACTTGACAGGTATGAGGGAGCCACTTCACGTGTTGAGGCAAATTCTAATTCGTAACAGTGCGACTGCTAGCGATAGCACATACAACACTGGTGGTACCATCTCCGTGAATGGTTACTCCGTCACCATTCCACAAAATCTGCAAGTGCAGTTCCCAGCCGCTTTCTCTCCTTTTGGGAAATTTGCCAGTACTGTTGGCTTTGTTGGTCACGAGGTCTCCGTATGTTTCACTTCTTCTTTAACTCTATGGAGCGAAGCTAATTTTACTGCACCAGGTCATCGGGAATCTTGTCAACGGCAAGGCAATCGCTGGCCTCGTCCAAATTTCTGAGTATCTTCTTCAGGGTAGCTCAGGCACAGTCGAGAGCATTGACTTTGCCGCTGGTACGATGAAGATCAAGGGTGGTCCGACCATCAGAATCAACGATCCTAATGCTGTTTACTCGGTGGGATATACCGATCGTCCTCTGTATACAGCAGATGACGAGAACCCTTCAATCACGGCGTTCAGCGGCTTCCCGATGTGCATCCCGAGATCTTCGAGTGACCCTCTCTGCCCTTCCAGTAACCGACCAGCCGGTCAAAGCACATTGTAAGTTTTATATTCACAGCAAGCTGTTGCAGAGTACTGACATGTTCGCAGCCGTGCACCTGATCCGCTGAAGATGGCACCTTTCCAAGTTGGTGACTACCTCGAGTACTCAGGTATCAATGTTGGGGGCACTATTGTTTGTTATACAATCGTTGCTCCTAATGTACAGATCACCACTTCTGGTGCACCCACATACATTCGTGTCGAGGATGCTATCGTTGGTATCTACGACGGTATCGGCACGTCAGAGTTTGGTGACTCGAGAGTAAGTGTTTTTTCTAATGACCAGGATCTGATACTAATCTATGACAGTTCATTGGCTACACCTCGGATCCCACAGCTAGTATCACGGTCTCCGCTATCGACATTGATCCTTGTACAGGCGAAGAGACTGAAAGACCCGTAGGCGCCGCATCCTACAAAGCAGGCGATGCTCGTAACAAGTGGACCTGGCGTGCAGGCACCGGGACAACATCCAAGTACACCCGTGAATACGTCATTCGTGCCTCCACTGGTGAGAAACTTACCGACAACAAGATCAATGCTGGTCGTTACGTCCAGCCTGTTTTGGAGTTCCTCTTCCCTGAGCCAAATGTTCCTGGCATTGTTCCTCCTGTGAACGACTTCAGCAACTTCCCTTTCCTTGCCCAAGGCTTGGGATATGATGAATCGGGCAACCTTTTCGGCCAGCTAAACCCATGGCCTGGCGCAAAACCCCCTGCTGCAACGAGCTGTGGTCCCTGGTCTCCCCCAGCTACGTCCTCCTCAGCCGTCTCTTCTTCGACATCCGCGGATTCCCCCGGTACTGCGACCAGCGTTGATCCTTCTGCATCCGAAACATCTATTCCTAGTAGTACTGGCTCTGCTGCCGCAAGTACCCCGACTATTGCAGTAGGAGGCACCCAGACAACTCGTCCCGGTGTCCAGGTCAAGCTTGGCTTCAACGTGACCAACAAGCTCGATTTCACAGCCAACGATCTTACATACAGCTGGACACAAGTCGGTGGACCCAGCGTCACCCTGTCAGGCAGCAGCGTTGCTAGCCCGTCCTTCACAGCTCCGGCTGGCACAGTCAAGAACACATACATTTTCAACATCAAAGCCAGCAGTGCTTCTGCAGGCACGAGCGGCAATGCGAACGTCACGGTCGTCAGTGACCCTGCTGTAGCAGACATTGTTACCATCGATAGCTACACATACAACTCTTCAGGAGGTGGTGCTGTATCGGTCACTGCTAGTACCAATATAGTTGGCTACAACGCGAACCTGAAGTTGTATCTGACAAACTCGGCCACCGGAACAGCCACTACGATGACATATCTAGGAGGAGGCAAGTATAGTGCCAGTTTAACCAAGACGAAGAAGCCAGCGAACGGAATCACGGTTGTGAGTGACGGCAAAGGAACCAAGAGTACTACTGCGACAACCTCGTAGTTTAGTTCACCTACATTGAATGTTACATGCATATTTTACAATTATTCTTCTCTCAACTCAATGCATGCTCTATTGAATCGTGAAACGTATAAATACAACCTCGGCTGGATAGTGCTGGCCAGACCAAATTCGTGACCACAAGCGTGTTTCATGTTCGCCACTGCCCCGTCATGGTTTAGAATAGCAGAGCTGTGATTGACACATGCTTGAGCGCTTCAAGCTTCGCTTGGCTGGGCCCCTGTCTGGGCTACGTCACTGTTTGGATGGTGATACACCGGCAGCCTGCTTGTTGTGGATGTAGTAGTATAAAGACCAGGTGTTCACCCCCTGCTGGAATTAACACCCCTCAAGCAACCCCACAGCATCAACATCGACCTGGAACTTCTACATATTATACCATCATGTCTGACTACAACCGTGATTACGACGAGAACGCTGCTCGCTTCGCTGGAGAAGCTGTAGGTAGAGCTGGTAAGTCGAACATATATGCACACCTTCTGAGATCTGCTGACCTTTCGTGCTCACAGAGGGCTCCTACGACTGTGCAGACCAAGCTTTCGACCGCGAAGAACAAAGAGTTGGCGACTCCTTCCGCCGCGACGAGCAAGCCGTTGAAAACGCACCCGAGAACGTCGCCCGCTATGCCGAACAAGGCTTCAACAACACAGTCCAAGGTGTCGAGAACATCCCCTCAGACATCGGTGCCGGCCTCCGTGGTGCAGCAAACTGGATCGGAGAAAAGATTGGCGGTGTGGAGAATGAGGGAAGACGTGCCGAGCAGGACGTTGAGAACAGATACGACCAAGCCGAGCAAGGGGTTGAGAACCGCTACAATGATGCTGAACAGGATGTTGATCGTTTTGGTCAAGACGCAAGAAATAAGTACAATGATGCTGAGCAGGATGTGGATCGCTTCAACTCGGGTGTGGAAAACTCGTACAATCAGGGCGAGCAGCAGGGTAGACGTGACGGTTGGTAGATATGCGCCTTGTTTGGGGCGCCATTACAGGCCGAGAGTAGCCATGTAATTTGGATGCATCGGAGAATGCAGACATCAAGGAACGAACTGCTGATTGACCGCCTGTTCTAGCAACGCGAGTCGCGCCATCCCGGTGTTCGGAGAGTGTAGATGTGAACAAAAACAACCTAAAGCTTGCGTCTCCTGAATACGGCGGCACATGACCCAAGCTCAAGATCCTTTGGATTTTGCGGGCCTCGTCAAAGGCCGGCTTCGGTCATTCTTGTTTGTTCTCACTTTTGATCTACGACAATCTGCATCCAGGCCACTACTGACCACCTCGTCATCGCCGTATATCCTCAATGTCATGGTGGACACATCAAGCAGTGCGACCATGCCCAATTACGAGGAGATCTCCGTACACGCGTGGGACAGGTGCCAGGTAGGGTTATACAATGATCTCAAGGTCAGATGCCAGCAATTGAGTACATATATATATATATACGTGTCGACTACCTTGAAGGCTCGTTTACTGGCCGATCCTTTGTTCTCCTTGCTTTCTTACTTGAACAACACCTGAGTCTCTCCGTCGCAAAACATAATCAAGTCGGAGATACTAACAAACAAAGAAATACTGCATCCGGAAATTTCACAGCTGTGAATGTGTTTCCATATTTGGCGCGATCGCTGGTTGACACTGCAGACGCAAGTTTGTTGCTCAGACAGTCATTATGGTACCGCCAACGATCGTTGTTGATGGCTGGACCATCCCTATATCTTATGCACAAGCGGCGCAATGGGATGATTCACCTTTGTCTCTGATCCTGGATACAGGCCTTCCGCCAACCCCGCCCGGTCCTCAAGACTACCGCCGACATGATCTGAATCAGCATGGACAGTTTCGAGAGCCAGTCTCGCAAGCTGTCTTCAATATGGGTAAATTACCATACCCTGACTTGAGAAACATCACGAAACGAGATCCGACAGACAGTACGAGAACAGTCAAAGCTTTATCCGGTAATGGTGTGTGGTTCGCCGGCAACAACATGCTCTCACATGTGACTGTACAACATCTCGACTCTCTAGGCGTAATCAACGCAGATCCCGCATCTCTGAATATCTCCAGCAGGTTTCAGGTGGATCAGATGGAGGTACAAGCTATACTGAATGGAACAGCTTTGAGAGGAGTCGACCACGGGATTCATCCGATGTTCAAGCAAAGTAATTGGCGTACCACAAGTCCTGTGATGTACGAGTATCTCAAACCATCGCTTCGCATTGCTACCGAGATATTCAAGATGGAGTTTGTGCTCGACTATCTGCACGCACTTGGGCAGCCATGGGTAGTAGAGTACCCAACTGCTCTGCAGCAGAAGAAAGGATACAACTCACAGTACTCCTTCTATCCCAGGACCTTATCATGGTCAGAGAGGCATGGTACCGCGAGAGAATTAATCCGAATGCAAAATCTCCTGGACTTCGAATGGACTGATCAACTGAGCCCGGGCTTCATGGCCACTACGTCGGTCAGCCTAGAAAATGGCATTCCCGTAAAGGGCATGAACAACTGGCAAGACTCGTAAGTTGCATGTCGTACTCATCTCGTAGATAGATCGACCGCTAACACAAGTTATCAGTTATGCTGCCACTATCCTCCTCGATGTTGATTGGCAGAATCATATTGATCTAGGCAATCTTCGACCCAACTTGGTGCTTCCAGGTGCCGATAGCCACTCGACACTTCTGCGCTCTCAGTTCTCCTTAGCTCTTATCATTGTTCACGAAACGACCCATGCTTGGGTTAGCAATTTCCGCCGCATCTCAAATTGGGACAGTGAGCCCTATCACAACGATCATCGCATTGCTGAACCGGGATGGGCTATGGAAACCCTTATCTTCGGCTCTACAATCATGAGCACTGTTCATAATCCTTTCATGTATGATGCACCATACGGTCTATCGTCCATTCGTTTCCCGGGCACGCGAGTATCACCCGCAGATTTCATTGTTGAGTCCTACAAGGGCAGTGTTGCCAAATGGGGCATCGACCACCAAACAGAATACGCCGTACCGATGAATTTCATCACCCAGTTCTTCGACGACGACTTTTACAACAGCAGAGCCCACCGATTCGGCACAACAGGGACACTGAAACCTCCCAAAATACTCGGAGTCCGGAAGAGAATTTGGACTCGTTTCGAAGAGCCATTAGAATCACCGCATGTGAAGAGGAGAAAGGTTGGGAATACCTGGGTGGACGATCCGGAGCAGCCATCACCAACGGATGATACTTTACATCCAACGGTTGCGGAGGGCGTCTTGTACCCCAACGCAGCATTCAGTTCTCAAGGAAAACCCCTGGTACTACCACCATCTATACCGCCACCGCCACCGCCAATCACACCTGTTGCCGATCCAGACCGGGCTCCTGACGTCTTTATGCCCGATGTATCCAGACCAGAAACCGCCCGAGCCAAGACGAAGGTCAAAAGCAAGATCAAGACGTTGGTCAAAGACTTGTTTGGGAAGAAGAAGAAGAAGTGATATGTCCCTAGGTACTTAATCGCAATCATGTTCTAGCTCACGCTCTCATGGGACGTTGTTACCATGTGCCAAATTTGACCACGACAAGCTAAATCAAGTCACAATATTGCTCAATCATCAAACTGGTACACCGCACCTGGGCTATCTCAAAAAAGAAAACCTGTTGACTCTCTATAGAAGCTCATGGTTTTGGTAACGTCGTTGTGCTTTTCGTAAGCTGCATATCGCTCTTCGGTAACGGCAATAAGCAAATCATGAGCTCGACTTTGTATTACATCAGTCAACAATAACGAGAACGAATGTGAATGACTAAGGTCTAGGCCAGAGTCTGGGTGCTGCTACCCTCTTCAACCACAGCACATAGTGGCTTCGTCATGACTCTTGTCTCTAACCCGTCGTCAGCTGATGTCTCACATACAAGTATCAATCAACATACCCGTTCAGCTCAATCTTCTCCCAGCCAAAGAAGAAAAAACCAAGATATGCGCCAATAAAGATGCTAATAATGATATATCCATTGTAGTACATGGCCAGCAGCATGATGAAGTACGCAACGGCAAACTGTGCACAATGCAAAAAAGCCCTCACCATCTGCTGAGGTAGTGTAGGCTTGAAGGCTCTCGACTTCTTTGTCGTTTGGAGTGGAGAGGCAGTAGTGGTGGTAGTGGTGGTGGTAGCCTTACTGGTCGACGCTGTGGTAGGGCAAGGGCAATCCTCGGGTATGTCGGTGGTGATGTCGCGGAGGTGGTGAGAGAGAATCATGCGGTCATGCTCGCGAGCCAAACGACGAAGCAGTTCGAGGGTCATGACGAGGAGGATGACACCGATACAGGAGCCGGCGAACATGCCTTTAGAAGTGATGCGCCAGCTGGAAGAGATGAAACCTGATTGTCACGTCAATCTTGTAATCGTGGAAATGGATGGTTGCGTAGAACTTACAAGCATCAATCGTGTTCCAATTCCACATCATCTGAAGCTGTGTTAGTAGTCGATGAAGCTGGCAAGGAACTTGACACATACAGAAATCTTGCATGCGCCCATACCCATGTCCATGTCCATGTCCATCGATGATGTTGCAGATGTCATAGGAGCAGAAGACGTCATACCAGCCATGTCGTTCATTGAAGTAGTCGTAGAGACCATGACTGCGGAAGTACTCATGCTCATGCCTGACATGTCCATCTCGAGGATAATGCCTGGACAGAATGAATCTGATAAAGACCTTGAAGGAAACGATGCGGTTTAAATGTTGTGTGAACATGTAAATTGTGCCAAATAGTCAATAGTGACATGACAAAACCGGATGAGTGAGTTTGAGGTCATATTCTGGTCGCAGCTGCCCTAGACCCGATAGCCACGCAGAGGATTGCCCACCAGAAGGTGACATGGCCCTCCAAACAAGCTACTTTCGGACAAGATCATCGCAATGTCATGACATTGGCATGCAAAACTTACAGACTGGTGCCTACGAATCGCGCATGCGCTTGTTAGGGCTAGATATACATCCGAATCACGGCAGGCGCGATGATCCTTCGCTTCGGCAACCTACACCGCGCCAGACCTCTGGGAACAAGGGAGACCCCCTATTAGTAATTGGTTAATAGACTTGTATTGGCTTTAAACATCTAATCAGAAAGGAGAAACTGTCCAAGCTCTGAGCATCTGACTACCACGCGAACGCCTCTTCAATGAGATCGACAGGCATACCATCTCTCAAGCATCCTACGACGGCGGCCCTTACTTCGTCAGACATGGTACCTGGTGCACAGGTCACGACAATTACCCTTCTACCTTTCTCTGCTACCGACCTCACCACGCTCTCAACATTCATCCGGCCTCTTTGCAGATCACTTCCTTGCTCGAGGCCCTTGTCTTGACTGCCGCTTTCTCCCGTACACCAGAAACGGTACTCAATGTGCCTGTTTCGTACAATGCCGGAGTCCGGCAGAAGCGACGTAGAGACGTGTTGAAGCAATGATTCTTCTCTGGCCGACCAAGCAAGTACGAAACTAGTCGCGCAGCCCATAAAAACCTTGGAAGAAGTCTCAGTGCTTCGTGCCTCGTTCACATATTGTTGCAGAAAGCTCATTGAGCTAGTGATACCAATACCGCCAGCAATACAGATAATAGTGTCTGCAGTCTTGAGCGGCAGCAAGGATGCGCGATGACCGCCATATAGTCCCTCAGTGAGGATGGAGATTGGCAACGAATTTGCCCCTGACTCTTTCAAATTGCGCAGGAGCGAATCAGTCATGCCTTTCCTGGCGCGCATGAGACACACCATTTGATCAGGATGACGTGACTCATCGCTAGTCTGAGAGGCTGATGAGCTGTTGACTTCAACATCTGTGATTTCTGCTTCCTTGGTCTTTGAAGCTCTCACTGCGGTTGGCACATCGTCATGAGCATTCGGACTGCCCCATGATGCAATAGTGAAAGGATGATTCTCCCAAGGCTTTCCAAGCATCGGAAAATAGAGGAACGAGTGTTGACCAGGTCGGACATTCCAAGCCTTCTTGGGGAAGATGGTCATCTGCAAGACATCGGTATGCGGGATCAGCTTGATAACAGCGATGGGACTCCCGAAGTAGTTGTAGTACATCAGACGGACGAAACGCATCATTCTGTCAAAGCCCCAGAAAGCGAAAGCGATGTACAACCAGACCTTGTAGCCCCACTTGTCTCCAAATCGTAAGTCGATGTGATACCAACAGCCGATCAGCGCAAGGATAGCAAAAGCGATGTGCGTGATGAGGAAGATCTCATACGACCGGATGCGAATGGGAAGCACTGCAAAGCCTACTGTAAGGCATAGCACAACGGTGGCGATGATTCCCCACCAGTAGTAAGGCATAGCTGCCTCGACCTTATACGCTGCCGACCCTCCAGTCCAGAAGTAGGTGATAGTATAGATGATCGAGTGAACGATGGCTTGCAGGGTAGCGACCCTAGACGCCCAGCGATGGATGGCTAGCATTGTACTCTGACTCCAGCCAGTGACTGCCATGAGCAGATTGTTTCGGCCAGAGAAGAGGATTGCCAAAGCCAGATTCGCGAAGCTCAGAACGCCTGTGCGGTTGGAGACATATGCTGCGATCTCATGTCGCCGGTCGGCATACCAGGCGTTCGGGGTTACATGATGAAAAGAGACCGCCGAGAAGATGATGTTGAGGATGACGTATGCGGCGATGAACAATGAAAGGGCACGTTTGGGCAGATAACCTATGTTCAAACAGACAGTATTAGCGCATGCTTGTTATTCAGGTGATCGCCTTCAGTATGCATACCGACGCGGTAAGGTAACGGCGACAGATGTCTGCTGTTGAATGCTGCAGGCACAAACAAGTGCTGACCGAGCTTCATGTACATGCTGCTGGAGGCAACCCTTGAAGCAAAGTGGGACTTCCAAGTTCCAACGACAAAGCAAGTGCCAACGACGAAGAGTATGCTTATAAGTCTGATTCGGGTAAGCGACCTTCAAACAGCGTCCCTATTCCATGAACTTACGAGTAGCGGGTGTGTCGATGCTCAGATGATACGAACTCTTTCATCGTCACGTAGTTGGCCAGATACGTCTCTGCATTGACCAGGCTTGTCAGGTTCAGCCAGACGGCCTTCGGGTCCAGCTCGACATTTGGAGTATTCGCCGGCAAAGAAGCACTCAATGTCGGGACATGCTGTCCATTGGCAGCTAGTTTGGCGAAGCATTGGCTTTGTCTGCTTTCGCTAACGCCATGTTCGGAGCACTTGTCATGGACGCAATTGGCGAAGGTCTCGAGCCAAGCCTGATTTCCAGCGTAGCAAGCATCACTCGTCGTCGCCATTGACTCGCCTCCCATGTCCATGCGTTTTTTCAGCTTCATCTCCATACCGCTATGCATGTCCATTGTCGAAAATGTCGTACAATTGAGGTAGAGAGAGGAGAGCGAATCATGACAAGAGTAGCAACACAATGGTTGATACATCGGTATACCAAAGCCAAGTACCCCATACTGAGTTTCCGCGGCGACGAGGCTGAATGAAAGTAATGGCAGACTGATACCAAGTACAGTGGAGGTCCTCATGTTGACGAGCTGGCAACCAACAAATCAATGCACATCGACGGCTACGACCGTGGCCCTTCTATATTGTCGCCTACAAGCTACTCACCCCTCCTTTCTTATGAGAGTTTCGGATCGGACATGACTGTTTGCATGTTGAGAGGACATTTGAGCAAGTTGTTGAAGAGACCATTGTCGCCATTGCCATATCGGAACAACTAGATTGTGCTACATGTATGCCATGTGGAGCGCATGCGTGGAGCCGAGCGTCCTCATGGGAGCGAAATGCACGTTTCGAGTGATATTGAGCAAGTTTCCGGAAATGGCGTTCGCGTGGATGAAACGACGCAGCGGAATGGCTGTAGCCAAGCCTTTTTGCTGACCAGCCGAGTACTGCCACCCATAGGTCGCGAGAGCGTCCCAGTGATGTGAACATCTACAGCCTAGCGCCAGGTCATTGGTAGCTTGTCATCAATTCTCTTCATCGGCACAATTTGTGGGCTCTCATCGACGGTCTTAAGGGTCCCTTCGAGGTGGGTAAGCGCGGTGAGAAGGTGCATTTCTTCCTCAGCACTGATGGACTGCATAGGGACGCCATCTCGCCGCTCTGCTGAGAATCAAAGGATGCGGGATCACCATCTCTCAGTCTAGAGCGACGGGAAATGTGTGTTGAAACAGGTCAGAGATACTGATCACTCGACTGTCGATGTCTGTCAAGAAGCAGTCGCAAGAAATAGGGTGCAACGCGTCGGCGGATATTGCGGCAGAAACTGACGGATGTCGACGGCAATTGCGGGGTTGTCCAACAGTTGCGATAACCACGAACTCTGCAGAAATAAGCAACAGCAATAGACACCAAGGTAGGTGACTTGGAGGTCTCTGCAATTTACCCTGCGTGCCCTGAATCGGATTATCCGAATGTCCAGCTTCGACGCGCGCACATGTCATCGTCGACTCCACAACATAACAGATTGCGCTCCCGCGTAGCCTGCGAGCCATGCAGAGAGCGAAAGAGAAAGTGCGATGGAGGATTTCCATGCAGCACTTGCGTGCGATATGCCTATGATTGCCATTACCCGCAATCTAGTCGAAAGAGAAAGGCCGCCGCAATTTCCGACCGCGAACGAACCTCACCGATGACTGAACACAGTCCTCCTTCTCCTACAGATCAAGAAGCTCAGAATCGCATAGAGTCCCTGGAAGCGAATTCTGGCTCGGCTTTTGTCAGGAAGATGGCGCTGGGTATAGATCCTGCAAATGCGCCTCGACTTCGCTTGTTCGCGTGGAATGTCTTTCTGGGATCTCGAAAGTCAAATCATACTCCGACATCACGTTCCGTCATCCAAATCCTGTCCTGGCCCGAGATGGAGGAGCTTGTGACCATCTACTTTACGAAAGTCGATCCTTGCTACGGGTTCGTAGATCGCCGTTCTCTCGAGCGACGTATACGGGCTCATTGGACCAGCGACAGCACCGAGACCAGCTCGTTTGAGGCTGTGATGTGCGGCGTGGCTGCTTTGGGTCTTCTCTTCTCTCGAAGGAATGTCATCGATGCTGAACTGGACCTTGTAGAAACTGCAAAGCGGATACTTGAGCAGTCAATGTCTGTCCACCCTTCTCTCGATATTGTTACTGCCTGGGTACTGCGCGTAGCTTACATGCGCATGACTGCTCCAGCACATGCCTCTTGGATGTCTAGTTGCATGTTGATGCATAGCCTTGAGGCTGCCGGAATTCACTCAACTCACGTACTGAACTGGAGCGCTGATGAGTCAGGACAGACGTTGACACCAGAGATTCGGAAACGCATTCTAGGTGTTTCACAACATCTTAACATATGGATGTCTTTTGATATCGGCCGCTCGAGGGTCCATCTTCAGACTTTGGACTTTGATTTGCCAGCCCCTCGTGAGGGTAGCTATACCACGGAGATCCTGGAACTTCTGCCGCATTCGGAGAACCTCAATCCGGACAAGAACGTGGATGTGCTCGATCTCAAAAACTCACTTTCCACTATCGTTCAGAGACAGCATACTGCGCCACCTTCTATACTTGCTCAGTGCAATCTGACGCTCTTGTTGTGCCGACGTTTGAGAACACTCAATTTCCATTTCCAAGGCAGTCTCCTCAATCAGGTGCTGTCAGTCACCGCGCGTGGCATTCAGGCTGCTCAAGATTTGCTGGACGACTGTGCTCCTTGGCATCATGTGGTCAATGTTCCCTTTCAGATCATCTGTATCCTGCTTGCTCTAGATACACCAGCTGCCATTGCGCAGCTGACTGATGGCGTCAAGACCTTGAGTAACATTCAGCTGGTATACCCGACAGATGCCGCTAAGGAAGCGCTGAGTACAGCGTGTCTACTTATTCATTTGCACAGGAAGAGAAAGGAGGCAGATCTCAGAACACTTTCGGACATCGTGTCGACATACTCGCCTTCCGTCTTATTTGACCAGCAGTCTGCAACGCAACCTCAGCATGTTACTGATTGGAGCAGTAATACTTGGCTCGATACTTTGCCTGAAATGCCTGATCTCCAGACGTTTGACATTGATCGTTTCTTGAATGGTAGCAGCGAGTGGAGTATTCCTGGTGACTGGACACAAACTCTGTAAACACATTTGAGGTTGTACGGCCGATCGGAAGCAACGGCTGTTGCGGGCGTCGCGGGCCGTTTGACAACCTTTGACTATAACCTAGATCTCGCCCTCTGCGACCACTCTACGTCGCCAAACGACCTTCCACCAGACATACTGCGCTCCAAGCACAACTCGGGATACAATGGCCGCCTTATTGAAAACATCATATCCTTGGATCAAACTTCCATTGATCGTATCGGCGCCGATGCTGAATGCGGCCACTCCAGCTCTCGCAGCTTCAGTCAGTCAAGCAGGAGGCATTGGTTTCCTCGCAGGAGGCACGAAGCCCGCTGAGCTCGACAATCTTCTGACAAAGACCACTGCTCTATTCGGCGCCAAGTCACAACATAGGCGAGGTTCAAATCAGGTCTTGCCCATCGGTGTTGGCTTCCAGAACTGGGGCTGTGATCTGGATGCTATGTCGCCCATCTTTCGAAAACACTGCGTTGCTGCAATATGGCTCTTCGCTCCAAAACAACTCTCGGATTTCAGCTCATGGGCTCGCGAGATCCGAAGCGCTAGTGGGGGACGAACACAAGTTTGGATCCAGGTCGGGACAGTCCTCGAGGCACTGGAAGTGATGAGACTGGCTCGTCCGGATGTCCTGGTTGTGCAAGGAACAGATGCTGGTGGTCATGGACTACGACAGTCTGCTAGCATCATATCTTTGCTGCCAGAGACTATAGATGCCCTTAAGGCCGCCGGATATCCCAATGTACCCGTGCTGGCTGCCGGTGGCATTGTTGAAGCCAGAGGAGTCGCTGCTGCGCACACTCTTGGTGCCGCTGGAGTTGTTATGGGTACAAGGTTTCTCGCCGCCGACGAAGCTGGGATCGCCCGAGGTTGGCAGAATGAGATTATTCGTGTCGGCGATGGCGGTACTTCTACCAAGAGGTCGACACTCTGTGATCGTCTGAAGGAGACCATCGGATGGCCAGAACACTACGATGGAAGAGCCATCACCAACAAAGGACACCTGGACGAAGACTCGGGCTTGTCTGATGCCGAGAGCGTGCGGTTGTACAAGGAAGAGTTGAAGAATGGGGATGAGGCCTGGGGTGATCATGGCAGGATGGTGACATATGCTGGTACTGGGGTCGGTCTCATCAAAGTACGCAAGCCTGCTGCTCAAATTGTGCAAGAAACGTCTAATGGTGCCTTGGAAATACTACGACGTGGTGCTGGAGTTCCAGACTCGAAGCTTTGAAGACTGTATGTAGGGAGAAGCGCTTCTGAAGAAGAAGGCCACTCTCAATCTCAATCATTTTGGATACATGGGAATGTCTGAGCAAATATGAAGAGCCATCTGGGGATTCTCATCATCGAGACGAACTGAGCTTATGATCGTTCAAGTAGCACATATGAGCAGAGATTGCTGGAGCATTCACCAGCGAGGACACAGTAAAAGCGAGCGCTTACTCTACACGCGATTATCACAGGATTTTCTCGCGTTGCTCCCACTTTTCGTATCTTGGATTCGTGTTGAAGATCTTCTGTCGACGGGCGAACAAGCTCTTGTTGCATCGGAGAAACGGTCGAAGTGGAGTGCCGGGCATCTCGAGCGACAGCGGTACGAGCATACAATCCCAAACTCTATTGAATCCTTGTTGAACCAAGTCGCATGTTGTACCGCCTTTTCCCAGTCTGGAGGCGGAGGTAATCAGTTGACAAAGAGGGTCAGCCCTATCTTGTAAGGGCCTGGAGTGGAGCCAAGAAGCGGTGGGGCCCCGCAAAGTGACGTGCATGGCGCGCCTTAACCCTGTAGGACGCGCTCACGTGTCGGTGTACTCTTGTCTCCCGACGGCGGCGGTGCATACGAAGGATGCAAGGCTGTTGTCGACGTCTTAGACATGGCCGTCTCGCCTCTCCTTTCTTGTCTTCTGCTCACCGTACCCGACGACTCTCTGCCTGACTCCGCCACCTTCTGGCCGTCCCTCGCCACGCAAACATGACCTGAATTCTGCGACGACCATCAATTGGACCCTGTATACCATATCGAGAGACAAGAGTTGGAAGAGAATAAGCAAAAAATGTCTGACGGGATCACCGACGCGAAGAATGGCATCACGGGCGGATACAAAGGCGAGAATGCCATCATCATTCGAGCAATGCTGGCATTTACTGCCATAGCTTGGTATAACGCAGCCGAGCTCATCATTCTGGTCCTGGTCGTCTTCAAGCGGTACTCTGGCCTGTACTTCTGGTCTTTGCTCATCACGTCCATCTCCATTATTCCGTATCAAGTCGGCGCATGGTTGAAACAAGTCGGAGAGAGCGATGCGATGGGCATGATTATATTGTCGAGTATCGGCTGGGTTGTGCTGGTACCAGGCTCTAGTCTGGTGTTATACTCTCGTCTACATTGTATCACGCAAAACCAGAAGCTGCTGAAGGGTGTACTCTACATGATCATCATCAACGCGGTTGTTCTTACCGTGCCAACGAATGTCCTGTCTCTTGGCTCCAACTCCAGCAAGTATCGACTATTCACCACCGGCTATTCTGTCATGGAGAAGATCCAGATGACAGCTTTCACCGCTCAGGAACTCATCATCTCATCCATCTATCTTATCGAGGTTCGGCGCGTGCTCAAAGTGGTAGATGATGGTCGCTTCAGAAAGCTCATGTGGGAGCTTGCGGCTATCAATGCCGCCATCATCGTCTTGGACGTCGCGCTCCTCGCTGTCGAGTACCTTGGCTTGTATCAGATCGAAGTCACACTCAAAGGAATGTGTTACAGTATCAAGCTTAAGCTGGAATTCGGGGTTCTGTCGAAACTGGTCAAGATTGCGACTGCTCGTCAAGGTGTCTATGATCTTAATACCGGCACTGACAGCAATGGCACGAAAGATACAATGACCTACCAAGGACACGGTAGCTGGTTGACCGGGGTATCGGCTTCGCCACCTACATTGACCACCTTATCTTCCAACGCCACGTACAGCACCGCAAAGCGCAACAGCACGTGGGGTAGTATATTCTCATCCACCAACCCATTCACGTCTGCGCATGCGGAGGTACAGAAGAGGCACCGCGACTTCGAGGCCAATGTGACGTTTTCGCAAGCTGAGCCGTTGCCAAAACCAAGTTTGTTTGCTGATCACATTTCTCATCCACCTGCTATTGTTACTTCAAGACGCTCATCGACGGAAGATATGTATCCTGGAAGACTTGGCTGATATACCGGAGAGTGCTTCTCAGAAGAAAGGTCGCACTGCAAATATCACCCTGCATTGAGACAGGTCTTTAGAGGCATACAATGTCCAACCCGGAGTACAGCATCGAGAGCCATTTTATGGGACGTGGTACAGCCTAAGCGGCTCCACTCACCGCAGGTCTGCCTACCCCAGAGGCTGCACACAAAATACCTTCACCTCCTTGGATTTTTAAATTCATTGAAGTAAGGCACGATGATTTACTCCCCCTTCTAACTCTGCTCCCGAGAACCCTCAATGTCGATAGCTCCGGCAATGATTCAAAAGGGGCTCGCACACCTTTATTACGTCGAGGCGCCTCTCAGGCACTACGTCGCACGGTCAAATATTCACGAGCTCTTCTGACACGAGTACGACATGTACGCTCTCGTCCCTCGCCTCCGTGATCAACAGCAACATCAAGCGCGATATCACGAGCGTCGAAAGCCCAACCAACGCGTTCGAGACCCGCGGTTCGTCTTCTGCGTGCGCGTCGCCGTCGGAAGCTACGATGCTGGCGTGGGGCTGGTTGTGGTAGGAAGATGGTTGGAGGGTACTCTGTTCGCGTATTGTGCAGGGTTGCCGTCACTAGGAAGCTGGTTTTCAGTTGGTTATGTTCGCCTTGTTGATAGTGGTGGAGATTGGGTGTGGAGCAATCGCATGTGATTTCAGCTGTGTTTCACGAGATTCGCCGTGCTCCAACTATGACAATGGGATCTTCATGGGTGCTGTGGAAACGCAGAGTGTTTTTGCAAATCGTGGAGGTTTTGATGGAGAGACGATGGAATGGCCTGTAAAGTGTAATGATGCATTAATTTCGTTGTATCGTGTAGAAAGCCCATCCCTATCAACGCGTGTATTCCATGTTTGACTCGCCATCCATAATATGTACCTTAACCATGTATCGTCTTTCGTTATGCCAATATCAATGTCTATCCTTTTGCAGACCTGTGCCCCGTAGTCTCTTCTACCATCTTGAAGGAGACATTTCTGACTCTTCATTATTCGTGACGTCCATAACTTGCCCCGATGACAGTACATCTCCCGTCTGACAAACACGTCTCGGACTCGCAGTCTCCTCAACATGAGCATTCCTCGCTGCCAACAAAGGCGTTCTCTCACTCTGACCCTCTGCAGCAGCAGCAGCAGCAGCAGCAAAACTATTCCAGCGATCGAGTTGCGGTCTCAGTGCTCTGATGCTAGGAGATTCCGAGACATCCCTTTTGATTGAGCTGTTTGCTGTTGCTGAAGTGGCGTCTGCGCGGCGGGCTTTGCGGCGATCGCGGATCATGTAGATGATGGCGGTGATGATGAGGATGAATTGCATGACGCCGACGAGGACGTAGACGATCCAGACAGACCAGCCAGAGAGACCAAGTCGAATGATCATGTTGATGCCAAAGATCCAGGTATACTATGTCTCAAAAGTCAGCAGGTCATCCCTTTGATGTCTTTGTGTCAGAGAAACAGAGGGAGCAGGACTTACAGGCGCACCCATACAAATACTCGCCAAACTCAAACTCCCCAAATGGCCCAGATGAATAGTCGTCCACACCTGCGGCACCCACTGCACACACGCAAACCCCGCCACACAAACCCCCAACACATTAGCCCATTCCTGACTATACCAAGGAAAGCACTTCAACACCACCGCACTAACCATCAAGACTCCAAACGCAAAAGCCACCACGGTAATCAACAATCTAATCGCTCTCTTTGCGCGGCGAAATGTGCGATCAGGACTTGATAAACTTCTTCTTCTGCCGTGTAATTGTGCATCTGCTTCTTCTTCGCTAAAGTAGACGTAAAGGAACATGATGCACCAGAATAGTGATACTCCACTGACGACTTGGAAGATTCCTAATAGGCGGGAGATGCAGCCGAAGCGTGTGTAATGTCTGCAACAAGAGATGTCGGTTTGGGAAGCAGGTAACACCATGATGTTGGCCACTGCACAGGTTCCGGAGATGCTGCCGAGAAGAATGTAGAGGGTTGAGAGACCTTCTGCGGATTTTCTGGAGATGATGCGCGCGAATTGGGGGATGTAGGATATCAGGAGCCAGGCTAGTAGTGCACTGTGAAGAAGGCAATCGTTAGTAGAGTATTCGTCGTATACAATAAAGCGCAATTGGTCAGATCTCTGACACTGAAAGTAAAAGCAAAACATACCATGATACGGCAAACTGTCCAGTGGAAGGCTCAGACATCTTCTTGCAGTTGTCCTGCGAGATAATCGACATGATATCCATGATGGCAGCCGTTTCCTGCGCGTATGTTTGTCGATACTGCAGGGTAGATGATGACCAGAGAAGAGGAAGAGAGTCCCAGAGACTTCAAGAAGTGATAAATACTCTGCTCAACACCCAGACTTTCCAGGCCAGGTGCTCCGTTAAAAGGTAAACAAAAATGGAAAACGTTCCAGGGATGCCGACTGACGGAACACTCGTAAGGGGAAAAAAAAGGTTGTTGCCTGATCAAAAAGTTTCAAGAGTCAGGCCGGGAGATCAGAGTCACCACAATAAAACATCTCACAGCCAAACGAATACACCCAAAAAGAAAACCCGAAATACCTCGTTCAAAAGAAAAGTTGACCATGACCAAGGTATTCGAGTCATTGCAACGTCATGTACGACATGAAACACGCCTGTGTGTGTTTGCCTGACTAAACATATCTCCATGGCTTGGATGGTTGCCTCCACCATATTCGTCTTTTGCGACCACTTTTGTGCATGTGCGCATCATGAGTGGTTTGTTTTTTGTCCAGAGAAAATCCCTCTGCGAAAGTGCAAAGGTGAGAGATATAACTAAAAGGGGTAATGATTGCTCTTTCCCGAGCTCCGGATCCGTGTCGGGAGATCGTCCCGGACCGTGTGACCAAAGGTGAAAGGGTCCAAGATTCCAGGCTCTCTTTCATCTCGGGTTTAAGGGACCAAGACTTGCGTGCGAATGTTTTCGTTTCACATTTCAGCCTTCTCTTCTTTTGTTGTTGTGCGTGGAAATTTATTTGTGATTGATCTCATTATTTCGTACTGTTTACATGACTATGGAGATGCCTGATTGAGGCATCGATGCGTCGTTATTGTATTTACAGCTTGCTCTTGTAAAGGTGAATGACATGAGGGTTGCAGTAGGACAGCAGACCCTGAGTACCCCATTCACCACCGATACCAGACTCCTTGTGTCCGGAGAAGATGGCTTGAGGAGTGGGCTTCTCGAAGGAGTTGATGAAGACACTGCCGGCTTGGAGGCGAAGGGCAATGCGCTCGGCGGCCTTCTCGTCCTTACTCCAGACACAGGCACCAAGACCGGCGTTGCTGTCATTGGCACGGTTGATGACCTCCTCTTCGTCGGAGTAGGGCTGGACGGGAAGAATGAGACCGAACTGCTCCTCCTGGATGATCTTGCTGTCGTTGGGAGGGTTGTCGATGATGGCGGGCTGGAGCCAGAAGCCACCATCCACCTTCTCGACATCACCGCTACCAGCGATGAACTTGTAACCCTTGTCCTTGCTGTCCTGGAAGAAGGTCTTGACCTTTTCGAATTGCATCTGGTTCTGGATGGGACCGAGCATAGCACCCTCCTCATCGGGCTTGCCAACTTTGAGGCTGGCAGCGACCTTGGCCATGGCCTCGGTCATGGGCTTGTAGATGCTCTCGTGGATGTAGATACGCTTGGTGGCAACACAGACCTGGGAAGGGTGTCAGTATATGATTGAAGAACCATGGACGGTCATAACTTACCTGACCACTGTTCTGGAAAGCGCCCATCACAAGCTGAGGAGCGGTAGCCTCAATGTCGACATCCGCTCTGACGATACTGGCATCGTTGCCGCCAAGCTCGAGGGTGACACGCTTGAGGGTCTTGCTGCAGGCGGCCATGATCTTCTTGCCAGTAGCGATGCTACCAGTGAAACTAATCTTGGCGATACCGGGGTGCTCGGTGAACATGGGACCAAGCTTGTCATCACCGCCAAGAACCTGGACAACACCGGGAGGGAAGATGGTCTGAGCAAGCTCGATAGCCTTCAAGGAGGTATAGGGGGTGAATGGCGAAGGCTTGACAATGATGGTGCAACCAGTAAGCAGAGCAGGGATGATCTTGCCGAATGACAGGACGAGAGGGAACTATTGAGCTGATGTCAGCACTGGTCCGTGTCATGCTGACGGAAAAGTAGATAAACTTACGTTCCAGGGGCAGATGGCACCAACAACACCCAGGGGCATGTATCTTGTAGTCATGATCTTCTCGTCATCCTCGAGTCTCTCCTCGGGGATCTCAAGCGACAAGTGGTGACCGAACCAAGCACCAACAGCACCAACTTCGAAAGCGGCGAACTGTCTGGGCTTACCGGTCTCCTTGCAGAGCAGTGTGGTGAATTCCTCCTGGTAACCAGCCCACAGCTCTTGGAAGTTCTTCAAGAACTCCTTGCGCTCCTCAATGGGCTTGACGCTCCATGATTCGAACGCCTTTTGTGCAGAAGCAACAGCCTCGTCGACGTCTGATTGGGTAGCGATTGGGACATCCCAAAGCTTCTCGCCGGTGGTGGGGTTCACACCCTGGTGGTAGTTGTCGGACTTTGTGCGAGCCTCGCCATTGATGATGTTGGCGAACTTGTCGTCAAACGAGATGTTTGCAGTCTTTCCAGGCGACATGATGGATGTGTATGTGCTGAGTGTGAGATTGAAGAAAGCAAAGGGAAAGGTTTCTCAGGTACGATGAAGTGGTGTGAACTGTATTTAAATGCAATTGACTAGCGATCAAATGGTGATAAACTTATTGTGAAGGAGCCGAGGGACGAGCACTAGCGTATGAGGTTTCACACCCCGCTCCACTGTGGCACTTGGCCCGCCGCAGTTCGTCTAAACAGACAGGTGGCCATTGGATCAAAACTATGAGCCCGTGTGCGAAGGATTCAAACTGACTCATTCTAGTCGTCACCGCTACATGTATGAAGTACCTGAGCTCCTTAACAACTGTATCAATGACATTCTGGCCGAGAGCCTTGAAGAGGCCGGTGGAGAGACGAACCGTGAAGAAACGAGGGTTTGCACCCCGCACCCACTCCAAGTTATTACCCCGCCACAAATCTGCCCGAAAAGTCGTTTGCCATCTGCCGTGCATGGCATGTGTGGATCTTTCGCCTTTCGAGGCTGTCAATTCGCAAATAGTCTAGAGTAGACGGCTCGGATGGTCTATCTGCCGTGCACCTGCGTCGACATGACCCCTTCCGAAATACCATATCGATAAACGAGTGACCAGGGAGTAATCGAGGAATTTATCAATCCTCGAACTTCCACTGGCCTTGTGCTTACTGCTCGTACTGCTGACGATCTGACATGATATGAACGGAGAGGCCAAGGACAAGGAGTAGTGAATGTTTTGTAGCATGTACATTGGTTCGTAAAGATGACATTAAGCTTGGAAGCAAGATAAGGAACAAGAAAGGCAAAGCAGAACTAGCAAGGGTATCGAAAGAAAGGAGAAGGGCATCAGAAATAGTTCCTGTATTCACACTCACACGTGTCCTCAGCTGGTTGAGCAATGAGGACATCGGTGATCTGGTCTCCAACAAGGCCGTTTGTTGTGTAGTAGCAAGCCGGCGTGTCTGTACCGCCTGGACTGACGAGCTCAACCTGAACAGCGTATGGCCAGAGTGTGAAACTTGCATTGTTGCCAAGATAGGTGTAATGCTGAGCAAATGTATCGTCGAGATGCAAGGTTCCCCGGACTTGAGTCTGGTTAAAGAAGCACACGGTGGCCCTGTTGTCCGCGGTTATGTTAGATGCCGGAAGGATTTTCTGAGATATGTTCGCTGCAAAGGTGTAGCGTGGAGACGTGTCGTTGATAAACGTCAGGGGGGTTGTACCAAAGACGATACTGAGAGGGTTGTCAGACGCAGAGATGGTCATGTTTGCATCAACGCCAGTGCTTGACGTGGACAAGCCGCTGCTATTGGAGGCATACAAGGCAGAGGTGTTGGACAGGACCCAGTTGAAGTTCGCCAGAGAAGCAGCCGAGGACTGATCAAAAGTCGGGCCAGGGAAGCAGCGCCAGGTGTTGGGGTCCGATGTACAATTCTTCTCAATTACGCGCAGGGCGGTGACGAGACTGTATTCTCCCACGGGATATGCCAACTGTGATGGCGTGTTCGTGCCCGGCTGTGCTGATGGCTTGCCAGACTGGCCACCTCCCCCTCCACGGGTCAAGCCCACACCTAGACCTATACCAAGGCCAATGACCAGTAGTGCAACCAGTACCAGGAAGCCGATTCTCTTGCATCCTCCTCTTTTTCGCGTGACCGGCCCTATCGGAATAAGTTTGTCTCCTTCCAGACGGTTGGAGTGCAGGGCATAGGCGGGCGGCATGGAGTCATGGCTGGTGCGCGGTATCGTCCTGGCAAGATGGGTGCTGTCGCTCCATCGACTCTGGAGCCTCGGAGATTGCGACGACATTGACAGCGACGACGGCGTTCTGTCAGAGACGACAGCGGAGAGGCGCTGCCCTGCGATTGTGGAGATGCGACGTGGTGGCGGCGACTGAAGGGCCGACGCTGGGTTGGGTGCCCAAGCACCGCGAAGAACGTCCATGTTGTTTCGATATCACTGCGGTTGCATCGTTTGTCGCATGTTTCGAAGGGTAGGCAGGTGAAGGTCCGCGCCTATCACCACATTATTAAGGGTCATGTCGCCACTGGGCTCATCCTTCTGGTTAATTGGGATGCTTGACCCAAATTTGGTATGGACCAAAGTTCGTTCGGCTCTTCTTTCGCACTCTTCCGCTCTCCTCCGTCATCTTTCCCGGAGCTATCGAAAAGCAAAGTCCCGAACTGAGCATCTGCCCAATGAGATGAGAGCTTCTCCAGGCCTAGATGCATTTGTTGGTATAGATGTACTGCAGTCATACATTGTACCCATGGAAAGTGGCAGCTCTGCTTGCGACGACACCGTCGATTTGTTTGTAGTCTGACCCTTGTTTTCTTCTTATCTGTGCCCCCTTCGCATGTCTCGCTGCTCTATTTTCACCGCATCTCGTGCGAGCGGGCTCGCGACGATGTTGGTTGTCAAAAGACAAGATGTTTTCTTGCCACTAGAGTCGTCGACTGAGAAACCCTACTGGTGACCCCTTTCGTCGTCTCTCATGACAACGAGCTCACGGACACAGTGCCTGTAAAAATGCATGGTCATTTTACACTGGACAAAGTCATCCACTGAGACAGACCACGAGCATGTCTTTTGATCGCATCTTCTGCGAGCGAGCTCACAAGTAAATGGGTTGGGGAAAGGCAGGATCATTTTATGTACAGTGTAGGTGTCCATTGAGAGACTCTGGAGGCACGTTTTTGTCGCATCTCCCGCGAGAGAACTCAAGATTATGCTGCTTGTAAAAAGGCATGATCATTTTGACACAGAGTGAGTCTCTTACTGAGAGTCTTTACTGCTATATCTTATCAAACATCATTTAGTGTGGCGCATGCCAGACATGAAGTTCGTGCACGTGATATCGCTACCCCATAGTCTAAATCCATATCAATTGTCTTTTAACTTCCTATCCTCATCTCATATCAACGATATCTCGTTAAAGCTAGGTATAGTATATTCTCATGTCTCAATTCCCCTTATATCACTGCATAGAAAGAAGAAAAACCATTGGCAAAGCACGATCGAGTGTGAGGGGTACATGTTGTTCGAATCCTTGCCTGTCACTCGGGCTCGAGTCTGCAGTCACTCTGGGTTCACATTGTCCTCACCCAGACGTCACTTCACACTCACACTGGGCCCAACTTGTCTTCCAAATGCCCGCGCCGTGACTCACTCGTTGTCGGGAGTCGGAAGTCTCTAGAGCCAGTCTTGGCGTCCTTCCCTCCCAAATCTGAAATTCATCCAAGCGTCGGAGCTACACGCTCTTATCGATAACACGCCCTCAATGGCCACACTAATTGATTGGAACACTGTTGCTAGCGACGGAGACCCTGCACAATACCCGAGCAGAGTACCCTCCAACCATCTTACTACGTACCTCCAGGGTGTCATCATCGCTGTGAACGGCGATCCATACATCCAGAACACTTTTGGTGAGTCGAATCTAGCATTATCCTTTTGTTTGCGCATCACTAATCTCCTCAAGGCTCTGTCGAGTTTACAACTCTGCCTAACAACTACCTGCTCGAAACAAGATCGCGCCAGAACTCTAACCAGAAGGATCACTACGTCCACGGTCATCCGAGAGGGCAGTTTCGCGCCGTAGGAGATTTTGCCAAACACATCGTCGGCCTTTTGCGTAGAAACAATCTACAAAACTGTACTTGCCCGCGTTGTCCTCCACCAGCACAGATCGTCAATCCATCTCAAGTCATCAATCCCCCTCAAGTCGCCAATCCCCCTCAAGTCGCCAATCCCCCTCAAGTCATCAATCCCCCTCAAGTCATCAATCCAATCCAACCCCCTATCAATCCTACAACGGCATCTTCAGCTCCTATGGATGTCGACACTGTTATGGATGAAGACGGCACTCCTAACGTCTTCGAGGAGCTTCTCTACAAGGCCAAGCAAGGCGAACGCATCTCGCAAGCTATCACAGAGCCAAAGTCGCTGGATTGGCTGCTCGAGAGAGAGGCCGCCGGCCTTCCTGCTTACTTGGAGTCCCTGAAGACTTCCAATCGCCACGTACCTCGTCTTGGTGAGATCGTCCTCATCGCACGCCATCTCGAGGGTACACAGAGGATCGTCCGCGACGGTGATGTCCACAGGATTGTCGAGCCCGGTATTGGCTATGTCGGCTTTCCTGTCTGGGAAGCTGCAGTCGTCACTCAGGTGGACAAGAGAACCGTGACTGCTGGCCTTCTGGAGGGCGTGAACGCTCCCAGATTCCGCGTGGAACCCATGTCAGAGATTGGCAACTCAAGCAAGGCTTGGTCGACTCGTTACGAGGAAATCAGCATTCTCAACGTCCGCCCCTTCCGCTTCTGGCAGCAGATCTTAGGCGAGGCTGACACCAACAATCCCAAGGAGCTCCACCCCACTGTTCGCCATGCCTTGACTGCCATGGCATCCATGTCTGTTGTCGACCGTTTCCACTTCGAGTCGTTCGGACAGGAAGTCAGAGTCTATTGCAAGGGTCTCTACGTTGGCGCCGAGTTCATCGTCCCCGGTGATCTTGTTCAATTCCAGATGCCCGGACTTCACGACAGCGTCGGTCTGGATGTCATCCAAATCCAGCAGATCTACGTAAGCATTCGCCTCGACCGCGAGCCCCACCCTCAAAGCATCCGGGTCATGGGTTGTACTTACACCACTGATCCCAACCACTCTGTCGGTCAATATGATCGCCCCATCCCTCAGGAAGAGCTGCCTACCCCTTCGATGCGTGGCTTTGGCAACTGGTACATGATGCAGGCCAAAGACGACCTGACCTATGTCCCTGCCACTGTCCTACTCGCTCGTCTGTTCGAAGACGGCTGGTACAAGGCCATCGTGGGCACAGCCAGCTACTCCAAGGTAGCCAAGAATGGCGGTGCGCGCCACATGAGAATGGATGACGACATCATCAACATGTTGTACGGTCTCAAAGGTGTCCTTCCCGCCCGCGAGTTCTCGTCGAAGTTCGATGCGCGTGTAAAGGACGGAGACGATGGACAGGGCTGGTACATTGCAGAAGACCGCGTCGAGCAACTTGATCTCAGCCAGGTTAACGGCCAGGATGTTGGTGATAAGGCTCGCTTTGGCTTCGAGGATCCTGATCACCTCCAGGAACATCATCTCCAGTCCATGTTCCGCGCATACAACTATCGCAGACAGGGCACCAAGGGCAAATACAACCACACGGTCCCAGCACAGGGTAAACAGCCCATGACTTCCGGTATGGCCGGTAGTGGCATGAACGGCCTTGAGGAGCCCGTTAGCGACGAGCCTTTTGACGAGGAGCAGGCCGAACTGGATCACGCCAACAGAGCCATGGACAAGTTCGAGCAAGAGTTCAATAGCCGTGTCACCGAGGACGACTTTGACGCATTCATCTCCTAGGATGAGCAGGATCGTAACAAGTCTAACCCCTATCTCGACACTCACCCCGAGGCCAAGGCCAGAGTGGAGAAAGAGAACAATGACAGAATCGAGAGAGAACTCAACAAGGAGCTCTACAAGATGATGGACATGGCGAACGAACTCAAGAAGATACGCTAAGAAGGAGAAAGAGAAGAGAAAGATGGACCAGGATTGCCGAAGCCAATCAGGAGGACACTTTCGATCACTTGGACTCGTTTCAGGAAAGTTGTAAGATATCAGGATCCGAATACCAGAACAGGAATAGTCCAAAAGCATGAGCTGCGAAGAAGCAGCCCATCAGATGATAAAAAGCATGAGCTGCGAAGAAGCAGCCCATCAGATGATAGATGCATGCCCTCGCGGCCCAATGGATCAGAATAATCATCGAGAGAAAAGAAGTGGTAGACAGAAAAGGAATTTGACACCAGTTGAACTCCAACCCGCTGTACCTCGTGACAGTGCCTTTGCCGTATGTACTATAGAGCAAGTCACAGTGGAAGCGAAAGAAGCGGGGACAGAACAGAGAATGCTACAGTTGTCTTGAGATGTGGAATACTAGAATAGGAAGCAGAAAGTGGAAGTCGTCGAGTGGGGAAGAAAGAAGGCAATGAAGATACTGATTGGCGGGTCGGATGTCGGCAGGGTTGGACGCAATTGGAAAGCAGCGGGCGGCGGGCGCGACAAAAGTTCAAAACAACCAAAGATGTTGGCGCATCATCGCATCATCGCATCACCACCTTGATTCTGTACATCTTCATCCGAGCTTTCGAAAGGATAGACACAACTCGACACATGCACAGCTAAGAGGTGGACACGCGACACGCGACTCTAGGCCGACGACTTTCACTAAAGCGGCACATCGCAACACGACAAAGACATAGTCTCACATCACACCTCTCAAGCAGCATCATGTCGAAACGCGTGGCAGACGGCCAAGGCGGTGCAGATAGATACGGCGGCATGGAAGACCCGCGCGACACAGCCATGGATCCACCACGCAAGGCGACAGCAGCTCAGCTGGCAAAGCGAAGGTAAGAGTGCATGAAGTAGTGACACAGTGACCAACGGCCAGCTCACTCTTTGTTTGCGCAGCATCAAGCCGCTCAAGGGCCGCCCGGGCTCCTCCAGATCCTCTTCGCCGAGCAAGCCCAGTCCCTCTCCCACCATGTCCTTTGGCGCCGGCGACAGCAATAATCCATTCGCTGCCCCTCCAGCTGCTGCCAGCTTCGACTTTGGCCAGTCGACGACACAGGCACAGAGTAACCCCTTCAACTCTGGATCGACCTCGCATAGCTTCCCGCCGAACGCCCCTACAAACGCAAACGCAAACGCCGGCAGTGCCTTCAACTTTGGCCAGTCACAACCTGCCAGTGCTCCCTCCGCCTTTGCGCCTCCTCAAGCACCCTCCTTCAACTTCGGTGCACCAAGTCCCTCTGGCACGTCATTCGGCTTCGGTGCTTCACCTGCAAAGCCGGCACAACAGAACGGCGATAGCAACAAAGCTCCTTCATTCACTTTTGGCTCAACACCGGCCTCGCCCGCTCCTACAGCTCCCGCTTCGCCCGCTCCCGCCTTCAACGCCTTCTCAAGCATGTCGGCTCCCTCATTTGGTGCCGCTGAACAGCCTATCAGCGCGGCCGAGGTTCAAGAGATCGAAACGGCTGGTCCTCGTCTGACCCAGGAGGGCAAAATTGACCAGCTCGCTAGCATTGTTCGTTCTAGCGAGCCCAAGTACATGGTATCACACATGGTCTGCACAAACGAGTCGCACGTCCACTGACCTCTGACAGAATGCCAACCTCCATGACATTGTCTTGTCGACCCTCCCACCAGCCTTGCAGAGAAAGATGCTCGACTTCGTCCGCGGCAAATCCGAAAGTGTGAGTCTGACAGCGATCGCTTCTTTCGATCTGCCTCGTTATACCAGCACCATCGGTGCTACTCATCTCCATGCACCTCCCTTGTTTGCCGAGCACATGCCCCAAATCTACACTCATCTCCCCGCTTTCAGTGAAGAGTATTTCATGACCAACAAGTCCATCGATGAGCCAAGACTCGCCGAGGCAGCAGCAGACGCCAACATGCCCAGTGCGTGGCAGACGGGCATTGCTGCGCTGCAGTCGCGTCTGGACGAAGAGAAGACGGGCATGCAGCAGGTTCACTCGTACAAGTACTTTTCATCAGAAGGCTCGCTTCAGCCCAACTTCACTCCACCCGCAGCAGACTCTTTCAACCCCAATGCCTTTGCTTATGACCGGCCCTTTCAACCATACAACAGTGTTGAAGGTGGTCAAGTCCCCTTCGTAATCCATCCCGACACCGAGCACGCCACTCAACATGACATGCTCGGTGTAACCCTCTCGTCCGATTTCATCAACAGCTCTCAGCAATATTGCCTCTCTTCTCCTGCTAACAATACTTTCTACCAGGCTCCTGCCGAGGCTCCCAAATCCTCCTTCTTGTTCACATCCACATCCGCATCCTCGACTGCCCCGGCCGCCACGTCGTTTTCCAACTTTGGTCCATCCACTACCGCACCATCGAGCCAGCCCGAGACCAAGTCTTCGCCTTTCAATTTCGGCCCTCCTGCTGCTCCAAATGCATCTGCACCTGCAACTGCACCTGCAACTGCACCTACTACATCCGCCTTCAAGTTTGGAAGCACCGCTGGGATGACTAAGGACGACGCACCTGCCGCTTCTGCCTTTGCTGGCTTTGCTGCTTCGACGCCGAAGACGAACGACGCCCCGGCAAAGGCTCCAACTTCGGCTTTCAACTTTGGCGCTCCTGCTCCCTCTTCCACCGCGCCTGCAGCCTCTTCACCATTCAAGCTTGGGAACTCGACGGCCGCGTCAGCTCCCTTAACTAACGCCTTCAATCTCGGTGCTAATGCTGAGAAGAAGGACGAGGCAGCACCGACACAGACTGCAAGCGCTTTCAACTTCGCCAACACAAGCTCTGCTGCTCCTCCGTCTCCCAAGCCTGCCGAGAAGAAGCTTCCCTCTTTCAACTTTGCTGCGTCTGCCGCTTCAAAGCCCGCCGAGGAAGTATCTTACCCCAGCCTGAACACGCCTGCCTCTCAAGAACAGTCCCCTGCGCCCAAGCCTGCCTACAGCTTCGGTCAATCGACACCAGCTGCTGCTTCATCGCCCTTTAAGCTCGCCGCTGCACCTGCCGCATCGCAAAGTCCCGGCTTGGGCACTTCAATCTTTGACAAGCCTCCTGCCCAGCAAAAGGCCCCCGAGTCTACCTTCAAAGCTTTCGGTGCTTCTAACTCGACGCCCGTTCAAGCAAGCACGCCGTCTCCTTCTATTTCTTTCGGTGCACAAGCTTCTGCTCCTCCTGCCAGATCCGAGCTGAGCCAGAGCAATGCACTCTCTGCACCCTCTACTACCTCGGGCGTGGCGACTCCTCCTGCCTCTCCTCAGATTGAGCCCTCGGAACTGGGCTCTGTTCTCATCAAGCAGCTGAACGAGTCCATGCTTGCGCATCTCGCATCTGCCAGCCTGACGCAGGATTGGAGTGCTTCCATGCGCTTCTACCTTGATCAAGTCGCCGACATCCAATCCGAGAACAGTGCCACGCCTTCCGCATCAACTATCCCTTCCTCAAGTGCACCCAAGCAAATCACCGCTCCCTTAGCTGCCCCCAGCGCTCGTGGTGAGAAGCGCGCTGCTGAAGAGGATGTCACGAAGGACGATGACCACACCAAGCGTTCCAAGCCGTCTTTCTCGCAGTCTACCACCTCTACCTTCTCTCAATCTACCACGCCTACCAAGCCTCTGACTGCGACTGCCACGTTGTTCGACGACATTCTGAATTCTGCAAGCAAGCCTCAAACTCCTCAACAGACCAACGTCTTCTCGGCCACTGCAAACAAGACGCCTGCCCCTCCCGCCACTGCTCCTCCTGTCAAGTCCAATCCCTTCGGCGCCATCGCTCGCAACACCTCTGCTACCCCCGGTCCTACTGCTCCCAAGACTGGCTTTGTGCCCCCTGCTGGTGCGCAAGCATTGCCTTCGTCTAGCAATGGTACTTCTGCTCCAGCTTTCCAGATTTCTAAGTTTGGTGCCACCCCCGCTTCTACACCTGCACCTGCATCTGGCTTCCAAGTACCCAAGTTTGGTGGCGCTTCCACTACAGCTGCTTCCTCCAATTTCCTCAATTCGTTCGGCAAACAGGCTGCTGATCAAGAGGCCAAGGAGCGCGAAAAGCGCAAGGAAGAAGACATGGACTCTGACGAGGATGAGGAAGAATGGGAGAGAAAGGATGCTGAGAAGCAGGCCCAGAAGAAGGCCGAGCTCTTGGCCGCCAGCCAGGCTCTCAAGTTCAGTGTTGATGCCACCAAGAAGCCCACCAGTTCTGCTTCGGCCGTCTTCTCATTCAACGGCACACCTTCCACGACCGCAAACACCTCTGGCGCATCCAACATCTTTGGCAATATCTCCAGTAGCAAGCAGGATGACCAGGACGAGGATGACGACACCGAGGAAGATGAGGATGTTCATGCCGCCGCTGTGAACGCATCTCCTGCCAAGCCTTCAGCTGGCAGGAGCCTTTTCGACCGTGTTTCCATGGATACTAGCAAGGAGAAGACTTCTGATACACCCAGCGCGTCTTTCAAGTTCAGCTCGTTTGGTAGCTCGGGTGCTACTGATAACACTTGGAAGGGGAGCGATCCTATCAAGTTCGGCGCCAGCACAGCAACTGCAGGTACTACTACTCCTGATGGCTCTCCTGCCAAGGTTGCTGCTGCTGCTGCTCCCAAGTTCAACTTCGGTGGTCCTTCGCAGGCCGCTGAGAAGTCATCGCCCTTTGCTGGTATGATGGGTGCCAAGCCTGCCACCTCTGGCAGCATCTTTGCCGCCGCAAAGCCCTTGGCCCCTACCACTGGCTTCTCCTTCAGCGGTGCCGCTCCCTCCAGCCTCGCGCCTCCTTCAGGCTCATCAGTCTTTGCTTCTGCCGCCACTTCCCGCGCCACCACACCCGGCAACACTACCACCGACGCCGAAGCCAGTGCCCCCGAGTCCGAACCCAGCGAGACCCTCAACGACGCTCAAAAGGACTTGACCGCCCTCACCGCCGACGACCTGGCCAAATACGACCTCATCCACGAAGTCCGCTCCAAGGTCACCAAATTCGCCAAGGACTCTTCCGGCAAATCAGCATGGGCCGCCCAAGGCAACGGACCTCTGTACCTCCTCGCCAGCAAGGAAACCTCCAAACCTCGTATTCTCATGCGTGCCGACCCCTCGGGTAAAGTGGTCCTGAACTTCAACGTGCTGCTTAACACTCAGCTGTATGGTCAGAAGAGCGCTAAAATGGCAGCACTGAGTGTCCCTGCAGAAGACAAGAAGGTGGAGAGCTTCATGTGCATCTTCAAGGACGAGGCCACGACCAAGGAGTTTTTGGCCAAGCTGCACGGAGCTATTGAGAAGGTTCAGGGTTAGAAAGCTGGATCTGGAAATAAGAAGAAGGGGGGTGAGAGGAGGACGTTGAGAGAGAAGATGCTGAGAAGAGACTTGAGGCATTGAGACCTGTGAGCGATACACAGTTGCTCCTGACGTCAAGTTCTGTTTTGGGTGTGTATTGGTTTGGTCTTTGGTGATGTGGCGTTTTTTTTTGGTGCTTCTTTTTTCTCCATCGTTTCACTGCTTCTGAAGATTGAAAGCAAGCCGCTTTTTTATTCATGTCGCTTCTCTTTTTCTTCTTCGACGATGGAGAGGTTTCTATGCATTCTGTACTTGTACATGGTACACAAAAGCAGTATATCTTGTTCTGTCTGTGCCACCAGTCTCGAATGCTTCGATCTCGTATTCATCTACACATGTTCCCGGCCGTCAGTGCACATTTGTGGATATTGGTCTTTTGTGTTTTGTACGCTTTGTGATGTTGAAGTTTTCTTGCACTTTCCACTGTTTACGAGATGGCACTTCCATTTCCTCATCTTTCTTGTGTATTTGCATCAAAGGGTCTTGTGGATCGTTATGAGGATACTTGGTTGCTTCTTGCGCTTGGTCGATCTTACGCTTTTGGTCGTTGTTTCCATGGTTGCTCTTGCCCCTTCTTGTCTTTTGCTGTAAATTTCTTTGGAATGTTTTTTTTTTCCTTGGCTCGTTACCTTTTTGCGATTGTCTCCTTGGTCAAATCGCTGTTGCCCGCGGGTCCATCCTCACATTTTCTCTTTGATATCGTCATGTGAGGATACTGGGCATCTGAATTCCCACAGCACGAGAGCAGGTGATTCAAATCAGATGGGACTCGGGTATATATCAGGTTTTCATGTATATCCATCTTAGTCTCCCCGCAGTTGCAGCATGGGGAAAAGGTCATGTGTACGTGAGTGATGAGAGTTCCCCTCTTTTATTGATCTAGAACGACAGGGGTTTTTGAAGTTGTGGATAAGGGGGGTTTTTTTTGGCTTATGTTGCTGTATTGAACATGATTCCCTTAGGTTAGGTTGATGTAATGTGGTGATGAGGTTGATTTGGCCTTGGTATGGTTTTTACTCGGTCTATGGCAACGTTGGCCATTTACTCTCGGGCAGTTTGTGGCTTTTGTGTCTCTTTTGATCAAAGCGGACAAGTTAGATAGGGTCAGAGATAGAGACAGAGGCTGGGGGGGCCGAAGATGCTTGGATGTGACGAGCTGTAATATGCAATCCCATGCGTAAGTGTATACCCTGCCGTGGGAAGACACAACTAAGCGGCGCAAACAAGATCAGTCGATCAGAGAGTCATATGAGTTCAAAAGGGAATAGTCGACAGTAATAACATACCTGCACAGCAAAAGCCGCCGTCAAACATATATAGCACGATCAAACTATATCGCAGCGAATCAATGCAAGTGATTCTGGATGTTGAGAATCAAGTCGGCATGGCAGAATTGGGTTTGACTCATCCGTTGCTGTACGGCATAGTCGATGGTGATGTCTGACTCTGTCGACAAGGAAAAGTGTTCTAGAACCAATATAGCATCGCACGGTCTGCAATTTCGCTGTGAGTTGGTATGGCAGGTCGGGAATAGCTTCGTGTACGGATTCAAGGCACTGTCGACGGAACAAGTGAGTCAGCTACGGCACAAAGCGTACCATACAGGTGGACCTATGGCATAGCGAAGGATGTCAAGGTGAATCAGAGCGGTAAGCATTATACAGCCTAGTCGATGGGGGCTTTGCGGCATGATCAACAATATCCTCATAGGTCGGCATAGCTTGAGTGACGGTTGCACGGCACTGTCAACACTATCAACAAAAGTCAGAGCGGTAAGCATAACCACCACGGCAGAGTAAACATGGTCAGGGTGAGTCAGCGCGGCAAAGATGCTTACAGCCTAGTCGACGGCAAATGCACCACGGCACAATCAACGGTAAACATGTCAGCACGGGAAGAGAAGAATTATAGCCTAAACATCGTAAGACCACGCGAAATGAAGAAGAAACAAATATTCAGTAAGCAACGAACCACGGCACGGTAAAACATAACAAGGGTCTTGAGACACGCGTAAGCAATACACATGAACCCTTGAAAACGGTTTCGCTGACCTTGCCGTAGAAGGATGGTTGGTATCATTGCTTTTTTGGCCCTGTAGTATGTGGTCTTATAGGTCGCTGTTGTGTTTGAACAGTTTGGTCGGGATTTGTTGTTCGCCGAGGGTGGAGTTGTGGGAGAGGGAAGGTGCGACGAAGTGTGGAGATGAATTCGAGAGGTTGACTGCTTGCTTTCCCATCGGCTTGAACACAAGAAGCTCTCAAAGCAGGACATTTTCTCTGGTGGCGGAACATTTGATGATGAAGCACAATCGAAGACATAGGGATAAGATCACATGACTTGTAGTGAGAAAACAGAAGGGAAGAAAAGATGAAATGGGTAGGGAAGAAAAATAGAGATGGAAAAAGACAAAAGATAGAATAAAGGAAAATGGACAAGACTGGTACGGAGAGTCAAAATGTCGGTCCAATGAATATTCTCGGTCGTGTCGGTATCCCTCGACAATAGCAATGTATGATGGACTGATCTCGTGCCGAGATCACAATGACTAGATACCCCGTGTAGCTCATGTTCTTCCTGAGAAGCATGCTCTTCTAGATGGAGTCAGCTCCGCGCTTACAAAGAAATTCGATATGCGACCACTCTCTGCAAAGCATTTATTTGTTCAACGTGATTTGTCTGCGACCAAAGCATCGGAAGCGAGTCTGCAATTTTGCATGCAATGTTATTGTGTGGAGCAGGCGGAGGTTGCAAGCGAGACTTCGTCGCAAGAAGCGAATCTCTACCACTGTACCGGGTCATCGCTTTTTTCGCGTGACGAGGTCTAGAGATGCAGATTCCAGATCACGCGATGGCGGGAAAGATGCAATGGCCTCATGGAGATGCAGGAACAGACGTGGAGAGAGAGGCCCGTCTTTGTGTTGTGCATATGCATGACATAGTGCCATGCGTCTCAGATAGATGAACTGCTTGTATGCAGGACGACGCGCCCCCCTTCGCGAGCTCGTTCACACTTTTGCGCACTCTTGTCAAGCCTTCAGGTAGGTCCACAAAGCGGCGCCGTGAAGATTTTTTTCTGGCGAAGGTAGAGGTGCAGCTCGGCTTCGCATTACTGTATTAGGAGACCCCTCCGAGCGAGATGGCTGACAAGATGGCAGCTGAAGCGTCAAGGGTCCTCAGGCAGAGCCCCATGATGGAAACTATTGAAGACGGCACCGGCTTGGTCTGCGGCAGCACTGTTCCGCTGCTCAATATTGTTAGCGAGCTGTCACGAAAGCACAGATGACTTGTTCAATGCGACAAACGCTCTCGCATAGTATGCGCTGTAAAACTCTGCAGGAGACAGGATTGATTGTCTTCAAGTCTGAGACTCAGCTGATCCCCACGGCTTGAGAGGGATCAACAGGAACAGGTAACATCGCGTCAAGTCATCACCGCGCAGGTGGATTATGTCGGCAGACGCTTTGAGCTGAAGATCTACAGCTCCCGACGCAGCTTTAGTGACGTGTGAAACCAGCAATTTCAAAATTTCCAATGCCGTAGGAAATAGGTCACAGAAAACGAGACCTGGGCTGCGGCTTGCAGTGTATCATGCACCTCGTCTGAAGCAGATGGAGATCAAAAAGCAGTGCCTCCAAGGCGGATGCCCAAAAGTTTGCAAGTATGAGTTGGAGTAAGCTTCTGTATGGCGCAAGTATGTCGAGGCTCTAGATTTGGCGGCTGATCTCCAGTCTGGCCAGGATTGCGGCACGCAAACTTTTGGTGCACAGTTCCAACTTACCAGACTGTCTTGTTTGCGTCTCGAAAGGGCCATTCACCAGGAATAGTCAATGAAAAAAAGCTTACACCGCTGACAGAACCATCTTGAAAGTCTCGACGACGGAGCAAATCATGCGACATCAAGACCTCGTGTAGGAAAGACATATGGCTTGTCATCACAGCGGCACAGAAATCCACGCGACACGGCGTTGCCACGCGTAAGCAAGACACAACACTTGGTGTCTTGGAGGATTTTTTTACGCCGCCGGAGCGACTCCGTTGGTATGCGTACTGAAGTACTGACCTTGTTAGCCGACGACGACCCTCGAACTCGGACAGCCCTACGCAAAATAGGCGTCGGGGCTGAAAAATGGTGGACTTTCATACGGATGACTCTTCGTGCACCTGCCAAAACACGAGACCAGGGCGTTGCCGACACAGATTGACTCAAAGATAAAGCCATCGGAGCAGCCGACGAGGCGCGCGGATGTCTAAGTGAACGACAAAACTCGCGAATGGAAGAGAGAAGCAAACGGAGTTGCAAAGCCGGTGGTGGTACGACGCGCCGAGCAGCCCGCAACGAAGAGCCGCAGGGTTCAAAGGTCTGGGCGGTCGGATATAGAATTCTCGCGCGTTAGCTGAGGTCGCAGCCACAAGAACCTAGAGGAGAAACGGGGCCTTTGCAAGGCTGGTGTTGAACCCTTGGTCGTGCAACGGTATGGTCACAAGTCTTGCTGACACGGACTCGTGAAGTGCAGGGTGCGGCCGAAGAGATATACTGAATCAAGAGAGTTATGCCGACAGTCGCCGTAAGCACGAGCTGACCGAAGATGTACTCGGATTAGGATAATCCGCGCGTGAGCTGGCCATAGCCGTGGAAGGATTCGTGAGACGTTTGCAAGTCAACCTCGAAGGGTTTCTGTTCTAACGATACCAAAGGACCGAGGCATGTTTCAGGCCAATGCTAACAATTGTTGCAAAGCCCGTATGCGTCCAGCGCTCAGACAAACAGCTTTGCACAGGGTAGGTGAAATTCAGAAAATCTACCGGCAATGCTGGCGATACGCGCGTAGAGAAGCAACCCTCGAAGGATCCAAAGCATCTGGTGAAGCAAGGCGTTTCTAGCATTGATGTTTCAGGACGCCCAGCAGCCGCTGCCATCGAGGAAGAATCTAGGGCACGGCTAAGCTTTGCCGTGAATAACACAACAATTACAACCTGGGAGTGATCAATATGCAGGAATACCCTGTCAATACCAATGGACACTCCACGGGCCAGGGTAAACAGAAACACAGCTAGCAGCTACGGTGCTGCGCGTCGGGCGGTCGAGAATCGATCGACGAGACCAGTATTAACGTCTTTTTGCAAGTGAACCATCATCTTGCTGTGGGGCGGTATAGTAAGAAATCAACGCGAGGAGGATGTAAGAAGAGTTCAGCCGAAGTAACGAAGTCTAGCACAAGGGCACGAAAGAGCCGGACAAGGATTCGGAGTCCGGTGCTCTGCAAAACCGTTGCACGACGACGCGCACAAGTCGCTCGGGGTGGCTGGGGCTGTGCTGCCTGTGCATGTAGACCGTTGAAACCAGCGACGCGTGCAACAGCATAACAGTTAGAGAGAGGCAGGCTCTTCAAGAACACAGCGATTTTGCAAGGTACAGTGATGTACGCATGTCGTTGTCGACTGCGGGTGCAGGAAAAAGCAAACATCTCTGAAGTTTATAAACAGATTATGGCGGGGTCATGCATGAGATCTGCAGCATAGCGGGGATCACGCAAAGCCAGACTAATAATTCTCCGCGCGTGGGCGGGCAAATGGTCTGAGGTCGATAGTGTTGATGGGACCGGGTTGCCGCGCGCGAAGCAGGTGTTTCCAGTGATCTGTGAAGGAACCGACGGCAGCACAGTATCCCCAACGTCGAAGATCAGCAGCTTGGTGGCTTCAAGGCTTGCTATGCGTTTGACGCAGATCAATTGCCCTTTGTTGAGATGCCGCCGACCCAAGACTCGAAGGGTTCAACCATTACCACCACGTGCATGACAGCTGACTGAAGACAAGATAGACAAGCTTGTGGAGCAGCCGGCTCCTCTCGTTCATGCGCATCTGCCCCAGACAGGTCACAGGTGTTGTGGCCTCGGCACCTCATGATGTTGGGACTCGACTATTGAAATGCTCTGTCTGCAGTGGTACAGCGCAGTGACGATGGCATTCATCGAAACTCTGACTGAAGACTGGTTCCATTTATGCAGAGCTATTGCTGGTGTGGAGTCCTCCTATTTTGCTTTGGTGAGGTTACAGACATGCGAATGCGAAGAAGTGGATCTGCGCGATGAGCACTGGAAGCTATTGGAGTCAGTATTCTCGGTCATGATCCACCTTACTACTAGATCCGCCTTACAGGGACGCTTGAGTGTCGATCCGGCGAAGTTGGCTGGAAGACACTGCAAAAGCATAGGCAAGCGCGCTTGAATCATGCAAGATGTCAATCGAGAGGATACTTGTTGTTCTTCTGATCGCCGTGTCCAATGATGAGTTGTCATGTAAAGCGTCAATGGAGTGGACGATAGTGACGCAGCATTCAGGACATGTTCGAAGGCTATCAGCGACGGGGAGGTCACGTTCGGCGAACTTTCCGAGGACCCAAGGAAGTGGCTACTGGGGCTGCCGACCTGAAAAGGGCACAGATGCTTGGATAACGCCAATTCGGGCTAATGAGTCGGCAACTCTTGTGAAGAGCGAGACGTCAGAAGTGTTGAAGAGAGTGTGAGTCGCCAATGGATTGTTCCCAAACAGGAGCGAGCAAGGAAGCGACGCATAAGTAAGACATTTCGAACGGCGATGTCGATCACGAATTTCGCTGTCCAACGGAGAATGTCGCAGTGTGTCTCGGGAGTATGTCTTGGTCCTCGCGAACGAGCGGAGGAGTGCAGAGCGAGCAATTGAAGTAGGTAAGACACTCGCTGCAGGTACAGAGTACGGTCTCGGGAGATTCTGTGATATTGCGGGCACCTCCGTGTTGATCACAGGATGTCTGGTCCGCGCTTGCTAAGTGGTCGGAAGGTTAGGAGGAGATGGAGATCAACGTACCAATTAGGCAGGCGGTATCATACGTGCAACCTCATGAATCGCGGTCTTTATAACAACACGATTGACTCGGTTCACTGTTATGGGCTGCAATGATTCAGCTCTGCGGCTTGTCATGGACTGTGCTGTGCGCGGGCGCATAGGGCAGCGCTATGAGATTGTGCAATCCTTTTTCGAGATTACTGAAAGCTTACGAAGAGCACCCCGGATGAGCTGAACAGGGTGGAATTATTGGGAAGGATTCCGGTACTTGTATTCTTGAACAAAGACATCCTTGTAATCGGCGGTACATGCAGCCCAGCTGAGTGAACATGATGAACATGTTTGTGCCATACCAAGGTATGACTCGTGGTGGCTTGGTCGCCTGGCCGGTATGAGTAGAGCTGATTTGTAGCAGAGGTACCATGAAAGAGTCGAGCTGTGACCGACACAGGGCTCAGTTACTGTTGCCAGGAAATGGCAGGGTCAAGCTGATGATGGTGGGCTTGAAGCTAGAAGCCACCAAATTCGGTACGGAATGCCAATAATGCGGAGAGCAATGGCAGAAAAATGTGGAAGTTTGGTGATGACTTTGCATCTCTTCCTTCCTTGCCTAACAGCTTCAACCTTCTCTCTCCTCAATGATGGCAAGTTCCAACGTCCCGCGGTGTATGGGTATCTATCGCAATCGATTGTGTCTTGTCTTAGGTTATCATTGACGTCGGCGATCCCGTACGTCAGAGAGCAAACGGCGCCAGGTAAGAGCGAAAGGGCGAGCAAGAGATGATCGAGCGACGTTGCAAAGCCGTTACAGGATTTGCGGCTCTCAGCGTCTCGCGAATTTGCCAGTGTCGCACGGCACGCAGCAAGCTGACGATGAATGGCCGAGCGAGCTGGACGTTACCAAAAAGCCGTTTCTGTCCAGCTGTGCGACAACCGTCGCGATAGTAGTGATACGACCAGCCCGCCAGTGCCTGCCGAACGGTTTCTCCCTCTGCCTTGCCTTCCCAATTCCTTCACGCGACCGTTGCTATCCCATTAGCGGGGCCGGGTTGAGTGAAACCTCAACCAAAGACATTCTGAACGGTCTGCCGTAGTCCAGCAAGCCGTAATGTGAAGCAGCTTGTGTCACTTCCCTGCCGTAGAGGTTTGAGATGTTATATTAACAGAGCTCCTTCTCGTGTCGGTGGCTGGTTCCAAAAAGCTCATATACGACCGCCTCCCTCGTTTATCTTCCCGGAATAGAGACTGTTATACTACAACACGAAATTCATCCACCAACAAAGGTTACAAAGCACGGCACCAACAGTCAAGACAACGCTCTACTTGCATATTCCTGTCTTGCACCCCACTTCCCAGCCCCGCCCGTCACTGTTTACACTGTTGACGACCGCTCGACTTGACCAAACGGCATCTTTTTTTCTTTGCTGGCTTTTTACTTGAAGGCGCCTCGTCCTCGAGTTCTTTCTTCCAACCACCATTCCACACAACACTCGTTCATATCAGAAATATGGCTGGATCACCTTCGCCCAGAACCACTCGCTCCAAGGCACGACGCTCTGTCATGTCTTCGCAGAAGTCCAACATCAAGACTTGGGCACGTCATCAGAAGCCCGTTGCTGCCCGTCTGAACAAGGAGAAGGAGCAATTCAAGGCTATGCCTCAAGCTGTCCCTTCTACCCCAGCATCTCCCTATCACCACTCTGCCCTGATTCAGGCACAACTCACAGAAACTCATCAACAATCACGACTTGCTGCTCCTGCCGCTCCTTCAAGTCACACTGGTTCATCCTCTGAATCACTCCGCTTCCTTGATCTTCCTGCCGAGATTCGTCTCATGATCTACGGATATGCAGTGACTGAGGCTGAACCAATGTACATCGACACATTGGCTGCTCCGCCGGCCATCACCCGTGTCTGCCGTCAAACTCGTCAAGAAGCATTGCCTGTCTTCCTTGGCAGCAACTCTTTCATCACTCTCTTCAGCTCTGTTCCCGGTATCGATACCACCTGCCCTGAACCTTGCTGCCTTACCAAGTACACTACTTCCTTCTCGCCTGCTTCGGAGTCATGGCTTTGCACTCTCCCCCCTTCGCAGCCTCTCATCCGGGACATGAGCTTCACTCTTCAGCCTTCCACCTGGGACTCTGAGTGTGAGATCTCAGCAGACTTCCGCATGGTTGATGGAAAGCTTGCACACGGCCCTGACTGCCCTTTCTGCCGCAACGGATCATATGGCAACATCACACCTATCAACCTTTCCCACTCTGCTATCCCCGAAAGCCTCAAGCTTTTGATGAGCCATGCTCAACAGATCCATGACGCTGAACTTGACGCTGTCAACACTGTTCTGCAGTTTGGCAAGGGCCTCAGTTTGTACGACATCGTGGCCTTCACCAAGGCATTCACTGGCCCTAGCGAGGTCATCACCGCCAGACAATGCGATCAACAGCGCCTCGTCGAGCACTTCAAGGAGTCTCTTGAGGAGTGGGACGCTGCAAAGGGCGATGTCAGATACGAAATTCAAGAAGATCTCAGACGTACCTCCGATGACCTCTGGTCTGAGAAGGAGAAGTGGTGTGGATCTATGTAAAAACTTTCCTTGATTTTTTCTGCATATTGCTTCCAGTAAGGCGCTGGCTGGTGTTGAGGGCAATGGACTATTGGGTTGCTTTTTTGGACAATGGCTTATGACAACGATGATGATGATGATAACTACGAACTACTTTCTTGTCGATATTAGACACAATTTACGAACAAATCTTCTACCAAGCACTCTTATCTTCCTTCTCGTCCTCTAGTCTCCTGAATTCCTTCGTTTCGCAGTGCTTCCTATCGCTCTCGTTGCGCTTCGTTCACACCTCGCAAACAACGATGTCTGGGCGAATGACATTCCTCTGTCAGCGTGAACTCTATTCTCGGGTCGGCACCATCTTCCGTATGGTGAGCCGTCCTTCTCACAAGCTCACTGCATGAGATGGCTGGGCAGTTTCTGCTCAGCCGGTACCGAGGATATCCTTGCAGGACTGCAGATTTTTCTGGGTAGTCCGAATTACACCACTACCCGTGTTGAGTTTGGTCTGCCCGCATCATCGACACCTGTCAATGTTATGCACAGCAATGAACCTTATTTTGCCAGTCAATGCGGCTTCGGACAAGCAAACCTTCCTTCATCATCCATTATCCCCAGAACCCTACTGGTCCGTCCGAGGATACTACTACAAGACGCTCAGCTTTGTTCGTCCATGGTGGATACACAATGTTGGTGCCAGTGCATGTCTCAAGCACAGCTCAGTACGGCACGTGTTCAGGCGAAGGATTTTCACGGCTCTCATACTTCCAAGGAGCGAGAAGCTTTGTAGGGCTCCGTGTTTCACTACATCACTGCCGAGTGCTTACGGGTCTTCTTGAACTCTTCGACGCGTTGAATATAGCCATCACAGAGCATCCACAGCCCTCGGCATTGTACGCGATTTTTGAAGTTTTGACATGTGGGCGGCATTGCGGGTTCTCCGCTTAGTTGGAGTGTAAGAAGAGTCCGAAATGCTATCGATATAACCGTTTGTCTTCGCGTTCTCTGCTATCTTAAGGCCAACCCTATGCTTATGCTTGATTGTAGCCACTCGATAAGGGTACTGGATCTACGTACGTATCTTCACCCTATCTGATAGGAATACGGCGATCACAAACTAGTCAGAGAACTTCGTCGTCCAAAGAGCCGAAACGATAACAACATGTCGCGGCCGATCTCTTCTACCGAATTTCTAGAAAAATTCCCCACTGACGATCTTTGTCAATCACTTTTCGTACGCTCTCTGTAACTCGCTAAAATCTCAACAACTCTTTCTGCCTCGGCCTATGAGTTGATGTGTACTGTTGTGGCAGGGACGTGTTCAGCTTGCTCCTTCGATTTCGATCGTGTCTGGCCCGAATGTCATACGGTTTTTTCATGCCCGGGACATTTCTTCTGAAGTTGACAAATCTTGATATGAACGACGTACACGTCTGCGCGCCGGTCTTGTGGCAGGCAAAAGACGTCAGCGCCGATACGTTCGTCGACGACAGGGAGTCTCGGCATCAGACGTTTGCATCTTCGTAATCACCGTTGACCGCAGTGCCTCTGACATCTTCACACACCGCCACTTACACAATACGCAACTCTCGAATCTTGCAACTCTTACGTCGACTCCTGAGATGAACCTTGCTTTTTTCTTCGAATATCCCCTCTGATACAATTCCTCGAGCTTCGAGAAAGAAAGTGGAAGCTACACAAATGGCAGTCGCAACTGCCGTTTTGGATTTCCTTGTATTTGGCCGTTGACGCCCATTTCCTCCGCCACTTACACCTTTCCCTCTTACTTTTCGCCTTCCGCATCACAATAGTCCCCTGAGCAGAAACATGCGATTCACTCTCTCGATGTTATTCCTTCCCTGTTCCTGGAAGAAGGGCCGACGTCATGCTCATACTGAGCGTGTTTCTCGATAGCCGTTGCTAACATCTCTACACAGCCCGCTACTGACTTGTGGCGATACTCCACCATATCGATTCACTCCATCTCCCGATACACTTAGGAGCAACTCTCCATACTTCGTCGGTCCTCTCGGTATGCAATCAAATACGCATGGATGGCGTTCGTGATAGCCGTCCAGTGGCCGTTAACATGGCTTTTGTGCAACACCTACACTTTCCATTACAATTCTGCCACACCTTCTCGAAGCTTTTCTCCACCTCCGCGTAAACATTCACTCACATTGACTATATCGACTTGCTAGATATCCATCATCTCTCAGACACTTCACCAAGAAACCCACGGGACCAAGAGCATGACGTCGTGCTCAAGGAAGACCAGACTTCTTGGTTGTCTTGAGCGTTTCGGAGCTGTTGTCCTCAGCCACCTACCTCAATCCTTCATACTCTCAATCCGAACCGCGGACACCGCGGACTACCTTCTCTACAAGTGTCAGTTCGACTCATGAATGCAACTTTCTCAATACCTTCCTATCCTAGTCAGAAGGACCGACTCTTCTCGAAAATGCCGCGGTCTCAGAGGCAAAGACCCGTCTACCGAACCGTTGCTTACGAAATTTAACATTCTTCCATCTTTCTTCCAATCCTTCGACATTTTGCTCGTATTCTCAGCACGCGTTTCAAACTGCATGCTTCTCTCCATGTTCGAGAAGAAGGACCGACCTCGTTTGTACCGAGGTGCCTAAATATTAGTTCGGCTGAAAGCCATGGAATTTTCGATATCCGACCGTTGGCTGAATTTATCCATGCTGGGCTGGGGGATGTTCTGCAATACGGGGGGTCGTTGAGCAAATCACAATGAGAAGAGATGTAAGCTCGATGCAGTGGCGCCGATGAGTAAACAGTATAGTGGCTCGGAGGTAAAAGGCCACTATCACATGCAAATCTGGTATGTTGTCAAGGTTGTTGAGCTGTCAAACCACTTACTCGAATTCCTGCGAGTGTGGATCCTGAGGAACTGGTTGTATGTTTGAGACAGTCAATACTCATCGAATAACATGCGTAGCTTTCGTGATACAGTCCAGTGAAGGTTGCAGCCATTGTGCATGCGTTGTCCTGCATAGCTGGATATTGATGGTGGCTTTCTGAGCGGTGTCACCCTGACCAAACCACCAAATCAAAATAAGGCCGACATGGCAACCACCCTTTGTAAAACTCGTCTCGGGTTATCGTAAACATTGTACACGCTCTCGAGTACCACATACGCATATCGGTGCAATTTTCGCAGAAACGATCATGATTCCTACTTTGAGTTTTCGAATTGTTTGTTCTTCCATGCATCTTCTCGAATTTCCAACTCTGAAATCGAAAAACCGTCGTCAACACCGCAGAATAGCTCAAATGTCATTCTGACTCCGAAAGCAAGTTGAAGACACTCAGAAGAAGCATCTGACAAATCCATGCAATGTACAGCCTTGCCTGCGCCGCTGCGCTGAACAATCGTGGTCGGAATCTACCGTTTGGGGTACGACCCTGTCCACGGGTCATGATGCAAACCCACAAACATGAGTCCTAAGACTTTGCATCGGAAAGCTTCTGTGATATGAATATTTGTCCATGTGTTGACTGGATCGAGATTGTTGGCCATCCTGTCTCCTGCCCACCAAACTATTGGTGACCGGTGCGAAAGACCCATAGTCGCTTGTTCTCAAGGATGGCTCGGAGTAGCACTGGAAACTACGAGACAGAACCATTCTCACTGAAAAGAGACGTAATCATATGAAAGTGTGATGCTGTCGCGATCTCGCATGCCAACATCAAGAGTGTGCTTGGCAGTCTATTAGTGTATATAGCTTTCGTCAATCGTTTATCGTTGTGCATGTCAAGTGCCCATCCTAGCTTCAGTCCTAATACCAATTGGCAAACCATCCATGGTGTCGCCCATTTCGACCAAGGTTTTGTCGTATACCCGAGCAACTTGCATATTCCAGTCGTCATCGTCATCCATGCCGTCGACGTTGATGTCCTCTGGTCCATCGTCGTCCAAGATCAGGTCACCCTCCATGTCTGTGTCGTCCGGTGAATCCGGCCGAGGATCGTCATCGTCCTCGTCAAACTCTCCTCTGTTGACAACCTCCACTACGCATATCCGTGTCCTCTCGACCAAGCTCTTTATGCGAACCTTTTCCGTGCCACTGACACCGCGACCTGTGTTGAAACCAGGCAACGGCTCGTCGGATGCAACATCTCTGCCTACAAGCAACGAAGCGAAGGCATGATCTAGCTTGCCCAGCAGACGGAACAGAGACTTTGGCGCGAGTGGAAAAGCAGGAATCATAGTATTGACCAGAAGAGCCATGTTGATCAAGTACGGGACCTGCAGTGCTGGAGTACCACTGACCCAAATGACCCCAATGAGCTCTTCCACATCTCTCGCAGCTTCAGCAAAGCCAGAGTAGCCTTGTACATCATTCCACTCTTCTGACCGTTGCAATCTCTTTTCTGTGGCTGGATCGTCGAGTTGTTCAATCATCCTGCCCTCCTCGTCCATTTCTCGCACGCCCTCATGTCCGAGTGCAGGATCTCGCTTTGCGAAGCGTCGTTGAATGTGCAGTAATTGTTGGTCGACATGGCGGATCAAGCGCGACTCTTTCGTACCGCCAGGTTTGAGGGGAGTTCGTCGAGGTTGCGGTAGCGAGTTTGGCGTGTCCGAGGACGCGACCGAGGAAGGCGGTGGTGACAAGGGCACGAAGCCTCCTGCCAATTGCGACATGGTTGATCTCTGTGCAGCGGCAGCACGCGATTTCTCTTATGCAATGGCTACAAGGAAAGTACGCACGTAAAAGACGGATTAGGAAGCTCGTAGTCAGTGATGTCAGGGTAGACGCAGGTGATGGCATTCGCGACCAGCCGCGGCAAGAGCGTCCAAGCCGCCAATCAAGTCAAGAAATGACAAGAGTGACAAGCTCAAGGGCATCCACTCTTGTCTGTGAGCAAGCATTCCATTCCGTGCATCAATCAAGTCTTATCAATACAAAGCATCCTGACCTTCCAAAGTCATTCTAGCTTGCAATTGATACTCATCTATCATCACTCTACTGGTCCCCGCTCCGTCTGTGTCCCTTGCAGTAGGTATCTCGACCATGTTGACCACGGCCGCCCCAACAGACGATCATTCCGCCATCAGGAAGTTCGCCATGCAACAGTCTGAACTTATAAGTCGGGCATTGTACCCATAGGAGTGTGTCCTGTGTCAGTTTAACTCTGCTTCTCGTCAACCATTCTTCACCATGAGTGCTGCAAAGCTTCTTCTGGTCGCCGGCCTGCTTGCAAGTGGCGCCCATGCATCGCCCATACAACAAAGGTCTCCTTATGCTGTCAAGGACTCCCACTTTGTCCCCTCCAAGTGGCGACAAGCTGCTCCTGCCCCTGCAACTCAGACTATTGATCTCCGCATTGCTGTCAAGCAGAACGCCTTCGACGACTTGGAGAGACACTTGTACGAGGGTAAGTGTCACGATCCGGCTACTTGCGACTCTCATGTCTGACCAGCTTCCCAGTTTCTGATCCCGACCACTCACGCTACGGCCAACACTTGAGTGAGCATGATGTCAAGAAGCTCGTACAGCCTTCGGACGACTCATTGACCCTGGTTCACGAATGGCTCGCCGACAATGGCATCGACACCACTCATCTGTCATACAGTGCCGCCAAGGATTGGATCAAGGTCTCTCTCCCTGTTCACCGTATTGAGAGCCTCCTCGACACAAAGTACAGCGTCTATCGCCACGAGGACGGTTCCGAGACTGTCCGCACCCACGAGTGGTCGCTGCCTGTACATCTCCACGAGCACATTGACACCATTCAACCCACAAACTCCTTCTTCCGCAGCAAGCCCAAGGCTATCTCGCTCGAGGTCAACAAGTTCGCTGGTACTTACTCCAACGAAGTCACGTACCACCAGGACCCCAACGTTACTGCTATCTGCACTCCCCGTGGCGTCACTCCTCTCTGCATGAGAACCCTCTACGAAACCATCGACTACATCCCTCAGTCTGCTGGCAAGAACAAGATGGCCCTTGCCAATTACCTCGGCGAGACCAACAACCGCTCAGACACGTACCTCTTCCTCGAGAAGTTCCGTCCAGAAGCAAAAGAAGCCGCCTATACCTTCCAGTTCGACGTCATCAACAATGGTAGCACTTCGCAAGAAGTTGTTCAAACTAACATTGACATAGAAGGTGATCTCGACGTTGAGACCATGTTGGCTATGGGCTGGCCTACTCCCCTGACTGCCTACGCAGTCGGAGGCTCGCCACCATTTATTCCTTCCAACGGAACCACCGAAAACACAAACGAGCCTTACCTAGACTGGCTGCAGCACGTTCTCTCCCAGTCCGACGATGTCCTGCCTCAGGTCGTGTCCACCTCATACGACGATGAAGAGCAGACTGTGCCTGTTTCGTACGCCAAGCGTGTCTGTGAAGACCTCGCTCAACTCGGTGCTCGTGGTGTCTCTGTCTTCTATAGCTCTGGTGATAGCGGTGTTGGCGGCGATGGTAGTTGTGTCACCAACAATGGAAGTGGTGCTAAGCGCTTCATTCCTGAGTTCCCATCCACCTGCCCCTACGTCACTTCCGTCGGTGCAACCATGGACTTCAAGCCTGAAGTCGTCGCCTACCACTCCTCCGGCTACGCGTCTGGTGGCGGTTTCTCTGATATTTTCCCTCGTCCTGCCTACCAAGATAAGGCTGTCAAGGCATACTTGAAGACTATCGGATCAAGAGACGCAGAGTACTTCAACGCAAGCGGAAGAGCATACCCCGACCTCTCGGCCCAAGGAAGTTACTTCTCCACCGTCTGGAACGGCACTGACACTCTTGTCTCTGGTACTTCGGCCTCTTGTCCCTTGATTGCCGCCATCATCGCTCTTGTCAACGACGCTCTGATCGCTGGTGGCAAGCCTACTCTCGGCTTCTTGAACCCTTGGTTGTACAAGAAGGGTTACCGTGCTTTCACCGACATCACCAGCGGATCTGCTGTAGGATGTTCAGAAATTGGCGACGGTAAAGGGTTCCCGAGCGCCATCGGCTGGGATCCTGTCAGCGGTGTAGGAACCCCTCGCTTCAGAGACATCATACATAAATTGGGAGTTCATGGAACTTGGAATCACACAGGAGGATTCAGTTAGGTTTCAGGCATGACTCATGCAAGGTTTCATGTTGATATGATTCCCGACGACCCTATTGTTTGTTAAGTAGTACAAAAGTAACAACGAGCATGATGTGCTCTTTGTGATGACTCCTTGAATTGTTCGACTGCATCTTTGTCTTTGTTGCAATGATTCGTGTTTGTTCTTGGAGCCCCACCAAATAGTGACGCCAAAATCCGTCGGACGACACTCCGACGCCGAACATCTTGGCCACCCTTCCTGTCGGGCATCAAACTCGCAGCTTTCATCGCGCAGCAACATCGAATATTGTTGCTCGAAGCGCCCGACGGGTTTCATAGTACGTGGAGAGCGGTTGGAAGCTGCAGTGGGCTCGAGCATACGAGTAGCTCTCGTCTTCTTCCGAGTGTTGGACGAGGCTGTAATTTTCGTCTCCGTCACCGACGATTGACGCAGCAGGAGCGTGCGAGGTCTTGCGATGACTTCCAGTCTCTTTCTTGGAAAGCCTTACTGAGCCATGTAATGAGCAGCTTCGTTCGTATCGCAGTCTTTGACCTCCTCCTTGTGCAAGTTCGGCAGCCTTTTCCTTATCCGGCCTCAAATTTGCTTTTTGATAGCACCTCTTCTTCGGTCTTTTTGATCTGTATCTTTTCTCTCTGGTAGCTTGTTAATTCGGTTTTTGGTCTCTCCTTCGGCAGTCTTTTTTCTTCATTCAGCTTCCCGCATGTTTCCAGCTTCGTGCCCTCTTGCTCGGCCTCAACCCCGATCGATAGCATTTCTCTTCGAAAGCTTCCGCAAGTTCTGTTTTTCGCGCTCTTCGACATTGGCTGGTCAGTCCACTTAAGCTGGAGATCCCATTCAGTCATCTGGTCTGATCTGTCTCATTTCCTCGGCGAGGTCATCCAACATTGCTGCGAAGTTTCTTCTAGAAGCCGGATTCAGTACGTGCGCTGTCTCCTGCGGGCCACTATGTACGCCAATGGATCCAGGAATTCTCTCGGCACTGAAGACGCATTGTCTAGCAGCCCATGTCAGTCTTCGTGCCCTCGGGAACAAAACAAGAGTTACATACCTCGGCCTCATACCAGGCATCAAGGGCGTAGGCTAGGAGCACATGGCAAACGAATACGTGCATGTGGAGCCAGTGTGTCGCTCAGGATTGGGTTTCACGCGGGCAATGCATTAGCTATCTGCGCCTTTGTTGCACGGCCTAATGGCCTGCTTCAATGGCTCAAACCAGATCATTCTGATGAGCTGTCCTGCAAGGTACTTGTGCTTGCGAGTTTTTGTGATCAATCTAGTCAATGCGATTGTGTCGTTTATTCCTTTGCGCTTGAATGAGCCATCCTGTAAGTAACTTGTGCTTTGCGAGTTTTGTGATCGGATTTAATCAATGCGATTGTATTGTAGTGTGCTCCTGACCGACGACTCTTCTATACTGAAGGTCTGCACGTCTCTCTTCTTTTCTGTCGGCGGTCCACGCATAGCGCGATCACAGAGCTCGCGTAATTGCTTCTGTAACATGCTTTTGTTCTTCCCCCTGTCAAGTAACTGTCATCCCTACAAGTGCCGCACCAGTTGTCTGAACTCTGACTATGGCTCCTGAGGACGTTGCTTCTTGGAGATGGAATAAATGGCGAAGATGGCGAAGATGGGAGCTTGACATGATGAAGTAGATGCTGGTCGAGATGAAGAGTGTGTTGAGGATATACGGGAGGGATGAGGTAAAGTAGAGAAAAGGGTTGAGGAGAGGGATCGAAACAATGAGGGACCAGATGGAGTGTTACGGACATGTAAAAGGTAGTCACTTTCTTCGTAATCGGCAAGGAAGACGCCCAGCTGTGAGGTTTTTTGATCGTAGGCCCTGAAGGGTCTTGAAATGTCTGTCGAGTGAGGACTTGCGGTGTTTTTGGGTCACTAGATTGGTCGTTGTGATTGGAAATGTATTGCTATGGCTGAGATGATGCAAGTGCTGTGGGAGCTGGTATCTAATTGATATTGCTTTGGAAGTGAGGATCGGTGATTTCTTCTTTTAGATCGGCAATTAGATTCTAGTTGACGGTCTTGGTGATGACGGAGAAAAGGGGACTTGCAGATACTACGAAAAGTCGCATTTCTGAGAATCTCGAGGGAGGAGATTGAGCAAATAAGGCAGCTTGTAGCGCCATCGATATATCTATATCTATCATAAACATCATCATATCATGTCTTCTCATCCTTTCCACTCAAACTGCTGACCTCATATATCTTACTTCCAACCCAACTCCTCAATCAGAATCCCTAGCAGCAGCACTCTCAGCATCCCTTTCCTTCTTCTCCCCCCTCTTCTCCTCCACCACAGCAGTCTCAGCAACCGTAGCCCTCCCATGAGTAACAGGATGTTTCTTCCCCGTAACATCCAGATACATACTCTTCAACGTCCTTGCAATAGTCTTTCTGCCTTCGATAACAGGATAAATCCCCACACAGAAACTCGTAACAAACAACCATAAAATGCCCACTACAATCCATCCGGTAAAGAACTTCTTGCTGAATACGTAGCCGGTGCCGTACATGGGCATGGGCCATAGGATCAGGAAACAGAGGACCAGGCAGACGGTGAGTGTACGTGCGATTTTGGAGGCGCGGAGGAGGTGTTTTTGCTCTAGTTCTTCTGCGGCGAGGGATTGTGCTGTTTCGCCTTCTGCGCCACCGGGGAGAAGTTCCGGATCCACGTTTGCTGCATTCGTCAGCTCCGAATCGTCAGACCTGCGGATCTGTTTCATGGATAGCCAATCGTATTTTTCAGTCTTGAAGACGAGGGAAAAGATTGGGACGACGACGACAGGGGTGAGGAGAGCGACTACATTGCCGACTAGCATGGGATAGTTGGAGCCGGTCGATGTGACGGAAAGGTCGCCGTACTGGGTTTTTGCTTGTACGAGCCAGCCGATGAGAGCGCATGCTAGAGCGATGATGGGAGAAAAGGTTGCGGCGGCCCAGGACTGACGGTCCCAGAGGAGAGTCAACGAGGCTGGAAGAACGCCACCGCCGATGATGACACCCATGAGGAGGTAGAGGTAGCCCCTATATCCATTGTCAGCATCTTTTCGAAACCTCGAAACTGGTAGTTGTAGTCACTTACATGCCAATACCAGCATAATAAAGTCCAGTGGAGAAAGCCGCCATGATCAACGCATACACAACACAAGAAACATGACTCATATAAATCAGATTCTTGCCCTGTGCCTTTGGATTGATGTAAGTATTGTAGATATCGTAGGTCCAGATACTAGAGACAGCGATAAGCTCAGCAGACATGGCTGAAGTGACGGCCATGAAGATGAGCACCAGAGTGGCTGCAGCACCGCCTTTGCCGAGAAGAGCAACAGCCGCGTTAGGGAGTACAAGACCGGCAGTGACGTCTTCGGCGGCCATGCGGAGAGGGTAGGTGGGGAAGACAGGGTTATTCTCAAGAGCGAGGGCTGCAAGGCCCATGGTTGTTGCACAGAGCCACTATATATTCTATCAGCTTCTGGTTCCAATGGCAAAGGGAAAATCGCTTACCGGAATCGCGAACCACGAAAGTCCACCCATGATATAGCCAGGAAGAGCATGAACAGGCGAAGCAGCAATGGCCTTGTTCCAGTATCCATTGTCAAGATAGACAGTACCAAAGTTACCGACCAAGTTGATGACGAAGAAGATACCACCCTCACGCGATTGCATAGTAAGGTAGCTTCCCTCTGCATTGCCATCAACAGGATGACGAGCCGAAGCAGCCTTCAGCGCATCATAAACAGCACTAGGGCTTCCGAGGATATTGTTGGTGGCATAGGTCGTGAAAGCAAAGAGAAAAATGATGACCAAGATGACCACAGTGTGTACCCAGTCAGTGATGAAGGTAGCTTTGATGCCACCAAACATGGTGTACAGCACAACACCAACAGGAAGCAAGAAACAAGCTGCGACAGGGTTCATGCCAGTGAGATCCTGGATGACGGCACTACCACCTGTCAAGAGCATAGCCGTGACAAGGACGTTTGTCATGAGTCCAAAGGTGATAAAGACACCATGAGTGATTCCACCATAGCGAGCACGAATGGCTTCGAGGAAAGTGTGGGCATTAGGTGCTCGTCTTTTGAGTTCGATTGCCAGGGTTGCGAAGAGAATGACCTGTACCGTTGCGCCGCTAGCATACCAGAAAGGACCCGAGACTCCGTAGTTGTAAGCTACAGCAGATGATTGCAATACTGAATTTCTCTGTGAGTGACATGTCGGATCGACAAAGCAAGAAGATCTACTCACGCGTCGCAGCCCAAGTCCAACTAGAAACAACAGCAGCAGCGACAAGACCAGACTTGACACTTCTGCCAGCCGTGGAAAAGACTTCACTGGTTTGTAGCTCATTGTTGTATCTTCTCAGAACGTACGTCGTGAACATCATGCCTAAACTGTATGTCATGTCAGCTCTCGATATTATCTGCACATTGTGATATACTCACGCAAATAGGAATCCGACACCCAATACGACGCCATATCCAGCGCCTTGCGATAGAACAGCAATTCCTGCCATGGTGAATTGTGGCAAAGAAGGCTTAGGGATTTGAGTATATCGATAATCGAGAGAGCTAACACTTGATGAGGCTGTAGAGACCTTGTAGTAATAGTAAAATCAAGCCGATATCCGGCTATATCCCAAGGTAGATAGACAGAAGCCACCTCGAACCAAACCTCCGCGGCGGACGGTGCAGCCAGCCATTTCTTATATGTGATCCGCACTACAGGGTCTCTATCTCACATGGCACAACCGAGAGCGCACGACTGGGGTTGTCAAGAAAGTGATCGACATTGTAAGCGTTGTGGTTCACATAATGCTGATAAGCAAAACACAAGTCTGGGGTTGGGGCTCGGCAAATCCTTGTCGCTGATTGGCTCTGACAAACGCCCAACACTCTTTCCTTATCAGTGTGCGAGGTCGGGGTTGTCGGGCTGCCTCACTTATCCACAACTCTCGCTGTTGCACCCAGTAAGAATTTGCTCGATTGTTTCGTGTAATGCTATCTCTATAGCTCGGTCTTGGCAGGGAAAGAAGAAAACCGTCGGATAGCGCATTGGATTGACAGATTGTGGGGGTGCTTACTCGATGCGATTGTCTCTTCGGCGCGCTGCGCCCATATCATATCTGATCTTGTCCTTTTGTAGGAGTTGAAGACGATGGACTGTGAGACTAACAAAGTCTGCACAGGTGTTGGTTAACGGTCGTGAATTCATTCCGAAGTCGGATCAACTTCCTTTCATGCGTCTTTCCATTTCCACATGCCCAGCCAACATTCGACCTCACTCAGTTCTTCACCTTGTCCGTCACTCCAGTCGTCGTAGCTTGCCTCTGTCTGTTCGTGGCAGAGCTCCAAGCCAATCTTGAGCATGCGATCCTTTAGATCTGCACGCTCCTCGGCATAAGCTTCGCGAATCGGTAGCTGAATTAGAACGCGAGCATCAGAACCTTGAGCAAGATGGCAGTGTATCGTCTGAACAAGCCATGCGGGATGTTCCTTGGAGTATATGGGGTCGGCAGCGACAACGAGAGGGTATTTTGAGCTTTCTTCCTCATGCGATCCATTCACCTCTTCGCTGTATATGATCTTGTCTGGCACAGTCCAGTCAAGCGTAGCGGCGCGGGCAATTCCATTTTTGGACTCAATGGTCTCTTGGTTTGAAGCGATGTTACGGTCCAGATTTGATACGATTTCAGGCAAGTCTGTCAAGAGAACGTTTGCGCCCAAGACAGCTGCTGCAGCAATACCGACGAGACCGGTGCCTGCACCTAACTCCAGTATTGTCGCGTTCTCGTCCTTGTCGAATAGTAAAGGGATACGATCGCGAAGGGTGTGCCAGTTGCGGGCGAATATGAAGGATGAGCCCCATGTCTTGAGACCAAGATTGTCTTCGGTGAGAGCAGGCTCATGAATACTGATCTCCACACTAGTGTCTTGTTCGTGTGACGTGGTGATGACTGGCTTCATGGTGCTTGAGCTATTCGTGGGCTCGGCGGCTAAGGGTATACGAAAGGAACGGCTGATGGCACCCATAGCACTGCGACCAGAGCGTTCACTCAGCCGCAGTGAGGCAGAATCCCAAATCTTCTCTTTCTCTGCATCATCTTCAATCCAGTTCAGTGGGCTCGAGACGATTTGCATAAGGTACTGAGGGACGCCGTTGGAGCGGACTTTAGGTTTCGATTGCGTGGCGGTCTTGTCCCATGATTGTGGTACCAGACATAGTAGAGATAGGGCATCTAATAGTTGCTGTGAGGACGGCTTGGTGTAAATTTGTGGGAGGTCGAGCACTATTGACGTGTCAGCAAATACCAACAGATGTAATCTCCTACCACTTACCATCCAGAACCTCCTCCTCCTCCGGATCTGGTTGATGTGCTGTATTGTCGTCTGTGGTAGAAGCGGACATTTTGTTGATCGCAAAAGTGACGCTCTCTGATGCACGATTCTGGAGAAGGCGCGGAGGTGCACAGACCACCCGAAGAATAACCATACCAAGGTACCTATCATTCGAGAGTCGCTTTGAAGCCATCGTAAGCCAGATTCATGTCGAATTGGAGTTCACGCGCTTGATCGTCCGAAAGGTCTTGAGCAGCGCGCATTTGGTTGAGAGTGATTAGCCACTGTACTATCTTGGCCTTGTTCTCAAAATCGCGGTCTGTAACCTTGTTGACAGCCTGAATCGTCTCGACAAGAATAGGATGGAGAGTGTCTTTCGACAGCATATTCATCTTGATGGCATCGAACAGAGTGATGAAGTTTTCGGAAGCTGATACGATATGCGTAGCATTTGCACCAGCTCCACCACCAGAAGGAGCACCGGGTGCGCGTGATGGAGCCTCTATCGTAGCCGGCAGACCAATCTTCAGACGATCAGTGGCTCGCGGCACTTCGAGATTCCATTCCAGCTTGAATGAGTCGAGGCTTCCAAACGCCCTGGCGACTGAATCATCTGCCAGGTTGGATTTGTACTGCTTCAGCAGACGGCTGCATGTGTCGGTATAGTCAGTTTCGGAGACAGAGTCTTTCAGAAAAGCTCTTTCAAGTGCTTCCAGGGTGACAATGATGCTGTATATCTCGGCCAGAGACTCATAAAGGTCGCGTTCAGCACTGTTGTTTGCGAGCTTGAGTTCCTCATCAACATTGATAGTGGCCGAAAGGGTCGAAGTCGGGGTATAGCTGTAGGGAGTTGGCGCGTATGCCAACTGCCGTTCTGCATACATGTTGACGCGACGTGTTGATTATGTTCTTGGTAGAGGTGATGATGCGGGAAAGAGCGATGGATGATGAACTGCCCGCATGTGATTGCGGCCGATGGTCTGTGCTTGATTCGGCTTCTCCGCAGAATTGTCAGTCTCAATCCGTTTTTCCTTTGCAGTATCCAAACTTTTTTTCCATCACCAAACCACATCGCATATCATGGCTCAATCAAAGGCCACCAAGAAGTTCGAGAAGAACCATCTCAAGGATACAATCAAGCGCCGCAAGGACTTTGCCAAAATCAAGCAGCGCCACCAGATCAACGAGAAGAAAAAGGCAAAGAGAGCCGCCGACAATGAAGTTTCCACACCACCACCAGAGGCCAGGGCGCCAGCCAAGGACGGAAAGCAGGACTTTGAGAGCATGAACGTCGACGACTTCTTCCAGGGAGGCTTCGATGTGCCAGAGCTGCCGGCAAAGATGGACAAGTCGCTCAAGAGGAAACGCGTCGCAAAGCCCGACGACAAGGAATCGCAAGCGAAGCCTGCCGCCGACGACGACGCATCAGACTCCGACTCTGAGGTTGACGACCCGGAAGCTTTCCAAGCCCAGCTAGACGCCCTTGCCGCAAAGGATCCCGAGTTCCACAAGTACATGCAAGAGAACGAGCCCGACGCCCTGAACTTCGAGGATGCAGACTTGGGTGAAATCGACGAGCTGAGCGCCGACGAGGAAGACGAGAGACCGTCCAAGAAGCAAAAGGGAGAGGGCAACGAGGTCACAAAGCAGATGATCGCAAAGTGGCAGAAGGCCATGACAACACAACATTCTCTGCGCGCTACCAAGGAGGTCGTGCTTGCTTTCCGCGCTGCCGCTCACGTTTCAGACGAGGAGGACAAGGTCTTTAAATATTCCATCTCGGACCCCCAAGCCTACCATGAGCTGTTGGTCGTTGCCCTCAAGCACTTGCCCGAGGTTCTCGCCCACCATCTGCCCGTCAAGGAGAAGGCTGGCGGCAAGGTCACCTTCTCTACCGACTCGAAGAAGTTCCGCAACCTCAGCCCGCTGCTCAAATCGCATCTCACCTCAGTCTTGCACTTGCTCGCCCATTTGTCCGACCCCAACACCATCCGCATGACCCTCGCCAATGTCCTTCCCCTCCTCCCCTACATTCTCTCCTTCAAAAAGATCATTCGTGATCTCACAAAGGCCGTCACTGGAGTCTGGTCCGAGTCATCGAGCACCGAAGCCACCCGTATCGCCGCTTTCCTTGTCCTCAGAAGACTGGTCGTCATCGGCGATGCTGGTATGCGAGAGGCTGTCCTCAAGACCGCCTACCAAGGCCTGATCAAGGGCAGTCGCAACACAACTGTTCACACTATTCAAGGCATCAACTTGATGAAGAACTCGGCCGCTGAGCTCTGGGGTCTGGACCCAACCATTGGATACACAACTGGTTTCACCTTTATCCGTCAACTGGCCATCCATCTTCGCAGCAGCATCACAAACAAGTCAAAGGATTCGTACAAGACCGTTTACAACTGGCAATACGTCCACTCTCTCGACTTCTGGTCGCGTGTCGTAGCATCGCACTGTCAATCGCTCGCCGAGGCCGAAAAGGGTGCCGCTTCCCCTCTGCGTCCCTTGATCTACCCCATCGTGCAGGTCACTCTAGGTGCCATGCGTCTCATCCCTACAAGCACCTACTTCCCTCTCCGTTTCCACCTCATTCGCAGTCTTCTCCGCATCTCTCTCGCCACAGCCACATACATCCCTCTCGGTTCCGCCCTTTACGAAGTTTTGAACGCCGCCGAAATGCGCAAGCCCCCGAAGGCTTCGACCCTCAAGCCTCTCGACTTCTCTGTTTCTGTAAGAGCACCAAAGACCTACCTTCGCACACGTGTCTATCAAGACGGTGTCGGCGAGCAAGTAATCGAACTCCTCTCCGAGTTCTTCGTTCTCTGGGCCAAATCCGTCGCATTCCCCGAACTCGCACTACCCCTGATCGTGCTATTGAAGCGCTGGTTGAAGGAGACTGGCAAGAACTCAAAGACACCAAACAACAATGCAAAACTCACATCGCAAATGATCTTGCTGGTCCAAAAGGCCGACGCCAATATTCGCTTCATCGAGGAGAAGAGAGTCAAGGTCGACTTTGCACCCAACAACCGCAGCGAGGTCGAGAACTTCCTCAAGGAGACTGAATGGCAAAAGACACCGCTAGGCGCATTTGTCGTTGGTCAAAGGAAGATTAGAGATGAGAAGCAGAAGTTGTTGGAAGAGTCAAGAAAGGAGGATGAGAAGAAGAGGGAAGAGGAAAAGGCCGAGAGAATGGCCAAGGATGGTGAAGAGTTCGACGACGAGGACGAGGCCAGTGGAGATGAAGACGAAGACGAGTCCGAGGATGAGGAGATGCAAGTCGATGGTGTCAGCGACGATGAGGACAGCGAGTAGAGTGTGAAGTTGGAAAAGTGATATGCATCATATTCGGCGTCTTTTCTTGGTTTGGTCTTTTTAGAGATATCAAATGTTCATCTTGAATCTTCTTTCTTTGTAACCCACATTCGGCCTTGATGTGATCACTTATGAGAAGCATATTGGACGCGATACTTATACAGCGTAAGTTCTGAAAATCTTCTTATACCTGCTCAAGGTTAATGGCAAAGAAGCTCCTTCCTATTTCGTCTTGGCGTGAGATGAGGCTCTTCCAAACCGTCTTCCTCGACACCCTCAATCACCAAAAACCCCATCATCTTTCCCACCTGCCATACTCTTACACCAAACACCAGCATATAGCATCTCAACCACGCCAAAACTCATCCAACACCTCATCTCTATTATCCGAAAACAAAAATATACAAACAATCAACCAACCAATCACCTAAAAATGCCACCACCACCACCATCCCAACATTCCCCCCTCACCTTCCGCCAAAAACTCGCCAGTAACCCTCTAACCCTCCCAATAATCCTACTCTGGCTACTCGGTATATTCGACTACTGGATCTACAATTCCTACGCCTTGGCTTTCCCCATGAGAGTTTGGGTTTGGAGTGTTAATCTAGGGGTTGGCATGGTGGTTTTGGGTATGTGGGGGGCTAGGAGGGGGTGAAGTGGGTGGGAGTGAGGAAAAAGGCTTGAGGAGAGGGGGGACGAGGAGAGGGGATGAGGAGCGGGGGAAGGGAGGGATTGGATGATGGTAGGGTCACTGTAGGATCCTTGGAAGAGGTAGGGACAGACAGGGGGTTATAGGAAGTGATTGAGTATGATATTGAAGTATGCAAGTTGGGGATGGCTCTGGCTTATTGGCATACATACTAGATTGGGAAGGATGATTACAGACTGTTCGGTAAGTGGGTCGGAAAAGATCTAGGCTTCCACTTCTGAACATGTGGTATAGAAGCAAGGCACCAGGCGAAAATTTCCAGCGTCTTGGTGCTATCCAAGGCACAATCGATATAAGCCTTTGAGGTCAAACTTCTCAGCAGAATTCGGAACAAGTCGGAAGGGAGAGATACGAAGAGGGCGAGGAAAGAGAGAGGAGAGCATCTGAAGTAGGAAGGAAGATAGAACTAAATACTATGAGACAAAAGCTAGCTAGCAAAGGGGTATCGATTTCCAAATGTACACCAGACATCCAAAATAAAATAAAAATGGAAAAAGTAGATCCTTCAAATAGCAATACCGTATATCGTGATCCTCGTGAGGATTTCTGAAGTATCAAAAATTACCTTAGTAAACCGCCTACATCTTCAAGGACCATGTCGTCGCTGTTACCCTTATGCTGAACGGTCAGCGGCAACAAAGGCGCTCGAGGAGACGGCGGTAAAGCCGAAGGCGGCGCTCGCGTCGTGGGCGATATAGGTTCTTGGTCAAGCCTGTTCAGCCTAGGCTGAATGCCTCCGAGAAGACCACCCGCATCTTGCAAGCTCAATGCATTGCTGTCTTCTCGCTGAGGTTGAGGCTGTGAAACAGGCCTCGAGATACTATCGTCTCTGTTTTGTGCCGGTCGCGATCGTGATCGCTCTCGATTGCCCGAGGCTCGACGAGATCGTGTCCGCACCAAAGTCAATCTCCCACCAGGATTTGACAGTATATCTTGAGTCTGCCTGGATTCTCCAGGTGTACGAGGTGAGGACAAAGCAAAGTCCTGAGCCACGGTACCGGAGGAGGCATGTCGAGGCTCGTTGCTACCGAGCAGACCGCCGACATCGAAGAATGAGAGGCTCTGGCCTGTTCCTGTCGATGGAGCGGTAGAGGAAGGCTTGCGCAGAGCGTCAGCGCTGTCGTGTGGGCTAGGAGGTGTATCACTGGCATCGGCGGGCGACATCAAGAGGTCGTGGTGATAAGCCGGCTTCCGAAGATTGCCAGGGGGGAGAGCGACCGGCGCAGGCCTGGGCATTGGAGACTCGGGATCGCAGAGCTCTGCAGGCATGCGGACTCCCATCTGCCTGAACAGAGCTTCCTCGCTATCGCGGTGGATTGAAGCAATAGTAGCACGACGAGTGTCTGCGCGTGAGATTGTGTCCAGCGTACCCTCAGGCTTGTATTTATTTTTCTTGACGCCCCGGTCCTTGACAAAGGTACCTAAGATGACAGCATTGGATACTGCAGCTGAGGCAAGGATTTCGGCAGAGGCCCAGACGGTGCGATATTGTTGACGGCCATGGTGGTTGATAACATTAGGCATGCGGAAGCCCGTGATGACGATGAGGGCGATGGAGAAGCTGAATAGACAGACGAGGGAAAGTTTGCGCTTCAGATTTATTTGCGAGCGGATGACGATAGGGATAGGAAAGGCGACAAGCAGTACATCGGTAATCATGTCGGCTGTACCCATGGTAATGAGTTGTGCATAGCCCTGTCTGCACTGAGGGCCGGGATCTGGCACGACTTGCCAATACTGATTTCTTGTTAGCTCGAGCAATGGCCAGAGGTAGCAAGCACTGGCTTACATGGTCGAACGGTTGACACTCAGCAAGAGTGGCTATTACTACTGCGATGAATGTTGCGACAAGAAAGATGCGTATACAGCGAAGGACAATCTCATAACTTCGTCTCCAGATGGCACTTGTGATTCGCTTCAGAAACTCCGATACAGTGAATTTGCTTATCCAGATGAAGAGAGCGTAGTTGATTCGCGATGCGAGGACCAGTTTCGAGCCGATCTGACGAAGGTATATTTCATAGTCTGTGAGATGGGCCGCTTGGACATTGTTGGTTCCATACATTAGAATGACATGAACGAGACCCATGCGCGCAAGCAGAGGTATCAGGCTCAGGGCCATGACCCTGTCCTCCTGGAACAGTCTGCCGCTTCGAATCTTTCTTCCAGCCAGGCGCGTGAGAATGATAACGACAGCGAAACCAGTACACCACCAGCTGAACAGGAGAGTCGGCCAATTCCCGCGACGAGTCCGAGGCTCGGGAGGAGCATTATTCCATAAGCCCATGCTCTTATCTGACAAAGCCCACCGCCTCCGTAGAGGGGTGAGCGCTCAAGCTCGTCCTGTACTGCGTAAAGAGAGAGATGTGCCGGACCAGACTGCAGTTTGAAGCCTCCTCGTCGCACTCGAGTACGTGAATGTCCTAGTCGAGGCGCTTGGACCGTCGTTCCTTGTCCTCGGTACACCCCGTCGAACGCCCTGAACAATAGAGTTGGCCGATGACAATAACCTTGTCGCGAATTGGGAGCGCTGCGATGGACTTGCAAATTCGTATTTGTTCAAGTCTTCACCCAGCGTGAAGATCAGAAACTGCGAAAAGCCGATGCAACAGGCATCCTGCCGAGAGATAGCAAGACATTTGGTCAGGCCTAGTCCCCTTCCCTGCCCACAACGCCACCGTCCCGGACTTGTTGCGATAAGCATCTAAACGTTGCGAATTATCTGCTCCCAGAGGTCATCAAACCGCTCTGATATATCGACTGCTCAAACGTTCCTCCCAAAAGCAAATCCCATCTCCACATTTCTCCTGTCAAATTTCTATTGCACCACAAACATTGTCATTTACAATGAGGGCGTTCTCTACTTCGATCACATATCTCCGGTGACAGCTGAGGGACTCCCGACAGCGGCCATCATGACAGGTACTGCAGATCATGTATACCAAGACTGGACAGGTCCTTTACTTGTTCGATACCTCGGTATGTGCGCTGGCAGCAACATTTCCTCATGCTATTTCATCCACGTCGCACTTTTACCGCCGGGAAACAGCATACAATGCTCAATCGTGCTATGCGAGTCTCACTTCGTCCATCTGGCTATACTAGCCGACCTTCATAGTGGCATCATGAACGTCTCTCCCGATCTGGTGTGCTCGACATCTTTCAGATCCCGTCGACACGGCCGGCTCAAGAGTTATCGAGTGTTACATTGCCATTTTCGGACCTTGATGATAAAGGCTCGCCTTGATCTGGCCCTGCCGCCCTGCCGCCCTGCCGCCCCGGGAAAGGGTCTCGTCTCGGCAGGTCAACTGCCACGTTCGGGCAGATCCGTAGACTCTCTTCAACTCACCCGACTTCTTCCTTGACCACTTCCTGCTTGATAGCATGACAACATCTGCTGTCCCTTCAAATTGATACGAACAGCATAGTTCTGGTGGGTCCATCTCAAGTTTTGCACTTTTTGTTGTCTCATCCAGCATATTTCCTTGGTCGCACTCATGAACCTTGAGTGAGATTCGAAGCAATTCATGACCTTGCTTCGCATTCCAAACGGGCGTATGTCTCTGAGAACGCCCTCCTCTATGATAGTCTGCTGAGTCCCCGCATGTCTTCGAAACTCGAGACTGTCTCACTCTGGTAAGTAGTGCGGTGGATTCGCGATCGATTTCTTGATAGGTCGACCGAGGACTGAGCTTTGAAGTTCACTCAATGTACCGTGGCCCGAACAACATTTAGCTGGCAGCCATTCTCACCGATGATAACGACCTCGACTGGGAGTCTAATGCATTCGAGAGGTGTTGTCGATGTGGATTATGAACCCCAGACTTTCTTTAGGGTATTCAAGACGCGCTTTGTGCCAGCACGCCTGACAGGTTGAGGATCGTTTGCATCAAGGGTACCTTTGCTTGTTTATGGATGTAGAGTCGCTCGCAACTTTGAGTTCGGTGTGTAATCTCGATCACCTCCCTCATTCAGGATATCCAAGCCATTCTTCCTTAGTGAGGCTGGGAGTTGGTGTATGTGAAGGTGAGATTTCACTCGCCTTATGGACCACCCTTCCGCATCGATACTTCTGAAGCGCTTCTAACGCCCATCACTCCCGGATTCTCACTCTGCGCCTTCCCCTCACCACCCCTCCTCCCCTCTCGTCTCAGACTCCATGAATACACCTGTCCCAAAGCCGTCGAGGCTATGATTGGACATCTCTACGGCTCAAGTTACATGGCACACGACTCGGCTGGTCTCAATCTCCTCCTCCACTGTGCTGTCTACATGCTTGGCGACATTTATGACATCGAGTCTCTGAGAGCACCCGAAAAAGGTGCATAAGAACAAATAGCATGTCCTGCTGCAATGTTACACAGAGCAGTAAGCCAAGGATGACAGGGTGTGGGTCTGGTCGCAGATCGTCTGTGCCGCAGTGATGGCGAATCTCGAGATTGTGATGATAACAGCAAGTATTTAACGTAGCAACCTTTCAATCAATTTTACAGATGAGATCTACTCTTGAAGAATGTTGTCAATCAGACGCAATTTGCTTGGGTTGATCCGCCAATTGCCTACGTCGAAGTCCGTGTATGCCGCAAGATTAACCACCGGAAGCATCCACTTCTCGGGCGACATACCGACAACCTTGTTGTCTACTTATCCCGAGCTCGGCGATGCCGCAAACAGAAAACGAGCTTCACAGCGATACATCGACGAATGCGCTCGTCTCGGTTTGAGCCAGAATGTGGATCTCAGAAAAGTTCGCCTTCGAGGACCTCAGCTCGAGAAATTCGTCCGCTTGAGGGCCGAAGTGACAGCTGCACACATTGTGGAAAAGGGACCATCAGTAAAGCGCTCCGAACAGTACAGAAATGCGAGACTTGGCTAGAAGACCACGTACCCACGTTTGAGGATCTGTTTACCATCGAGTGAAATGCTGCATTGAAGCAATTCCCAAATCTGGCGATCTCAGCCGTGAGAGACAATGTCAGGAAGCAATACGATGCCGAGTCGGGAAAAATTCTGGTTATGAGACGACAGGACCAGTCAGAAGATGAGCCACAAGAATTTGTGGCAGATTCCACCCATGAGGAGAAGCGACGCTTCTGCGAGTTAGCCTTACACTGCGTCGCGGTACATCTCATCGACTGCCACGTCACTTCAAAGGTCGAACTCGAGACATGGAAAGCCGACTTGAGGGAATGTCAAGACAACCTCGCACAAGCCTCGATAATGTCTTTCAAAGAGGATATGGAGAAAGCTTTGTTGAGACATCCCGATCTCGAGAATCCCGATACATGTCGCAAGGCTTTGGAAGATGTCAGGAAATTTGCCAATACATTAGACAATCAAAAAAAGCAAGGAGATGTGACTCCAGATGATATGCAAAAGCTCTTACAGTTGGCACTGAGGTCGTTAGATGCAGATGCTCTTTTGCCTGGAGGCGACGATCCAAAGCGTGTCAAAAAGAGGCATGAGTCGCGCAAAGAATACTTGGCCGAATTAGAAGCTAGAAAGTGGACCAAGAAGCGAGGAGATGGATGGTGGATCATACCAAACCCGCTTGCGATCATCGAATGGTTCGTTCGAACTTGCATTGCAGCGAGGAAGGAACGTCCACAGTTGACAAGGAGGAGTTGGCCGGTTTTAAGGTTCAATCACGGCTGTTGGAGATGCGATGTTTGTGAACGGGTTAGGCGGATGAGCTGCGATTCTAAACTTACAGACAGTTTTATAGCCTCCGACTCCAGGAATAATGCTTATGCAATATTTCTGCTCTTCAGTGAAAGCTACATCCCATCAAACGACGGAAGTGATAGATAATGATCGAGACGTTGCGTAGGTGCCACCGCAAGTGCCACCGCAAACGCTAGACTCGAGCGCTTCGGTATAGAATGATGAAAAACTCCTCTCTTATTGCTCATATGTATTTGCTCGAGCACAGTCTTTGAGATAATTCCGGCCGTTGTGAGATCTTCAAATCAAGGAGAGATTATCCCTTGTGTTCTGCCATTCCATGGGATTTGATTTGATTTGATTTTCTCAAGCTATTTACCCCGCAAGGGGTATGAGCTGTCCATTCCATGGGAGGGAGAAAGCTGTTTGTAAAAGTTGTGACCGCCCAGACAGGGTGACCTTCTTCAGATGAGGATCTGCCGAACGCCCGAAAGTGGAGTGGTTTGCGTGATCATGCCAAATTCTTGCCAATACCCCCGACTAGGCAGGTCCCTGTGTGTTTTCGCCCTCCTGCATTTTTCTATCCCTCTTTTGCGTTTCTTTATTGCTATTTGATTTTGCGTGTACATATATCTTGCGAGGTGTGCTGTTAACGCGACAAAAGAAAAGGCTTGACTGTTGATTTGCCGTTCTTAGAGGATTTCGCCGCGATCTATCTTGTTGTTCGGCATAGAAATGGTGTCTGGAAGAATCAGAAGAGTGGCGGTTATTGGAGCCGGTCCCTCTGGTGCTATCACCGTAGATGCTCTGGCTCAAGAAGGTGTCTTTGACCAGATTCGTGTTTTCGACAGACAAGAAGGTCCCGGAGGATGTTGGTAAGTCTCTTTTTGTTTTCGATCGCGCCAGCAAGTCGTACTGCCGAAATGAGCATATATGAAGCCCATCTAGTGATGACTTGTTGTATTGAACATAGTTTTGACAAAACGCATAGGTATGGAGATAAGGCACCACCACTCCCTCTCAGTCACTTCGGAGCTTTGGCTACAAGAACAGCAGACCAGCCGGTAGAAGTGCCTGAAAAATTTCCAGCTCATACCAGGAGGAACGAACAGCCCCGATGGACAGACTCGTCAATTTACCCCTACCTGGAGACTAATGTCGATGTAGTCACCATGGAGTACACTCAGGAACCCATAATCGGGGCACTGTCCGCGCGAACAATCGAGTTGCATGGCGAAAAATCGCCCTTCCGCCATTGGACTGTGATGCGAGACTATGTGACTAGTCTGTTCAAACGCAATGGCTACGAAGACCTTGTTTCTTACAACACTCATGTTGAGAGAGTGGAGAAGATTGGTGACGAATGGAAGATCACGTTGAGAAGAGAGGAAGACGAGAGAGACTATTGGTGGGTCGAGTGGTTTGATGCCGTGATCGTCGCTAGCGGCCACTTCAACGTGCCATATGTCCCGGCTGTCAAGGGTCTAGAAGAGCTTGAAAGACAACACCCTGGCAGTGTCTTACACAGCAAGATGTATCGCGGAAGGGATGCATACAAGGGCAAGCGTGTTGTCGTCGTTGGTGGCTCAGTCTCTGCAGCAGATATCTCCACCGATCTTGTTGGCGTAGTAGACTCCAAAGTCTACGCAGTCGTCAACGGACACACCATCAACCCATACTTCGGAGATGGCGCTTTCAACAATGTTGGGGTCATCAGAAAGCCTACCATTTCGCACATTGATACTTCGCATGGCCAGCGCACGGTGCACTTTATTGATGGTTCATCGGCCGAGAATGTTGACCACCTCATTTTTGGCACTGGATACTCCTGGAGTCTCCCCTTCCTACCAGATGTAAAGATCAGGAACAATAGGGTTCCTGGGCTCTATTACAATGTTGTATACCAGCAAGACCCGACATTACTATTTGTTGGAGCAGTAAGTGTTGTTGTTTACACTTCACGACGTGATGCTAACAAGACATAGGTCGGCGCAGGACTAACCTTTAAGATTTTCGAGTGGCAAGCAGTGCTCGCAGCGAGATTGCTAGCAGGACGTGCCGAACTGCCATCTATTGATGAACAACAAGAGTGGGAGGCGGAGCGTGTGAGAAAGAAGGGAGATGGACCGGGCTTCAACGTCATCCATCCGGAATTCGAGGAGTACTTTGAGGCTGTTAGAGCTCTTGCTGGACCTGGCGCAGATGGCAAGGGACGGCCTCTGCCTCCTTACAAGCAGGAGTGGTTTAAAGCGTTCATGGACGGGCATGAGTTGCGAAAGCAGATGTGGGACAGAAAAAACGCTGCTGCTGTCGAGAGCGCCAGATCAAGAATATGACCGGCGCTTTGAACTAATTGAGTACTACAGCAGTTGTATTGACGATTGAATTGACAAATTCTTTCAACATCGATTGTCATGTACTATTCTCACCCTCTCGGTGCATACCCTTCGTCTCGGGATGAAAGCGTATTGAGTCAAGACATGCGAAAACGATGTAAATGGCCTCACTTGGCTCGACGCAGAGACGTAGCTGGCTTGCGGCTGTCCACAACTAGGGTCTGATTGAATTGTCTAGATCAGGGTCGTCTGATTTAACGTTCTTGCCCTAAGGCGATCCTCGGGGCAACAAGAAGCCGACTGCACCGCAACTTCTTTCTCAGAATCGAACAACAAATCGTGTCTGTTGTTGTTCGATTCTATCATCCTTCGCGGAAAATTGATTCGTTGATCTCATTCGACTCATTGGACAACAAATTCAAGATGGATGGTTCGGACGCTGCTGCTGACAGCCAGAAGACGCGCGAAGCCAAGAGGAAGTTGCAGCTTCGTGAAGCCCAGAGACGCTTGCGACAACGTAAAATGGACGCTCTGAAGGATGCGACCAGCGAAATTGAAATTCTTCGCAAACAGCTCGCGGAGGCCCAAGAAACTATTGCTCGCTTGAGTTCTCAAAATGGTTCGCCCGATACAAATGATATGGTTACTCCTGGTATCACATCACATCAGACCAGTGCAGGATTTCAGCACACCTTGGGAAGCACACATGCATTGGATGGTCAGGTCAATTTCAATGGGTACACATTGGGAAACAACGGTCTCGAGAGATCATTGTCACCCTTGTCTCCTGATACCCTGGAGGGCTTCTTTCCTGGGGCGTCGAATGATCTGCTGTCCTTAGACACACCGGATGCATTTTCTTTCCCGCAACTCAACAACATGCAAAGGCACACTCCGGTTCGTAACTCTATGTCTGGAATCTCTGCTCATGAGGCCGGTCAGGTTTGGCCGCTAGCCGACAACGTGATGAGCGAGGTCGGACTTGGCTATGTCGCGTACATGCCACTGTCAGCCTATGCGGATTCGCCAGAAAGCCCACCTGCACAGCTTGTTCGACAGCCTTCTCCTCCACCAGTACAGACTCCTATCCGTGGACCGACTTTTGCAAAGAGGCTCTGGCGACGTTGCGCGGAGATGACACTGCGTGTGCTTACAGATACCAAAAAGCATCAAGCTCTCATCGAGAGAGCCTTCGGAGCCTATTTTGGTCACTTCTCGCCCGCAGTCGTCAGTAAAGCCTTGACCTTGGCTCTGCGAAAGGATGAGTTTGGTCAATTGGAGTACCACAACTATCCTAAATTCCACTTTGCATCACGTGCGCAAGCGGTGCAAAGCCCAGGCCATGGACAGTCGGACCAGGACGATGACCCCTACATGACCCCTCGCGACATTGAGAACTACTTCGTCTGGAATGGCCAGTTGAGACAATCGCTAGACTCCAAGGGCAATCTTGTGACCTCACCTTGCCATTTCGATTTCCAGGGCAAGCGATGGATTCTCGAAGAGAACCGACTCATTCACAGTAAGCTTAGAAAATCATCACTTTGGACAAGCAACCTGCTGACAAATGTTTAGTACTCATGCAATTCTCTGTCTGCCTCGGTCAGGGTCCTGCTATCTTGGCATCGCAAGTCGTCATTGCGGCCTTCCAGAGCATGCAAAGAGTCTCTATTAACATGTGAAGCTCGCACGTGACGCACTGGGCGACGCTGGCGACCACCGCGAAACAATACCCCGCACTAGTCTGAACCGCGATACAGGTCGTGTCTGAGTACGAGAGCTATGCGGTGATCGAGTAAGAGAGATTGGGTCTATCGAATATGCTACCTGAGAGAAGCCACGACACTGGATTTCCGACGCTACTGTGCCCCCTTGTCCTGGAAACTCAGCTGCTGGTCGATTGCCTCTTTGAACGTTTGTTTCCATGGAGTCCACTCTAGTCCAAGGTACTTCTCTGCGTTACCGGTCTCTGCTCCAGTCTTTGGGCCTTCGAAGTTTGGCTCAAGCTTACTCAGATCGGGGTATTCTTGCTTCAAAAAAGTCGCGATCTCGTTCCATGACACTTCAGGGCCAGAACAGATGAATTCGGTACCCGAAGGAGCAGAACTGTTGATAGCTCCAACATGAATAGCGGCGACATCCTTGACGTCTACCCATAGCGAAGGAAAGGCCGGATTTCCGTGCTGGATAGTTTGCCAAAGCATGTTGTTTACCATGTCAATCGATTCTGGCGAGCTTTGAATTCTGCTCTCGCCTATCACAAGCGTGGGATGGGTTGTAACAAGCTTGTAAGCAGGTTTCTCTTTTTCGAGGAAATCGCGAGTAGCCTGGTGAGCGAGAACTTTTGAGATACGGTACATTCCGTGACCATTCTCGTTCGAAGCATCCAGATCAACACCCGCCGACAGGACTTCTCCAGAGTTCTCTGTGGTCGCTTAGCACTTCGCTGAGGAGACAATCACAGATTAGTCTTACCCTTGAGCACTTTGTCGCTGATCATGGGAGTGTCTAGCGGCAAGAGTGCAACAGCTGACGAGGTGATGACAACAGCTTTGATCTTGGGGAACTCGAGTGCTGCGTACAAAATCGCTTCGGTGCCGTTCAATGCCGGCTTGATATAATCCTCCTGCAAGTCTGTACCCTTTCCAGGGATGGGAGAAGCGACATGAATGATATAATCAACGTCTTTCAAAGCGGTCTCGAAGGGCTTTCGCTCACTGATATCGGGTATAACGACAGTCTCGATGTCGGAGGTATATCCAGAGTAGCGCTTCTCGATGAGCGTAGCCTGCTCGGCCTTTCGGACGCTGAGGCGGACGCGGTAACCTGTCTCGAGAGCTTGCTGGATGACTTCAGCTCCGATATAGCCAGTACCACCAGTGATGAAGACTAAAGACTTGGACATGATGTAAACAGATTTCGATAGGTTCAGGCTGAAAAGGTCAGAGCTGTAGTGTAATGATGATAAATCGAATCGAGAAAGGTGCGACTGGTCGCCATTTATTACGTTCGCGCGTTCAGGCAGGTCTCACCGTCCCACTCAGTTCAGGAATGTGCTTTGTAAGACAGCATTGCTGTGCTGACTGTAGTAGTAATATCCATCCGACTATAAGAAGCATTAGGCTAATGCTGGTCAGCGAGCTGCTATCACATATTGCCAAGAGTCGGCATGTTCGAGATGAGATCCCCCGGCTCCGAGGCCCTCCAAATCGGCGTCAGGGGCTTGAGCTCCGAGGCGCTTGGCAAAAATGTTGACTAAACAAATCAGCTCGTGCCACCCACAACCTGTCACTTTACGACATGTTGCCCAACTACATAAGATGCTTGAGTAACACGACTGCGATCAGCGGTCTACGTCTCAGTCCACTTTCTCAAGTCGCACAGTGCATCGAACGATATGCTTCGTTCTGAGCAACTCACGCGTCAGCCATGACCGCACTACGATAGCACTAACCCCTATAGCGGTATCCACCTCAGGCCTAGAGAGCAGACTATCAGTAATCGCCAGAGCTGGAATGACGTTGAGTTCACTAATCCATTAAGACTCATGTATATAAACACAATATGGCTGGCCATCAATTAGCGACATACAAAATCAATTTGATTGCATCAACTCGGTCTTCACCTCTTTAATTTCCAGCACCAAAGAAGCTCCAACAAATCTCAAGATCAATCAACCGAATTACCGTCATGCCTCTCTGGCAAATCTACCATCCTCCCGGCGTCTTTGAGGATGCCGAATCGAAAGCAGCTCTCGCCGCCGACATCACGAAAATCTACACCTCCGTCGGCCTGCCCCCCTTTTACGTAGTCGTCCACTTCAACCCCATCGCCCCTACCAATGTCTACGTAGGCGGCACTCCAAAATCATTCAATCCAACCCCCTTCATTCGCATCGTCATAAAACACATAGCCATCCGTCTCAACAACGACACTGCCACCTATCGCAAAACCACCGGTATGATAGATAATGCATTGAAACCGCATGTCTATGACAAAGGCTGGGATTGCGAGTATCATGTCGAGGAGACTGAGAGGAGGTTGTGGAAGTTTAATGGGTTGATTCCACCAGAGCATAAGAGTAAGGAGCATGAGGTTTGGGTGAGGGAGAATAAGCCGGTGCCTTATGAGGGTGCTTATTGGTCTGTTGAGAAGGGACAGTATTGAGCGGTCCGCCGGAGAGGAAGATGGTACTGATGACGTTTAATACGATGCGTACTTGGTTTGTAAGCCCAACTATCGTTTCATGTATGGCAGCAGTTTGTTCAATGAGTTTTCTGTTAGCCTACAAGTACCAGCTATGTCGTGTTGCGCAGATGAGCCTCAATGGACAGGCTAGCTTTTACCAGAAAGTCACTGTGTCAGGTCATCAATGGTACGATTCGAGACCGCATCTTTGACCACAATACTGTAATACCCGGATAATCAAGTGCTCTGGAGGGCGACGTCGAACCATGTACACTCCACTATGATGACTGGACGTAGCAAAAAGATAGGCTCAGATTTGTGCGGCGACGACATCCCGTCTCAAGCTGTGAAGAGAATAGTTTGAACAGTGTTACTTCGAAGCAGTCATATCCAGATCGCTGATGAGGCAGGAGCAACAGACAAAAAGCGACGAACGTAAGATTGAATAGAAACCCAATTCGCTCAATATATCATAAGTCCATATCTACATAACAACAAGAGTAACCTGCCTCTCTGACATCCAACACATGCCCGGTACATCCATGCTCGTCAACACACTTCCCATCATCTAGACAGGTCCGGCAGCCGCTTGCTCCTTCATGACCTTCTGATCAACCTTGTACTGCTTTCTCCAGTCCTCAGCGTACTTGACACCGAAGCCGTGCTGGAACACCTCTCTGACCTCCTCCAGAGTCATGTTACTAGCCTCCGGGTAGCAGAAGTAGACAAATATTAGTCCTGCAGTACACAAAGCGGCGTAAAAGCCAAAAGTGCCGCTGGGAGTCATGGTCTTCATCATGGTCAAGAATGTAGATGAGACAACGATATTAGGTCCCCAGTTGAAGATGTTGATAAAGGTGGTTCCCATAGCGCGAACTTCCATGGGGAGGAACTCGTTGGCTTGCCAGGGTACACAACCCAAGCCAGCGGCGTAAAAGGCGACAAAGAGGATCATGGCGACGAGGACGACGTAGGCGGGCCAGCCGATGTTGTCGTTGGTGAGTTCGAGAGTCTTGTGGTCGAGGGGGATCCAACGGAAGCAGATGGCGGCTAGAGCAAGACAGAGTGGCATACCCCACATGGTCCAGAGTAAGAGACGGCGGCGACCGACACGATCGATGATGAAGATGGAGAGAACGGTGAAGATCCAGTTGACGACAGCCACGACCGTTCCCACGGCGATCGGGTTGCTGAAGCCCACAATCTGGAAGAGGGTAGCCGAGTAGTACATAAGTGTATTGAAACTAGATGTCACATTAGGGGATGATCCAATGCGAGAGGAAATACAGAACGTACCCGCAGAATTGCTGGAAGAACATGAGGCCACAAGCGGCGACGAGAGCGCGGAAGTTGGCGGGGATGGTGAACAGATATTTGACGGCCTTGCGAGACGAGACCTCCTCATTCAGAGCCTTGACAGAATTGACACCGTGCTCGATAGACAACACCTTGTCCGCGATTTGCTCTTCGGTACCTTGAGGGTAGATTTTACGCAAGACTGCGATACATTCTTCACGCTTGCCATGTGCCATAAGCTGGCGGGGAGATTCGGGACAGAAGAACAAGAAGATTCCGAGGACGATAGATGGTATGGCACCAAGACCGATCATATACCTCCATCCATGGGTGACTTTGTAGAATGCGGCGTCGAATGCGTATGCCAGTACTGAACCAGTGCCGAGGAAGATCATGTCGATGGAAATCATACGGCCACGATCTGATAGTCCAAAGTCAGCACTTTCTTGATCAGATTTCTTCTGCGTAAAACCTACACTTTGCCGGAGATATCTCTGCGATGTAAAGGGGAATGACCATGGAGGCAGAACCGACACCAAGTCCGATGAGAAATCTTCCAACACACATTTGAGCAATTGTATACGAGGTCGCCTGGACGATGGCACCGACGGTGAAGAGGATCGAAGCGAACCAGATCGCAGGCTTGCGACCATACTTGTCACTGGTTAAGCCGGCGATAATCGACCCGACGAAGGCACCGGCAGCACACAGTGCAGTGATGGCTTCTTTTTCATGATCCGAGACAGGTCTGTTATTGAGATCGTTACCGAGGACGACAAGCACACCGGAGATAACACCGGTATCGTCTGGAACGAGGTCAGCATATGCCCTGGATAGGATGTGGCCAGGGGTGATACTAACAGCCGAAGAGTGAACCACCGATGGCGGTGGCGGTAGCGCAGAGCCAGACGAACGGTCCTGGCTTGGTATCTTCGATGGAGTCGAGGTTGCGTTCCTTCTCGTAGCCTTCGCTGACAGTCGCATTCTTCATCTCGAGATACTCAATCTCCCCACCCTTAGTTTTGTCGTTCGACATGCTGGAGAAGTGACGATGGAGAAGAAAAAGTGCTTATAAGGTTAAGCGAGCCGTTGAGACTTCCGGTTTCTCGAATCAATGAGTGGTATGGTCCACGGTCTGGGGATGGCTCAACAGTTTATATATTCACTCATCTCACCTATGATACAATCAGAGTTTCTCGAGAGCCCCCGCGTCCCCAGACCACGCATCGTGGCTAGGGCTCACCAAAAGCCGATAACATGCGTGAGCACGAGCAATTTACTAGTATAGGCAATAAGGTTACGACCGGCAGGCCAAAAGCAAGACCAGAGGTCGTTGGATCGTCTTAGGTTGTCTGGGGACGAATACCCCGGTCTGGGGAAGTTCGCGGGGGTCAATCATTCGGTTGATGGCGAGTGGACCACGGTGGACCTCTTCGGCAGTGTGAGAAGGATCACGGCGTCTCCAGTTTCGTTTGGATGTGGTTCGTACAGGGCGCATTTCGAGTCGGCCCGGGTATAAGCTAGACTCAATGAGGGCTTTGGGCAAATTCTCGTCCGGGACCGCATATTTTACAATCAATCCGGTAACAACTGGTCCGCAGTGCGCGATGTATCTTGTACCTAAACACTGCCCGCGGTAGTCGTGATCCTTACCGTTGCTCTAGAGCCCAGATCGTCCTTCAAGTACAAGGTCGCTCAACCTGGGCTCTCGGAGCGCGAGTTGCCCGAAGCGCAGTACGCCATTCCTGTGCTCACGCTTCTGTGGCGGGAAATAATTTCAGCGACGACAACGACATCTACAAAATTGTCGCAATCCCATACTGCCAAACTGTATCAGACGTCGGCCACTCGGTCTTTGAACATTCACAAAGGCAGACTTGTTGGTTGGGTCAGATGCTAACGGCGTTGCTGTGTGCTCATTCTCCGACTGTAACTTCTGCCCAGCTTGTAGACAGGAGCCGGAAACTCGTCGAGAGATGATATTGATCCTTGGTAGTTGGAGACGAGCTCTCGATCTCACGGTCTATTCGAGGCCGCGTGTAGACATGACTCGAACCTCACAGATATTACTCTAGACCTACATGAGAGAGAAGATACAGCCAGAGGTTCCAGCAACATTAGCCTACTCAGTCTTTGACAAAAGCTATCATGACTAGTGGATGATGATCTCACTCCGCTGCAAAGGCTCTGTAATGCATTTTGTCACCTAGAGATGATTACAGCTTGATCATTCGTATCGTGCATATGGCGTTCTAGTTTCCACGATATTTTTTAGATGTTTGATACGGGTGATGCTGAGCAAGAGCAGCCCCCTCTGTCAACCGATGGTGTGCGGCTGTGGTCTCATTCAGCCTCGCCCTGTCTGTAGCCCCAGGCAGGGGCTGGCGGCCGGAGTCAAGTATCCGTCAGTTCGTTAGCGCTGCTGAGAGTTATGCTTTCCAGGTACTGCTCGCCTGAGATCTCCCCAATAGCTGTCCGTATTGCCACATCTTAGGGCATGCCCCGCCTTAATTGTTAGGTGGGCAAGAAGAACCTCCTCATCGATCGGGACAACTAGGCGCCATTCGACGAGCGGTTCTTGATCTCGAGCGTTCCACACCAAGATAGTGGTGCCGCTTCGCACCTCATCTGTTCTGCTGAGCTCAATTGTATGATTGCTCACGGTGCTCTTTTGTGTTTGGAGAAGCACGCCCATTTCCGTCATGTCGTCAGCTCTGATCCTCTTGCTGGACATGAGCGTGACCTTCGAATGGTTGGAACGCGTTGCGCCGATCGACTAACACCCTCCAGGAAAAAGTCAAACTCTCCATGTTGATCCTGATACGCAGACTGAGATTTGATTGTTCTCGTGACCCGCTCGTATGTGCTTCTCGGTCTTACTACCTTCTATCCCATGCAGCGTTACACTCCTGGTCTAGTGTGGATGATTGTTTCTGCGGTTGCCAACTTGGGTCTTGGAAACGATGGGTTTGACTTGTGCGGAGGCTTTCAAGGTCTGACTTATCGGAAAAGGCCTCGATGTTGAAGTGAAATACACAAGCCAAGGACTTGACCAGCATTCCTGGACGTACATTCCCTCAGTTCTACTGACACAGGACTCGGAGTGTATGGAGATATACGAGTGAGGACAATTGTTTTCCAGAATCCAAGTACGTGTCGACAACCTGACGTTGACGCCATGATCAAATCCAGGAGTTGCGCATCATTTCGGCGGTGCATCGCCCATGGATCCTTGGACGGGAGTCATCAGTATCCAATCGCTTCTCAGTAAGAAGTGTCTCAGGGGATGGGCGAACGCCTGGCGTCATGATGATCGTGAAAGCCTGCAACGAATATGGCTCGAGGTTCAGTCGCGAACAGTACGAAGCTGACAGTGACGCCTCAAGACATGATCGCGGCTCAATTCCTCCCTGCTTCCAGAATACAACAAAGGTGATATACATAGTCGAGGCGACGATGCACAAGTGAGCATGTACAATTCTTGATGCTGGCGGAAGCGGGCCGATCGAGGAGTCCGGAGCCGAGATCGGAGGAGCTTCGTCCCCGCCGTGTGGACAGAAAGTGTAGACGAAACTTGGTCGCAACATCTTTACTCTCAAACAACACACACATAATACCAACATGCCTTCATATAACATTGTCGTCTTCGCCGGTAAGTCACAGGTGCGTCAGTGAGAAGGCAATTGACCAACACTGACTTGCAACAGGTGACCACTGCGGTCCTGAGGTACGAGCACAGCGATGACATAATTACCCAGACCAAATTACTCACTTCCCATGTGCTCAGGTCACAGCTGAGGCCATCAAGATCCTCAAGGTGATTGAGAAGGAGTCCAAGGATATTACCTTCAACTTCGACGAGCAACCGCTTGGTGGTGTACGTCTCCTCGTGCGACGTTCGAACAAATAAGGCGCTTACAAGTACACAGGCTTCAATCGACGCACACGGTATCCCTCTTACCGACGAGGCTCTCAACGCCGCAAAGTCAGCCGATGCCGTCCTTCTTGGTGCCATTGGTGGCCCCGTACGTCTTGAAAGAAGCTCGAGTCTCAAACACACAATCTGACGAGTCACAGAAATGGGGAACTGGAGCAGTGCGTCCCGAGCAGGGTCTCCTCAAGCTGCGCAAGGAGATGGGCACATTCGGAAACCTTAGACCATGCTTCTTCGCCTCAGACTCGCTCATCGAGGGCTCGCCTCTCAAGGCCGAAGTCTGCCGTGGTGTCAACATCAACATTGTCCGTGAATTGACCGGTGGTATCTACTTCGGTGACCGCGTCGAGGACGATGGTTCGGGTTACGCCATGGACACCGAGCCTTACTCGCGCCCCGAGATCGAGCGCATCACCCGTCTCGCTGCCAACCTCGCCCTTGCCGAGGACCCTCCAGCCCCCGTCTGGAGTTTGGACAAGGCCAACGTGCTCGCCACCAGCAGACTGTGGAGAAAGGTTGTCACAGAGGTCATGGAGAAAGAGTTCCCTCAGTTGAAGATTGGTCACCAGCTCATCGACAGCGCTGCCATGATCATGGTCAAGAACCCTCGTGCCCTCAACGGTGTCGTTGTCACCAGCAACTTGTTCGGTGATATCATCTCCGACGAGGCCTCAGTCATACCCGGCAGCTTGGGTCTTTTGCCCAGCGCTTCACTCAGTGGTGTCCCCGACGGCAAGAGCAAGTGCAACGGTATCTACGAGCCCATTCACGGTATGCTGCTTGAACAAGTCACTCAAAAATCTCCCACTAATTTCAACACCAGGTTCCGCACCCGATATCTCCGGTCAAGGCGTTGTCAACCCCGTTGCTATGCTCCTTTCCGTCGGCATGATGCTCAAGTACTCCCTCCAAGAACCCGAACTTGCCAAGTCAGTCGACGAGGCCGTAAAGATTGTCATCGAGCAAGGCATCAAGACTGGCGACATTGGCGGCAAGGCAAAGACTGCCGAGGTCGGCGATGCTGTCGCCAGCGAGTTGGCTAAGCTCCTCAAGAAGTAAACGAAAGCAAAAAGCTATACGATGGAACATGAATCTGTACAAAAAAGCAAGGACTAGATACGACAACAGCCAAAGAATGACACTTATTGATGATCTCTTTTGGATACCCATACTTCTCGAGTGCACGAACTAGGTGGGGAGACGAAGACATGATCCAAGCAGCAAAGCACGAGATCGACAGCTCGGTGCTCGGGTTAAATGAACTAACCTTGTGTAGCACCTTCCTCCTCTCTGTGAAAGATCACCATCTCCAGCTTCTCCCCCACGTCTTGGATCATGCATATCCTTCTTGGCACCATCACCCACGGATAAATTATCACGAGAAGGAACGACTACAGCGCCTTCATTCCTTGTACCCCGCAAACCTTGGTATAGTCCTGGTGCATCCTTCTCGTATGCTGCTCGGGACAAAATACACCGGAGTTGTTCTTTGACCACTTGTATAACAGGCTCTTCAACACGTGTCGGTTCAACAACCGATCTTTTCGGTCAGTATCTCATAATGTTTGGATGGAAACCACTCTCGTACTTTTTGCTTGCTGCTGCTGCTCAGGCCAAGTACATCGTTCCCGGTGCCAGATGGATTGATACCGATGGAAACCTTGTCAATGCACATGCTGGAGGTGTGACTGTGGGTAAAGATGGGAAGTTCTATCTGTTTGGCGAGTACAAGATTGAGGGGCAGACTGAAGGTGGCGGTGTGTCTGTCTACAGCAGTGATGATCTTGCTACCTGGACCTCCCACGGTCTGGCTCTTGGTGGGTTGACGCGATACTTTCTGATTTAGGAATACATGCTGATGATGATGCAAGAACCTATCGAAGATCACCCGTATATTGCTCCCGACAAGATCATTCAAAGACCGAAGGTGTTGTATAATGCCAATGATGATCAATACCATGTACATGTCCACCCCTCCCTCCTGTCCGCGTCTATCTAATTCCAGTACTAGATGCACTGGCACGCAGACAACAGCACCTACGGCTGGCTCCTCCAAGGTCTAGCAATCTCCCCCAACATAACAGGTCCCTACACCTTCCTCAACGCCACCGCGCCTTTTGGAAACTGGTCTCAAGACTTTGGCACCTTTACAGACTACAAGACCCAAAAATCCTACGCCATGTACAGCAACGGCGACAGAAAAGAAGCTCGAGATGTCTACCTCGCCGCCTACGATTCCTCAAACACTGAGCTTGAAAACATCGTCCACAGATTCGACAAATACGACCTCGAAGCCCCCACGATCATTCAAACAAATTCCTCATACTATGCCTTGATGTCTCATAAAACTGGCTATCGACCCAACAACGTCGTTGCTTTCAGAGCAGACAAGTTAGAAGGACCATGGAGTCAACCCTTTTTCGTCGCTACACCCAATACTCGGACGTATAATTCTCAATCTGGATTTTCGTTGAGGATTAGTGGGACCAAGCGGACTACTTGGTTGTATTTGGGTGATCAGTGGGATAGTAATAGTTTGTGGGAGAGTAGATATATATGGTTGCCGGTAGATATTGATGATGAGGCGAAGAGTTTGAAGTTGGAGTGGTGGGATGTTTACGATCTTGATGTGTAAGTTTGATTTTATCTCCGACTTTCGCTATGAGAGAAACTGACAGTGTCACAGCAAAACTGGTGAATATACACCCATAAACGGAACTCCCTACTACGCCATCGATGCGATAACATCTGGAGACGCATATAAGCAAGAAGCTGTAAGTTCTTTCTCCCTTCCCCTCGCCACCTCAACCCCTACATTGCTAATCATTTTCCCTCTTTGCTATCAGAATTTCGCATCCAACAACACAATCATCACCAACATCTCCGGCAACACATCCACAGCAACCTTCCACATCCCTAGCAATGGCTCCCACCATTGGCTCTCCTTCTATTACCAAAACACCGACGACATGGGTTTCGGCGACCAACCCGGCGGCTCTCCCGATCGTATAAAGACGCCTTGGGCACTTCGTCGTATATCTTCCGTGGTTGTGAATGGAAATGTGACGGGCATGCAGACGCTATATCAAAGGGATACGCATAAAGGTGTCGTTTTGTCGACGCCATTGAAGGTTTGGTTGGATGAGGGGGTGAATAGCGTGGAGGTTGGAGGGTTGTGGAATGGGATTGATGTTAAAGGGGCGGATTTGGATAGAATTGTTGTGTATCCTACCGAGGATTAGAAGGAGGACAGATAGGTGTGGAGATGCGGTGCTTGAGATACAGTAGGACTTTGCCAGATAAAAGTGTTCATGAAACTGAACAGTGTGATTCACTCTTGCATGGTGGGCACTAAGCAAGTAGTCGATTACATAGAAGACATACTATTTAACGGTTCATGGAGTTTGAGAGAGTGATCCCGGTTTTGCCTTCCCAGGCTCAACGTCAAGCTCAGAAGTAGCTGATGCAAGGCACATGATCTTCTGAAGAACAGTTTTGCCCATTGGAAGACTTCAAGTCTCATGCTCTCCGTGCTCTTGATAGTGGGTCGAACATATTGCTGCATTGCGACGGGTGGACCGATGGAACGAAATGCAGTCGTGAATCGTGTTGTTTTAGTGGCTATATACCCTAGTGCCTTGATCTCCTGTATGTATCGTCGTGGTAGCGATCCCCGCCACGCCTTCTGTCATCGCGGCGATCGTCTCTCTTATAGTCACGATCACGCCTTGGGCTTCGATCCCTATCACGGCGTGCTGGGCTTCTGTCTCTCTCATGGCGCGGCGGGCTACGGTCCCTCTCCCGACGTGGCGGACTTCGCATAGGACTCCTCTCTCGGTCGTCCTTGCCACCGTCTCTGCGCTTGCCGTCTTTGTCGAAAACATAGTCGTAGCGTTCACCACGGCTGTTACGACCACCGAATCTCTCGCCTTCCCTGTAGTGACGTTTTGCTTCGAGACCAGCGATACCACCGAATCCGCCCTTCTTTCTGGCAGTCTTTGAATTGGTTGTATCGCGCCAAACGTCAGCGAGCCTGCTGACACTCTGTGAAAAGTCGACGTGAATGCGGTGGTCATCGATCAAAACGCCCTGCATCTTGAAGTAGGCACGTTCGCAGTCTTCTTTGCTAGCAAATTCAATAAATGCATATTGTAAGCTGTCACCAGTCTTTTTGTCGCGAATGACCTCGCATGACAGGATTTTGCCGAAGCGGCTGAAGATGAGCTCAAGGTCTTCGTCGCGAGTAACAGGGTTCAGTTTGCAGACGAACAGCACTTGTTCAGGAGGCGTGACGTCGGCGAAGGGTAGATCACCAATGAGCTCAAGGGTCAAGGCTTGGGCGCGTGCTTCACGCTCGCGGCGTAGCTTCTCGAGTTGTTCCGGGTCGGTATTCTCGGCAATCTCTTCGTCATGCGCGATGCGCACGGTAGCCAATTGGCCTGCTGTCGGGACAGGGCTTTTTGGTGGCTCGACGAGACCCTCAGGGTCGTCGTATGGATCGTCAAGGACGGCTGTATGAAGGATACGTATGTCTTTAAGCGGGCGACCCTTGTCGTCGATGAATGCGGTGTTGATCTTCTCGAGAGCATCGAAGCCTTCCACGACTTCGCCGAAGATGGCAGCCTTGCCGTCGAGTAGGTCCAGGTTCTCACCAAGAGTGATGATGAACTGACTAGCAGCGAAGCGATCATCCGGGTTTATCGTCGAGGCGGTTGTTGCCATGCTGATGGTGCCTCTCTCTGTGTGCTTCCTCTTGCGACTGAACTCGGGCTTGAAAGTCATGGACTCGGGTCTTGACGTCTTCTTTGTGACACCGTCAGGAAGACCCCATATTGAAGAACCGCCATCACTTTCGGGCGCATCAGGGCCAATGGGGTCGCCAGATTGGAATGAGAAGTTCGGTTGGACGTTATAGACGGGCGAATAGTTGTAGTACTTGATCTTGCATAATTTCAGGAAGCTGCGAGTCTTAGCAATTTTGATCAGCGTTTGGTATGGTGACGACGGATGCGCACTTACTTTTCACATGTCTTGGGTGCCTCATCAACATACAAGTCGATGGTAATGTCACCAGCGGACGTTTCTAACAGGACTGACATTTTTTGCTGTTGATGTCGCAGAGAGCGCGACAAGAGCGAGAGTGACGCGTTATACTTCGCGCCCGTCGGCCCGTCATCGCCGGACGTCTTACAGAGCACTCCACCAACGAAACCAGCTCAACTATTCGCTGCTGCAAGGCACAACAATCTCCGAGACCAAAGCATGTTCATCGAGAGTCTTGACATGTCCCGGCTCCCGAACGCGCTCTCTAAGCTGGAACATCATTGTGCCTTTTCACAGCTGCATATCTTGCCTGTGACTCTGATAGAGAGTCGCAACGCTGTCTAGCAAACGCTATCTGCTCCATACAAAGTCGTCCTTACAAGGAAGGGAGCTCTCAATTTGAGCTGGCAGTTCCACGACATGATCTCTGCACATCGCCCGCCTTCCCGGCTACCATCATGCTCGACTCTGCATGTCCGGACCTGCACAAGCGTCCCCGGCTGCTCATGCCGCACCTCCGAGAGATATGAAGCGGCCTGTACCTTTGACAGCCGGCCGCTCTGTCCTGCAAACTGCATCGTGTCACTCCAGAAAGACTTCCTCCGAATCCAAAACATGCCTCCTGTTCTTCCAATGAAATGGCAACCTTCTCATCACCTGCCTCGTTGTGCATGCTCTTGTAGCAAAGTATTCGTTGACCGCACGAGTGCTTGGATCCTCTCAACAATCTGTTGCTTCGGTCCTCCTGCTTTATCCCTGCTCCAAGTGCGCTAACATGCTCCGATTCCATGGTTCGTCGCCTTTATACTTGTCAGGATCTTCAAACCGATTTCTCTCTTGCCTGTGTTAACCACCGTATGGGTCTCCAGAATTCATTCGGTTTCTAGGCAGAGACTTGTGCGGGCCACAGCCCCTCAGCGGCACTCATCCAGCATCGTCACCTGGGCCGATCTTCTCATCAGCCACACGAGCCTCAGACTGCAACTACCCGTTCGTGTTTTGCTTGTCAAATTCGCTCTCGCCTCTTGCGTAGCCAATATCTGGTTCGCTCATGCGCCCTGTTCAGTGTCGCCAATCGGCACCTTGCTGCTGCCACTTGTCATCAGTACAGCACCAGCCTATCATTTGGTCAAACCCCTGTTTCAGAGACAGTACAACATATCATCTCCGCTTGAGCCATTGACTGACTCTCTCGTACCATATGCTCTGAGACCACCACCTCCCTTTGCGCCTCTAGAGTCATGCTTATACCCGTGGCTTCTTTGCTTCACCGTGAAGTCGTTGTTTACTCGCTGCCATTCTACAGTCTTGATGCCCACCGCACGTTCACCGCCGGCTTGATCCCTGCGGCGCTTACAATATAATGCCTCTCTTTCTCAAGGCTGAGGACATGTCATCTGCACATGCATGCGCTCTTATACGAGGCGATAATGAACCACAGAATCTTCGCATTCGGTCCTAGTTCTTGTGTCTGACTGATGCATAATAGATAGTCTGGGCTCTTTCGCGTTTCACCACTACGTGTTATCGTTCTACGCTCTGCAGTATGCTGTCTCGACACCCCGCGTACGCTTGCAGGAGTGGCAACTCAACAGGTCTCGCTCTGCTTCCGTTTGATCAGCTCAAACGAATACAGCGCACGTTCTGTCTACTCTTATCCGGGCTCCCCGCTTCTAAAGAGCGTCAAAGCCCGGGGACGCAATTCCTCATGTCCTTTCTCCAATGACACGGCTCATTGCGTCGCCCTGCAGCCAAGCAGGTGCTACGGTCAGAAACGAGATGTGCTCATGCGATACCAGATCCAACGACATCGAGAGCTTTGATGGAGCTGCCGTTGGATAAACCAGAAGCCCGGTACATATCGGACTTCAACACCAGGGGGCACACTCCTCTTCACTGCGAGTAACTGGGTTAGATTTTTGAGCGATCACATTCCATCCGTATGGAGCCCTAAGACAGTAAATCTTAGCGGAATCATAAAAGATTGGTGCTTTGCTCTCAGATGTTATTCCAGTTCTGGTGCTTTTCATTTTCTGATTCTGCTGTGCTTTTGTTCAACTGATCGTCTATGCCCAATCCTTGCTTATTGATTGCCTTTTGCTTCCCCTTGACAAAGACTGGTTGCGACACACACAAACATGGCTCAAACCTATCAGAAGGGCCACTACGATTATGACGGCATGCAGCAGTCAGAACGACGACCTTCACGTGGCCCTATTCATGCTGGAGTTCGAGGTGTTCCTTACGTACCATACACAACCAGACCAGACCCTCGTAACGAGTCAAGAACCTATGTTCTTGCGACTCCTATCTACGATATAGATCAAGACAGCGATCAAGGCTCTGCCAGGAAGCGTACCTCAATGGCAGTGAGTAGATCAAGACACCGATGAGCCCGATCACCGACCATTCACTGATAACATTAGTGCGGACGTTGTAGGAGACGAAAGATTAAGTGCAGTGGAGGGCTACTTTGTCAGGCATGTCGAAGTGCAGGAGTTGATGCTAGCACTTGCAGCTATCACAGGGTATGGCATTCGCTTGTTTGTGCATTCAGATCAAATTTGACCTTTTCCACTCACAGGTAGGCACAAGTCAAACATTCGACCTTGATACCTCGGTAGGAGGACCATCACCTATGGCTCCAATCTCTCCATACAGTCCTGTATCATCAAACGGTGGAGGATATCCTGCATACCCAACTGACAACAGATCTTCATCCGTACCTGCACATGGTAGATCTGGATATTCGCAAACGTCGCTTCCCGCTTACACTTACGACATTGATACTCCTACATACGCACTCAGCGACGAGTCCCGTGCTTGGACATCTGGAAACCGAACTGGTACCGCAGTCAGTTACTACCAACAGGAAGGTTCATCGTCGTATGAGTACCCTACGCCAGTGTCTAAAATCTCGAGCGACTCGAATGAACCTCTTTCTCCCCTGAATATGAGCACCTTGCAGTCATCGCTTCCTCTTCCTCTTGAGCGCCGCTTACCCGCTCCCAACTTCGTCGGCACCTCGATCACACCTGACAACGACATTCGCAGCCCCATCAGTGCCAGACTCTCTAGCCTGAGTATCAGTGGACCATACAGCAGAAGCAACAGTGGTTCGTGGGCCGTTGATGGCGTCGAACGCCGTCAGCCCTCGATTCACGATCTTGCTGAGGCCAGTATGATGCTGCCACCAGTGACAAGAGGCCTCGTCGGAACTTCAGCAAACCTGCCTGCTCTCGGTCAAGACGCTACTCCTATGTCTACTGCAATGTTCGTGTCCACACCCAATGACAATTTGGCCGCCATTCAAACTTCCACCGGAGCTGCACAGCCTACCTACTACACAGCCACTTCCTCGTCGCTCCCTTCACTCAACACTGGAATGTTGCTACCCACAAATTACGCTCGCTACACGGCCATCAACAACAGTGATCCTTCCCTGCCAAACATGAATACCAACGATCGCACAGACCCGACCTCCTACTACGGCTGGGGGTCCACAACCGCCAGTGGAACCGAAGTACTACCCATTTTGAACACTGTGGAAGCCACCACCCAATCCACTGCTGGTGCAGACCGAAAGTACACATCCGCTCAGGTGTCAGCAAGATATCCACCGCTGCAGCACCCGGAACCCAAGATTGTGCCATCGACTCCACATGCCACTACACTTGAGAGGCACGGTCGTACGCAGCAAAAGGACGATAAGCAACATCGACCCTCCTCTGGTTCTGGTCAGCAAAAGAACACTTCGGGCTCTTTGAGCTCGAATCATGGCAAGAAGTCAGGACACGAGCCCAGCAAAGGCAGTCTCTGATCTTTCGTGTTTCGTTTCAGCCATCCTCTCTTCTGTGCGATGAGCTTCCCTTCACGTGTGTCGAACTTCAGAATTCTCTTTTCCTACTGTCGCTTCAACTTCTTTCTGGTTAGATGGCGTTCCAACAAAGCGAGGCTTAATCTGCAGTGTTCTTTGTAACACTAAATTTTCCTTGGGCTAAAACTTTTTTCATCTCATTTTCTCTTACTTGAAAATCGCTCTCAATATTGTCTTACATTCTTGGCGTCAAAAAGGAAATCAAAAGGTCAATTGGGGGCAAAAAAGGCACGATACCCCCTTTACGATGTACGGCAGATGATGAAGAGGAATGGACGAAAACTAATTCGTGGCAAGCGCAGGGGTAATATGGAGCAGGAAAAGGGGGGGGAAACGTAATTTAGATAATGAAAATATTCAGCAATGACTTACTTTTATACTCCTTACGATGATACTCGATGCTCTGTCAGTACAAACACTAATCCAGAGCTCTGTATTATGGTGGTATACTATGGCCGATCTGTCTGCACGCTCGGTGGACTCTTGACATGCCAAACAATCAACCAATCGTGGACTCTGGCTTTGCTCATACCCATGTGAAAACGTATCATCAAATACATCTCTACCAACGCTTCGGCCCAAACGTCTCACCCTCACCAACAGTCTTCCTAATCGCCGTACCCAACGAATCCATCGTCTCAAAAACCCCCACATTACCCCACCACTCAGGCACATTGACCTCTGGCAAAGTAATCGCAAAGAAGATGACCAACGTCGCAATGATCAATCCAGAATCCAATGCCGCAGCTGTGATATAGTTGTAGGTCCTCCACCACCCATTCCAGCGTCTTCGGATCCACCAGTTGAAGACTAAACCTACAAAAGCCCAAGAGGTGAAAGAAAGAGGTGTAGCGGGAGGGAGCCAAGACATAGCTCCTAGCATGACTGGGGCGTGCAGGAAGCGGAGGGATTTGTAGGGAAGTGCTTTTTTGAGAAAGAAGAAGGTGATGGGGAGGAGGGCGCCGACGAGCCAGAACCAGTTGAAGGCTGCGTAGATGGAGCCGGGGCCGAACATGCGTTGAGGACCGATGACACCCCATGTTATGCTGGAGGAGAAAAAGGTGCGGCCGTTGGGGCAGGTGAAGTGGGAGGCTTGGTCGGCGGCACAGGCATTGTCGATGTTGCTTAGTGTCCAGTTCATCACTGCTACTTGGACGATAGAAGCCCAGCAGGACATGACCACTTGTGACCAGAAAGTGATACGGGGAGCTATCTTCATGTAATGTGCCAATTTGAGGTCAGCACTATATGTTTGCGCTTGTCCTAGAACGATTGTACTGTAGACCTTGAATATCATGACTCCAATAGGACGACCTGGAATCATAAAGCCGGCAAGATAAGGTGAGATGACATTGAGCGACAGCTGAATGTTAGTGATGCCCAAGATCATACAGCAAGGAATGATGAAAACCAATGCGATTATTATGGCGACAAAGTACGCCCACCAGGGGCACTGCGAAGAATAGCCCAAAACAGTAGCAAGACCAAACGCAGTAGCTATGGCGAACAGTACGGCGTACCACCAATCTGGCGCCTCGCGGTACTTGGCCATCTGGCGCATGTGGACATCATCAGGGTCCTGCTTTCTGGCGAGACGTAGTCGTGTCCAAAGCTCTCCACGGTGGTAGACGATGGTATGTACGATTGCGGCTATGAGTGCAGCAAAGCTCAGACCATAGTTCAGGGCAAATGTGGGTGCGAGGAACATCGGTGAGTATTTTTGGTACTTGTCGACATCGAAAGTATAGCCCGGACCAAGGATCCTGGTGACATTATATTTAGATTGGGTATTGTCGAATGTCGCAGAGGTATTGATGGGTAGATACTCGGAGTAGAGAGCGCCGGTATAGGAGATACCTATGCTTCATTAGAGATTGTGATGGTTTACCTCAGAGTTCAACTCACCCAGTGTTGTGATGATCATGAACATACCCAGGCCGATGATGGTATTGAGATGTGAGAAGGTCGGACTAAGCAGGGGGTCACCAAGATAGGCAGTGACATATGTCCAGTCAAATGTCAACGGGATCAAGGAGAGCCCCGTGAAACCACCAAACAGTTGATTGATGGTCGCATTGTTTGGTCGAATCCAAGTAACGAATGAGAAGACCGACAAGCCTTGCCAAATCACACCAGGGATCCAATAGTAGACGAACGAGCCTAGAGCGACATAGACGAAGAAGCGGTATTGAGATATCTGCCAGCCATTTGCCTTGCTTGGGTCGGCTTTACTCTTGTCGTGAAGTGCATACAGTAGTGTGGTCATTGAGAAGTTTGCGGGCCAGATCAGAGCTGCGGGCCAAACCAAGAATCGTCGAAATACTCCAGCAAAAGCGATACCAATGACTTGAGAGCTGAGTGTGAAAAGTAGCTGGAAGCCCCACCCCATGTCAAGGTTGTACAGTGACTTTGCTTTCAGAGCAAGAAGAGCATCTGTGCTGTAAGCATAGCCGTAAGTAACGTTGGCCATGAGAACCACAACGGTATGCTCCTTTATGGTGAATGGACCAGTGTTCAGTGACCATTCTAGACCAAATGTCTTGAACTTTCTCGTCGGCAGTACTGTGGCAAGAAACTGGCCACAAGGATATACGACCAGCAGTATGACCACGGTCGGAATGGTGATTGCCGGGCTGCGCATACTCAGGAACATGTTAATACCGCTCGAGAGTGTGACGAAGATGAATCCGAGTAGCCACACGCGTACGGTGTTTGCTGTTTCCCCGCCATCTGTTTCTCGAACAGCAGCGCGAACTGCTTCATATGGTGATTCTTTGGCGAAGCTCTCATCGACTTCAAGCGCTTTCTCAACATTTCCTGTCTTAATGGCCTCGTCTAGGGCTTTTATCTCCTCGTCAGGAAGATTTGGATCGCTTTGATGTACTCGTTGTAGCTTGTCGATATCATCGAGCACTTGAGCCTTAGGTAAGGCATCGGATCGACTGTCGACGACTTCCTCGACGGTCCCGTGAGCTCCTGTAGACTTGGTAAACCTCATCGTTCTTTTGTGCATGTGCTGGACACTTAAGAGTGATGATCAAGAGAAACATAAAAGTAGTTATGGTGGCAGGTGCGACCTGTGGGTGATTCTTGTATGCCGCATTTCCGTCGGCTGGCCGAGAGCGTCCTAATGGTTGATACTAATGATCATGCGACGTTACATCGTATCTTAGTCGTTGTTGCTATCTAGTTCGGCTTAAGACACCAGACCACGGACTATCAATGAACCGGTCTGTTGATCAACACTGATAGGGCAACTTGACGTGCGGGGTGATGTCTTAGCGCGTTGGAATATAGTGATTACAGGGGCGCGGCGCTCAGGGTATCGTATCAAGCATAAAGAAGTCTTGTTTATCTCGGCGGTCGCTGAATACGCTCTGCCTAAGCCGAGATAAGATACAATACCATGAGCATATTTCTCTCATCGGGTCGATTGCTGTACGACCTGAAAGAGACACGGGTCGTATTCAGAGATCGTAAAATTTCCAACCTGCCTTGTAGCCAGGTTGCAGTTTCCTCTCCTGCAACAAAGCCCTGAGAATTTCAATAGGCATTTCTCCTTCCTTGAGTATGCGGTCGTGGAAATCTTTCTCCGCCATACCTGCGCCTTCTACCATCTCTTTTCGCATAGCATAAATCTGCAGTGCTCCAAGCATATACCCAGCTTGGTAAAGGGGCGGATAGTCGCCATTGAAACTTCGTCTGACTTCGCCCTCCGCTGTAGCCCTCTCGTGCCCGACTTTCTCGACCAAGTAGTCGATACACTCTTGCGGTGTCATCTGGTTCAGGTGGAACTTCAGACTGAAAACGATACGAGCACAACGATGCATGCGCCAGAAAAGCATGCCAATCTTCTCCTCCGGAGTACTTGCAAAGCCACGATCCCATAGCACAAACTCCCAGTAGAGCGCCCAGCCTTCAATCCAGAAAGGGGTGGTGAAAAGACTTCGGTAAGACCTGAATCGCGCAATCATGTACATCTGCAGGTGGTGGCCGGGAATCAGCTCGTGGAAGACAGTGCTTCGCGACATTGGTCTGTTGTTTCCACGCAGCGACATGAGCTTGTCTGCATGCGACATTGTGTCCGTCGGATATGACACAATCAGATCGTCCCCTCCGAGGAAGAAAGGATTGACCTTTTGTCGCGCTGGCGTCATCATAAAAGTTCTCCAGCATTCCTCGGCGATAGGTGGGACAGTGACCATATCGTGTTTCTTGACGTATGCCACTGCTTCTTCTGAAAGCTCGTGAACGAGGTAAGTCTGTTGGCCAGGCTCAACATACAAGTTCTTGACATGTTCAAGGGCTGCTTTCCAGTCCTTCCCATAACCAAGCGTTTTGGATGCCTTGATCATCTCACTTTCGCACCAAGCATATTCCTTATCAGCAATCTCCATCAGCTCCTCCGGACTGTAAGCAATAAATTGAGCGTCTAGACTTGCTAGCAGTCCATCTCGACCAACTGGCTGACCAACAATGTCACTGGTAGAACTGCCGGTCGCTCCAACTAGCTTGGCTCTCACAGCTGTCGCTAGGTTCTGTAGCTGCTTCTGTGCCTCCTCGCAGGGAGCGATGGTCCACCATGTGAAGGTCGGGTCGTATCCCTTGTAGAAGTGCATCCACTCAGAGAGCAAATACTGTAGCTCATCGAGGTTATTCGCTGCACGATAAGCCGCGAAGCGAGCACCTTTACCATTGATTCGGAGTTGGTCGCTTTCAATATCACGACTCTTCTTTTGTACATCATTCGATACGGATGACAGTATTTCTGCTGCATACTTCCCAGTAGTCGGCACGACCTTTTGTCTCCGTTCGATTAAATCAACCAGCTCGGATGCGAAAGGTTCAAGGATAGGCTTGAGCTCCTCAAGAGAAGTCTCAAAAGACTCAAGGCCTCCAAGCTGCTGGCGCAAATACTTCTCCAGTAGCACAAAGTCGATTTGGTCTTCCAGATCCAGCTGATCAAACTCAAGAGCCTTCAGCTCGACCAATTTGTCGCGAAAGTAGTCTTTCAATCGTTGGGTTCGTGTTTTGGAAAAGTTGCAGTTGTAGAATTGTTCAATGTCCGACACGTCCGCCGTGACGCACTCGATCATCGCGCTGACAACTCCAGGTCTGGCGCGTCTCGCGGACGCGATAGGTAGTCTGACTCTCATGATCCTGTCTTTGATGTTGACACGCGATTCCGATACTGGCTTGGGTGTAGAGGCCAAACACCTTCTTTTGAGGTTACATTGTAGGGAAGCTTGATAATCACTTAGGCTAACCTCGGGTAATTACCCCATTGGCCTATCAGAGCCTCCAAGATAGATAGACTCGTATCATACGAACTTAGCTGAGGCTTGATAAGGTCATCGAGCAATTGGATTAGATTCCATGCTGAACGTGCAAGGTGTTTCGTGTAATGCACTACATGATAACAAGCCGAAGAGATGACGTGACTCAAAATGAGCTGTTGGCGTTTAAGCACGCTTCCAAAGTTCGCATTGGCGTTCTCAACGATGACGGTGTGTTGGTAGCTGTTGTCCACTCTGTTCTGTCTATAAAACGCAATCTCGCAATTGTAGAGTGATTTCTGATAGTCCAAAACTGATCCCGAACACAGTTCCAGCATGTAAGACAATCCTACCGGTTTTCAATTCAAAGAAAGTCATAATAGACGGAATCTCACTCAATTTCACCCCGTCATTGCAAAGCTCTAGGTGAACAAAATCGTAGAGACCATAGACCAACCATAATTTCTCGACGTTGGATGCTATAGAGTTTAGACTTAGACAGGGCAGTAAAATTCTCGTCTAGATAATTCTAAGCTCATCAGAGTTTCCAAAACCCGTGTTGTTGAGTGCTCTGATGCATTTTCTGATGGAAAACATTGCTTCGGGGAGCACCCTGGCTAGCTGTTTGGCTGGCCAAAAATCGTGGCGCCGGTAGCGCGTCACGTCGCGTCTCCCAACCACTCCATCGTCGTCCATTCTTTTTCCCGATCGTGCATTCGTATTCATCATGCTGGAGTGACGTGCAACTTGCTGCCATGAAGAAACCGGACCTCGATAATGCATCAGCACATCCATCACTGGCACTGATCACGGCGGTCGAGAATGTTCGCCGAAGCTGACTGTGATAGTGCTTCGGCGACATTCGACAGCAAGCCGAGACTCCTTGGAACCTGGCAAGTGATACAGGATGCTAATGCACATGGTGAAGGCAGATTGCTGTGAGAGTGCATAACATGTTCGTTAATTATAGCTGTAGTGTGTCTAAATTGTGCCTCATCAAACCAGTAACCTGCGGGTATCTTTTTAAACCGAAACAAAAGCATTGCGAAAGCAGTCGTCAGCGCCATTATCAAACCATCCATACCATATCTCTCAACCAGAACTCCTTCTTTAGCCGGCAGCAGTAACAATGGGTCTGCGGTACACCTCATACTCGGGTGGGAGATCTGTAAACTCTGGAGTCTCGAGATCGTTGTTTGACCAACTGCCTCTGTGCTCTGCAGAGAGCAGCTCGTCTGTCAAGCCAAGCTCTGCTAGTCGCTCTTCCACAGCGGAAGCGCTTCGCGAGAGACCGTCAACCTCACCCTCGCCCTCAGCCGAGATCTGAAGTGGAAGTTTCAAGTCAACAGAAGGGAAACCGACACCAGCAGAGTGAATCCCGAGTGATAGATTCAATGAGTAGGTGCGCGAGACCAGACAGCTGTGGAATGTCGGTACGAAGTGCTTGTCCTTGGGTAGTGCCACTGGCACGACGATCTCTGCTGTCCAGAAGTTGTGGCCTTTGTAGTTTGTGCTGGGGCTGGGGTACTTGGGAAGCTCGTGGTTCGAGAGCCCAGAGTCGCGACGAGCAAGCCATTCATCCTCCAATGCTGACTCTCTTCGCAATGTCCACTCTACAGAGGCCATGCAACGAGATGATAGTGACATGCTCATCGAGTGCATACCCTGTCTGTGATCATAGACGCTATCCTTCTTCTTGGGGACAGCCATGCGGGCACCGACAGCATACCATGTGGATGTCTTGAGTTTGCTGCCCAGACTCCCAAGACGAGGCGGTTGAGATTTGGCGTCTGACGGGTCGAATCGAAGCTTGAGAGTGACCATTGTGCTGACGGTTGACTCTTCAGGTTCGTAGGACTTGGGTAGACGAAGTGATCTGGGTTGTTCGGCCTCGATAACTAAGGTACCGAGCTTGCCCTTGAAGACGCCCTTCTTGACGTTCTTCTCGGCCCTCAAGATGTAATCGCTGTCAGGGCCAAGAACGTTGACTGGTGGCTGTTCATCGACAGTGGGAACAATGCGGATTGTCTTCATCCTCTTGGCTAGTTCCTTTGGAATGCCGTCGATCTCACTAGCTGCGGTAATGCGAGCGGCAATTTGATATTGGATCTTGGCCATATCCGGACCCATATCGTCGTGTTTTGTGACTGTTCCTAAGCTTGGTGGAAGCTGTAGGTGGCAGTCACGGACCGATTCGTGGTGTACCTCATGTCTGCAGACACGGGGTAGCAGTTGTTGAGGGACAACAAAGACAAAAGGAAATTCGTAAGTTCGGCCTGGCTCCAAGATTCTGGGTTGAGGGTAGGATGATTCTGAGATGGGTTGTCGAAGCTTCAAGAACTGGTGGAAAGCTGACATGCCACCCGTCAGACCAGGTGTAGATGACATCTTTTCCAAGAATGTCTTTGTTGTTCCTTTTAGACAAGTCAGTTGCCATGTGTAAGTGGAGCAATGCCGCAAAGCATACCGATGAATTGAATATCGATCTCTTCGAATCTCGTGCTGTGAGAAACAGCTATTTCGACCTTGCCCGAAAGCTTATCTAGAGTTGAGTACGATGAACGCTCATCGTTAAGGAGAATGTTGATGTGTGGCTTTGATCCCAATGCTAGCGTTCGCAATTTGGAAGCCATGGCACCGTGAGACGATGCATATGATGAAGCGGACGACATGATGTTGAAGTCGAGATACGACGAGCAAACAGCCGGAGGAAGGGCAACCAATGGGAGACTCAAGGTGCGGGGTGACTTTCTGTATGTAGATATGGTACAAATATATAGGTACAGATTTTGATTTGCTCGAGCTGGAAGGTAAAGAGCGAAGGTAAGTGAGAAGCGAATATGTGGATCTACATTTACGTGAGAGCCCGCCTTTTACTTATGTGATGTTTCTCTTGAACCAATTTTTTGACTCACCATTTCCCGATGGCATGCTACGCCCTCTCGATCACCCGCGCCCTGCCTTTGACATGAAAGGCGCAACAAGGTCCTTCGGTGTAAGACGATCTAGCCGAATGCGGAACATGGACGCCCTTCCTTGACGACAGATCTCTGGGGAAGCCTTGATCGGCCGTCCTTTCCATATGCGTTTCCCGCGTTTCAAAAGTCTTACTGCCTGCTGCTTACCAATGAACTGGCCACCAGCTTACGGCGTGCTCATCCTGCTTTTATGGATGGAATGAAGCATTTCGCATGCTGCCTCAATCTCCCTTGATCATATCCCGAAGCCAGAGTCTCATTCTCACCTTTGTTTTGGCTCACGAGCATGTGCTTGTCCGCTAGACACCTAATGGAAAACACTTCTCAACAAGACCTCTAATAGTAGGTATAGCCTGGAGATTAGTCAGGCGTGATCGCTAATAGGAGGTGTTGCCGGCGGTTTGTACTAGGTTTATTGCGCGGCACGTTTATCAGCAAAATTATTCGTGATCTATCATATGACAATGCTTACAGATCGCGACATCAGCCCTACACAATGATCGCAAAGAAAACACTTCTTACCTCCTCGACCTCATGCGGTATCGCAGCAGTTGCTGCAAGGGATGCTTCTCCGACCGGACTGCCTGTCAGAGGAACGACTTTTCCCTCACGGGTTCTTTTCCTTTCGCCGTTCACGGACGGCTGTGGCTTGCCCTGGTGATGGAGCAGAGAGTTTACCGACCTGAGGTTTTCCGACGGAAAACGAGAGACCATCTCTTGAGCCTCCACATTTTCTTTTCGACATCGGCCTTGGCCGTCGCCCGGGGCTCTTTATCATCCAGTTTACTCGATGGGCTTACTCGATATTGCATGCCGTCTTTGCCGTCGTCAATGCAAGAGACTTGACAAAAATAACGACTTGGTCGACATTCAGAAAGCCTCTCGTGTGGACATACCATATGAGGACGATGACTCAGAAATATCAAGCCTCCCAGTAGGGTACCAATCGAGCAGAACAATGCTTTGTAATGTGCGAAATTGATCAATGGGAGTCATATCAAAGCACCCCGCATCACTTCCCCCATGATAAGAGGATATCTGGGGATCATCAAAAGCATGCCCACGGTCCGGACGCCCGAATGAGGCCAGACTGATTGCCGAAATGGCGCTAGTGATCGGTCCGTCGATTGACGACGTCTCGTAGGCCATCTCCTTCCACCACCGCTACATAGTGTATACCAGTATCCTTATCCAATAACGACATCAACGGCCAAGACTTAGCCCAAGCCAACCTCACACAACCAAAAAGACCCAATAATCACTCGCTACGACATGTCTGCTTGGACGAAGATCAGAGGTATACATTGGTCTTGACACTACCCCTCGTTCTCGGCTAACATATACTCTGCAGATGCTGTCTTGACATCTAAATGGAACAAGCCCTTCCCTGTGACCATGATTCCCTCGGCAATTGGACTCTATATGGCAGAGAAGCAGAGTGAACGTCAGAGACAGATCCTTGCCGAGATCAGAGCACTTGGAGAGGACGACATGCAAGCAGTCAGAGCGATTGCGAGCAAGCCGCGATGAAGGAAAGGTAAGACTGCAAGCACCTTAGCGGTGTAAGACGAAACTCGCAGCCAGAACACTCGCAGAGCTAATCAGAGAAGAGTAGATAAATCAATGTTATTATGACCATTGTACACAATTTGGAGCAACCTAAGAAATACTCCTCCCGCATCGAGCGTACTTTGGTTCAAGTTTCCGAGTCACTTCACGTCATCCATTTCATACCTTCGAACATCACTGCCGAAGTCTCGGTTTTTATTTGCAGCAAGGATTGACATAGTTAGTGCCTACAATGATCCCAACGTCAATGGTCAATTCTGCTTCAATCACTATACAAACTGGGTCATTTCATCCCAGCATGATGTTAACTCCGCACAGTACACAGCTAGTCTCACATGCGGATATAAACATGTCATTTCTGTGGTATCAAAGCCTCCGAGGAAGAAAAAGAAGAAAAAGAAAAAGCTTGGTCTGGTATGCCATTTGCACATGCAAGCTCAAAGCTTTGCCTTTGTCTGGACCTTCTTGAAGATAGGCTCCATCTTGGTAGCCTTCATGACATCCCCCTTGACCTTGAGTTTCCCACTCATAAACAGCTTTTGCGCGTTCGCTTCACCCTTGACCAATTTGCCGAAATCAGCATCGCTGAGGGATAGTGTGACTGTGATACTCGTCAGTCCAAACATTCCGTTTCTTATTTGTCTGTCTCAGTATTGGTGTGGTATCTCTTACCAGCAGACTTTTTGCCATCAGGAGCGGTGCCTTTTCCAGCCTTTCCTGTGTCCTTGAGATCGATGTGCCAGCTTTCGGATGCGCCGTTTGAGTTTTTGAGGGTAAAGGCGAAGATGGCGCCGCCTTTTTTGATTGCGTCTTTGCGTTCGGAGTCGGAGGAGAGGGCTTCGTTGATGGCGTCGAAGGCGGCCGAGGAAGGGAAGTTGGCTGTTATGCTTGTGTTAGGTTCTAGATGTTGTGGGAGGAGAGCTGAAGGGTCGAGGTGGAACGTACAGTCTGCGATCGACATTGTGGTGTTTTAAGAGTTACGCAGGGGAGGGTGAGTGAGTCTGAGTGGTATGCGAGCGGTGGTCAGAGGTAGGAGATCAAATGGGACGAGTATAGCAAGTGTTCAAGAAGAAGGAGCACTCCGAGGGCTGCCGCCGAGCCAATATGCTTGTATACCGAATCCGGGGAGCCGAGGCATCTGATGGCATGTGAATCTCTTGGCAATGACGGTGCCATTTCCCGTCACAGCTTTCTCCGTCTCCTGAACCCCTTCATGTGACGATTTGCTTCTACATGTGAAGCTTCATGTGCAATTGCTCCTGTCGAGTCTCATGACCAAAGTCTGTCGGAGCCTGAGGCGTTGGAAGTGTGCAGACATCCGATGCAATAAATAAAACAAAGGTAGGAGTCGTGAATCGTCATTGATCTAATAAACTAGCATGCCCGACCGACCTCGACCATCTCCGTCGCACCTTCGCCCTGACTCGGTGCACTCGACGCCTCTGGACGCGAGCGCATAGGTGAAGCATACATAGGCGGCGCCGTATCAACACTACTCCGCTGCTCACCCTCCGCCTCGCCCACCCGTCTCCAATGCAAAAGCTCTGGATCCATACGATAACTACCTCTCCATCTCCCATACGCTGGCGGTGGAGCTCTGACAACAGCTGGAGACTCTTGCTCAGCTCTTTCAACATCGTCATCCGCTTCGTACTGTACCGCAATCGGACTGTTTGGGATCAAGCTCTCTTCTCCCTCTGCCAATCGGTATATCCTGGAGTATCTGTGTCTGGTGTTTGGACCACGCGACTTTTCGATCTTGTGCTTTCCGACGACTTTATGGAGGCGGAAGGAGAAGAGGAGGACAAAGGCCACCAGCACGATGAGAGTGGCGATGATGAAGACGTGGATACTGGCAGGTATATCCTTGACCTTGGGAAGAGCCATTGCGAAGTCTGTGGACATGTCAGCTCGAATTGTTCGTTCAACACAGAACACTCGACTACTTACACAAGCTCAACGCTGTGACGAGAAGTACACAGAGTACTCCAACCAGAATCGCCGTGTTGCGTACTTCTCGGTACCGACCAGACCTTTTGCGTCGACGACGCGTTGGTCGAGGCTCTGGCTGACTCTGTGTTGACTGTGTCTGTGTCGTCTCTAGACACTCTGCACTCGTCTGTGTGCACAACGGTGACCTTGTGGCCACGGCATCAGGCACCAAGATGAGTGTATCTGTGTTTGCAAGCGGCAGTGCCCATGCTTCTCTGTTGACACTCGATTGTGACCGTGATGATCTTCGAGACAGATGCGAATGGTGAGCAGTACCCTGGTATCGAATTAGCACTTTGATGCTTGTAGGCATGTCGGGATCATGCTCTTACTCCTAGGGAGAGCGAGCCTCTGGCACTGCGTAGAGGCGTGTACGATGCGGTAGAGTCTTGTCGACTATGGTTGGACGTCGATGAAGCTGATGATTCACCTATCGTGCCAGATGGTGAAGCTCGTCTAGATCCAGATTCAGAGGAATCTGCTATTCGAGTGTCGAGATGGAGAGTAGTTGGTCGACTTTCTCGTCGAGCTACCTGTATCGATTCATTCTCTATGTTTGATTGAACTCTGCCGTTGTTGTTCGACTTCAATGGTGTTCTTGGTGTCGTTTCGGACGATATAGTCGTCAAGAATGCCTCGTTATTATTTTCATCCAAGACAGCCAAATTCGTAGATTGTGATGACAACTCCATTGTGATTCTCAAATACTCTCGCCTCTTCCTCAAGTGAGTGTTGATGAGTAAAAGAAACTCGAGTCAAAGGATTGTTGAGATGTTGTGTGTTTACCTCGTATCAAGACAGTGGCTTGCCCGTTTTGCATCCCTGCGCTCAGCTGTACCCTTTCGGCTCACCTGCCCACATCTCGCCTCCATACCATAAGATTACGACGCGCAGATCTCAGATTCATAAACGGTAATCATTATGCTGAGACAAATTCTGGAATAACCATGTTCTAGAACACATGCTATGGAGGAGGAATACCCTTCCCAATAACCTCCAAATGCTCCCTTCTCAACTCCTCACCATCATTCTCTTCAAATCCAAAGTTCCACAACTTTTCCGCAACACTCATGGAATATTTACTCGCGGTGCCAAAATCATCTCCCTTTGAACTTTTGCGTCCGATATGCTGAACAACACTTGGTGTCAAAGCCCATCTCAATCCTCCATTCTGATCTGCAAATTCCTCAATCAGAGAATCTACAAAGCCCAGTTTCTTGTCTTGGAACAGGTTTATGATGGAGAGAGCAGAGGAGCGAGGAAACACTAGGGCCTGAGAGCAGCAGCCGTAGCGGGGCATTTCGTTTACACCAGTAGGGAGGGAGAGGACTGTTGTGCGGCCTGCGGCGAAGAAGAGGAGGATTGTTAGGGGGAGGCAGATGGCGTAGATCGGTAGTACCAGAGAGGGTGTCATTGATTTCTTGGCCGTTCGTGAAATGCAGCGGAGCAGTATTAGGGCGATGGTCAGGACGGCTGTGGCGAGGAGGGAGTAGCTGAGGTAGGTCCTCCATTCTTCGCTGTTCCAGCCGAGAAATTCTTCCGTGTAAAAGAGGCGGAGGTAGAGGACTTTTGGATCGTTAGTTTTTGTGGTAGATGACGGGGGATACTGGATCAACTTACAGTCCATGGATGCCTTTTGCAGAGTTGACTGTCTCTCTGCTAGCTCTAGGCCAGCCACTGCGCGGTGGTACCATCCATCTAATGCAACGATGTCGTCCTCGAACATCGCGATATGCTCCGCTCCTTGTTCATAGCAAGACTTTAGCATATACGTGTAGTCGAAAAGTCCCTTCTCTCTTGAGTTTCCAGTCTTTTCCAGCTCTATCACATGTTCCATCTTTTTCTTAGGCAAATCATACAGCAAAACTTCATCCGCAAGATTGTGTAGCCAGTCCTCGTGATATGCGAAGTGCACCGAAGGGTCTGTCTGAGCGATGAAGACAGCGAAATGGATGTCGTTACGCTCTTGTTCCGAGAGACCTTCCAGCAGAGTAGATATGTTGTCCCGTTCCTCGCTACAGAAGGTATTCCGACACATAGCTTCTTCCGATGTCCTTGCTCTTTCGATTCTGATCTTGATGCACCTGTACTGGATGCGAGTACGAAATCTTCTGCTTGCTGTTGTCGCAATGTCGAGTATGAAGGTATACATCCTCGACTAGGATCGAAGAATACTGATGTAGGATCCCGGTACTTGACAGATCGTGTGTAGAATATCGCCGTCAAATACAAGAATGCAAAGGAGACCGCAGTCAGAAGAGTAGTCGAAGATGTGAATGTCGTAAGAATCCTCGAACGTCTGGTCGCGTGTCGCTTCTCATGGTCGCCAACAAGATGATATGCACTTTCTGACATATTTCAATGCGAAGAAAGAATGACAAGTGAGAAGAAAGAAACCAATCGATGCTTACATCAAGAATAGATAAACGGCGTTCAAGACTCCTGACTCGCATCTGTGACGCAGTAGGATTCTGCTGTGCCACAAATAAGGCAGCAAGTTGTGTTTTCATCATCGTTGCTTCCCTCCAGCCTTCATGCATATAAGCGCCGAAGGAATGCGAAATCCTCTGCAACCAAACTTAACCTGCCGCATCAATCACCAGCAAAACTGCCACAAAGAAATCCTTTTGCTTGCTTCAAACAGAGTGCTCAGTTGTTCTGCGGTCCCGACATGATGGCTATGAGGCGTGGCAGGCCAGCGCTTCCAACGCTACCTTCCCCATTCATGCAACAATCCGACGCATACCAAGCCACGAAGGATGCTGGATGTTGGAGTTCTTAGCGGATCGGCGTAGCAACATCAATTCTTGTTACGTGCGAACCAAACTGTCAAAGTCGGATCGACCCACCTTCTTCAATATAAAAAGATCTATTGACACAAGACACAATTAGTCGTGACGGCAGATGACCGTAGCTTTGTTCTCAGCTTGAAGTACTCACATTCGAGCTGCTACAAGGGGAGGACACGAGCGCGCTGCCACCCTCTAGTGTCGGATCTTATATGAACCAATCTAGTGACTGGATTCCTGTCTGGGGTTAGAGCGCACTGTCATTTTCACATACATTTTTTTCAACTCACCCTAGAGGGGGGGCACCGCGCTCGTGTCCCCCCTTGTATTTTCTTTGGAAGTGGGCGGCTCCGTCGATCTCTCACGCATGTCAGGTGACACCAACTTGCGACAGACTCGCCAAGCCACAGAAAAGCTGGGTTGGATGACAGTTGGCGACCGCGGTCTTGCTCAATCACTACCTCCTTGATCTAAGTGTAAGGACTAGGTGTATGGGACGAAGACAGATGGTACGGCAGGTGCTCGTACTTGTAGTCACAATCGAGAATCTCTGTAAGAATCGAGCGCCAAGGCTTGTCCGATCTCTTCTGCCACGAGTATCGCCCCGTCCGTCGACCATATGGGTTGAGACAGCACACAAGACCAGTATTTCTCTCGATTTGATTTCATGGACTAAGTGTATCGAGCGCTTTAATTCGGGTCATCGATATAGCAAAGTGTGAGAGTAGCCACCACGTGTGCACTGACCTATCATGTGCGAACATAGCAAAGCTAGTGCCTTGGTTGCCTGCTCTCCATAGTCATCCACTCTTCCAATGCCCAGATTTACACATAAGTTTAAATATGCGGCATGCTCTTTAGGTGACCTTAGCGAATCTGATAGAGGACTAAGAAGTGCAAACTAAACCTGACGCACATGATCCATCACGCCTTGTACCCCTCTAGGCACTGACACAGTAATAGTCTCCACCAACCAGATACTGACACTCATCCCCGACAGCAGGATTCCAGGCGTAAAACTGCGTCAGGGTGATCCCGTTATCACCAGCCAAATCACCGCAATACTTCCCGCTGGTCTGCTGCACAAACTGCTTGCAGTAGCAAGGCATACCGGACTGAGACGGACCGGGCGCTTTCACACAAGCCGGTGCGGCGACACAGTAGTAATTTCCGGCTGCGAGAAATTGGCAAGATGTGCCAACGGCAGGGTTCCAGGCGTAGAACTGATCGAGAGTGATGCTGGCAGACGAGGCGAGGTCACCGCAGTATTTGCCTGTCAGTGTGGAAAAGAACGCAAGTTAGTATGTAAGTCTAGCGAATGGGGGAAAAGAGGAGGCGGGTTGTTAGCACGTACCAGTTGTCTGCTGAATGAACTTTGTGCAGCCACAAGGCACGCCGGTTTGGGTTGGTCCTGGGGCAGTGGCGCATGTTGGAGAAGCCGCTTTGCTCGTGGAGGTAGGCTTTGTTGCTGACGAAGTCGCCACGCAGTAATAGTCTCCTCCTACCAGGTATTGACAGCTGTTTCCGACCGCAGGATTGAGCTTGTAGAACTGATCCAAAGTGATCCCAGCATCGGAAGCGAGATCACCGCAATACTTGCCTATCATGAAAGTCAGATGAAATCGTATCGAAATGATGATTTGACCACTTAGGGTTACCATTTGTCTGCTGAACATATCTAGAGCAGTCGCAAGGCATGCCAGTCTGTGCAGGGCCAGGTGCAGCAGCACATGTCTGAGTCGGCGCTTTGCTGCTGGTGGGTGACGTTGGGTTCTTGCTAGTTGAGGGTGCCGTTGAAGAGGGAGACGCCACACAGTACCAATTCCCAGCGACCAAGAACTGGCAATTGTCTCCAACTCCAGGATTAAGCTTATAGAATTGATCCAAAGTGATGTCGTTCTCGGAAGCGAGATCACCACAGTAATGTCCTTGACACATCGTCAGCGACTTATCTATTACTAGAAGAACGGAGAGCTGGTGGCTACCATCTTTCTGTTGCACAAATTTGGTACATTGACAGGCGATGCCAGACTGTGTCGGACCCGGGGCAGTGGCGCAGGTTTGAGTCGCAGTTGCGCTACTTTTACTACTGGTCGTTATGGCAGAGCTTTTCGTGCCAACACCTATTTCAGGCTAGAATCAGCAAAATTCCACAGAGGCTCGACAAGCTTCAGATCCACTTACAAAGTGCATAACCTGGCTGGAGGTTCTTGCAATCGGACCCGATCGCAGGCTACGGATAATACAGTCAATCCAACGAGACCGTATGTCGAGGAGAATGGGCCTGAAACTTACATTCCAAGCTTCCAACTGGGTAACAGTGATCTGCGAAGCATCTGCGATGGACTGACAACCGTCCCCTCGGAATCGTTAGTGAGTTGCGGTTGAAAAAGGTCACAAGATCGGACTTACCACTTTCGACAACGTAGTAGTCCTGACAATCGGAAGCAATGCCAACTTGGGTTGGGCCAGGAGGACTTCCCTCGGGAAGATCCTCACCGAGTACACAATAGGCGGCTACTTCCTGAAGACCCGTGCAGTCTTGATTGATACTGGGCTATGATGAAGTCAGCAACTCACGGGGAGAAGGCACACGCGGCATGGTACAAACATTCCAGTGATAGAACTGAGCCAGATTGATGCCGAACTCTGCTTCTATTGATGAACAATTGTCTCCTGAGCAGTGAATGTTAGCATTTTGTCTTGGAGGGCATGAGGAACCCCTCTTTACCTGATTGAACTGAATACCATGAATAGCAACTTGCTGTCGAGCTCTTCGCTGCATTCGCTGGCCCAGGTGTATAAGGCGTGTCCTCTGTGTAGTTAGCGTAGACATAGGCATCGCCAAGAATGGTGCAATATCTCGTCTCGTTGACCAGTGTACAGCTATAGGGACTCAAGGAGGGATTCCAGCTGGTAAGATCGGTCGTCGCAACACCAGGGTTGATATAAGCGCAGTCGACAGCGCCGTAGATGTTGTCGGTGTACTCTTCACAGTCGCCTCGGGTACCGTTAGCAAGAGCAAAGAGGTAACCTGAGGTCGGCTCTACGTTCAGAGTTGCCATGGTGGCATCTGGCAACGTGTCGAATGCAGTGGGTGTTCCAGTGACCTTCGTGCTCGAGACTTCTGTCACTCCTGAGGTTACCGCGCCGATGCCGTAGCCGGCGTAGCTCGAAATATCGCCCACAGGCTGTACGCCTGTCAATGCACTTAGCACAAAAACTATGTTTGGTATATTCTGATCCTGAAGAAACAAAGACTCACAGTAGCTGTAGTTTAGGTACAGATTGGTGCAATTACTGTTGATTTCAGGATTCAGGAAATAGAAATCGTCGAGACTAATGGCTTTTGCGACAGAGATATGTGCGCAAGTGTCGCCCTCTGGCGAGAAAATATTAGTGTCCTAGCTTGACATCTCACGACTCGCGCAGTCGAACATACCATTTATATGATAATATTGACCACAGTTGAGGTTCGTTCCATCGACAATGTCAGTAGGTACACTTGCAGCAACTGTGGGAGCAGTCGTAGAAAGAGCTCTCGTATTGGTAGGCATAGTGAAGTTGCTCGGATTAGACACACAAATTTGATGTCCCACCACAGTGTCGAAGTTCCCACAGTCCGGACTTAGATTGGGATTCCAAGTTCGCAATTGGGTAATGGTCATACCGAACTGGTACACGAGCTGCAGACAATCCTCACCCGGCTCCACTTTGTGTGTTTTACAGGTTCCGGAGACACATAGGGCGCCGGACGTGGGAAAGTCGACGCAGCCTCCGATTAGGCCGTTGGTGGACAGCAGCTGCCAGGTACTGATATTGTTCGCTGCAGCAACAGCATCGCAGGTGCTCCCAGATGGAATATCGACTAATCTTCCTGCACAAGTTGGTGACGGGCTGGCCGCAGTGTTACTTGCGATGACTACGGACGGAGGAGATGTGAAAGGCAGGTTGGTGACGCTGCAGCTTGAGGTGAGCGACGAGTAATCCGATGCAAGAGCTTCATTGTAGAAGTAGCCATTCTCCAATTCCGCTCGAAACATCTTCAGACCACACTCGTCGCACTCGTCTTGTGTGTTACTGCTGAGAAGATGCTGGTAGCAATAACCACCAGAACTAGATTGGATTAAGTCATGCCCAGACATGAGGGAGACATCGGACATACCTATCTTTTGTGCATCTCTGTCTGTAGTTGGTGAAGTAGTAGTCAGGGAGCACAATCGGAGAATAGGCTCCTCCCGAAGCAGACTGGTATTGAGTTGCATTGCTTGTGTCATTGTACACGTCATTATCGCATGCTTCGAGGACATTAGCCCTGTAGTCAAAGATAGAGTCTGCACACTCGGAGGTGCAGAGCTGGTCAAGATATTGGGTTGTCAGGTTCTCCGTCTGTTGATAAAGCGAACCACCAACTTCAATGAAGCTGCAAGTTATGTTGTTTGTCAAAGCCGCGACACAACCTGCAGAAAGTACCGGTAGTGAGCTAAGATTGATAATTTGGAAAGAGTTATGCTCAGCATCGGCTGCAGCCGATCCAAGAAAGGCGAGAAAGACAAGAAGGAGAAAGGGTGGAAGTGCCATGTCGGGCAAGGGCGTCAGAGGTCTCCTTCAACAGAGCGCGCGCAAAAGGCACTGGCTGGAATCAAAGGACAATAGCGAGAATCATAAGCCAGGTAAGTATGAGAATCACGTCCCCTGATTTACTGGGCCAGTTCAGAGACATCTGCTGATAGACTTGATCAGCACCCCTGACAAGATCACACGAACCTTTGAGTGGTTCTGCTACGCATGGCACGCAATTTCCGAGCTGCAGGGTCTAGTTAGAGTGGAATCAAGTTGTCATGCAAGACGTACTAGAACATATCCAACACGGCCGATATAGTATCCACCGCAAGATTAAACCGGCAAGGTGGTCGGGTTTTCGAAAGTGCGGTGTGTCGTGACTCTTAGTCTAGGCCGTCGAAGGCGTTGGATCCACTCGTCCAGCACTCATATGACCATATCTAAGATCGACATTGCTCTTTGTCTTCAGGGTGGTCATTAGCTTGGAGCAATGGGGCCTCAAAACTGCAGTGAGATATAGGCTGAATCAAGGTGTACCGAACGATAGCAACCAGCTAATGTTTCATCTTTGGCTTAGACTTTTCACACAGAAGCAACATGTCGAGACGGCCCACAGATCAGCACGGAAGATCTTTCTCCACTGAGTCGTATGAAAAGTGTACAGTAGAGCTGCCCAGGCAGACAGCCAACACATTGAGCATGCTCTGGAGGAGACCGCCAGCCGCCGACTGAGCAAGGTGAGCGGTCACACAGATCTGAAGTCATAGCACTGAAGCATTGTTCCTGTGAAGTGCAAAGCAGACGGCCTTGTCACCGATACAAGATGACGCAGAAAGCATTGTGGAAGCTCTCGCCAAGGTCGTCGGCTATGTCTAGAGCCGCCGGCGCCAAGACTCTGTCAGGGTCTGTACCCGGTCCCGCAGGTCAGCGAATGCACGACCACCCGCAGGATATCCTCCTTGACAACTAACAAGAACAATGCTTTGACCTCCGGCTGGGGGTGCATTGCTGTAGGACTCGCGATATGCCATCGATCGGTATAGCCGGCGTGACACTTGAGGGCCGCCTCGCTCTAGACTGATGTCGGTGCACGTTCAAGCTTCCATCTTGCGCGACTTTTGCGTCCTGATCAGTTGTCATAATTACCGTGGCCCCGCCTCACGACTCTTTCACTCTACTCATGGTACTATCATGTCTGCACTTGGACCTAGCAACGCGGATCATCCACTCCCCTGCCAAATTAAATCATGCAGGTACACGGAGAGGACATGATTTATTCCCGCCGCACTGTAGATCAGTCAAGCGAGCTTAGCTGTCCCGGTCGACTCTCGGACGCCCAATTCAACATATTGCTTGGCTTGAGTATCTTGTCATCATGTAAAGAAGTTGGTGCTGCTCCTGTTGTAGCCCTCAGAAGTTCCATTATCTGCCTGGCAGACACTCTTTCGCAAGATGTTCCTATCAAACATGCTGGGAATAACTCTTCTCAGCATTCTTATAACTCCTTTTGCTCTTGCGAATCCCGACCTGTTTGTACTCTCTGAATTGGAAGGTCCTTTGGATGACACCTCCTCTCTCGTCACTTTCAACCACGCTCTTTTAAGACGTCAGACAAGCTCTAATTCTCATCCCGACTATACCTGTGGACCGGACCGACCCTGCCAGAACAAGGCATGCTGTGGAAAGTCGAATGTCTGCGGGTACGTTTTTTGGGCTAGTATGTGAGATAAGTTCGACTGATAAGCATCATAGATTTGGAGAATTGTATTGTGGTGATGGCTGCCAGTCTCACTGTGATGCCAAAGCAGAGTGCGGCCGCGATGCTACGACTCCTGGCACTGAATGTCCATTGAATGTCTGCTGCAGGTTCGTTCAGTATCGATAGGTGTATCGGTTGTGTCGTTAACCAGAGATACAGCCAATTCGGGTTTTGCGGCACTACTAGTGAATTCTGTGATACTGGTGAGTCCTAGATTTTACATATCACCTGTATCAGTGGTTGATATTATTCCAGGCTGTCAATCGAACTGTGGTCAACCTAACAAGCCTGGTTCGGGTACAGATGCCCGCAACAAGATAATTGGATACTGGGAGTCCTGGCGAGCCGATGGCGTGCCTTGCGGTGCCATGTCGCCTGAGTCCATTCCAGTTGAAGCCCTGGATCAACTGAACCTTGCTTTTATATATATCGACCCGGAAACTTACAAGCTCATGCCTATGGATGGTGGTACCATCACGAAACTCTACGAACGTGTCGCAAATACTAAGCTTCGCAATCCCAACCTCAAAGTATGGATCAGCGTAGGCGGGTGGAGTTTCAACGATCCAGGCGCTTATCGTTCCATCTTTGGTGCTATAGCTGGTGATGAACGCTTAAGTGCCGAATTTGCGCAGAACTGCCTCGACTTCATGAACGAATACGGATTTGACGGAGTTGACATCGATTGGGAGTACCCAGGTGCTGAAGACCGGGGTGGTACGCTTTCAGATATCACGAACTTCCCTCGGATGTTGGGCATCTTGCAGAAGCGATTCAAAGTGGGGGACGTATCCGGCAAACGATTTGGCTTATCTATCACAGTTCCAACTTCATACTGGTACGTTTTACTCGCCCTCCTTCTTAGATGGGCCTTCGAAAGCTAGTCAGCTTCATTCATGACCAAGCTCTTGTCGTATGCATGGGAAGCGCCTTGAGTCGCTGTTATTGCTGACTGCCTCGAGCTACTCATCCGTCGTCATATCTTTTGACTTCTCCTTCATTGCGCTCACTCTTGGTAATATGCTAATTCTCTTACTAGGTATCTACGTTGGTTTGATCTGCCCAAGATTGCCGAGCAGATTGATGAATTCAACCTCATGACTTACGACTTGCATGGTATTTGGGACAGAACTGACCGTATGTTGACTAATTATTTGAGTTCGACATCAAGGTTCGCTAACGGCTCTAGCTATTGGCCCATACGTTTGGGCTCATACAAACCTTACGGAGATTGACCTTGCTCTGGACCTCTTCTGGAGGAACGATATTAGCAGCAGAGGTATCAACCTAGGCTTAGGATTCTACGGTCGCACATTCAAGCTCAAGGACTCTCTATGTTCTGAGCCTGGTTGCGAGTTCTCCGGACCAGGAGATGAGGGTTCATGCACCAAGTCAGCTGGTATCCTATCCTATAGGGAGATCCGTGCTTTACTGGAAGAGAATACCCTTTACGACAGCGCTAAATACGATGAAGAGGCTGGTGTCTATTACGTTACCTATGGCGAAGGTGGCCAAAGCTGGGTCTCCTTTGACGACTCGGTATCATTCCAAGCGAAGGTTGACCTTGCGAACTCAAGGGGCATAGGGGGCTTATTTATCTGGGCATTGGATCAAGATAACGATAATCTAGACGCTCTAAGAGCAGTCTCAGGACGCGATGTGGTGGTTCCCCCGCATGTAAGTTGAGACGCTAGATGACAGCTATCACGCAAGTTGCTGACCACGCATTCTCAATTCAGGGTTCTGGTACTTTCGGTGCGTTCGACATCGACAAATGCTATATCACGGACTGCAACGCGAATTGCCAATCTGGAGATACTCTTATGACGCGACTCAACCAAGACGAAAGCGGAAGGGGATGCGACGGCAAAGAACACAACCAAAGATCGTTCTGTTGTCCACCCACGACGTCCCCTGATCCTAAAACATGCCGCTGGACCGGCGGACCTGTGAATTGTCATGGCCAATGCTCTTCCGGCGAGGTCTCCATGGTTTTCGACGATTGGGGCGACAGCAAAAAGCGTTGCACCAACGGAGGTAAGAAAGTTTGGTGTTGTCCTGCGACTAACGGTCAGTCGTTGATCGAAAAGTGCGGACTGGTTAAGGGTAAGAAGTGTCCCTCGGATAGGCCACAAGATCTCACCTACATCTACGACAAAATTTACAATCTGTTCGACGCCATTGAGGTCGACGAGACATTTTGCTGTCCATCCGAGCCCAAATTCAACAACTGCAACTGGTTCGGCGACAACTACTACTGTAACGACAACGCTTGTCCCGCAGGCCAAGTTGAGCTCTTTAGACACCACGGATATCACGGACTACCCGGGAAAACGGAGCAGATGTGCAATAAAGGACGTCAACAAGCTTTCTGTTGCGACCCACCATTCACAGGAGGTTCACCATTCCTGCCGGTGCCTCTGGAGAACTTGTTCCCTGATGCTGCCGAGTTCCCCATCGATTACGACCCTGTTTTTGCCGAAGCATTCGATTTGAACAAAGACCTGACTCCGGAAGTAGAATATTCACAAGATCCGGACACGCAAAGTTTTGCCTGGGTCATTATGGTCGGCCCAACTGCAGATGTTCAAAGTTTCGAAAAAAGAGACGGCAGCCACTTGGAGCTGTTTGACTGCCCTGATACTCATCCCGATGATTTCTCTGTGCAGCAAGCTAAAGCGATCTGCTTGACAGACTCTCCGGATAACGACTGCGAAGACATCATGGAAGGTGGTGTTGAGGGTACTGTTGTCAAACTCCCGAAACACTGCGGACCGGACCAGTGGGTCAGGGCGCTCAGATATGAGGAATCTACTGACAGGAACCTTCCACCACATCTTGTCAAGCGTGCTAAGCCACATCATAAGATTTATGACTTCCACTATGACTACGACTTCCGCAACCTTCGACGAGATGGCGGGGAAGTTCACGTCCGTATTGATGCTTCCAACCACCCAGGTAAGCCTCCACGCGTTGCAAAACTCAAGTTCTTGAATCTAAACTCTTGACAGGCTATTGGAATGAAGTTGTAGCCAGGCCGGCTGGGTCGCCAATCAAACGTGATGCATCGAGCTGGAGAGATCTTGATCGAAGGTCTTTTAGTGAAGACGATCCGAGCGACTGGAAAAAACGGTTTGACAACCTGCTGAAGGACGGCAACGTTGGTCTCAAGAAGCATTATGAGTTCGACCAATGTCTTTTTAGTGTCGAAGCAACATGTTCCGCCGGAAGCGCATATGCCGAAGCATTCGCCACTGGTGAATTCAACACGACGATGGATTTTGGAGTGTCTCTAATCGGCACACTTCGTACTTTCACGTTCACTGAGGCGTTTTCGTACTTCCGACAGGAGGCTTTCGAAGCTCGTGTCCAGGCTGCACTCGCAGCAAAGGCTAAGCTTCGCTTCGACAGCGGGTTTCATCCTGTGGGCTCCTTCGACGCATTCGGATCCAATTACAACATCAAGGGTATCTTGTCGATCAACCCCTACTTCAGCGTTGCTGCTCGCGTCCAAGCCGAGGCTACAGTATCTCTCCAAGCTACTGTAGAACTCACCTTAAAGCATGATCGTTTCCAGTACTACCTGCCAACAAACCTAGGATCGCTGCCCACAGAGCCTGGCGGCAACTTCCAGGTCACCTCGCGTAATGGCCCAATCAGTACTCTAGGTGACGTATCTGCTAGCGTTGGTGGCGACGTGATTGTCTCAATAGTGCCTACTATCGGTTTCGATATACAGCTGGCCTTCGGTGGTAAACAGCTAGTTGACACCTCTGTCAAGCTCACTTCCCAGGCAGACGTCGACTTTGATATTGCTGCTACGGCAGGCACGTCATGTACAGGTCTACAACTAGACGTCAAAGGACAGTTCCAGGCACAACTGATCCTAGAGAATGCGCTTCCTGGTTGGATAAGTGGCACTTATGAGATCGAGCAACCTATTCCGAAGAGTATCTACTCCGATTGTATTGCTTGGGTACCAACAAAACGTGCTATTACTCACGACGACGGTACTGAGTCTTTGTCGAGTAACAATCGGTTAGTGGCTCGACAGACCTTGGGTGAATCTCTGTCCGGTAACTCAGTACCACGGAGCGGTACTTGTGCATTCAGTGTCAAAGGTATGTCATTCGATATTAGATGAAGACAGAGCTTGTAGAGAGACTGTGCTTCCTACAGAGCTAACATGATACCAGGAGTCTATTGCGCCGAGGACAAGAGAGATGATGCCGATTTGAATTGCGACGTCTACGATCTGGAAGATCCCGATGGGGACTCAATACCAGACGACAACGACTCCACACTAGCCGAGCGTGAGATCGATGATGATAGTGTCGTTGTGTCAACTCTCTTGGACGGATTCATCACTCATCTACCTCACTCACATCATGTACACCGTCATGTGCACAAGGTCCGGGAGAATATCGCACACCTCTTCGAAAAGCGTGGCGGTGCTAAGAAGCGAACGTTTTGTGATCCAAAAGACCCCAAAAGCGGCCCTTATGCCGTCAAAGGGTACGCGGGAGTCAGCTCGGACAGCAGGACCTTTATACAATACAAGGGCTTCCCAGACAGCTCAGACATCAAGACCGACCATCCTAATGCCGATGCATTTACCTTCGAAGACCCGACCGATTGTAACAACTACAACATGAGAAAATTCAAGGCATCTGCTGTCACCGATACAAAGAGCTACGGTGGTAAGTACTCCCAATGATCACCTTTCCCCTCGGTCACAGCGAAGGAGGGCTCTGAGATGGCATGCGTGATTCTGTGCGTATTAAAATTCACAGCCAGACTTTTGCTCCAGTCTCGAACTTCTCCCTGTAGAGTCATTGTGCTGACCAGATTCAATCACAGCGGAGCATGTACTTGAGAACCAGATGTTCCCCAACTTCATGAACAGATTGGCACAAGGCTATTCAAACCTAGCCAATATCGACCGAAACGATGTCAGCAAAGCAAACCCAGGTGCCAGGTACTACACCGAGCCGAAGAGCGACGCTGGAGATGAAGAAATTTCGTGGTGTCAGTACATGGAAAGATGGTGGAACAATGCACGCGCGCCCGACGGTCGTGCAGGTGATCGAGTAGTCATCGCTTACCCGGCCAACAAGGTGCATGAGGATGAGATGTTCTTGCTTGACGAGAAGATGAACTCAAGGATCAAGCAGAATTGGTTCTCGGGGCTCAACTTGTCATACGATAGCAAGGCGAAACTCCAAAAATATATTGCAGAGGAGAAATGGGCTGAAGCGCTGAAAGCATTGAAGTTCCACGTCGTGACGTGGAAATACTTCTTGGACGATGACGTCAAGCGTGTCCTTGTCGACCAAGTAGACCGCGTCGCCACTAACCTGTAAGTATACTATTCGTGATCGCTCCAGCATATCAAGACGATGCTAATTGACTGGCTATAGCGAGGAAGTGGAGACTGATTATATGGAAGATGTCGGTAACTTGGAAGACGCCGAAGGTGATCTGATCTACAGAGATCCATACGAATACCAAGGGCTGGCTGCTTCTTGGCGGACATATGCCGAGGAACAACACATCCTTGTGCAGTCGCGTGTCAAGGCGATGCTTAAGAAGTATTCTGATCAGCTTTATGCATTGAACAGACCGAACATGCAGTCGAACGCGGATATTGTCGAGTATATGGAGACGCTGGCGGACGAAGTCAAGGACTTACAGGCCTGGAACATTCAGTGGAAGAAACCGTAGTTTTGAGAAGCAGACACAGATACAGAAAATGGGGTGGACCTAACGTGTGTTGGTGGGTTTGGAATCATGAGAACTACTCACTTTACACTGCCACTTGTACAGCCAGTGCTCCTGAGTGGCAGGTTGACCCGGACAACTCAGAATGCAAATTCATTGCTTTGTTACATATGTCACATCGGACCTCGAAGATGCCTTGCCAAACTCAAAACGATATCCCGTGCTGTCGCGACTCCATCAAGACTCTAGACGCGATTGCGGCACAAACATAAGCGCGCCGTCTCTAATCATATCATAAATTAAGAAGGTGGCCATGATGAATATGTAGCCTCCTGCCAAAATCTACTCCTGCAAGGCTGTAGGCTACCTCCAGGTACTTTCCAAGCTTTCAGGACTTCAGAAGATGGCCTATAGTCCTTCATCAGGTAAATCCGCAGAATCCGCCGCTCGTCCTTGAGGAGCAGCCTAAGCTCGTGACCAAGGCTGGCAAAGTTGAGTACAACACTTTTCAGGCAAGGCATCTTCTGCGCGGCGTGGCCAAGACTCGTGTAGAGGTCGTCAATGTATTGCTTCGTGAGCGCATCCTCCGGGGTAGCGCCATCGGCATATCTTGCCACGCCACCAAACAGTGCGTCCGCCGAGACTTGGTCCAAGCGAAGCGTCTCGAGATATGGCCAATGTGCTTCATCTGAAACCCCATTGGCGCAGAAGAGCTCAGGGAAAACCTCCAAATTTTCTATACGCAAATGTTGCAACTGCATGGAGACCTTGTGAAGCGTTACGCACAAAAGATCTTGCTCAGCGCTTTCGTTTAGATTTCTGGGTTCGGGGATCTCGTCATCTAAGGGCGAGCTCCAGCATAGGGTGACATCTCTGACAGTTTGTGGAAGCTGGGAAAATCCTTCGGCAGCCGCGGTCCGCCTGCTGGAACGCATGTCGGGCTCGGTCGAGGGAATATCGTCTCCGCCACTTAATCGAATATCTTTCAGAGCGCCACATGCTGACGCGATAGCCAAGCAAGCAGGTAGAGAAATCTTGTTCTCGAAACACGGTAGTTGAGGTGCGCTGTCGTCTTCCCAATGCATCATTGCAGGAGTCACGAGCTCAGGGAACTCCAATGATGTGATGCATGACGCACGCAGCAAAGAAAGTCTGGGCAGGAACTCTGCACGATACGGAGCAATCGAGTCTTCCGTGCCGGTCGTTGGTATCGACTCTGGCTCACCGCTTTCCTCGTCGGTGGAAGCATCTTCTGCTTGCAAGGCTATCTGGAAGGAAATTTCCTGATTGGTCCAAGTCGATAGATGCTCGAACAATTGGCAGACGCCTTTCGAGAACGCTTGATTATTCCCGCGCCGGCATACATTATCATACGTGTAGTCGTCATCTTTTTCGCGGGCTTCGCTCAACCAGTACGGGACTGCAACTCTGTAGAGAATGTGACGCACATATGTACGCCGAGTTCGCTGCCAATCCTGTGGTCCGCTGGTAATGTTGATCAAGATGTCCAATGGGATTCCATGTTTATCGTGTCGTTCTTCGTCACTGACTGTGATAGTCGTCACATCAGATGGACTACGCACGACGATTGATGTATAGATCTGTTTCTCGAAAGCGGCCTGCCAAGACTTGTTGACCAGCGTGTAACGCGACAGATTTTTGTCCAATTGCGCCAGGTGGTGTACGATGAGAGACAGTACTTCCTGAGGTGCCGAGGAAGCCATTTGGCAAGTGATCAGGCGTTTACTTCCTTTGGGCCCGGAGGTGCGAGTTAACGGTCTGAACGTTGTAAGGAATAGGGGTAGCGAAGTAAGCCAAGCAACTGCTCTGCATACGGAGTATCTTCGGAATCGCGGTTGTGAGCCGCATCTGCCCAGGTATATACACCGGATCTTTTTTCCAATACATTCTCACTTCCTCGCCACAGGACCGCTTACAATGATCGTTTGACATCGCAAGCTCATTCACTAATAATGGACAAGTGGACGACATTCGGTATGGCGATGCTCGAGTCTCGACAAGCTGGGTAGGTGCGTCGAAGTGAACCATCGTCCTCGACTATGATGGGCAGCCGTTCGCGACGCAATGCCAGATGTGCCCTCTGCAGCACTCATTTGGTTGTGTGCGCAGCTTGGAATACTGGAAGTATAGAAGCTTATGCTTCCTCGGATCTCTTCTGGCAGCCTGAACTCGAACTCTTGACGACTACTTGGATATTGGCCGCAATTAAAGACATCAGCTATACGTGTTTTGCCTTACACGCCAACAGAAACATGCCTGATGTATGTGTACGAACGTCAGTATCATCTGAATTAATCCTTGGCGTATCCGCGCAACGCATACGAAAGCGTTGGAGTGCTGCACAGGACAGTACATGTCACATCTTAGAGAGCTGTAGCTGTATTTCATGCATCTATCATTGAGCGCCTTACAGACACCAACCTGCGTGTTATGTGTACAGCGAAACCGGATGACAGCCTTAGAGGATGACTGATCGCGAGGGCTCCGTATAGAAGCCCGCTTCCGCTATGGTGTCGGCCCCGATAATGTGTGGAGATGGAGGAAATTTGTGGAAGAGCCTCACTTGCACGCTCTCTGTTACTGGGGCTCTCGAATAGTCTCACTTCCTCTGCTATCAGTATCACCGTATCTATTCGCGAACATCCATTATGGTAAATTCCAACTCAGTGTTATACACTGTCGACCAATAAGGTCGGTTTGACTTAGAAGATCTGACTGGTACGACAGGCATCTCAGAAGAAGTCGAGTTATTTGACGCCCCTACTGAAACGCAACTCAAAGCCACTACACTCTTCGCTGCACACGATTGTACTCGCCTAAGCGATCCCCTTCTACAATATATACATCGAGGTCACGCCCTCCATCCCAAACGTAAGATCAGCATCATGAAAGCCATAACACAACCCATCATCCCCATTAAAACATACATAGAAGCCGGCACCTGCTCGTTCAACCCAAACATTGCTGCAAACCAGCATTTTCAGATTGTCCTCAGACTGGCCAAGAGACATAGAGCCACAGACTCCCATTCTTGCCGACTGCAAAACTGAATAGCACCTAGTCCAAGCTGATGCGTCCATCATGACCCTCTGCAGCATCCAAGGCATCAGTGACAGCAGAGCCCTCGCCCTCGAACATGAAAGCATCATAGATAGCTGCTCCAACAATGCAGCCAAAGAGGGGTACAACGAGAGGGACAATGAAGTAGAAGCCCTTGGCGGTAAAGACTTCACGGCCATAAATAATAGCAGAGAAGACACGAGGGCCAAAGTCACGAGCAGGGTTGACAGCCTAGAAACTTGTTAGAAACGTAGGCTATAAAGATGATGAACATGACGGTACTCACGTAACCAGTTTGCCAACCCATAGAAGCACCAATAGCGACCATAAGAGCAAACATCATAAATTGGGGAGCCTTGAGTCCCTCATTCTTAGGGTCCGCAACGGCGGAAGCACCGAAAGCGAGCAGAGAGGATCCAAGGAACTCAGTAACAGCAGCCTCCCAATTAGTGCCAAAGTGTGCGGCAGGGTAGGTAGCGAAGATACCAGCAGAATGGTGACCCTGAGGAGACAAGATAGAGCCACCAGGAACAGTAAACTCAGGGTCCCAAGCCTTGATGGCGGATCTGTATTGCAGGTAGACCAATGCAGCTCCGACAAAGGCACCGGAAAACTGCGCAGCCCATTTTCCAGGAAGTTGAGCCCATTGTTGCTTGGTAGGACGGATGATCGCAGAGGCAAGGGTGATGGCAGGGTTCACAGCAGCGCCAACATAGCAGGAAAGTGCGACGGCAGAAGCCCAGGCCAAGTTGACTGACAGAAAGTTCGCGTAGTAAAAGTCTGTCAGGACAGCTTGAGCAACGACACCATCACCAATGAGAATGAGAAGGAGGGTGCCAATAAACTCGGCAAGGTAAGGGCGAAGACCATTACGGTGCAAGCTGGCTGGTATACGGACGGCCATGTTGTATGTCGACGCGTGAGAAAGAAGTCGTAAAGTCGTTGATGGAATGATCCGGTTCTACCAGCCTGAGGTCTATGATGTTATATACAAAGCAGATACTTCACACACGACATCGTCGCTGCTGCTGCGGCGTTGGGGAGCCCTATCCCAAGCTCGGTCCAAGCAGGTTTTCTTTGCTGCGCCCGCGACTCGGCAAGCTGGGCATGTCTGGTGAATTATGATCAGCGTCTTTCACCGTTCGTTTCATCATTCTTCAAAAGTGCGTAGAAAACACAAGGCGGCCGGCACAGAACTTCGAGAAGTGCGGTGAAGTCGGTCCTTCTGGCAGATACGAACTTACATCTTGAGCCTCAAAAAGACGGTGTCAACCCTAAACAGGACCCTGCAAATGCGTCACCAGGTCACCATCAATGTTTACCAACGAGTTTGGACAAACACATGAACTAAATATTCGGAGTCATATTAATTTTTTACTGCTAATGGTATCATGTGATTCAGAAGATGAAACACGAGGCCTAAGCCAACATGATTCAATCCTCAGCCCAGTGCGCAGAACCTGTCAGGCCGCAACACGTTCGAGCCCAAACCAAATTTCGTTTCCAAAACGTGCCAACTAAAAGGTATAGCCATGGTCGTCGTCAACTTCATCAAAGTGCTGAAGCGTGAATCATCCACACCGCCTCAGGGTGATTAGTAGGTGGTGAGGGCAGGGCTGCCAGCACAAGCCGGTTGCGAGAATTTTGTCTCGACATAGACCTTTTGCATGCCATCCTCCTTCTTGTCAAACTTGTAGTAGACCTTGTCGAGATCCTCCATGCGGACACGGTGAGTGACCATCTTGAGAGGGTCAATCTTACCTTCCTGAATCATCTTAAGAAGCTTCTCCCAGTAGAGGTGGACGGGTGCCTGTCCGTTGCCGATCAAGCGGATACCGCGCTCCATCAGGGAGCCGATGTTGAAGTGGTTGGTCTGGGATGAGGTCAATTTTGTGCTAAAGTGATGACAGGAGGTGGGTAAAACTCACGTAGCCGACGTAAACACCGGTGATACCGCAACGACCGTAGTTCTTGACACTCTCGATCATCTCATTGATGATCTCGGAAGTGTCAGTTTCCAGGCCAGTCATCAACTCAATAGTGTGCGCCCAGCCCTTGGGGTATTCTCCAGCGACACACTCCAGGGCAATGTCGGGGCCACCGTGCTCCATCTTCTTCAAAGTGCTGACAACAGTCTCGCCCTTGGGTAGGTTCGAAAAATCGATGGTCTCGATGTTGGGGTACTTCGACTTGCAGTAGTCGAGACGCCAGTTCTGGTCGATAACAATGACACGTTTGGCACCGTTCATGTATGAGAAGTCAATGCACATCTGACCGATGGGACCAGCACCCCAGATGGCAACGACATCACCCTCCTTGACTCCGGTGTCAACAACACAGTTCCAGCTGGTGCTGACAACATCAGACAGGTAAAGACCCTTCTCATCAGGAACGTCGTCGGGGAGGTGGAGCAGGTTGACGTCTCCATAGGGTACACGAGTGTATTCAGCCTGGCCGCCAGCGAAGCCACCGGTGAAGTGGGAGTAGCCGAACATGCCGGCGGTGCGACCACCGTACATGGCGTTCTCTATGGTGTTGGAGTTGGTCTTCTCGCACTGCGACGACAGCTTCTTGTGGCAGTACATGCACTGCAGATCTTGTCAGCATTGAAAACTATCTTCGTGATTGGAAGAGAATACGAACGTCTCCGCAAGCAATCTGGAAGGAAGCGACCACACGATCACCGACCTTGTGGTTCTTGATTTCGGAGCCAACCTGATCAATGACACCACAGAACTCGTGACCGAGGATATCACCCTTCTCCAGCTCGACAACTGAGCCGTGCAGCAAGTGCAGGTCGGAACCGCAAACAGTGCTGCCAGTGATCTTGAGGATAACATCGCGAGGCTCGATGATCTTTGGCTTGGGACACTCGATGACCTTGACGGTGTTCTTGCCTTGCCAGACCAGGGCCTTCATCGTCACATTCGGGTCGCCATACTTTTCTCTGTCGTTTCCAGGGTTGGTAACGTCCTGGGCAGTGACAGCGTTATCGCCGTGACCGATGGCTCTCTCAGCCAAAGCTGCTGCTTGTGTAACTGCTGCCATGTTGAATTTGTTATGTTGACTCTGATGAATGGAACAGTTGGTACGAGATGAGCTGAGAGCGGACTCGGACTGTGGCATTCATGGGCATTTGACCTTGTCGCTTTGTGTACCTACGTCAGGTCGGCATAGCTTATACGTCACCATTCTTTTCGCGGGACAGCTGCGGCTGGCATCTATATCTCGTTCTCGTGTGTCTGGATCACAATATCCAATCACAATGTGTGACCGTGCTCGTCTAATCTATATTTGCAACTGCCGTGCAATTCACCTTCCCAAAGCTCGATGGCTCTCTGAGTTCACGATGAAATTATCCTTGGAGGCTCTCGTACAAACCTTGGATGACAGCTCGAGCCTCAAACTTGTGACATCATCATTTCCAGCATTTTGCGGGGCATATTTCGCGGGAAAGTGGGGCGTAAACAACGTGAAACCTTCAAGCATGCCAGACCTGACAAGTTCTGTGCCACCATGTTGAACATGATCTCTTGTATTAATTGACGTGGCTAGAGCACACGAATGTATTACGATGATGTGTCTCCCAACAGCTAATAAAACAGAATGGTATCTTCGTAGACTTCGCCGAGTCTTGCCGACGCAACGCCAAATTACTGCGAAGGACAAAAGAAATGAGTTCCGGCATACTTTGGGTGACCCGTCATATATCGTTATCGATACTGCAATGATGTACCAGGTCGAAGACATGCATCAGGATGCTATGCAGAATCCTAGAGGATAGACTGCTCAAATGCCCTTCTCCTGATGCTTCTTCTTCTTGAACAGAGACGGTCGTTGAGAGGTCGAGACGAGTTTGTTCATCTCTTGAACACTCTGCTGAGTCATCATGTAGGACAGCTTCGCTTGTTCCGCTGCCTGCATGGCGGTATACATGTTGCGCTCGGCTTCCACAGCGTTAGTAACTGTATCAAGCATGACTTGAGCGAAAGAAGTCATGCGCTCTTTGCGAACGAGATCGTCTTCCTTAGAGGCCTCTCGACGAAGAGTGAGTCCCATCTCCATCAATGTGACAGTATCGCGCTTCACAAAGTCCAAATCAACTTGATGGTTTGCCTCGGCTGCCGCAAGATTGTTCTTAGAGATCTTGCGGAGAAGTGATGGAATGTGTTGCTCAGCAGCATTCAAGCTCGCTGGAGTATCCTTGACAATCGAGCTTTGTGGAGATTCTAGCAGTGTAGCTGCTCTTCTAGGAGATTGTACTTCCTCCACGGCGGTTTTCTTGACCAGAATGCTTTTCGTCGTTGGTCCTTTCCTGGCTTCAGGAAGAGAAGGAACAGCGGGCACCTCTGGTATGTCGGCATCCGCCAAGGCCGACTTGCGACTCCCTATCGAAAATCTTCGGCCACCAGAGCCAGATGTTGATGGAACCTCACGTTTGCTGGAGAATAGTTCCTTCAGATTATCGAGTACCGACTTGCCCTTCGCTTCGCTCCTGGACCTGGTCGATGGGAAGGTACCATCGCGGGATATTTCAAGAGGCTCGGGTGACTGACGGCCAAGCTTGATGTTGCCGATCGACCCGCATTGCATGAAGCTGCCTCCTCTCCTGTGACTAGATTTAGGAGTGACGGCCGCCTGGCCCGGAAGCTGACTGGGATTTGTCGTAGGAGTTTCGTTCCGGGGAATAATAGGCACAGGTGTCGAGCGACCGCTCCGACTTTCGCCACAAAGCTCTGACACTTGTTCAGGTTTGTCCGATGGAGAGGTGTCACCTTTGCTAGATCCTGATGGTTGTACAAGCTGTGTAAATTTTAAAGCTCGATGGCCGTCCGAGTCCGGGGTGGAGTTTGCCTTACTACGACGGACGTCCAAAGGGGGAACCACAAAGCTCTTACGTGCTTCTGAAGCTGGCGTAGGAAGCATGTATGATGGGACACGATCATTGCGAGTGCGTGCAGGTCCCTGGCCGATCATCTTGGAGGAGACACGGGATGGCTTTGTCGTACTGCTTCGAGTCTCGGTGGGCTTCGAGGCACTGGCCGAGGATACGTGTTTCCTGGTAGAATTGCCTTCTAGCATGGACAAGGTCGCTGAGTCTTCCTTCCTGGAGTCTTGATTCGGCCTTGGGCCATCAGTGTGGTGCATGGAGTCTGTTCGCTGGATGTCACGTTGTCCAAGTTCTCCGGTGTTTGTCTCCAAAATCGACTGTTCGCTACCTTCTGAGATTCTCGAAAACGTCTTAGGCCGCACAGAAGGCGAGCTCTGCACCGTCGGCGACTCCGGGCCCAAATCGGCGGGATTGAACCCAAAGTTAGCAGGCCATGACACATGGAATCCGTTCTCACTAGGTGAGGGCAACTCGAGGTCAGCGTCGGCAGGAGCTGCAAGGCTCGACTGAGAGACGAAAGAGGGTGTACGGGCCCCCTCGGGCCCCATGATGAGCTGATCAGCTTCATCTGAGATACTCAGTGTCGAGCCGACGAAGGAGCTCGAGAGTAAGCTTCCAGAAAGCTTCTTGACCCTCGTGTATTCAAAAACATCGTCCGATGCAGATTTGTTTTCACCGAAGATCAATCTCATGGGGCTCAGTTTGTTGGGGTCGGAAGGTGATGAAGCTCTTGAAGGTGGGTCATGTACAGCCAGATTGTTCTTTCCATGCGATGATACCTTCGAAGGCTGACCTCGGCGATTTGATGGGCGTGTACTGCCCTGATCCAGTGTGGCAAAATCTGCAGGGTTGCCCAAACGTCGGCCTGCAAATGTCAGGACATCATCGGCCACCGATGGCTTGGAATTGGGTGGACTGCGGACGATCATAGGCGTCGTCTTAGGCGAGACTGTAGATGTGATCGGGCTTCGCGGGACTTTACTGCCATGAGCCTGCGGCACAGATAAGGACATGGCACTTGTTGATGATCTCTCCAGATGCTGAGCTCTGGGGCGTGAAAAGCTATTCTCTGCAGGGAGGTATCTGCGTTCTTGGTGATCGGCGGAAGAACTGTCTCTTGTACTTGTAACTACACCTATGCCTAGACCCGCATCATGATGCTTGGGTTCGGGTGTGCGAAGCGATGAGAATCTTGGTGGGTGAGGATTTTCTGCGTACGTGACGGATAGCACGGGTCGTTTGGTGTCCATCCTGCTCGGAACGTCGAGCGAGGACACTGGCGAGGCGCAGTGAGGCGAATTAAAGCTGCTAGATAACTGTGGAAGGACAGGAGATACCACGACAGGACTGTTGGGTCCGGACGACCTTGGAAGCTTGCTCGAAGCTCTGAATGTTGTACCAGGAGTTCCACTGGGAGTCACGCTTCCACGGCGTGTGACCGGGCGCTGGGGAGAGACTGCTGACTTTTGCCTCGCAGTTGAAGCGCTGGGACCTGAGAGCTCAAATGTCTCTCTGATCGAACTCATCGAGTCGGTAGCAACGTAGAACGGTCGAGATGGTAGGGGTTTCTCGAGAAGCAAAGACTTGTTCCTGCGACCTGTTCTGGCTTCGGGAACTTGATTGTGTGCTTGCGTGATCTCAGCAGCAGAAGAACTCGGCCTACCCTGGCGTATAGCTCTGCGAGCCGATTTGGTAGGAGACTTTGAGACAAGGTGGCGAAGGGCATCGGGGACTGGCACTGGTGATGGCCGACCCTGAGATTGACGACGTGCAAAGCTCGAGTTTAGGCTGTCATTTGAGGTAACCGTGCTGAGGCGCCCACGGCTCGAACTTGCCGAGATGGTCCTTGGTCCAAGCGAAGTTGATATGGGCGACGGAGAAGATCCTGAGCGCGCTACGGATGATTTTGTCGAGGCCAGCAGGCGTGTGAGGTTGGATACTGGAGGTTCATTCTCATCGTTGATACGGCACCTTGGTTCAGGTCCGACCATGGGGATGCGACTTTGGCTGTTGACGCTCCGGTCTGCGAGAGGCGTCATCGTAAAGGCTGAGCGAGTGTTGATTCGGTTGATCACCAGACTGTTATTCGCAGTTTGTCGTTGATTTCGATGAAGTCGTGAGGTGTTCAGGCAACTCAATACATTACAATTAATTATTAGTGATCGTGTTCAACATGCAACAGAGTCCAGAGTGTTAAAAGAGTGACATGGAGTTTGTGAGTACAGACACTCAAAAAGGATGAGGTCGTCCAAGGAAAGGTCGTGAGAGCGCAATTTGGGGGACCCGCAGAAGGTTAAGTCGTACTTTCCACTTGAGTAATATCATTGCGCTGCCTGAGAAAGCAGCCACGATCAGGCCAACGGTCAACGCTGTCGTTCCTTCTCTGCCACTCGTGTTTATATTCAAAACAGGAAGCCTTGAGATTGCAAGTAAGATGACCGTTGGAGAGCCTACAACGCTCGCGTGCTGTTGTATGCTTCAAAGTCCGAATTGCAACGGCTGCAGTATATACGTGCACAAAACTCTTGATAGACTCACATGAGCCGGAGAGCTATTGTGGAAGTCGCAAATAGCTCTACTGAGGAAGTCTATCTACTGCGGGAGCCGATAGAGAGCGTCTTCCCTGTGCTTGTATGCGACGGCCCAGGGTCAAAGGCGTTTCAATTGTGCAAGAGCAGGCATGTTCTCGGATGTAGCAAAAATGGAGTTTTACAACCAAGATCTGCCGCATATCGAAGTATGGAGGCAATTCCTCCTGAGTAGCAAGCTTCATGCTGTTGTATCTGTTTCGAGTGTCATCATACTTCGGGCCTGAGCACTGCTTCAAAGCCCCAGTGGTTGCAGAACCCTGGAGACTGATGTGACCACATCGACTTGAGGACCCAGGCAACATCTCGAAGATCAAATAGCAGAGGATTGTCATATGCGGGATAGCCTTCGTAAAGGTAACAAGCAAAGGAAATGAGGAGCGAGGGTCTGCCAGGAGAATAAACGGTCTTCGGCACGAGAGACATGCCGACCGGAAGACGGAAGTGGTAAGGACACCCGTGCACATGTTGCGCCTCGGTGGGCAAGAACAGAGAAACATACCCTTGAGGGAGTTCTCCAGTACAATACAAACCATCCCAACCATCAGTATGACCGAGAGTACGGCACATGATGGTAAGATGCGTTGCTGGTAAGCAAGAGTAGTAGTCTGGGAGAGTACCTAGGTGGACGCTTGGTACCGACGCCCGTGGGCAGCGCGAGCTATGACCAAGCTTCATTTTCGAAATGTTTTGTTTGACAGCTTCGAGAAGGCTCGGAGACAGGCGGCCCCTTGAGAACACTGTGTTGTCCTCATTTCCAGAGAAAAAAAGAACTACCCTTCTTCTTTCTTCACAAACATCGGCAACATGGAGGGAGATAGCTATATCGAGAGGAAGATTGACTTTGTCACGGGTCATACTGGAAGTAACATCTGGGATATCACCCAAGTTACATTGATCGCTCCCGTAAGACACATTCCTTCCAACCGCAGCCGCATCTATTTAGGCAAAACGTTGATGATGATATCTAACTGATGATGATAACAGGCTGCCGCGTTGCTTTGGGCTGTGCTTCAGACTCGCCAGAAATTCTTTGACCCTTACACGACATCATCATATCTGACTGATTTCCTGCTCCAAGTCGGAGCTATCCTTTTCGCTGTCACGGCGTATGCTGATAATCCTACTGTCTTGGTCGGGTTACTACTGATCCCTGCCATTGGTATTCTCGTCAACGGTGACAATCTCGACCACAGATTCACCAAGCCCGCAAAGCCTCCTGTGAAGGAGGATGCAGCCGGACCTCCTGAACCTGTGGACCTGGTTCCTATCAAGCCTTTCATCACCACTTACAGAGGTGCCATGATGATTATCACCTGCGTATCTATCCTGGCTGTTGACTTCCCTGTCTTCCCTCGTCGTTTCGCCAAAGTAGAGAACTGGGGAGTGTCACTTATGGATCTCGGTGTTGGTTCTTTCGTTTTTGGTGCCGGTCTGGTTTATGCGCGCCAACAACTCAAGGCAGAGGACGAGGATGCACCCAAAGTCAGATTCACCAGCCGCATGAACTCTGCAGTCATGCACTCTTTGCCTCTGCTTGCCCTCGGATTCCTTCGCCTTTGGACTGTCAAGGGTCTCGAATACCAGGAGCACGTTACCGAATATGGTGTTCACTGGAACTTCTTCTTCACTTTGGGACTTCTGCCTCCTTTCGTCACGCTCCTTCAACCGGTTTACAAGTACATTCCGTCCTACAGCGCTCTGGGCTTTGCACTGCTCATCCCCTACGAGATGCTGTACAATTACACCAACCTCGGATTTTACATGTTCATGGCACCTAGAGACGACTTCATCTCAGCAAACAGAGAGGGCATATTCTCTTTCCTTGGCTACCTCGCAATCTTCATCGTCGGACAAGGAATTGGTATGGAGGCACTTCGTCGCGACGTCAATGCTGCTACCCCCATGACGCACAACGATGAGTGGGTCGCCGACATGCTCGGTGGAACCGACAGCTTGAAGGAGGTCCGCAAGACACGCGAGCACAACTCGATGTTCAAGCTTGCCAAGTGGACTGGTATCTGGATCATCTTGTACGTCTTCCTGACTTGGCACTACGGTCCTCGCCTGACGGTCTCTCGTCGTCTGGCGAACTTGCCTTACCTCGCTTGGGTCGCAGCCTTCAACTGTGGTCAGCTGCTCCTTTTCCGCGTCATCGAGGGCATTCTCTTCCCGCTTCTGTACACTTCCCGCGACAAGAAGGTTGAAAAGGAACGTGTTTCGAAGGCTACTAGTAAGGTGCTGAATGCGTTCAACCGCAACGGATTGGTCATCTTCTGTCTTGCCAATGTGTTGACTGGAGTCATCAACATAACCATGCCTACTTTGGACATGAGTGACTATGAAGCCATGGCAGTTTTGATCAGCTACATGGCCATTTTGACCAGCGTTGGTTTGTTCTTGGATCAGCGTAACATTACCATCAAGCTGTAGTTGGGTTATTGTGTGGTGTAGATAGGCGAAGAGAAAACATATAGAATTCAATCGATGCGAGCCTTTCAATCACACAGATTCATTGTCAGCACTTCAGTGATGCTCACAATTCAGTAAACGGATCCTCGAGAGCACCTGCGTGAAACAATCCGACGTCGATAGTGCATGCAGCCGAAGGACAGGGTGACGAAGCTCAGCAACAAAGTGATTGCCCCTCCAGGATTTCCAAAGCTCAAGGCTGCACCCCACCATCATCCCATCCCACCTTCGCAAGACAACAACAACCAATGTGAAAAGATCATGTCCACGCCGCCGGCCCACAAGAGGCGCCGTGTAGACTCCGGCATACACAAACCCTTCGTCTCGCCCTTGAAGCGCACACCCTCAACCACCCAAGCCACTCCAGCACCCACACGCACGGCAACCGCACCCTTCACACCATACACACCCCTCCACAGCAGCAGCCTGCGCAACATATCCAATGCCACCTCCACCACACAAACCACCCCTGTATCGCACGACCCAGAAGCCGCAGCCATCCACCTATCGATCAAGAAACTCGAACACCGCATCCGCGACCTACGCAGTCAAAACGGCATTTTACTCCAAGCCTCGCAAATAAACACCACCACCACCACCACCACCACTCCATCATCCTCATTCCAAAGCGCAAAACCCAGACTCCAACGTCTAGCGGAAAAATGGCGTCGAGCATCCCAATCAGCAGCCGAAGAAGTCTTTTCCGATTTCTCCGCAAGGATAAAAGACAATGGCGGCTATGCTTCTTTTCTAAAGCAAAGAGCAAACTACAAACCGTACGCAGATGTTGAGGAAAAGGAAGATGAGGGGGATGAAGATACTTGGAGGGACGAGATGGGTGAAGTGCTTACTGAAAGAGGCAAAAGGCAGAGGAGAGGGGAGATTGAGGAGAGAGTTCAGAAGCAAGAGGATGAGGCTGAGGAGGGAGGGGAGGAAGAGTTGACGATTGGGTGTATGTTGCAGGTGTTGAATATCCCAGCCGAGGTTATTGGTTGGGATGAAAAGACACAGGCATGGAAGTGAGATGCTCAGACCGGAGGCTTGCATTGCAAGGAGTGGATGAAGAGGCGAGCAAACGCGACAACAGATGCCGAGGGAAACACGTATGGATACACGAACATGATACACTACGACTGTTATGATTATACGGCTTTTACAGATGACACCCTCCGAATACAGCTTTTTGTTTCTTTGCAGAATTCCGTCACAACCACCTGAGCTGCCCCCTTCCAGACGTTCTCCACAGCCTGACTGATGTCTCGTTTATAGAAGCATTCCATAGGATCCGCGACGGATATGACCACCGCACAGTAGACCGGAAGACATGTGTTGAGATGTTCCTCCTCCTCCCTCTCAATGCACACCTCAGGAATCTGGAGACCATAATGCGACGGAACAGTCTTGTTTGGGTGTGTACCTTTGATTAATTAGCTAAAGGCTAATTTGATCGAGTGCCCTTCTATGTACCAAATTCCCTCTCTGCCACTCCCCTTCAAGACTGAGTACCCTTTGTGAAGAGGAGATGAAGCAACGACTTTCAGTAGGAACCGTTCGCTTGATGAGAAATACTGCGACTTCCAACAGCAGCAACAGCAGCAGCAGCAGCAGCAGCCACGTGTCACAAGGTTGATGTTGGTTCAATCCGCAGTTTTCGCTGGTTGGTAAACACTGGGTTGAAGAGCTTGATGCGGGCCAGTGTGGATATCTTAACCAACTCGATCGGTGTGACAGTCTTTTAGGCAACGGCTTTGATGGCGAACCGGTCTTCTTCGGGCCCAATGCTGGGACGTCCTTAATCTCGGGCACACCGTCTTCGAAAGTAGTCTGGGCAGGTGTGATGGTTGATGAAGGGAGCGAGAGTGGTTCTATCGAAGACGGCATCTTCAAATCGGAACGCTGGTCGTGATTGATGGTGTCTTGGGGTGTGGTGACTCTGAGAGCTGAGACGAGGAAGAAGGAACATCGGGGAGGAATGGTGCGAGTGAGATTCTTCTCCAAGTCGACCTGTCCTTGTTTCTCACGGCTGTCCGGTGTGGCTTGATGTATGTGCCAGAAGGAATCTCGACCGTGTCAATGTCAAGAGTCGCTCTCAGCAAACTGGATCCTCTTCCTATTGTCATTCCCACGATATCCACGACGATGGTAGTTGTTGGAATGGTCGCAGTCCTGGTCGTCGCAGTCCCAAGGAATAGGTGGGGGGAGCAGGTGAAGGGGACGACTTCAGGTGGCTCATACACTGCCGACTCTTGGGCGCGCAGACGTACGGCAACTTCTTATTCCTGGTCGAACTGATCTTACTCTTGTAGTCGTTCAGGGACCTCATCGATGCCGAAGATCTTTGTGATTTTGCGATGCGGGGCCAGGATGGCTAGGTGTGGCATGTATTCTCGAACGCCTTCGTGCAGTTGCTCGAAGAAGTCACGCGGCACACGAAAGTCTTCTTTGTGGTCGGTCATGATGACACAAAGAGGCTTTTGCGTCTCTGGACATATCTGTCCAGTCTCTCTGGCCCATATGATGCCTCTAGGTCCGACAGTATGGGTCTCGCCTCCAATGGTGAAAGTTCTGGAAGTGGTAAAGTGTCGAGTAGACATGTTGGTACTGATGATAGGATGGTTTATGGATGCTGTTACTGTTGATGGTCAAGCTACATGGTTGTTGCAGTTGTGGCGAAGGTTGAGACGAAGAAGTAGTCTACCACACTACATGACTCTCTCAAAATGACGCGTGAAGTATGTTCGTAACATTGTGTACCAATACAAAAGTCGCTAAAACAACGGTCTATACGTGTACTCTTATCGTTTATTCTTGAACACGTTCTTAATTCATGGGCGGTCGAGAGGAGAGTTCGTGGCGTACGCCAGCGATGGTGACGGATCTCGGTTATATGGGCTTTCCTGATCGTCTCATTGAGTCATTGTGAGTTTTCTCTGAGCTTCTCGTGTCGTGGTCATGCCTTGTGGAAAGTTGATTTTGAAGTACAGGTTTTAGACAGTAGCGGAAGAGCACTTTTTGACACTGACTGTCGTCTAGTAAGTTAATTCAAGTAAGAACTCGTCGATTCTTGCTACACATAATTCACACCACTCATATTATGTGTCTTATGTTTTTCACACAGTGTTGAATCATTATTCGAGAAGTGCTCTCTGGTTTTGTTGGAAATCATTTGCAATTTAGCAAGTGTTGTCATCGTAAGAGCAGAATTGTAACTACTACTATCGATCCTCTGTACAAAATAGACATCAATCTTTCCTCCATCAATACAGCTACCCATGTACAACATGATCTTCTTGGTGGTCTCCAAGAGACACCTTCAGGCCAGAAACTTCTTCTCAATCTTAGCCTTTTCATAGGCGGCCAGCTCCTCTGGTGTTGGTCGAACTTCAGGCCCGGAGTTTCTGATTGGCCCTTGATCTGGCAATCGGACAAGATGAAAAAGATGAACCTGCTTGGCCAAATTTTTGATCTCATAGCCGGCAACTTCGTAGAGACCGTCGTAGCGCATGCCTTCTGCGGGTCTGTAATCGTTTGCGCCTTGTGTAGTCATTTTGGCAGCTCGAAGGAGGCGGACCGGTTGGTGTGACTTTGAGTTCTCGATCAAGTGTTGCGTCGAGTCGGTGGGATGAGAAGGGTCGTCGGATTCGGTTCCGTAGTACCAGACCTCTCCGCCTTTGTCGATGTTCGGGTAGCTACCTCCGGACATTAGACAAGAGTAAGCTCCAACACCTGACTTGCCACAGATACCAGCAACAGTAGCACTGTGAGCACCATCCCTGACGGCACAGAGCTGTGTAGGCCACCACTGGCCATTACGAAGATGTCCGTTGCCGAAGAAGTTGCCATGTCTTCTGCCCGCGTACTTTGGGTCAAGACTGTCGACGGTGCTGTCCCTTCCAATCCTCGAGTTCTTCGCACGGCCTAATCTGATGCCACGGAAAAGACTAGGGTCGGTATCCTTCGACCACCACTTGATGTATAGCTCGGCGGCATCCTCCTTGAGATACCAGGGGTAATCCACAACGTCGAAGCGAAAGATAGCTGGCAAGCCTCGGTTGTTGTGGAGCAGGAATTTCTTGCGAATGGTCATAGCAGTAAGATCAAGGAAGAAAGCGCGATGGATACCTTCATTGATCATTTGGAAGTCAGCAGCGTTAGGGATGACATGCTTCAGGGCTTTCTCCTTGCATCTGTTCATCCCAGACTGTATCTTGTTCAGGTGTTCTTCGACAGCGGCAGGTACCCTGAGACTTTGAAGCTGTTCGCGCTTGATATCGCTGTACCACTTCGGAGGTGTGGGACTATCGACATCCGGATATTCAGCGCTCACAATTGAATCTTCAAAAGGCAGGGTCTCTCTGCGCCGAGGGACAAAAGAAATAGGAGCGACGGGAACTGAGGCCGAAGTTGACGCCACCACGGCTGGGGAAGGGGCATGTGGTTCAGCCATAGGAGCAGAGACAGGCAAAGCAGTCGTGACTATTGGTGAAGGTATCTTGGGGCTCAATGTGACTTGCTGAGACTGTTGCGACAGAGAGCGAGCTTCTTCGATCTTGGCCATGTTGACATTGCGCCACCAGGGAGAACCGTCAATCATAAGTTCGTCGGCCATGATCTATAAATCACGATGCCAGTACAGCTACTTGGTAGGTAGAGGTAACTACAGGTTGTGTTTGCAATAGGGAGAGAGAAGGAAGGTGCAATGAAGGTACGATGAACGGCTTACCATGGTTTGTGGTTGTTCGCGGGCGTGAGATTCAGGTCGTCATCGGAGAATCAAGCTAAGACGGAGGAGAAAATGAGTAATCGTTTGGGGGTGCAGTGTTTGATGAAGGAAGTAGCGATCGAACAAAACAATAAAATTGGACAAAGTCAGATCAAGATTATTGATTACCTTTGGGGTAATCGCAAGGTCTTCTGAGTCCCCAACGACCAGCACACCAGCAAAGATCAAGCGAGTCACCCGGCTATGCTGATTCTACTCTCGATATGCCGGGAGCAGGACTTTTGTCACGGTGCCTGTCTCGATGCCGACTCGTCGAGGTGGGCGCAGTATAGTGGGGTTTTGACTAATTGATATGACCTCACGTCGGGTGGAAGTGACTCCAGTAAAGACTAATGTGATATTCCCGGTGTTCAGTCTCGTGCTGTCCTTGATATGATGTATGATGGGAAAGTGAGCGGTGGTTCTGGTGGTTCTGGAGAATGGTCAGGGTCGTAGATGTTCTCGCCGTTGTCGGGGGATGCGGAGGTGAGAAGCAAATCGTTCAAACATGGAGCTGCCGTCGCAACCAGATCAGTCAATTGAATGCGTCCAAGTTTTGTAACCAACTTGTATCACAAGCATGACGAGCATTGACGACTTGTTCAAGAAGCCGTTCCTTCCCTCAGCCAACGGCGGTACGAAACGCAAATTCGAGGATCAAGATGCAGAAGCGGCATACAAGTCAGCCAAACTAGACGCGAGTGTCCAAGATGCGCCGGAGGACGAGGACGAAGACATGGAGGCCGGACCCGAGCTACCGCCAGACGAAGATGAGGATGAAGAAGGTCGCTTCTTCGGCGGTGGCACAAATCAGCACACCAACGCCGCACTGGACTTTGTGGATCGAGCAGACGACGGCGCAGACATCAAGGCAGAGAAGATAGATTCGGCATGGGTGCGCCGATTAGGCTTGAGTTTCGAGAAGAAGATCAGCAAGAACAGCGAATTGCGTGCCAAATACGAGAGCGATCCCTCAAAATTCGTGGCCAGTGAGGCCGACCTGGACGCCGAGATCAAGAGCCTGAGCATTCTGTCAGAACATCCGGAGCTGTACAAGGAGTTTGCAAAGATTGGCTGCTCAGCGAGCTTGGTCTCGCTACTGTCACATGAGAACACGGATATCGCCATCGATGCCATCGAGATCATCTCGGAGCTGCTGGATGACGATGTTGAAGCAGAGCAAGTGCAGTGGGACGCTTTGGTGTCAGCCATGCTCGAAGCCGACCTCATTGATCTCCTCCTCGCAAACCTCGACCGACTGGACGAGAACGTCGAAGCCGACCGAAGCGGCGTCTACCACTCCCTCTCCGTCCTCGAGGCCCTTTCCTCAAACTCCACCACCGCAGACACCATCGCCCAAGAGCCCATCCTCAAATACCTCCTTAAGCGCATCTCAGCCTCCGAAAAGTCCGTTTCACAGAACAAACAATACGCCGCCGAAGTCCTACAAGTCCTCTCACAAGCCTCCACAACCGTCCGCGATCGATTAATCCCTCTCGACGCCATCGACAAGATCCTACAACTGCTAGCCGCATACCGCAAACGAGACCCTGAACGAGACTCAACAGAAGAAGAATATGCCGAAGACCTCTTTGACACTTTGACCTGCCTCTCATATCCATCCTCTGGCAAGACTGCCTTCCTTGCTGCAGAAGGTGTAGAGCTTATGCTCCTCATGCTGAAAGAAGCCAAGTTCTCAAAGCCTCGCGCTTTGAAGGTACTAGATCATGCCATGTCAGGATCCTCAGGTCAACTTGTAGCGGAGAAGTTTGTGGATGCAGCAGGTTTGAAACCACTCTTTTCGACATTTATGAAGAAGAATTTGGAAGCTGCAAGTACGGAACACGTCCTCGGTATCTTCTCCGCCTTACTACGACTGTTACCGGGCGAGTCGTCTCATCGCATTCGACTACTCGCAAAGTTTGTGGAGAAGGAGTATGAGAAGCTCGATAAGCTGGTCAAGCTACGACACGAATATGCAGCAAAGGCGAGGAACACAGAAGACATTGACGCCGGAGCTGCTCTGTACTGTCTCAACACGCTGGACGTGGTTCTAAGTTGGCTCGTCGCTGAAGATGGCGGTGCAAGGAACAATATCATTGAAGGTCTAGCAGACAGAGATGAAGGCCTAGACACCCTCAAGAAGAGCTTACAGGAGCAACTCGAAGGCATCGATGCAGAGGAAGAAGGCAACATGGGTGAAATGCTCACAGCACTCATCGAGTGCCTATAAAGCCTGTATATTATGTAACATACGAACTACGAACCATTTACCAACACTCATCAGCTCATCACCTTGTCGCATTAGCAACTACCGCACACTCCGGATACCCAATATTACCCAACCAAGCACCAGAGTTGAACTCTGCGACAATCCTCGAAATCTGCCACTTTTGAGTCCCTACACCAAAGCCACCTCCTTGACCTTCAACTGCATGAACTACACTAGCGATACTGATACCCTGAACCGAATAAGGTGTTTGCGCAGACAACCAACGCAAGATCACAGTATCGCAAGTATGCCACAAATCGAGAATCTCAAAGGGAACAGGCGGTTGAGCTCCTTGGCCAGCGAGGAAATCTGCTTTGGAGGTAAAGGTCAAGGGACCAAGCTGTGGTTTCTTTTGTCAGACTTCTCCGTGCGAGTATATGAAGCCTGTCCTTACATCTTGAGGTTGCAATCCTGGCTCATGAATCAAAGTATTGACACTATCTGATTGATCTGTAAAGTTTGTGGTAAAGAGTTGGACTGCGAGAGCTTCGGTGTAGTTTGAAATTGTCAGGCCAAAACTCGTGGCGATGAGGGATGCGTCGGTGTCTGAGATGCATGTAGCATTGCCAGGATGTGTAGCATTCTTGGACTCATAAAGACGATGTCCTGGATGCTCATCGCTCGAGCGAGCTGTAGCGAGAGCCACTAGTGCTGCAACGATATAGCTACGCATCTTGATACAGATAGCAGGTGTACGGAAGAAGAAAGACACGGCGAATAGATTGAAGCAGAACAAAACGGGGTGGAACCTGCTTAATATACTCGTACTGTATACTTAGTTGTATAGTCGGACATGACTGGGATCATCAAGCTCAGCTGGTCAGTAATAGGTATGGGTACCTGACTTCTACAAGTACTGATCGATTTCCAGCGTCTAGCTATGGCGAGTGACATGCACGTCGGAAGAGAGAGAGGGGGGGTGCGATGATCAAGTAACCTGCATGACACGGTAAACTTTCAATTCTGTGCTTGTGAGAATATCTTCCGCATTGCAGGGACATGAGGATGTAGTAGAAGGTAGGAAGGAGGTGCGAAGTCCGCCCGAACAACCAACCATGAAGCTTGCCGAACAAACATCCGAAATAAGCAACGACGATCCACCCTAGCCACCACGACATCCATGATCGTCTTGATAGAAGTGGCTGTTATGCTGCCGGCATCCGTCATGCTCTTTGGTTGAGACATATACCCCTTCGGAGTTTTTGAGATGACGAAAACTTGATTGGGCAGATCACGCTCTGGAGTTGTGCAAGAGCAATCAATGCGCCTTGCGATGTGCGGATGAGGCATCAGCGAAAGAATATAGATTTGGACGAGGAGCAACTTCAGGACTCGTCCAAATCTCTGCCTGCGTCCGGGTAACCGCAAGCATGCATCTCACGAACGACACTCCACTGGATATATTGATTTTAGGTGGAGGCGTGGCGGGTCAGTAGCACCTCATCTTCACCAAACCAACAGACACTGATACCAACTCCCAGGCCTCACAGCTGCCATGGCTCTAGCTAAATTCTCACCTGCGTCTGCACCACCAAAAATCAGAGTCTATGAGATCCGTCCCAAACCTGGTGTAATCGGTGGAGCTGTAAACTTGACGCCCAATGCCCTGAGACTGCTCGATCGTCTAGGTGTACTGCCCATCATGCGCGAGAACAAGTATGGCATGGAAATCGATGCTATTGAGATCTTCAGCGTCTACGAACCTGTCCAATTGGGAGAGTCGAGCTTCAGAGGACCTGAAGGTAAAGGTCTTGGAGACCCACCATACAAGGTCAGCTCCACATTACGACATCACCCAGCAATCGTTCTAAATCTACATCCTAGGCATTAAGAGTCACTCGTGCAGATGTCATGAAAGCCCTCGTCGAAGCCGTCGAGAAATGCCCAAACGTCGAATTCACCTGTGGTAGAACAACCACGAAAATCGACGAAGATGCCGAAAAAGGCATTACCCTAACCTTCTCCGATGGTACCATAGCACATGGAGATATGCTAGTAGGCTGTGACGGTATCCACAGTGTCGCTCGCCTCAAACGCGTCGAACCCTCACGAAAAGAAGTCTACTCAGGCATCGCCAACGCTTTCGGTTTCGCCCCTCTAAACACATCAAACCCTCTACTCCAAAACCCCAGCCACTTGCACTTCCAAAAGACAGCCATAAACTTCGCTCGTCGCGGTATGATGCTATCCTCCTTTTACGAACCCACAAAAACATCAGTGTACGTAGGAGGCGTCCTCCAAGTCCCCGAGATGGAAAGCAGAGACGGCTGGAAAGTGCGCGGCGCAGATCAAGAAGCCACAAAACAGGACATGAGAGAGAGGTTCGCTACTGAGGATGCCGTGTTTGGGGATTTGAAGGCGTTGATTGATACGGCGGAGGATTGGTTCATGTGGCCGATTTTCAATTTGCCGCCGGGGGGAAGGTGGGCTACGGAGAGGACTATGCTGTTGGGTGATGCGGCACATGCTATGGCTCCTCAGGGCGAGGCGACTGGGATTGTGTTGGAGGATACGGTGCTCTTTGCGAGATGTGTGGCTAGACAGCAAGAGTTGGGGACTGGAAGTTTCAAAGATGCTTTCAGAGCCTATGAACGCCTACGTCGCGATCGCATCAATGCCGCTTTCAAAGAGTCCGGAGCCGTCGTCAAGACAGTCCAGGATGCCGGTTGGTTGGGTCACAAGATAAAATGCTTCATTGTGCCTTGGTTCTTGTGGTTTACCAGTGGGAAGAGGGAGCGGCATTTTACAGAGGATGTTACGACTTCTGATCTTGGGTTTTGAGTGGACTCTTCCATAGCTACCCATTCGATATATGGTTCATGATTTCTACAAATACACTTTCTCATGTTCTCAGGGTGCGCAGCCTCAAATCTAGAAATAGCTGTGTATTTACATCAGCTCAAACCCCAAATTCATCGACAATGGAGTAGAGAGGCAGGGCTGATACAGATAGATTTCACGGGTACCTGATCCACATATGTACGAAGACTCTCCCCCGATAGTGTCAGAATAAAATGTAGCTGTGGAGATGCAGTATCTTGTTCTGTTTGGGGAGTGTGATCTCGAGAAATGCTATCTGCAGGACTCTCCGCGTCCAAGTTGTTCAAGTAGAAGTGATTGTGCATTTCTACAGCTTGGTAGGAATGAAGAGCTGAAAATGGAGAACAGAGATCAAGTTTGAAATTTTAGGGACTTGAGGCATGAGTGGAACCATTCATGCTCACTTATCTTCAACTTCGTTGTCACCAATTGGTCAATTCGCTTTTCGGTGTGTAGCAGGTGTATGCAGACTCACTGTCTCACAATTGGATAAGATCTAGCTCGAATGTTTGGAGTGAATAGCTAGGATTTCTGTACGCCCCAAAGTTCGTCCCTGACTAACTTCACTGAATTGGTTACGTTTCGCGCTGGGTAGCACTTTCACTCACTCCTCCACTGGTTCATCGCAGACTTGGAAAGCAAGCTTGTACTTGTCCTCGTCATCCTTTTGTTCAAATTCAGCTCCCCAGGTCTGACCATGAATTCCGCCTTGAGTACGCTTTGCCTCGATCATCTTCTTTACTTCCCGAAATTCTCTCACATTCTTGAACCCCGTGATGACCACTCGCAGATTGCATTGGATATAATTGAGCAAGACCTCCAAGGCCAGAGATGCCTTTCGAGAGTGGCAGAATGAGCACCAGCAATCGGCGAGCGAGACCTCAAGCAACGTCAAATTTAGATAAGACAGCAGTTCCACTGTGTCCTTCCAGGTGTCGAATATCTCATCCTCGAAGGCGTCGTCATCGTAGCCACACTTGAAGGCCTCGCGCAACTCCGTCATACCGCTGTACATACTGAAGGTGATACTCAAAGACTTGAGGTTTGTGAATCCAGACCGAGTGACAAGAGACGATCGGCGCGTGCGCCAGCTCCAGAATCCAGCTCCACGGTCATACGGGAGAACAAACGTGTTCTTTGCAAAGTACAAAGGCGCTGCTTTGTTGAAACCCTGTCGGCAGACTTGGAGGAGCTGATTCTGCGGCTTTTGGTAGTTGAAGCGTTCATCTGTGCGATTGTCTTCGTATTTCTGTGAACCAGGGAAGATCTTGCCGACGACAAGGCGATAACGATAGATCTGGTTGCGGATTTCGGCGGGCAGTTGGACTAATCTCAAACGCTGAGGCTTGTAGGAAGGTATGATAGGACCAATGCGAGCTCTCATGAGATCTTGAGTACGTAAGAACTCAGTGACTGCTGCACCAGGCGTGGGCACAGGGTCGGATGGTGTGATCAGGCAGTTGACGACACTCTTGATGCGTTCAAGCTGCTCCGGAGTGAACTCCTGATTGGCGACTGCGGTGACAGCAGAGGCGACGGGGCCAATAATCTGGTTGTTGGTAGACATTTTGCTGGTTTGATCAACTCGCTGTGCATTGTCAGACCAGCGATACACGTTTGGCCTTGTAAAGAGAGACTTACAGTATTACAAAATCGATGTTGTGGTTGGTAGTGTAGTTGTTGCCGCACAGATTGGACGACAGACGTTGGCGTATTTGAAGAGTGGATAGTGGTGCCGAAGAGTTCGAGAAGACTTTATTGGCGTGAAAGGTCGGGTCGATCGTGTGAAAGTGTGGGAAGAGGTTCACCTTTGGTGAGGGTACTTTAAACACGCTCGACTGCTGGTTTTATCGACTTCTGTGTGTGTGAGAAATGATTTCAAGCTTACCTGGCGATGTGCTCACGTTCTGGGAGCTAGGCCTCGGAGGCATGTATAAGAGAAAGAGATACGTTTTGACGACAGATAACAAAATTTGGCTTGTTCGAGGCACAATTGCAAGTCGAGGAAGATGCGAGGCGCCTAATTTGGTGCCTGGTCGTTGATCAACAATGCGAAATCACGGTGAAGCTCGAGTCTGCGCGCACTGAAGCAGAATGATAGCTCTTGCTTGGAGGCCACTCGCATTGACTTGATATACTCTCATGCGAGTCGGACTTGCTATCAATTTCACGTTAGCTTTTAGGCACATAAACATCAAGCAGAACAGCGAAGATAGATGATAGGTGGTGAAATGGAATCTAATGATTTCAATTGACTGTTGGGCGCCCATCCCCAAATTTCACCCGCGCCACTCTCCCACACGCAACGACCCAAGAGAAAGCTTAGACTGTCGAGGTACCGTGCAAAGGAGAGGATAATAGACTCGGGGGGTTTAGAAAACAAGAAAGTCGACTTGAGAGGATAAAAGAAAAAAGAAAAAGAACCATCTCTCCTTGGCCCGCCCCATGATCGAGTTCTGTTAGAAAGAGACAACACCTGGGTTTGACTGTTCACATTTGCCATGATCGCGTGATCCACCATTTTCATTCAAATGGAAGGAATTTGGGTATGGTTGACTGCGATTACTCGGATGCCTTGGTCTCCTCAGTGGCAGCAGGCGCCTCGGCGGACTCCTTGGCCTCAGGAGCGTCACCCGAAGGCTCGGTCTCGGACGAAGTCCAGAGGGTCTGTTGAGGTGAATTAGCAAATGCTGTGTGAACGAGCCGAATATCAAGGATCACTCACCAAGTTATCACGGAGGAGCTGCATGATGAGGGTGGAGTCCTTGTAGCTCTCCTCGCTGAGGGTATCGAGCTCGGCGATGGCATCGTCGAAGGCAGCCTTGGCGAGGTGGCAAGCCTTGTCGGGGGAGTTCAGAATCTCGTAGTAGAAGACGGAGAAGTTCAGAGCAAGTCCCAGGCGGATGGGGTGGGTGGGAGCGAGGTCGGTCTGGGCAACCTCGGTGGCGTTCTGGTAGGCCTCGAGCGACTTGTCGGCAGAGGTCTTGCGCTTGTCACCGAGAGCGAACTCGGCGAGGTAACGGTGGTAGTCACCCTTCCTGTGAGACGCATTAGTAGTGCGACTTCAAAGAAGAGTAGCCTGGAGGCACGAACATCTTGTGGTAGAAGACCTTAGACTCGCCGCTCTGGGCAGAGGGGATGAGGTGCTTGTCAAGAACGGCAAGGATGTCCTCGCAGATCTGGGCGAGCTCGGCCTCGATCTTCTGGCGGTACTCCTTGATGAGGGTAACCTGCTGCTCGTTGCCCTTGGACTCCTCCTTTTGCTCGATGGAGGTGACGATTCTCCAGGATGCACGGCGAGCACCAATGACGTTCTTGTAGGCGACGGAAAGGAGGTTTCTCTCCTCAACAGAGAGCTCCTGGTCGGCAGAAGCGACATTCTTCATGTTCTCGACCATCTCTGCACCGGAGTCAGCTTTGCGCATGCCAACAATGATGGATCGTAGACTTACCCTCGTAGCGCTCGGCCTGCTCGGCGAGCTTGGCCAGGTAGACAGAATCCTCGTAACCCATCTTTGATGATTTATGATCTGAAGTCTGGTGGGGTACGGTGTTAGCACTTCTGATGGGAATGGATCTCAACATTGTCGAGGTGTGTGTGTATGTGTGTGTAGAGTAAGGTTGTAAACAAAAGCGGTGGTTGAGGTGAGTGACGAGCGAGCCAGGGGCGGTGTGAAAGTGAGCTGATTGAGAGATCGTGGGCCTGTAACGAGTTGTCGCGGGCAAACGTAGTGGCAGATCGCGAGAGATGAGAAAGTGCGATTAACACGTGCGGGATCGTGATAAGGGCAGTCGCGACGCTGGTGAAAGCTCTGAAGGGTCGGAGGCAGGCGGGTATTGCGATGAGCGCATTAGCCAGAACAGCTCCTGGCTGGCGCCTTCCTCAGTCCGAGGCATTCTTTGTCGCGAGGTCATCGGAAGCAGCTGTCGAAAGAGCTTGTAATTCGCAATGTCGTTGTTTCCCGATATGTTTGCCCAGCCACGCGTCCATCAAGCACTCTGACAGAAGGGGGACCTCCGTGTTCGCAAGCACCATGGCTCGATGTGTATGTGGGCAAGGTATGGATGGTGGGATTTCTTACCTTTAGGGAAAGTGTGTAGGGGTGGAGAAGGTTGATTGATGGCGGAAGAGAGATAAAGTGGTGCTGTATGTGGAGGAAACAAGTCGAGGGGCAGTTGTGATGGGCGAAGTTGGGGAGGAGCGGTTGTCAACCCGGCCGAAATGACGTGAGCCAATCACCGCTCGAGAACTGGAACTTTCCACTTGCTCAGGCGCCATCCCGCACAAACCAGACACGTCTTTGTTCTCCATTGGGTATCCATCAAAAGGGCTATCTCAATTCAGAAGACCTATGTTGTTTGCTTGCTATCTTATGATTCTCGGCCAGCTTGTTCTGGGCAGTACACGCGTCTCGGTAACTGCAATCGAACTGCGAGAGTTATGAGACACGTCAATGATCGACGCATAAACACGCGCATTTTGTTTACAGACACGATTCAACTTCTACCGACTTCAGACCCCTGGCTCAGGAGTATCTGCCTGAGAGATAGATGATTCATGCCAAGAATATCTTTTCCTCATTCTCCAGATAGTCATCACAGTCTTGTGGTGCGGTGAGATGGTCACGAGATGGGTTCGTTCCGTGGCCAGCCGTTGAGATCCACTTCTAGACCTGTCATGCGTCGTGCATTCTTCCTGAGGCTCACTCACCAACTCATCAATTGCCCGACAAGAATCTCATATCGACACGACCGCAAGAGCTAAACCGATCCTACATTTGATATAATGCTGTGATGCCTTGATCCGATATATACTGCATCTGTCCCTCCCTAGTGCCCCAAAGCAAGCTTGTGGCCAGCAAACGCCTTTAACCGATGCCCCAAATATGTACATGCTTGGATAGAAATGTCCATCGCGAATCATAGCTCAATCTGAATCAAGAGCGAGTTTCACCAACTAATTAACCTCCATACCTTCTTCGTCATCTTCGTCAGCGACTTCTTCCATCAAACCGCTCTCTGAGTTCATTCTTCGCTTTCTGCCTTCAGGCCAATTGCTGAGAGTGCTGAGCCTTGCGCCTCCGAGTGCGCCGACAGCTTCAAGCTCATCTCCACCGACAACGCGGCCTTCTGCATCCACTTCCTCACAGAGCTCAAGCATGGCAGCGCGCGACAGTCGTCGGAAGCCCTCAGTACGTACAACGCGACCCCAGTGAGTCATGCAGAAGCTGGCTGCCCGACGCTTGAGCCAAGATTCTTGAGCAACGCTTGCGCAATCAAATATGAGAGCAGCGTGTTGGATGTCGAGCTCGCGAACCAATCTTGCGACACAAAGGTGGTGTAGGCGAGGCATGTCATAGATGTTGCTCATGACAAGCATGCCTGCCACGTCTTCGAGACTGGGTGATGGTGAAGCAGAGTACGTGACGGATGATGGGGCGATAGAGTCAGTGTAGAGGTAATAGAGGAAGGCGCGCACTGCAGCATACGGCTCAGGTATGTGCATCTTCTTCGTGTGAAACTCCGACATCTGAGCACTGTAGAGACGAGCAAAGTGTGGCCAACGTGCTGAAAGGATGAAGCGATGGACGTGGATGGGCTGAGACGCATTTGCTGGCTTCTCCTGTGATCTCACACTTTCTCCGTCATAGTCCTGGTCGTAGTCGTCGTCTGGGTTAGCTGTGATGATGAAATCGGCACCAGAGCCCTGCTCCGAAGGCACATCAAACGTGCGGGCGAGATCAGCGCCAATAGCAGAGAGGTGCGAAGAGAGCCGGTTATCGGAAGTCGGGGTCTCCTGGATGGATCTGGACTCCAGAGTGAGCTTGTTGCCTAGGAGGCCAAGTTTTCTGAGGTCGAGGTGAAGTACATCACTGAGATATTCCTCGGCATCGGGTGCGTTCCTGGGAAGCGAGTTCGGGCATCCAAGCAACCAAGCATGCGTGCCGTCCGAATCGAGACAGCAGTAATGCCAGCGGTAGTTTGGGTTGAATATGTCCTTTCCGTCAGCTAGCTTTTGCCAACGCAGAGAGTCCAAGTCAAAGGCTGACAGGCTTGTCTCAGATGCGGACATGAGTGTTGCTGGCGTGACAAAGTCGAGCAAGCAGGCGGAAGAGAAAACATGGAAATGATATCCTACATTCTGTACGGGAAGGTTGGGGTTTGAGATGAAACGGAGAGAAGAGATGGAGCCTGGCGCAATGGGCGGGTTACGCTGGACCATGTAGCCGGGATTTACCTGCACGCTGCTTGAATTTGCAGCGTAGGCTCCAGTGGGGCCTGCCTGTGTAGCGATTGACGTAGAGGAGTACATGGATGATCTAGACATGTCATCACCGGGGGCAGCGCCTTCAAAAGCAGGGATGCCCTTCAAGTCGAGCCACCAGATGTCGCTCGTACGCTCCATGTCCTCGGTCATGCCTCCCGACACCCAGAGCCTGTCGCGCCAGATCCATGTTGAATGGTCGTATCTGGGTACAAACTTCCAGGGTCGCGACCATGTCCAGGTTTTGAGGTCAAGATAGCAAATATCATCAAGTACAGCATTATCCTGGCCAGTCATGCCACCACTGACAAAAAGTTTGTCTTCGTGAATGACAGCTGAGTGTCTTGCTCTTCCACGCGGGGGAACACCTTGGACTTCGGGTGAGGTCCAGTGGGCAGTTTTGAGGTCAAAGATGATAACGTCGGCAAGGTGGGAGCGGTGTTCGTTTTCTCCACCGAATACAAGGAGTTTCTCGTTCTGCCAGAGACAAGCAGTGTGACCTGTTTCGGGCATCAGTACAAGCAAGGGATGTCGGACAGGGTACTGCACTCACCCATACGCACGCCAGGAATGTCACCGTAGTTGTCGACCAGACTCCATTGCTTGGCCTGCAGATCCAGTCTGAGAACGTGATTGTAGACTTCGTCCGTGTATTGGTCGAAGCCGCCGAAAGCGTAGATCTGGTCATTGCCGACATATGTAACGGAAGCATTTACAAGACACGCAGGCCTCTGGCCCACAGTGGTCATGATAGTAGGCATGTATGTGTCGTGGTTGCGGCGACGCGACGAGTAGGTACGGCTTGATCTGGGAGAGGTAGACATGACATAGGTGTTGTTGGAACCGGTAGACAAACGCGACGAAGGCGGCAACGAAGCAGCCGAGAGATTCGAGTGTGAAGAAGCCATATCGTCGTCGACTATCGCATTCTCGTTGTTCGGCCTTCGCTACTAGCTTCCGAATGCTTCTGCGACCGGCACAAAGCAGTTGTGTTCAGAGGAGACTATGCACAGCACAAGGCCTGTCTTGCCGCAAGTGACGTGCCAGACGCGGATCCCCTATGGTAGATTGGGTGAACAGACTTGGGTAAATTTAGTCTGTCGTCGTCCCTGCAACGAGCAAACTTCGCGTCGTCGGCCGTCTCGCCTTTAACGCCGGCCGGGCCTTCGTGACGACGCCCAGCCCCCGTCGTTGCTGTGCCAACTTTGTTTGCACTTGTAAGCAGACAGCCATAAAGGGCAGCTCTCCCTCGACCATCCTCGACACTTCTCACCTCAAACCACAAACCCAAAAACAGCATTACCAGCATCTCCAAGCTTCCTGAGAAGCGCCTCTTATTCTCCTCTTACCTCCCCACCATCCACGACGACTGCAAGGTATCTGCAAACATACTAACGGAGCTCTTAATTGAGACATCTGTACGCGACTCACCCCCCCACACCATCACGCGTCTATCTCTTATCTAACGGCTTATGCAGACAGCACCACATCCACATTAACAGCAACCTCACATACTTCGCGGCAGATATGGCTAGCCCTTCGGTCATGACGCCCATCAAGCGTCGTGATGGTCTCTTCTCTACCCGTTTCGCCGGTGGCCGCGCCCCCTTGACCCCTTCACCTCAGACTCCCAAGCAGCACAACATTGTTCTCGACAACTCAGAGTCGATCCACCGTGGCAACCTCTTCCCCCGCTTCTCGCGCTCCATCTCAAAGACCAATGTTCGTGATTCGCCAAAGTCAAACATCGCCAGACACGTCTCAAACAACTCTCCTCGCCGTCTTGAACTCGGTGTCAGCGACTGGAACTTGACCGGTACCGGTCTTGCAACCTCCAGCAAGGCCACTCCTTCAAGAACTCGCAACCTCAAGACTGTCAAGACTGGCAAGACCAAGATCAGCTACACCTCCGCCGACCGCTTCATCCCCAGCCGCACCAACTCGGATGCCATTACCAACTCTGGTGTCAACAAGATCGAGAAGAAAGAGCACTCTCGTTCAAAGTCTTCCACCGAGTCTGTCCTCGCTGGCGCTGCCTCTGCTTCTTCTGCCTTTGATCTCGGAAGACGCTCGACCCACGATGATGAGATTGATGCTGCCCTCGGTCTCGATGGCTTGAACCTCGATGACGACGAAGAGGAGAAGAGCTACAACAAGCCTTCGCCCAAGACTGCCGCCTACCAGGACGAGATCGCCAAGGCCTGCGACATCTCACTTGGTCAGAGAATCCTTGCCTTCAAGCCCGCCGCTCCCGAGTCTTCCAGACCCATCGACCTGCGCTCGCAGTACAACCGTCCTCTCAAGCCCGCAGCCTCCGCCACTCAGTTCCGTCGTCGTGTCGCGACCGCCCCTGAGCGCGTTCTTGACGCTCCTGGCCTTGTCGATGACTACTACCTCAACCTTCTTGACTGGTCGTCTGGCAATCAGGTCGCCATTGGCCTTGAGCGTTCCGTTTACGTTTGGTCCGCCGAGTCCGGTGAGGTCAACTCTCTTCTCGAGTGCCCTGCCGATACCTACATCTCGTCTGTCAAGTGGAGTCAAGATGGTGCCTATGTCGCTGCTGGTCTCGGCACGGGTGAGGTCCAGATCTGGGACGTCGAAGAGGGCTCCAAGCTCCGCAGCATGTTCGGCCACGACACTCGCGTTGGCGTCATGGGCTGGAACAAGCACCTTCTCTCCACCGGTGCCCGTTCTGGTCTCGTCTACAACCACGATGTCCGCATCGCCCAGCACAAGGTTGCTGAGCTCGTCTCCCACACTGGTGAGGTCTGCGGTCTCGAATGGCGCCCTGATGGTGCTCAGCTCGCTACTGGCGGCAACGACAACCTTGTCAGCATCTGGGATGCTCGTTCCCTCAACGCTCCCAAGTTCCAGAAGACCAACCACAAGGCCGCTGTCAAGGCCCTTGCCTGGTGCCCTTGGCAATCCAACCTCCTCGCCACCGGTGGTGGCTCCCACGATCGTATGATCCACTTCTGGAACACTACCTCTGGTGCTCGTACCAACAGCATCGACACTGGCAGCCAGGTCACCTCCCTCAAGTGGAGCACCTCGTACAAGGAGCTCGTCAGCTCTTCTGGCTTCCCCGACAACTCTCTGAGCATCTGGTCTTACCCCACCCTTGTCAAGAATGTCGAAATTCCTGCTCACGAATCCCGTGTCCTGCACTCTTGCCTGTCTCCTGACGGTCAGATGCTCGCCACTGCTGCTGCCGACGAGTCGCTCAAGTTCTGGAAGGTCTTCGAGAAGAAGGCCGGTGCCTCTTCAGCTGGTGCATCGGGCGCTGCTTCGGCCAAGGCATCCCTCACCAAGACCACCACCATCAGATAAGCTGTCTGTTGTGTTGAACATGACAAGATCATGACCTTCTTCCTTTTTCTTACTCGTAGGAATAAAAGGTCAGAGTAAGTTTTGGATACGCATCGAGCCCACATCCTCATCTCTTATATCTTCATACTCGGGGCATCAAAAGACGACTGGAATCATTTTGGGAGTTTGGGGAATTGTTCTAGAGTTGTGTTTATTGCCGTACTAGTCTGTCAGTTGGCGATTCATGTTTTAATTGAATGACTTTAGGTCTGTTTTCATCTTCATCTTGCCTTTTCTTGCCACGACTAGAAAGTGGTTCGTGTGTATGACTCGATGGACAGGCTAAGGCACCGAGATGATGTTGATTTGTTGTACCGAACTGGCGGGTCGGTATGCAGGATTCTTGATGAATCTCCATGATCTTGGCGTTTTTGCTTTCCCATCTCTGACGTTGTTTCGGAAGTGGAAGATGATGATGCTGGGGCAGCTCCATTTCTCCGCTGCTTGTGCCCGCGTTTGCAAAGTGCTGGCAAAAAGTCGATTGTCCGGAGCCGAGCCTCGTCCTACTCTGCGTCCCTGACCATCCACCATGTCGTGAGGGTTTCCCGAGAGGCTTGCCATGACAGTATGAGACCATGTTCATTCCCGACACGGTCATGGCGACGCTGCTTCCACGACTACTTTGTCACGCACCTGCCGCAATCCTCACTACACCCGGACTCCAACCATAAGCTTCCGCGAGATGTCGCCGCCCCTCACGACAAGTCGTCCGGCAGACAGCCCGCCATCTTGTCGCCTGCCCGACGCGACACGACTGTCGTGAGAATCCCGCTCAAGTCGGCGAAACATCACTATGGAGCGACTTGCCTACGAGGCGGTCGTCCTCACAACGAAGACACGCATCAAGCCGGCACTATCGAGATACCTGCCTTTGCCAAACGCCAGCCCGCGAGCTTGACCCGCGCAAATAAGCTGTTGCAGGAGAATGGTGCTGCTAGCGAGAGCGGCGACCCCCAGGTCTTCTACTTTGGTGTCTTTGACGGTCACGGCGGTGCACAATGCGCAGAGTTCTTGAGAGATCGACTGCATACCTATCTGGAAGAGTCGGCTACCAAGTTCCACATGCAGAGTAGTCTGCAAGAGACACAAGAGAGCGATGCTGGACACGAGGACGTCATTGATCTGCAGCGCAGTCTGGTCAATGCCTGGAAAGAGACCGTCGGCGGCTACTTTCGTCGTTTCCGTCCGCAATACTTTAGCATTCACAAGCCGACGGCGAGCACAGATGAGCAGCCCACTGCCGTCAATTCTATCCAGGCTACACTGATGTATGCTTTCCTCAATGCCGACATGGACTTTACTGCAGCCCAGGCTTCCAAGCACACACCCTCCCTCCCTTCCTCCACCGATGATCCAGTCTTGAGCGACAGACCACTCAACGACAACGACATTCTCTCATCTCCCTCAAGACCGGCTTCACAAAACCTGTCCAACAAGTTAAAACGTCCTATTGGCGGACAAACGCGCTTCCAGGGCGGCTCTACCGCTTCGATCGCCCTCATCTCCACACCCACCCCTACCCCCTTCTGGAATCCAGCATCGCCCTCCACAATCGTGACAGCCCACTGCGGTGACACTCGTATCCTCCTCTGCCGTGTCAGCGATGGCAAAGCAGTACCCTTGACCACAAACCACCACCCTTCCACCCCAGTCGAAGCAACACGTCTCCGCCGCTTCGCCGCAACTTTCGTAACCGATAGTTTCGGCGAAGAACGCATCCTCGGTCTCGCCAATACACGCTCTTTCGGTGACATAAGTTCCAAACGCATCGGTGTGTCCGCAGAACCCGAGATCCGCACTACACACGTGGAGCCAGGTGAATACAGCTTCTTGGTCCTCGTCTCTGACGGCGTGACGGGATCGCTGGAGGATCAGGAAATCGTGGACATTGTCAAGGAGGCAAAGACACCTGAATCTGCGTCCAAGGAGTTGGCGACATTCGCTACAGAGGTTGCTGGTATCAGGTCCGATAACGCTACTGCTGTTGTTGTGAGACTTGGTGGGTGGGAGCGAAGAGGAGAGGGAGGTGGTGGTAGTATTGGTACAAAGGAGGTGAGGGATTGGAAGAGGGTGCAGGCTGATGATCCGAGATCGAGCAGGCAGTGAGGTCAAGCTCGACTTGTCTGTTGTCTCTTCACCCTACCTTCTCTACTTCTCTTCATACATATTTCTCTTCGTCGTCTTTCTGCGTTCGGCGTTGGGCTCTCGCATTTGAGCAATCATTTGGATTTCAGGCAAGCATCTCGGTCTTTTTCTTTTCTTCTTGGTCGCCTATATCGTTTCATAGCACTTTCTGGCGTTTTTAAACCCAGCAGGGAATAGGTCGAATTATTCCCACGTACAGTTCCAAGCATCCTGATCTACTGTTCGATCGTACACTTCCCCTTGATCTCTGAAAAGCAAAACCTCTGAAAAGCAAACCCTCTGAAAAGCAAAAACCCTTTCCACTTCTTTTTCATTTTTGCCATACTTTGGGTTCGATCCTGCAATCTTTCTGCTTCTTTCTGATTGCTCGCTCCTTCCTCTTGTATGTCGGATTGTGACGAGGTATTTGTTTCTGAGCTTTGGATTCTGGCCTTTCTCTTTTCCTCGCTCTCATCGTGTCTTTTTTTTTTCTTTCCTCTTTTGTTCAGTTCGGGCCCTTGCTCTTTCCATGTCGGGTGTTTATTCCTCTTGCTTGATCAGGACTTCCTTTCAATATTCATCGCTTGCTGCGATAGGTAAATCAGAAGATGGTGACGAGCAATTCCCATCAGAGCTACTTCGTGCATAGTATACAATCACACAAAGATCAAGAAAAGTATTCATGACATGATGAATGGGGGTATCGTGATTTTCGAATGGGATATGGGATCTAGGTACTAGCTCACAGCAAAGTTGGCCTTGACACTCCTCTCTCGGCGAATGTGGCGTTTTTAAGTCTAGTCCTCCCTTACATGATTGTGCGTATACATAAAGTCTCTCTTTCATTGGATAGGGGTACGTGATGGGGTGATGGATATTGGGATTGGATGAGTGGGTATGGGGTATGGTGTCATGGGTCGGTGTATGGTGTTGTAGGATATTTGGGGGGGGAATTGGTGTGCGTAAGGCATACGTTCTCGTTTTGATAGGCACTTTGCACCCGGTGCAGCTCTCTCCGAAGCTTCTTCGTAATCCTTCCTCTGACTCTGCTGCTGCAACCTAAACGTGGCCCCTATTCTGCTGTGCAGTTGTCTGAAGTGTTGCTTATGCCCGCTTCATACGAAGTCAGGCGTAGAGCTTGAGGGAGTAGGATCCGATCCTTGATGCTCTACTCGTCGCGTCCGCGCCGAGCTTTGATAGGAGGTGCTGATGTAGAGGATTCTCCCAATACTCGGAAGGTGTCTTCCGAGCAGTGATGTGTCTAGAGTCTGGTCGATTTTTGGGTCGACTTCCTAAGACATCTGGACATTGGCAGCGGCAGCTAGGGATGAAATTAGAAACTGGTAGAGTTGCCAGTGCATAGACTATGACTTACCGGATTGGCGCTTGATTTGCTCGCGAGCCCAGCGGGCGGTGTCCTGAGTACGCTGAGAATACTCCTTGTTGGCACGAACTTCACGGGCCATGTTGGTCACCCATTGGTGGCTGAACAGCTGACTGTATTCGCCGTTAGGGAATGTCTCAGATAAGTCACCGATGACACCCATGCTGGTGCGAAGCAGAGCCTCGGAGCGGTTGGGGTCCTGGAAGATGGTCTGGAGAAGGCTAAAGACCGACTCGACGTAGGGAGCCAAGAGTTGGCCTGTCAATTGGTTAGCGTCGTGTGTAGAATCGAAATTATATCGCTTGAACTCACTCTTGCCACCGGTTCTCATAGCCATGAATGCACCAGACCAGGCATCCATAATGCCTTCACGAAGAGTGACAACGTACTCGAGCATCTCGAAAGAGGTGTCGGGTACGGAGATGGAAGCGGCCTGCTGCAAGACCTGGGCGACGACCGAAAGGTAGGTCTCGAAGGCACCGCCAATTGCTTGAGCAATATCACCGAAGCACTGGAGGATGGCGGGCTTGAATTGGTTACCGAGCGTCGAGCTCTGTCAAAATTCGTCAGAAATGTGATGGAAATCCGGATGATTCGCTAGACTTACGCGAAGGTCGTTGAGAAGGTTATTCATCAGGGCGTCACAGTACGGCTGAATCTTCTCATTCAAGGCACGCGAGATGTCGCTGACAAGACCGATAGCCATTGCGCAGATGGCAGGCTCTTCCTGGTTGGCAAGGGCAGTGTAAAGGAAGGGAGCGAAGGCCTCCATGTACTTGGCAAAGTCTTCCTCGACAGCGCTGGCGAGAGCACCAACAGCAGCGAAGATGGTGTCAGGAACCGAAGACTTGGGGCCAACGGTGTTGAGGAGTTGAAGCATAAGCTGCATGATGCGGTCGGCCTGAGGCTTGATCTCGGTCTCGAGACGCTGAATGATGGCAATGACAACACTGGTCAAGCTGGTCTGCATCTCCTCAAGCATAAGCTTGTCTTCGACGCTGACGACCTGTTGGCTCATAGGAATGGTGCTCTCAAGACGCTCGAGGATGACATTGGTAAGGTGACCGACGACGGGGAGGGAGTCGTTGGCGGAGTTTGTGACGAAGGCGTTGAGGACCTCGTAAGCGGCGGTGCGAAGCTGGTGGTCGGCATCGGTTCTACACGGCAAGTCAGTATGATACAAGAGCGGCGGAATATTTAACATGCATACCTCTCGGTGACCTGCAAGAGGTGGGTGACACTGTTCTGGAAGTGAGCAGACAGAGCATTCTCCTGGCAGCCGGGCTCTCCGGCGAAGCGGTCGGCAAGGTTCATCAAAGCCCAACAGCACGATGAAGCCATCTTGGGGTGACTGGACAAGCCGTTGAACAGCGAGCTGATCAAGGGCTGCAGATGTGTGGCGGGGTCGATCGAGTCGGAGCAAGTCTCGCAGATACGGCCAAGAGCGTAAGCAACAGAGTCTCTAACCTGGATGACGGGGTCTTCCATCATGCCAATCATGACGGGCAGAGCCTGCTTAATTAGAGGGCTAAGGACACTCTCGTCGGGGCCCTCCATGATGGCACCAAAGGCTGAGACGGCGGCATCTCTGTAGTGCCAGTCCTCGGAGCGGAGGTGCTTCTCGACGAACTGAAGGACGGCGGTGACAATAACACCACCGACAGTCTGGGCCCAGAGCTGTAGACATTGGTAAGCAGCACGAGAGATGTTGTACTCATCGTCAGCAGCATCCTCATCCTGCTTGGCGAGCAGCTCGAGCAGAACGGGCACAACCTCGGGGGTAGCGATGCGGGCAAAGTTGAAGTACTCGCGCATCTCGGTAGAGCCCTCGGCGGTCGCCTGTCTAGTCGTTAGCTTCGATCTTCACCACCATCCACGTGGCATGCGTACCTGAGAGTTGTCGTCTTCAATAGAGATTTCCTCTTCACAGACAGTGCACCAGAACTCGACAGCGAGCTTGGCTACATCCTCCTCATCGTTCTTCATGCCTTGAATGGTCAGGCCGAACAGAGCCTTCTCCATGTAGAAACGCATCTTGTCGTAGTAGAGACCCATGATTCTGTTCAAACATCCGTAGGCGCCCTGCTGGATGCGGTTGTCGTCTGCCTGAGTGGCCTCGCAGACGACTTGCATGATGTAGTTGCGCTCGCCCTCGTTATCGAAGTTTGTGCGGACAAACTCGAGCGAGTCTCCAAGCGCGGTGATGGCGGCATTTCTGACATCGGCGTTAGGCTCCTCCTTTCTTGCACCCTGAACGACGGCGGTCAGAATGGCATTTGAGTGTTGAGAGAGACTATCCCTGAGGTCCTGGTCCTCGGCTTCGCAGATGAAGCCGATGGTGGTGAGCGATGCCTGCTTCTGGTGGTCGCCGCCCTCGCCAACGTTCTGCACCAGGGTGGGCATGAGCTCGGGCCATTGCTCGCGGGGAATCTCGATGGCGGCGATTGAGGCGATGAACTGGGCTGCTGACTGTCCTGATCTGCCGTCGTTGGACTTTAGTGTTTGGAGGGCGAGGCCCTTGATTGACTGCTTGACGTTCGAGTCGACATTGTTGATCCACCGTTGCTGTACTTCGCGTAGGCGGGTGTATTCACGGGCGGAGAAGGCGTTTTTCAGTGCAAGACCAGCGGCAATGCGCACTTGAGGTTGTGCTTGCTCGTTTGCGAGTTCTTGCGAGAGATGTGTGAGGTATCCGGACTGGCCATCCGATTGTCAGCACGTGCCAGTGATGTGAAAAGACTGTCATGTACGTACGAAGTTGGCCTCTGCGGCCTGGTTGAGCTGCGCTTCAGCAGCAGTTCTGGTGCTGGTATCTGTTGACCGTCAGCATCTTGTCCGGCGCATGTGGACCACAGAGGGCGCAGTGGAGGAATGGACGTACCAGGCGACAGAGTCGCCGAAAGCAACGCTGAGGCATCCATGATTTGCGCAATTCGTGACAAGTAAGAGGCGTGTAAGGGAAAGAATTAAACAGGCTGACCTGGCCTGACTACAAGAGCGTCGGGATAGAAAAGGAAGGAGTGTGTAGTTTGAAGGTCGTGGTGGAGGAAGCGATGTTTAAGGGGAGCTGCTTTTCCTGGTTCACGGTCGGAATGAAAATCGCCGGCAGGTGCAAGTGGGACCCTGGGACACGACGAACAGCCCGCTTTCAAAGTGTCTTCACTCTATTCACCAGGACTGCCCTGCCAGGACTACATTCCAGTCCTTCTTTGTATTCCTTGTTTCACACCACAATACTCTATATACAAGCACTTGATCATCTTCGAATCGTCTCAGCTTAACATCCATTCTTTCCACGCCTTTTTGTTGCTCAGTCACGCCCAACTCGCACCTTTCGTAGAATTGAAAGGAACGCTGTCGTCACCGAGAAAGCCAAGAGAAAAACGAAGGAAACCACAATGACAGCTTCACCTCTTTCCACCGAGACATTTAATCGACTTGCACATGATTAAATACAATGAATTATCTCAAAAAGTTGCCGTATCCAAAACGTGTAGTCATCACTATACAGGGTCTCTGTACACACTTGTTTCTGAAAGATCTCATCCAACTGAGGTCGTCACTGGGCAAACCCCTCATAGCAGGGCTCGATGTAAACACTAGCACTGACCATGTAAATAGTGGTCCGCCCTCAGAGCCACCACCATCATTACCAAATGCCATCACTCGGGCCTCTGCTGCTTGGTGTTCACGTAGGTAGCTAGCATGCTTTCTAGTATTGCACGATGCAACAATTTTTCTTTTCTACTGTGGGGCTCCGAGTAAGTTTGGCGATAGTCCCATGTCCGTCTCAGCCACTTTCTGTCGACCGGGCAATGGACACTTCGAAAGGCACAGGATAGCGAACTCCTCAGAGACATCTCGTATATGCTATTATACTAAGTGATTGTCTTCAAGTCCTTGGCAATAGTCGCAAACTCATCTCTGCGTGGCAATGCGATACTTGTAATGATTGTTCGTTGCTTCATTGCTAATCTGCGAATGTAGTGATGGTTATAGTTACAGTCGGCCGCACCAGCTAACTAAAAATGTCCACTTGTCCATAATTTCTGTCTATCCTTCATCGACCGCATTCCCAAGCTGCACCAGGTTCTGTTTTGGCGCTCCATCTGGTAATCGCATTGTTTATCTGTTTTACCTCTTTTGACACTACTAACGTCCAAGGTCCTTTCTAATTCTCGTCCGTCTCTGACTTGAGATCCTGAGTTTCTCCCTCGTGCAAGTCCTCCTTCAACGCAGCAGCGTAGTTCTCGGGCTCAGTATGCTCGTGGTCAGAACCAGAATCAGCGGCATCAGTGTGATCGTCGACATTGTCGGCGCCATTTTGAGCTTGCTTGTTCTTGTTCTTCTTGTTCTTTCTCTTCTTTTGCTTCTTGCTAGGTGAAGCTGCTGCACTGGGTGATTCAGGAGCATTGTCTTTGGCAAATTCGGTGTTGCCAGTAGGCTCCTGCTTCACTCTCTGCTTCAGCTCATCGAGGTTCTCTGCAGCGTCTTCCTTAATCTGCTGGCTATCCTTCTTGTTGGGTGTGATCTTGCGCTCGACGCTCTCGACACCCTCGCTGACAGTTTTGTTGGAGCCGGGGAGTCTGCCTTCCTTAAGGGCTTGCAGATCTTTCTTGACCATGTCCTCGAAATTCTTGGAAGCGGTTCCCAGCTTCTTCTCGAGTTTCTTCTCGATGTCCTTGAGATCTTTCGGCAAGTGACCAAGCTGCTTCTCGATTCTCCTCTCGGCAGCCTCGAGTTCTTCTGGGAGTTTGCTGAGCTTCTTCTCAACAGCCTTGCCAGCGTGCTCGATCTCGCGGTTTGTTCCATGTGCGGCTTCCTTGGTAGCGCGGCTGGCAGAGTGACGCTTGGTTCTCGACTTGTTTGAGCCGCTGCGGAACAAGTAGGCACGAACGAAGAAACGGACGAAGAGAACAGTCAGAGGGAAGAGATAGAGAATGTTCAACCAAACTGCAAAGCTCTGACCGGTGGTGTCAAGGCAGTTGATGGTGGTGTAGTCGGTCCTGTAGCGGGTCTCCTCATGGTATTTCTGGACGGCCTCTCTGGCTTCATCCATAATGATGTTCCCTTGCTTGTCGCGGACATTCTCGGCAACACCCTCATCGCCGGCAGCACGGAGAAGGATACGGCGAAGGATAGCACCGTAGGTCTCGGCCGAGATGACGCTCGAAGCAGTTGCAGAAGCCTTTGCAGCAACGGAGGAGATAGGGTGGAAGATGCTGTATGCAGTTGCGACAGGAATGTCGTATTTGACGAACAAATGGATAGCGGCATAGGATGCGCCGAAGAGGAACTGAGTAATCTGCATGGTGGTCAGGGTACGCTTCAGGGTGTTGGGCACACGGATGTTGATGGCAGAGAGAGTGAAGTAGGTGTACTGCGTGGATGTTAGCATTGTATCGTCGAACTTGGTTGGACATGACGTACCATCAGTGCGTGAATGAACGAGTTGATAAAGACAAACATCCAGATGGGAGGGGACATGTAACGGATGCCAGCCCACATGCACAACATGGCGCCCGCGTGATGATATGTCTGCAGAGTTGCGCTCCTCTTGCCCTTAGCAACGATGATAGCGGTGTCGACAACCTCGTAGAACTTGGACAGGTAGAAGAACCAGCCCCAGAAGGCAAGACCCTCGTTCCACAGACGGCCAACATCAGTGGGATCAGGAGTGCCCTCTGGCATCAGGGTGATGATAGCGTTCTTGGTCTGCCAGATGTTGGAAGTGGCATTGTAGTAGACGGCATCGCCCAAACCGCGGGGGCCGTTGATCTTGCAAAGAGAGTCTGCGACACCAGCCAGACCAGCGCTGTTGTCAAGTCCAGGCCAAACGGCGTTGATAGCGCGACACATGGCGTAGAAAGTGACGGCCGAGTAGACGGCCAGGAAGACATTGTGCAAGACCACAGCAACCTTGAAGGCGCGAGTTGTGCTGATCCACCATGGCTTGTTTCCCTGGCGTCTGTTGTAGGCATTGACGAAGAAGACGGTGACGACATAGGTAGTCGCGATGGTGAGAGGAACCTTGAAGTCCAAGGCGCCGTTGAAGACATCGAAGTCGATGGGGAACGGCGACTTCCAAGTGGCCTCGTCAGACGGAGGAGGAAGGGCAGGAGGGAGGTTATCCGGTGGGAACTTGAATAGCGATCGGTCAGGGACCGTGAAGTGGATCGAGGGTCCAGACATTTCGAGTACGCGCACGCGACAGGTCAATGATGGACGGTGACAGGGAGAAGGGCGATAGTGATGTCGATGATTATGCACGCTGCATGGTCTGTAGTATGTTGGACTTGAGATTGGCGATGAGACGAGGAAGTTCTGCTGGAGGGGCGCGTGTCGCGTACAAATCAAGAAGCTCTCCAACTTTTCGGGACCAACGTCACTTCCAAGATCTGCAAGCCACTTTCCCCATGTAGCACGCGTCTAGCTCAAGCGTTCTGCGCCTTTCTATAACTTGGCAGTACTTCTCAATGCAGTAACCCTTCCGAATCTCTGTCCAAGTCATCGTTCTAGCCTCGAGCTGTTATTATTGCGAACAGAGGCGTACACGCTATGTTATTGCACTTTGTGATTGACACTCTGCCTTCATTCAGTGACAGCAAACAAGTACGCGACCTCTCCAATGGGCTAGATACCTACGCGCTTGTGAAACTACCTATTGTGCAGTGCGACAGATACACGTCTGCCGACTCTCGACGCGTGGGGATCTCGTTCATGCACTCTTCTCAGAAACCACATTCCTCGCAAACAGCCAATGCAAATCACATCAACTAAATTTCACTCAACATCGTGTTTTGTTGTACCTCGGCTCGCTTAGATCATTTGAAAGATCTGCTTGGAGTCTTGGCCATCCTCATACTTCTCGACTCGTTCCTTGGCTATTCACCTTGTCGCTGTCCACGCGGTTCTGAACTACCTAGGCATGCTTTGAGTCTGCGACGTTACCGACGAAACATTCGATATTTGCTTGGATCCCTGGCCGTCAAGATAGGTAAATTGATGTGGTCAAGCTCACCTCCCCGTGTGCGGTATACTGTTTATCTGTACCTGTCTCAAGGCATGAAACTTTCTGAACTAACTGTGATGGCACCGTGATACGTCTCTATAACGAGTCTTCGCACTGGCTTTGCCAACGCAGGACATGACTGTGCCTACTTACAGCTCGCTACTGCTCTGCTCTAGCAAGGGAAGGCGTCTGAGTAGCCATGAGAAAGCAGGAGCTACTTTTACACGTCGCGGCCAGAGTGACTGCCTCGTGACAGAACCAAAGAGGAAGCTGCGGAGTTAGGCGGTGGGGTCCTGTCATTTAGTCAGTCACCTTGAGGCAGTCGCGCTCTGAACACATCAGGGTTGCGAGAATTGAATCATGCGTGACCATCCACGTTTGAGATTTCCGTATAGAAGTAACAGGCACACGAATGACGTGTCTGTGTTTGGAAAATGTCATTATGTATGATGACTCGCCGAAGAGGAAGTCTTCCAATACACACGTCAACGATGGAAGATTCGTGCGGCTTGTCAGTCTTTGAGAAATGTCGTTGTGTTTGATGGTGTCGTGCAAAATGAATGCATGCTGGTCGCAGAAAATCGACTAGCATACGTTCGGTACATCACGGCCTGGAAGATCAAGTTATGTGAAGAGCTTGGATAGGTATTTACATGTGTGAAGCTCTCGGGCAGTCACTGTACTACAGGGCTGGCGGAGTCAGTCCGTGGGATTTGTGTGACAAAGGATATACTACTATCGATCACGAGCTTTTAGAGTTTTGGAACATATCTGCAGGGTCTTCAAGATGAGCTTGTGCGTCAAATAACTAATCATAGATGATTGGATGATGGTCTCGGATTTGACGACAACACTGAGAGATGTTTGGAAGCGTCTCTCCTAATACTTTGGTGGCGCAATCCATGCACACTAAGTAGATATAGCAGTAGACAAGAAGATGGAACAAAGTTCTATTTCATCACGTCCCCTAGAGGAAACGGCTAAGGAAAAGAAGAAGAAGAAGAAGAATGAGTGAGCATATGCCCTCCAAACATAGAGCCACGAAAAGACAGGTAAAAAGCTTACTCCCAATGATATTTGCTTACGAGCGGATCGGATACTAGAAAGCGTTGGCAAAATTGCTTAGAGATCGTACTCATAAACGTATTGGACGTTGCAGTTTGCGTCGTCAGAGCTGGAAGCTGAAGACGAAGGTGCAGCGGCAGCAGTGCCGGAAGATTGTACGACGGCGGCAGAGGAGGGAGAGGAAGCCTCCATGGAGGCGGCGGACGAGTAGGCGGCAATGGTAGACGATGCAGAGAACTCGACGGCAGGAGCGGCGTAAGTGGCAGCAGACGAAACAGCTGCTTCGGAGGAAGAAGACGCAGGAGCAGCCTCAGAGGTAGAGTAAGCAGCAGCCTGTGCAACCTCAGAAGTCGAAGATCCAACAACAGCAGCCTCAGAGGAAGAGCTGTAAGCAGAAGTTGCAGCCTCAACTGACGACGAAGAAGCAACCGCAACCTTCTGAGCAGCCGAAGACGATGAGACAGAAGCGGCAGGCGCCTCAGCAACCTTAGCCTGAGCACTGTCATCAGTTCTGCTGCATCCACTCTTGGCAGTGATCTCAGCAGGGCAAGCGACACGCTCGAACTCAACCTCAGGGTTATCGGCACCCTCGAACCAGTCCCAGCGGAAACCGCAACCGGCTTGGAGGGCCTTGGGGAAGGCGCTGCAGGTATTTGAGCTGATGCCGCCATATTGAGCACCCCAGCCGGAAGATGGAGCATTGAACTCGGCTGTGCAGGCGTTGAAGATGCCGACACCACCACCGGGGATGGCGAGGTCGAATTGGTTGCTACCAAGGTCGCCACCGGTGTTGGTGGCTTGGACGATCATGCTCTTGCCGGCAATAGCGGTCGTGGTGAAGGTGAGCCTTGAGGGTTGTGTCAGCATGCGATCCTTCTTATTGAATGACGATATGTGGTGGATACTTACTTGTAGCAAGAGCAGCACCAGCTGTCCTCGGATCCGCCAGCAATGTTGACGGCAGCGAAGCCGTAGGCCAAGTCGTCGGACACGGCCCAAGGGCTCTGGTCAGAGCACATGTATGCGGAGCCACCGTTACAGGCGGAAGCAGTGTTGGCGTCGGTCAAAGGGTTGTCGCTCTTGTCGCAGGTGGTGACGGGAGCGCTGACATCGGCCTTTCCGGGCCATGAGCATGAGCCCTTGCAGCAGTCCCTACACTTATGTTAGAGTGTATCTAGAATGAGTGTATCTGGCGATGTAAGGTACCAGTAGCGTGTGGTCTTGCCGGTCTCAGCAGCGTTGACGACAGATGCGAAGCCAGTGGCCAGAGCCAGGAGAGCGAGGTTCTTGATGGAAGACATGATGCTTTTGATGTTTTATGGAAGTTGGAGGTGGTGTTGAGTATAGATCAAACGGTCGCAGACCTTAAAGAAGATAGTGTTGAACGAATGTGGTGTAGACTGGCTACTTCGAAGGAATGACTGATTTCTTGCGAAAAAGAGAAGATGTTGTAGAGCAATGTCTCAGAAGAAAAGAGGATGAAGAGGAAAGTATATGAAAGAGACCTACCATTTATTCCCAGCATCCCTACTACGGCAGCAGGAACAATGGATCAGGGATGAAGCCTGAGGATCCGAAATCACAGTCTCATCTAGGGCTTGTATACACGAAACAACCTTAGCAAAGCTTGCCCTGGGCAAAGCCCATTCAGCGTTTGTGCATCCGGCACGTCGAATCAAGTTTCGTAGATTGGAGGAAACTGGTTGAAAGAGGTGGAACCGTATCCATCGCATCGCATCGCTTGCCATCGCCATCGCCAAAATTGCATTTAGAATCTGCGACGACGTGAACGACGGGAGTGTCAGAGCGGATGGCTTGCGGAAACGAGATTTGGAGATTGCGGTTTGATCCTAGCCTGGGTCGCGTCAAGTTCTTGGACCGCCCTGTCTCCTGCTGCTTGCATCTCAAAATCCTGCACGACAGATTAACACGAGATGTTGTCGATATTCTTCTAGGGCTGAGCAAAAGGAAGTCGCCGCTCGACGAACACCGGCCTAGAAGACAAATCATGATGTTGCTGTTTAAATGTTCGTTACATGTTGTTAGAGTCCATCTCCAGTAACGAACACGTAAAGCTTGGCTCGCTGTTGAGGTTGCTCGCAAAACGAAAAGAACGTCGTAGCCTGTAGGGGTGGCTAAGCAGCGTGGAACATGATTGTGCGATGATCGTCAAGAGAAGGAGAAAATGACAAAAAAGAATGCCTCGAGGGAGAATCGAACTCCCATCTAAGGATTACCCAAGCCATGCTTGGTCATATTGATGACCGATATGAGACCTTCGTACTAGCCGTTATACTATCGAGGCTTGATGACAGATTTCCTGAATTACAGAACTATAATCTCATAATCTGTATGGGGTCCGTGCATCTTGCACTTAGACCTTTCGATGAGACCACAACTCCCGAGTTCTGATCACTGCACAGCTGTAAGTTACTATGCACAATACCTCGAGTGTGACTTTACTCTTGAGTCTATTGTCTGTCGATCCGGGTGTCGATGTAACTGCAGTGGTGAAGAGAGGTAATTCAATCAAAAACATTGCGTTGTGTGTGCGGGATGTTGAAGAAGTGGATGACCGAATTGGATAACCCACATAGGACCTAACATGGCGCCGGATGCCCTCAGATCTGGCAAATAGGCTATCAAGGAGATTTCTCGCCGATTGAAAGTGTCATAGAGAATGTGAATGTTGAACGAGTATGTCAAAGTCGGATCTTGACTCGAGATTGTTAGCCAAGGGTATCACCCTGTCTCGGAAGCACGTCTATCCGATAGTCCGGAAGTCGTCCTAATAGCCTTTCGAGTCTCCTCTCTCTCGGCAGGCCGAATAACGAATCTCGGCTCGTAGAAGGTCACCTGCTATTCATAGACTTTAGAGTATGTTCAGTATCATATAACATCGTCCTTTCCACCTTCCCTTTGACCAAGTCATAAGAGCCACAATGTCGTCGCCGGGATCGAAGTTCTCCCCATTCAACGTGTTTGACGATATTGTATACAAAACGGTGGACAATGCAGCCATCAAAGCTGCAGTACTCGTGCCCAAGTCTCTCAAGCCAGGAGTCAAGGCACCCTGTATTGTCCACTGGCATGGCGGAGGCTTCATGACCGGCAACAGGTTGTTCGAGCCGTGGTTTGCATTGTGGTGAGCATACATGCCTCTACTCGTGATTGAGCCATCAACCAATTACTAAGAGTCACCAGGTTCATGCAGTGGGCCGAGTCAATGGGTGCTGTAGTGGTCAGCCCCGACCATCGCCTTCTTCCCGAAAGCTCAAGTGAGGATATGGCCGAAGACGTTATCGACTTCTGGAACTGGGTGCACACGAATCTGTCCACAGAGGTATCCAAAGCAACTTCCGGAACAGTGGAGATTGATCTGAGCGAGATCGTAGTCGGAGGCGAGAGCGCAGGTCAGTCTTTCAAGCATGCTCCGAGACCTTGGCTGAATCAAACGCAGGTGGTTTTCTATCAGTGTTGTCTGCTCTTACTTGTCCAGACGCTGGCATCAAAGCTGTGATATGCCAATACGGACCTCTGGATTACCATGTGCCGTGGTTTATGCAGCCCAACCACCACCGGACCATCATGGGACAACCGCCAGCAGAGCCAGGAAAGCCAGAGGCACAAGTTCAGGAATATCTGGCCAAACATGTCAACGTCGATCAAGTCGTGGTTCGAACCGAAAGCCGTGTAGAGGAGCTGTGGCCTCTTTGTGTTGCATATATGTACACAGGCGGTCTCGCAGAAGCACTTGGGCAATATGATCAGGTCATGCCCATGAAGCTGATTGAGACAGTGAAGTCGATGCCACCAACCTGGTTCATCCACGGGAACGAAGATTCAGTCGTCAATCCAGATTGTACTATGAACTTTGTCAACAAGGTCAGGAAAACGTTGCCTGAGACGCCTATGCATATAAGCTTGCAACCGGGTGAGCATGGGTTTGATGGCGAAGTCGGTCTTGACGAAAAATGGGTGCAAGAGGGCTTGTCGTTTGTGTTGCAATACTGGCCTCGCGAGTCGTGATAACCTACACTAGCATTTCTCGAAGAACATCCCAAAATCGCAATACTGTTGAGAGCATCAACGTATAGGAGTTGGGTGTCGCGTCGTGACGCGATGGACGGAGCAGCAACTTTAGCCGTTATAATTATTGCATCACCCCAAGCATCATCGCGGCTCCTCCGCGTCTCCACGTTTCGCCCTGCGGCTCGTCACTGGTACCCTTAAAGTTGTCGATGACAGGAGATCCAAGATGCTAAGAAGAGGTCTTGTTAGCATCATCGACTGCGATCAGGAAGCAGATTGGGCCAAATCACGCATGAGACTATCGTTTTGTGGACGTGCGACGTCACGACTCCTGTATGATAAGTGATGGAAAGAGCATGTTTAGAGCCGCAAGTACAAATACCATGTTCTGTTATTTCCCTTCATTTCCTTCTGATGCTCCTCACACAATTCCAGCCTATCTCCCGCAGAACATTTACCAGTCCTTCCGAGACATCCCATTCGTCCCACATCATCACTCCACCAACAAATCGCAGCCATGTCCAGCGTACCCGGAGAAGAGTTTGAAGTTCGTCAGACGATGACCACTGAGGACATGACCCCAGACCCGAGCAAGAGTATCAAGCTCAGTCCTCAGCGCCAGGCTTTGATCGACGACATAATCGCTCTGTATAGCTGCGAACCAACGATTAGACGCGTGGAACGTTATACAGCGGACTGCGTTTATGACGACCAGTTTGTCTACGCCAATGACAGATACAAGATGGCCGGGCAGTGGTTCGCACTGCCAAAGTTCTTCAAGGAGAGCAAGAACGAGCGTTACGAGATCATCAAGAACGACCGGGACTTGATTCAGTTCAAAAACGAGCAGGCAAGGGACACATACACCCGTTGTACTGGTCATCGCTAATATACACACAGTCATGGACCTTCAAGCTGATCCCCAAGACCGCTACTATCAACGCGTTGGTGTCACTTTCGCTCGATCCCGATACCGTTGATTCAGACTTCATCCAAGTCAAATATCACAAGGATCAAGCCAACGACAAGGACTATTCTCACAATGGTTTCGGATTCCATTTCAAGAAGTTCCAGGCAGATAACGTTTCCAAGCTCATGAGCGCCGATGAGGTCAAGTACTTCGAGAAAGATAAGGGTGCGGCCAAGGAACCCGTCAAGAAGTACGGCACTGGAGACGAGAAGGGCCAGGCCCCCATGAAGGATCTCTAAATCAGTAAGCCATGATGAAGTCTTTACATACATAAGGCCTTTACAAGTAAGAGCCACTGGCCTACATAATGATGTGGTATGGTAATATTCTCTAATGACCTCTACCTCACCTCTCTCTCCACTTGTTTCTTCGTTAGTTCCCTCTATATGGTTGACCTACCTCTTCACATTAGGTTTTCCAGACAGTATTTCAGAATCGTAAATTTGCGGTAAAATATGCTGGGGTTACGCGAGTGGAGGAAAGATAACGATTGGCACATGTGTCTCGAAAGTGTCACGATACACGATGTCTGGCCTTCCGAACTACGGCAGGGTCCATGGAACTCCATGAGAAGGCATATGTCAAGTTGCATCTAATTAGACGATGCTGAACTCTGTATGCCGATCGCTAATCTATCCTGAAGTAGCCTACTTGAGGTAGAATCTCGATATGTAGGCAGTCCTTTAGTTTTGGGAGTAAGATACGGTGTAAACGAACCACTGCTATGTCTATCCTAAAGTATCCTGCTCAGTGTAGAATGTGTATGCCCGACCTTCCTACCATGTTGTAAGGTACTGATCCTTCCTGGCGTTACTGCTTAATGCAGAACGTCAAGGTATCAGTGACTTCCAAATCAGATAGTAGATTACTCCGTGAACTGGTGGCCGTGTAACGCTGAGATAGCCTGCTTGGGCAAGGACGTAAAGATGTCGAGAAGCTTGAATAGGGTGGTGAATCGCGCTCTAGTCGGAAGACTGAGTGAACTTGAAGTGCTCTCTACTCAAGCACCGATATTAACGTGTGGAAGGACATGAAGTCCAACAGCATGAACCAACCGCTGGGCCACCCTGAAGCAGTCTGCCTTGACCTAAAGGTGCCAATTGCCTTCGCAGAATGATGCAGTATTCCACGGTCCGCAAACTGAGCAAGTCTGAAGTACTCCATGATGTCAAGAAAGTAGAAGTGTAGATGTAACAAACTACTCGCGCTATCGATACTTCATCTTTGAGCGAGCTGTCGAGTTAATTCATACTTGTGAAGAAAATCACTGAGATCTTGGGTATTCAAACAAGATGTTGGCACATGACTTTTCATTGACTCTCTCATCTCTGCTTGGAGAGAAGTGGTCGTGAGTGGCTATTCCGCAATTCTTCCGAGACTGGTTTATCCTATCTCCAACGCCGTGCATAAACATATTCTCCTGTTCCCCATCCTATCTTCAAGAGAATCTTTGCGTTCGTGTCGTTTGCGAGATCCACTAAAACATCCTGCTTATCTTCTCAAGCTCCTCATGAAACCTTCGACGCCGCCATCGTCGATTCTTCCTCCGAAGCCACGAACCTCCTTTTGTGCGCTCTCCACCTTTTGTCTGAGTTGCTCGGCGCCGACATCGATTTGTTGCAATTGACCAAGATGTGCGTTGAGTACACGAACGATTTGGGAGAGGGGATCTGACTCGGCGGTCTTTGATGATTTGGACAAGTTTGTGGATGCGAGGTTGATCTCTTCGATCATAGAAGTGAGGTCGTGAGACATTGTAGTCAGGCGAGTGGAGCAGCGCTCGGCAGTGCGGTAACTAGACTAATGTTAGCTTTGTGATCTATCGGTAAGATGGCTCGATGTACGTACGTTCTCTCGCGCTCAGCATCAACGCCGCTGTCAACGCCGCCAGCCTTGGCAGACATGTCGTCCAGCACTCTCTCGTAGTGGTCGAGCCAATGACTGAGTTCTTCTTGTTGACCTTCGACAGAAGCAAGTTGACGCTCAACCTCAGCGGTGTCGCGCTCGGCCTGGAAAGTGCGGCTGTACAGCTTGCTGATCTTGTCACTGTTCTCGACCAGCATGCGATCCCATGAACCAATCTTGGTGGCCAGGTTGGAGAATTGCTTTTGATGCGAAGAGAGGGATGTTGTCCAGAGGGTGATGATTTCGTCCAGAGACTTTGAGTTCAATCGCGAAGTAGCAGGAGGGGCGGGACCCGAAGTCGATGAATTTGAGAGACCGGTAGCACCAGCAGAACCGGTGAGACCGCCGCTGTTGTTGTTATTATTATTGTTGTTACCTCCACCACTCGTAGGACCCGAGCCACCAGGTGAGCTGCCTGCAGTAGGTCCTGCGGCGGGCTTGAGATTGAATGCGGACGCTCCAGTCGAGGCAGGTGTACTCGAATCGGCAGGCTTTGCGCCTAGAGAAAAGCCAGGGGTCGTTCCTGAGGTAGCATTTGTGGGAGTAGCGGCTGATGAAGATGTTGCACCATCGTCTTTCTTCGCGCCACCGAGACCACCAAAGAGGCCACCTGCGGGTGCAGCAGGCTTTGCGGTCTCGTCCTTGTTAGCACCCATGCCACTAAAGAGACCGCCTGTCGGTGTAGCGGGCTTAGCAGCCTCATCCTTGTTGGCACCTAGACCGCCAAATGAAAGTGCACTAGCAGGCTTCTCAGCAGCATCCTTGCTCTGGCCCATACCGCTAAAAAGGTTTGCAGCAGGCTTAGCAGCGCCATCATCCTTCTTAGCACCAAACATGGGTGCTGATGTGCCAGTCGAAGCAGGAGCAGCAGATGACGAGCCACCGCCCATGCCAGAGAATAGACCACCTGAAGGTGCAGATGTTGTAGCAGATGCAGGCTGGGTGGAAGCCGGCGGTTGTGAGGTGCCAGCAGTAAGAGAGAAGGCAGGAGGTGCGGCCTTAGGAGTTGATGATGTAGCTCCGAACATGGGTTTGCTTGCCGGAGCAGCTTCTGCAGACTTCTGGGCGAACAATGAAGGAGCAGCAGAGGACGAAGAGCTTTCATCTTTCTTTGAGACCGAACCAAATGCTGGAGCGGCCTTGGGGGCATCAGCAGCATTTTGACCGCCAAAGAGAGAAGGAGCACCACCACCACCACCACCTAGAGCAGAGCCGAAAGCACTGCCGAAAGCAGGAGCAGGTTTAGGAGTATCTCCGGTCTTCTCCTCGGGCTTCTGACTGAAGAGGCCAGCAGGAGGCTTTGCGCCGGCGCCACCAAAGAAACCACCGGTCGATTGAGTGGGGGGAGGACCGGCAGGAGTTGTGGAGAACATCGGCTTGTTGGTAGCAGCGGGCGTAGTCGAGTTGTTGCCGAACATGCCGCCTGTCGTGGCAGCAGCAGGAGTGGTCGAGTTGTTGCCGAACATGCCGCCAGTAGAGGCAGCAGCACCGCTGAAGGGGTTACCAGTAGCAGCGACGCCTGGAGTTGTGGGATTGCTGCCCTGCTTCTCGGGAGCTTTCGAAGCAAAGCTGAAGCCGGAAGCACCAGCAGGCTGTGTAGTTGGAGAAGGCGCGCCAAAGGGACTTGCGGCTGGAGCAGCACTAGAAGCAGTAGGATTGCCAAAGCTAAAGCCACCGCTTGTGGGAGCAGTGCTCGTGTTTCCAAAGAGACTTGGGCCAGTGGTTGCGCCAGGCTTGGGTGCAGTGCTGCCGAACAGGCTAGAGGTGCTTCCTGATGAGGAACCGCCAGGAGGATTGAAGGAGAAGGCCATGGCGATGTGAATCTAATCGGCGTGTTTAACCCGTCGAGGGCGCGTTTTGCGAAAAGTTGTTTGGACCGCCCAAATCGCGGAACTTTGGCTGATGCGTGTTACGAGATGTTTGTGAGGCGATCAAGGCTTGTATAGAGGATCAATGCCTGGTAAATGGCGATCAAGTTGTGGATTAAGGAAGCGCGCAGTCGACGTGAAGCTCTCGCTCTTTGACAAGTTAGCCGCACTGAGCAGCAACACGCAGAGACGCTCGGACGCAGAGTCGCACTTTCCTCTGCAAACATGTCAAACATGCGCGCCTTCCCTGGGAACTGCTCAGTGCCCAGTGCTCAGTGCTCAGCCTCCGAGACCCGCAGCTTCTCCACGTCACCCGTCCCTCGACAGCTGCTGCGGACTGCGCATCAGAGAACATATTTACCTGATCGTTCCTGCCCTTTCCGTCTCCATCTTTGCTTTTCGCTTGCCCGCTGTGACGTCTCACAAAGCCCGAGTCCTCACCCTCCTCCACACTCCACACTATATACCATATACATCATGGCTCTCCAACCCCCAGCCGAGCCAATCGAGAACCTGAAGGACCCCGGTGCACACGAGCTGCCTGGTGTCCCGAAGATTACAGGTACTGATTGTATCCCGCCTTCTGCATCATGATTGATAGCTAACCAGCCATAGAACCTGAAGAGTCCGACGACCACTTCTCTGATGCTTCAGAAGGCACTCCTTCATACCCTCCTGCCTTCACTGGCCGCAACCGCGCCTTGTCCATTCCTGTTACTCGTGTCGAGAAAGTAGACGATGAACCCAGACATGGCGAAGTTCCTGGAACCCAAGCCTACAACATCAGATCACAGGATGCCGTGCCTGACGAGATTGAGATTGTCCCCGATGGCACCAGAAGTCGTAGCACCTCGCATGTGAGCGAGTCGGACAGACCCGTCACTCCTGGTGGCACTCCGGTTCCTCATCTCGTTGTAGAGAAGGTCGATCCAAGCGCTCCTAGCCATGGCGATGTCCCCGGCACCGACGCATACGAGATGCGAAGTGCTGATGCTAAGCCTGACGAGGTCGTCCAGGCCCCTGCTTCATCCAGCGCCCCCCTTGAGCGTAAGTTCCGGATCCCATGAGTTCACGCGACCTCCTCCCCAAACCAAGCCTTCATGTTTGACGAAGAAAGCATCACCAACTCCCAATGACAGATCTCGATCCCCAAGCCCACCGTTCGACCAAGAAGTAGCCGACGTCCTGATTCCCTCTGAGAAGCTCCATTCACAGACATCACAAGAGACCTCCCAATCAGAACTTCCACTCCACCCCAAGATCGACACTACCACCGCACAAGCAATAGAGGAAAACGAAGACGACTTTGATGATTTTGACCAAGTGCAAACACAAAACAACCACCAAGCCGACAATGCCGATGACGCTTTCGGTGACGACTTTGACGATTTTGAAGAAGGCGAACAGGCTGATGGGGATGAGGATGATGATTTTGGCGACTTTGACGATGGCTTCCAACAAGCACAAGAGACCCCTGTTGCCGCACCTCCTCCTCAGCCTGTACAGCAACCCCTAGCACACCTTGTAAGTAGCTCTGCCCAATACATACTTGCAGGAGACATAAACTCATTTCTACTCATGCAGCCCAATCTCAACTTCGACGACCTGCAGACCTCGGACGATATACTGGAAGCAATGTCTCCTTACATGTCCGAACTGTTCCCCGAGCTCTACGACCCAGAAGCTTCTTCGACAGACAAATCAGCAACATTACCTACCGACCCTATCCTCACCGACCGCAGTGCATCCCTCTGGTCCCAGCTTGTTGCACCCCCTCCATTGCAGCCACCCAACTGGATTCGCAGTCGTATCCGCCGCCTGTTTTTGGTCTCGCTCGGTGTGCCTGTCGACCTAGACGAGATTCTGCCAGCCAGCAAGCAGAAGAAACTTGTCCTGCCCAACATCCATCTACCAGAACAGAAGAAAGAAGAAGAAAAGGCGAAACAGAACGGAGGCAGCACTGGAGGAAGAAAAGGTCCCGCACCTCCACCAGAGTTCAATGCAAACGAAGCAGTCATGCTCGCCAAAACGACAGACACCGCCATCGAGGCATACTCAGATGATGAGCTCAAGGCACATGTGCAAAGACTGGAAGAGCTCATCAAGGATGCGAGCACCGTGCTCGAGTACTGGGTCAAGAGGAAAGAAAGCGCCGTGGGTGACAAAGAGGCGTTCGAAGGTGTCATTGAAAACCTTGTCGGTTTCGTCAAGAGCAGACGCTGAAAACACAATTAGACACACAGAACAAAAGCAGATATCAAAAGCAACCACAGATTTCATCAGCGTAATGTTAGTCAATGATGTCAAAAAACACGATCTTGGTCAAGGAGAAATGCTCGAAAGCGGCCACTAGGCACAGTATGTGAAGACAAGCACTTCGTTCGAAAACCCAAGACTACCCCTGCGCAGTACCCTGAACACCAGATTCAATACAAAAAACCAACAAGCTTCATCCCAGAAATACCAAACTTCCCTCAAAGCTCCCTCTCAACACCATTCGGCACCAAAAAGCAAACCCAACACCTCAGCCCTCTTCCCCCATTTCCCCAGCTCTCACCGATGCCCACACCGTAGACTCCAATCTGTTCATCTTCACCTTCACTCTTACTCATCTTCGGCAACGTCAACACTTTTCTAAGAATTCCAGGAGGAATGTCTTGATCCACGCCTTCCAACCAGCCTTTCGCTTGTGAAATTGCAGCAGCCAGGAAAATAGCCAAGGGAGTATCAGTAGCAGTATTTGTGTAAATACTGGTATCATGACCATGAATATTCAGTATAGGCGCAGGAATTTTTGTAGGAGAAGGAAAAGAGAGTAAAGAGCCGTAGAGGCTGTTGGAGAGATATGGGATATCCACTTCCAGATCCCCTGTTTTTGATTTCTTGGGTTGCAGGATAAAGACTTGACGGTGTAGGAAGCGGATTTCTGTGAGTAAGGAGAGGAGGTCTGAGAGAGCTGGTGTGGACCTTGAAGTGAGGGGTTTTGTGGTAGAGGTGGGAAGACGTGTTGTACTGGGGGCGAAGGAGTCAGTTTCGAGTTGTTGGGCCAATGCCACCCAGATATCGGTATCTGTGTGTTGTCTCTGTTTTCCTTTGGTTGAGAGTGGTAGAGGAGTGGATGCGGTGAGAGCCAGTTCAGCTCGAACTTCTTTCGTGAAAGAGGTGGAAACGTTGGCTTCTGAGCAAAGGAGCCAGACATTACTTCCATCCCTCACCCTCACTAACCTCTGCACGATCTGCAGAATCACGTTTTGGGATTTGGAAGCGGTGCGAGGGAAGCTAGGCTCTACTCGTAAACCACACTCGACATCTGCTCCGTAAGGAAGGTTCATGAACGTGCAGCTGCCAACCTGAAGACTGTTCGCTCCAGCTACATAGTCTGGCGACAAGAAGCGGATAGGTTGACCGTTGACATGCGGATCCGTTATCGCAATGCGACGAAAGACCTGTGGTAGGCCCAGGAGAGGTGAGGATGGCCTGGCGGTAGGCCTTGGTCGCGAACTGGTCTTTCTGGTATTCTGTGCTCTTGAGCTTACAGCCAATTCGCGGATAGAGAGATCGACCGGTGCATTGAGATGACTGGCTCCAGGTAGCGATGCCGAATATCCCCTCTTCCTACTGCTACTCCGCTTTGTCTCTCTACGCGAAGGCAAAGGTGAAGTAAGCTTCGACTCCATAGGAATGGGAGAGTCGTGACCACCAATAGGGAAAGATACTAGGGTTGGAGAATCGCAGCGATCGGATGCAGGATAGACCATAGAACTACGGCTCTGGTAGCCCAAACGGGCAGTAAGCTCGTCCACCAGAAAGTCTAGCTCTTCCTGAACCAAGGGATCCTCTTGTTCCGGTATGCTGGGTACAGGGAAGCAAGGCGGCGTGATTGGGCTAGGAAAGCGTGGATCTGAAGTAGGTGCGTTCAGCGAGATACCGGAGTCTCTGATAGAGGGTGCAAAGAAGAGAGTCTTGAACCGATTTCGTCTGTGAGGAGTGTCTGCAGGAGACAGAGAGCTTCCGTACACAGATGGCGATGGAAGAGAGGGTGTTGCTCTAGGGCTGGCAGAAGGGGATGAAGATAGGTACGAGCGATTAGATAGATGCGATCTAGCTGAAGAGGATGACTTTTGGCGTTGATGGTAAATGTATGAGGGAGTCATTGGAATATAGATCTACAAGAATTGCCGTCTGTACAAACGACGAGGTAAATATACTTACCGCATTTTAACAGCTTGAGACAGGCTGCAAGCTCATGTCTTTGAGGCTTTGAGACTGCTCTCTAAGTCGTCTCACCCAAATCATTGCTTCGACTCTGTCAAATCTACTGGCGAGACATGCTTGCTCGACTGAGTACAAAGACTCTCTAAGAATAGGCAATATTATGGCATCGATATTGATACCAAGCACAGTTTTCAGCGACGTCGGAGAGTCATGTTGAAGATGGGCTCAATGATGTCGGACAGTTGGAGCGATGTCGAGTCCCGAGAGATATCTAGGAGAAGCAGAGGACTCTAGGAAGACGAGGCTGGAAAGCCGGGAGGTTGGGTGTTGGTTGGCGTCGGGATGCATCATGACGCGTCCTCATCGTCCCAAGCGTTTGGCTCTTTCATTTTGGCTCTTTCTGAACGACACGAGCTGTGCTCTTCGGTGTAGAGACCATCTTTGAATTTCAATGAAGGCAAATTATGAGTCTATTGCGACCCGGAGTCGTATACTTCCGAAGTGGTTCCTTCCTAAACGGAATGCCGCTGCCTGTTCTTATACAAGGGTGTGAATACTACGGCGTGCTAAGTTATTACAGCGTGCTTAGCTGATTTATATAAAAGCCTGGTAGCGGTAAGGGGAAAACTCATTGCAGTCTATGAATGCCACTGTCTTAAAATGGAATTTGCTGATAGTCGATCAACACATTTGCGTTCAGCAGGTATGCCACTCGGGTTGTCCCTTCCACACACTCTTGCTAAGTGGACTCAGGTAACAACGAGAAGCGATACATTGTTCGTCAGTCCCTAGGCTACTACCGCACTCTGGCTATCGGCGGAATCTACACCTTCGCACCAGCTTCGACTTCTGTTATCTCTAAGCAGACTTTCGTTCCAGCTCTGAAGCACTGCGTAGCAACACATCCACTGCTGAATGCTACCATTGAGGGTCAAGAAAGCGAGTCCCCAGCTTTTCCGAGGCCTCAAACATTGGACTTGCACAACCATATTGAACTTCTCAGTATAACCGATATTGGAGCTGGAACCAAAGATGCATCCGAGAAGGATCCTATTCACCATATTACCGTTCGTACCCTTTCGAGCTCTTCCAACGCAGTGAGGCGGGTGATTGAAAAAACTGGACGGAACTCAGAAGCAAAAGTTCAATCTGGACAGCCGCTCGCAAGACCACCGAAGACCTCGCCAAATGCGCTAGCACTCTGCATGACCAATCCATCGGTCTTCTCGCCTACCTCAGCAAATTCCGCCTCTGGATGCAGGGTGAAGCCGAGAAGGACAGAGACAGCTCATATGAGGTTAGAAATCTTGGAGTCTTTGATCCCATGGCGACATCGCAGAAGGATGCTTGGACTATCGAGTCCATATTCTTTGCTCAGCCAGCCAATTTAACGGGCAGTTGTCTTGCATTCAACGTTGTCACCAAAAAAGGAGGCGATACCATTGTATCAGTCACTTGGCAGAAAGGCACACTTGAGGTGGAGAATGAGCAAGCACTGGTGAATTCTGTCTGTGAGCTTATACATTCATACATAGGAGAGGCTGCTTGAAGGCGACCTAAAAGGAAGCAAAGGAGATAAAGCTAGGAGAGATATGCAGTCCAGTGCAGTGAATTCAACTTGTCTCGGCAACGGCAATCATAGATCTCGGGAAGTGACTGCGAGTATGCTTCATAGCGCGACAAATCCCTGTGCCAGTGCTCGCAGCTTTCAAACATCTTCTGATACAAGGTCCGATCGGCAAGCTGGGGAGCATGAGGACCGCAAACACTCTTGATGAGTGGTATGAGGCGAGACACCTCGGCTTCTGATAGAGCGTCGGGATTGGTTTGGGAGCGTGGTGATATTCGTATCTGTGATAAACAGGTACCGAAGGCCTCGAGAGCTGCTCTGCGCACAGTGACACAGTCATATCTGTCTGCTGCCGTGAAAACAGCGATATGGTAGGTGGGTGCCAGAACGAGCACAGCGTAGGATGTGATCACCAAAACTTTGCAGGAATGAGGGGTGTTTCCTGGGCTTTTGCCGTAATGCATGCCGCACATGTGTTTGACCATCGCCTCCTTGATGTCTTCGAGGTAATCCTGTCCATCGTCGAGAAGGAAGATAGGATTTGTGGCGACCTAGCAGATACTACCAGTCAGCGAGCTTGAAATACTCAGAAGCACGGTATCAGCACACAGAAAACCAAGACTTGAACACCTTACTGAAGAAGGGTGACCACATGCGTAGTGCAAGTCTGTGAGCGTAGATTTTGTGCTCACGGAGTTGAAGCACGATGTCGTGATCTTGAGGATTGTTGAAGAGCGTGGCGTCGCTGCACAATGGCTTCGTCAGGAACCCGGGATTGATGCATGATAGTGAAACTTACCATTCATCGCGAACGTCTTCAACCCTTGTGATGACTGATCAGGCTCACGGCCGGGTACTGTGAACTAGTGAAGAGCCGTCAAATTGGCTTCTGGGATACTGTTTTGGAGAAAGCGTGGTGGATTGAAAGGTAAGGACCACGCGTAAGTTGCAGGGTTATAAATGAAGAGAGTTGTGCTATGTGAAGCAAGTTGCACAATAACTTGTTTCTGGAAAGAAGCCGAACCATGTGAAGCAAGTCACAAATACTGCTTCTCGAGGTTTCTAATACAGGTATTCTCATGAGGCAGCATTTCAGGGGCGTAATAAGCAAATGACTGAGAAGGAGGTGAATGCAATAGCTGATAGACACCGTGAGCATTCTGAAACCCCAGAACTGGAAATCTGCTTCTTCTCCAAGAGAGTCTCGTGGGTCGATGGTGTTCGTGCTTGAGGTCAAGTAGACGATAAAGAAGAAGAAGAAGAAGAAGAAGAAGAAGAAGAAGAAGAAGAAGAAGAAGAAGAAGAAGAAGAAGAAGAAGAAGAAGAAGAAGAAGAAGAAGAA